TACTCCCATCCTGCTCTCTGACAGTGACGATCGCATGCAGCCTGTACTAGCAAGCTTGATTTGCCCTATCAGAATGCCTACGCATGAAAGTTCTCAGGAATCTGATACATACGAGATGCATGAAGCAGGACCAGCCACACCAAGTCAAAGTGGAATGGAGCTGCTTCTGACGTGGCACGCCTAGCGAAGGCAGGATTGCATGCAGTATAAAGCACTTATATGGCCAAGCTGGTTTTCCTCGCATCGGGGATTGGCCGGATGTCAAGTCCTCGTGGGTCACCAGCGACTCTTTCAGCTGAGGCTTTCCCAGAGTGTCTTTGCATTGCTTACTGTCGCTACCAGATTCCTTGCTTCTGGCATATTCAGACTATTCACACTAGCTACAGCATACAGGAGCCGCTACTGATACCCAAATCTGGGATGGTTGCCCAACCGTCTGGTTTCGAGACGCCCAGCCGCATACCAATGTATCCAATAGTGCTGCCGTATCCCATGGTCGCCATACAAGCATGGGACTAGCACTTCTGATCAGCGACCGCCGACTGGTCTATCTGTGGAATGCTTGATAAGGGACCTGACCGCTCCTTACCAATTGATTGATTTGAAATTCTGCACTGGCGACTCCGGGCGGCTGGAAATTCAGAAATCTGCCGCTTTGTCTCGGGCGTTCGCTTTGTGTTTTAGAGATGTAAATTCAAAACCATGCTCGAATGTCCATGACAAGCCCTATTCTTGACTGCGGTGGTAAATTATTTGCTTGGTCATAATTGAACTAGTCTTCAACAGCCGGTTCATACAGCACTTAGAGAAGATGATCCGCTATATCACGGCTTTCCCGATCACATTATCAACTTCCTTCCATGAAACGAATCAATAGCGAATGCTCGTAGTTCCTGGATTTTTTGCGCTGACAATGACAGTGTCTGTGCAGATGGCTTCAACAGTGATGCCTGACATTCAAGGCATAAATTCACGTGACTGGACGCCTTCCGCCAAGATATTCCGGCCCGCTAAAATTTATCTAAAGAAAAAAAGTGAACGCGCAGCAGACGGACAGCTTCGACACCGCACGACAATACCACTCGAAATCTGCGATATGAGCATCTAAGGGCTGGCGTCGCAGCCCGAGTTCGAATTGATCTGATTTGATAATACAACGCCACGGTCCTCGTTCTTTCGCACCCAAACATTATATTCGAACCGCAAGAGCGCTTTGGCTTCAACAGAGGCCCTTCACAATAGCCATGGACATCCACCGCTGTCGATTCGTGTCCTACAACCCCCCAGGCAATCAACTCGCTTGCATTTTCCCACCCGCCATCAGCTGATCTTGCTGGACGCGGTGTGCCTACCCTCCGACTTGCGATCGGTCGTGCGAACGGCGATATCGAAATATGGAACCCTTTGCGCGGTGCCTGGTTCCAAGAGACGGTCTTGCGTGGAGGAAAAGACCGCAGTATTGAGGGTCTCACCTGGACTCTCGATCCCTCCGAGGAAGGACCCGATGGTACCAAGTTGCCCGGAAAATTGCGCCTGTTCAGCATTGGTTACTCAACGGCTGTCACTGAGTGGGATATTGAGCAGGGGCGTCCTCTGCGTCATTCCAGCGGAAACTATGGAGAGATTTGGTGTCTCGCGGCTCAGCCGCGCTGGCAGCCAACGAAGAGGGGCAAGGATGGAAAATTCCTTCCTCCTGCCGAGGGCGAATTCACCGGCCAGCACCTCGTCGCTGGATGCGCCGATGGCTCTATCGTGGTCCTGTCTACCGCAGATGACGACGTCAAGTTTCTGCGTTTGATGCGCCCTTCAACCAAGAGAGCTCGCGTACTCAGCGTTACCTTCCAGAACCGCCACACCATTGTCGCGGGCTATGCTGATAGCTCCATTCGTCTATTTGATATTCGCAACGGCCAGCAAATGCGCACAATTTCACTTGGAAAGGGTCCGTCCGGTGGCCCGAAGGAAATGTTGGTTTGGTCAGTCAAGTGTTTGCCGGATGGCACCATTGTCTCTGGAGACTCTGCCGGTGAAATCCGCTTCTGGGATGCCAAGAACTACTCCCTCACTCAGCGGATACAGAGTCATCTGGCAGATTGTCTTGATGTTGCCGTGAGCGCGAACGGAGATACTGTCATCAGTGGCGGTGCAGACCAGAGAACTGTCGTCTACCGCAAGAAAGATGGTGAGAAGGGAGATAAAAAGTCTCGATGGGCAGAGGTCATGCACCGTAGATATCACTCTCACGATGTTAAGACCTTTGCTGTCTACGAGACAAAGGATATCAGCATTGCTGTTTCCGGAGGTACATCTCTGCTCCCATCCGCGCCCAGTCTATGATTGCTAAATAAATAATCTCCAGGTCCCGATGCCACCCCTGTCGTCTTGCCTCTGCGCGAATTTGGAAAAGAGCACCACCGCAAATTGTCCAGCCTGCCTCAGATCCCCCAATTGACATCCGCTCCTTCGTCCCGACTTGTTATGAGCTTCTGGGATAGAGAAGTCAGCTTGTGGCGTGTATCTCGAGGTCCGATTTCTCTACACGAGAACATGGATGGACCGCGACACCGACTCGTCGCAAAGGTTATGATCCAGGTAAGAACGAAGCATCTGGTCCACCTGTTTGGTTTTGACAACCCTTCTCTAATGTTTCATGTCTCATTCAGGGGGAAGAAAACATCACATCAGCCATGCTTTCCTCAGATGGAAAGATCCTGGCGGTTGCAACAGTCTCCGACGTTAAGATGTTTACCGTGCGTCGCCGCAAGGGTGACGAGAAGGGTGCTCTGCGCATCCAAAAGATTGATGTCCCCAAGGCTCTTTCCGATGAAGGTGCACGTCTTGTGACCATTTCTCCCGACAGTCGCTGGCTCTGTATCGTACGACCCAACAGCGACCTCTATGTGGCTAGAATTCAACCAGCTTCCTCAGCCACCGACAAGCCTCAAATTTTGCCACAGCTCGCGAATATCAAGCGTGCCTCGCGACATGTACGTCACGAGAAGGCCTCGCATGGAACTCTGGGTGACTACGAGAGGACAGTGCGCTCTGTTGTTTTCTCCGATGACAGCAAGATTCTGGCTGCTGGTGATTTGTCTGGTTGTGTCGATACTTGGGTGTTGGGTGCTGCTACCCCTGCCATAAATGGCCATTCTAAGACGAATAGTGCCGCCGATTCTGACGCTGAATCTTCTGATGACGAGGAAGAAGATCTCGCCATCGAGGGTGAACGCTGGACTCTTGGTGCCAATGAGTCTCCCATTCCCCGAATGAAGTCTGCCATTACTCTGTTGTCCTTCCGCCCTCATAAATCCTCTTCCAAGGCTCTGCCTAACGGCAACAGCCACACAGAGTCTACTGCGGACAGATTGATGGTCCTCACCAGCGAGCACCAGCTCATTGAGTTCGAGGCCCGAAGCGGCAAGCTCTCCGACTGGTCAAGGCGCAACCCTAAGGCATACCTCCCAGCGGAGTTCCGCGGCGTGAAGGACCGTGCTATGGGCTGCATGTGGGATCTTGTCGACGACCGCGAGCGTCTCTGGCTGTACGGAGCTTCTTGGTTGTGGATGTTTGATCTCCAGCAAGACTTCCCGTCCCCGGAGGAAGTGGAAGCCGGGGAAAGCAAGTCCGCTCAGCTCGTGAAGGCATCGAAGCGTAAGCGTGACCCATTCGAGGACGTCGAGAAGGACCGCAAGAAGGCCAACACCGGTGCCGGTGACCGGATCCCTCGCTCTCAGATGGACATTCACCTTGGCACCAAGGTCCGCAAGATTGTCGGAAGCGATGAATCCAAGGGCGAGTGGGTTTCGCTCGACCAGGAACGCCCCCATGTGCCTGGCGAAGACGACGAGGCTTATGAATATGACGAGGCCTTCGCAGCCACCAATGAGACCAACCTGGCTCGTCTCCGACGGGAAGATGGAGCCGCGACCGAGAATGGAACACCGCAAAAGGGACACAAGAGCAAAGCCGTCAATGGCGATACCCCGAAGAAGCAGCTCGCCAACGGCACTTCAGCGCAGCATGCACGCCGCTGGTGGCACACATACAAGTATCGTGATATTCTGGGCATCGTCCCTCTTGCCCCGGGTGAAGATTCCGAAGATGGTTCGAGCGGTAACCTAGAGGTGGCGGTGGTGGAACGCCCGATGTGGGATGTTGAACTCCCCGGCCGTTACGTGCGGGATTACGAGTGAGTGACTGATCTGGGTGGTCTATCTGTGAGGAAGTTGAGACAGTGCCACGTCTAGATCGTGTAATATGGTCATCATGCAAGAGGGCATTATACTGGCGTATTGTACAGGGATCTTTTGTGAATTTACCCCAAAATAGAGATATAGCATGCAACGCCCTCGTATATTTCATTCTTCTACTAGTCTTGCCATATAAGTTGAGCCTCGTGTCAGCTAGGTCATTTGTTTCGCTACGATAAACACCTGATCGCGCCCGATCCGGTGCGGGGTTACGCCTGAGGCTCCCAAGCACTGTTCTGACTTTCTTGATTTAAACCTCTCCGATTACTCCAACTTGACTTACTTGACCAATTCTCCCCCTAGACCCAGCCTCACCTTTTACATCTCTCAACAGGCTCGGGGTGCTCTTTCCGCGAAACCCGACATCACCTTATCGTGCGGAGACCTTATCGTCAGAGATCCGTCAACTCCGCCTACTTGACAACGTACCTGCTCCTCTCAGGCTTCCTTGACGCCTCAAGTGTTATTGTCGGAGCTGGCTCGACAAGGCCTACAGCAGCAACGAAAGTGGCTCGAGACAAAGAGAAAGACCGGGCCATTTCTCGAGCCGTCCAGGGCGGGGCACTCCTTATTGAGGACCGCAGACCGGACACTTTTCTGAAGCACGCCCGAAATTCTGCTCCCAGACCCCTTCAGAAGCTCAATCTACTGTTTCTGCTACACTGATACTGAAATTTCTCTTCTCCTACCACACCCCGCTAAACCATAGGTTGCCACGTCCGCCCCGGACAGCACTACCAGCCAGCCACCATGGGTCTCTCGTACAACGTCTATCTGACCTCCAACAAGATCTTCGGATGCAAAACATGCAAAACACACCTTGCAGATTACAATGACATTATAAGTCGGGTGAGTCTCTAACCTTTGACTTCAAAGGTCCTTTGCCTGTTGGCCTGACACCCGCTGACCCGAGTGTCCCTCTAGAATTTCCGCGGCCAGCACGGCAAAGCCTACCTCTTCAATAACGTCGTGAACATCACGCAATCTGATCCAGTCGAACGTAACATGACCACGGGAAGACACATAGTGTGCGACATCAACTGCCGACAGTGCAAAGAAACAGTAGGATGGAAGTACGACAAGGCATACGAGAGCAGCGAGAAATACAAGGAGGGCAAGTTCATTTTGGAAGAGGAACTGCTGTGTATTGTGTGTTAAGGATATAGTCTTGGGTTGATTGAGCCTTCATATCCCGACACCATGTCCGTGTTTCCTCCTTCATTTTTCTCAGCCTCGGTGTTTTTGCTAGGCGTTGCGCGGTGCACATGGGTCTTTTTGTTTTACTCTTCACGCTGAACCTTATCCACTGAAGCCGGCAACCATGTCATTTGCAGGACAGGCAGGGCTCTAGGCGCAGTGAGAAGTGCTTAGCAATGCATTCTCGGCATCACAGTATGGCCACTATCTTGTCTTCTGAAGCTATTCTATGCATTGTGCAGAACAACTTTGATCATCCCATCCACCGCGATCCAGTGTAGGCTAAAATAGATATGGTCTTCGCGTCCTTGTAAAGTCATATATACGCACTGCAGAGAGACAGCAGTCTATTTTGGCGAACCTTGGAGGAATCACGCAAGGTGCCGGGTCCACATATAGGGCTTTGTAATCAACTTTAACTATACGCAGACCGATGGACAGCTTTCAGCGATATTAAAGGAGATATTTACCACCACGCTTCGATGTGGATGCCTTTACAAATTTACTGACAAACTCGTCCACTTCTCCGCCTCACCTGAGGAACCAACGCATGTAAAGGTAAATTACAATTAGACCCACTCGCACAGAAAAGCCTGGAGACAACGGGACCCGCACATTGCTGCAATGACTCCCCTCCAAAGGCCACACGCAGCCGACCGGGCCGGGCAACTCTCGGATTTCCAGTTCTGTCGACATCGCCCGCAATTTGACTTCCTCACTAAGCCCCACCTTTTCGATTCAAGCCAGCAAACCGTTCAGCAAAGATGTCATCCTCCGGTATGATGCAGGCTGTTGTTTTCAAGGGACCTTTCAAGGTTGCCGTGGAACAGAGACCCATTCCCACGGTGCAGGATCCAGAGGATGTTGTTGTCAAGGTCGCATATACGGCGCTCTGTGGGAGGTGAGCTGTCAGAAAGACATCGTTTCCTGGAATTCGAGACTGACGGGCTGGCTAAGTGATCTCCATATGTACCGTGGCATTGAGCCTAGCCCCGCGGGACCTATCATGGGCCATGAGTTCATGGGCGAGATTGTCGAGGTTGGCAGTGAGGTGAAGGCGCTGCAGAAAGGTGATCATGTAGTCAGTGCCTTTACTACTTCTTGGTATGTATTCTGTTCAAGGTGTTGCAGTTTTTTAAATATTTCATTTCTCACATTGTGATAGCGGCAAGTGTTTCTACTGCAAACAGGGATACTCTTCCCGTTGTGAGAAGAATACTCTCTTCGGCTGTGAGCGCCTGGACGGTGCTCAAGCCCAATATGTGCGCGAACTTCAACTCATCCCATTTCATGATATTGAATAGCTAATGCTCTCTATAGGTTCGTGTCCCGAATGCCGAGGGCACTGTCATGAAGGCACCAGAGGGTCTTGATGAGAAGTATCTCGTCCTGATGGGTGATATCTTCCCCACGGGCTACTTCGCCGCCAGCAATGCGTTCAAGAACTCTACTCTGGAGCAAATCGCCGAGCAGACTGTGGTTGTGATCGGCTGTGGTCCTGTCGGCCTTTGCGCGCTCATCAACGCTCTCGAGTACAAGCCTAAGCATGTGTTGGCGGTTGACTCCGTCCCGTCCAGACTGGAGCTTGCCAAGTCGCTCGGCGCCGAGCCTTGGAACTTCATCACTGATCGCGAGGGTCTGGATAAGCGCGTGCTGGAGTTGACCGAGGGTCGGGGTGCAGATGCCGTTATTGAGGTCGTTGGTCTGAGCCCTGCACTGCGCACCGCATATGACCTGCTGCGACCTTTCGGAACTATTAGCAGTGTTGGAGTCCACAACGCCGAGGTAAGTGTTTGATGTTTCTCCGCAGCTGGTAGTCTATGTGTTGACTGGGTTCCCTTTAGATTCCTTGGGATGGAAACGATGCCTATAACAAGAATTTGACTGTCCACATGGGTCGATGCCCAGTGCGCTCAGTCTCTGATAAGGCACTAGCAGTTCTGAAGAAGAACCAACATAAGCTTGGGTGAGTTCATCCTTCACTGGACGTCGAAGAGACGTCGCAGTTGGTCAATAAGACGTCAATAGAGTGGCTCGAAGTAGACAGAAGATCACGAGGCCGACGGTTTCAGGAAAGCGCTAACATCAAGACAGATTTATGACCGAGAATATCATGCCTCTCTCACAGGCAGTGGAAGCGTACGAACTGTTCAATGCGATGAAGGTGCAAAAGGTGGTGTTTGTGGCGGACAAGTAAAATCACGATGGTTAGAGTAAAATGTGGCGTGTAGATAGAAATCAACTGGTTTCTCCGCTTAACTCACAACATTCCCTCCGCCAACTCTTCACCTCACCTTGCACCTCCCATCACCACCCTTCTCGTTTCCCTCTTCCTCGCCCTTCCTCTTTCCTTCCTCCTCTCCTCTTCTCCCCGATCACCCGTCCACTCTTCCGAAACGCCTGCATCCCCCTCCTCTCCCCCTCCCACCTTTCTCCACTTCATCTCGGTCCCTCATCGGTACGTCGTCCACTCCAGGCACTGTCGACTACGTCTCTCTTGGCTTTCGGCAGGATTCGCCTGTCGCGCAAGATTTCCGTTGAAGTGCGCTGCCTTCTCGTCGTCGCCGAAACTGACTTTGCCCGCGCAGTGATTTCCCCTCCATCCACGCCGCTGCGACCGTGTGACTTCCGCCAACCACCCCAATCTTAATCGCTAGTTTCTCTCTTCAAATATCTCCTACTTCGGTCGAATCGCAGACTACAATGGAGGCTACCGAGGTTCACCAAACTACCATGCCTGTGGCCGACGAGCCCATGAACGATGCTGCCTTCAACGATGCTATCGATCAAGACGCTATGGATATCGTTCCCAAGACTGAAGAAGAGTACTCTCAGTCAATGCTCACTCTTCGTGCTATCGTCTCATCCAAGGAGGCCGGTGTCATCATCGGAAAGGCTGGTAAGAACGTCGCTGACCTCCGCGACGAGACCGGCGTCAAGGCCGGTGTGAGCAAGGTCGTTCCTGGTGTCCATGACCGGGTTTTGACCGTCACTGGTCCTCTGTCTGGCACCGCTTCGGCCTATGCGATCGTTGCCAAGGGTCTGCTGGAGGGTGCCCCGCAGATGGGTATGGGCGGTCTCGTTTCGAACAATGGAACCCACCGTAAGTCATTTGGAATCCTTTACACCCTCGCAAAATGAACTGTTGCCATTTCAAAATTTCGCGGCCTTACCGGAACCATGAAAGGGCGTCGGAATCGTCTACCTTGACTTTTGAACTGGACCCGACCATGTGCTAACCCATCATCAGCTGTTCGCCTTCTGATCTCTCACAATCAGATGGGCACTATCATCGGTCGCCAGGGTTTGAAGATCAAGCACATCCAGGATGCGTCCGGTGTGCGAATGGTCGCCCAAAAGGAAATGCTCCCTCAGTCCACAGAACGTATCGTGGAGGTGCAGGGCACCCCCGAAGGCATTGAGAAGGCTGTTTGGGAGATCGGCAAGTGCCTCATTGATGACTGGCAGCGCGGTACCGGCACTGTCCTCTACAACCCTGCTGTTCGTGCGTCTCTTGGAGGCTCGCAGCCCATTCAGAGCAGCCCAGTCAGCGGCAATGGTTATCCCAGCCGTCAGTACAACCGTACTGGCAATGGAGCTGATTTCAGTGACAACAGTGGCTACAACCGACGATCCTCGGACGCTGGTGCTCGTGGGTACCCCATGGTCACCGAAGATGGCGAGGAAATTCAGACCCAAAACATCAGCATCCCCGCTGACATGGTCGGATGCATCATCGGTCGCGCTGGTAGCAAGATCACCGAGATCCGTCGAAGCTCCGGAGCCCGCATCTCGATCGCGAAAGCTCCCCACGATGAGACCGGTGAGCGCATGTTCACCATCATGGGATCCGCTCAGGCCAACGAGAAGGCTCTTTACCTCCTTTACGAGAACCTTGAAGCCGAGAAGACTCGCCGTAGCCAGCTTCCCCAGGAGTAAAAGCCTCGGAGGCTTATGGGGAGCCCGACATGGCTTTTTTGCGTTTCTTTTCTAATTTAACGACCCCAAAGACTGTCGGTCATGATCAGCGGCGGTCATGTGCATGCGCGTTTATTTGCTTTTATTTTCCTCCTTCCGATTTCCCCGATGCGACCCCTCATCTTACGCGTCGCTTCTATGATCAAGAGGCAAAAGCCTTGCTGTGATGGACGGGCCTGAGCGTGTTAGATACCAAGTCTTGTGTGCCATAGTGGATTATGGCGTTGAGTTGAATCGCACCTTACACGAATCTCTTGATTCTGGCAAATCCTTCGGACCCTGTGATTCCTATACATCATTGCGGCTGTGCGTTTCTAGTCTTTTTGCTTCGAAGCCCCCATCTTACTTTTCGACGGAATTTTATCTCGCTATTATCGACCACTCTTCGGCCACTACCGCGACTCCCGCTCATCATATCATCTCCTCCTGTCTCTACCTCTTGCTCACCTCGTCCCCGCGAAAACAACCTACTTCCGCTCACTTTACTGCAACGTCGGCCTGGAAGTTGCGCTCAGTTTGTTGCGCCTCCTCCTCGCTTGCCACTGTGCAGCTTCTCTTTCCTCCTGACTTAATCGCGCGATTCCTTCACCTTCATCTTACCTCCTATTCCCTTTGACCGCGTCTCCTCCCTTCTATCAAACAAAATGTCCGAAACCGAAAAAACAACCATTTTCTTCACTGTTCTCCTAATCGTCGCCTTCAATCCGCCCCTTATTCTCGCGTGCAACTCTTGTTTCCTCTTTTCCCTTCACTATCTTACTGCTCTCAACGTTGCTCGGACATGTGACTACATATCTCGAGTATACTCCAAATATCAAAAGAGATCCCTATCTGCCGCGGATAGGCTACGATTTGGTACGATCTTGTCTCCTATGTACCTGACCAAGTCTGTCCGTAGTAGTAAGCATAGAAGTAGCACGCCGGTCGGCAGTAGCAAGGCCAAAATCGCTAAATACTTTGAGATCTGTCAGAATTTAGTGTCTCGTCGGGGCCCCCAGCCAATCCTCGGCATCACATCAGGATCCCGAGTGCCACAAATACTCTCGGCCTGGGTGGAAATCCAGCCACTCTTGTCATATTTTCCGAAGACTTTCGAACATACGACCATCCACACGAAATGCTCGGTGGGGGACGCGTGCGCTTTTAAGGGTTTCAACCCTACTCCAGTTGTTGCCGTCAACGGTGGCGGTCCTACGGTCATGCCAATGTACGGCAGTATCCCAAAGAGCTCTTATATCGTTGCGTACGTGTTTGTGCGTTCCCACAATCTAGTCGTTTCTGCACATATCACCAATGAGGCAGATGCGCAGTTTGCCTATACATCTATAACTATCCCTATGGACGTGAATAGATCGGATGGGCGGTCCAACATTCACCCCCGCATTCGGTAACTACACGGTGATATGACTTTTGCAATCCCGTCAATTGATTTGGAATGATCCTGACTCATAGCATAAATGATCTGGAAATTGATGGAGTGATTATTTAGGATTCGATGGAATAAGAGACACCATCGAGTGCAATAATATTGAGCTCGCCATGTAACCAGTTGTTGTGATATTTCTTTGCAATTAGCGTTGGACTCAGTTGACCAGAAACCCTTGAGCGTAGATCAAGTCCTTGGGATTAATTTGTGCGTCCGCCCATGGAACATCGTCCCATTGTGCACAAACAGTCTCTTCACCCGCAACCAAGGGATGAATGTTGCGCCGGGTACACATCACGTAATTGGATGCCTCCTCATGGAACTCGTTCTCATCATAGCTCTCGATTTCCGAGTCTTTAGAAGCCGGGCCCGCTTTCCTATATGTTCCAATGAGTTTGGGGGAAAGTGGCAAAGCAGTCAATCTGTCGACGTCCAGCCAGGCTTCCGCACAGTCTACTCATAGCATTGTCAATCGGTTCTTCCAGGTGATCGATAGAAAGAGCGGCCGGAATCTTCCTCGCGCCTCTGTTGGACACAGCATAACCATATAAGCAGCAAACCGCCTCTGCGCGGAATGCAAAGCGTGTGGAGTCTTCGGGAACTGTTCTCTCCAGCTATCGAGAGGCCCACCGAGGTCCCAAGCTCGGTGTTGGTGACTTGGGAGTGTAGGGTCGTTGGGAATAGCGTAGAACTGGGTCTCGTTATTTTTCGGGGCCGAACCACATCCTCCAATCCAGAGGACATTCCAGTCGGTTCCATAGGGGTGTTCTGGAGACACCTTCTCATTTCCTTGTAATGGATGTAATCCACGGGCGAATTCGTGTAGCTGTAACTTGATGTTCACATCCCAATCGGCACCGTCTTCAAAGATCAAGGCACTCGAGTAGGAATTCTCGACGATCTTGAATGGGTTCAATATTAGTTTCTGCTCAGTAAAGCTAGACTTATATCTGGAGAGGATGGCTCTAACTTGACCAATGCATTCATGTGTGCCGCGCCAACACGCAGCAATTCCAGGCTTAGTGGCTGAGATAGTGAACCCCTGCATTGTGTGTGAGCTTCCGGGTTCCTTAAATGCGAAAAATGCTGACATTAGGCATTGCCTTCTGCTTCAACTCATCTGGCCTGACTCCTTCGAGCCAATCCACTCTGAAGCCCGTGACTGAGGCTGCGACATCCAGGAAGTCACGCTTGTCGGTTCGCCCTTTCATGCCAATAGCATAGATATGTTCAAACTATAAATGTCAGACTTTTCATTACCCTTGGTGCCCGAAGCAAGATATTTCAGGACGTACACTGAGAGTTTCATTCTGGATGTGAGCCAGATCCTTGTCATTAATTCCATTGTGAGAGAGATGAGGTATATTCTGGCGCCATTCGGTGGCTTCTGAACTCGAACGAGAAAGAAGAGAGGAGGGGAGATATGCAAGCGTCACCAGCAGCGATTTGCAGGATTCTGTAACTTTGAAGCATAGCGATTGAAGGCTTGAAGGGTAGATTCAACCCTGGCTGTAGGTGCAGGGCTCATGAAGCGTGAACAACATGAGACAAATCTTGCTGCGACACCTTTTCTACTATGATTTGAATTCCCGTTCTGGTTTCCGCTTATGCTTTCGGCATCTGAGTAGGCCATCGAGAACGGTATTCCTTGTGATGTTTCTAGCCAAGTGCAAATGACTGGAATGCGGCTCAATCTTCTGCAAACAGTCAGCAATGCTGGCCTTGACACCTGAACATTGTATGTGTACTGCTGACTAAGCTTTTCCAGCACGTCCGTACTATAGAACGTTAAGCCTCAATAACAGGCATTTCTGTACTTTATGAAGCAAAATTTCATAGAACAACGAGATCATGGACAAGACAAGGTCAATATTGATTGGGTATATTGAAATATCTACAGGTATCACGTCAATTGTATAGGATGGTTCAGTAATAGTTTCGGGTTTACTCATGTGTCCCTGAAATAAAGTGGTATTCTGATTCAGAAGCAACTGGATCCCTTCGTATTTCTCAAGTTCAGCAATATTTCAGCGGCATCTCAGAAATCCATCTATATTTTCGGATACATCCCCGCACATCTCCTTTAATCAACTCCCTCATGGCGTCTTACCTTGGACCAGGCAACTAAACAGTCACGAACTCTATGACAGGCGAATGATTCCACATAGGAAAAAGGCCAAATCGATTCCGCCAAGGTGTGAATTCGAGGAGTCTGGCTCAGTATGAGGTTTTCCTTAAGTGTAAGCTTGACTCGATTCCACACATGATGCAATCCATTGAACTTTTTTAGTGGGAGACTTCACCTGCAGCGACGAGGCGGGAAGTACGGCATCAAGACACGTTCTTGTTCCCGCGCGGAATCATTCTTTTGTCGCACAGGCATGGGGTTGCCTGGCGATACGAAAGCGGGAGTTGAAGCAGGCTATAGGGTAGATCAAGGTACGTAAGTCAAAGACAATAAGGCTTACTCTATGAAAACTGGAGTATGAAAGTCTCATTCATTCGTTAGAGAAGTTCGTGACGTGTAAACGCGAATGCACGCCCCGAGTCAAGACAAAAGCCACCAAGCATGTGAGAGGTGTTGGTCAACAAGAGATGTATAAGAAGGCAATGTACAAGCGAAAAGAAGAAAGTCAGGGTACGGGCGCCGGTGAAGGTTGTGTTTGTACAAGAGTCGACGGACCTTGGACATTCATGCCCTGAAGAATCTGAAGGAAATGAATTGAACAAGAGGTGGCACGACAATTGAGATAAGGAAAAGGGACTTTGGTGTCCATGTCTCATTGACAGTATGTGGGTTCTTTCAACAGAGGAAATTCGTCACGGTGCATCAACGTCGAAAATGCGTCGTGTGGACTGGACAATGCAATAACGGACTCCAGACCAACAGGTATGCATTAGAGAAACAGGAAAGCGTCTAAATTGTGGGAAAGAAACGCCAGTCGGAGGTTGGAAATTACCGGAGAACATAATCAGATGCGACGTCGCTGCGTAGAATTCAAAAAGGGCGTTACCGGGGGTTTTGGTCGGTAGGCATACGCGATGGTGGCTGAGTGGATGCAGGATATCATAATAGGCTAGTCGATGCTATCGTCCATATTGGTGTTGTCATCGGTCATGACTGCAGAACGTCGTCTCAGGCCAAATTTCCGAGCACCCAGGCTGTTGGTACGGAGGCGTGGTTGTTGGATAGGAGTATAGCTTGTGACCGTCTTGCTAGACGGTACGCTGATGCGGGTTTGCAAGGGTTCAAGCTGAGGAGATTGGGGGGCTGTCTTCGACTCCAGAGGCTCCGGTAGCAGGCGAAAGACCATACCGCCGGGATCCAGCCTGGATGTTGGAGCGAGAAGTCGCAGGGGAATACACAGCTGGGGTCGCATAGCTGCGGCGAAATGGAATGCCAGTTTGAGACAATGTGGAAGGCGTTCGAGGCAGTGATGAAGGTGCCTGAGATGGGGTCGACGGTTGTTGAAAGTGTGCTGAGCGCGGAGAGATGCCCAGTCCTTGCTCTTGATTCGGAGGCCCCGCGATAGACATTGATCGAGAAACCGAGTGAGCTCGGGAGAACCGTTGTTGGGGGGATACGCTCTGCGCAGGGCTCGGTGTGCCAATCTCAGTCATGGTCCTTGAAAATGAACGGTTAAGAGGAGTCGCTGCCTCTCCATTTTCCTCATCAGTCGGAGGCCGACGACTGCGAAGAGATGCCGAAATACGGTGAAGTCGGCTCGGTGGAGGACCTCCAGGTGATGATGGGGTCGGCTTGATATCTGTCGCTGTGGTGCCTGGGCTATGGCTGACGAGGGAGGCTCTTCGCGCGTCAAGGCGACTAGGTAGGCGGCTGCTTATACTTTGGCGCCGTTCGGGTCGTTCTACCCCTTCGGGCTCGTAACTAGAAGCTCGCTGGTAGGCATGTGTGGGTGTTATAGAACCGTTCTCGCCATTCGACCGCTGAGACTGAGCGCCTCCGCCATGGCTAGATGAGGGCCGATTTCTCTTTAATTGCTCATCCGTCAGGGCCAAACAAAGTTCTGTCAGGCCGCGACATACACTATCCGCTTTACGTCGGGCATGCCTTTCAGAGGAGCTATATCCTCCATTCACTACAGACACTGAGCCTGATGGTGCTGTACTGACGCCCAACACGGTCGAGAGATTCAGAGCATCTGTGATCGTCGCTTCCAGTGCCATGTACACTTCACTCATCAAGACAGTCTTGGCCTTGGCCAATGCCGATTGTAGAAGCGGGTGAACCGGGTTTTGGGCCGCATTTTCGGCGTCCGCGGATGGACTGCTCGCTTTGCGGTAGTGCTCAGGCGAGGTAGATATTGCAGTGGCCGTAGTGGCAGCAGTCCGTGGTCTTTCCTGGCTTGCGCCCGATATAGCGGCTTGGGATGATGGAGGTAGTTTTCCAGTAAGCTCCAGCTTGCGAATCCGGGACTTCAAGTCGTCCAGCTCGTCCCATACGGTGGAAGGTGCGGTCGTCGACAATGTGGATTCGGTCCCGTCGACTCGCGCTCTTTCAGCGTCAGCCAGGACTCTTTCAGTCGTCTCGGAGGCTGAGGGCTCGCGGCTGCTTCGAACAGTGGACAATGTAGACCGCCGATGAAGACGGTGTTGAGGTTCCTGAACAGAAGCGCGTCTCTCTCCGTTGACTTGAGGTGATCGCGGAGAGGTCTCGGGACTTGTGCGACTCAGCCGGCTGCGAGGGCCGCCAATTGTTGATCGCGCACCGGTAGTCAGACTGGAGTAGCGAAAACGGTTCGGGTCCTCAAGAGGGTGGGCAGAGGCCGATGAGGTATGGGTGTTGGAGCTGTACGGGAGGGTAGGAGAGCCATTTTGGGACAGCAAGGGGTGGTCGACATTGCTGAAGCGCTGATCGGGTGAAGGAGGTTGCTCTTTATCGATATCGAATATCGGCGACCGTAAACTCTGGCAAAGTATCCTAGTCGCGACTGTTTACATCCTGTCAGCCATCAAGACCAAGGGTTTTGGTAGGTACCATGGTCAACACGGCCAGCGACCATGACGCAGAGGGAACTCGGTACTCACCCGTCTAAAGTCTGAGCGGCCCAGAGAGTCGCGCCGACCAGAATCAGACCTTGCGATGTTCAGAAATATATCGTCATTTTTCGGGCGCCCGTCGTCCATGTCGACTCTGTCGGCACCGAGTCGATAAGATCCGTTCAGGGAGCGACCATGATCCGGCAAGGCTCGCGTTTCAGAGTATGCCACGCTCGATGGCATGCTTCTCACATCAGGGCGCGGCGAAGGTGGTACGGCATTGAGCGAACTCTCGCAAGATTAATAGAGCTGAGAGTGGGAGGAGAGAAGCTTGGAACGGATCGACGGAATCGCAATAGGGAGTGCCTGGTTTTGGGGCACAGTAGGCGTTTCACCACTGGATGGGGTGGGGCTCCAGCTTCTGACGTGAAGAGACGGATTTGAATCCGGGTTTAACTGGGTTGGCCTTTTGCCTTGGGCTGGGAGAACTTCTGGGGCCTAAGATTCGCGTTTGGCTGCTGTGTGAACCTGACTTGATGTGATCGGTCACCGCCGATTCAGTGTTTCTGGGGAAGCTACTTGGACATATGCATCTTGCATCACCCACGCCAAACAAACCCCACGAGTGTGATCACTGTGACCATCTTGACACTTTCCACATGTCTGACCTATCGAGCAGGCATGACAAAGAAAAAACCAGAATAGTGCCAATTGTGGGCTGGGCGTGTGGCTGGGAAAATTCGGATGTGGACGAGGTCCCCGTCCCGTCCCAGCGTTCGCTTTACACCTCTAGAACGGGTGTAGGTCCAGAGGTATTCGGATCTACTGCCTGCTGCATTTTGTTGAAACAGACTGGTCTTCCGATACAGTGCAGATTGCAATGCGCGGTTGCACATATAGGGCGTGTGTAGCGTAATATGCTCGTGTCTCCATAAGGTTCGATCTATATCGATGGAAGTTTCGAACGCCTTTTCCCTTTCGAACGCCTTTTCCCAATCAAAATTCGTGGATTTTCCAGAAGGACATCAAGCCCGCCTTGCTTTCCATTGTTTCTTTCCATGGACATCTCAATATGCCTCGTGTCGGACACGTTCCTTTCCGTAGCAACAAACAAAGGCAAGGAACCTTGGTACGGCAATATCAAGAACCGTGGATCTTCAACCGAGCCATTCCACTGTTGTCCACCAGTACTCGGCAGTTTCCCAGTAAGTGGATAAATCAAAATTTAGGTCAAAGTTCAAGATCGGAAGAATTCCGTCTCGTTCGATCTTGCAATGTGAATTGATTTTCCACGTGATTCATGCTTGTTTTCCTGTGCCATGGGGTGCGAGTATCTTGCATTACAGCTATAGGGGTCCCTCAAATGACATGCCGGGTTTGTAAGCGACCTAAAATACCGTGGTCTCATGCATACCTTCGATGACACTTGACGGGGTAAATGGCTGGACGGATATTGTCTAGGAGCCACCAGAGAGGGTTCCGGGGAGTTCTCTAGAGGTACTTCATAAAAAGAAGGAGCCCACTGCCGAAAACCCGAGATATGGAATTTTGGTGTCCAGGTTCACCGGGGGATATCTGGAGGCTTTTTCCGATTTCTCCTTGACTTAATACTTGTCCTTTCTCGAAAGACCCGAGGGCTTAGCCCCATCCATGGAAGCCCGCTCTTCAACCCAATGTTTGGTATACAAATATGGGTAGGGCAATACATGCATGGAAGAAGTAGTTGCTACCTCTGGGCTGATAGTATGCTTCTGGCATAGTCTGCTCAATAGCCCTGCAGACGAAATGGACATTGTCCATCTTCATCTTCTTATCTGTAACTGAAGCAGCAAGGAGGCGCGTGATGAAGAAGCGCCATGTGCAACCCCAGCATCGGGTGGACCCGACCAAGCGATATGAAGTGTTGCATCTAGACTATATTGATCTTTTCATCGGCGCCCCAGATCAGCCATAGCCGAGAACAGTATATATGATACACATGCGTCGATTGGCTTTGGCGTCTGATATTGACAGCAAGGGCCATGAGTGGCGGGTGAACCGAAATCACGACACTTGATTTACCGCGGCCGGGGGCAGTGACATGGACCCGTCGACCAACGGGAATGCTTCCAAGCGAGCTCCTGGGTGTGTGGCAAACGGGCCCGAAACATAGTTGAAACACCGATCAACGTAAGCCACGCTCGGACAGGCTGTTCAAAAACAAAAATAGAAACCTGTTCATTTCTTGAATCGCTTGGAAATGTAAGAGGGGGATGTCATCAATCTGTAACGTGCTGAGACGAACCTGTACTGTATTGCAACCATAGTACGTACCCCATTGAGAGGGCTAGGGGAAACGAGAGCACCAAGGTGGTCAGTGGTTGGTTGTCGGGTGGTTGGTGCATATGCAGATCATTCCACAACACAGCTTTGATTGTAGTCTTGGCTAGAAGTCCTTGATATACGAGAACCCCATCTCTCCCCGTCTCTCCCCTGTCTCTCCACTCGAGCGTACGAGTTTCAGGGTGGTCACGGCGTCCACGTGGGAAAACCGGATCGATCATTTTAGGACGGGGAAGATCGTGAATTTCCCTTCTGCATTCCGAGAATTGAGGCTCCTAGGAAGTGCTAAGTCAAATGTGAGTGATGCGGTGATCTCACGGTGAGGCTAATCCGTTCAAATCTTCAAGATGTCTTAACACGAAGTGAATCTGAAAGAAGCAACAATCCACGAGAAGAAATACGATAGGCTACGACGGGCGCCAAGGGCCGCTGAGGGCTTCGCTAGCGTGAGTCTGGCGTGTTTCAGAATGCATACGCCAGATCCACCACGCTCCGGGGTTTCAGAATGGCAGAATTCGGTGCCCCTCTCTTACTCCACCCTGAGACTCGATGAATTAACACGGAACTATGAGGTGGTCGAAGATTTCCTTGGGTCAGCCAGCCCACCGTTCACCCGACGTGTCCCGTATTTACCCTGTGTACTGTCACTCCGAGGGAATTTCTAAGGGGGCTCTGCTCGCAGCATATGCGATGAATGCAAGTACATAGGGCCGTACGCCATAGCCATTCAACACCCCCTGCTCACGACAACCGTGCACAGACACGGGTCGGACAGGGCTGAATTTTCGTGTATCGAGGAAGTAGGATGTCGGGAATAGGGAAAAGGAAGCACAGAGGAATTGCATATCTCCACACCATGCCGTCGGATTTCTCAGTCCCTGGGACTTTCTGGACTTGCCACCATACCGGATTACCATGTCGTACAGAAAGACGGATCTCCAGGTGCCAGGGCATCCAATGACCGAGTGCTCCCTAGGAACTAGTGAAGAACAGGCCGAAGCATGTGCGAACGCGGCATCCCCAAGGCTCAGCGTATTGTGGGACTGTGGATCCCGGTACTGTTCGAGAAATCCGAGCCATCGCACCATTCCAGGCCTAGACATTTTTACTAGAGTCTAAGGTAGAGTTTAGAGTCTAAGGTAGAGTCTAAGGATCGAGTACCGTACAAACGCAATCTGGACACGCAGAACACACATTGGCGGCCTCTCACGGTGGTGCATTTGGCGCCGACGCAGCACCATGACGCCGGGCGGCTAAAATTAGAGAGGCCAACCGTCATTGGCACGGGCAGCTGTGAAGTCCCCAGCCCCCGAGCCCTTGATCTACGGGCGTCCATTGGCGTCCTCCGGCCGCCGCCTCCACTGCCCAAATTACGGGCCCGCAACAGATCTCTAACATGTATCAGAGTTGGGTTTGGGTTGTACACCTAGATAAAAACAGTAAGGGTCCTGCTTGTTCCCCCTCCCTATAGCCGGCACCTTTTTTTTGTTTCCTCTCCCCTCCCTCCCTTTGACCTTCCATCTCTCCAGGGCATTGTTTTTGCTTTCTCTCCTTTGCATTCTCGTTCCCCGGAGGAACGACCTAGGCCCCTAGGCCCCCACCACGGTTCTATCCTTTCGACCTAGAGACCCTTTCACACTTCGAACTCTCAACTTTCAGCCTTCGACCTTCGACCTTCAATTCTTATTCTCCAGTTATACACACCTGTCATTCTTCAACCGCTCTATCATCCAATGCTCTGGACTATTCAATCAAATCGGCACTAGATTTTACCAGACGTTGCAAGGTGTCACTGATCTACCCGGTGGCTTTTGATTTGGTATGTGAGGCACCAACCCCAGTGTCGAGCGCGCCTCTTCCTCTCACTTCACCACGATTCTGCGTGACTCGTGCATACGGAACCTTTGAAACAGGGGAGTCTGTTTTGCATTGTCGTCGATTATCGCTTGTCCCTTGCAGCGCGCCCGCCACCCTCGATTCATCCCCCGAACAACGTCACTAACCGTCCCTTGAAGAGCCCTTCGCGCAGGTAGCAAACACCACCTCCGAATGCCCCTCGAATCCCTGTGATTACTTGATACCTGAGAGAAAGCAAAGGCGGGTTTGGAAGGGAGGTTTACCTTTCACACGCGCCCGTCTTCAAGCCTCCAAACCATGCCGGTACAAACCAGCCCACCGTCCTTTCCGGACTCGTTCCCGTCGTTCATGTCCGTCTATGGTGGCCTGTCCCCCTACAAGCAAGACGAAAATCAGTATCCTCTCCAGGTTCCGGCACATATTCCCATCAACACCTCGCGACACCTCCTTCTTTCTCCCCACCGCGAAAGCGTGTCGTCCGCGACCTCGGCCTCGACCGAATCATCTCCCACCACCACGATATCCCCATTTGATTCCCCATCAACCGGAGATATCTCTCCAAGCTCCTCTCCAGAATCACCGTCGGCTATGCCTTTAACTTACGCCAAATTTATCCCTCCCACTCGTCCCATGGAGATTCCGCCGCACGCCATGATGCCAATGGAGAGATCCAAACTATCGCCTGCCCCCAACAAGGAACGTCCGGTTTCGCCAGGTCGTCGGGAGCGTAACCTGAAGAACCTGTCCTTGCGAATGCCGCCGCCGTCAGAGTCCCGACCTCCCATTGCCACAGCCTCGGTCGTGGAGACATCCTCCAGACACCATCTTCTAGCCCCACCTTCTCCTCTCCAAATCCCCCAGAAGAGCAACAGTGGCAGACGGCGTCCTGCGAATCTCACCATCCGGACACCGGCATTCGACAAATCGTTCTCTAGCAGCATATCGGAATTAGTTCCCCAGACACCGCTTGGTCGACAGTCCTTACGACACGCGGAATCCTCGCCTTCTCTTGCTTCTATTACCTCGCCCGGCTTTGCTCCTGTGGGTGGTATGCAGCTGCCACAGCCCATGACACACCACGGTACGCTTCCGTTGTCAGGTGCATCGTCTGAGGGTACTGCTTCGCCTCTTACGCCTGTCCCAGACGGTGGATCCGCATTATCAACGCGCGTCCTGCCCGGACTCGAGGAAGAAGATGATCACCTCGATTCACGAGAGTCCACGCGTAAAGCTTCGCGTGGCTATCCGGATGGACCTATCAGGATATACGACACGGGCGTGTTTCTGTATCTTGAACCGACCGCGGAGGAAGCTAGTAAATTTGATGTAATTGTGAATGTCGCTAAGGAGGTTAAGAACCCGTTCGACACTGAGCAGAAAGAGCGAAACGACACCGTCATGAGTACTTGGCGCAATGCCTCCCGAGCCTCGAAGCGTTTCTCTGGCGGAGATCCTCAGACTGCTGTCTCTGAGATCTCATTCAAATCCGCATTCGAATTCCAGCCCTCCGACTCTGAAGTGACGACACCATCGACTGCTACGCCTGACTTCGGTTCAACTCCAGAGTACGTCCACGTCGGCTGGGATCACAACTCCGAAATCCTCGACGATCTGTTGCCGCTGTGTGAGCTTATCGATGAGCGAATTGCAGAGGGCCAGAAGGTGCTTGTGCACTGTCAGTTGGGCGCCAGTCGTTCGGCGTCATTGGTCATTGCGTACGGTCTGTACAAAAACCGGAACATGGATTTCAACTCCATGTACGGGGCAGTCAAGGAACGCAGCCAGTGGGTGAGCCCGAACATGAGCCTTATCTATCAGCTCACAGACTTTCGTAACCGGCTCCTACGAGGCTCTCCCTCGCGCCCTGCTCCTCGTGAGTGGTTTGTCCAGACCGGTCGGAGAAGCTCTGAGCCTCAGGTCCCACGAGCAGAGACGGAAGACTCGAACCGGCCGCTCTTTCGTGGTCTGGCGCAAGCACCGTCAATGGGATGCCTCGCCCTCCCGTCCTCCAACAGTCGTCCCCGGACTAGTGACAACGGGAGTCGATCACCCAAACGCAGTCTGTCTCCGCGTCCCCTGCCGTTTCGGACGAAATTCCAATCCATCGAGCCCGCATTTGGGCGACGCCGAGGTTTGCCGCGTAGCGTCAGCAGCTGCGACCCTCTCGTGCAGACTAATGTGTTTGTTCGCGACATCCCAGATCCCGCATGCGGGGGCATGTTTTCTCCCAGAACCACTGGGTTCCTGGCCCCCCCCTGTGCGACCGCCCCCTCGTACCATCGACACCGTTGCGGAGGACGGACCGGCCTGCAACCCGGTAGAGTATGCACAAGCGACAGCTGACCCTCGCTCGCCTCCCATGGGAGGCGAGCGACTCATCATGAGGAACATCGATGAGTTCCTATAATTCTACCGCCTTCACCTTCGTGACCACTCGAAGCAGGCATGAAACGATACCACGACCCGACATTTTGCATGTCTAGATTCCGATCTTTGAGGAATATTCCCTTCTACCCGGCCTTCTTTCCCGATCCTTTTCATTCTTTTCCTCCAGTCGCATACCCCCTTTTGACTGGGCTGATGATCTTATGACCAAAGCAGGCTTTGCTGTCGTTCATCGCCTTCTACTTGCATCTTCAATTCTCGCCCACGCTCGTGGTGATTTGACCACTTGCTGGCTTCTATCACTTGAAAACCCTTGACTCATCTCATTTCCGGCGTCATCGGGTGTGAAAATGACCTTGAACCTTTTATTTCTTTCATACTAGGGCATCCCAAAGACTCTCTGCCATTTGTTGGGAGCCCGGTAAATGTAATATTATTGCGGGAAACCGGATACTGGGCCGAGACCTTCGCCCTTTGCATTGGCTGGCCACCACATTGCAACTTTCGCTACATTTTCCTATCTTCTAGCTTGTCCTTGAGACAAGCCTTCATCAGCTCTTGTTTCCTGTCTTTTGTCAATCGGTCCATTCCTTGACCGAACGGTATACTGGATGGGCGGATTAAGGAACAATAAATACCCCCTGTGCGCAGTTGAATAGAAATGGACAGCTTCGAGCGTGACTTATTTCGTGAGGAGATCTTAAGAATGTATTACAAAGTAATGATAGAGAGTCTCTCAAAGTGTCCATATACTCGGATTCGCAGTTGTCCCAGCTGATAGCTGATAAGCATCTTCCATCTCCGCAATCCCAAATTTTCACGCGCAACTAACGACCCCAACACACCACCGCAATGGCAGAAGAGAATCAACCAGCCTACCTCTCACCCAGTGAGCTCGGCACCAAAGACTAGTATGTAACCTTGGATGTCTCTCATGCGGGAGCCTCTTCACTCTCACCATCCGACTTTCCCCCACGTTACCCCTCGCCGCGGGGCACATACAAGCAAAAAGCACCAAAAAATAATTCCCAATGGCATGAACTTGAAGTCAAAATTGACCTATTTACATAGCTGGGAAACATATTACGCCCGCACCTTGGCCCACATCTCCAACCCCACAGACTCAACCAAGCCCGAAGACGACGCCGACGCCGACGCAGATTCCGACTCGGACGTGAACGACGAAGACGATCCCGGCACATCCTGGTTCTCCGAACACAACGCGCCTCAAAAAGTCCTCCACTTCCTCACCCGCAAATCCTTCCCCTTGTCTCCGCGCAATACCCGTAATGGCGCAGCGCAACCTCAGATCCTGGACCTGGGAACGGGCAACGGGAGCATGTTAGCCCTGTTACGCAAACGAGGTGGATTTACGGGCGAGATGGTTGGAGTGGATTATTCTGCGCGGAGTGTTGAATTGGCAAGGGAATTGCAGCGCTCGAGGGGACATTCTGCTTATCGTACTGATTCCGAGGAGGAGGATAGTGAGGAAGAGGATGACGATGAGAATACAGATGGATATGAAGCTGGGAATAAGGCACCGGGTGAGGCTTTACTTATTCGGTTTGAAGAGTGGGATGTCCTTGGTTCAAAGGCTTGTCTTTCCCCATCTGGGGATGCTGTTGAGGTCACTGGTGAGGCATTGGATTGGTTCCCTTACCAGCAGGGCGGATTCGATATTGTGCTTGATAAGGGGACTTTCGATGCCATCTCCTTGGCGGGTGATGCGAAGGAGACGAGGGTTTGTGAGCGGTATCCTGATATTGCGAGGCGGTTGTTGAGACGGGGTGGATTCCTTGTTGTGACGAGCTGCAATTGGACGGAGGATGAGCTTGTGAAGTGGTTTACTGGGGCCGAGGGAAAGGATCGACTGGTTGTTTGGGGACGTGTGGAATACCCGCGGTTTCGATTTGGGGACAGGAGGGGCAGGGAGTGTGTACGGTGTGTTTCCAGAGAGTTGTAGATGCTTGATGCCGATATCTACGATCAATAGATGTAACGATGAATGTCCATTTGAAGTCATATTCACCTGCGATCTATTATCGTAGGCTCAGTCAGGTATGTATGAAATGCGAGTGCGCTTTGCCTCCATTCTCAATGCGCTTGAATGTGCTTGATCACTTGCGATCTTGGCCCAGCGGCGCCAATGGTCGGAGCTCTCTCCTTCACACACAGGAAGCTACTCCTGTGTGACCTTCCATGTCCTCTGCTACAACCAGAGCCGAGCTTCATAGAGAATGCGCACGTAGTGGTCTTCTCTTTAAATGTGTTCATACCGTTGGTATCCTCCTCCAGTCGGGCTGTAACCTTTTCGGACTGCTTTCCGCCCTAGGCGGGGTAAAAGGGGCCCATGAGTTCGAGCTCGCCATAGTGCGGGGATGAGTAGGGTAGATGCTGGCCTGGATGGCCGAATGCCAGAGTGTCCTTTTGGAAATATACCAGACAGGAATAACTTCAAAAAGACGTCCATGTCAACCTCGAGCTTCTCATCGACCTTGTTGTAGTGTTTCTTTACACGCCAAAGCTCGCGCGGATATAATGCCGAGTTGGTGAGATAGTGGGGCCAAGACCGCAGATACACCTGAAGCGTTGTGCTCGGATCTGGCGACTGCCTGAATTACTAATCATTAATAGTTCATATTATGTTATTCCATGTTTTTCATTTAAAAGAGAAAAATAGATCAACACGGGATTTGTGGGGTCAGAGCGTCCAAAGGACCATTGGCCTATCACCAAGTATGGCAGTGCATCGTGTGATTTTCTTATCGCGAAAGTCGAGTGATTTGCACTGTTTGTCGGACCATGTCATAGTGGAGTGCCCATTGCGAGACATGTATTGATTCAGCTGAAGACCCATAATTAAATTTAGTGTCGATTTCAACACTTGTGAATATTATTTCTATTTTCTAAGTCCTTGTTGATTTATTATTATTATTATTATTATTATTGTTTTTTTTTTTTGCTTTTTCTTGTTAGTGTCATTGCACGACGTCAGGTGGGTAGCTATTGAGCTATCCTGGGAAAGACTGGCTAGAAGAGGCGGTACCTGTACACTAGACCGAGAGCACGCTAGGACTTGCAGGAACCCATGTTTCTGCGAGGGGTGTTGCAGCCGGAGGAATGCACCAGAATGTCTTTGGTCACTAAAGGAGAGAGGGGGGGCCAAAATTACTCGGCCCAGGCGCATTTCAGCTGTGAACGTGAGCTTGGACTCTCGGAGTAATGATCCTTTCCGGCGCCGCGTTAGCGTGCCGAATGGCGCGACTGAGAGGAGATCTGATCGTCGGGAAGCATTGCCCAGGGCGCCTACGCCTGCGCCTCTCTTTCATGGTCCACGGTGGCTGTGAGAGTGGCAACCTTGAGTACGTCCCTCCGACTAATACCAGGGGAAGACTTACGATGTTAATCTTGGACAACCAAAAGTCTCTTGAAGACTCGTCCAGGCAGGACGTCACCTGAGTGAGTCACAAGATCAGGTGACTTCTCCTATCAGGTGCCCATTACCCACTTCGTCAAATCCAGTTTGCGCTCCATTGCTCTGATGTCATTGGATCCACCACGAGGTCCTAGACCGGTCGATGCCCTGCAGGTGATCGGGGCTGACTGGTACTTGGGTGCTCGGTACTCTGTTATTGCCCTGTATTGCGCTCAGGTGCCTATCAACGTGAGATCCAGGTACCTGAGCGCCCGGTACACTGGGCTTGCTGGCTGGTCAGGAAATGGTTTCCATTGGCATCCCCTCTTGTGATCTTGGGCGGGTGATCGTCAGGCAACGGATGTACACTGGGGGGTCTGCTCGGTGTCCTCGGTGCTGTACACCGAGAGAGAGTCATGATAGAGCATCCAGTCTCTACCGCGTGTCTCCAGTGGACACTGGTGACATTGCGCTGACCTTATCCATGGGTGCCTGGGCCAGGAAAATGTGACCTTGAAACCTGTCCTCGGTCCCTAGGCCGGCGAACCACTCTTACCCAGAATAGTCGCCTATTTGTCGCTCCCAGTTTTGGAAGATAGGTCGCTTGACAAGAGGAAATCGGTGGTTGCGGGTAGCCAGACAGGACTGGAGCAGGTTCACAATCAATGGGATCCGGAATGGAAGCGAAGTGGAGCCCGTGGCTATCGCATCATCCCAAGGAGGGCGCCGGGCACGGCGCGCACACAGGCCTTTGGACGCTCACTCAAGGAGGATGAAGGGCAAATAAATAGAAGTTTGAAATGAGCAGGGCACTGCGACAATAATAGCTCCCGTAAAACCAAAAAACACAAACCCGATACACGGTGTTACAGGCGAGGATCCTCTTCCCCCGCATGCTCAATGGGAAAGGCCCCCGCAAAGCAATGAGCGATTTTGGTGGGCCACACTGCCATACCGGACATCTCCTTCTTTCTCCCCTTCCTTTTTTTTTTTTGGTTCACCTTTCCACACCGGACTACACACCCTTTTTTTTTGCTTCCTTCTTCCTGGCTTCTTCGAGCCTCACACCTCTCGCTCCGCTACTGCATTCTCAGTACCTCGAATCGTTCGACCTCCGCTAACCGCGCAACCCACTCGACCCTCCGCGTCATTCCACCAACTTCCACCCGGGAATTGAGGGTACCTCGCTTCATTGAAGGCTTTCAAAAATTCGATTGCCAGAAAGCCCTCTCACCATGGCCTCGTTCAAGGTATGTGGTCAACACGCCATTTACGGTTCCTGAGTCATTTGGCTGGGTTCCTAGGCTGATGATGTGGCCGTCCCGGCCCGCTCTATAGGAATTGTCTCTCTCGCGTCCCCTCAACCCCAACCAGCGTTCCCACGCACACTCCATTTCACTCGGTGCCGTCAATGCCAATCATCGCGTCACCCGCAGAAAGAGTGTCACCACCTCGACTGCCAATGCCGTGGCCGCGATCGCGGCGTCGATGAAGGAGGGCGGAGAGTCCTTGTCGCTCCCTATGGCCGCGCACCGCCGCAGCCTCGGGGGCCGCAAGGGAGTGGATTCCGCTTCAGTGGGAAGTCCGTCCGGCTATGCTTCATACCTGTCTCGTAGCGTCAACAGCCCCAGCCAAGAGCCTGTGCCTCGCAAATCCTCGCCGAGCACCTCCGAAGCGGACGGCAAGTCCATTCTCAAGGGTCGCAACCGCCGATCCAGCGAAGCTGGTTTGATGAAGAGCGATGGGAAACGCAATCCGGCGGACCTCCGCTGTGATCGTTGTGGGAAAGGGTACAAGCATGGCAGCTGCTTGTCCAAGCATATGTGTGTATTTCCCCCTTGCGCCCGTCCTCTCCCGCTCGATCGGAGAAGATGCGCCACGTTGGCTCTGTACAGGTCGCCTTCGTGGTCCATCCAACTTCCCCTCCGTCATTCTCCCCTGACCACCCCTTGAATTTTCTGGTGGCATCCGGTTGACCTTTTTTTTTGTGGTCTCTTAGGTGGGAACACGACCCAGCCTGGAACATTACCTCGAAACTTCTCATCTCCAAGCACCAGCAGGTCCAGCTGCTCGAGGCGGCCTCCGTGCTGGTGAACATGAACATTGACGAGGAGCCCGAAGAGTCCCCCGAGGCCGACTCGGAACTCTCCTCTGGCTCTCCCGGCGCCTTGTCAGAAGTCCGTGATGGCATCAGCTCGGCCGAGACGACGCCGCCCCCGCTGGACGAGGAAGAGGACGATGACTTTGAGATGTCCGGCATGCCGGCCAACTGGACGAAGCGCCCGAGCATCAGCAACGCCTCGGCCTTTTCCCGATCTTACCAGTCGATTCCCTCCAGCTCCTATAACGAGAGCGCTCCTCTCCACTCCCCTGCCTTCTCCCACTTCCGCAAGTCGAGCGTCGATACCCGTCCCTCCACCGCGGATACACGGCTGCACGAGGATGATGAGGCTGATTTAGCCGCTGCCATCGGATTGTGCAACTTTGGTACTCCTCGGACCAACCCCGTGGCTAACACTCCCGATGTGCCACCTGTACCTCCATTGCCGGCTCGCTACTTGGATTCGAGCAGCCACCAAAGCTCTGGCCTGGCACAACCTAGCGCTATGAGCGAGGCCCTTCGCCGCGAATCCAACGCCGAACTCTTCCTCTCCGCCTCTCTCAACCCGTCGCAATCTTACAAGGTGTCAGATCTACGCGGAGCACGAGGCGGCCAAGCCACGGCTCAGGAGACCCGCCAACGTCGCAACGCCGATGTGGACTTTGGCAGCCGCACATCTCCCACCGACGACGATGACGACGGTGTCTTCGGCCGCATGGAGGAATAATTATTCTCGCCAGCTCAGAGCCGGCCGCCGCTGCGGCTCAGCGCCGCGCGACGACTTCTTCACGACGAAATGTACGAGCTTGAGCGTTTTTGTCTTGGGCAACTTCTTGTTTACACGTTTACCTATACATGCGCACTGCATAATGAAGGAATAGACCTTGAACCTAGTCGGGACCTGAAGTTGTCATGACTTGGGGTACAACCGGTCTACTCTTCGCAAAACAGTGTGTCTAAAGAATTTCGGGATTCCTCCAATGCTCCGTTGGAATTCCATGTATCATGTCTCTTTGGCCCTATCATTCTTTTCTTTTTTTTTTTTGTTGCCCATTCACCCTTGCTAGTGTTTGTTTTCTTTTTGTTCCTGGAAACCCCCATAAATGGCCTTACTTGATTGACCGGCGCATATTCACCATTCATATCCCATACCTCTTGAGCTCGTCTGCTTCTCTTTCTTTTGTGTTCGCCTCATGCTCGCACATATACACCTATCTGTCCCCAAACCTCATCACCCGTGTTCTTCCCATCCACTCTCATCCATGCTACTTGCCATTTGGCATTCCCTCTACCGTGTGTACTTACATCCTCGAACGGGGCACGCAATGAATAAACCCATGAAACTAAATTTGTTCCTCCGTAGAAGTTTGTAGATGTCTTGCGTTGTATGACTTATTAGTTTTTCTTTTTCCTTTCTTCCTTTCGCTTTCCCTGTCTTTCCCCCCCATTGAGGAGAATTTGTTCAGCACTAGTGCTTCTTCAGCATCTCTGCGGCCAAAGTATGGCTGAAACCATATGCAGGTCCAGAAGGAACCTTCAAAGGAACCTTGGAGCCCGCTGAGCCGGTTTTAGCCGCTTGAGAGGGGTTCTTTGTTGTCTACGTGCTGACGGGACTGGACCAGTCGAAATCTTGCAAGGATTGTAAGGTCTTTTCACATGTATCATGATCTTACACTGTATTTCGGGAATTTTTGTCTGGCGTATGTGATGAGCCGATCAGTTGTATGCACAGGTCTATCTCCGTTGAGGGTTTCAGACGTGGCTGAATTTTGCTCCTGTTGAATAGGCCGGGGTATTTTACGGCGGTCTGGTGCCAGGGCCTAGAACCAATTTCACATTGATTCAAAGGATATCATGCTTGCCTCTTTCTAGAACGATTTCAAAATTTGATACAGATACTACTACGATCAGTCAAGTCTCGACGCGTCATGCTCAAGTACTCCTTAGCAAAGACGACTCAACAAGCCAAGAGGTGAAGAGTAAGACTGCAGAAAGGAGTTTACACCTGGAACATGTTTGTGCAGAAGAATATCTTGATTCTTTCTAATCGATAGAGTTATATCAAATCGCCCAAATGCCCCCAACTTCTGAGTGGCACTGAGATGAAAATTGATGAATGAAAAGATTGCGTGTAATATTCTTCACTGGTAGCCCGTCGGATGTAAGACGTAGAGCCGGTGATATCGATTGCTTTTGAGGAAGAAACACCATGATTGAATGAAATGCAAGCCCAACTCCAGGATCGTATCGTCGAAATAGCGGTCGAAACATAAGAAAAAAGTCCCAGATGAAAGCCCATGCCTTTAGTCGAGTTGCATCTCGTCCTGCACTCCACCATCGACCAACAGCTTCTTCTTCTTCCTCTGCTGCTCCAGCAGATCCGCACCGTGCACCCGGTTGGCGGCCTTGCTCTGCTCAGCCACCATGGGTACACCCTCCTCGCGGTCGCGCAGCTCCTTGCGGATAAGGTGCTCGCCCTCGGCGACGACCTTGCGGTCGGCCTCGCGCTGGCGGTCGCGAGCCAACTTGCCAGCCAGACGACGCTTGGTGAAGACACGCTCGCGGCGTTGACGGATCTCCTCGACGCGCTGCATGGCGGTAACGGTGGCGGCCACCAGGTTGCGGTCGTACTTGACGGGGACGTTGCGCTTCTTGGCGAACTGGGAGAGCACCAGGGATGAGTCGACGATCATCTCCTTGCCACGGGCGGCACGGTGGCTCTTGGTCCACTTCAACTTGCGGGGCTGACGCTTCATCTTGAAGTTCTTGTGGCACTTGGACCGACAGAATCGGAATTGGCGGGCGTCATTGCGGACGAATGTGATACCCTTCCCCGGGAAGGCGGGGCGGGAGCAGAAGTGACAGGTTTCCACACTGGAGGACAGAGAGTTAGCTGATGTGTTTGAACAGGGAAATCTGATGTGAACGTACCGCATGGTTACTGATGTGTGGTTGTTACTGTGTCGCAAGAAGTTTTTTTTTTGAAGCTTCGGGCGGCGTGGAGGAGTGCCGCTAAACCCAATCGGGACTCGCGCGCTGACTTTTATCCCGCGACCCTTTCGACTCGAATTGCCCGAGATTCATCGCCCTCTCGTCGTTCATCCTATCTGTTCCCCATGGCTTCCGTCCTTACTGTTGGTCTCGGTGTTGGCGTGGCTGCTTTCCTGGTAAGTTGACTGATCGATATTTTCGGGTAAGTACCTGAACTGACTGTTTCGCAGGGTCGCGCTGGCTTGGTCGCCTATCGCCGCTCGAAGGGAGGCGTCAACGCCGCCGGAAAGGCTTTCTACAAGGGGTACGTGTGATTTCAGGGTCTGCATGACATTATCATTGACATGTTATTTAGAGGATTCGAGCCCCGCATGAACCGCCGTGAAGCCTCCCTCATCCTCGAACTTCCGTATGTACATCGGCTTTAATATCCACATCCTTGACCTGGGCACTAACTTAACCATGTTCGCAGTGAGCGTACCCTGAACAAGGACAAGGTGCGGAAGAAGCACCGTCAGCTCATGTTGCTCAACCACCCCGATCGTGGTGGCAGCCCGTACTTGGCCACCAAAATCAACGAGGCCAAGGAGTTCCTCGACAAGCATACGTGATATGATCGAATCAACTTAACTTGACTTGGCTTGACTCGACTCGGCCGCCTCCGAATCAATTTCTATGATGTTGGACATAATCTCTTTGAGGAAGACGGCAGATTGTCGCACTCGGGCTTCATGTCCGAGAGACTGGCCTATTTTGGGTGCATAGCGTGGCGTTTGGTTATCATTTACCGGGGCAAGGGACCGAATGAAGTGGTTTCCCTCTTCCTGCTTGTACTTTATGCCTTTTCACATATTCGATTAGATCGCCACTCCAATTGTACTATCTTGTATCATATCTTACTATTGAGCATGCCATAGCATCTACACTCCCAATCTATTAACCCGACCCTCTGGGCGCCATATCCGATACTTTCCCAGCGGTCCAATCCATGTAAATCACAACTTCATATTTTGCGGACCTCTCAGCAGCTTGCCGATCTCTTCTCGGTCCAGTCCCCGCGATTTTAGAAGGCGCGGTTTCACCTAGTCAACGATCCGGGTCCGACTATCCCACCTTCGGCTCGGTCTCGCACATTATGCTCGTATCGATCGGATACAATGAGGGGTCTCATTTTGAAGCCTGAAACTCGCGCCGGTCAGCCATGAGCATCCGAGCGAGATCACGGCTCCAGTGAAGGCGTAGAACGGGCACTAGACGGACACGCGTTTACCCGGACGAAAAGGACGGAGTTCTCACACGCAAACTCACCGCACCGTCAGCCCGCTCTTGGCCTCGGAATCGGGCTTAAGCGGCTCCGGTCTTTCTTCAAGGCAGCAACAGGCGTCACTCGTATTTCGTACTTTATACGCGAATTATACCCCTGGCTCAAAAAGAATAACGTAGCATCTAGTCCGTGGGTCCGGAGGTCCGTTGAGTCAGCTTCCTCGCCCAAAGTCCGGAGCACAGAACGTCAGGGACGAACGCTCATACTAAGGTTCGCCTCTCGGATGCGTCATCCACGCCGGTCCACTATCAATCTCTCTCTGATCTTCGACTTCAGGGGAGAGCTCCGGAAAAAACTACTCTCCGACACGATAGCCCCGCAACGTCACCATATTTAACACCACCTTCCTCTGCTCCACCCCGCGAGTTTCCACGCGAAGAAAAAATGGACGGCACCGGGGACGACGATGGCATGGGCTTCGACATGAAGTCCATGATGATGAACCAGCAGTCCCAGCTCTACGGCAACTACTCACAAGACGGACAGGTGGCCGGTATGTCTGGAGGTTCTATGTACGACGATTCGGCGTTCGGCGTGGGAGATGAAACCAACGATGCGAAGCGACGAAGGATTGCGAGGGTGCGGACAAACTACCGGCTCCATGCCAATGGCATATGCTAATAAGGTTCTTTGAGCTATAGGCTTGCGATATGTGCCGGAAAAAGAAGATCAAGTGTGACGGCAAGATGCCAAAGTGTTCACACTGCATCAACTATAAGACGGACTGTGTCTTCACGCAAGTGGAGAAGAAGCGTAATCCACCCAAAGGGTATGGTCGCTACTGAAAATGCCTCTTTTGGTTTCTGACACATCGTAAAATAGAGCGAAGTACATCGAAGGTCTGGAGAACCGTTTGGGACGCATGGAATCTCTTCTGCGTCTGTCCGGCCTCTTGTCTGAGGACGACAATGGAAAGACGGATCTGGGAACGCTGGAGAAACGACTGGCCGATCGAACGAATGCTTTGAATATGGCGAGGAACTTGAAACAGTTTAACACCCCGAGTGCAACCCAGCAAACGTCAGCCTCTCATAACACCACACCCCGCATGGATTCCCATTCCAGCCCGCATACCGACGCCACATCCCCCAAGTCGGAGAAACAGTCTGAAGGCGAGGTCGAGGCGCTGTCGGATATGATGTGCTCATTGGTAACCAATAATTGCGGAGAGACTCGGTATATTGGTATGGTTCCCTACAAAGTGGATGATGCAGATCACACACTGACAATCGCATCACAGGTTCCTCGTCTGGATTCTCGATCTTCTCACCAAAGGGGATTCAATGGGTCAACGAAAAGACAGGAGATACTTCTTTCCAAGATATGATTTCGTCGGCGTCCGTTGATGACAACAAGTGGATGTACTGGAAACCGGAGATCTTCAGTGACATTTTCGCCCGCCGTGTCTTCAAACCACTTCCCCGAAAGAGGAGGCTCTGTCACTATTCAAGGATTTCTTCGATAATTTTAATTGTATGTTCCCGCTTTTCCACGAGGCGACATTTATGCATCTGGTCGAGCGACAATACTCTCGTGACCCTTACGAGGGCTCTGGGTGGTGGGCGAGTATCAACGTTGTACTTGCCATTTCCCATCGTCTCCGTGTCATGAGCAACCTAGTGCCTCATGAAGAAGACAAGAAAGCATGGTTATATCTGAAGAACGCTATGGGTGTCTTGACAGAATTGACTATGCGGAACACCGACCTATTGAGCGTGCAAGCCCTCTTGGGTATGTCGCTCTTCCTACAGGGCACTCCCAACCCTCAGCCTGCTTTCTTCCTAGTGGCTGCGGCAATTCGTCTCTCGCACAGCATCGGCTTGCACAAACGGGGATCGGCCTTTGGATTAAATACTGTGGAGGTGGAGCAGCGAAAAAGAGTCTTTTGGATTGCGTACTGCCTTGACAAAGACATCTGCCTTCGATCTGGTCGACCACCAGTGCAAGATGACGATGATATGAATGTCGAATTGCCCAGCGAAGACCCGCCAGACAATGTTGGTAATGTCCCGCTCGCTAACGGCAAAGGCAAATTCAACCTCTTCAGATCCTTGTGCGAGTTCGCCACAATTGAAAGTAGCGTGTACAAGAGACTGTACTCTGCCAAGGCATCGAAACAGTCCGATGGCGAACTGCTTAACACTATTGGCGAACTTGACAAGGAGTTGGAGGACTGGAAAGACAACATCCCAGTCGACTTCCGCCCCGAACATGAGATCCAGGCAACCCACGGTCCCCTCCTGCTCCAGGTTGTCGTTCTCCATTTTTCATATTATAATTGTCTTACCACGATTCACCGTATGTCTGTGCACCACGGATACTGGACCAGCCGTCTATCAAATTATGCGATTCAAGGCCTAAACGCTCGGCCCTTGAACCCAAGGGTCTTCTTGTCGGCAGTCCTCTGCGTGACCGCTGCGAGGGCGTCAATCAATTTGATCAAGTACATACCACAGGGAGACTTTGCTTGTGTCTGGTACGTGCTCTCGAGCTTTTTGGAGCTTTTGAATCTCGAATGGTCAACTAATTCAAATCGCTGCAGGTTGATTCTTTATTATCCAGTCTCCGCACTTGTGACTCTCTTCGCCAATATTCTCCAAAATCCGAACGACGGGCGCGCCCGTTCCGACGTCAAGCTGATGAACGTTGTCGTCAATTTCCTCTCTACTCTTGTCTCCGATGAATCCAACGGCAGTATCAGGCGTATGCTGGGTCTATGCGGCGAGTTCGAGAGAATCGCCAAAGTCGTCCTTGACAAAGCTGAAAAAGAAACCCACGCACGCAAGAAGCGCAAGAATGCACCGGAGGATGAGACAACCGAAGGACAGCGCGACTCCTCTGCCAATAGGCCTTCAAAGCCACCTCACTCTTCAGCTCGCTTCTCGCCCTCTACGTTTATGAACAATGCTAATGCCGCGGCACTTTCACCTGGTGATATCAATGGCTTTAGTGGAACCACCGGTATACCTCCAACCACTGGCATCTCTAGTGACCTACCAAGCAACATCAACTCGGTGCCTGGTCTCCAACAAGACTTCCCGGGCATGTTAAGTCCTGATCAAATGGCAAATCCTGGGTTCCACGACCAAGGCTCCTTTCCCGCCAGCCCAAACTTTGCGTCATTCCAACAGCCCTTTGTACCACAGGATCTCTGGCAGATGCCTATGACGATCGAGTGGGACTGGGCTGATATGTCTGCAAATTTCCCTGTCTTTGAAGCCGGGAGTGCTGGCCAGCCACCGGCACAATGATCATGATGCATGACTGATTGGGGACGTAAGAGTACCCCAAGGCTTATTTTTGCATTTGTTTGGATGTGCATGGCGTTCACGGTATCGGTACGGCACAGAATTTTTTCTCTTTGGCGCAAAATGGTTGTCTTGTCTCTCTATACTCATATCTCCTCTACATGTACATATAATACCTCCTATCCGTTAAGTTCCAAGACGGCCATATCTCAGCCTATTCTTCAAAATGTGCCTTGGCTGTCAGGTTACCGAGAAGTGATCTACAAACAGTGAAATTATAATCTAGATCGTTGAAGTGGCGGGCAACATACTCCAAAAAACCCCATGTATCAAACTCTATTTTCCATAGTGTTGTTGAGTCATATTCGTTTTCCTCGCGGCCGTTTGTATTACGTAGTAGCGGTTAACCCCGCTTAAGTCCATCTCTGGGCTTCGACTGTGTTCTGATGACTCAGCTCGGAACGGCGTGAATTTTCCGCCGAGACGGCAGCTCCAGAGCTTCCACCTCAACGTCGATTCCCTTTATGGATTGCGCGCAGTTGTTCATCGCTGCTGTCCTCGATTGATCATCCCTTTCCCCCGCTTGAGCAGCCCTCTGGGCTTCCCTTTCCTCGACCATGGCCGCCCTTCTCCGACGGCCAGGCAACATTGCTCGAATCTCGAGGAGAGCCACCGATTGCCTCACCCGCACAGGCCCAGCCTCGTTGCGAGTGCCTCCGGCTCGACTTCCATCCCTCATCACCCCATACCGTATCCGAACTTATGCCACCGATGGCCCCGGCGGCCCGACGCCTCCGGACAACAAGCCGAGCAGCGGGCCAGAGAATAATGGTCGCAAAGATGAAGATTCGAAAAAGCAGGAGGACCCTAAGTCTGTCTTGAGCGAAGAAGAGCAGAAGCAACTGGATGCATTTGTCAAACACATTGAAGGCCGTCTGCCCCCATCACAGCATGAGCAGCTTCATGAGATGCGGAAACAGTTCATGAAGGAAGGTATGCCAACGGAGGTGAAGAACTTCGTCGACAACCACCGAAACGCATCGTTGATGGACTACCTTCGGATGACAAGATTCCTATTCAAATTTACCAGCCAGCAAGCCGATAAGCAGGCAAAGAAAGACATGGAGAATATGTTTAACCAGGACAAGTCGACCGAGGAGTGGCAGAGAAAAGCCGAGGAGGCAAAGAAGGAGAACGAAAAGTCGCAGAAGGGCAAAGAGGAGTCTGGCCCGAAAGATCAAAAGAAGCAGAAGGACAAGCAACAGATTCCTCCTCCCGGCAGAGTCTTTGAATTCCGTTTCGATCCCGCCTCTTTCCTCGTTACCGCTCTTGTCACATACTACGTCTACCGATCCTTCTTCCCGGCGAGACCGGTGCGCGCGATATCACCTGGCAGGAGTTCCGCTCCAATTACCTCGATAAGGGTCTTGTGGAGAAGTTGACTGTATCCAACGGCAGCCGGGTCCGGGTTGACCTCAACCGCGAAGTCGTGGCTCAAGCGCACCCCGAGTCCGGTGGCCAGGCAGTGAGTCACGTTTACTTCACAATTGGATCTGTCGACAGTTTTGAGATGAAGCTAGAGGCTGCTCAAAATGAGTTGGGCATTCCACCCCACGAGCGGATTCCCGTTGCGTATGTCGACGAAGTTCCTTGGGGTAGTGCTCTGTTGTCCTTCGCTCCTACATTGCTCCTGATTGGTGGTATCTTCTGGGTCTCACGTCGTGCTGGAGGTGCTGCCGGTGGTCAGAGTGGCATCTTTGGCATCGGCAAGAGCCGTGCCAAGCGGTTCAATCACGAGTCTGATATCAAGATCAAGTTCTCTGACGTCGCTGGTATGGACGAGGCCAAGGTTGAGATCATGGAATTCGTGAGCTTCCTAAAGCAGCCCGAGCGCTTTGAGAAGCTTGGTGCGAAGATTCCCCGTGGTGCTATCCTGTCCGGTCCCCCTGGTACCGGTAAGACGTTGCTTGCCAAGGCTACCGCCGGTGAATCTGGTGTGCCTTTCTTCAGTGTTAGTGGTTCCGAATTCGTCGAGATGTTCGTCGGTGTCGGTCCCTCGCGTGTCCGTGACCTGTTCGCCAATGCTCGCAAGAACACTCCTTGCATTATCTTCATTGACGAAATCGATGCCATCGGTAAATCCCGTTCCAAGTCGAACTTTGGTGGCGGTAATGATGAGCGTGAGAGTACCTTGAACCAGATCCTCACTGAGATGGATGGTTTCAACACTTCCGAGCAGGTCGTCGTTCTGGCTGGTACCAACCGACCTGATGTGCTTGACAAGGCCCTTATGCGACCTGGCCGTTTCGACCGACACATCAGCATCGACCGCCCTACCATGGACGGCCGCAAGCAGATCTTCAACGTTTACCTGAAGAAGATTGTTACTGATGAGAATCTGGAGTTTCTCAAGGGCCGTCTCGCTGCTCTAACCCCCGGTTTCGCCGGTGCTGATATTGCCAACTGTGTGAACGAGGCCGCTCTTGTTGGTAAGTTTATATGAATTCAAGTATTGGAAGCTATGCTAACGTCTGATACAGCTGCCCGTGAGAACGCTGAGAAGGTTGTGATGAGGCACTTCGAGCAAGCTATCGAGAGAGTGGTTGGTGGCCTTGAGAAGAAGTCCCTTGTGCTGTCTCCCGAGGAGAAGCGCACTGTTGCCTACCACGAGGCTGGCCATGCCATCTGTGGCTGGTACTTCCAGTGGGCTGACCCGCTTCTCAAGGTCTCTATCATCCCTCGTGGACAGGGCGCTCTGGGCTACGCCCAGTATCTCCCTGCTGGCGGTGACACTTACCTGATGAACGTCAACCAGATGATGGACCGCATGGCTATGACCCTGGGTGGGCGAGTTAGTGAGGAGCTTCACTTTGACACCGTAACTAGCGGTGCTAGCGATGACTTCAACAAGGTTACCCGCATGGCTACCGCCATGGTGACCAAGTTCGGAATGTCGAAGAAGCTCGGCTTCATCTACTACGAAGAGGACGGTCAGCAACAGATCCAGAAGCCTTACTCCGAGGACACTGCCCAAAGCATCGACTTGGAGGTGCGCCGCATCATCAACGACGCCTACAAGAAGTGCCGCGACCTTCTCACCGAGAAGAAGAATGAGGTCGGCATCGTCGCCGAAGAGCTCCTTTCCAAGGAGGTCCTCAGCCGTGACGACATGATCCGACTCTTGGGTCCCCGTCCCTTCCCTGAGTCCGGCGAATTCTCCAAGTATTTTGACGGCAGGAATGGCGAGACCATTGCCCCGCCTGAGCCTATGACGAACCCTGAGGAGACCCTGGGCAAGGATGGTCGGGATGAAACCCCGATTCCGTAAACGGTCCGAATTGACGGTTTGTGTTTTGTACTGATTTGGACTGCATTTTGGCAAATTCGCAGGGAGTGATATCATCGCGGTACTCCTTGGGGGTTTCTTTTTCTTTTGTGTATTTATGGACTTGCATCTGTTTCTTTCCATCTTTAAATCCCCTCTCAATGCTCTTTTCTCGCCCACAATGTCTCGACCACTCTCTTCAATCATGTCGCAATCGAATATGAAGACCCCTTTCTACTCATCTTTTCTCGTTATTTGAACTCTCTTTTGGGAGTTCGTGTACAATTGTGTCGAGTGTATATTATAAAGATCTTTGGTATCAGTTTTTGGTCAAGTGGATTCTGCCTCGTAGTCATCTAATTGGTAACATACCTTGATACTGCGTGAGAAGAGGTGTCAATGTACTTTCAAAGATGCGTGAGGCTTCATACTGTTCTTTGTAATGCACCTCTGAGTTGTGTAACATCACATAGTCGTGTCAACAATGCAAGTGACTTGTCTCGCATCTCATTAATAACAGCCAGACAAGACACCCGTACACAATGAAATTTGAAGAGATATATGACCAGGCGCGTTGAAAAGGCCTGTCCATCTGCAATAGCATCAATTGAACATTCGCACTCCGCAAGTTCCTAGAATACCTCAAGGATGTTCCGGAAATCTCAAGACGACGATGAGCGATCAGTTCGAAAACTCTATAAGAGGCCGGAGGGCATGATTCAGCAAACCGCCTCACGCAGAGGATCGATAGCTGAAGAAAGACAAATCGCCAAGATTCGCAAGGACCGACCGAACAATATAGCACAGCTGGACAATGGCATCCCAAGAGATCTCATTGAGAAGGAATGGAAGCCTGCCCAGCTGCAGAATTGGAATTGGTCGAATATTGTGCCAAGTCGTTCGTCAACCCTGCAAGAAGCAGGATCGAATGATGAATCCAACCGGCCAGCTCCAGTACACTTCAGAATCGAGAGAAAGCCAATACCAATACTCAGTGGAGCATCCAGCAACAACAGCCACAGCAGACAACCGACAAAGGGGTCTTTCTCGTGGCCGAGATCACCAGGCAGGAGTTCAGAGCTACCAAAGCCGTCCAATATAGAAGAACATCTTGCACAGATCCCCGCTCCGACACTGAATCGTTTCTATCAAAACAGAGACGTCGATATCATTCTCACGGGACCTGAGAATTATTCCTGGTGGGCTATGAATAAGAAGCGCCAATTCATCGAATCCAACGCGTGGCTGACAATTTCGGAAGACCTAAGCTGCGTGCCGGGAGAAAGCAACTACCAGGTGCACCACCACAATCTGTTCAAAATAGCCTGGTTCGGTATTATGGAAAGTGTGTCTCCAGAGATACGTCGAATTCTCAATGTCGACTGGCGGGGTAATCCGCGCGGAGCTTGGCTCTACCTGGAGAGAACGTACGGTTCAGTATCGGCAACCACGCTTTGTTCTATGAGGGGTGTCCGCGACATGCTTGATCTCAAGTACGACGATTGTGGATCTTTGACGGATTTCCTTGGTCTCATGGTGCAATATTGCCGTGCAATCCAGTGTAATCAGCAGGGAAAGCAGGGTACTGAATGGCTGTGGTGTCAATTTATTCTGGTGAAATTGGGGCCAAAGTGGGCGCCTTGGATTGCTGACTTGATGGATCAAATTGAAGAAATAGACAGTCCTTTAGACTTGTTAGTAGATATGCACCGATTGGTGGAGGAACTTTTGAATGAGGATGAAGAGTGCAAGAAGGCGGAGTTTCAGCGGCGCACAACTGCCGGAAAAGATGGGAAGATGAGATTTCCTTTACTTTGATCTGCTCGGAAAGCCTTGCATATGGCTTTATAGACGATGATCCTGGCTCATATATTTTCACAGACTTAGAAGCGAGTTGGAAGCTTTCATTGATGGTTCATTCCCATTTCCTATCTTTTCTGAATCGATCAAGACGAATTCAATCCCGGATTCTGGAAGAATTGATCTAGTAGAGACTACCACATTTCTTAGAAGTGAGAAAATCTTAAGTGAATGTGGACTCACCCAATCCAAAGCCTCCGTACCGTCAATCATATCCGACATCGCCTCCATATATGGTAACGCGATACCAGAAAAGTTGTTTTGTTCTGAATATGGAGACATGTGACTCTCATCAGGATTGACCTGGACCGCATTGACTTTCTGAATCATCAGGTCTAGTGTGAGTGATGCTAGATGGGACTAAGGAGGAAAGTCGCCATTGCTGCCCCTATCTGCTGAGAAATTTGAAACCACGGAGCTTCTTCAATGCGAAATCTCGATCATCTTGCTGAAAGGTTTGCATCCTCACAGAGAGATCAAGACAGACTACCATGGCTGCCAAGAGAAAGTCATGGACGGTCAGGGCAGTGACCATCCACCGATCCTCATGTAGGCGTCCTCCGGGCAGGATTGCTCGGTAAAATTGGCGAGCAAAAATCTCAAGAGCAGCCTCCAAGCAATAACGCCGGGAGTGATCGTATGCGGGGTTATGGGGTCGTCTCAATCGTCAATTCAGCCTTGCATTATGTTGCTTCGTTGAAGGAAATCGATGTTGACCATGAAGACACGATATTCGCCCGCCTGAACAACCAGAGCACTGCAGATATGGCCATGCGGTATCCATTGTCGAAGCTACTGGTCCTCTTTGGAGTCCGAGCGTTCGCGAAAAGGCTGGAGAAAAGGAACGGCCCATTGATCGTCATCAACACGCCCAATCCAAGCTGGTGCAAGTCTCAATTAATGCGAGAGTCGAGCAGCGCTGGTATGCGTCTTGGAGAGCAGATGTCAGTACCTTGATAACTGTCAGGTGGAGAGGTAAGATATTTCATTCTAGTTTCGCGATCATCCCCGCTGATGCTTTTCAGGCCGTCTTGCACTGTCACCAATGCCAAAGGCGCAAGAATACAGGAAGCCTTGTTCAGCGAGATATGGGCAAAATTGGAAGAGATTTCACCTGGCATTAGCCTATGAAAATCGCAGTTGATGCTACCTTGTTCCTAGAAGAAGCTCTAGTATTACGTCCTTCGTGGCAATGAGTGCTGCACATCTGTCGTGTGACTTCTTTGTATGGAGATAACCAGGGCATTATTAGTATCATCTTGAGTTTGAACCATTTGCAACGCCTTTTTACATGTTGAAGATGTGCAGGTGTCGCCAATACAATTGCCCACTCGGTATACCAACATTAAGATTCCTTATTATACCTCTCTCATCTACTTGCTCTTCTTGTCCTCAACAGCCCCTGGCTTCTTAGCGGCCTTCTTAGCGGCCTTCTTAGCGGGCTTGGTCTGCTTGGCCTCAGCGGACAAGCGCGGGAGGAAGCGGCCCACACGAGCCTGGTACTCGCTGTACTCGGGGTACTTGCTGGCACTGATCGCTTCAGTAAGGCGAGTGCTTCCCTGGAAGATGGCCATGTAGCCCAAGAGACCGATTCCAGCCCACGAGGCGTAGGTCTCGGTGCGGAAGGCGCACCAGGCGTACATGGTGAACCAAACTGCCTGCTCAGCGACAAAGTTGGGGTGGCGCGACCACGACCAGAGACCGCTGACAACGAAGCCTCGTTCGAGGTCTTCGAATGTATATTGGTCCTTGAACTGCTCGGGGATGCGCGCATTGGTCTGGTACTCGTGCTTTGCCTGGTGGAAGTTCCATTGTTGCTGATCAGCGAAGAACTCGATAATAATAAAGAAGAAAGCAGCGCGCGAGAAGGCCAGATCGGCTAGACCAAAGTTCTCAAGGCCCTTGTTTTGCGCGATGATCACAAAGACATAGGTCGGGGCGGTGATCAGAAGGAGGAGCAGGGATTGGGTCACAGCGATGAAGGAGAAGTTGAAGATCGTGAAGAGAAAGTTGTTGTTAACTCTGGCGCGCACGATTTCCCAGCGGTAGTCCTCGGACCCGATGGAGTAACCTCCTTTGCGCCAATAGTTGAATGTCAAGCGAATCTTTTCATCGTAACATGAGTGAGCCCATTTGAACCGATCCGGATTCAGTTGAGAGTTGCGCACTTACACTCCACAAAATGCTGATGGCAGCGATAGTATCCAAAGTCTGAGTGCGGATTCCGGCTAAACGCGCCCATACGGCGAAGTGCACATTGTACAGTGCGGGCAGAATACTCCAGAACCGGTCCACCTGAGAGAAGTTTCGGTTGATTTCGGCAGCCAAGAAGAAGACCCCTGCAAGTACCAAGCAAATCGAAAGCGCGGAGATGAAGGGGTTCGTGGCGAGATAGACGGCCTTCAAGCTATGCAGATCCAGGCCGGCTTCGCGCAAGCTGGCGGGGAGCCACTCCAACTGGGCGAAATAAGGAAGGACGGTGAGCTTGAAGTTGGCGCAATCCGCCAGGGAATCAACATGAGGAAGCGGAAGACTCGACATTTTGGGACCCAAAACTTGAACAAGGACAGGGCTGGAAAGGAGAAGAGCACTCGGAGTTCGAAGGATGGGAGGTTGATGTTTGGATTACCTCATCGGGTAAGGCGGGATCGGTACTGGTGCCTCAGGATCGACGGCGCGTCGTCCTCAGGCATCCAACCCTCGCGTCCCAAAGTAATTCTCCGTTGGGATGCTTTATCTACGCTGTAGAATGGACCACCTCTAATTCGATTGTTGCGTGCTGCATCTTCATGGCACGTAAAATTCTCTGCGTGGCAGAGAAGCCTGCCATAGCTCGTGCCGTGGCCACGCATCTGTCTGGCGGTTCCTTCCAGACCGTAAGTGTCCCATATATCGTGTTGAACAGTGGCTGATGTAAAGGGCAGCATGCAATTCGTGGCAATCAATATGTCAAGAACTATGAGTTCGATTTCAACTTCGGAGGTCCCTGGGGAAATTGCTCTGTTACCATGACCAGCGTGATCGGTCACCTTACAGGCCTGGATTTCGAACGTCAGTACAAGGGCTGGATGTCTTGTCCTCCTGGGTCGCTATTTGAAGCCCCAGTGCAAGAGTCTGTTGACAAGGTTGCTTTTTTTGATATAGCAGAGCGGATCGGGCTTGCTAATGTCGACCTAGGACAAGCTGGCAATAGCTGAGAACATCCGTAACCAAGCCAGATACAGCAAGGCACTCTTTATCTGGACTGATTGTGATAGAGAAGGAGAGCATATTGGCTCCGAGGTCAGGAACCAGGCAAAGGCTGGAAACGCTCGTATTGAAGTCAAACGAGCCAAATTCAGCAACACGGAGAGGGCGTAAGTCTGGATTTTAGTTGATGTCAAAATGCCTTACTGACCGCACTGGCTCTTGATTTTAGCCATGTCCTGCGTGCTGCGAGGGAGCCCGTCGAGCTGGATGAATTTCAAGCTAACGCGGTGGCTGCTCGAATTGAGCTTGACTTGCGAATTGGCGCCGCATTTACTCGTCTGCAGACTCTTCAGCTTCAGGCTGTCGTTGCAGCCTTAAAGGAGAAAGTCATCAGTTATGGTAACTACCACTACGGTCTTACCAGAGTTTGGACTCACACTCTACAGGATCATGTCAATTCCCTACCCTGGGCTTCGTTGTCGATCGGTATCTGCGCGTGAAGAACTTCAAACCAGAAACTTTCTGGAGCATCAAGGTCATGCATCAGCGAGAAGGGAAGAAAGTTAACTTCCTATGGAAACGTGTTCATCTATTCGATCGAGCGGCCGTCACAATGATGCTGGAGCGATGCTTGATGGCCAAGCAAGCCAAGGTCACAAAAGTCAATTCAAAGCCCAAGAGTAAATGGCGCCCCTTACCCTTGACAACCGTTGACCTTCAGATGATGGGCAGTCGTTTTCTTCGTATGGACAGTCAGACCATCATGAAAGTGGCAGAGGCGCTTTACACCAAGGGTTATATCAGCTATCCCCGAACAGAAACAGACCAATTCGACAAGGCAATCGATCTGAAGAAGCTAGTCGAGAAACAATACCCCGACGATTCATGGGGCCAATACGCTCGAGAGTGAGTGACGTGTGTCAATGATTCCCGGTTTGTAACTAACAACTTTGAAGCCTTATCGACGGGAAGTTCAGGACCCCCCGGTCTGGCCGTCATAACGACAAAGCCCACCCGCCCATTCACCCCGTGTGCTGGGTCTCACAAAGCCAATTGAATGCAAATGAGAAGAAAGTGTACGAGTTCGTGGTCCGGCGATTCCTTGCTTGCTGCTCTGAAGACGCAAGAGGTCAAGGCAGTGAGATTGAAATTCAATATGGGGAAGAATTATTCCATGCCAATGGTCTGATCGTGCTGGAGAGAAACTACCTCGACGTTTACGTCTACGATAAATGGGAAAGCAGTCAACAACTCCCCAAATTCGAGAAAGGAGAAGTCTTTGAACCTACCGAGGCAAATATTGCTGAAGGCAAAACCACAGCTCCAAGCTTCCTGACAGAACCCGAGCTGATTGGTCTGATGGACGCCAATGGCATTGGCACCGACGCGACCATGGCAGAACATATTGCCAAGATTAAGGAACGCGAATACGTCGTTGTGCACCAGCGAGGTACTGGTCGCACGAAGGTTGAAGAACTCATTCCAACCCGACTGGGCACTGCCCTCGTCGAAGGGTACGATAATATAGTTGCGGGCCTTTCAAATAGTATCTCGCTCAGCAAGCCTTTCCTTCGCAAGGAGATGGAATTGCGCATGTTAGAGATCTGTGCCGGCACGAAGACCCGGCAGGAGGTGGTGCAGCAGAGTCTGGATATGTATCGAGAGGTCTTTATTCATACCCAACGGCGGATTGAGATGTTGAAAGCCGCGTGCCGCAAATATCTTGTTGAGTGACTCGCTTCATGGGTCGCGCTTGGATTCAAGGGTCGAAAGCAAATTGCAATCGACTTTGATTCTGTTGGTCAAAGTCTGCGATTTTGTAAATAAATGCTTGGTCAGTACCGAGGGCCAAGAGTATGCTCAGCATGATCCGAACCACATTCTCGAACAACAGGTCTGGTTGAGCGCCGAGCGGGGGCATGGGCATGGAACTTCAAGCTGGACAGAGGCCCGCGACCCCCGCCAATTGAGAAGCAAGATGTTTGTTCCGTGCTCAATCTTGAGTCCGAGTTGCGGCTGCCGAGTGCTATATCTTCACAATAATCTATTCGGCCTTGAACCTGTGTGAGATGGACATCTTGATCTCACACGGTGCTAGAACGGCGTCCTCGGAGAAGACATTTGTAGTCGAGGTTTTTTGACAGGCCTGCTCTATAGCATAAGCCGAGGCTGCCACATTACGCGCATCCAACTGGCTCGATCTAGGAATGGACAGCTGAACTTGACTGTGATAAATGGAATCCTCACTTAAAAGCCCCAGAGTATTGTAAACAAGAATCCGGTTCAAGGGAGTAATCATTACTTCTTAATGGCAGGACTTGAAGATGACCATGAGAGGTAAATTGATGGGATGACCAGAACGTCCAAAGTAGACGATGTCTTGAAGACAGGAATAATGTCACAAGCCTAGCTGATTGAGCTAGTCTTTTGCAATTAGTCCCGGGTTTTTCCGGTTCAAGTCTCTCGACCAAGCAAATACAATAGCAAAAGACTCTGACCTACCGGGCTTTGGAGTCCATTTCACGCACACTCAGCTCATTATATGCGCTGGAACACGAGCTACTCATGGACGTGGTCCTCCGCAAATGAAGCTTCATCCTGATGTGTCCGTATTTAAGCAATGCTTTCTACCCATTCAGAATCTTACAGGGACATCGGGAATTCCAAATGTGTCTTTTAGCGATGTACAAGATAGTTTTAGTCTCGAAGACCCGAGAAGGGGACATCAATTCGATGGGGAGTTACATTGACGGTCCATGTCAAAGAGCCTGCCTACATCAACCTATCGTGGATAAGGTCAATGATCTAGGGTCCGAGCAAGGACGAACTGTCGGGCCGTCTTAAGCGGACGTGAGTACTCCGTATGTGATGGGGTCCATGGGGGGGCTTTGATCAAGATAGTGCAGTTATGAGACGACTTCAATGTGATAGTACTGCGCCAAGGGTCCAGGGCAGGAGATCTGAAAGTGGCGTCAAGATAGCCTTGGGCCAAAGCAGCCTTTGGCAGGAGAAACCTCATCAACATCAACATCAGCTTCCCTCTCAGAGCATCCTCGCCGTCAGTGGCGTGCACTTCTGGGGCAAGGTCATTTGAGGAACGCTGGCTCTGGAGAAAAACATGGTTTTTTCCCGCACGATGTATTTGAACTTGCGACTCTTGCTGAGAGCTTCGGCTTCTGGAAGCGTGACGCAATCGACAGCGGCTGCGTCCATGATAGGCCGACCCGTTGATCAGTTCCTGGATTTCGCACGCAAGCAGCGGATTGCTTCGAATGCTTGTCCATATAGAAGCCCCACTAGCGACACTAGCAGGCCGCCACCCGCTCCCTAAGCGGTGCCTTCGATGTCATTGGCGTTGATTCGCCTGGTGACCCACGATTCCCGGACCCACCTCCATATTCTTTTTGCGGGGCGATGCCACTGTCTCCATGTCCACAGGGGATTCTCGGCTCCTACGGCAGTGGCTCGTGGAGAACAGGGAAAGACCTTCTTTAAATCAGGCCCAGTACGGCCACCATGACTCGATTGGATGTGCTCGTCCACTATTCGCAGCCCATGTCACACTAGCGAAACGGGAGTGAGCGAGAGTGGCCTGTGGTTGAAACCTTGAGATGAATGATATCAGGACGTTGCATCATTCTGGAGACTCTCGATTGCGCATTGACTTCTGTACATAAAGAATTGGTCTTCCCCGCATGATGGTGTTTGTTCTCGCCAAGCGGTGCTCTTTGAACTTGTGATGCTGTCTATAAATCAACATCCAATATGAATGAACTTGAAAAGGACGGATTCAAGCAAAGTGATAGCTCAGACGAGCCTCCTAGCTTTGACCACCAGGAAAAGGGGGACAGTATCCTACCTGAGGTCGAGAATCGGGGAGCGAACAGCCTGAATGCTGTCTTCGAGAACCCACTTGCTGGATTCCCCCCGCGAAAAGCTCTTCCGGCATGTGGAGCAGTTCTGCTCCAGATATGGCCTGATGGCTGACCTGGAGGTCTTCCAATAGGGTGCACTCATCTCTCAGTCTCCTGAGTCTGCAACAAGTCTTCCTGAATTGGATGAAGTTGACAAAGTGGCTCTTACCAGGGAGCATACTCATAAATGGTCGCAGCCATGGCAACTCTACTTTCTTGCAAGTTTGTCTGCCCTAAATAACTGTCATGACTTTTACTAAAAATTTCTATCTTGAAAGTCATGTGCTCGCTCGCTGCCGCCGTCCAGGGAATGGATGAGACTGTCAACAACGGTGCTCAGGCCATCTACTTGAAGGTATTGACCATGCCAAGCTATCAGGACGTATATGGAGAATTGACCAGTTCGTAGCGACTTGGAATTGAGAACAATGACAATCTTACCGGTCTTGTCGTCGGCGCTCCCTACTTGGCCTGTGCTATTCTGGGTTGCTGGCTGACCGAGCCTTTGAACCGAGTCTTCGCCCGTCGCGGAACTATTTTCATCTCCTGTTTCATTGCTTCCGTCGCTTCTGTCTGAGAAGGTGTTTGTAATTCATGGGTCAATTTATTTATTGCGCGCTTTGTTCTCGGACTAGGAATTGGCTCCAAGCCAACGACAGTCCTAGTCTACGCCGCCGAATGCTCCCCGGCCCCTATTATAATAGGGGCGCTCTCGTGATGATGTGGCAGATGTGGACAGCTTTTGGCATCATGCTCGGCAATATTATGGGGGTTGCCTTCATGAATGTCGGTAACGATTTGAACTGACGTCTGATGCTAGGCTCTACCGTTGTTCTTCCTGTCATTGTCTGTACTCATGTCTACATCTGCCCCGAGTCGCCCAGATGGCTGATTCAGCATGACAAGATCGAAAAGACCTATGAAAGCTTCAAGGTTCTACGATCTACCGATATTCAGGCAGCGAGAGACTTGTACTATGCCTATGTGGCTGTACAGTTGGAGCGTAAAATCAACAAGGGAAAGAACTTTTTCACCATGTTCCTGGAGCTCTTCACTATTCCTCGCAACGGTCGCGCCACTTTGGCTACCTGGATCGTGATGTTCATGCAGCAATTTTGTGGTGTTAATGTCATTGCCTACTATTCTACTACTATCTTCCAGGTTGGTTATCTACACCTCATCACACGCTGGACACCTCCTTAATGGACTTTTGCTCACAATTCGACTAGGACTCTGGATACAGTTTATCAACCGCGCTTCTAGCCTCCATGGGCACAGGTATTCTTAACTGGGTCTTCGCTCTACCAGCCGTCTTAACTATCGACACCTGGGGTCGTCGCAACCTACTTCTCTTCACGTTCCCTTTCCTGGCCATCTTCCTATTCTGGTCAGGCTTCTCGTTCTGGATCGAGCCAGATGTCCCCGATAGCAAGAAAAGAGTTGCAATGGTCACGGCCGGCATGTACCTGTTCGAAGTATTCTACTCGCCAGGTGAAGGACCAGTCCCATTCACCTATTCGGCCGAGGCATTCCCTTTACATGTCCGAGAAGTTGGCACGTCGTGGGCTACTGCTACCACATGGTGCTTCAATTTTATTCTTTCCTTCACATGGCCTCATCTTCTCAATACTTTTAAGCCACAAGGGGCTTTCGGGTGGTATGCAGCTTGCTGTCTCCTTGGTTGGGTCTTGGTGTTGCTCTTCGTTCCGGAGACAAAGGGTTGGTGCTTCCTTGATATTTCTCGTTCACCTTACTCTATGGCTCGTACTAATCCGTCACTCTATTAGCTCTTACATTGGAAGAATTGGACCAAGTGTTCTCGGCTTCGACCAGGAAGCACGCCTCTTATCAGCTCAAAAATGCTGTTTGGTACTTCCGTGTTTGGGTCCTGCGACAGAAGCTTGATCCTCTTCCCAAATTCTACCAGGGTGCGGAGCATCTTGCGGAGGTCGGCGACACTCCGTCCAAGTAGACACCTTTTCACAATTTTAGGACTGTTTACTCACTTTCAAATATCTATGCAGAATGTTTGCCTCGAAAATGTACACTTTGAATTTTTTTTGGGCTAACAGTACTTTGTTTGAGCCTCTTAGAGTCAAGAACTTATTCAATGCAAATGATAATATTTAAGCTCAATAAAGCCGCTATGTGCAACGCGATAAGAGCAGGCACTGAAGTTCCCAAAGAAATCAAAGTATAACACTCATCTCCTCGGACGATCTACTCGGGCTTTTCTCCCTTCAGTTCCAGGAAGTGCTTCACAACACTTGTGACCTGTTCTTCAAAGCTCAAAAATTTGAAGCCCATCACTTCCTCGGTTCTTCTCGCATTTATTCTGCACTTCCTAGTTGGCTGTGTTCCATTGTTAGGGAGAACGCCGCGTGCAACAGCATTAGGGAAATGCTCTGCCACAATACTTGTCGCATTCTGCCAAATAGTTCCAGCATAGTCATCAGAGTTGCCAATATAACTTTCTGCAGGGACGCTCGGGTCAAGAGCCTTGACATGCATGAATGCAACATCATCGACATGAACACTGCAGCCGACAATGGGGTTGTCGGACTTGTTTCCAAGAACCGGCCCGATAGCAACCGCATTAGTACCGACAGCGATATGTTTAGCGTCCCTCACGAGCTCGTTCTTGCCGATCACGAAAGACGGGTGAATATTGGTCACGTCGAAATGGGGTTTCCGGTTTCTGACAAAGGCCTCAGTTGCTTGGAGAGCGACGATCTTGCTGGCATTGTACGCGTGGAAGTCGGATGGATATGGACCGGATGGCGGAGGCAGTCTTGAATTGTGGTCCACGACAAAACCATCAGGTGCATTAGTGTCGAACATGTACTTGGCAGAGACCATTGCGGCAACGGATGAAGTGATCACAATGCGCCTGACATCGGGTGCGCCGAGAGCAGCTTCCAGGATATTGGTTGTTCCAGCGACGGCGGGCTCAATCAATATCTTTTCATAATCCTCTGGTTTGATCTCTTGCTTGAGAGGGACCGGTGAGGCAATATGAAGAATGTAATTGACGCCCTTGACTGCTTCGTTGTATGCGCCATCGACCATGAGATCTGGGACAATGACAAACGTGAGCTTATCTGCGGGGTTGAGCTTCTTGATAGATGGCGCAGAAAGAAGTTCTTCCTTCTTCGACTCGGACCGCACTGCAGCTCGAACTTGGTATCCGGCCTTCAAGGCTGCGACGAGGGTTCGGAACCCAACATGGCCAGTGCCACCGGTGATCAAAACAAGGCCTTTGGACATGTTTGCGATTTGTAGCTAGAAGCAATTGATTTCAAGTCCTTGATGAGTGAAGAAGTTGGATGGAGATAGTTTAAGAATTCCAAACACGAGGAGCTTCTAAGCTACTTATACATTTTCCACAGGCAAGCACGACTGTCCCACGGGAGCTACGGAACCAACGTTTGCAATACGAGTTCCAAAGATCATGGCCGCAATAGTCAAAGCCACTGAGTTTAGAAACGAAGAGCATGTTGTGCACACGGTCCACGATTTAAAATGAATCATCTGAATAATCAGGGATCATTATAAATCACATCAGAGGAAGATATAATGCGTCGGAAATGATAGCCTAGCCAATCGATCAGACGGCTCGACTTTAAAGACCCTGGGAAGCTGTCTACCGATGATTCATCTGAATTTCATCGTGCTTACAAATCACGGGTCGAGTCGATCCGACAAATTCTGACCCTGATTGCCCTAGCGCAAGTGTAAGGAATGCGCCAAGACTGCTGATTAATCATGTCTCTTGTAGCAATGGCTGTCACTAGACGCATTCGTAGACAGGTGAAGAGACCTACTAACCCTGTGGAGTCACCGGACCTTATATGAGACTCTTGTGGCGCACGCTCTCATTGAGTCTATACGACGGGCGCACGCTCGGAGAGGCTGGCCTTAGAAGGGAATATATTAGCATGCCACCTCAGGTGTCATAGATACTGGTTGTAAGCTGGTTCATTCTGCTCTCTACCGTAAATCATTTGACGCGGCAAGTCTTCCCAAAAGACACTAGGTTAAACACGCAATTTACTCAAACGACCAACCACCAGTCTTGTCCGCAAAGAAGTTATCGGGGTCATACCTCTTCTTGATCTCCTGCAACTTTGCGAAAGTCGAGAACGTCTGTAAAGGATGTTGATCATAGTTTGCATCATTGATGAACAAAGGAAGACCCTCGGCATTCCCAGTTGACTTGACCATATCCCGATAACTGGCCTGAACGGCATTGAAATCGGCTTCGCTCATACCAGGCGGGATTGTGATGAGATAGTAGAGCCAAAACCACGGACCATCAGGCATTTGCATCGCATTGCCGCCCTGCGCATTGCTGGCATCCGTCAAACTCTTGGGAACTGGCTGAAAATCGAGAGAGAGGAGGGTGTATTTGCCTTTGTTGGTCTCAGCCCATTCACGCCACAAATCCAGTGCGTTCTCATAAGATCCATCACCGGGACGGTGAAATCCGACGCGGAATATGTTGGCGCCGCGGGAAATCTCGGTGGACATGGGGATGGGCATGTTGACTACCTCGAGGTAGGTTTTGACACCGGTAGTGTCCAGGAGAGGAGTAATGCTAGTAAAGCTGGAGAAAGCATCACCCGGGTCCGGGCCATCATAGACCAGGAACATAACATGGCCTCGTCCAGGTTCAAGTTCAGATCAAGCGTTCCCAGCTTCTCATAGGTGCCAATAATCGCCGCCTTAGGATCGGTGTTATACTGAATGAAGTTTCCGATCGCCTCGATGACATTGTCCTTTTGAGGGAACGCGTAGATGAGATTGCCAGCCCAGAATTCACCAGAAGGCCGACTCTGCACGGTGTATTTTGTCACCACTCCATACGCATTCCCGCCGCCGCCTCGAGAGGCGAAGAACAGATCGAGGTTGGTCTCGTTAGAGGCTGTCACGATCTCACCCGAGGGTAGAACTATCTCCAACTCACGGAAAGAGTCACAAGCTAAGCCGTATTGAGGCGAAAGGTAGCTCATACCTCCACCCAGAGCCAGACCGGTTCCAACGCCAGCAAGTCGGGCGCCGACCACGGTACGATGGAATTGCGCAAAGTACTCGTAGATGTCGCCAAACACACCACCAGGCTCATATGTAGCCAGGGTAGTATTAGGATCGTATGACTTTTTGGTCATATAGCTCATATCGAGAAGTGCCCCTTTGTCAACAGAGGAGTAAAAGGTATTCGGATTGTGGCCGCCAGCCTTAATGGCAAACCGACTGTCCGCGGCTCGAACTGCTTGAAGAACAATAGAGACATCCTGAGCGGTTTTCGGATACACCACACAGGATGGCCTATACGAATCCTGCAGGGTGCTCCAGTATTCAATGCTCTCAATATAACTTAAAATTGAGCTCGCTACTGACTACTTTGGAAGAACCCAGGTGAGTAGTGATGTTCGCGCATGCTGCGGGATCTGCAGCTGTGCCGGCCACGGGCGTGATACTAGCCAACAGGGGAATGAGAGGTATCATGGTCGTGCTTGAAGCCCTTCTAAGGACTCCAAGGGTTACTGGAAGGGGTTGAAATATAACATTGTCATTCACCGGGGGGGGGGGTTAGGGTGGTCCTCGGTATGTGTACACAACGGGAATTCGACGGGCTGAAAACTAAGACTCGGAAGGGGATTCAGGGGCGCCGATCGCACCTGTTAATCGGAACGAGTGCCGGAATTTAAGCATCCGGGGTGGAGAGTCCGGACTCAGCTAGCCTCTCCCGTTCGGTGTTTCGTGAGTCCCACAGACTTGCAACCTGCCCTCCATTATCGAGCTTTGCGTCAATCACTGTCTACATGCGTCGTGCGCCATTGTGATCGTGCGGTGCCTGCTCTGGTCTTCATTACGATTCATCCGTCCATCTTATGTAGACAACGATCAGCTTGAATCCCCGGGTTTTTATTCGTAGGTGCACAGTTGGTTGATAGTCCGCGAAACTCCCGATGAAAAGGACGAGGTCAAAGGCGTGACAGAGTGGGCTGCATTGATTACGGGTCAGGATTCAAGAAAGACCATATATTGTGAAGAGGTTTATCCAATCCGTAACACGCATTTGGACCGGCTTCACCTTGGGAGTCCGTGCCAATGTATTCTTCTCCTGGTACTTTGTACTTTCCGAGGGCAATGTGCATTTGTCCTTCATTGTGAATCATGCCAAGGAAATGGAGTCTGCGGGTTTGATTGGAGAATAAGCCCTCATATCAAATTGGACACCTTCTATTGATGCAGATATCCAAGACATGAACAGAACGGGCATTAAATTGAGATACAATACACAGTGTAAAGATGAACTATATAGATGTCACCTGATAACAGTCGCGAGCCCGTACTTGGGTCCTGGCTACTCATTTACTCCAGACGCTTGCTCAGCACAGCTCCGTACCAGACGGTGGCAATGAGGCTGACCATGTTGACCAGGCTGGACATGCCGTGCACTCGACCGAAGCGCTTGTTCAGAGCGACCATCTCCTTGGAGTGGGGAGCAGGGTCGTAGCTCTTCTTCCCGTCACGGGTTTCTAATAAGGTCAGTCTTGGACACAAGATTTGGAGCATTATGCTCTTGAAAAGGAAGTAGGTACCTTGATGCTTCCGCTCGCGCATGATTCTGGTCGTCAACGGACGCAGCCAGAACATGTTGATCAATCCGGTCAAGGCGACGGTGGCCAAGGGCAGCAAGGTATTGAGGCGGTTCTCTGGGGCGGCAAGGCCCGAGATACCCAGAGCCTTTCCACCTCGGCTGGCCGTCAGAGCTACGGCCACGGGCAGGGCAGTCTGCAAAGAGAAGTAGATAGGGAAGATGGCGGTCTGTAAAGTGGCAAACTGCGGGCGCGGCAGGGCGCGGAAGGCGACTATTCCACCTACAAAGGACTATTTGGGAGTCAGATAGGTTGGTGCTACGTTGCAAGGTGATAATTAATCATATAATGAGCTCACCTGGAAGAACTGGGTACCCAGAAGGGTGCCGTAGCTGGAGCGTGTCAGTAGGATTCGATAAGGCCAGAAGCCTGAGCTTTGTCTTGCTCTGAGTTTGCATGGCATGAAACGTACGTGAGGACGTGATATGGGCGAGGGTCAGTCATTTTGGTGAGAGTATGATGGTTGGCTCAAGACCGTAGTTCAGTTCGGATGTGGGGAGATTTTGAGACGGAAGAGATGCCAGAGCTTTCTACACCCACTGCCAAACACGGTTGACAATTGTATTGCCACCAAACATCTTGCACAGATGGGTTATGCACACGCATTATTGTAAAGTCCACGCGCATCAAGTGATGTCATGTGCAGCGCGTTTCGAGGCTAAACCGAAAAGGAAATATCACGCGTCTGCCTACTTCGCGCCTGTCTTTTCAATCCTCCCACATTTCTTTCTTCTCAATCATCTCACAATGGCGGAGAAGGAAGCGACCGTGTACATTGTTGACGTCGGCAAATCCATGGGGGAGCGCCACCATGGCCGCCTCGTCACGGACCTTGAGTGGGCGATGCAGTATGTGTGGGACAAGATCACCACTACAGTACGTGGAACTCCATTGGTTGAAAGCACCTTTTAATTCAATGATTCAGGTTGCAACGGGTCGAAAAACAGCTACCATTGGTGTGGTTGCCCTACGCTCAGATGGTAGGAATCCAAATGCTTCATATGACTTTGGCTAAAGAGAGTGATTCAGACACGTCAAATGAGCTGGCGGGTGATCCCAGCTTCTCCAATATCTCCGTGATCCAAGGGATTGGGCAGTATGTTAATCCTTTGGCGCCTAGAGGACTTTTTGACTGAGGCGTTGATTAGGGTTCTCATGCCTGATATTCGGAAGCTGCGAGCTTGCATCAAGCCCAGTCGAACTGACAAAGGCGACGGTATGTGAGGAACCGCTTCCCTAGTCGAATATTGTAGGCTTATATTTTCAAGCCATCTCATCAGTCATCCTTGCTATCCAGATGATCAGCGCATACTGCAAGAAACTCAAATACAAGCGCAAGATCGTACTCATCACTAATGGCACGGGTTTCATGAACAATGAGGGCATTGATGACATTCAAAAAAAGATTCAGCAAGACGGAATTGATTTTGCTGTCATGTGAGTCCTCTTTTATCTTGATTTATCTCAATGTGGCTGATGGTTTCCAGCGGGGCGGATTTCGACGATCCAGAGTTTGGTATCAAGGAGGAGGATAAAGATATTCATAAGGTGATCTACCACTGTAAAAGTCATCTGAAGACTCGCTTACGCTTGATATAGGCCCAAAATGAGGCCCTTCTCAGGGAATTCGCCAAGGGCGTCGATGGCCTCTACGGAACATTGGGGGAGGCCATCGCAGAAATGGATATCCCGCGCGTCAAAATCACGAAAAGCCTGCCATCTTTCAAAGGTTTTCTCCAACTTGGCGATGCTACAAAATACGAAACTGCGTTGCGCATACCTGTTGAACGCTACTTTCGAACCTATGTTGCCAAACCCCCATCGGCAAGTTCCTTCGTCATTCGGTCGACCGCACAGGGCGAAGATGAAGATGTTTCTGCTGCAAGCCAAGCACCAGGAGATGAATCCCTTACGACGGTGCGGACATCGCGAACATATCAAATCACAGACAAGTCCGCGCCGGGTGGTAAAATCGATGTCGAGCGAGACGACCTTGCAAAAGGCTACGAATACGGACGCACAGCCGTCCACATCAGCCAGACTGATGAAAATATCACAAATTTGGAGACTTTTGCTGGTATGGATCTCATTGGATTCGTCCAAAGCGACAAGGTGGGTATTTGAGCACTCTCGGTCTATACTGAACTAACTTCGCCCTACAGTTTGATCGATATCTCCCCATGTCCAACAGTAACATCATAATTCCACAGCGAGGAAATGACAAGGCCTCGCTTGCATTATCTTCCTTCATTCATGCTCTGTTTGAGCTCGAATCCTACGCTATCGCTCGATTAGTAACCAAAGAGACCAAGCCGCCATTGATTGTCTTACTCGCGCCGTCCATCGAGCCTGAATACGAATGTCTCATTGAACTGCAGCTGCCGTTTGCGGAGGATGTAAGATCCTACCGATTCCCACCACTAGATAAAGTGGTCACTGTCTCGGGAAAGATTGTCACCGAACACCGCAACCTTCCCAGCGACGACTTGCAAGAAGCGATGAGCAAATACGTGGACAGTATGGAGTTGGACCTGAAGGATGATGACGGGTTTGTGGTACATTTGATCCTTATAAGTCTCATTGAGCTAACCAAAAGAAACCACCAGTGACATTATCCCCGGTCTACCTATTGAAGAGGCTTTCTCCCCATTACTGCATCGAATCGACACCGCGATACGTTATCGCGCCGTCCATCCTAATGGCCCCATCCTCGAGCCCTCAGAACGCTTGGCCAAATTCGCCAATCCACCCGAAGATCTCGTCAAGAAATCAACCCCATACCTCGAGAAGCTGATCTCAGCAGCAGACGTCAAAAAGGGTACGTCCTTCACTTACCAACAAACCTCTCCATACTAATCACCAATAGTCCCACCCAAGAAAAAGGGTAGTAAACGCCAACGCGAGACCGAAAAGCCCCTCTCCGGCCTGGACGTTGATGCTCTACTCCTGCAAGAACCTAAACGCTCCAAGATCTCCGCCGAAAATGCCGTTCCGGAGTTCAAGCAGATGCTTTCACGCGCCGAGAGCGTCGACACAATCCACGATGCTGTGAAGCAGATGGCTGCTGTTATCGAGGCCCAGGTCAAGCATAGTCTCGGCGATGCTAACTACGATCGTGTTATTGAAGGCCTTGGAACCATGCGCGAGGAACTAGTTGATTATGAAGAGCCGGCACTCTATAATGAGTTCCTGCGCGTACTGAAGAGAAAGATTCTGGGTGAAGAATTGGGTGGGGATCGACGCGAGCTGTGGTGGCTTGTGAGGAAGAGTAAATTGGGACTTATTGACCGAGTTGCTTCTGAGCTGTCAGATGTTACCGAGGAGGAGGCCAAGGAGGTATGTCTGACCCCTAGGATATCTAATTGTGGATGTGCTGACTTGAATACAGTTCCTCTCGGCTACTTGAGAGTTGGATGTCCTGTGCCCTTAAGTTTGCTCTGCGTGTTGCTAGCATCAGAGAATAATGTATGTCATGAAGCGATACATCTAAGTGTTGAGTGAAAGTCCACGCGCCTATTTGTGTAATGATCATACGATACAAAAAACAAGTCAAGCTCGACATTTCTAGAGATCGCCCGTGCTGGGAATAAGAAAAAATCATAACAATCAATACGTGAACGCTCAAGTGGGAATGGAAATGCAGATAGCCCTGCGGTATACATCACGGCCATAAAAAGGAGACAAGAACGTTAGTCGTCCGCTCGCATCCATATTAGGATTACGAGATTTTGCCGATGCGCTTCTTGCCAATATCAAGCTTGGCTTTCAGTCTGAATTCACTGTTAGTAAGAACGACCAGATATAAAGAGACAGAAAGAGTAACGTACCGGTCAGTATCCTCGTCAGCCAACTTCAACAATTCATTCTGCACCTCCAACTCCTCGTGTATAGCTGTGCCTAGCTCCCGCTGGCGAATAATGATCTTCAAAAGCTCATCGACATTCTGATCTTGGCTCTGCATCATCTGTCTTTGCAATTGCAGCACACCGTTGTTGTCAAGCTCGCGCGTACGTTCCGTTTCCTTACCGAGGACTCGTCCGGATTTCGCCGGAGTCCTACGCCCTTCGCTCGAGGAATCGTTTCCACTTCGCAAGAGTGCATCTTTATCCTGCATCGAAGCCACAGCGTGGTCGAGTTTGCTCTTGGTTGCCATGGCGTGGAGCAAGTCCTCCAGTCCGTCTTTTTCTTTACGCGCGTTGATGAGGAGGTCCTTACGGCGACGAATTTCGCCATCTCCGAGACTAGACGATGCACTTGAGTCACCCGACTTCGTGCCGTGGCCACTGAGGTTCTTGAGGCCTTCTTCCAAGGTGGTGATCATCGTCCCCGCACGGACGAGGCTACTCTTTGCTTGCGCGGAGCTCTCATGTTGTTTCTGAGGGGTCGTCTCTTGGTCGCGGCGGGAGAGCTGGAGCCGGGCGTCATGGAGGTGGGATTTCATATCGCGATAGTAGTCGAGCCATAGCGTCGGGTCGGTGATAGGGGCGTTCGTAGAACCGGGATCTGTGATGGCGGCATGAAGGCGTGCCGAGGTGTTGCTTGTTCCATTGACTGCGGAGGCTGCGGCGGTCGGGAGATTCAAAAATGCTCTCCAGGCCGGTGAGGTACGCCAACGAGCATCGGGGGCTTCGTTGATCGCGCGAAGGTACTCTTCCAAGCCGATACGACGCTCTTCACGGAAACGAGAGTTTTTGTTCGTGTTCGAAAACCAAGATTTCGAGGGAAGAGGCACCGGAGGCTCTGCATTTGTCTGATTGACCAGAGTGCTGTGGAAAGCGGAGAAGTCGGAGTAACGCTTGGAGACTGTGAACGAGCGGAGCGGGAGGCGAAGGGTAATGTGGTAAATGGTGTATGGCGGAGAAGTGTTTGAGAGAGAGGCCGTTGGAATGGCGATCTCAACGGTCGGCGCCATTGCTGCGCTAGAGAGAGAAGAGGGAAGATGAAGAGGAGAAGAGTTGGGGGGTTTAAAGCTGCAGTTGACGCATGACGCAGAGAGCCCGATGGGGTTTAGCTCCGTCAGGCACCTCTTTGGATCGGCGATCACGTTTGATAAAGACAATGTCAATATGGGGCAAGGATGATTATGTCTTGATATGTTTTGTTGATGGAAATTACATGGAATTACATGGCATCAGGCTTGGGGTATCTCAGTCAGACCAAAGAGCGTTCCCGAGCACGCTTCAACTGGCCCAGGTTCGACGTGCCTCCAGTAAGTCACGCTGTCCAAAGAATTCGCCGACAATGGTGAGGATCATGTCAAGCATGGCACGAGTTAGCTGCGACACATAATCTGCCTCATCTTGATCACTTCGTCCTGCTAGTTGAGTGTCATCGTCACCCAGTAGTTGGGCCTGAAGACGCGCTTTTGCAGCCTCCAAATCGTCCAACTCCGTCTCAGCATCGGGCAATTCAGAGTCGCCAGCATCCACAACCTCTGCCTGCTCTGTCATCACAGGGTCAGATTCTCCCTGTGGAGATGTACCTCCTAAGCTATCATCTTCTCCGGCATCTGAATCACAGTCATTCTGAGCTTCCTGGCTGTTCTCTTCTCCGATCTTTTCGCAAATCTTGGCAGCTCGTTTGCCAAGGTCGCGAATGGCTCCCACATCCTCCGTAGACAGCTCGCCCACTTCACGACACTTCCCTGATATCCCCCAGACCCAAGCTCCCATACGTCGAATACTTTCGGCCTTCTGGTGACGAACGACGTCGGACAGCTCTCGCGCGACAATGCCTAGTGCTCCGAGTACAGTGTGAGAATCCATGCACGCCAGTTGAGTCATGTGTGGATCCACCGAAAGTATCAACCGCCGCCATACCTTGCGTGCAGCTTCGTGGCCGCGAGGAAGACTGATAGGATGGGAGTCGTCGAGGGCGGCGATAGCGCCAGCTGGAGGTGTACATCGTAAGGTTGATCGGAGAAGTCGAAATCGATGGCGGAGGAGATCGTAGCAGATATTCTGTGCTTCTGGAAATGCATCTTCAACGGCAGCGACCGTAGTCTTCCTGGCATCGGCGGGAGCAATGAAGGCCTCGTCCTCGAAAAACCCTGCCGGTAAAGAGTGTGACTGCGGCTCAGGGACGACAGCTACCGTCACAGTGTTCTCTTGCGCCTTGTTCGTTTCTTGTTTGGAGGTTGCGGCGATGAAGAGCGATGGTAGGGCATTGGCTTCGGATCTAGAGAGTTGTTCCAAGGTCAGATCGCCACAGGGTTTACAAGGATTGGTGTTTATCAGCTGGTATACACCGACTACTGATATCAAGGACTTACCGGACCATGCGCAGGTACTCCAGAGCACCATCTGGCTCATCGTAAGTCAGCTCATCGCCGCCGTCGTCGAGACCAGGGAATGCGCTTTTCTGGCCGAAAATAGGGTTGTTGCGCGGCCGCTCTGCAGCCATCAGTGCAGACCCGCTGTCACTGTCATCCTCTCTGGATATACGTGGTCGCTTGGGCTCGGAGTCAAACCCAGCCATGGATGCTTTGCGCTTGTCAGCCATCACGGGCATTGCAGGAAGAAAAGTTGCGGAGCTTGAGCTTTGGGCCCGCCTTGCTTATCGAGCTTATCGCCCGATAAGCTCGATTCAGACAGGGTCTCTTGGCGCCGAACGAAGAGCTAGAAGAAAGCTTTGGGTGCGGGTCCTTGCAACAAGGAAAGCAGATGTTATAAAGACTTTTTGATTCTTCAGAGGCGCAACCTTAAAAATTTGTGTGAGATCCAGTCTATTTCCTAGCATATAAACCCATACGTCGATTTTGCCAGGTCTGGAGGGTTTAGATACAACGATCTGGTTTTTAGTCTAACTCTAACTATGTTTTGTTAACTTAGATCGATCCCAGCGTCATCGGGACAATTGTCTCGAATTGTTTGAGGTCTTGAGGTTCGTCCACTGGATGCAGATGTCTAAGAAACAGAAGAATGTGCTTTAGAGCTCCTGAGCATAGACGATGAACATGTAATATTCGTTACGAAGAATACCACTAGAACGGATATCACGAAGCATGCATGGGTTCTTTGACATGTAAGAGAAAACGCAAATAGTGAATTCTGGAAATAGTGGTACTTGCAGATCGAAGTTGACAATGCCAAGAGATGTGCGACGGAAGCACGGCCCATCAGCCGAGACCAATGAAAGTAAGTGCCGAAGCTAGGTCCTGTGAAAATCCGGGGAAGTACACTATCCTTTAAATGATACCAAGAACAGGTTACAAGCAGTGGATAGGTCAAGTCCTTAGTTAAGAGAATCATGGTATCAAAGAAGTTAATGGCATAGTCTAGTGACCAACTGACGCGTGACGGCGAGCCCTGGGATTCAAATCCTGTCGCACACGGCCCTGTCTCCCAATGATTCGTAGCCCCATGTCGGCCCTGCGAGTGGGCGAAACTTGATCTAAGAAACCAATATTTTAAAAAAAAAAAAATTCCTACCAAAAGCCGCCACGGATAGCTTAGCCTTCTCTCGGTGCATTCGGGTGACTATTTGCTGATGTCTTGGTGGAGTGATGATGTGACGCCGTCCCCGGATTTCTGTGTCTCTCACTTTGAGCTGACTCCACACAAGCAAATTGATTACTGTGATAGGCACACACGTCTAGGACGGACTTCTTTAGAATTCGTGGGTATCAAAACTAAGGGAGGATAAGGATATGGTCATTCAAAAATTCATTCATTTTAAATCTATCTACACACAACCCGCTCACGGGCGCAGACGCTGAGGGTCACGAGGGAACAGAGACGTCAACCGCACGTTGGGCAGACCCAGGAAGAACATAACTATACGGTTCATACCCAGACCACCACCGGCGTGAGGGGGACAGCCCTGACGGAAAGCGTTGAGGTAGTCCTCGAAGCCCTCCTGGGTGGGGTCCAGACCCTTGGAACGCATCGATGCCTCCAGCTCGTCGATGTTGTGGATACGCTGAGCTCCCGACATAATCTCCTCACCGCGCATGAAGAAGTCGTAGGAGTTGGAGAAGCGGGGATCCTTGGGATCGGCCTTAGTGTAGAAGGGACGAACAGCCATCGGGAACTTGTCCAGCACGTAGAAGTCGGTATCGTACTTCTCGCGGATAATCTGACCAAGCTGCTTCTCCATCGCGGTAGAGAAGTCGTTCTCAAAGCGCTCCTGCTCAGACATATCAACGCCAGCCTCCTTCAGCAGAGCAACACCGTCCATGTAGTTCAAACGCAGCGCCTTGCCGTCCTTGGGCAGCTTGAAGTCTCCAGCCTTGGGGTAGGACTTCTGGATGATAGCGATCTGGGCAGCGTAGCGCTCCTTCATTTGGGAGAGGATGAAAACCAAAAGGTCCTCGGCGAAGTCGAGCACCTCGTGGTAGTGGTTCTGGAAAGTCTTCTCGAAATCGAGACCGGTGAACTGCAGGGTCGTCAGCAATGATCCTTTCCTCCATCATTGTAGAAAGGTCTTACCTCAGTCAAATGGCGGTGCGTGTTGCTGTCCTCCGCACGGAACACGGGGGCAATCTCGAATACGTTTTCCATGTCACCAGCAATGCACATTTGCTTGTATAGCTGGGGAGACTGGGCCAGGTAGGCCATACGCTTGAAGTACTTGACCTCAAAAACGTTGCTGCCACCCTCAGTGGCAGAGCCGACGAGCTTGGGAGTGAAGATCCATCGAGAGCCACTCTTGATCATGTACTCGGCGAAAAGCTCGGCGACACCACTGGAGATCCAGGTGATGGCCTGGCTGGTCTCGGTCTGGAGGTCCAGAACACGGTTGTCAAGACGGGTCTTCAGAGTAACAATAGGAGCACCCTCAGCATCAACCTGAGGGCTGTCATCGTTGGTCTCCATGGGAGGCGGGCGCTCAGCATCCTTGACCTGCATGGGCAGCATCTGCGCGGCCTCGGAGATCATGTACACCTTGCGGATGTGAATCTCGAGGTTCTGAATAGAGGCAGATGAGATGGGCTCGGCCGGAACTTTGATCAGACCGGTGACCTGTACAATGGAATTCACATTCAAACCTCCGGTGTACTTGATCATCTGTCGCGAGATAGGCTCTTGGGCCGCGATAACGGCCTGAATCTTCTGTCCTTGCTGGCGCAGCATCAAGAAAGCCAATTTACCACTCTGAACACGCGCATTATCCACACGGGCAACCACGGTAACCTCCTTCTCAGCGTATGCCTCTGATAGCTCGCGGAATCGAAGGGTGGAGATGACGTCCTCGGTCTCGGGAATAGGGCCGTACAGATCCTTGGCGGTGTCAACGGCTGCGATCGCTGCCTGAGCCTTCTCTTGAGCTGCACGGGCAGCAGCCTTCTCAGCCTTGGCCTTCTCCTTGGCCGCCTTCTTCAGCGCATTCTTGCTCGCGTTCTTAGAGTCGCCTTCCGCGGGAGCGGCAGGGGTTTCCTCGGGCTTGGGACGAGTGGGCAATTCGGAGTCCGCCATGGTGCTATAAAAACAATAATTAGCGGTGATGAGGCAACAGCTGCTGGAGAAGCTCTGTACCTTAATGATGCTCTTGGAATGGGAAAGCTCTTTGCGGTTGACACATCGACTTGACTCACCCCGCCGGAGAGCCCTAAGCCCTAAGAGGGGTGTCTCTCACGTGACCTGTGTTTACTTGCTGATGCAATCAAGAACAAGCAGCTGTTGATGGCATAAATAACAATTGAGTAAGGATAAAATTTCGCAGATGTCTCTAGAGCGTCCCGAAGGCCCTCAAGCTCAGTATAAATACTGTGTTATGGAGGTGCATGTTGCTTGGCGTCGGCAAACTCTACGGCAGACGTAGTTCGTATAGTTCAAGTGACAGACACCACTTACTTCTGACAATAATCTAGGTTCACTCGAACGCTACAGGCTATCTATAGTCGGTATTGAAAATATATACATCGAGCCAGCGCCATGAATATGCCTCATTTAGACGGACCAATGCGCCACAAGAGCGACCTATGCAGTTGGCATGTCGACTTAAGCCCAGTTTGAAGCCTTCAAAGCCCACTGCACTCCCTTGTAAACATCATCCGCAATGGTCTTAGGGGCCCAGGCGGGCTCTCCACCGCTATAAACGCCAGTGCGCACCAGAATTGAGTGCCAGCTGCTGCCGTACTCACTGCGATAAAGTTCGCGCCCCGAATATCTGACTCGGGGTTATCACCAACCATGTAGACATTTCGAATTGGCGGAAGGTCACCTGCACCACCAAAGACCTTTGAGCGGTTTCGAAGTAGCTGCCGCTCAGCGAACTCATAGGTTCCTTGGTATGGTTTTCCGATCACCGTCTTCTTCAACTCAATGCCCTTGCTGGGGCCTCCAGTGGTTGCCGCCCAGACACCCTCCAGGGCTTCACGGAAGCCACCTTGACCAAGACGTGGCAAGGGGTATGCAGCGGCCCACCACAAGTCAGGGTTGGAGAAATACAAGTGAGGCTGACCGTCCTGTTGGTATCCGTGGTTGGGAAGATCGACACGACCGTTCTTCTCCGAGAGAGTGCCCACAAGTCCCTGAGAGGAGAGGAGAAGGTCCATTATGACTTGCGTATCCAGCGCCCAGTCCCGAGGGTCATTGAAGACGAAGACAGCGTCAATTTTGAGGCCCTTGGTCGGATCTGTGGGGTCCAATGGCTTGGGAAGAGGCCTAGCGAACGACTTGTAGTAGTCCAAGAAGTTCTTGGAGAACGGCCAAACAGACGGATTAGCCATGAATATATCCCCTGGTGTCACAACATTCTTGAATCCGTATTGCTCCGCAACACGTCGACAACCGTCACCATCGCCACCAGCAACCAACACACACTTATTCTCCAGCGCACTCTCCTCATCGGGGCCCTTGACCAGCTCCGCGAAGGGAGAGTGGCTCTGGATAATGACTGATGGATCCAAGGGCACGTTCAACTTCTCGCTTATCTCCGCAACGCGCTCCGTCTCGTGTTTGCCGCCGCCATTGGTGAGCAGGATGAAGGGGATGCCTTGCTCCCTCAAGAGGGCCAGGGAGTCGGCGGCACCGGGAATAGGTTTTGAAGATCTCAGGAGGACTCCATCGATGCTAGAATGATGCGTTAGTCCTGAGAGGCAATATTTCGGCCATTTGCATACATCGCAGTCACTCACTCAAAGGCAAAGGCGAAGTCCGGAACGCGGGTCGAACTAGCTGTCTGAATAGCGCGCCTACCGAAGTTGCAGCCGACCGGTGTACGCTGCAGCAGGCTTCGTGCCCGCAAAAGTGTTTGCAGTCTCATTGTGTTGTGATAGACCGGAGTTGAAGGAAGAGAGCGAGGGGGAACGCTCCGGGCGGTGATATCATCTCCAAATTGAGTCAACCTCCGCCCCACACTTTGACTTCTCCAATTCGCCGCTTCTTCGCGACTTTGATTTCATCTTTAAACTCACCTGTCTCTTCCCGGACAGCCATCCCCCCAATTCGAATCAATCATGCTACTTGAAGCAAGCACCCGCCATGTCCTCGCCCAGCCACAGCGTCTTCTTTCCTACTGAAATTGTCTTCCTTGTTGCAGAGTTCCTTGACCACATCGACGAAGATGACTCCTCCCAGGACTCTCTTAGCACAAGACAACGAGCTTTCTATAACTTCTGCCTGGTATCGGCTCAATGGTATTCCGTCGGTGTCAGCTTTCTGTACCAACGCCCATATTTTCCCGGCGGTAATGGATTTACCAAGTTCGCCCACACCTTGTGCCCACCTCGAGGTGTCAAAAGAAAGGCCAATTTTGGATCCATGGTGAAGGTACTATCTTTGGCGAGCTTGGTACATCATAGCATGAACAGTCTCACGGCACGCCTGTTGGGGCAAATGAAAGAGAACCTCGAAGTGTTTATTGCGCCTCGCGTTTCCTTCTCGGTCAACAGCCTTCCAGCGCTATCAAAATGCCAGAATCTTCTGGAGCTCAATCTGAGTCTCGTTAGTGGACATGTGATCCCGTTTCACCGCTTGAAGAAAGCCATCAGCAGTTTGCCAAAGCTCAGGAAACTGGAGCTTCCTGCTTCGATGTCTCTTACACACACGGACAAATCCGCAGGGTCGTGGCCACCTAAGCTCCGGAGCTTGAAAATCGGTGGAACTCTGGATCCTAGGGTGATGAGTTCCTTTGAGTGGCCCCCCTCATTGCAGAGCTATCTATTCGAAAGTGTACAAACCTCACTGCAGTCGTCTTATACAGCGTTCTCGAAAACGAACAGCTTCGTGAACGCCTCGAGTCACTAGACTTGGACAATACCAATGAAGAGATGTGCTCTGATCAGGCGAGCGATTCCTTATATTGGTTGCCTAAACTCATTTATCTCAAAATTCCCGTGGATGTCACCAAGGATCTTCTGCTTTTACCGCCACCTGAAGGGCTCCCAAGTCTACCACTTCGAGCGCTCGAATTAACGAGGCCATACTTTGCCGAAGAACCCCTCGGGTTTGACCTCCCGAATGAGATGCTCAAGGCATTCAAACAAAACCTGCCCAACCTGTGGGCCTTTGGCATCAGCGAAAAGTGCGTGCATCTGGTCAAAGAACGAGAGGAAGAGCTGGATGACGAGATTTGGAATCACATTGATGAGGCAGATGACGACGAGCTTGAGAAGCTAGAGGACTTAGGGCTTTACATCCTAGATGACAACTTATGATTCAAACTTGATCGACAGCGAGATACCCCACACATAGCATATACACGATGAGACAATGAATACAATGAATATCAAGATTTAAGAATATTAGTTGGATTCGACGCAAGCTGCTCCTCACCAAAATTGGCATCGCCGATCCGGCATAGCTACTTTCTACCCAGGTCCCCACGGTGCCTCATACTTCAACACGGCCATCCCCGTTGCTCCGCAGTGTTTCCATCTGACCTGAGAACTTCCCTAGATTGCTCGAATTCTTGACGTCTTTTGATAATCACATAGCCTTCATTTAAGCCTCGCGACTGGTATTACCCAGGCTGAGACGTTCGGATATTCGAAGGACCAAAAGAAGCTCCGCCTGAACTGGAGCCGAACTGGTCTTTAATTCACCAGTGCACGCCGACAATTACGTCCTAGCCAACGTCGCTGCACCTCATCAAAATCAGTCACATATTCTCTTTTCCACAAAGATGCTTCCTATGATCTCTCGTGCGAATGCCTCTGCCACCATCATCTGCCCTCCAGGGAATTTTCATTTCCATCCCCAAATATCTTGCCAGGACTGCACTTGTTCCAGCATGTCTACCACGACCTGTCCCAAGCTGCCCGCAGAGATCATCCTACTCATTGCGGAGCACCTGTGGACGCTCACTGGGCATACCAAGGAAAAGGAAACACTCATGGCTCGACAACGCCTCATGAGGAACTTTTCTGAGGTCTCGAAAGTTTTCCATTGGGCTGCCAAAAAATGGCTCTATCGTTGCCCCGAACTTAGGGCTGGGGAGAGCCTGGTCAAATTTGAGAGCACCGTGAGCCGATATGGTACCAAACTCGGAACTTGGCTTCATATTCTTGAACTAGGATGCATCGAACCCGGCAGTCACGACGAATTACTCACAAGATTGCTTTCTCGAACAAAACCTGTCGTTTTCGAGGCCCCGCAGACTCCATTTGGAGTAGAAAGCTTGACTGCCCTTTCCGCAGGTGGAAACATTCAGAAATTGGACCTTGGCCGAGTTAGCGGCATTGGATTTCTGGACTTGAAGCAGGCTATTAGTCACCTGTCACAACTGAGACACATCACTCTACCATGTGAAATGGCAATTGTCGACGCCGATATCTCGGTTGGAGACTGGCCCGCCTCTATTGAGAGCATCACGCTTGGAGGAACTCTTGACCCCAAAGTGATGCGGAATTTCCAGTGGCCTACCCATCCGTTTGGCCTTGTCTTGCGCGACTGCCAAAGCCTACCCGCTGCATCACAAGTTGCTACACTTGATAGCATCTTCGCCGGTGAGACCATCCGTGAATACCTCCACAGGCTGTATATTAGCTCTGACAACGGCTTGCTCTCTAAGAGCATGACCACTGGCTTCTTGTACTTACTGCCAAATCTCGTCGAGCTTCGAATTCCGCTGGATATGGTCGAAGATTTCCTCATCCTACCCGCCTCTGTCGCGGTCCTACCGATCAAAGTACTCGAGTTCGATGAGCCAGGCTCTGGCTCAATGCAGAAGAATTTTACCTCATTTCTTCGCCTGCATTGGATACGAACCTGCGCCATCTTGTCTCTTTAGGACTTCCACAGATTCCCAGAGTTCTATGGAAGGGCAATTATCATGCAATTCACAGAAAACTTGCTGCACATGTGCGGAAGACTCCCTTAACTGAACTGCCCGATCTCCATGGCCCCAGATTCCTCGGCTTATGGAATATGAACTATCCGCAGGATATTCCTGCATGATAAAGTCCTCCCACAGGAGTTTTTAAGTCACCCTATGGGCCACCACATTTCATCATCGATGCGTTTCGTCATTCACATATGAAGCGCCTACCCCTTGGGCCTCTGTGTGGTGTCGTTGGATGTTTGACTCGTTGCATCGAAGTACCTGAAGAACTCCATTTGGGAACCCGCTGTTGGACTGCTCTGTTCTGCAACAATTTTCGACGCCATTTATGGACCATATGGACACTATTTTTTGACATAATACTTGATGCCATTAGCGGGCTCTGTTTATACATATCTATTACTTTTCATATTTGAGCCAAGAACACAGCGCATGTTTAGTTCTCCAGATCTATCTATAGCTGTCGAGGCTCCTTGAGCTGTGGTTACCCTGCACGCGCAACGACTACCCTACTTCGAAGTGCCACGACACCAGGAATGGTAGATGAATCATGACAAAAGGATGAGTGGATAAAATTTTACCTTAGTCTCGACATATTACTATATCGATTGCGAAACTCCGTCTGCAGGGGACTCATGATCTTTGAATTAAGCCAGATGAGCGCCATGCTTTTTGGGCAGCTTATTTTGGCCCTTTTGTGTATTGGCTGACGAAGCTGCTGGAATTGAGACTCCCAAGATGCTGCCTCTCCGGGCTCTTCCCCTGGATGACGGTTTCTCGGGAACATCTCGATCAAACTTCTCGCAATTACTTCTAAGTGGTCTGGAACTGGATCTTCACGATCCTCTCTCCCCGGAACTTTCCGGGGGCTCTCGACTGTCCCACGATCACACTCGAAGAACGTCTTCAGCACTAGGGATCGAGCCCTCTGGAATTTCAACGAGCCACCTAATTTTCCTACCGAGTGACATCGCATCAAGGCCATGGGCTATCTTCTAAGAAAGGACTTTCTCCAGATCCCATTATATTTGCTCGAGTCCATTCACATTCTGTCTTTACGTCTTCCTCTCATCAAGTGCTCCTCGCAGATGAGCCAGGTCGGAGGGCGCCGAACACGAATGAGCCGGACGATTTTCCTGTACATCGATTTTCTCACATTGAAACCCCTGAGGTTCCCCTGTACCCTGCTCTGGAGTTATGGCAAGATCTCCTATCATCTGAGGGTGCTGTGGATAAGTTCTAGCCCATGAAGGTTCCCGGGGACCTCTTAAAGTTGAACCCTCTTCCCAATCTTTCGCCATGCCAAAGTTGTTTTGGCTGTAATGATTACTCGCTCCCTTATCAGTTACTTTTTAGCTAAATCGTCTTGACACTAAGATCGTAAAAACGCAAGCACCATATGGCCGTTCATCTCTGCGAGTTGAAAATGAGCACACCCAAGTCACTACTCCGAATCGAACCAAATCACCCTTAAAAATGTTTTCCGTGAATTCTATTCGGACCACAAAAACAACGAACAATATAAAACAGGCTTGACAGCAGACTAAACACGTCCTCCAAGATTTTGTAGCAGCTTCATGGGACTCGTCACAAGCAACAAAATTGGCCCCTGAGCTTAAGAACAGCGACAACAGATTGAAAAGATCCCTAGGGACAAAGCAGCGTGGGAACGTGAGTGGGACCAAATCCTCATGCCGACTACAATTTGATATAAGAAACGGAGAAAAAAGTAGGTTAAAAACATTAAGTGACAGATGCCAGCACGGCAGCCGCAACGCCTTCCTCTTCTGCCCGCACGGTAATCTTGGTCGTGACGCCGCTCTTGGTGGAAAAAGCCATCTTGATGAGGGCCGCTACCCGGCCGCCGGATACGGTCTTGCCGAAGAGCTTGAGCGTGTGTGTGCTGTTGTTGAGGGCGACGTCGGTGCCCTCCAGGGGTTGCAAGGACAAGGCGGAAATCAATTGTTCAGTGGCATCTGGAATCCATTAATATGCTTGACGAGGTATCAGTGTATGAGAAAGAGACTTACCCGTAATGCCCTTCACGTTGCTTAGTTGCAGAGTCTCGCTCTCCTCCTCGCCGTTAGCACCGGTCTGCTCCCAGATGTGGTCGAAGCTGCCTGCGAACGTGGGGATCACATAGTCGCTACCAGTGAGCTCGAGATCCTCCACCTGGTATTCATCATCGTAACCAGTGTCCTCCGGCTCGCCAGTGGTGGGGTCAACCTCCTTGCTGGTAAACTTCAGGATGTTGGTGAAAGAGGTGATGGGAACGCTGTGTTCACCATCAACCTTCTTGAATGCCACATACACAACACCGGGCTCATTAGGAGTTAGCTTGGGGGCAGGAATGATGAAGTCATCCTCCAAGACCTCGTCCTCTGATGGTGTGGCAACAACAGTCACGTTCTCTAGGACAGTATCGGGCAGGGTGTTCTTAATGTCATATTGCACGACGATGTGCTCCTTGAAGACATGCTTAACGGCGGTAACAACGTACTCAGTCTCGCTCTCAGTGAGCTCGACAGGCAAGGAGGACTTGAGCAAGTTGCCGTACTCCTTGATGTCAGGGATCTGTATGAGCTGCTCGGCGTATTTCTGAGTAGCAGCAGCGGTAGCGGCCTCGGCCACACCACTTCCCTTGCTCTTTGGGGCACCAGTGGACGGCGCCTTCAGAGTCGGGGTAGCAGTGGTGAGCTTCTTAGTCCGTTCCTCAGCCAACGCCTGCTCTTGGGTGACAACGGGGACGGAAGAGACATCGAAGGCAGCGGCAAAAGTCTTCTTGTCACCCGATGTCACGTACATCACAAGCTGGTGTTCAAAGGTGGAAAGAGAGTACATCGAGTCTGACGCTGTTAGTATCATGATCATTCAACGGTATGTTAAGTATTCTTACCATTCTTGATGAACGCCCGAGCCATGTCATCCTCGGCGCTCATCAGGCGCAAGTTCAGGGCAGCACGGTCGCGCACTTCATCGTCAATGTCATCGAGGCAGCGGGTAAGAAGAACGTGCACACTGGACTTGACTTCGGGATCCTTTTGGCCAACGCCGAATTTGGCGAGAGCGGTGACAGCGGCAGCGCGGACTATGGCGTTCTCCAACACGACACGGTTGTAGATGTAGCGGATATACTTGGTGGGGTGAGACGTCTTGGGACCTTCGACGCCAAGCAGGTGCAAGATACGGACGGAAAGCTTCGTGAATTCGCAGTCCTCGATGAACTCACAGAGATGGGCAAGAGCATCCTCCTTGCTCTCGGGAACGAACTTGATCAAATCAAACATGCTCTCCACCACGGTGCGCTTGAAGTCGTAACCCCCCCTCGTCGCGCAGAATGCCACTCAAGAAGACCAGCATACCAGCCTGCTTGCTGGGAAACTTAAGACACAATGTGCGGATGGCCTCGACAATGGTTATCTTGAACTCATCGGTGATATCGGCCATAAATCCAGAGATCTGCTTCATCAAACGATCAACGCTAGCCTCGTTGCCAGTCTTGAGAAGGGTCGTAATGGCGAAGGTGGCGATAGAGCGGTTGGAGTTGGAGATAAGCGCCTCGATGTCAGGATTGCACACATTGACAACGTGCGGCTTGAAGCTAGCGAAGTTATGCAGGATGCGAATGGCGGCAAACTTGGTGATGGATCGTGGAGAGGACAGGAACAGCTGGAGGACGTGAACGGCCTGTGACGCCTCAGCATCGGAGACATCGCGCATGTCGCAAATGGCCTTTGCAGCCTCAAAGTTAACCATTTCGTGCTTGTGACGGAGCCAGCCATCCAACATCTGCATCATTGGTTTCCGGAGACCTTGGTCTTCCTCTGCCAGCTTGGCCGCAAGACGGACCAGGAGAACCAGAGCCGCAGGGCTCTTCACGACACCGGCAGCGCCGTACTGCTGCACCATCTTCACAAGCGCCATGCGGTCGTGCGAGCGCATCTGGTACAAAAGACCAATTGCATGGTATTGGGTCATGAAGTTCGACTGCGAGATAGCGTGGGCCTGTGAGCCAGATGAGAAGCCCAGGAAACCGGTCGATGACTTGGAGGAGGAAGCGGCCTCCTGCGTCTCACTCTGCCATCTGCGAACAACATCGCGGGCAATGGGGAGAAGGTGGTAGGACGAAACCAAAGCGGCCGAGGAAACGGAGGGAGTCTTGTCAACAATCGCGGTCTTGATGAGCCGCTCGATACCCTGAACAGTCGATCCATCAATAATGCGGCACAGCGCCCTGATGGCGTTGGCCCGGTACAGAACGTCGCTGCCGACCGCGGTGTCCTTCATAATGATACTGGTCGACATGATCACGTCCTCCGCGGTACCGGACAGCTCCTTCAAAATAAGGTAAACCATCTGTCGCAATGAGGGATCCTTGTTCTGGAACAGCTTGGAGATACCGAAAAAGAGGGTCGTGGCTTCGTTCGTGGGGAACTGCTCCCCGGTGAAGAGGAGGACCGCAATCTTGGTCAATAACGTACGACATGTTCGCGGCGAAATCGGAGAGGAGTTGAACAGTCGAGCTAAAGGGAACAAGCAGTCAGTACAATTGCACAATGGGTGGTTGTGGTGAGCCGCATGGCCAAGGGGGCAGAGGTCCCATTGCGGACCACGTACCATCTTGGAATACGGAGGTCCGATCAAGCTTGATCATGACCTGGTCCGCATCTTCGTCTTTCTTCATATAGCTCATATTGCCCAGGTGCTGGGATTGCACCAGCAGAGTGTATTCGCGATCGCCGGGGATGGATTGAAAGGGAGGACACAGTAGCAGGGGTGAGGCGGTGTAGGCAACTACTGCATTGGCATAGTCGCCCCCAAGCGAATGTAGAGAGCACAAAGAAAATGGCGAAGCGGAGACGTGGGGATGAAGGGGACCTCGAGCTCCGACTGTTTATGGAGTAAAGTTGAAGGTGGCCTTCCGTGTGTTTGGCCTTGTGGCGCCCCGAACACTGCAAACATGCAAACAGGAGGGCGCAATGATGCGTGCCTTCACCCCTCACACTTGAGACTATCTTTATTCGATCGCCGAGCACTGCATATTGGTCGTTGATTTAAATATGCAGGTCGAAGTCAACCCTAACGAGGACACTGAATGGTACGTCGTTCACACCTGTCATCTTGCCATCTGCGGCCTGCCCGCATTTCCCCCCGCTATAAGCCCGGCACGAGCTATTTACGAGCACTCTCTAACTGGAATATGGAGCAAGGAATGATATCCTTCGTCAACATGGAATCATCCCTGAGAAGCCAAAAGACCCAGAGCCATTGATCCAAGAAGCCTTGATCGCGGCGCAACACAGAGCGTACGAGAACAGACTCGAGGATAAAGACATTGATGAGCTGGACGCTCTGGAGGATGAAGAGGACGAGGGCTTCCTTGAGCAATATCGGTGAGTTGACTCGACAGCAAACCCTAAGCGATCTTCGATAATATCCAAATACCTGTCCAATGCCCTCCTGTATAAAGCTACCCAAGCTAACCTACCACATAGCCAAAAACGTCTCGCAGAAATCTCCACCCTGCAACAAACCAGTCTGTTTAACCAGGTCTACCCCCTCCAAAAGGTCGATTACGCCCGCGAGGTGACGGAAGCTTCAAACAATGCCTTCGTGCTGGTCAACCTGACCTCTCAAGGCGCCAACGTGGAGTCGCGCGTGCTGACAGAGCTATGGCGGCACTTAGCCGCCAAGTTCGGCGATATCAAGTTCTGCGAGATTCGTGCGGACATGTGTATTGAGAACTACCCTGAGAAGAACACGCCCACTATCCTGGTATACAAGGATACTGAGATCCGACGACAGCTTGTCACGTTGCGGGAACTGAATGGCCCACGTACGAAGCTTCCAGATCTAGAGAAGCTGCTCATTGAAATTGGAGCGCTCAAGGAAGACGATGTTCGTCTTAAGAAGCGGGATGATGAGGAGGATTACCACAAGGATGATGATCTGAACGTTGAGGATTATGATGACGACTGGGATTGATTGTCTTATTTGGTACAATATGACAAAACCATGATTTTGCAATGCATGTACAATATGAAATGCCCAGCCATGGCCCCTTGATGGGGATTGGAATGAGGAGGTAAACAGGCCAACAAAAACATTGATCATTTGGACGGGTTTGAACTGCTCAATACCAGATGACCTGCAAATATATTTTCTTTCTTACACAGCTCAATTGACCTCAAGGCATGCACCTTACGCACTGAATTCTTTGTGGACTTCAGCCAAACCTTCAAGGTACTCCGTCTAGTTCCATAAAATCCTGGAAAGAAGTGAAACATTGCTCAGGTGGAATACATTAAATCAACCAGATATCCCAAGAAAAGTCACGGCGAGGGCAGTTCACCGCTCGCTAATTGAAGCTCCAACGCCAAAATACTCCAAATGTGAATCGAAAAGTCCACGCATGTAGAAAGGACAACAACCAAAAAACCATATCTCATCAAATAGGAGGCACCAAGTCTAGGACTGAGCTCATCTCATATCAGATCAGCTCATCACGGCCCGCGGCACTCTCTTCAATAGCCCTCCGAACTTCACTCTCCTTGAAAGCAGGGCCCTGTCCATTACACTGCGCCAGCCCCTTAAGTCGCTCCGAGACATCACCAATGTCGACCTGGCCACGCTTGAACAGCTCGTGGCTCTGGATAAGATCCCACGTGTCGCCAGCGTCGAGTAGCTTCTCGCCTGTGACTTGGCAAACAGTAACGCGGTGTGGGCTGCCGGCCCCGGGGACGGTGACGCCAGAGCCTGAAGAGGCTGTTCCCTCTGGCATCAGACCTGTATTAAAATCGGTCGGAGAGTACTTCATTGGTCCAGTGACGGTTGGTTCGGGGGGGTTCTTGCGGATTGTGATTAGACCGTGATGTAGCACGCAGGATCTCATTCTCGGTTGCGTATTTGGCCAGTTCACGTTTTAGGCGCTCGTTGTCGGCTTGTAGGGATTTTGATGCTTCCTCGAGGCTGTTCACTTTGTCTTCGAGATCGCGGACGTGGCGTTCTTTGCGCTCGCGGAATGCTCGTTGTCTTTAAATGAAACCAGGTTAGTCTCCAAATTAGAAAACGGGATTAAGGTATCCTCAAAGATAAGGGTATCCTCAAAGATAAGAGGAAATCCTATAGACCAGAAGACGAGGAACAAAGCACGTACGCAGCCCGATTTTGTGCTTTGCGCTTACTCTGCGCTGGCGTCATATTATCCTTCTCCTCGCTACTGCTGTGCCCGCAGGATCGGTATAGTGACGCTCATCTCCATCAATTGAAGCGGGGTCCGTTTTGGTATGGTTCACGTCATTGCTCGACACTGAGTGCTTGGTGAATGAGTCTGGCGGTGAATGCGGTGGCGGTACGAGCGAGGTGGAGGGGTCGAGGCGAAATGAGGGGTCGAACCCAGGGAAGTACTGGTTGTTATATGCATTCTGAAGCCAGTGTTAGAGAGATGCGATCGCATAGACGGCCTTTGATTAGGGGAGTCGTACCAGGGTGAAGGGGTCGCGGAGAGCGTCGTCATTATGTGACTGAGGCTGTTGGTCAGGTGTGGGCAGCCCGTAGAGCGAGTAGGGCTGAGACTGGTGACCGGCATAGTGTGAGTAATCCATCGCGCTGTGACGAGAGAGCGTTGGAATAGCAGAGCGAAGCGGAGAGAGGAATGAAGTTGGGTTCTGGCCGGGGATCCTGATACTTCCCAAGGCTTACCATCACGGATCGTTTCCCGCCCGAGGCGACTCCGCAATCGAGATTATTTGTGTTCCACGGATTCTTCTTTACCTGAATGCCGTGATCTTCCCACAGATCTGTGCTCAATCTCTTTTTCACACACGATCAGGATTATCTAACGTGCCTTGTCGCGGTGGAGCGGGTCTGGCCCGTGAGGGGGCCAAAACGGGGCTGTTCTATGACTTCACCCTCAAAGTCAAATGTGGCGGACAACGGAAAACATCTACGACCGTTTCGGCTTCTATGAGGAACTCAGTTGGAAGGGGTAAACTTCATATTAGATGTTGAGAAAAAAAAAAGGCCAACGGCATATCCGTCAGACACTGAGCGATATTGGCCCTAGAGGATCCAGTGGTACTACCGTCCTGGTGTCGTCGGATCCTTTGTCTCTCGCAAAATGCGAAAGTGAAGGGAATGAGCATGCAGCTGGAATGAATAGAAAGGGCTCAATTTGGAAACGCAGTGCAATATCGACGCAAACCACCCCGGAAGCGACCCTAACCATGTCCATCGCCAATCACCAAGAGACCTGACTTCCTCCAAGTGGGTACATTCGAAGACTTGCCCATCTGCAGAAAAGCAGTGGCAAGTATCAAGCCTGCGAACAGATATACCCGAAGAAAGCCACCCTCGAAGAACCCTCAAATCTGGACCGGGCTGAACCGGTCCTCCCCTCGCCCCCATGCGGCGTCGATATGCAGAAAAAAAAAACAGACAGAAAGCGCGAGAACAAGAGAAATTCAGAAGCAGAGAAGAGATAGTGATGAAGGAAATGGGCAAGGACAAAGGGGAAGATAAGGATAGGTAGCGCATTCGATCATGCGGTCCAAGGATGTCCAGTGTCAGCAATCAAAGAATCAGAAAAGAAATATGCTGATCCCAAATTGATGCCATCATTCGCGTCTCCTTCCATCTTTCCTTTCCAGTGGCTTGCGAGGTATAAAAGTTAAGTCGCAAAGGCCGAAAGGCAAAGACGTAAGAATAGCCACCATCTGAATAGCGTTTCGAGACTGCATGATCCGGTTGACCAGTGTGAAGAGGTACAAGTGGTCCGGATAAAGAGAAAACAGTCATCAAAGCGATCGCAAGCTCAGAACATGATTCACACAGAAAGGAATCTTCGTAGAATGAAAAGAGCGAGCGAACGAATGTACAATGACGGGTCGAAACGGCTGAGGTCGAAAATGGATCGAAAACGGGGTAGAAGGGCTGATAGGAGAGATTGCAGAATGAATGGAGAGGTCCAAGGAGAAGAAAAGAAATCCGAAAAGTCGAGTCGAGTGCAGAACGGTGCGTTCACGGCGGTTGACCAGGGGATTTCCGGGTGTCTGAGGTTGACAAAGGGTGAGAGTACGCAGGAAGGGGGAAGTGAAAACGAAAAAAGCATCCGCTATTCCCCTCAGTCCCGCGACCGCTGCACAATTAGTACCACTGAGCTCCCGTACCATCGTCCCGCTTCGAACGGCTACCAGTAGGTCCATAACCTAAAGCAGCACCTTTCGAGGCAGAACGCAGCCTAACGCCGAAGACTATGCGATTAGTCAGATTCAGAACTGAAGGGTCCTCCACGCCAGCGTCACAAAAAACACCAAACGCAGGAGAGAAAGAAAGGGGGTTCCCTACACGGAACCTTGTTTCATAATACTCACATCCTGTCACTTCCTCCCACGGCACGGTTGGTGTCCGGAGTGTTGTCGAGGGTACCGCGGTCAATGACCTTGCGTCGCTGGCCGGAGATGGCGCCGGGCTTGGCGGCACCGCTGGCGCCCAAGGGGGCAGCAGCAGCCTGGCGGCGAGCGGCCTCGTCGTCCTTGTCCTTCTTGGTGGCGTCCACAATCATGGCGGCATTCTTCTGGTACTTATAGACGGTCCAGTCGAAGACATAGTCGTACTGGAAGGACTCACGGACGAAAAGGTCACGGAAGATTTTGCGGAGGTATGAGTAATCGGGCTTGTCGTCAAAGCGGAGGGAGCGAGTATAATTCAGATAGATGGCGAACTCGTTGGGGAAACCACGGCAGAGAACCTCAGTGGGGGTAGTCATCTTCTTCTCCATGATGCGGTCGTACTTCTGCTTCTTGGTAGCAGCCTTCAGACCCTGCCAAGGCAGAGAACCGCGGCAGAAGTAGAGCATCACATATCCGAGCGACTCCATGTCGTCACGGCGGGACTGCTCGACACCCAGGTGGGTATTGATACTGGCATAACGGGCAGTACCAGTGAGGTTCTTGTTCTCACGGTAAGGGATGTGAAAGTGAGTCTTGGGGTCACGGTACTTCTTGGCCAGACCGAAATCGATCACGTTGACCTGGTTACCGCGCTTGCCGATGCCCATCAGGAAGTTGTCGGGCTTGATATCACGGTGAATGAACGACTTGGCGTGGATGTACTCGATACGGGAGATGAGCTGATCGGCCAGCAGGAGGACAGTCTTGAGCGAGAACTTGCGGTTGCAGAAGTTGAAAAGGTCCTCCAGACTGGGACCCAGGAGGTCAATAACCATGGCGTTGTAATCACACTCGGTGCCGAACCAGCGAACGAAGGGGATACCGACACCACCAGCCAGGGACTTGTAGACGCGGGCCTCATATTCGAGCTGGGGGTGCTTGGCCTTGACGCTTTCGAGTTTGATGGCAATCTCCTCACCGGAGATGATGTTGGTGCCTATGTCGCTGTCAGCGGAGAGACCTCGGAGGAGACATAATGAATAACATACCCAGGTAGATGTCACCGAAAGAACCGCTACCGATCTTACGGCCAATGCGGTACTTGTTACCAACACGCAAATCCTGTGTATGATGTCAGCAAGAGTTGTCCTTTCTTATTTCTCCTGGAAAGGGCCGTCTCCAAGCCATCGTCCAAGCGGAATGTACGATTCGCGCCTGATAGAATTTGGGATCGGAAGGGAGATAAATCGATGGAGGTAGTATACACTGACCATGGTCGTCATCTTGGAATCGTTGATAGCACAGCGGCTAGCCGTGCGGAATGGACTGGAGACTCTGGAGTGGCTGTTAGAAAAAAACGAGGTGCAAGATAAGAAAAAGTTTCAGGGAGCAAGGAGTTGACAAGAAAGAGGGTAGATGCAAGGTTGGATGAGGCAGAAGCAGTGAGAAGAGGGGGGTGATAGTTGGGCCTTAGGCAAACGGGGCTCCCGGCCTCAGTGGCTGTGTTGGCCACCTTGTTGGTAATGACAATGTTGAAGACGCAGGCAGCCGGAGAGAGAACCATTAAGTCAAGGCAGACAGGACCGTAGATAGGGAAGATAAGACAACATGGTAGCTTACCTGTTGGGATCGAATAGGGCCGATGCCGACCGTGAAGTGCCGACTGAAGAACGGGGAGTGAGGAAGGGGTAAGGGAGGAGGGAGCGCAGGATCGGACAGGGTCGAAGGCAAAGTCAGAACCGGAAGAAACCGATCAGATATCAAGGGCAAAAGCCTTGATCACGGCAAAACGGGTTTGGAGAGAGGGAAAGGAGAGAGGGGGGAGAGGAGTCGGTGAGGTGTATTTTTCATTAGCGAAAGCGTTACATGCAAAGTACAAGGCGTCCAGGGATTGCCACGCTCAGTCACTCCCGAGGCTGGGGTACTGTAACGCCCCATACCGTCGGGCTGAAATGTTGGTTTTTCTTTTAATAATCTACATCTCTTTTAGTCTATTCTTTGTTATCTTTTTCCTACTTCCCTTCTAGATATTCAGTGATGATCTGTCCTGACAACCTTGTCATGTACAGAGGTACAGCATTGGATGTCCATGTCTCGGGGTTCTAGCCATCGTCCAGTTGTCGGAGCGCGTCTCACCTGACCCGATAACGCCATGAAACCTGAAACCTGAAACCTGGAAGATGCAGGATGCTTTGTTTTCTTCATATGTATTCTTGATACCTGAAATAGCTGTCTAGAGGAACAGGGATACAATGCCAATCTTCAGGAATCTATCTAAGCCACGGCATGACAACTCATGCGGTTTCTACCCTTAAAGAGCCATGTCTCATTCTGGCACCAGATCTAGCGGGATACCTATCATGCAATGCCATGTTTGCCCCAGGGTGTCCCCCCTCCCGCCTAGGTTCAAATGACACGATTGCCGAGCTTTCTGTGCCTATCACTAAGGCTTCGCAAGTTCAACACCCTACAGGCGGATGAGATTGGCCCGTGCAACTCATCGGGCCCTAACCTTCGGGTCTTCGAGGTCTTAGGTGAAGATGGACAAGGGCCTTCTTGAATCAATGTTGAAAATTTCTGCCTATTGAATAGAAGGTTCGTGTAGGTAGGATGTTGCTAGTGGTACAACCAGAGTCCAATAAACATCGGAAAACCGGGGTATAAGAAAATGAAAAAACAAAAGGGGTACAGGAGCGATCGAACAGGGAATTCCAGAAATTAAACCAAACAGAAAGCGAAGGGAAGCCCGCCCCCGCGGTGTGATAATGAAGACGGAACACGGAGAAGGACTTCATCAGATAATGATCATGCACCGCAAAATACACAAAAATATGAAAAGAAAGTCGGACAAAGCAAGATTGTAAAAGCAAAGCGCTCAGAGGGTGTTGCAGATCGACATATCTCAGGGCACGTATTCGTAGAATGGATGAAATCAAATCATCGAGGCACCGTTGCCAGATGTCACCGGCTTGCTTTTGTTGGAAGATCCGGTTCGCTCCTCCTCATCCAATCGCCGACGCCACTCCGCCAGACTGTCATTCATCATGGCAGGCCCCTTCGCTAGTCTCCTTGGTGGGGGTCCGATCCATGTCCAGTTGGCTACTGAGACGGTAATTGCGGTTAGTGCTCTCCCAGTGGGTGCGGAGAGCCTCTAGCTCGTTGGCGAGAGAGTCCAAGGCCATGGAGCCACGGTTATCTGGGAAAGTAATAGACTCCTGCGATACGTTGCTATCGGCGCGGGCTCGACCAACCGCCGCGGTGGAAGAGGCATTACTATGGCTGCGAGTAATGCCATTAGTACCCGGAGCATGTTGAGACTGACGACGGTAATGTCCCACCGAGGTTTCGACCTGCTCCAGAAGCATGTTGACCTTCTGCTCAGCATCTGTAGCGCGGGTCTCCAGGAGGGCGTTTTCTTCCCTGAGCTGGTCAAGTTCGGCACGGCTTCGCTCAACGGAGGAGAGCAATTCTTGCCTGAGACGATCATGCTCCTTCTGAGACTGCTCCTTCTCAGCCTCCGCAGCGGCGAGGTCATTCTTCAACTGCAAGATTTGTCCCTCTAAATTCTCCACCGACCATGATGATTTTTGCTCCAGGTCAGATATCGACTTCTGAAGTCGGTTACGCTCAGCCTCCCACTCGCTAGAAGCGTCTCCCTGGATGCCAGTGGTCTCCAGACTCTTGTGAGCAGCTTCAAGGTCTGACTGCATCTTGGCATTCTGAGACTTGTATCGGCTCAACTCATCCTTCATGCGCTTCAGCATCTTCTCGGTTCCCTTGACGTAATGAACCGCCGACTGGTAGTCGTTCTCGAGCTGTTCCAGCTTCTCCCGGAACGCTTTATCGGCCTCTTGTTCGCGGGATTCGAAAGTGGATTTCATGTCCTCATGTGCTTTCAGACTGGCGGAGAGCTGTTGCTCCAATTCTCGAAGTCTGCCTTGCTCGGGTGTTCCGAAGCGTGACCCTGGCGATTCTAAGCGAGGAGAACGTCTGCTATCTGTACTAACGCCTCGTTCACCAAGAAGATCCTTCAGAGCAGCATGCTGAATGGTCAATGCCCCAGCCTCGCGCTGCTGAGCTTCAAGTTGGGCCTTCAAGTCCCGGCTTTCGGCGGCGGCTGCTTGGCTTTCCTTCATGGCGGTCTGGAGTTGTCTCCTTAGTTGCAAACCCTCCCGACTGGCCTGCTCTTGATACGCCTCAAGACCAGCGATACGCTCTTCAGCCCGGCGCAATTTGTCGGCTGCAGCATCCGCTGCTGCCTGATTGGCCTTGGCCAGGGTAGTGGATCTCTCGACCTGAGCCTCGAGAGCAGCCACTCGCTGGTCAGCAAGGGACCGAATCGAGACATTCAGATCAGTGGATGATGCACGTTCGAGGCCTGACACAAACGCCAGCTTATGTGTCTCAGCCTCCTTGGCATGAATCTCGGCCAGCTCCTCTGCATCACGCAGACGACGGATTGTGTTCTCCAACTCTGTGGACTGCTCTTCATATTCAGATCGGAGCTGCAAAAGCTTCCTCTCCAAACCCTCACGGCGCTCTCTTTCTTCCTCAAGTTGTCTCTCAAGAATCGTCGTCTTGGTAGCGGACGCGGCAACAGCTTCGCGTAAGCTGCCAAAGTTGGAGCCAAAGTCCTTCAATCGACTCGAAGAATCCTCAATCCGCTTCAACAACTCCTCTTTATCCAAGCTGAGCTGTTTCAAAGCAGCCTCAGCCTCAGCGCGCAATAACGATTCCTCTCTAGCAGAAGCCTCGGCGCGGTGCAGTTCAGCGCGCAGGTTCTCAGCCTCGAGGGCGTTATTCGACATCTCAAGCTCTGCCAGGCGTTTCCTTGTGGCTTCATTGGTATCCTCGGCCAGCTCCTTGGCTTGTTTCTCTTGAGCAAGCTCAACGGACATAATTTCCAGCTTGGTCTTGAGCTCGGACTGCGATGCAAGAGCCAATGCAAGACGACGGCCCATATCAGTAGGACGCTCAACTCCATCATCTCTGTCGCGAGAGCTCTCGGGCTGTGGAGTGCCTCGTTGACTACCGCCCTGAGCTGCGAGCCTCGCTCGTGAGTATGCAGCCTCGTTGACAGCCACATCGCGTTGGTGCTCCACTTCAGCAATGCGCTTAGAGGCAATGGATGCTTGTCGGTCCACGGTTGCCTGCATCTTGGCAAGATTGTCCCGCATTTGAAGGAATGCCTCTAGAAGAGGGCGGTCCTCATCATTGAAGTATTCCCTGGCACGCTCATCCAACATAGGACCGCTAGAGGCGTTCGGCATGTAGCCAGCCTTCTTGGCCAGCGCCAGCTCGGATACGTACCAAGCGTTTCGCGCCTTCGTAGATTCCAACTCCTTGATCAACGCTTCTTGATGAGGCGTCAGCCTTGGTGACCGCGGCTCATCCCCAAGGCTGCGAGAGTTGCGGAAGCTGCGAGACTCTACTGAGCCATCAATGCTCACTTGGCGGGCACCAAGGACAGATTCCTCAGCGCTGTCCATAGAACCGCGCTGCCGGTGCTTTTGCAGTGATCGTTGGCGAGCCGGGGTAGTAATCATGGGAGCCGCCTCGCCAGTTTCCATTGCCTTGGCTGTGATTTTTTGTTGTGGCTGTGTTGGAGTCCGTTGACCTGACGAACCTGGGCCGTCCTGCGGGCCATCTTTCGCAACGGGCGACTCAACGTTCCGATCAGCATTGGCAGCCAAGACATCGACGGTTGGAGTGAAGCCACGATCATTTTTCGTAGGAGTCTTGCTGCGGGAATCCTTCGCGGGTTGGGGCCCATTGCTGCGGGGGCCCGGAGAAGGTGCCTGCCCGGGCGGAGGCGGTCCAGAAGGCGCTTGAGCAATCGAGGCTCGTGGGAGTCGGGAACCTGGGCCCAAATTGGGATTTGATCCAAATTCGCCCTGTCGGCCGGCCGCAGCTTGAATCAGACTTTCGCGCGATGGGGTCGGTCCACGACGCAGTTGATCTGGAGTTGCGTTTTGCGCCTCTCGAGATGTACGTCCTGACGGCGGGCCCTGCTTGTCGGTGCTCACTTTCCGACCGCCAGGCAAGGCGCTGCGTTCACTGTTCTGCGATTCGTTGGGATAACGGATCTTGGAAGTGTCAAGGATATAAGCCATGCTCAGCTCGGCAGCGTCTCTGGGGGCCGAGCTTGGTTCGCCGGCCATAATGATGATTTGTTTCCCGAAGGCTGTCATGCTGTGTCCAGATCGCGGTGACGGAGCCGGTCCCATGTTCTGGAAGGAGTACCAGCGTCGCGTCGAGATGCGGAAGGCAGAAAGATCACCAAGATCCATTCCTTCGTCAGTTCGACCACCAAACACATACATCACGTCATTCACAAGAGCAGAAGCGTGGCCTTCTCTAGGTGTCGGGATAAATCCGACACAGTCCATTTCAGCCCATGTGCCGACACGAGGGTCAAATGCCCAGACATCGTTGAACCATTTTACACCGTTTGTTCCTCCGAATAAGAACAATTTGTCATTGTATGTCACAATGGTGTGGTTGGTTCGTGCCGGGGGAATTTGGCCTTCCGGGGACCACCTTCGTGACTATTCTGAACAAGTTGCTCCCACTTGTTTGAGGAATTTTGAAGTTGATTCAAGTCGAACGCAATCAAATCATTGAAGAAGAACCCTTCAACCTGTCCACCAAACACGTAAAGTTTAGATCCCAGGATATTCAATGTATGACCGTATCGTCCCGAGGGGCGGGAACCAGGTGGAATAGCGCGAGACCACTGACGAGAAGCTAGAAGGAACGAAAAGTTAGAATATTTTGGGAAGAACAAAAGTTCGCCAGCCACGTACAGGTGTTGAGCAGGTATAATGTGTCGTCCAATGCATCATTCTCGTTGATTTTAGTATCACCGCCAAACACAATGAACGCATTTCCGACAAGCAAGCTGGCATGACCAACTCGGGGACCAGGACCCTCAGAAACGGTTGCGACTTGGAAACACGACAAGCTGCCACCGCTGCTTTCAATCATCCATAAATCTCCCTTTACGGTCGATCCATCGATCAATCCACCCATCATGTAGATATCGCCCTCCTTCGATGCGACTGCATTGATTGCGGCGCCATATCGGGGGAACGGATTGGCTTGCGGCGAAGAGAAATTGAGTCGGCGCTGTGACCACGGATAGAGGGAAGAGTTTGGACTTTGCGGAGATACCCCATTGGGAGTCTGCTGCGGTCGTTGGGCCTACAAAGGTTAGGGGAACGCGGTCTGGGGCCACGGGTGCAGAGGCAAGTTTACCTGGGATTCTGATTCCGCCCTCTGACGCATTTTCACGTTATCCGGACTGGTAGGACTCGTTGCGGAATTCAAAGAGTTGTTGTAGCTGCTGCTTGGAGTCGGTGTCTGGGAGAAGGCGTTCCCTTCGGTCTTGGGCCCATTGCTGATTGACGAGATGTTGGTAGATGGAGCGCCCTCGGAAGTGTGGACACTTCTCGTCGCGGCAGGGAGCGCAGTTCCCGGTTGGTTCTTCTTGGATTTAAACAGGAAAGCCATCGTTAATCAGTCGTAAGTCGTTCAGTAGAGCTAAAGAAAGCTTCGCGCCCAAGTCGGGGGAAGCGCGGTGCGATGTGCGCTCCACGGTCCCAGCACGGATATCAAAGAAAAGCCTTGTCGTTGACGATTCAGTTGGAGGTTGGGGAGAAGGAACCGGGCGGAGACAGGGGTTTGTGTATTTTCCAGAGTGTGGAGTCGGAACCAGGAACCGTCGACCTTGTTTCCATCCACAATGTTCGGGGGAAAAAAAGAGCCAGGGGTGGGTGAAGTGGTCAGAACACAGCGCTTCACCCAGCGATCGCAGCCCTACTGGGGCTAGATAGTAACAGGGCCGAATTGCAATTCCCACGAGGTTGGAAAGGTCAAAAAAGGGGGTTAAAGAAAGGAAGAGGCCGATGGAGGAGAAGGGTGTTTCAATTTCGCAGGCGGAGAGAAGGTACACTAGTGCCGCACGCTGCATACTCAGGGGCATCAGAAATCGCGATATGCCATCATTCCCAATGGCCCAGCCCTCGTCTGTCATGGCCGTGCGATCTACCCGGATGGCATCTACGGTCAATGTTTTCATACCTATGCTTAGATGGAGGTCCCTAGATATGTTCTATTCCACATGCATGTCCAGCTCGAGGACCAGCACGAGATTCTTGATCAGCATCACCACTACCGCTACCGCTACCATTCGCTAGGTGCCAAATTCCTAGGATGGGAACGAGGTGCGCATAACATATATTCATCGCAAATCCCACCAATGTAGATCTCGGAGATATAGCATCGTGATCGGTTGCTGTGGTGCTTCATTCCTGAGGTGCTTCCATTCCAACCCACGCTATAATTATACGACCCTCTACGCGGGGCTGTCGTTCCTGGGTCTTTGACTGAAAAACAGAGTAGTGGCCAATAAATGGTCTCAGAAAGCGCCGAGTCCATCGGGCGATCCACACCCCACAACGTGCAAGCAACCTATCTCGACCCAGATCCCACCGGTGCTGCACCTTGTACTGTAGAGTCAGGGGTGGCTTGGTACCGTCTGTGGCACCGATCCAGCGAGACTTGCTGTCCTTCTGTCTCCAAACATGATGGACTCTATGAAGAAAGGGGGAGATTTGGTACGTATCTGCGGCATTCTGGGCCGCGGTGATCGCTACCGTTGCGAGTCCCTGTGCGCCGCCTCTACTTTCGGTTACGGCATGCTGACACCGTCTAGGGATGAACCCAGTCATCCTCGCTACGAACCACATTGAATGCAAGAGATGGGCTTCCGTGCCTTCCCGGTTCAATGTCTCTGTAAATGCAATTTCCCAGTGAGACTTGATTTAAATCAGCCGTCTATCTCTATTTCCCGATGTGGCTGAAGAGCCATGTCTAAGACACTGTGTACCATGGCATCGAACACATCTCTTGGCATCAGGGCATCGGGGCTCCTGAGGCGCATGTGGGCTGAGATAAACGAGTCAGGTCAGAAGGTTGTGGCCCTTTTCCACAGGGCTCGGACAGCGAGCTACTCCGAACTCCGCCGTAGCTTCCTTGCCATATTGTGCCCTAACGGATCATATCAGATGTATCAGTCATTTGGGCGGAAGCTAATGCATGGCTTACTGCCAGAAGTACTCCGTAGCCCTCTTGTGATATGCCTTATCCCATTCTTGATGTATCAGTGTCCGATTAGTGACACCTGAGGCAGCCACAAGTCAAGACATGGGGAAGCTCGAGTTAGTCAGCAGGGACATCGATAATCCGGTTCGAGAGCAATCGGAGCCTCACCGTTGCGTCCGCGTTCAACGTATCTCGGCCTCTCGTCGTCGTGCGCTCGCTTCGCCGTTGTAAGCTTGCGTTGGAAATTTTGCGACTTTGGAGACCCTTGAAATTACAACTGCATACTTCCTCTCCACCTTCAGGCAATCGGACATCCAAGTTCGAGCCTGGTCATTGAAGAGGTACTTAGACTAAGCCGGACTATCGCATGTCCCTCAGGTCTTTCCCCGCCACTGTCCTACCTCTCTCTCCTTCTCTCACGTAACACCATGATCATACCCGCAACATGAGAGATCCCACTGCAGATATGGAAGAACCAGCCCAGCCCGCGACGAACGGGTCGACCGAACCCCGCCGCAACAAATCGGTTCGAGTGGCCTTTGGACCTGATCTAGAAACCACCATCCCTGCACGCGAGCGATCTCCAGCTCCATTGAGCAGCCATCATCGTTCTTTTACGACCGTCGAGCAGAAGCCGCCGTCTCTGGCAGCTCCGTCCCCTCGGCCTACGAGTTCCGCGGGAGTGAATGCAGCCATAGGATCGGGCTCACCACCGCGACGCCCGTCTCCTCGAAGATCAGAGAGTAGTCGTCCAGCCATGCTCAAGAGAGCCAAGAGTGACTATGGTCCAAGCCGCGTCACCTTCGATCAGACAGTTGTGGGAGAGGAAGAGGAGGATTTTGCCATGCGACATGGATGGCAGGAAGAGGTATACCTCCAGCGAATACCTCAAGATCCTGCACTCGGTGAGATTGTCTCAATCAGTGGAATTTTGATCCTATACCAGAGCTGACACAAGCGACAATCAGAACTTCTATATGTATTTTACAGAGAAACGTCACGAAACCAATGGTATTCCCAGAGACCCCGTCGGTAGCTGGCCAAGCCAAGACTGGCGTATGAAGGATCGATTGAAGACCGTGTCTGCTGCGTTAGCTATCTGCTTGAATATCGGTGTCGATCCTCCCGATGTGGTCAAGACAAATCCGACATCTAAGCTGGAATGCTGGGTGGATCCTACTTCCACTACAGGTGGGGGTCAGAATAAGATCATGGAGCAAATCGGCAAGAAGCTACAAGAGCAGTATGAAACCCTCAGTCTTCGGACGCGTTACAAGCAGTATTTGGACCCGTCCGTGGATGAAACCAAGAAGTTCTGCATCTCGTTGCGTCGAAATGCCAAGGACGAGCGAGTGCTCCTGCATTACAACGGACACGGAGTCCCATTACCAACACAGTCAGGTGAAATTTGGGTGTTCAACAAAAATTACACTCAATACATTCCTGTCCCACTTTACGATCTGCAATCCTGGCTAGCCGGTCCCAGTCTCTTCGTTTTCGACGTGTCACACGCAGGAAACATTGTCCAAAATTTCCATACGTTTGTCGAGAAGCATGAGAAGGAAAATATCGAGGCCAAAAAGAGAGACCCCAACGCAATTGTCCAGAATTACGGCGACTGCATTCTTCTTGCAGCGTGCCAGAAGAACGAGTCCTTGCCCACTAATCCCGATCTACCGGCTGATCTATTCACCTGCTGCCTTACAACGCCAATTGACATTGCACTGCGATTTTTCATCTTGCAGAACCCCCTTCGTACCGACTTCACTATCGAGGATTTCAGAGTACCGGGCCGCTTGCAAGACCGACGAAGTCCGCTTGGAGAGCTAAACTGGATCTTCACTGCCATCACCGATACCATCGCATGGAATACCCTTCCTCGGGCACTATTCAAGAAGCTCTTTCGTCAAGACCTAATGGTCGCCGCCCTTTTCCGCAACTTCCTCCTCAGTGAGCGCATCATGCGCACGTACAAATGCCACCCCATTTCATCTCCCGAACTACCTGAAACTCATCATCATCCGCTCTGGAAAAGCTGGGATCTCGCCGTTGAGATGGTGCTCTCGCAGCTTCCTGCACTAATTGACCATGAGGAAGGGCGCAGGCAGTATGAGTACCAGCACTCGACATTCTTCGCTGAGCAGCTTACTGCCTTTGAGGTTTACCTCTCCTCGGGACCTACGGAGCAGAACCCCCCGGACCAACTTCCTATCGTACTGCAAGTATTACTTAGTCAAGCACATCGACTGCGCGCTCTGATCCTTCTGAGCAAGTTCCTGGACTTGGGTCCGTGGGCCGTGCACCTTGCACTCAGTATCGGCATCTTCCCATACGTCGTCAAGCTGCTGCAGTCAGCTGCCCAAGAATTGAAACCGGTAATGGTCTTCATTTGGGCTAGGATCATGGCTGTCGACCATACAGTCCAAAACGATCTCCTCAAGGACAACGGGATTCATTACTTCATCTCTATTTTAAACCCATCGTCTCCCATACCGGTTGGTAATGCTAGCGAACACAGAGCCATGTGTGCGTTTATTGTTTCAATATTCTGCAAAAACTATCCTCAGGGCCAGAATGTGTGTCTGTCCGGGGAACTATTTGACTCGTGTTTGAGACACCTTGCAGATGTTGAGAACCCGCTGCTGCGGCAGTGGTCCTGTCTTTGTCTCAGTATGCTGTGGTGCGAGTTCCCGGAAGCGAAGTGGATGGGTATTCGATGCGCAGCGCCAGCAAGGCTTTGTGAACTCAACTTTGATCCGGTTCCTGAGGTTCGTGCGGCAATGTTGCATGCAGTGACTACCTTCCTTGGCATCCCGGACTTGACAGATCAAGTGGCTCAAATTGAAGAGCAACTCGCTCTAGCGGTGTTACCCATGTCGGCTGATGGCAGTGTGCTCGTTCGGAAGGAGCTCCTGGTATTCTTCTCGACCTTCGTAAAACGCCATCAGAACAAATTCTTGGTGGCGGCGTACGAGGAGCTTCAGGATGAGAAGCAGTCTCTGCTCCATCGTCTTCAGAGCGAGACATTTAAAAAAAGCCGTCTCGAGTCTAAGAAGGGTGACATGGTTGCCGAACCAAAAACACCTCAGTTGTCTCGCAACACAACCTTCGGGACAATCTGGAAGCAAGTTCTAATTCTTTCGGTGGACCCTCACCCCGACATTGCTCAAGATGCTGGTGTCATTGTCGATTTCATTCATCTTTCCCTACTAGAGTCCCCCTATGGCAGCTCTCGCTGACCGAATCAGGATTGAGATCTTGGAGCTCACATTCCGTATGTCGCAGCGATTCCAGGTTCACGAGCGATCAGAGGCAAAGAAGGTTGCACCTCCCGCAACACCGCAGTCGGCAACGACGACACCTCCTAAACAAGATAGCTATCTAACCTTAGGCTTCAAACGCACTGCCAGTGTTGCCGCCTCTCTTAAGAACCTGGCTTTTGGAGGATCCGCAGGGGACGAAGGCTCGGAAGGCTCTGCTCTCCAATCACCCTCGACTAGCCGCATGCCCTCAACTCCCCGCGGTCGTGCTCCTCCCCGAATGGACTAGGCCACCGGAAGTCAACGATAACGTCGCTCCTGCGACTTCATATCACCGAAATCCCGCCCCTGCATCCCGCGGCTTTGTCCCCAGAAACTCAGAGGAGACTCCAATCATTCCCCTGAGGAGTCGTTTCCTGGACTGGTCAACAGAGGTACTCACAGATTCTTTACAAATTTCCATCAAGCTTCAATTGCACTGCGGGACATTTGCTAACCCATGAAAAGTACTTCCGGGAGCCTCAGATGAAACCCAATGAGCCCGACGAGCCAGGTAGCTCCGATTACAATGAACGACTGTGGCGACGCGGCCGCAATGAAAAGATCATCGCGGAAACTCAACCGCTCAAAGTTCAGGCAGGTACAAGTCGATGGGACAACTCCACGACTCTGTTGTCCAATCAGAGTCAGCCTCTGAAGATGACTTTCCATCAATTCGAGGACCATATCGCTGTTGCAGACGACCGCGACACTATTGCGTATGTAACATACAAATCATTCTCCTCTGATTATCACGCTAAACTCCGTTGCAGGATTTGGGACTGGCAGAGCCACAAGCGTCTAAACCAATTTTCGAACGGAAACCCCGTTGGATCCAAGATTAACGAAGTTCGATACATCAACGAGGACGACCAGGCTCTCTTACTGACAGGTTCTTCCGATGGGGTGCTTAAACTATTCCGCAATTATGAATCTTCGCGGAACATTGAGGTCGTCACGGCCTTCCGAGCTTTACCTGAACTCATCCCAAGCAATCGTAATGCCGGGCTTGTTCTTGATTGGCAACAAGGTCAAGGTAAAGCTCTCGTTGCTGGTGACGTAAAGGTCATTCGTGTCTGGAACGCAGCTACTGAGGTCTGTACTAATGTAAGAGTCGCTCACTTTGATCATTTCACCGCATTCTCTTAGACTGACATGACTTCTAGGACATTCCTGCGCGATCTGGATCTTGCATCACGTCCTTGACGTCAGATCAAGTAGCGGGCAATATCTTTGTTGCGGGATTCGGTGACGGCGCCGTCCGTGTCTTCGATCAGCGCCTAAAGCCGACCACATCCATGGTCAAAGTCTGGCGTGAGCACAAGCAGTGGATCACTAATGTCCACATGCAACGTGGCGGCTTGAGAGAGCTCATATCTGGCAGCCGCAACGGCGAAGTGAAACTGTGGGATCTCCGCATGGACAACGCACTCTCGACCATCTTCACCACCAAAGATACCCTCCGAACCTTGAGCGTTCATGAGCATGCTCCCGTATTTAGCGTGTAGGTATCAATTAATCCGATAAGATGACGATATGACTAACTTTGACGACAGGGGTTCAAATCGCCATGAAATAAAGACTTTCAATGTCGATGGCACCTACCTCTCTACTTTCGAGCCATACTCGAGCTTCCTCCACCATAACCGCTCCTCCCCCATCGTCAGCACCGCCTTCCATCCCCATCGCACTATGCTCGCGTGTGCAGCTTTGAACGACAACCACATCAACCTCGTGTCTTGCTAGATTCAGGGCCATATATCTGTCCCCGATCGCACGTTTTTCCTTCTTGTAATATGGCTCTTCTTACACATTTCGCAAATTTTCTCCGGCGTCTCGGCGAATCTATCGACCATACAAGGTCTCGCTTTTTCTTCTTTCCTTCTCATTTTTACTCCATTCGGACTTCTGGTGATTTCTTCTTTCTTCCACTTGATCTGAAGCAGCCATGTTCGATGCATAATGCTACTTTGTTTCTTGCTCTCTTTCTGTTTGCTTGGATGCTGGCATGTCCCACTCTCGGTTGCTGGACTGGTATGGAGATTTAGGTCAATGCTGGAGACTGGCTGCGCTGGTAATTGCTTCGGCTTCCCTAGTGCACACTGGTTCCCTATGTGGATCCTGCGATGATTTCGTTTCTCATGTTATCTAGTTAGAGATGCCGCAATGATATGTCCATACATATTCTCCATATTTCTTGGACTTCAGTCATCTTCTCTACACCTCAGTAAATTGTAGTTAGGTGGTTACTCCGAGTCGGATGAGGGTTCGGCGTGTCACGTGGGGCCAAAGGTCATCCATTCAAGACACCACTAATATGATATTCGTACTTTTGATTTCGTTTGAAGCGTTTACAAACAATTTGCAATGAGTAACGATTACTGAAAAGGCCAGGTACAAAGAAGCAATGGGCAGATTGTTCACTGATCGAGATTCTGCAGTACATGGGGAAAGGAATCCATTGTAACCCTCACCCTCCACATCCCACGCTCGACCAAATCGACTCGAATCCAGTGATCAGTATTGATGCTCATGAAGAATGAATGGCGAAGGCTTGTCGGTGAAAATGTCCGAGACTTATATCTTATTAGCTGGTGAATCATGATCACAAAGGAAGGATAAGTAATTACCTGTTTGAAAATTTCGTAGCATGTTGCAGCCGTGAACACTGGGCGCTTACTTCTTCCTCGGTCTACGGCGTCTCCTCACGGCGACGGTGTTGTCTCAATTGTGGTCGGACTCTGCGGGCCATGATGGTAAGTGTACTGGTTGCGAAATCTCTGAGGAGAAGGGGTATTATCGTAATATTTTGGGCTGTGCAGAGCTGAGTCTGTCGTCTGTCGGTCGTTTCTAAGAGAAGAAGGAGTGTTTCCGTACAAAATTGGGCTCTGTGGAGCCTGACGGTGGACCTTCGGGCCGCAAGCTGTTTGTTGCGAAGGAGAGTTGGATGAGTTTGGACTCTCCAGGACTGGGTGGAGCGACTGACTGAAAGCCGACATGCGCAAAGGGGCATGTGGAGGGTCGAACTTAGATCTGGGGGCGTCCAAATTGGTGCGGATCGAGGCAGGCCACGTGGCCGTGGAGGTATTCTCGATTGAGTAGGATCGTTGTGCGCAGATGATAGTGGCCGGTGTGCCCATAATGGAATGCCCCGGAGCCAAGCACTTTCTTGTAGACTGTGGTCCGAAAAGTCAGGGATGAACGGTGGAATGCGTGGGAGAGTCTCCTGACCGATGAGTGGCTCGATGCATGGATCTCGTAAATGGGGAGGACGATGCAGCCCATTTGGTTCCATATATGGAACGAAGCAGGCATTTTCTCGGATTTCACGGCGAGCTTCTGCATTATAACAAATGCTGGGGTCATCCCAATCGATTTGAGTGGGAACCGGACCGGGGATCCAGCTTGGCCGATGACGAGGAAGTTCACTTCTTCGGGACAGCGCGCGAATTGGCGCAACGGGAAGGGGCCGGTAGTCGATGTAGCCATACTTATAGCCAGCCATGTTATAGAAGACGTTTTCGAACAAGGTGACTAGTCCCTGGTTGTCGGGGATCCTGGCTCGAATGTGAGCATGTGGGAATCGTGCGCAGAGCGGGTGCTGGGCCCAGAATGGGTAAAAGGCCTCCAAAATACGGGCATCAAACTCACGTTGACTATCGGGTGCGCAGGCGGCAGCTTCATCCCTTCGTTGATGGTCATGGACAAGTACTTCGGATCGTGTGTAGTCGAAGCCTTCTCGTTCTAGTCTGGAATCCTGACGTGCCTCAAGCGAGTGCTGTACAATCGCACGTTTCTTCACCATCTCGTCCTCCATCTCTAATCTGTCCTTTTCGATCCTTTCTGCCTCTAGCCACAACCGAGCCTGTCTTTCGGCTGCCCTGGTGAGCACTGCAACTTCCTGCGTCGTCAGCCTGGGGAATAATGAGTCACTTTCTCGAATCATAGCAGGCCCACCAAGGGATTTTGTAGTACAGTGATCATATGAATCACTATGATCATATCCTCGGCATTCTGGAGATTGTGAAGCCAAGCTAGGGGTGATCATTTCTGGGTGAGCATGACAACCTGGAGCGGGGTCTGTCAGCTCGACTTCTTCGTAGACAGACTCGAGTTTTCGACGTCGCTCAGGAGAGACTCTCTCCTCTAAATGTGGACCCGCAGATGGGAAATTGCTTTGGGGAGAAAAAATATATTGCCGGCATCCGCTTTCAAGATGTTTCACGTGGACAATTTCTCTGGCCGGTTCACGCTGGTGGAAGTGGAAGCATTGGGTGGTTGCTTTATTTCCTACCCCTTCGCCTTCAAGGAAAGGCGTGAAGCAGCGGCTTTCCGGATTTTCTGTAGGCCACTCTAATATTTCATCAAAATCGGTTATCTCACTCTCCTCTGCCGGTGTTGCCATCGATTCAAGTGGAACACGGTGTGATGAAGGTTCGAACGGGGCCACATGGGCACTGAGTGGACGGGAGACTTTTCTTTCGGCATGCGGGATTGGACTGCCTAAGGTATGAGTGTCCATTAGTTGGTTTGTTCTGATGGTCATCCTTTGGATTCCTGAAGTCATGCGGGAAGAAGCAGGCTGAAATGGCTCTACAGTTGGAATCAGAGGGCGGGATGTTTGACCACGCGTTCTCTCAGTTGAAGTGTTGACAGGGCGAAGCTGGTCTGAAGAAGGGTTGAAGGGACTTGTACCTGATTCACTGGATGTGCCCCACGTAATCTGAGAGGAAGGAGGTACAAGAGGGTGGGGACGAAATAGAGGCAGAGAACCAGCCTGAGGGATTGACGGGCGTTGAGGTGAAACTTGGGCCAAAGGAAGTGGGAATGGAAATTTTTGAATTGATGAGTAGCCCAAGTTTTGCGGAATGGTGAGGTTTGGACCAACATGGAGGAAGCCAGCAGGAGGAGGACCGAGAGAAGAGAAATTCGGCGTGGCATGATTTCTCTTCGGCGGAAAAAATTGCCATCTTGATCTCCGTCGTGCAGTCCAGTGTGGCGAGACACCAGGGGAGCTCAAGCCTAAGCCTGGGACTCATGCATTAGTGAGCTGTCAAACAAGTTCGGGATCTATGAATGTTGAGTGGGGAGGAAATACCTCGAGGGGATATCAAGGCCGGCCCGGGGGAACGCCGATGTGTTGCTGGTAGTATCGGTGCGGTAAATTGCAATTGGAAACTGATGGCGTAGCACGTCGATGATCTGACATGCACCCAGGGACAGAAGCCCTGGGGACATTCTCCTTGTAATTCGCACCAACCATGCCGGGAGACGATGTTGGGCCTTGCGGATATCTTCTTTGGTAGAGAAGATAAATCAGTCCACCCATTGATGATGCCTCCATTTCCGACAGTTTGGGGAATCTGGTATGAATAGCGCGTACCACATCCTGGTGTAGTGAATAGTGTGATCGCTGAAGGGGAAAGGGGCGAAGTGAGGGAGGGAGAGAGAGAGGGAAAAGAGAGAGGGAAAAGAGAGAGAGAGAGAGAGAGACATGGAGATGCGCCATTTGCATGCACCGCAATCGGCGCTGTTCGTGCTATTCAATCTATCTCGTCGAGTCAGACTCGACCAAACCCCTGTCACTATCCAAGGTTAACTGGTGGAATCCCTTTCAGAAGTGTTTTATGTGTCTATTAGGTCACAGATTTCCGCTTGAATGATCAGGCTACTAGGCGTGGCATTGGAGACCGCCTTGTGGAAACAATCTAATTCTCGGCTCCTGCAGACCTTGTATCTAGTCGATCAAGCTACGGGGTTAAGATGATAGTGCGAGAGCCCTCACGCAAATCGGACCTTGTCGCTGAGGTGCAAAGCCATGGCGGCGAGTGGCATAGCCTGGACCTCAACAATTCAAATGCAGCAAAGGCACTTATTAACTTCGTAGAATCGACGGGCCAGGCCATCGATGTTCTCATCAAAAATGCTGAGTCGATTATCTTCGGAGCTATAGAGCAACTTGCCGACGAGGAGCTACATAATCAGATGGAAACGCTGTACTTTGGACCAAGCCGACTGATCCACGCCTTAATCCCTCGTATGAGGAAGCGCCGCTTCGGGTTCGGGGTCGATATCAGCTCGGGCGCAGCACTTGATGCCCGCGAAATTATGGGAGGCTACGCTACTGGGAATTTAGCACTAGATGGTATGTCTGGTCGCAGTTCTGACCAAGGATACGGAGTGTATGTGGGCCGAATCAGCTTCATCGCGCGTCCTGGCCAGAGAAGTTGCGTCCTTCAACAATTGGGCTCTCCCTGTCTGGCTGGGGACCTTCAATACAAACCTTAGCAATGTCTCCTAGTTTGCCCAAGACACTCTGCCGGAGGACTATCGTGGCTCTGTTGCTGAGCTGACCATGGATGCTATCAAGAGCGGCAAGCTTCCATTCGACGGTGATCAGGACAAAGCGTCGAAGGCTATCTTTGAAGTGGCTGCTGGTGAGGGTATTGGCGCCGGACGTGAGGCGGAGCGGTTCCTGCCGCTTGGGTCATGATATGCTCAGTCGAGTCGGTCTGGTTCGTGATCAGTGTGTGCATGCTTTGGAAGTGTTTGAAGAGGTGTCTGGTAATGTTCATATTAACAAGTAGGCTTAGAAAAGTGTTCAGGTTTCGTCAAAGAATGTGATAAAGAACATGAAAGGTTCTTGTGGCTTGGTCTAATTCTTTTCTAGTCCTGGCACGGTGAAGAAGACGACCTGCACAGTCATGTCGTCCCGCTGGTTCCGTGAGAAAGGATACCCAAAGGCAAGTCGGCCTGCAACCATCTCATGATGGTTTCCACCGAGAGAATTACGAACTAGATGCACGGCAGCATTTTCATCCTGGACGGTTGCTCTCTGGTCTTCAAACTTCCACTCCAGCCCATTATCAAAATGTCCCAAGTCGAAGGCTTCATGAGCTGGCTCCATTTCGGACTTCCTCTTCTGACCAGCCGATGATTCAATCCACTTCGTGACCAGATCGACAGCCTGTTTATTAGAGAGCATATCCCAAAGCCCATCCGATGCCATGACCAAAAACGAGAGCTTGTTGGGATCGATCTTGGTGCTTGTCACGACAGGCTCAGCAGTCAAATAGGGCGGCGTTCGCACATCATACTTCGGGGTCAAAGGGGGTGGGGCACCAAATCTGCTTTCCATTTCCTTCTGAAAGTTCAAAGGCCACTTCCATCGGGTATCTCCAAAAGCTCGTGAGACAGCTAGCCCGAGCACTCGACCATTCTTGATCATCTCACTTTCACCAGGGTGCTCGGCACTCAACCGGGCAATCTCTTTTTCGTTGTACCCGGTCTGGTCTACCGACAGCGGAATGGCTTCCCAGGTTCCGTCAGGCCTTTGCTGACCCAGGACTGCCCTCGAATCACCCGTACACGCCACATGTAATGTACTTGTGGTAGAATCGTAGAGGGACAATAACGCACATGAGCCCGCGTAAGCAGGAAGTAATTTTTTCACCTTCTCTGCGAGTGACATCTCACTCTGAGAGGTCTCCAGAGCAGTTTCGACAATAGAATCGTCAAGCGCCAGGAAAGCCTCTGCGATCGCATGCTGCACAGACACGTCGGACAAAGTGTTTTTGCTAGAGGAAGCCTTGGCTTGGTTTAAACTGCGTCGCACAAATTTCAAAAGCTGTTTCTGTAGCAAATCCGCCGTTTGCCAGCCAGAGTGGCCATCAAACACAGCCCAGGCCATCCACTTTTGACCGTCATTGTATGGCGAGAAAGTGCCATGGATGAACCGGTCCTCGCAAACTGAATTGGAAGGCAATTGACTGCCATCATATCGAATGACACCCGGTGCATTTTTGACCGAGAAGGAGTATGCGCCTTGCGAGATGATACGCGTCACTTCATCTCTAGAAAGGCCAGTTTCAGGGAGCAAAGGTTCCGCTGATGAGCTTTCCAGACTTGGCACATCGTCGTGGGTGCTCAGAAGCCACCCTAGACCTGATGCGCCAAAAAAGCTGGCAGTTGCAATATGTCTTCTTGAATTTGAGGATAATCGCTGCGTTGAGTAGGAATGCCTTGCCATTGTCGGCAGGATGGACGCCATTCGACCTAACCGACATCGAAACTGTCTCCAGGGCAGCATGATGAGTAGAAATGTCACTAGAAAAGTCTGGCTAACGAAATTTAACACGCTCCAATGTTTTGTTTTGCTCAATATCAAGGTCTATGGGTATATAAGACACTACAACACTAACGTGCCACCCCTTGCCACCTCTGGGAGCCGAAGCTTGGCATTCCATCGTGGCCTCAGGCCTGAGATCTGAGCCGCATCCACAGTGAGAATCCCCCGGCAAAAGCGTACTTGTAAAATTAGTCTCGCAAAACTGAAGTCTAAAAGGGAAGCCCTGCTCATTATCAATTCCAGGGCTTCAGCCAAGGCCACGTTCTTCAAAGTTCTCAGGCCGTTGTTTTTTCATCACAAAGGTTACAACCCAGGTATCTTTCAATAGTTTCGTTTCAGAACAGAAAGTGAATTCGCAGAAGCACTACTGTAATTACGGAGGGTGCAATGAGGTAGTGCAGCAAGTCTCAGATCAAGTTTGGAGGGTATACGTTGAACACTTCGACCGAAGAAATATTTGAAAACAATTGTCCTGCGGTATATCCCAGCCGCTTGAAGAATGCTCGTTGAATGCCGCGACACCAAGATGAACCCGCTGAACGCCTTGCAAAAAGTCAAGTCATAAGGGAATCAAACGATCGCTATAATACAGCATGTGTCAAGAGACTAACAGCAATACTCGCCGATAAGCGAGGAACGTAGATGATAATTGAATTCGCAGAACAGAAAGAGAAGAGTGGTGCTCAGCGATTTCGATCTGCATGAGCCTGATGCCAGATAGTGTCGCCACTGAGGGCAGAGAAGCTAAGCGAAGCAAGGTTCCTCCAACTTGAGTGGGGTGCAGAACTCGGATGGCCATCAAGGAGCCCGACGGTCTGCTCAGTGTCTGACGCATCGCCATCATGTACGGGAATAAGCACAGGTGAAGATGAGGCTTCCGATTGTGCTTCCAGTTCTTGAGCATAGCCACTGTCTCTAGAGTGCTCATCTCGGTTGGTAATATCGGCAGCCTGAGAATGAGCCATTGAACGGACGACATCGCCCTTACAGATGGGGCAGGTTCTTCGGCGAGTAGTAAGCCAAGGGGTGATACACTCCGCGTGGAACTCGTGGCCACATGGTAAACTCATCACTCGGCTTTGTCCGTCAACGTATTCCTCGAGACACACAACACATTCTACTTGTCTGCCAGTATACTTTTGGCGCCACAGAGTCGATCCGGACTGCATTGTTGTCGATTTTTCTTCTCTGGATGCGGAGCTGAGTGGAACTCCCGCAATCGTCTGAGATCGCGACCGGTTGGATCGAGAGGTACTGGATCGGCTTTCACCAAGAAGCGGTGAAGTAGGCGAGACGGCTCCAGGGCTAGAAGGCCGAGGTGTGCTGGAAGAGGACGATGTATTCGAGATCGTGTGGTATGTGCGGACAGGAAGGCGCTCAATGACAGACTTAGGCGCGCGCCAACGGCGCCGGCGAATTCGAGACCGAAGAAGTAGAAGTGCATAGACCACCGTAAGCGTCAGGAGTGGGCTGATGACAAGGACCAAAAGCGTATCAAAGAATGGGCTCGTCGACATGCTTGTGGGGGTCATAGTAACCCAGAGGCCTTCGTGCTCGGATAACAGAGCCGGGGGAGAATCCGAAGAATGAGCGGAACTCGATTTTTGACTTGACACCTTCTGAGGCGAAGAGGAAGAAGACGATCCTGCTTCTTGCTTCGCGATATCACCCCACCCAAAATGGCTTGAGAACCAACCCTTTCCAGAGGCTTCAGAGGTACCGTGTGCGGTGGTGATAATTTTCTCAGATTTCTCGACATCAGCATCGCGAACAGTACCAGTAAACTTGTCGATGCTGAGGTATTCACCGCTACTAGGGGTGATGCTGCCGCCGCGCAATATGTTCGAAGTGGAAGCTGCGTCTAAGTCTATAGCAGCAGTCTTAGCGCTATCTTTTTCAGTTGCGGTAGTACTCGGTGTTGGGAGGGCGCTGCTTCGTGCCGGCATCAAATCAGGATCTCTCCAATCTTGCACACCAATGACAAATCCGTCGCCATCGGTATTATCAGTTGGTAAGCCAGAGTTGCTGCCCATGCCGGAATCAACTTTGCCTCGGGTGCGCTGATCGTAGTCTCCTGAGCTCCTTGAGCTCGCGGTTCGGGCTTGCCTGTGTCCCACGAGCCCGAAGTCATCCAGTCAATGTTGCCGCTGCTGGGCGGGCGTCGGCTATCGTCTGGATGCCCCGAGCCACCGTGTTCTATTGCATAAGCCGAAGAAAGATCCGAGGGCGCGGAGGAACCCGCCACTGGGCTGCAAAGCAGGAGGAGACTGCTCCTTTGCCACAGAAGAACTGGTGGAGGTTGGTGTGAATGCAGGGGTTGCGCTTGCGGTCGTTGTGGTTTCTGGCAAGTCCACGTCCGTCTGGCCAGCAAATTTCGCTTGCAATGATTTCAAAGCATCACCGAAACCAATCCTTGTGCCAGAGTGCGACGGCATCAAAGAAGAAAGAAGGTGGGCTGTTGTATGAGACGTGAAGAGTGCGGGGATTGTAACGTTCGACGTATCACCCCGAGCGTACATGGTGACCAAGTTTCCGCCACGAGTGTCATCGCCAACGATCAACGCCATGGCTCCTCGGCGCTGAGCCCATTTCACCTTCTCGAGGAACCCACAACCACCACGACTCAGTAAAACGACCTTGCCCTGGATTTCGGCCGTTTCTTGAAGTGACTGGATATCGGCATGCGTCGAATGTTTAACTTGAACGTAATCGCCATATTTTTGGGTCATACCGTTCTCGGCAGCACTGGACTCGGAGAGCGGATGGTGTAAATGATCGTCAGTACCGTCATTCGATAAAGGTGCCATTGGACCATCGCTTCGATCTGTCTGTCGCGCGGCATCGGCCTGCAATGGCAATCGAGGGTGAATCTGTGTCACGGCTCCCTCGTTCAATGTACTACTTCCGGACTTGCCGGACTTCTGCTCTGTACCCCTAGAAGCCGCGTCCTGTGGTTTGTGACCCGCCCCTTCGCCCCAGCCTGGAATATCGGAACATCCGAGTTCTCCTTCAACGCCTGCGGCAAGTCCTCCTTCACTAAATCCGCTGCCCACCCAGAGCTGGCCGCTTAAACCCTTGCCCGGCAAGAGCGGGCCAAAAGCTGCAGGGCGGGCCAGGAAGAAAGTCGAGTTGTCATCTGTGAGACTGATGATAGCGGAGGGAGGGAAAAGTGATGAGGGAATTTTGAAGGAGAAAAAACATGCAGGCCAGACGATCGACCAGCGAGCGTCTTGGGAGTGGCAACATGTGACGAAGAGAGGGCGGAAAAGAAGGTGAGGAAGATGGGGAAGAAGATAAGACAGAAAATAACAAGGAGAAGACGTGGAGGTCGCATGTCTGCAGCAATTTTGGGCTCCAGTAATAGGTATGAGGCAGAAAGGATAAAGAAATAGTGGGCGTTCGCGGAGAGTGAGGCGATAAACAGGTGATTCCGTTGTATGACACGGCTGACAGGCCCGGACGCTCTACCAATCCAAAGGTTGGTAGCAAGCGAACTGGCGGCCACTCATCGAGATCAATGAGCAGCACCGCTTATCACGGAGGGATCCGACAGCCACAGCCACCCAGACGTCAAGAAACAGAAAGGTGATTATAAGGAGAGGGGATGTGTCAGTGAAGTTAGTCTAGGTGGAGAAGGGTGAACTGGTGGATTACGTAACGACCGTGGAAGTATCGCGTGCCTCAGGCATGTCTCGTGATGCCCTTTCACTTTAGGCTGGCACCGATCCTGTGACATGGTTTTACTGCAGAGGCTGATGTTCAGAAAGAACCATTCAGTCCAGACGAAATGCCTGAAGTTGACTTCTAACTCTTGGGGAGGGACCGGTCTACCGCGAGGCACACTTGACAGGCCCCCTTCCCCGCTGATCATGTCATAATGAGTCCTCCAGGCAGCCGAATAAGCCACCCTCATTTTCAGTCTTTCAAATTTCCACGATGCTTGGCGCAGACGCCCCGATATTGCATATGCTGAACCCATCGGCAGATCTAAGAAATATCGAATGTGCACTCAACGCGATTGATGAGATGAACTTGTTGTGTACTGGTCCACCTTTGCCTATCATGGTTTAGCGCGCACCGTCCTCAGGTGGATATCATGACGTACTCGATCCGATCTACGTTCGAGACCCCATGCATAATTCATGGGCGTCTTTCTAGAATTCTAGGCGAAGAAGCCCCAATCTACCATCATTGGGCAGCAAGCTACAGTGGAAACTACGGTTCGGGAAAGTTGTCATGTCGTGGAGAGCTTACGACTCGTAAATTTGACAGTACAGTAAGGTATGGTTGCGCCACTCATAGAGAGAATCGGTACATCAGCTTTCAGCTAAATTCCATGGAACATCTCCTAAACTCTCTCCGCTAAGTCTTTCCTCTGTACCTTCACGTCGTCTGCTGCGCATGAATCTACCCAGTGATTACAAGCATGAGTCCTTGTCCAGTGGCGAGCTTCAGTCCTGGGCGACCCGGAACATGACAGTCTATGACATGGACGGGTCTGCAGTATTAGCAAATTCGTACGCCGCATAACTCACTGTGCCACGAGGACGTCATGACAAGCTAGAAGATAACAATGTTCGAGCTCTCCCCCCATCTGAGTGGCCATTATCTCCTACTCCACCCTGGCGTAATGGCGTCAGAGTGTCCCGTGAACAGCCATGTAGCAATTGAAACGTTCAATCTTTCGGGTTTGAGTGTATATATATCAACATTCAGCTCTCATGTCTCTTAAATTGTAAATCTATTACGTATTTCAAGTCACCAAGATCACGCAAGCTAGTCTTCTAGCTTTTCCAACAAGGCTCTAGATTTCAAGCAATACACTGCTCAACATGTCGAACCTCATTCACAAGGTCAAGGATGCGATGAGCGGTCATAAAGGATCCTCTCAAGGTTCATCTCAGGCGGAGCAGCGCACGAGCGGTCAGATCTTTCTTTTACAGTAATCTCACCTAATTCTAACAGGTTATAGATACCCAAGACCCGTACGGTTCCAGCAACATCAGTCGTGGAGATAACTATGGTTCTTCCAAGGCTGGCCAGGGAGATACTTACGGGACATCTAATACCAGACGAGGCGATACGTACGGTTCTAACACTACTAGCGGCTGGGGAACTAGGGATTCCAACACTGGTCGGAAGGCCAAGGAGGGATCTAGTTCCAGCAGCTCCAGCTCAGATAATGACCGCATTGGCAAAGAGAAGTCTGGCATGCAACGAGATACAATGGGAACTGGTACTACCTACGGTTCAAAGCCCGCCGGTGCAGGTCTGAGCACTGGAGCCTATGATTCCAAGATGGGCAATAGGGACACGAGTGACTCTTATGACTCCGGCAACTACGGCTCTTCCGGGATGGACTCTCAAGCCTATGATTCCCAAATGGGAGCCAGGAACACATATGGCTCAAACACCGCAGGCTCTGGGATGGGCTCTCAAGCCTATGATTCCCAAATGGGAGCCAGGAACACATATGGCTCAAACACCGCAGGCTCTGGAATGGGCTCTGGAATGGGCTCGGGAATGGGCTCGGGAATGGCCACTGGGGGCTATGATTCCAAGATGGGCAACACGATGGACACTGGCAACACCTATGGCTCAACCACAGGCTCTGGCAACTATGGATCAACCACAGGCGCGGGCAATTATGACATTGGTGGCTATGACTCCAAGAAGGGTCAAACTGGCATGGGATCTTCTGACATGAACACTGGTGTCTACGACTCGAACACTCGCGCTGGCGACTACAGCATGGGATCCAATACCTACGGCTCGTCGGGCTCTGGAGATTACTCTGGCACTCAGGGACCTCGTGAATCTGACATGACCAACAGAATGGATCCTCGCGTCGACAGCAACACCGGTCAGACGGGAAGCTACACATCCGACTACGGCAACACTGGTACTATGGGCCAGACATCCAGCTATGGCACAGGTGGCAGCGATCCCTCCACAGCTTACAAAACACGCTCAGCTGCTAACACCGGGTCGACCATGGATACTACTAATATTGGTCAGATGAACTCGCGTGGCGAGCCTACAACCCAGCGCGACTTTGGTGGCGCGGCTGCTGGTGGTAGCAGCTATAACGCGCCGCAGGGAGGTAGAAGAAGAAGTTCTGGTCCTCACAGTATCAATCTTCTCAACAAGCTGGATCCTCGCGTGAAGAGCTCAGATTACGAAGCTACTGGTAACCAGCGTGGTGGAGATTAGGTCTTTTCAAAAAGCTTCTTTGGAAGGCTTTGTTCATGGCTTTCTGAGATTTAGTTTATTGTTTCAAATTTCTTCGGTTAAATCAATTGAAAATACTCTTGTCTGTACAATGAAAGCCGCTAGCATCTGATGCTAAGGCGTACAAGATCTTTCACTTTTGTGCTACGTGAAGACTGTAGATATTCCATTCGGTTTGTCGCGGAAAAGAGTGAACTACAATCAAGTTCGGTCATGAACATCTTGAAATTTCCATCATGTACAGGAAGGAACGGACCCAAGGCAAAGCTGAACGTGCTCTTAGTAGAAGAACAATATCATGAAGAGGAAGGAAAAGGATAAGGATTGTAGGCTAGGGTTATGAGACATGGTATGGAGACAAGGTACGAAAGAAAACAGAGTTCACTGGTTTAGGAAGGATCAGGACATTCGACGCCATAGTCATGACTGACGCGAACCAAGGCTGGAAACACGAGGGCAAAAAGAACAAGAGAGAAGGTCAGGGTATGCAAATTATGCTGAATGACGTTTGAGGTACCAACACCGAACCCAGAAGAATCAAGCACCCAGGCACCTTGGCCCAGAATACAGGGAGCATCATGTCGTCAAGAAAAGTAGAATCGTCGGTGAAAATAGTCATGCTGGACTGCCCTTCTAGAGCGCCAACTTTTGAGTAATAATAAATCGTGAGCGTATGCGGAAGAAATAGCCAAAGCCGATTTATTTGTCCATCTTTTGCCACCCGTTAAGATAGGCCATTAAGCCAACCCCCAGAAGAACCACCCCGAACATGGATGCATAAGGGCTTGCTTCCTCCAGGAAATTGCGCCGGTGTTGTGTGGCAAAGGCAGTGGCCGCAGCCTCTAATTCATTCGAGGTGACTGGGCCGTGTCGATGTGAGGATGTGCAATCCATCTTGGACTCAATTGACCCATTCTCTGTCGGAAGTTGTGCAGAAACGGTCGTCACCGAAATTTGACTATGTGAATCTAGATCCGAGGCGGTGGAAGCCGATTCTTTCTCGGTACGCTCCTTTCGGAGGGTCTCGATCATTTCAGCCAGGGACTTTCGCGACTCGGCCGATTCATCTTCGGCTTTCTCGGCACGCTCCTTGAATGAGGCCATCTGCTTCCTCAATTCCTCCATCTCTTCCATCATATTCTCAAGGCGGCGCTGAAGCAGCGTGGCATTGACCTCCGCAGATGGCTCTTTCTGGTCGGCTTCACAAGGCGCAGGAGTCTCTGCGGGGATAGTTGTCGAGTCATCATGCTCGAGCTTGATCGTTGGCTCTTCCTCTGGACGATGAACAGCGTTTTTCGACTTGGAACCTTCGTCGGATGCGGAATCCAATTCCAGCTTCTTGATCTTCTCTTCCGCAGACTCGCGAGCGGCCCGTTCCTGGAGAAGCAGGTTTTCCAGCTCCTTGACACGGGCACCCTGGTTATCGATTTCTCGCTTGGCAGATGAAAGTGCCTCAACAAGAGACAGAATTTGGCTCGAATCACGCGAAACGGGCGAATTACTAGAGGCCAATTTAGGTTGCTTGTCGGTGTCACTGCGTTTCAAGGGAGAGAAATCAGACGCGGAACGGGGCATGGCATCGGGCTTCTCTGGGAGAGGTTGCTGGGGAGGAAGGGCAGGCGGTTCCGAGAACCGGGAGAAAGAGTCAACACGGGGCATTTTTGGCCGGCCATTTAGCTGACGAGGAGCACTGTTCTCGAAAGAAGTCGGTTTCGTAGCCCTTTCTTTCTCAGGATAGCCTGGTTTCATGATTGCGGTTAAAAATTCGTCCGTCTGACGAAGATCCTGAGACTGTTGCTTCGCTGATTTCAACTCGCTCTATACAATTGCTTAGTATACCAAAAGAAATGCTTGATGTGGATCAGGGAGCCTTACCGTGAGCCTTTTGACGACCTGTTCCACAGAAATAGGGGAACTCCAGTAATTCATTTGTCGTTGCTGGTGCATGGCATTGATCTGATTGCTGGAGGCACTCTGGGCACTTCTGTTACTCACATTGCTGCCAGATCGCCCTCGGAGATGGGAAAGTGGTTGGCTAAGGGGCGATGGTAGAAGGCCACCGCCAGAGGCAGGGTCTAAGTCTCCGTAATTGAGGTCAAGAATGTTGGGGGTTGTTCCATACAGACCAGCGTGCTCAACCTTAGCTGAGACCTTATGATGAACAATGGTGTTCTGATCTTCACTGACAATGTCGATGCCTAACTCCAAGGTGTCGTTTTCGCGAAGCTCATGCGCCTCTGATTCGCGATTCTCAGGAGAAAGTCGCTGGCCATTCACGAAGGTTCCATTTGACGATTTGACGTCACGTATCCAGATTTTCCCGACCTTGTCAGCCCATATCTCAGCATGCTGCCGCGATAGGACCTTAGAATCGAAGTACCCATTCAACGGCGTGGGAACTGTCTTAGCATTCGTCTGACGACCGATTCGCAGGACATCAGGGAAAAAAGGTACGTTGATTTGCTTCTTCTCAAATGTACCGTTCAAAGGTGTCAGGGCCAGGATGGCAGGGGGGTCCGCAGATTGCCCATTAGATTGCCTGATTCCATTCTGCTGGGATGATTGGAGCATATGTTGTGATGGGACAATAGACGATGGTTGATGCATAGCAGACATGGTCGATGATGCAGTCGGACCCGAGGAGAAAGCGGGAACTGCTTGTGATCGCGTGTTTGTTACTCCAGACACAGGCTCAGCCTTGGAGCTAGGCCAAAGGTTCCGAGTAGGTTTCTTCTTTGATGACCAGGTTCCAGCTTCGGCGCCAGTATTTTGCGTGGCGTGGGCCTCCTGCTGGTTGCTGGTCACCGTAGATGTGGAGGAGTTCGATGCGAGGGAAGAGGAGGAGTTGGAGCGGTGGACGTGCTTCCGAGGCATGAACATCCGTGAAACTTCGTCGGCGTTCACTGAAGACAGGGCTCCTTGTCCTCCGTTACCAGTGCTGTACCATCCCAAGCGAGACCCCGATTGCACACTAGGTGGGGATGCCACAGCAGTCATGGAGAAGGATGGTCCGGGTGATTCGAAACAGTAGAATGTCCCGGCGACAATTAACAGTCGCAGTATTCACAAGATGCGGGGACCTCGAATATTCGGTTTCAAGTTGAATTCGTGACTGAAGGATGATAAAGTGGTAGAATAGGTAGTGTTCAATGCGCGCAGGACTGTTGTTTTTGTTGGTCGGCCGGCTATTTTAGAGCGATCGCGTTAGCGCTATCCGGTCGCTTGCCAAACATATTATCGGCCCCCAGACTTGGGGTCTGGGCTCGAGGTAGGTGGCCTGCCGGAAGATCGTAATAAGATTCTTTACTTACCCGCTATAGAAGGTTTGAGGGAGATATGAGCACCGTCCGGGGCAAAGAAAGTCAGTGCACTAGACCAAGGAGGCGTGTGAGGTCCGGAACGTGAGCAAGCGACCGGTGTCTCACCACCTTCCAAGGTCGGGGGAGCACAAGACGGAACTTGCCGCCTTACCCACAGGCTTGAGGCCCTGAGATGAATAGAATAAGAAAAGGATAGAGATCAAAGGACGGGGATGGCCATGGAAATCTCTCCCACGGAGAGAGGAAACTGTCCCTGGTCTCTACTCCCTTGACGCCTCCGGACCACACGTGATCTCATGGCACGTGTGCACACCCGTTATGGATCACGTGACGCGGAGACGGAGATTTGGCTTCCGCGATGCGCTGCTTGAAAACGCCTTGTCTTGGGATCCCGTCCATTCTCCTCTACTAAGCTTCATTTGACTCTCGGCTGCCGCCCATTCAATCTTACACCTTCGATAACTTTCTATATTCCGCCTTTCAGTCCAAAATGCCTGTGGTTGCTGGTCCTGCCGCAGGGGGCCCTGCTGGTGGCTCGACGTTCGAGAAGAGTATGTTGTCTGTCCATGCGGGGAGCTCTACCTGGAGCACTTCACGAGATCTTGAAGCATGAACTGACGATCTTCCAGTGAAAATGGGTTGCTTGATGGGTTCTAGTACGTGGTCACGAAACAAGTTTGCGTCATAGCTTGAGCTTCTACTAACTCCATCCGTCGCAATAGCTGTCGGTGGAATCATGGGCTTCATTATCGGTAATAACTACCAGTCAAACAAACTGTAGAGAATAATAAGCTAACCGAATAAAGGAACTGTTACTATTTTCCAGTACGGCGCTGGTCCCAACGGCGTCATGCGCACTCTGGGCAAGTACATGCTGGGCTCGGGTGCCACTTTTGGGTATGGAATTTCTTTCCTTCAAGACGATCTTTGGTTTTTCCGAAACCTTCCAAGCAATCACCAACGCTAACATATGGACTTTCTTCTTTTTAGTCTTTTCATGTCCATCGGCAGTGTCATCCGCACTGAAGGGCCCCTCAACGATGCCTGGCTCCGCGCTCGAGGCCCTCCCATGATGCTTCCCCGTCAGAGCCCCCTCCGGTCCATGAGCCAATAGAGTTGTCTCGACTGTCGCCCTTCAAGTGGATGTCAACATATCTCCATGACACGACCAAGTTGGAGGGGACGCTTCTTGTACGATATGATGTTCACATTTATTAAGCGATTTCAGTAATGGAATGGCAGAATTGGCCAAGATTACGGTGTCTATAATGGTATTATTGAAGCCAGACGGCCACAAGCTTCCAAGCTCACAATGTACATATGCTTGTTGCAACTGAGAGATATTGGGACTGAAAACCTCTCTACTCAGAATGCTATGTTGGCGGTATTGCCTGCTCCGACTTTTCAATGTCGGGAGAGATTTATTTGGCATTACAAAAGGGAAGAAAAACACGATGGCGTGTTCTTTGAGAGCGTCTTAATGCCCAATCCGAGGACTGCGCCTGAGAACCTGACATGTCCCAATCAGTAGCTGTATACGGTGCTGCGCCTGTAAATCGAGACTCCTTATTTAATTCTCCCGTCAAATTGAAACTGTCGAGTAAGCGATAGAATACTTCTTCCACGATAGTATGCCCAACACAAGACACGTCTATCGAGCCTCAGATGCGAAAGCAGGAAGGGAGAAGAATCGAGTGATGAAATTGTACGAACAAAGCTATCTGGTATGTAAATGTACACTCCCGAGGTCTGTGTACGACTCCATAAACGTGGGTGAATCACTAGAATATGAACAAAAAGTACCATTTCGTAGGCCAAAGGCCTAAATGCTCGGTCTTTTGGCGGTTTCCAAATAATCTCCTTTCGTAGATGTATTTAGCGTATGATGAATCTGGTAGTGCTCGGTAGAGAAAGCTTACTAGGGAAATCTTCGAACGATATATTCTTTACCATATTAAGCTAGGTCTACAAGAATTGCATGATTTGAAAACTTTCACCATATGACTAAAACAGTTCTGAATTTCGCCTTGTACAATAGAAAATTATTAAATGCCAGTTGCATGCCGAAAAAGCCTATGTTTCTCTATCAGGAATACAAATTTACACTTTAATACAATTGTCGCTTATGCATTAAGGGACCATCAGTAAGTCACCATCAAACATTCTGCGGTCCGTTTTGATGAAATTGTGAGTATTGATCGCGACAGTTTCAAAAAAATGTCAGGCTGATCAAAGTATCCCCAACCGAGAGGCTGGCGAGAAGACTTTCGAACCCTTTCGAATTGGGCGCAGTCTAGGTGATGATGTCTGCACCGCCCAGTTGAGTAAGTATTTCAATAGTTCTGCTTGATCTGACGTCAATGGAATGGTGCGCTCCGAGCCTTTTGGCAAAATTGGCTTTTCCATCGCCAGACGACGGTACAGCCACTTAATAGCTCATTTTGCAGGCATATTGGACAGCTAAGTGATCTGGACCACCAAAAACTTGGATAGCAAGTAAGCTTCTCTGTTCAACGTCGTACATCTGGGTACAACTGAAGACAGAATTTCCGGCAAACAGCAAAGGCACAACGTTGAGCGTGCCCAAGTCCCGGAGAGCGTGGATGACGCGTGGGAGAATACACCGGCTAAGCCACCATCCCGAGACACGCCGTCAATCTTCTACCTGCGTAGACTGTCAGTGGGTTACCGTAGAAAGAAATGTACTTCAACTCGAAACATAGACAGATTAATCAAGCTATCTCAAGCATTCGGTTCTGATACTTCTATCCAACTCTCAAGCGCTCGATATTTCGCGTATCAAACATGCTAGCAAAGTGCGCGTGGCGAGACATACCTTAAGTTCCGGACAAGTGGAATTCGTGACTTCGCCGACGAAGTTGACCGAGTAAAGCTGCTTGACTATATCTTTATCTTAGGTTATCTAAGCTAAATCCAAATAAACAAACCCACCAACCTTTCCCGAATTCGCGGCACTAGTTAAGTGCATCATGTGTCTCTCTCAATTTGCAAGCCGATCTCGTTCGATGGACCCAAAGTTTGTGCCCAGATGCTATTTTAAAGGACAGTTTCATCTTCATCTGTGGCGTATTTGCATTCATCATATCCTGGGCTTTATTCGCAGGTATGACATAATCTCTTAGACGGAGCTTGACAAAGCTCTACCCTTGTGGAGCTCATGTCTTTTGGCTGTCCATCGAAAGAAAACCTTACAATTGTAATATGAGCGACTGTTCGACCGGACGAGCTATACTTATCCTCTGACGGGCAAACAGCAAAGATCTATAATCACAACATGGGACTTCCAAATGCGCAAGGTTCGAATGAAGATCGTAATTTAAAATAACTAGACTGCTCCTCGGAAATTTGCTCGAGGATAGCTTCGAGATAGCTCGAGTGTCATTTGCTATGTACCCAGGCGGCCAGCAATTCGAAGTGTCCCGGCTTATTAGCACACCAGACTCTCGCATGTGACGTGAGTCTCGGGCTCAAATCGGCTATCTTCACCTTTGTTCTTGCCCCTGTTGTATGACTACGGGTAACCTGGACTGCTTCTTGCGCTTTCGGTTCAGGATGGGCGGGTGGTGAACTGAGAGGGGAGGTGAGAAAGAGCGGTATGGTGGGTGTGACCCCGATCGGTCACAGATCACTTGACCGGATGAATTGCAAACATCGTGTTCTCGGACAATCGGATCTTCGATCCAGCCACGAAACATCGAATGTATCTGCCCCTCCCTCCTCCGAAGGGGACCCAAGACTGGCTTCCGGAACTGAATGTTTTGATTTCCAAACAGCGTCGCGTGAGGCAACGCGATATGATGGGGAGCAACTGCAAGGAGATCTCAGCCTCGGACTGATCACAAATTCTCGAGCCCCCGGACTCGGGCACAGAGCGAGCCACGAAAAGGAAACCGAAAGAGACGGTCGCGGTTCCATGGATGTCGCCAGAGGCTTCTGAGTCGCTCCCTAAGCCCCAGTCGCTAATTTCCCTCCATTGGAGGCCTAGCTCTGATTTCACAAGTGGATCATGCCAAGCACACCGTCACAACAATCGTTTCCTCGTGTGGGCTCTGTTCGGCCAGCAACCCGAACGAGGCAAAAAGAGACAGAACCTTGTCCAATCTCGGTTAAACTTGTGGTCTAGCCAATCCGATCGACAACACATGGCCTCCCAAGTGACGAGAGAAAATTTGCACGCCTGCTCCGGAGCGAATGGGAGTTCGCCATCTCTGTGCGATCCGCGTTATCCGTTCCTGCATCCATAACGCCAGGGGCCACACCTATACCGTTCATCTGTCCTGGACTGAGGCCCCGGGACTTTTCAGGATGCAGAACAACGCACCGGAGATGCAGGCGCAGATCATGACAGGAGTGAATCCGCATTGAAAAGACTGCAGCGTCTACTGGAAACGCAACCCGAACCCAGAGGGTTCCAAACGGGGTAGGGTGGTGCTGACTCAACCTTTAGCAACAACTAGTCGCCTCCATTCACGCCCTGTCTAGGTCTAGGACTGGAGAACACTTCGAAATTCCCCAGGGGTAAAGAATCCCATACACGGGCGAAGAAGAGTGAGACGTATTGTGTTCCCATGGAGTCCATGGACCCATGGGACGTCTGCGGATTCTGACCCAAGTCCTGGTGATGACGGAGTTCGCTAGGATCGTCCTCAATAGCACAAGAATCCATTACATCAATAAACAAGACCCAAGTCCGTACACCAACTTGGGTTGACCATCCCCTCGCATACGAACTTCCGGGTGTGTCTGTGCGGAACGAGACCCTGTGTTCTTTAAGTCCTTGGCGCCGTCCTGGGCCCATAGTTCGATCATGGACTGGCCCTATTTCGGATAGTCTCAGGAACAGGGTGCCCACTCCCCCTCCAATAGGGGCCCGTTGCGCCAGGGGAAGAGAAAAGCCAATTAAACGATCTGACCCACACAGCGCTCTAGAGGGAGCAAATGACCCTTTCCCCAGGTTCACTCACTCGTGCCTGAAATTATTTAGACTGGGCGCATGCCACACCCTGTCAGACTCCCTTTTCCTTTCCCCCTTAGGCGCTTTGAAGCTCACCCCAGTCATTCGTTCACTCGTCACTCGTTTATACTCCAACCCTCCTCACGAGCCGTGCTCTGTCTTCGCTCGTTACCTACCTGCTTTTGAGTATCATTCTCTACACTCAAAAACCTATCATTCTCGCCGTACAATTGTGATCGCATCGCGTCGTCTACTTGTCTATACGCTTTATACGCATTGACTAAAGTTATTGTTGGACTTCTGTGAACTGTCAACGTCAATAGCCTTTCTATACCACCTTTTGCGCACCAACTCGTCACATTTCTCGACAATTTTATCAGCGAAAAATGCAGTTCAGCGCTCTCTTCACGTCTGTCCTCTGCCTAGCTGCAGTCAACTTTGCTGCCGCAGAGGACACCACCTCCGTGTCGACCGCGACCGTCACCAAGACCTTGATCCGAGTAAACTCGGTCACCGTCACCCCCACTCCCACTCCCACTCCTAGCTCCAGCATGATGAGTGTCGTGGCGACTTCCACCCCGTTGGTTGTCTCATCTACCCACGCTGCTCCCTCTGCCACCCACACTGGCGGTGCGGTCAGCATGGGCGCCGGCGTGCCGGCTGCCCTCATCGCTGGCTCTTTCGCGCTCATTATGGGCCAGACCTTCTAGTCGCAGCAGCGATTGAAGACTCACCGGCAGGCTTCGCACTCAATGGAAGGCATCACCACCACTGATTGGACGTGGCTACCCGGTGTCTCTTCCTGCCGTTTATTTCCAGCCGAGCCGGGGTACACCTTTTTATTTTGACACATAATTTCTATTCTTCACCTTTAACTTTGATCCTCTTGGTTAGCTGGAGAACCCTTCATGAGAGGAAACGGCCTTTACGCATTCACTCTTCAAATACCCCCTTTTTAACGACTTTGTGGACACGAGTTGATGTCGGATTTACACTTCTATTCTATACTTTTCATCTACTTCTTCTGTTCATATCTGTGCGAGGGATGTTTTCTATTGATCTTCCGGCCGTGGCTCATTCCGCCTCCGGGGTGGACGGGGTCTGGAGTCGAATGTCAGAATCCAAGGATTGCACAAGTACATTCAAGAAAACTTCATCAAACAATCAATTTTCTATTACAACAAGCTTTTCCCCAACTTCTTCACGGCCATAGAGAGTAGAGAAGATCACGTCGATCGAATGTTCGGGTGGGGAACATTCTTTGCCGTGGACTCCGCGACTGACCGTGCGCCCACGCGTCTGCTTCAGGTAACCAGTCGTTTGATCGCATCTTATCTCTAGGCATTCTTGATCTCAACTCGACCTTTCTTCTTTATGTAATCCCACACTGTATCGATTGGTCTTGCTCCCAGGATTGTACAGCTTCAAAAGTACGCGTTTGTTGACATCCGAGCTGTCGCGGTCTTGTCTCCACAACGCGTCGCCCCTCAAATTGGCGCATTGTCCACCAGCTCTTCGCATGAGCCTGGACCTGGACTTAGACGACAAGAGAGACTCGCGTGTCCTACACTTCTGAATTCAATGGATAGCGAGATTCCCCTCCCTCCACCGCGGCGTCTGCGCCATCGGTCTTCATCGCGAGCCGGCCCCTCACCTGCAGCCTCGGTCGCTTCGTCATTTCACAAATCGCGCCGGTTGTCGCGGTTCGATGATCGCTCGAGCCAGCCTTCTAGTGACCCGGCGCTATTCTCGAGCGACGACATTCCCGCATCTGGGCTTGAAAATTACAATGCGCCTGTGGCGGGTGGCCCGGGGCGGAAGCGACGGTATCGTGGGACTTGGTGGGGGGAACAGGCCGTGGACTCTAAGAGAAAGAGGGCCGATTTCAAGGACAAGCGCCATGTGGACAGTGGTGTCTGGATGGGCAGTGATGAGTCACTGGCGGAGTCTTCATTGCCTTCAGAGGATGGGCCAGCTTGGGGAGAGGATCTTTTGAAATCTGTTCTGGATCCGCAGAGTAAGGGGAAATTTCCCCTTGAGTCATCTACGTTGAGAGCTCCTACTCCAGTGCAGGCTCATTCTCGTCCAATCCCTATCTTTGTCAAGGGTGGCGTGTCGGAAGAGCATCGAATTGCGAAGGAAATCATCAACAATTGTCTTGAGAAGGGCGAGGACAGCATTGATCTTGGGTAAGTGAATGCGCTATCATGTAGTTGACATCGATTCTAATTGAATGTTTACAGAAACCTGAATCTTAAGAGCCTTGAGCCCGGCCTTTTAGCACCTTTGCAGCATTTGACGAAGCTTCCATCTGTTTCTGAGCCTCCAACATCTGAAAACGCCTATTCTTCTCTTCAGCCGTTCCTTCGCATCTTCCTCCCGAACAACAACCTCACCAGCTTGGGTAGCGAGCTCTTCGAGCTAAAAGACCTCAAAGTCCTCAGCGTGCGAAGCAACAAATTAACCACGCTTCCTTCCAACATCCGCAACCTGACATCCTTGCAAGTTCTCAACATCGCAGTCAACGAACTTACTTCCCTCCCGTGGGAGCTTCTGGGTCTCCTCCAAGGAGAGCTGAAGCATCTTTCTATATACCCGAACCCATTCCCATCAATTGAAGAAAGTGAGGTTGCCGTCTGGCGTCATGAATCAAGCAAAGAAGGTGAAACTAGTATTGAAGAGGTCCTCAAATTCAAAGAATACGAAGGCGAGCCTCCCTCGGACGCATGGACCGCCATTCACATTGCAACAGGCCCAGTAAAGCGTCTAGACATGGATGGTCGGCCAGTTAACTCATCAGCATCACCCTCAGCACAGCACGCCCCATCCCTCCGAGAACTCTCACTCCGCACATTGGTCAAAATGCCAGGCCTCGACCAGATCACCGAGGAAGAACTTCTCGATTTCCCTCCACTCGCGGTCCCCCTAATTGCTTTGGCTCAGAAATGGCATGCAGATGGTGGCTGGCACTGCTCGGTCTGTCATCGGGAGTATGTGAATCCGCGCTCTGAGTGGACGGAGTGGTGGGATTGTACACCTCATGAGAACGGGATGAAGAGGCCGCGGACTTCAGGAGAGAAGCTTCGTCCTTTGCCCTTCAGGCGCTTTGGGTGTAGTTGGGCTTGTGTTCCGGACTCATAGCCTGTATATTAGTCTTTTCTTCCTTGTGCATTTTTAGGGCTTGTATATCTTGTTTGTACATGATATAGTGTTTATAGATTTATCTCTCGTGATGATGGAAGTACATACTTTTACTCAAACACGAGTTCTGGTTTGACGCTGTAGATTGTAATTTCCCTTGAAACTTACCGACGTGATAACTCTTGAATGAACTTAGTTGCTTGTTTCGTTGCTCAGAATTATATGGATCCAGCCTGAAGGTCAGATACAGTAATCCTAGGACCTAGCCAGGAGCGTAAATGACAGTAATTAGAAGAAATGCAACAAATGAACGCCAGTGCAGAGACTAAAGACGACCATGTTGAGCTTACGGGCTTAGTCTCCCGATAAAGCTGCACTGGGCCCGCCGTGAACTAGCAGATGCATTTAGCGACTATGGCGGACTGGTTGAAAGGGAGAGAGGTAGGCTACATCGAGTGAGACCGCTGCATAGAACATTCAATAGGCATTTGCGCCATCTTGAAGTTTTTTTATTTTACGCCGAAACAAAATACATAAGTGGCGATATTCAAGGGGCAATTTGTTCTCGACGTTCACTGCTCTTCCATGTCGATGATTTGCTAGTCTGTTCATGTGAGGACGAATGTTGTCGGTCTGTCTTGCTCGGGTATCAACGACGCTTTTCATCAAATGGGCTGAGCAGACCAAGTGACCAAGGATGAATTCAGTCCGATATCATCCAGAAGCCTCCGAGAAGAGAAGTGCCTCAATATGGGATCGTGTGCGGCATATGTAGACGGGGTCCTGTTGCAATGATGCTCTTCCTGATAAAGCGAAGCATCGCTGTTGAACAAGCAGGCGCGTGCCCCGCGAACGAGGCACAATCCTTGGTATCCGATCGTCGCGGCCTTCAAAGTTCTTTGCGTCTCACTCTGGTGTGTTCAATGGCATGTCAAGCACACAAGATATGTGCACTTGACATGGCCCCACTCGTAAACACTTCACTTGAAGCTGATAGCCACTTCGACTTTCTTGATCCACCTAGTCCGAGTCTCAGGTAGCTCCTCATCCTCGGATACCTTCGCGACCTCGCGCTTCCTCTTGTTCGCGGAAGTCTTTTCCTCGGCGTTGTCAGCCTTTTCTTGTCGCTGCTGTTTGCGCATCTCTCGTTCTTCTCTTCTCTTCATCCTCCACCACATCATCAACAACGAGAACACTTCCAGTGGCCACGCGAACTGTGTACTCGGCCTCCTTCTCTTCAAACCACTTGCCCACATTAAGGGCTTTCTCAATCGCCTTGCCAGTAGCTTTCACGAATATTTCCTCTCGCGTCTCAGTAGCCTTAGAGAGCTCTGCAAACTTCTGCTTTTCTGTTTTCTGCGTATCCTCGAGACTGATACCAGCGGTCGCGCGCTTCTCCGCCTGGCGGAGTAGTTTCTGGACGCGCTTGACCGCGCTCATGAAAGGTGTCTTGCTCGAGACATAAACAATCTTGGGTACGGACGGGCCTGCGTAGGGCGAGGCGACTGGCGCATGGGGGACAGGTCGTTTTTCGACTTTGGCATCTGCCAAGCGTTAGTCTTCTGGGCCTTGTGTGATATGGAGGTGTGGAAGGACATGGAGCGTACATCTGGGGAGCTTGATGAGGCCCTGATTTTTCTTCTCAAAATGGAGATTTCTCTCCAGAGGCCCCTTGCCCATCTTAAGAATTGTAGGATCTGCGGGAGATCCAGTTGGAGGGCTGTCGCATCGATGCTGCGAATGCAGTCTTATCTTCGCCCTTTTTCTGCCAGGCGGTGTAGGTTGATAAAAGCACTTTCTGCCTAAGGCTCAACATCGTTATCTGGGGAGGATTGGAGGGTTGAAAAGTAGCGTTGAAATAAGTATATTTCAGGCTTCGGCTAGTATCCCCATCTATTCTGTGAGTAGACAAGATCCTTTTCTGTATTCGTCTCATGTTGCACTCCACAAACCAACGTGCGCTTAAGCGCTAGTTGAACAACCTGGGACTCGCTCATGTGTATTCGACATCTCAGAGCATAATCACTGGTTCTTCCCGGGCTTTACTCTGCTATTAGTTTTTAATCAAATTGAGGCCTTGGATGGAGATCGGTATTAGTCATTTCACATCGACTTTATGTTACCAGCATACATAGATGCATAACGTATTTCAACTCAACGAACAGCTTGATCTGAGGACATAATAAATATGGACAAAAGATGTTTGTTATCACCTTCAGTAACGCACTCCACTAAGCCTTCAAACACGAAAATAAAATGATGTGTACTGCACCACGTGATTATGGCGCACAGGAGCCAAGCGGGCAGGAAACACACGTCCGATGACTCTCTGCCCATGTGCCAGCAATTCAAAAGGGATTCTCAAGTTCAAATTCAACATCAAAGATCATCATAAAGATTGCCAAGTCATGCGTCCAATGCAGGACTGCCAAGCGCAAGTGTACCTTGGAGCGAGGGACGTCGTGCCAACAATGCGTGAGAAAAGGGAAACATTGTTCGCTATCAGATGCATCTCCAGAGCTACGAAGATTGTTCCCTAACAACCCCTCAACCATGGAAGCTTATTGGCTTTATGAAGACGTGATGATAGAAAACATCACAGAAGAAACTCGCGACCATTTGGTAGATCTCTACTTTCGCTTCATACATGACAAACCCCACACATTGTTTCACCCGACCCTTCTCAGGAAACGGATTCGTGAAGACGAGGTTGGAATAGCACTTCTCTACTGCATCATGGCATTGGCAGCCCGGTAGGTTCTTGTGATTGACAAATTTCCCAGCACTGACCCTGACCATACATAGCTTCTCTGACCACGCCGAGATTCGCCAAATGACAAAATCACTATACCTGGCGGCCAAGCATCTCACAAAACAACAGATTGAAGTAGTTTGTCTTGATAACATTCATGCTTGTATCCTTGTCGGCAATCTTTGCGGTGCGGAAGGGGAAATTGAAGCAGAAGCTATATTCTTCGGTAAAACCACCTTATCGGTTGTAACATCAATCTCTAATTGATCATTAGGAGTTGCATTTCGCATGGCAGATATCTGCGGATTTCCAGATGCGCATGACTTGGAAGATAGCGTTACCAAAGAAGTGATTGTACGCACGTGGTGTTCGCTGTACATGATTGACCAGTGGTCCTCTGCTGGCCTCAATCTACGCAGGCAAATCGGGGACGAAGAGAAGCGACCTATGGATGAAAAGCGATTTTGGCGCTTAAAGCCTGGAGAATTCCTCACACCCTCCATCTAAGCAAAACCCATGCCAAGTCTCTGGGGCCACATGGTTGACCTCGTTCAAATCTTCGGCCGCGTTAAAGACTTCCATCAAGAGCTAGCAGAAGGATTGATCGGCGACTTTGGGACCGAAATCACTACTTGCAGATTGAAGAAGAGATTTGACGATTTCACTCGTCTCAAGCTGCCACATAGACACCACTACAACCCACAAACTCTCAAATCCCATGCTGCTGCCGGCCTTGGGGGAACTTTTGTGGCTCTTCATCTTGGCTATCATCACTATGCCACACTGCTTTACTTTCCCTACCTCGACCCACAGCTTGCCCAAATACCAGGCCGATCTGGCTATGTTGATCTCTGCAAGAGTCATGCTGCATCCTTTAGCGACTTGCTGAGGACCTCACATGAAATACCCAATTGCGAAGCTGTGTACCTCATTGTGGCTCATATGACGGTCGTTTCATCGTCCGTTCTACTTCATACGCTTTTGTTTGGCGAAGAAGACGAACTATCCGAAGCTAGAAGACGACTTTACTCGAATTTTGAGATACTCTTAAAGTTGAAAGAATACTGGCCAGGAGCTGACCTCATGGTGAGGCCAAGAATAATGCATTCCATAGACAGGGGTTGACTGAGTTGATAGGTGGAACGTCTGTTCACGTTTCAAAAAGTGTGCATGCGCTCCATGGACAAAACATATGCCGTAGATAGATGGATTGTCAAATTTATTCTTCAACATGCATTGCCCATCGATGGTGAAGGGGCTACACCCACTCTCTCGGACCTGGAAGAACGAGGCAAGGTCGCAAATGATGCACTGTCGATGCTTCGTCCGGTGCTTTTCCAGGAGCAATCCATGAACACAACCAGCGCAAGTGGCTCCCAGGGTTGGTCTCATTTCCGTGAGTCATCCGCTCGTTCCCAGCGACACTGGCATCATCACCATCGAACAGTGCCGCAATCTCCTCCAGCGTCGGACCCTTAGTTTCGACAAAAGAGGAACCAGACGCAAGCGCACTCCACCACAAGAATGGCGATATACACGAAATATAACCGCCATTGCAAAGCTTCGAGGCCGACTGGATTCACATACTGGTTGAAAATGGATGACAAAGCAGTCACTGCCATCGTGACCGCGAGACCTTTGGCACGAATGCTGTAAGGAAGAATCTCGGCAGGGTACGCGACGGTCAGGCCCGGCCATGCGAAGCCGGCCGCACCTAAAAGAGGAAGATCATGGCAATCACCGCACTACCAGCACCGGCATTTCCAGTCTTAGCATAGACGGCAGAACATCTGCAGAATTAATCAGCACTGATTCTTCTCCGGACTCTCGTGAAGACTTGCCCGGTCCATATGCTGAAACTGATCAACATGCCGACCGCTGCAATCATGAACAACAATCGTCGACCGAGAACATCAACAAGGAACGAAGAACAGCAGATGGCAACCAAGAAGCACCAGATGGTCAAGGCTCCATTGATCATAGACTGATCATACGAAGACTGGATTCCGACCGAGTTCAGAATGTCATGGAGATAATACGATACCAGTCCATTGCCTGAACATTGCGAGAAGAACGAGACCAGCACAATGAGCAATAGTCGTTTGCGATTTCCCGGACTTTTGACAAGAATCGGCCAACCATTCTGAGAGTTTCCTTTTCCATGCGGATTATCTCCTGGATTTCGTGGAACTCGAATGCACAGAATGGGTCATTTCTTTCACCACTTGTGTGATACTGTGAGGCTGTCAGACGTTGACAGAAATGGAGAACGCTCTTACTCACTTTGATTAATATCTCGAAGGCCTCTTCTGGGCGATTCTGTGCACAAAGCCAGCGTGGGCTCTCTGGAAGAAACCATATTCCTATGAACTGAATGAGAGGCATAGCCGCTTGCATACCGACTGGAATTCTCCACGATGCCTCGGACGTGTACTTGATGGTCCCAAACACAGTCCAGGCTGCGACGATAGCGCCGACATACCAAAGTGTGTTGTACATTGTTGTCAATTTTCCGCGGTGCTGCGGATGAGCAAGTTCCGTGATGAGCAGCGGTGCAGATCCTTGGCTCACATTTGACCTGGCTAGGTCAGCTTGACCTAACACACTAGATTGCAAAGAAAGGTGCTCACCCAAGCCCTACCAAGAATCTTCCTGCAAGGAACATGTTCGCATTGACGGATGGAATGACCTGAATGATGGTTCCCACAAAAAGAACCACTAGACCAATGGCCACCCCTCGTTTCCGTCCACATAGATCGGCGCCGTAGGATGCTATCGTATCATTAACTGTCAGCTCAGAAGTCTCAAGGAACAGGGAAGAAGGGGCGACTTCACAGAAGAATAAGGAGCAAACACCACCAATGTTCTGGATAGCCGTGAAGAGATCCAATGTAGAGCCTCTAGGGTTTCCAAAATCTCCTCGAAAGTCAAAAAGACTCCATATTATAAGGTTGAGCCGAACTCACATTCTTGCCACGGGGTCATTGTCTGCAATCCGCTTAACAAAGACCCATCGTACCCGTTGGTAGAAGACCCTAGTATGTTCAATCATCACCACCACCAGGAGAGCCTCCGAGAATCATACCCAGAAAGAGAATCGGCATCATGATATACAACTTCCGCAAAGCCGGGTGTCTCCACCAAGTCACCCGAGGAATCTGCGCAGATACATGGTTCTCAACCAACGAGAACTCGGCATGCACCGCCTGGATCTTGTCAGTCTCAAAGTCGCTCTTGTCCTCCATCCCGAGATAGAAAGGTTGAATAGACGCACTGAAATTCGGGTTCGACAAAGACATAGACACATATATTAGCAGTCCCAACCGCCAGCCTCTATTTATATATAAGACAGAACTATCATCTAGCCATCCGGCCTTGAACATTCCATAGCTAGTTACCCCGGGTTTCTGCCCATTCAGGCTAGATCTTTGTGGAGAATCGTCGCGGTTTGAGGTGCGGGATATCAGCCAATAACAGACATTCAATCCCGCAAAGTTCCCAATTGCAGTTCTTCGCGCGGGGGCCACGAGTGAGAGCCTTTCGTGCGAGTTTTGGATGAATCATTGTCAATCCCGATTGTACAGTCACCTTCGAGTCCGGGATCTTGTCGAGATGCTCCCAGGATGTACCTAGATAAGTCTAAATGAGGCGGGGTTTAATGAGGGGTAAGACTGTGTTTGAGGGTATAAGAAGTGCCATAACGACAGTGTATGAGATTGTCATCAATCCTGATTCTTGATTCTTGTTTGAAACAGTGAGACTGTAACTATGACGCTCTCTACAAGAATTCCTCATCTGCGCAAGGTCGCAGATACTCAGCAGCTTGTTGTGAACGGGAAGCCATTTCTGTCCCTGGCCGCGGAGTTGCAAAACTCGTCTATGACCTCCGCTGAATATATGGAGCCTATTTGGCAGAAACTGGTCGATACAAATATCAATACTGTACTTGGTTGTGTCACCTGGGAGAATATCGAGCCAGTGGAAGATCAATTCGATTTTACGGAATTGGAGAAGGTGATTTTAGATGCAAGGCGGCATGGCTTGCATCTCGTGCTCTTGTGGTTTGGCTCGTTTAAGAATGGTATGTTCACTTTCCATGCATGTCTACTCCATCAGACGATGGCATGATGAAAGTACAAAAAAACTGAAACAGTGACAGGTATCTCTACCTACGTTCCACCTTGGGTCAAGACACAGACGCGCCGATTTCCTCGTGCCAAACTACGCAAAGCTGGTGGTGTCCTTGAAACAGGTGACGTGCTGTCTATCTTCCATGAAGAAGCATGCAAGGCCGACGCGAAGGCATTCTCCCGCCTGCTTCAGCATGTTAAGAAGATCGACAGCGAGCACTCGACCGTGATCATGGTCCAAGTCGAGAACGAAACGGGTCTACTAGGCGACCTCTCGTGATGGCTCCGCGGCAGCTGAGCAGCGATTCAATGAGTCTGTCCCCTCAGACCTGCTGCACTTCCTCGCACAGGTTGGGACAACCTCCACCCAGACCTTCAAGCAAACCTGGACCATTTCAAAGACCAATCTAGCCCCAGCGGAACATGGGCACAAGCCTTTTGGGAACAGTCCGCACACAGACGAGCTGTTCATGGCATACCATTATGCACAGTACCTCAATCAGGTTGCTGCAGCTGGCAAAAACGAGTACCCGATACCACTATACACGAACGTGTGGCAGAACTATGTCGGCCAAGATGGCGACAATGACTTCCCCGTTGTTGTTGGTGGCGGTGGGAATCCCGGTGACTACCCGTCGGGTGGCGGCACCAGCACAGTCCTCGATATTTGGCTGAAATTTGCGCCTTCGTTGGATTTCATTGCGCCCGATGTGTACCTGAATGAGTACGCCAGCTCGTGTCGCAAATACCGCCATCGCAATCAGCCGCTGTTCATCCCGGAGCAGCGCCGTGATGAGTACGGTGCGAGGCGGATCTGGGTCGCGTATGGTTCCTTTCAGGCCATTGGAGTGTCACCCTTTGGCATTGATACTCTAGATCCGGCTACCAACCCGTTCACTAAGCATTATGGGCTGCTCAAGTCCGTCTCGCAGCTTGTTCTCGAAGCACAGACGCGGCCTGACTCCTCGGTCGGGTTCTATGACGAGCTGGCGGCTGATGGGACTGATCCTTCGAAGCCGCTCATTCAACACTGGGGTGGGTATGAGATCACTATCGAGCGTTGCTTTGTCTTTGGAAAGTCTGGGTCGGGCGCAGGAATGGTCGTCCACCTTGGCGGACCCAAGTCCCTCCTGATCGGCTAGGGCTTTCAGGTACGGGCCCGCTCCCTATCACGGACCAGCCGCTTCACGGGATTCCCTACGCTTCGAGGAGAAACAGGTTGCAGATCAGGAGACGGGCGAGCTGCGCAAATTGCGGACATTGAACGGAGACGAGACTCGGAGCGGGTCCTTTGCGATGATGCCGAACGAACATCCGGACTACGGTGGCTTCCCGATCTGTGTGACCATTCCTGCTCCTACGATGATTGCAGAATTAGAGGTGTACTCGATTGAGGAGTCAGACGATTATTAGGAGGGGGGGAGGGGAGGCCGATAACCCTAGATTGTATGTCTGTGTTTTTGATTCCTTTGTCCCACGTAGTGTGGGTGCGGAGGCGTCATCCTCTTCCCCGACCCAACAGAACACAGGTTTTGCAATTGGACTGTATTGTACGGAAACCGGTAGCAAAGCTGAGGTGAAGATCATGAAAGAGCCGGATATTCACCGTTATCCCGTTTCCCCGTCAGGACATCGCCTTGTGCCCGACTGGAAAATGGGAACTACGAAAGCGACGGGCACATGTCCAACGGGTACAAACTAAAAACGGGTGGCTGAATTTGGGAGACGATCGAACACGTCTCAGGAAGGTCGTTAGTTGCTCTAGTTCACACATGATCACACCGGCACCGAAACAGGGGAAACACAGGTCCACGGGCCGCGAACTCCCCTGGTTCTGTCTAGACTTCCCCCGAGATCTGTCCCTGAAATAAAGGAGGGCATGATGCCATGATGCCATGATGCCATGATCGCCGTTGGAGCTACAGTATTTACCATCGTGATCGTTCCGAGGGTCTGACGTATCCACCCAGGCTCTGAAAGAACGGAAGATCTCAGCGTCCAGACTCGCGAAGGGCCCCCCGAGCCCCCACTATCGATCTAAGCAGTTTTGGGAAGGTCATGTTTCCGTCTGGCCGCCTAGTTTCGGGGCTGTGTGAGAAGTACGATCGGGAAGAAATCTGCACCATCGATTTAAAATGGAGGGTTCGCATGCCCGTCATTCATTTCAGTGCGAGTGATGGGGGAGGTTGAAACGGAAATGCAAAAGCAAAAGCAAAAGCAAAAGCAAAAGCAACAGTGACGCAGACGCAAGACGCAGACGCAGACGCAGATACAGAGACGCAAAAGCAAAGCCGGGCGGGGAAGACGGGCCGGGAACCATGGATGCCTCGTCCAGTTCCGGTTGTTTATTGTTGAATGCCCGCAGCGATGGCGCATCTTTAATGTGCTCTATCAGTTCATGAATCTGATCTCTTTTATCCTGACATGGATCAGAGTTATACCGGCAGGCCTCTGACAAAAGTACACCAGGGATAGAGTATTCGTACTTGTGTTCTCTTGACTGCTCGCGTTGGTAGGGCTCGCTTCTGATTGCGTGGTCCCACCCCACAGAGAGCCATCGTCGTTGCCCCTCTATACATAGTCCATTGCCCCCTTGGGGAGGTCGTAATGGGTTGGATTCTTACGTATACGCTGAGCCTCTGAACACGATCCCTCCTGCTCATCCGGGTTAGGCTGCACATCTCCAAGAAACGCTTTTCGTCAGCGTGGTCTTTGCGGGTCTCTGAACGATGCATTAGCCCCTGCCGGGCAATAGGAAAATCTCAGGGCCCCAAAGTCAAAAAGGGAAAAAAAAGGTGCCTTCACAAATGGGGGGACGTGTTGCACCCAAAGATCCCCAATTCCCGGTCTGGGACGCGCTAAACCGCGCTACGGCGGCGACATCCAGACAGCCGGGGTCCGATGGGACCCAAGCGAGTGATGCGGTTAGCGTAGCTTGGATTACACGGAGGCCAAGTGGGCCATGCGGAAGGATGGAAAACCAACGGTTGTCAAGGAGGCCTGGAGGAGATGCGGATGAGTGCAGTGGAGCCCGGCAAAACGGGCGAAACCCATGGATCCTTCCGTAGCGACAGGTCCAGACTCGGGGGGGATTCTCCAGTGTGGCCGATTTTACATATTACAAGCCCCCCTCTTCCCCATCCCCATCCCTTCTGGTTTTCTCTTTCCACTGTCTTTCTATCACATCCCTCGTTCAGCCTCGCCCGTGAGACTTGGTCTCAAGTCAATTCCTTTCTATCGAGAGCAAGCCTCTCTGTTTTCACAAAACTCTCCTTCGATTGCCTTGTTTTTTGCCTTTCATCATAAGCTTCGCATCGTGCATCTGAGTTGAGATTGTCCAACCATATCCAAAAGCATCCACTCCCCCTCGCTTCCCCTCGCATCAACCGAGGGACGTCTCAGAATTATCACGAACTATCTACAAAAGTCTCAAACAACTACGTCCGAGCCAGCCTGAGCTTCGGCATTGGGGGATTTTTTGACCTCACATATCCCTTTGGCCGTGCTTTGGAGATTCTCACCAGCCTGCGGAAGTTTGATCTCATATTTATGCTATCTGCTTCCTTTCATTCCTTCTCTAAAATCTTCCACTGTACTTCACTTGCTTCCACCATGTCTCCATCTGACGCCCCCGACGGCTCAAGTCTCATCTGGATCCTCGATCATGTCAATCGTTATCAAGGCTCCTATGAGATTCCTCTGCGTACCATGTACCAATTGAACCTCAACCCCACCAAGGCCTCGGGCAATCGCTCGCCCGAGACCGCCTTCTCCCCACGCAGCTCCCCACGCAACTCCACCTCCACGACCAAGTCCTCGCGCTCCTCGCAGGATGCGTCGGTGGATGCGGCGGCTGACTTCCGTTCCGCCCTGGAGAACCAATTGTCTCGCTTGCCTTCGCAGCCTACCTCTCTGCCTCCTAGCTTCTCTACGAATTTCATTCGCAAGGTCTTCCCGGGTGAGTTGGACAAGGTCGACTTCCCGCAGGCTCTCACCGCACTGGACTACCTCCGATCTCTCGAAGATCGCTGGAAGAAGGAGGTCCACGATGCTCTGAAGCGACTGAAGGTCAGTGAGGAGGACGCCGCTCACCCGGGGCGTTCCGAGCTCGTCTCGAAGTACCCCGGGAGTGTCTGCATGGCTGCAGTCACTTCTGGGCAAGACACGCCAGATTCAGGCTCTGTACACACAGGTCTACGTTGGTCTGCGCCGCTGGGTAAGTAACTTCGACGCAACATGCTTCTTCTCAACTGTAACTAACATGTGACTCAGACCATGATCAATGAAATGCTGCTTGAGCCCACCCGGAAGGCCAACCACATGGCACTGCTCAACGTGCTTTTCCCACCGCCCAAGGAGTCAGATCCTTCTCCCACCCCTCAGTTGACTGTCCGCATTCTGCAAAGCCACCGCGATGGCTACTTCCGAATTATCAATTCTGTTCATACTAGGGGCACTTCGGTTTTGGACCCCGTCATCCAGCAGGGCGCGGCCAACGGCCATGCCACCAACTGGCCCCTGATCTGCGACACCTTGCACAAGTACCTGAACCTGGTCAACGACGTTATTGACGAATGTATGCTGGTCAACGAGCCCGCCTCCTTGGAAGAGGACAAGAGCCTCGGCCGCAACAGAGGTCGCAAGTTCGACTCGGGTGTGAGCTTTGGCTCATCCAGAACCGCGAGCATTGGCGAAGGCACAATCTCAGAGAAGGAACTGCCTCAGTTCCCTGCCCCCCCCGAACATCACCACCAAAAACGGCGGCTCCATCCTCGAGCGTCTCGCGCGCGAGGTTCGCGCCCTGGGTGACAAGTCCAAGTCCCGCAACCTGCGCAAGATGAAGTCCACCACCACCCTCAATGTTCGGCCCGGCAGCCAGCAGAGCCACGAGAGCTCATTCTTCGAGATTGATGACGACAAACGCAAACGTTTAATCTTTGAAGCCAACTATCGCAAGAACTCCCAGTCTCAGGTGTTCACCCAGTAAGGCTCATTGTGTGGTCCTGTGGGTATCTTTCTTAACTTCGCCAGCATGGTCTCGGCGCATTCTCTTTCACTGTTCATTAACCCGGCGTCTTGTGGGACTGGAAAAAAGGAGGCCAGTCGGGTTTTGCATATATGGTTGATTATCAGGTTGCGTTTTCATCTTTTTGTTTGTTTCTTTTCACGGAGCATTGGCGCACGGACATCTGCATTGTATGAGAGGCAACGTGTCTGGCGCCTGGGACTATCGAGTCATTTACGAATCATGTGTTATGATCATCAAAAACAGTCAATACTTTCATTCCAATTGAACAGGATTCATATGAGCCATCTCTCCAGTAGTTTGTTTCACATGTAGTTCATTTATTTGCATACCAGGACGAGCTGATGGGTTCTCCGAGGTGTCGTCTCCGGCTTATTGCATCGCACCTGCCCTCCATTTGCAACCTTGGGCCGCATTTCATACATGATTCTACTACAGACGAGTTCAATCATCTCCTCGGCTGTTCTCTGTCTTCTGTCGAGAGACAAAAGGCCTGCGTATATTGCCGTGTCGGCTACCGCAGTAGGTGCGATAAGATAAGCAGACAAGTGTCCAGATCCACCTCCTCCTCCGCGTTTGTTTGGTGACCCTCTGCAACCCGATTTGCTGCCCCCGTTGCTAAGGTTGATTGATCGTGGCAGCACCGCCTCTCGCGGGCTGTCTCCTGTACTCATATCCGTTTCACACACCCATTGCGCCAGGATGAGGGCCTCGACAACCCGCACCTCCTGGTGCTGGTACGCTGCTCTCGGAGCTCTGCTGCCAAGCGTGCTGGCAAACCCCAGCCCAGCGGTCAATGTAGCTCTGCAGGCTTCATTCGACTCATCCCCATACCTTGTCGAATTGCTGTTCGTTCGACCCAGATATCCGAAGCTAAGCACGGCGCTGACCACTTTCTAGGGAGACCGCCGCTGAAGAGAACTCGACTGCCTACTTCCCATTGCTTGACCGAATTGCCGATGGTGCCTTTGAGGATGCGATTACCGAGGAAGACCTGTACAACCGCTTCCTCCGGGTCATTCATGAAGACGGGCACCTGCGTACCGCGGAGAGTCTTTCTTCTTTCAAGCTTTCGCTCGCCGTTCGATCGTCTGCCCCGCGGATTCAAGCACATTACCAGTTTTACAATACCTCTGTCCAGCGGTCATTGATGGCTGCTCAGGATGCTGCTTGTCCCGTTTGGGTTCACTCCGAGGGGAAGCAGTATTGCTCTTCGGCCATGGAGAGAGCGCAGCAGGATGTCGAGGGAGAGTTGTAAGTGGGACCAAGTATTGAAAAAGTCGTACATAGACGCTGATTGAAAGTCTGTCATAGAGACTCTAGGACACTACCCTTCGATCGAGTCCTGGGCGATCCGTCCCTTCCTCCGGCGATTCTCTACGCTGACGTTTCCGCGCCCATGTTCAAAGATTTCCACGAGACATTGACTGAACAGGCAAATCAGGGGCAGATCTCCTACCGTTTACGCTATAGACCGCCTCAGCACTGGAGATCCCGCCCCCTCTTCGTGTCTGGATATGGTGTTGAGCTTGCTTTGAAAAGGACGGATTACATTGTCATTGATGACCGTGATGCAGAGCAGCGAGAGGAGAAATCTGGAGACGGCAGTACATCTGGGTTGGAAGAGCTGAAGGAGGACGCGCCTGATGACCTGAGGCCTCTCTCGTCTTCGGAGGTGTCTAGGCTGGGTATGAGCTCTGCGGCCTATGTGATGGACAGCGAGGATCCACTTGATGCTTTGCTCAGACTGTCTCAGAACTTCCCCGAATATTCATCGACCGTGGCAGCTCACAACGCTTCCAATGAACTGCGTAATGAAATGCGCGTCAACCGGGCGAGAATGATCCCGCCTGGATACAATATAATGTGGATCAACGGTATGCAGATTGATCCTCGACAGGTTGATGCCTTCTCTCTTCTGGATATTCTGCGTCGAGAGAGAGTTCTCATTCAGAAGTTCCGGGACCTAGGAATTTCCGCCCAAGAGGCAGTGAAGCTACTGTCGCACCCGCTTCTCGCAGAAGCTCAATCGGAGGAAGATGTGCAGCGATATGATTATCGCGATACTTTGGAGGGCGGCGACGTTATTATCTGGTTGAACAACCTAGAGAAAGACTCCAGATATGCTGACTGGCCAAGTGACCTCGAAGCAGTAAGAAGCCTGCACATGGAGGAATAAGAAACATACTAACAGCTCTTAGTTCGTTGCCAACGCATACCCAGGACAATTGCCACCGGTTAGCCGCGACTTGCACAATGTCATCGTGCCCGTGGATTTGTCTGAACCCGAAGACATGCTTCTGGTTGTCAAGCAGGTTCAGACGTTCATCAAGCGGTCTATTCCCGTCAGGTTTGGCTTGGTGCCTACTGCTACATCTCCTGATTCCATTGCCCAGTTGAAGGTGGCACATTATCTCCAAGAGACCTACGGGCTTTCGGGCCTCATGCACTACCTGGAGGAGGTGAGTAGATATCTCGATCGACACGCCAATCCCGATTGCTGACTAGAGTAGTCTGTCTCGAAACTGAAGAAGGGTGGCCCGGAGAAGTCCGTGTTTAACTCCGTAGTGAAAGAGCGGCAACCCCGCAACGAAAAGGAGGTCCTATCTCTCGACGTCCTGTTGAAGCACGAGCATTACAGCACTGTGGCAGCCCACACAGCTGATTATCAGCGCCGGTTGAGTCTGACTGGCGTCGCTCCTCATTTCCTGGTCAATGGTATCCCGATCTCCCGTGAGGGTAATTGGATGCAAGAGTTGAGTATGACGATTGGTAGAGATCTGAAGTTGATTCAGCAGGGTATTGTTGAGGGAGTTTTTGAGGAAAATGCTTGGTTGCCGGAGTTCTTCTTGGGGCCCGCCTTTGAAAGACGCAACACGTTCCTCATGCCTGAGGACCCGAAGAGTGTGCAGATCGTGGACCTTGCCAGTATCTTTGGACTGAATGTAAACTTGGGAATCATTCCTCGAGTCGAACCCGATGAAGGTGTTCTGGGCGGTATTCATGTTGTCGTTGTTGGCGATTTCGAATCCATGGAAGGCTTGAAGCTCTTCACTGACGCTCTCAATTTCCGGAAGGAGAATGGCGAGGTCGAACTTCTTCTGGTGCACAATGGTGCTTTGGACGCTGAGGAGAATACTCCAAATCTGAACAAGATTCAAAAATTGATCACCAAGCGCGAAGATGTTGACAGTATTCTGGCAAGCATTGCTCAGGGCTCAGACCCAGATGCAGAGCCACAAAGCTTGGAGGTACTTGCTACTCACCGACGACTCGCTGCCAAGCTCGGATTTGCGCCCGGAACTGAGGGCCTTGTTGTTAATGGAAGGGCGGTTGGTCCTATTGGGAAGGACCTTGACTTTGGGGTCAGCGATATTTCTCAGCTCGTGGCCTACGAACGTTCCAAGCGTATTGACCCCATTGCAAGGACTTCCCTGAGTCTCGGTTTGAACACGAAGCTTTCTAAGCCACTCGACCTGGCCAAACTTACCTCACTCGTATCGCTTTCCTCGATCCCGGACGTTCCAGAGGGGATTTTCGAATCCACACCAGACTTCCGATTGGATGTTTCTAACAAGTGGAAGACCGAGCACTCTGTCATTACTGTGTCCAACTCTGAGGATCCAGCTATCAACTTTGCAATAGTCCTGGACCCTGCTTCTGAGGTGGCTCAGACATGGCTGCCCATTCTCAAGGTCGTTTCTGAACTGGCTGGTGTTCAGCTCAAGATTTTCTTGAACCCCAAGGAGGAGCTTTCAGAGCTTCCTGTCAAGCGGTTCTACCGCTACGTGCTGGAACCGGAGCCATCCTTTGCGTCTGATGGATCTTTGTCTCGTCCTGGCGCGTCCTTCACTGGCGTGCCTGTCGAGGCCTTGCTTACGCTTGGTATGGATGTACCTTCCTCGTGGCTTGTTGCACCACAGGAATCGGCGTATGACCCGGACAACATCAAGCTGAGCTCGCTCAAGCCGGGAACCAACGTCGATGCGATCTATGCTTTGGAGCATATTCTGATCGAGGGTCACTCTCGGGATGTCACCACCAAGGCTCCCCCACGTGGCGTCCAGCTCATCTTGGGAACAGAAGACAATCCATACTTCGACGGTACCATCATCATGGCAAACTTGGGTTACTTCCAGTTCAAGGCCCAGCCTGGCGTATGGCAGATCAATTTGGAGCCCGGCCGTAGCGAAAAACTCTTCAAAATCGACAGTGTTGGCGGCTTGGGATATCGCCCTCAGCCGGGTGACGAAAACAATGAAGTCACACTCATGTCTTTCCAGGGCCGAACACTCTTCCCACGGCTCTCCCGCAAGCCCGGCTACGAAGACGAAGACGTCCTAGAAACCGGACACAAGTCTGGCTCAACGATGGACTTCGTCTCAAAGGGCCTTAACTTCGCCTCCGGCGTCCTCTCCAGCGTTGGGGTACGCTCTAAGGCCGCCAGCGGACAACACGCAGACATCAATATCTTCTCCGTCGCCAGCGGCCACCTTTACGAGCGCATGCTGAACATCATGATGGTCTCCGTAATGCGCCACACAAAGCATACTGTCAAATTCTGGTTTATCGAACAATTCCTCTCTCCCTCCTTCCGCGCCTTCCTCCCCCACTTAGCCGAGGAATATGGCTTCTCCTTTGAAATGGTCACCTACAAATGGCCGCATTGGCTCCGCCATCAGCGGGAGAAGCAGCGCGAAATCTGGGGTTACAAGATTCTTTTCCTGGACGTCCTGTTCCCCCTATCTCTGGACAAGGTCATCTTCGTCGACGCAGACCAGATCGTCCGTACAGATATGTACGACCTCGTCACGCACGACCTCCAGGGCGCACCTTACGGCTTCACGCCCATGGGCGACTCGCGGACAGAAATGGAAGGCTTCCGATTCTGGAAACAGGGTTACTGGTCCACCTTCCTTCGCGGCCGACCATATCATATCTCCGCTCTGTACGTCGTGGATCTCAACCGCTTCCGTGCCCTTGCGGCCGGTGACAGACTGCGTGGTCAATACCAAATGCTCTCTGCGGACCCCAACAGTCTAAGCAATTTGGACCAGGACCTTCCAAATCATATGCAGCATCATATTCCCATTCACAGCCTGCCGCAGGAGTGGTTGTGGTGCGAGACGTGGTGTTCAGATGAAGATCTCGCGACTGCGAAAACCATTGATCTCTGCAATAACCCGCAGACGAAGGAGCCTAAATTGGCTAGAGCTAGACGACAGGTTCCAGAGTGGACAATTTACGATGATGAGATTGCAGCACTGGCGAAGCGTGTTTCGAGTGAGCAGGTCGAATTCGTGCAGACTGGAGAGGAACAACGGAAGGCCGAGGTTGATGAGAAAGACGAGGATGAGGACGAAGGTCAAGACCGCAAGGATGAGTTATAGATTACATCTCTTTTGTGATTACTTTATGTATAAGAAGCGGTCATAGAATGAATCTTGGCCTATGCATTGCATTGTTGTGTATAATAATCGTACAGAAGTCACGTAGGTATTCGCTTGGTAAACAATTTCAAATAGAGCGCTCCTGTTTTATAGCCACCTCGTCGACCTGATTTGCCTTCTTCTTTTTCCGCTTGTCTTTAGGTTTCTTCGAAGACTTGGGGGATTCGGCAATGGCAATCGGGCCCGCGTCTGACTTGCGGCGTTTCTTCGGGGACTCCGTGGTGTGCGCAGGTTCGATATCGGACTTGTGGTGCTTCTGCTTCTTGTCGGGCGTGGCAGCTGCAATGGCAGCCACAGCAGCGTTTGCATCCTTAGGTTTGCGGTGCTTCTTGTGCTTCTTTGTCTTATCACCGGAAGCAGGGTCCTGGGCAGCGGTCATGGCGGCATCGGCTTCAATGCGTGCTTGCTCAGCCTCTTTCCTTTCGAGAGCACGCTGGCGCTTCTTCTCTTTCCTCTCCTTCTTTCTGCGCTTCCTTTCTCTCCTCTCATCGTTCTCGTCCTGCTCTTTCGATGGCGAGGAAACTTCGGGGAAGACCAGCTCAGGCTTAAGCTGGGATTCAGCCTCGACTTCGGAATTTCGGCGTTTCTTGGAGGATTTGGGCTTGTTGGCAAGCTTGGTCTTTTCCTTGATACGAGCCATGTAGCTTAGGTCGCGCTTTTGGGTACTACCTGTAATGACCGGACTCGAGGTTTCTGGGGACGTGGAGAATCCATTGATGGCGGCGGGTGTAGCTGGAGTAGTAGGCTCGGATGGGTAGGCGACTTCAAGTTCATCCTCTTTCATATAGTCACCAGGCAGTGGCGAGGAAGTCGTCATGATCGCAGTGTCAGTTTCGGTCTTCGGTATCACCCCCATCATGGTCTGGTGGTCCACGAATCCGTATTTGAGCTTTGATGCCGGGGTGCTGCTTGCGACTGGGCCTTCGTCGTTGTTGTCCTCGTCATTCTCACTCACGCGCTCCTCGCTCCTAAAATCGCACGACCTTTCCTTCCATCGAGAGGTCTTCTCCACGGCTGCTCGAGGGTCGAAAACATAGTCTTTATTGCCTTTGGCACGCTCAGCCTTTACCTTTACGCAGATCTTGCGCCACTTGTCAGCACATTGTTGACGCGAGCGACTGTTGCCGATGGAATCGCTGACTGAGCCCCATGGAATCACTTTTTGGTCCATTTCATAGATGTCTTTATCAGCAGCTGCTGGGTTGATTTCTTTATGAGCTTCAAAGAAGTCTTGCAAGGATTTCATGAAGCCAAGTGTTTCATCGAGATTCCAATTGCCACGGTTCATCTTTTCACGGTGTTGAAGACGATTTTTCCACCGTTGCGTAACATCATCGTCGCTGCGGCCAAGCATTTTGCTAATGAGTGCATACTTTGCGGGATATAATTTCATCAATTCAACAAGCTCCTCGTCCTGCTCTTTCGTCCATTCGTGCGCTTTCTGGCCAGGAATCAGGAAATGTCTCCGCGCGAAACGATACAGGGATCGGCGGTCACGATCAGGAAGGACTCCATAGATGTCGGTCCATAACTCATGCTTGGAAGGGGCATCCGGTGGACCCGGCCACTCAGCACCTTCTCGCTCAGAATGCTGAATCATTTCATTGAAGGTTGTATTGCCAATGCCATGCATGTTGCACCAAGAGATTTTGAAGTTTTCTATTTTCTCGACTTCGTCAGGTGTGAAGAATCCAACTTTTAAGTTATCTTTCCCGCCGGGTCGCGATCCTCTGAGTTTTTTCGGCTTGCCCCGGTTGTTGAGCTCAACAGTCGAAAGGTTGTCGATGTCATGGACCGAGTCGGGCGCGAGGGTAGTGGCATTTTCGGCAGATTTGGAGGGTGTCGCTTTCTCAACTCCATTGTGTACCGTGCGGGGCTCCTCCGGCGATTTTTCAGGTTGTAGGCCAATTGTCTGTTCTGGCTCAAGCTTCGCGACATTCATCGATACATTATTGTTGTCGCTTTTGGCGTCATGGTGCTTCTTCCTTTTCTTTTTGCGCTCGGGATCCGACTCGTGCTTTCGCTTCGAGGGCCGTGACTGATCTTCGCCTCGAGAAGGTGCAGATTCGACATGACTAGAAGTTTCTGGCGGGGACGAGCGATCCTTGTTCTTGGATTTGCGCGACTTTTTCTTCTTTGCGCCGTCCGCAAATTTTGTATTTAGAGACTCCCCCACTGCAAGAGGTCAGTATTGGGGTCTTAAGGCATGAATTGGTTGATGAGCACGGAAGCTTACCCGGCGACTCAGGCCAGTCAGGCCCACGAGCCACGGGAGACACTCGATATCCCATTGTGGCGAGAAACTTATCGAGAGTGAGGAAGACCGCGCATCCAGAATTTCAGATTGACAGGTGAGGATATCCGGCATAATAACACCGCCTGCATCACCGCCACAATGACATGCATGAGAACAAATATCAGTACGGAGAATTGGACTTTGGTCGGAAAACTTGCGAAATTTCAGCAGAATTTATATCCTGGAATGTAAAATTAATGTACAAGATGCTCATGGTATACATAAAAAGCAGAGAACCCCAAAACCCGTACTCCTTTGACAAGAGCACTGCATAAAGTGCACAATCATGCTAATTTCATACCGCGCAAGATCTTTGTCACTAACTTCTGCTGATCAGCCGCGTCAAGGTTTCTCTCATCTGTACCTTGCAGACATTGGCCAATAGCGACTGTGACCTTGACTGCACTCTCTCCTGCATTGGAGCAATCCACCCAAACCTTTCCATTGCGTCCAACGGCGATCTCAAATCCTCCCAAGCTCTCAAGCTTCTTTCCGAGCTCGGCGAGGACCACAAGACCGTCAACCGCGTCGGATTTCTCAGCTGAAGTGGAGCTAGCCCGAAGCAAGCGAGCTGCCATGCCCGTGGAAACATCAAACACCATCCCACCAACTAGAGGACCTAGACCTCCAGGCTCGGCCTTGCCAGTGGCCGGATTGACACAGGTCAACTCGACCTCAGCACCGGCGCCAACACCCACTGATAATACGCGCGCGTAGACCAGGTCGCCTTGTTTCAACATCGGTCTTGTCTTCTTTGTGGCACCTTCGAAGGACAGTTGGCCCAGCATCGCGTGCGCCGTGTGCGGGGTCACTATGCAGTGGAAGTAATCGACGCTGGAATGGTGGATCTGTGCGATAACCAGATCGTTGGTAGTGGGGATGTAGCGGCGGTTGGAGAAAGATTGTAGTGAGACGGCGTTGCGCTTTGTATCGGTTACAAGCAAACCGGCCTGTGTGGCTGTCAAAACATGGTTTGATGATGTAGATGAAGCTGTAGGCTGTGACAAGAGGCGGAGGCCAGGGCCTAGTTTGAGAGGATTAGACTTGGTGGGCGGCAAGTAGTCGCTTGGTACCTCATCGCCCGGGAGCAAGATGAGGGGAGCAGACATAGTGACAGCTGCAGCTCTTTATTGACCCGAAAAGATGCTACTTCGGATCAATTGAGATGTGGATCAAGGTGAAGAGAAATATGGCAGAGTAAAGAGAGTTGAGTAGCTAAGCCAAGTGGTTGGCGCAGAAAACGTCTGGCTTATCACATTATCAGCACGTGACATGATTGCCAACTAGGAATATGTGATTCAAAAGGACCTTAAAGATTGATAAAACAATTACTAGAAGCTATAGAGGATATTTGGAATGCATTTAAAATTAGATTTAGCCAGTATGTATCTGTAAAGATCTATTAACCGAATGTACGGGCATAGAGGACAGACCTTGAGACACCGCCACGTGCTATCGATAAGCACCAGCCACTTTCCGCCGAAAATCTTCAAATTTTTCGATTGGTTTCCCCCTCCATCGAGACATTCCCCTTCATCGGTCACCCTCTTGACTTTCCATTCACTCCAAGTGACGTGGAATTCTTCTGTCTTTCTTGTGACTTATAATTTCTTCAAACACATTCGAAATGGGTGATACAAACGGTGTTTCCACTGAGGTGGAGCGCTTCGCTATCGGTATCTCCTTTGGCAACTCCTGCAGCTCAATTGCTCGCATTTCTCCTGTAATTTCCGCATTGACATTTCGAGATGGGATCTAGATGCTAATAAACCACTACAGGAAGGCAAGGCTGAGGTTATTGCTAACGAGGAGGGAGGTACGTTCTTTGTCGCTCCACGCTGAATGAACTCGAATTGACCCTGCTAGACCGTCAAATTCCTTCCGTTCTCTCTTACATCGATGGTGAGGAGTATCACGGTACCCAGGCTAAGGCCCAGCTCGTCCGCAACTCCAAGAACACCGTCGCCTACTTCCGCGACTACCTAGGCAAGGAATTCAAGGACATCGACCCTACTCCTTCGCACCAGTCCGCCCACCCCCAGCAAAGCGACTCAACCGTTGCCTTCACCATTCGCGATACTGCCAGCGAGACCCCCAACTCTGTCACCGTCTCTGAGATCACTACCCGTCACCTGCGCCGTCTTAAGCAGTCCGCTACCGACTTCCTAGGTAAGGATGTCAACTCCGCTGTCATCACGGTCCCCACCGACTTCACCGATGCCCAGCGCACCGCTCTCGTTGCTGCCGCCAAGGAAGCCGGCATTGAAGTTCTCCAGCTCATCGCTGAGCCTGTCGCCGCCGTTATGGCCTACGATGGCCGCCCCGAGGCAACCGTCTCGGACAAGCTGGTTGTCGTCGCCGACCTCGGTGGCACCCGCTCCGACGTTGCTGTCGTTGCTTCTCACGGTGGTATGTACACCATCCTCGCCACTGCTCATGACTACGAGCTGGGTGGTGCCTCCCTGGACCAGATCATCATCGACCACTTCGCCAAGGAGTTCATGAAGAAGCACAAGACCGACCCCCGTGAGGACGCCCGCGGCCTCGCCAAGCTCAAGCTTGAGGGTGAAGGTACTCGCAAGGCTCTTTCCCTGAGCCCTAACGCCCAGCTCAGCATCGAGTCCCTCGCTGACGGTATCGACTACGGTTCCACCATCAACCGCACTCGCTTTGAGATGCTCTCCGGCAAGGTCTTTGCTCAGTTCACTGGTCTTATCGAGCAGGTCGTCAAGAAGGCTGGCCTCGACGTTCTCGACATCGACGAGGTCATCTTCTCCGGTGGTGCTTCTCACACCCCTAAGATCGCCCAGCTTGCCCAGAACATCTTCCCTGAGAAGACCACCATCCTGGCTCCCTCCACCTCCGTCTCGGCCCTCAACCCCTCCGAGCTGTCTGCCCGTGGTGCCGCTTTCCAGGCCTCTCTCATCCAGGAGTTTGACCAAGAAGACATTGAGCAGTCCATCCACCCCATGGTCACTGCTACCCCGCACCTGAGCAAGGCCATTGGTGTTGAGTTCCAGTCCGCCACCGGGACTACTTTCCAGCCCCTGCTCGCTGCCGAGACCGCTCTGCCCGCTCGCCGCATCGCTCAGTACAATGCCCCCAAGGACGGCGGTGACGTCCTCGTCCGCGTCTGCGAGGGTGCCCGCGAGATCAAGGTCACCAAGCCCGAGCCCAAGGCCAAGCAGGAGAAGCCCGCCGACGACTCCGACTCCGACTTCGACTCGGACGATGAGGAAGAGGAGGACCACCGCGAGATTGTTTGGAAGACCGAGAAGCCCGTTGCCGAGCTCGCCGTTAAGGGCGTCAAGGCTGGCGGCAAGGTCGAGGTCATGGTGCACGTCAACCCCGATCTGGGTCTCCAGATCGCCGTCCGCGAGGTCGGTGGCAGCACCGCTGTCCGTGGCGCCATCAATGGCTCTGCTTAAATTCCCCTCCCCCTCCCCTAAAATTGATCTCCCTGATGGTGTGACGATGCATGCATGATTGATAGAGGTTGTTCACCTTTTTCCCCGTTCCCATTTTGTCTCGTTGGAGTCACCCTGTTTCTTTATCTGTTCGAATTACATAGACTCCCAAATGGAGGTGGCCAATGAAGAATTATTTTCCAACGCTTTTGGTGACCCGTGGTAGAAGGAGCCGTTTAAGCCATTTCCGCCCAAGGATTTCGTCTGCGACCTCCCGGGTTCCCGAGATCGCTCCCGAGATACGGATTTGATGGAAATCCATGATCTACTACCGGCTTATGCTGGTTAACGTGAATTAAGTGTACAATTCTAAGAAATAGAGAAATTATATTACAACTATTAGATAAAAGCAGCGGAAATCACATATAACACCACACTAGAAAACATTGCAGCCATGGAATCGTACATGATTCATGGAAACTCGGCGTCGGTAGATGTCAATAATGACGGGATGAGCGCCAGTGCAGGGACCGCATGATGCGTCGCCGCTACCGTCATGGTGGTACAATTAATGATCGTCAGGTATTTCGTAACAGCATGGAACGAGCGTGAGGGGTTTTAACGTGAGGCGGAAGACGAGTGCGCAAGGCCGGTAAAAGCAGAGCGAGAACATATCTCCTTTCAGAGACGGAATATCTCAGAAGTAACGGCGCAACAAAAGGGAATCGTGTACGTGATGACGCAAGACGTTGAATATCAACGTCGCGGGTGAATTCAATCCGATACGACGCTCCGGGGGCAGTATTCTTTGCTTCGAGAGCTCCAATGGCTCATTTATGCGTGCTGCTGTGCGCTGGACTCCTGCTGCTCCTTCTTCTGTTCTTTCACGCTGTTTGAGCGAGCAGAGCTGAAGAAGCCACGGCGACGCTCCTTACGTCCACTGTACCCGGGTTCTTTGCGGCCGACGGCACCCCCGAGGCAGTAAAGCAGACAGGAAAAGAACAGACACACGCTGGCAGTCCACATGAAGGCGAAGGCCTTGACACCAATTTTGGAAACTTGGCCGTTGCTGCTGAAGGCATGGCGGCCTTGTACGAAAACAGCACTAGTTTATCGTTAGCTTGGAATATCCAAGAAGTGTGTGTTTGCGATGGGTACGTACGTCATGAGGCAGGTGGTGATGATCTGGAAGGTCAATGCGAGCCAGGCGAAGAAAGCGGAGACGTAGCTACCAATGCGAGTGCACAAGGCCAGGAATCCAGTGAAGAGAGAGCACACGGCGAAGAACAAGCCAATGATGATGAATGCGAACATGAACCGGGTCGTCAAGTAGTAGTGATTAGTGCTAATTCATATATCAGCGCAGGCGCTAAGATCGCGCGAATCCAGTATCACTTACTTAATGAACTGATGAGGCACATTGACCGTGGTGCCAAAGTTGTTGGCGCGAGGAGGGTCGAGGGGGAAGGCCGGGTGCGAGCTACCGCAAACACTCCTGCCATTCGCCGCGACACTGCACACGGTCCAGAAGGTCCAGCGCGAGACCGAGGGTGCCCCCGGGATATTGCCTGTATCGGCCTGGAGGAACCAAATCTCATTGAGAGGCGTGGAATTGCGAGCACCACCCAACAATGTGAGGAAGATCAGGAGGATGGCGCTGGCCATGAAGAACAGGCCGAGAAGGCCAAGCGACACTCCTATCAAGAGGTCATGTTAGACGCCTTTCTGGTCCTTTATTTGAGAATCGGCCTGGACTTACTGCTGAGAGGCATGGTGGTGTGTCCCTGTGTGGATAAACGATGAAAACTTTGCGGAGCTTGGGAGCTATAAAATAGCGGTCTGATCAGTGCCCAAGTAGATCTCGAAGTAGACTCGAGGTGAGGTAGAGTTGGGGAGAGTGACGATTGATTGAGAGGTGCAGGAATGACCGAGTCAGAAGTACAGCTGTGACTTCAAGAGCCGGGGGTATCCGGGACTTATGCTTCCTCTCACGACGTATCTAAGACGGTGTGAGCATCATCGGCATGTTCATAGTTCGTGAGGATCACGACGTCACGACACACCTGATTTGCTGTCCGGGGCAGTGGGTTCGAGCCCGATCGGGCTTAGCGTGGGCGGTCCATGACGAAGTCGAGCGGCAGCAAACAACGTTACTTTCACTCTCTTTAGCTTTTACATCACCGATTTTCCCTTTTTTTTTCAATTTTGCGCGGGGCCTGTGACGTGGATCAATATATTGCTGCCTGAGTCCTAACCGGGTTTTGATCGAATTATCGTCCCTATCCCCCTCAGCCCCATCCCTTAGCCCCTGCTCTCAGGCCATGGCGACGTGGGCGTACCCCCCACTGCCCGTTGGCCAGTTGGCCCGCGAAGCTGACTCCGCACTGGTATGTAAAAATGAGACCCTCACCGATCTTCCCCGGTACCCTGGTTGTAGTATGGACCATCGGAGCGATCGAGGTGGAGCTTGTCGTCTGATAGCATCCAATTTTTAGGCTCGTGAATTGGAGTGGCTTCTCCAATCCCTGCAGGAGTCACTGGCCTCGCTCAAAGAAGGTCTTTTAGAGTGTGCTGCCCTACTGGCGCCACAGGAACCGGGTTCGACCCTGGTTCTGTCGTCATTACGGTCCGAACATGTCAAAGGCTTTGTGACTCGTGTCGGCACTCAGGTGGTCAAAGGGGTATTGTGCCCGACTCCTTCATCTCCGCACATGGAGACTAATCCTGGTCGTTAGGATATCCAACTCCGGCTGAGCTCACTACCGCCGCCACGGGGTGCTCCCAGCACCCGCCTCACCTTGTCTCAATCTCCCGATGCTCCTGGCATGGTTTTGCCGCAGCTCGTCTCCGTACGAAACTTAGTCAATCAGAGCTTGGACATCGTAGATGTGAGCACGTACACAGGGGACCCCTTGAATGCAAGCTTTATCTTCGGCCAGCTGCATCTCCTGCAGGAGACGATCAGCGAGGCTCGTCAGATGCTGAAGGGGGACGGAGACGTGCGTGGAAATTGGTGGGACGGCAGTGCCGCCGACAACGTGTGTTCAGCGTCAAGATGTCTCAAATGAGTCTCAGCTAACGACCATGCAGACATTCGATCCTCCACCTCCTCCTTACCTTTCCTTTCACCTTTCCATCGCAGATTCCGCATTGGTTCTCCTTGTCCGTACCCTCGAAAGCAACACTATGACGCAGGCGCCCTCCGCCTTTGCTACGGACATCTCCTTGACCGGGTTTTCCCTGCGGGACCGGATCTTTGGAACCCGGAATCGCGCGCATGATGAGGTCGGCGACGTATTCATCTGGAAAGGCGAGGAAGTACACGTTCGCGAGAAAGTGCGAGTCGAAAGCCAAGACCCGAGCTTGATGGCTGTCATGGCCAAGCTGACAGCGTTAGAGCATGAAGTGATGCGCTGGGTAGCAGCCCTGCGGATATTGATGGGGAACGAGGACACGGAGAGCGAGGTATAGACATTCGCATTACAAAGATACCCCATATATTTCGGTAGCATTAAGTTGCCAGATCGAAACCAGAGCTTTATGCCCTTCAGTAGAGTAGAAGGCGTCTGTCTTTTTACGACCTACTTGTGACCAGCACAATCTCAATAGAGTGGAGTAACTTCTGCAGACGGTTCTAGTGCGTCACCGAAGCTCATCAACATCAAGATATCTGTCCAAATCCATCCAAGTCCATCTAAATCCATCTCGTTCAAACCCTGATCCATTGACCTTCAAAGTGGAGTCAATCGTGAGGAACGAGGGACCAGCCAATGAGCGGCCCGCGGTTTATGATGGGCGCGTGGGTCTCGACTTTAATTTTCTGGAGCTGCTTCATCCTTCAACTTTTTCTGTTCTCCTTGATTCGCAGCGCCCGAGTTCGAATAATGCTGTCCAGACCTTCAGCATCGAGCGCCAGCTGTCCTCATACGAGGCAGCTTCTGCGATCCCGGGTTTCTCGCCCTGCGAGTGCGCGACAGGCTCGCGGACTTACCGGCTACACCGCGACACAACAGAAACGAAACAAAACCCAACAAAGCCCCTATACCGTCGTTTCTCAATCCTCTCCCCACAAAATCTATTTCCTGAGGCCCACGGTGCCACAATGGGCCCCCGGACAAAGAGCAGTGTCCACCGCAGCGACCTCCGCCGAAGCACCGCAGCCCAGCGAAGCGGAACGTATCAACGCCTTGATCGAGCGCATCAATGCAAACGACGACGACATGGCCAGTTTGATGCACGAGTTAGACATGATGGGGGATCCAGAAGACATGGAGGGCCTGCGGGAACTAGTTGAGTTCATTAGCCAGCGAGACCAGCACACCCCAGAGTCCTGGGTCCACCTAGTCCGACAGTCATTCGGAGAGACAATCCCGGAGGGTGTCCTGGGGGAATCTGAAATGAAACTTTACATAACTCTCTATGGTGAACCGATCATCCAGGAGATCTTCGAAGAATCCATGGCGGAGGAAGAGGCGCAGGAATCTGACCAATTATTGCGCGAAAACGAAGAAGGGAACTGGGAAGAAATCAGATTTGAGGAAGAGGCGGGGGTTGAAGAGGATGTGCCAGTTGTGTATGATATGGAGGCTGCCCCTGAGGAAGAGGAAACAATCGCCATGCGCCGGACTCGCGAAGTGGCCGAGCAGCTGGGCGGAGAGATCATGCTGGAGCAGTTTGAGAACGAGGCCGTCCCGGACGCTGCTCCACGAGCCCATCCGTTGACAATGGAAGGCAAGTTCCAGACGGATCCCAGCACGATCAATCTGCCGAAAAGCACTGTCACCGGTCCCATCTCGATAATTTTGTCTGAGTTCTCCAACAAGCATATCGCTGAAACCGCTCGTCGCTTGTTCGGTGGACCTGGTTTGCCTCATTCCACCACAACTGCTCCTCCGCGAGCGCAGCTCCCACAGCTTGCGATCCCGATCAATGCATCCCAGAACTTTATGGGGGAGATGGAGGCCAATGCTTTCCTGGCAGCCTTGTACCCCGGAATCTACGCCTCAACCCTCAGCGTCCTGGTTGAAATTCGCAAACGTATGGGAACTGAGTGGATTCGTGGACTCATTTCTCAAGAAGGTGGTCCCAATGTCCTTGATGCTAGTGGCGGCGGTGCTGGAATCCTGGCCTGGAGAGATACTATTCGAGCCGAGTGGGAGAGTATGGTGCCCGATCATCCCGAGGGAGATCCTATCCCATACGGTCGATCAACTGTTCTGACAGCCGCGGATACGCTGCGCTTACGTGCGAGCGCAATTCTCGACAACACTACTTTCCTCCCCGTTTACCGGATTACCTCCATGTTCGCGATGCACCAACTGTGCATGACAAACGGGAGGCTCCTAAGCGAAAGCAGTTTGACGTGATTATCGCGCCGCACTCTCTTCTTAACTTCGACGAAGAATACGAGCGCAAGCACTTTGTCCAGAACCTTTGGGCCATGCTCAACCCCAATGGGGGTATTTTGATTCTGCTCGAGAAGGGTCGCCAAAAGGGCTTTGAGGCGATTGCTAGCGCCCGTGAGATGCTGCTTAAGCGCCATATCGCGAGTCCTGGTTCTACGGGAATATGCCACCCCTCTAGAATCTCCCGAAGACGGCATAACCACGATCAAAGAGCCCGGTATGATCATTGCGCCCTGTACCAACCACTCAACATGTCCCATGCACAACACTTCCGGACCGACCAAGGGCCGCAGGGACTACTGCCATTTCGAACAGCGGTACATCCGTCCGGATTTCCTGCAGCGCATCATGGGCGCTAAGGATCGCAACCACGAAGATCTCAAATTCAGTTATCTCGCCGTACAACGAGGCAAGGATATGCGCCAAGAGCGCGGTATTCGCCAGGATGCCGAGGCAACAGACGCTGCATTCGAAGGATTCGAACATCGAAGCGGATCATTGCCGGATGTCCAGCCTCTCGCTCTTCCACGCGCAGTCTATCCGCCCATGAAACGCCGCGGTCACGTCATTTTCGATCTTTGCACGCCGGCCGGCAAGATCGAGCGCTGGACTGTCCCGCGCTCTTACAGTCGCCAGGCCTACCGTGACGCCCGCAAGTCTCGCTGGGGAGACCTATGGGCTCTCGGAGCGAAGACCCGCGTTCCGCGCAATCTGAATCTCGGCGACAAACACGGCGAGGGTAAGAAAGAGCGTCTCGCTCGGCGGGCAGCAGACAAGGCTGCGGCACGTGAAGCCGACGAAGAGGGCGATATGGATGAACATGCCCGCGACGACGAAGAAGAGGAAGACATAGAGTCAGCAAATGGCAGACGAGATCGATCTGCGCTCCCTGAGATCCCAATGCGGAAAAAGGGCCAGAATATCCCGAGCTGGAAGAAACATGCGGACAAGAAGAGGATTCGACTGGCCGTGAGAAAGCAATCTGCGGCAGATCTCTAAAGCATCTGTTGGTGCCTAACCTCTTTGGGATCATGGACCTGCATTGGGTTGATTGGCGTACATATTGAGATTTGGAAACCATGTATTTGTATTACTAGAACACGGCGATTTGGCATGGGGGATTTGGACTTGGGCACTTTGTACTATATTATTCATCTTCACACCAGATTCAGCTAAAAACCCAATCTCTTCACTTTTGTTTGACTTGAACTGCTTGGTAAGGCTTCTGTTTCTGATATTTGAGGAGACTACCTCCCGTTGCGCTGTAATATTGATGGGTATCATTGTTGGTTCGTACATTTGGATTCTTCATGATCGTAAGCTGAATTCGGTCGTCTCAAGCTGGCTAGGTCTGAAAGTGCCTTCGAAGGAATGAGCGTCGAAATTGCCTCTTCCTCCCAAGGCTTCTGGGGCGAGGAAGGTCCATTCAGCATACGCAGCTAAGACCAAGCTCCTGGAGAGAAGATCGCCTGAAAAGCAGGTATGTCGGTATTGGTCCATGAAAATGTCTCCCAGGCATGTCTGCTGATTGCTCGCTGTGCATGTCGAGAGCTAGGATCTACTACCGTGGTATCATTGCGCCAACATGCCATACTTAGGTCCAGGCAGTATGACGCAGTTTAGAACTGTTCCAATCGATCAGCTCACTGCGCAGCCATACTCTTTCTCAACTGTCTCTGCCGTTGGGTACTCTGCAGCTCCAAGCGATCAACCGCATATTTGAGACGCTCTTTCTTCTGCACCAATCTGCGCAGCTCAGCGACCTTCGAGGCTGTCGAGGCAGCGCTGCTGCTTAACCCCGCTGAACGAGCCCGCATCGCGTTGCTTTTCGCGGAAGTTTTGTTTTCCGAATTGGACGAGAGTCGGCCTTCTTGCAAGTCACATTTAGCCTTTAAGCTTTCCTCGCGTCGTGAGAGCTTGTCGACGTGGTTTGAGGCGAGGGAGAGCAGGTGTGCGATGCTCGGTGTTATTTCGTCCAGGAGAGATTGTTGGGCTTCGCGCAGAGTTGGTTCTGGCAAGAGCTCAAAGTGCTAAATAATTCACGGTTAGCCCATACTTCTTGTTATTGGCAGATATTCGACGTTTGGCACTGCTTACTCGTGTTGTTTGCAAGACTTTGCAAAGGCGGGGGAAGTCATTGACACCAGAATCAAGCGTAGTGATGGAGTTGTCGAGGAGCTGCAAGGATGACTGTAGCGATGAGACCGATGATGCTAGCGAAGATGCCATTTCAAACGAGTGAAATTGTTGGTGTTGTTCGAGTTAGCAGACGTTGCGCTCAGTGTTTACATGGTCGCACATCGGAACGGAACGGTAAAGCGGCCACCGCCCCCAAAAGCGGCAAGGCGTCTCGGACCGGGCAAACTCCAACCTCACTTCTCCTCTCTCTCCTGCATCACCACCCCCGCGAACCCCGAATCTACCTATTCGCACCATCTGCCACTATGTCTCTCCTCGGAAAGAAGTTCCCCGGTCTCTTGGGTATGTTCCCCCAATTCCGTGTCGCGACCTCGTGCGCTACGACCTGATGATCTCGAATCTAACCCGCTTGTGAATAGCCACGCCCATGACCCCCTTCTTCGCTGCCGGTACGAAACCCGATCCGCTCTATCTCTTATGTTCTACGGAGCTGAATTGATGCTCCATTCGCTTCTTGTTCCGACTGTGTCGCTATCCGTGGATCCATGTTCTGACAAGTCTCCTTTCTAGGTGTCATCGTTCTGTACGGCGTCAACTCCCTCCAGAACGCTTTGTCCCAGAGTGAGTGCACCCAGCATCTTCTGATTCCTATCTCGACTAAAATCGGCGCTTCTTGCGATGGATTATTTGGGGCGTCAATCTCCGATAACGGTCGGCCCACCTGCACCTTTGAACACTAGACTGACACCGTTCCTATAGCCGCCGAGTACAAGAACGACCCCCGCAACCCCAACGCTAAGGCCGGTAACGGTCACTAAATTCGACCAACGATGGGGCATTGAGATGCCACCTTTTGTGGCGTGAGCAGGAACGGATCGAGCCGTCGTGCATGGGTATATGTGAATCAGAGGCCCTTGCTCGGCTATAGTCCGCAAAGTGTTGTACGTATGCACGGAGGTTTGCCTTCTGTCCAAGCATATAGAAGATTCCCTCCAGGGTGACTTGGATCAATTCACAAGCTGTACCACTACGATCTTTGGCTCTTGACCGTGGTGTGTCGTAGGTTGTTGTACATTCTATTGCCGCATATCACTGGTCACGTTATTAGCTTGGCGGCTCATGAAGTATAGTCCGAGCCATCCGAGCTATTGGCGTGCATCGGCATGTCTCATAGATTACCAGACTGCCAGCTGAATCCGGATAATGATAGGTGTGTCATTTTCTATCGGACTGGCACTTCATTCGCGATTCATCCATGGTGGCAGTCCCAGTGGATCTCCTCAAGTTTGACCAAAATTTTAAGTAAGAAACTATGGCAAAGTGAAGCTAGTGTTGTAGTACCTGAAGGCCCCCATTGAAGTGTCGAAATCTTGAACGCCACGCTAAACCCGATCCGGATCCGCAGCTTTTTGCCAACTCCGCCTCGATTCCAGAACATTACGATCCTCCCAAGCTCCCACCACATACCCCCGGGAACCCGCCAGAATGTCGAAGGCAGCAGCATCAGCAGCGTCAATGTTCCGGCCCAAGAAGCTGGATCTTTCCGGCTTCGTTAACACCCGCCTGATCCGTGATCACAACAAGCGCAATGCCTTCGCGCAGATGGAGCCCGAACGGTAAGAACCCTCGCCTGGACCGGCGGAGTGCCCCTCCGGATCAGCATCGCTGCCTCAATGATGAAACGTCATCTCTGACATTCTCCCAACAGTCAAGCGCTCCGCTACCTGATCCGCAACACTTCCCTCCCCCAGCGCGTCCGCGCCCAGGCCCAGCTCCAGCTGTCGCAGATGCACGTCTACACTCGGCCCACACAGATCAAGAACCGGTGTGTGGCTTCAGGAACTGCTCGCAGTGTTTTCCGCGATTTCAGACTCAACCGAGTGAGTACAGAGCCTTTGAAGGTGCGAACAGGCTGAATGATGGGTGACTGACTGGGGTTCTTTAGTTCCAATTCCGTATGCAGGCACTCGCTGGCGAGCTTCCCGGTGTCAAGAAGGCCAGTTGGTAAGCTAAAGGGGATTAGATACCAAGGTTCATGTGTATGAGAAATTCGGAAGGCGTTCTCTTCGCTTCTTTTGCATTGAAGCATGTACAGTACAGAATATCACACAACTTTTCATATCGTTCTTTCTTCAAATTTCTGTTTCTTTACAGTCTCACTTTTGACCGTTGTGATAAGTAAAGATCCGTTTGGATAAAGCTCATTTCTTCGCTGGCGGAGTTGAGACTGCGGACGTTTGTCTAATCCAATTTGATCGCTCTCCTAAGCACCAGTCTTGTCTTCCTACATATGACTCCCAGCCTCGATTAAACTTCTCCCTCATCCTTCTGGCTGTCACATCAGCTTCTCTTTCACAGCTGTACTCGACAGACTTGCAACAAAGCCTCTCTTTAAGATGTTCGTCTACACCAACAAGAACTTGCCTCCCGACCCTGAGTATCGCCCGGACCTCAAGAAGCTAGGGTGACTAATTTAAATTACGGCAGAAAGTAAGCCACATATCTGACGCCATTCGCAGATTCTCCATTACCGAGAGAGATACAATCCGCCGCGTTGACGATCCAGACGTGGGATATAAGTACAAGATCAACCGCAATGACCGGTTCAACATCAAGTACCGTGAGGCCATGAACGGTCAGTACTAGCATTACGCCACAGGCACGACATCTACTAATCCATGTGGTTGAGTCCAGAGGCAATTCGTAACATTGTCCTCCCGCGTCTCGCGAAGGCCGGCCTGAAGACCCTACGCCTTCCTTTCTGCGAAAGCAACCCTCTACGAGAGAAGATTCCCACTGAACCCCATGTTCCAGTCCTGGTGTCTCCAAACCTTTTGAATGCACCGCGCGTTATCTTGGTTTTCGGCGAGCCCGTGCAGGACCTAGGCATCTGGTCCTATCGAGCCATCCTTCAGGATGGCGTCAACATCGGGTCGGCTGTGAATTTCACCAAGGCCGTTCTGGGAGAAAGCCAAGGTGCAGAGACAACTGACAGCTCCGGGGAAAGAACAGACAATGCGCTGATCCTGGCCAACACGGGCCAGCTGCTTTGGCATTGTGGTTCTACTCGTGCCATCACAACGCAGACATGGCTCGCGAATCCTCGTCCTTCTGGCATTTCAGAGCAAGCTGGCATGTCTCGCCGCAACGTGATCCCCTGCAACAGGGACTGGCAGGAGCATATCAACTATGTCTTTCAGGCTTTATGGGAGTACCTCGGACCCTCGAGCCGTGTCGATGTGATTGGCATGTCTGAGGGTGGTCTGGGCGTCATTAAATATTTGAGAGATCATTGTAAGTGGACCCACTTATCAAGATAACTTCAGCCAGATGGGTATCACTCAGATCGGACCATCAACCACTAGAATTGACCATGATTGAACAGGGGAGAGATGGCGCCCTTATATCTCAGCCATGTGTCTCGCCGACCCGCTTCAGAGCACGAATGTTGAAATCGACGTGGGCAAACTAGCCGACCCGACTTCATTCACTGCATTCATGTCCTCACGCTGTCGGGCCTACATTGTCTCTCAAGATGAAGCCGACAAGCTCCAGGTGGGGTACCACCACCATGGCTGTAATTGCTACTCATCTGGTGAGACTGAAGACAGCGAGGGCATCTTGCTCAGTGCATGGCCTCTTGTGCTCGCCTGGCTCGACATTCTTTACAAAGACGACAACTACGCAGAAGTCGTTGTCATGGGCACTAATATGGACGAGGAGCTGCAGCAGGCCATGGAAGGACTGACTTGTAGGATTCTGGATGAGGATGGGCCTAAATCAGACTCGGTCAAGGAGCTAGCAACTGCGAAGCCGGATACCCAAATCAATGATCCGAAGGATAGGGATGTGGAACTGGAAGCCAAAGCTGAGGACGTCATGTCGGAGACCATGAGCTGGAAGGATGCGAGTGACATGATTCAGGACAGGGTTATTGAAGCAGAGGAAGCCAGTACGAAGACATTCATCACACCTGCTTCTTAGAAGAACATGATGCAGGCCACCAAGACTGCGATCTACGACAGCGATGACGGCTATGCTGGGGATATCGAGGGGATGGTGGGCCCTTACATGCAGCGCTCGTCGGTGGTGTCGGAGGTGGATTCTTTTTCAGTTGTCTTGGATACATAGAGCTTGAGGCAGTCTGAACCTGTCCCTGATCCAAGGGTAGCCCTCTACTCCATCAAGAATCGAAATAGGAGGAACATTTCTTATGCGCTCTCTACGCGAAATGCCATGTGTTTCCAAGCCACATTCACATTCATGGGCAATCAATCGGATATGAATTCATTTTCTGCTCTTGCATTCCTGCAAATGGTATAGCTACAGTCCAGGGCATACCAGAAATCGAACGCTGAGAACAGAGTTAGTAGAGCGCATCTGCAGTGTAACGCAAGTCATCGCTAGTCAAGGCAGGTTTGATGTCGGAAGATCTCTCGACATCCCATCACTATGATCCGTGAAGTCACAACAAGCATTTCGAACGTTCAGATAGTGCTAATCGGTGCGACCATCAGTCGGTGGGGGATGGTGCCATCAAGGCATTTCTGAAATGTCGCCTCTGGATTTGAGCCAGTTGAACTTAACCCCGCAACACTTCCGCACTCAGCCCTCCACTGACAATTTCCCGACTTTCACATCTCCATATTTGCATCGTCGTCGCCATCGAGATCATCACTCAGGACTCTCCCAATGGACGCTTGGACGAGGTTACTCGATGAGAACCACAAATGTCGACTCAGGGCCACTCTTCGGAGACCGCCGGCCGCAGAGAGGGGAAGCCGGAGGTTGAACAATTGACAGTCACAGGGAAAGCGAATGGTCCAGCCAAAGCGCAAGTTTGGAATTTTGATCGAGTAAGAGAATGAAAATCGGCAGCAGACGGGCAGTTTTGATCGAGTAACGGGCACTGATAATAGCCCCGGAACGAACGGCCCACCTTCTGCAGAGCCACCAAGACCAGATACTGCGTCGGAGGTGCCCGATGCCACTTTCTGGCCCTCGATAAACGCTACCGCTTTGCCCAACCACCGTGCGCCCTGCGTACCACTATCCGTGTCTTTGCCGCTTACAACACAGATTTTATGGCTTCAACCATGGTTCATACCCGGCTCATAACCGCAGTACTCACCAGGGAAGGCAATATACCCCTCGATACACATCAAGAGGACCGTCACTGCGCTCAGACATCCCCCCCGATAGGGCAAAGGTGAAGGCATTCGTGATCATGCACGGTGCATGGCGCCCGCTGACTGGCTCTGGGCCGGCCGATTCACCACCCGATCTCAATTATCGAGTAATCGCTTTCACCCTCCGGCACCGCACCGGGTGGGACTCCCCACGGCATTGAGATCGAAAGACAGCCCGGTGGGTCGCCGCAATCCCCCGTCCAGAAATCAAAATTTTCAGCGCGAAGACAGTTATTTATACAGCTTCCCCCAGACTTGGGCTCTTATCTACTCATCCTTGTCCCTCGTTCAGATAAGCACCTTTGGCCTTTATCTCCTCCATTCTATTGGTCGTCTTATCTTCCCCCGTTACTTTTCTATACTCTTTCTAACTCTTTTCTACTCTACTCTCTGCTCCCCACACTTTCGTTTCCCCGCTTGTGAAATATACTATACCCTTGCAAGGATTTGGAGCTATGGCGACAAACATGCCCTCCATCGCCGTCGTGGCGTCGTCTCGAGCCGTTATCTCCGGCCGTTTGACTTCCGCTACCATTGTCATCTCCAACACTACTGGCAAGATCAATGCCGTCTTCGATTCCGTGATCCCTGCCTCGGAATTTCCAGCGGGTACACCGTACACCGACTATTCACCCTATGTATTGCTGCCCGGTCTGGTCGATGCTCACGTTCACCTGAACGAGCCTGGCCGCACCGAGTGGGAGGGCTTTTACACCGGCACCCAGGCTGCTGCCTTTGGTGGTGTGACTACCGTGATTGACATGCCTCTCAATGCTATTCCACCCACTACTACCGTGGCCAACCTGAATGAGAAGATCAAAGCTGCCACAGGCAAGTGCTGGGTGGACGTTGGCTTCTATGGCGGTATCATCCCCGGCAATGATGCCGATCTCAAGGGTCTGGTCGACGCCGGTGTCCGTGGCTTCAAGGGTTTCTTGATTGATAGTGGTGTAAGTGATTACTTCAAATTTGTTTCTTAATCCGCCATACTAACAAATCTCTCAGGTTGATGAGTTCCCTGCTGTGGCTCAAGATGATATTCACAAGGCTATGGCTGCGTTGGCAGATGAGGCCACCACCCTCATGTTCCACGCTGAGATGGTGCCTCCTATCACCAAATCTGTTGGTGACGAGACCCAAACTTCGGCTCCCCCGGCTGCCCCGGCTGGTCCTCTGGAGGCCTACTCGACCTTCTTGGCCTCCAGACCCTCGGAATTCGAGACTTGTGCCATTGAGCGCATCCTGTCTATGGCTCACCTTGCACCCAACCTCCAACTGCACATCGTTCACTTGTCTGCCATGGAGGCTATTCCTATCCTCCGGGAGGCCCGCGCTAACGGCGTCAAGATTACCGCTGAGACTTGCTTCCACTACTTGTCTTTGGCTGCCGAGCAAGTGCGTGATGGTGACACTCGCCACAAGTGCTGCCCTCCCATTCGCTCTCAGCTCAATCAGGATGGCCTGTGGGAGGAGCTGGAGAAGCACGCCAGTGACGGTGTCATCAAGACCGTTGTTTCTGACCACTCCCTTGCACACCCAACCTGAAGCAACTTCCTTCACATATCCCCGGCAACTGCCATGCCGAGTCCGGCAAGGAGGAAAAGGGCGATTTCTTCTCTGCCTGGGGCGGTATTTCCTCCGTCGGCCTGGGTCTTCCCATCCTCTGGACGGAACTCAGCCGCCGCAAGGGCCTGACCCCCCCCCCAATGATGAGAACACCCGAAACTCCCTGCAAGATGTTGTTCGCCTGTGCTGCGCTAACACCGCCGCTCAGGTCGGTCTGGAGAGTCACAAGGGAGATTTGCGTGTAGGCTTCGACGCCGACATCTGCGTCTTTGACGACTCCGCCGAGTGGGTCGTCGAGCCCAGCACCATGCTCTTCCGCAACAAGTGTTCGCCCTATCAGGGCAAGACATTGCGCGGCATGGTTCGTGAGACCTGGCTCCGCGGCGAGCGCATTTTCAGCCGCAACGCCGGCTTCGCCTCCAAGTCTCCCGCCGGCAAGCTGCTTCTCGAGAAGCGGGTCTAAGCACTTCTTCTGAATTCTTTCGCATCTACGTGGCTCCGTGAAAGTTGACCTTTCTTGGCAGCACAACCTTATTTTCCTTTTTCATTCCCTGCATCTCGTTTCTCGGTTGAGTCGGTGACGAGCACTAATGACTGAACAGCATTCATACCCAGTTTAGAGTAATAACCACGCATATAGCTTTTGGCATAGAATACGAATCAAAGCATTCTCCGTCTTGTAATGGGGTATCTAGTAGCCGAAAAAATGGTATGTAGTATTACACGAGCATCTCATGACTGCTCTTTTTCCTTCTCGTACTTTTCTCTGACTCTTCGTCTTACACCTCCATTCACGCCTTTACCCCAAATTTCAACCTCCTCGTGCTCTTCAGTGATTCCAATCTGTCCATTTTCCTGTACCTCCCCAACAACAATCTTCTTCTCCTTGAACTTTCTCTCCTGCACTCGAGCTCTTTCAATCTTGCCCACATACGCCACATACAAGAACGACTCAGCAACAGCGACCGTCAACGCAGCGAATAGCGACAACAGGACCTTGACAGCCGCCGAGGCGCCGCCAGTCGCTTGCTCTTCCGAAAAGACATCAGTTTTCGGCCCTGTTGCAGAAGAGAACATATTCGCTAGAACATTCGGCATGGTAAACTTGGTCAATGCCCAATACGTGCTGAATCCGGTGACCAGCACCGAGATAAAGATGTTAAACACCAATGATGGCGTGAGCGTGTCTTCAGTGATGCTCTCATCGCTGGTCGCAGTGTGTCTGTCCGCGTCATTTGGATTAGGAGTATAGCTTGGGTTGAGGAGGCGCTGGTATGCGGCTTTTTCTTCGGCGGCGAGGAGACGGGCTTTGGATGCGAGGTATTCAGGGCTCTGCGAGAAGAGGGTTGGTTAATGATAATGTTTTGGTACGTAGGGATGTCGAACATGATACATACAGGCTCTGGCTTCTTCGGCGGAGGTGGCACGTAGACTCTCGTGCCGCGTAGGAGACTACTTAGTACTGTAGGGCTGCGACTTGTGTCCTGTGTCGCATGATATTCGGCATTGGCCTGGAGGTGCTTCGACAAGCGGAGGATCTGGTCGTGCGCGATCGGCCCATTAACCTCCAGCGTCGCAGGAAGCTCAAGCTCGCGACGCCGCGAAGCAGGCACCACCTCGAGTGCAGCGAGAATTCGATCCGTCGCGACAAGGAGGACCATTCTGTGGTGATAGTAGTGACGTGAAGCGGAGAGGACAGCTGCGGCGGAGCGGGAACAAGAAATGTAAATCTCCGGGCTCAAGCTCCCCACTTTGCACCTTCACCCCAGCGTCACAGCCATGGCAGACTCCAAGAGCAAGGCGTGAGTGTTCAATGACAATCCTGCTTTTAAAAGCTGTCTTCTAGCTCCTCTACACAGTTGACTCCCACCCCGGGGCCTCTCTGATCGTCGTTGGCCGTGTGCATTCACTAACCCCTCCATCTCGCAGTCCGGTCACAACACAAACAAACTCACGAGGAATCCCTGTCGCCCCCTTCATCGACAATGTCAGCGACTACGTCTCATCCCGCGCAGAGGTCGAGCCGACCCTTCGCTCTTTCCAGGAGATGATCTCCAAGTACCAGTTCATGGAGGTGAACACGCAGCGCCGCGGCCAGGGCCTGCGCGAGAAGATCCCGGATATCAAGAAGACATTGGAGATGGTGCGGTTTTTAAAGCTGCGTAAGGAGGTATGATGTTTCTCCCGATAGATATACGGGTTGGGGGTTGGTGGGCTAATTGGGATTCAGTCGAACCCGGACTCGGATCTCGAGACGAACTTTGAACTGAATGATACCCTTTACGCTCGCGCTTCTATCTCCCCCACGGATGCTGAGGAGGTCTACCTCTGGCTGGGGGCTAATGTCATGCTGGCCTATCCGCTGGCTGAGGCTGAGAGTATGCTGGCAGAGAAGTTGTCGGCGGCAGAGATCAGTCTGGGTCATTGTGAGGAGGATTTGGAGTTTTTGCGTGAGCAAATTACAGTATGTGCATTGAGATGGCTTCGGCTTGCTTGTTTTTGGTTTACTAACTCTTTTTTTTAAAAAATAGACACTCGAGGTTGCCACGGCGCGCGTTTACAACTGGGACGTTGTGCAACGGCGCAAAGAAAAGGCCGAGGGCAAGGACGAGAAGCAGTAATCGAGTTGAAAATATATATATCCAGATGACCTATTGAATTTCTTGAAATGAAGATGATCGCTACAACACTCAAACACAGGTAAAGGACGAAGCCTGGTTCGGATCTCCTTTGGTATACGTGAAGACCTTGGGGTACGGGCAGAGATGACCCACGCGGGTAGCCGAGCTGTTTGAATGGTCTATGGCCGTTGCGATGCCTTCCAGCGTATCTGGCACGGTCCCGTTCTCAACCCAGGCTCGCAAGGTATCAAAGACCGTGTCACTGGGATCGAAGCCAGCACCACCACCGCAGTGGCCTACGCCGGGGGCTAGGAAGAAGCGGTAGTAGTCCGCGACCTCTGGATCGAACTTCATGGCCCGCGTGTAGTAGTCCACCGTACCGTTGGTTGGGATGAGGGGATCCGACATACCGTGCCAGGCAATCATTTTCGTCCCAGCCAGTTTCATTTCCGTCAGGTCGGGACTCTCCGTTCCAATGACGGAGGCGTATTGGTTCACCGATTGCCGAAAAAGACGGTCGTAGTCCAGGCGGGTGAGGCTGTTCGTATTGTATGAGGAATTCCTAGCCAGGAACACCTTCATCCAGTCATCGCTGATGCTGAAGGGTATCACCGTGCAATTGTGGACGGAAGTACAATTCGTCGTGAGCATGCCTGACATGTCGGATCCATAGTCGAAGCCGTACCATTCGAACCGGCCCGCGGCTGATCGAGGTCCTTCCCAATAGGCAGTCACCAGCTTGGCCATCGCCTCCGTGATGGTGGTTGTTCCGCTCGGGTCGCTGCATTTGACGGCGTGGCCGATCATAGAGGAGGCCTTGAAGTGACACTGGCCTGGATAGGAGATGATCTTGTCTTTAACACCATCAAGCACATCGCATGCATCGATAGCTGCCTCTGTGAAGGCATCAAGGACGCATAGAGGGGGTTGTGTATCTATAGAAGCGTGAGAAAAGAGCAGTCAATGATAATCAAAGCAGGTCACTCACCAAGTACTTGCGCCATCAACACCGGCCAAAATTCAGATGGGATGAACTTGTCCCAATTGATAGCCGGCGCACCCCCAACAATCCCATCAAAGAGATCCGGGTGTTGCTGCGCCATCAAATGGCCCTGGCGACCTCCAGTCGAGCACCCATTCCAGTAGGAATACTTGGGTGCCGCACCATAGTATATCTCCGTAGCCTTCTTGCCCAGAACTGCCGCTTCCGCTAAAGCAACACTGGCAAAGTCCCACAGGGCAGGCCAGTTCGTATTGCCCTCACTGGTCAAACCCCAATCAGCCGTCGGGACCGTGGTGTTATGTCCCCCATCCGTCGAAGCAGACGAGTAACCGGACATCAAGGGCTCGAGAATCACATCCTCACCACCAGCCACCCAGCCACCACCGCCATTCATCAAGAAGCGAGAGTTCCAATCGTCGGTTTCCAAGGGAAGTCCAATCCATGTGTTGACGACATCATTCTGTCCAGGGTGGGTATATGCCATGTGAATCAAACAAATATCCACAGCAGGCGCTGTTGCACCGATGGATGCAGACGTTACTCCGACACCTCCCGAGCCATCAGCACTTGAGGAGCTGGCCCCATTGTAGTCGTACACAGCCGTCACATTGAGATTCAAAATGTCCATGTTACTGAGAGGGACAGATGAGAATGTGCTCGCCGTACAAGCCGAAGCACCAGCCCCCAAGGCCCCGCGAACGACCCCTGAATCTTCCATGAAAGTCGACATCGATCTCGCAATCCAAGAAGCCATGTTGTGCAAGCCGTGTTTTGAGAACACAACTGGGGATATGGTTCGCCTCTGAGCATTGTTGTTATAATTGATAGGTCTAGCAAGGGGGTTCATTCACACAGGGGAGAAAGATAGGTCAGATCGACCACCGGGAGTTCACAACGGTAGTTTGCGGATCGTTGACGTTAGCCTTCATTGGGTATTCCTTGCACGGAGACGATCGTATCAGGAACATCCGAAGTTTAGCCCGATATCAATGTGGCGGGCTCCACAATTTCAAAATGCGGGGTTCTTTACGCACCCCGGATCTGGGGAATCGGCTGGTACTTTTGGCATCCCTGGTGCGTATAAGTGTTTATAATCGGGGTTTGGGCGATACCTTATAGGGTCGGTAGTGGGAGGTGGTTGTTCGACCAGTCGAGCTGGATCCGATATTCGGATTTTGGGATCTGGGGGCAAGTACCGTCACTCTTGTGATTTTACAGGCTCCAACACCGCAACGCTTCTAGATACCATTTCACTTACTAATGTAGTAAACCCGGGATGATTCTGCTTTGTCTAGTAGAAATAGCTCCCAGGAATGGATTCGTTGTGTGTCAGTATATGCGACCAAGTTATCTGAATATCACTATATGGTTTTGGTTTTCTCTCTCTAAAAGCATGATCATTCGAACCCGTTGGATCTACCTATTTGAAATCGGTCTTCGCCTTATTTTAATCTAAAATTGCCAACTGTAGTGTGTCACACGGATCCAGCAAGTTCGTCTACTCTGAAGATGGTTCATCCGGCATCGAATCAATGATGCTCTGCCAATCCACCGGGGCCGGGAAAATTCCATCCCTGATAGGAGGATGAGAAAATGAGAGGGGAGTCAAAGAGCTCCCACAGATTGCCACTAAAGTCATTGGTGAGCATTGGCAGAATGTCGAGATCGGGATCTTCTGCTGCCGTTGGCATGTTGCCGAGTGTGGGAAAGGCTCCAAGGTTTCCCGCAGAGGAACCATTTGCGGCATATTCGTCCTCGATAGCTTTGGGTAAATTCTCTAGAATGTCTCTGACTTTCTCACTAAGCGAGCTGGTTCGCTTATCTCCGGCTGGTTCGTCTAATCCGGTTCTATCGCGGTTTCTGTTAAAATTTTCGAATTCCTCCTTCTCCAGGTCGGAAAGCGCTTTCAAAGCCTAATGCACCGATAGGTGGAATCCCTCACTCGTTGTAGATGAGGATCTTGGGCTGACTTCCAACGAAACACATTTTTCTGGGGGTAGATGGTAGCATCCTGTCTCTCTTGGAATAGCTCCAAAGCCTTTGCAACACTGGATCTTCCCAGAGTTGATTCATCCGAGCATTACTGCCCTTGGCAGTATCGACCCTCGACAAACGAAGTAGGTCAATGATGAATATACTAGCTGCATTGAACAGCTGAGCGTCACCAACAGAGAGGGAGCCGCATACAGTGCAACGTGTTCGAATTTGCCCGCCACAATCTATGATGCTTTTTGCCAAGAGTCGGCAGATCGCACGGCTTTCAGGCGACGAGAGATTGTCGTGATGAAGTCGTAGAAACATGCCCCATAGCTGTTGGTGTAGCATCCATCGATGCACAGGCATAGCGGCCAAGGGGCCGCATGCATCGAGTCCCTCTGAACTCTCCAGTTGGAAAAATGATGGTAACTCAGCAAGGAATTTCGTGCTTCTCAGTGAGGTTTTGTCGTATCTTGGCCTTCTCGTCCGGGGACTTAGGGGAGAATTTGTGAAATGCGTCTCGAAGGTCCAGTGATTCTCGCATAAGGGTCACCATCTCGAGAGTGTAAATCGTGTAGGAGAGCATGGTAAACTCTGAACGGGGTCTTTCAGTGAGCCTAGCCCATGACCCTGCATCAGTTGGGCAGAGATGATCATCATTGATGTGCAACGGGATCCGAGTGTTGAATGTGGACGGAAGTATGTTGTAGTAGCCTAAGGCCTGCCCACGAGACCAATCCCTCGCAACAAGAGCCCACCTTGATTCACTTTTCTTAGACATCACTCAAATTGATCACAACTATTGAACACTCACCATATCCTAACACCAATTTCTGTTCGTATGACGGTAGAAAAAGCAAAAGACGATCCAATTCCAGGTCGGATATATCGGGTAAAGAAGCGGCCAAATTCAAGTCCGCATCCCCTAGCCGATGCAGCTGTAACTTTCGAGCACCAGAGATGGCAGTTACAAGGAGTGCATCCAGCTCTAGGGAGTCTTCATAGCCGTCTAGAAGAAACATGACGGCCGCTTGCAAACTTGCAATCGAGCCACAATACATGAAAACTCGTCCTTGCAAACAACGGGAGGACAATTGTCTCCACAAATGTGGAGAGTCAGATGCTCGAATTGCCGCTACAGATGTGGTCATTCTTGCAGTAGCCTCATCACTGAGGCCCGTGGAGAAATAAAAGGCAAGACCTAGTACTAGCTGTGTTATGCCTGTGAGCAGATGCAGAATAATAGTGAACAGGAGTATGTACCGCCATAAGTAAACAAGCAATCTCATCTGTCGTAAACTTGTTCGCCAGAGCTACAGCGCGCTTCTGGGGAAGCCTGGATAAGACAATCACAGAGCGATTGGGCCTGCTGCTCAAATGCAGGTGTATGGATAATGTTGCCCAGTGGTGCTTGACAACGCGTAAGAAACGTTTCATGGAGAGCGCGAATGACATTCTCCGCAGGCAACTTATCAATGACATCTCGCATCAACTTTAATCTCTGAGAATAACCGGTGTGCGTCCACTTAGGATTGGGATAATCAGGGGCAACCATCGACTGAGATACACACCCGGTAGAAGATGAAAGGTCATGGGCCTGAGTTTGAAGAGCCCCTTCAACGAAGCTTTCAAGTAGTTCTGCGGTATGTTCTGCTTCTGTGGCTTCTGTCGCTTGTGTGTTGTTGCTGGGGTCTGTCTTCGTCCTTTTGGCTCTAGGTTGACGCTCATCTTTGGTACACATATGCCCAACGGCCCGCTTGGTGCATTCATTCTTGATGCAGTTAGCGAAAGCAAATCTTTATCGATCATGGCGGCCATCGCATACACAGGGTTCATTTCGATCACATTTGAGCTTTGATGCTGGACACCTTGAGCAAGAGAGCGTCAACTTGCGCGCCTTAGGCGTTGGGCCTTCATGCCGGCGACGACCCAGGTCCTCATGATGGACAACCCTGCGAACCATCTTTGGAAGATCACATACGTTGCTGTCATTCAGAATCGCCCAGCAAGAAAGTCATCATCAAAGATGAGGCAGCCACTAGGTCTGATATCCACCCAATTAGAGATGGGGTTTGGGCATGCTCAAAGTACAGGTCTGCAAGTGCGATATTATACCAAGCTTGAAATTTAGTATAAGAGCCAAGTGGACATAGATAGAATAAGAAGACTATTTAATCGATGTGGATATCATAGTAGCAACCAACGTGACAAAAGTCTAGAGGAGTATAGGAGCTGAAAGCGCGGTGTATTCGATCAATGAGCCCAAAAAGCCGAGGCAAAGCGCTTTAATGAGTGCCACGAACGCCTCAATCAAAAGCAAAAAAAAAACAAAAAAAAAACACAAAAAGGGTCGTAAATCATGATGTCTCCTTCACTAAATATCAAGCATGGGCATCAAAAGACAAAACATAGAAAACATGTCGGGACAATCAAATGTTCTAGGCTAAGGGACCACTCCCTGAAGCCACTCGGTCGCGCATGCGTCTTGTGATGTCGATGTCAGTATCGTCACCCACAAAGGTCCATTCTTCAATATCGTCGACATCATCGTCAGCGTGATCTGGAGATGCTTGAGCGGTTGGTGTTGGTGAGAAGGGGGTGGATGAGGCGATGGAACGTTGTCGGACAAGTGTCTTGGCATATTCAAGGTCACGGTACAAGGATTGAATTGCGGTAGCCACACCGTCCTCCTATGGGATAAATGATTAGTAGGGTAACATAAAATGTGGTCTTGCTCCATGACTTACATTGCGGATTTGAATGCCCAAGTTACGGGCCTTCACAATCATGCGCTCGCTGTGTGTGGCCTCCCAGAGGGCGCGCGAGAAGACGCTAACATTCAACCTCTTCATGCAAATTCCGACGCCCAAGTCTTCAACTCGACCGCCAAAGAAGAATTGGTCACCAAAGAACGGCTTCACGATGGTAGGCACCCCTGCTCGAAGACTTGCGCCGGTAGTTCCTGCTCCACCGTGATGAGCTGCAGCGTCAATCTGTGAGAAAAGCCAGTCATGGGGAGCGGATTGGATTTGGTGGATTTCCGGAGGCAATGGGATTTCTGCCTTCACACTAGAGGGATCGCCCAGCCTGTCTGACCATCCTTTTGAAAGAATGCAGCGGACATCGGCTTTCTGAACAGATTCGACGACGGTTTTTGTGAGAGCTGCTGGATCCGATACGACAATCGACCCAAAGCCAATATAGACAATCTTCTTGCCATCGGCACGCGCACGAGCGATGAAGTCCAATAGTTCTTGCGGAGGTGTCCAGTCAGTACCTTCACTCAAGAACCAATAGCCCGTGATGCGGATCCAATCTGGATAGTCAATGGGTGGAGGGACAACCAGTGGTGAATAATTGTACAAGAATGGAACCTTATTTTGCTGCATCTTTTCCAGGTTAGTGGCCTTAAGCCCGAGTTCGCTATTCCTCCAGCGATTCACCTGACCAGCAATAGCCTTCCAGAAGACGGTGTCAAACATGACATAGGTGATCTTGTTGTACCTTCCGCCCATCCGATTCTCCGGAACAGCAAAGGCATGTGGATAGGCACGAGTCCTTGACCATGGCATGGTAAAGCCACGGAAGTAAGGAATTCGAAGAGCCTCGGCGATATGAATTCCAGCCATTGCACTGGGAGATTCAATGAGAAGATCACAATCTTGGCAACTTTTCCAAGCAGACGACAAAAGATCGTCAATCCATCCTCTGAACTTTAGTGAGGCTTCCCGGAGGAAGGAATAAGTAAACATTCCATTTTCCACGCATATTCGCATGAGCTCGGCTGGGTCTCCATCGACAGGAGCAAAATCAATGCCATGCTTCCTGATCCAAGGCTCAAATTCAGCATGTGTGGCGATCTTTGGCTTATGACCCTCGGCAATAAGTCCCTTGCAAAGAGCAATGTAGGGCTGCACGTCACCACGAGATCCTATCGTCAGACAAGTGATGCGCAAGGGGTGCGGAGGTTTGAAGTTGATGATGGATGCACGAGGGTCGTCAAAGAAGGAATGCATCTCTGATGAATCCTCGTTGAGGGTATGTTTTGTGTGATGATCCTTTGGGCCGTCAAGCCTAGCCTCCTCTAACAGGCGATGCTCGGCTTCAGCTGCTTCAACTTCCTCGCGTTCCTCTTCAGCGAGCATGCCTGATTCAACTAAGGATTTGACGGACTCAAGGCTCTGGTGCAATGTAACTGCACAGTCATCGCGGGATTCAGATGCATTGAACTCGAAGAAAAGCTCTTCATGGCCACGGATGATCACAACCAAGCCATGATAGCCAAATCGGAATCCTTTCTCTTTCTCGACATTCTCGATGTCCTTGAGGGGGAGAATCATCTTAGTGCGAGTGCCAGGTATGAGACTGCGGAAGCAAAATTTCCTCTCACTGATGTAAATCTTGCCGTAAAGAGGAAGAACTCGGTGCAAGTAAGCATAGTAAGTCGCCTGGAGTCTCTCTGTTGAAGGAAGCGCAAAATGTGCTCGGAAACGATCACCATGGTTAAGACCACCCTCCTTGTCGTCAGGATCAACAGTTTGATCTTCTGACAAAATGCCTTCGGCCTCGCCGTAGTGTTTTTGACCTCCTATCCACATGCCAGAAACTTTCTCGAGATAGCTCATTGACTCGGTGGTCAGCAAAGAAGTTATTTGTTGGGATTTATTCTTCAGGTAAGTTGTGGTACGCTGAAGGGGGAATGCTCCAGTCTTCATGAAATCGTTTGAGGGAACACCTGGCTGGTCATGAAGTCCCTGGCCGGCAGGCGTAGGGGCACATCGACTGATCTCAGCATTTCGGCTCGAATCGGCGGCTCCAGCTTCCCGTCGTGCAGTCGTGCCCATTTGCGCAGACGTTGACTGAGTGGTTTCACCAGATCCTCTGCGGGCCATTGGTTGAACATATGAGGAGCGTCTCGCCAAGGATGGTGACTGGAAGACATCGCTCCGGTTGAGAATCTGGCTTGCAGATTCAGATGTCTCTGTTGCTGATTGCACAATAGCAGAAGACTCGGTCTCCAGTCCCATAGACTGCGCAAACGAGTTACCCTCTCCTTGTTGCTCATTTCTGGGGCTTGCACTCCGCCTTTGTGTGGGATCACCTTGCTTCGTTTCTGGACCGTGGGCCTCGATTTGACATTTTAGGCTGTCTGTCGCTGGAGATCCTTCGGACACATTCTTGGTGGGCGAGGAGTTGACCAGGGCTTTGAGGTAATTGAAGGCATCTTGTCCCGAGTTGAAGAAACAAAAGAAGTACTGTAAAACATGTTAGTGCTGAGAAATTACTTTCCAAGGCAGAACATTACTTCATCAATAGCATAGGTCTCACTGCTGTCGATGACCCGGATCTTAAACGTCTCGGCGAACTCGGTCATCGGACTCTCCTCCAAGTCGATCACATTCCGAATAGGAAAAGACACCTTGACGCTGTCTCCCTCATTGTGTGTTCGGAAGATAATTTTCTGTAGACCCTTCACCCACTCTTTCGCGCTGGTGGCGCTATCGGCTCTGAAATAGTAGGTTCGCTGGTCGGTTGTGACTTGAAAGTCTCGCACCTCAGCGCCCTTGGTCTTGGGCTCCGCGAGGGACGCTGAAATTCCATAGCGAAGGTCGACATGACCGCTGGGGAAGTAGAGGTTTGAAGAATCGGCATAATAGGAAAAGACATCACCCTTCAATACAAACCAGTAGCGATGGTACTTTGGGTTGTTCCGACCACGTTTTGACAAGTAGCCAGACTTGATAGCAAGACTTGACCTTTTCGGGAGGTAAGCGTAAAAGCAGATGTGTCTCTCTGTGACATACATGTAGCCCTGGAGGAGCATGCTTTGTACTAAGCTGCAAGCATACTCCACCAAGACCTTTTCAGGTCTGTCAAAATCAAACATCTCCATCAGTCTGGTCGAGAGAGCAGAGGCAGAAGGCTTCTGTTGTTCCTCGCTCGGTGTCTCAGGTCGGAGGGGCGTGTTTTCCGTCGTGGTTGCTGTGTCAAAGCGATTCTGTGCTTGCACCATGCGTGTGAGAACGGGAGCTGCTCGGGGCGTGGCGCTACGTGCTCGCCTCGGCGGTATCAGTATAGTCGATCCGGTCATAGCTGATAGATTGGTATCCTTCTCACTCGACCTTATGACGGGAATTTTGCGAAGGGGTTTGTCTTCTGATATTGTCCTCCGGTGCTGACGTCCTCGCCCTTCCGGCTCGGTTTGCTGGGCCGAGTCGTACTTTCCGCTGGTCGGAGGTCGGTCAGAGGATTCTTGTCGACTTGACGAGTCTGGGAGATGTCCCAACTTTTGGCGTACCTCTGTCTCTCCATCGCTATCGCTGGAGTCGTCGAAGCGGGTTCGAAAATCGGACCGAGAGCCGACCGCGGCGATCATGCCAAACAAGGACTGTTGCATATAGTGGATGTTCCCATCTCGGGGGTCCATGGCTCTCGGGGGAGCTGTATAGTCGATCTGAGAGTCGTCCCCGTCTTTGAAGCGCTCCGGCAACCGATCCGCAAAGGACTTGGGGGATCTCATGCTTGCACTCATCCTCTGATTCAGCCGTTTCTTATCATCTATCAATGGTTTCATGCTGGAAGATAATGAAGCGATATAATCGACCGATGTTCGAGGGTAAAGGAGGACAGTGAGATCTGCTGGGGTGTGGATCAACCACAGCGATGATGGGTCGAGTCAGGCTTGCAGGTGACCGGACGTGGGTTCAAATAGGACTATCAGGAGGATCCACGTCAGGTGGCTTTTATTAAAGGCCCGCAGATGGACTGGACAAAGTCATCACAACGTGGTCCCGGCGATTTGCAAAGATCAAAGGCGTTGGACAGCTCCACGATAAGGAGCTCCACGGGTATTGCGGGTGCGGGATCGATAAGCAAATCGGAGACCCCGCTCCCCGGTCGTCTTCACTTCAGATTGAAGATTTTGCGGAAATGAGTTGAGGACAGTGCTGGGACTGTTAGATCGTGAAATACCACGAGATCCAGTGAACATAGTGAGACGGATCAGCTGTGCCCTTGAAGCATGTGATGGATGTCCTGCAAGTGACGGTCAGGTGACTGCTTAGATAAGCCTCTGTCGTTCGATCCTAACCTTGTCTAGATGCAAAGCTGTCTTTCCGCTTTCTTCTCTCCTCCGTCCTCTGTTTTCTGGGCGTATAATCTGTTCAATTTCTCGATCTTACTTCATGAGTACAATAATCCTATGTGCGGTTCTGGCATGAGGGTGGTCTGGATATACATAAGCGGCTGATGGTGGAGTCGATCGACGGGACGGGAACACCAATGCCAAGCATCGGGCTCCGCGCTATTGATCTAGATGGGTTTCCATCTCTTAACCACAATCAATGTTGCTGTACACTTGGCAAATGTCTACACTTGCAAGGTAGGGGTAAGTCTGGTGGAAGAAGCCTTATTTTCAAGCCAGGAACAACATCAGGTGACGCATGCACAGTCCCCCCTGCATTACTGGACCAAACCAGGGCATCAAAGACCTGGGCAAGTCTAGAGCCACAGACGCGTGTACTCGATCCTGTCAACCCAAGACACCAGCTTAGCGTACATTACAGTCAGTAGCGAAATCTGCTTCCTCCCTAACGACTGCTTTTCTTTTCTCAGGACCCACTGCCAAGGCACTAGCGCCAATATTTATATAACGGACGCATCAATATAAAATCCCTCTTGGATGTATTGAGGCGTAATTTACAACGAAATTACCATTTCAAATATACTGAACTTTTGGAGACATGATCTTTGGTTGGGGTGTGCTCAAAATTGGACAATGCTCGTGATTATGGTCTTGCACGGCGATCGGCTATGAAAGATCCATCTATAGTTGCCGCCCTCAAATTACTGACTGATGGTTGAGAGGCGCGTCCATGAATAATTCTTCGTTGAATCGCATCAACTCATAAATGTCAGGTTACGATCATAGTAATTCATTCTGTTCTCTTGCATCTAGTTCGAACAATTTTTGATTCTCGCTGTATTGTGGAATCTTGACTTGGGCCATGGACGCAGACTTCGGACGGCCCTTATGATCCGAACATTAGATGCTGGTGTTTTCCCTAATCCGGAATAGTGACTCCCTATCCCCAAAGAATATCATAGAATACTCTGTCGGTTGGATAGAGCGGACCATGGTAGTTCCATGCCGTCGGATGGCACGTGACTCGATGAGGCTGGTAGGTCGAGGCGGGAATTGGTTGACTATTGATGCCTCTTTCGGTGGAAGTGGGTCCATGAAACTTGGCCTTGAGGAGGTTTCGGTGCTACGCGCCCCGTTGCCAATATAGCAGAACACACTTCCCCAGGATGGGGGACTGTATGGAAGGTCACACTGATCAGGTATCTCTGCCAAAAATGGAAAATTGCATCACACATACATTGGACAATATGGGGTGCATCTTAAGTTTGAGATCCCGGCATTTCTTTGCTTCGGGAAAGGAGAAGACGGCTCCTGCCAATAGAATCTCTTCTCTTACCGCTCGCTGCTGCACGTCGTGTTCATCATGAGGCTGAGCCTTCCCGGTTAGCAAACGTTTCCCCTCTGTCTTACAGGAACTCTTTCCTTCTCTCAAGCCTCCTCCCCTTTCCATTGCTCATAGTGGTATATGTTAACCCCATGACACAGGCCTCTATTACACACCGCATGTCAAGACTTTCGGAAGGTCACGCGGGTAACTGATTTTCAGGCTTTCCCTCTCGGGTTAAAGCCATGTCAGATCCTGCGGGGTACACTGTGGGCTGGATTTGCGCCTTACCCGTGGAATACATTGCCGCACAGGAGTTTCTCGATGAAGAGCACGACAAACCGAGCTTCGTGTCGCCGAACGATGCCAACGACTATACGTTAGGCAAGATGGGCGAACACAACGTTGTCATCGCCGTCTTGCCCGATGGTGAATATGGAACAGCTTCCGCGGCTAGTGTAGCGACAAACATGCTCAACAGTTTTCACAATATCAGGATCGGCCTCATGGTCGGGATTGGCGGGGGTGTACCAAGCAAGAGCCATGATATTCGTTTAGGCGATGTCGTGGTCAGTGCGCCTCGCGATGGCGAGAGTGGTGTGTTTCAGTACGATTTTGGGAAGTCGATCCAGGACCAAAGTTTACAGCATACGCGGTTCTTGAACCAGCCACCAGCTATATTACGTGCTGCAATATCGGGGATTCGGACACAATACGAGAGGAAGGGACATCAACTCGAGGAGGCTATCAACGACATTCTTGGAAAGAACATGAGATTACGTCGGAAGTACAAACGGCCAGAACCAATCACGGATAGGTTATTTCATCCCGAAGTTATCCATAACCCAGCAGGCTGTTCTCTATGTGCGGTTGATCCGTCAAAGTTGGTACAACGAAGGGAGCGGCCCCACGACGAAGATAATCCTGCGATCCATTATGGTCTGATTGCTTCTGGAAATCAGTTGATGAAGGATGCTTTGATTCGAGATAGACTTGCCGAGGAAAAAGACATTCTCTGTTTCGAAATGGAAGCCGCTGGGCTGATGAATACTTTCCCATGTCTCGTCATCCGGGGTATCTGCGATTACTCGGACTCACATAAGAATAAAGAGTGGCAAGGGTATGCAGCTATGGTGGCAGCTGCATACGCGAAAGACCTTCTACAGAGGATTCCTGTTAACAGAATTGAGGCCGAGGAGAGGATTGGAATTGGTATGTCTGGTTAGTCCAGCGCAACCTGATATTATCACGTGAATGAATATTGACTTGGGCACTATGTAGAGGAGCTGAGAAACATCCAACAGCGCTTAGATCAAACACACAGTCAACAAGACCAGCATTTTCGTGAACAGAAAGCAAGAGTTTTGGCGGATCAGCAGCAACATTGTCATCAAGCTTTCAAGATCGCTAATTACGCAGAGCAAAAGAACATTAACCCAAGACGAGCCGGGGGAACCTGTCGATGGGCTCTTCAGAGCTCTGAGTACATCCGCTGGTGGGAGAGCAAATGCAATGATCTTCTCTGGGTGTCGGCCGACCCAGGCTGCGGCAAGTCTGTCCTAGCCAGATCGATAATCGATGAATACTTAGAGACATCTCATCGATCTCTGAGAATGTGTTACTTTTTTTTCAAAGACAATGATCAACAGAACAATCTTGCTACTGCACTCTGTTCTGTACTTCATCAGCTATTCAGCCAGCAGCCTCATCTATTACAATATGCCATTCCGTCCTGGAAAAAGAATGGAGAGACGCTCCGAAAAGAAGTCGATGAGCTTTGGCGGATTTTGGTAGAGGCAACATCAGCTGGTATATCGTGCAAGACTATTTGCATAATCGATGCGCTTGATGAATGCCGTGAAATTGATCAGAATCGATTAATTAAAAAGCTCCAGCTCTTTCACCACCAGTCATACTCGTCAACACGGGATACCTATCTTAAATTTCTTGTCACCAGTCGCCCCTATGACTATATCCAGAATCACTTCCGAGTGATCACAGACTCTTTCCCACAGCTGCACTTAAAGGGCGAGGAAGAAAATGATCAAATTCACGAGGAAATAGATCTCGTCATAAAGATACGAGTCCAGGAGCTAGCCGAAACCGCATCATTATCATCGGACATACAACAGCGGCTCGAACGGCAGCTTTTGAAAATGGAACACCGCACATATCTTTGGCTGCATCTGGCTATTAACGACATTCGAACTACGTTCGAGGATAGCCTTCAGCCGGCAAAGAATCTATTCCAATGATACCTCCTTTCGGTCAATAAGGCATACGAAAAGATTCTTAGTCGAGTCCCTCCCGGCCAAGTAATTACTGTGAGGAAAGTCCTACAGATTATCGTTGCCGCACGGCGTCCTTTGACAATAACAGAAATGGCTATGGCGCTAGGGATAGCCATATCACCACAATCTCGAACTACAGCAGAGGCTAGACTAGAACCATCGCAGCTAGACAAGAAGATCCGGCGTTTATGTGGCCTTTTTGTTTTTATACATCACGCCAAGATCTATCTTATTCATCAGACCGCAAGGGAATTTCTAATCGCCAAGACTAGTTCGAACAATATGGGCCTCATATATCCATGGGGCCTAAGTGATATTGAGAACCAGATGGCTCATATTTGCTTGCGATACCTATTGATGAAGGATTTGCCATACGAAAAAGACGAAGTAGGCTCTCATGCTCAAAGTTTCTTGGAATATTCAGCGGTACATTGGCCCGATCATGTTCGGGAGATGGGTTTTACTTCAGACCATAAAGTGACCCATCAACTGCATCGAATGTATGACATAAGTGGGAAACCGTTTTCGTTATGGTTTCCCATTTTCTGGAAGACAGTGAGACCAGCTGACTGGCGTAGTGACTGGCGTACGCCTGCTATGAGTGCATTGCATCTAGCAGCATTGAATGGCCATCTACAGGAGGTACAACTGTTACTCAGTGTTAAGAATAGCGACATCAATACAGCAGATGGTACAAAAACATATCCGATCGGGTGGGCCTCGCTGAATGGATATTATAGCGTTGTGCAGATGCTGATAGAGCACGGAGCTAATGTTAACGCTCGGGTTGGATATGACGGAACTGCCCTCCAGGCTGCTTGCTCTAGGGGACACGACCAAATCGTGCAGATGCTGATAGAGCACGGAGCTGATGTTAACGCTCAGGGTAGTGATTACGGAAATGCCCTCCAGGCTGCTTGCTCTGGAAAACACATCCAGATTGTGCAGAAACTGCTTGACAACGGGGCTAATATGAACGCTCCGTGTGGTGGCTACAAGAACCTCCTCCAGTATGCTTGCTCTGAAAGACACCATCCAATCGTCCAGATATTGCTAGAACGCGGAGCCGATGTTAACGCCAGGAGTGGAGACTACGGGAACAGCCCTCCAGGCTGCTTGTTCAAAAGGACACTACCAGATAGTGCAGATACTTCTGGAGCACGGAGCCAATATCAACGCTCAGGGTGTATTCTTTGGCGACATCTTCAGTAAAAGATATGTCAATGCCCTCCAGGCTGCTTGCGCTCAAGGACGCGACCAGATCGTGCAGATGTTGCTTAAATGGGAAGCCGATATCAACGCTTGGGGTGGAGACTACGGAACAGCCCTCCAGGCTGCTTGTTCGAAAGGACACTACCAGATAGTGCAGATACTACTGGAGCACGGAGCCGATGTCAACGCTCGGGGTGGATACTTTGGAACTGCCCTCCAGTGTGCTTGTTCTGAAGGACACAACCGCATCGTGAAGAGACTACTTAAGAGCGGGGCCGATGTTAACGCTCAGGGCGCAATTCCTTGCGATATCGTGGGTAAAAGTTTCAGAAGCGCACTCCAGGCCGCTTGTTCGAAAGGACACAATCAGATTGTGCAGATGTTACTGGAATGCGGAGCAAATGTCAATGCCCAGGGTGGATACTACGGAACCGCCCTCCAGGCCGCTTGTTCGAAAGGACACAACCAGATTGTGCAGGTATTGCTAGAATACGGAGCTGATATCAATGCCCAGGGTGGAGACTACGGAACCGCCCTCCAGGCTGCTTGTTCCAGAGGCTACGACCAGATTGTGGAGACACTACTATGGTACGGGGCTGATGTCAACGCCCAGGGTTTATTTTTCAGCGACCCCTTTGGTAAACAATACAGAAACGCTCTTCAAGCTGCCTACTCACAAGGACACGACCAGATCGTGCAGAAGCTACTAGAGAAAGGAGCTTATGCCACGTGTCAGGATGGAGACTAGAGAACTGCCTTCCAGACTGCTCGGTCTAGTTGACACAATAGGATCGTGCAAACTCTCCGCTGGCTGTATACTTTTGATAGATCGATATAGAATTTTCCCTTTTATCGAACGCTGCATATTTCAAGACGCCTTTAGAGTGCATCTTGCGGGTAGTTTAATTGTCGTACAGTTCCTCGGTGCTCTCATCCTTATGCTGTCTCACAAACGCAGGTTTTTTCTTTGCTGTCGCTATGAATCGCTCGACACTGAGAATGTATATGAAACCTTTTGAGATGTTTTGTCCATGAGTAAGTAGCCTCTTAAGAAAATGCAATACAAAGTCACTTGACGTTATTGGTCAAAAAGCGTTTCCCCTTTACCCTACCCATATTGGGGACCGTCACAAAAGCGCTCAGTTGAGGCAGCCGTATCGTAAGATACCGGTATTGTACTAGGTCAATATTGTCAAACTCATGAATGCAATTCATCTATGAATGACCGTGAAGTAAAAATAATAACTAGGGTCTTGGCCGTCGGGTACTTAGAGCAATGTTCAATATTTAGGGTGGAAGCAGGCTTCGCTAATGACTGTATGTGAATTTAAAACTGTATTCTGCTGTCAAATACCACTCGTAGGCTTCAACAATGGAATTTATACTGATTTCCCAAATAAAATTTAGCCGTTAGTGCCCTGGCAGTGGGGCCTAAGAAAAGAAAACCATTCATAAGGAAGGAAGCTGTTTTCGCTAACGACTGTATCTGTTTCATGTTGGGTGGACAAAGTATTACTAAAGTATAACCCATGTCACCATCTTGTTGCGCGAAGGCGTGCTCCCCGCACGAGCGAGCCCTCTGAACGCCAAAGGTTGCCGTGAAACCCAACGCACGCAAAAAGACCCCTGTCCCTGCTCACCATGCTGTTCAACATGGCGTTCACCCCAGCGTCAAGCTTCTATAAGTTTCTTGGGTGTCGTCTTGGCTGCTGATCTTGAATCTGTGCAACCATCTTGAGGCATCGGTACGAACCTCGTTCGACTCGCCATGACGCTTTTTAACATCCCCGAGTTGAAAACTCGTACTGGAACTTTACGCGCCTATCACTTGGCTGCCATCGTCTTGTGAGTCTTCTGGCCTTGTAAGGGTTGACAGGATCTAACCCTTGCCCCAGTATCTCGTCCTTCCTCTCAGCCTATGACTCTGGAATCGCAGGTGGTATCCTCACCTACAAGTCCTTTGAGAATGATTTTCGATACTCGGCGGCCCAAAAGTCAAGATCAAGAGTCTCGTCTTTGACCGTTGGTTTGGAACAACTGGGCTCGTTCATCGCGGCTGGTTGCGTCTACCCTCTCACCAACAAGTATGGTCGGAAGATCTGCATTATTGCCTCAACTGCTCTGTTCGTGGTCGGAGTAATCATTCAAGTCATCAACACTCGCTCGCTTGCGGCTTGGTACATTGGTCGTATTGTCGCAGGCTTGGGAATGGGCGGTCACAGTGTCGTGATTCCCATGTACTCGGCCGAAATGACTCCCAAGGAGATTCGAGGCCGATGCGGTTCGTTTACCAGTGGCTCTATGCTTGGGGTGTCTTTGTCGCATACTGGGTCAACTATGTGGGTTTCCACCATTTTTGTAAACGGACAACCACTGACATTGAAGTAGGGCGTATCCGAAACCGCTTCTCTGGCTGGCTCCTCGCGCGAGTGGCAGATCCCAGTGGGTCTGCAATTGATCTCCGGAGGCATCCTCTTTATCGGCACTCTTACCCTCCCTGAGTCCATTCGCTGGCTGCTGACCCAGAACCGCACTGACGATGCCTGGAAATCCATTGTTTGGATCAGAGGTGGTGATGGCGACAAGACCAGCGCTGAGTTCGCCGAGACACAATTAGGGCTGCAAGCCGAGCGCGCAGAGCGTGAAGGATTGAGAAACCTTCTCAATCAGCGAACTCTGGGAGCCCGCAAATCGTCTGCGCTTCTTCGTTGGACCTCTCATGTTTATCTTTCAAAATGCGACGGGAAGCAGCGCGCTGGCTGTATTTGCTCCGCAGTACTTCAAGCTCATCGCTGGCAGCGGTACGAACCGCAACATGCTGCTAACCGGTCTCTTCGGTGCCGTCAAAGTCATTGCATGTACAATTTTATCTGGGTCCTCGCAGAAAGACTAAGTCGTCGCATGACGTTGGTCGGTGGCGCATTACTGATGGCCATGTGCATGTTGATCACAGCACACATCGTTGACTATATCCCAACACAGTCGTCCACCAACGTTACAGCTGCTGGCCGTGCGACAGCCGCGATGATCTACCTGGATATCATTGTCAGTTTGCAACAATCATCGTTCAGACATGGTCATTGCTTAACTCGCGTCTAGATCTACAACTGCTCCTGGGGCCCCATGCCTTGAGCCTATGTGCCAGAGATCTTCCTAACACGGATCCGTGCTCTCGGGTTGGCGGTCAGCATGTTGGCTCACTGGGCATCGTCCTTCTGCTTCTCATTCGCAAGTCCTTATATGATCTCCAAAGTGGGTGCTAACACGTTCCTCATCTTCATGGGCTTCAATTTCGTGGCCGCTGTTTTCTGCTGGTTCTTTGTTAAGGAGACTCGTGGCAAGAATCTGGAGGTCGCTGCTGGTACCGAGTGGGAAGCTGCTGAGCGAACCTCTCGTGAAGATGGCGAAAAGGGCGTTGTTGTGGGGGTGGACGGCAAGTAGTTGCAGCTCGTCAGCGTGCACGAGAACTTCCACGCTAACATCCACTACCGCTCTTCGTGATTTGGTGGACGCTTAGGTATGCTGGAAGATGGGAAGTGTCGTGCCACTTGATTATTGATATCCACCTAGTTTACTCGGTCCCGGGTAATTGCTAATTAAAGGCGAATGACCGCCGGTTAAAACCGTTCAATGCCTCGTGATTGTATTCAAATACGGCTAAAACCGATCGGAAGTGGTAAAATTGTACAATTGAAATTGTCCTGCATGTCGTAATAACAAAGATATCTTTTCGCGAAACAAAAACCCAAAACACCCATTTATGCCTTTTCGGACTTTTTCCGCTTGTGATCCTTGTGGGACTTCTTCGACTTCTTATGGCTAGACTCGTCGGCGTCGTTTTCTTGTGAGTGCTTCTTCGACTTCTTTTGAGGAACAGCTACCGCTTGCGTGGCGTCATCAGTGTGGTGGTGCTTCCTCTTGCGCTCCTTGCGCTCTTCAGCAGGGGCCTTGGAGGGCGCGGAATCTGACTCGGAGTCAGAGCCAAGAACCTCGGGGGGCCGGGCAGACTTCCAATGGGGCGGAAACGCATCTTCAAGCCCTTGGGTTGGGGCCTTGCGGGCTTGACAGTGTCGCGAAGTGCCTCCACGGCGGCTTTGTCGGCTTCCGGTACGTGAACCATCTCTTGAACAATATAACTGGGAACGCTATCGGCCTTTTTGCTGTATGTCTGAGTCTTCGGGTCGAAAACGAGCAGGGTCTTGCCCTCGGACTGGTCGTCATTGAAAGATTCTGCCGGAATGCCGTAGCTCTTGCCCTCGTAAGTGAGGATGGGCTCGCCCTTCATGATTTTGGACATTGAGATCTCCTTGACCTTAGACAACGGGAGGTATGAGGGAGCGGTGATGTGAATGATTTGCTTGCCGCGCAAGTCGGAGAGAACAGAAGAGGCGTTCGAAGAGGGCGGGACGACTGCTTCGCGGATTGGAAACCCTTCGGGGGCTTGTAAGGTTGTGGACCGGGAACATTGATTCTACATATCATCATTAGCTTCCTCCTTTATATTGCAAGATATACGTTGTTGGCAGAAATCCTCACTTCTTGGAAGGAGCTTGTTCTTTCGGCGCATCCTCTGTGGTATCCATTTCGTTGTCAGAGTCACTTTCCGACTCGGAGCCTGAAGAGCTGTCCGATCCAGCAGAGGAGGAGGAGTCGCTGGAGCTGTCATCCTTTACAGCCTTAGATACTGCCTTCACACTCTCCTTCTGGTGGTTACCAGGCTCGGGCGATGTCGACGACCGGCTGGAACTGCTGTCGCTATCCGACGAGGATGAGGCTGCCATGGCGGCTATGCTGTGTGTTTTCGAGCAATGAAGCTGGTGATTTTCGGTACAGTACCAATGTACCCTTGGATCCGACAAATTCGCAAATCGAAAAGCGCCGAGAATCAATTGAAGGGAATGCTTCAAGACCGGCCGATCTTTTTTCTGCTCCGCGGGAGCACGGACCACCCGCCAACTTTTTTTTGCTTATCGGCTTCACCAGCCCATTATCAACCTCCGATTCTGAGATCTCTTTAATGGTCACGACACAATGAAACGAAAGGCCGAGAAACAACAGGCTGCTGGTACCACCCCCATTCTTCAGCATATGAATCTTGTATGTCTTGCTAATGCCCGTCACAGCTCCTGTCAGTGCCTTTGCTGCGCGCAAAGCTCGGCAGCAACAAGCCCAAATTGTGACAGCAACGAAGCCTGAGCCAGAGACACTACCAGCTGCTGAGCCTCCTTCCAAGAGACCGCGACGGTCACTCAAGGTCGATCAACCCGTCGAAACAAAGGCACCTGAGACTCGAGGCCCACGCACACGTTCGTCCAGGAAGCCAAATGCACCACTGCCTGCAGAAAATGTGAATGGGCGCCAAACGAAAGCTGTGAAGAAGCAACAGGAAGAACCTAATGTCAATGAAGCTGCGGAGGAATCCGACGAAGAAGACTCAAAGGGCAATGCGACTGAGGATGTGTGTGAGATGTCCGAGGATGAAGTCGCGTCCGTTGCCGGCGACGCAGATGGATATGAATCTCCAGTGGAGACACCTGCGGAACTTCAAAATTTCCCGTTGTCGAGGTCTCGAATCAACAAGAAAGACATTGTTTATGCGGATGCCAGCACTCTTTGTGTCCGCATCAAGGAAAAGATGGTATGGCTGAACAGGCTTGCATCGTGCTGGATTATGCTGATTTTGGACAGAACTTGGTCCTAATAGGCCAATACGATCTTTGGGTGAAGCGAGGGATTGTCAGTGTCATGGGAGCCAAAATGCACCCTTCGTCGCGAGTATATAGAGTGTACGCTCCCTCGACCCACTCTTTGCCCGTCATCAAGTGTGTCTCTAGCGTTGATGGGGAAGCTGAGGTGGAAATCAAGTCCTGCAGCAGCGGTCTCGCTCGCCTCCGGGACCTTTCTCCACTATACCAAAGAATTTGGAACGGACAGAATACCGCTGCAGACAAACTCACATTGAAAGGCGCTTCTCAAGGTTCCCGGCGCACCTTCTCAGTGGTCAGTACATCATTCTTTCATATTCGAGTCACAGAGATTTGTACTGATTCTGTTGCAGCTTTACACGTCAGCAGATGATACACTGAAAAGACATTTGCGCCCTCTCCATCTCGACAGGAAATGGAGCGCCTCGATGAAAGCACTTTCTATGCGGCAAGGGAAGCTCCGAGTCTTGGTCTGCGGTCCCAAGGCATCTGGGAAGTCCACCTTCAGTCGCTACCTATTGAACCATGTGCTCAGCCCGGCACCAGACACCGAGAACGGATATGTCAACACAGACGGCGTTGCCTTCCTGGACCTCGACCCGGGGCAGCCTGAATTTGCTCCCATGGGCCAGGTCTATCTTGCTCATCTGCGGACCCCCTTCTTTGGACCTCCATTTGCTCACCCATCCCTCGACAACCCGCGCGATGGCCAAGTAGTACGAGCCCATCATATTGGATCAACATCACCAAAGGATGACCCTGACCACTACGCACTAGCTGTGATGGATTTACTGAGCCAGTACCGATCGCTTCTGTCACAATACCCTCAGTGCCCGTTGATCGTCAACTATCCTGGATGGATCTTTGGACAGGGTCTGGAGGTGGCCACCTGGTTGATCCAGTGCTTGGGCTTGTCAGATGTTGTTTACATGAGCGAGAAGGGTCCTACAGAGGTCGTGGACCCCTTGAGCTTTGCTGCCAATAAAGCTCAAGTTCCCTTGACGATTCTACCCTCTCAGCCTACAGATTTTGTGAGCCGCTCCAGCGCTCAATTGCGCTCCATGCAAATACAGTCCTACTTCCACAACTCTCACCCCCATGACCTCAGCAACCCTCTCTGGCAAGAAGAACCACTCTCCCGCACGAGGCCTCTTGCAGTGGACTACGCTGGCTCTAAGCAAGGCATTTTGGGCATTATGGTCTTGGGATCCCAGATCAGCCCGGATATGCTGCGCGAAGTACTCGAGGGATCTATTGTCGGCGTGACAGCCGTGGAATCTCCCAGCGCGATTATTGGAGAAGTTTTTGCTCAAGATCCCTTAGAAGAAGATGATGATGACGATGACGATGACGATGAGAACGATGTTGACGCAGAGGATGTGAGCATGCATGACAATGAGCAAATTAGAAGCGGTACTGCCACTTCTCTCGAGGCCCAAGGTGTCGTTCGGACAAAAGAGGGTCTTCCTTACCTCTTTGTTGGTTCTGGGAGCTGCACACCCTTGGACCCAAAGGCATCTGACTGTCTTGGTTTGGCCTTGGTTCGCTCAGTCAATGTTACTTCGCAGAAAATCGAGCTGTACACCCCGATCCCTTCTGTACGTCTGCGGGATGCTATCGAGCGAGGCCATCAGCTCGTGCTTGTTCGTGGCCAATTAGATAATCCCAACTGGTCTATCAGCGAAGAATATCATGCTGCGAGAGCCGCCGAACGACGCTATCAGGATTCAATTGCCGATGCCAAGCAAGGTGGTGACTTGCAGAAGATCGACAAGACCAGTGCCAATCAGACGCTTTCTATACTTCGTGAGAGAATCCGTCGTGCTAGCAATGTTCCTTGGATGACAGTTGTGGAGGATAATAGCCGGCGCCAGCGTGAGGCTGCCGCGCGACGTGAAAAGTCGCTGTGGAAGCTGAGGAAGAAGGCCTATCCGGGCAGTGAAAGCGAGACTGACTGGTAGGGCCACCCCATCCTTTCTCATAATATATTTGCATTGTACACATTCCTTGAACAATGAATAGTTTAGACGTACGAGATCGGCACGAGAGTGTCACATATGTGTAATCAGGCCTCATCTATGTTGTTCGTCCTTTGGCGGTTGAGCGAAGACCCTTAGACACCAATGCTGCGATTGCTTACAGCCTTATTCCAAGGCTGAGCCTTACGTAACGTAGCCTTTTTCTTAAAACATAAATATCCTTTACTTCAGGAGAAAAGGCCTGTTTTGATATCCCCCCTCTCATCCCATAGAAAACGAGCTCGGTGGCTAAGGTTAAACCCAGATCAAATGTTCCGCGTCCGCAATGAATTGCGCCGCGGTAACCGAGACTTCGTCAACCAGTCTGTGATTTCAGGCTGGTCGATCTTGAAGCCTTGGTAACTTCTCTTGCCATCCAGATCTACACAAAGTCCTCCTACCGCTCGTTGTCGCTTCGGAGATTCCTGATAATCCCAACTCGAGATGTGGAATTGGAAACCCTCGGTCTGGTGCATTCAACTACGTGGAGCGTCAGGGATGTTTCCAAGCACTGGGGCCACTTGGAGGGTTGTTCATCAAGGAAATTTCGTTTGGACAGGCACTAGAACACATTGAAGAATTGTGTAAGCTGAACAAGGATATCCTATATCTGGACCTTTTGGATCTGCCGTAATTGACGAAGCCCAAAGCGCCAAATGACCGCTATACCAACCAAACATAGCGAAGTCACAACTCCAAAAGCCCATGCACTGTCTTCGAAGTAATTGGTCACATTCATGCCATAGAACCCAGCTACGAGGGTCGCCGATGTTATCCCCAGCATGGCAATCTCAACCTTGGTTTCCAGCACCATAATCTGGTTGCGTCGCACATTCAGGATCGACTGAATATTCTCCTCTTTTCGCTTTATTTTGCCCAGCAGACTTTCTGCTTTTTGGACCACAGCATCACTTGTCTTATAGTACGCCTCCAAAAGATATTCAACATCTTGATGATCTTCTGGCGCGTGTGGTCTACCAGCCTGTTTATCGGTGAGATGCATGGCTGCCATATCCGCGTCGTCGTTAAGAACCTCTTGGATAGCATCGCGAACATGCCGAGCACGCTGTTCAATCCCCGAGAGAATCTGAACAAGATCGAGAAGAACCCGAAGGTCGGAATGTATGCGGCTTTCCTCATCGCCCGCCATCTGCAGATCCAATTGGCGTAGAGCTTCTGCTATCTGTTCCTTGGCCAACAAATATTCTGCTTCGATTGTCGAGGTGGTTGATGCCAGCGCGGCTTCTAACACACGTAGCTCGAAGGGTAAGCTAACTGCGACACCTGCTCCGTGATCTCCACGTAGTTTCTCTTCAATGTCATGGTTGAAAACACGCCATTGATTGGCCTGCTCATGATCAACTGCTCCTTCGACATGGAACATCAGCACCTGATCTGTTTGCACCAGGAGTCGCAAACTGAACATGTAAATTAGTATGGTTTGCTCGCGGACGAGAATGTGCGGGTATCCGGTCGATGGTAGATCAATGGAACGCAAATCTCGCGTACTTAGACGATATTGGTTTGCAATTGCAAGTTTGGTCAACATTTTGGTGGAGACACTGGCATTTTTGGCATCGTACAGTGTATGCTGAATTTCTGCGTTGCCGTTCATTGGAATTCGAGAGAGCCCAAGAGATAATTCGTACAGCTGTTGTGATTGACCAACATCTTTCCTGTCTGGTCTGTGGAATGCTCGGACAGGCTGTCCGGCTATGTTTTGAGTTGATGGCGACGTTGCGAATACATTCCGAGGGAAGTGGACTTGGACTATTGTCTTCCTTGATATGGATTTTTGTGCGCCAAATGCCTTTTCCGCCAAGGGTCTGGCCTGGCATGGGCCGAAACGAGAGCAAAACATTGCGATGTGGCACCAAGGCTGTCCCTATCCGGATACCCGGCGTTTGTGTTCTAGGAACAACGCCACGTTCCTGCACTTTATGCAGCCGGGAACACGTGATTATATCATGCCAAAAAACTTGATGTGACTTCATTTGTGAGCCTGTTTTCCTCAACGGGAGCAAGGCAATCCCTTATTTTTGAAAAAGGAATAAGAAAACATGAAAGCAAAAAGAATCTCTCCCTCGGGAATCGAACCCCGGTCTCCCGCGCTTATCGGTGTTAATGACAAGCGGAAATCATGACCACTAGACCAAGGAAGACGTGATGGTCGAGTTACTGCTCGACCACTTGGGTGGTTGATGAAGATTCACTGCTAGATAATGACATCTAATATAACAGTATCTGTGAGCAAAACTTCGGTGAGTGGGTCCCCCAATCCTCTACCAAGATGAAGCATAACCTTGAAACCAACGGATTACGAAATATTTCCTGGGTCAATACGTGTTATAAACGGGTGCAAATAGAAGTTATTCCTTTTTCCCTTTTTTCATTTTGTTGAAGACTTGGCCGGGGCACCATACGTCCCGTTGGTCTTCATAGGTGGTGTAAATATCTGGCCACGATATAAAGTTTTACAATAGCTTGGAAGGATCTCAAATGCTCAGCACAAATACCATGGCTTAAGACGGTATTCTTGTCTCTTGAAACCCTGGAAATATTTGACCTCTAATCATGTTTTTCTTCCATCTGTGATATTAATTGAACCAGCCCATTGCTCAGCTATTACAAGACCAGGTTTGTCGGGAGTGAGCCGGTTCGTTACCAATCTCTTCCATCTTGTCCTCCAGCACTCGAGTCATGTGCTCAACGACATCATTGTACTTGGGTCCATGGTAGCAGTTGAAGAGCTTCAAAGGATCCTCCTCGAGATCGAATAGCTCCCACTCCTTCGACTCACCCTCTGGGCGAGTGTCCTCGATCCCGAAGTCTTCATTGTACTAGTAAATCAGCGTATAGCGCTTATCCCACATAGCCTAATGAGCATAAGCCTCGTAGATGACATATCGGTGCATCCAGTATCAGTAGTACGCGACCTGCTGCTAGTCTACTGGGGTGTTCTGCATCAGTAGCCCACGGAAGCTCACGCCTTGCATGTATGTTGGTCTGCGCACCTCGGCGTAGTGTAGCCATGCCGAGGCAAAGTCCGCGTCGCAAAATATCTCATCGCAGGAGATTTCAGCTGCAATCTCATGGGGACAACGAGCCAGGAAGGGCATGTTGAAGCTGTTCTCGCAGACAAGGCGCTTATCACGAAGAAGGGCTTTTTTGGATTCCGCATTTGGATTCAATTTGTCCGTGATGGTTTCGGTCGCGTGTACGAGTTATCACTTGATGCCGTTGGGTGGGATGAATTGCGGGTCGTGGTACTCGCCTTGACTATGGACAATTCTCCAGTGGTCGACTCCGATCGATTTGTGATCTTTGCCTTCGCCCAGAGGCCACTTCTTAACCATTGCCGTTTGGTAGCCACCAACGCGGAGTTGCTTGACCACGTTAGGGATATGCTTGTTGAGTTTTGATCAACGGTTGTAACACCATTGACGTGGTTATGTGTTCCAGTTAGACCGCGGCGCGAGAGGGAGTACAGATGCTGTTGTTCACATAGCAGTGATTGGAATTCATTCCCTCGGTGGCAATTGGATCTAGATACGGGGTGCTGTTGACATAAGCTCTATAACATGAAGTTGATTCAAAGGCATGGTCATCGGCCATGTAAAAGAGGATGTTGGGGCGGAACTCAGCCATAATTACTGCAGAGCAAATAGCTATTTCGGGACCAAGGATCTACGAGGGAAGAGCAAAACGCGAGTGGAAGCCAGTGGCGGGAATATAGCCCAAATATTCAATCACAGATGCTCCGACTAGCAATGGTGAAATCGACTTAAGAGCTATCGGATCCCCTTTCCCGGGGAAACTTCCTGGGAAATTTCAATCCATCAAGGCCCATTTACGTTAGTTTGAAGCAGTCGGGTGCTGTGTTCTGTATGAAAGTATGGCAAATGCGAGAGACGACAGTCGGCGATTGTCGGCATTGACCAGTGCTGGTTGGCCGATGGTTCAATCGTAGCCCTGTATCAATCTGACTGCCCATCTTCCCTTCTTTTTCTCTCTCCTGCTGGAGATGGGAGAATATAAAATCACATAAAATCACTCTTATTATTGGATTGTACACTATCTCGAATTGAACTCAATCATAGAGCCACGGAGTGGAAAAAGACAAGCAAGCCAGACCTTCTTACTTGACTGAGCTCATGGTAATTGTGATGTTCACCGACATGTATTTCTCCATTGTAGTGGGAGAACCGGTGACATAATAGCCTATGTGTGGCCTCAGGCATGATTCAATGTCTGCAGTGCATAGTGCATCTTCAAGACACACTTGGAGATAGACAAGTCATCTACCCAATTCATTCAGGATTCACCCCATTTCTTCTATTCATGATGCAGCATTAAGATTATCCCGTACGGCCGCAACAGGGCATCAGTACGGCCTCATCCAGCGTCCTCTACACCAGGCAGGCAGTGTGTGTGTGTGTGTGTGTGTGTGTGTGTGTGTGTGTGTGTGTGTGTTGTCCAGTCTGCATCGCCAGACAGCCATCGAGCCGTTTCCATTTCACCATATATTATACAACCCGGCGCTCAGTATATGATGGAGGGTAAAATCCCTAAAGGTTTCTTTCTGTAGAAATAGAGGATTACTCTCATTATGCAATGACAATAAACCCTTCAAGTAGTGTCGATGCATGATTCACCTGTAACTTCGGACTTCGCCCTGTATTTCCACGCATCGACAACCCTGTTCTGGGCGAATTGTGTACCTCTTTTCCATAAGAAGGAGCACGCAATAGATAAATGACAAAGCCTGGTGATAAAACGATTCGGAATCAATTGACCAGTGAATGTCAACTGATAACGTTTAGTGTTGTGGAGGTGGATCTGCCGATGTTCCGCCGGCGCGGCTGGCACATCCACGCAATCAGACAGGTGTGATTTCGGGCCCCGATTTCGTGATCGACTTCCACTTGAAGGAGAAAGCTTACGACTTGGTGTCTCACGACCGAATCTCGATTGGCCTATGTGCACCAGGATGCCGCATCTTCATGCGCACCGGCAAATCAAGTACAGCTTCAAGATCCAATCAACGGAGGTCTAATGATGTCCGACTAATGAAAGCTCATCTATCAGCTTGCTCGCTCGAATACCTCGCACTTTTTCCAGGATAAGTTGGTTCAAGTCGCCATGGTCTGTGGTACTTGCGTAATCTGGGAGTGCTGGGAGTAGTGAGTGGGGGAAAATTGGACATAAGAGAGGCACCGTGTCCAAGTCTCGGATGCGATTTTTTGACTTTGTGCATTGCCAGCTCTGCAGCAATTACCATGGCCCCCGGAATATCAGATACTTCGCTTTCGGTGCGCTCTGCACCTGAGACAGTATCCTGCGCCATTGAGAACTAGTGGTGCTCTGGATCAGTTCTCGTTTGAAGAGACAACACCAGCCATTGGTCGTGAATATCTTACGACCAACCTTGTCGATGATCTCTTGAATGCCGAGAATGCGGATGAACTGGTGCGAGATCTTGCCATCACAAGTCAGTATCACCTACCCCTCACCCACTGGCGGTGACTCTAACCATATACTATCAAGTCTCCGAACGGGGTGTTGTCGTTTTCCGTGCCCAGGATAACCTCACCGACGAGTTGCAAAAGCAATTGGTACAACGTCTAGGAGAATTGACTGGCAAGCCAGCTGACTCGACTCTACACATCCACCCGGTGCTCAACAACACAAGTGAATTCGGCGTGAAGGATGCACAAGTCAGCACCATCAGCTCACTTGCCCGCAAGAAGATGTTCCGGCATGAGAATCAGCCCAATAAGCGTCGCTACGATTCGGCTCAGTGGCACTCTGATATTCAATTTGAACCCGCCCCGGCTGATTATACCTCACTGCGATTAACACAGCTGCCCAAAACTGGAGGTGATACTCTCTGGGCGTCAGGGTACGAGCTCTATGACCGGTTCTCACCGGCGTATCAGAAATTCTTTGAGGGCCTCACGGCAACTTATGCCGGCACAGGCTTCCTTAAGGCAGCTGAGATGGACCCTGTCAATGTCAAGGTTTATACTGAGCCAAGAGGGAGCCCTCTGAATGTCGGCGGGAAGCTGTCCACGGTTCATCCCATCGTCCGTACAAACCCCGTCACTGGCTGGAAGAGCATTTTTGCGGTTGGACCCTTCCCTACAAGTATCAATGAGCTCAGCCAGAGTGAGTCGGATGAGTTGCTGAAGAAGTTTTACACCACAATTCTGGAGAACCATGACCTTCAGGTCAGGCTAAAGTGGAAAAACCCCAATGACATTGGTAAGTGTTCCAATGCGGTCCCTGTTGTCTCATCTCTAATAACCGACACAGCGATCTGGGATAATCGCTGTGTGTTCCATACTGCTACATTTGATTACGAAGGCCTTGGGGAGCGATTCGGCCACCGCGCGGTTGGTATCGGCGAGGCACCGTATTTGGACCCAAACAGTATATCCAAAGCCGAGGCATTAGCCACTGAGGGTTAATGATTGGAAGCAGTCTTTTTTCTTTTTTCTTTTTTTTTTTTTAGGAATTCCGGTGTGGTTCTGTTGAGTGTTGGTAAGTCATTATCACGAGGTTGGGTGGCAAGAGTTTCAATTGGAAGTTGCCAGAAACAAGAACAACATGGGAATGCAAGTCGTGACTTCTGCGGAAGCTGTTCTAGAGAATATCAGCATTATCATAGCTTTGATTATCTAAGGCCCACGTGCATCTGTAGCTAGACCCTGCGTGGATAGTAAGTTTGTATTCAGGTACTACATATTTTAATCTAATCGCCTTTCTCGGACTCGATGCTGCAGGTCGCATGCATTCGAAGCATATGCTAAGTAAGAAGTGGGCCCAAGTGTGAAAGTAAAGTCATAGCCTAAAGACTAGATAAGACACGTTCATGGCGATCTCCGCCCTACGGTAACCGGCAGACGCCCTCAGGACTCCACTCGGCATGCGCGATCACTGCGAACAGTCTGTTAGCTCCAGACCTCCCGAATAGAAGTGAAAAAAATTTGCAGACTGGTTGGTTCAGCGAGGCAACGGACAAGGTCGGCTAAAGTGTTAGAAAGAATGTAGAGCTGCATGGCCACGTGCTCCACATACTTGATTCGGACATATTGTTGCCTCTTAGCCTCACGGCCAAGCAGAGAACTGCCATCTACAAGGCAGACTCAACATGACCACGTGCTCCATATATTTGGTTCGGAATCCCCATCTTCCCAGCCTTGGATGGACCAAGAATGGGCTGATATCAACAAGGGCCTGGAGCTATGATCAACCGGTTGGAACGACCACCCGAGCACGTTGCCACCTGATCTATTGAAAATTTACAAACCCTACGGCAGACGCCTGCAAGTGGTTCGCGATCTCAAAGGCAATAGCAGCCGCCACCTTCTCTTAGCGTTCACCGTTGGCTCTAGTATCCGTCTTGTGGATCGCCTGTGTCAGAGTGGAGAGGGTGGCTCCCCGAACCGAACCGGTCGTCGCTTGATGCCGGACCTATACCTATTCTAGGTATCAATGTGCGTGCACGAAATAAACTGTAGCCCATGTGGCCAACTCGAATCTAGCCAATCAGACCCCACTGGAATGTCATTTCCGATCATCTGTGAACGTACCATAGCGGGAAGGTGTCTCATGCAGCAATGCAGGAGATTGGGATATTCAAAGCTCAAGCAGAAACGAAAGTCAATCGTGCTCCACAGAGTGCGACAGAAGGCGTCCATATCCCTGGAACACGACAAAGTTAGAAAGTGTAATTGGAGAAAAAAAAACAGGTCTTTGGTGTCTCGGAGCCTTGGATGGTTTCTTCGTGGTCCCTTAGTTCACAGGAACAAAAGCAATGATAATATGTTGCGCTCGTACGATCGGGCATCGCCTAGCGACGCGTTACGAGATCGTAAGCAGGTGGGAAGATAATGGAGAGGGCGTGGGTGAATTGGGGATCGTCATTGGCGACATTCATTAAAGTTTAGCCCCACTAGTAAATTGACCACGGGGTGGCAGGAGACACTGTGATTGGCTATCCCGGGACTACATCGCATGGCCCCCCGCGTGGTTTCCTGAAATCACCTTTCCCATGTGTTGTCCCGAGTGCCCAGAATGTGGCTGTCGGCCAAGACGATGTCCAAGACTTGTGGCAAGGTGAATTGGGACAGAGGGATGTCGTAACAAGCAATCGCCAAGTTGACAAGCAATCGCCAAGGCGCTCTTGGTATGCTTGGTCTTCATGGCGTTTTCAAGGTCTTTGGTTTTTTGTAGATTGCGATCAAGATGTAACATCAGGACGGCCAGTAGCAATAGGGGGGGGGAGGAAAGAAATCCTCATAGAGCATCTGGAGTATCGAGATCAAATCTCAAACAAAGCTACTGCCGGGCAACAAACCCAGTCTGCACAAGGTCATTCGAGCGGTGACCCAATCACATTGTCGGGTGAGGGCGTCGCATTCTCCATTTTGTTGTTCTAGAAAGTCCATTGCATACGCGGGTGCCACTCAACCCAGACTAAATCCAGGCACAGTTCATCTAGCGCGGTCTCATGGCTCGGTTCGAGTCCCCATGCGGACCTCATTCGCGCACTCCGATGTCCCTCGCCCGGTCAGTGCGGCCGAGGTGGCCCCCGGTTGGCGCTGCGAACGAGGATAGCCCATATCCACCCCCATGTCAAACCGTGCTCGCATGCATGGCTACGATAGGGCCACTGCGGCTTGACTGGCTCTAGATATTTGGTTTGTGGTGGTTTTAGTGCTGATTAGGTCCGTCGCACGGGTGTCGCGCGTGCTTCCTTTGCCCAGGCCGCCCTACTCAGAGCTGGGGAATAAATATGCATGGCTCGTCCGCGTCTGATAGATTTTCGTTCTGTCCTGCAACTCCCTTCCCAAACCAGTCATCAGAGTCTCCTGTTGACTCCAGGGTCCTGTGGTTGAAGCTTTTTTTTATCAAATTCTTCTACCCGTGAACCGTCGCCATGGAAGTTCCTAAGCAGGCGCTCAACTCCATCGATGAGATGGAGATCCACGAGAAGATGGCCTTTGACGAGGTCATTCGTCCTGCCGACTCTTATACCGAGAACGGCACCTACTGGGCTGATCTCCCTGTTGGTCAGCGTATCAGCTTCGTCACCACCCAGGATGCCATTGAGGCTCGCAAGGAGTTCACTTGGCTGTGGGAGATGTTCAAGGCGGATCCCTTGGCCCCTATCGGTCACTACTTCCGCAACGCCGTCCTGCCCGGTGCTGGTCTTGGTCTCGAGGGGTAAGTCGCTTCGAGGCAGCAATGCTTCAATCCAAACATAGAATCGAACTAACCCTTGGCCTTGTCTAGTTACGTCCTGTTCTCCATCTCCAACGTCAGCTCCCTGTTCAAGGAGTCCTTCCCTGAGTGCTGGGACAAGAAGAAGGTCTGCTCTGCCAACTGGATTGCTGCCGTCAACTACATGGAGGTTGCCGGTATCATCGTCGGTCAGCTTCTCGTCGGTGTTCTTGGTGACTGGTAAGCCTGTTCTGTTTCTTATGCCGCATGATCGAATACTAATCAAGACCCTCTAGGATCGGTCGTCGCTGGGGTCTGATTCAGGATGCTGCTATCATGTTCGTTGGTCTTATCATGCTTACTGCCTCCTGGGGTGTTACCCAAAACGGCTGGGTCATCTGTTACGCTTGGTCTCTCTTCTTCTACTCCATTGGTGTCGGTGGTGAATACCCCATGACTGCCACCATTGGTATGGAGAAGGGCTACGCCTCCGGCAAGCTCAGCACTGCCAACGACCGTATGCACCGTGGCCGTACCGTCGTCGGTGCTTTCCTGATGCAGGGTTGGGGTCAGTTCGCCAACCAGGTTATCCTGATCCTTCTGCTTCTGATCTTTCACCACGGCTCTGGCAACCCTCCCTATTCTACTGTTGCCACACAGTGGACTTACCGTATCTCCTTCGCCATTCCTGCTGTCGGTACCCTTTGGCTCGTCTACTACCGTGCTTACCACATGAAGGCTGCCTCCAAGCAGCTCGAGGCCCAGAAGAAGAAGGCCTCCGTCACCGGATACGATAAGGAGTCTCTTGCTCTGGTTTTCAAGCACTTCACTCCTCGCCTTCTCGCCACCGCCGGTGGTTGGTTCGCCAACGACGTCTTCTTCTACGGTAACAAGCTCTTCCAGAGCAAATTCATTGGCGTCATTAGCCCTCACGCCAAGGGTGTCACTACCAACTGGCTCTGGAACTTGGCCAACATCGGCTGTGAGCTTGCCGGTTACTACTTTGCCGCCTGGTTCGTCGACAACAAGCTGTACGGCCGTAAGTGGATGCAAATCGTCGGCTTCATCATGTGTTTCATCCTCTTCGTCATCCCCGCCTTCAAGCTCAAGTACTACGAGGAGGCTACCCACATTCACTCTTTCCAGGCCATGTACTTCCTGTCCTCCTTCTTTAACCAGTTCGGTCCCAACTGTATTACCTTCCTTGTTGCCGCCGAGTGTTTCCCTACCCCTATCCGTGGTACTGCTCACGGTATCGCCGCCGCCGCCGGTAAGGTCGGCGCTCTCATCATCGCCATCATCGGCTCCTACACTACCCTCCAGCAGCAGTTCTACATTGTGCCCTGGTTCGGTCTCGCTGGTGCCCTCCTGACCTGGCTCTGTCTTCCCGATACCACCGGTCTCGACCTCCGCGAGCAGGAGCGCCGCTGGAAGTTCATCCGTGAGGGTCGCGAGTCCGAGTACCACGGCCCTGCTGTCCACCACAAGCACTTGTCTGTCTGGGAGCGCTGGATGGGCAAGGGCAAGTACTACGATGCTGCCCTTGACTACCAAGACAAGGTCCGCGAGTACCGTGCCGAGTGGGAGGCCGCCATGGCTGCCCGCAGTGACGAGAAGGCTATCTACGATGCCGATGATGTTGATGAGCACATTCTCTCTGGCTCCATGCACACCTACTTCGAGCGTACCACCCCTGACTTCCGTGGTATCGAGAAGGAGACTCACACTGAGGAGCCCATGACTCTCCCCGCCTCTGCTGCGGATCAGGAGAAGCCCCTGAACCACTAAGTGGATCTTGGTGAATGTGCTTGATGCTGGATGACGCACATGTTTCGGAGTGATTTTGGAGAAGTCGCTATAGAATGTTGTATAATTTAATACCCTCGCTGGTGCGTCAGGACGAGAGACTGTCATCATGTCATACGCTGTGAAAAAAAGTCCTGTTGATACGCTCGGTTTTTTTCTTTTCACCTCTTTTGTTATTTAACACTTTTTTCAGTCATTTTGATCATCAATCTGGCATTACATACACTTGGGATAGATTATCCTATCGAATATATACCCCTATTCCAATCATTGTCTCAAAGGCCTTTTAGACTCTTCGAAATCTTGAGTTCATCAAGTAATAGTTCTGTTACTGTACCGGAGTTCCCTATTCTCTCGAAACTAAACATAGCTCGAATTCTGCATGCAGATTAACTAGCTCCGGGTAATGCGATGCCAGCACCTGTGTTTCAGTGCTGTCTAACGTGAGATCTCCCCGCCTCAATCGTACCCATCAGCCACAAAAGTAGCCTGAAGCACTAAAGTATGCACAGCAAGATGACTTTGCCGATGGCGCCCGCTATCAAGTGGGGGTGAGGGGCAATTTGGCTCCCTTAAGATCGAGTCTGGATCGTCACGCGACAGCGGCGAAAGATGCTGCATGTCCAGGATAACTTTCTCCGCCACGGCTGAGCCTGAAAACCATTCGATGCAATACATGCAAGGCCACGTTGGCACTTTCAATTGCGCTCCATGTCCATCTGCACATCTATCACTGAAGATGATGGGAGGAAAAGCGTCAGCTTCGTTGCATGATAGGCGCAGACGGCGATGTAAATTGGTGAGATTGGGGCACGGTGAGATCCAGGAGTCCCTTCAAGATCAAATTAATGTTCTTGACATGATCTTGCCACGCTTTCACAGCGAGAACTTTGAGACTGGGCTCAATGGTGTCCATGATGACACTCGGCGCAGCCTGGGGGATATAGAGGAAGGAAAATTCAGTACAAGTCGCAGTGCAATTAGTGCCAGATCATCGAGACTTAAGGGTAGCATATGAACCATCTAGAGTCTTTGTTTTCGGCTACACTAGCTGGAGATGCGACCTTGTAGTGGAAGAATATTCAATGTCCGCCTGTGCTCGCCAGAAATTGTCCTGGAATTCCTGGACGAGACCGCTTAGTTGAGCCAGTGGCTGTTCTGATAATGCCAGCTGGCGTGTCAGGCGCATTACATCTTTGGCGATCTTGGAGAGCTGGATGCATGCCGCTAATCAGCTGCATAATTTAGTCGAATTCCTTTCCGTCAGATGCTGCCGGTCTGTTATTCGGACAGTGAAATTGCCATCCCGGTAAGCATCTACTGAGCTGGGGAGACGTTGAGAAATGATTGAATGAGAATTTAGCTCGTATCTAGGTAATCCAACAGAACATGACCCGACCATTCAGCTAAGAGCCCAAAGGACACGCCTGCGTGATTTCTTGGGCACCGCAGCTGAGCTCCGGTCGCTCGTATTTCAATCTCATTGGGGTAGCTGCTCGAGCAGCGTGTCCAGCAAGCATATACGCACGAGAGAACCGGCCGATATGAACGTGATAGTGGATCACTAATAGGAGATATTGAAGCTGGATGATCGATGGCCCCATGGAGATCAGGTCCTCTTAGTGAGAGATTAGTGTCAATCTAGAAGGGCTAGCCCTTCATGTAGACCAGGCATAGGTTCATTACAGAGGCGCGGAGGGGCTTATGGTAAATGTTAAACTTAGGGGAGCCCACAGTCCGGCAAAAACTGCGGCAACTTCGAGTTTGCGGGGTCTACATGTCTGATGCCACTTTGGGCCAAACCACCCCATAGTTAGCCAGGTAACCCACATTTTCGAATTAATACGATCAGCCAAGTAAGCTCATGAATCTCTACATTGTTACAACGAGATTGCATCTCGTTTTCGCCGTTAAGATGGTACTACAAGCAATAAGAGTTGATGACTGTTTTGATTTTGCCAACAACCCCACAACGAATATGCATGTGTCCACTGTTAGCGCATGACGAAGTTGGGGTGAAGATCACTCGCCACTCGAAAGGAAACAGCCTATGTTGTGTTGATTTTGTGATAATCATATGACAGTACATCACCTTGCATAGGAGTGAATTGGCTGTACGAGGCACATCGGAAGAGGCAGATTTATGATGTGTCGGATCGACTGATCATACTATCTCGAGTTTAGGGCCTTTTCGGGGAGGGCCACAGATGGGATGTGCAATGCAAATAACAAAACACAACAAGAATGGATGCCACCTCCGCACAAACCCCAAACTTTAGGATCATCATACATCACCATTACTCACCAAAGCGAGGATTGGGCGCCGTTGATAGGCGTGCGGCCAGGTGACTTGCCGCAACAACTGTTGATCCGGACCCACCCCGGCCCGGATCTTCGGTGGTCTTCTAAAGCAAAAAGTCCCCAGGTCGCACGACTCTGTCAACTTCCATCCCCCCCCCTAATGCCTTCACGATCCATTCATCATGAAGTTTTTCGAGAATAAATTCACTTACGACTATTCCTTTCCTGCTGTTTCCCTCGCCTACTTCCTCCGCTATCCAAACCCCTATTCCCGCCATGTCCTTACTACCGACGTGATCGAGCGACATGTCGACCCAAACACTCAACGCCTTCACACCACGCGGCTGCACCTAAAGAAATCAAAGATTCCCTCGGGTATACTGAAATTGCTACCCAAGGGAATGGGTGGCTCTGACAACTCTGGCCAGAGCTACATCCTGGAGACCACTGTGGTCGACCCCAATGAGGGTTGGATGACGACTGAATCCCGCAACATGGAATGGACTGGTATTCTGAGCGTCGTTGAGAAGCAACACTACCAGCGGCAATTTGCTGAAGGAGATGCGCGCGCTTTGGATGCGCTATCACTCGACAAGAACAACGAACAAACTACTGTTCGGACCACCGTGACATTTAAGTCACGACTCGGTAACGGGAAATTACTGGGACGGAAGAAGACCGAATCTATTTCAGGGCAGGTCGATGCGGAAGAGGAGGCTCCTAAGAAGGGCTTTTTCTCATCGCTGTCTACTGCAGGCATTCAGCGGACCATCGAGCTGATTGGAGTTAGTCGGACACGTGACGCGGTGCTGAAGAGCAAGGAAGGAATGAACATTGTCCTGGAGCGTCTGCGTAAGGGTGGCATCGTCGGTGTTTTGGAAGGTATGCGCAAAGATCGCGAGGCGGCATTCGGACCTGATGGGCCTTGGAAGCGCGTGTGGTTGAATGGAAGTGGCCCCAATGGTCGGGCCATTGAGGACGACGACTAAACTCAGCTGCGACATTCGCTCATTTATGTCGTTCCTTGGGTATGCATCTCCCCCGCATATTTGAAATTAAGCGTTGGAGTTCTGGAGTTCTACGGGCATGTTTGATGGAAAATCTCCCATGATGTCTTTTGTTTCTTGGCTGTTTGATTTGATTGTATATTGACCTGAGTGGTCTGCATCTAAGCCATGTGCTTACAAGCTTGTACATTATGGATAATCGGGTCAAAGGTGTGGCTGAAGGGCCGGACGTGGACCAGGTGACGCTCGTTCAAGAGCAACTGTATTATTAAGAATTTTTTCAATGACCAAATCTATTATCTTCTCTGATTATTCCTCATGGAATCATCACCCTGGCTGTTCATTGCTCACTCGCATGAATACCTTCTGACTTTGGTATGTGCCATTACCATTCTTTCACATTCTCGACGGATCACTTGGTTGTGGTCGCGTGCGTATATTCTAGATAGGGAACTTCAGCCCCATTTGGAAGATGTCGACATGAAGCCCTTGATGTGAGGCAACCACTTTTCAAGTTCATCTCAGTCTACGGTGACTACGTATCAAGGATTGTGTCTCGCACTGGCAAATTCAGCACATGGCTTTCACTTGTCCAGCAACTACCTGACACTGCCGAACCCATCATCGAAAGATACATAGCAACGAGTCACATCTGACACTCTCCATGTTACAACTCTATCCGCTGAGCTCACCATCAGCCAAGCTACATCGTCTCCAACAGACCCCAGACCTTACAGCATGGAGTCTACAGTAGACACTTTGCAACAATCAGACGTTCCAGCGAAACAGGAGGCGGGAAGTCGCTCCAACACCCTTATCCCACTAACCGGCAACGAGTTTCCATTCATCTTGCCCATGCCCACAGAGGGCGATGATCTTGAGACGACTGCTCGAAAGATGCAGAGCATTGCCAGCGTCATTTCCAGTGGCCGCACCTTGTCAATGACCTCGGGCGAGAGATCTACCACAAATGACTCAAAGCGCAAGCAGAGGCGCACTGCAGAAGACTTTGCTAAAGAACGTATGACGGGCCCGGAGATAGCTCAGTACAATGCATGGAAACAGGGCCTTATTCAGCTACCCACATTCGATTGGTATCAGAACCGACTCCCGGTGGCCCCGACAGGCATGCGAACTTTTTCACGACGTGCCATCGCCATGGACATTATCTGGGAACGGTCGGGGTTCGCTCCAGAGCATGCCGCCTGGCTCGCCGTCAATATGAACTTTCTGCTGCCCGTTGTCAAAGCAGTCACAAAAGTCCTCGGGGCTGCAGAAGAACTTCAACGAAACGAACATCCACAGATGTCCGATCGCGATATTGCCGAGATGGATATGCTGCGGCTTATCAACAGTACCGCCGAAGAAACCGTGACACGCGAGCGAGAGCGAATGAGAATGCTGGTGGACTCCATCCACAGGTCGCAAGCGGTGCTAACGCACCGAATTAAAACCCTTGAGAAGTAAAGGGTGGAGGCTTTTCGCAACCAATCAAAAGTGTGATTGATACGCGGTGTTGTTTTTTCGTACCCATGCATCATAATTATTCCAAGATCACCAGCGGCGCTGGGAATTAGTCTCCGGACCAAAGACTTTGCGTCGCACCCTTAGCCCTCTCATACAAGTCGAAACTATGAACCCCGATACAGTCGCCAAGAGGCCAAGAAGTTTGAGTCTGTGGACGGTGTCCATTGGTCTCAGCCAAGTGCCTGAAGGATCCATTTCACTCCACCGAGCATCCAGTTCTAATTCCAAGACCGGTCCTGTGTTGCTGGAACTCGCGAAAACTTCCTCCCGGAATACTCCGATTCGACCTCAAAGGACGCTGGCCTGGATCTGACGTCAGGATTTGCAGGCCCATTAGATTCCTGAGTGACAGGGCCGATCAGCGTCTCGGATCTGGTGGTATGGGCCAGAGTGTTTTGTTTTTTTGTTTTTTTTTTTTAACATCGGGATCTTGCAGGATGCACCGTAGATACACCCACGCAAAAGCCGGTGATTCATGCAACCCGGGGTTTATCATATCACCGTGCTCAAACAGGCCACAGTAATGGGTTTCGCCGTCCCAATATTGCGCTAGCCATAGGCAACAAGGGTCCCGCACTAGTACGGTCCTCTTATCGGGGCTCCGAAGGACGGTATCTCCTCCGTCGGGCATGAATCATTCTCAGTCTTGTTTCCACTCCCAATCCCGAGCAGATGCAGGCTTTATCTGCAATCAGCACAGAGCTCACACCGTATCAAGAGATCCGAGAGAGACAAGTATAGTCCATGGTTCCAACGCCACATCGGGAGGGATCCAACAAGGGTCCTTTCAATGACCGAATGGGCGCCCTAGCGAGTTCGGACCCACGCCCAGGACCGCCCAAAGGCCTCAAGACCCTCATCGACCAAAGAATGTGGACACTACCGGTCGCTGAGTGGCCCGACCCTGGCCAAGTCTGCAACCGTGACGGTGATTCGCGCCTGGAATTTCCTGTTTGGATCCTCGTTATGCGGGGACTCGGGTTTTAGTGCGTTCACAGCCAAGACTAGGAGAAAGATTCCAGTGCTCGACAATGCTGAGAACCTGCGAGTGACCTCGGTGAATGCTAGATTTGCTGCAGGGACGACTTCCTCCGTGAAGTTTTCCCGAAGTAGCCGCGCTCTGTTTCACACACTGGAACGCATGGATATATGCTCTAAACTATTTTCATCCGCACCCCCCGGTCTTCCCTTTACGGTGGTTCTCCTTCCTTGGTTTTGCTCCCCAGTCCCGTTCAACCTGCTGTGACTGGTCCTGTTTCCACTCGACCACTGTTTACCAAAGACCCTTCTTCTTCTACCCGTGCACTGACTTCCCTGGGCGGTGGAATCTCGGGGTTTAACTCGCCGGCGCTTCACTGCGGGGACCGTTTCCCTTCCGTCACCCGTGGACGAGTTAACGGACCCTCAGGGTCGGTATCCGCCTTTCGGTATTATTATCTTCTCCTACCCTCCGCTCCTGCCCTTCTCACCAACTATCGGATGATGAGCATAATCGCGACCTTGGGCCGCCAGTTACCATCTTCCACACGCGTTTGAGGACCCTCCGCGGTCGCTCTGGTGGACATAACAGCTCACACTCTCCCTCATCCGACCATGGCGTTCAATTCAGGGCTGAGCCCGATTGTCCAGTCCTGGGTATTGCTCCTGCTATTGGCCCTGCTGCAGTGCAGCTCGGCTCAATTCTGCTCTTTTTTGAATAATGGTTGCATCGACCCTCTCGCCCAGACCGCCGTGAGCTTCGACTTCCAGCCTCTCTTCACCGACCCCATCTATTTCTACTACGGCTTCGATGCGAGCTCCTCGGGCAAGGGCAAGGGTCCCATGACAAAGACTGGGTTCTGGCTTCGGTACCAGGATCGGCATGTCAACAAAAACGCCATCAATCACAATTTGACTTCAGAGGTTGCGCTCCGTGTCGGTAACATGACTGCCACGCCATCGGGAACCAGTAATGGATGTGACGGGGTCTGGGGCACCCGATGCTCCAACGATATCAAGTTCGCCATCCAGCAGACCATATTCCTACTCTCCTCATCAGGCCAGTATTACGATCGACCTCTTGAAAGGGCTCTAGAGCATATGATGCTTGTCCCGCCGCATCTTCCCAATTGCGTTTCATTTGTGTTTGACGTTGCCACAATTCCAGTTCAAGGTTCGTCCCTTATTCTCGGGCATCATGGTTGCTTTCCACGTATGCTAATCACCTCGGACAGAATTTGCGAGAGAAGGAACCGACCAAAATGTCACCGTGATGCCCTCAGGATCTGGCGATCGCCCATGGCAGGTATTCTACCTTGATGACATGACTGATCACCAACAAGCTTCCCAAGTCGCCGTCGGAATCATCACTCGTGGTCCATCTTATGACAGCGCACCGCCAATGAGCCCTGACGAAATTCAAGTCGAGCTTGTGTGTCTCCAAGCTCCCCAGAGTCCGCCAAGCGGATCATCAAAGGACCATGATTGATAAGGTGCATTCGAGGGATTGTCAATGAACCCATCCCTGAATTTCTCACCATTCTACTTAATACTGCGCTGCCGGATACGCTCGTTCGCAATGTCACGCGACCAACATAATGGACGGACGGTCCGATGATCACAAGTCGCTTGCGCAGCTTCTGGTCGGCATTGATCGACTACCCTATGAGGTACCACCTTGCAACTTACAACACATATTATTGATACATTCACTGTTACCTGCCATCGGCAGGCTACTCTATCACAGTCTCTATGCTTTAGACGAAGGGGTCAAGAAGCTGCCCCCGCCCATATATTCATCACGAGCCGAACGACCCAATACATAGTGCAGCCTCCTTTGGCTCGGCATTTCTGTGGTCCTATCAACCGTTTCACAGAGTCGGCCATTTGTTATCGGCCGGCTTCAAATTGCCTGGTCCCCGGAAATCCTCCAAGATATCTGCCTGCTCACTCAACATGACCCGATCCGTCTGAATACCGATCTTCGCCAGTCCACGCCACCGCTCAAAATCTTCCGGGTTCCGCTTATCGCCGTGCGCCTCTTTGGCCTTCTCCCAATGTCCCTTGGAGAATCCCAGCATGGTGGTGATCCGTCGTTGCGGGATGTCGTACACGAGGGAACACATCGTTCCCGTCTCTTCGAGCCAGTTACACTGCCATAACTCTCCGGGTCGGATGCACTGGTACTCTGCCGCCTGGAAGTTGATTCGCCCCGCCATGGGTCCGCCGTGGATGGCATAGTTGATGCGGTCTTCATTCTGGAACCACATTTCATAACGCCACTTTTCAGGCTTGCCTTGTTCGTCTTGCGCCGCATAATCATAGATCAGATGGCGATCTCGCAGGTCTGCGTCGAAGGTTGACCCTTCCAGAGATGGACGGACGGGCATTTTTGAAGGATGAGATGGACTGGCTTTTGGTGATGGACAGGGGTTTCTTTTATTTCGGGATAATATAGTCGATCGATTTAGACTCAATTAAGTGCTTTGGGGGAATTTTAGATTTGTTCTGTCTACTTCGTAGTGTAGCCTTGAGAAAAGTAGTCATATTCCCCCGGATGTCATTTCAAAGTGTCTTATATCGGCCCCGTGTCCCGATGTTGATTTCAAGGTTGTGGGCCCATGAGACGCCACCTACCATAGGTGCCGCGACACCGAACCGGATTTCGCGACGCATCATCATTCGCGCTAGCATCCCGAAGAATAACCTACACTCAGGTGCTTGGTTTGGGGTGAGGAAGTAAGTGTTCGGGAGGGTCATGACATCACCACTTCGAAGCTCTCGGGAACCTCTGAGCGCATATACCGAACTCGCTTAAGAGATGGGGATCTAATGGATGGACACCTGGATATTCCTCATTGCTCGTCATGATGTCGACTCGAAAGGGCACACAGACCGTGTACCTGCGGGGGATATTCTCGATAAATCATGCGATCCGAGGATCTCGGGGCATATGATGTATAGCTCCGTGCGTATGGAGACCGGGATGTGCCTGGACACAGGACACCGCACTGGAGGGAAATGGCGCCGATGATCAAAGCTTATCGTGGTTTGTGGATTTATGGGTTTGTGGGTGTGGTTCGTGGCGCGGGTACAGTCTTCCCGACCAGATCTTCTACAGGTTGGAATTCCTAGAGTGGATCAGTCACGGCCACCTCTTCAGAATCCAATTGTTGTGTTTTACAGGTCCAGTCGGAGTGTTCCGATCCAGTAGTATTATGATCTTGACTCTATATGGGAGTGACCGCGCTGTTCTTGAAAGACTCTCAGAAGTTAATGGGAATAAAAAGTCATTATTGGTTGAGTTCATAACAACCATCGAACAGGGTCAATCTTATCTCTCTACTTTATCTCATCCATGGGACGGTACCTGAACAATTTGGGCGAAATCCATCAAACTTGTAATGTAATTTGAATCCTTGTGAGATTAGACCTGTCTATCTTCAGAAAACCCCTGATGATTTAGATGCGTCTCACGTGTGTGTTTATTGATTAGAGGGAAACGTATTGTGTAGTTCATAACCAGATGCGAAGCGACAGGGTCGAAGGATTAGCGATCCAAGCACCCGGTGACGATCTCGTGGTGAGACCGCTTAGCTGTAAACGTCCCTTGGCAGGTTCTCGTCGAGGCTGTAGTGTGATTTGGAAGTTTTCATCTCACCATCGTTCCTTGATGTCTTTTGTTCTGCTACAGATGTGCTTTTCTTTCTGTTTTGGGATCGATCATCACGTTGCTCGCCGCCAGTCTCTGATTCGTCACGCTTATCACGGACGCGCAATGGCTTCACGATCTCATCGCTTTGCTCTCGAGCGACTCATGAGCCTGTTCCTCATGTTGCAGGCCATTCTGGAGTGGTTTCCACTCGCTCATGCTTCGGCAGGTCTGCCCGGAGCTTCGACCTATGTTGTTGCCGCTGGGTTTCCCACCTCGGCCTTCTCGTACGGACTCGGAAAAAAAAAAAGTGAAGCCTGTCATTGACGAAAGAAACAGATCCTACTATGAATCTCCGGCTCTGCCAACCAGACAGCCTCAGCCCATCATTTATGATCCTGTGCTCGATCTCACTTTTCCGTATGAGCTGACAAACCCCGACATCATACCTGAAAGCTCGGATGAGGTGTATTTCCCTCTTCCAAAAGGCAGATTGACTCCGGAAGAGAAGCATGAACTGATCGATGCCACGGTCGCTAACGTGACGGCGATCATCAAGTCAATTGACCAGAGCAGCACCTGCTCCAAGTGCAAGAAAGCCCTGGGATCCGCCAAGCTTGCCGCATCGTATGCCCCTCTCTTGGTACCTGATGCCATGGTCAGTATGTGCAAGGCCTTCAAATTTTACACAAATGAGACTTGTGAGGAAAACTTCCTGGATCAAGCTTTTGGTGCAACCTGGACACAGGTACTCGCTCTTGCCGATGTCGCGGGCCAGGATGGTGATTACATCTGCCATACGCTCAAGAGCGACTTTTGCCCTGAACCCCCGACTCGTCGTTTGGATTCACTCAAGCTATTCCCTAAGCCTAAGCCCCATCATGTTCAAGCTCCAAAGGCAAGTGGCACGCGTGTGAAGATACTTCACTTGTCCGACTTCCACCTGGATCCTCGATATGCTGTCAGTGCGGAAGCAAACTGCACTTCTGGTTTGTGCTGTCGTTCTGACAACTTCAATACTCTTACAAATCAGAGCGAGGCACTGCTTCCGGCTTCGCCTTATGGCTCCTTCCTATGCGATACCCCGTACGATTTGGCTTTGGCAGCTCTACAGGCCGTGGGTCCCTTGACAGGTACCAGCAAGGAAGCTTGTGGTGGCTCACTGGCATGGACCATCTACACTGGTGATCTTGCCTCGCACGATCCCGAGCTTCAAATGTCCCGAGACTACATTGAATACACGGAGGCCAGTGTCTTCGACATGCTCAAGCAATATATCTCAGGGCCTGTTTTCTGCGCATTGGGTAATCATGATTCCAGTCCTGCGAATATCGATGCCCCACACAGATTTCCTGGGCGACTAGGTGAACAGATGAGTTGGAATTTCAACCACATGTCTGCCTTATGGCAACACGAGGGGTGGATTAGTCGCGAGACTGCAGAGCAAGCACGAACCCACTATGGAGGCTACTCGGTCAAGACTCATTATGGACTCCGCATCATCGCTTTCAACACCGGTGATTCTCTCTTCCATCTGAATTGAGGCCTGAGGAACTAATGTTTGCAGACTTCTGGTACAAGCGGAATTTTTTGAACCTAGTCAACACCACCGATCCTGACAACTCAGGGGTCTTCTCATGGATGATCGAAGAGCTCCAGAAGGCCGAGGACAGCAGTGAGCAAGTCTGGCTCATCGGTCATGTCCCGAGTGGCTGGGATGGTTACAACCCGCTGCCCGATCCTACCAACCTTTTCTACCAGATCGTGGGCCGGTACTCGCCGCACGTCATTGCCGAGATCTTCTTCGGTCACAATCACGAGGACCAATTTATGATTTATTACGCAAATAACGGCACAGTCCAGAATGCCACAACTGCTCTCGCGACGGGTTGGCTCGGACCCAGCGTGACACCTCTCACGAATATGAACAGCGCATTCCGGCTGTATGAGGTTGACACGGGCAACTTCAACGTCTACGAAGCCTATACATTCTTCAGCAACGTGTCTGAGTATTCCAATCTCCGCGATGACGGGCCCACCTTCCAGCTTGAATACTCTACTCGTGAGACTTATGGGCCGGCTGCTGAGTGGGACAAGGATGCTCCCTTGAACGCGACTTTCTGGCACCGGGTAACAGAGGCGATGGAAAGGGATCGAAAGCTCGTCACTTTGCAGAATCATCTACAGGGTAGGAAGAGCGTCAAGTCTCCCGTCTGCGATACGGCGGAGTGTCAGAAGGCCAAGATCTGCTACATGCGCAGTGGCAGTACTGCGTTGGGCTATCAGTGTCCTCAAGGGTGAGTTTTGCTGTGTCATTTATGTTAACTTGCTGGTGAATTTCTAACAGAGTCCAGGTATGGTTCTGTTCAGAGCCCTTTCAAGAAGCACTAAGCGGTCTCGGATTCCAATCCTATTGAAGAGGTCACGAAATAGCGATTGTCTGGAATAGAGACAATCCCAGAACTCGATGTGTAGAAGTAGAAAAGAATAGTCAGATTCATGTACTAGAAGCAAGTGCTTGTCCACAAAGCCAAGAGCCATGATTATATCGCAAAGACCGTTTTCGAAGATCGAAAGCGAATGCCTCAGCCAAGCCGTAGTTACGATATATATTCACCATTCGCCTGGCAGCTCACATAGGCCTGCCTGGTCGAAAACCAGGAACTCCTTTTTAATAGCGATCGATCTTCTCAATGCCGCACGACGGGAAAAATTGAATCCAGTCCATGGAGATCGTTCGCGTTCACTTGAACTTGCTTGCATGGGGGCCGCCCGTGCCCAAAAGACAGTGAGCTTCCCCCACTGGCTAAATGTGATTGTCTGCATCAAGTCATTTGCTTCATATTGCGAAATAATTGAAATTTAACCACCAAGAACGGTTCCATAACTCAGTTGGTTAGAGTGTGGTGCTAATAACGCCAAAGTCGAGGGTTCGACCCCCTCTGGAACCATTTCTTTTTCTTTCGCTCTTTTTTTTTCCTTTAAGCATTTCCTATTTTTTGGCCTCACGTTCCAAGGTTCCATCTAGCCTTATTACGTTCCTGTCCTCTTGCTATTGGTCCGAGCTTCAAGTTCGTCCCAAGTTTAGGCGGCAGAAAGTCTCATTATTGATCAGCCCATACTTAATGCACCGAGGTGCGTGTGCGTATCCCTAGCAAAGTATTTTCCATTCAAGTTTCAAAGAATGCAGCAGGGATGACAAGAAAACACAGGGACATCCAACCCAAAACCGAAAATCAAGAATTCACTTTAGCACAAGAGACTAGTCGAGAAAAGAGTATGACCCGCAATCGCAAACCCTTGGTGGGGAAGTGGCACCTCGGGGTGGTTGTAGACTCGCAGCAAAGAAGAGTTTTGCAGACACCGAGACTCATTTTGTCATTGACCAAGCTCCGCAGCTACGTGGAATCCTGATCATACCTTTCGTACCAATAAGCTCTGGGTGCCGCCGGCTCCCGAGCGCGTCGATGCATGACGTAGGGACTTCTTCCCCGAAGCTTTTTTATATCGTCATCATGTCCCTCCGGACATTCCGTGATTTAATGCCCACGCTGCCCTAAAGTTGAGCAGTAACGCTGTTCGATTAACATATCCAGCTCCTTCTTGTCACATCTTAATCACTCGGGCCCTTTTCTGTCTCGCAAAATTTTACCTTACCTTACCGTTCAGGAATTTCAGCCAAAATGAGTTTGCGGGGTGTTCAGTTGGGTCTCCGTGTGTGGGAGGTATGTGCTGCGAGCCAGGCTTTCCCAGTTCTATAGCTAATTCTCATCGTGGCTAGTTTGTGTGGACTGTCATCATCATGTCCCTCATTGGTAACATGATCGCCCAGGCTTTCGCCGGCAATCCAAGCTCGATCAACTATACGATGTTCGTGTCAGCGTTCTCGATGTTCACACTCTTCTACCTCTTCCCTGCCTCTTGGAACTCGGACTGGGCCATTCACCCTATTATCATGATCGTTGTGGATGCGCTGAATGCTATCTTCTTCCTCTGCGCCGCTATTGCGCTGGCCGCGAAGCTGACAGTCCACTCCTGCACCAACCACGTGAGTTCAGTACATCTTCATAGCGGGTTCATGGCTAACAATTTGTCCCAGCAATACCTCATTCACAATGAGATCACTAATGGCTCCTACCACTTGACCAAGCGCTGCCGTGAGGCCCAGGCCTCAACTGCCTTCTTGTGGTTCGGCTGGGCTGGCTATACGGCCTCCCTCATCATTTCAATCTTCATGGCCCGCAGCTCGACCTCGGCCATGCGTGGCCGCTCTGGTAGCCGTCGTCGCCCCAACATGGCCCAGGTCTAACCTTGGAGACAAGTAGACCATCAAAAAGTCAGTCGTGGATGCTTCCAGGGTGACCTTGACCATAAGGCCCACTGCGGAGAAGGTCTCTCTCACACACCAGCGGCTAGGAGAGCTACTCTTTAAGACCACGATATATTTTCGCGGCTGACGTTTAATATGGCGTTCACGGGCCAGGGATGAAAAGACGAGTGTATGAATGACGATCCTGTGTTTGGGAATTGACTGCCTTGGTCTCCCTGCTCGGAAAAGGAAAACGATCTTGGAATTTAGTTTGTTTGTAATCTGCGGGGGACGCGGGTAATTTTGAGCTTTTGTGTTATTAATAATCGTTAATCTGGAGGTTGATACCGAGTGTACGAGCAATTTATTGATGCGAGTGCTGGAGGTCGCTGTCGCCACCTTTGTGTTGGTAGATGTAGGTGTCATTAAGATTAATCACCGGCGGATAGAGTGCATGTTCAGAGCTTAGAGCGTCATCCAGACCAGTGCGACTCTCGAATCTACTCTGGTCCAAATTTCAATGGGTTATACTTTCTCGCTTTGCAGGAGAAGCTAATCGGGGGAGTATGATGTGACGTGACCGTGGGAGGGCTGCGGCGGCGTACCTAAGCGCAGTGTTGAGTCACCCTGAACATCGAACCGTGCGTGAAACCCAGACTGCCTATTTCACAGCTCGGTGACTGTCAAGTTTTGAGAAGCTCTGAATACCTTCACTGACAGGTCTCAAAGTAGGGCACCTGCGGCGGGGCACCTCCCCTCTGCTCCACCCTAAGAATTTCTCTAGAGCTCGGGTCCGCCACGGCTTCGACAACTCCCCCAGCTTCGCCATCCCTTTCGGCTTCCACCATCAGAATGCCCATCAGGTGAGAACGCCGACGTGACTCTCGAGAGATTGCGTCCAACTGACTGTGACCAGTTACTTGATTCTGCTCTCCCGACAGGGCAAAGTGGTGCGTCCCTCGTGGCCCACCCCGATTCCGGTCCACCTGGCTTGAAGCCGACTAACAAATTTCTGCGCAGCGCCTGGCTAAGTGGTTCACCACCCTCTCTCCCAAGGAAAAGGCCAAGATCATCAAAGATGTGACCCAGCTGGTTCTGTCGCGCCGGACGCGAATGTGCAATTTCCTCGAATACAAAGGTGGCTGCCACCCCCCCCATAACTAGCATCAACACCAAGACTCCCCTTACTAACCATTGGGGTTCTGCAGACTCGAAAGTCGTCTACCGTCGTTATGCTTCTCTCTTCTTCATTGCCGGCTGCTCATCTACCGATAACGAGCTGATCAATCTTGAGATCGTCCACCGTTACGTCGAACAGATGGACAAATACTACGGCAACGTGTGCGAGCTGGACATCATCTTCAATTTCCAGAAGGCATACTTCATCTTGGATGAGCTGTTGTTGGCGGGAGAAATGCAGGAAAGTAGCAAGAAGAATGTACTACGATGCATCAGCCAGCAGGACAGCCTGGAAGATATGGAGGTGAGTCGGATACAATCTCCCCTTCCCCATCCCATGGGATGCGATACTCGGATGTCTTCCATTGTGGATGTACATTCTTGTAGATCGATCTTCCTAATCCCCCTCTCTTACACTTCCCATCCCCCCCTCCCAGGTGCGGGCTAATGCTCTCCCCAGGTTGAGGAAGACGTGGTCACCAAGATCATGTAACGACGGAGCGACTCATTGTGTCTTTATTCCTTTTCTTTCTTTTGTTGTTTCTTTACTTGGCGTAGCGACCTTTGTTTATATACTGATAATACCAACCTGCCAATTCAGGACGCAGAAGATATCTCTCGCAACTTGGCCGCGGTCGGGCTGTGAAGTGCAGAACGAGTGATCCATGGATTGGGCCACTCGTGAGGTCAGAGCGCCCTCTCACTGGTGAACCTTGTCGACCACGTGATTGCAACTTGCAACCCCCCTCTTATCGTGGGCTTCAGTTGCGACATCTGCCCTTTATCATCTGCCCCGATTCCGTTGATTCTCTTTGATTTTTCCTTCATCCCAGCTGGTTGCCCTGCTCTACTGCTTGCGGCTATCTGGCCTTGTTACTCTGTTATCGCCGATCGGACCCCCCCATCTCCGCTCCACCTCCGGCTCCGGCGCGACCTTCCGCGTCATCTCATCACCGCTCAATTCCAGCGCTGCAGCCACGTCTTCTCTCACCATCGCAGAATCGACAGATTCACTCGGCAGAATCGACCGATTTGATCGCTAGCGTTTGGATCGCTCTCTGCTAGGATGAAGGTAGGTTGATATCCCCTGGTCGCCCTGGTGACACATCACCCATCTCTGTTTCCGGTCGGCTTTACTCAACGTTCGTCTCTTTTAGTTTCTTCCTCTCCCAGAGTTTGAAGATGTCACAAGTTCTCTGAACTTCGATACTAATGACTGCCATATCGTGGGTGGGTGTGATTTGTACACGACCAAGGCTGCGCGATCCGACCGGAAGCTTTACAACCACATTGAACAATCGCTTGAAGCCCAGTATGAATCAATTCTTCGTCTCTCTGCCTCGCTATCTCCACCAAATGCCCACGAGGCCGCTGAAACCCTGAACTTGTCACGCTCGAGTCCCTTCGGGCCCCTGAGTGAGCACTCGAGCCGTCGCACGTTCGCCTATCTCATTGCTACGCTCAATGCGAGCCATTCCGACTATGATTTCTCACATGTGCTGCGACCAACGGATTTCCGCCGCGAGCGCCATCCCAAGCGCGTGATGAATACGATAAACTCAACGCTATATAATCTGCGGCCTCGCGAGTCCATCGATTTCTCCCCATCATCCCCAGCAACCCTTTCGGGATCATACAACAGTAGCACTCCCGCCTGGGGCCCGCGGATGTGGAGGATCATGGACGACCACATGTCTCTCAAGGAGTGCTCGGTTTACTCATACTCCCCAGAGGAAGATCCAGCTGACGCTGATGACGGAGCGATCTGGAGTCTGCATTACTTCTGGTTCAACCCCTTGCGGAAGCGCGTTTGCTATCTCTACCTGCGAGCAATCCCGATTCTCAGCCATAGTCCCCCTGAGGATAGTGAGATGGCCGTGACGCCCACTGGCAAGCGCAACTTCGACGATGGATACTTGACTCCAGACCTCAGTTCCAGCAAGCGCGCGCGCTACTGGCTTGGAAGCCGGGTGGAGTCTTCACTACGTCATCAAGAAAGCGATGATGATGACGAACTGGATCATCAACCGTCGCATCCTGTGATAGACGACGAGGATCAATTCATGCTCAGCGATGAAGAGATCCGCTCGCGCTCACACAGCAAGGGTATGGTGAGGGCGATGAGTGAAGAGATTGCGGATGCAATGGAAGTTTAGTGGTTTTCTGCTTCCAGCTGCTCTCTCGATTTATTTGTTTTGCTTCTCTTTCCCGTTGATCGGTGATTCTTTCATAATAGCCGGAGGCGTTCGGTCTGATACTAAGAAGCTCGGGCTTGTGGCGCAATTCAAACCTGCATATCTCTTTTGCCACAGGCGTTCGGGCACGAGACCGACATGGAGGACGCCTCGATCTTCTCTGCGGTTCTGCTGTCAATACCTCTTAATGATACCTACATCTATCTGCCAATCTTCTGTCAAGCAATTGTGTGTTCAAAAGCTGCTTTTAGGTAGTCATCTACGATACTAAATTTCCGAGCGTGAGCAAGCCTCGAGGCTATAATATCTTACCACCAAGTATTGCCTCCGGTTGATAGGGTGATAAACTTGAGTCTATTTGTCCGTGTTCTAGTAGGAGGGTCTCATGGCTAGACTGAGTGCAAGCACCTTTGTGCCATTCACCTGATATATCTCGTGCGACCGATAACATCTTCCGGTAGAAATAGCCCTGCCGATGTACCGACGTGCATGTAAAGAGTGCATTGCATGCCCGTATAGATCGATGGTGGCCCGTGCACAGATGGGGAAAGCTGTCCGTTCTCCGACTCCTTCCACTTCCTCCACCTCCACTAGTCCATTGATTCCACATTCACCATTAGTCATGGCCGACGAGGATGAGCGCATTAAAGCTGAGAAGCTGGCTGCTGCCAAGAAGAGGGTATCTCCTCCTTCGTCCTGACGACGTGGTGATCTCCCATGGCTAACAGATACCGCGTTTTGCAGGTGGCCCAGCTCCAGAAACAGAAAAAGAAGGCCAACAAGAAAGCCTCAACCGCGACAGATACACCCAAAGATGCCGAGTCTGCGAAAGAGACTGATACCACCGGAGAATCGGTAACGGAACCTGCGGCTGAACCTGTCCCCGAGACAACATCGCGAGTGACCCCCGCCGAGGAGAAATCGAAGGATGAGACCGTGATAAAGACCGAAACCTTCGAGCAACCAGAAGAACAGCAGCAGCCCGAGAAATCTGATGCGCCTGTCGAGTCTCCCGTTGAACCCATGCCCCCTGCCCCCACCTCTCCTGGTCCCGAGACGGAGGCTCAACCAGCCCGACTGGATACTCCTCGAGCCGGTCACACCCGCCAGCCGTCGCTGTCAATCCAGTCTAAGATGCGCTCGTCCTCATTCCGCAAGACTTCCGTGTCTCAGGGCAGCCCTTCACCTTCTCCAGCCTTCACTCTCAAGTCTCCTCCGCAGTCACTACCGCCCCTGACCGGAGACGGAGAGTCAGTCCATGAGGTTTTCCAGAAGCAATCTTCGCGGATTGTTGAGCTTGAGAAGGACAATAAGCGCATGGAGAAAGAGCTAGCGGATGCGACGAGCCGCTGGCGCAAGACGGAGGATCAATTAGAGGATTTGCGCGAAAGTAGTGTGGATGTGCCAGAGCTGAAAGAGCAGCTGAAGGAAGCCGAGGAGAAGGCGGCGAGCATTGAGACATTGGTAAGGGTTCCATGTCTTTGGACAAGTGAAACGGGCTGACTTCTTTGGAACAGAAAGAAGAAATTGCTTCGCTACAACGGCAAAATTCACAACTCCAGTCTCGGTCAAACCGGAACCATGCCAATTCTACACCAGGATCATCAGATTCACCACCGGCGGATCTCGTGCGTCAGTTAGAGTCCAAGTCGGCCACTATTGAGGCTATGGAATTGGAAATTTCCAATCTACGAGCTCAAGTTGCCTCACAATCATCCTCTCATGAGGCCCACGAAAGCCAACTCGCGGCATTGGAGGAAAAACTCACAAATAATCAGATAGCGCTTGAGCGTTCTCAGCGTGAACTGGCAGATACAAAGCAGGCCCTTACACGCGCGTCCGAAAAGGCCGTCAAGGAAGGTGTGGACAAGACATCAACCGAGACTCTGATCAAGTCGCTGCAACGTGAAATCGAAGAACTCAAGAATGAGAAAAGCGAGGCTGACAAGAAGGTTGAAACTTTCGATAAGAAGCTCCAGGCCATGGCCAACCTGCATAAGGAATCCGAGAGTCGGCACCAAGCGCGTCTCCGCGAAAGCGAAAAGATCGAGAAAGAAATTGCTGTCATGCGGAAAAAGTTAGCCAGTATCGAGAACGAGAACCTTCGCCTCCGTGAAGAGCGTGACCGTATTCGCAAGCGCGAGGCCGGTGGCGGCGCAGACGACGAAGCCCTCGACGAGCTCGAAGATGAAGAACGTCAGCGCCTGGAGCGCCGTATTCGTGTCTTAGAGGGTGAGAATTTTGATCTGCGCCGCGGCGTCTGGCAAGAGAAGCGCCAGGAATTAGCCGGTCATCAGTATCCCGAAGAGGGCGCTGAGTCTGCCGGTGACGCCGGTGCTAATGCGTTCGATGATGTCGACCTTGTTGGTGGACGGCCTGACCATGCCCGTCGCCGTAGCATGGCCCAGCAGCAGCACTCGTCTTTCTCGACTGTTCTGTCTAGCGGCTTCGCTGCCTTTACAGGATCTGGTAACCGCGCTCGGGCCGGTTCGTCCAATCCGCCCCATCCCCATGCCCCTGCTGCGCGTGGCAGCCTCGAGTTGCTTTCCGAAGAGAATCTTGACGATGAATTCGACGAGGCTGAGTTTGCGCGCGCCCAGGCGGAAGAGGAAGCGCGCAAGCGCGTCGAGTGGATGCGCAACATTAAGAGTAAATTGCGCGATTGGGAGAAGTGGCGGCTGGACCTGGTCGATAGCCGGGCTGGTGCCGAGGGCGCTGGAGTTGGCATGGGCGAGATCTTTGAGGTTTGAGGTTTTGGTCTGCACAATTCCTTGTCCTCGGATGGGATGGGCATTTGGGGTGGCGCTTGATGTTATATACCATGATCTTGTCTTTAATACAAATTCTGTCTGCATGTAATTATCTTGCCGCAGTCCCGGAAGTTGAGCCTTGCATCGATTAGGGTGAAGGGTCAAGAAATATCTGAATTGGTGTGAATATTCCATCCGTTCAGACGTGCTTGTGTACAAAATATAGAAACAAAACCATGAGAAACACACCAAAGAAAATGCATTCAGAAACAAATGATAACTCCTCAATCCGAATAATGCTTCCCCGTCAATACACCCTCCGTCTGCCTCCGTCTCTTGATTAAGAACTCGCCAATCCACCCCGAAATTTGATAAATCCAGCCACCAGTGACAAGCACACCCGAGACAGTGTTAATGACACGAATGACCAGAGCCAAGAACCCAGTTCGCTCTTCACTGATCAGCAACATGATCGGTTCAATATTATACTTGAAGAAGATGCCCGGAACGAGCATCGGCGTTTCGGGGATCGGACCACTCTGGCTCGTTGCTGCATACTGGTTTGTGAAGATGGTGTTTCGTCCAGGTCGCGTCTTCGAGGTGTATGCATCAAGTGCGTTTCTGCCCTTGGAATACAGCGTCGGCACCACGGAGAGGAAATACTGGAACTTGTAATAGTGGCTATCGCTTTCCGCAATAGTCTTGTCGAGAGGGTTCAGCAGACTCGGATAGTGAGGACCGAAGGAGAGCTCGGTAATCATGTGCGAGAAATTAAACGCTATAGTCCACGTCAGTTCAATCCAATTCGCTCCACAGATCCCCTGAAAGGATCCAAATCACAAAGCACAAAAACATACCTGAATGATCCAGATGCGGCGCCATCTCTCGATACCCATGGCCTCTCGCCGTGATGTGGAAATCACCTTGGACCTTATTTCCCTCAAGACTTCCATAAATCCGACAAGAATCCGCAGTCTCGCCCCAGCGCATACGCGGCCCCTTGGCAAACTTGCGTCTTGAGTTCCGGCGGACTTCCCCAATAACATGGTGCACGTGGGCATCTGCCTCCTGGGCGCTAATTCTCTCATCGTCCTCATGGCTGAGAGTCTGGTACTCGTGCGCACCGCCGGAGGTCTCGTAATTGCGCTTTTGCATCCATAGCTGCCAGCTCGTATCTTCGCGCTTGAGGAGGTCGCCTGCGAGGATGCGGTCGCCGGCGGCATCCTGGATGTTGACGCGGAGGGTGTCACATGGCATGTTGACGACTATGTCGAGGTTGAGTTGGAGGTCGTGCGAGACGCCCTTTTCAACGCTGAAGTGGTGGTGTTCGGAGCCGCGCCACCATGTTTTGAACTCGGAGAAGCTGAAGAGGGTACAGACGAGGAGGATTAGGACGGTCCATTGGCCGCCTCGAGCGGAAGGAGTGGTGTAGGAGGCTTTCGTTTTGGCTGGAGAGGGAATTGTTAGGCGGGCTGGTCTTTTAACGTGTAATTGTGTTCAATTGAACCGCGAGCTGATGAGCTGCAGGAAGTTGGCGAGAACTCACGGAAAGCGTCAAAGGCCTTTACCCCTGAGAGGCCAGACTTTTCTCCAAAGGCATCCTCGTCGAGGCCCTTAGAGTCGGAGCCATTCATTGCGAAAAGGTGGACATGAAGAAGTTGGAGTCTCGGAGAGTCGGACAGTTGAAGTGGAGTAAACACGATAAGGCGATGAGGCCAGCTAAGCCGATACGCGGACCCACACATCTATACTTGAACTACACCATAGATGTGATAAATATGAAGATAGAAAAGAATAGCCTATTCATTGCCAATCCGAGCTCTATAGAGCACTCATGAAGCTCTCACATGAGAGATGCAAGCGATAAAAATGTACAACAGGAGCAAAAGCCCCAGGGGAAATCGTGAGTATAACGAGGGACATCAACGGAAGACATGGAACATGGGACATGGTCGCAATAAACCCTTCACAAAAATCATATCAGGGCCCAGATGCAAATGCGGTCAACAAAAATAACGGGTATAAGATGGATGCCGTCCCTGTTCTCATCTCCCGATCTCGCACCATGATCAACAAATGCCGACATGACAACCCACCTGATGCATGATGAAAACAAGAAGAAAGGAATAAAACGAAGAGATAACAATTATGATTACAGGGCTGGAGAAGAACAAGATGAAGTAGACGTTACTTGGTCCTCTGTAGTTGGTCAGCGGATGGAGGTTCTTTAGAGGTTGTGTCGACTGGCGCCGGCTTAACTCACTAAGCTGGTCGCAGCCGCCGCCGTCGCGAGATCGGTTTTCCCACTGATGCTTCGTGCTGAGGCACGGGCAATGCAGTTCCGGACGTGCTGGTGGGATTGGTGGGTGCTCGCTTCGCCGGGCTGGACGGTGGGAGGCCGCTCACGGTCGAATGTCGTTTTCCGGAGCCTTTGACGGGAGAGGTCCCGGAGGCATCACGAAGACGACCAGACGAGCCAGTCTTGAAGCTGTGACCCGGAGGCTCGGGAAGTGGACGCGAGCTCGAGGTGCTGGTGCCTCGCTTGGAGGGTGAGTTCATTGCGGCGTACATCCGCGGCCGAGATTGCACCTTGACGCCAGTGATAAACTCGTGCTTCAGGGCGTCGTGAGGCGTCATACGGCGAGCAGGATCCCAGCGGAGACAACGGGCGAGGAAGTCAAGAAAGGCTTCATCATCGCATCTGAGGGCTTGTCGGAGCTCCTTGGAGCTTGGACGACGGCGACGCCCCTTGGACGAGACGGTTAGGCGAGGTTTGCCTAGAGAATCAAAGAAGAGCTTCTTGCGAGTGCTCTTCTCGATTAAATGCTTCTCTGGGGGTCCAAACACTTCCATAATGCAGGCCAGTTGTTCCTGCTCGTTCTCACCGGGGAAGATGGGATATCCGGTGAAAAGCTCAGCCAGGATACAGCCAAGACTCCACATGTCAATGGGCATGCCGTAAGACATTCCAAGAATGACTTCTGGAGATCGATAGAACCGACTCTGGATATATGTATAGACTTTTTCGTTCTCGAAGCAGCTCGAACCGAAGTCAATGACGCGTATTTCCGAGTTCAACGGATGCACGAGGAGAATGTTCTCCGGCTTCAGGTCACAGTGAATGACCTTCTTGGCATGCAGCAAAGTCAAGCTGGTAAGCATCTGCTTGGTGAAGCGGCGAATGAGCTTGAGGGAGAAGCCCTTGAAGTCATGTGCCTTAATGAACTCGTACAGATTCATGCCGAGAAGTTCAGTTGAAATGCAGAGATGGCCACGGAAGTAGAAGCTCTGGGTAAAGTTGACCACGCTGTGACGGTGATCGGGATCCCACTCCTTCAGCTTTGTCAGGAGGTTTACTTCAATCAACGCTTGCTGGTGAAAGCGCTTCTTGTTGCGAATAATCTTAATAGCAACCAAAGCGCCGGTCTTGTGGTCAACACATCGCACAACCTGACCGAAACTTCCCTTGCCAAGCACGCTCACAACCTCGTAGCGGTAGGCCAAATGGTCACCCATCACAATGTTGTAATCTCCCCGATCATCGTCGTAGCCGAAGTTCGCAGCGCCTGAATGGAGATCACCGATATGCTTCTTGGCATTCTGGGTGCCACAGAAGAAGATGTCCCGGTAGTCAATAATTTCGCCGCGCTCAAAGATGTTCAAATTTGCCATTTTCAGAGCCTGAGCGGGACTGACACGATCTTTCGGTCCTGCCTTGCGACGCAATTCATCCAATTCTTTTGCTGCAACCTCAAAGTCCTTGCGCTTAGACCCCAGTCTCCTCATCTCCTCGTCAGCAATAACAACATCTGCATCGATATTGGTGTCAGCCGACCGAGGAGAAGCAGCAACGCTAGATCGGGCAGAGTTGATTATCTTGTGAACTGGGGAGACATAGGCACCAGAAGCACGGTTTTGAGAATGTTCACTGGCACCGGACTCGTTGGAAGGAGTAGGTTCCAGACGCAAGCTTCGATCACTGCTGACACTGGGCTTCCGATTGGCAGCTTGCTTCGAAATGCTCGACACAGATGACTGTCGCCGAGGTTTGAGGAATGAAGACGTGACGGTGGGACTAGTGGATGGGATGGAGGACAAATTATTCCACGTCGCAGACGCAGGAAGCTTTGGCGGCGGCATGTGATCGTACTTGGTCAAGTCGGAATCGTTCTCAGAAGGCTGATTAGCCTTGGAGTTGCTGCGAAGCCGGGTTACAGTCAATCGCTCCTTTGAGTTTGAGACAGGCGCAGGAGCACTTTCCGGCTCCGATGGCGTCGAGATTTGGCTCAGTCTTTCCGCAGCTGGTGTGGAAACGACACTCTGTGTTTGAGGTCGTGGTCCCGTCAGTTTAGACGACTGAGATGTTCGGTTGGAATAATCGGCACTCGCCTGGTAGCGAAGTGCATTGAACTCGGAGCCGCTCTTAGGTAAAGTGTATGATGCATAGGGTGAGATGTTGCGAGTGCCATTGGGCGTTTCAAAGGCACTAGTGCTGCTGGCAGTCCGCAGCGCCCCTGAAGAGGTAGAGCTCAATGCAAAATGCGATGTGCTACTCCGGGCTATTGTGGCAGGTCCCGTATCTTCCTCGTCGCCATAGCCCCAGAAATTGACCTTTGAAGCGGTCATCGGGGTACTGGGAGTTTTTGAAATGACTTGATTGGACGGGGTATATGATTTCCGTTCCTCAGCTTCCCTGTCTTTCAAAGCCTCGATTTTGGTTGTCATGGGAGTACCCAAAGGAAGCAGGTTCAACGGGGGTAGCTTCAGTGGCTGCAAACCCTTGCGACCCACCACCGTCGAATTTCTTGTGCGAGACTCAGGTGTCTTCGTAGCGTGTCCACGGGTATAGTCAACATTCTCGGTGGTAGGGACCCGAGCCTCTGAGTCTGAATCCCGTGAAGAAATGTTAAGAAGACCAAGGTCGACCGGTAAACTGGACTTCCTGGGCCCCGAGAAGACAGGCGCATCAAGCTCACCCTTAGGCGACTCGTAAGCCTTGGGAATTGCGGGCACTGGCGGAACTTCTTCCCTGTGGAAGAAGAGGAATTCTGCTCCGTACGTGGTTTCGGTGTGGGTAATCGGGAAGAGGAGAAATTCTGAGACAGACGTGGTTGGAGAGAACTTCCAGAATTCCGAATCGAGTTGTAACTTGTGTTTGATGATAATGACAACCCAGAGCTGTATGATTTGCGATTCGGGTCTGGAGTCGTTCGGTTGGACGACGGTGTGACGCTTTTCCTGGGGAGAAGAGAAGGTGATTGAGTCGATGACACAGGCCGGATGGGAAGCGGCTCTGTTGGTGTAGGAGGGGTGTGAGGCATGGGAGGAACGGTTGGCATCATTGACATTCGCTTGGCTCGACGTGCATCAGTTGGACTGATAGTGCGTGCACCCAAGCCGGAAGCATGGGGCATGGTAGACATACGCTTAGAGGATGAGGAAGGAGTTGTTACTGTTGACCCGGACGTATTTGACGGGTTTCTGACTGGTGTTCGGACCGCATTGGTCGAACAAGACCGTGAGTGGTCCGTCGTGCCGGTCGCAGTCAAAAAAGTGCTACGCGGCTCACGGGGAGAGGGTTGCATAGACTTGGCCTTAAGGCTCCGAACAGACGACGGCACTCTGGTCTCGTCCCGCGGTGGTTCGGTTGGTTGACCACGAGGCCGAAGAAAATTGTTCGGATCGGTCCGAGTTGTGTCCATACTGATCTTACGAGCGCTCAGACTGGCACGCCTTGCTGAAGCGTTTGTGGGACCAAAAGCCCCTGAGCTGATAGATTTTCGTGACGCTCGAGAATTGACAGGACCAGCATCATTGGGCTGTGCAATACTTGAGCGGCGGCCGCGGGCATTGGCGGAGGTCGTTGATAGTCTTGAGTTCGCAGGGTTCAGGCCAATCAGACGTGACACCTCGCTCTTGCGTCGAGCTGAAGCACCTCGCGTCCGATCCGATATATTGCTCTCGTAGCTATTGTTTGTCCATTCACTGTTGGTTGACAGACCCGAATCGCGGTTCTCAGAGGCCGCTCCACCAGTTCCACCATTTCCAGGCATAGGAAAGTGGTTTAATGTGGGCTCCGCCATGATGCTGTTGTGGAAGTCGTCAAAATTGACGGGCGCTAGAAAGTCCATGCTTTCCGGCGGGGTTTGAGCAGGGTCCAATTTTGACAGGTTGCCCACACTTGTGGACCGTAAATTGTACTCTTCCATGGAATCGTTCGTAGCGTCAGTCGGTGAATCTTCGGGATGGACGTAGTTATTCGTTGGTTTGCTATAATTGAGACATTAGAATTTGAGCATTCAATCTCCACTGCGGGCAGGGACCATGGGCGCTTGCAAGTGAAGCCTACCTCCAGCGCGAGTTGTCTTGCGGCCGGGGCCCCTGAGGGGCCTGTTGGCCTCGAATGGACAACCTTCTTCGACTCATGTCCCCTGAACGTGGTCCCGCTACACCTCTCGACAATTGCGAATCCACATTTATCTGGGTGTTCATGTAGAAATTGGTTGAGGCGGATTTCTGAAGGCGTCTGCGAGCGGCAGTCTCCGCTGAGTTTCGAGTGTTGGTTAGCAATTGTCGTATCCTGACGAGGCTTTGGGTCCTACCTCCTGACCCCAAGTCGTCGTTTCTGGAGGTATTGGATGACCGTGATTGGGCTGTTCCGGACTGGCCCCTCCCTGAAGCCTGCGACGAACTGGCCTGCATTATTCCAGATACCACGCGGCTTCTAGTAGAGAGCAATCTTCAAATCGACAATCCGCACCGGATCTGACGGCGAGGGTACAATTTGACAGGAATGATCACAAAGATGAGCAGCACAGTCGCGCGACCCAGTCGAAGTGGTTACCGGTCCATGTCGGGAAGAATCGAATAAAGCCTTCTGCGGTGCCCGGGCGAGGGGTCTGGCGTTAAGAAATAAATTTGGTGTAGCTCAGGTTTAGGTTGCTGGGGCAAGCAGGCGGTCGCAGTGAGGTAGGATCCACCACAACCAAACAATTTAACGACAGAAAGGGGGAGGGGTAGGAGGGGGCAGAAAAGAGTAAGTAGAAATTTGGATCAAAGAGGAATTCTTTTCTTGAGAGAAGAGTTGATAAACAAGAAAAGTGTAAACAACTTGCAGCTAACTAGTTACTCGCAATAATCCGAACCCTGGGTTTCCCCTGATTGCGGACTGACTGTACCGTACCGAACGAATCTTACCACCTCTAACGGCGGGTCTTACAATACCCAATACACAATCCCCAGTATGGACAAATCTTTGCCCGATTTAGCAGGCATCGACACTGCTCGCATGTGCAACTTGCGCCTGCCGATGGTTCGGTTCCCCTCGACTTCCCTTCTTCTTTTCTCTATGTTTCTGTGAATAAATCCTACCCTAGTCATGCCCAGATCCTCTCAATATGGATGAATACACCCCGGAAGCCCTGGTGAACCGTGATGAGCCGATACCGGTACTGAACATCTCTTCGAGGCGCACGAGTAAAGGCTCCGTGGACAGTGACCACTCGCGCTCATCTTCGCAATCGAAGAATTTAATCCAAGACCGATTATTGACCAAGTATGGCTGACGTGGAACATTTTCCTGTGGCGTCTTTGCTGACGGTGACGCAGGCTTCTACAACAAGTCATCCCCTCAGAAGATGACGAGGAAGATGCCAACCCTGGAGACAAGGTCTTTACGGCCTCTCCGAAACGCCCAGGCTTCAGTCTTCCAGCAATGTCAAACAACTTCCGTCGCTTCAATGCGAGGTCTGTATCATCATCCATGCAGCTGAACTACAAGACTGACTCTGCTACAGAATCGGAGTGGTCTTTCTGTTCCAGAATCGGGTAGAGCGCCTTTTGGCCTGGCGGAACTCAACTCATACCCTGTCTTTCCTTTTTGTATATTCCTTCATCTGCTTGGATCCCCACCTGCTACTGGTCTTACCTCTGGTGATCCTTTTGCTCTTCATCATGGTGCCGGCGTTCATCACTCGCCACCCACCACCACCGTCGACCTCTACCTCCAGCATTGTTCCTTATTACTCCTATGAAGGACCAGCACTAGCACCGGCAAGAACAATCAAGCCGGCATCTGAAACCTCTAAGGATTTTTTCCGAAACATGCGAGACTTACAGAATTGCATGGCGGATTTCTCAGATGTCCACGACGCAATTATATCCGTCTTCGCACCTTTAACTAACTTCTCCGATGAAAAGCTGTCTTCGACTCTCTTTCTGGGGGGGCACCGTTGCTGCTGCGGCCCTCTTCCTAACAGCACACCTCTTACCGCTCAGGCTCATTATGCTCGCGGGTGGCAATGCGGCCATCTTGTCAAACAACCCGACATTCCGAAACTTCTTCCAAAACCTGATCCAGGACGTTGGGGGTGATGATGTAGGTTCACCACTTCCTCGGGACCAAAATCATGATATGTTCAGTGCCGCTCTTCCGAAGGATCCAAGTGCTGCTATGTCCGCGTTGGAAAAGTTGACAGATATCTCGCTGGATACGGATCCCGAGGAGCGCGAGGTCGAGATTTTTGAGATCCAGCACCGCGCGCCAGGGCTATCAGAGTCTGGATGGGAGAACTTTCTGTTCAGTCCCCAACCATACGACCCGCTATCCCCATCTCGAATTGCTGGGGACCGACCCCGCGGCTGCCGCTTCTTTGATGATGTCCAGGCGCCATCTGGCTGGAAATGGAAAAGTAAGAAGTGGGAACTTGACCTGGATTGCCGGGAATGGGTAGTAGAGCGCATGATCACTGGCGTTGGCTTTGAGGTGCCAGGGCTCTCACCAGAAGGCAACTCAATTGTCGATGAAATTGGTGGTTGGGTCTGGGACCTCCCGTCAGAGTCTACCTCAGTACAAGAGGAAGGTAAGGAGATGACTACCATGGGCTACGGTGACTTGGAGCCAGAGCCAAATACGTTGTCAAAGAGCAAGGGCAGATCGTTGTCAAAGGACAAACAGGCCAAAAATTCCTTGGATTGGGAGGAAGCAGGAAGCGCTTCCTATGGCGTCGGAGAATGGCGTCGTCGTCGGTGGGTACGCATCGTGCAGCGGATGAATCTTGCAGCAGCCGAGAATGTCACCTATTCGACCCTCGGTACCAATTGACGTACATTTACGAGAACTCTTTCTATAGCGCATGATAGCCCACACTCTGTTTAATTTGGAGCCCATTATATACTGCTCAATCATTTCACCCATGAACATGCATGGATACACATCTATGTAGAGACAATTTTTTGAAGTAAAAGACCAGAGAACGCCCGAATCGCCTAACCAAATGCACAAGAGAGCCCTCTCCCATCACTACTCCTGAGACTGCTTCCACTGGTGAATCCTCCTCCGCAGATCACCCTCAGTCTGCTGCATGGGGTTGAGCTTGCGGTCCCGAACCATCGCAGTCAGGTTATCTCCGTGCTTCTCAACCAGTCTCGTAATCCACTCGACCTCCCGCTGGCTCAGATAGCGGGGCTTCTTGCTCTTGGCAGCCTGACCCTCACGATCAGCCTGGCGCTCCAGCTGCTGAACAATCACAGACGCTTTGGCGGGTCCGATATCGACCTCGGTGTCGGTCAGACCGTTCAGCGGGTCATTGAGCGGGTTCGCGGCATTGCGCTTGCGTCCCGCAACTTCGATCTGCTCCTCATCACGGATCACACGAAGAATCTTGCCCGTCTCGGGGTCGCGCTCAACTCGGGTCTCTCCCAGCTCAAGTTGCTGGGCGGTGTTGCCGCTGCCGGTGATTTGGAGAGAGTTTTCGGCGAGTTCTCCTTGGATGGGGAGGCGCTCTTTACCACCGGTCGGAGCGTTGAGCTTGTGCAACAGGCCGAGGCGCTGGTAGTTCTGGGTCAAAGTCTGGTTTCTGTCCCTGTAGAAAGATCATTGTTAGCGTTATTCAGCTTTTTTTTTTTTGGGAGGCGTCCCGCATACCAGTTATCAGCGATGATCTGGTTGCCCAGAACGTTGATCTTCTTATTACCGCTCTTGAGGCGATTGTTCTTGGCCCGGGCCTTGGAGAGGCCGGACCGGTTCTTCTTCTTCTGTAGGAGTTTGCCCATTCTTGCGTTTGTTGACTTTGAGGTTGCGGAGGAATCAAGCAATTATCGGCGTTATCGAAACTTTTTTTAGTGTTTGCACCGGGTCTTGGCAGGTTTGTACAGGGTCTACGATAACGTGGTCCGAGCCCGGCGATAAGAGGCTCACGCGGGTTGTTGGTCCCTTTCTCTACACCTCCGCCACCATTTGTTGTTTTTTTGGGTCTCAATGGCTTCGAGAATGTTTCCTTCACACCGCACGGGCTTTGCGCTCGTGATAGGATGTCTGATGTTCTCTGCTCTGGCGGCTGCTGGTGCCCGCCCCGGAGATCTATCTGTTGCTGAGATCGAGGAGCAATTGCAGGTATGAGAACTCGCTGCGCTATCACGCAAAGCTTGGTTAAATTGGGCGATAGCATCTGATATATATAGAATTGCCCCCTTGTTGAATCGCTTAATGAGCATAAACGCGCTACGGCCCCTCAAACTGCGAGTCTTCTCTCTCAGATCTTCGCCGTCCTTTTCCCAGGCAGCCCGGCTGTGAACTCCCTCCTCGCGACGCTGTATATCTCTGGCCCTCCCAGTACGTATCACGACTTAATACAAATAATGGGATCTTGTTTAACGCGACCGTAGACTTCCTCTTGGCATTATGCCCTCCCAACATTGACCCCTCCTCCCTGTCGATTATGGTTGCTTTCGCTGTAGGTGGTCTTCTGGGTGACACGCTGTTCCACCTACTTCCCGAGATCTTCCTCGGCGAGAACTCGCCTGATCACGTTAGTTTCGTGATGGTCGAACCGAACAAGAACCTTCTGCTCGGTCTTGGTATCATGGTTGGCTTCTTCACGTTTGTGGCTATGGACAAGGCTCTGCGCATTGCAACTGGTGGCGATGGCGGCCACGACCACTCCCATGGCCACTCCCATGGGGATACAAGTGCATCTACTTCGGGCTCTGATGCCACTAGCAAGTCTCAGCGAGTTGAAGCAGCGCAGATCAAACAAGTTGGAGAAGGCCTCGGGGGTGTCGACTCCTGAGAAGGAGATCAACCCTAGTGTCAAGCTGGGCGGATACCTGAATCTCATTGCGGACTTCACTCACAACATCACTGATGGCCTTGCACTCTCCTCGTCTTTCTACGCATCACCGACCATCGGTGCGACCACTACCGTTGCAGTTTTCTTCCACGAGATCCCTCATGAAGTCGGCGACTTTGCTCTTCTCATTCAGTCTGGCTTCTCCAAGCGCAAGGCTATGGGTGCTCAGTTCGTCACAGCCGTAGGTGCGTTCCTGGGCACATTCATTGGAATTGCCGTTCAGGAATTCGGTGGCCATGGCGCTGAGCTGGAGAACTCTGCTACCTCTGGCCTCATGGGCACCAGCCTCCAATGGGGCGATATGCTTCTGCCATTTACTGCGGGTACTTTCTTGTACGTTGGTACCGTGGCGGTGATTCCTGAGCTGTTGGAGACTGGCAAGGACAAGCGCACAGAGGTGTGGAAGACCATCTCCCAGTTCTCTGCTGTTGCTGTTGGTGCTGGTATCATGCTCGCGTAAGTCTAACTCTACCTTCCAAACTGGACGAAAAAAGTATTGACTTTAACTATAGGATTTCTTGGGACTGAAATGTTTCAAATGCAAGACGAGCTCGTTCGTCTTTGCCTCGCAAGACGTTATTCTGTGTGTGGGGAAAGGAATAAATCTAGGCATCCAGCCTGGTCTAACTTGAAGGACTGGGGTTATAAAATTCTAGTTTATAGAATCTCAAAGCCTCCTGGCAAAAGTCACATCAAAGTCAGATTCTCTACGCTTCCAACATGAACAGAAATAATGGACAAGAACAAGTAATGCGCTTCATATATCTCTATCTCAAGCGCGGACAGCCACATATCTCAGAGCACTCGAATCCTCTCCAAAGAAGCCTCCAAACGCCTCAAATCAACTCCTGCCCAGCGATGCATGTACCGTGTTCTGCCGTACAGGAAGGCGGGAATGAACATGCTTAGTTGTCCCACACATCCCCAAGAATGACGCGAAAAGATGAATAGAGCCCACAAGAGACGAACGCCGAGGATGTAAAAATGGAATGGCAGACTGGCGCGCAGCGCTCGATGCATGAGTGATTCCGCCATGATACACACGGCCGATACCCGTTACTCGTTATAATGGTAGATCTGTATCTCGTTAGTGAAAACCCCGGTGGATAGCATGGAAGGGGGGGGGGGAGGGGAAGCATACGAAATAATCCGGCAATCCAAAAACAGCATAACCAAGCCTCTTCGCCATCTTGGCAAATCCTTCCGTCTCGACGAGATGGAAGAATGGGAAAGCGGGAAACATGGCACCGTCACGGTGGACATCGGCCTTGACCATGAGAGCAGTACCACCGACGCCATCCAGGGCGACCATACGATGGGGATCCAAGGCCTTGTGATCAGGCAAATAGGCCATGAGAGTGCGATACGTAGGTATTTCTTCGTATCCCTCCAGGAGGATGTCATCAGGACCCATTTCCGCAGCCAGATTTTGAGCCTGCTCGCTATCAATCCAGGAGTTGTAGTCGTACGGCCGAATGTCCCACTTTTTGGAACTCTTGTCGTAGTAGCGCTGGAAGCAATTCGGAACGATCACGGGCTCGTTGTGACGTGTTAAATCCTGAATTAAAGTGGCTGGTGTTTCCACAATGTCACCGTCGAGCCAGAGGACCCAAGACGTGCTGGGGCCGAGGGTTGTGAAGAGGAGGCTGTTACGGGCACGACTCATGGACTCGCGGCGCTCTTTCTGGGCTTCTAGTTTGTGTCGGACTTTCTCATCTTGAGATGTCAGCGGGGGTGCGAAGTCTTGTCTTAGGATGGAGATGCTAGCGAAGCGGTCGTCGATCGGCCCAGATTGGGTTTTGGAGATGGCTTTCTCCAGCGCGGAGATGGCTGCGTTTCCGTCCTTGGTCTTCGGGGCGATGAAACCAAGAGAGATCAATTCGTGGGGATAACTCAGTTTCTCCAAATTGTCCCGGTATTCCTGGTAAAAGCGCGCCAGCGGGGTGAGGATAAGAATCCGCTCGCCGTTGGCGGCGGCGGAGCTCGTGCTGGTGAGGTTGTTGAGGTTGTAGTGAACCACGGGCGGGGCTGCCATATAGCCATCACTGCGAACAGTTTGTGACTTGAAGAAGGGTTTCGTTGGCGGCGAGAGAGGGTGCTCGGCGGCATTCTGTTGTCGCTGCTGTGAAGTAGCGGCGGTTGCGGTTGCGGAGGACGTGGAGGGAGAGAGCATGAAACAGATGAAGCCGAAAGCCAGCAGTGCAGCCAGCATGAGGCTGAGGGGACTCGTGCGGCGCATCGAGCGTGCGACGGCCATGGTCGGTCCTCACCTTCAATTGCTGAAAGGCGAAGTAGTTGAGTAGGTTCAGGTTCACTAAGGGCCCAGATCTGAAACGACGAACAGCAGTAACGTGTTGGCCTTAGGCCGCGGGGGTCCAGCGTCAGCCTCTGATTTTCTTCCTTTCTTCCTTTCTTCCTTTCTTCCACAACCGCAGAGTTCAATCTTCTGGAGCAGATGAAGAAGCTTAACTGAAATTGACCATTGTCGAGGAACACAGAAGATAGCTCTACGTGTCCGGAAAGAGAAGCCCAGGATCTATCCACTATGCGACTCTGCTATCGCTCTCACGAGCTCGAGAAATGCCTCGGATCCGATCGCAGATCGCGCGTTCTAGCGGAGCACTAATTCGTACCAGTTCTCCTGAAGGGGTATCTTGGGATACTCGAAACAGCTGGCCGAGCATTTCCGCTGGCCGAATGCGGGACTGTCAACATTCCTGAGCTTGGGCTGGTTCGCCGCAGCCACCTACGCAATTATTTTCAATGCTCTGCTATGATCTACGATTCATGATCCACGTGTAAAACTCAATGAGTTGAGTGTTGGTTAATTTATAGGTCTCTATATGAAGCTATTTGAGCCTCTCTAATACATGTGTTAAAGTGGATGTTTCATGGTAAGTTGCGCATCACGCCCTCAAATGCGACCAGAGCCATCGCGTTCGCTGGGAACGCCCTTAGGATGCACGGCACGAAGCCTCGCCAGTAGCCTCTCCAACCACGTTCGCGCCATACTGCTTTGCAGGCATCCTTCCAGCCGCTGAATCGTCGTTGTCCGTCGTTGAGGGCTCCACCCATTGGGTCAGTCATGAGGCGTTGCTTCACCACGTCGGATGGGTATGAGGTGAGCCAGAAGAGCTGTGCAGAGATGCCTCCCGCCCAGAAGTTGATTGCGGGCGCTGACATCTTGGTGTTGTCCTTCATATAGCGGGTGAGAACGTCGTAGGAGCCCCACCAGAAGAAAAAGAAGGATCGGAAGAAGACAGTGGCCCAAAGACCACGATAGACACCACTGATACCGTGTGTTTTGAGCTAGACGAGATTAGTCAATTGGGTCTGCGGTTCATTGTCTCTTGAAGACTTACTATCTTGCGAAGACAGTCAATTGGCCCACTGTACATGCGCTTGCTTTTTTCGGCTGCATACTGAATCTGTAGTCGAGCTTTGATATGTTCAACTGGCGCAGCGAAAAAGCTGACGGTTGTGCCAGCCATCATACCTGCAAGTCCATGGCCAAAGCTAGGTAATGTCGCTAGGTCCTGGTGGCTTGAAAAAGGCATCCATTGACGGAGATGAGGTTTGGAGAAGACGTTTTCGAGGAGCAGTCGTCGGTATAGTGTTAATGATCCCAGCATACTGATCGCAATGTATGGTCAGCGTTTGTGCTTGGATTGTTCCATCATCAGTCAACTGTTCCAGACCACTCACACAGAATCCATGACCATCCATCCGACCAGCGGTGGTGAAGCCCCCTTGTATAATCCCCGCACGCCTTCCTTGCGCACTGTCTGCAGTGTACAGTCTAACGGGCCTCGGAAACGTCCATCTGTATTTGTTTGGAGGCGGACCTTTATTGTATCGAATCTGCTCAAGGTATCACTGTCAGTAACAAAGTAACAATCCGACAAGGCAGGTCGTCAAGGGACATACGGATGACCAACTAGAACCGAACCGAACAAATTAGCCTGGAGAGAATCGACATCGGCCAAGAGGCCTTTGCAAAAGAATCAGATCTAAACACACCACTCAACTTCGCTATCCCTGAAAACACGCCAGCCACAAACCCCTTGTAGTTCTGCTTCGCGACAGGCGCCGAGACAGGCGCGCGTTCTCCACTCCCTACACCCTTGACGCTACTCCGCTCTACCATATCCACGCTTCCTGGTACGGGCACAGGTAGCGGCGCCGATGACATCTTTCGCTGCAGGATCACAGAGTGATGCGTCAGCGGCGCGTAGATCGGAGAAGTATAATCGAGCAAGGCAGCGGCAACGGAGGCTCGTGAGAATCCGGTCGACGGCCTGGTGGTGTCTTGGATCGCTGGAGGCGAGGTGCGAAGTGTGTCGAATCGAAAAGCTGGGGTATAAAGGGTAATTGAAGAGGAAAGCAGAGAGAACTTCAGAACTCTTCAATGATCCGCGTTCAAGGCCCCGCACCCGCAGATTCCTTCGCGGAGCAAGGAGCCAACTCCGGGTCCACCGATGATCGTGGACACCTCAGATCTCAGGACACCAATTCAGCTAGGTTTCGGGTGTGGCGGTCTATATTTTTCCTCCCGCAGTTGAGGAATTTTTGTGATGCATTGTGAGAGACTGACTTAATTTTCCAAGAATACTGTGAAAACCGTAGGGTACAGAAGCCCTGGTTGAATTGATGGATTGAAGTCTGATTCCGGAGAATGAGAATGCTCGGACCAGCGGGGTATAGTTGGATACATGAAAGTCATAATGCAAAGTGACAGGCACAAAGTGCAGCCTGTGATGATGCGCGACGCCCATAGAAAAAAAAAAACTTAAACAAATGAACCCCAAGTCCTCGACCCTGCGTGCAGGGTCTCTTTTAATGCATGAAATACCGGTCAAGAAGCGGAGATGTTGAAACTGTAGGAAAAGGGATACTGTGCTCTCCCCAGACAGAAGAAGGTACTCCCAAATTTAGACACCTGTTCTGATGCAGTAGCAGCAGTCTTGGTACTAGCTGCAGGGCGTGTTTGTGCGTGTGCCCATTGAAAGGCGGCTATCACCGGCCTTTGGCGGATTTGCGGGTCTTCTGGCGGGCCTTTTCATTTTCTCGTGCAATGATCTTGTCCACTAAGTCTGGTGGTGGGCCTGCGTGCTGGCCTGCTGCGTCCCGCGAAGAGCGGTCAGCCGTGCTGAAAGAACCCGTAGCAAAGTAGTCACCGGTCTCTAGTGCCAAAGGGGTGACCGGGCCGGGACTGCGAAGGGGATCCAGACGTGGAGCCGACGGACTATCGTGGTGGGCCTCGAGGAATTCACGGTATTGCAACTTGAAGTCACGCGAGCCGGACGCAGTGCGATAATTGGGCTGGCGGGTTTGCCGCGGAGAAGACGGTTGAGCGGCGACAGCGTGAGATGTGGAACTGGACTGGTAGACGGCTGGGTGAAAGCGAGGTAGAGAGCCGAGAGTGAAGCCCGGCACGGCCTTGGTCGAGTTCTGTGTCCGTGAACGCGACGGTTGCGGAGAACTCGGGCGATGCGGAGACATGATGGGTGAGGCAACCGGAGAGTAGAAGGGGGAGTTCTCGGAACGCATGCTTGAATACCGCGCGGAGCGGTCGTTGCGAGGTGAGATGAGATGCCTTGATTTGGCGGACAACGAGGCTCGTTCCCAGTCGTCAAAGTAGGAGGCTTTGTCGAAACGTCCAGTAAGTGGAGTCACCGGGAGATCTTCGTCGTAGATTGACCCGGACCGTTTAGGAATTGGAATTGGCCGAGTAGAAGAGAGGGAAAGAGAGTCGAAAGCGTCGCAGGGATCCAAAGGACGATGTCGACGAGGAGACGGGGGATTATAAGAGGACGAGGTGGCCGTCAAATCGCGCAGGATGAGAGGGACACCGGAGTGGGGTACCCGTGCTTGAGAATCAGGCTTTCCAAGTGGTCCTGGTGTCGGTATGGAGGGCAATCGGAGACACCTGGCAGACGATCAGTGGAATGCAACGAGAATGTCACACGTGTCGAGCGGGAGAATGCGTGGGTTATGACTGGTTGTGGAATGAAGGATAGACTTACTGTCGTAGGAACTCAGGGATGAGGGGTAAAAGGAGGAGGAGGACGAGTAGGAAAAAGGGGGCGATGATTTTCTCTTGGACTATACTCGCGGTTAGTGCACTTGCGGGGATTTCGGCATCCAAGGCTTTTCTGCTCCACGCCCATGGCGTCATCCGGCCAGTGTGAAAAGCAACTAATGTGTGTCTATCCGGGCCCACTTCTGCCGTTCCGTGGCTCTTGTCCGCGGATGGTGTCGGTTCCTGAAACTTCGACGACGGAAAAAAAAAAAACAAAAAAAGCATGAAAAAAAAAGTCTAGAACTCACCCATGGTGACGAAGGCATTGAGTCGAGCCGCCTGGAGTGTCCACTCCCTGGCATCCGATCCCTGGTTGATAGATTTAATGCGGCATGCAGCGGTAGTGCGCACGTGAGACTCGACTCTAGGTTCTGTTTTGAACGGTGGTGTGTAGACCCCGATGCTCAAGCGAGTGACAAAGAGGGGGAACAACGGGGGAAAAAAAAAGAGAAAACGAAGAATATCCGACCACAAGCGAATGGAAAGCAGCATTCGGAAACCTGGGAATGTACAGAGCAGATGCGCCTTTTTAAAAGCTCGGGGGACGGGCAACAATGACAATGACTCCCCGGTACTTATCTCTCCCACGAGGCACCGACGGGTGACCGAGATGTTCGCATTTCCAAGGCACAGCAAGCCCCTAAAAACATGATATATTTATTTTTCATTCCCTCCCGATCATTCATACCGATCGGGGTTGTCTAGTGGCTGAGCTCGAGAGGGCAATGACGGGTGAAGATCGCAGACCCGACGCGGTTGATCGTCCGGGGGTCATGCGTGAATCAGCCCCAGTCATCGTTCTGATTCGCACGCGTCCTGCGGGATAGTGACGTCCCGATTCCCTGTCTCTCTTCGGCATACTTCATCCACTCCGAGTTCGAAATAGATCACCAGACACCTATCACCACACGCGGAGGGCGACTCCCATCCCGCTGGTTGGCCAAGATCGAACTCTAGTTCTTGCCTCTTTCCTCACAGATCTCTCAGCTGTCGCTCTGCGGATGTCTCGGGAGAACCATCATTTATGGAAAGCACTAACATCACCTCCCCCCCCTTCCTTCTCCCCTCTCACCGTATTGGGGTCACGAGATGATCCAGCTCGAGGCGGCAGGATTGATCTCTCTTGATGGAAAACTTCCTGTCCCTATAGATCTTGTTTCCACCCCGGTTTCCTGCAGCGGATGCACGCTGGTTGTACAAGATGTCAAGGTGTAACCCTACGGAACATAATTTCCCTCCCAGGCCCTTTCCCTGGAAATGCGCCTATCTCTCTATCTCAACTTCGGGAGAGATTCATAGTAGACGAGAAAAATTCCCTCAACGTATCTGGGTGATGGGCATAGCCACAAATGTAGATGCAAATGCAACACACCACCGAGACAAGAATGTTGCCTATCAGCGTGTTGGATCTACCCATGAAGACACCCTGTCCATATCGAGAATAGTACGTTGCTCGACGCAGGCAAGATCGGTGCAGCCTTGCCGATGATTCCCCTGCATAAGGTAAACCCGGGTCTAATGCACGTCAGCCACCCCTCCTCTTTTATTGTCTAGCCTCGATCTGGCCACCGCCTCTCCGAAGACACCTTCCAAACGGCGCAGCCTGACTCAATGACGGTTACCTGTTGCTGTATCCAAGGAAGACTCTTCATTGATGCAGGGAAGCTAAATTGCTTGGATCTGACAGTACCCTGCGCAGCGCTGGCATAGATAGGCGCGACCGCGGTCCCTAGACAGCGAGGCAAAGCAGGCACTCCTTTCTTTCAGAGCGATCAAATCAAATCAAACATATGACTGGTCTCGTCGATCGCGTCATATTATGCAGACAAAACAAGTCTCCAGGAGTCGATTTATTGAGAAGGTTGTAGACACACTCCGCTGTTGCCTGGTTCCCCCAAGCGAACTCAAAAGTATGTCGACGTATCTTGTCAACATTGAGCTCAAGGTCAATGCTTTGGAAAACCCAAACTACTACCTTTGTTGTAGCGCGCCTGCTACGGCACTTGGTCATGTAGATCACCGCGTTGAATGTATTCATTGTGAGCATCCAATATGATCAGAGGACAACGCCGAGTGCAGTACCTCTTCAGCATCAAAAACTTTCTCGGTCATTCCCCAAGACCGATTCTTCCTCATCCACGACTACGATCCTTCTTTCTAATTTCTTGCAGTAGTTTCTATGCCACGGCACGCCAATGTTTGAGAGCGTCTAGCTTCTGTCGCCCAAGAGGCACGAAGGCAGCATTTCTCTTGAAGCAAAACGGCCGGAGAATTTATTAAGTAGCACATTGCAACTGACAATTCTCCAAGTCGCTCCCAAGCATCTCTTCGCGATTAGGCAACTCATGATTCATTTTATCTTGATCTGAAATGCCTATGAAATAGTAGAGCACACATCAGTCGAGAGACGTCCCGCAGGTTTTCAATAGATTGAGCCAGGCACTCTTTCCCATTGAAGCACTTCAATGTCCATCCATCCTCGGACTGTTGATGTAACTGGAGCAAACTTAAGCGGCCCCCGCCGTCTCTCTAGCGCTGCCCCTCATTTCCCACACCGGTTTACCCACGATCGCGTGTAATCTTTGGCACCGGTCGAATCCAGAAGAAAGAATTTACTTCACGACTTTGTATTACAGTCACGACGGCAAAAAAGCTGTTGGTGATCATTGTGCGAATAGTGGCTGTAATTCCGCATCCATTGAAGCGTCAACCCCAATGACTACCGCGACCCTGAAGGCGAAGGGCCTGGATGTCCTGACAATTGATGCTCAAGGGTTACAAAAGTTGTTGGAGAATGGCGAGGTGACGAGTCTTGAACTCATTGACCAATATCTGGCTCAAATTGAAAAACACGATGGCAGGCTTCATGCAATGATCCAGACAACCCCGAAAGACCTGCTTAAAGCCGCAGCCAAATCGCTTGACCAGGAGAGAGCAGCTGGAAAAGTCCGTGGGCCATTACACGGGATCCCGATCATCGTCAAGGTCAGTGCAGCGTTTTTCTGGCTTTTTCTGGCTTTTTCTGGCCTTCAGATGGATTCTGACCATGTCTCAGGACAACATTGCTACTCACCCGGCCCTAGGTCTTCCGACAAGTGCCGGTAGCCTTGCTTTGCTGAGCTCAAAGCCGCGAAGGAATGCCAAAATTATCGATCAAGTATGTCAGCCTATTGTTTGGTATTCGAATTTCAATCACCCTAAGCTAATGTTACTCCAGATTCTCGCCGCGGGTCTCATCATCTTGGGAAAAGCTAACTTAGCTGTAAGTGTCCACTTCGCCCGGATGCGACTGGAATCCACTGACGTGTTTAGGAATTTGCAAATGCGCGGTACTACTGGCACCCGAAACTTGATTACTCGACAGAATTTTGGTGGCTGACAAGGTAGCAGAGGGTCCGATATGCCAAATGGCTGGTCCGCAGTAGGTGGTCAAACACAATCCGCGTATGTTCGCGGCGGAATCGACCCTGAGGACTCGCACGATGGCCATTCCGTGAGTACCAATCATCCACAGAGAAGGCAAGAGCGCCGCACCGCTGACCGCGTCTCAAGAATCCCTCGGGTTCGTCCACTGGGTCCGCTGTTGGCGTCTCTGCTGGTTATGCGCCCTTCTCAATTGGCACCGAGACAGACGGGTCCCTCACAATACCTTCTGGCCGTGCGGCACTTTACACGATAAAGCCAACAATTGGTCTTGTGTCCTCAAGTGGGATCGTGCCCATCTCCTCCAAATTTGACGCGGCTGGGCCCATGACCAAGTCATCCTACGATCTGGCGGCTCTCTTGGATGTCATCACTGGAAGGGATCCTTCTATTTCATACACGAAAGATCTTAGCAGATCATGGTCCGACATCTCGGTCGCAGTTCTTGATCCGGAGATATGGAAGTTCCCCGAGACTTATGTCAAGACTGCCAATGATGCAGAAGCTCAGATGGTACGTTCAACTCAGAACTTTTATGTTGAATTGTCACAGAACGGCGGCTTATAAGATCATAGGCTCGCGAGATTCGTCAAGCATACGAGGTCATCAAGTCTCATGCAAAGAAGTTTGTCAACAACGTTGACTTAGTCACGGATGACAAGTTGAAGCTTGATGACGAGGACAGCGAATGGAAGATCATATGTGCGTATTGGTCCAGTCTGTGCGACTATTTCCTTTGGACTAAACCTTCTTAGTGGCCGATGAGAAGCGGGAAATCAATGCTTACCTTCAAGACCTTGAGGAGAGCGAGGTGCGCTCGCTCGCAGAAGTCATCGATTATAATATCAAACATGCTGATCAGGAGCTACCTTCACGTGGGTGATGCTTTGTCTCTTCGCGTTTTGCTTGCACCCGTTCACATCTGACACACAACTCTATTAGATCACCCGCGACAAGACACCTTCGTCAACTCACAAGAACTGGACTTGTCTTCAGAAGACTACGACCGACATCTAGCACACCTGAGAAAGGTGGCAAGGGACGAGGGTGTTGAAAAAGTACTCAGTAGTTATGATGTAGACGTCATCCTCGGCCCTACGGACTGTAGTCTCACATCCATGGCAACGGCTGGAGGTAGGTTATCATTGGGACGAGATTTCTAGTATTCAGATATTAACATACCGCCTAGGATTCCCGCTCTGTTCCATGCCTCTGGGATATCTGGACTATAATGGTCGGCCGTTTGGGGTGTCCGCCATCGCTGGAAGAAACCAAGAGGCCCTCTTGGTGAAAGTCATGAGTGCCTGGGAGGCTACTTTCCCTGCAAGACGCCCACCCCCAGAGCTAATCGAGTCATCCTGATTTTTGGGCTAGGTTGGGCGTTGGAATCGGAATGGTAGTATACCTTGTCCTGAGTTAAGGGTAGAATCCTCAAAATCGCTGATGTATCTATCATTTAAGAGAACCATGTAGAGTAGCCTTTTGACTGACCCGTCAGAACAACTGAAAAAGATGGCTTTGTAATCAGACTCTTGCACCACATTGAATGTCATGCCATTGGGACTTCTATTTCTAAGCTGCAGGCTATTGAGGAATCTCGTATTTGGCTTGCCGTGTGCCCCTCACTGACGTTTCCTCCCCCCCTCACAACAACAGCCACCACAGAAAAACATCGCGTACACTGCAATGGGCATGCAAGGACGTTGTCAGTGTGGCAACATAAAATTTACCACACCTACAGAGAAACCCCTCAAACTTTACGCCTGCCACTGCACTGAATGCCAGCACCAAAGCTCATCTGCCCATGGCATCACAGCGATATTGCCCTATTTCGAGCTCCCTGAGCCCAGCTCTGACTATATCGGGATCTACACCCGGGTCACTCTCAAAGGACGACACATGGAGTGTCTGTTCTGCTCGAATTGCGGTTCTAGAATCTTGCATCGATTCCGTGATGCCATGCCCGCCCCGGGAGAGAGGCCAGGCCCTACCGCCACTACCAATGTCAAGGGCGGCTGTCTTGAAAATCTAGATAAGGTTATGATGCGGGAGGTGGTTCATATCTGGACTCAGCATGCGATTGTGGACATCCCCGAGGACGCAGAGCAGTGGGAGCGGGAGCCGCCTAATCTGAATCTTCTCGTGTCATCATCAGAAATATCTAAAGAATGAAGGGCCATCATGGCAAATGAAGAACAGTGTGCTTGATGAACGAATCGATTAATGGTACAAAAGTTATTTGCCATAGTTCCTCGAAGAACTCCAAGTTTCCATATATAAAAGCCTCGCTAATAGGAAAGAGTCGCTTATTTTCTCAAGAACACAAAGCTCTTAGCCGACAGTAGCAGTCCAGCCCTGATCCATGGCAATACAAGCACCATTAATGATGCTAGCTCCCTTGCCATAAGTCATTGAGGTACAGAAACCGGCCACCTCCTCCAAGTCACAGTAAGGGGCTTTGATCGACTCGAAGATGGTGTTCATCTTCTGATACCCTTCCTGATTGATGCCCGTCTTGAATGCATCGGCAACGTTGGTCTGCATAGCGCCCATCATAAGAGCGTTGCACTTGATGCCCTTGGCACCGTAGAAAGCCGCAGTGTTCTTAGTCAAACCGACAAGACCGTGCTTGCTGGCGGTATAGGCAGCACCTGAGAGAGGTCGTGTTAGATAATACGGAACAGAAAAGAAAAGCAGACCAGTCAAACATACCGCTAGCCCAGCCAGCACGACCAGCCACTGAAACGATGTTGATAATACGACCGTCGGGCTTCTCCTGCTCCAGCATGTTTTTGACAGCCAGCTTGCTCAGAAGGAAAGGCGCAGTGAGGTTGATGGCCATCACACGCTCCCAGAGCTCAATGTCCAAGTCTCCCACAGGGTCGAATTGATCCATGATTCCGGCATTGTTTACCAGGACATCGATCTTGCCGAATGCGCGGATCACTTCATCGAACAGACTTTGTACAGCTTCCTTGTCGGTGATATCGGTCTTGATGGCCTTGAAAGGTCCCTTGGATGACAATTCAGCCGAGGTCTCCTGCAGTCGCTCCTCGTTTACGTCGCAGATGACGACGCTGCCCCCAGCCTCAAGGAATTTGGTCGCAATCACTTTGCCCAGGCCACCGCCACCACCAGTGACGAGACATGTCTTGCCGGCGAGGATTTGTTCAGACATTGTGAGAGAATGGGTACGTGGCGGGGGTACAAATTTAGGAGAGGCGGAAAGTGATGTGTAGTTTGAATAGATATGAGCTACGGCAGATTTAAATATATGATGGTACACGTGGCTTACGGAAAGTATCATATCCGTCCCCGGCGAGCCTTCGTAAGATAATATTCTAGTTTGTTCACTTCTGGCCACGGCTCGGTGGTTGAGTTTCCTGGGAAGCAGCCAGGGCACCCGCATCGAACCACTCAAGGGGCTTGTTCGTGCCGTGCTGTAATTTGGATACGGCGTGTATCAAATGACAATTTTCCGGATTTTTGAGTGGGATGGAAAGGAATGAGCAGAGATACAATTGAAGATATGACTTTGTAGGTGCTCAGAACCTCTGTTTAAATGCCGAGAAGTCTCTTATAGACAGTTCTGGCAAGTGAGCTGCCCGACATTGCATAACACGATGCATGATTCGCCTGTAGATCCCCTGGCTGCAATACGACGGTCCGTACCACGCGACTTTACAGGGGCTTCGGGGTCGGAATCATCTGTTCCGGAAGCCCTATGCCCTATTGCCTCATTGGGAAGACCAGCGTTGGCTCTCGGCGAGACTCATTCCGCCCATCCGATAGGGGAACCCTACATAAACGCCATCTTTCCAAATTGGCAGCCGGTAGCAAGCTTCACTTTCTAGAGATATGGGACTTCGCCTGAGATAGGATCGGACGCTTTCCGCGAGCAGCAATTCCTGGATGGGCGGAAAGCTAATACGATAAAGGCAACAGCAGGAGACGACCAAGCCTTTGGACTTTCTTATTACACAATCCGGAACGACAGAAATCCACTGAGTGATAGCAGTTGTCGGGTCTGAAGCTTTCCCCCCCCGGAGAAATGACAATTGCAACTCGGACCTTCTTATCAGGCCAAATTGGGCCGATATCGAGGTATAGCCTGGTCTCCCCGCAAATAACGCCTTGAAGGGGACTGGTAGACCGGATCCACCACCGTCGCGGAGACCTTCTCGATCGAGTAAGGCGAGATGACTATCTATCTTATCGTCTTATCACAAGACGGTTTCCCATGGGGGTTGACTAGGAAAGCATGGAGGATGAGGCGAATCTCTGAGTCCCTGCCGATGGGTTTATATGTCTTAATAACCCGCTGGTCCTCGTATCTCATCAACTACCATCTTGTTCTTAGAAAGATTCGCAAGCATGTCAGAAGAGGACAAGGCGGTGTTTCCAGACACTACCAATGAAGATGTTCGTCTGGAGCACTTGGGATATGAGCAAGGTGAGCTTGACTTGAACCAAACGTAACAAGCAAAATAAGGTCCGCGGTCGAGACTGACATTGCCTGAAGAACTCAAACGGTCTTTTGGCCTACTGAGTATGATTGGCTTCAGTTTCAGTGTCGTGACATCGTGAGTATCGCCATCTCCCGGGTCACTAAATGTAGCAGACCTGACAATCTTCACAGATGGACGGCTCTCAGTGGTGTGTTCATCGTTGGGGTAACTTCTGGTGGCCCACCAGTGATGGTGTTCAGTTTCATCGGGGTTAGCATCTTGACTCTTGCTGTGGCCATGCCCATGGCCGAGATGTGCTCCATGTACCCTGTGGCAGGAGGCCAATACTCCTGGGTGGCTGCTCTCGCTCCTCCCAAAATCGCCCGTGGTCTTTCGTATATCACTGGCTGGTTCCTGATTATTGGTATGTACAAATTTGAGACATCGACCCAGTCACTGAGAGAAACTGACGTTTGATCCAGGTATCTTGGCAATGGGCGCCACGAACAACTCCATTGCATCAAACTTCGTGCTGGGAATGGCGAATGTCGTGTATCCAGAATATGAGATACAGAGATGGCAAACGGTCTTGGTCGCCTACCTCGTCGCGTTTCTCTCTACTGCCGTCAACCTTTGGGGCTCTCATCTGCTACACAAGATTTCCAAGTTTATTCTGATTTGGAATGTCGGATCTTTCGTCATTGTCACCATCACACTTCTTGCCACCAATGATCACCTGCAGCCCGCTTCATTCGTATTCCAGGAATTTGAAAACACCACAGGATGGGGCACAGGGATGGCTGCGATCATTGGTATCTTGCAGTCATGTTTCGGAATGTGCTGCTACGATGCCCCTTCGCACATGACCGAGGAAATGAAGTCAGCTTCCAAAGAGGCACCAAAGGCTATCGTCATGGCCGTGGTTCTGGGTGCTGTGACTGGATTTGCGTTTCTTCTTACCTTGTGCTTCTGCATCGGCGACATCACCCAGACTGCCGAAAGTAGCACCGGTGTTCCGGTCATTCAAATTATCTATGACTCTACCGGTAACAAGGCCGCCACATGTATATTGTCCAGCATGATCGCAGTGATTGTCATCGTAGCCGGTAACAACATTCTGGCTGAAAGTTCCCGAACCATTTACGCCTTTGCGCGTGATAATGGCCTTCCTTTTTCGAAGACTTTCAGCAAGGTCAACAGCAAGACCCAGGTGCCAGTGAATGCCGTTCTCCTGACGCTCGCCGTACAGTTGGCACTGGACGCCATTGAGTTCGGTACAACAACTGGCTTCGAGACCGTCATTTCAATTTCTACCGAAGGCTTTTGTAAGTTCTAGAATTCTCGTTCCTACCCAACCGCGACTAACATAACAGTACTAGACCTCTCCTATGCTATGGCCCTGGGTGCACGCCTCATTGGCTACTTTACGGGCCACATCACCAAGCTCACTGGTCCCTACGCCTTTTCTACTCCCGTGTCGATCGGGCTGAACATCGTGGGACTAACCTTCTTGCTCTTTGCGTCCATCACATTCAACTTCCCGAGTGCAGCCCCCGTCAACCAGGAGTCGATGAATTATACCAGTGCTGCTATTGGGGTGATTGCGCTGATCAGCTTAATCACATGGATTACAACTGGTCGTAAGCAATTTACCGGTCCTGGCGCCGTGATCTTTTCAAGCGGCTTGAACAATGCCCAAAATACTTCCCAGCCGGCCGAGGCCGATGTCGACGAGAAGAAGACCTAATTTGGTGATCTCTCGGCGTGCGGGGAATCTGTATCAATATGTGAGAATGTACATACGTGAGAATGAGCACGCACAAATAGCAAATGCTTTTTTGCACCCAGTTGCGAAATATCTTGAACCTGCCTTCCACTTTGGCACTAGTCTGAAGTGCTTTCCTTGAATACACCAAGTGCTCTTCATCATGAGAGGAGCACTCGTGAGGAATCAGCGTTAAATCCAAAATCACACGTCCAACCTGGGACAGCCATCATCATAAAAAATGAGACCTGAATCAGAATATACGGCGCCCTTTAAGCTTTGTATCGGAGCAATAAGAATATCTTGCTTTTTCTGGGGTCCTTCTTCTCCGTGAACTTGAAAAGGTGCTGTTGTTCCATGCAGCTTGTGTGACCTGTCTTACTGCGGGATTCGTGTGGGCGCTTGACCGGATCCCGGTACGCCGAGAATGATACCGAGGGGTGGGTTCTTTGCAAGAGAGTAATTCGGGGAAATTCTAATAGGAAAGGTTATGGCTGAGCTTCTTGGGAGTCTAACTTTTGTTATATTTATCTTCATAGCCACTCTCTGTGACATAATATCGAGGAATTACGCGAAGTTTGTTCATGAGCCTATGGGATGGAAGTAATAATTCTATGGAAACCCCACAACACAGAGATACGGCCGTTCTGAAAGTAATGGCTATCTACTCCTCGTGTTAGAGACCGATGATCTCCGTGCTTGGTTGATGCATTGCCATATTGGACGGTGTACGAAGGATTCGCACTGCAGTTTGTAGAGTGGTGGATTGAGGCCAAGAAGCTCGTAGACACTCAAGCCCTGGAGATCAATTGTGCGAATTGGAAGGATTATGATACAAATTCTGAACTTGAGAAAGACGACCTCGGGTATATAATTGTCAATTCACCAAAACTTACTCATCTCATAATCAGCTTCTTATTTCGCTTGTTATATATTTTCGTCTTCTGTGAGATCTTAATCAACTCCAAAATTGTTCTACACTTCGTGGGATATTTTCGACCAGATATGGTCCTCAATACAGTCAAAGATCTCAACCAAAGACTGACAAATGTGTAACAGGTGTTGAGCGTGAGGCCTGCTGTCCCCACAAAGCAACCTCGTCAATCTCCACCTCTTCCTCCTCCTCTGCGAAGCGGTGGCTTCTCCGGTAGCGACAGCGCACATGACTCCTCTCTGTAGTCACCTTTTGCGTGGCCAATCTTTTGACCAGCGCATTCGCTTCATTCAGGCTGACCAAGGTTCTTTTCCCTGGGTGATTTCGGGCATGATCCTGGCAGACCTGGTACATCCTGTCCTGGGTCTTCTTGAAATCCTGACCTTTTAGGAAGTACTTGGGGTCACGATCCACGAGAGGCGTGGTCATGGGGTCCCAACTGACGCTCCGATTGGGGTTGTCTGGAGAGACGCGCCGGGGAGGGTGGCGAGTCGTGTCATTGACCCATGCGTCTGTGGCCATCTCAAGCGGGGTGCTGCCTGTAGCATTCTCACGATAGAGAAGATCTGGCCGACGATCAAGCATGAGCTGGACAATTTGCGAAAAGCCCTTCTTGACAGCTACGTGCACCGGGGTATTTCCGGACCCGTCCAGAAGCTCAAGATGTTTTTGATTGATAGGCTCGGCCAGGTCCAACAGAAGGGTCACAGTGGAAGCCATTGTAACTTTTATCGATTCTAGCTCATGGTTGCGATCATGGAATGGATTAAATGACTCAAGCTGGCGCGCAAGAGGTGTCCATGATCCTGTACCGGCACGTTGAGTCAACATTGAGGAGACGAGCTCTTGATCCAGAAGGCTGATCAGAGGAGAAGGGTCTTGTTCATTATTCACAACCTGATTTTCGACTGGTTGGAGTATGATGTGGAGCAAATTGTTTCCTTCAGGATCACGAGTTGCCTGGTTGGCTCCGGCAGCAATCAAGATCCGGGCAAAGCTTGTTCGACGGAGAGAGAAAGCAATGGCGAGAGGCGTGTGTCCACGTTCGGAGCGGGCCTCCAAGCATTCTGGATGGTGATCCACCAAATATTGTACCAATTGTTCAGATCTCGCACATGGCTTAGACATCACTGCACAATGAAGAACGAGGTTGTCTATTCACACGGTAAGTATAATTAAAAACCAGGATAGAAAGTTAATGGAAGATTGAGACTCACTTCTTGTTTGTAGCCAATTCAGAAGGGACCCTTCAAGTCCAAGCTTGGATTGTGCGAGTAATTGGACATTCTCATCATCTGGATGGGAGTTGCAATACTCCAAGTAGTGACGACCCGGTGCTGTTCCAAGGAACCACTCAGTGGTAGTCAGATTCCCGTGCAAAGCAGAGATCAAAAGGGGTGGTCGTCCTTCAGGAGACCCTTTCGGCTTAGGACGCCCAGCGCTGGCCCAGTCGGTGCGCTTTTTGCCGCGGATTGATAAGCCTTGATAGTATGCAGGCTTTTTATGTACCCGCACACCAGAGCTCTCACTTAACTTCGCGAGCGGGAGACCAACAGCTTTGGACTGAATGAGTTTCACGAGACAATCAGTGTGGCCCAAGGCCATCGCCAACTGGAACTCTTCGCATGATGCCTCCAGAGAATATTGAAATTCTTCTTCTTCTGGGAACATATTGCGACATTCCCGAGAAGCCAAGAGAAGGAAATCCATCAAAGCCAGATCGTTGTTGAGAATTGCAAATTTCATGAGAGTATTGACCTTGATCGAGGCATACCAGTGCCTGTGTGATGGATTAGATGAAAAGAACTTCCATTCGTGTGTGGTCGAGTTGTAGTTTCCCAAGAAAAGGAAAGCATTGCAGGTTCTCTGCAATGCTCCGATTGGAGAAACGTTGCTTTTCACTTGAGTGGTCACTTCACCGATGTTTTCGAAGGTGAATTGCTCGTCCACTTCACGGCTCACAAGGTTGAGTTCTTCGTCGTCCGAAGACTCTGCTTCGTTGTCTATCTCAAGGCGTATTGGTGTCTCGGGCTTCTTCCCCTTGTATTGGGCTCGGAGAATTTGCATGATTGTCTTTGCGACCGAGAGATGTCCGCGCAGAACCGCGAGCGAGAGGCATGAGAATCCCAGCTCATCGCAAACTGCAATCTCCAACGGCGGCTGGTCTTCAGCAGGACCCCACAGGCCGAGAGTGAACGCTTTGATCGATGTGATGTCGCCGTTCCACGCCGCCTCAAATCTGCAATGATAGTGTCAGTGCCTCAAAACTTCATTCCTGGGCCAGAATGAGAACATACAATTGCAAATACCCCTCGCGAGTGACATCGGTGACATCCGTCCTGTTGAGTTTGAACTCGAACTTGAACACGGAAGGCTCTTCTGTCTCCAACTGTTGTTTAATCTGGTTTTGTCGGTTTAGAGGTAGAGATAGCTGAGTTGAATTGGCACTTTTTGCATCGAGTTCATCGATCGTTTTCGCTCCCTTCGCCAGTAATGCATTCTCAAGTAGTTCATAGTCGTGGACTAGTGCAGAGATAGCCTCATTCTTCTCACTCATTCCGAGAGGCTTTTGATAGGGGTTCGCGGACTTGTCCTGTCCGTTTGATTTCCTATTAGTCTCCCGTGCATTCTTCAGCTGATTTTCAGCAAAGAACATCTTGTAAGTCCCCTCTTGAAACACCTTCAGATATGATTCGTCATCAAGTTCAAACTTGATGGATGTAGGCCCACTTCGTCCGAACTTGCGCGGCTTGCTGGAAGGCTCTCCGTTCAAGAAGCTTCGCAATTTTGTGAGCTGAGCTCGCACACTGTCTAAGGCTGTGAATCCACGTTGGTTTGTGGCCAGGATTTTTGAATTCGGGTCAGCCCCATGGTTGAGCAAATCGAGTGCAATCAAGGGCATATCGCATTCTATGGCACAGAGAATTGGCTGCTTTGTTTTCGAGAATGAAGCCTTATGATCATTGTTATAGAGAAAAACCTGATCTTTAGTGGCTTGAAGAATATCCGCGAACTCAAACTTAGGCTTTGCGCCAATCTCTAGCAGCTTCTTTGCCGATTTATGCTTCCTGGCCTGTATGGCGCTGACCAAGGCGGAACAAAACGTGAAGCTCGTCCTGTACCAGGTCGTATCGACAGTTGCTAGGTGATTGATAGCGCGCTGCACTGCTGGTCCATCGTGCTCCACATAGAGATCGAGGAGCTCGTTGTAGTCAGACTGGGCGATGTAATGAAGTGGGGTCCACTGAGCCAGATCCGCCTGAGCAGGAGAACAACCGAGCTCCAGCAGCGTTTGTGACATCTCTCTGGCCTTTTCTAAGGGAAGTCCAAGGACGAGGAACAAGGTAAGTATAGCTGCATGAGGTTTTTTGGTCCGCTCATCAATGATCTTGATTGGCATCAAAACATCAGCTCCAAATGAGGAAACAAGTTCTTTGACAGCCATAACATGGCCGTGGAGAATCGCAAGGTGTAAAGGTGTAGTGAGGCTATCCCATGCAACCGCATTGATGTCGTAAATGTCCGGCGTATCATCATTACCCTCGATGCTGCTACCGTCGGCTGCATCACTTTCGTCATTGTCATCATCGGCGACTTCAATTTTGACGTACGAGCCGGATGTGCGAGTGACACTATCCAATTGACTGCTGCCTTCGATTTCGTCTTCGGGAATTTCATCGAACCCATTTTCTCGCTTCTTGTCCTGGACTTCGGCTTCTTCATTCTCACTACTTTTAAGAAGCAGAATTCGAAGAATTTCCACATTGCCCCGTGCAGCGGCGAGATGCAGTGCCGTCTTTCCATCAGCCATTCGTGCAACCAAGCGGGCCCCATGATTCACAAGGCATTGAACGATGTCAGGTGTTGATGACATGCACGCTAGCTGGAGGGGTGTCCGCCCAGTGATATCACGGTAGTTGCAATTTGAGCCTTCCTGCTTGAGGAAATCTTCGACAGCTTTGAAATCATGCGAAACGATGGCTTGGCACAATCTTTCAGTATCGGCGATATACGCCATTTCTGTCCAATCAGTCTCAGTGATTGGATTGAAGCTTCCAATTTCTTGGCGACCCGGATCATCCTTTATGAATGAAATTTTGCCAGAAATATAAATCTTGCTTTCCTCTTCGGCGATTGTGTACTCTTCTTTGGTGACTGGCTTTGGGCAGGAGCCACAGCAGTCCCCAATGACGTGTTGGGCTTCACCAAAGAATGCTGGATGGCGATGAAGATAGACTTGACGGTCCTTGGGTTGATTGAATTCGGCGTTCAGTAGCAAATCTTTCGAGTAGAGCAACCTTTCAATATTTCGTGCGTTGTATCTGCGACCATAAGGAATAGTCTGTAGTTCTGTTAGTCTAGATGAAGAGATGCTGATTGTGTGGTACGAACGAAGGTGTGGTAATTGGAGACTTGGTCCTCCTCCTGCCACTCGGGTACCTCGTCTTCCCAGTCATCCTTGAGATTTCCCTTGAGCTCTCTGCCTTGGCGGCGTCGCATATAGATACTGATTTGGGGCCGGCCACGCTCTTCCCGTCTTTTTTGTTGATAGGCATCTCGGTCTATGCACTTTGGAAGCTTCTCGAGAACTAGAAGTCTTGCTAGACCTTCCGTTCTAGCAAAGCTTCTTTCGAAGATGGACTAGGTGAAATAAATGAGTTAATTTTCCAATTAGTTCTCACATGCGTTTGCATACCGGATCGATCTTTGTGCGGTCAAGTGAGGGCCAAAAAAACTTCGAAGCCGCGGTGAGAATATTTTGAAAGTCGGTTCTCGTAGGAAGGTGATCGTCGAGTCAAATCAATTTGATTGGTCTGGGTCATATACGCCGCAATTGCGCGAGGAGAGGCATAGACTTGCTGGCCATCATAGGCAGCACAAGAACAGTCCACATCAAAACCGGTGAGGATCTCCGCTATCGAGCGGTAAATCCGAAGCACAATCTGCACATGCCGTGTGGGGTACTGCGAGGCAATAGTGACGGTATTCTTGGTCCGAATGGTGGTGGTCTCATACAAAATTGAGTTCCGGATCGCGTCCTCGATGTGCATAATCTTCTCAATAGCTTGCTCCTCGGTCAGGCCGTAGATGAAAAGATCCACGTCAGACGCGGGGGCAAACTCATCGTGGTAGTACCGACGAAGACCTCTTTTGGAACCTCGGTATGTTTCTGGTACCGGAAGAAGCGATGTGACCACAGCGCTGCCAGCAGCGACGATGTTGCTCCAGTCGATGCCACTCAAAGAGCCTTCAGTGAAGAGGGTGAAGTTTTCCTGAAACTCGGTAAAGCTTGGCACCACAGCGGGCGTGCCGCTGCTTCTGCGCTGTGAGTCCTTTAGAGGTAGAATGTATTTCTCCTTCTGTTCAGGTGTCTCCGAGGTCAGATCCCTCGCACGAATTCGAACATCGGCGGATCCAGTGGCATTGTACAGCGGCACAATGTTAGCACATTTGTCCTTCAACAAGACATGAGAAGAATCTTGAGCAAAGATCTTCCGCGCAACAGCATCATAGTCGTTGTAAGGCCGGATCAAGTCTCCAATGGGAGTATCTGGGAGTGAGTCCACATAACCCAGGAAATCCTGGTGCTTGACCGGTACCGAAGGCAAGGTTAAAGTCATCGTGTGCTAGGTGCCTGGAAATTCGAAAGATGTTTTGACGAACTTGCTGAGGAGGTAAATCATGGCGCGATGGAGATTAAATAGATCGGAATCAAGTGGATGCGATGGATATGTTGATTTGCTTTGGGTTTAGATCGCCCCGTGCTTCAGGCAGACCTAGGCAGCAGGCTCCACTTGATGACTGCCAGCGAATCATACCGCCTTTCCAAGGCTGCCACGGCTCATGAAGTCTTCTTCGAGTCCGCTTCAATGAATCTATGGAGGAACACTAGGCAGGAATGACATTGCTGGAAAAAAATCGAGTCACACGCATTATAGTGGTCAAATTAGCAGCTGGTATTTCAGCCTTAGATAAGAGTGACAAGAGTGAACCGAAAGAAATACTTTCTAGTGGCCTAGAGGAGGCAGACAGACAGATGTCCTTCCCCAAGAAGCCAGAATTTCTAATTGTAGCGTCAGGCTCAATAACAATAATATACAAATCCCCCGGCCTAATTGAGTTGCAAGGCCAGGGCGGAAAAGGCAACAGACAAGATGAGGGCAGGAATTTTGGTGAGCCCAGAACTAGCAACATTGTTTGTCTGCTGAGAGGTAGACGACTCGGTAGCGGTTGAACTGGCATTCACATTCAACGATGCAGTGGCTGTCGACTCAGTTCCAGTACTGGAGGTGGAAGTGGGGCTAGAAGTTGCAGTCGTAGTTGTCGCGAGCGCGCTAGACGAACCGGTGTAGTTGGGGTTCTTGAGAGTCGGCGCTTCGGTACCAACAAGCCTAGCTAGACTATTTGTCTTGTCTGGGCTAGCAACACAATAGCTCCATCCCTCAATGGGATTACAAGGGTCCACGACCAAGGAAGGGTTCTATAGACGAGTCTTGTTAGCGAGTTGTCAAGAAAGCCAATGTGGATCGATGACTTGCCCATTCGTGCAATTGCAGATAATCGATGTTGAAGTCGGCTTCGAGTCTCTCGCAGGTATCACCAGAAGAAATACTGTTCGCCCACTGACTACAGTTCTCAGTCACATCGGGATCGGTTGTTCCGGTGGCTTTATCACCGAGTTTGTAGGCACGGGCTGTCTCTCCGAGGAGAGCAGCGAAGAAAAGAATGGAAAGCTTCATGGTGCTACCGAGGTTTTGAAATGACAGTTTCTCAGGGGAATGCGCGAAAGGAAACAATCATTTAGGACCTGGCCGCGGTATTAAGGGTCAACGCTTAGCATTTGAAGGAAAACAAGACTAACCCCAAAAAAGACTACGGAGCAGCTCGGTTACAAATGAGCCGGACCTATCCACCTCAAAAAGTTGGGACGCGAGCGACTCCGGTAATCACCATTGAGGGCTCGGGAAGTGGGACAGTGTCTCGGCCCTTCTGCGTAAAGCTCTGAATGGGAAGACTCAGTGGTTCAAAAATGCCATTATGTTAGATATTGTTACCAACTAAATATATGTCCTTCGAATGAAATGAGATTTGGTCACTTTATACTGCATTTTGGTCAAAGAATCCCTGGGAAAGTTGAATCATTCCAGGAGCAATTCGCAATGACCTTGTGAAAAGGAAAATCTCCTAGGTTGCCCCTGATCCGAGTCGAGCAAAATAGGGTCCTCCCGGGACCGATTTCAGGTTGAGGACCAGGGAGGGCCGTGGAGGCCGTTTAGTACTTAAGTCTCCACTTTCTATTGAAGCCTCCTACAAAAGATAAAGAAGTTTCTACTTGCGAGATGCATGACCTCCTTGTTGTAAAGAGTAGTATGCCACAGACAATGTCAAATCTTCTGTCGCTGCTGAGTTCTTTGCATGATAATGGAGCCCTTGCACTAAATCTACAAGATCTACGTCCTCACGCAAATTTGGAGCCATAGCTTTTATTTCTTGAGCCAGTGACTTTTTGCACGGTAGGAATTAATCATAACATCATACTCAAAAGCCTAGTAAACTTCCAACAGCTTGCCCAAATGGCAAACAAGAGTCCAAGCTTACGACTGTCATGCCGACGAAAGATGTCTTAGCCCATCAGGTGAAGCAGAAACAGGCAAAAAAAAACAAGCTAATCTTTATATATTCGGTCCTCTTATTTTAGACTGATCATATATATTGCAAGGTAACTGATCTTCTTGAATAGGAGATACACAAGTTGTTGGTTGCGGTAAAGAAAGACGCCAACACAAGTTTGATCGACTGTGCTGGATAGCTCATTGCACTGCGGACTTGGCTTTGGCTGCTATCAGATACGTGGTTGAGGAGGTTTGGATGGACATCAAAGCACGAGCCATCCAGGGTGAAAAGGTATAGGGCAGGAGTGTCGCCCTCTCATTTATGATCTTTTTTCTCAACTTCCAGAAAGGGCGCCTTGCGCATGGTCAAGACGGTCGGCGTCTCCTGGTCTTTCAAGTGGGATGCGCATCAAGTAGCCTTATGTAGATCGGAAAACGTCAAGAAAAAGGCTTACTGCATACGGCCAATGAGGAAGGACTACTGACGTGTACTTTATTAAGATTATAGTGCACGATGGAAATGAAACTTAATTAAATAGCTTGCGATATCATGCATCCTTCCATCTGTCTGTGTGTCAGACCCAAGCGGGGTCCAACGACATCACTTTTCAGCCACAAGTGAAGTATGAATTGGAATTGATGATAGGAAATTATCTGACAATGGAAACCCTGCAAGCGAATCTCAGAGATTTACTTCATATTCCATGCCTCAGACTGTGTAACCTCGATGCGCTATTCCTGCAGGCGTGGCCATCTGCACGAGGGTCCGATCATGAACACCTTCACCTACCCTGTCGCCTCTTCTCCTTATACCCTATTTCCTTACGTAGTATACAATTTGGCCACTGAGAGTTACTCCCCACAGTTCTTTAAAGGGATCGCCGTGGTTTTCAAAGATCCACCCCACAATCCCTCTATCCTATGCAGGATGACGCTCGATAGCTTTGAGGAGCTGCTTCACCGTCCGATGTAAATGGACAGGTCACAGAGCGGGCAGGGGTGAGCGACCCAAAACAGCGGTCTACAACAGCGGTCTCGGATTGGCAATTGCCCACTGACACAGAAGTGGGCCCTCAGCCCCTCGTGTTGTTTAGTTCATAGAGAGCATAGCCCAATCGGCAGTTGCGAGGAGTCAATTCTCGCAATCGATGCAGTAGGGTTCCTGGAGAGGCGGTATATCGAGAAGACTAACCAATTATCATTACCGAACATGCTGATCACTGACGGTGTTTGCGATATCCTGCAGGACATGGTGGGACGAAAAAGGGAGCTGGCCTGTGTGCCGCATAGAAAGAAAGAAAAATTAAAGAAAAATGGAATCATCCTAGCGAATGTACTGCCCTAGATTTCTTCAGCCGTATTGTACATATTTTTTGTCATCTACGTGATTCTTGGTGCTGGAATCACATTGACGCGGTATCATCCCACTTCCGGGGTGCAAGTCCATACGAGGCAGTAGCGAGGTTGTGCATGAGACTAGCATGGAAGTGAATTGGTGCTGAACAAAACCATTTTAATTTTCTCTCATCCATCACTTTGCCTCGACATCTTGGCCTAGCTTATCTTCGCTGACCACATCACACCCCAGCGCCTGAACCGCCTTGAACCCGACAATTCTCTCCACATTCATATCCAGATTCACAATGACACTGGTCGCTTGTTTTCTGCTTGGTAGCGTACTGACCTACTGCCTGGTTACCCTCATCTATCGTCTTCATATTCATCCATTGAGCAGATTCCCGGGGCCCCGCCTCGCTTCTGTGACGGGTCTCTATGAGGTATATTTCTCCGCCGGGGGTGCCAGCTCCTTCAATGACGAGATTGCAAAAATGCACCTGAATTATGGTAACTCTCCACATACTCCACCACATCGGAAAGACTCGTCACTGACTACGGCAGGTCCTGTCGTTCGCATTACTCCAGACGAGATCCACGTCCAGGAGCAGCCTTACAACACTAGCTACGCAGATTGCTGGATCAAAGGTACCAAAGTCTTGGGCCCCGGATCTCGCCAATTGGGTGTAGGCTCTGGGAGCTTCCAATTTGGGAAGCGATCGGTTTCTAGACTTCGATCGATCCCCGATGTGGAGGTCAGTCAGATCATCCGGGGCCTGTTACAAAAGCATTGGACCCACCAGGTGTTCAACTCATGGATGCGACCGTTCTTCCCAGCTTTCAGCCTCCCTGTGATCCATATGAATCACTCGAATCAGAGCGACCTGGAAGAGGGACATCAGAGTGCTTTGTTCTCCCCCGAACCCTCGGTCTGAAGGAATATCCGGTTGGGGGAAGGAGGGGGCCCCCATCCAGAACCCGGACGCCGAAAGTCAATGGACAAGGTCTACTGGCGAGGAACCTTGGTAAAGCCGCTTCGAGAAAGGAAGCGACATGAGAGAGTTTAAGGGCGAGAAAGACTCGGGAAGGAACTGAACATCCAGGGTCAATAGCTGGTTGACTCCACGCGGGAAGTGCCAGATTTGGTTATGGGACCGCAACTGCCGACGGTAGATTTACCAAGCCGGGGGAGTGAGCGAGATGACATCCCAAGCTCAATATAGTGAAATGGATGCACGTGATACTAGATAACATTGCGATCCGTGCATTGGTTTCCGGGGCCCGATCAACCGATCAAAGAAGCGCGACAAATCCAGACGGCACCAAGTGGACACAAAAGGGCTTCTTTGTTGCGGAGATCTCCACCGGCCAAACTCCGAATTCTGCGCCAGTCCTCACACCTTCCGAGCGACTCGAGGCTCGCCTTTTTCTCTCTTGACCCTCTTCATTTCGTCTCCCGAATAACCTCTCAACATGGTATGCATGTCCCCTGCTCTCACCTATGGACACATTGACCACTTTGTGGCCATAGGGGCCCCCAGCTCGCCCTTTCAGGGCACTGCGTCACCGCAGATCCTTGATCCGAACAAAACTGATGCGATTGACTCTTTCAGCCTCACGCCGACTCCTCATATTTCTTTGGCTCGACCAAGGCCGAAGTCTATCCGCAACTTCTGGATCAAACAAGGGGTCTCGTCTCCGGACAGCGCAATTGGGTAAGTTCTATCCCCAGCGGTCGTATGCAGGCGACGAATTGTGATCGCGTGTCCAAGTTCGTGGAACGATTAGCTGACTGAAATTGCATCCATAGGTTAGGTGAGACGCGATTCCCCAGCATGAGTGGTGTGACACTGGTCACAGCGTACTCCACTTCACTTCAGCCTCACGGAATTGACACCTTTCTAGCAACCTCTCCAATGTCTCCTCCCTCCTCTGGCACGCCTTTGCTACCCTCCCCTCGCCGTCTTCCTCCGTGAACTGGGCTGGCTTCTATATCCGCGATGACAAATTCCCCACCCTCGCCTCTCCCGTACAATCACCCCCTCTCCTCGGCGGCCAAGTGATCATCTCCACGACATATGCGTCTATGGACGAGGAGCAGACCTTACTGTTGGGTCCGTTTCACGGCAAGCCCGCTTGTCAGATGATCAAGTTCGGAAAGGGAGTATGCGGCACTGCAGCTGCGAAGCAGGAAACCCTTATTGTTGCCGATGTGGAGAAATTCCCCGGACACATTGCTTGCGACGCGGAAAGCAAGAGCGAGATCGTCGTTCCTATCATCGTCAATGGACAGGTATGTGATTTATGCATCATTGCGAATGCCCGGACACGTGCTGATCCCACAATTTATAGACCGTGGCCATCATCGACATCGACTGCACCGAGCCCTCCGGCTTCGACGATGAAGACAAGATATACCTCGAGGAATTGGCAGAGATCCTGGCCGAAAGCTGCGATTGGTAAACAGCTCGACCATACAAGATATAAAGCATTGTGTTACGTGATACGATTAATGGGGCTCCTTGGACCCTGGACCCAAAAAGTTTGAAAAGTTCGCCTGCTGCTTCGCGCATCTTGAGCAAATCACCGGTGGAAGTGCTTGCCATGTAATTTTCTTCTCCCATGCAAGTTTTCCGGCTTTGGTTTCCGCCACTTAAGTGTTTTTTGTGAATGTCTATAAAACCAAGGTTTCAAATGGCAGTTCATGCATGCTAGAACTTCATACGCCGCGACGCGCTTCTGCCAAGATAGACCCTTAATTTAATTGCTACCTGGGCCGTTTACAGATGCAATGAAACACGAAGGATCGACGGGGAATCTGCGCTTGGGTCGCTTGCCCCTGCCAAGTCACCTCATAAATTTGCGCCTTGTGCATCAGAGGAGTTTGCCGTCTTTGCACCGAAACCCGGGGCTGTCACCGTCCAGGCGAGGTGCGATTGGGGATGCAGCTAGTTGAGAAGAAGATCGTCATGTTTCCACCCCTGACAGCCGTTAATCTACACGGCAGCCTCTACATGGAATTGACGTTGGAGAAGACCTAAAGTTCATCAATGCAGTCCCTGAACATGTCATTTTATTGGACATTATGAGCATACTCATTAGAAAGGCTGCGGCCCTTGTGAAGCAGCGATTGAGGTTCATTTAAAGAGAACAAAATTACCTGCTCGGATTCTCAGAATCCAACGGTAACATCAACGCCACTGCTGGTGCGCACGCTATTAAAATCAACCTTTCCAACACAGTCGCCATACTCATAAGCATTCCGCAGGCTGCCAGCATTGCCACTCGAAGTAGTGGGAATTCCAAACAAAACTTCCGTCTTCGGGAGCTCGTCACAAGTATGTGTGTTTGAGTTCCAAGGGTAGTACTCAACAAAGCCTCCCTGGGATCCCTGGATACCTTGGGACCCGGCCGGCAGAGTGTAGGAGCCAATGTGGGTCTGCTTCCCAGTAACAGAATCAACCAGGGTCCCAGTCCAGGTGGTCCCTCCGGTATTCTGAATTTGCAGCAGGTATCCATCGGCGTAGGTGCTATCAACCTCCACGGAGCAGCTAACGCCCTCGCCGCCGTCGGCGCCTTCACTGCAGTTACTGTCGCTAGAGGTAGTTCCGGCGATGAAGCTGGAGAACACGGCGTGGACCACGGATGAGGAGCCGGAGTCTTCGCGGGGCTGGAGACCGGTGTAGCCCACGTCGTTTTGGCCGACAAAGTTGAATTGCTGGGCGAAGTAGTAGCCGGAGGCGTGGGGGGCGTTAGGCATAGAAATGGGGAAGGTAATATCTTTCAAGCCGGTCGAAGATACGTCAGTGACACTCCAGTCAATGCCGACCAAAGCCTCGGTGGCTTGGAAGACGGAGGAGAGGAGGGCGGCGCGAAAGACAGATGTGGTGGGCTTCATTTTGGTAGATTGGACTTGAACTTGGATTTGCAATGTAGCTTGAAAACTGATGTGCTGTTTTTTTCACTTTCTCATCTCCAGCAGGGCTTTTGTGTAATTTATAGTTCTTTTGTGGCACTCGAGTCGCGTAATTAAATCAAAACACCGTGGTGTTTCAATGCCTATAGAGATCTGCAAAACCTAATCGAAGTAATAGTCCAGGGTTACCTATTGAGCCACTATCGACGCCTCGTACATGATAGCGGTGCCCCATCTACTAATGTGGATCATGCTGCACTAGTAGACCAATTCTCCAGCGAGACCCGATCTGTAAAGGAATGCTACAGTAAGGGGCAGCGGAGAATCTGCCCCCATAGGCTATGAGATAGATCTAGACACGCTTATTCCTTGAATGGTATCGTAATCGGAAATACTAAGGTTTGGCAAAAAATCAAACCTGGAATATTTTCTAATCCTAATTTTTTTTGTGATTGGATCAGACAAGCAAGTGCATCGAGGAACAAGGACCGGTTCTCTGAATCAGTATCTAGATAAGTTCGTACCAAATCTCAAAATTTTTCCGATTCCTATCTCCCCACATCATCCGGGGAAGCTAACGAATCCCATGCCAAGGGTGACTTGTTGTTATGATGGACTATTTGAGGACCGCTCATGACACATTCGTGCCCCGAGATAGCCCGCCTCTAGATCGGGATTCTGCAGTCAATATTCGAGCTGTGTTGCCCACAATAGGGGAGACTGACTCCACCCCAGCTGCGACAGGATGGCCTATTGCCTTAGACAACTTGAGAGAACAAGTCGTGCCTTTGTATCACCATGGAGCGATTTCCCTCACTGACACTTCTTACATCTTTTGACCCGTTGTGACCCTTTACATATTTAGTTTATCGCTGAAAATGATCTATTACTGCAAAATGTATTACTGCCGAATTTGGTTTAACGCTGGAACATATACTGGTGCAGCGTGCCTTCACTGCCAGGTGGGGGCGCTTTTACGAAGCACGATGGATCCCGATGACTATTATTTTCATGTTTTAAATTCCTGTTGGAACACAGCTTTGGTAGACCTGCTGGCGAAGATGAGGGCTAAGAAAGCCCAGTGTGATATTTGACGCGTGGATATAATAACCTTTCCATCGAGACTTTCGCTTTTTCCCTTTCCCCCCCTGAATGTATCCTTATAAAAGACTTCAAATCGGTGTAAAGGCACAAGTCAAGGCTGTTTATTCCGATATGTCTGTATTCCATCCCTGGTTCGGCTGCGCTGCAATGCTTGTGGGAGCCACCATAAGATACAGATAATGTTTGCATTGAGTATTTGGAGCTATTTGTCATCGGCATACATTCATTCCACCTCGGCAGGTGAGAGTCAAACCAGAACAAAAGCTATCGATGGACAAAAACAAACCAGTGCTCGAGAAAAAAATTATTGAATTAGCCCGTTCAATATGTGACCGCAAATATCTCAAAAGGATTGAGTTCCCGATGGAGAGCTTATAGTCAATACCTAGTGTTACTTATTACAATCCCATCCAACAACCATGTCTACCCAAAAGACGAATGCCAAGCACTTCAGACTTGAGTATACAAGAAGAACAAGTCCGTTGCTTAAGCGCCAGAGTCCTCTCATTCCAAATTCAGCGCATGAGAGACATGTGATAGGTAGAAAAATTGGGATGGAAATTACAGACTTTGGAAGCAATAGAAACCAACTTCGCCGAGAGAATCCCAGCTCAACCGTAAGCTGGACAATGTATATGATGTAGTGACCGCTAGACTTGCCTCTAAACGCGCCGGACCCAACGAGAAATTAAAAATTCCGAAAAGCCGTGACTCTATGCATGAAATGACCGTGCCCAGATGCATCTGCGAAAGTCAAAGATATCCATGAATGATACAAAACGCCGAATTTCGAAGCGAAATACTTGAAAGGGGCAAGGAAAGATGAAAGCACACGCCCAAAACGGGGATCACATATTGAGGAGACTCATTTGACGCCGCATTGGATTGGGTGATATCGAGTCACCATCCTCGCTAGGACCGAGACCACTATCTGTGCCGTTCGGTCCTGTATCGGTGTCGATGTCCCACTGCTCGTCTTCGAGCTCAGGATCGCCGTCCCCACCGGCATCCCAACTTTTCTGAATGGCGCCGCGGGTATTCCAGCGCAGGGCACGTTGTACACTGGTGAACCATTCACCGCTATCAGCGACCACAGTTGGGAATGGGTATTGGCTGGCTTCGACGGTGACATAGTCGCCTTGGCGAAGTTCGACACGCCCCTTGCCGTCAAATGAGCAGTAGGCAGTGGAACGTGAGGCAATAGGAACGGCAATTCGGAGAAGATGTGAATCCGAAAGAACCATGGGGCGGAAGGATAAAGTATGAGGACAAATGGGAGTGAGCAGAATGCCTGGTATCGAGGGGTGCATGAGTGAGCCGCCAGCGGACAAGGAGTAGGCAGTGGAGCCGGTAGGTGTCGAGAAGATGCATCCGTCGGCTTGAACGACGGTCAGCAACTCATCATCTGCGTAAAGTTCCAAGTTGGACACGTAGGGAGAGGGGCCTCGATCGATGACGACTTCGTTCAAGACCTCGAATTGCTCTCCCTCTTCAACTGCACCGGCCTCTGCACCCTTGCTTCGATCTTTTCGAAAGACTGTGCATGTGAAACGCATTCGCAAGTTGACTCGCATACCAACATCGCCCATGACGGCATTGAGATGTTCTTTGTGTTTCGAGAAATCGAAATTTGTTAAGAAGCCAAGGCTTCCTAGCGAGAAACAGAGCACTGGTGGTACTACCCGCTGGAACAGCCATGACGTGAAAAGAACAGTCCCATCGCCACCAAGAGTGAGAACTAGATCGAACTTGTCTGGGGATGTCCAGCAGAGATCAGAAGTCCAGAAATGGAGCATCTGCGAGAATCGAGGCTCCTTTTGCAGGAGACCGTCCGTGTCGAACCGTTTGGAATTCTTGAGTTTTGCGTCAACATACACATTAACGCCCAAGTCGCTTCCGTACCGCGGTGTTGATAGAAGCCACTCGGCTACTTCGCGGGTCAAATGTACCAGACTGTTGTCGCGTGCCTTTGTGACGATCATAACATTGCGCACTGCGCGTCTGATCGGTCGTTTCTGCAACTGCTTTGATACTTCCCGGACCCCTGTTGCGGTTTGGACCAGCCGGGAATGTGAGAGCCAATCATCGTCTGCAATTTCCTCGAGGACTTTCGTTATGTTGACTGCGTCATCGAATCGCTGATGGAAGTAGCATGGCGACTGCAACATCAATCGCGCTGTTGCCGGGGATCGTTCAACGTATGAGCCCAATTGTAAATTTGAAAGCGCCGCGGACAATTTCTGAGAGGAAGTGGTGCTCGCCTGACGTTCCTTATCCTGTTCTTTATCCTTCTCTTCGGGCGGCAACGTGTTATCGTTGCTATTGGCCATCAGTCCGGACCAAGGGTGGAATGGGATGCTGCCGTTGTGAGGGGGAAAACTCGGTCGCGAAGCCAGCGCTTTCATAATCGTTTGGCGCGGAATGCAGTCCGTCGAGAGCGCTTTCTGGGAACGTCCAGAGATCGACTTTTGGCGGAATTGGCGCAAGGCCGAGGATGGCAGTACCCGGCCACCCGTCTGCTCCTGGGTTGACTCGTTCTTTTGTGGGAGTACGGCGCTGTTGGTGGCTTGCGGGGCTGGGTTAGAGCGAATCTCTGAGTGTGTCTGCGAGGGCTCTATATGAGAAGCATAGTCACGGAGCAGTGCTGCGCCGACGGAGGGAGGTGGGGCAGTGCCGGTGGGCGATGGGTGAGACGAGCGCACCGATGCGGCAGGCAACGTCGAGGGTATGTCAGATCGGAGAGAATCTCTGCCGGGCGACGCCATAGGAGCTGTAGATTGGCGGGATTAGAGAACAGGAGTCTGAAAGATACGCGAGGTTCGGATGTAACGGGGATTGCGGGCCAGCAGTCACGCCTCATTGGGACATCCCACCGCCCGTGGGTCGCACGCCCTGGGCGCGTTATTGCTGAGACGGTGCTTTCCACGCGCTTCCACCGTGGTTTTTAGTCCCTAATGATTGGGGAACCTGGGGATGCCCCCCAACCCCGAGTGGGGCATAGCTACTGTAATCTCTTTCAACCAGGTTTGAAGAAACAGGAATAAACATAGCAGGGTCCGACAACAGGAGCGAAACCCGCAAGGTGATCGATGGGCTCCACCAAATCTTAGACAAAATGGCTTTGGATTTCGTGAAGTCGAACTAGTCACCGCCAACTCCTGCCTTGCCTTTCTCGACATGACGTCGGCACCGATGTTGCCGAGCAAGTGCTACAGTTCTACTGGATACCGGTTGGAAGGGTCTGGGTAATTCTCGTCTAGATTGGAATTCTTTACTTATTCTATCGATATTCTGGGGTGCACTCTTGCACCGGATAGCCGGGATTCGTGTAACTCTGGTTTGAATTCATCGGCCTGAGGCTAGAAGCCTGCAGACTGATGCAACAGGGTTGATCTGTAGGCGGTGCTGTCCAAGTCGATCCATCAACTTTTGACTTGAAACCAGGCTGTGCAACCATCGACCCAGGGATGCCTGGTTTCGCACAGGCGTCCAAAAGCAAGAGCAGTCAAACCCGATAATTCTCTGAACAGCATTCTATGCCCGTGGAAACCAACAACGTACCCGAGCTTACACATGTGGTGAGGGTTGGATGATGGGGCCTCGACCAGAGGTAGAACACAGTCGCCGTGGCTGTCACACACTCGTGTCCCCGTAGTTTGAAAGGGTGAAAGGGCCGTTGCGGACATAAGATTATGCAGGGGAGATCACAAAGATGACCGAGCGTCGTTGGGCCCGGACTGATCGTTGGTAACTCGAATAGCCAGCCATCAAATCCGAGCCCTTCGTACGGTGGTTTTATTTTCACGCTCAGTTGGAGTCAATCTTCCAGGCGTAGTCAACGTGGAGGCGGTCTTCCACAGTCTCACGCACGAATCCATCTAGGCGGGCATTGTCTGAGCCCTCGCCCATTGCAACATCCCCGTCTGTCCCGGAAACTGCTGCTCCACGGCAAATTGAGACTGCACGCTCTCGGACTAACTCCCACGTGTCAAAGTCGAAGCGTCCTTCGCTCTCATTCAACAGAAGGTGGCCCTTGGAGGAGAAGGCCAAAACGTGGCGAGAGGAGGCGGCTTTCGCATCAGCTGCCGAGGGGTCGCGCAAGATGTCACCAGATTTGGTCACTCCGAGTAGGGCCGCAGAGAATGTCATGGAGAGGGGCACAGCGGCAGAGAGAAGGGCGAGCAGAGAGGTGTGCAAGAGAGCGGGGAGGACCGTGAGATACTTCTTCTGTTAGTTGAGACTGCTGATTGGAGTCAAAGATATCATTGCAGACTTACAGAGTCACCTCGTTGCACACTGCCACCTCCAACGATGGCGAGCGTGATGACCACGCCCCGACGAGGATATCCTCTTTCACGGCCCAGGACAACCTCACTCAACACACTACGCAAAATGCCCTCAACATATCGTTCGCCGACCCCAGCGGTGGTATTTCCAGGCTTAACGAAAACTTCCACGGTCGCATCCTCAGGCTTCAGGGCGTCGCGGCGGGCTGGGAGCTCAATGGGCGCATTGACGGAGCCCAGCACGTCGTAGCCGGTTGCCGGGCATTTATAGGATGCCGAGCCGTCGGCGCGGCTCAAGGTGGAGAGAGAAGCTGTGGGACCGACCATTTTGCGAGAGTTTGTAGGAAGGAAGAAGGTGATCGGGACGGTGTTGGGTGTATGCTTGAGCTTTGACCGTTGAGCGTGGACAACCTTTAAAGTCGCGATTTTTTATGCGGCATGCGAGCCGGTCTCTGATTGGTTGCTGCCCACACCCAGAATGGTTGAACTGACCAAACCTCCAAACCCATCCATTTGCCTTCTATTTAGTCGTCAATATACCGCCGAGACACTTTCAAGCAGTGACACGCGTCGGAAGTTACTCAAATGCATACAGAAGGTATTCTGATTTCGGTGCGTTCCTTATATTCTGTTGGAAGGCATACTAGGAGTTGTATCATCCAAACCTCAATGGAAACTGTTGGATGGAAATTATGTCTGAGTGATCTCTTATGCTATGGTAGGGCTGTCTTAATGATTCTAAAAATATAAGTTTCACAGAACATGCTTCAACACTTGGCATTTGATCACGACATCTGGAGAGTTTGAAGGTCTATTTTCAGGTACACCTCCAAAGAAAAGTCCAATAAACAACATTTCCTTGTTACAGCTATGCCCAGAGGCTAAAAGTCCTGGCGCACGGCCTAGAACCATTTCCGACATGCCGAGATCTTGGATTGTGGCAATGCCAGTGGTTGGTAAATGACAGAGCGCGATGCAGTCATGGACTTTGCGGAACCCATGGTTCCTCGCAGTGAGTAGTTAATCGAGTAAACTTGATTCCTTGCTAGCCTATACTTGAGATACCTTATGGCTACGGTCGCAGTGGTTGATTAGCACTGGAACTTCGATTTACCCCATTAGATCGAGCAGGCCAAGGTTGAGTACCGCCTCGTGGCTTCTTTCCGAATGAGGGCGCCCAATCAGACCCTGACGCGAGTCGCTCCCAAGTCATCTAGCGGCAACGCCAACTAACATCAACGCAAGCTATGTGCCGGATCAGACCAGCCAAGTATCTGGTTTCTTGGAATGCTCCAATGATAGTATGGCCTCAAGGTGATCACAACGAGCCCCCCCGCTCTGTGCTTGATAGCCCCTTCCTGTGAAAGAAGAAGGCTACTCCCTAGATCCCCTACAAATATGAACTCAGCCCCCGCCTCCCAGCTTGTATTTCACAACCCTGTGTTTGCATCTCGAAGACGGGTACTGCATTGTGACATAGGAGACTTGGTTATTTGGCTGTTTACTTCGCAGAATCTACCTTGCTCTTCCCTCCCCGCATTGACTCCACCTACTTGAATGGGCATAGAGACGCTTCCCGAGGTCGAGGAATCGACAGAGCCTCCTATATGTGGCTTGGCAGAGTCTATTGCCACCTTCCCTGCAACTGTCAGCTCGAACTTGGAGCCGCGCGACCCTATTGAGAAGCCTACGCCTGCATCTAGCCATAGTGTACCTCCCACAAATGCTCAGGGTGCCTGGCTCAAACCTCTTGAAACATCGAAGGACCAAGGGAACAATGCCCACCTCGCGGAGCCTCACGAGATTGCCGCTCTTCTCGAGACGGACCTACAGTACGTAGAAATACAATCCGCTCGGATAGATCATATCCAAGAATCCCCCTCTCACCAAGTATCCCCTCTAGGAATGGAATTTCCGCTACCGAAGCGGAACTTCGTCTCAAGACGGATGGACCAAACGTGGTTCGCGAGATCAAGGGTGTCTCCGTCTGGGGGATACTATTAAGACAGGTTTCGAACAGCCTCACCATAGTGAGTTGTCCTTTTCTTGATCTGTCAAAAGTGTGGTGTGAGCATGCACTGAGGATCTTCAAAGGTTCTACTTATAACCATGGCTCTGTCCTTTGGAATCGATGACTACATCGAAGGAGGTGTCATCACGGCTGTCATCTTATTGAACATAGTCGTCGGGTAAGCTCATCAATGTCACCTGGGTGAGGGCGAATTTGACTGACAAGCTTCTAGGTTTTTCCAAGATTACCGAGCCGAGATGACCATCCTATCTTTGCACCGCCTCTCAGCCCCTATATGCAAGGTTATTCGCGATGGCAGAGTGACTTCAGTCAAGGCCGAATCGCTGGTAGTCGGAGATATAGTGAGGTTGGCAGTAGGTGATATCGTGCCTGCGGATCTCCGGTTGTTCGACGGCATGAATGCATCTATGGACGAAGCTCTTTTGACGGGTGAATCTCTTCCGATTCTCAAAACGCCACATACAACGTTTGCGTCGCCAAACATCTCTATCGGTGACCGTACCAACATGGCATATTCAGGTTGTAGCACGACGCAAGGCCGAGCCACTGGTATTGTTGTTGCAATAGGAATGGCGACGGAGGTGGGCAAAATTGCAGAGCTACTTCGGGACCACGATGCCACTGGCAACGAGAGTCTTCCTGCACGCTTCCTTAAACGCTTCAGGTCTTCAATGGCGAATATCTTGGGCTTGGTAGGCACTCCGCTGCAAGTCAAGTTGAGCAAGTTTGCACTTCTGCTATTCGCTCTAGCCATTCTGTTGGCCATCATCGTATTCTCAGTCAATCTTTGGGATGTTCAGGGCGAAGTTCTCATTTACGGAATTTGTGTCGCAGTTGCTGTCATTCCTGAATCATTGATCGCTGTACTTACTATCACCATTGCGGTCGGTACGAAGGCAATGGCTAGAGGCAATGTCATTGTCCGGAAACTTCAATGCCTTGAGGCCGTGGGTGGTGTTACAAATATTTGCTCTGACAAAACCGGTACCTTGACGCAAGGAAAGATGATCGCTCGTTCGGCGTGGATCCCAGGCGCTGGAACTTTGGCCGTTCACCAGACAACTGACCCCTATGACCCTACTAGTGGCCTTACTCAATTGGATGAGATTGACTGGGATTCAAATCACCCAATCGAACACAATCCAGCCTTGAGCACCTTTCTTTCCGCTCTGGCCCTTTGCAATCTCTCTGTTGTGCACCATGAGAACGGGATATGGTCTGCACTTGGCGAGCCAACTGAAATTGCCCTTCATGTCTTAGCCATGCGATTCGAATTTGGCAGAAATCAAGTGATTGACCAAAGAAAGATTGAATTATACACAGAATATCCCTTTGATTCGGCTATCAAGAAGATGTCTGTTGTTTACCGAAATGCCACCGAGGGACTCTACGAGATTTACACCAAAGGAGCACCCGAGGCTATCATACCAACACTTTCATCAAGTGAAGGGGAAGCACAGATTATCCGAGAAACAGCAGATAGGATGGCTGGAGAAGGTCTTCGTGTCCTGTGCATTGCCTACAAAAAGACCGCTATTGAAAGAGAGGACCAAGTGTCCACACGCAGTACCGCTGAATCAAGTCTTCAATTTGGAGGTCTCGTTGGACTCTATGATCCTCCACGCGTTGAGACAGCAGGTGCCGTTCGCAAATGCCAGATGGCAGGAATCACGGTACACATGCTCACCGGTGACCATATCAAGACAGCCACGGCCATTGCATCGGAGGTTGGCATTCTCAATCCTGTCACCGCGATGGTAAAGCCAGGAAGCTTGGTCATGACTGCGGATGAATTCGATAGGTTGAGGGATAATGAGATTGATGAAATTCAAGAATTGCCTCTCGTTATTGCTCGCTGCAGCCCTGCAACCAAGGTTCGTATGGTGGAGGCAATGCATCGTCGTCAAGCCTTTTGTGTCATGACTGGTGATGGTGTCAATGATTCCCCGGCTCTCAAGAGAGCGGATGTCGGTATAGCAATGGGGAAAAATGGGAGTGACGTCGCGAAAGAAGCCGCCGACATGGTTCTCACAGATGATAATTTCTCATCCATTGTCAAGGCCGTTGAGGAGGGTAGAAGGCTGTTTGATAACATCCAAAAGGTATTCACCCGTGTCAGTCAACTATGACGAAGTCGTTCTGACCTTTACAAGTTTCTTATGCATCTTCTCATCTCGAACATCGCCCAAGTCATTCTTCTTCTGATTGCCCTCGCCTTTAAAGATGCTGGAGGTGACTCCGTCTTTCCCCTGTCTCCACTTGAGATTCTCTGGGCCAACCTAGTCACATCGTCATTCCTAGCTGTTGGACTTGGTCTCGAAGAATCCCAGCCCGCCATTATGTATCGACCGCCTCACGACTTGCGCGTAGGAGTCTTCACGCGCGAGTTGATTGTCGATAAAATTATTTACGGCACATGCATGGGCTCACTTTGCCTCTTAGCATTCGTATGCGTCATCTATGCTGCTGGTGCCGGGACATCGGATCTCGGCGATGGGTGCAATCAGGGATACAATTCATCTTGCGACGCCGTTTTTCGAGCGCGCGCTACAACATACGCGACATTGACTTTCTTGTTACTCGTGACAGCCTGGGAGGTTAAGCATTTCTCACGATCTTTATTCAACATGGACCCTATTCGTTTCCCGCAGAAGTTTTCCATCTTCCCTACGGTCTGGCAGAACCGGTTCCTTTTCTGGGCTGTTATCGCTGGCTTCGTCATTGCATTCCCCGTTATCTATCTTCCGGTGATCAACCAGGTTGTGTTCAAGCATCATGCCATTACCTGGGAATGGGGCGTCGTATTTGGTTGCACCGCTGTGTACCTTGGCTGCGTAGAGAGTTGGAAGGCGATCAAACGAGCATTTGGTATTGGGAGTGGGAAAAATAATATACTCACTTTGGGCGATGCAGAGATGACGGCGCGTCTGGGTTCTACCCCAATGTCAATGAGTGCCAATGCCAGCATTGAATTGAAGTGACCTAGACAGATGAGTTCACCCAGATCATTCAACATCGAGCATGTTATTGGATTTTGCCATAGCTCATGTCCAACACAGAGCTTGCGGGAATCATCATTTCCTATTTTCCGATAGTCCTTAAATTGCAGATTGTTGCAGGGCTTGCATGCATACACAGATTGATAACTATTTGCCAACTTAAAGATGGGCGAATAGATAGGAATTTGAATAAATAATAGGATATTTGAGAACTAAATAAAATTTCACCTTTTGCCGGCTTCAAAACTATTGAAGGGCCTGGCCTATCCGGATTCGAGGAGTTTGGGTAGAAGTCATGATGTCTCTTCCAGTCCTTCACTCGGCGTGGTAGTCTCCGACCAAAGCTGTCCATGCTGCGGTCGGACTATAGTATTCCCGTGGCCTCTAAGCCTGAGGCATCAATGGCGTCCCTCCGACCGCAGAGGATGTGTACCGATTCAATTAATAAGCGGTCCTCTGCCCATTCAAGAGGGCAACCACTCCCAAAAGCCACCATTGGATTATTGAGTGGCCGAGATGTCTCCGGATGCGTTCAAAGCGGTCTCTTTGCGTCGGTCATGCCAAGCGTGTGTCAGGGGTAAACGCCGATGCGATCAGCGCTGGCCGAGGTGCACAAGGTGCTTTGACAGAGGAGTCGACTGCCAATATGTCAATACTCCTCTAACAGCCACATATGCTCCACGCCAAATTGTTAAAAAGAATAGACTTCTGCAACACCAGGGAACCATGAGCCCTTCGCCTCGAATCCATTCACCGCTACGACTTGAGATTACCAAGGAGTACGACCAATCAGCCATCCAATTCCTTGTGAATGGAATGCGGGCACTTCCCACTACTTTTGCGCAAAGCTGCAAAAACAGCTTCATTCACCCAGCTTTGTACACTTCTGGACTACCCGCTCCAATTCGGGAAATCCATCATCTCTGCCTTCTGAATCTGCAAGCTGGACCCGACCACCGAAAGAACGCTATCATTCCTCTGCTCAGACAAAAGTTTGTAGAATTACACCGCCAATATTCTCGTCCATTGTCATTTGAAGAGCTTCTGAGCTACTCACAAGCCTTGCTGCTCATTCAATGTATCCTGGCACTCAACGAGGATGATCAGGCTCAGTACTCTGAGAGCGTCGGCAATATGATTGCGGGCATCGGCAGCCGCCTGTGGGAACAAGCACCGTTGAAGCTTCCATCGACTTTAAGCCGACGACATGCATGGTTATTAGCTGAAAGCGTTCGACGCACAATCATTGTGAGCTTGATGCTACGCAGTGCATATTCCATGAAAACAAGAAAATGCTCTTCTCGAACACCATTTGCGGATGCGTTACCATTTGATGTGCGCACTAATTTATGGGACGATGAGTCTAACCAAACCTGGGCAGACCATGGTGTCGATTCGCCGGACTCAATGATTTCTTTGCATGAGTATTCTGACGCGATGGGAAATGGCCAAGTCCATGATGTGCATCCTTTCGGCGCTCTAATACTTGCCGCTTGCAAAGGCATGGCAGTCTCCGCGATACCGTTCCCTCCTCGGAGCAACTACATTATGACCATAAATAGTTAATATGAAAGCCAAGTGCATCCAATTGTGATCAAATATAGGACTTTGTATTTCTACGAGTATTTCTGGACTAGTCATGAATCCCCTACCGCAAGAACTGCTTCAGCAGTCCAGAAAGCATTTCAGTCATGGACTGGTAAGCCTCTTGTCTCTTGATCTCAAACGCATCGAAGACCTCCTTGGCGGAGCCGACCGGAATTTGATCCTCGCCACTCGACAACTTGGTCCACGTTTCATCAACGAACTGTTGCAAAGGCATGCCAATCAGGTGGCCGTCCTTCAGATCGGGTTGATGCTTGGAATCGTGCAACTCCGTTTGCACGGCAGGTGGGTAAATTTCAATGACATTGACATTACCGGGGCCATCTTTCAACTGGGTGCGCAGAGCTAGAATGAAGTGGTGCAAGGCAGCCTTGGAGGCACCATAGTTCGGGCAGCGCATCATGGGAACGAGGGCCATCTGAGAGGTAGTGAATGCGATGGCGGTTTCAGAGCCTCGGTTTTGGAGATGAGGGATGAATGCTTTGGCGAGACGGACAGCGGATGTGTAGTTGGTGATTAACTCCTCGTCCAAGACGTCCAGATTGACGGTCTCGGGCCGAGAGAAGTCAAAAGGTCGCTGGATGCCGGAGTTGACGAAAACACAGTCCAAGTTAGGGTCTTCGGCCACTACTTCGGACGCAAATTGAGGAATCTAAACGGTGTATCTCGGATGAACACTGGGACTATTCGCTTTGCCATGGTAAACACACCTTGTCAAGTTGCATGACATCAAACACCTTAGCGTTGACTTTCTCGCTTCCATATTTTTCAACAAACGCATCGAGTTTGTCCTGTCTGCGTCCAGCAATGGTGACATGGACGCCATTCTGCACAAGCTTCGCAGCCAGTGCCTCTCCAATGCCGGAGGTGGCGCCGATAATGAGAACATTTCTGTATTTGAAGGGCATTTCGCAATAGTCAAGAAAACTGAATATAGAGATTCGGGTATCTGAGTTGTAAAGTTCAAAAGGCGACGTTTTGACCTTTAATACATACAATCCGCCAACATGTAGACTGCGGCAATTAGAAGCTATGTCATCAGCAGCACATCTTGCTTTGCGGAGACTAAACCGTTTCTGGTTATGGATGGATGCCCATCTACGGCTTGTGAGTGGCTGGCACTGCGAATTGACAAATATGCCGAGGTCTCCACCTCCAGTGGAGGTTAAACCAAACCTGGAGATAAAGGGTCTCTGGAAGGATATTTGGGTTCAAATTTCCGCATACAGATGTTTCTAGAATTTCATGGTCTGTATGAACATCCCGTGAGGTCAGCGACATTTTAAGACGATTGCTGGATTAGATTGTGCACATTTTAGCATTTGAGATTTAAAAAAACAACCAAGATTGACAGTTATGATTACAAGGCTCTTGCCATCATTCTAAAAACTTGTGCATAGCTACAGCTTCGGCAAGATACAGCAAATATGTCAAGGTAAATGGGCATTGCTATAATTTGTATTGGATTAAGCTCATTATTGGCGAAGATAACATCATCGCTATTTAAGAAGTTTCCTCCACGTTGTAGACGAGCTTCTCGCCACTGACTTTATCAGCCTTGAGCAATTCCAGACCCTCTAGAACACCCTTCAGTCCATTCTTGCCAACCTTGGGAGGGTGGACCTTGACCTTGCCGGAGCTCAACAGCGACTCAGCAATAGGGACAAACTTCTCGGCATGGGCGAAGTCTTCAGGCTTAGCGGGCATGGAATGTTCACCGAACTTGAAGGCCTCACCAATGACAGTGTAAGCCAGGGTGGAACGATCGTTGACATTGGCACGCTCAATATTGATTGGCAACAGAGCAGTGTACTCGCCGCCCTCGGTGGAGATAGCCTTGTCACAGAACGCGGCACTAGGGCCGAGAGAAATGCAGTCGAACACAAGCTTCAGATTGTTGTTGGTAAGCTTACGGATCTCCTCGGGAGACTGGGGGTCCTTGTAGTCGAACACGGCATCCGCGCCGAGGCTGCGGACGAAGTCGAAGTTGTGCGGGGAACAGGTGGTCAGGACCTTATAGCCGGACAGCATAGCAAACTGGATTGCCAGAGAACCTGTGGCAGTGGAACCACCGTAGATAAGAATGGGGGTGGCATCCTTGATGGGCTCCGTAGGAAGGGCAAGCTTCAAGCTCTGGTAGAGAGCCTGTCCGACAGTGTTGATACCGACTCCGAGAGTGGCGGCTTCCTGGAAGCTCAGATTATCGGGAATCTTCATCTGAAGATCACCCTTCGCGACGATGTACTCGGCGAAGGAGCCATCCTCAGGCTGGACGGCGTTTCCGCCGTGAGTGAAACCGCAGATGCGGTCGCCCTTCTTCCAGGTCTTCTTGACATTCTTGCCCACGGCCTCAACGGTGCCGGCAAAGTCACATCCAATCAGCACTCCAGGGGGAGACAGGTACTCGACATGCTTCCAGTCGGTAGGGTTCAATCCAACGCTGACGGTCTTGACAAGAACGTAATCGTCCCGCAGAGTAGGAATGGCCCGGTCTGTGACAAGACCTGCGGTTTTGGGCTGGGTGACGACAATGGCTTTTTGGGTAGACATGGTGTTGGGATGGTCTGAGAGAGAGAGAGAGAGAGAGAGAGAGTGGATCAAAGAATTCGACTCAGGTGGTTATCACGTTTCTATTTATCTCGCACGATTACAAATCTCTGAGTTGCCAATATGGAATGACGAAGTTTCTGGTCGATCGAGGTGGATCCTCTTACACTCATCAGTCCCACACATTCCAGTTACTATGTAGATCTACCGAGGTCGAAAATCCGACGTTTCTCATCGGCCTCGTTGCAGATGTTCCAGAGCCCTCCTGGCTGAAGCCTGAATCTCGTCAATTGGGACAGTTATGGTCAAGAGGTCATTTCATAAAACACGGACTTTTGACATCATCTTGAAGTTTGCGTGAGAAGGGCATGAGAGAATTCGGCGATCGTGGTAGGATCATAAAACGTAGCAGTACTGAAAGTTACCGCCTAACTCAATCGATCTCTCGGCGATACACTTCCTCATCTGGATTAGCCTGGAACGGTCTCCAGGCTATTCTATTCTAAGCTGATTCAATGCCTGAAGTTGCAAGCTGTCTTTGTCGAGGATGCCTGATTTGTCAGGATTAGTAATCCCAAAGCGGAGCCAATGGACATTCCCAATCTTTCCCCGACTTCGATGTGGAAGCATAGGCTTGAACCCCATTTTGTGTTGCATAGGTCGCGCACAAATACTTGGGCTTCTCTTTTTACCCAGATTAGTCTGAAAGGGGTACACGAAAGAACCAGTGTCCCAGGCAAGGGCTCTTTGCCTTTCGATGCCACAGAAGATGACGGGGAGATAATAACCGGGTTCCCACCCCAATACTAAGAACCCCAATATGAAAGAGGCCCAATCTAGAAAAGAATGATGGGAATTGAAAAAAAGGTAAGTCTGTTGGGAATGCATTTCAGAGCGGATGAAGTCGAACTTGTGCACAGATCGAACTCAAGCCCCGCGCTCAGCAAACCCCACCATCAAATGTCGGTCAGAACAACCAAACTTTCCCGAAGTGAAATGAAATAGAGTGATCATTCTTTTGGAACATTTGCATGTTCAAGATTTGAAGGCATTTGAACCGAGATCGTAGATAACGGTCTCTTTATAAGTCAACCGATTCCTCCATCCCTGTCATCACAGCGGGGCTCATTCGTAGCGCTTATCCCTGTCAACAAAAAAACAAACATCGCCCCCATCCACACATCTTTCTTCACTGACTCTCATCGCCCCCCCTCAATTTCAATCATGCGGATCCTCTGTCTCCACGGAAAGGGTACCAGCGCCGCCATCTTCCGATCGCAGACTTGTGAGCCGCTCTTGACCCTTGACGGCGGCATTGTGCTGATCTTAACCCAACAGCCTCTTTCCGGGCGCAGCTCGCCGACAAGAACATTGAATTCGATTTCGTAGATGGTCCCCACCCGAGTACGGCCGCGGCAGGCGTGGACTTGTTTTATGATCCTCCCTACTACGCCTGGTATGAAGGCGATGGCATCGAGACTGTCCGCAAGGCACATCACTGGTTGAATGAGTACATTGCCGCAAATGGCCCCTACGATGCCGCCATGATGTTTTCACAGGGATGTGTCCTTGGATCCAGCGCATTGTTACTTCACCAAGAAGAAACGCCCGATATGCCACCGCCGTTCAAAGCCGCCATCTTTATTTGCGGTGGTGCCTCGCTTAGTGTCCTCGAAGAGATGGGATTCCATGTTTCTGCTGAAGCGCGCGAACGGGACACTGCATCAAGGTCTGCTCTGGCTTTGCAAGCGGGTTCGATGTCCCTGATGACACAGGGCGCGAACCGTTGGACCGGGCTGGGCGCTTTGAGCGATGGGCTTTCAGAGGAAGAATTGCGAGAGGAGATTAAAGGTCCTTATCGGATTCCGATCCCTACTGTGCATATATACGGCTCCAAGGATCCACGTTATGCCGCAGGTGTACACTTGTCTGGAGTGTGTGAGCCAGAGAAACGGCGCACGTACGACCACGGGGTGGACACGAGATTCCTCGGACGGCAGCTGTGAGCAATTCAATTGCTGAATTGGTGCGGTGGGCTCTGGAACAGGCCGAGAACTCGTGACGGAATTGTCAATGGCATGATTCACGGGACTTTTTGGTTTGGCATTCAACAAAGAGGCGAGCAAACACGAGCTATCTGGGAAACGGATTTATAGATATACAGTGACTTGAAGACGGCATCTCTCATGGACTTTGGAAAGCCTAGTTCATTTTAATGACTCGGCAGCCTATTGGGAACAGCAATGAGACACTCTGGAGATCACACATGATGCATATTACACCTCAAGTTAACATCAGATCATCTTTACCGCAAAAACAGAGAACTTTAAAGTCGCGTAGGGCACACACACGGGCATTCGTCAATATCTCAATGACATGGAGTACACGGTCTTGTCGCAAGGGGATTCCTATCTGTCGCAATGGGCCCTCGCGGTCGCTGGGATTAAACTCCCTGCATCTGTAAGCTGAAACAACGAACCAACCCAAAAGAGACCCAGAGGCTTAGTTGTCATTGTCCTGGAATTCAACCCAGGTCTTCATCTTCGCCCGCACGCGCTCACCATAGAGCACGAATCCTTCATCCCCATCAACGGACCTCACCAAGCTGTTCTCGCCAGGTTCGAAAAAGAACGGAACACTGATGCGACCAATCGCTTGGCTGCCATTCTGCTGTCCACCTTTAGTAGTCACTGAGGGACTTGGGCTGGGGGCGCGGACTCGGTGCATGGTAGCCACGAAACGTCCGCCAGACACCTTGGCCATTAGATCGCCGATGTTCACTACAAGAGATTTCAGGATGTACGGCGCCGGAACCCACTCGCCAGAGGAATTGCGCACTTCCAGACCACCCGTGGAATCCTGGTGCAGCAGGGTCAGGATGCCACTGTCGGTGTGTGGGGTGCAGCTCAACTTGACCTCTGATGTATCTGCACCAGATCCTGACACCGCTGATGCAACTGGCGGATAGTGGAGGAGACGCAAGGTACTCAATGAGTCTGTCAGGTACGGCGCGAAATAATCCGCCGTCTTGCCCAGTGAAACGGCCAACAGGGATAATAATTTCGAAGCCAGCGACTGGAGTTCGATATATAGGGTTTCCAACTTCGGACGCGCGGGGAGCTTGTCCACTTCTGGCCAGACATTTGGCTCAGCAAGATCGAATTTCGAGGATGAGGAAACGGTAGATTTCGTGCGAATCGGCTCGGCGGGTCCCATCTCGAAACCTTCTTTCAAGTTATCAGATGCTAACTCTGGCTGTGTAGGAAAGTATCTTGCAGTGGAATCTTGTCAGTCATGAATGTACAACAATAGAGACTCTAGCATATTGACCCTCGATAAGTGTTGGCGTGATCAGGTCGGAATGATCGCTTCGCCAGTCTCATTTTTTCCTCCTGTGGAAGTGAGAAGAACTCTTTCGACATTGCGAAGACCTCCTCATGATTGCAACTCAAGGGTACATTGACTAAGTAAGCGAAACCCGTCGTGGCGAAGACGCTGTATAGACGTTGGCTCAACGCCGTCAACTCTGCCTCGGATGCTCCAGCAGGAGACCCGAGAGGGCCGACGTCGACAACAGGCAGAGAAGAGAAGGTGGTAGTCATATCGCACAGAATGGAGGGGCTTTTTCCGGCTCACACAGCGTCGTTTTGGGCCTTTTATATTCCCCCATGTCTACGCGGGTCCACATAGATCCACCCCACAATCCGCCCACTTCAAGTAAGTGGTCGTGTGCGCCGGACCCATCGACGACGTAATGGCCTTGCCTTCAATTGAGACATCTTCATGAGAATACACGATACCTTGACTCAATTGCAGTGTGAGCATTCAATTCTACACAACAGAAGTTGCAGGTTTTTGTTCCGAAATGCCCCCAAAAGGGGACGAAACTCAATCCCAACAATGGCAGGCTTCTCCCCGGCGCCTCAGCGGCGGTTACCGCTGCTAGACCCATCGCCAGCCGTGTGGCTGACGCCACCAGCCCGATCGAGTTTCGTGGGGGTCTCTAAACTGGAGGAAACGCGGGTCCTCAAATTGATGGTGGGGTGTCGTAGGGTTGGTTCTCAGGTCTGTGCGATTCTTTAGTGCGGTCCATTCGGCAAAATATTGGTGGAATTGACCGGAGCCAAAGATTGTGTCATGTAGAAATTCCGAAGGAGTACTAGAAGGTCAAAGTGTTGTTCTGAGAGACATATAGCGAAGGCTCCGATGAGCCTCAGACGAGGGCCTTTGTCGGTTCGGAACGCAAAATCATGCCACACAGATCAACGCGGCCATCAAGGTCAACCAAGCTCCATACAAGGAATAATTCGGATGATAGCCCCCGTATTCAGCTTTGGACGGTATCTGAAGTTGTGGCATGAATGATTGTCTCGGTGCCGCGGTGAATAGGACATGGAGGATAGTGCCTGAATGGTAGCCGCTTTTGACAGTACGGTTACCAAGGGCGGTCACAATAGCCTCGAGAGTGTGTGGAAACCTGGATGTAATTGAGCCAATATGCCTGCTAGGTGGAAATACGGGGAAAAGGATTCTATGACACGCGCATTTGATGACTTTTAGTTCAAGACCTCGACTCGCAGATCTAAGAGAATGTACATTAGAGTGAAAATGGGTTTCCAAGGCCAACCGAGACAAAATGACACATCCAGACGTCTTATTGAATGTCTAATCTGCCAAGACTCTCAAAGTAGCGAGGCAAGATCGTACTGGTAGTGGACGTTATGGTTCGATTCGTGATGGTGCTAGTACACTAATACAATTGCACATTTGTGAACTAGAGGTGACTAGCAGCACATGGCATTAACAATGAATGACCTGCACCTCCTGCGGAATCGGATTTTATGTCCCGAGTCAGCCTCATCTCTGCTACGAAAGTCGATCTGGAGAGAGTCAGAAATTATAAAAAGTATCGTAGCCTCCCGGAGGCCATTTATTGAGCTGTACAGTACTATACGTGTAAAACCCACAAAAAGCCAGAGCATCACAGCTTCTTCTCAAGTGCTGTAAGTGATTACCACGAGAACGCCTCTTCGAACAAATCAACTGTCTTGTCCCCTTGTACATCTCGCACAGCTTGACGGACACTGTCTCCCAGGCCACCAGGGCCGCATACACTGACAGCTAGTGCACCAAGCTGCTCAGCCACCTCGTTCTCTAGTAATGATTTGAAGCACGGTTTACCATGGGCAACGCTCACAGAGACATTGGCTGGGGCACATTCTGTCCATGGGGTGTCGGGCTGGGGGAAGTACTCTTCCATATTATCCGTATGGCCTGTGACGTGAATACGGATGGAGAGCATCAGATTCGGCAATTGGAAATAGTTGTTTCCGTTGGGTTTGACAGTGCTATTCAGGGCGTCGTGGCTCAAGACATCCAGCATCCAGGTGTGGATCCATGCTAGATGATCTGCATTGTCCATCGTCATTAGTATTGAATGAGCGACACGTGCGGTGAAGTTGTCATACCTAAGCTTCGAATCATCCAGACAAGATGAACTTTGCGAGTCGCGGACTTCTTGGAAGCAAAATTTGAGACCACGTCATGTAAATACGACATCGGGTGGGTGATGCCGATGCCTCCCGCGACCAGAAGCAATGTGCCATACGAAGCGAGACAGTGGATGCCACCGAATGGGCCCTCGGCCAGCGCCATGGCCTGAATACGACCCTGTGGTGAGTCCTCGGCCTTTTGAAGGAGCTTCTTCGTAAATCCATCTTGACCCTTGATCAGAACCGACATGGTAGTCGTCTGCGACCCTTCGAGAAGAGCAGCAAAGGAATCGCTGGAGCTGTTCTTCTCGCTCATCGAATAACCATCGTTCATTGATTTCCAAGCGACTGTGAAAGGATGCGACGTCCATAATCCCAGACACGGCAGGTACAGGTACATGTATTGACCGGGGCGGAAGTTCCAAGCTCGGGAAACATCGACATTCACGCGAGCCACGGAGCCTGGAAGGATTTCGACAGTTGCCGTTGTGCGTCGCTTGCCGCAGTTTCTCCAGATGAGGATTCCAAGACGGCCGGCTCGATCGAGCCCCCACAGAATCAATGTACCGAGGAGGACTCGTTGCTGCAACAAATTCTTAAGGTGGTACCACAGAGCGACGAATGACATGATCGCCAACGCGATATGTAAGTGCAGGAAAAGTTCGTAAAAGGAGTGTCGAATTGGAGACAAGGATTGGATGAAGATGAACACGAACCCGAGGAGTGCCTGAAGGGAAGGTCAACACATGTCAAGGAACGATGAGCTAGGCATCGGCGCGATCAGCTTACAACAAGCCCATAAATATAAAATGGCATCTGCCAGATGGTGTAAAGAATATAATCTGTGCCCTCTGCGACCCCGTTAGCAATTGAAATCTCGAGCACTCAGCGCTGAACATACTCTCATGAGCTTGATTGGCAAGAACGGCGCTCATGTGTATGAGAGCGTTAGCTGCAATGACACGTCCAACCCATCGATGCATGAAATTGAAGGTATCAAAAGACAGTCCAAGTAGAGCCACCAAGGGGTTGTTCCGTCCAGCACTCAGCACCAAACCAGGCGTATTCATGACAGCCAAATGGCCAGCCGCGTACTTGAGCTGGAACATCTTCTTGGAGAAGCCCTCCCACCAATCTACTGTCACAATGACGAAGACGACATTCAAAGCGAGGTAGATGAGCAAGAGGATCACCTCCAGCCGCAAGGGGACCGATCCCATGTGGAGTTTCATAAATCGGAACTCGCGGCTGTGTCGATTTCCGAAAAACGGTGCGTAGAGCATATGCTTCTTGAGACTCGCATTGACAGCACTTGTCCGAGATAGTCCCCTCTGATCGTCGTTTTGCAAGGCCAGTTTTGACCGACGACGGTGTCTAATTCGGACAACGGTTCTCCAGGCGAACAAGATCGCGATGAGTCCTCCCACAACAAACAGAGGAACCGCAACCTCTGGATTCATGGGCGCCTCCCCAGGGCCATGTCCTTGAAGTTGAACGCCCATGGTCCATGCGCCGGGACAATCACCGGGGATCGAATATGGCTGAAGGAATGCAGGAAGAAAGGTGTTTCGTCGCCGATTGCCCAACACAGGTTGTCCAAGAACTACTCCAAGGCTCAGTCTGGAGGATCAAAAGCGCAGGTCTTAGGAAACGGAGCGGAAAGGAAAGAATAATTCAGAAGGTAAATGCACAATGTTGTATTTGATTTTGGGAGACTTCCGACTCTAGATGCCGCCATTGACCCCTGGGGCCTGAGGAGCCTCTTTGCCCGATGCAAAACCATCATGTTCCGGCGGAGGAATTCTCCACGATAACAGGAGTGTAACGAGATCCGAATTGAGAGTGGTAGATCCGGGCCTCTACTGGGCCTGGGTAATCTTATCCGCATGCGAGCGGCGATCGGCGGGACGGCGGGCCAGAACTCTAAAATCTAGATCTTGTCGCAACTGCTGGGGCTAGAGTTGTCTTGCGTAAACTCCGCCTTCATCGTGACCTTTGCGGAGTCAAGAGATGGAGAAAGTAGGGGGCGTTCTAGACGCCGATCACTCAAAGACCATTGTTGGCCGAGAACGGCATGTTTGTTGGCTGTTGTGGGCTTGGACATTCCACACCATTGCTAGGCCACCCCAATGCGGCCTGATCCCCAGGAGGCACTTGTGTATGGAGCTATCAATCAAAGGAGTGGGAGTGTGTGTATAGAAATCATCGATGAGACTCATATGTTCAGAAGTTGACACTCACAATGTAGTTATCTCCTCCACGGACTTCATCTCCGACGTAATCGCCATTCTACGTCATAATCGCATCCAACGTGGACTCAGATGGGAGATCATGTAAACCCTGTTGGCCGGGACGCAACTGCAACGTTAAAAGACAATGGTTAAGTTCCGGTGGAGTCAGCGTCGTAGATGACGCCCGAGTTCTCCAACCGCTCACAGGATCCAGACCGTCAAGCTTTTTGAGGTCCTCGTACTTTTCCCTTTTTGCGACGTCGGGATCTGTTCCTAGCGAAAATGGGCCAGGTCGAGGAAAGAAGCACCGAGGCCATTGCCGAGGTAATGCATCCCGTCAATGGTTGTTGGCTTGAGGCAGGAATCGCAGGCCTCGTCAAGGGGTTCTCGCCGGCACACCGCCTCCCATAGCTCACAGCTCACCGAGTGCGGACGCCAGGCATACCCCAGGACAAAAACTACGGCAAGACCCACCCATGTCCAGGAGCTGAGAGGTTGTCCATCCATTCGATGGACGTCCCTGGGCAGGAAGAAGATGAACACCACAATTGCCACGTCTAGAAGCATTTTCTTGGCAAGTTCGACCTAGATGGCTTTGCTGTACCCAAAGTGGGTAGATGTCATGAAAAACACGATACGCACGGAACTCGTATGAGTCCAGCTTGGCGAAAGGAACCCACGAGAATATGCAGAAAGATTACGTAGATGGATAGTGTCATGCTCTTGCAAAACCTCGCGGGGCTATTGGGAGGAGTGTTCAACCACCGTGTAAGTAGCAATCTCAACAACCTAATGTTGAATGGTAACACTACATAAAAAAGTATTCAGAATCTGTCAGAGAAAGTGACGGTCCCAAAGGAATAGCCAAGGAAGGTGCCTTTTGCGAGGAAAGTTCCCGCCTAGGATGCGAGGCCAATATCCGGGCCATTAGACCTGATAGCTAGGAAGGAGAGGGGTTTCCAGGGCAATGGCGACTATGAAAGGAGCAAACCTTACCGGTGTGATGTATTCTTAACGAGCAAGGCACAGATGACGAACGTAAGCGCACTGTTTTCTTGTGAACATAACCAAGCCAAAACTATCGCATGACGTACCTGCCAACCGGCTCCATGACGAATGAATTCCTACTTGATTCAATGACCGTGTTCACTACTAACAGGCTCGCGTGGAAATGCAACAAATACAGTGGCGGTCCTGCCAAGGATCTCAGGGAATTTCGAGAAACCGGTTTGTCTGGGACAGACTGCTTTTGAAGAGGATATTGGCAAGGATTGAGCATGGAGATTCAGATCACATTAGCTAGTGTCCACTATATTTGAGCCTTAATTTTGACCTCGTACTCAGATTAATTGCAAGAACCCTACCGAGACGCACAAGCCAGATGCCGAAGCCGAACGGAGGAGGTGAACCACGGAGACATTGAGCGGACGATTTCACCGGAGCCCAGCTTGGGAATCTGACGCAGCTGGATGAAATCAAAAACGAGTCTGTCCGGGAATGTCGTGCGCTAATTCAAGTTCGCTATCGTAGCGCTGTCTCTAGTTGAGTCTTTGCGGGATACTTAAGAATTTCGGAATGACATCTGAAGGGTCATTCATCTGCACTCTCGCCGGACCGGTCCAGTAGCGCCTTGAGCTCATCTGCGAGTAAAACAGCGGATATGATTACGCTATTCCCTCCCAGGTCAGAGATGGGGTTCACTTTGTGCCTTGGATCGCCTAGTTACACCATTCGCTTGAAAAAGCAGGTTCTCAGTGCACCTTCCTCGAGAGGCACACTGGCGGATTTAATCTTTCTATCGTAGATATCGTCAAATGCCATGCCCGATCTAATCATGTCATCTTGAAACTATTCAAAAAGCCTTTGCCGATCTTCCTCGATGTAGCGAGGCACAGAATTGCCCTGGGTCAGACTTATTTCACAGTGCTAGGGCCTCATAGCACCCAAGTTGGTCGAGCAGGTGGCCACCATTCGGCGAGATCGCGAACACAGACCTAATCGCGGTGCAGTGTCTTCGCACTTCTCAGGCAAAATATAATGGAGTCTATAGTAATCCCAAGCCGATGATACTGTCACCGATAATTATCACCTTGAATGGACTATTGTGGGTAAATGGGATGCGCAGTACCAGACCTTAAGCGACCGGTGACTCGGGAATTGCTCAGAGAGTATAATCCTGAACTCGGCGATTACCCAATTCAGTTGCCTATTGACGGCTGTTGGCAGGTTTACCTGTCCATCTGGAGCTTCCCAGCTGGGAGCTTCCCCTCAGCGTGAATCGACATGTGCCCGCTTCAAAGGTTCATTGGCACGATATAGCTCGGCCTGGGAGGCAGATGTGTTTTCAGGTTGCACGTAGAATATTCCTGACCTGTGGTACATGTGGTCTCTCTCAGATAAACATTCTGGAACGTACAATGGGGCCATCTTATGAGATACAGGTGGTGTGATGTAGTGAAAGCCGTTCATTTGCTGCAAAGTATCTGGTGAACTTGCAAGACAATGGTCAGGTGGTTCTGTGTCTTTCTGCCCATTCCTTGCGGCAAAGTTGGCTGTCAAGGTATAATAAATGTTAAAAGTGGCATTCTAGACTTACATCTTTCAGTAGGATTGAATCGGAAAATGAGAAAGTCCAGAATTGAACGCTGTAACCAATATTTCTACACGGGAAAACGCCGTGCGCCGTATCTCAGTTCCCTTGCCTTTTAATTCCTCCGGTAACATGGGCTAGACCGCCGCTGCATAACTCAAAAGCAATAACGCCGTCATCATAAGTATCCAAACGCAAGATTGGGACTCTAAGCCGAGACTTCCTGCACCATCTCAGGGATCTGAGGAGCGGGCTGCATGTCTTCCTCAAGGCTGAGACTGCCGTAACCGGTGTCATTACTTGCAGATCGCTCTCGGCGAAGAGGCTTTGCGATCTGCGAGTCGACCAGATCTTGATCGGCATCGCTCTGGAGAGATTGGTCTGATGCACCCCGGCGACGTCGGCTTCGTCGCTTTCTTGATGGCAAGGGCTCGGGAGTCTTCTGAAGGTATTCATCCACGTTGACGCCGGCATTCTCACAGACTGTGGTGCAAGCCTTGACAATGACTTCAACTCAGGGTGGGAGAGAAGCCGTAGAATGCGGGGTTGTAGGCATTGCGGGCCCAGTAAATGAGCTCGGCAGCCACTCGGCCAATGTTCGGGATGTCTCGGGGACAAACCGCCAACTTACGGCCCGCCCGGGGCTTATCCTCAGCCTCGTCGTCCGCGGAAAACGCGGCCTCAGACACCGGAGTTGACGGAGCGGAGGAGTCGGACGAGAGAGAATGTAATCGACATCCGAAGCGAGCAGGTTCAGCAGATGGTAGACCGCAGAGAAACCAACAAGGCTGAGCTCGACCGGGTCGATCGGAAGCTGGTTGAACCAATTGATGGCCTTGTGAATCGTGAAAGACGCGGGCAAGGAGGTCTCGCCGGCAGAGTGCGAGGTGACCACGGCAGCGATCATAGCACAGCGCACCGCGATAGAAATTTCCTCGCGGACTGACACGGGAAGCGACGAATCCAGGAAATTAGCAGCCTGGCTTTGTTCGCCCTTTCTCTTGTCCTTCGGCAGAGCAGCAAGAACAGCACCCACGTTCTGGATCCGTCCCTGCTCAAAAAAGACTGCTTTCATCACCAAAGCACGGGTGTAGGCAGCCGAGAGACGTGGAGCGGTATCAAGCGCCATGCGGATCTTCTCCTTGAAATCGTCCCGACTGGCTTTGGATACGGGTCCCCCTTCGCTAGCCTCAAGATACTTCAGGAGCGCGCTCTGGAGGAGATGACTAGACCACCAAGCGGCGAGAGCATCGACTGAGCACTGAATAGCAGGGTCCTCTTCGACAACATCGAGAAGAACTTCGTCATCACCAGTACCTTCCTGGGTGGGTCTATTCCAGGTCAGGTTCACGGCACGTTGGATGATAGAGTCTGCCATAACCTCCTCGCATTCGAGATTGACGAGTGCCGCAAGGTGGCTTGGAAGCTGATCGGGATGACCCTCGGGGATGGCGTTATTGATCTCTCGCGCAACACCCCACTGGTAGTTGGCCAGAGCGCGAGCGATATCATTGGAGACGTGAAAAGTCCAGGAGCCAGGCTCGCCGACTCGCCACAGAAGGATGCGAACGTGCAAAGCTTTGAGCATCATTCTCATGGGACTTGCCGGAAGGGTGCCAGCGGCGAAAATTGTGAGCACAAGACGGCTTTTACTGATCTCAGCATCACCACCAGTGAGTTGCGCATCAATGGCAATGTCCCATGTCTTCACCCGGCCTCGCTCATCTTCTTCGGTGATACCAGTAGCCCAGGAATAGAGCTTCCATCCCATCAAGCATCGGAGAACATACTCGAAACATCGTGAGGTGACCACGTACCACTCTCGGAAGAATCTGTGGCGCGGAACACCAGCCCGTTGCATGCTGGTGAGCCATGCCTGTCGTCGGAAGTCGCTGGAAGTTGGAGCCATGGTCTGGCTCTCTGAAACGACCTTCGCGGGTGCGCGCTGAGTCACAGGCTGGGCGTTGAACAGGTAGACAAAAACAATGAATGCACTGCCTACCACCAGAGTGGCGAGCAGAAGGAAGTGTGAAATCGCTCGCGCGTGCCACGAAAACCAGAAATTCTTCAAGTAATACTCAGCGTGGACGAGAGTAGGTAACTGGAGTCGGCCGAGAAGATTCAAAGGGATAGCCATGAGACCCTTCTCCTCGGTTTCGGACTTGTCGGAGCCCATGCCCTCTAAGACCATGAGTCCGGCAAGGGCGCCCAGCATGTACTTGTTAGGCAGCTTGGAACGTCGGCGAGAGCCATCTTCTTGTCCATAGTGACCAGGACGAGAACTGGACTTGATATATGACTCGGCGAAAACCCCCGTTTGTGCAGACTCCGCACGCATGCGCTTCCATGCATCAGGGACCTTGATAAGGCCTTCTGGGGGACTCGAAGAGGTTGGCGAGGTTTCGCTTATCTCTTCAGGGTTGGAGAACACACTCGGAGATGTGGGATCTGAGGCACTGGAAGCAGTGTAATTGCTCGGAGATGACACGGAAGCAGTGGATGTGACAGCTTGGTCTGCCGCCTTATCAACTTGGCGAAGACGGTTCTTCAGAGCGGTATTTTCATCTTCCAGGCGCTTGTTGCGAATCTCCAGGTGCTTGATATACTCGGTGGCCTTGGACAGAATGGATGCCTTGTTAAGCTTGCTGGCAGACGTGGTGTCCTCGCCCTCGTCCTCATTCGAGTCACCGTTGGCGTTCTTAGTAGTTCGTAAGCTCGGTACACTGTCACGTAGCTCGGCAATCTTCTCGTTTAAATTCGCTCTGTATCGCTTTTCGATCACGTTGTGCGCACGCTTCTTAGCGGGCAATTTCTTGCCAGGCTGGACAGGACCAGTGACAGTGGTAGCATCATCGTCGCTGCCCGTCTTTCGCTTTCGAGACGTGCCAATGCTGGAGATAGGAGAGACAAGACCTTGAAACTGTGAGTCTTGGGATCCCCTCAGGTTGGGATTGTGACCCGTTCTTCCGGCATGATCGAATGGAATCTCCATCAGCCCGAGTGGCAGCTGCGGCGAAAAGTCTTGGTGGATCTGGCTGGGCGAGCTCAGGGTTGTGTTTGGAGAGACATAGGGAAGAGACTGGTCCAGTTGCTGCTTTTGGTCCCCCTCGGTGAACATAGGTTCATCCCATCTCATCCACTGCGTCCAATCTTGGGTGGCATTATCTGTGGGTGGTTGGGAATACATCCCTCGAGAGTCGTCCCCTTCCGATTGGCGGCCGGGAGAGAAGAGTTGGAAATCACTATCCATGCAGGTGGAGGTCATAGTGACCGGGAAGTCTTGCACTTGACTCCAAGCAAGTGATAGCGTTTGATTTGGATCAGACTATTCACCATTCGGTGTAGTCAACACTATGTCGTGTGTAAGCTTTGCAGAAGAGGATTCACAACGGAGCTCAGCTGTTAGGAACCCATGACTGGACACGCGAAAGCTATGCCCGTATCGGCTAGTGGCGGCAACCTTAAGTGATCAGAGAGAAGATGACACTCACTGGGTCCTGATGCTTTTGAACGTCAATGCGGTTGGGGATTGCTAAAGGGCGTGAGAGGCAGCGTGCAGGGAAAGGTGCAAAGACTGAACAGGGGAATAATGTCAGAAGTCCGAGTCGTAGGCGGTGCCAGCCATGTAGGGAAAGCCGCGCAGTCTAAAGATACCCACCCACTCGGTCGTAGCGTGGGCCTTTTGGAGACGGAGTGATGGGTGGAGTCTCGAATCAATTGGTCTTTCCTGCAAAGGCGATCATCTCTAGTTGAAAGGAGCTTGTGGACCAGTAGTCGCGCCGCGCGAGATTTGGAACACAACGTATTAAAGCTGGCTACCTTGCAGGTCAGGGTGGATGACTGGAATCATCGTGAAGGTGCGCCCGTTGACTGGGGCTTTTTCGGTCGTCGTATGATCGCGGCTCGCCGCACTTCCGGCCAGGCTTCCGTGGTACGGTACCAGTAATAGGTCCTTCGGGGACTCCCCAATGGTGAGGAGGACTATGTTCTAACTGTTATAATACGGTATTTTTAAGTCCATTCTAATTGGTTGTTTTCTACCAAGCCCCTGAATGACTCAGCACGCATGTGATTCAGCGTTTTGCACTCCAGAAGTGCTTTTCATCTTGAAACAGGCCCGGTTTAAACATCAAGAATAGCGCCAAGCCAGCTCGACAGCATTCAGGAAAACCGGATTTCATTTTTTTGAGTCAAAAGATGATCCTGGGCGGGTGCTTGGCATCTCCACCGGTGACATGGCAAAATTCACGAGTCAGGGTGAAATGATCTTATCTGATCGTGTAGCGTCCCCACCCACCATGCAGCGATACGTCCTGAACTCCAACTACGGCGACAGAGACAAATGAGAATGGTCCAGCACACCTGGTGGATTTCTCGCCCGTAGTCGGCGGGGGCTGAAACGGACAGTAAACTCCCTCACCCGCAGCAGGCTACTGTGAAAGTGGCTAAGAGAGGGCCTACAAACCCCTACGGCCTTGAAATGCGTCATCGGGCTTCAATCGGCGAACTTGGACGTCAGAAAACTCTTTCAAGATGGAAAAAAATCTAGGAAGAACCATGGCTCCAGAGTTATAGCTTCATTCGGATCGTTGCCTCGATACCCGCCACCGCTTCCATCAGTTCCTTGATCGTCTTCTTGACCCCTTCACTGGCTTCCTCGTACGGCGTGCGTGGTTTCAATTTCTCTAGGGCATTCTCAATCCCCGCCGCCTGGGCCGAATACAGCGCCACCGCATACTTGGTCGAGGCAATTCCACCCTTGCAAGGTGTCTCAGCCAGTGCTGCAGACCGCTGCAATTCCATTGCCTCGACCATCTTACCGTCGGTGAAGTATTCATAGATTTTTGAAGCCGTCTTGGGAAACACGTTCGCAAATGCTGAGATACATCCCGCCGACCCGACTGTCAGTCCCGCAACCAGGAAATCAGACTGTCCACCAAAGATGGCAAACTCGTTTGGATTAAACGTGGCAGCCAAGCGGGTGATCTTACCCACAGAGCCGCATGTCAACTTGACCCCGACAACGTTGGAGATTCCTTCGGGGCTTGTAGCCGCTGACTCGCGCACAATTTCCGTGATGGTTTCAGAGTCGATGTCAACCCCATTGCAGACGCCAGGGAAATTATAGATGAGCACAGGGAGGGGGCTCTTGCGCGCCACATCGGCAAAGAATCGTTTGACAACATTCATCGTGGTCGCCTTGCCGAAATAGGCCGGCGGAAGAATTAACAAGTAGTTTGCGCCCGCGGCAGCAGCGTCGTGGGCTAATTCGAGAGTTTGCTTTGTCGAGTGCGTACCCACGCCGGCCATCAGAGGGTAGTCAGGGCCAACAGCCTCACGCGCAGTAGCGATCAATTGAGCTCGCTCCTCCCGCGTCAACAGATATGCCTCGGAGTTCGTGCCCATGATCACCAGTCCAGCTAAACCGGTCCGTGACAGGTACGCATAGTATTTTTTCTGTGATTCAAGGTCGAGTGTATCGGTGACTTGATCGAAGATGGTCACCGCAGGGACCCAAACACCCGCCTTGGGGATACGCGGTTGTGGTGAAAGCTGATCTCCTTGCGATCCCATCTTCAGGAAGTCGATGATACTGATGTGGGTTGTTGCGACCGAGAATTATTCCCGTGGAAAGAGCAACGCCTGTCAATCAAGTAATAAAATAGACAAGAAAAAGATAAACTTGTATTCCTACACAGCAGGTACACCTGCTTTTGATTGCTTTAATATATTTGGGATTATGCGGGGAAAGGTGGAAAAGAATCCGCGTCGGACAGACGCCGATAAGCCGATGCTCGGTGAGCCGGCCGAGCTGGATTTCGAATGGTCATCATTCTTGATCCCTGTGGATTTCACTTGTCCCGCCGAGCGAAAAGCGCTGAGCTAAAGTGTCTTAAATTATGCTGTGAAGTCTCTCTACGCGCAATGAATGACTGAAGCATTTGTTTTGATTCTCTTGATATGATAAGTCCGAGGCAGTGACTACTCAAGCATCAGAGCCTGATTGCGCTATGGATCAAGCAGTCGACGGCGTAAAACCCAAAATCAACGAGATTCATTGAAACATCCCGTGTATAAGATCTTCAATGCTGCATGAAGGCGTTAGTATCAAAAGTATCGCAGCATTGCTAGGAATTGAGGTACACTTACCGTGATGTCTTCCCATTTCTCCCACCCACGCCCACGGACCTGAGCAAGTTCTTCCATTGTATACTGTTTTCCTGTGGTGAAGTATCCCGCGTTAATCTTAGCGTCGATCTCGACCCGCGAGTCGCTGGGGATCATCTCTTCGGGAATGGGAATGCGCTCGAGAATCTTAATGCCCGATTCCACGATGGCATCATGCTTCATATTCGACATGGAAAGCATACGGTCAATCTTCTTTATACCGAGCCAGTGGAGGATATCTGGCATTAGGGCTTGGAATCGCATCTTCGAAATTCAAGTGTTAGCGTACTGCAGACAACGTGGAAAAGGGAGAAGCTTGAGAAATTTCGTACATCTCGCACACCTGCAATGTTCTCCGTTCTCGTGAAGTACTTGTCGGCGGTATCTCCTCCGCGCTTGCGAGCATTGTATACTAAATACTTGATCACCTCGCCTAGGGCGCGGCCTTCCTTGCGGAAATAGATGACCACTCCACTTCCTCCATTCTGTGCCTCCCGAATCGCTTCTTGGACACCGAAAGCCAGATACGGGCGGCATGTGCAGATGTCCGACTGGAATACATCACTCCCATTGCACTCATCATGGATGCGCAATGCCATCTTGACGTTCTCATCAGATACCCGCTCAGGCGGACCGAAGATGTATACGGTGAGTCCTCCGATCGGAGGAAGAAAGACCTTCAAGTCTGGTCGAGTAATCAGCTCTGGGTAGCTGCCACCGGTGTGCTCGAACAAAGTCCGACGCAGAGTGCCCTCGTCCACGCCAAATCGCGCAGCAACTCCGGGCAAATACCACACGGGTTCCACGGCGACTTTCGTGACGCGCACCTCGCCGGAAGACTCAACAACGATAGAGCCATCCACATGGATCTTTCCTTCCTTGACAGCCTCTCCAATCTCGGCTAGCTTCATATTGGCCCGAGTGATGGCCATAGTGGGCCGAATATCCCAGCCGGCTGTCAATTCTTCCTTGTACTGATTGACGATATCATGGCCATACGGATCCATCGACACAATCTTTGTCTTGTCGCCCCAGGCTGGCTGCTGCGCAAAATCAAAAGTCGGCTGGCTATTGCGTAGGTCTGGGCGAAAGTCCGCATCAAGCTCCCCCGCCGCGATAGCAAGCGCATTATAGACGCTATAGGAACCTCCGTGGGCACCGATCGCATTGCGGCGCTTCAAAAGGTTCCCGCTACGGGATACCACGATCGGGCCGCGTGATTTTGCGTCGGGTGCACCCCATTCGAGGGGCACAGGCTCAATACCGCTTTGGCCGGGTAAGTTGTCAACTACTGGCGGTCAGCGTGGTCTGTCTTCTGGAAAATTAACCAGCCTACGATGATGTGCCTATAAGCCTTTGGCAAGGTGGGCGACGTCGGCGACGTCGGCACTGGCATACTGGAGGTTTTTTCTGAATCTAACATCGTTGAGAGTTGAAGAACAGAAAGCAGGGATGTGAAAGGTGTTTCGACGCAGACACATGTGACCTTCCCCGCACGTTATCGCTTATCTGCGCTGTTCGTAGCCCAATGGCTGCGTAATAACTCCTTCAGGTCGAGAGCCGTTGTGACAATCGCTTTACTTTTGGTCAAGAATGTGCTTACCGTGTATGATATAGGTCGAGGATGATGTACTAAAACCCTTTTTGGCCGTGTATACTTCCCTGCCCGATGCGCCCCCACTTCGCCCCGGACTTTTCGGCCTTAGCCTCTAGGGTCAAAATTGCGAACGCCGAAAATTACGCATACCTATCTGCATTGGGGCCTGATACATTGCTGTAGAGCTTATACCTTTTCTTTCGTACGTCGCAGCTTTCTACATTACATTTCTGGCCAGCAGCGTTAGCCAGGCCTTGCGCATGAAATTCAACCTCAAGAGAGGAATTATTGCTGCTAGTAAACATATCCGCACGATCCTCTGGCTGTATTCAAGAGACTTGATAAATTACATCAAATCTACATTTCGAGGGCTTGGATCGAGGTACAAAAAGACAACACTTCTACACAGATCAGGTTCGCACCATACAGAAAAATGGTTGGCTGGCATCGAAGTGATCCCGACCGACTGTTCTGACGGCTTCTTATATTCGCGCCGCTGATTCATCCACGGTCAGATCCTGGACGCCTGCAAAGTCATTGATTCTCATCTATTCCGCCTTTCGACATTCTTTGTCCTGAGATACAGAGGGCAAGGTGTGAGTATGTTTCCCACAATCATCTTCCATCAAGCGATGTTCAGACATAGTCGCCGTTTCCAGACGAGGGAGCCGAAAAGTGGGTTACATGCAGAAAGCAAGCAACATATTGGCAAAGAAAGTGATTGAATGTTCTGGACATGACTGGAGAGGTGCTAAGTTCGTAAATTGGTATCTAGTATTTCTGAAGCGATCCTCCCAAATCGTGAAAGTCATGGTGAGGTTTCATAACTCATCATGCATAGACGAGATGAGCCTTCCTTGAACGGGTATCATGCAAGTCCTAGGTCGCAACGAAGTTGGCCTGCGCGCGCGAGTTTTTAAGTGTGCGCTTGATGAGGTCTTCAACCTCATCCCAGTCGTTAGTCTCGACACGCTCAATGGTGCATTGGAAGTGCTCTTGAATTTTGCGCAACATGTCCCATTCCTCGCGGTTCGAGACGAAGGAGATAGCCACACCGATACGACCGAAACGTCCGGTACGACCAATACGGTGAAGGTAGGTCTGGTAATCGGGTTCACGGGAGCGCGAGCCGCCGACATATGCCTCTGGGATATCCTGATCATCTCATTAGTTTGAATCATTGATAGCTTTGAGATCAACATACGTAGTTAACGACAAGCGAAACGGTAGACACGTCAATTCCGCGAGCCAGAACGTTGGTAGTGATGAGAACCTTTGCGGCGCCGGTGCGGAACGCATCAATGATGGTATCGCGCTGAGAGCCTTCAATTCCACCGGTCAAAGAAGCGACAGTGTGGCCCTCGGCGACCATGCGTTTCTCGATTTCGACGGCCGAATTGCGGGTCTAAAAACTTGTCAATGGCGGATAGGCAAGAATTTAGCGGAAGTTACCTACTCTGACGAAGATAATCGAGGAACCAACAGTGAGTAGGCCGTAGAGCTGCACCAGGTTGCTGTACTTCTCCTCATCATTGGCGCAGTCCATGTACAGTTGCTTGATGCCGTCAACGGTCAACTCCTCATGTTGGAGGGTAATCTCGTTCGCATCAGGGGCAAACTTGGTCGCATAGCGGTAAACATGGGTAGGGAAAGTAGCAGAGAATAGGACGACTTGGATGGTGCGAGGTAGCATTCTGAAAAAAGGTATGTAAGTTAAGGTCGAACGGGCTCAAGGCTATGCGGCGAACTCACCCCTTGACACGGATACACTGGTCACCGAGACCTTGCTGGTCAAGCATGTTGTCGGCCTCATCAAGCACCAAGACCTTAAGTTGGGAAGGATTCATAATCCGCTTCTTCACCAGATCCTGAACTGTACCGGGAGTGCCCACGACAACCGAGCAATTCAAGCGGGAGGGGCGACTGGATGTATCCGCAGGAACTGCAGTGCCAATAACCAAGCCTTCCAGGAATTGTCCCATCACCTGAACAACACCGACGATCTGGCGAGCCAGCTCACGAGTAGGAGCAAGGATTAGGGCCTGGGGGGTCTGTTGAAGCTCTTCGGTGCTAAGATCGAGACGGCTCAGAACGTTAAGGACGAAAGCGGCGGTCTTGCCAGTACCGGACTGCGACTGGCCAACGAGGTTCTTCGGGGGATTGCTCATCAACAGAGGCAGGGCGCGTTCTTGGACCTTAGACGGCTTGCGGAAGCCCATGTCCGAGAGACCTTTGAGGATGCGTTCATCGCTGTATTGCATCATGAGCGGGGTGGCACGGCGCTGTTTTTAATGTCATACTACTCACAGCCCCAAGTCTTCGAAAGACTTGATTGAGTAAAGCGGGTTGTTCGGGTCAGCTTGCAGGTCACTGAGCTTGACCTCGACACTGTAATCCGGCTCGTGAAGATCGGAGGCTTCCACGGCATTTTGAAGCGCATCTACTGAGCCAGATTGAATCATATATTAGTCTTGTTTCGATGTAAAGAAGATTGAATTCACGTTCGCAAAAGGTTCGAGGGGCTGGCGGGGTGCGATGAGTGAGGATATGATGATTTTGTACCAGGAGGAGGGGCATCAGCCGTGGCAGCAGGGTTCGAGACACGGTCGGCCAAAGAGCCCCCGTTCGACGGATTTTCGACGGATTCGGACGCCATCTCGGGATGCGAATTCGCGGAGCAAGGGCGGATTTGAGAGGAGCAAAGAAGGTGGGGCGAGTTGGAGGGGGTGAAAAAAGTGAGGGGATGAGTCGTGAGATGAATGGCAGGACCAAATTCGTCCCAGTGTGCACGCGCGTGCCGGAAGGATAGATCGATCCTGAAGATGAGCTTGACTTTCTGAATTGGTGATCAAAAGAGCTCTCCGAGCAATTGCGCACTGCAAAAACAAGTGACGCCGCTCCGGGCTCAAGATGACGCTAGTCCAGGAAAGGTAGTCTTGTAATGTTATCGTTACAATACAATTCTGACCTGGGCATGATACCCGGTTCCATGGGAAATCGGGGTAATGTACGGTTACAGGCACCGGGCTCTCCCCGCCTTCGTTGCGATCATCGCCCTTCTGTCCCATTTGGCACTTCTCGGTCAAGCCTCAAACTACTAGCTATTCCTCCGACGGCAGTGTCCCGTTCAAAGACGACACTACTTCGCATCAATTCTTCCCGCTCGGTTCCTTCGCTCATGCCCAGTCTGACATCGACCGCAACCGGGCCATGGCGGCAGCAGACGCGGCTCCCCAGTTTGGAGCAGAGCTAAAGGTATGACCATGGACCAAGAGCGTTTCATGTTCTGTGTTTTTGACTCGTTTCGTCGCATAGGATAACTTCAAACCTGTCAATACTTGGGTACGTCACCGGCCTCGATTTCTCGCAAAGGGAGCGTCATATCATCTCCAACTGGGGGCGGAGCTAATGCAAGCACGTTGCGCAGGTAGCGAACGGCATATCGTGGCTCGACGAGATCCAACAATTCTATCGCGAGCGCAGCGTTATCGAAAAAGAATACGCATCCAAGTTGACAGCCCTCTGCAAGAAATACTACGACCGCAAATCGAAGAAGATTAGCCCACTGAGTGTCGGCGACACCCCCACCCTGACCCCGGGCTCCCTTGAAAGCGCTTCCCTGACAACCTGGACTACCCAATTGAGCACCGTTGAAGCTCATGCCGCCGAACGCGATAAATATGCGACAGATTTGCTCGCCCAAGTGGCAGAACCGCTGAAGCATGCTGCTTCTCAGTATGAGGAAATCCGCAAGTGCCACGTCGACTACCACAGCAAGCTAGAAAAGGAACGGGATGCAGCTTACGGTGACTTAAAGAAAGCAAAGGGTAAATATGATGGAGCTTGCCAGGAGGTTGAGTCACGACGAAAGAAGATGGAGTCGTCATTTGACCATAGCAAAGCGAAGGCCCAGTCAGCATATCAACAACAAATTGTGGAGATGAACAACTACAAGGTATGCCAAATTATTCATGACGGGTTGATTATCTAATGCTCACGCCTCTTGCAGAACCTATATCTCATCAGCATCAATGTCACCAATAGACTAAAGGAGAAGTTCTTTCATGAATATGTGCCCGAGATTCTGAATGTAAGTTGTTCCCAATGCGTCTCATTCCTGATTCACACAATGTGCTTAATCCTTATGTTCCTACGTCAAAGGGCTTGCAAGACCTCAATGAGACTCGCGTGACCAGACTCAACGCATTCTGGACTCTGGCCGGACAACTGGAGAAGACCTCGCTCAACAATAGCGTGAACCACGCAACCAATTTACTGAACGAAATCCCCCGCAATGTCCCTCGATTAGATTCGATGATGTTCCTCCAACATAATGTCACGCAAATACAAGAGCCCGCAAACATGGGCTTCGAGCCCAGTCCTGTATGGCATGACGATGCGACGATCATCACCGATGAGGCTGCCAAGGTCTTCCTACGCAATTTGCTCGGCAAGAGCAAATCTCAAGTCCGTGAATTGCGGGTAGAGGCCGATAAGAAGAGACGTGAGCTCGAGAGCGGCAAGAAGGTCCAAGAGGGAATCCGGCAGGGCAAGGATAACCGTAGTGAGCTCGACATCGTGCGATCTATCTTCTACATTCAGGAGGGATTACATGAAATTGAGCGCAAATGGTTGACAGCCGAGGTTGAAACATCCACCATTATAGCCGTGGCAGGAGACCTGTCCATGGGAGCCCAGAACCATAACTTCCGATCTCAGACCTTCAAGATCCCAACCAATTGTGATCTTTGTAAAGAGCGCATATGGGGTTTGTCTGCCAAGGGCTTTGACTGTCGCGATTGTGGCTACACCTGTCACAGCAAGTGTCAAATGAAGGTGCCTGCTGAGTGTCCAGGAGAGCAATCGAAAGAGGAAAAGAAGAAACTTAAGGTGGCACGTCAGGAACAGGCGAATGTCATGCCTGCAGTCGATGTTGAGTCCTCCGCGGCTTCGACGCAAGCTCCGTCGCTCACACGACAAAACACCATGACCTCCCTCAGTTCAGGGTATGCCGCCAGTGGTGCCCAGCCCGTCTCCAATGTTGCTACACAGCCTACCACCGAAACTCCAGCAGAAGGAGCGCCAGCATCTCAGGCGGAGACCAAATCAGCGGCAGCGAAGAGTCGCAGGGTCCTGGCCCCGCCACCAACTACTTATACCGGCGCGCCGGCTGCCACGGAATCCAAGTCGAAGGAATCAATGGGCAAGATGCTCTATGGCTACCAGGCCACCGGATCCGACGAGGTAACCGTGCAAGATGGTGACGGTATCGCTATTCTTGAACCTGATGGTAAGTTATTGACCCACGGAAAGTAGCACTCTATCTGACTGTAATCACAGATGGATCTGGATGGTTACGGATCCGCGCCGGCTCTAGCGAGGGTCTTGTCCCAGCTTCTTATGTTGAGGTCACAACCACACCGTCGCCTGTCCCCTCTGCCAGTCCTGCCCTCACTGACCGACCGGGGTCTGTGTATTCCAACTCTTCGGCCTCGCTGGCGGGTAGTGGTGCGCTGAAACGAGTTGGACCGGTCGTGGCCCCACGTCGAAGGGCCAAGAAGCTACAATACGTCGAAGCCTTGTATGATTACGAGGCTCGCAGCGATGTGGAATGGTCGATGGCGGAGGGTGACCGATTTGTCCTCATCAATCGCGATAGCGGTGATGGTTGGGCTGATGTGGAGCGGGGTGGGGTTACTAAGAGTGTTCCGGCGAACTACATCCAGGATGTTTAGATCGGAGACACGGGGATGCAATGTATATAGCCAGGTCACGGTACTGTCGTCGCTTTGGGGAAGATTATCCTGTTTGTGCTGGTCTCTGTGTCTACTATGCGGCGTTTTTGTGGCCCTCCCAGCATGATTTGCATTAGCAAGGAGCGTTTGGGGGCTGTCTGTTTGGCATTGGGAACTTGATCTAGCGAGGCGACTCAAACCATGCAAAATCCGAGCGAAACTTCTACTGATAATAAATGATCATAGATGGCAAATGACTCTTATTGAATAAATAGACCTGGGGCCTATTTAGACAAGCGAGGGTGACACGGTCGCGGTGAAATATTGAACCCTGTGAAATGACATTACTCGGCTGAACCCGATTTCCGCACCCATTGCTTCAAGAGCTTAATCCCTCTTCTCCCTCCTCGGCTTCGACGGGGCATGCTGCTTCCTTGGCTGAATTATCATAAACAGATCAAATCATACCCTAAGAAACAGCAGATGACCCATAGCCAACACACTAAGCAACTCAAGCGGACATCAGCGATCGATAATATACGCTCAAAACATATCATATTTCGCTCATTCTGCCATCTGTGACCTTATTCATGCGCAACATTCTCGATAATATCAGTAGTACATCCAGCGTCTGTTACGGGCTCACGTCCTGTGACCCATGGTGAGAACTTCTACTAGCGGATGTATGCGATGCGTCCTGCACCATGAGTACTTCTCACCTGACTACTACATTTCTTAGCAGGCGAGCAGTAGCTTCTGCCATAGCTGCTGCTTCATATGTTCAAGCAGCTTTTTGAGTGGTTCGCATTGGCAAAAGTAATGTTCGGATGAGTGTTGGTGCATCATTTGCTACGCAGTCCATATTCTATGCTTCTTTTCTATACCATAGGCCAAAGGTCCAAGATCGTCTAAAAGAAGGTATTGAGAAGTATCTGACAGTCAAAACGGAATGCGAACTACTTGAAAGTCATCGGGAGGTACCCTAGCCAGCTTCTATCACATCGGAAGATGCCGAACTGCCCCCTCCCGATTCACGAGCCCTAAATCTGTTCACGATATATCGGGGCTATTAGCCTGGATTATACATGAATTGCCCAAACTGAAACACGAATCAGCGCTGTGCTAATTTCATGCTAATTATGGGACATTCATCCTCAGAAACAGGGGGGTGCGTCACGCCGGTCGCCCGGCGCGTAACTTGAGACTCGACAGACATTTCTAGCCGCCGAGCGACAGCCATCACATCTCACATTTCTCAAAGCTATGTCGGAACAACTTTCTCCTGCTTTTTTGCTGGCTTCATGCACTGTCTCAGCACACGCCAAGCCAAGTACATCTATTTATATACCCTGGAGTTTAGCCGCCTGTCGCCAGCGATTACTGAGGCATGGCGTTCCCCTAAGAGGATGAAGAGGCCGCTAATTAACCAGGAAATGTGACCTAATTGTTGCTGATTTTAGAAGTGTTCGATCACTGTGCAGGACCCTAAGCCTAATGAGGAATCTGAAGAACACGACCGAAGCTGATGCGAATTATAGCACCACTTAACGCGCGACAGTCCGCTGAAACTGCACTATACCCATCCAAACCCAAAACGGAGTTTCAAAAAGCCCATGTCGCGCGACCCTCAGGCACAATGGTCGGCAGTTTCGTGTTTCATCGCGTGGCAGGCGTTCCTCTGCATCGGAGACAGGGAAGCCAAAAAAAGATTTGGAGCCTCCGGCGTCACGATAAACTGCTTCTCCATGTTTCATGTTGTCCAGATCCACTCTATGTTCGTCAGGTCTTTTTATATGCAGTGCTTAGCCTGTATGAGTCCGTTCAAGTTCTACTAAATATCCAAACAAACTCCTTCCGGATCATGTTCATGTTTCTTCAGACAGTGGTTTGATCTGGTCTGATCTTGCCTTCCATTATACTCTACCTTCGATTCCTCTGTGTTTGGGTCGACCATCCATCAGCTTCTTATTGTCTCATCATGGCTTTGGAATACGCTCGTTACCAGCCAACTACTCCACCGGGCATCCATTTTGAAGAGTACATCGGATCAGCCTACAATCTTAACACATCCCATTCGTCCATCTATTCGGGCGAGTCCTCGCCGTGGTCAACAATGACTGGGAACACAAGCCCAAGTTCCTCGCCAACTCGGCACCACCATGGTCCTGCTCTTCTACCTAAAATTCGCCCGCAAGATGTCATTATTGAACCTGTATCTGCCGGTGGGCCCTTGCGCCATCGGCGATTCTTATCCAACACTAGAAACCCACCTGGCTTTGCTCCCTACCCAAGTCGGCCGCCTGTTCAACGAAATGCCCTTGAAGCTTCAAAGCGCCTGGCCCTAGCTTCTCCTATCTCGCCGATCAACTCCACTGGGCATGCTAGCTCGTCCGCCCTTTCGTCTCCGGTGACTGTCACCCCGAAGAGCAAGCGGAAGGCTCCCAGGGGACACTCACGCTCAGTATCAACTTCTTGCATTGATGAGGCCACTCTCAATCGTTATGGATATCCTACTTATCGGCAACTTCCCAAATATGTTGCGGCACAGACACAGCCCAGCACTCCAGCCACTCCAGCAACACCAGTAACACCAAGCATCATGGTCTATCCATCATACTCCCAAGTATCAACAGCTCAAGTGCCTCGTATTGGTCCTGTTCGCCCTCACAATCCGTTGACAGTTCCCACGCCGCCGTACAATTATACTCAAGCACACGGAGTCCAGCCATCACCGGTGCCACCACTCAGCCCTACGGAAGATTTAACCTCATCATCTACAAATCTCTTGTCGTATCTGAGCTCGCCGACTCAAGCAATCAATCTCGTCCGCAACGTCAGTGTTGTGCCCACGCGCGGCATGCACGACTATTTTTGGTGGGATATTCGCAACCTTCGCAGTTGGAACTCTTTCTCACTCGGTACTTTTGATTCAATCCGAGGCCTCACTAAGCTTCTCAAGACCGAGATTCTCGGCACTCTTGCTCCTCCGGTGGTAGTGAGTCCTCAGCGCTTAGCCCCAGAGTCGGAGCCCGCGCTGGTTGGTCTGATTCGCGACCTTTATGCACCCCGGATCAACGCTGCGCTGGCTGTTTCCCAGGGCGCAGAGCATCTCCAGCTCTACACAGCACCGGACATGCGCTATGCTGGCCACAAAAACCACGGCCATCCGCACTTCCTCGCCAATTATGCCACAGACTCGGAACACACTGCTTCTGGTCAGCCCCGTGGTCGTCTAGTGGGAATCGTCAAGAGCTTCGATCGTTGGAACTCTGGCATGCGTATTGAAGCGCCACACCGACGCGTCGAATATTTGAATGGCTTGGCTCATCTACAACGCTGTATGCGTGAACACTCTTGCCGATACGGCTTTATTATCACCGAAATCGAGCTCGTTTGCGTTCGCGCCGGCTGTGACGAGGGTGACGATGTCCCTTACTTTGGTTATCTCGAAGTCGCAGCCCCAATACCCCTCAAAACCGCCTTCACCCAGTCAAGTGCACGCGATGCACCATCCCTATCCACCCCTATCAGCGCACGATCTTTCTCTTCGTCATCACACGGATCATCCTCCTACTCGAACCATGACTCCCCAGTCCCCGAGCTCGAGCCATCAGACGAAGGTCTTTCTGTCCCGATGACAGCCAGCTTAGCATTGTATTTTCTGATGATGCTCTCAAAATCCGTTCCACTCCCTTTCCAGCCATCCGCCCACCTCAACGTTGGCGGCCCCGGGGCTCTCACTCGGCAGCGTATCCTGCCCGAGGCAAAGGATAAATGGATCCCAGAACCGCAGATCGGCGAGAGACGTGATGCTAAGCGCGTACGCGGGTGGGTCTGGCCTCAAGATGCTTGGCATCGCCGGGAAGGTGGTGGCCTTCCTCGTTCGAGGATGTCGGATGGGAAGAAAAGGTGAAAGAATTTCAGTGAGGAGTCGGCGCAAGGATGTTGGTTCTTATTTTACTTTTTTGGAGTTATCGAGTGGTCTTATCTTTTCGTCGGCGGATTGTGGCTAAATGATTTGCCTAGGTGCCTAGGTGTTGGTGATTGGCTTGGGGCTTTGTGTTTTGCTATTCCCCTAGGTGTTTTTGATAATAATTTTAATTCTCTTCGTTCAATTTATTTGTATGCTTCTCAACTACGTGTATTGGTAGTTTCATTTCATGTTGTCGTACTAAGTTTCTGTCTTGAGATGGCATCAGACTTAGGATGTGTCAGCGACACCCGTGACCATTTAGATATATTCATGTCTATATATTCGTAAATTATTCGCTCCACTCCCTAGACTCTTTAATCTTTGTATGGACGACCCCATTCTTGGTATGGATGTTAACAGGTTGACTTTCCTACTATCTCATTCCCAAGGCTTCTTGAAGCTTGAATTTCTATCACTTCGCCCCTGCCGAAACCAATGTTCCCCAAGGTCCCCATAACAGTAGACCTCCTAGTAGCTTCCAGTGGATGGTTTGATCTGCAGTTCTAGGTGTGGGGAAGACCCATCTTACCTTGGCGCATATACTGCACGAGACCACAGGGACCTTGGGAGGAGAGTACCTCGATGGCTACGCCCAAAGACATTGTAGCATTGGTCCACGGTGACCTGCGCTACATATAAAGGAGACATCCTCCACTCTCCTAGCACAAGTTCAGCGCTCGATTACACCCCTTATACGAGATCTCTTTTGTCATTTGTTTTACCCCCTGTCAACATGCACCCAGATAATGGTATCTACGATGTCATCATCATTGGCGCTGGACCATGTGGCCTTGGAGTCGCCGCTCGACTGCACGAAGAGACCCCTTCGGCTTTGTTCACAGACGAAGAACATCAAAGATACCATTGGATCAAAAAGCATACGGGTCGGATGAAGCTTGTTCAAGCTGGCCACGCCAAGATCAACGGCTCTCGCGCTGAGAAGTGGAACCGAGGCCAGAAATGCACGTGCGACAATGTACAGGACAAGGAGCGGCGAAGATCCACAGATTCGACATCTTCGGTGCCTTCGCTCTCATCTGCCTCTTCAGTCTCATCGGACGACTCCATCTCAACGCTTGTACTGGACGGCTCGGGGGGATCAGTGGATGCAAAGATGGAACAACGCATTCAAGACGCTAGAAATCAAGCAGTTGAGAAGCCCAATGTTCTTCCATCCCGATCCTGGTGATAGAGATGGCATGTTGGCATATACACAAGAGGTTGGCCGGGAAGATGATCTGTGGGAGATTTCGGGTTGCGTCGGGAAAGAAATGAGCAAGCATAAGAAAAAGAAGAGACGGCAAGGCGGGAAATCCCAGTAAGTATTTGTTGACTGCTCTTAGTTCGAACAACCAAATCTCATCATCATTGATTTCTCCGAAGGACTATTGGCGGTGTCGAGATCGATGAGCGTGACCGCAAAGATTATTTTTCTCCATCAACTGATCTTTTCGCCGATTATTGCGCGTCGATTATCGATCGATATGGTCTGAACGAACCGAATCTCATCCAGAAACAAGAAGTTGCCGACATTACTTACGGTTATCTCCCCGAGGATGAAGCCACGCCGGTATCCAACTCAAAGACTTTCACGATTACTACCACAATGGGCCAAAAGTTCTATAGCCGAACGACTGTGCTTGCTATTGGAGCGGGGGAGCGGGTATATCTAAGATCTTCCCTTGGCGCGCTGCAAGCGAGGAAGAAGGTGCATCGGCATGCTGTCATAGCATGGAGATCAAGTCATTCCCGAGCCCCGATCTCCGTCGTAAGATTCAACGTCATCAGGAAACCAATGTGGTTGTTGTGGGAGGTGGCCTTTCATCAGCACAGATTGTGGATATGGCCGTACGGAAGGGTGTTACCAAAGTATGGTTCCTCATGCGCTCTGGAATGAAAGGTATGTGATGGAAAAGAGAAGCGCAATCGGCAGCAACGTATTAAAAGATTTCTTGCAGTTAAGCACTTTGATATCAGTCTGCCGTGGATGGGCAAATACAAGAACTGGGAGAAAGCAGCATTCTGGTCTGCAGATACCGATGAAGGTGAGTGATCTCATTTAATCACCTTTTCTCACCTGGGAAGAGTGAGAGAGAGGAAAAGATAGAAATCCAGCTGATGCAATTACATAGAACGTCTAGAAATGATGAAAGTTGCCCGCAACGGAGGCAGTATCACGCCTCGTTACGTGAAAATTGTCAAAGACCACGCAGCACACGACCGCGCATCCATTCACACACATACCACCATCACCGCCCATAAATACAACCCGGAAACTCAGAGCTGGGCATTGACCACCGATCCGCCGATCCCAAACCTCCCTGCTATTGACTTTATCTACTTCGCAACCGGAGCACGTGCCGACGTGACCGAGATGCCACTCCTACGTAACATGAACGCGGAGTATCCTATCGCCGTCAAAGAAGGGTTACCATGCCTCACAGATGATCTCATGTGGCGTGAAGACGTACCCTTATTCATGACAGGTAGGATGGCAGGATTACGATTGGGACCTGGGGCTCCGAACCTCGAAGGGGCCAGGCTGGGAGCAGAGCGAATCGCCTGGAGCCTGGAAGATATTCTGGAAAAGAAAAGGGAGGTTGGGAATCAGTGCGCCGTCGAAGGGTTCTGCGGGCTGGGAAATCGGTATGCCTCGTTGGTCGGTGATAACGACGAGTAGATTAGGGCTATGCATACGCTTCGGTATCTCAGCCATTGTCTCATAACCATGACTGTTTCTGTTCCTCTCGAGAGACGCCCTGGATGTTAAACGCGCCTTGACCTCCTCGATGGAGATAAACGATCAGCTGGATGGCGCAACGTCACTGTAAAATATCCGAGAATCCATTCCTCCCTTCATTCCGGACTCTCAGATCCCGTATTGTCCACGCCGGTGGAGTAGACCTCTAGCAAGATACAGCCGGAATGTGGGTATCCCTTGTTCTGCGTGAGCTTTGAGGAGCTCTCGAAAAGTATAAACTCTTATTGAGCCTTGGCCCGGAGAAATTGTTCCCTGGTATCTTATTTTTCGAGGGTGCGTTGTGCTCGTGGCAGCCACTGAATTCATCATGGATCAAGGAACGGAGCCCGATACACCGGTGGAAGCATTGAAGGTGCTTCCGACCAATACACACAAGAGCTGGGTGAAAGACCGTGGGCTACGGCGACTGAACTTAGGGATCGCACTCATGTTCGCTTCGTCCGCTGGCACTGGGTATAATGGAAGTCTCATTAATGGATTGCTCGTCTTACCTCAATGTAAGGAGTTCATATAAGAGAGGCTCACACGGAATCAACGCTAAAACAACAACTTACTCTGGTCTCAGTTTCGACCATCATAGGAGGTCTCAACCCGAACATCGTCGGTCTTATCATCGGAGCTACTTCTCTGGGGGCTTTCATATCATTCACACCAGCGTCATATGTGGCGGATAATTTTGGGAGAAAGTGGTGTGTCTTCGTTGGATCATCGATTGTGATCCTGGCATCTATTCTTCAAGTCGCGACCTCAACTCACTGGGCCTTCTTTGCTCTTCGTGTCCTGGCTGGTGCGGGAGTTGGTACGTCTCAGACTGCTGCACCGCTGTTGGCAACTGAGATTGCGCATCCTCGGCACAGACAAGTGGCCACGGCATTATACAACACCTTCTGGTGTGTCGGTTCGATCACCTCGGCTGCGTTCACGTTTGCTACACTATTGATGCATAGTAGCTGGTCGTGGAAGATCCCATGTGTGCTGCAGGCCTTCTTCCCCGTGGTTCAGTTGATAGGTCTTCTCATTGTGCCCGAGAGCCCTCGATGGCTGGTGTCCAAGAATCGTAAGAATGAGGCATTGAAGGTTCTGGCCCGTTACCATGCCAATGGCAATGAAGACGACATGTTAGTGCAGAATGAATTCGAGAAAATCTGCATCAGCATCAATGACGAGACTAGCGAGCCTCGGAACTGGAGCTCGTTTTTCTCATCCAAGGGCGACCGACATCGCCTGGCAATCTGCGTCATTGTTGGACTTATGCAAGAGTGGGCTGGAAACGGTATAAACCCCCCCCCCCCTCTCCCCTTCCAACGCACCACCCGGCATCAGCTCACAGATTCGTAGGCATCGTTTCCTTTTACCTGGCACCGATTCTAAAGTCAGTCGGGATCGATAATGCGTCAGACCAAGCATCCATCAATATCGGTATGCAAGTGTGGAATTTGATCCTCTCGTCTGCTGGAGCAATGGCATCAGAACGATATGGCCGGCGCATTCTGTGGTTGCTGGCGACAGCAGGAATGCTCATGTTTCTTTCGATCACAACCCTTGTTGCCGGTCTTTTCGCAGAACTATACATCAAAGCCGCGGGGCTGGCCGTGGTTCCGATGCTTTTCCTCTTCTTTGCCTGTTTTGATCTCGCCTATTCGCCATTGTTCCTTGCGTACCCGGCAGAGATTCTGCCTTATCAGCTTCGCGCAAAAGGAATTGCAGTCACGCTCTCGGTCGATGCCATTGCTTGCTTCTTTAATCAATATGTGAACCCGGTCGCATTCTCGGCTATCCAGTGGAAGTATTACATTGTGTATATCGGCTGCCTGACTTTCTTCCTGGTATCGGTATATTTTCTGTTCCCGGAGACCAAGGGTCGATCCCTGGAAGAGGTGTCACGAATCTTCGACAGCCGGGAAATCCAGGGTATGGAAATCAGGGATGCCAGCACGAGCACCGACGAGAAAGACGATGGCGAACAGGACCGGAAGTTCTCGAGATAGTATCATATCATAGGTTTTTTCTTTTTTTTTCTTTTTTTGGAAGTCCATCAGCTGTGATGGCCTGAGGTTTTCATGTTATTAAGTCTGCCTGTCGTTGCTTTGTCTATAGAAAGGGCTCTGTTGTTGAGTAAATTCTGAATCAAAGTCTCTCCGCCTTCGTCTAGCACTTGGTCCCTGTCTTGATGTTCTTTTTATTTTTCCTAATATACTTTCTGGGCAACTTCAGGGTCACTCGCATAGAGTCCAATTCCAAGGCCATTATCAACTGTCCAATCTTTTGTTGATCAGTATAGTTGAGTGGCCAATCATGGCCGAGATGAAGGTGCTGATTCCCCCGCAATTCGCTGTAACCTTTGAACCTTTGAACCTTTGAACTCCCCGCGCTGCAACGTTGCTAGCTATTCTTCTCCGTGAAACAGTAGATCGGGAGCATGTCAATACTCCAGCCTATTCCCATCCCAATTCCAGCTCAAAGCCACCTCTAGACCAACATGAAAGAGCCCCAGCTCCCCCAAACAGACGTCCTCGTCACCTCCATCAGCTCTTCAAGGTCTACCCCAAAGCAACTGCGCTTCCTCGTGATCGGTGCGGGTTCTCGCGGTAACGCCTATGCTCGTGCCGTGACAAAAGTGACACAGGGCACAATCCACGCCGTCGCCGAACCACACCCCTTCAAACGACGGGAATTCGGCCGGAACTACATCTGGGGAAAGGGATCAGCAAAGGAGGGCCAGGCATTCGCCGACTGGCGCGAATGGATTCAATGGGAAACCAAACGACGAAGCACACACGGCCTCCACAACAGCACAGAGATACCAGACTCAGGACCCGTCGGAGTCGACGGTGTATTCATCTGCACATTAGACGAGACACACATCGAGGTCATCAAGGCCATCGCCCCGCTCAACCTACACATCTTATGCGAGAAACCACTCGCTCTCTCGCTTGATGACTGTCTCACTGTCTACCGCACCCTCCAACCACCCAAAGGTGCCGAGCAACGTCCACGACCCCCGTCGAAGATCTTCTCCATCGGCCACGTCCTGCGCTACAGCCCACACAACATCCTCCTTCGCAAACTTCTCCTCTCAGACCAAGTCATCGGCGACATTGTGTCCTTGGAACACACCGAGCCCGTCGGCTGGTGGCACTTCTCTCACAGCTATGTGCGTGGGAACTGGCGCCGCGCAACACCCACAGGCGACGGCTCCCTCTTAACCAAATCATGCCACGACATCGACTTCATTCTCTGGCTCCTCTGCTCGCCGCCTTCGCTTGAAAATGCCATGTCAAAGGGCCATGAACCGCACTTTCCACGCAGTATCTCGTCGGTGGGATATATGACGCAATTCAAACGATCGAGGAAACCAGTCACGGCTGGCGATGCTACGATTTGTCTCTCTTGTCCCGCGGAACGAGAGTGTAACTATAGTGCCTTGCGGATCTATAACGATCGACATCTGGCCAAGGGGATTACGGGATGGCCGGTTGATATTGTCTGTCCTGACATCGAGGACGTGGTCCAGACGCAGGGTACTGCGGCGGCGAAGGAACATTTACTTGAGAAGCTACGCGAGGACTATGAGGTTGGGAAGAATTCAGATTTGGATATTGCTTCGCGCCCTTGGTATGGTCGGTGTGTTTACGAGGCGGATAATAATGTCTGTGATGACCAGGTCGTCACCTTTGCCTGGGATGATGAAGAGACCGAACCGCGTCGGTTGGCGAAGACAGCTACGTTCCATATGATCGCGCCAACGGAGAAACAGTGTGAGCGGCGGGGTCGTGTGTATGGGACAAAAGGAGAGATTGAATACGACAGTCGGACCATCTCGATCTACGATTTCGCTACGGCGAAGACGCAAGTTATTGATGTGCCACCTCCGCCTCCCGATCAGAAGGAGTCTCATGGTGGTGGTGACTATGGCTTGGCGCGACAGTATGTCAATGCTGTTGATGCGGTGGTGAATGGGGGTTTGGATGTGGAGACGGCGCAGGCACGATTTGTTGGATGCAATTTGGAAGAAGCAGTTCGCAGCCATGCGGTTGTCTTTGCCGCTGAAGAGGCGAGGCGCGATGAGAGGGTTGTCAAGTGGAGGGAGTGGTGGGATGAGAAGCTGAAGACGTCGGCTGCTGTTTGGGCTACGTGATTATTCGGCATGATTGATGACTTGATGGACTCGGTGAGCTTGGGTAATTTTGAAGGGGCTGGTTTCCTCTGAAATTATGATGCCAATAGGAACCTTGGGAAGGAACATTGATTACTAGGATAAAATACGTGAGATTCTACCCTCACAAAATGGTTTTCTGCATTCTTCCATCATATTATGATATCTTCACGCGGAAGTGAAACAATAGCCGTGATCCCCATCCAGCGGGTCACACAATAGCACTACATTGAGATTTGCTTAGGTCTTGACATCGGGCTCCTCACGGCCGACGAATTCCTTGAACTTGAGGAGCTGCAGGGCGAGGGAGACGTTGTCAGCAAGGTATTCCTGGGCACTGAGGCCGAACTTGGAGCTATCGCTCTCGTAGCGCTCAATGTACAGACGAATGGTGGCGCCACTGCTGCCGGTGCCGGACAGACGGACGACGATGCGGGAGCCGTCATCAAACTTGGCATACAAGCCCTGGTTCTTGGACACGCTACCGTCGAGGTCAGTGTAGGAGAAGTTACCGGCGTCAGTGACTTTGCGGCCAGAGATGGTGGAGCCGATGAAGGTGTCGCGGTTGGCGACGAGGTCGGACAAGACGCCAATGACTTTGTTGGCACCTTCGCTGTCGACGTTTTCATAGTCGTAGCGAGTGAAGAAGGTACGGCCGTAGGTCTTCCAGAAGTCATTCTGGATGGAGGCAATGCTGGGGGTCTCATTGGGGGTCTGCTTGGCCACACCAGCAATGATGTTCAGCCAGGCGACAACGGCCCAGACACCGTCCTTCTCACGGATATGGTTGCTACCAGTGCCGAAGGATTCCTCACCACAGATGGAGATCTTCTTGTTGTCAAACAGGTTGCAGAAGAACTTCCAGCCGGTGGGCACCTCGTAGCTCTCAAGACCTTGGGCCTTGGCGACACGGTCAACCGCGCCGGAAGTAGGCATGGAGCGGGCGAGACCGTACACGCCCTGCTTCTTGAACCAGGGAATGAGTTTGGCGTGGTGGGCAATGATGGCCAAGCTGTCACCGGGGGAGACGAAAGAGTTGGCGCCGTAGATCATGTTGCGGTCACCGTCACCGTCACTGGCAGCACCGAAGTGCACACCGTTCTTGTCGACGGCCTCAACGAGATCGTGAGCATAGACGAGGTTGGGGTCGGGGTGGCCGCCACCAAAGTCCGGCAAGGGCTTGCAGTTCATGGTGCTGCTGGCGGGCAAGCCGAGCTCCTTCTGGAAGATGTCGACGCCGTAGGGGCCGGTGACACCGTGCATACCGTCGAAGAGCACCTTGAAGTCCTTGTGGGTGTTAAGGAAGTCCTTGATCAGGTCGAAATCGAAGATCTCCTTCATCATGGTCACGTAATCGGCGGTGGAGTGGACAACCTCGACCTCAATGGGGCCGTAGCTCTTGGTACCAATGACGGAGGTGTCGACATCGGGCATCTCAACGTAGTTGTAAGAGGTGAGGGACTTGGAGGCTTCAAAGATCTTGTTGGTCACGGTCTCGGGGCGGGGGCACCGTTGGACAAGTTGTACTTGATGCCGAAGTCGTTATCGGGACCTGGAGACAGCTGGTTAGCGACCAGCGACCACAAAACGAGCTCTATTCTAACTTACCACCAGGGTTGTGACTGGCAGTCAGCAAGATACCACCCGTGGCCTTGCGAACACGGATCAAGTTGCTGGCAGCAGGGGTACTGAGAATGCCATTCTGGCCGACCAGCAGCTTCTTGACACCGTAGGCGGCACTGATCTTCGCAATCTTAGAGATCACCTCGGGGTTGTAGTAACGACCATCACCGCCAATGACAAGGAAGGCTCCCTGGGCACCTTCGGGGATGGAGAGAAGGATGCTGGTAATGAACGACTCGGAGTAGTGAGGCTGCTCGAACACCTTGACCTTCTTGCGAAGACCAGAACTGAGATGATATTAGCAGGGGAATTGCGATAGTAGGTCCGATCAACATACGTGCCGGGCTTCTGGTCCGTGAAGGGCTGAATGGAGACAGTCTGGACTGACATGATGAATGAGGTGGATGATGGAAAGAAAGAAGGGGGGGAAAGAAGAGCTTCACCGACTGATGAGGGGCTGCCGTCATGTGTTGATCATCGCACTTGGCCACATTTGACAGCGTTGAGCTAATCACTAGCTACAAATTCAATTGGTTGGGCTCACTACTTCCAAGTACGATTTGTTCCTCGACTAAATATTTGTTTTGCATCTTAGATAGAAGCTTGAGCCGAGACGAATTCCTAGAGTAGTGTTCCGGAGCTCTTCCTCGGAGCTGTTTTGCCATTTCCAGGGAAATCCAAGTACGCGCGGGGCAGCTCCGGTTTTTTACCTAGTGAGACAGTCCCTGCAATGGCCTGGAAATCCGGTTTAAAAATAGAATTTTCTGCGTGATTTCCAAGTTTCTGCTCAGATTAAATTCCAATTTGCAAATTCCAAGATGGAACGATAGATTCCAATAAAAGGGAGAAAAAGTCGTCTTCGTGGGGGGAAAGAAAAACATACAGATAGGATATCAATAGCATCTAAACCTCACCCAAACAACTTCTCCTTATAATACCGCATCTCAGCAATACTCTCTAGAATATCATCTCGAGCCAAATGCACCTCCTTCTTCGGTGGAACATCTCGTAACAACTCCTCACTTCCCCACCTCCTCGCCGCCTCTTTGATCGTACTCACATCCAGAATCCGATAATGCAAATGTTCCATCACCTTTGCATAGGGCCCCTTCACCAAGAAAGCCTTATCAGCGTGGACACTATTCCCCGCCAGCAGACCCGTGCGCGCAGGTACGTAACGCTGGACATAGGCAAGGAGCTGGTCGGCCGCAGTAGCGGGCGTCGTAGTTGAGGCGCGCACGGCGGCGGTGAGGCCCGTGCGGCCGTGGGTGTCGATGCACCAGGGCGACATGGCGTCTAAGGTGGCATCCGGGACGTTGATTATTGTTTCAAAGCCCTTGGGTTCAAGGAGGTTGAGGTGTGCATCAGTGATGAAGCAGCAGATCTGAATGATTTCTTCTTTTTCAGGGTCTAGGCCCGTCATCTGTGCTGGGTAAGTCAGGGTTGGGGAGAGGGAGAGATGACAAAGGGGACTCTTTACTTCGCAGTCGATCCAGACGAGGGGATCGGTGGAGCGTGTGAGTGGCATTGTGGTCTTGTAGCGTAGAGCGAGGTGTTTGGGGTTGTCAGTCGTGATGTTTGACACAGCGTGGTGCAGATGGGCGGCAGAATCTCTGGCTTGGTGGAGAAAGCAGCCGTGCAGGCCCAAAATGCTCCTGGCCGAGAGAAACAGTGATCGCAGGGGAACAATGTGCCATAGCATATTCAAAGGTGGTAGTTCTCAAGTGTGTATCGAAAATACGTGATCAATGCGGTGGTTGGCACTGTTTGTTCAGCTAGCTTTGGTCCCCTTGGCTCAATTGGTGCAATGGCAATATCTGAACGATGATGACGACGTCAATATCCTAAAGACAGTCTCCAAGTGCCAAGCACAAAATTTCAAGGTATCGGTCAGCCTGATACGATATGTTCTACCCGGGTATATGTCTTTACAAAGCTTGTAGTGGAGGCAAAAGTATGAACAAGTCGCTAATCTGGCGACGCAGCTAATGTATTTTTCCCTCCGAATGCTTTCTGTAGTGTAAGAATTGTGGACATAACGGCGTCAAAGAGGGCAAGGTAGTGAAGATAGAGAAGAAGAATACGAGCGACGCCACCGCCTATTGACGGGAGACTATTCGACAGGAAACAAACAAGCCATTGACTCCGCAAAAGAGAAATTTCTAAGTCTTCATCCCCCCTTTGTCAGCGGTCTGGTATCAGAGCTATTATCAATTCAGAGCTCTTCGTCAACGGTCTCCGACTTGGCCGGCCCGTCGTCCAGCTTATCGCCAAAAGACCCAGCGGCTGCTTTGTTCTCGGTTGAGCCCGAACCCAACACCTCGTTAATTCGGCCAGAGGACTCTGCGATGCGACGACGAAGGGCATTCTCGTCTGCTGTTGATACACTTGCGCGCTGCTTCTTTAGCGGGCTGCCTAGGAAATCGTTCACTGCGTCGACGCTGGCCTGAGGCTGTTCGGGCGTCTCTGTTTCCGTCTTCATCTTCGGGGGCGTGGTGGATCGCTCCACAGCAGGGGGTGTAGTTCCAGGAACCGGGGTGTCGACGGGTTTCGCGGCGTTGCTTGAACCCGGTTCCGCGGAGCGTTCGCGCTTGAGCTATTTTTTTTATTTTTTTTAGCGCTGTTGTTGATGTAAAACTGTCAAATATCACTTACGCGAATCTTGCGAACACCCTCTTCCAGCTCCCCTTGGCGCTTGATGTCGTCGGGAGACAGTAATTTGCTGTCTTCTTTGTCTTCCTCGTCGTCAGCTTTACCCAAGATGGGGTTGTCGGTGTCGTCATCGTCGCTGTCCATTTCGTCGTCACCCTTCTTGCCTTTGCGACCAGCTTCTTGTTCGCGGAAATTCAAGAAGCCCACTGTACCGCCGGGCTTGAGGGGTCCTAGATTGGAAAAATCGGCCTGTAGAGATTTCCGCTTCGCTGCAGGTGTTTCCGGTGCCTTGGGGTCTTTCGTTATGCCCATCTTCTGCAGTTGTCCTAAAGAATCTGTAAGTAGATGTCCAAAGATCATAAGACGAATGTTACTCACTTTCGCCGCGATACATGAATGTGAACGTCGCGTAAGGCTTGTCAGTCGGGTCGATGCCTGTGACCGTCTGTGTGCTGATAGACTTGGGATCCAATGTTTTGGGCTTTGCGAAGCTCGTCGTATGATCGACGTCGGCATCCCCTCCGCCATTATCCCCTCCGCCTTCGTCGTCGTCATGTGCGTCAAATTGCGGCGAGTATTCACCTCGCTTGATCTCTCCGGATGCCAAAACGCGGAACAAGGCGACCTTTATCTGACCAGCGGTTTCGGGTATCGGATCGTCGTCGTCGGAGTCCGATGAGAGATCATCGTCAGAGACATTCTCCAGGGGATCCTTCTCATCATTACCATAGCGCATGATGGTCTTGGGTTTTGAGGATGCGCTTGACTCGATCTCCATTCCTTGACTCTCCTCCTGGCGTTTTGCGCGACGCCTCTCCATCTTCTGTCGTCGCCGCTCGATCTTTGCGGCTGCATCCTTGCCCTCCAGATCCAAGCCATTCAACCAGCGCTCCAGTCCGACTTCGCGGAATAGGAATTCACGCTCAGCAATGCCGCCGCCCTCGGAGTCGGGCACGCTGACCCACCTTGAGTTCACCCAAGTCTCCTCCCCTCTTCGCAGCAATGTGGCCACCTCCTCTTTCTGCCTGCCATCAAAGTAGATATAAGCTGCCACCGTCTCGTTCGGAGAGTTGGTTAATGCCTGATATGGCGCGACGGCTCCTGAATACTGGCCACGCTCACCGGTCTGGCCGGGCAAGCCTCCAACGACCTTCGGCTTAGGGGAGGGATTATCCGGTGTGGGTTTGGGGGTCGAGTAAGGGACATCTTGGCCAGGATTGAGCAGAGTAATCGAAATGGCAAAGGTGGATTGTTCGGCCTTGCCCTTAGCGGAGTCGGGGACTTTGGGCGGGGGCACCGGGATGAAGCAACCTATCCGCGACGCTCTCGAGTGACGCTGGATCGAGTACTCGGAGATGGGGCCATCCGGGGTATGAATGCTCACGGCGAGCCCTTTGAAGCACGGCATGGCGGTGCCTCAAGGGAAGGACGAGGGGTGCGGTCTGTGTTGTGGCGGAGGTGAAGGTATGAAGAGGGGCGAGGGACAGCCCCACGCGCTCGAAAAGGAGAGTGCACCCCCAAGCAGAGATAGAAAAAGGAAAGAGGTAAGTCGCAGCAAGTGAGGGTCTAGTCTTTTTTTTTTTTCTGCGTCCCACGAGAAGTGTGAGCTAGCTATACGGTGAGAGGCGGTCAAGGTAGTGTGTTTTGAACTGGTGCACCCCAGCAACTGGGTCGACCCCACTGTTTGCGGGCTGGTATATAGAGGGGGGCTGGGTTGAGCTGTGCTCTTCCCAGGGATCTAGGAAGAAGGGGAGATCGAATAAACCAAGATGGCGAGGGAACTTCACTTCTTAACGGCGACAAACCTCATGAGATGAAGCCTTTCATCACAACCAGTCTGTCTCGACTCAGATCTGCCCAACCCCACGTGATATGAGCGTCGTGTGAGGAGAAAATAACCCCTAATGTCTCTTTGTCACTGGTCACTTGCATGGCACTGCATGAAGATTTCCAACTCCTCATAAGCCCCTGGAGTTCTCAGGTCCCGCTATCTTCTATCGTAACCGAGTTAGGTATTGACCTCGTCATTCCCATCACCTGATGCTCACAACCATGGATCCGCAACACCCCCCAGGACCCGCTATGCCAAGTCTACGGATACGGAACTAAACCACGGAACCATGAGCGTTCATGTCATCTTTCATCAAGCATAATATTCTGAGTATTTGAAAAGTGTTGTAAGCACATTGAACCGAGTTCGAATGACCAGCATCCTCCTGCGGCCCAAAATAAACGAAGTCGTAAATCAACAGTTAGCGCCAAATTACAAACCCAAGCTACGCCTTGACGGTCTCAGATACAATACTCTGGCTTCGTGCAGATTGATCACGCGTGTCCAAGTGATCGAAGTTGTAAAGTGGCTCAAGCTCGACTTTCCGGCGGAGGATGTATCTGTTGATCCACCACGGAAGTGCCTTGAAGGTTTGGTAATGCATGTGAACCCGGGTGGGGACCGCAAAAATGTAGTCGAGCTCTTCCAGAGTGCGCTGCTTGGTCTCGGGAACAAACAAGAAGATCATGACCAGCGCAGTCACGTTCAGGCCCGCGTAAAAGCCAAAGGCTCCGGTAGGAGTCATAGCGTGGAGCATGCGTGGGAAGGTGATGGAGAGCACTGCGGCCCAACCTAGGCAGGTTGCCACAGCCCACGACATACCGACTTCACGATGAGACAGTGGGAAGACTTCAGCAGAGTAGGTAAAGGGCACAGGGCCTTCACCAGGAGAGTAGAATGCAGCAAACAGGAAGATAAAGAGAGCCACGGCTGCCAAGTGAGCACCTCCGTTTCCTGGGATCCAGAAGCAAAACCCAGCTGCGAGAAGGGTCCAAGCCATCTGAGGGAAGGTAAACAGAAGCAGAGCTCGGCGGCCATAAGTATCGATGGTCCAAATTGCCGGGAAGGCGAACAGGAAGTTCACCGCACCGAATCCCCACGAGGCAAATAGAGCTCCGGTGGTACTGGCGCCAGCTTGCTGAAAGATGGTACTAGAATAGAAAGCGATGATGTTGACTGTTGACCGTTAGAGGCAAGATGCACAAAGGGTGGGGTCATGGTTCACTTACTTCCACACATTTGCTGAGCAATCATCACCGTGAACGAAGCAAGGGTAGCGCGACGGACCCGAGGAATAGTAAATAGCTCGACGAAACGAGTAGCATAGTTGCTGTCTCCAATAATGCCCTGTTCAATCTGGATTTGGGCATGAATGTAGTAGAGATCTCGCGCAGCCTGAAGCGGTGTATTGCGAAGACGGCAAAGAGACTTGTAAGCCTTGCCCATTTCGCCTCGTCGGATGTACCAACGAGGAGACTCAGGGCAAAAGTAGACACCGCACAGAAGAGGCACGGCTGGGATGAAGGCGGACCCAAGCTGCAGACGCCAAGACAAAGCACCGGTATTCATGACTGCCAGGTTAGCGCTGAAACCGAGGAAGATGCCAAAGGCCGTCCAAAGCTGCCAACACATGACTAGACCGCCGCGAATTGGGGCAGGCGTATTCTCTGCACAGAAGACAGGGACGGTGGAAGCTTTCAGACCCATTCCGATTCCAAGAAGCAGACGGGTGATAAACAGCTGGGGCCAGTTCTGAGTAAACGCGGAGCCGATAGGAGACAAAACACAAAAGATGGCAGCGATGAAGATTGTACCACGACGGCCCAAGATGCGGTTGATGGGATCGGAAAGCCAGCATCCAAGTACGGCACTTGCAATGTACGGGGCAGCGTTGACAATACCAACAAGCCACTGGTTCTTCACGCTCGCCGTTTCTGGAATACCAAAAGCATCGGGAAAGGACAGGTTAGCACCGTTGGAACCAGTCTGATCCCATCCCCTTGGTGGAAGTCAGTACTGCAGCAAACTAAAAAGATCATTGTTCATTCAGCATATCACTGATCACTTACTGGACGGCAGCGCCAATCGAGCACAGAATAATGGTAAAGTAGAGAGCCTTGGGTTGACGCCATTTGTGAAGAACTTCATCACGTAGAGCAGAAACCTCGTGGTCTGTGAGGTCACAAACCGCTTCGTAATCAGAAGGGTCACGAGCAACCAGAGCTCCTTTCTTCAGCTCCGGCAAGATATCCGTGACGTTGTACTCCTGAGCGAAGTCCTCCACATCGCGGAGCACTTGAGACTGACTCAGATCAGCAAGTGGATTCTTGATCCTGAGCTGTTGTTAGACAAATTCCCTCACAAAAATATATTTGTCTCACTATGAGGCTCAAGGATGAACACATACTTGGCAGAGATATTGTTGTGTAAATCGATTTGCTCGACATGGCCCTTCTCGGCACCATTGTGGTCATCGCCGGTCCTGTTCTGAATTAGCAAGATAGGTTGTGCAGCGTACAAGCAGACTGACGTATTAGGCGACTCCGCGTGCGTGATAGTTTCCTTCATCATGGCAATGGATCAAAACTCATGTACCAAATGTGATGTTGGGTAGAAATTGTGGGGGTTATCAGAAAGTAAGAAGGGAGTTTGTAAGGAAGAAGGGCGACCGAGTCAACACAATGCCTCGAGGGAGGGCAAGACTTGTGAATAGAACAGATGATTGAATGGGAGAAACCATTGCCTTTTTATGCTGGAGGGAAATCCCCTCCGGTCAGCCCGGTAAGAAGGCCCAAACTAGATGCATCTTCCAAGCTAAGCCCGGAGACCTCGATCTACTTCCCAAAACGGGGTGTGGAGTCTTGGGGGTTCTCAACCGCGGGGAGACTTCCACTTGTCACCTGCCCATGGGGAAGACCCAGACCTCTCCTGAGACCTACGGAAAATTTGACAGCATCCCGGCATCTCTGTGTTCTCATCCTCATCCTTTGGCCCTCACCCGGCGTCAAGTATTGATGGCCGAAACCCACTGGGCCTCAGTCATGTCCGGTGAATGGACAAGCCTCACATAATTCTGTCGCTCTTTGAATGACGTAAATCCGCTAGGTCAAAGCAGGGCATCATCCTGCCCACGTTGTGTGTCCGAAAGTAGAATTCCAAAAATCGCTGCATTCGGGATAGCGCTACGATAAGCCTCTTTAGCGCGACGCGAAACGAGATTGGGCGGAAATGGAGACTCCAACGCCACCATCGCGTTCTCCACGGTGTGCCGTAGATACTTGCCCTGGGTGGGATGTGCCTTGACAATTTCCGTGGACGAGATCCCGACCGCGGCCACTAGGTATGATTGGCGAGCGCCCTGTGCACACGTCAAACCGGGTTAACAAGGCTTCATCATTGACTCTTGAATCACCGAGATTATCTCGATGTTCCATGTGGGCCGAGATCCCAAGTCAAGATCGCATCCGGCGATATGAGCGATCCCCATGTGCTTCGCACCAGGCCATTGAGGCCATGAGGTGAACATTCAGCATGGAGAGAATCCGGGGATTCCCCACATTCAGACCTGGAGAAACTTCCCGACTTTTGAAGGTATCCCGACTAGGTTCTCGAGCCCGAGTCGGCCCCAGCTGCCTGCCATTAAGCTTCCCCCGACATAAGCCCGCCCGTGTTCCACCTGCCCGATCTTACTTGGTTCTACTCCGTCTGGAGACTTTTTATCCGGAGAAGCTTTCAGTCCCGAAACTCCAGAAACCGCGCCCCGCGCAGATCGTGGGATGTCGGATAAATCAGTAGCCAAAAAGCCCGGGATCTCACCGAGACCATGTTGGTTCGGGCCCCTCGAAATGCGTCTGAGACTGTGCTCCGCTTATCCTAGCCCACCGAATAGCATTCTTGCCTTCTGTTCCACGCGTTCTGTACCGTACTCTACAGTCATCAAATGATGTGTCACCGGCTGATATCAATCGCACGCGGGGATACCGAGACAGCTTTTTGCCGAATTGAGATGCCATAGGATGAGCGCATCACCATCGCCGTAAATGGCCGTCTTCGGCAAAGTCCGTCTCTTCGGCTAAGGCCTGAGACCTGGGGTTTTGATCAACGGAATGTAACGCTGGAGACTCGTGGCTGCAGCCATGTGCGCGTTGCCCAATGCGGCCATTCCTCTAGTATGGGAGAGCTTGTACGAGTCATGATGCCTACTTACAACCGATGTCGGCGATCACTCAGATCAGAATTGAGCCGGAATAAGATGTAAAATGAAAGATGCTTGCAATGACTGGAGTGATGACTTATTCAAGATGCATGTCACGTACGGTGCTCAAACATTGGTTCATGTGCATCATGATTATCGAGAAAAAGAGGTCATCTTCCGCACGTTTACAGGCTGAAATAGCAGCGACAATGAGCAAATATACACCTCAATTGGACCAATAGCTACTCTGCCTTGATATTCTCCTAGGTCAAAGTCCTGCCGCGTCATGCGGAGATCAACGATTCCCGTAGAACAAGACTAATCGCAGACTCTGGATAGACAGAGGCCCTGTCACAAGCATCAATTTACAATTTGCTTTGAGCTCTGGATAGGACGGAGGCTTGGAATTAGCCTTAGTAGAGTCGATCTCCCTAAATAAAATCTACTCCGCTGATCCACCGGGTCATTATGTCCAAAGCAACATCGGGACGATCTTGTGGCAGCTATCGGAATTGAAAATCAGAATCTGCCTTTTTTTTTCTTTCTCTTTCGTCCTAATTTGAGGGGCACTCACGAAATGACCAGCATTGTCCACAGTCACGATTGCAAATCGTGATTCAGTTTCTGCGGTATCGCTCGTTCGAACCCGCACTTCTTTCATCGTTCCGACAGTTTCATTCTTGCCAGTGGAAGCGACCACTGATTTCCAAGGCTGCAATGACTTGGAAGCGAATTCAGGCTGTCCATTCCACACCAGGGAGTTCGCCCAACGAAGATTTCCCGCGGTGTTACAGGCAAGATCGAGATTGCCCTGATAGGCGAGATAGTTGACCTGGTTCTGAAGAAGATACGCAACTTGGTCAGATGTAGAAGTTTCCAAATCAGAGGTGTTGCCAAATGATCTCGCAATCTCTTCCGAGTACAAAAGGAAGTGATCAATTTGTTTAGGTGGTGAGAGTGCATCCCAGACACCTCGAGTATTGAGGTATTCCCCTACACGAGCCGCTTCGATGTAGCAGAAGTTATCAACCTCGCAAGGAGCCGTAACTATCAGGCCATGTCAGTATCAGGCCATGTCAGGCGGTCCAGGAGCAAGTTTCTGGGGTTGAGATCTGACTTACTGTCAAATCTGTTACGACCACCGGCATGAGACTCGTCATCGTACCATCCGATGATGCCTTCGTAGCAGACTGACATCGAGGCATTACAAATGGCTGGGTCTGGGTTGTTGATACAAGTGTCCATGACTTGCATGCAGCGAGGCATGTTCGCAGCCATGATATCGCATCTGGTCTTGTTGAACACTGGTTCTGCAACACCCGGATTTGTGGTACACAAAGTCTCCCAGTATCCAAAGGCTGCATCTTTAGGGGACATGTACCCGTCTCCCACCAGACACGATCGAAGTGGGATCTGCGTTTCATGAGGATATCGCTTATTCTGCTTCACAATTCGAGAGCCAAGGGCCGGGATGTACTTGCCCTGCACGACTTAGTCTCTTAGATGATGTGGAACGAAAAGAAAACTCAGAAATTCTTACCGCGAAGGACTCTCCAGATAGATGGAATGGACTATCCAGGTGATGAGGGAAAACTTCTGAGATGAAAAGTTGCAAAAACTTGTGCATATCCACGGCAGCCTGTGCCGAATCGCCGGGGAGGTCATAGCCTTCATCGAGATAGGAGAAACCAACACCGACAGGTTGATCAACAAACAACATGGATGACTTCTTGGACCAACCCCATGGGTTATAGTAGGTGCCATTGCCGTGCTCATTGACCAGACAAGGACCGACCTCTTCGAAGAGACCGACCATACTAGACCCGCCGGGCCCACCTGTCATCCACAGGGTCAATGGGTCGTTGGCGGGGTCATGCTGGCTTTCAAAGTACCAAAAGAAGAGATGAACGGGGCCCACATCAAGCCATCCGGTGTACTGTGCTGAACCGGCTGCACAGATCGATTCGTTTTGCCTCCGAATACGAATTGAGTGTTCTGGTGAAGATCGGCTTTGGAATACTTGGAAGCCGTCAGAGTGTTCCGGCTGGAGGACTTGCTGGGTTGCAGCATAACTCAGGCCGACAAGGCCCGCTATAGATAGAAACAACATTGGAAAATCAAACTTCGCGAAACTGAAGTCCAACGGCCCCGGAGCGAAGAGCCGTGATCATAAAGTGATTGCAGCCTAACTTCCCCTTCCCCTCATTTGGCTTATGAAACCTCTCCGTCCGGGCTTCCGTCGGCGCCTGGGGAAACTTGACAGCTATCGGTGATAAGCATTTGTTTTTTATCGCTCGGCAATAGGACCGCTACTCCATTACGGGCAAGGTCGATGTCGGACCGGTACTTGAGATGAAAGAAGTACAAAGTAGTAACTGCCAGTAATACCGGAACATGTTAACGACCTCCACCTGCGAAGATCCCCTTGGTTTCCTTCCTCTTCTTCTCTCTTCCCCCTGTCTTGTCTTCTTGCCAAAGCACCCTTGACCCCTGAGCGCGGGTATGTAAGCACTCTTTCCCAGGCTCCTCCTGCGTGGCCCAGTGCTCCGACCCGAGACCGTTGGCATGTTGATATCGGCAATTAGAACCTTCAAGCTAACTTGGGCAAGAAACGTATAGGATAATACTCGAGACTTAGGGCCGATCTTGATCATCCTGTCACCAGAAGATGCAATTGCTAGACTCACCGCATGTTCTAGGAGAGCTTCGGGTCTTATTCCGAAAGCTACCCTGAAAGCGATCTCGGGATCTACTTAAGCACTCATGAGGATGGCATTTCAATGTGCAAGTTACCATTGGGAATACCCATATTTACTTATATACTAAACACTAAAACGTGCACCTCTCATCTAGCATCCAAAAGCCTTAGGGCACAAAGTGTATCTCTCCGCTCCGCCTCTATTGTATCCTAATCCCAATCTCAAGCTCAAGCTCGTGGCCGAAACACCTCCCAGGGTCAGGACGAAAAATTGATATTAAATGCGTATCAAAAGAGGCCGATCTATGCATCGTCGGGGTTGAATCGACTAAGCACCTCGGGGGGAACGGTGGGAATGTATTTGCGTGCTCGCTCGCGGTTGGTGCCGCCCAGTCCGGCGCCGTAGCTGATGAGCATGTCTGTACTTGTGGGCAAAGAGAAGGGGAGGAAGAGGGTTGGGTCGAGGAAGATGCTTTCTTTGCCGGGGCGGTCTTCTCTAGGAGCCATTGTGCTTGGAGGGCGTGATGGATTTGCTATTGAGCCTGGGGATATGGCTGGGTCGGGAGTTGCGTGTGTTTGAAGTGGTTGCTCTCTGGTTGGGGTATGAGGGCGGTCTCCCGTGGCTTCTGGTGCGGGCGCAGTGGCTGCTTTTGCTTTTTCGTCTTGCATTTTCTGGTGCTCTCGGAATAATATTTCAGGGTCCCTTTGTAGATCGAGGAGGAACTTCATTGCTTGCTTGGTCAGGCCCTTTTCTCCCACTTCCGGTCGGTAGGATTTGACAGCGTGCAGTAGTTGAAGGGGGGTGAGCTGTTGCAGCTGAAGTAGGGTTGTCACAAGAGACTCATGGTCGTCTCCCAATGAGGAGAAACACTGCAGCCATTGCAGTAGTTGAATCACGGGAGCCAGATGCTGACGGGCAGAATCAACAGTGCTCTCCCCCGTGCTGTTCATAGACCCGTTTTCATAATGTTCGGGGTGCCGATTGTTGGTACGTGCCCAATCTTCCAAAGTGGAGACATTCATGCGGATTTGCATGGCCTTTGTCCGCGCCAAGTAGCGTCTTGTGCTCATGATGCGGTTGAAGATTTCTGCACTGAGCCAGTAAAGAAGTTGAGAAAGGATTTGGGTGATGATCACAGAGTGAACGTCGTATAAGTCAAGTACAAAGAGAGTAGACGATAGTAAGGATGTGATGTTGCGTGGGGAGATTTGGGCTCGTCGGCGCGGCGAAGGCGGCCTGAATCGCTTGTCTGCAGGCTCCGGTGTCTCGGTCTTCTTTTTCTTGAAGAGCTTCCATTCGTTTTGGAAGGCTATGTCCTCGAGTCCGGGGATGGTTTCATGGTCCAGCATTGCCGCATCCAGGACTTTGTTCATGCGCCGCTCAGCGTCGCGAATGATGAGGACGAAGATCTCATTAATCAGCTCGGCCAAATGGAGCTGGAATGGCACTGTTGCCTCAACCAGCCCGCCATCTTTCTTCAAATAATGGAGCAGTAGAGTGGCATTGGACAACCAAAACGCCTGCATGGTCATGTCCCATTGGTACCGTTCAACAACGTCGTTAATTTTCTCCATTGCTGAGTTCAGAAGAGTGGCCAGGAGCTCAGGACTGGCATGATAGTGTGCATAGCGCGCGCTGAGGAAAAGGAGATTCGCGGGGACAGGCTTTTGAGACGGAGACCGTTGCGGCGTCATGTTGGTGATGATAATATCTAGGATGCGCTCCAAATCGGAATCCTGGAACACGAACATTTGGTCGTTAAGACATCGGTCCCAGACAAATTCCTGCTGCTCCTGTTCGAGATCCTCGTCGTCCAAAGGCTTTCCATCTTGTCAGTCTCATTCTCCACTTCGTACAAGCGTACAGGACTCACCTCGAATTTCTCATCCAACCCAAGACTAGACAAGTCGACCTCCAAATTGAGAGCACTCTCTTCCATCATCATTCGGCGCTTCATCTCGTTCTCAGCAAGCTCTTCCTCAAATCGGCCATGGGCAAGTCCAGCATCATAGAAATCGTCCTCAATGGCGCTCGGTCCAAAGTTGTACCCATTATCATGCAGATATTCCGAAATCTCACTACCGGGCTGAGCGAAGTCAAAAGCTGTTCCACCAGATGAAGACTTGATATCCGGCGATGCGCCGTGGTCGAGGAGTGTTTTCGCGATCGTCTTGTGTCGGTTCGTCATTGCCCACATCAACGCGCTCCATTGGTTGCGATCCTGCTGGTCGACAAAAGCACCCGCTAGAAGAAGTGCCGAAACCACATCTTGATGACCCTGTACAACTGTCAGCTTGGTTTGTTATCTTGCGCGGCCGGGATCATATCCCTATCTCACGGCGCGGATTCAGGGCCACCCACAAAACAACTAGCGCGTAAATCAGGGGCACAGTCCCTTCCTCATCTTTCATATTCACATCCACGTAGCTCTTGGCTGGTCCCTGGACTAATCTCCGAACCCGATCTACGTCGCCGTTGCTCGCGGCCATGTTGAGGCTCTTTTGTAGGATGTCGCGTTTCTCTGCCACGGTCAGGTTTTCGTCGGCGGCGATGGTTTCTTCGTCGGCGCCCAGGGAGTCCACTTCCCGATGCGCAGCCTGTGCTGCTAGCATCTCCATCAGTCGAGCATCGCTGTCTTCCAGGTCGCGTCCGTACTGAGCCCGCAGCTCGTGCTCAGAGTCGTGTGAGTGATCATCGAGGGCGAGGCTGAAGGCCAAGGGTTTCGCAGCAACAGGAGTAGTTAGGTATTGAGATTGTCCTGTTCCAAAGAAGCCATGTGTTAGTTTAGGTAGTCAAGAGTTGGGCTGGTATGCAATGCGCGTTGTATTGATCCGTGTGACGCCGGAGAGGAAACCACGCACCCTGCCAAGCGTCGTACATCTCGGTCTCTTGCTGGAAGACCGGCACCGAGCGGCGATCGTCCAGCGACTTGGGCAAGTCATCGGGGAGTTCCTGTTTGGGTTCTGAGGACGTGGGGCTATTTGACTCAGGGTCAACGTCCTCTGAAGCCCCGCGCCGTGGCTCGGTCGTGTCCATCGTAGGCCTGTCGAGGGCACCGGGAGCGGAACATCAAAGGGTGAGCCGTAGTTAATCCTTGAGGTACGCAAGAGAAAAAGTTCGGTCGGTGGTAGTCGGGCGAGAATTGGGCGGGCGCTGAGAATGGTGGTCCGCTACGTAGATCAAACACCCGTGATGCAGCTTTATGACGCACTTTTTAGAACCCAATCTTAAATAAAACATTCATTTATTTCATAACGTACGTTGAACTGAGAGATAACGGCTGATTGCATTCTCCGTAATTTGGACTATTTTTTCCATCTTCACTCACTGGGGTTTATTTACTAAGGTTACATCACGTGCACGTAGAATAAATAGTAGGGAAAGGTTAAGTATGGATTACGGTGCCTATGTATTTCCAAACCCAACTCATGCAAATGCTCGCTCCAAACGCATAGGAAAAATACAAACGAATGCAAATATATAGGTACAGGATATATAGCAGATTAGACTGCCGCAGAAGGGGGTATGTAAATGTCCAATCATCAAAGGGGTTAAAAAAAACAAAAGACGTAGCTCCATAAGAGTTGCAAATTATTCAAGCCGCTTGCTTCGAGCTTGGATTTCGTCCTCGGAAAGGGATGCAATCCACAAACAGCGCTCGATGATACCCTGCACGGGCTCAAATCGATACTTTGTGCTGGCATCAATCAGACGGAGCAGGCTCTTGACAATGCGCGCAGCAGTGCGATAACGTTCAAAGTTGACGAGCATTCCTCCCTCGCTGCTCTTGATTTGCGCTGGTTTCTGGGCGTTATAGGTGAGATCGTGCACATACAGACCAATGAAAGGAATACAGCCCTCTTGTAGGTTGGCTGTCTCCATTTCGACCCGAAGGTCATTGAAGTTGCGCACCGGCTGAATCAAGCACTCCATGTCCTTGAATAGACGTTGGTCTTCCACAGGGATCAGTTCCCATGTTCTTTGCAGCCGAGAGCAATCGGAAGAAGACAAGGCGATCGCAATTTGCAGCATCGTGGCATAATTGCACATACGGCGTGCATGCACTGCTGTGTGGATGAATTTGACCAGGGTGCGCGCTCGCTCGTGGATATCTTGAGTCAAGATGATCTCGGACACAACCCATTTGACCATAAGGTTGAATCGACCAACGACAAGATCGATGCCCTTACGTTCCTCTGTAGTGAGGAACTGGGCCCAGCTGACAACACACTGGGCACTGCTGTTCCACTTCATCTCGACCAGGTCGCGCCAATCAACCTCACTTAGAGCGGCCACCTCAACCAACGTCAGTTGCTGAGCAAGAACTTGAGATTCACACGCAAGAATAAATGGAACATGATCAGGGCCACTCGTGTTGATTGGGTTCGGGATCTGTCGCTGGGTCTCGGAATTGGCGAGTACGTTGCTTGAGAAGTTCGGCATATTTCTTGGCTGTGTGCCGGTGATCTCCACATCTCGGCGTCTTGGAGAAGTGTCAGGTGTAAGAGGTTTGGCCTGGAACTGCACCTTGTCCATCGGTGAGGCAAAGGAACCAAAAGATCCAGGATGCTGGATGGTCATGGGAGGAGACGGAGGATGCGCCAGGGGGTGAGGCGGGATGTCGACCGTCGACGAGGTCAGACTGCGAGTATTAGCAGAGAGGTGGCCACTCAAAGCCTCACGTGAGTCTATTATATCAACAGAAATAGCAGACAAGTGCTTGGGTGTATTTGGGCAGTCGTCCTGCAGCGAGGACTTGGGAACCGTTGCACCTCGAGGAATGCGCCGAATACTGTCGGTCTCCTGAACAATTTGAATGGAAGGGTGTGAGGATGCCAGCTCGGACGTGTCTCGGCTCGAGATGAGACTGAGAGGCGCGCCATAGATATCGGCGTTTGGCGTCCATTGGATTGGCGGCCGCTTCATAGATTCATCTGTCAATCCACGCTCTAGAAGAGGCGTGGAATTGTAAGACTCTTCAGATTCCCCCACAGAGTCAGAATAGGGCCTCGGGGTGCAAGACGGCCCCCCACGATGGAGTAAGCCGATTTATCCGTCTGGCGTCTCCGAGCCAGAGAATCCGGAGTCATACATTCTTTGGCTCTCTCGTAATCAACTCCAGCGACAGGAGTTTCACGGTTCGCAGCGTGTTGCCCACGCGAAGCGAAATTCTGATCATCTCTGGTCCCGCTACTCCCATCAACTGGCCACTTACCCTCGAGCTTCAACAAGGTGGATTCAATGCCTCCGTCATCGTCGTCGGGGATCTGGGCGAAGCGAGCAAGAGCAGATTCAAATGAGCGTCTAACTCTGTTCTGGTTCGACTGAAGAAGAGAATAGCGAGGGTTCGGAGGGATCAGAGTTGTCTGAGGTCTCGAAGCCGCTTCCTCAGTCGTACTCAGATTCTCTGTGAGAGATTCGTCGTATGAAGCAAACGAATGACGATCAAAGCCCGGCTCGAGCTCATCTGCATATTGAATTTGCCGCAGGTTCCCGCCAGGACGTCTGCGAAGCGCGGGGCCAGATGAATAAGTCGAGGGTTCTTGCATGATGCTTGACCCAACGGATTGCCCGCCCGAGCTTTCCATCGACAGGCGGTGCCTTGATATTCCACTCTGGAAAGAAGCATACTTGCGCAGGCGGAGAGAGAGCGAGACTCTTTTCTCTGGGGCAGACTGGCCCTCATTGGAGTATGATCTCCTTGCTAAAGTGGAGTGAGGAGTTTGCAATAGATGTGGTTGCTGGGCAGCTGCTTCCAATCGTTGCTCATTGTAATAGATCGGTAGCAAATATTCGTCTTTCCCCTGAGTTGAAGCAAGGGAGAGAGGGCCTGCTTGTAGGTTCCTGTTGAAATTTGACTCAATTTGTTGGTCCATGATCTCGGTCGTAGGTTCTGGCAGTCCACCAGACATGGTAGGATTATTAAAGTCAAACCCAGTATCATCAACGATCACGATAGAACCGCTGCCAGCGGTCAAGCCACTCTTGATTTTAGACTCGATGGTCCTGGACGGTTTGGGAGAAGAATCATCTGCCATAGTCAGAGAAGACTCGTCCAAATTTCCTTGGGGCTCGCAATCTTCGATAGGCGGTTGAGTGTCCTGCCCCGCTTCGTTGTTCATAGCCTGGCGATAATGCTTTAAAGCTTCTTCGCAGAGAATATCAATCCGTGCAGGCCGCTTAGGCACAGCAGCTAGTTTTCTTTCGCGGTAATATTCAGAGCCAAGGGCAACATTATTGGGCATGGCCGAAGTCTTGCCCCGGGACGGTAACGATATGGCATCCGAGACATTGGCAATCCGAGCAGAGACACTATGACCACCATTCCTGGTGTGCAGGGCGCGTTTTATCGACCCAATGATCGTCCTCACGCCCGAATTGGATGCGGGAAGTTTGGGTCCTCCGTCCGGTGTACTTCGACGATCAGGATTCGAGGACTTTGAGGGCGGTGCCAATGGAGGCGAGTCAGGTGCCATCATCGTCATATAAGACTCCGCGGGAGGATAGAGCGCACCGCGAATGAAGCTGACAGGGTCCAATATTTCCGGCATGCGAGCACCTCCAGAACCGAGTTCCATGCCAAACATGGGGACTCGGTCATCCCGTGCCGAATCCGAGAAACTGCCGCTCCGTTTATGTCCGTGGCCGTGGTATTGGTGTCGCGAATGCATTGGCGACGTGGGGGGAGGTTCATGCGAAGACCTGGGTTTGGTAATTCCTAATTGCACAGGTCGTGGACCCTTGCTCTTGAGATAAGGATTGGAATAACGTCTCGGGGACTTAGGGGGCAGAGAACAAGACAAAGCTAGCATGCTTTGATCGCTCTTGGTGGAAAAAGGTATGCTCTGGACAGTCGTTGCTGAGTCGTTCCGGTCGTGCTGCACGGCGTTGGGTAGACTGTCACGAATGTTCGCGTCTGCATCAGAAACCATGCCAACTAAGCTTTGCTGGTGGGTATCCTCTTTGGGAAGCTCGATTTGAGCGTTTCCAGGCTCAATGGGACGGTCCGGATCGCTGCATGCGCGAGACAGATCGGGTGAGGTCCAGTAGACGGAACACTTGCCGTTCCAACACCGCTTTAAATCCAGAAGAATTTTCAGATCACTCAGGCCACCGTTCTTCCGAGACTTGACGTTCTGATATAAAACGTTGATCGTTTCGCAAAAGTGGGTCCGGAGATCATAGTTCGTGATAAAGTCATCAACAAAGTAGTTGAGAATCCAGTGACGGAGAGCCGCAAAGGTTCGAATGCGAATGATACGACCATCATCCTGCAGTCTATTGATCGCCCATTGAAGTCGTGCAAGAAGTAGAGCAAGCAGGTGGCTCGGAGAGAGATAAGACCGAAAGGTGAGGAAGAAGTCCGACACCAGCTCGTAGTCCATGAAAGACTCGGAAGATATCTGCGCAACAATGCGCGCGGGAGTCGCAGCACTGATGTCTTTTGTGCCGGGAATATAGCGCACCACAGCTTCACAATCCATATCAGATATCAGGTTCTCGTAGATAGACGGTTCCACTGGTCCGTTTAGCTCATAAACCATAGAGTTCCTGGGAAGCAGCGAAGCTCGGCTGAGGTCAATGGCTGCTGTCCCCGAAAACACGGATACCGCAAAGGATGGCCGGTGACGAGAGAAAGAGTCTCTGCAGTATGGGCTTGCAAGATGCGTCGGGAAAGGGTCCGCCATGCTGCCCAAGAAGCTCGAATTTCGAAAATTATCGGACATTGAATTCCGCGTGTAGACGGAACTGCGCAGGACTGCATTACCCTCGTTGTTGAACCGTGGTGAACCGAGCCGGTAATGGGGTATAGGGACTTCGAGAGCTGTGTTACCCGATTTCCCATCTGCAGATTTGGGCCGGTCCTCAGATCTATCAATCACAATGCGCAGCTCGCCACGTTTCCCCACACCGGACACCGACTGTTCGGATATCGTCGAGAATGAATTGGCTCTGTGGTGGACGTTGCGGGGAGAATCGACGCGTGTCAATTCGGAAATAACGGATTCCTGATCTCCGGGAGTATCGCGAGGGCGCAGTTCCGAGAGCTGGGAGCTTGACCAACGCGAAGGATCATCTGGGGAATGGGGTCGTTTTGGCGGCTGAAGACGGTCACTCATCACTTGATCAACCGAGGAGAAGGGGACTATTGGAGTGCCTTTCTGCGGCGGATTTGCAATCGGCCTGGCCGTGCGAGTCGTATGTCAGCTGGCTGCAGAGGGTGTACGACACGGGATCACATTGCAGAGATAATATCTCGATCGTACCTGAGAAAGATCTTTCCATTCTGGCCCACACTTCCAACCGTAAAATGACCTGCTCTGCGCGGGGCCGGACGCGCCTCGAGTGGGCCGCGATGCGTCTGAGATCGTTGCAGTGGTGCTTGCCGTAACAGTTCATGGCTGTCCTTGGCACGCAGACCCGTAGTTGCCGTGGCCGTCCTGTCTCGAGTAGCCTTCAATTCCAAATTGCGCTTGATGATGTTGCCTCCTTGTGCTACCGTGTTGGCGCGTCGCAGATTGTTTGGCGTATGGCCACTGCGAGTTTTCACCAAGGGCAGTTCGTTGACATGAACTTGAGGCTCAGAGTCATCTTTCGACAAGATGGACGGTTCGACAATCGCAGGAACGGGCTCCATCGCAGGCGATCGCGAGAGCTACCGGGGGTAGCTCAGCGCGACGCGAAAGGCGATCAAGCTCAAATCTGGTAGGACAGCTAGACGATATGCAGCCCACGTTGGGATCGGAGATGAGGATGGCACGACATGACCGCCTAGGGGCAAAGAGAGATAGCAGAAGTTTGGGACTGTTGTTTTTCGCCCAAGTGGAGTTGGGGAAGTACCGGCGCAGCGGAATCAAACCAAACCAAACCAAACCAAACCACGATCGGCTGTTCCCCGTTTTCGCCCCTTTGTTTACTTATTACGTAGGGCCTTGCCTTGGCTCAACCCATCATCCTACTTCGCACAACCGAACGGAATCTGCCCATGGAAATCCTGATTCGGAAGTGATAGGTCACTGTTCCGTCCCACAGGGCTCTGTGAGCTCATTCGCCCCGGTGAAGCGAGGACGTTAGGGCGACGCCATCGCCAATGCTGGTTGGCTGGTGCTACCGCCGTTTATGCTAACTGCACTTAGTCCTCGGCACAGAGTGACGCGACGCTGGGAGAGCTGATAGATGGAGCTCAGCTTTTGACATGTCCGGCGAGGGTCCATCAGGCCGACCCTCACAGGCCCCTGGTGTCTTATGCATCACTGTCCGGAATGCGGAACTCCACATTAGAGAGAGTGTGTGTGTGTGACTCTTACTTTTTGTGTTTTCGGCGCGAAGATGTGTGTTTTCATTCATTCTCTGGGTTTTGCGCACAAAGACAGACGTATTGGGAACGTCACCCGCGGCACATGATCCTCTCTCCACAGTAGATCCATATATCTCGTCAGGATCTGCCCTTTTCCCCGTGTCTGGACCTGGTCTAGGTCAAGAGATTGCTCCAAATCTCACATGGGGGATCTACGGACCCGGCTCTCAGACCGCTTGTCTATGATCTACGGAGGGGTCTGCTTGCGACGAATCTCTTTGTGCTTGCTTCAACTAGGCTAAGTTTACTAGGGATCGACGTGGCTGGGGAGGTGCATCTAGCTCAGAAGAGGGGCCTTTCCCGGTCGTATCTGCAGATGATGCCTCGAATGGCAAATGCCCGCCGATTGATCATTGAGGCTGTTTCACTCAGAAGTCTACAGCTTCGAACACCGGAGAGACCCGAGGTAATATGAATTGAGTTTAATACATGCGCAAACACTAGAAAGCATCAAACATAGAGCCCAGATAGCTTGTACAATGATAAGCGTGTGCAACACACGACTCGCCCCGGTTTTACCAAAGCTTGCAAACTGGTTTCTTGTCCGGGCACTGGAATGCTTCCTTGAATTCTCGGGAATTGGCCATGGTTTCCTGCACGCGACATTAGCGGGGGTACTCGAAAAATCAAATCAGTACACGGATGCACTCACAATGATCCGCGCCGATTTGGGCGCATGTGGGTCGGTGTAGATGGCCTTCTCAGCCGCCTCCTTTGTGGTCTTCCCACACCACCAGTTACCGTAGGAAATAAAGAATAGCTGCTCCTTCGTGAAGGCGTTTAGACCCGGGAGGTGCAGATCAGACTTGATATCGTCGTGCTTCTTCCACGCGTGAAATGCAGCGGTCAGGCCGCCAGCATCGGCAATGTTCTCGCCGAGAGTCAGGCGTCCATTGACATGGAGGACCTTGTTCCCAGGGCCCTCGACGGTGAAATCGGAATACTGATCAATAAAGCATTGAGCGCGTTCCTCGAAGGCCTCCACGGTCTTATCATCCCACCAGTTTGTGTAATTCCCAGTTTCGTCATAGTGGCGACCCGTGGAATCGAAAGCTGCCAATTGTCAGTCTATCAAGTTCATTACTCTGGGAACTGATCATACCGTGGGACAGCTCATGGCCACTGACTGCACCGAATGCACCATAGGCTAGATACAGAGGAGCAGATGGTCCGTAGAACGTCGGTGGCTGCATAATGCCTGCAGGAAATACGATCTCATTTCCTGGCGGGTTGTAATAGGCATTGACAGTAGGCGCCGACATGTCCCATTCATCGCGATTTGTAGGCTTGCCCAGCTTCGACCACTCGGTGTCAAGGTCGAACTTGGCTACGGCCACTTCGTTCTCGAAATAAGTGTCTTCAGACACGGTCAGATCGCGGTAGTACTTTTCAACATCCGCCGGATCCATCAAGTTGGGGCTCTTGGTAGGGTATCCGATCTTTTGGATAATATTCCCCACCTTCTGGATACCCAATTTCCGGACATCAGGAGACATCCATTCAGTCTGATCCAAAGTGAAAACAAACCGTTCCTTGATGTCTGAAACGATCTGGTCACCAAGCTTCTTCGACGCCTCGGAGAATGAGTCTAGGACGTAGAAACGGCTCAAGCTCCATGCAAGGCCTTCATCAAGGGTTCGGATGCACTTGCGCCATCGCTCCTGGGTCGCCTGGGGGTCCTTGCCTTCAAGTGTATTTTTGAATCGTTTCAAGGGCGCCACCTTGTCATCCTCGATTTTGTCGGCATATGCCTGAATGGCTTTCCACTGTAGAAAGAACGATATAGTCTCCCGGGACGCATCGTTTAGAATCTCAGACAGTGCCTTCATATATGACGGAGATCCAATTATCAGGCGATCACCTCGGTATTCATGAGGTGCCAGCGCAGCAATGATCTCCGCCAACGAGATCTCGGGAAGCATTGAGTCTGTTTCCTTGATGCTGCGCGGGTTGTAGTATTTCGTGACATCTTCCTGGGTGGCCGTATCGGGTGTCACATTCGCGAGCTTTGTTTCAAAAGCCACGATATTCTCGGCAATCTTGTCGCTTCCTGAGAATCCTTGAAGAACTTCCTTGATGACGGCTGTGTATTGGGCTACCAGCTCCGTGTTGTTATAATACTCGATCGCTGGGAGACCAATCTCCCGTGGCGGTGTCACCATAATCACCACATTGTCTGGGTCTCGATCATCGGGCTGAATCTGTCAGTAGTCTTCCATGCTAAAATGCAAGAATGCGATAGGTCAACACACAGTAATGCCAGAAGACACCAAGGCTTCAACACCTGACTTCATGAGATACAGCAGTGCACCAGTGAGATGATCCCGAGAGCCCGAAACAAGCCCAACTGTAGTAGGGTAGATATCCCGCAGCTCAGCCAACATCTTGTCCAAGGGCTTGCTACCGCGGCTTCTCGCGGTCGATTCGTCTAAACAGGCATCATAGGCCGCTTTGAGCTTCTTGAAGTTATCAGCGTCCGAAGAATCAGGAGCATCTGATTGCTCTAGAATATGGCGGAGCTTAGTCTGGGCATTCTCCTCCATGATTGTGCCGGCAAAGATCGAGCCTTGGTCAGAACGCATGTCGTGCAGCTCACGCCATCCACCGCAGACATACTGATCGAAATTAACGCAAGGATCAATGTCCTCATAGTTGGGATCGAGATTTTTGAGAATCTCAGACGCTGCGTGAATACATTGCGGGGATTCACAGAAGGCAGGCGCTTGCGGGCGGGGGGTGCGTGGCTCGTCGGGCGTGTCTAATGTCAACGTTTAGAGGTCCAGAATGGCTATCTGTAGGTACCAAGGGATTGCTCACTATCAGAGTACTTCATCACGCCGTAGCTTAGCATGCCGATCGAGCCAATCGTGGCAGCGACCTTCATAAGGTTCCAAAGGGGGTGGGTTCTCCGACAACGACTCCGCCTTCTCGGATAGACATAGGGATGCGAGTCTTCGACGATGAAAGCATTCTCAGTGTCTATGAGGGCTTGCTTCCCGTCGATCTCTGCTGGCCTCATAGAGATCAAGTCTGGGCTGGTGTCACTAGAGAGCTTAAGTACGTCATGCTCGGGAGCAGGAATCCGCTGATAGAACGGACCTGGAAAATGGGGGTGCCATGTTGTTTTGGGGCGTGTTGGTGGCCAGTTTCGATAAGATTGTTGAACAGGCCCCAAGTTGATGCGAGTTGAGGAGGGAGCTTCTCCGCATCCCCTCACGGCGCCTGAGTGGGGTCACGGGGCTCCTCCCATCGGGTGTCACACGAGTGTCGTCATGTGACTGTCAACTAAAGTAAATAGTCGATTCCACATCTAAGATGCTAAGTTCAATCATCTGTCAAATCGATTGGACGGGACTCTTGTTGCAACTTATTACGAGCCTAGTTCTTGTGACTTTCTTTTAACCAAGAAATTGACCGTCAAACAATGAGTATACCAAAAATCTAGCAACCACACTGTACGCAACGACTGCTCAAATCGGAGCAATCGGAACAGGCGAGGCACCGATACCAGTGAGTCGAAAGCCAAGGCCACCCTTGACGATGCCGAGGTTAATTATAAAAAAGCCAAACCACTAGTGCAAATGACCAAACAAGCCTTTCATGCCGATTTGGCCAAAGTGCCGATGCTGGAGGAAGGCCATAGCCGGCTGGAAAATGACAAGTGATGGAAGAACCAACATACCAATAATCAGAAGATAGCTTGATATCAATATCATTGCTCTTGCTATTTAAATTCCAAGACCAAGGCCAGCGATTGCTAGAGCAAGAGTAAAGAGTTGCAAGAAAATACGGATCCGCACTATGGTAGAGGACGTGAACATGGGAAATGCGAATGCCCTCACAACTTCCGCAGGCGATAAATTCGAATACCATATCTGCGCGGGAGATCGTTCAGTGGCTCAGTCGACTTTTGCCAAGCCTTGTCGAATCTTGAGCGATACAAGTATTTTCAATGGATTTTCGGCATACCCAGGTGCTGAATCGATGAGGAATGCAAACTCGTTCACAGTGAGATATGATGACCATGTATTTCTTTTCACTCTGACGGTTAATCACGTAGATCCTATCTGGCTTTACTGTGCTCGAATAGGACACAGTCAGGCTGGCATGGCTGCATCCATCGAATCGGCGTGAGTTTCCATAAGTCCGGAAATTCACGAGCACATTCATATTGACCACAGTCCTCGGTTGTAGTTCTAGCGGGCAAGACACTCTCGTTACATTTTAGGCAGTAGCAGCCGGCTAGCCTCAAAATCTGCGCCTGCTAGTGGCCAAGGCGGGGCTTCAGGAGCACCGAGCAGTGAATCCGCCCCCACAAGTGGCAGCTCTGCTATCAGTTCTAGTGCAGTGACTTCTTCGACCAATTCAAGCCCAAGCGCTCATAGCTCGGGGACTTTTGGCATAGGTTCTTCCAGATTAAGTAGCTCCAGCCCAAGTACATCCAACACGAGCTCTTCTCCTCTTGCCACTTCCATTTCCAGCTCAACGACTACTGGCTCCACTAGCACAACTACAGGAGGTTTGTCTTCAGGTGACTCAAACGCTCTGCACGTTAAGGAGGTAAATATTCTTTTAATCTTCTTGTTTGCCGTAGCTATGCTCATATATTAGGTCTAAATTCAGGTTTGATTTCTTTAACAGGGGCGAAATGGCCAAAGCTGGTGGAGATCATGTGTCTTTTATGAGTGACTCTCAATATATCGATGATTTGGAATTGAGTCGTCTTGCGTCCACCAATGAGCTCGGTATTTGTGTAATTTTCTATCACATGCAAGGTCCTATATCTTTGTAAATTGCACTTCTATTGAAATTTCAAAACTTCACATGGATGAGGTGACGTATCGATGAGTGCATGTTGGACTTTCGATGGTTGGGGTAGATATATTGGTTGTGCGCGCAGGCAGAAAAAATACCGGCGCATATTATCATCCCGAACGATTCACACGCCCACAAACCATGAACCCACCTTACTCGCTAGGTGTCTGTTAATGCGTTGCTCACCACCAAGCATGCAAGACCCCTCTCTCGATGGAGGGAGCTGTTGAGGGACATTGATCAATTACTAGGCTTACGAGTAAATGTAACTTGCACTGGCGCATTCGCGCATCTCAATCAGTTTAAAGTTGAGACAGGGGAAATCTAAGATCCAGTCAGGAATTAAGCAGCCATTTCACACCGATGTGGCGCAATGGCTCCAGGACAAACGCGGGAAAAATGTCCCAAAGATCACAAAAGGAGCGAGGGGGAGAGAGGGCAGGGGACAATGGAGACGACTTCTCCGCAGCCACAATCTATATTTGGCGGGGGCGGAAAGAAGATGGTGCGATGGCTAGCTCCAACTCTTCATGGTGGTTGTCGCAACAAAGAACGGACTGGAGCGAGCGTTTCAATCCAACGCAGGTTTCACCCCCTGTTTGCCAAACATCGTTTCTTACTCAGATGATAGTATATTGGATACGCGCTACGCAGGCCTGCAGATACTGTCTTAAAATATACTAAGTGTAAGATCTATTGGCCTAGTAAGCTTCCCATACAAGCTAGAAACTACTAGCTATGTTTGCACCCCTCAACGGATAGTGCTCCGAGGCGAGTACAGTATACCTTTGTCACACGGATAGAAGCGTGCCAATAAGAAGGCACTGTATGGGTAGCGATGGCTTTGAAGCGGGTCAGGATTGTCCGAGGAACAAGTTCGCAGGATTCCTTGGCAGACGCTCCGGAAACTCTGTGATCTTTCTCTCTCTCCCTCTCAAACCGAGGTTCGGTACTCTATATACTCTGATACGCGGTACCTCATCATCAGGTCTCCATGATGAACCACAATGAATTGAGTCTCTTATCATGAGCGTGGCCTCATGACTCAAACCACATGCAAAGCTGTTATAATTGACCTATGACGATGAAAACGACACCAGTAGCTAGGGCGACCTGACAGACTAAAGACTAAGCATTGGGGATCGCGTGGCCCGGGATACAGTCTGAACTTTGGAAAGATATTTGGAAGATTCTATTGTCCGAAATCCTGCTTAAACCCGAGCGAACCAGAAATCTGAATGGGAATCCCCACTCCGGAGCAGTTTCCGAATAGCCGATAAACAGGGGCCCCTAAAGGTCAGGATCTGACCTGCTGTCAAATGCTGATCGACAACGGTTAATTTGCTGGGCTCCACTGGTCAACGTTTCTGGACCGTTGATCAGTTGGGCGTTTTCCTGATGGTGGGCGGCTGGCCAAAGCTCTCCGAAGCCAGGTTCAATGTCCTTCTCTTTGTAGAAGAATGCCCATTGAGAAGCTCTGAGGACCGCCCACTCTGCCCCTCCTGGCCGCCATGTGGCGGTAAACTTTGGGCTGCCAAACTTTAAACGCCCCTTCTGCATGAATATCGACATTTATAGCTCGAGGAGCCAAAATCAAGAATGATCGGCCCTTGACGGAGAAGGCTGGCCCATGTAGCTCCCCCGGTTTCCCAGGAATTGAGAGGGTTCGACCGTGAGAGTCGAGTCGAGGCTTGATTGCGTACCAACGCGATCGATCGATGATGAGGCAAGACTCGTCACCTTTGACCGCTTGGACCATGCTCGATCGAATATGCGCCAAGCGGGACCCTACAGTATCGTCCAGATATGTCTTCATCGCCGAACGCTGTAATCCACACTTGCCGTTCTTTTAGTCCGTCAGAACAAGCCCCGTAATCGGACATGTGCTCTTTGGGTGGCCTCGACGTAGATCGTTGGAGGTCCGAGGTATCTCCCCATGTCATCCGGGGAGGCCGATGGATCCCATGCCAAGGGCGACTAGTCGATACTCCGGACCATGTGGACGCTAATTCCACGTTCGCGCCCGGAGATAATTCGCCTCCAGATCGGGAGTCTGCAGTCGATCCGAGCCGTGTCTCCTCTGATAGGGGAATCTGACTCCACTTTAGCTCGCAAAAGGATGGCCCCCTGCCTTAGTTTGTACGACGGCGTGCGAAGGAGGAGGAATATGAAACCGGCGAGCGAGAACCGAAGTGACGCTCGAGAGGTCTGGAGAACGGTAATGCAGGCGTTGTGGGGTGCAGATTCCTCCCGGTAGCGAAAAAAAGAGGACTTCTTGTGTTGTGACCTGGGCTATCTCCTTTCAAGACTAAGCTCGTGCAAGATTGGCGAGCACGGGTTCCATTCACCGGACACGGATTGTGGTGGAGACGCTTTGACAAGCTCCACCACCGAACTGGTGAGGGTTGTTTTCCCTGCTTCGACTTTGTCAGTTTTGGGTCTTGATGCGACCCTGGCGCCAGTAAGCGAAATGGCGCTACTAGTGAAATCAGAGTTCCTTGATTGGCTCTCATCCTGATGGAGTCGAGAAATGGATTGACCTTCAGTACGGCAGAACCCAGGATTAGAAGCGAGATCCGTACTTTAGACAATTGGGAGGAAAGGGAAGCATTCGGGCAATGAACGGAATTCCACGTTTCAGAAATTTCCTTGCATCCCATTGCAGTTCCAGACGGGGCGGTGATCGCCGTCATGCATACCGCTTGGCGAAGAACCATCGAAGAGTCCACTCCTCTCCACCTGTCCACCCTGGCTATCCGGTCTGGGTACTCTGGACTCCGTACTCCGATACTGTACACGGAGTACAGAGTACGGTGTGGTAGCGTCTGTTACAGCTTCGAAGGCCATTTCAGGGGGTGCCCAAATCATCATTTCTATACGTGATGCGTGTCGTTGACCCCTAGCGTGGCAGCCTCGCGAAATCAGTAAGGCTCGATAATGAATCGGTACAAATCCGAGGTCCGCCGGTCAATTAGTCATTACGGGGCCATGTTTCTCGAAGCATGCGGGAATACATGCCATCCCTTTCTCGCGTGGTTGCATTAACAAATTGGCCTTGTCTGCAGTACATAGTGTGCCTCCGGCGATAGACAGGTAATCGATTACAACCAAAGTCCCGGGCTATGATCACTGTATTATTCGGACAAATCAGATAGAGGGGTTCGGCCCCATCGGGTGGATCCTGGTCTACTGTGAGGAAAGGGGAGAAAAAGGAAACAAAATATTGCATGGTGAGGGAGATGGGAAAACCATGAAAGTTGGGAATTTAGGGAAATCGGAACTAGAGAGCTTGAGAGAGTACATAGAGAGTCCTGAGAAAATACAAAAGGGAAGACAAGAAAGAGGCAAACAGTCGGAAACAAAGGCTTTTTGTCACATTCTTGCGCTCGAAATTCCAGTCTACCTACTGATCAACCGTCACTAAGATTGAGTGCCTGCGAACCGCACTTGTTCTCCCCGCTTGTGGGTTTCTCGTGGGACGGCAGAGTTGGACTAATTTGACTCTGCTCCCTTTCCTTCTTCCTTCACTTTTCCGCTTTCGCGATTCCTTTTCGCGAGTGATCTTAATCGGGGCGGTCTCTTTCATTCCCCTCCAACCGCCGATTCTGGGAACCCGCCTTTGCGATCCCTTCGCCTCCCAAGCTTCTACCACCCCCGCGAAAGTCGGTATTCAACTTCACCACGCGCTATCCGGCTGTTAGCGGACGTCCCCCTCGAGTCCCTTCGAATCGCCGAGCGACAATACCGAGGTCGCATCCACCGCGTTCCGGACCTGGCTTTGGCTTCGGAGGATAATTCGGCCCAATTGGAAAACCAGCGGCGCCATTCATAACGGAACGTGGCAGCTCCTGGGTGTAGGGAAACAACCATCCCAAACTTCCAGCGTGCTGAGAACAAGCGCCGAGGGCGTTCATTCGTCGCGTGCATTGTTGACAAAGTGGACAGGGGTCTTTTGCATAGGTAGGCCAATATCTATCACATCGTGGCTGTCTGGCGGTGCCACAGCCTCGAGTCCAGCCGAGTCATTGTCTGTCTCTGATTCTGAATTAGGGGACACGCGAGTGGCGTAGCACCACCGCATCCCTGATTCAGGTCGAGTTGGTATTGACACCGTGATGTCGCGACTGAAATCGCAGCGCTTATGTCTGCTCCTATGACTAACGATTCCCAGTTCTCTCCAGATATACCGACGTGTACTTGAATCATGGGTTGCGTCGCCTCGAAACCCGCAGAGGCGGACAAGGACGCTCTCCAACGTAACGCCCGCATAGAACGAAGCATCAGGAATGACAAGAAGACAATGGACCGGACTATTAAGATCTTGCTACTGGGTAAGTCGTCCTCTGCGATATCCAATTTGGCTGGCATGGTTCCCATGATGTGTCATCTCCTAACATGATACCAGGTGCCGGAGAGTCGGGCAAGTCGACGATCATCAAGCAAATGCGCATTATTCACAGCCGAGGTTTCCCTGAGGAAGAGCGCCACACAACACGGGCCGTCATCTATTCGAACATCGTTATTGCGTTCAAGGTTTTGTTGGATATTATGAACGCCGAAAGCATAGATTTTGAGCATGAAGAGACAAAGGTACAAATCCCTCGACATTTTCTAGACATCCGATCCGCGTGTTGACCGGTTCACTCTAGTTGCTTGCGGATTTATTAGACAAGACCGACCCAGATGTGGGCTCAGATGAGGCATTTTCCGACTTGAAGGTTCGGGACGCCATGAGGGACATGTGGCTTGATGCCGGCGTACAGAAGGCTGTTGCGCGTGGTCACGAATTCGCCCTGCATGACAATTTGGTATAGTAAGTCTACCTTCTGAGTCACGCCCATCAAATGAATCCCGTGCTGACCGTGCGCTTCAGCTTCCATGACTCATTGGACCGCATTTTCAAGCCCGGTTGGCTGCCCGATAACCAGGACATGTTGCAAGCACGACTCCGCACGACGGGTATCACCGAAACTTTGTTCGAGCTCGGGCAGATGAACTTCCGTATGATGGATGTTGGTGGGCAACGTTCAGAACGGAAGAAGTGGATTCATTGTTTCGAGGGTGTACAATGTCTGCTCTTCATGGTTGCTCTGTCTGGATACGACCAGTGTCTGGTTGAAGACCAGAATGCGGTAAGCTCACATCGCCAATTACCAGTTGCAAGCCACCAGTCGCTCATTTACATCACAGAACCAAATGCACGAAGCCATGATGCTGTTTGAATCTCTAGTCAACGGCGAATGGTTTAAGCGGAAACCCATCATTCTCTTCCTCAACAAGATTGATCTCTTCAAAGGAAAACTCGCCATCTCCAACATCTCCAAACATTTCCCCGATTACACAGGTTCTAGCACCGACTTTGATGCTGCTGCACGGTACTTCTCTGACCGTTTCCGCGGCATTAACCGAATCCCAGATCGTGAGATCTATATCCATTATACAAACGCCACAGACACCACATTGCTTCGGGCGACCATGGACTCGGTACAGGATATGATCATCCAGAAGAACCTCCATACCCTCATACTATAAGGCAGCGGCATTTCGACATACCGGTGGCCTGTTTGATGAACGTCATTGTGCCACGAATTGATTTTCGTTTCTTGTCAAGCTCTCTAGCCATTTCCTCTGTTGCATTCCTCGGTGGCCCAATTCTCCTTCTGCCCTCTTTCATTCTACAAAATTACCAGCAGTCTTCTCTCTGTCTTGTTTCTATCACTCCTTCTTGTTCATGAGGCGTCTTGATATAAAGGGGTTGTCGGCTCTCTACCGCGTTCTTGGGTCTGTTACGTTGCATCCAAAAGCCCGTTCGATTGTACCAAGTTATGCCCCGATTTGTTTCAGCGAAGTTGTCTCTGTTCTTTCCTTTTTTTTCTTTCTTTCTTTCTTATTTTCTTTCTTATCGATTATGCAGGATGATACCACTTTTTTTTTGTCGCTGCAGATGAGTGATACTTGAGGACCGTTCCCTGTACCATCACCATCCTTTTTTTCTTTTCAATGAAATCAATAAGCTCTCATCAGTACATGTCCAGATCCCCTCAGCAGTAAAAAATCGTTGTAGCCAGAATGGATGAACCATATGCAGTCATTTCGTGTGCTACTTAGATCGACACCTGAGGCAAATATTACATAATATTCGCATGATCAGAGACGCCGAGTTCCGGTCCGACGATTTCGCCTCCGATTCAGACTCAACTCCAACTCTTCCCAGTTGCTGGGTCTCTCGTCAACCATGTTGTCAACATCGTTACGCCGGGCCGTATGGGCGCCTCTGTCTGGCATACCCCGTTCCGCCCAGAATGTTCCTTCTACCGGTCTGCTCAGTGCGACCGGCCATGTGCAACAGCGTCGGTACTCCTCATCTTCCTCCAAACCTCCGGTCCCGCCCAGCGATGGCTCTCGTCGCATGGATACCTCGACTCCGGCCAAGGGTGTGAACTCTTCCGGCGAAAAGGGCAAGGCGGCCCGCCGCCGCGGCAAGGACAACAGTGCCCGCAACGGATCCAAGGCTAGCCAACAGCATGCGGCATTTTCGAAGCTACCCAGTGTCCCCTCGACACAGCACCGACAGCCGCATGGTGAGTGTCTCAGTCCTAGATTTCCTATAACCTTTCTCCTTCTCAAATGCTTTGTGCTAATTTGCTTTGTTATCAAGACGTTCATGTCGCTTCATTCTTCTCCATTCACCGCCCGATCTCCGTGACCACCACAGTTCCCCCGACCTCATCCACCGAAGCCTTCGATGCGATCTTCTCGTCAAAGAAGTTCCTCAAGAACGAGCCAGAAGATGTCATCTTCACCCTTTCCTCGACAGCCCAGAACATGGAGTCCTTGGCCAATGGCATGTCGGAGCCCGAGGACCAGTTCGGCCAGCTCCAGCGGAGCTTCACGAGCGATCCTAACGGTGATCTCCAGATGTTCGATGGCGCCGAGTCCAATATGTCTGTGGAAGACTACGTTCGTCGCCTGCGTCCCTTCAACCCTCCTCCCCCACCCACACCCATGGAGATGAACTCCTCCGAAGCCATGGAGTCCGAAGTCCAGAATCAGCGCGAGACTTCAACCTACTCCACCGTGCTCACAATTCGGGAAACTCGTAACTCCGATGGTCGCAAGACCTACGAAGCCTCCACTGGTCCCTTTGTTCGTGACCCCGAGCTCGGCATCACCATTGACGCACCTGGCTCGACTTCCGGTATGACCTACGTGGAGCGCCGTCGCCATAACCAGACCATCCACGCCATCAGCACCAAGCGCCGCCGCAAGGTCAAGATGAAGAAGCACAAGTTCAAGAAGCTGATGCGGAGAACGCGTACTCTTAGACGGAAACTCGACAAGGCTTAGACTGCTCTTTCGTTCTTCAATTCTGCTTTTCTTGTTCGGTTCATCGGATGCATCTTTGGCCCGCGTCTTTGCATCGTCTTGGGTTGAGGCTTAGTGTTGTCTGACTTTCAGGGCATATATCCTACTTTTTATCGTACATTGCGAATTTTTTTTCTACGTCTCTTTTTGCCTTGCTCCTTGACTCTCTTAAACTACACTGAATATTCAGTTGCTGCCATATCCCTTGAGGCACTCCTGTGGTCCTTGAACTGGTTCTAATGTGTGGCTTCAATGGCCCTCATACATTGCAGACTACCCAATAGACACTGCTCTTTTGATATCTAGTCCAACGATACTATCTACAGGTAGATTTCAAGGAACCGTAGACCACGATTTAAAGACACTTCATGTTTTAAATAGAGTTACTGGGAGACTCTCAAAATCATGCACGTCATACGCCTGCATGCATTTACATACAACTACACTCAGGTCTTTGCCGGCAGAAATATGAAATGCACGAATCATGATTTCTATGTCAGACCGAAGACGAAGACCCGACAAATCAAAAGGAAGGCACAAAAGAGAGCCGTAACCGAGAACATAAAAAGGGTGTGTAACTTTCACAGCTTAGCCAGACGGACAAGAATCAAGTCTCGGGCCCGGCGTAGCGAGACCCATATAAAGTACAGTATCCAGCGCGCGTTCATGCAATTGTAAACCAGTCCAATATCTACCACACCTGACCATCCCTGGGGGATGGAATTACCAACTCTAAATACCACCAGAAAAGAAATTCCCGTCAAAATGAAATCATCGTTGCCAGAATCATCTCTTCCTTGCACCGCTTTCCTCGTGACCCGACATAATGCGAAGGAATTCGTGACTTGTTATGACAGGATCGAAGGTCGAGAATAACACGCCGGAAACCGGTAGGAGCTAGCTACTGTGAAAAGGTAGCTAGGTTCAAAATTCTGTTTCCGGGTGCGACGAGACCATGCTCGTTTAGGTGCAGGAGGCTTTAGAGCGAGAGTTCATGAGAAGAGCGACAATCAATCCGTAAAGACCTATGAGAATGTTTTGTTAGAAATGGGAGGGCAGGTTTGTTTCAGAAAAAGACAATACTCACCCAAAACTTCAGCGAAAATGAGAATCAAAATCATTCCGACGTAGAGGCGGGGTTGCTGAGCAGTTCCACGAACACCGGCGTCACCGACGATACCAATAGCAAAACTATAAAAGATGCCTATTAGTTATATGAAGACATCATAGGTTTTTCGGCTGGTGTGAACTTACCCAGCGGCCAGACCAGCCAGACCGACAGAGAGACCAGCGCCCAGCTGGATGAAACCAGTGTACAGAGGAAGCTGCTGGGTAAGGTCGTTGGCGACCAAGACGGACACAACGAGACCGTAGATACCAATGATACCAGCCATGACAATGGGGACGATGTCTAAGTTGTTGGTCAGCGAAACGACATTGCAGGCGATATGGTCCAAGAGATGTGTCTTGAGGGATTGATATCGCAGTGTTTGGGGTTCGACGTACTCTTGACGATCAGGTCGGGACGGAGGACAGCCATGCTGCACACACCGACACCGGCCTTAGCGGTACCATAGGCGGCACCGAAGCAGGTGAAGACGATAGCGGACGTGCAGCCCAGCGCACCGAAGAAGGGCTAGAAGAGTGGCATCAGTTTCATTGACGACTAGCTTGACGTACGTGATTGAGGATGTGGAGGGGACGAGGGAGCCCCGTTTACGTCAACGGGTAGATGCCTAGGGATCGAGATAGCAAGACTTACCGCATAGACGGGGCTGTTGAAGTGTTGAGTTAGCAAGGGTTTATCAATGGTGAGAGACCTCCGGCCAACAAGCCAGCGGACCGTCGATCCATAGCTGTCAAGCACCCAGGGGGCTGAGGGAGGTTGCATAGCGACTTACCAAAGCTCAGTGGCCATTTTGAAGATATTGAGGCTCGACGAGCTTCTCTAGTGGATTATCGAGCTTAAAGTAGATGGTAGGAGACCCGAGATGTGCAGGCTCAAGCCGTGGATGAGGAAGTTGGCGGTAATCGGGAAGATGGAGAGTCCTACGAGGTCAGAGGCCAACACTCTGGTTTCGCGTCACGTGAAGCAGTCTTGGCACACCATGTGCTCCACATTGATCTTTAGTAGTACACAATGGAAAGTCACCTACATCGGGTACTTCTGTTCTTTTTGATTTTCCAAAGTTCGAGGTTCATTATTGTACAGAATTAAAAATCACTCGGCATCCCGGTATATCCAGTTTGGTACTGGATCTGGAAGTCTCTGCTCCGTCCACAAGTGGCTGAGAGTACGTGATTGCCTTCTCAGACAATGCTCCGAACGAATTTGGCACAACGACAAGGTCATGTTTGTTCTCGCTTGTAGATTCAACATTCACCTCGTCAGCATTGGCAACGACACCAAAGCGATAGGTGACGGAGCCTCGCGCATCAGCGTTGCTTGCATTATCGTCTTGTGAATGTTTCGGCTCTAACCCGACAAAAAATTCGATGAAATCACCTTCCGTGGCGACCTGCGACAGCAGAGAGAGATCTTCACCAATCATCCCATTGGCAAGGAAAGACGGCCACTCCATGGGCGCATCTGCACTAGGATTGAAGATTTGATATAGTGTAACGAGATCATCAGGACGATTCATCCCAGGAAAGCTAACCTCTGGGTCCAGCGAAAGGAGACCCTGTTTCTTCCCCCATCCACCTCCGCCGCTCATGACACGGTGCAACTTGCCACCTTTGCGCAAAGAGTGAGTGACTCGATCTTGTGTGGAAGTGAACTCGCGGCTGGCAGTATCCATCTCAGGCTTCTCAACCAAAGCCCAGACAGATACTCTTTGGTCCACGATATTATGCTCTTTGATGTAGCGTGGAAGCGCCGTTTCCAATTCAGTGGAAGCCGGCATTGCCTCAACCGAGGTTGGATCTGTCGACTTTGACACTTGGCGCAGAATATTTCCCATGCCGGTAATGACTCGCCTTCGCTCACCCACAGGGTCGAGCGGAAGAGTCAGGCTAGGCTCCGTAGTCGCGCAGACGGAGGTAACATAGCAACTTGTGAGGTTCACGGATTGGCTCAAGGCGTATGCACCGACATCATTATTGTAAATCCAGCGCATGCCCATGAGCGTAGATTCTTTCCCGTTTACAAAGACGGTGTTTGCAAGGCGCAGACCAACGTCATGCGCGGTTCCCTTCGAAGCACTGGTGTCCTCGATGGAAATGACGAGGTCGGGATCTTCGCCTGCGGGACCTCCAATGCGACGAGCAGCTGCTGCTTTCCCTCGGACATTCTCTCTCTGAATTGTCAAAAGAGAGAGGCCCTCTGGTTGTGTTGATAAGAACTCAGAGTCACCAATTTCTCCAGAGCCTGATGCCCTAGAATGCATCGAGTTTGGAAGTTTGTCAACGACTGCTGCGACGGCGTAGACCGGCGTGGAGTTCGGAAAACCGGGAAACAAGCGGCCTATTAAGGATTCAAGGAACGGGTTGGAAGTGTCGATCCAGTGGGCAAAGCTAGGGGTGACAAGCAGGAGGGGAACGGAATCTGAGGCGGCATCAGCGGACGACCTTGGGGGAAGACTTGACAAGATATCATCCGGTTTCTTTGGATCCCGTTAGTGTGTGCTGGACACAGTGAAGAGTTCAAAAGCTCACGATAGCTTGCGGTGTCCTAGTCAGCCATGTGCAGGCAAGTGGCGAGAAGTCCTGGTCCGAATTCTTGAAATAAGTCTCCGTCGCAAACCACCTGTTTGCGCCTCTTGATCTCCTTGCTCGAATTGAGCTGCGCATAAGGCGGATTGGTGCGCATTGAGGGGATACCCTCATGGCCAAAGGGTTGAAGCCGAAACTAGAGATCATTGACATCAGGACATCGACTTCAGACGCGGAATGTCGAACAGAAAGATAGTCGGCGCCGCGAGAAGTGACCAGTTAGATACGCGCCATTTGGAGAGGAATGAGTTATGTAATTGCAGGTATAATTTACAATACTGCACACAATCTCTGATGCAAAATGATGTATCGATTACATATGAGCTAACTGCATCAGGTAATCGCCTCCACGGACATCCCATAGGGTCCGCGGACTTCGCTCCAATCTCACCTTCTTTGCATTATGATAGCAAATTAACACAAGACAGCAAAGTCCGGTTCGTTGGTCTTTGGCAAGGCCAAGGGGTGAAAGGGCTGGACTCCCTGTCGATTTAAGATAAGTAAGCACCGCGGTGCTCCGCGGCCTGGGATTTGGCGCACCAGCATTTGAATCGGTCAAACGCTACATGCTCGATCATGAAACGTAATAATCGAGGCAACCCGATCCAAGTGACCCACCGATGGAATCGGCCATCTTCATCTTGTTTACCATGTCGTGTAAAAAAGCGCCGATGTGATCGTGCTCAGCCATGCTCGAACTGCGTGCTGCGAAGCATTCCATGCAACTATGCGGGGCAGAGCCCAGAGATTCCAGGGCCACAAGGCGTTTCGCAACTCCCCAGAGGAGTGCATCCTGCAAAATCAGCGGAAGTCGATAAGCAGTAAGTAATTGATGTCCCAGACATGATTTAATGAAGCTCCAGTGCCTCCTGCTGACAATTCAAAGCAATGTTGAGGAGCTTCTTCAGCGCATTCGAAGGCTGGAAGATGGACTAGCTGACAAACAAGTATTGTCTCATCACGCCGACTTAGAACGTCAGGGGGTATTTAAAAACTTCACATCCACTTCAAAGGTAGTATGCATATTCATTGTAAGACATCTCCTAGATCCAACTGTTGACCGTTTCATAGGCTCTTGGCTCTCACTTTGTCAAGCCATTCAATCAGCATCCCCCATCGTACTCAAATCTATATGAGCACACCCAGTATCCAAGCATCATCGATATGACTCGCGAGCTTCCTCCACTACGACAGGCAAATCACCTGTTCGATAATTTTGTGAGAGTATTGCAGCCGACTTTGGGCGTTCTTCATATTCCGTCTACTCGTATCCTGATGGAACGCACATATCAGTGCCTCCTGGAGGGCGAGGAGCCTCCGCCTGCGGACTTGATGTTAGTTTTCGCCGTGTTCGCTGGAGCTGCACTTGTCTGGACGCCTCAGCTCCTGGAGAAGCTGAACGCCACTCAGTGGGAAGCAAAATCGGCTTTCATGGCATACGCTCGTCTTGCACTGGCTATCTTGGATCATCCTCGTCAAACTCTAAAGTCATCGACCACGGCTCTTGTTGCCATTGGCACCATGGCTCATCTGCTCATGAATACTGATGGCTTCCCCCTGAAGGTCCATGTGCTCCGTCATCGGTGTCTTTTGATGTCGAAAGATTTGGGAATCCATCGTTTGGATACGGCCAAGTCTCGAGAGGAGCGCAGGCTCAAGGGCTGTGATATGATTGAAGTCGAGGTTCAAAGACGTATTTGGTGGTGGATGGTAGCATCTGACTGGTAGGTCGCAGCTTCAAATTTCCAGAAACAGTATGCTAATAACATGCAGGCTACTTTCTTTTTCCGGTGGGCCTCAAGAAGGTGCATACACCTTTCAGCCAAAGCATATGAATGTGAATTTGCCGAGTAACACGGACGATGAATACATTACAAGCACGGAGGTTAAGCAAGATTTGCCTTTGTCCGAACCCACCAACATTTCTGCGTTCTTCTTTAGAGTCAAGTCATCAGAACTTTGCCGTGAAGTTATTGATGCATTGCCGTCTATCTTGCTGGATTCACAAGAGCCAACCTACGATACTATTCTCCAGCTGGACAAACGGTTTCATGATCTCCTCGACAGTGTCCCGACATTCTTCAAACTGGACCCTGATAGCATCCGACAGAGTCAGGCCATATGCAAGGAGCGACCTCACATCACCTGGCAGCGGATTGGCTTACATTTCAGTATCCACACCCGTCTCTGTCGACTTCATCGTCCATATCACCTCGAGGGTGTGACGACCGCCAAGTATGCCTATTCGCACTCGGTATGTATCCGCTCCGCCCACAAAATACTTGAGCTGCGACGCACGATGGACGAGGTGGACTCCGAGGTCGGGCTCAAACCCGCACGATTCTGGACAGTCATGCACCATGTGTTCTTTGCGGCTTTGATTTTAGCAATGGACGTCTCTTTCAATCCCCCAAGCACCGGACGCCCATGCTCGGAAAGCCAAGGTGCTCGCAGCCTATGCGACTCTAGAAAAATCCAAAGAAGAATCAATGGATCTGATGGAAGGAATCCAAAACAATTTACAGACATTAATGTCTACACTCCATAAGCAGCGGTCGCAGACCGGCCCCGGTACGAATGATTCAAGTGAGGCGTTGCTATCTGGCCAACCAGCATCTGGACTTGGCGGATCACAGACCGTTCATGCAGGCGAGAGTTCAGGTTTTGTACAGCCCTCCTCCTCGTTGCCTGGGGACAGTGCTCTCGGCTTCGGGCTGATCAACGACATGGGCGAGGAAAGTTGGGAAAATCTCTGGTCTGAGTTTGTGGCTGTGGCCCCTGATCTTGAAGCGCCACAGTGGAACGCACTACTCGATGACGTTGATTTTACCTCTCAGCTCGATATTTATTAGCAATACTAAAGATAGACTGTTCACACTTGCCAAATGCTCTGCCTCTTTGCACCCGGGACTCAAGATCATCTCTGACTTATAAAAAGGATCTGATCGCCGCTAGGCCTCAAGATCGTCCGATCGTCAGTACTTCAGCTTGCGTCAGGAGGGGAAGACGCCACAGATATCACTCGTTGGTGAAACTCCAGCCACTTCGTTTCCTATGTGGTACGAATTTGTATGGAAATGCAGTGAGGTCATGCCGAGCCAATCTCAGAACAAGGCATGCAGCGTGGCCTTGGCAGGTGAGGGGCTAAGCAGGCGTAGGGCTGGACCGTTTGATAAGCGTTACGAAAATAGTCAAAAGGAAGCCAAGAATCGTCCCTCATAAAGGACAGGTTGCCAAGCCAACTGGCCAGGCAACCGGCAAACGGGAACTCGGGATAGGCCCTTAGCTCGAAGCAACCACTAGGTAGTCTCTGAGTAGCCTTCGGCGCGAAAAAAGGGTGGTTGGAACTTGTTTGCAACATTGCAAATCCCTGACGGAACCCTGGACGGGGCGACTATCGCAATTAGAAGCCGAATAAATAGAAATGGCAGAGGACGGACACCATGCTGCTGAGCCACAATTCTTCACCAATCACATATTTACTGAGCCACAAGTGGCAGGCCTATGACGCGATTGCTCCTAAAGCTTGCCTGTCTCCCTTTTCTTTAAAAGCAAGCCACTCTCCGCATTCTTCCCCCAAACTTCTACCTCTTTGATTTCCCCCCAAATTTCAACACCACAGCCATCATGCCTTTCACTGCCTCGTAAGTTGTCTCCCTGGAGCTGACGAAGCTCGACATGCGACGCAACTTCCTTGCGCGCTCCTGTTTCCCGGTTCCGGTCGCACTCGGGCGAACATCATGACTGACTCGACCACAGTGACATCTGCAAGATCATCTTCGCCATCATCCTGCCTCCTCTGGGTGTCTTCCTGGAGCGCGGATGTGGTGCTGACTTACTGATCAACATCTGTTTGACCATCCTTGGTTGGATTCCTGGTGTTATCCACGCCTTGTACGTGATCCCCTCCCCCTCGACGCGTCGTGCTGCCCTTCAAAACGACCACTAACGGCCTCTGCAGCTACATCATTTTCAAATACTAGACAGGCACAACTGCACCAGTCATGCCGCCGCATCTCGGGACGTTCTCTAGAATCATCCCCTTTTGCCAATGTCCCCTCGATCCCACTTGAACCGCCAATGTCTTTGCTCCTTCCAAATGCAGTGATGCAGTTGCCCAGCGAGCGCCGGCGTCAGCGTGGTTCCGTCGCAGTCCGGCCGAGACTAGTCGTCTGCAGCAAGTCCCCACTTGGCATCAGCCCGATGTCCATAATTGCCTAATTTCGGTGTTTGCGCTTGTGTGTCCATCGATTATTTACCCTTGATTTTTTTGTTTCTTTTGTTGTGCGATATCACTGGCTTCGTTTTTGCTTTTCAAATGATACCACCTCATATTGTCTGACTGTGGGCTCGGTGCCTTAGCCTGTGGTCGGTTAGCTTTTTACCTTGACGGAATGGCAGTTATTTGAAAATCCTGAAATTGATCCCTTGTAGATGTGTAGCAGAATTTCCCCCAGATCTGCAGCGTGAGCTGGTGTGACATGCCTATTGGCGGCCCTATCGGATGAGGCGGGAGCGACGACCGTGAACAAGTTGGTCGATGTAGGGCGGGCGCCAGCGCCACCAACGTAAATACAATCATCGACTTGAAGTCGTTGGTCGATCATGAGGACATCATCTTGAAGCCCTGGGAATGAATCTAGCATCCGAGCCGAAGAAGCATCTCTACTGCTCACCTCATCAGTCTCGGAACATGTGCGCAAAACCCCCCCAGCCACCTCCCCCCCCCCTGGGGCTTGAAAACCATCAAATGATGACCGAAGTCAGAATAGCCTGAAACATACCCCGGCGCTCTAGAGGACCTACGCTACACTGCAAGCGCCCACTTGAGCCCCGGCGCGTATAGCTAGCGCCTAATACCTCCGCCCCCCAACCAGCGTTGGACGCAGGGCGCTTTGGCACCTCAAGCATTCGCCGCTTGAAGAAAGGCACAGCCAACGATGTCACCTGGTTTCATCATAGCGCCTACATCTGCTCCGCCTTAATGACTGGGTTTCAGAATCGTCTGGCGCCCATTATGCTGTAGTCAATGGGTAGCTCTAGCGTCAAAATCGATGTATCCGCTACGCGCTTGATATCGCGATGCGCTCACTTTTCGTGTTTATCTAGGTTGAGGCCCGTGGTGATCCTGCGTGGGCTTCTTTTTTCTTTCTCTCTCTAATCTGTTGCCTCTGCTTCAATTTCCTTGCTATTTCAGCTGTTCTACTAGTTTCGATGATGAAAACCTCAAAGGGCTTATGGCTTCAAGGGTAGTCATACCCATACGATTTTGAAAGGTGAGCCAAGAGTGTCAACTAATGGGCAAGAGAATTCCGTTACTGATATCAGTGACAGAACCATCACAGTATGCTATTCCATCCTACGCACAGGTTACTAGCTGCGGTGCTTCCGTTACTCGCCATATGTTCGGCCAGCACCTCAACCGATTTGAGCTCGTCTCTATGGGACGTCATCCCAGATTGTGCCAAGATATGTGTAGAAAACTTCGCCAACGCAGAGTACACCTCCGCAGAATGTAGCACTATATCGGACATGAGATGCTTATGCCGAACAAAAACACCCAGTGGACTTACAATTGGAGAGGCGGCGTTAAGTTGTGTTTATGCTCTGTGTTCGAAGACGATAATCCAAAGTTCTTCCGCCGCGGACGCTTACAGAGTTTGCGACTCAGTGTCTGATGCTGTGTCTGAGACACATAAGACAATCACGGCAACGACCTTTCCTAGTGTCTCGTCTACCTCCACGACCGAAATAACGACAACTGAGGTCACTGCAACGACTACTACTACTTCTGATACGACTCCAGAAACTACTACACAATCGAATAGCTCTACGATTTCTAGCGACTCTGCGATCACTGTGTACCATCCAAGCTCGACTGGAACTGGTGCAGCGCCCACAATTGCCAGCACTGAAACCTCTTTGACATCAACCAGTTCTTCATCTCCACCCAGTAGTCCGGCTGCCTCAGGTGAGAACAAAGATCACCATGTCAGCGCTGGTACTGTGATCGGAGTCTCTGTCGTGTCAGGTGTGGCAGGTTCCTTTATCATTGGAGTTGCTGTGTTCTACCTCTGCAAGAGATGGCGACGAAACAATCAGGTTGAAGACCCAGATTCGGACTTTGAGATTGGGGGTGCCATGGCTGAGCCCCCCTGGTTTTTCCCGCGATTCATCACCGGACCGAGGTCCAGACCAAAGTCCAGGTTCGGGCTCGACTTCATTCGCTGCTTTAGACCATCAACCGGAAATGTCTCAGTCATCACGCACTTTGCAACCAGGATCTCAACGCCCTCCAAGATTGGTTACACCTGAGAATGATCAGCTTCCCCTGGATCCTCGGGGACGAGCACGTATAGGACTGGCCGCGAGCTCTGATTCAGAGTGGGGAGGCTCACCTCGGACAATATCATCGCAAGCCACTCTTTCAGAGCCTTTTCAAAATCATGGAGCTGGATTGTACCCCAAACCACTTAGATGGACCCATACCCATCGTCCTATCAGTGGGGAAACACTCTTTGAAGAAGATGAACACCAACAGGGCATCATGGGGAGGATGCAGAATGCAACTTCAAGGACAGGGCTTCCTTTACCGGCGAATCCTCGTGCGTTTAAGGACGGGCTCCCAGCACAGCAGTTCCCCCATGCTCCCGGCCAACAAAGACGAGACCATGGCCGAAATCTTACGCCGAGTCTCACCACCAGGGGTTTGACATTGCCATTTTCTGGGCCCGCATCTCACAGATCAGACGCATCAAGCAGCACCGGTACACAGATAAATAGCTCGGGCGGCTTATCATCTGAAAACTCATCCAGCAACTCTCTCACAACACCTTTTGCAGCCGCCCAAGACCCCAGACTATGCGGTGCTCACAGTCAACGCCATGATAATACGAGAAATCCACCGTACACGCTAGGACCACCCGCTGAGATAGTATCCCGGCCACGAATCGTCCGTGGCGACGATATCAAACGCGTCCAAATCCGCAGCAGCCCACGTCCACCCAGCCAGGCAGGAGCGCCATGGGGCCCGGACGACCTCTGGCTCGAACGGGGTCGTGGACGAGACATGCCTGCCTCCTCCGAGGTTCCATATCCCTCAGAGATCAATCCCGGCGCTGTTGGATATCCATCGAGTCCGAAGAAAAGACCCGAGGACAAGCCAAAAAGAGTGTCACCGACGAGTCCTAATTTGACGCCTTCAAGGCGGAGCCAGAATCTAATTCTGCATGTTGACTGATGAGCTCACTTGTGTGTATATTTCCATACTTTTATTTTTGGATTTTGGTAGCACGGGCTGGACCTGGATGCTTTGTTTATATTTATGTTGCCCCCGATGGCATTACGCACATTGATGAACACAATTGTATGAATAGAATTATTTGGGGAATAAAACGATCCATGGTGTATATGTACTCTACTCTTCAGTCATTTTGCTCCCGGCTTTCCGCTCAGATTAATCTTTTCCAATCCACTTCTCTCTTTCTCCCCTCCCCGCCACCCTTCCTATTTGCGGCGACACCTTGAAGACGTGTGAGAACAGCGTATGACTTAATATCAAAGAAGACGCAATACGAATCATTACCTAGCAATAGCAGGAAACATCGAGAGGCACTTTACCAATAGTCTCGAGGGCGTAACACTTCGATATGCAGGTGGCTATGAAGATATCTGCTCCTGTGGGCGACTATAGTATGATCATCGCACAACCAGTATTCGCCGGCCCGACCCCAGCAAACAGGATTAAACACGATGATGGATGGTGTGTGCAGGTCTACCCTTAGGCCATGCCACTACGGGAGAGCGAAGCTCAAAATTTTCGACTTTGAACTTTTTAGTTTGCGTCCTCGGCTAGGGCCCGAAGATAGAATGCCAGACACTTCCCAATTTCTTCTCATCCAGATGATCTCAGTTGGCGTCTGCATTCACATGTGAGTATTATGTTACCTTGCATAGACCGTGCGCATGTAGTGCTCAAACTAAGAGTACCGATACGAATCGGGCGCCTCCATACAAAGCGGCCCAATTTGCGACTCCCCGCCCTAGTTTGAGCCAGGATTGGCTAGCAACGGGCTGCAGATGGACACGAACAGACACACATAGACACATTCTCTCTGCTCCATACTTTTGCGGTATCCATCGGAGACATGCCGTCATGCTCGTGGCCCAACTAAGAAATAGCGAAAAAAGAATGACTAGAGATCTTGGGTGCTTCAAGCCACCTGAGCACATTCTGAGCCATGAAACAGGCTAGCATGAGGCTTCCCCACATTCAAATCGCTCTACACTGACCAGAGGTTTAGGGAATTGTCACTTCCGCGGCAATGAGAGAGATGCAATTGTTTGTCGGTCGCTTGGACCCACTTTTTCTCCATACATGCAGTATACTTCGTGCAGGCGCTTGTTGCTGAGATGATGCATGCCTGGCTTTCCATCATGAAAAGGCAATTTGTAGCGCCTCTCACATTTCACATTCCTAGACATGACCTTTCCTGGCGACTAATGTTGGTATCCGACAGGACCAATTAGGGACGCCACAATACCACCGAGGTCCGTCGCGATAACCGAATTTAGAAAGAAAAAATAAACATCTAATTAAGGCCATGTGAAGCGGCGTCGACTTGATTCCCGAGAAAGTGACCGTTAGCCCGGTCGATGTTATCATAGCCCCAGCAGGACCATAAAACCCGTCGAGGAGATCCGGTTCCTGAAACCAGTTGAGTCAGCATCTCGGGATTGTATGACGTCAAGCCTCCGATCTGCCCCGCGGTCAAGCGTCTTGATTCAATCCGGGACGCACTTCGCGATGGGGATACTGGGGGGACTAGCACCGTTCGTACCCGAGTCCAAAAGTCAAGGCCGCATGTCAGCATGTCAGCTTGGCCCGAGGTCAAGTGACTTTTCTTTACATATCCAGGAATGTGAGGGGGTTGCAACGGAGGATGCATGGGCGTCGCAGCCTCTCTCTCTCTCTCTCTTTCTCTCGCTCTCTCTCTGTGTACATCGACGCGCCGAACAAAGGCCTAGATACCCAGAACGCGGTCCAGAACCGGTTCTGAGAGAGAATACAAATCGGGATTATGAGTAGACATGGTTCCAGAGTGCCGTCATATCTCTGGTACTCTCATCAGCACATCAGCCATACACTGGCCTCCCCGCGGCGTCAACGGCCCACTCATGAACGACACCGGGATCGTCCAGTCTCCACCTGCGGAACACCCCTACGCCATGAACGGGGAATCTTTTGTCGTGGAGCAAATCAGCGTCTACGGCGGCGCTCGTGGTTTTGGCTCGCGGCGCCAAGGGCAAAGAGTAGACCGTCTTGATCCGCAGGAAAGATAGCTTCCCGATCCGACGTGCACTGTCCGCCTGGGTGAGGTGCACCCAAATGACGGACAAAAATGACGCTCCTGAGGATGGTCAGGGTGGGGTCCTCACAACCAGACGTCTCGAGTGCAGCATAGTGTGTCGCGCGGGCGGAAAATGATGCTATATGAATGGCCTTTTCTCCCACACTCGCTTTCACCCTTGCTTGCACTATCTGCTTATCCTCGCGCTTTGAACACATTTCCAGCCTCATAGCGCAGTGTACATTGCGACGTGCACTTGAGAGGGGAACGCATAGAACTAGAAATAGACGTGCCTAGGCGATCACTGCAAGGCCCGCAGACCCACACCGTCTTGTCCGTTCACTGTTGACGATGGCGACTGCCGATGAATTCGGGGCTCCGTGGCTCCGCCACGACGATCGGGCCGATTTGTACGGTGGACCTCACGTCGTCATGCCTCCGAGCCATTTAATGGCCTCGGGCCCTCGCAATTCACGCCCCCCAACAATGTCAAACCAGTCTGAAGAAGAAGTCATCTCATCTGGAGAAGAGTCTCCCCAGGTTGATACCCCCGCCTCGACACCGCCAATTGTCACGAGCGACGACTTTGCGCTCGCTTTCGATATCGATGGCGTCTTTGTCAAGGGCGGAGAGCCCATTCCAGAGGCCCTGGAGGCTATGAAATATATCAATGGTGAAAACCCATATGGAATTAAAGTGCAAGTCTTCCCAGTCCCGGCTCAGGCAGGATTGGAGCTTTTGCTAACTGTCCCTTCTATAGACCCTACATCTTTCTCACAAACGGTGGCGGCAAGACCGAGGCAGAAAGATGCCGCGATTTAAGTCGTCAACTCGAATATGAGGTTGACCCCGGCCAGTTCATCTGCGGACACACTCCCATGCGAGAAATGGCCGAGCACTATGGCACTGTCCTAGTCGTCGGTGGAGAAGGCGAGAAGTGCCGCATTGTGGCCGAGGGATACGGATTCAAAGACGTTGTTACCCCCGGAGACATCATCAAGACTCAGCATGATGCGACTCCGTTCCGCAAATTGACGGACGAGGAGTGGAAGAACTCCCGAGAGCTCGATTTGGACAACACTCGAATCGAAGCAATCTTCGTCTTCGCCGATAGTCGTGACTGGGCAGGCGACCAGCAAATCATTCTGGATGTCCTCATGACCAAAGAGGGAAAATTGAATACACGATCGGAGACCTTTGACGAGGGCCCGCCTGTTTACTTCTCACATAACGATGTGTTGTGGTCTACCTCGCACGAACACTCGCGTATTGGCATGGGTGCCCTGCGTGCCTCGCTCGAGGCCCTCTACAAGGCTGTCACTGGTGGCAAAGAACTCAAAACGATCGCGTTTGGCAAACCGCAAATGGGCACTTTTGCTTTCGCTACCCGCCTCCTCCAGGAATGGCGCAGTAAATCTCATGGCATCGACAAGCCCCCAGCCACCGTTTACTTCTTCGGTGACACTCCCGAGTCCGACATTCGCGGCACGAATGAGTTCAACCAGACCTCTGAAAGCGAATGGTACTCGGTTCTCGTTGCGACTGGAGTTTGGCAAGAGGGCACCATCCCCCGTTACCCGCCCAAGAAGATCTGCAAGAACATCTACGAGGGAGTCAAATTTGCTATTGACCGTGAGGCACAGAAGCTCCGTGGTCGTGGTGGCTCATTTAGCATGTTCACGGATGACATCAAGGCGATTCAGCTACCCAAATAATTTCCCTCGGTGGACCTTGGCATTGTCTTCTTGACACCACCACCCCCCTCCCCGTACATTCAATCTTTCCATCTCTTACACCTGCTACATCCTCCGACGCCCTTATACGAACATTATTCCGCCTACACTATTCAACGCCATTGGGGCTTTTGCACAACGTGGCCAGTACCGTCTTATAACATATTATGATTCACATTAACCCGCGAGTCGGATCCAATTTACATTACAAATTACATGAAAGTGAAAAGAATAAAATTCTCAACCACTCCACTTCCTTCGTCTCTAGTTATTTCGACCGAATTGTAAACCGCTTGGCCTCGCACAATGTCAAAAAGCTCTTCCAAGTCTACAGTCGGAATTTTGCCTCCCGGATGTCTCCGTATACTAATTTCCGCGTGTAAACAAGAGATCCCCCAAGATTTCCAGAGACATGATGAAATAGTCCAATCTCGAAGAGGCCCATGCTATATGGTTCGACCATCTTGAGAACGTTCGGCCAAGAATTGTCAGATGAGTCCCAAGACAGGAAACCGGCTGTGACACATTAGGCAAGCCGTAGTTTGTGGTTAGTTCGGGTCCGGGTTCCAAGATTCAGCCCAGTCGGCGACCTGCGTTGCCCCCAGATGCAGGTTTCTGGGTGGCGTGGTTAATCCGGGGTTGAGGATGGCGTTGAGTTAAGGTTGGCTCTCGTTCTTCCATGGGTGGCGTACAGATTGTCATTTCTGTTGTCGGCTAGGAGCTTGCGGGGAATTTCACTAGGGGGTTTTCCTAAGTTCTCGGGGTAGTCTGCACTCAGCTATGGTGGTCGTCGTATGTGGTCTAGAGGACCGAAATGATGCCCTCATCCCCGCGGACTAATTTGTTCATCACTTCATCCTCAACTCAAGGCATTAATCAAAGAGGAAGAAATCTCTTGATGTTTCACGTTAGAACGTACCTCGGGCATACTAAAATGATCGCCTTTCGTTTCTCCCCCATCATGTTGTAGCCTGAGGATCCAGGCGACAATACCCGCCATCATCTTTCTCCACTCCTCGATAATCGGAGATTTGACTCATTCCCCGGCTTTTGCTGGAGAGTAGGTGAAAGATCTATTAGAAGAGCTTTGCTTCTCGCCAAAATGGCGAGTGCAATATACGCAAGACGCACTATTGAAACACAAATTCATCCGGATCAGGTCCAACCCACCGAGGCAGTATATCTCAACGACGCATCTCTGAGAACTCTGACAACAGAGATACTATCCTACCAACCAATCTCATGTCTCTCTGAAGAAGAGAAAATCCTCGCCAAGAATGTCTCCCCGGAAGACACGGCTATCACCATGCGGCAAACTATCCTGTACCCACAGGGTGGCGGTCAGCCCAGTGACACAGGCTCAATCGCCCCAGCAGACGAGGAACCAACGTTCACGGTGTCTCTAGTCCGCAAGACCCAAGATGGAAGAATTCTCCACTTCGGCAAGCCCAAGACAGGATCTGTATTCACCGCGGGCCAGTCCGTTATTCAAAGAGTCGACGATATCAAGCGTGATTTCCACTCGCGACTGCATACGGGGGGTCATATCGTCGGACTAGCGATGCAGCTTCTCATGCCGGAGATGAAGAAAGTCAAAGCAAATCATTTCCCTGGTGAGGCGTGCATGGAATATGAGGGATTACTGTACAATGAGCACAAGCCGCAGATCCAGGCGAAAGTGGATGAGCTCGTGGAGCAGGATCTGCCGATTCTGCTTTCGTGGGTTGAGGATGCTTCGGACTTGGAAGATATCGAGGGCCGGGGCAAGGATCGGGATGGACCGGTGCGGGTTGCAAGCATTGGGGGACTTGATAAGAATCCTTGTGGGGGGACGCATGTTTCGAGGACGAGTCTAGTGGGGACTATTACAATTCGGAAGATTAGTAGGAACAAGGGGATAAGCCGGGTATCGTATGAGGTCTCGCCGAAGATTTAGATGTTTTTGTGTATAAGAAGAGTTATGAATTAGACAGTAGATATTGTGCATGGTCTATTAAGCTTCCTAAGCGATGCACAGAGCTCAGAAAGCGCAACCACAATGTACAGATATGCGAGATACAAACGAAAGGCAGAACGCTCCCAGCTCCTCCTCATTATGCTCGTTAGATGTGATATGCATCAAACCATAAACTCGTTATCCAGCCAGTGCTTCATGACAGTTTTGCCCTCTCTAAATCCATCCTTGGGCATGCGAACGATGATAGCTGCGTGGCTGTGTCGGTGTTTTTGGATATGCACAGGGTATTTGTGGAAACCGACGGCATTCAGTGAGTCGATAATGGCAAATTGCTCAGGTAAGAGCGCAAGTGTGGGGAATTTTGAGGAGCCGTCAGCCAACATAGCTTCAGACCCGTCAGACCCACTCGACTTCGAGCGGCTTGCATGCCCTAATTCAACCTCTTCGGCTTCACTGCCAGAGAGATAGGCAGGCTCTTGTCGAGCGTTGACATTCTCAAACACTTCCTCCATGGCATGCTGGACGTCTTGCACGAGTAAAGGAACGCGATATCTTCCGAAATGTTTGCCATTCTTCCCTTCACCGTGCAGACGAATTCTTTTCCTACTGCGGATGGTCTGCACGACTGAATTCGCGAGGAAGATCGTGGACGCTGGGCCGATTAAGACAAGCACGAGCAGATAGAAAGGCAACCCGTAGGCGAATGCCTTGAATTGCCTCCAATATCGAGAAGATCCACCAGATGGGTCTTCCGGCGTGAGAGGCAATAAGTAGTTGTCACGGTCGATGATCACATCATCATAGCCTTTGACGTAGTTAATGTGAATGTTCTCGAGGTCATGGAATGGGTCGACCTTGGAGAGGGCTGAGGTGTAGAAAACGACAGAGCGATCGTTGATAATATTGGCGTAAACACTGCGGTGACGGAACTTCTTCAGCCCTTGGATGAAGATGCTTTCTGGATCCGCTAGCACGCTGAGCAGTGGACGCCCAGTGTCACGAAACTCATCGATCAAGAAAAGCTGTTGACCAGACATGGAGACAGTCCTTGCTCCCAGGCCATTCCAGATATGGCTCCTGATTCCCTTGAGCGGCGTTCTCACCCCAACATGTGGGGAGGCAAAGGTGGTGAAATTCACGGGCTCCAGCTTGTCGAGCACGCCTTGGCTGTGAAGCAAGCCAATGGCATATCGCGCGATCAAGCCACCTAGTGAGTAGCCAACGATGCTCAGCTTTTGGATCTTATGACCCTTCTGTTCGAGAGCATCGAGGGTCTCTTCGATCTCACGGGCCAATCGCTCTCCACCGAGCTCAATTCCATCATATGTCCAGTTGCCGCTGTTCTCTTTCGCGGACAGGATGTGGAGATGATCGCCATGGCGGTCTCTCAGTGCAGAGGCCACAGAATCCAGGTGAGATGGTTTTCCCCAGAGTCTGACCAGGGGTGTTAGCCAGGCTTCGCTTTGATGTCATCTGCGCGAGGAGAGAACACGTACCCGTGCACCAAAACACAGAGATGATCGGCTTTTGTAGAAGTTTCAGACATGTCGCGTTAAAAAAATGCACTCATTATCGAGAACAAACTCGAAGTGGCAAAGCTGACAATTATAAGGCTTCCTGCCGGAGTTAAGGCACTGGCAGTCATTCCGAATCCCAGTCGGCGATAAGAGATAAGAGTGTCGCCTGAGATCGGGGGCTGCAAGTTTGCACTCTTTGCAGCCCAACTGTCTCCCATGATAAACGGATCGCTATTCTACTCTCTCAACATGCTCACCACGATCAACCATGTTTAGTGTGGGGTTTTTTCAGATAACGTGCTGCGTTTACATATAAAGGGCAAGCGCTCGAAACTTCAGATCATTCCTTCACTCCATAAGCGACGATGCTACCTGGAGTTTCGAAGACCTGTGCTTGAACAGCTGGTCGAATCCGAAAGATCATGGTTTATCGAAATTCACTTTCTCTCAGTCTGGTCTAGGTTTTCAATTGACACGACTTCGAATTCTGCTGGTGGACAAAATTTCACCTTAAGACTCAGTCATTCGTCGGGAGATCAGATTCCATTCAAGCGGCATCAAGTCAGAACACCATCTAGGATGTTTGGAACACTTGGTCTGTTCGCAGATGTGCCTTGTCCGCAAGGGCAAAATTGTTCTCTTCTCACATGCATGTTTTTTCATAAGGCCTGCGAATTGCCTGTAGCCACAACTCGACCTCATCGCCCAACCTCGATATTGGAAGATGACGCTGCTCGTTCATCCAAGAGACTCAAGGTGGAAGCCGATTCCCCTTCTTTGACCGAGGCATCTGGCACAAGTCATACGTCCGAGACAATCCCCACCTCCCTAGAATCATTATTGCCAACAGCTCGCAAAGAAGCTCGTATCGACCAAGGCTCGCCGAAACTCACTTCAGCCTTGAGAGAGGTCTCTCCCCCACCTCCAAGACGCCCATTATCTAGACCTTCTGACACGAAGCTTGGCAACGCCGTTACGTCTACTTCTCAGAAACCCGCGTCAATGAAGCTCCCTCCGCGAAAGGCGCCAATGGAAACCCTCAACCCCCGCATGCTGCCCAAGGCGCCAGCTTCTCATGCCATCCGAACTGCCATCCTGAAAAAGCTGCATGCTGCCATGGTTGGTCTCAATGAATGTCTAATAAAAGACAAAGACCCCAAGAATCGAGACTTTGTTTTAAATAAAGATGAGCTTATCACAATGGCTTTGGATGAAGAGGAAAGAGTTGCCAAGGAAAATCCTGGTGTTTACAGCAACATTATCAAGAATCGCATCGTCAAATTACCGAAATTTTCCATGGAAGAATGGGTCAAGGAAGTCATGGCTCACCTAAATAAGCGATACTACCACCAGAATCCTATCCAACCGGTTCAAAATCGCGCTGAAGAAGAAGAAGCAGAAGCTTCCAAGCTGGTTGATACTGGGCTGACCAGCAAGGAAGAGATTGCTCTGGTGACGGAGTTGCTCACACCTTTGGAGGGCCTCGAGCAGTTCGGCTACGTCACCAAAGCACCCACAGATGGAGAGATTGAGTTCGCCAAGAAAGGTACAGAGGATTCCAAAGGCTGGGAGAAGTGCGACCGATGCTCAGGACGATTCCAAGTCTTCCCTGGACGCCGAGAAGATGGAACTCTGGCGAGCGGTGGTCAGTGTACCTACCATCCCAGTCGGCCCATTCTCCCCCTCGCAAGAGAACAGACAATGTCACGGGTTCCTCGGAATCATACTACCCATGCTGTGGAGAATCTGTTGGCACTTCGGTCGGCTGTACCAAAGGCAACACGCATGTCTTCAAAGTCTCCGAAACCAAGCGTCTTGCGTCGATTCTTCAATTCCAAGAGACCCCTCGCCAGCCCAACAAAGGGCATCTCGATCCAGTGTGCTTTGACTGTGAAATGGGATACACAACCGTAGGTATGGAGCTCATTCGTCTTACTGCTGTCAGCTGGCCTGAAGGTCGTGAGCTTCTTGATGTCCTTGTCAAGCCCATGGGCGAGGTGTTGGATCTGAATTCGCGCTACTCCGGCGTTTTCCAAGAGCACTATTCTTCGGCTACCCTGTATGGTACACCTACACCTAGGAAGGAAGTAGGGGAAAAAAAACCTCTGCAAATGGTTGAGTCACCTGCTGCAGCGCGAGCTCTGCTGTTTGAGCTTCTCCAGCCCGAAACACCACTCATGGGCCACGCCATTGAAAACGACCTCAATGTCTGTCGAATAATTCACCCCACAATCATCGACACAGTCCTTCTATACCCTGCGCCGCGACGTCTTCCGAACCGTTTCAGCCTCAGATTCCTTGCTCGAAAATTCCTGGGACGTGAAATTCAAACTGGAGGAGACAAGGGTCACGACTCCAAGGAGGACTCCATTGCCACGGGCGACTTAGTACGAGTCAAAGTGGGTGAACTCTGGAAGCGCTTGAAGGCTGAGGGGTGGAATTTTGAGGGAGATGCACTTATTGCACCGCCTGGTCAAGCGTCCAGCGATATGCGTAAAGCTGAGGGCGAACCTTGAGCGTGGACTCGGGCAGGAGAAGGAGGATCCAAGTGCATGAAACCCTTGTGCAGAATGGTTCTGCACTTCAGCATTGGGTTTTCTTCTTGTCATCAATACCAAAGCATGCTGACCTAGCGATCCAATCCATTTCTCTAATACGACGAACTCATCATTGCTATGGCGTTCAAGCTACCTGGAGGTCATTGAACTGGTGGAAATGGGTCTAGCTCAGGCCGAGCCACGTCAAACTTCCTCATTACATTGGCTTATAGGTGGCTCAAGTAAACGAACACTATTGAATTGTTGGAGCCGCACTGGATTGTGAACATCATTGCCAGAAGGAATGTAACAATTACAATCAGGACTACGAGAATTCAACTACATGGCGATTCTACGCAAAAGTCACAGATTGAGGGTATAAACTTTTTTTGATTTCATAGCCAATTAAGGCTAGTCTATCCCCCACATATCGCACAACCAAACCCCATGGCTCACTTTCGAGCAGATATAACCCCATCAAAAGGCAAGAACCACGGAGCCCGATTGATAGACAGTTGGGCCCAAGATTGGTCAAAGATCGAGGGAGCAAATTTACTCCTCATCCTCCTCAGCCTCGTCGTTGACGACGTTGTAGAAGCGGAGCTCGTAGACACCCTTGGAGGTGGAGACGACGCGGAGCCAGTCACGGAGCTGCTGCTTCTTGAGGTACTTCTTGGTCCTGCGGAGCGAACGTGGTTAGCTGGTGTCGCATGCATGAACTGCGCGGTATATAACTCACAGGTACTTGAGGTAGCGACCAGAGAAGGGGATGTGAGCAACGACCTCGATCTTGCCCTCGCCAGCCTGGGAGATGACGACGTTGTCACCGAGGTTGCCGACACGGCCCTCGACCTTGATGCGGTCGTGGAGGAACTTCTCGAAGGCGGAGACGTCGAAGATCTTGTCGCTCGCGGGCTGCGAAGCGTTGATGATGAACTGCAAAGTTCTGTTAGCTGTCTGTATGTGATGGGTGTCTCGGAGTATGTCAAAACTTACCTTCTGGGTGACCTTGGGGGCCTTACGACCGGCACGGGCCTATTGGGGTGAAACGATGAATTAGCCTACTGCTCCATAGTGTTGAGAGCCCCGGTGGTAGTCTCGATGGAACGATGCTCTTGCGACAAAATCACCGGATAGATTTTTCAATATCCGGTGGTCGACAAGATGCATGTCTGTCGAGACTCCAACGGGGGGAACAGCAAAGCGGTTCACGGAGTATTCAACGTACAGCGGGAGCCATTTTGAATGATGGGGGGTGAATTGACGTCTGGGGAAAGGTCGCAAAGAGGTGAATATCCTGCGCCGGCGAGAGAGATGGTCGAAAGAAGAGCCTCTGTTCTTGGTGGAGCCCGTTTGGGTCGAAAATTCACAGGCGGTGTGTGGGCTAGTCCTATCTGGGAATACAAGGGCAGGGCTGGTTCTGTCACATGATACTGCCACTGCTCTTTTATGTCATGTGATGAAGGACGTCCTCTCTGTCACATGATTGAAAGGATCTGATTGGGGTCTGTAAACGAAGCTAAAAGTCACATGTGCACGGACCCTGTCAGACTCACATAAATACTCTGCTTTCCCAACTTCCTTCCTCTTCTTTTTTTCTTCTTTAGCTCTCTTTGCCAATTGGCTTAGATCAAGTGTAGTATCTGTTCTTTTCAGTTTAATCTCTGAAAGATGTCTAAGGACATCACATTGATTATTCTCATTTTTGGACCCCGCGACTTGGCCTCTGTGCTTGCGCATGCCTTGTCGCACAGTGTCATCGGGCTTACACTACCCCCGATCGACGCGAACCACTTTTTCATCAATTGTGTCGGCATGTCCGATCGCTTGGAGAAGAAGTTTCTCTCGTAGGATATATACCACAATATAGTAATGACCCAAATTGCACGCGCCTCAACAGGCGTTGTGGCGTCATGCCGTCGCCGCCGCCATGGATTCTTGGATGCCATCGCAAAACGTCTGGAGTCTCCCTTTGCCGTCAAGTATGCTTTGGCTCAAGTCGTACGTCTAGCTGTCACAGTGTAGTTCATTTATATCTTTAAGGTGGTGCGCGACTCTGGACTGGCACGTGGTACTGCTCGTGGAGCCTCGAACTTTAGAAGTTGTCATTGGCGACACACGGTAGCGACTTAATCTTGAATCCTGTAACCGGCGCGAATGCCCTGTACGTGGTTACTTTTTTATAGACGCAGAAATGTAACATCTTTCGGAATGAATAACTTGATGGTTCGGGCTGTGAGTCAAAAGTCAGCTACGATAAATAAAGGGGGGCGGCATCGGCAAGGAAGGTTTACGACACTCCTGATTCCAAGTATATCTCATCAACTCTCCCCATAGACATGAAGTATCACAAATAAATCAGCCCAAATGAGCTACCAGACCAAATCCAATCACAAGTTGGCAGCGAGCCATTTCAAGGTCACGTGCCGTCGCGGGGCCAGCGATAAGCTCGAGCTCTCCAAGTTTTCTCCATCCTGCGCCTCTCGCATCATTCGATAACGCCGCCATGGGTTCAATCGTATTGCCTCACTTGCGGACGGCCTGGCACGTTGACCAGGCTATTCTCTCTGAAGAAGAACGCCTCGTGGTGATCCGCTTCGGCCGCGACCACGATCCCGACTGTGAGTCGTTTTCCTCGTCGCGCTGTCGCGTTGTACGACTAACCATAATTCTGCAGGTATCCGTCAGGATGAGGTTCTCTACAAGATTGCAGAGCGCGTGAAGAGTGAGTTTCTAGTCTCCGACACTTTGAGTCTACCCGCTAATGAGTGCAATGCTAGACTTCGCCGTTATCTACCTCTGCGACATCGACGAAGTGCCTGATTTTAACGGCATGTACGAGCTATACGATCCAATGACGATCATGTATTTCTACCGCAATAAACACATGATGTGCGATTTCGGCACGGGAAACAATAATAAATTGAATTGGGTGCTGGAAGACAAGCAGGAGCTCATCGACATCATCGAGACCATCTACAAGGGCGCGAAGAAGGGCCGTGGTCTGGTCGTCAGTCCAAAGGGTAAGCACTCGACGTTTTTGATTTCAAGGGCAATTACTGACTGGTTTGTTTGCAGATTACTCGACAAGATACCGTTACTGAGCCGGGCTTGACTTCCAGAGTGGTGGCACCGGCAGCGTTCGATGGATGTCGCCCATTTTTATGAAATTAATGATTACGATGGTTAGACAAGAGACGAGGAAATAAAATTCGAGAAGCACATTTGAGAGATTGTTTATTGTTCTTGAGGAGATATTTTTTCCTTTATTTCCGACTTCGTAGATGTCGGGAGGTCATGCACTGCTGAACAGGGCCTCTTCCGCAAGTCATCAGAAATGACCGGCGGTGTCGCTAAATTCAGAGCCCAGGTAAAATATAGTGGATCCCTGAAGCTTTTAGATAACTTCTACTGTCTGTAATCAGTAGCCACAGCAATTGAGCAGTAGATAGCGTGGTAACGATTACAAAACACACGCTCGATCACGAAAAATGATCATTGCGGACGATAATATAATATTGCCACTGAGATTAAATTAAACCCAAATTTATCCTCTTTTCCATTTTTTGGAATGAATTGTGGCTGTCAACCTTCGAATTTGACGTAACTCCGTGAAGCTCCCATCACCGCATCCGCAAACTGCATCACCAAAATCCCTTCACTTAGCACGTACCAGCTAGGAAACCACCCACAACCAACAAAATGATCGACCAACGCATTTTCGAAGATCTCCAGACCAAAATTGACGAGGAGACTACCGTCCGAGATGTGAGTGCCCCCGGCCCCAGCGCCCGGCGAGCTGTCCGTACAGTGAATTCTGCGCGTGCCAAGCCTCACCCAAGCAGAGCCACCGCGCACACAACACGGACTCGAAGCTGATTGACTGGTTATAGGAGCTCCACGAGATTGTTCAGACCCTTGCACGGAAAGGTACGATTCATCTGGTGGCAAATGGCCAACATAGCCCATGGCCTAGCTCGCTAGGTCACTTCGGTCCTATTATTGGAGCCCCAAGCCGAAGGACAGGACTGATGTTATTTCAAAAGGTCGTTCTACAACAGCCATTCTTGCACGGGCACACTCGACCCCGTCTGATCAGAGTATGTATCCCTTGTCAATGGCCATCCGGTCGAGCTTCTAGTGGACTCCTTCACTCCTAGCCCTCGGGCGGCGAAACGTCGACATGGTATCTTAAGATCGACCTGGCTAATCTGATTCAAACAGTCAAGCCAGTCTTGGATGATGCGGCTGCAGAGATCAATGCCCAGAAGCAGGAGGTCCTCCGCCTGAAAGCCGTTGCTGATCAGCACCCGTTCTATAAGTACAATGGACTGTGGACACGCGAGCTCCAGAACCTGGTCGCCTCCATCGAGCTGTGTGCGTGGCTCGGTGGGCTGGATGAGCACAAGGGATCTAGCTCGGCCTCTTTCATGACTATCGAAGATGTGGGCAAGTTCCTGGAAGGTAAGTGAACCTTGATACTAAATCTGACTACACAAAATCGGGTATTCATTATTTGATCTGAACAGTTCCTGTCAATCTCAAGGAGAAGGATGCTTTCCACTTGACTATTGAAGAGTATCTTTTGGCTCTTATTGCCATGGTAGAGGAGCTCGTATGAACTCAAAGACCCCCATTCTGGCGACATCGAGAGCGTGCTGGCTAACACTTTTTGTAGTCGCGTCTGGCTGTCAACTCCGTGACCCTTGGTGACTATGAGCGCCCTCTTCAGATCAGCAACTTTGTTAAGGATCTCTTCTCTGGGTTCCAGTTGCTCAACCTGAAAAATGATATCCTGCGGAAGCGCAGTGACGGCGTCAAATATAGTGTAAGTTTACACTGTGTTCATTTTAGGACTGTGATCGACTGACTTTTCCGCGATAGGTCAAGAAGGTCGAAGACGTGGTCTACGACCTGTCCCTGCGAAACCTGATCCCCAAGGGCGGCGCGTCTGCCTGATTGGAATGCCGTGGATAGACACGCTTGCCCTTGATCACGAACCCCGAGCGACATAAGAGCGTCTAGCATCTACATGATCACAATATGATGAGAATATTTGGGTGATCTTACGAATATAAAAAGTCCTCCTACGCCACACAGTATAAAAAAAGTCTTAATAATAAATGGTATCACTGTAGAGGGTTCTGACCTATTAATGAAATATCAACTGGACCTCAGTAAGATCAGATGTCGTAAAGCACACGGACGAGCGTATGTCGTCCAGGGTAAAGCGCCAGGGTATGAATACATGGAACGAAGGAGGCAGCACAGAGACGAGTTCATCGCACAAGCTTAAGCCTCTGCACCCTTAGCCTTCCTAGCCTTCTCGATCTCCTTGACAATCGAGTCCTCGAGAGACTCCGGCTTGGTGAGAGAAGAGTGGCGGGAGACGACCTTTCCATCAGCGCCAACAAGGAACTTCTCGAAGTTCCACTTGACGGACTTGATGCCCATGATACCAGGCATCTGTTCCTTCAGCCAGGTGAACACGGGGGCGGCGTGTTCGCCGTTCACGTCGAGCTTTCCGAGGACGGGGAAGGTGACGCCGTAGTTGAGCTGGCAGAAGGACTGAATTTCGTCGTTGGAGCCAGGGTCCTGGCTGTTGAATTGATTGCAGGGGAAACCAAGGATGGTGAAGTCTTCAGGGTAGCGCTCCTTGAGCTTCTTGTAGAGCTTCTCGAGGCCTTCGAATTGGGGCGTGAAACCGCACTTGGAGGCGGTGTTGACGACGAGGACAACCTTACCCTTCAGAGGCGCAAGGGGAAAGGGCTCGCCCTTCTCTGTGAAGTCGTTCACGTTAATGTATGATTCGCCAAGGCACGAGCGGGGGTCCGTGGGGCTTGATGAGAATCTCACTACTTACTGTCGACGGGCTCAAAGTCATAGAAACTGGTCGCGGAAGACATGGTGCTGAATTTTGCTGGAGAGAGAGAGAGACGTGGAGGGGAAAGGAGCTTGAAGCTGTGAAGGGATGACGTAGAGTAGCGGGGAGCAACTGGAGTCACGAACCGAGGGAGTAGACGAAAGCGAACAACAGCGCGCATGGCTGGATTTTGTAACATTTCTAGCCGAGGCGAAACCAAGAGATTCCTTACCAATGATGCCGGGCCCAGGCACGGATTCAAAGAACGTCCGCCGGCTACTTGACTGCGCCGAGCCGATCGATCGCGAATTCCACGTTCCATGACCTGCCATTGGCGGACCCGATCTTCATAACGGTGTCTGTCATGCAGCTTCTATGACCGGCATTACAAATTCTATTGGTTCTAACTGTGCATAACCACGGAGACAGGTATGATTTGAGTATAGTCTGGTTAAACATAACTTTTTTCGCTTACAAAATGTTGCGGGTCTGGACTTTTCTGCATATGCCCCACACCCGTAGTCTTGCCCAGCATAGATGCACAGTGTAGAGCTGCCATGGCTGTTGGACACCCTGCCATACAATCCCATAACACACAGTGAAGATCCCGTGGCATTAATCTTTGGTCATGCCATTCATCATGCGATAGGTCATCCTGCGAAAGGGACAGCCGTGGACTAGTGAACTGCACTCAATCTAGGATGGTCTGCGCATCCCGACACTAGCGGACAGTCAGGGAATTGTTGTAAGCCCTGGGAGGGGCATTACGGAGCCGGAATTTCCGAGACGAGAAGAGAGAGAGAGAGCGCGCAAGTTTTCTCCGCCTCCAGGGCAAATGCAACAGCTCCAGCGACGGGCCACCTTGTCGCTCAAGCCACAAATACCGCAAAGTTGCGCGGAGCCAGCATGATCTGTTTCTGAAATAACAGAGCATCATCGCAGCTTCAATCTTCCATCTCCGCCCGGAGCACATCGACATCCAACTCCTTCATGACGCCGAGAACCACTCCCAAGCTCTCCATGAATCCATTGACCGCAACACGCAGCATGCGATTGGTAGTGGCACGGTAGGTAGTCTGCAGCACGCTTTTCGACTCATCAGGATCCTGCTTTTGCTTCTTTCCCTGTGGTTCGTCGCCGTTCTCGGAAGCTGGGGCTGTGAGAGTCATGGTGCGTCTCACGGACGGGGACAGCTCGGTGTCGACCTCGATAGTCTGCAGTGCGGCGGAAGCGAGGCGATGAGTTGGAAAAGGGAAGGAGAGGGTTCTTAGTCAATAGTCAGCGCTCTGTTTTGAATGATTGTATGCCACGCGTAGATTCAACATGTCTCGCAAGTGGGGGACGCTTCGTACACTGAGACAGGGAATTCGCTTTCAGATAGCTGTGCAGCACCCATGGTGGATTGACTTTGATCTCAAATACAGTGCAGGGTGATCAAAAATGCCAGGATCGTTTGGTGGGGAATGGAATCTCGAATGTCGCGTAGGTATATCTCTTGTGTCGAGATGAACATTTCGACCGCCCGACGAGGGGCCCTCAAAGCTTCTTACTAAGCAAACACATGCGGGAAGAGTAAATCTACAAAAAGTTCACAGACATGAGAGGTCTTGACAATTGGGTGATAAGTTATAGAATTATCATCTTCATCTCTGAAAGCAGAACTATGATGCATACTAAGAGCACTACTTAGGTACCATAAAAGGGAATTTCCACTCTGAGAATAATCCAAACATGAGAATAACAAAATATAAATAACGCGCATCCATCCCCATATTGTACATTAAGTTTTATCAAAGAAAGGCCCGAGGGCACGGAACCCAGAGGACGTTGAAGAAGTGAATTTAAGCAAAATCATGCCTCTTTTAATAATCTCATGACACCTTCCATGCATGTGAAGTTCTCAAACCTCTCGTTCTTGAAAGGTTTAGGCAGTAGCAAGGTGGGCGATGACGTCTTGGACGGCCTGGGGCATGTTGGTCAGGCTCTCATGAGAGATATCACCGGCGTTGACGATGGTGTGCAAGTTGTTCAGGGCACCATATAGGCCGGTAGGGTTTCCAGAAAGACCGATCAGAGCAAATGAGATGGTCTGTTCAAGGGTGGCGGGCATGTTTCCAAGCTGGCGTGCCTTGAGGTCTGCAATATGTTTTTAGCAAGAAGTCTCTGTAAAATGAGCGGCTGACCCTACCACCAGCAGTATTGGCAACGACGTCCTCAGCAGTACCCGCAGCGCCTCCAAGAGTGGACTCTCCAGTTCCAACAGCGCTACCAATAAGACCAGTAGCACCATTCAGGCTGCTGCCAGTGGCCTCAGTGACAGGGTAGAGGGTGGTGAACTGGCGAGCCTTAAGATCTAAAGAATAAATTAGCATACCCTTCGTGTAGGCGGATGAAGGCAGAGGTACCGCCAGCAGTGTTAGCAACAAGGTGTTCAGCGGTGCCAGCAGCACCACCAACCGTTGACTCCGCAGTGCCGACGGCGCTTCCAGTGAGGCCAGTAACGCCATCCAGGCTGCTACCAGTGGCCTCAGTGACGGGATAGGCAGTTTCGAGTTGGCGAGCCTTAACAGCTGAGAAACGAGTCAGCATAAAGGTCGTTAAGAACAGATCAAGAGGCTCACCACCAAGGATATTGGTGCCAACATTCTCAACAGTACCAGCAGCACCAGCAACGGTGCTCTCACCGGTTCCGACAGCGCTGCCGACGGTTCCAGTCGCGCCGTTCAGAGTACTACCAGTGCCTTCAGTAACAGGATAGAGAGTATCAAACTGACGCTTCACGACTACAGAAAAGTCAGACAATGAGGTCCACTATCTTTATATTGATCTCGGTTACCTCCAACGGTTTTTGCAAGCACGTTCTCAGCGGTACCGGCAGCACCACCAACTGTTGACTCTGCAGTACCAACCGCGCTTCCGGTGGTACCAGTAACACCGTTGAGAGAGCTACCAACGGCCTGAGAGTCAGGATAGAGAGCATCAAACTGACGCTTGGCGCCGTGAGTAAGGGCGGCAAGGGTTCCTTCAGCGGCACCTTCCATACCCTCAATGGCGCCATTGAGTCCAGGAACTTGAGGGAGGGCAGCGGCAGAAACAACGCCGACCAGGGCGAGAGAAGCGGCGATTCCAGTGAACTTCATGGTTGCAATTATATGTGAAATAAAAAGATCGAAAGAGTGACTGGGTGAAGAGAAGGTTTGTATAGACAGAATGAATGGGAAGGTCAAAAGAGTGACAGGAAAGAATAGACTGAGTAGAGGGAAAAACAACTGTTGCTGAGTGAGATGGCTACGACCTTATGTACACCGTGCCAGGAGGCCTATTTATGAGCTCTAACTTCCGGTGGACTCCTCGCATGTGCTGCTTTGGCATCACCGGAGGTCTGTGGTTCATCCGACATCGTTGATGGTCCCTGAGCGCTGCCATTAATCATGATCGACACTAGCAATCTGCCATTCGGAGCTCCGCGATGGTGGTTAGTGGATATAGAATACGCGAACGAAGGGAGGTTCCACATGGCCGCCAATGGAAACCCCCCCGACGGAGGTGTGTAAAAGCTTCCGGGAATGGGTGATTACTCGATAGAGATAAGCTCTGTGGAGGCCGGGAAGCTGCACAGTTGGCTTGAGCGGATGCACTAGTGGCACTGGAAGCTTATCGCTAATGGGAATTTGTCCAGATTTTTTGAAAATGATCTACCTCAAAGTAGAGGCTTCGTACAAGAGGGTGATTCTGCCATGATGATCTCCGTGGCATCTTCACGTTGCCTGCACTCAGAATGTGGCTTTCTGTCTATGATTTCGGGCTCTTTGAAAAAGCAATCACCAAGCCAGAACCAACGAAAATTTGGATTCGATTCACCTTACATGTGAGGGATATAGAGAGTGCGCACTGACGCTGAGGGTGGAGTGCCAGGCAAGGGTGGCGCATCAATCTGATTAACCAGTAAAGTCCAAAGGCCCTGTTGATCACTCATGTGTGGGTACGAAGCGCTGTCAGGGCCCAAGCCCTCGATAAGGTCAACTTTGGGAAACTGGCGACCGTTGAACATCCTTGCATCAATGGTGCATTGAGCTGAAATGCGCGATGCGCCTTCACCCCTGGCTTTGCGATCTTCACGTACGCCCAGGTACATGGAGGAAGGAGTCATCTTCGGGTTGTCAAACTAGTCATCTTCCGTAGAATCCATCAAGAGGGAGAGTATTAAGAGGAACGGTCTCCTCCGAGATCTAGATAGGCACGGGCGCCAAGTAATGTCGAGAGGGTGGCGTTGCCGTGGTTCGGGCCGACTGCCGCCTCGGAAGATAAACATCATAATCATAACAACGCGCCTCAGTGGCGAATGTCTCCGTTGCCCCGTCATACCTGTGTTTGTGTCCATTGGTCTGTTTTCTCTCGTCTTGGCCAGCGAAGATGTTCGCGCTTGGGCCGGCTAGACCTGGCGGTCTGATCTCATCGTAAGAGCATCAAGGGAGATCATCGAGATCAATAGTCCGTGTTTCTCATGGTCATTTGACAGCATGGCCGTTGTCTCCAGGAATATCATTAAAGAAGGAGCTACGCCTCGCGGACTAGGGAGATGTAAGCCTTAAATGCGACTAGATAAACGACAGACACAGTTGCGGGGAGTGCAGCCGCCCCCATAGGCGCGAGGCAAACACTAACATAGCAGGTGATACGAGATCAACCATCAACACATGGAGCTGGTCACACGGAATGTCGACTTGATGGGTAGCCCGATTCAGGCATCGATAATGTGATCAAACGAGGCTCGGCTATACTTGAGAACCACGATGGAATGTTACCAAGGAAACAAAGTGTGCAAGTCAAGATCTGGGAGCCATGGCTGCAGCTGTGGATGGTCGAGCTCATCTCATAGGCTGTCAAATCTATGGAGCTGTCATTTGTTTTGGGTGAAGCCACTGAATTCAGGCAGAAGTTATCATAGCCTCAGGCAGTAACGGGCCGTTGTCGCGTCAACGGCTCACGCTAGGCCCAAATAGGCCCAGCACAACATAACAGCCGCTTAGCGTGGCATGGCAGCTGTCCCATGAGATTTGTTTCTCATAACTCTCCCCTCATCTTTTATTCTTAACACTCTTCTGCATCCCGTGGGACTCTATCGTTATTTCCATCTGGATTTGACTCAATCAGGCCATGAGCTTTTGAGACTTCGCCTGCTTTCATTCTTCCATTCTTCCATTCTCACGCGAGCGCATCCCAACAATTGGTCTGGCTTGCCATAACAGTGACGACAGACTGACGATACTGCCGGTCTTCCCATTGTTTACCTTCTTTATCATTGACCCTGTCAAGTCGTGTGCTCTATACCGAAGTTCACAATGACCACCGATTCTGGCCGAGGCGGCCAGATGATTGAGTACATCCAAGGTAAGCCGCCGCCGCCGCTGCGCATGTCTCATATCTCGCATTCGTCGCATGCTGGAGTCTAACAACAAAACAACAACAGACCGTCTTTATCTGGCGTCTTATGACTCCGCCCCGAGCTCAAGGACACCATTCCCGTTCCCGCTCGACACTCCCAAGTCTCCCAGCAAGCGTCGGACACAGCCTACGACACCGACTACCAAGCGCCGATCTCCCGTATACTTCACCGTTGACGACACCCTCCTCTACAACGCTTTCCACGCCGACTTTGGTCCTCTGCACATCGGTCATCTGTACCGCTTCGCCGTGCTGTTCCACGAGATCCTCGGAGATCCGGCCAACAGCGATCGCCCCGTGGTTTTCTACAGCAAGACGGATCCTCGCAGCCGTGCAAATGCTGCCTGCATTGTGGCATGCTACATGGTCCTAATCCAGGCATGGCCACCCCACCTCGCCCTTGCGCCAATTGCGCAGGCCGATCCACCTTACATGCCCTTCCGCGATGCGGGGTACAGCCAGGCGGACTTTATCCTGAACATCCAAGATGTTGTCTACGGTGTGTGGAAAGCCAAAGAGCAAGGCCTGTGTGGCCTTCGTGATTTCAACCTCGAAGAGTATGTTTTCGATATCTTTTATGTTCGAGTCGAGTCGCATTGCTAATTCCGATTCCAGATACGAGAAGTTCGAGAGAGTCGACATGGGTGACTTCAACTGGGTAACCCCCAACTTCCTCGCTTTCGCCTCGCCTCAACAGCAGCCTGTTGCGCCCATCCCTATGAATACTCCCGAGTACGATGAGCTTCCATCCTCCATCTCCGAGGTCTGCTCGACCAAGCTTCCCCTCCCTTTCAAGAATGTCCTCGTCCACTTTGCCTCTCGAAATGTCGGTCTCGTAGTGCGATTGAACTCCGAGCTATACTGCCCCTCTTACTTCACTGCCATGGGAATCTCCCACATCGACATGATCTTTGAGGATGGTACCTGCCCGCCTCTGCAATTGGTCCGCAAGTTCATCAAACTTGCCCATGACATGATCACCATCAAGAACAAGGGAATTGCAGTTCACTGCAAGGCTGGCCTGGGTCGCACGGGATGCTTGATCGGTGCCTACCTGATCTACCGCTATGGTTTCACCGCGAATGAGGTCATTGCCTTCATGCGATTCATGCGCCCCGGCATGGTCGTGGGTCCTCAGCAGCACTGGTTGCATCTGAACCAGGGTGCTTTCCGCGAGTGGTGGTTCGAAGATAGTATGCGCGAGAAGCTTGCTCAATCTGCCCCGGTCACTCCCCGCGTTTCGACCAAGAAGCGCGCTAGCAATGGCACCGTATCCACGCCTCCCAACAACAGCCACTCTAAGCGCGCTGCCCTTGGCGAGATCGATCACAACGAGGGAGCTGGCCAATACGAGGAAAATCTCCCCGCCCCAACTCCTGGTCAGCCTCGGAAATCACATCGCAAGGACTCCCGTCACCACCCATATGCCCGGACTACGTCTGGTTCTCTGGCCGTAGACCGTGATGGCAACAAGTATGAGGAGCAGACAAGCCGCAAGCACCGGGCAAGCAATGAAAGCAGTGAGAGTGAAGAGGAAATTCAATTGCGCATGCTGAAAGCCAAGAAGGCGTCCAAGTCCCCTGTGGCCTCTCCGACAACCCGCTCCATTAGCTACTCTGCAACTGTCACAGCCAGTTACACATTGACTGATGGCATCCACGAGGACCGTGAGAATTGGGTTGAGACTACGACTCCCAAGACTCCTTCAAGCCGCAAGAGCGCCGGCGCTCCCATTTCCGTGAGCAAGATTCGATCTAGCCCTAGGAGGGCAACAGACAGCAGCAAGAGCGAATCACGAGGAGTGCGAAAGCCCAGCGGCCGAGTTGGCAGCACATCTGCCAGCCCGGCTCGTGTCACACGTGTCCAATAAGGGCCTGGATCTTAGCCCTTCAACTGATGACCCTTTCTATTCTTCCGTCCCACGGGACATCATTTTGCATACCCCCTTTCTGATGCATTTCCATGCTTTAATGTTTTCTCTTTCTTTCTCTGTCTCATGGTTTCTTCGGGGTCTTTCCTGGCGTGACATTGGTTGTTTTTGGGTCATGTCTGCGCGGCGTTTGGTTTTCTGCTGTTTATAAATGACTGCGTGCATCTTGGAAGTCGTCATGCCTGGGACTTCCGTGGTTGATTCTGATTGAATCGCATTTCTTTCGGTTCCTCTTGCGCCCATGACATGATGATTTCTAACGGCTTTGTATGTTACAATTCCACGGCGACATGACAATTCATCTCATGTTCTCGTCTATAATGTTCTTTTCTTCCATTGCCAGTCGTAGCAGTATTGGGTACTGTAAGTGGATGTGTACCTATTATCAGTACCGCGGTATAGATGAGGCCGTGCCTCGTTCCTTCAAGTTGCCTCGAAAGTGAGTAAAATCGGAGTCTTCGACAGCACAAGTACGGACCTCAAACGCTTCGAGTCCCATTGATGCAGCCGCCATGTCACACCACTCACTCGCGGGAATGATATCATGATTCATGTCTGCTTTCAACTTGGACACAATCCGAAATGGCAAGGGATCCGACATTTCCCGATCACCTTGAAAGGATTTGCGCGTCATATGGCCTGTCTTGTCTTTCTCGAGGCATGCAAGGTAGTCAAGTAACATCTGTAGAATATACAGACAGATGTCTGACCCTTTCAATACACTATTGGCGATTTCCTGTGGAAATGTGGAAGGAACAGGTCCAATGAATGCCCCCTTGGCACCATCCCCAGCAACATCAGCCCGCGAGCTCTGTGCCGCTGCCGCGATCCGTAATTGCGTAGAAAGCCTACGAAGAGCCTGGCAACATTGCAGAGACCGCAATGCCAGGAATTGAGAAGCTTGTTCCCTATCGGACTCTATATGAAGTCTGCGAGCCTGGAAAAGTAAGCCCGGGACCTTGGAACCCTCCATAAATATCCGGTCTTGTAGATCAATGAAGAGTGCAATCGGTCCGTCAACGCGTGGATCGGCCATATCTTCACTCCGCACTTGATCAATAAGAGCCTGCCACTCAGGTCTTTCGAAGATGCACGGCTTATCATTCACAAAAGCCTCGGCGACAATGAAGCTTCGGAAGGACAGGTACAGGCAGCGATCGAACCCCGTCAAATGAGCATTTGGACCACGATGCGCCATGAGTAAAGCCGTACCACCAGCATGACGAGCCCAAGAGTCTGGATCCGTTCGCGAGTACGTCTCGAATAGACTGAGGAGAATGGTTATGCTGACACTTTCGCGTGACTTCATTTGATTCGGGTCGTGGATTCTTTTGCCGAACAGTCGCAGTGCCTTGCTGTACATCTCCCGACTGGAGCGTTGTAAATTGGTATCGGTATGTGCGTGGCCCATGAAGATCGCGTTGAGACTATAGACCGATGCGTCGAAGGCTGGACTTTGCCCTAGCTTTCCTGCGACGTATGTTGTCCATGGGACGTGGACGCGATATTTGTTCAGGCCGAACCATCGTTTGAATGCCGTGATTACGAAAGAACCGAAGATGACGGGCTGTTGCTTGCCCATTGATTGGGCTACTAGAGAGGGGAGGATTTGTTCGTCGATTGACTCGGTAGTCTTCGATGTTGGTGTTCTTTTGCCGAATCGTTGGTGTAAGATTGGGCCCTCGTCCATGAACTTATGTGGGCGGGTATAGCCGGGGCAGTCGGTGCCGTATTTCACACATTGTGTACACTCTGGGAGTCGCCTGTCGCACTATTTGTATGAGATAATTAGGCTTGTTCGGCAGTCTGGATGACGATTAGGAGAGTGTCAATGGTAAAGAATATACCTTTACACGTCGCTGGATGCATGTCTGGCATCCTTTGCTCTTTGGGACCCCAACCATAGTGAGAGAAGTGTGCTGGATTTGGCGAAGAGCATTCCTGGAGAATCATTCAATGATCGTGAAAAGATCAGGAAAAGCTTCAGATTTGAGTTCGACCATTTATCAAGCTCGTGCGCAAGCCATAGCGTGCGAAGTAGAGTTCTCCGATCTCGCAGAAACCAGGAACTTTTGTTTGGAATTATCGGGGTAAATACAGGTGGGATTTGTGGCTCAAAAAAACGTTTAATGGACCACATCTTGCCCAGATAACCGAAGCCTAGGTCTCTGACTGTTGACCAGCCCTGTCTTAGGTCCCGCACAGCAAAGAACATCATTAGCCAAACACGCCACAGGCCAAGACCGAGGGGGATAAAGAGAACTTTATTTATAGAATAAGCGGGACTAAGGGTGCAGTAGCCTCGACGGGGTTAATTATGGACCCTACAATGCCACTCCAATGGCCTGAAGCGAGCCAATGAACACCGGCGGAAAGGTCGCCATGTTGCCCGAGAGCTTCACGTGTGTTGTTCTTGGGTTTAGATATATAGGGTAATTACCGCTCGGTATAATTCCTTTATAAGTATCTTAAATTTATCGCGACTAGCAATACTAGGTACTACCGGCGTATACTGAAGACGGCAAAGTCTTTTCGCGTATCTTCTATAGTACGATTAATACGGCGGGATCCGGGGACTTTGTCGCTAAGCTTCTCTAAGATTATAAACGATAGCCGGAACCTATGTCCGTTCTTATTATAGATAATACATCATTCTATCATTCTAAGAAGATTGCGTAAATATACGCTAATGCGGGTGTGAAATTAGTATATATCTGCCACCGTATTCACTAAAAGAAGAGAGCAGCAGAGGTAATTTCCAGCATGCGGGCCTAAAGATAGAAAACTTGATGAATTGAGTTGTTGTTATAATGACAGACAAAAGCAAGGGTCATCCGGCGGGTTAAGGGCGAGGTCTATGGCACTGTCAGCGTGGCTGTTTACCCCGCAATCGGATGACTGAGCAAATTGCCCCTCCACGCTAGCAATTACGAAGTTATTACTACATCAAGACATTTCCCATGCCCTCCTGAACTCAATTTAGAGTGACTTGCTCGCGCATGCCAGGCACCTCCAGCTGTTTGTTCATTTTTACTCATGAAAGTCAAGCAGAGATCCGTCTGTCAGCCCTGTCGAGATCGGAAATTAGGCGTACGGTTCTTCCTTACATTGCAACCTATCTATCTTTGTCATTCAGTTTATCATGGAATAATGTAGCTAATGAACTCCTCAGTGTGATGGAAAATGGCCTGGGTGTAGCCAATGCGTGCTTACTGGGAGAACTTGCGGGTACCAGAGCGACTGGACATTTATCGCTCAGGGTGCTCGTCAAAGTGTACTAGACTCAACACTCTCTCGGAACGCATCGGAGCACGCCAACCGCAAGGCCCATACAGTCCCTACTAAAAATTTGCCTAGGGGCCGCCAACAAGGGGGAACGAAACGGGTCAGTTATTCCCCTTCACTGTCGACTTTCCGACCCCATGGACGCCCGCGTATGAGCGAAATAGCGGAACTCGTCAAAAATGGCTACCTTCCTGATATCCTCGGTACACTTGGTCATCGTCACCATGAGGAAGCTCAAATATGTGGCGCGTGGGTTGAAGTACTTCCCATGCTCCCTTGTCTAACCCGCGATGCATCGGTGCTTTCAAAAGCCACACGAGCACTAGCGACTTTGCTTGCCTCACAGAAAGGGAATATTCCTCGTTCATGTGACGTTGAGTCCCCAGAAAGTTACCACGACGCTATTCATACATTGCGTGGGCAAATTGCTGCTAATGGTCTTTCCTTTGAGTTGATTGCTGCTATCATGTGTCTTGCCTTGGCGGAGGTACGTGGTCTCTGGTAATAGTAACCAATATTGTGCTAATAGTTTAGCTTATGCTTCCGGATTCTGCGCCTGCTCTCAAGATGCATCTCCAAGCTATTGGAACATTGTTTCAGAGTTATGGTCCAGAAGCACTACGATCAGGGATACCTCATAAGCTTTTCTTAGGCTTTCGGCCATTTATCGTGGGTTCTTTACACGAGAGTCCGAACGCAAGAGACTTTATTTTAATGTCTTTCTCAGATCGCCGAAGCAGTGCGTGATCGACAGCCAACATTCTTAGCCACCGAGACCTGGATGAACATTCCATTTTCGGTGACAGCGCCGTCTCATGCCCAAGAAGTATTTAACCGGGCTGCGGCTCTACCATCGATTCTACAGCAAGTCGATATCTCCCTGGGGGTATCTGGTCTCGAAAACGAAAACTCACTTGCTTTGCGGGCATTGATAAGGTCCCTCCTGGGAGTCTCAAGTCATCTTTCCGCCTGGGAGAAGAGCTTGGGCCTCACAATGACACCTACCATTTCTTCAACTCCCAACCCGAATCCCAGCAATTTCGACATCTCCCATATTTCCTCGAGCCCAATTTACTTCCCTAACATTTCAGTTGCAAACGGATTGACCCATTGCTGGTCTTTCCAGATCGTCTGCCTGCTAGAGATAGAGAACATTTTGTTACGTTTTCCCAGGACCACTAAGATACATGATGTATTGGCCGGAGATCTGAACTGTGATGCTATCCAAGCCGAAGCGGATCGTTTAGCCTATAGGATTTGTTCAAGTATGAGCTATTTACTCCAGGATGAGATGAAGCTCTTTGGACCAGTGTCAACCTTGTTTCCCGCGCAGACTGCATATGTATGGTTCAAGAAGGATCAGGCTCGTCACCAAAGCGGCATTAACTCTATCAAGGCAGTAGTCGCCCAATTGATCCAAAAGGGCCTACTGTCTGCATCACTTCTAGTGTTTGGCGAAAATTTGCATTAAATCGAGGCTATATCTCACATTTGGATCAATCTCGTGATTAAATTAAGGAGCTAGATCTAAAAGACTGTAACCTTCTCGCCTGGCTTCAGCCAACAAATCTTATCACTGATACCTTCCTCCTCGAAATCCTGTCTCAGCCCTTCTCCAAATTGAGTAAAATGCCCCCAAGACTCATAATGCATCGGAATCAACACATCAGCCTTGATATCGCGGAACAGTCTAGCCGCAGACTTGCCATCCATTGTAGCCTGAATCGGAGGAGCACTCATATCCGCAAAGTTTGGCGCATGAGCATTACCCAAATTCATCACAGCTGCTTTGATATGGTACCTGCTCGCGATATCCTTGAGCTCCTCAATGTAGACTGTGTCTCCGGTGAAGTAGATCGCGTTGGGTAGGCCATCCCGACCATGACCGAAGTCTTCTCCGGTAATAATAAATCCGGTGCACTCCATTCCTGGAATGTGCTGAGTTGGAGTAGCAATCACTTCAAACTTTTTCCCAGCGATGGCGATGTTGATTCTCTCCCACTTTTTCATTCCATGAACCGCAGGGCGAGGAGCCAGGTTCTTGGCGCCGTCGACGGTAGTGAAAACGAGGCGCCCATTGAGTAGTTGGCGGCCAAGGTCGTCCAGATTGTCGAAATGGTCTTCATGGCTCAACAGTACCGCGTCAATCACTGGTAACTGGTTGAGGTTTAAAGCAGGACTATCGGATACAGTCAGGGTGATACGCTCATCGGACCATGAGGTGCCAGCGGGAGAGAAGAAGGGGTCGGTAAGGAAGTTGACACCATTGATGTTCAAAATGGCGGTGGCAGTGCCAATATGGGTGATGTGAAGAGTCGGTGTCATCTTTGACAAGAAAACTAAAGTTGATCTTTGTGATGTTGAGGACTTTCTTAAGAGTTGGTAAAATACTGTTGGCGGATGTTGTTCTGGAGCATCTACGAGGAAGACCCGGCTATTTATGTCCACCAGTGGAGGCTTTCTGGCATAATGGTAAATAGGACTTGACAAATACTGACAAATATTGATTAGAAGAGAGCTCCGAATAATTTGTACTTGGTCATCAGACTAAATAACTATCATTGACGCAAACACGAACTTGGAGGCGAGTTCCAGATGCTTGTTGACCCAAAAGGGTATCATATTTCGCCAAGACCGGAGCCACAATTTGCCCGTCGGCTGTAATTGGCCACGTTTAGCGCGATCCGAGTGGGGCGCTGGGAAAGAAAGCGGGCATGTCGAAGGAGTAATCTGTATTCGAATTCTTCGGTAGCTTGGAAAAGAAAATAAAAGTGAAATAGTCCAATGCAGATGATCCGGCTTATCCCGGTGTAAAAATAATACTTTTGTCGATAGAACAGCATACGGCAAGCTATCACAGAATGGAATCATCCATGTTCATGAGATGAGCAGTCTACAACTTCACCGCAGGTCTTTACGATCCTAGCTTCATCCTCGCCACCTGAATACTACCATCCAAAGCTCTGATCATATCTGCATCCGACCTATTACTCTTGTACTCAGCCATGCCCCTCTCATCCGCCAACCAACTCTGATACCAATGCTGAATCCAATCAGCCGCCACTTCCGCACACTCATTGATCTTTTCAAGCACTACTGTGTGTGAAGCGTCAAGCACAACCTTCTCGACCATCCTGTGTGCAGCGCCACCGCTACCACCAACACCTGTCCCGGTTGTAAGCATCTTGGCATCTTGAGCCTTAGGCAATGAGAGATAACTCCGGCTGCCAAACACCAAAAGAACACTGGGACGGACGAAAGGGAGACTGCGCCATGAAGCCCAGCTTTCGGGCCGTGCGAAACTGAGCGGACGTTCTTTTTCAATATCCCAATCGGACAATAACAGCCGATCCAGCTCGGCCAATTCTGGCTCCAGGTTGGGGATACTATAGCTCCATGATTCTTGGTGTCTTGTTGTTAGTGTTACCGTCATCGAAGGTAGCTCCGGATGAGTTTGTCGATTGTATAGGCGTGTTGGAACGGGTCGTATGCCGACTTGCGCAAATCTCTCGATGACGAGGGAATCCCACCCGCGTTGGACCTTGTGGAGAGTCGCTTCTGCTTTCTCTCGGGGCTCCCAGAGATCTTGTCTCCTGGTGACAAGGAGGAATTGAAAATGACCGGTTCGTAAAGAGCTAATATTGTGAAGACGAAGGGTGGATTATGGAGAGCTGCACGCTAGAAGATATGAGATGCCAGCAGCTGGCGTGAGGGATTTGTACGAACAGTTGGGCGCATCCCATACTATGTGCGACTCCTATGATCGGCCGTGGCAACGAATTATCTACATGTGGGACAACATGCAATTGTAATTAAATGAGTCACAGTGAACGGTGGGAAAGGGGGGCAGGGGATAGTACGATGCAAATCTAGGCAAAGGATGAAAAGTATTAAGCCTTTTCTAGCAATAGCAATCTTTCCTCTCGAATGAAAGCGCTACAGTGAAAAGCAGCTTGAAGGTCTAGAATTGACACGCTAAACCCTTTCGGGCGCAGCATTTTGCCCCCCCCGGCTCATCTATCTCTAGATATCGCAGATATTTTCCATCGATCCGTGCTTACTTCTCATGGTTGTCTACAATGAGTAAGAACGATGATCGCCGATCGCAATCTCCGGCTACACGCCGCAATGGCGCTCTGCAGTCCTGTGAGCCCTGTCGGCGGTCCAAACAGCGATGCGACCACGAGCGGCCTGTCTGCCGCAGATGCACTTTCAAGCGAATCAACGACCAATGTTTCTATCACCCGGCTCCGATGACCAGAAGAAGGCTCTCGGATCATGCCGTTCCATCGCGGGTATCGTCAAGCCGGCTCACCAGCCAGCCTGCCTCCAAGTACGAATGCACCCAACCCCGCCGTGGAACCTCATAAAACTAACAAACCAAAGTGCTTCAAGTCCTGGATCAATAGGTGGCGGGCGTCTGTACACGCCACTAGAGCCACCTACTGCTCTCCCGGGGTATTTGGGCTCGACAAGCTTCACAGCTGTTCTAGCTGAACATCGAAATGAGATCCCCCTGGAGCCGGAAGAAAGCACATACGCGTTTCCCGCTGTCTCGGTGGATCCGGACCGGGTCCAATCCGGGGCAGAAGTGCTGCTGCTTTTATACAATCTCAATGTCCGTCGGCAGCTGATTGATAGATACTATCGCAGCAGCTGGAGTGCAGTGGTGCCTAAAATGATTATGGATGCGATCTTGGGATCGATTGCGGAGATTTTCGATGGCTTCAACCCGAATGACCCAAAGCCCCAGCTGCAAGACTTGGCCACGCGGATCTTCCAGAATTCTTCAAGGGCATTGAAGACACATCAGTCTATGACGGTGCAGGAATACTGCGATTCTTTTATTGGCCAAAATTTTCGCTGGGAGGCTTTGGGCAATATACTAACCACGTGTGGACAGCAACTGGCGATCACGCCGGACAACGATCCAGAATTCTCGCAGGAAACTGACGATCCGGGTGCAAAAGACCGGCTTCTTGAGCAAGTGACCGTGGCAAGTAGTGTTTGCCTGAGCTTCTGCGACCAGGCTTCTTCGGCCAACGAACTGTTGGCTTTCTTGCAGTATACCGATGTCATGCTACGGACGCAGCAATATGGTGACTCTAGTATGTTTTTGTCTTTGTGATACTACAAGATTTTATTTACAAAGTATTGATAGGCTACCAAGCGTGGCGCCGATTGGGTGACTTGGTTGCCACGATCTATGCCTCGGGACTGCATCTAGACGGCGAAGGACCTGACAACTGCCCCTTCTTCCTGCGTCAATGGCGAAGAGGCTGCTTCATATCGGCATTTTATATGGACAAAATGATGGCGACATTTGTGGGTCGGCCCCCATTAATGAACTATCGGTTCTGTACGCTAGCGGCTCCTCTGGACCTTAGCGATGCAGTCCTCGTGGAGGGAGGAGAGGCTCTGACCAGAGCTATCTCCGAACTTGATAGCGCCGGTTGGAATACCTCTGGCGCTCGTTATAGAATGACCTCTGGGAGGTTACGATTCCAGCTCTCAGTATACAGAGAGCAGACACTGGAGCTCGCATTGGGCACACTTGAGCCACATGACTTGATTCGGAAATCCAAGTAAGAAAGAAACCTTTTCTTGAAGGTGGTCTGTGTTCGCAGCTAATGTAGGCCTCCCGAACAGTGACATAGAGGCAAGAGTGCGCGACGTGTGGAGAGCAGCGCCAGATCACCTCCGATACGATCGTCGAAAGAATGATGATTTCCACGACGGCTGGCTGACGATTGTCTATCTTTATCTCAACTATCTTTATACCTGCTTCCTGCTCCAGCGTGCCTTGATCAAGCATGCGGGTGTCAATCAAGATGCGCTCTGTGATGTGTCTCGCAGAATCTTAGCTATTGTGATTAGCATTACCTCCGTGCGAAATCCTATGGTCGATCTTGACAGACACTACTCGTGGATTGTATGATTCCCTTGCGTCGCTCACAAGCCTTCGTTAAGGCACACCTTGCTGACAGATATACAGGCCCTCACATATGGCCTTCCCAGTGCCAGTGTTCTTCTGCTCGAGCTTTTGCATCAATCTCACCAACCTGGTCCCCATTCTGTCGTTCTTCCACGGGCAGAGCTGATTCGCAATCTAAGCGTTTTCATCTCGCTCCTCTCCTGGGTATCACGTCCCGGCCACGGTAACTACCGGACATGCAAAGAAGCCGAGAAAAATCTGTCTCGCATTCTTGATCGCCTGCTCGACCCGCAGCCGGTGCTGGCAGACACGGTGAACGATGTGACATCCGACCTGTCCAGCTTCTTAAATTGGTCGAATTACAATTCCTGGGATTTTAATTCGGAGTATTTCCCTGCAGAGGGAGGATTTGCGCCCTAGCGGTTTACGCATGGAATGAGGTGCACCAAGCATCCTGAGTCGAGACCTCAGAACCATTATGAATGAAGGACGTAAGATCGTTATTTTATCGCATCAGATACCCCGGCTGGGATCATACCATCCAGATACAATCGTGCCGTGGCGGATTGTCTGCCTCAAAATAGGCCCTATGACAAAGCGGGCAATTAAAGTGGTCACCCAGAAACCATTTTTCCAAGCACTCCCGGTGGAAAACATGTAGACACCGCAACTCTCGGATTTCTTCTGTACGATCGACCTGCTCCAGACAGACAGCACTAGATTTGTCAGTCTCCGGTCACCCACGACACAAAGATCAAGCCTACCAGACAAATTGGCTATCGACGGCATCGGAAAGCTTCATTTTGTCTTTTGTACTGGTAAACCAGACTTCCAACGTGCGAGTCGGTGCAACGTCATCCAGCTTGCGCAGGCGCTCATCCGGGGTTTTCCGAGATCGCAAAAAAGCCTGGCGATCACGGCGGTTGACAATGATTGTGAGACTGGGGATTTCATTTCAGTCAATGTTACACACGCCCGGGGGACAGTCGGAGATTTGCGACAGCGGTTCAGGAAAGGGGCCAGAGGTGAACATGTAGATCGAATAGAATGAAAGTCCGAACACTCTCCCACCCAAAAAACTCACAGTAGGCTCAATATGATCAGTAACACGACACCCAGGCCAATCCCCAAGACGATAGCCATATGGCTCGTCTTGAGGTTATTCTCAGCCATCTCCCCTGAGCCCAGTTTTCAAGTCTCATAAGATGGAGAAAGGAGAGCAAAGGGGAAAGAGGAAAAGGTAAGGTCGAAAGGTCGGCTCAGGTGGTCATTAAAGTCAACTCCTTGACAAGGGAGCCGTGATCGTCCAAAGCGGGGAGACGCACAGCTCACAGCTCACAGCTCACAGCTCACAGCTCTTCATGGGATCATGGAATCGTATCTCCTGGTTCACCACCAATCGCCGTCCGTGGTGGCGGAAGGGATACGCGGGCCCAGTCGCTAGCGGCTGGGAATGCTGATCGGCTGGGTTGTACGTGCTTTGTGGAACATGGTGAGATGGTCGGACTTGGGTCATCTCTACCGATGGTCTGATTCTACACTGGTGAGGCCATCAACTTGGGGAACCGTCTCCACTCTTCACTCTCCACTTTCCACGCTGCACGATCCACCCTGTCCACCCGTTATACTATATTGCTCCTGCTTTCCGCTCTAGTGAATTGCAGTATCTTCTATCGTGGATGAAACCCCTATATCCTTCTCCACTCCAGCCTCTTCTCTCTCGGATATGATTTCCGGTCCTTGGCCAAATAGCCCATCAATCTCCTCCAGCGTTTTGAGCTTAGTCTCTCGAAAAAAAAAAGAAGATCACGGGGAACGACACGCAGAGATCTACACGAGGAAAGACACATCAGCCCAGCTCAAATTGACAGGGACAGAGACCTTACTCCACGCCACGAAGACAAAATAAAATCGCCACTTTAATCGATCCAGCGCGATGGGCGACACCTGATTCCACAAGGTACTAACGCCCCAGTTCCCGACCGCGACGGCGAAGGCGTTGCCCTTGCCACGGATCTGCATCGGCATGACCTCCGCCATGTACACCCTTCCAGACGTTAGTCTCGCCGTGGCGTGATCGAGGAGAGACTCACCAGCTGCAGGGCCCAAAAGACATCGAAAAGATGATCGAAACGGCGAAGAGAAAAAACACCCCGCCAATGCTGTACCCGATGCGCTCACCGTTCGAATTTTTTGAGTTTAGTGCCGCTTCGCAGATCAGGGCTAAAGAGATACCGATGGTGCCGAAGAGCATGGGCTTGCGACGTCCGACTCGATCGAGCAAATAGACTACAAAGATGAGATTGGCGAGAGGGCCGACGCAATTGTAGAGGCCTGCGACGAGCGTGTTTCGAGAGCCCGTGAAGCCGAGAGCTCGGTACATTATGGTCTGGTAGTAGCTGATCACGTTGATTCCGGTCATCTGCGTGAATGCTTGAACGGCGAGACCATGTCTGGCCCGGCTGTTGTCAGAAATGGAAGTGGCAGGATTAACCGAGACGTACAGCATGCGTGTGCGCCATTGTGGAACTGTGAACATCGGCGTCCAACCAGGCATTGCGATGTTCTTTTCAGCCTCGATGGTCCTGCAGATACCGGTATACTCGGCTTCGATCCAGTCGTCGTTTGTTCCATCCGAGTGCGTCTTTTCAAGCACTTGCATCGCTTCCGAGAATCTTCCATTCTCAATGAGGTACCGCGGGGACTCTGGAAGGAATATCATGCCAATGACAAGACTCAAAGCAGGGACGACTTGGAAAGCTAATGGAAAGCGCCACTGGAACTGGCTCCTATCTGATGCATGAAGCGATCCGTATCCGATCCATCTTGCCTGGATGAGCATTGAACGGGAAGAGGAAGAAACAGAGAACGTACGTGCTGACAATGAACCCAATGCCAATCATCTGCTGCGACAGTCCAACAATCAAACCGCGGGATCGTGGATGTGCAAATTCGGCTTGATAGACCGGTACCGACATCGACATCAACCCCACAGCCCAGCCTGCTAGTATACGGCCAACGAGAATCATGGAGAAATTCTGCGCAGACGCCTGCAGCGTTGCGCCAATTACACAGATGATGGCACCCAGCTGAATAGTGAACTTGCGGCCGAAGCGATCCATTGTCAATCCGCCTTGCAAAGAGCCAATCATCGCTGTTGAGATCGATCAGTCCTTTCATTCCACGGAATACCAATCTAGCAAGCAAGAAAGACGTACCTCCACCCGAGTACGTGCTATTGATAGCCCCAATGATAGCCGACGTCTGTGAAGTATTGAAATACCGCAAGAAATTTGGCGACTCAATGACATCTGTCATAACACCACTATCATACCCAAACAGGAACGACCCTGTAGCCGCTAGTAAGGCCACAGAGATAGAGTAAAATCGACCCATTGCGAAGTTTCAACGTCAATCCGGGGAATCCAAACTACACCGCAAGCGGGGAGGCCATCCCGGCCTTATTAATACGCTGTTGAAAAGCGGGGGGAACAAGACGAGGTGAGCTGGAGCGCAAAACATCTCTGACCAGGATTGAAGAAACCCGGGGTAACATTCTGCCCGGTCCCCAACCTTCGAGCCTCGGGTCCATCGAAGATCCGATCCTATCAGAGTGGCCTGCGGGACCGCTGTCGGAGGGCCGATGCGCCCAAATGTGTTACCGGTGTGCCGATGAGTATCCCCGCACGGCTCGTCATGGCCAGTGGTAATATTTAGATGCTTTAAATGGGCTCTATGACTATAGTGATGCTTTAATCATACAGCGTATTGGTGGAGGCGGTCGGCTACGGTGACTTTTTTCTTTTAGCCCCATTATGTATATTGACGCCTGCAGCGTCGAGAAATTCGGCTAGTTCAGGCTAGGAGTGAGAGACCAATTCCCCCAGTGAGGCTTCAAAGTACACACGAGGTGCATATCAATGACTTGATTAGAGATACATCGCCCGGTTCAACGAAAATCCCTACGAATTCAGGCATATGCGGTTTTCCAATAATGCGTGAAGGTAATTCAAGCAACACGTTCAGATGGATCCTTGGCGTCACGTGAACACGCGCATTTCGCGTTCGAGGCTTTGAAGACCTGATCGAATTTTTTACAAAAATCATGAGTCAAGGATGGCACGGAAAATGTTAAATACCAAGAATCAGGCGTCGGAGACTTTAGGATTCCTAGGATCTCGCGCATCTCACCAAGGTGACGTGGGACACGCGAGTAGTCCCCATCGGCCATACCACGCCCAGGGCCTAGTGGAGACTCCCGAATGACTTCCAACCACCCTAACAAGCGCGTCTATGGGACGAAGCGAGTCTTACAAAGAGAACAACGAGTTTCAATTCAATTGTAGAGTATGGGTAGAAGAATAGATAAAGTATGGGTCATTAGAGCGCGTGTACCACAGAAGTAGTAGGGACCTCGGAGGCGCACCATCTTGACTAGCGCGGGCACGTTCTTCTACCTCCGCGTCCACATCGCGACGCGATTCGATTCACTGCGGGCTTCTACATACTCGGCTCGCTTCTTCTCCAGCCCCGACCCTCTTTTCACTCACTCTCCGCTTGGGCTTGATCCTTCTTCTTTCTTCAAGATCTTCTCCATGCTCTTTCAGTCAATTTGATTATGTCCGATCTGGAGTCCTCGGTGGTGGCGGCTTCGTCCTCTCCATCTCTCCCGGCCACCGACTCCAATACCCTCCATTACGCCTTCCTGGTTCACTCCCAGAAAACCCTCACCCAAAACCTCCCTCCTCGCGTCGATAATAAGTTATTAGCGCGGCAAAAACGACGACGGACCAGGTGAGTTTGGGGTATTGAATACCCGGTACGCGTCTTTTTGTCTAACAATCATGACCCGAATAGCCCGGAGGACCACAAAATTCTGGAGACAGAATATCAAAAAAATCCCAAGCCGGACAAGATCGCGCGTACAAATATCGTGAACCGCGTCTCGCTCGGCGAGAAAGAAGTGCAGGTAGGCGATGCCAAGACTTGACAGTCTTCAAACTTCCCGGTGTCCGCAGGACTAACTCCTCGACAGATCTGGTTCCAGAACCGCCGCCAGAACGACCGCCGGAAATCCAAACCTCTTCAGCCGCACGAGTTTCTCGCGCCAAGATCAAGTATGTCAGACGAGTCGGGGCTCCCGAGTGATGATAACGCGTTCGCCGAGCTCGGGTCTTCGAGTGGGGCAGAGCTGGGTGATGTCCTGGACCGACCGGAGGATACTAGGCCAAAATCCTGGGGTGGAGATCTGTTGCAGTTGTCCGATGAGTCGGATTCGGTGAAAGAAGAAAAGGACGAGTTTGAAATTTTGCAGAGCACACAAACAAGTGTGGCGACAGAGGCTGCTGAGGATACCCCGCCAACCACACAAGAGGAATCTCATGGGCCAGAGTCGGGACTCACCATGAAGGACACGGCGGAAGAGTCATTACTGCAAGCTCCCAAGAGGAAACGATCGGTACCGGACCTTCGTACTGAGAGTGTTAGTGAAGAGCAGCTGGCGGCTGTGCAAACAACACCAGTCAAATCTCCTCCATCACTGCGTTTGTCACTTTCATTCGATGGGGAAGCCATGGTGCGCAAGGAGGATGAGATGACACCGTCTCCCCCAAAGAGCCGGAGCGCGTTGAGGATTGCCATGTCGTCGGACGGCAAGGCTGTGATCCGTGCAGAGAATGAGCCGTCCCCGTCCAAGAACCGAGTGGCTATGTTCTCTGTTCGTCGGACAAAGATGACGGGCTTGCGTCGCAGTAGTAGTGCCATCTTCCCGGCCACCCCACGGGTGGGCATGATCGACAACGACAGGGCATTTGGTCGCTCTCGTGATCCTCGCAACTGGGAATCATTCTTCGACACAGATGCGCGAAGCGCTATTACCACTCCAACCAGCTCTCAAACTGCTCCTAATCTCTCCCCCGGCCTCTTCCAGTCACGTTCCCAGCGCTCTTTGTCCCGTACCATGTCGGCACGACAGAGCTATACTTCAATCCACGCCGACTCTGCCCGCACGCCTATCTCCCAATCCATGGGTGAAAAGAGGAGGAAGCTGTCCCGCACTGTCTCATCGTTGGGCAGATTAGAGACCGAGCGTAACAAGGTCTCCCACACACCATCAAAATTGTCAAAGTCAATGACATCCAGGTCCAATAAAGATGATCTCGAACTTGATCTTGGTGATTCAGACAAGGAGAATTGGGTTCCAGGTACACGTTCATCACAAATCCGCCGTCGAACGACGTCGCATGCTCCGCGGCCGGTATTGCGGGATGCCAATACCAACCGCCGAATGAGCACTATAGGCAACGGGAAACGCAACCGGCCATATCCAGCCGGCACACAAGGCAAAATCCCAACCGATCTAGATGCAGATGTATCGGCATTCATGTCCAGCGGTACGGCCGGAAGTCAAGAAGATGATCTGGACTGTGTCCAGGGACTTCTATCCCTGAGCCAGGGGGCATGGCGATAGGAACGAGAATGAGACAAAGAGGACCAGTATAGATTCGTCCGTTTGTCGATTTATCATTTAAACTCCATTTCCTTTGTTCTCTTTTTCTTTTTTATTGCAGCCGTGATGTATCTTCTTTTCTTCATGATTCGCGATGTGTGCCTGCAAGCGGTCTTCGCCACATCTGTCACGTGAACTACTATGATCCCTTGCCCTCGAGGTCTGTTGGCCTCCTTCTAAGGGCTTTGAGACTATTGATTGCCTTGCTTTTCCGGAATAGGGGCAACTTGGTTGGCTATTGAGCCTGTGATGTCTGCCTGGTCTTGTTTTGGGTGGTGGTTGCGACTGGACGGTGGGACCGAGATCCCGGTATAGATCTACTAATCCTGGAATGAATCTCTGTAACGACCAAGACCTCTTTCTTTAAATTGTCATCAAATCTACACAAGTATCACAAGCTACTGACCTCAAGTGAGAGTCAAAGGTGAGTCTCAGCGCGAGATCATAGCATTATGAAAGCCTTGGCTTGATCGCTCATCCCTAAAAGTTGTCCTTCATCAGGACGAGAAGTAACAACAATTGCACTTGAATCCTACAATACCTCCAAAAAGGGCTTCTCATCGGATATCTGTCAGTCGCAATGTACATCAAATGACCAGGAGACTTCTCCTTTCGTAAGTACACCAAGTCTATAAACTCGACTTTCCTCCCGAAGGCAAAGAATCGCCCTTCAGAACCCCAGTCCCGATCTTCCCAAGCCCTAACTTCTCACAAACCTGCGCCGCAACCCTCTCACCACTCCAATAAGCCCCCGTAGTCGTCCCGAGCGCTACAAACGGCGCCGTATGTTCACCCGCAAACCACAGTCCGCGTGTCTCTCCCACACCGGGACAGGACCTGAGTGTCTCGATATCCTTATCAGCCTGCGTCAGACCAACCTGGAAATTACAATAGGACCCGTATCCTGCATATGGATCCTTCTGCCAGCATGAGCCAAAGATATCCGTCGGAACACAGTCCGGAGAAGTGGGATTATATCCAGGAAGAAGGGAATAGAACGGCTCCGCGAATTTGAGCAGGATAGTCCTGTACTCCGCTGACGAGCGATCTAAACCCGCAATTTGGTTCACGAGGTGTGTTCCCGCCGGTCCGTAGGTGTAGAAGAGGAGAGTCGGTTGAGCGTGCTTTTCGGGGAACGAGGCGAGAGAGAGACATTCTTGGTTCCATTCGATCCCCTGAGGAACATCCGTGTAAGATGGTTCGAGGAATTGGGCAAAGATCGGATATTTGGGTTCCTCGGATCCGTTGCTGGGAGTAGTTGCGTCGTGCCAGAATGCGCGTGGGAAGCTGACGATAACTTTCTCTAGACGTCCGTAGGAGATGTTGTCGATGGCTTGGAGGAGTCGGTCTGGCAGGGATGGGACGAATGCGTGGGTGTTTTGCTTCAGCCAGCCGAGGGGGCAGGTCACCACGACTTCATCAAAGGTGTAGGATTCTCCGGTAGCAGTGGACACTGTGACTTGCTGATCTGGAGAACGAGAGTCATCGCTCTGTGGTGCTTCGATGCGCACAATAGGCGTGTTGAGTTTGATCTCAGCGTGGGAGATGGCCGTGTTGGCCACATGGGCCAGAATATGCTTGTAGGTGCCTGCTACAAAGTAATTTGCTATCACCGGTGCGAATCAGTTAACGTCTCTGAAAACTTAGAAGGACCAACACTCACTCCCATCAATGCATTCCTCCAAGGAGAAGAACTTGAGAGACTGTCGGTCGATTTTATCGCCCACAAACGCGCCCCACAGCTTACAAGCATCCAGATACATTTTCTTCTCTTCTTCTGAGAATCTCGTCTGCTGTACTTTCTCCAGGAAAAAGTCAAACAGGCTTGTCTCTGGCGGAATGCTCTCCCCATGGGCGTTACTGTACGCGAAAGCCTCTCCGATAGTCGACCACACAAATTCAGAGACTTTCGTCGCAATCTCCTCAGATAGGAAATGTCCATCGCGTGAAGCGATCATGTTAGTGCCTTCCGGCTCATGGAAGACAGTTTTCGTGGCCTCGGCGATATCCATGATCGGGTTCTCGCCCGAGCCATGAATCCAGTTCGGACCGCTGTGAGCACAGTCAACCTTCCGTGACGATGGCCAAAAAGAGGGCAACGAGAGACAAATCATACAGATCAATAGGATAACCGCCGATTTTGCCTTGATGCACCTAGCGAGATAAGCTTTTTCAGCATCCCTGCAAACCCAGAATCACGCATCCAACAGAATATCTGCGCCTCATGAAATCGTGGAATCCAACGTACCCTCCCACCTATACGATCTCTTGCCTCCAGAATTGTCACTTGGACTCCATTCCGAATGAGAAGATCAGCGCAGCGCAGACCCGACAGTCCCGCGCCGATCACGCCAACATGGGGTTTCGAAGCCATGGTCCTTGCACGACTAAAAGAAGAAATCGGAAAGCGACAGAACGCCTCGTGTGTTTGCCTGAGCAGGTTCCTGAGCATAAGACCCTGGGTTCAAAAGTGATTGCAAGGACTACGGTGGTCCACGGGTCGTAAAAGGCGGAGGCCCTAGGGTACCGAAAGACGGGATGATTGGCTGTCCATGGATCTATGGGGACGCTTGGCAGTCCAGAGTTGGCCGAAGCTGTTGATCTTGGGGCTGTTTTGCGTCTACGCAGGAACTATGCAGGGCGTGCTTGGAGTGTTGTTGATCTACAGTCGAGGTTTAGGGCTTGGGCTCGAATTAAACCAAGGAAGGAATTTCAAGGGTTGGAATTCATTTGGGAATTCATTGAATTGATGATATCGAGAAACCAGAACAAGATGGGATCATGCGCTGCATAATCCATGGAAAGCCATGTGCCGGGTCTGTCCTCCTGCCGGAAACAAAAAGCGCCACCCGCAATAAAACTCCTTTTCGATGATGTCGCTGGGCAAAGATAGATGGGGAGGGATATGTACGTATCGGATACAATGTAAGGAGGGGGTATCAAGTAGGGTGGATGTGGGCAAAATGCGACGGGGACAAGAGAGTGCCAGCTCCAGTGAAGATCAACTCCAGCTGGGGAGACGGATGCTCGTAATGAGCAGGATGCGTCGAAGTACAGTAATGATGCGGTCCCGGAAAAAGGGGTTCTGAGGATTTCAGGAAGACTGAAGACGGGGTCTACGGGCATGTGCAAATGCTCCCTCTTCAATCTTCCCAGATAGTCTCCAAGTCCAGATCCTGGCGTCGCTCAGCGCCGCAGACACTCCATCGCTTGCGCTTATCGCTGCGTGTGGTGTAAACGTTGGATCCGCCGCGCATGGTGTTGAATGCCGTCGATGGTGATGTATCCAAGGCCCCGCGTCGGCGGTTGCCGTTGCCCGCGGCATCGGCGGCATCGGCGGCAGCCTTGAGCTCAGCGATACGATCGTCTTCCTCGATAGCCTCCTCCTCTTCGTCAGGAATGTCGGGAATGGTTTCGAGCGACGAGATACTGGGACTTCGCGATCGCAGACTGGTCGGGGTGGAGGGCATGGAGGAGGTGGAAGATGCAGAGTGAATTGGATATGACTCGTTGTACTTGCCGCCTAGCATGGGCGGCAAGTTGTAGATAGGCGGACTGCTGATGGGCTGCTGGAAAGGAAGGGGGAAGTGGAGCGCATGCGACCGACGCGGGGGAAAGTCTGCGGCATGAGCACCGGTGAGGAGCCGGGCTGGGAGGTGGGGGATCGCGGGATGGTCTCGAGCTCTGCATTCTCAGAGATGGTCTCGGAAATGTTGAGTGACCCCAGACGGGTCTCGATGTGATCGTCGGCGCGCATCTGAAAGGGCATCATGGGTCGTTTTGCGCCATCCATCGAAGGTGCGGAACCCCCGCGGCCGTTGACGAAGATATATCGTCCCCGGGAGTCCAGCCCTGGAGAAGAATAGGCGCGCGTCATCGATGGCATGCCAGGGATACCAACTAGTGACCGCGAGCGCAGATGCGATCGAGCCAAAGGAGATCGGGTCCGAGGGAGCGCGGATGTTTCGGGGGAGAGCGACAAAGTGATCATGACGTCCTCCTTTCCCACTCCTTCCGGAGCACTCCCAGAGCTGCACCCAGAGCGATCGCTGGAGTCGGAGTGAGGAGAGCGCATGAGCTCAGGTCGCGGTGACCTATCCATGGCGGTGATTGAGGCGATCAGGCCGGGTGAAAATAGGGGGTGGGAGGATAGGTGATGGAAGGTGAAGTTGTCACGAGCGCATAATGTAAAGAAGGCAGGGGCGAAGAATCGAAAACCTTGGACCGGCCAAGCTTCGAGAAGCCACGGATGTTGGTGATTGAAAGGGTGACTTCAGGAGGGGGAAAAAAAAGGATGAGGCAAATGCAAAACTACGCGGCAAGGTCCAGACCGTGGACCCTGCGTAGACCTGCGTGAGATCGGCTTTGCTACTCTTTCAGGTATCTACAAAGCAGACAATCCCCACGTCTAGAAAGTAACCCAGCCGAACAATCTCTTCAGCATCGCGGAGCACTGGGCGTTCATCCATGGGTTTGCCACGGAGATAGGCTCTCCTCCGTCAATCGTACAGGCACACCTCGCAGTCTACCTGAACTTCTTATTTTTCCTGACCCGAGATTTTCCCGCCCTAATCTTAAGACAAGGACGATGAAGACATGCTTATTGATTATCCAGGAGTCTCTCAACTTTCATGACTTGCATATGCCATCACCAACTGAGCCCCTTCCCCACTTACGCTCATTGAGCCCCATGGCAGCTATCGGGGATCCATGGTCTGCAACATGCAGTATACGATATATTTCATACTGGGCAAGTCCCTGGGCCAAGAACAATCTCGGGGCTCTCGCCCTTGGAACCGAACAGCGCCCAGGAAGTCAAATGATGAAAAAGCGAAGAACGAAGAGCAAAGAACGAAAAACGTCACTCTTATGCTCAATGCAGGGAGAGGGGATTGCCTATCCAGCCTTCCGCTTGACGTGCCGTGAGTCATCACTGAGGACCGTGGAGAAAAAAAAGCACTAGTATTTGTGAAAGCACCAGTGGCAAATATCAGATATTGGAACAGACCAATGATCCCATTGACCCTATCTTTCTGCCAAGATAGAAGGAGACCTCCAAAACTACTCTTCTCCACCACCACTGCAACTCTAGCCAAGCTTTTCACGCAAGAACCCTGGATGCCCCCCAAGTGAGCCCCCCCACAGCGGCACCGCCGGGGAGTGGAGCATAATGCCAGTCGATTCCGAGTCGTCAATCCATGGCTCACTCCCGAATCAGAAAAAAGTGGCCCAACGTGTCATCCACCGCAGACCCAGGGACCGTTTCACCGGCCTTCTCCAGTTGACACATACCGTACGGGTGTTATCGCTTTGCCCGAACCGCGCAACGCAGCCTTGCAGTGGACCCGATGGGTATACGCCACTCCCCATTCGTCCACGCGGCCATGGCATGCACGCAAGGCCGCAGCAATTTCGATCCGGGCTACGGCGTTCTAGACACATCCAGACTCTCGAGAGCGATCTTTCACATGATACATTCGGAACATTGTGATTATTAGACAAACTGATGGTAGTTGACACGAGAGCACTACTGAGGTACAGGGTAACAATAGGTATGTGTAGACGATCTAGAAATGACGGGAGCGAGGGACCGGCAAAACATCATGGGATTCAGTGCTGGTGGTGTGGATGATGCGCAAGCTGGTGAGCCCACTCCGCCTTACACTTGGCCGCCATTTCTGAGCGAACGTATGTCTCGCGCACTGGATCACCCTCGTTCTTGAGAACCACCCATTCACCCATGCCTCTCTCCTCGGGCGCAAACCGCACGCCACGACCTCCGCCTCCGACGATGACGTTGCCGGGCCGGTACTTGGGGTCCGCTTGCATGCGTCGGATGGCGGAGACATGGATCTCTGCCTCAAGGGGACGTCGCGGACTTCGCCGCGAGGGAGGGGCCACCGGATGGGTTTCCATTGTCCATCGGGCTGAAGATCCATGCGACGGAAGGGGAGCCACTCCATGATTTTCCAGGAGATGACGGACCCGGGCGGGAGGCCTTGGTTGAACTCTAGACAATCGTGCAGAAGACCCTTGGTACTGGATGTGTGCAGGGCGTGCCAGAAGTCGCGGCTGGCAGCTGAGCGCTGTTTGTCGTCGGGTGCCTCGCGGTAGGCGTTCGGGTTATCCTTTTCGTTGTGCTCCTCGCGACAGATTTGGCTGGGTCGTCGAGCGGCAATTTCTTCTTGGATCGGGGTATAGTCGCCGTCGTACTCCTCCAGACACTGGAATTGTTTCATCTTGCGCTCATCCAGCTCCAGACCGGCTTTTTGGGCTTCCTGGACCATCCATACGAGTGGCGCGTGACTTAGGGCCCAAAGCTCGCCGTCTTGAAGTTTCCAACCACCACCGATGTCTGCGTGGCAGCCTGGGAACCAAACCTCATGGATGTCTTGGTCTTCCTCGTCGCTACCATAGTCAAACCCAGCGTTGCTGGGAGTCTGGATAGAGAGACCGCCACCAGACTGGCCGCTGCGTACGGACAGGTTGTCATCTGTTGGAGCAGGACCGCCGTGGGGAACAGCGAGATTGATGCTCCGGTTGGGAGATGGGGGACGGTACCGTGGCTGCTTCTCAGCTTCAAAGTCACTTCCATGGTGAGAAGAGCCCTCGTGCGGGTGATTGCGATATAATGACTCGCCTGCAGCGGGACCCCAGCCAAATTCTTCGAATGTTTTCTCCCTTTCGCTTAGGCCTCCAGAGTCAGCCGCGCCCGTTTGGGCGTTGTCATTCACTTGGATAGATGGAACAGCCGGATTCTCAGTAGCCTGACCAGCCTGGGCAGCTAATCTATCCTGGTGGCGGAGATGCAGGTGGTGCTGAGGATCAGTATGGCGCGCCAGATGGTGCTCCAGTCGGTGCGGCGTGAAATGAGGGCGATGGCGCTTATGCGACTTGTCATGAGGACGTTTGCCAGATATCAAATCCTGACGGAACTTGGCGCGACGCTCGTCAATTCCCACCGCATGTCGAATCACATGAGCGGAGCTACGCGCAGTGTACGGAAATTTGCTGCGCTGCATCCACGCGTTCTCGAACCGGGGAACACTATTGACAGTATCGAAGAGACCCATAAATTGAATGCGCGAGATCGGACGACTGAAGGTTTCACGGAAGGCCTTCATATATTCGAAGAGCTTCTTCTTCTCTTCTTGGTTTTCTTCCGATTCACCTGAGCGCTGCTGCCACTTGGCAAAGGTCTTCCAGGCGAAACGGATCAGCTCCTCGTTTCCGGCTTCCAGGAGACCGATGTAGTCAAGCATCTCAGCTAGGAAGCGCGCGATATACGCGCCGCGACTGAACCCAATGAAGAAGATCTGATCACCGGGGGAATAGTATCGCATCAGGAATTTGTAGCCGCCCATAACGTGCTCGTCGAAGGATGAGCCGATCGCGGAGTCCTTGGCCTTCTGGTACCAGGACTTGATGCGCTGGATGCGACCATGGCTGGACAGCGATTTGGAGGTCACGTAAGTGCCGATACCAGGTTGATAGTAATGGTACTGATGGCTCTTGCTGCGATCTAGCATCTATATTTCGATTAGTCTTCATAAGTCTCGCGGGATGGAGTCCAACAAACTCGAAAGATCTTCAAAACATTGCTATCCGACTCATCGCCGGCGAATTTATTCCCAGTACCGTCGAAGCAGAGTACAAACTGCTTCGGGTTGGAATTCGGCGGCACATGGTGGAGCAGGGGATTCGCCATTTTTGCGCGAATGCCCTAATCTAGGTCGCGACCAAGGGGGACACGGGCTTATACGAAAAACTCTGGCACGAAGCAGCGGTTAATGCATCTCATAGGAGCCAATGACGAGGACGATGTGGAGGGGTTGGATTAGAATTCCAAACATGTCATTACTCGGGACGATCAGAATACGTCAAGTTACTAGTGGATCTTGCTCGGCATCGCGCTCTAGTAGCATTCGTGCTTTTTTGTTTTTTTTTTTTTGTTTTTTTTTTTATCCTCCAAGATGTGAAGTTTTCCACCCTCCCTCAAGGGCTACTCCTACTGCACATCAAGCTATCCTTTTACGGATATACATTCCGTCCAATGATGACTGCTCGGTCCTCCTTGCTCTGGTTATAATCTGGGCCGATCCTGGCATGAATTCCCACTGGGCTGGCGTGGTGGGGGGGATCAATTACCAGAATAGGTCCGAAGTACCTCCTAGGGTACATCGTACAAGAACCCCAGCTGCAGGTCATGTTTTTTTTTTTTCCTTTTTTTTCTCCCCATCTCGTCGCTACGCGACATCCCTTCCACACTGAATTAGTTTCCTTTAGTCCCAGCTGGCGCGCAGAATAGGCCTGCAGGGTCACCAAAAAAGAGTGCAAGGTTCGGAAGAATTACGGGTGATCGGAACCCCACGTCGAGAGCTGAGAAGATCGCACTACCAATCAATTAGGGCCCGGGTGTTCGTCTTGTTCAGAGTTCGATCGAGGCTAACCGGGTTTGGGGAAGGCGATTTCACGTCGCCCGGGCTCCACCTGTCTGGCGTCATCTGAAGACTCTGATTAATTTGGGGATGTTTCCTGAGCTGTGATGCGGACCGAAACCTACGCTGTGATTTGAGGGTGGGACGTCAGCTACATGTTCGAGAGCCCCTTTCCCGAAAATGAAGCTGGGCTGAGGTCACCTTGGTGCGAGAGGAGCTGAACCATCACATGGAAGACCCCCCCTAGCGTGGAGGCTGGTAGGTTTCGTATTTGGTATTTCCCCTAGTTGTTGTTTGATGTTGAAGCCGCGAGACGGGAGTAACCGCTCCAGTCCTGGCCGAGCCGTGGTTCTGCAGGAGACTAAACCTGGGGAGCTCCAGTCTTGATCTGTCTCCATCCCTCGTGCATTCACGACGCTGGCAAAGAGAGAGAAAGCGCCATGAGGGACCCTGACGTGGGGAGGTTAAGTGCGATAGATCATATTTTGGTTGATCTCTGACGATGACAGGCAGTGCTAGGATCCTATAAAGACTCGTGTAATGCGGTTCGTCCTGTTTCGTGGGCCGTGAGCAGCTTGGCGCTACGCTAAAGGTCCTAGCGAGTGGGGGAACAGGTGGGTTCGAGGCCGATCGCAAACTCCAGTGCATCCGATGTAGCTGGCCTGAAAGGGTAGTGCCTGAGCCTACTGCTGATCGCGATGCTCGGGTGGTACATTCTGTGTCGCACGTAGAGAGCTTCAAATCGGGGATGACTATTATGATCACCTTGTAATTGTACATACCGGTTACTTCGTGATCGACAGCCAGCCAGCCACCTGGGACTTCCTGAATTTTTTTCCAAATGGAAAACCAAAACACCCCCCCCACTTCGCGGCTGCCACGGCCCATCGGACCCATCTGGCTGGATCTCGCGATCCTAGTGTGGGCCGCTATGACCGAGATGTGGTACACCGCTCTTGACACCCATCACATCGGTATACCCCTGCTCCAAAGATAGCTTCCATGTTCATCACAGGCTTGACGTTAATATGCGTGTGATGGTCCCTAATCCCTGCCTAATCCCTGTCTGATGGTGGTCCAGATGCAATGGGACGTGTCCATGCACACAGAAGAGTCTCTGCATACATCCAGGAGAAGGGACGTGCCGTGTCCAAGTGCCTGACGGTCCCCCTTTCCTGTAGACCTGGAGCTCCCCACTATGTACCCTTGTGGATGGGTGATCATTTACTTAGTTGAGCTGGACATGACGAAACAGAGGGGAGCCATTGGCCTGATCTCCACCGAATCATCGCGAGCTCGTCCAATGCGGGGCGTCCGTCATGATACTGTAGGTCACTGCGACGACCATGAGCTACAAGTTCCGGGCAGATCGAGGCTAGTGCTCGCAGTCGAACTATTTCCCAATCAGATCTGGGACGACAGTCAATCAACTATTGGTGATAACAAATCCGCCACAGTCGCTCCACTGTCCTGCCGCTGACTCGAGTCGCCCGTGCAGCTCGTTTTTAACTCTGGCTGTCGCGCGCGACAGTCTCCCGCTCTCCTTTTCTTTCTTCTCTTGATCTGGCTTGTGAGAGCCAATTGTCTTTGTGTTTCTTTATATACCCCCCCCTACGAGTCAAGTTTCTTCTTTTCTTCTCTTTTCGGGAGCGAAGTTTGCTCCACAGTCACAGTCACAATGTTGAAGAGATTGTCTACCCAGCTCAAGCGCAATAAGGACACCAATGGCGACGCTGAACCCAAGGCTCCCAAAGAGAACGGAAGTAAGCGCTTCTCCAAGGCTGCGCCCGTCAGGAAGTCCTCCGTCGCTCAAGAAGACAACCACCAGGTGAAGCGCGCCGAGGTTGTCGCTGTCTTTGAGAAGTATGCGCAGGCGATTCACGCTTCGCGCGAACCTCTGCCTAATCAGACCGGTGATGGCACCTACCTCAAGCACGACCAGTCTTCTGGTCTGATCAATGACATCAAATCACTCGGTTTCCGCGATATCAACACTGTCAAGGATTTGATTAAGAGCAAGGCCTCCGGCGAGCTTGTCGACGACAAGACCTACCTTATGGAGCGCATTATTCAGGTACGGACTGCCTTTTAATGGTCAATCGTGAATAGTGACGGTGCTAATGCTGATTTCAATTGCAGATGGTTGCCGATCTCCCCGGCCATTCGAAGAACCGTACCGAGCTCACCAACCAGTTCCTGGATGAGCTATGGAACTCCCTGCCTCACCCCCCTCTCTCGTAAGATTCCTGCAACTGAATTTGCCACTGATCATTCTCTAATGCCATGAACAGCTACATGGGAGATGAGTACAAGTACCGCTCTGCCGATGGCTCCAACAACAACCCGACTCTTCCCTGGCTCGGTGCGGCCAACACCGCCTACTGCCGCACCATTCCCCCCATGACCATTCAGCCCAGCGGTCTGCCCGATGCCGGTCTGATCTTCGACAGCTTGTTTGCCCGTCAAGAGTTTACCCCTCACCCCAACGGTGTATCGAGTATGTTCTTCGACTGGGCCTCCCTCGTGATTCACGGTAAGCTTTGCCAAAAATACTCAATGAAGTGGGTGTAGATTTTGATCATTTCAATAGATATTTTCCAGACCGATTACCGCCAGCAACACCTGAACAAGACCTCTGCTTATCTGGATCTCTCCATTCTGTACGGTGACGTTCAGGAACAGCAGGATATGATCCGTTCTCATGAGGGTGGTAAATTGAAGCCCGATACCTTCTCAGAGGGTCGTCTACAGGCTCTTCCGGCTGCTTGCGGTGTTTTGCTGGTTATGCTTAATCGTTTCCATAACAACGTGGTCGAGCAGCTGGCCGAGATCAACGAGAATGGCCGCTTCACCAAGCCCCGCGATGGTCTGCCTGCTGAGGAGGCTGAAAAGGCCTGGAAGAAGTATGATGAGGATCTGTTCCAGACTGGCCGCCTCATTACTTGCGGTTTATACATCAACATCACCCTGTACGACTACCTCCGCACTATTGTCAACCTGAACCGCACCAACTCCACCTGGTGTCTGGATCCCCGTGCTCAGATGGAAAAGGCTGGTTCTACACCTTCCGGCCTGGGTAACCAGTGCTCCGTCGAGTTCAATCTGGCCTACCGCTGGCACTCGACCATCTCCCAGGGTGATGAGAAGTGGATTGAGCAGGTTTACTATGACCTCATGGGCAAGCCCGCTGAGCAGGTCACCATGCCGGAGCTGCTGATGGGCATGAAGAAGGTCGAGGGTATGCTCGATGCTGACCCCTCCAAGCGTACCTTCGCCCACCTGAAGCGCCAGGAGGACGGTACCTTCAAGGATGAGGAGCTCGTCCAAATTCTCACCCACGCTACTGAGGATGTTGCCAGCTCTTTCGGTCCCCGCAATGTCCCCAAGGCTCTCCGCTCCATTGAGATCCTCGGTATCGAGGCTGCCCGCCGCTGGCATGTCGGTTCACTCAACGAGTTCCGTAAGCACTTTGGTTTGAAGACTTACGACACCTTTGAGGAGATCAACTCCGACCCGGAGATTGCCAACACCCTGCGCCACTTGTATGAGCACCCTGACTACGTCGAGCTGTACCCCGGTATTGTTTCCGAGGAGGCCAAGGAGCCCATGATTCCTGGTGTCGGTATTGCCCCTACCTACACCATCTCCCGCGCTGTCCTGTCCGATGCCGTGGCCCTGGTCCGTGGTGACCGTCACTACACCATTGACTACAACCCTCGCAACCTGACCAACTGGGGATACAATGAGTGCCGCTACGACCTGAACATCAACCAGGGTTGCGTATTCTATAAGTTGGCTACCCGTGCTTTCCCCAACTTCTACAAGCCTGATTCCATCTACGCTCACTACCCTATGACCATCCCCAGCGAGAACACGAACATCATGAAGATGCTCGGCCGTGAACAGGACTACTCATGGGACCGTCCCGCTTACACTCCACCCCGCGTGAACCTTCTCGCGCACGAGAACGCCAAACTGGTCCTCGAGAACTCAGCCTTCAAGGCCTCCTGGAGCCGTTCCATGGGTGAGCTCTTCGGAAAGGGCGAGTGGGACTCCAAGCAGCGTGCCGCTTTAGGCCAGGCCTTCAACACCGAGGACTTCCCCAAGCTAGTCAAGAAGTTCTACGAGGACATCACTATCCGACTCATCTCCGAGAAAGGTGCCAAATTGGCTGGTATCAACCAGGTCGACATCACCCGTGACGTTGGCAACCTGGCTCACATCCACTTCGCATCCGCTGTCTTCGGCCTGCCGCTGAAGACTGAGGAGAACCCTGCTGGTCTATTCACCGAGCACGAGTTGTACATGATCGTGACAACCATCTTCTCTGCTCTCTTCTTCGATGTTGATGCCACCAAGTCGTACTCCTTGAATCGTGCCTCCTCGGCAGTCGCCACCCAGCTCGGCCAAGTCGTCGAGGCTACCGTCAAGGCCGACACTAGCCACGGTATTGTCAGCAACCTGATGAACAACTTCCGTGGCCACGACAACGCTCTCCGCGAGTACGGCACTGCTGCCCTCCGCCGCCTCCAGGAGGCCGGTCTCAGCTCCTCTGAGATCACCTGGTCCCAGATCATCCCTCTGATCGTTGGTATGATTCCTAACCAGGGCCAAGTCTTCACCCAAATTATTGAGTATTACACCTCACCCCAGGGTAAGGCACACCTGTCCGAAATCAACCGTCTCGCCAAGCAGGACACCGTCGAGAATGACGAGGTGTTGTATCGCTACTGTCTCGAGGCCATCCGTATCAATGGAACCTTTGGTGCCTACCGTGAGGCCTCGAGCCCCATCACCGTGCAGGACGGCGGCAAGACCATCGAGATCAAGCCTGGCGACAAGGTCTTCGCTTCCTTCGTGCAGGCCAATCATGACCCCACTATCTTCCCCGAGCCCAACGAGATCAAGCTCGACCGTCCCCTTGACTCCTACATCAACCACGGCCAAGGCCCAAACACCGGCTTTGGTCAGCAAATCACCAAGATTGCCCTCGTCGCTATGCTGCGCGTCGTCGGTCGTCTAGAGAACCTACGCCGTGCCCCTGGTGCTCAGGGCCAGCTCAAGAAGATCCCCCAGGAAGGTGGCTATTACGTCTACCTCCGCCAGGATGGCACTTCTTACTTCCCCTTCCCGATGTGTAAGTTTCGGTTCCACCTTTTCATCTTCAGATACAAGATTTCTAACGAACCTCTTGATACAGCGCTCAAGCTCCACTGGGATGGCGACTTCCCTCCCAAGTTCTAAACGATTTATTGCAATTTGATGAAAATTATAGTAACCCTGGACCACGGTTCGGGATGTGGTATAATAAGCGGCACTTCTGGGTGGCCATTGTTTACAGGTTGATTTTTGTATTTCGGAGACTTTATACTCCAGGATGTCCAGAGATTGTGTTTTAGTCACGATCTGGCAACAGTGTATCAGTTTTCTAAGAGATGAATTTCATTTTCGATGTACGAAATTCCCGCGCGTGTTCGGCGTAGAAATATCTGATTGAGATCAACGATAGTGCCAGGTAGGCTCAATTGGCACTTCATGGCTTTCGCGTCTGATACGTCTTGGGAGAATATAGACTCTAGCTTATCCTGTCGAGATACTTTTGGAAGATGGTGCCGATGGCCATTGATGATTGTTCTCGACATTAATTAACGTTTTTGACACATAGTGAGATGAGACCATCGCCCGTAATACACGAGCCCAACAAAGAGGCATTGGTCGCCGTTTTCAGATCAAAAATACCATCGGATACGCCTTTTGCCATAAAAGACACCGTACATAGCTGCGATGCCGAGCCGGGAGAGACCAAGAAGGAGACTCTTTCAACAGCCTTGTTACTTGATAATGGGATGCCCAAGATACTCTAGAGCCATGAGGTGGATTTATCTTTCATTTGAAAATCAATTTAACCAGCATAGCATAGCACCCTATGCCCAAAATGAACTGCCGAGCCAAATCTTAAATTTCAATGTAATTCACCATGAAAAATCCAGTTTGAGCGAAAATGGTGTATACTTCATCTCCACACCGCCTTCGGTGCCTCCGTCTATCAACATTAGGACACAGCGCCAACAAACCTCCAAGAACAAAACCACCATCATGCCTCCCAAAGCCGCCAAGGGCGAGTACATCGAGACCGTACGTTGCTCTTCTCAAAGCTCCTTTCATTCTACCATGAAATCTCCCTCCACAGCCAAACAATCCTTTCCAGACGTCAACTTACCCGAAAGCAGGACACAGGGAACAAGATCTCCCGCCGGTCCCAGATCCATGGTACACAACACATCATTCTAGGCGGAAAGACCGTCATCCAAGCCGAGGCTGTGATTCGCGGCGACCTCTACCGACTCCCCTCCACCGCCACCTCAGACCCAAACAACCCCCAACCACCATCGAACGCGCCAAGCGTGGCGATCACCGTCGGCCGATACACGTACATCTCCAAGAGCGCGATTCTGCGCCCGCCTAGCAGGCTACATCGCGGAGTGCACTCTTACTACCCGCTCAAGATCGGCGACCACGTCTTTGTCGGTGAATCGGCTGTGATTGAGGCTGCGTCGCTCGGCAACCATGTTCATGTTGGCGCTGGGGCCACGGTGGGCAGTATGGCTATTATAAAGGATTTTGCGGTTGTGCTTGATGGGGCCGCTGTCCCGCCTGGTATGGTTGTGCCTAGTTGGTGTGTTGTTGGTGGGCGACCAGCTAGGATCGTCGGTGAGGTTGGCGAGGGATATGGTGTTGAGGGAGCTGATGGTGGTATGGCAAGAGAACGATATCGGGTTGTCGGGAGGCCGGCGGGCTTTTGATGGTGCCTTTTTGTGTTTGTTTAAGCAATGATACCCCCCCCATTTTTTATTCGACCATTGTTTACTTCGATCTTTTTCTACATGAGCTTCAGCTACGGTCTGCGGTGTTCTTTTGATGCCACATATGGAGACAGATCATGTGCGACTGGCAATCAATAAATAATTGGTAGAGACCGAGAATGCGAAAATGAAATGAATGACACGATTCGGAATAGGAGAGTGAAACAAATGCATCTTCTTTATCAACCCATCTTGGCAACCTCCACGGCCCGCTTCAGTCGAGGTATATCATCCGGGCGGATACCGCTCGCTTCGAAGGCCATATCATTGATCCACCGACCGTGCGGCTGCACCGACTCACCCTTTGAGAGAGTCGAGCATAGGTATAGCCAGGACAGCGCATTACCTACCGTACTCACCTCATCGCAAACATGACTAATCGCATACGTCGCCATGCGGTCGTACAGTGCCTCGTCAGTCCATAGATCGTACAGATGTCCCGCCACAGCATCGGTGTCACCAACATCCACCAAGAAACCGTTCTTGTTATTCTCCACTTGAAGTGGGATGCCACCAGCCCGCGTGGCTATCACAGGTTTGCCCTTGTGAATCGCCTCGGATACTTTCACCTCGAAACCTTCTCTGGTGGAAAGCTGCAAGGCAATTGTGGCTTTGGAAAGGACTGCGTTCAGAACTTGATCTGAGGGCTTCAGTCGCATCACACAGATGTGGTCACGGAGATGTGGTATCTTGAGCTCAATGTGATCTATCACTTGATCATAAATCACTGCTCCGTCTGGATCATCGACAGAGCCATGTCCACAGATCAAGAGCTTTGGCGGTCTGAGATCTGGCCGGTTCTGGACAAGCCTATCGTAAAATTTCTCGTACGAGTCTAGCACATCGAAGATTCCTTTAGCGGGGTCGAACCGTGCGACCTGCACGATGTACCGATCTGGATGACAACGGTCAGTGAGGCCTCTCATGCAATGGACGAGAAAGGACGAGAATATGTACCGTCTGGATACTGGATTATCGGCATGCCCGCATTCCTGCATGCTGCGCTGAAATGGCGGCCGTAGTGAGCCACATCCCAGTCGCGCATGTTCTTGTTTAAGCCATCCAGCCTGCACCACGTTAGCCAGATTATGCACGTCGATCGTGACACTTACCAATCGGTCGAGGCCGGCATGTAGCCTAGCATTTCAAGGGGCACATCTTGGGGCACAAACGCGCTCACTGGGTGACTGATGAAGCAGTCGGCAATCTTGATTTGCTTCCACAAGAAAGCCCATGCCTCTGCTTGAGGGGTGCCGGGCGTATCGACAAGGTCGCTTCGGATCTGAATGTGACTGCGGAAGATAACTGGTCTGTCTGGAGCATTTTGCTTGGAAATCGGAATCAATCCAGGCATCTGAGGATCATCTACAATGATGACATCTGCTCCGCCCTCTGATGGTGAGCACAGAGGGCCGCCGGGGCTGCACCAGTAGCGCTTCGCATTGTCTTCGATCCAATCCGTCAATGACTTTTGGTTCTCCGAGGTCAAGCGTGCATCTGGGCTTGCAACGCCTTGAAGGATATTGTGGTTGTTCTTGGTGACTCGGAAGACGCCTGGTCGGGGCTTCGGGACGAACCTAAACAAAATCAGCTTATTTCTGCATCATCGCCTTGTGGTCAAGACCCACCATTTGATATCTACGTCCAATGAATGCGCCAATCGCAATAGAGCATGTCGCATTAAAGCCACACCCCCTCCCTGCGGCGTCGCACTGAAGAACGCAATGCTGACTTTCCGCTTCTTGAGATCCGAAGCGAAATGCTGTACCGCTGCCCAGGTTTGGTGAGACACGGTCTTTTGGAAATCTTCACGATTTGCTAGTCGCACGTGGAAGTCGGTGTCCACCTCCACGAGGCCCATATAGCCCACTTGCAGCAAGGGAATGTTTTCTGGTCCAAACAAGCTGGGCACACGATCAGCAATTAGGGGTCCTACTGTTCGCGGATCTTCCCTTACCGAACACATTTCCGTGACATTCCTTCGGCCTGCTCGTCGATCGTTTTGGCATCTCTCTTGTATTCATGGATATGTGCGCCGGGGGGGGTACCGGTCCATTAAGTAGGATTCGGGCAAGACTAATGGGATGATGTCGAGCTCGGCCCAAAGGCGCGAACAAAGTCGAGGGCAGTGGTGCGCAACGTGCATGGGCATTGCCACTCCGACGATCTTCTCCAAGTGTTTCTCTCCATAAGTTCTGAGCCGAGAGACGATAAACTCGGTTGCCTCTTCGCAAGATGGTTGTTTTCGATGATCGAAAACGTTTTCAAAGGAGTCGAGCAGGTAAGTACAGTCCCGGAGGGAGATCGCGATAACGGAGGCATGATTGTCGGAGAAATGGGCCGAAATTCCTGCGTAGATGCTCTTGGTTTTCTTAGTCTGCGCCGGCTTACACGGTTCCTAGAGAGAGCTGCGCCTACATCGGACGGAGGAGCAGACCAGGCATATCTTATGAACGACTGAGATAGTCGGCGCTCTAAGGCCACAGACCCACGGCGCTGAAATTCATGTCCTTCACCAGTCATGATGCCAATCGAATATGAGCGGAGGGAGGGGAGAACCAAAAGTAGGACAAATCTGGGGATACTTAAGGAACCGTATTTCCGCGATCATGACGTCGAGAGTGGTGTGCAACCACGGTTCATGACTTTCCTAACAAACCACAGCCTCGGTTGGACTGTGTGTGAATACATCCGTACACATACACCATATAGATATAGCTGAACTTTACATTAATATAATATACACTATACTCATACTTCAAAAGATAACAGTGAAAGTGGGTCCGCTGGCACCAGGCTTCTGGGGGCTGAGTCATCAAGCGTGCCCCTTTTCCCCCGCCTCAACTTGAAATCGTGTTCTCTCTAAATTCCCACCTACACCTCGATTCGACCCGATCCCTCCTCTTTTTACTTCCTTAAGTCTGCGCCGCAGCTCCTCCTGTTTTTTTCCCGCTAATTGCCAACGCGTCGCAAACATGGGTGGCCAAGTCTCCAAGATGATGGGGAAGATCTTCGGCACGAAGGAAATGCGTATCCTCATGCTGGGTTTGGATGCTGCTGGAAAAACCAGTAAGGTCCTCTTCCGCTCGGTGGTATGAGCGTGACTAATATGCCCTAGCTATTCTCTATAAATTGAAACTCAGCAACCAGGACGTGACCACCATCCCCACCGTTGGCTTCAACGTCGAGAGTGTCACCTATAAGAACGTCAAGTTTAATGTATGGGATGTCGGTGGCCAGGACAAGATCCGGCCTCTCTGGAGACACTACTACTCTGGCACACAAGGTTTGATCTTCGTGGTTGACTCTAGCGATACCGCCCGCCTAGAGGAGGCTCGCTCGGAGCTGCACAAGATCATCAATGACCGCGAAATGAAGGATGCTCTTCTGCTTGTCTTTGCCAACAAGCAAGATGTCACCGGCCGTACGCATCCCTTATCCCCCTTTCTTTTGTTATTTTTTGCAAACTCAATGCTGACCGATCACGAAGACTTGAGCCCGGAAGAAATCACTCAACAGCTCCAGTTGACCAAGTTGAAGGACAAGCTGTGGTACGTTGCGCCCAGTGTCGCGACAGACGGTACTGGTATTTTCGAGGGACTGGTAGGTGTTTCCCCCTTGACCGAATCCAGACAAGCACTGACCCGCACTGCTCCACTTCCAGGCGTGGCTCTCCAACAACGTCAAAACTCAGACGCAGAAATAAATTCGCCTCGTGAACTCGAGAGGCGCCCCGACAAGCCTCGTGTACAACACTTTGAACCTTCGACAAGTAATTCCTTTCGACCATCCCTGTCTGATGACAAGACGACGCAGCATTTGGGCATTATTATTTCCCTTTTCCTTTTCCCCTTGGGTCTTTTCCTTTGTGCGCCGCTGTTTATGTGTCTCTCTTGGTTCCATTTTCCTTCTATGATATCCCCTCTGTTCTTACCCGGAACTCGTCCAGAGCTCCGCCTTAATTATTAATTATTTATGTTGGTTCTTATCATCAGCGTTGCCATTGTTCGATTCCCCTGTCATTTTCTTGTGGATTCCCGATGTGTATAGAGTTGATTGATTGCATAGAAAGACGAAGGGATGACCGGATGCAGAGCTAGGATAGAGAATCAACTTGAACTCAAATGACATTCAAAGATGAAACGCCATGTACACAATCTAGAATTGAGAATACAACTCATTCAAGTCATGGATGTACAATGTGCCGCCAGGTGGACCCAGATGGAGACAGTCCCGACAAATTGATTCGAACAGGGATCCAAGATTGAGTACCCTGGGCGGTAAGCCAGTCATCTTTAGGAGCGAGGACCTTGATTCTCCAATATCTCTTATTCAGGCATTCCACCCTCTTGACTTTGTTTTCTACAGTTCATTTCGCCAACCTCGAGAAACAAAATCATCAGGACACTGTCCATTTCTTCATTGACTGATCCAAGAAACAATACGTTAAGTTAACATTCCAAAAGATTCATGACGTTCATCGCACAATCGCGCTGCACAAAAGAAAAAAAAACAGGTCCCCGCCATTGTTGAATAGGCATCAAGGACCCGCCGCCTCACGGCGAGTGACTATACAGATGGGTATTCGTTGAAATCCAGATTTAAAGCTGACCGGGCCAGACGTCGTTGGCAATCTCACGAACCAACTTGAGCTTGTTGATCATGCCGTCCCAATCAATAGCGTTACCCTCACGGTGAGAAGCAAATCCACACTGAGGGCTGACACCGACCTGGTTCAGCGCAGCCTCGAGGGTGATGTTGTTGCCCTCGGCAATGATCTTGGCGGCATTGATGACACGCTTCTTCATCTCCTCCTTGTCCTCCATGGTGGCGAACTTAGAAGTGACCACGCCCAAAATAACGTTCTTGTGAGTGGGAAGGTGCTTGAGGGGCTCGAAGCCACCGGCACGCTCGGTGTCGTACTCGAGATAGTAAGTGTGCACGTTCAGCTCCTGGAAGAGCTTGATAGCGATGCGGTCGTATCCACCTCGGAGAAATGGCGGCTGCCGACGAAGTTTCCACGGCACAGGTGTACTCCAATGTGCATGTCCTCGGGAAGGCCGATGAAGCAGTCGTTGTACAGCTTGATGTACTTCTCGAACATGACATCTGCGGTGTACACGTTGGCGGGGTCCTCCTTGAATCCGTCGAGGAACTTCTCGGAACAGAAGTCTATGAAGATAAGTATGTGTTCTTGTTCGTCAATAATTGAGAGAGTGACTTACAGGCCAGGTTGGGGTCGTCGTACTGCACGTTGCGGCATCCAGCATCGTACAGGATCTTCAGCTCGGCCTGGTAGGCCTTGGCGATGTCGCCGAAGTACTCCTCATCAGAACTGTACACATTCTTGGGGTAGGCCTTGCCCTCACGGTAACGCAGGTGGTACCAGTTGGGTGCGGCAAGAGTGATCTTCAAGTTCTTGACCTCCTCAGCGGGCACCAGGCTGGCGAGGTACTTGAATTGGTCGACATAGGTGCTACCAACGTGCTTAATCTTGCCAGTGCAAAGAACAGTCTCACCGGGCTTGTGACCAGCCTCGAGGAAAGCAGCAATATCGGGTGCATAGGGGCGGAAGATGTCCTGGTCGAATTCGGTGACCTCCTCAAAGCCATCCAAGCCGGGGAAGAAGGTACCCCAGAACACTAAAATGGTCAGCTATGTTCAATTGAGATTCATGTGTCTTGGATGTGCTTACTGTGACGGCAGTACTCGCCATCGGACGCGGCAGGATAGCCGAGCTCCTTCTGGACGCTGACAATGTTCTTGATCTCCTGAGCCTCGACCTCGCGGAGCTTAGCATCGGAAACTTCGCCCTTCTCCTGAGCGGTCTTGGTGTCCAGAAGCTGCTGGGGACGCAGCAGCGAGCCCAAGTGCTCCGCGCGGAAAGGAGGTCTCTGATGAAGTTGGGGGGCCATTGTGAAGATACTAGGTGATTCAAGAATCAATTTGAGCCACAGGGTAACGAGGAGACAGCACTTAAAAAGTAACTGGGAACAGTCACAAGGATGAGAAGAAGACAAGAATTGGCAAATTGACGAGGGGCAAATCCGCGATAGCGTCTGCCGAGCTCGCAGATATACGATCCACGCCCCACTGGCCAAAGAAGGATGAGCATCGCCACACTCTACACTCGCCTATTGGAGGCCAAAGATTGAATATTCCCTTCCATCCATCCGCTACAGTACGGTGCTTATGCGCTATTATTGTCTTGTGGCTGATAAGTGTTAGCAATGTGTGGGAGACATATCCAACTTGACGTCAAGGACTATCCGCGTTTATACAATGAGCCCGAGTTCATGCGGGGGGCTGCTTGCTTGGCACCTTCAGAACAGGGGCCGGATGATTCGGACTTGGCCTAGAAAGGTACTAGATTCAGGCCAGGGTGTGCTCCGGCATCGCACCCCGTACTTCCTTGAATAGTTCGCTAAAAAGGTTGCTTTATGGTCGCGAATGTTGCGGTTCAAAGGGACGAGATCCACATGCCGGAAAACCCCCCGGTTTCTTTGCCCTTCAGTGTGTCAGACAGTCATACTTCGCATTTCCCAACTTCGCTACATCGTCATATTTACTACGATCATGACAATGGGTGTATGCAGGATTACGTCGTGTCATTCAAGAATTGACAAGTTCGCCACCTTTAGAACACAGCTGAGTAAACGCTGACAAAGACCGAAAGTGGAGGATTCAATGCGTGGTTGAAGTGGGGTATTTTCGGCACTTCATCACCACTGCTCTTCCCGAACCACCCTGAGTTGAACGTGCTTTCTATCGTTCGCTATCGAGTCACTAGTCAAGGCCGCCATGTGAGCTTGGTGATGTCGTCTGCCCTCGAACGACTGCCCAACGAGCTGCTGGATCACATTATCTCGTACCTAGCGACGAGACCACCCTCCCTCACTCAATTCCATCAGCCTCCCAGTCGCTATGGCACTCAGCCCCAGAGCAGGAGTCTCAAGCACCTGGCACAGGTCTCGTCGCGATTTCTGAACCTCGTACGACCCCAGCTGTTTACCTGTGCATGTCTGGAGCTAGAAGATGAGCTCGATTTTATCGCTTTCATCATAAGAACCGGTCTCAATCGCTATGTTACCTCTCTCATGGCCATTACTGTAAATGCTTCGGCCGACCCAGCCGACCAAGGCTGGTGGCGCAGGGTTCTCCGCTATTTGGATCCAGCTTGTGTGACGGTCCTAGCCCCGCCGACCTTCATCGGCAATATGCTGAACACTCCGATCATGGATGGCCACAGCTGGGCATTTGACATCCAACTGCAGATGCTCCAACTGGAGAGACACAATCCAATTCCCGACTTGTCTCAGTCGCTGAACGTGGAGAACTGTAAAAGCCTGCTGGACATACAGCCATGGACATCCTTGTCCTTTAACGAGTCCTCCTCCCTCCGAGCCTACAATCACTATGAGTACTTCCTTTCCCGGGTCCCATCTGTAATCGGGCAGTGGGGAGTACGACTGACGCCTCGGGAGTCTCCATCCTTAGAGCTACCCACAGCCCTCCACGGGTTAACACATTTCTCCTATACGGCCGTGTTCCCATTTTATAACCATGTCAAGCTCGTCCTCGATGCACTGGCCAGTATGCCCAAACTACGCGTTCTGCGCATGCAATTAGCTCCCGATGCAAATAACCATATCACCGAGGTCGAGCAGCGAGGATCCATGGACCCCAACGACCCATGGATGGAACTTGCGACCTCGTATTCTTTGATTGGCTTCGAAGTAAACGCCAAGTCCTCGCTGGTAGAGTTCAGGAGCGGTGACTTTCACCTCGAAGCTATACGCTCCGAGTTATCTCAGATCTTGGAGGATTCTCTGGGCGCAACGGGCTGGATCCACGATGGCCCTGCATTATGGAAACGAATAGTGCCACGGGAGTAATTATTCTGCAATAAATTCTATAACATTATCATTATCATGGCTTTGTACTGTTCGCCGTGGATTCTCGGGAAGCCGGGGTCACCTAAAGCGGTCGATCGCGTCCCTGACTTCACCCGGCCCCACCACTCTTCGGCCTCGCGTGAACAAGCCCGGTATGCGCTATGGGTCAGATTGATTGAACATCACTGAGTCCAGTAGCTTGCGTGTAATGGCAAACGCTTGTAATGCCTACTCCGCGGAGCCTGCTCATCCGGTTCTCGCCAGCTCCCTCCTCGCTCAGTCCAGGTGGAGAAGGACTCAAACAACGCGCTCTGTACAGGATACAGAGACAACGGACTGGAACCTCAAAAAGGACTGGGACATCGGGATCCAAGCTTCAACTAGCATCTTCCGGTGTGGTGCTGTTATCGGCTTCTCGAGACTGCGGGCCCGGAACAAAAACAACGATGAATACATCGCCCAGGTATGGATGGGGTCCTTAAGACATGAAGGTATTGCTAAGATGTTTCAGATACCTCGATCTCTGCTGGTAACACATTTGCTGAGGCCTTCCTTATCAGAAACAAAGGCATTCATCATATACCCGAGCAACTTCGATGCCTTTGCGCCTAGGATTTTACTCAACGCTTTGCAGTCTGCTGCGGGCCAGCCTCTCTCAAAAGGAGATGCAATCAAGCGACTGGATTTGGTGCAGCTACTTCCAATTCACAATTTCCCAAATGCCGCCCAGGCCATAGGAGAGTGTCTCGAAATCGTTACAAGACATTCAATCAAAGCATGCAGACAATCATCGCGTCGTTCTGATCGTTGTCGGCCTTGACATTTTAGCAGAGGGCATCATCCGGGCATCGAATCCAGTAAAAGGAACCGCCTTGTTGGCAGCCACATTGCGAAACCTGACTCGAATGTCTCGCACTTATGCTTCCTTCTTGTCAGTTATGCTTGTAAACACCAACGGACTTGGCCCACCACATTTCGGAACAGAAAAGGGTTCAGAGAAGACAAAAGCCCCGCTCGAAGAAGATACGCGACTCCCTCGTGATGACGGCATCCACTCGATCTTCCAAAGCCCCGGTCCACCACTTCTGTCTACCCTCCTCATGAGAACCTTGGACCAAGGTATCGACACACACATCCTCCTCTCGGACATCAAATCAGCCAAGGTAGCCGAAGTAATCAAGGACCGTATCGGAACCGGCCTGGGCAAATGGGGGATATGGACCTCGAAATAAGCCTACGCAAGAAATTCAAACTAAATTTATCAAGAGATGGGTAGAATTCATCTTTATGCAACTCACTACTCATACACCACAAATCGCCTGATCAAATGTGCGACCGGATCCGCCTGACGCGCCATTTACCAAATGCAATAAGGCCACTTTAGATCCCAACTCCGATACATGTGTCTCTGTAAAAAGGGTATTCTGCTTTTTGTGTCCACTTTGGCTCGATCACTGTGCCTCAAAAGGCATATTCTCCTTCTCGGCCCATTTCCTCAGCACAGCTTTCTCAGCCACGGATCGAACTTCAGACTCGTATCTACGGAGATCTTGGTCCGCCGTGTTCTCTTCGAACGTGATATCTTGCTGCTGTACTTTGATCCACTGCTTGTGTCGTTCGCATCGCTTCTTCGTGCAGATGCCGCGAGTCCAGAATGCCATTTCGTCCTCTTCGTTGTCCATGGCTGTGTCGCCGTCGCCGTCGGTGTTGGTAGGGTAGCTCGCTGCAAGTGCCTCGACTGTACCCTCGACGAGGGCTGTCTTGCCGGCTTCCGATAATCGCCAATCATCAAATTCCTCGTCGGACCAGGCGAGGCGAGAATCAAAGCCGCAGATATCTTTCCATCCGCCTTTCGGATCATGCGCCTTTAATTTCTCGACGACGCCTTTTGCTCGCTGGCGCAGAAGACCCACAAATGTCGAGCGGGCTGCGAGCATCTCTTTGCGGTGCAATGTCTTCTCGCTGAGTTTGCGGAGCTTCTCAAGCCTTGCTGTTTCGTCCGGTGAATAGTCGATGTCGCTGGCTTCGGTGTCACCGAGCTTGTCACCGACCTGCGGTGTCTCGCACTTGACATCTACATTGGGGCTTTCCTCCTTATTTGACTCTGGCGGAGGAGAAATGATTTTGTCACCGAGTCTGCGGAATTCTTGCACTGATGTGGCGCTCATGATCGCGGCCTTGAGATCGCCAGCCGTAAGTATTCCACCCATGCTACCCAAGTCTTCTAGACCGTTCCGGGTTGATCCCAGCTTGAGATGGCGGGTATGTTGCCGCATGTACTCGCGGCCGTGGTCATCGCAGCAGTACTTGCTAGGATTTTGGCGATTGACGCGGGCCGGTTTGCGGCATTCGACGAGACGGCACATCGGTTTCCATGTTGTGACACCTTTACCGCGCTTGTTGCAGCTCGGACCTAAGTGGGTTAGTAAGTGAGCGACCAGCGGAAGGTTCGGTAGAAGACCTACATATGTATCTATCAATCAAATCAGCGTCGCGGGGATCGATGTTGACGCATTTTCCATGATACCAGTCGTCGCAGTCTCCATCGCATCCGATCATCCATGTATGATTGTCGGGTCGTCGGCAAATGCAAAAGACTACGTTTTCGTCTTCAAATGAATCATCCTCATCTCCCAGGTTGATGGCGGCCTTACTGGGCTTCCTTCTCTTCTTTTTCTCCGGTGAGGGTGATCCGGCAACGGATACAGAGCCCTGCTTTTCTCCCAGGAGGTTTGCCAGTGCGCGATAATGGTGTATTGGAGCGTCCGTCAACGCTGTCTGCGTCGTCATTCTGCTTGCGCTTCTTTGCTGCGGGCTTCTTCGCCGTACCCTTCTTTGTAGCAGCGGATGCCTTCTTATTTGTCGCAAGTTTCACTGAGTTCGCCGGAGATGATCGGTCTGTCGATGATGCGCGTGAGGAAGGGCCATTTTTGAGATTCGCGAGGGTTTTGGATGTCGGTTGATCATTTCCATCCCAACCAAAAGATTTGGTTTCCAGGTCATCGCTGGGCGGAAATTTGTCCAGGGTCGAGCTCATTGGCTCCGATTTCACAGGTTGTAGAGAAGTGTCCAATCTTCTGACTAATGGCGCACTCTTGCTGGAGTCAAAAGAAGCATCGTAAAGATCAATCCATGTCGCACCGCTTTCGGTCTTTCCAGAAGGCTCAAGATTCCTCAATGACTGGTGAATCTTTTGGGCGCGCGCTTTTCCAAAGTATCCGCTTTGTCGCCATCCCCCAATGCCCACGACCCGGTCGTTTTGCACAATTATATTGGCAAGTACCATGTCATTATGTGTAAATGTCAGCTCTTCCTCTGCAGCCTTGTCGGCAAACAGTATGTTTCGCTCTTGCTCCGTGCTCGATGGTGGTTTCTGCGAATTGAGCCCGCGGCATACGTAGGAGGGTTCGTCGGGAGAAGGATCGATCATTTCGAGCTGCTGAAGGATCTGCCGACATTGATTCTTGAGGACATTGATTTTCTCGGCACTGAGGTATCGCCAAGCAACGTCCAGCGACACACCCGGGATTCGAGATTCTACTGTCACGTTTCTCCCCTCAATATTCCCACAAAAGTATATCACCGGGACTGTGACGCCGATCTCATTCAGAGTATCTTCGACTTTGCGAGCGGCTGACAGTTCATTCGCGTTCACACAGGAGTATCGTTCCGCGGCCGCACCATCGGTGATTTCGTGATCAACCCTAATGACCACACTGCCTGCGGCAAAAGCTTCTCTCGGTCCGGAGATACCGAGTGAGTACTCCGGAGTGCAGTATTTTCTCGCAACATCCTGCCAAAAAGCGTTCGCTTTGGGGTCCGACTGATACCAGTGCTTGTAGTGAGGGGTGAAATCGTCGGGGTGCGGGGTGTACCTTCCATACTGCGTACTTTGCGCAAGGAATGGATCGTCTCGGGGGATATGTTCTGGGTTTGTTGCGTAGGGATTGAGTGCCGTGGTGCCCTTTGCGATCGCGGCGGACCCGTTGATGTGATTTGTGCTTGTCTCCATCTCTATCGCCGTAGCCCGAAACACGTGGATTGGCTCAAAAGATAACCTGTTTGTCGCCTGCGTACTGTATTGCCGCGTATAGAGCGTAGGGTCAAGCCTGAGCAAACGGATCACGGTAGCGAAAAGCGCGGATTGAGTTATATGCACACAGGTTCCGTTCGATATTTGGGTGACATCATGAATCTTGCATCAGTGTTTCTGTAGGCTCAAGTTCCAGTATAGAGCCTATTCACACCGAGGCGACAGGCAGCACCCGACCAGCAGGAGGATTTCAGCAGATTGTGAGGGCGGGCGGATTTCTCACGGAGATTCGCGCACCCTTTCAACCGGCCACTCTGAGATGTGTCACTAGTCCAATTCGCCTTCGGGGGCGTTTCCAAAGTTGGTGCTTGGCAAATAAAACCTCAAAATGAGACTTGGATCATGCAAAGCAGTGAATACCGGTGTGTTGTCACGAGTCCCCTTGAATCGCAAAATGCAGATCGGAGTCGCGGAGTTTTGGCACAAAACGAAGGCGGTGAGGAGCTCGGTGGCCCCGACACGCGACAGTCGCGCTTTGGATTACATTGTGGAGTCAACAGGGCTGTCATTCTGGGTTGCGCACTGATCCTGACAGACATTATGCTCGAGCTCTGTTGAAAACGATTTCCCACTCGATCAAGCCAGTCTCATGTGTACCACGAACATTTGCCATAAAATGACCAGGATGGCCGCGTCAAGTGGCATTTACTTGAACCCTGTCTACTTGACTATCCCACCTGCTTCTGCTGCGTATGTTGTGGCTTGAAGAACTGGATTCATTAGATACTGTGTGCCAATGCTACGACTGCACGACGGTCTTAGGGGCTTCGGCTACGGTGGAAATTGCCCTTTTGGGCGCCGTTAAACAGCCCCTTGCACTCAGTATGCACCCTCTATCTCTACGCCCCAGGAAAGAGATCTAAACGAGTCATGCATTTGGCCCCTTCGCACTCTCTCGCCAATGGAAGATGACACCGGGCCAGATAAGATGGGATGTACAGGGCGGGTAAGCGTTGATGCACAGTGGTGTTTCTGTAGTCCCGGTTTGCCAAGGCCGGATATACACATTCAAAGATGCGGGCACCATCAAGGTCAGCTTTCCCCAAGAGAGAGTGTGTGGCAGATGTGTTGTTGATGCAACCTGGAGCGGTCCACAAGGGGCTGAGACTTGGAGCGTCTTGGCATAGCGAAATTGAGCAACGCCTGATTTCTGCATATCTTGGGGCCAAATTAGATTCTGCGGGTAAGAATACATTAGCCGGGAGGATCTTTTACGATTACTTGAAATCGTCATCGTCGGGACATGATTATATCCCGACACCTTAGGTGTTGGGTAGCACATGTAAGCGAACGAGGATTCTATTGTGACTCGCCACGTGGGTGTCCCCTTCAAGTGCGAGAGCTGACGGGGACCTAGGATTAGTCATGATTTTCTGGGTCCCCGTCAACTTTTTCTGGGTCCCCGCCAGCTGGAACCCGCACGTGGAACAGGTGCTCCATCCATCTGTGAACCAGGATCTTTCACGGCACGGATGGCCCCGGAAGCTTCGTCATTAGGACTCATATAGGCCCTGCGATCAAATATTGAGACGGAGAGGATCCGAGGAAAACGAGTTTTCGACATTGAGCATCCACTTTCCCAGTTCCTGGCCTCCACGATCCTAGATTCCAAAGTCTCGGATCATCTGCACCCCGATCGTTGATGCCATCTGGACAAACAGGTCCAGAACAGCTCGGGGTTACACAGTGTAGGGTTCAAGACATTCGCTCGATCTCAACTTTCAGTGGAGACCAGAATGCGCTCTAAAATGTGGTCCGGCTGATCTCGATCTAACCCCATCTGGGATGGTGAGTGCTAGCGACGACACTACATTCGTGTGTCTTTCTCTGATGGACCTATGCCTCGTGATCGAATCCTTACACAACTAGGGGCATCGATGGGTCGCACCGTGATCGGGCACTCTCCTGCCTTGGTGAATTTGGCCCCATTCTGCAGGCCTCGCACACGTGTAGCTGGGATGTTGCAGTGTGGATCCGGCTATCCTCAGCCCCGCTTATTCTCACTTATCTGCACTCCGGAAATCCTCAGATCCCGGCCCTCCTTCCTGGTGCAACACTGCATAATTTACTGCGCAGTTAGCCTCAGGGGTTGTTATCTACGTTGGTCCACCCTGACCGCCGCGTTGAGGCCCATAGTCCTTGCTCGACGCGTGCATTGTCCGACCTCTCGACCTTCTTTACAGTGGACCGCCCCAGGCAACTTCCACTATTCTATGCGTGCGTTTGCTCACATGCCACAATGTCAAATTCCAAGAGCGCTTCCAGCAGCGCTGAGAACCCCAACACTCGGTGGCAGTTTATCGACGCGTCGAATAACACTCGGAGCAACTTGACGCAGGTAAAGCGTCATGTTATGCAAGAGTATATGCGCCAGAAAAAGGGTGGCTCTCGCCAATGTAGCGAAAGTGAAGAAGAGCCCGCCCATACTTCAAAACGAGGGCGGCCGAAGAAGGTGCGAGCAGCCAAGCGTAGGTCTGCAAGAAAGGCGGAGAAGAATAGCTCTGTAGATCACTCGGAGCCGAACGGGCTCCCACCTAAGCATGCGCAAGAACGTATCCAGCACATCTACTGGCACTGCGAAGCCCCGACACCCTCAAATAAATTGGATGTCCTAGCCCTCATTACAACCCCTCTGCCCCATCAGACATCTCCTCTCCTGCCTCAGGGATTCCAGTTCCCGGTCCAGGAATTCCTCGACTTCTCTCCATACAACCCGAACTACACGCCTGACTTGAACAGCCTCGAATCATGTTCATCCACCTCGACTACTTCGTTCGACATACGATCCCCGAGGACACTCTTAAGCGCTGCACGGACAGACCCATTCAACAGTCTTCCAATGGAACTAGATCTTGAAGGCCAAAGACTGTTTGACTTCTACGTGAGCGACATGCCGGCTTGCTCCTATGGCACGCACTTTCGATCGAAAAAGGCCCATAATTGGTATACGGCGGTGTTCGTTCCAGAAGCTATGAAAGGTGCCGTAGCTTTTCAAAACACAATCCTTGTTCATGCAGCCAATACTTGGGCCTGGGTCCGCAATGAGACTGAGAATACCAGTATTCTCCAGCACCGAGACCGAGCTGTGACAATGCTCCGAGAACATCTGGGTAATAACCCTCGAGACAACTCCGACGTCGCAATTATCTCCTGCCTGAGCGCCGCCGCCCTAGAGGATTTTGATCCTCGACCAGGTCACAAGGAAATTAGTTGGGTGCATATGCGTGCAGCTCGGGAAGATGATAAGGTCTCGCGGAGGACCCGCCGCCTTTGCAAATACACGACTTGGGATGCTGATCAATTGGCAAGATTATATTCTGTCCGGTTACGAAACTCATGGGCCAAGCTTCTTCTTTGAGCATTTTTATTAAATGATTCTATAACTAATGGATTTAGTATAGAAGTAGTAGATATACTATATTTACTATCAATTATGTTTGCTTTAATTACTATTATGAGTAAAAATCCTATTATAGCTGTATTACATGCAGCTACTATGGTTACAGCTGGAGTTTATTTATTAATGAGATCATCACCATTAATAGAATATAGTTCAACTGTTTTAGTATTATGTTTATGATTAGGAGCTATAACTACAGTAGGGCCTAATGCCGTAGGTTATTATGGTTTATTACAAGCATTTGCTGATGCTTTAAAATTATTATTAAAAGAATATGTAGCACCTACACAATGAACCGCCGACTTCAGTCTCACAGTCTGAGTGCATTCCACCGAAGCCTCTTCAAAGCCTCTACTCCATACCATCCCCACCGAGCTCGCCATCATCCATCCTCTCAGATATCACGACATGCGCAGAACCTACTCCAACACTCCACGAACCGTCACCCATCGATGAACTCAAACTTCAATGCGAAGAATTTCTCGACTTTGTGCGCCGCTGCGAGCAACTATCCCTCTACCAGAAAGACAATCCAGATTCCTGCGGGCTGGCCCGACACACAGCTGTACAGGATACATCTCTCTTATCTCAGATTCTAGCCGCACCTCCAGGCGCAAGATTCACCACATCAGGAGATCGAAAACAAATGGTCGCCCGCCTTACCGCCATGATGATGTTGAACGCTGCTCTCTGGGACTACCGCTATGCTCTAACACACGCGGCTACGTTCCTCAATACTTTGGAGCAAGCAATGGTCGATAGCGAAGTCAGCATGAGCGGTTCCGTCGAAGCTATGCTTCAGATATTATTAGCCTGCAACGACGGTTGCACCAATGACTGGACAAATAATTTCGACAACATTATTGCACCTCTCGCGGAAGAAGCCCTGATTTCTCGCAGTATTCGCCTCTTGCGACATCTCCATCTGCACGGCCTTGGTTTGTAGGGCGCATGTTGAAAATTGCGAAGAGGCTCGGTGCTGACTCATGGCATCGGATCAATGACCTTCTCTTCGATTGTTTAACGTTTCGGGTCACTGAGTTGAGTGCTCATCTATGGGAGTCGAATCTACGGGAAGAGATTTTAGATGCGCCATTGACAAGTTACGTGATGCCCTCGCTAATGACATAATTCTTCTCGGTATTCATCTTCTGTACATAAACAGTATCATCACATTGCACAATCAAGTTCGTGCGCATGGAGCGCGTGGGAAATAAATGCTCTCTGGACTTGCTCAACCCCATTGGAAATCAAGTGATACGCTAGAGCATCCGCTTCCTTCAAATTCTTGCCGTTTTATTATAAAAACCTGGGATGTCAAGTTTGAAATTCAAGCAGGTTTTCTTGTTCAAAATTTGTAGAGGAAATGAAGCTTCGGTTGTAAACGGAGTGTCTCGAGTGAACTTCGACCTGGAAGCCTGGTCTTAATTCCGTCACGATGCGTCTAGGTCCTATGACCCGAGTCCCAGCGATTTGATCCTCTTCAGACATTATCATCATAAGGATTAAGTTGTGAAGCAGTGCCCAACGGCCGAATTTACCTCTGTTCCCCGAGGTTGAAGACATTGGGTCACCTACGCTGTTTCGCTAGCGTCCAAATTGTCCAGACCACAAATGACGAGCTTTTAGATGGAGGATGCGGTGCCGAGGTCATCTGAGACCTCATGCGGGATATTATTTAATCAAATAGGGGTTGAAAATAGAGTACAAGAATTGTAGAGCCCTCGTTTATATCATGCCAGCATTAATCTCATTTCATACTTCCTCCGCTTTCTTGCTCCAGAGCCTTGGAGAAGATGCGCTCTTGCTACTCGAACTGCCATTAGTAGCAGTTGGATGCATAGATAGAGGATCCATGCCTTTGTGCTTGACGTGTGATCGAGATGGTGCGCGTTCGCTGGTGACCGCGTCCGTTGTAAATTCAGGTACTTCTTTCTTCTCCGTGAATACGTCTTCCACTTCCTCGAGAGACCGGCCGACAGTCTCTGGGTAATAGAAGTAGACCAAGAAGACAGCAGCCCAGTTGAACCCGACGAAACAGTAGAAGTATTTAGATCCGAGCTTCGTGAGCGCAATAGGCGAGCATTGCGCAAAGAGCAGGTTCAAACTCCAATTCGTTGCTGTAGCAAGCGATGATCCACGGGCTCGGATAGCTGTGGGAAAGATCTCGGACTGGTAGATCCAGGAAATTAGACCGAGGGCTGTGAAGAAGAATGAGAATACAAAGAACATGGCGATCGCAGCGCGAAGTGCGTCTCGATTAGCATGGCTGTTGCTAAAATCGATATGCTCGGCGAGCGTGGCTTCGACGCACATTGCGGCGCCCATGCCCAGCAGTGATGGAATAAGTAGCTTTCGTCGTCCGACTTTGTCGATAAAAAGCATGAAGAGCGTGTTCCAGAGCACTGCCAGAGCACCCCAGACCCCGATGATCATGAGAGATGTGGATGTTGATAGGCCCAGGGATTTGTATAACCTAGGACCGTAGTTTTGAATCACGTTCGTGCCGGATGTTTGCGTGAATGCTTGCAGGCCGCAGGCGAGAAGGAGTCGATGGCGCCATTGTTTGGAGAGGAGGATCTGGCGCCAGGATCGGACCACTGATTGTTGTTCGTATAGGATACTTGCGTTGATTTGATTGAACTCATCTTCAACGAGTTGGCCATTTGTTGCGCTGTGGTTCAGGTGTAGGCGAGTCAGCACAGAGCGGCCTGCCTGCTCCTTGCCATTTTCAATCAGCCAGCGCGGTGACTCGGGGAGGTACCAGATCCCACAGACGAGAATCAGGGCAGGTGCGGTTTGCAATGATAAAGGGAATCGCCAGGTGAATTCGCCTGTGCGTAGCGAACATCCATATCCGACCCATTGCTGAAATCCTGTCAGAAAGAAATTGGGGAAATTGGGGATCTGAGTTCCCTACGGCGACCATGATTCCCACTCCAAGCATCCATTGTTGCATGCTTGCTAGTAAACCGCGAATACGAGGCGGCGCAATCTCACTCTATTATTTTATCAGTCAAAGATTTGCAAGGGCATTGATCTGCGTATTATGATGGTCAACATACGCAATAGACGGGAATAGTGGCAGACATCAGGCCGACGGCGAGCCCAGCGATGAATCGACCAGCGATGAGCATCGCAATGGTGACCGCGCCTCCCTGAAGCGCAGCCCCAAGAGTGGCGAGAAAACCACCGATGAATATCACCATTCTGCGTCCAAAGGAATCAGAGATATAGGGCGCCAGCAGCGACCCCACAATGGCTCCTCCTGAAGATGGGATTAGAAGCTTCCCTACGTATCAGGGATCAGGTACCCTACCGGTATAGGACGAGATGACCCCCCCCATTGGCCGCATCTGACAGTCGTGGAGACCCAAATCGATCTATGAAAGCATCCTGCTCAATACTCGACGAGATGACGCCCGAGTCATACCCGAACAAGAACGAGCCCAGACCTGCAAAAACACAGCAAAATGTTACTAGGACGAAAGCCATTGTTCACCGCAGCGCAGCTGCATTGTCAGAACCAGCAACTTAAAGAATGAAGAAGAGGTATATAAACAGTGAGCCAACGAACTAATTCACGCGTCCGTGAGAATGTCGATCGACGGGAAAGTGGGACGTGCCGAAGGGGGGCAATCGATTGCGAAACTAGTGGGCTCAACGGCGCCCCCTTTCTCTCTTCTTTTTTAAGTCAATTTTCCACGATGATCACCTAGTCGACTCATACAGGTTGGCGAGCTTAATTGTTCCAACCAAAGCGAATGAGAAGTCATAGCTGAGAGGGCAACTGCTTGGGGGCCAAATCCTCAGACATCGCTCCATCGTTTCAGCTCCCGGGTGCATTCTTTCAGTCGCGTCACAGGAGGTCATGTTAGCCCTACGTAACTGATCCCTTCATGTCAGATGAGGTATCTAGCGTCAATATCCTGCAGACCTACATATAGTGGCTTCGGAGGTCCGAACCTCAACTCCGACAGCTTCGATTTTAGTGCTCTGGAGCACTTGAGCCACGGCGGATTGTACGGTCATATAGGGCATCGCCTAGTGCCCACATCCCCCGATTCCAACCGAGTCGAGAACCGATGACAGTGGAGACCGAATCGCGGAAAAATTCTGTATTCTCGGACAAGATCCACAAAAGTAAATGCCGCAGTAGAAGAACCCTGGGAGGCCCGAATGGCAGTGGGCCTCGCACACACTGAAAGTCCGGTATGGGAGTCCAACGGTTAGCCTTGTGGCGCTACTTCTCTACATCGGTGGCGTTGGCACCTGTCCTTGTATTTTCTCGTAGCAACCTAAACCGAGCTCCAAGTTGGAGAAACGGCATTCCCCTGTCGGACATCCTCTTCCCCCACCGCTTTCGGATATCATCATTTCATCACCCCCCAAATCGAGGAAAGGTCCGTGAGCTTAGCCCTGTTCTACTTTGCCTGTCATTCGTCGCTTCAGAACGTGGATTATCGATTATCCTTCGCGACTATCTTCCACAGGGCGATCAATGAATATCCCTATCTGATCGCCCGCCAAGCCCCTTTCTCCTTACATGATCGCCTCCGTTGACCATGGCGACTACGGACCCTCTTCCTGGTGAGAATGAGGATGACTCCGTGGACTACGGCCTAGACGACGACCCCTCACAATCCGGTCAGGATGGCTCCCCCGCCGACCCCAAACTCAGCCAGACCTTGCCGATGCAGAAGCGACGAAGAGTCGGTCGAGCCTGCGATGAATGCCGTAGAAAGAAGATCAAATGTGATGGGAAACAGCCTTGCACGCACTGTACAGTGTACAGCTATGGTGCGCCGTACTCCTCTTTGAACCGTGATGCGTGTCTGACTCCTCCTAATAGAGTGTACGTACGATCAACCATCCAACCGCCGGCGCAATCCTGCCCCGCAGTATGTAGAGGCCCTCGAAGCCCGTATGCACAAGGCCGAGGCCATTCTCCGATCCCTCCTTCCCGATGTCAACCTCGATGACCCCCAACTGGACGTGCACGCGGCCGAGCAGCGACTCGCTGCCCAGAGGAGAAGCAGATCCCCCCTCAAACTCCTCAACTGGGCCCTCCCACGACACCCAAACCCACCAGCCTGCCAGAAACAGGCCCAGAGGGCGGGGAAGAAGGGCTACTAGAGACTATGGTCGATAACTCGGGCTGCTTGGATCGCGATGACCAGGGCCACTGGGACTACCATGGCCACACGTCGGGCATGATCTTCGTTCGCCGCTTGCGCAAGCAGTTGGGCGCCACTGATGTCCCGATCACTAAAACATCGCGCAATATGACGCAGATGCTCGAGAGCCCCATTTCCAACTCGGGCTCGCCCCAAGATGGATCGCTGCCGCCCACGCACGATCTCCCCCCACGGGTGGTTGCGCGCCGCTTGTGTCACAATGCAATCGATGATGCGTGCTCTCTGATGCGCTTCGTGCATGAACCGTCGTTCTTCGCTAGCTTCGACCGTATCTACGATACCCCGGTCGATCAGTTTACGAACGAGGAGAACTCGTTCCTACCGCTTTTGTATATTGTTATGGCGGTCGGTTGTCTGTTCTCTGACGATGGGGGCGGCACTTTGGATTTGGCTGGCTATGAAGGTGCCATTGGTCAAGGGTATGTTGTCGCCGAGCCTTGGGTAGCCATCACCTATGCTAACGCTCCAGTTCAAGATTCCAATTCTTCAAGGCAGGACGGCAGCTGCTTGAAATTACTGATTGTCGTGACCTGACCTCCTTACAAGCAATTTGCTTCATGGTTCTCTTCCTGCAGTCTTCCGCCAAACTGAGCACCTGTTATTCCTATGTGGGCATTGCGCTTCGCTCCGCCCTTCGATTGGGACTTCATCGCACGGTCACGGCGGACTTTAATCCGATCGAGCGAGAGCTGCGGAAGCGCATCTTCTGGGTGATTCGCAAAATGGACGTCTATGTCAGCACCCTCTTGGGTCTCCCTCAGATGCTGAGTGACGATGATATAGACCAGGAGTACCCGATGGAGGTCGATGGAGAGTTTATTACTGCGGAGGGAATCATTCAGATGCCCTCCGACCATACTCCTCTGATGGCAGGATGCAATGCGCATACGCGCCTGTGCAACGTCATTCTGAAGGTTGTCAAATACATATACCCTGTGAAGAATGCGCGGTATCGCTCCAAACTTGACCAGCGATACATGGTCAGTCATTCCAAAATCCGTGAAATTGAGCGTGACCTTCAGACCTGGATGGAAGAACTCCCACCAGCCTTGCGTCCGGGCACGGAAGTATCGCCACAGCTAGAACGGTAAGCTCCCAGCGGAGACTTTGGCAATGAAGAAACATGAAAACTAACTGATTCATTAGACTCCGTCAGTTGCTGCGTATCAGTTATGCCCACGTCCAGATGGTCATGTACCGCCCATTCCTCCACTATGTTTCTGGCGGGTCTCAGGCGCGTGGTGTGGATAAGCGTTCCTACGCCTGCGCTGCAGCTTGCGTAAGCGTGTCCCGAAACATTGTTCATATCACGACTGGTATGCAAAAGCGGGGCCTTCTCAATGGGTCGTTCTGGTTCACGATGTATACGACTTATTTCGCTATCTTGTCCCTGATCTTCTTTGTCGTCGAGAACCCCGATTCACCCACCGCAAAGGATGGTGTTCTGAAGGATGCCATGGAGGGCAAAAACACTCTAGCTGGATTGGCTAAGAAGAGTATGGCGGCTGATCGCTGCTCTCAGAGCTTGAACGTAGGTGTCTTACTTCTCTATCGAGCAGAAACCAAGCTAACTCAGCTTCGCAGTGCTTGTTCAAGACTTTGCCGGAGATGTTAAAAAATCGTCAAAATAAACCCCAGGTCAATCTTAAGCGACGCGCGCCATCTATTTCCCCGCCGAGGAACCGACCAGTGCTCCATCGACACAGGACTTGCCCACTCGCTCCAACACATTCCCAACCGAGATGATGTCTCGGTTAAGCACATCGGACTCGGGTCGCCGACAAAGAAGCTTGGACAAGACCATGGTCCTCGGTGACAACCAGCCCACCGAGCTTGGCACCTATGCTGCTTGGACCGCTTCGACTCCGGAGCTGCTCACGGAGACTATGCAAACTCCCGAGCCGATGTCTGCGACATCAATGAATCAGTCCTTTGCTAAACCAGAGCCATCAAGCCTGGCCTGGGCTCAACAATTCAATACTCCAAACAACCTTCCCGATCTGATGCCAATGATGTTCCCATCCGACGACCCCTTTGCGTATCCCACACAACCCATGTCCACGCTCGAAGATGATCATTTCCGCCACGATCGCTCAGGCATGCAATTACCCTTTGACTCCAAACCGCAACAACCCAGCGGACTGGCCACAAGCACCTCCAGCGATCCGTCGGGCACAAGTGTCTCCACGCCCACATTCGAGGCTTTTCCGGTGCCCAGTTTCCCCGCCGGAACCCCTACAGGAGTGAAGTCGTCGATTCCAAGCCGACTCCATGCCAATCACAGTCGATCAATGAGCTCGTCGCGACTCCATTCGCCGATATCTCAGACGAGTGAAACTCTGAGCAGCCCGGACTTAGTCTCAATTCCGAACCAGAACTTCGTTTGGGAAGGATACAATTTCCAACCGAATAATGCCACTACCAACGCCAATATGGGGGTCGAGACGACGATGCAACAAGATCCGCCGCCCCTCAATGGCACACAAGATTTCAACATGGGCATTGACCACAACACAATGGCAATGAACATGGACCTTGGCATCTCCTTCGACGACCTCTTCGGAACCGACGCCGTCTGTCGACCTGGACCGCGGGCGACCAACGATGAGTGGACACAGTGGATGAACGCCGGCGCTTGATCCCGGCTCTTGCCTTCTACGACGATATGCACTTATGAAGAAAGCAAAGAAGATAATCTGTTTATACCTGGCTGGCGCAGTGGGACTGGACATGGTTGATTATTCTTTATCCGATTTTTGCTTTGTGGAATATACACAGGCGATCTAAAGATTGCAGTACAATTGTATTTAATCCAAATATAGCGCCGATGGCATCGTCCCTGTCGTTGTTTAATCAGATCAGCCCTCCCGAGCATCCTTGATCACGGCTTACCTTGATGGGTTTGGACCCCAACCCGACCCACTTGGACTCTCACCGGTTCTCGCCGCACTTCGACATGATCCTTGACGACTGAACGAATGCTGCGTGATTTTAGCTCGCGCATAATGCTTTTTTTTTTTTACCATTCCTGTCTTGTACTAGTGCTCACCCTTTGGCGCTCTTCCCTCACTGCGTATACCGCGTGACTCGAGCGCTATGCTATGATTTGTTCACTGAGCATCACTTGAGCAGCCTGATACACTCGGTGTGTATTGGACTAAAGCGACGCGGAGAACAGGGAGGTCAATGGTCCACCGCACTGGTTTGCACCACGCCAGCTCGACCAAAATACAGTCTGTCACCTAGGATCCTTGGTCGTATCCCTCTAATAATGGATTGACGGAAGCTTCCGCCTTAGTGGACATGGAGTTACATCGCGCCTGATCGGAGCATTCACCAATTTTATCCGAGACCCGTTCTAGGAATGGAGAGCGAGAAAGTCAATCCATCTTCTCTTGATTGTTGATACAGCCGTAAGACAGAAACGTGATGAAGGTAATCTCACGCTGACTGGCATTCGAGGCGATACTTTCGGAATTGTTGGGCCAACTTGAACGGTTGGTGTGGGCAAGTCTCTTCCTTCCTTCAACCAGTAGACTACTGCAGAGTCGATTGATGCCAAATCAAGATTATGTACACATTTGATCGCTGAGAACAAAATTGCTTAAAACACTACCAATTTGTAATGCTAAAGAGTATGGCTTGAACCATTTGCATGAACTGGCCACCCGTAACACATGGTGCTTGACTACACCAAATTTGTGCTAGCGAGATTGCAATTAATTAAAAGACCCCTTTCTCAATGGAGTCGCAGCGCGGAAGCGAATAAGGCTGTTTTCTGCCCTAAATCAGTACATATAGATTAGCAACGCAGACTCTGTGCCCTTGATCCTGGCATTACCCCAGGATCCACCGTAAAATTGTCAAGCCGATATATACTGGTTCATTTGCACCGGGAGGCGATCAACTAGGCCTACGTTTCCTCTGATACGATTGATCGAGAGCCATCTTGCTCTTCGTCCAGGAAATTTGGTTCTCTTGCGAGCAACCGCATAATGAAGATCTTCTCCGTCTTCAGTGCCTGGTCGGCGATACTGTCGTGTACGGCTGTCGCTTCCGCACAGTCCAGTCCCGACCCGATTGGCACCATCTATGATGGCCATGTGCCAGCCGATCTATACGGATCTAATTATTCCTACCCTTGGCAGGTGAAGCTGTTCAACTTCTCCAATCAGCGCCAGAATCTGACAATGGCGTTCATGGACATACCAGCAAAGCATCACCACAAGAATGAGAAGACAGCGGTCTTGCTACACGGTGGAAACTTCTGCAGTGTGACTTGGTCCGACACGGCGCGCCGCATGTCGGACGCTGGCTATCGAATCATCCTGCCCGACGATATTGGATTTTGCAAATCTAGCAAGCCTCAAGGCTATTCGTACAATGTTCAACAGCAGGCATCGAACATCAACAGCCTGCTTACTGCACTAGGCATCGATCAAGCTACTATAATCGGCCACTCAATGGGTGGCATGATCGCCGCCCGCTACGGCCTTATGTACCCAAGCAAGGTTCAGCAGCTGATCCTCGTCGATCCCCTGGGCCTAGAGGACTGGGTCGCCAAAGGTGTTCCCTATTTGCCAATTGACGCAACGTACGCAAGCCAGGTGGTGCAGAATTTTTCCACTCTCAAAGAGTATGAGCAAGCCAGCTACTTTCACGATGCGACCTGGAAGCCTGCATATGATACATGGGTCCACATGCTAGCCAACATCTATTCCAGCAACTATGGCTCCGACTATGCCTACGTGATGTCCCTCGTTACAGACGCTTTACTCTCCCAGCCTGTATTCTACCAGCTGCCTCTTCTGCAGACTCGTACCTACCTCATGGTAGGAGAGGACGACGTGACAGCGCTTGGCAAAGCATGGTCATCCCCCAACATTGCTGCGAAGCTGGGCCATTACGATGAACTGGGTCCTGCTGCCGCAGCCATGATTCCTAATTGCACATTCCACATGTTCCCCGGTCTAGGTCATGCCCCCTTCCTTCAGGACGCGGACGCGTTTTACGAGGTGCTATTCTCTTGGCTGGACTAGATGATGTTGGCAATTGGCACAGCATAGCATTTTTCATTGGTTTATTCCATGTGTACGAGACTGGTAATATATAGTAAATGATAAGGATAGTGACCCTTCACAATGAAACTAGAGAGATCAATTTCGCGGTTAGTTCTGACCGATTCAAGTTAGATTATGCTATACTTCATGGTCCAAGATACTCACGGCAACATCTTCAAGTGACTGGAACTTATGACGATAGTTTACGATAAACTATCATTATATCTAGCTTCATTTAATACCATCCTCACCTAAAAAGTCTATCATACTTCCGTGAAAGTCCCACATGCAAGGTCATTGCAGGTCAATACGTGTTCCCGGAGCGTTCAGTATTGGGAGTATCGCCCCTGCTTATTAAGCAAGTTGGGTGGCTACGGAGCCATTCCCCAGAGCGATAAAGTACTCAGTCGACCTGGACCTTACGCGCCCTCATAAAGCGGCGACACACGAATTGGGCAAGTCGCGGCCGTAGTCTTGAATCCGGTCCAATCCGCGACATCTACACGGGACAATGCCCGCTGTGCCAAAGCTCTCAAGCATCATCACCTGGGTTCTATACTTCATCCCGGTGTACATATTTGTCCTCGAGCCGATCATTCGCCCCATCTTCCCCGGCTCTTCGAAACCCTCAGACGCAACAAATTTGGATTACGAGATCTGGGACAACGAGATTCCCTTACAAGACTGGGAGGATACTCAAGCTTCATTGTACCTTCAAGATGACAGCCGCATTAGTCCGGAGGATGGCGTGCCCATCAACTGCCCCGGCGAAGCACCAGGCTACAAGCTACACCTACTATCCCGAACGCCACTCGTCATTTACATTGAGAACTTCGTTAGCGACGAAGAAGCCGACCATCTAGTCGACATCAGGTAATCCTACTCCATTCTTGGCAAGAGACGGACTAACGGAGAAGACAGCCTCAATAAATACAGCCCCTCAATCGTCTACGATGGCGTCACCGAACGCGTTGACCCAAGCAAACGCCTCTCCGACCGCGCCCTCCTCGATCGCGATGACACCGTCCGCTGCGTAGAAGATCGCGCGCGCTCATTCCAAGGCTGGCGACCACACCTTTACATCGAGCGCATGTGGGCGCAGCGCTACAACACCTCCGGCCACTACACATACCACTATGACTGGGCGGGATCACTTGCGCGCGGCGGCGATCGAATCAGCACTTTCATGGTATATTTAGGCGCGGACTGTGTCGGCGGAGGCACGAACTTTCCGCGCCTGCGCATGCCGACTGGAAAGCAGTGGTGTGAGTTTCTGGAGTGCGAGGAGGAAGGGAAGCCAGTGCAGGAAGGGATCACATTTAAACCTATCAAGGGGAATGCGATTTTCTGGGAGAACTTGAGACCGGATGGTACGGGGTATTCGGAAACATGGCATGCGGCGTTCCCAGTCACGGAAGGGACAAAGGTTGGATTGAATATTTGGAGTTGGTATCAGCCGCCGCGAAGGAAGAGTCAGAAGACCACATGAAGATGAACCTCGAAGATCAAAATATATGGCCGAGCCATGGTGCAAGAAGTTCTTGGCCCCGGAGGTCGTGGAGTTTTTTGTTTCCTGGTGAGTTTTCCTAGGCCAAGCGTTGCGAGGGCGCAGGGTCTTCGGATTGCTCTGTGTAGCACAACATCACATTATAAGGAAAGGTGGATAAATATATAGATATATAGATGTGCGTAGATGTACGTTCATATTGTGGGAAAGACTGTACAATAATTCAAATGGAAATACTTCATGAATCAGACAAGCAGTCCCGAACACGGCCACAGCCTCAGCCTCCTACCTTGTCCTAGGCGTCCTCCCCAGTCACTTTCAGTGACCCTAGGTGAGTACCAAGTCTGGGGATTTCAGGCAGCGAAATTCGGAGAGAGGAACGTGCCAAGTCGAGTGACGCCGAGAGATACCAAGACCCCAAGAGCCCAAGACTTGCTCGGAGCGGGAATGAGGGAAATCCTTGGCTGCCAAGAATCGCAGCCATGGCGATGCCTCTTGGCAGCACTTTGAGGGGCTCAGCCTTTTGGTGTCGCCACTTTTCATTTCCTAGTCAGATAAACCGAGGACTCGGATTGGAGATTGGCCGAAACCTGGTCGGTTGGACTAAGGCGCTTGCCCACATCGGGGAAGTCCGGCTTGTGCAATTGGGGTGACCCTATACCATGATCCTACACACAACATATGCTACACCACATCGTGCACCAGGTGGACCAGGTGGACTAGGTGTCTCGAATGAGCAGATTGCATTCTGTAGGGAAAGTATAACGTAGAAAGGATATAGGATACCAGAATGTCAGAATGCACAGCCTCAAGTGGTAGCCAAGCCATTCGGGACGCTGGGTCCGCAAACTTCTCTTGGCCCGGTCTTGTCCTGAGATCCAGATTCGCCCAGGCTGAGCCAGTCTCCCTTTCTTGCCGCCCCCTCCGCCCTAGGCTTTTCTCTAGGCACAGGCTCGGCTTTTTCGTTTCCCTCTGTGCCTTTCCCCCCGTGTGGAGTCTCCCCCCGTGCGCTGCATTTCCTAGGCATCTTTCTTCTTCCTCTTTTTACCCCCCTTGAACACTCTGTCCTGATCGTTTTCGAAGGAACACCGGCTCTGACGATCCTTGGTGTTTCTGATCGTTGTGATTTTCGTTTTGTCGCCTTATCTTCCTTAAATCCCCCTCTAAAAGTCGCGTCTGGGCTTCCGCCAGCACGACAAGACCCATTTCTTGGCATCATGACGGAGAACAATATTCCCCAATCCTCAACGCCTCAGGCGGCGCCCGCCGCCGTGCCTGTCACCAGCGAGCAGACGCATCCTATCTCGCAGGTTGCTGCAACCGCGCCCGCCTCGGTGACCGCGACGGCCGCCGCCGCTACCGCCGCCGTGAGCTCGATGAACGGTGCGGGCGAGCAGCTCCCCTGTCAGTGGGTGGGCTGCACCGAAAAGTCTCCAACCGCGGAGGCACTCTACGTAAGCTTGAATATCGCCGTGGTGGTTGGAAAGCGCCCCGTTCACTAACGAGTCCGGGCGATACAGGAACACGTGTGCGAACGCCATGTCGGTCGCAAGAGTACTAACAACTTGAATTTAACTTGCCAGTGGGGAACATGCAACACCACCACTGTCAAGCGCGATCATATCACCTCGCACATTCGAGTCCATGTGCCTCTCAAGCCTCACAAGTGTGATTTTTGTGGCAAGGCCTTCAAGCGCCCCCAGGATTTGAAGAAGCACGTCAAGACCCATGCCGATGACTCGGAAATCCGCTCTCCCGAGCCTGGGCTCAAGCATCACCCGGACATGATGTTCCCTCAGAACCCCAAAGGTATGTCTCCATGTCGTTGCCCGAAGGGTTTTCTTTACTCGTTCCCGTCCCAGTCAAAGTCCTGCCAGGATCTCCTTGCCTTCGCTCCGGAGACTTTTGTTATTTAGTTGACAGAACACCTGCTGACTCAATGCCAATGGCGATCCAGGCTATGCTGCTGCTGCTCACTACTTTGAAGGCCCGATCAATGGTGGACAGCCATACGCACATGGAGCCCCTCAGTATTACCAGACTCACGCGCCTCCTCAGCCCGCCAATCCTCACTCATACGGAAATGTCTATTATGCCTTGAGCCAAGGCCAAGATAGCCAACAGTCTTATGATCGCAAGCGTGGCTACGATGCCCTGAACGAGTTCTTTGGTGATCTCAAGCGCCGCCAATTCGACCCCAATTCCTACGCCGCGGTGGGCCAGCGTCTGCTCGGTCTTCAGGCACTTCAGCTTCCTATTCTCACCAACGGACCCGTCCCTGAGTACCAGCCCATGCCGGCTAGTGTTGCTGTTGGTGGTGGTGGCGGTGGCTATAGCCCTGGTGGTGGTCCTGCCCCTGCGTACCATCTCCCGCCGATGTCGAACGTGCGGACCAAGAACGACCTGATCAATATCGATCAGTTCTTGGAGCAGATGCAAAACACCATTTATGAGAGTGAAGAGAACGTTGCTGCCGCTGGCGTGGCTCAGCCTGGTGCTCACTACGTCCAGGGTGGCATGAGCTACCGTGCTACCAACTCTCCTCCCTCCCAGCTTCCTCCCAGCCATGTCACCGCGGCTGGCTCTGCTCCTATGATGGCTGCCTCAGCTCACTCTCCTTCGACCGGCACACCTGCCTTGACACCGCCATCCAGCGCGCAGTCCTACACCTCTAACCGTTCTCCGATCTCCATGCCTCAGCACCACCGCGTCTCTCCCCCCTCATGAGAGTGGCGCGGGAATGTATCCTCGTCTGCCGTCGACGACCATGTCTGACGGCATGGGTGCCGGTTACCCGACTGCATCCAGCGCCGCTCCTCCTTCCACTCTCAGCGGTATCTTTGATCATGATGAGCGTCGCCGCTACACTGGAGGTACTCTGCAGCGTGCACGTCCTGCTGAGCGAGAGCTCGATGACAACAGCATGGACACCACTCGCGACGGCAAGGAGGATCGTGAGCGCACTCCTACCAAAGAATCCATCGCTGCTAGCTTGATTGACCCTGCCCTGTCCGGCGCTTCACCTGATCCCGATCAGGCGGCTGCTCAGCGCACGGCTCAGGCCGCCACTGAGGTAGCGGAACGTGACGGCAATGCCGCTTGGGTTGAGAAGGTCCGTTTGTTGGAAAATCTCCGCCGCCTGGTTTCTGAGCTTCTGGAGCAAGACCGCTTCGACGAATCAGGAAGCCACAGTGCAAATAAGTCTCCAGAATCAGGGATGGACGCCATGGAGGGTGTCGAGACCAGCCGGGTCTCTGCCTCTCCTGGGCAACTTAAGGAGGAGCCTGCCAAGCAGGAGCCTGAGGCCGTCCTGTACCCGACTCTGCGCGGGATGGACGAGGACGGAGATGCCAAGATGCCTGGCGACGGGGCGTAGGTTTTGGGCCTGGAAATTTCTTAACGCTTTCACGACTGTTTGTTTTGTGTCTCTCCTCTATTTCCTTGTGTCGGCATTCCGGCTTTCCTGTCCCGGACTTTTCTACTTTGTCACCTTATTTTATATTTACTCTACCTTATTTCCAGTGGCGCATCAATCCGGAGCACCCTGTTTCCTTCATCCCATGGATCTGAATGACCAGAACCTGTTTATTTACGGAGTTTTTGTTTGCGTCTACACTCTCGATCGGAATCCCAATGGGATCTTGGATTTTGTAGCTTAACTCTAGTTAGGTTACATAGGGTTCATGGGGACGTAAATTCCCAGTCCGGCGGATCGACATGTCAGTCCCCGATGAGGCAAGGCAACATTCCAATGGAGCCCAGCTAAACTCCATCCGGGGCCTGTGACGCAAACGATTCGATCGAGGTGAAGCCGATATCTGCAAGGACTGGGAAGCTTGTGATCTTCAGAGTCTTGTTGTCGACTGCAAGAATGTTGATTTATCGCCTTGAGTCTCTTCATCCCGGACCGTAGTCGGTAGTTGCATAGACTTAGTACATGGGCACTGCCGCGCGGGGGTTATAGCGATCAAGGAGCCGAAGAACATCAACGTCAGATCACATATCTAGGGAAAATATCCACACTTTCGATCAACGTGGGATTTGCGCAATCGCCTCTGCACTCGGAAGCATCTTCGATCCCACGCTGAGAAAAGCAAGCCTGCAAGCACGTAATTGGGGGTATTGGTATTACCAGCCCCTCCCCGCGGGCCCACCGCCATATCCCGGGCGGTAATGATGTATGGTACACTTCCGGAACAAGACTCCACCACTGTTTACGGCCAAACGGGCGCACTTCACATCCAACTTTTGCACTTCATTTATTCCTTTCCTTGTGTCTGGATTCTCTGTTCCTCTTTCTCCTTGTCTTTCGCCTTGCTGTTCATCTCCCTCCATCCCGCCACCTCATTCCCTGGATGATTTGCGTGTTGGTGTTGAAACCCACCTCACACGCTCCCCACGCGACAAGGCGGTGGCCCCAAACAGACGCCATCGCGCGTGTCGATCGTAGGGATTATCGATAATCGAAACCTCCAGCCACACACTTCTCCAAAAGGCCGTTGCCCTTGTTTGTTGTTTCTGCTTTTCTTTGGTTCGGCTTTCTGTTTTTTTTTCCCTCACCATCTTCTTCCGGTGGCAAATCCGTTCTTTCGGGTGGCTCTGACTGCCGTTCTTTGGTTCTGCCTCTGAGCGTGCCTCCGAGACTGGGTTGTGTAATCCGGATCCAGAGTTGTTGTGTTTTCGCTCTCTGAAATCTTGCCTCCGATCTCGCCATTTTTGCCTCTGTATTGTTTGCGGACTGCCTCGGGCTGATTTGTATTTCGCACAATTTTCGCATTCCGCATTCGCTGCGTCGGTCATATCGATTGATTTCGACCTGCGATTCTCTCGAGTACACTTTGAAACATCACGAAAAACATGCCCTTGTCAAATCGCCGTCGCGCGCGGCGCAAGGAGCTTCAGCTGCAGGAAACGTCCGATGCGGAAGCCCCAGACTCATCGCCCACTCGTCCTTCTGCAAAGAAGCGCAAGGTGAGTGTTGGCCCGAGACTAAATGAGTCGGTGCGCAAGAAAGGCTAACAATTCGACTCGGATGCCATAGGTTGATCGCCGCGCCTCTCCCTCTCGAAGCGGCGTTAAGCACGAGTCCGGCGACGAAGCCGAGGACTCGGCCGGGGACCACGATGCTTCTACCCATCAGGATACCGTCGATCTAGTGATCTCATACTTGAACATGCCCCGCGAAGAATTGCGCGTTACCCGCGACCACTCCAACACAAAGACCGAGAACAAGCAGAGTATTCAGGCCTACGCCAAGATCGCCGGCCGCAACTGGACCTATTACGTCAAAACGCTGCATGTCAATATTGGCCGCGAACCGGACCGCGAGCAGAGATCTAACGAACAGTCAAGTCCCGTCACGATCGCTGCTCGTGCGCTCCCCGATGTGCATGTGGATTTGGGCCCGAGCAAGTTTGTTTCGCGTCTACATGCCGAAATCTTCTATGACGGGGAACAGACGCCTGCCTGGCACATCCGGGTAAATGGCCGCAACGGTGTCCGTCTGAACAATGCGATCCTGAAGCGTGGCGCTGATGCGGTTCTTTCTTGCGGTGATATCATCGAGGTGGCCAACTGCCAGATGATGTTTGTGACGCCCGGTGACGACGCCAATATCCACCCGGCCTTTATCGAGCGTGCTCAGCGCATTGCTAGCGGGCAGGAAATCGACCCGGCTACTCAGGCTTGGGACGCTTCGCAACATGCTCACCCCCAGGCGGTGCAGGCAACTGAGTCGGCGAGGCCTTCGTCTTCCGGTGGTCCCTCATTGGCCCCTCCTCCGCCATTCCTCAGTCGCAACGTCACGCCGCCTCCGCGCTCGCCCGATACTGTTGGCCAGCGGACCGCTAAGCAGTCGCCGCTATACAACCGCGGTATGATGATGGAGAGCACCGAGGAGATCGATTACAGCAAGGATGCGGCGAAGGATTTGAAGCCGCCCTACAGCTATGCCACGCTGATTGCGCAGGCAATATTCTCCAGCGAAGAAGAGAAGCTTACCTTGAACAGCATCTACAATTGGATCATGGAACGATACGCCTTCTATCGACACTCGCAGAGCGGCTGGCAGAACTCTATTCGTCACAACTTGTCTTTGAACAAGGCTTTCCAAAAAGTACCCCGCCGCACAGACGAGCCTGGAAAGGGCATGAAGTGGCAGATTGCAGCGGAACACCGCGAGGAATATCGCAAGAAGCAGATGCGTAAAGGCACCCAATCTTCTGCCCCCTCATCACCTGCGACTAAAGAGCCGCCATCCTCCGCTACGCGCGGTCATCACGTCCCGTCTCTGGATACTTCGTTCTCCGCCACGGCTAAAAAGTCCCCACCTGTTTCATCTCCGGGATTTAGCTCATTTCCAGTGGCGCCGGTGGAGGCGTATACCCCAGAGCGTGGGTCGCGCATTGGTCGGGGCGTCGGCTCGGACCACCCTTTGCGACATATGAGCCCTCGGGACTACGAAGAGCCCTCTCCGCTTCCAGCTCGTGCGCATAGCAACATTGCCAGCTCTAGTCGGGCACAGAACAGCACCAATAATTTGAGCCGTGCATACGGGCTCTCGGACAATGTGGCCGGGTCACCACCAGTGCTCTCTTCATCCTACTACGATGAGGGTCCTTCATCAATGATCACACCCGCACCACAACGCCAACAACCTCGACTCCCTCCTCCCAGCACCGCTCAGATTCCATCCAAGTTCATGCCAATGAGCTCACCTGCTCAATTTTGGAAGTTTGCTGATATTGGATCCACGCCGGCCCGTCATGTCCCGGACATGAGTCCGTTGAAGGGCGAGCCTGACGACCGCATTATCGGAGGGTTCCCCAGCAGTAGTCCACCACCGCCCAACCTCGCTAGTCCTAGCAAGCCTGGCACGTCCAATGGCCTTGTGTCCAGCCGGACATTACCGCCGCTCCAGTCTGATGGCCCGGATTTGGGGCCGAATGTGGCGCGCAAGGAGGAGCAAAGAATGGAGGAGGATGAGGAGGAGGAAGGTAACGCAGGCTTTGATCTGGCTCGGTATGTATGCTCTATCTGATTGCCATGTATCGTGTGTCCTAATTCCTCTTCCAGTGGCTTCCAACCTATTGGTTCCTACCATCGACAGTTGAGCAATGCTGCTCGAGCTACAGCCACCTAAGCATTGTCTATGATGTACAACATGCTTGACACAGGTTGGACTTGATTATTGATTTTTTTTTTTCTTGATTCCGCATTCTACCGGTGTTGGCAGGTTGATTAATTGGCTTATTTTCATGGTTATTGTATTTCTCTTTGTCGACCATGCAGTAGAGCAAGGAGTTTCCGGGTTTACTGTCGTTGAAAAGGCCTGGCGTCTGCGGTTGGTTCTGTTTGTACTTCCGACATCTTTTGTGTATGCCATCCTAGCCTCGATCGGCTTGTTACTACGAAGCAATCAATGTATGATATATCCATACAAATGTGATCCCTATAGCGTCTGATTCGTGTGAATGAAGACATCAATTCCAACCCAAACCATGCACGGGGATGGCCTAGTCCATAGCAGGCCAAAACCTCTCCTCCAACCAAACCACCTGCCTCCACCATTCCAAGCACCTTCCACGCATCATCTCCGCCTCCTCCCACCCTTTCGTCTCCCCGGCCATCTCATCCAACACATCCCCGATGCGATTGACAAAATCCTCAAACTCCACACTCGACCAATTGGGAATGAATTTATCCCTCAACGCCCCGCCATCCGCATCATCCTGGCCCTGTCCATCTCTCAACTTCAAATACGAAGCCGCATACCTCCACGACCGCAAATAACAGACCTCTGTCGCCCAGAGCACCGCCAATCCCTCGAGAAGAGAAGCTCCCGTACTTCCCGCCGACATGAACATATCAATGTACGCGCGCGTAATACATGTGGCCGCGAAATAAATCGGTCCACCCCTCTCCAACGGCGCCGCAGACACAGGATGCCCACCAGATGGCAAACAAGGCTGCTCGCCTTCCGCCGCATTCGTTCCTTGCTGCGGTTTCGGCGGCGAAGAAGGATTACAAACCTCATTTCCAGCCTGCATCTGGCATTCGCCTTGCGCACCACAGAGTCCATGTCCCTCAGCCCGAACCCCCTCCATCTCCCCCTCATCAGCAGCAGCCGTAGAGATATTCTTGCTTCCACAAGCCACGCCCGTCGACCCAGGACAAGAGCCCGACCCCGTGGTCGAAATCCCCGCCGAGGTAGTAATGCTCCCGGAGCCGGACTCAGCAAGACTCTCACCACCCTCCTCGGCCGAGATAGCAGTCAAATCTAACCCGTAGGCAGTGGCCGTCTCCTCGAAGAATTTTAACTCGGTGCGAATATTGACCAGTGCATCGATCAGGACCTCGACGGCCCGTTGTTCCGAGGATGGTTTGAGCGGGAACGCACTGTTCGCTTTATGGGCTGGCATGCGAATCTTAGCGAGTAGGAGGCCGATGAACCGGATGTATGATTGTGCGTAGAGCCGGTCTTGGGCGAGCCATTGAGATAGAGTTGATTTAGGAAGAGTGCCGCGGCCGGCGGAGGCGAGAAAGGGGTGGGTTGTTGCTCGTTTAAAGGCTTCGGGGGTTGCGGAAAGAAGCCAGGAGGTTAAGGGACCTTGGCTGGACATGTTTCGCGGTATTGGTCGTTTGTTTTTGGACAATTGGAGGGTTGGTGAGAGAATGGGTTCTTTTAGAGGGGCATGTGGAATCTGGAGCGGAATTAAGATAGCTGTGGGGCAAATGAGCGGGGGTTAATGAGCGTGGAGATATGCAATTATGGCGTCAGGCATAAAAATTGCGAAACGATTGAATAAGTGTGCAAGGGTAAACAGAGGTGGGTATCGTTTTTTTTTTTGAACGTTGGAGCTCATTTAACAGTCTGACATATATGGGATAGGCGCTCCATTCTTCACACGTGGAGATATATCAGGCTGAGGAAGCGGTTGCAATATATATGGAATGACGATCATAGAGATTACGGGAAATGAGATAAGATGAGATGACTTTCAATTTCTAAAACTACGCCATGCAGGTGAAAGGCTTTTGATAAGTAGATGTCAGATATTAAACAGCCTTGCGTATTTCACGATGCTTCCTCAGAGGAAGGGGCCACGTCAGAGCCTTGGTTTTGGCAGCAAAGCTAGAAGGCCTGAAATTTGCCAGGTGTGCATGCCTCGATCAGTTCCAAGTCGAATGGCCCGGTGAATGATTTACAGCCGCAGCAACTCCACACTGTCTTCCATGCTTTCAATGGACCCAACACCGACTGACAGACTTTCCCAGTCGTCAACAGCGTGCACGTTCTCCTCCAGAACGGACGCAGGTGATTCGGGTTCATCGTCCGACGAAGTCGAGGGACATCTAGCAAAGACAGGGATGAAAGGAGGAGACGAAATGAGATTGAACTCAGCAGGGATATTCATATTAGAAACAGTAGAAGGAGTCATATTGGGCCTCGCGTGAAGAGCAGCAATGCGACTAGTCGGAGCCAGATCAAGCCCAGGCCCACAGGACGGACTTGACCAGGAGCGATGCTCCGGAGACTTCGCCTTCTGCGCCCAATCCCTAGGTGAGCTCGCCGTGATGAGCATGATTCGGAGTAGTGCCAGCATGGTGTAGTGGGCGTCGTTTCCCCCGTTGTGGAGAGGAGCTTGTTGGACTAGTCCAACGTCGAGATCCGCCAAAGTGTCTCTTAAGGATCGTGCATTGGTCGTACGTCGCATGACACGCCACAGCCAGTTGGTATCCCACACCTTGTTGATCGCCGACGAAGGGAGGTCCATGCTGTTGAAGACCTTGCTGCCAGACTTGGCAAGTTGGGTCATGTCGCCCGCCATGCCGTGACCGATCAGGATCACTGACCGCCGGCGAAGCTTGTATGCTGGGATATCACCAACGTGGTGCCCATATGGAGGCGAAAAGAGCTGATCAATCCTCGCTCCCAACTTATTTACAGGGAGAATTTCACTCTGGCCAAATCCGAATTTCCTGGGGCATGAGCTGCATCGTTTCCAGAGGTCGTGTATGCAATTCTCCCCAGTGCGAAGATGATGAGATTTGATCATTCTGCTCCAATTGAGCCCATCTTCACCGGGGGGCAGGCTCACCAGATCGAGAGTATCGAGGAAGGAAATTCCAAGCTCTGTGATATGATCTTTCCACTCCACATCTACGGAAATGAAGATGTATTCACCCTCCATATCAAACGGAGGTGCCTTGAGGAGATTGACTGGTGGCATATTCGTGATGAATGTGGTTGGATGAAGGCCAAAGATGCATATCACTCTTCCCAAGGCTGTGGAGTATTTAATCTGGTGGGCAATTTGGTGATCCATTCGTTGTTTCTGCTTTGGCCCTCTGTTATTTCGTGCAGCCTGCACCCCGGCAAGAAGCTTTTCAAAAAAGGTGTCAGTCACCGACAATGGCCGGTCCTCCATCCAAGCATCCCACGGGCCAAGGGGAAGAGTCACTCCCAGTAATTTCTCCTTGTCCGAACGACTCTTGGTTGTCCCCAACTCCGTGGGAACAGGTGAACCGTCGCTGCCATCAAAATGAAGCAACATGCCTGCTTTTCCATCCAGTGTAAGGTCGCAATGTTCCTTCGCACTGGCCTCCTTTAGGAACGCAAGGACATCCGCTGCACGGGCAAGCGTCAGCCGGCCGCCTCCGGGATGGGTGAAGGGGATTTTGAGGTAAAATCTTTGCATGCTGCTTAGTGCGTGCGCTCTTGCCCTCTATGGGGTATCACTCACTGTTTCCAGGGCCGACACCAGAATTTCTCCTCGTGGAAGAAGTCTGCCAACAAGCGCAGGGTCAATTCTTTGTCCCTACCACCAATGTAGGTGTTTGGAAACCTAGCTAATGCCATAATAGGACACCAGTATCCGGCAATGTTCTCAGGTGTCAGAAATGGAATGGGTCCAGTCTCAACCGGATGAGTGTTGAGAGGCCCAACATCGACCTGCACAGAATGACAATGCTCAGTGACAAGCCCTTTCCCAACCTCAGCATGATGATGGCGTCTGACAGAGATGCAACACCCCGGCATCTCATGTCGGCTCATCGGGGCTGGACGTGGTGCAGTTGGCCTGGATTGCATGGACGAACTTACATTTTCAACCGCATGTGAAGCATTCTGGGTAGAAGTTGGAACCTGTGGATCAGACAAGTGCAGAGCACCACTGGGCTTTACATTCTTCGGGCGGGGCTTCTTTCCCTTCTTTGTGTGGCCCTTTTTGCTGCCCATGATAGATCGTGCTCAGTGAGGGCTAATGAAGGAGAGGGAGATAATGGTGAAGAAGACTGAGAAGGATAGGGGGTCGGAGAAGATGGATGTAATGATGGGATACAAAGATGGAAAAACGAGATGACCTGGGATGAGGGGAGACGGGATGAAAGAGAGACAAGTACTGAATTGCATTCACCCGTTAGTTGCGTGAGGTGAAGTGGTGCTAGTTTCAAAATGGATCACTGAATCACTGAAAGCATTAACTTTCTGATTCTTGCGAAGAAATCCACTGAAAATACATCACTGAACCACTGAGAGCATTCACTTCCATGGATAGGTAGCTGCTAGTGGTTATAATAATAATAACAGTAGTAGTAGTGGTAGTAGTATGACAAAATCTGGTCATTGCCGCCCTATACAAGGAGGTGCAGGAAAATGGAAGACGTATTCAGTAAGGAATGCCCGTTCACTAGGAAGGAAGGATATTAGCCACTACCTAGGTACAATGATGATTCACCTACATAACTGTTTCGATTGAAACTAGTAGGTTTTTACTTGAAATAGGTACTATCAGAAGTCACGATGACAGTAAAGAAGCGAATAAAAATGATATTGAAATTGCTGGTGGCTAATAACTCCGGTGATGCCTGGACCGTAACCAAACTCCGATCATTAACGCCATAGCAGACTAAAACCCCTAGCGATTGACGCAAAATCCCGTGGTATCATACAAAAAAATTGCTTATCGACGTCCCCCTCGAACAATACCGTCTGATCCTTTGTGGTACTTGACGCGACAGTTGGGACAGTACCATTTAGCTGTACGTGAAGGAACTTCTGACAGACCAACACAGTCCAGATGGAACCATTCACGATCACACTGCGACTCATTAGCGTTGTGCCTTTTTGACCGGAATAAAAGAAAACTTACGTCTTGATTCTCGCAGCATATCATTGTGCCAAAGCTCACATCCCCACAGATACAATACCGAGGCTCATTTGCATCGATCTCCTCCAACACACCGTCTTCGTCAATTCGAACGTCCTGTGAGTCCCGAATGCTGATTCGTTTCTTGCCAGGCTTGGCTTTGCGCCGACCGTAACTAACAGCAGCGCCGCCATCTTGGCCATTTGAAATGGGACCTGGAGCGGGTCTTTTGCGCTTTCGAGCTGGTGCAGGGAGACTTGGTGCATGTGAGGACTCGCGGATTGGAGTTTTGCGGGCGGGTGTTGCGCTTTTGATGCGATAGTCGCGCACGACGGTTCCAGTGGTTTGAAGACCACCTAGACTGCCCAATTCAATCGCCGCAGCTGCAGAGCGCCTTGACGAGGGTCGTGTAGTAGGTGGTGTGGGTGTTCCAGCTGGCTTGCCAACCGATCTTGTGGAGGGGCGTGACTCGTTCGGTGAGGCCAAAGGAGATTCTACTTTTGTTTCGATTGGTGATGCTCGTGTTGTGCCCATAGGAACAGGGCCGCTGTTCGCTTCTCCAGATGCAGTGGCAGCCGGTCCACGACTGGATTTGCGGCGCTTATGCGACATAGGAGCAGGTACTGGTACAGGCTCAGGAGCGACGACGTCTTCTTCCAATCCATTTTCTTCGACAGGAATTTCCTCCCGCTTCCTCTTGCGTGACGATCGATTATTTGGGGTCGCTTGGACAGAGTTTGAAGGCTTCACTGGAGTTTCGCCATTCAATGCCGCCTCACGTGCCAGTAGCTCACGTTTCAGCTTCTTGGCTTCGTTTAACTTCATACCACGATTGCTAATCTTGGTCTCCTCCAGATCACCTCCCATTTCGCCGCGATGGGTCATCTCCAGGTTATCACAATCAATAAATTCTGTGCCGTTTTGCTCAGCTAGTGCTTTTGCCTCTTTATAGGCGTCCCAGCCACGGCCGGCCAGAGCAAGCTCACGCCACACCATGACCTCACTAGGCTGCCATACAGCGTTTTTTTTTCATCTTCTTTCGAAGCTTGGTCATCTCCCATTCCGTCAACCGGATCCAAGGCAAATGTTCGCTGCCGACTTTGGCATCCGCAGGAGGAGGCTTCAGTAAAGCAAGCGCATTGCTAGTGGAGACTGTGACGCCCGAGCTTGGGCGGCGTGCCTTGTCCTTCTTTGGGGGCCTGGCAGGCTTGGGGGGAAGAAGATCCACATCTTCAGCATCTGATTGTTCAGTACTGGCGATAGGAGAATCAGGGTTGAAACCTGCCAGATGACTCGCCGCAACACCTGAGCGTCTCACCTTCTTCTTGTGACTGCGCTTGGGGTTATCAAGGCGGAGAGTAATACGCGTTGTTGACGCGTTGTCCTTCTTGGAGGGGCGTGAACGTTTCGGCGTAGGTTCTCGGGGTGGCGGAGTCGGTTCTGTGGAAGGTGGTCTCGGGAGCGCATCGAGCTTCTGCCTGATACAGCTCAGCCGGTCGAAGTGGCGATCAACAACGTCGTATGGAGCGACAAGCCTCTGCGTATGCCGATTCGCGCGCATTGATCGCACGATCAAGCTGATGAGATATGTCTCTACGCAGACCGATTGCGCTCGGTCGCTCGTCGGGTGGAAGGTCAGGTAGCTGGCCGTAGGTTTTGGTCAGGGAGTGTACTGAATGCGCCGAGTCGAGGTAACGCTCGTCCAGACCGCGGATTAAAGTGAGGGAGCGGATGAGATCGGCAGGGAGGTATTCAGTGTAGTCAATGTAATCGGTTACAGTGGCCTGGGCATCTGGATCGAAAGGACCGTCCAGAATGACCCCACCACTATGATCGGTTTCATCAGTCATGGCCATCTTGCGGGTCGTGATGCGCGTCCTATGGGACCGCACAGGATGCACCAATAATCGAGATACGATGAGCTTGACGAAAAGGTAGCAATAAGAAGTCACATTCCCAAAGTCACAGACCAAGCAGCACGACAACAGAGCAACGGAGAAGCGACGATGAGGCGTTTGCAGCTGCAACTGGGGAACAAACAGCGGATTATCTTTGTTCCTCCACCACGTGATGTGTCATCCTAATCGGGTAATCTGCTTTCACTCTAAGCTCGCACATGGCATAGAAAGAACTTTTCGATATGACTAGTTTTATCCTAAAAAGAGAGGCTAAGTGTAGTATCCGTAGAATGAAGTTCCATCCTTGTGTCGTGCTGCCTTTAAAGTAAGTGTATGGAAGTAGTCACAGCTAACGCGACTAATGTTATAGATCCAAGATTCCATGATAAATAGCCGTCAAAGGCACCTTGGGTAGTTGAGGCGTTGATTTGAAACGGCAAGCAAAGAGAACATAACAACCTGGGAGGTGCTTCCTCTTTTCCCCATCAATGGCTACCAATTTGGGTGGCCACTTGCCAGAAGCCACACTACAGAGCTTCTCCACTTCCATGTGCGAATTTGGCTTTAGATAAATCAAGTTCCTGCGGCACTACTCACAATCTGTATATACTTTCACCGAGGTCTTTTACTTGAGCTCCCACTTTCCATCATCCGACACAATCTCCACGGGTCTCCGTTCATCCAATGACTTGCGGCCAGCATCCAAAATAGCCGTAGTGGCAATTGTGTTCCGCAGAGTGGGAAGGGGACGAGCATCCAGTTGATCGAGAGTCAATCGGCCTTCGTTGACGGCCGTCACGGCGTCGATGAACTTCTCGAAGCTGATGTAACCGTACCCGGTTTGGCCACCGAAGTTGCCTTCTTCGTCGGGGGCGTAGCGCATGTAGAAGCTGAGGTCATTATAAGCGTTCGTCTTTTCAAGCGACATTTCATTTCACTCACGGGTTCACCCAGATCAGTCCCTGCTCGTCGGTGGTCACATCATAGGAGCGCTTGGCCTGGTTAACGCGGATTTCGCCATTGGCAGCCATATCTGTTTCCAAATTTAGTCCAACACTCATTCTTCCGATTGGGTCCCAAAACCTACAGTGGAAGTATTGATTCGAGTGCACGCCGGCATTCTGCGGCGCGGTCCAGCTGGCAGTATAAACACCTGTAGCAATCTTCGCAGGATCATCCTTGCGGCGCCACTCCACGAGAAGAGTGATAGTATCTTCCGTCTCAGGAACACAGCCCAGAGCGGCTGCGGTACCCTGCGAAGCGGTGGCCGTGACCCGCACGGGCTTATAGTCCGGAACCATACTCTCGCAGACATCAATGTGGTGCGAGTTGAGATAATACGAGATATCTGAGTCACGGCCCGCCCAGGCCTTGAAAGTCTCAAGCTGGCTCTTGGGCTGACTCATATAGCTGTAGAAATAGTTGAAGTCGCCGAGGGTCTTGGCCTTGGCGCGGGCATCTGAGTATGCCGGATCGAAGCGCTTGTGGTGCTCGATGAAGACGAAAACGCCATGTTTGCGCGCAGCGTCGACCAACGCGAGGTGGTGTTCTAAGCGCTGGGTCGCAGGCTTAGTGATCAAAACGTGGTGGCCGCGCTCAATAGCGTACAACGCAATTGGGTAGTGGGTGGAGTCGGGAGTGAAGATGGTGATTGCGGAGCCCTTTGGCAGAGCGTCAATAGCCGTCTTGTAGGCATCTGGGTCGGTCTGGTCATCGGCGGGAAAAGAGGTGAACGAAGTGTCGAGGCCGTTGTACACTTGGCAGATATTACGGTGCAAGTGGTCGCCTGTGATCTTCTGTTAGCCCAATTGTTCTATTGATTCCTCAGAGATGCTCCTCACGAATGCCCGGGAACTTCTTGCCCGAAACGCCGACCATGCTCAGGTCGCCCACTTTGCCTCGGCGGCGCAGGTCGAACAGAGATAGACCGACCACGCCGACCTTCTTGTCTGAACCGGAAGCACCTCCACCGACGAAGCCGGTAGTATACTCGCCGGTGCCAACCTATTTGCGATTAGTACGCGTACGCGACGGGAGCTCGTCAGGCTTACCATCAATACGCTAGGAGGTGCCATGATGTATATTTGTCAAAGAAGAGGATGACAAAAAAAATTTGAGGGGTATGAAGAGAATTAAAGAGGAAATGAGGGATATAATAGGGAAACTTGGGTCTCGTAGTGGAGGTAATTCTTCCGGCGTTTGAAAAACGTCAATAGCCGACCTCGTCATATCTTATCGGTGCGGGGTGGCTATTGGATCCATTGATGCGATTTCTGGTAATTTTCCTTGGATATTCCCTTTGCACTACAGAATCATGAAAGGTGTTCAAAGCTTGAGCTTTGCTGACATGTCTACACTTGTTCGCCGACTGCAGTTATGTCTGCGCAACATGATTTACCCTGACGAGGCCATGTTACGCGCCCCTCCTCCACGAAATGTCACCCCACATTCGCTCTGTATACTCTGGTTGGTGGAATCTATTTATCCGCCAAAGAGATCGCATCGGGCGATTTGCCGACATGGGGAGGAGCATAGAGGGTTGGTTAAATAAAACCAGACCAGCTGGCTTCCTGATTTCTCTAAATTTACATAAATTTGTGAGTTAACATCCCACTCATTTGTGGCTTCCCAGCTCTTAGCTCCCAAAATTAACATTCTACAGCATCATGTCGCCCACTCCTCTCCGTCCCGGCGTTTATGCGCCAACTATGACCTTCTTCGATCCCAGCACTGAAAACCTCGATGTTGCCTCAATCCGTCGCCATGCTGTGCGCTTAGCCAAAGCGGGTCTGGTCGGTCTCGTCACCATGGGCTCTAACGGTGAGGCCGTGCACTTGACGCGCCAGGAGCGCGCAACCGTCACACGGGAGACCCGCTCTGCTCTCGATGAGGCCGGCTTTACGGATGTGCCAGTCATCTCTGGTGCCAGCGAGAACAGTATTCGCGGCACCATTGAGCTGTGTCAGGAAGTTGCCGCAGCCGGCGGCGAGTATGCTCTGATCGTGCCGCCCAGCTACTACCGTGCCGCTGTCGGCAACGACGAGACTCTATACGAGTACTTCACTGCTGTGGCTGATGGCTCTCCCATTCCTATTATCCTTTATAACTACCCCGGCGCCGTCGCTGGAATCGATATGGACTCTGATCTCATCATCCGCATCTCCCAGCACCCCAACATTGTCGGCACCAAGTTCACCTGCGCCAACACCGGCAAGCTGACTCGTGTCGCAAGTGCCCTTGGCGCCATCACGCCCCCCTCCCCTCTGGCCCCCGCCCAGCGCGCCGCTCCCACCGTGTCCAAGCCAGACGCCAAGCACCCCTACGTTGCCTTTGGCGGTATCGCTGACTTCAGCATCCAGACTCTTGTCTCTGGTGGATCCGCGATTCTAGCCGGTGGTGCCAATGTCGTCCCCGTCTGTGCGTTCGTATTTTCAACCTTTGGTCCGAAGGCAAGCTTGCCGAGGCCATGCAGGCCCAGCAGCAGCTCAGCGATGCCGACTGGGTGCTCACCAAGGCCGCCATTCCCGGCACCAAGTCCGCTATTCAGTCTTACTACGGCTACGGCGGATATCCTCGTCGACCCCTGGCCCGTCTTAGTGATGCCCAGGCTCAAACGATCGCCGACAAGATTAAGGGCGCATTGGAAGTTGAATTGTCGCTGCCTGACGTGGCGTAATCATGATTGTGGAAAGAATGTAAATGCACAGTGGAATACTACGTTGTAAATGATCAAGTCATGACTGTAATTGCTTCCTTGTCACCTACAATTGCAATTCCCTCTAGAGGTAAGCCATCGTCAGACCAGCATGAGCCCTAAGTTTAAGCCCTATGAACTGGACATATGCGTTTTCTTATCTTTTATCGTCGATAAGAGGGTCCGCGGAAGCTAGTTTCTCCTGGGCGTTTTATAGGCGGAAAAATAGACGATCGGAGTTGATACGAGCCTGGCACTGTTGAACAATGCAACAGCAAGAAGTATGCCGCTTGAGTGCGCATTGGAGATCGCATGAGGTCATGTAGACACCCTTCATCTCTTGCACCCATCGCTGATTCAATTCTACCATGCGTGATTTCTTGTGCGAGAATCTCAGGCATTGATTTCCAGAGCTGAATTAGTAGTTTGAGGGGTGGAGCCCACCTCACGGTGACAAGTCCGATTTGTGGGGGTCACGGCACCTTGAGCCCAAAGCATATTTACGAGTCGGTTTAATGTATATGCCGCCCTTGGTGGAGGAGACAGCTTTTCTGTTAGATTCTCTTGATATGCCCCTCCTGCCCCCCCACACGCTACGGAATTTCTTGTTTCTTGAGTTGATTTAAAAATCGCTGTTTCCCCAATTCCGCGGAATAAAATCTACCTTTCTGCCCATTCACTTGACTATTCCTTGAAACAATGCCTTACCCCGAGGAAGCTGAGGGTTTCCAGGTCGATGGACCAGAAACTTTTACCCAATTTCACAAGCGCTTCGTGAGTTGAATGCAGCTAATCCACGAGCTTGACTAATCTGTGGTTTCGGGTCCGTAGTACAAGTTGAAGCCGTTTGGTGACTATGGTACGTTGAGTCCTATTCCGCTACTTCTCGATCAGTCCTGACCAAGGTTGTACACAGACGTGGACATCAAGATTGAGGCATGCGGTGTCTGCGGAAGTGACGTGCACACTATCAGCGGTAGGTAATTCGCCAAAGAGCCAGCATGACCTCAGCTCACAAATGTCTTTCAGGTGGATGGGGATCCCAGAAGTTTCCTCTGTGCGTGGGACACGGTAAGCACTCCGACATTTTTAAAACAAATGATCAATCGCTAACGAATTCACAGAAATTATCGGCCGTGCCATTCGCGTCGGTCCGAAGGTCACCCTCATCAAGGAGGGACAGCGCGTCGGCGTCGGCGCCCAGTCATACTCCTGTGGTGAGTGCAAGCAGTGTCTGAACGACAATGAAACCTACTGCCCTGTGCAGATGATGGATACCTACGGATCGGAGTGGCCTGAGACTGGGATCATCAGCCAGGGCGGATACTCATCGCATGTGCGCACACACGAGCATTGGGTGTTCCCCATTCCCGAAGCTCTGTCTACCAACACCGTGGCACCGATGCTATGCGCCGGTCTCACTGCGTACTCGCCGCTTGTGCGAAACGGTGCCGGGCCGGGCAAGAAGGTTGGCATCGTTGGGCTGGGTGGTATCGGACACTTTGGTATCATGTTTGCCAAAGCTCTTGGGGCTGAGACGTGGGCTATCTCACGTTCCAGGGCTAAAGAGGCCGATGCTCTGAAATTGGGTGCCGATGGGTATATTGCTACTGCCGAGGAAGGGTGGGAGGAGCCCCATAAGTTCTCGTTTGATTTAATTATCAATTGTGCGAACTCGTCGGAGGGCTTTGATCTTGCGCGTTACCTGTCTATGATGGATGTGCATGGTCGATGGGTCAGTGTCGGTCTGCCTGAGGAGGACGGTCAGATTATTAAGGCCCAGAACTTGATTTCTAATGGTGTGCTTATTGGGGCTAGTCACTTGGGCAGCCGTCGGGAGATGCTGCAGATGTTGCAGTTGGCGGCGGATAAAGGGCTGAAGGGGTGGGTGGAGGAGATCCCGATTGGCGAGGAGGGCCTGAAGGAGGCTATGCTTCGGATGAAGAAGGGTGACGTGCGCTATCGCTTTACTCTGACCGGATATGAGAAGGTTTTTGGTTAAACAGCCTCGGAGTGGAATGTTAGGTGTTTCTGAGACAGGAGTGGCCGAGGAGTTCTGATGATGTATAACGTGGGTGTGTGGAGCCGCTTTATCAGGGCATTTGATTTTTGCGATACCAATATGAAAATTAGACAACGATTAGTATGATCTCTATCTACGTCCAGCTTACACCTTCAATTGCGTACTTCTATGTCCATTGGTCTACATTGGGCAGATCTGAGATACTCTACCGCCGTACCTTTGCACCGCAATCTGTTCTATTGATCCATGCCAGTAGACTGTAATGCAGTACGTTCTTTTCGTGGTCAAGAGTTGTATTCTATTGTCATGGACCTTAAATACAACATTGTTTAAAGTGGAGCGACCCACTTCCCTTGAAGCATGAAGCACGAACCGGATCGGCGGCATCTTGAATTTTGGATTTATCGCGTTAGATCCGTCCTGAAAAAAGCCTTGAAACCCCTACTTTACCCGAATGACAGCAGAGTTCCGAGGTGAAATGGAACCCTGGAACTTGAAGGCTGAATCGCCACCCGACGGTACAAACTCGATAGTACTCGGTACTTTCCCACGCGGTTGTGCAGCATAGTCAGTGCGGTAGCAGTACTCCGCACGGGCGTAAATGCCCCAGAAGTCGCCCCCGGATGCTGGAAAAACTTAGATTCTTGCAGGAAGAAAAAGATAAGTACAGGTACGTCAGGATACTGCATTAAGACCGAAAAGTTACAAGTATTCTATACTTCAAGGCCAACCTCCGGACATAATCGATTCACCGCCCGACTCTCAGGCCCGCCCATTCTTTGGACTTAGGGATTCCTCCTCCCTTTTCTCTCCTTGCGCATCTTCCTTCTGATTTTTTTTTGGTTTCCTTGCTCATTCTTTCTCTCATATCGTTTTCTCGGTGTTGTTCTTGGTCCCTATCTTTGGTTTCATTCATCGTTTAGAGCCACTTCCCTGAGACGCCCTTTTAAAACTTGCATCTCACGCCTTACCCATAGACAAGGGACCCGAAAAAGTCCAATCGTTTCATTCACATAAACAGCCCGTGTCAGCGGAGCACCAAGCACGACTGCGCATCAAATAACATCGCAATCGAAGTCGCCATTCATTCACTCTTGTTATTCGCACGGTGATCATCGTTATGTCGCCACGTGAGAACTCCGGCGGCCTCTCTGTGCGACGTTGTCCCTCGCTCTCTCTGCGCCCTCGTGCCAAGACTACTGCGTCCTCAGCGGCATTACCAAAAAACAACGCACATGCACAGTGGCAAAATGCCTCCCTGGCGGGGGTTTCGGACGAGTATAATGCCTTGACGGTGGATGATACGGAGTTGTTTCAAGAGGATGTGCCTCGACGCCGTGCGGCTAAGAGCTTCTCGAGTCTACGTCATCCAATGGAAGGTCTAGTGGCTCTGGGCCGTCGCCTCTCTGTGTCAGTTCGCAACAAGTCCTCGAAGCAAAGCTTACAGGTCCCTGAACTTGAAGATGACAGCGAGTGCAGTTGCGAAAGTGGCTACTATCACTATGCTGTGGCCCACGGCTCGAATCACAAGCGCAATGCCGATCCTGGAAGCTGGGCACCTAGATCCCGCGCCTGGTCTAATGGCATCAGCATCAACCGCCGTCCCTCGCTCAACAGTGTATCTGCCTTGCATAGCTTCTATGCGCCAAGTTCTTCAAGCCCAGTACCCATTCCGGGAAATGGGCTTGCACCTCCGATTTTCCCGAATGATAAGTTCGCCGGATCGGCTGCGCGCGCCGCCGCTGCCGCGCAGAATGAAGCAGCCAGGCTGGAATTGGCCAAAACGGAGCGGGATCTCCAGCAACCCGACGCGAAAGTCACACAGGATTCTGAGAGTGGTATCGGAATTAACCTGCGTGACCCCTCCGGGCAATCTTATTTGACCTGTGTGCACATTGGTAAGAACGACAAAGTCGAAAGAATTTTGAGTCAGCCATTGATATCGACTACAGACCCAGTTTCCTACCTCCCTGCCGAGATCTCGGCTCACATTCTTTCATATTTGGACCCAGCGTCTCTCATGGACTCCGAATCTGTGTCGAAGGCCTGGCATCTGCAGGCTTCTTCGCCCCATGTTTGGAAGCATGTCTTCCATGGTGCATACCCTCGACGCCCGGCCAGATCCGCTTCAACCAAGAAGACGTTGTCTGTCGGTTCGGGGAAGTCAATTCCCAACCAGGACTGGAAGAAGATGTTCCTCGTCCGGCGATCTCTCGAGCAACGCTGGAAACAAGGCAAGGCCGCGGCCATCTATCTTCACGGACACACAGACAGCGTTTACTGTGCACAATTTGATGAGTACAAAATTATTACTGGCTCGCGTGATCGCACCATACGTGTGTGGGACGCCCACTACCCGTGGTCCTGCCAAAAGATTATTGGCCCTCCCACGGGCGACGTGACTATCAACGGACCGGTAAATAACCCGGCACAGCAGGCCACAGGCAAGTCTCCCTTTGCAACTATTTGCCCACCATCGACTCCATCTGCCGGGATCGTTGCTCCGATGGTGCACCCGTCAAATTATCATAGCGCCTCAGTTCTTTGCTTGAAGTTTGATGAAGAAATCATGGTCACTGGGTCTTCAGACTTTAGCTGCATCGTGTGGGATATCAAGAAAGACTATCAACCAATTCATCGTCTCATCGGCCATAGTGCCGGTGTGCTGGATGTCTGTTTCGACGATCGGTACATTGTATCCTGCTCGAAAGATACTTCCATCTGCGTGTGGGACCGCAGGACCGGTGCACTCCTTAAGCAGCTATCTGGCCACCACGGACCTGTGAATGCTGTGCAACTACGTGGTGACCTCGTGGTGTCAGCTGGTGGCGATGGTGTAGCCAAACTCTGGAACGTCATCACAGGTCAGTGCGTCAAGGAGTTTATCAGTAAGGACCGTGGTCTTGCGTGTGTTGAGTTCAGTGATGATGGTCGAACCATTTTGACCGGTGGCAATGATAAGATTATCTATCAGTTCGATGCCAACACCGGTGAGCTGGTCCGTGAGATCCGTGCCCATTCGTCCCTGATCCGGTCGCTTCACCTTGACAGCATGAACAAGCGTATCGTCAGTGGAAGTTACGATATGAGTGTCAAGGTATTTGACGCCGACACTGGTGAATTATCTATTGATCTGCCTGGTTGGACCACCAGCTGGATGCTGAATGTCCAGTCAGACTATCGGCGGATCTTGGCGACTAGCCAAGACTCGCGGGCCGTCATTATGGATTTCGGCTACGGACTAGATGGGATTGAATTGTTGGAGGAGTAAACTTGCTGCACAAGTCTCGTAATTTTGTTTCTTCAATTAGCGTTGATTTAAATATTCATGCCGGCATGGTCTTTGAGGAGTTGGAAACATATGGGGAATGCAACCATGGGTACTGGGCAGAAGAAGTGACTATAGAATATCTTACTCATTTGTTTATAGCGATACACATGCAGTCTACCAGCTTTGAATGAGATGATAGTCCAAAGACCAGAAAATACCTTATAATATGCCTGAGGCAAAAGATTACTTAATCCCCCGTGATTGGCTGCCGTGATTCTTAGCGCCGCCAATGATCCGTGGATTTTAGCATCAAAACAAACCACCGTTGTTTTTCATCAACAGAGACAGGCAAACCCCAGCGAGGAGGCCCTGATCTTTCACGATTTTGTTTTCTGTCGACCCCTTGTCAAATTTTGTCTCTCCATTTCCCCATCTCTCCCTTCAGCGTTCCGATTGCGACTATCACTACCCCACCATGGGTGAATCTAGGTTGGTTTCCCCCCCCCCCTAAACCAACAATCGACCTCTGGACAACATGGAAATCAGCTAACCCTGGATCTGCTACAGGCAAGAGCTGCTGGCATGGCTGAACAACCTGCTGCAGCTGAACATCACTAAGATCGAGCAGTGTGGAACCGGGTATGACGAATCGGCCACCCCTCCCCCTCCACCCCTAGATGCGGTACACGTCGGATATGCGAGAGGAACAATGGGCTGACATGAGTCTCGGTGGAATCAAACAGTGCTGCGTTATGTCAGATCTTTGACTCCATTTTCAGTGAGTGCGGTCTTTGATCGTGGGCGCTCCGAGGAGCGGTCAAGCCGTCCGAGATTTTGCGAAGGCATATACTGATGCGAATGATCTTTTGTTTTCTAGTGGATGTGCCCATGTCCCGGGTTAAGTTCAACGTCAACAGCGAATATGCTTACCTCCAAAACTTCAAGGTCCTCCAGAGTACGTTTCGACAATAACTCACCATCACCGTCCAAGTCCTCGTGCCAATCAACCTTCTAACATACGACTCGTTCCAGACGTCTTCACCAAGCACGCTGTCGAGAAGCCCATCCCTGTTCAGTCCCTGAGCAAGTGCCGCATGCAGGACAACCTCGAGTTTCTCCAGTGGACCAAGCGATACTGGGACCAGCACTACCCCGGCGGTGAGTACGACGCCGTCGGCCGCCGTAAAGCATCTGGCGCCCCCGCCGGCGCCCCCGCTGCGCGTACTGTCTCGGCTGGTTCGCGACGCGGCGTGACCCCTACTACTGGTGGTACCGCCCGACCTCGGGTTGCCGCCGCGCCGACCAGCGCTGCCACCGCGGCTCTGCAGCAGGAGATTTCGACACAGAAAGAAGCCATTGCTGGACTCGAGAAGGAGCGCGACTTCTACTTTGCCAAACTGCGCGATATCGAGTTGCTGCTGCAGAGCGCCATTGAAGCAGATCCCGAGTTGGAGAAGGAGGAGGATACTCTTGTTAAGCACATCCAGGGCATTTTGTACTCAACTGAAGTAAGTTTCATCCGAGAACGTAACTCGGGCCGATGACATTGCTAATGGAATCTTAGGATGGATTTGAGATCCCCGCGGAGGGTGAGGAGGTCGTGGGTGACGACCTGGAGACGTTCTGAGCGGAACGTGATCGGGCCCGAACACGAGAAGCGTCTCATTACTAAATACCCCATGAGATGTGGAAGCGTAGATAGTGAATTACACGCCCATATGGGAATCATGGTTTGTGATATGTTTTAGTACAGTAGCGAAACATACCACAAACCTAGAGTGACTATGACTATGACTATGACTGTGACCATGACTCTGAATCTTACCTAATATCTCAGGCTCGTGTACGTCTAACAATAGTGCCAGACAGGAATAGTGCCGTTCCCTTGCGGGAGGGCGATAATTAAACCTGCAGCGCGCTAGTTTGGGCCAGACTCAAGCGGGACCCACCCGTCATTGATCCCAGGGTTTGGTTCGTCAAATACCATGCGTACCTGCATCACCGCTAGTCCCAATATGGAACCGGCGTTGGACGCTGCGAGGAGATGAAGTGTGCGTTTCCAGCAAAAAAACAATAACAACATGACGATTCAATGGATGCCCCGGTTCAAAGAAGAGGTCTACTCATGTCAACCCTTTTCACCCGTCTGCCCCGGGGAGGTAATCACACCAACAAGCCAGGAAGAAGAAAGAAAACGTTCTCGGCCCCGGCCCCGGGACTAGTTCGTCACCCACGCGGGTCGTCTTGGCTTCGATTAGGGGAGTCTGGGTCCCGTCGCTCCACCATTTCGCTTTTTCATTTTCCCAAGTGTCGGCCGAGCTCACCAGGTAGCATATCTGTGTCTCTCAGACCCAGACTCAGACCTCGCAGTGTCACCCCTCAACGTGCCCGCTGGTACCCCGGGTCCCAATATCACCCGTCTCGCTCGTCTCGCTTCGTTCGGGGGGTCTAGTCGACACTATGGATTAAAGGCAACGACCTGGCCTCTAATTTAACTGCCACTCCTTCTGTCTTCTCGTTCTTTTCCCGGTGGGTTGCCTGTTCCTTCCATCTGACGGGGATGTACCAATATCCGCCCCAGACCAATCAATTGAGAAATCCCATCGCTGACCGGACAAATCAATACCTTAGGCCATTCAGATCTGCGCTGAATGCCCTTCATTCATTACTGATTCTCTCGTCGGCGACATAGGCCGCTGATATCCACTCCTTTTTCTTTCGCCCACAGTCTCTCCTCTTGGGGGGCCTCAGCCAGCGTCATTCGTTTCTGCGGAACCCGCGGATAAGTCTCTGCTTTCCATTTGCACGAAAGACTTCAAGATTGACAATTATTCGCCCATCGTGCAGCTGGTCGATTCAGCTCCGACTCGAGTGAGAGTTCACGATCTTCCTCCGTTGAAATCAACTTTATCTGTCTGGGGCACACCCCCACGATCTTCAAAATGGCGCATCATGGACATAGTCACCTACGCCACAAGCGGATGAGCAAGCTCATCCAAGCCAGGCACCATGTCGAGGAACAGGAAGCAGCAAATGCGGATAGAGAAGACTCCAACGCCAAGATCCTCCGGGCTGTGAATATACTTGAAACCCCCAGTTCTTCAACTTCTGAATTGGTCCCGAATAATGCCTGCAATCCGTTACAAGATTTAACTTGCCTCGAAGATACCGCCGAGACACAAGCCGGATCACTTTTTAAACGACAAGAGGCTGACTCACCCTCAACCAAGGTGGTTGAGACCATCTTGCATTTGGTGGATCAGAATTCCCACACCCTTTGGGTGTCCACGGCGCCTGGTTTTCCGATGACCGTTTCAAACCCTGCGTTTGGCGCTTTCACCTTCACTGCCAGTGAAACGGCATCAGCAGAGCTGTCCTTGTCGACCGCTCCCACAAACTTACTCGCTACCCCGCCGGCAAACTCGACAACTCAGACTACACCGCCACCTACGGTCAAGCAGACCCAAACAGCGCCAATCTCTTCGCAGAAGATCTCTTTGCTAGCCGGCACTTCAATTCCGTATACATCGACTCCACTGTTTGAGCCAGCACCGTCTGCGACTCCAAATTCTACAACCATTTTACCGACGTCGACATCTGCTTCCTATGCGGATGGTGGTTACGATACTTGGTATTCTAGTTCCAGCTCTTTTGAGGTCCCATATTCCAGCATCACACCGTGTGCTTCAACGAGTGCCTCGTGGGATTCCGAAGAGACTAGCGCCGGTCTTAGTATCAGTACCAGTACCGGTACCAGTGTCGGTGGTGGAGCGGAGACATTTACGGGGAATTCCCAACCTACTTCATCCTCAGGGTCAGGATCAGGACCAGGACCGACCCAGGATGCCAGTACGCCTAAGATCGTGGGCGGTGTCGTAGGAAGTGTTGCAGGTCTCGCCGTTATCTTCCTTCTTTTATTTTATCTTTTCCGCCGTCGAAAGTTCTTACAACAGCAGAGTGCCCAAGGTCTTCCATCCAGTGATGCCGGAACACGCGGCATATCCGAACGGACTTTGAGCAACGACAACGATCCTTTGTTCTCGGCATCTTATTTAGCACCCGCCTTTATGAAACGTTGGCGCACTTCGACTATGACCACCGCAACCGAGAGTACCATATCATCGTCTGGCACGAGCGAGCGAGGATTCCAGAAGCTTTCCGGTCGCAAGATCCCTCCTGTCCTCACTCACGGAGGCGACGGGTACGGCGGTGGCTTAGATGGCGACTCTCCTACTCTTCCTGGCTTCTCCCCCATATCTCCTAGCGGGGGGGCCACTGGTCTCCCCTTCGACGTATGGACCTCCTCCGGCATCACCATTCGGCATGCCGTTGGAAACCAATTTACGAGAGGCTGATGAGCATATCGCTCCCGTTCGACCCTCACCACTTCATCTTCCTGTCTCCAGCTCAGTCAATTTCGGCTCTCCAACTACCGTGAATCCCTCGCACCACTTGGCGCAGCCTCAGAGTGTCATGCCGAGTTTACCACCGCGGCCTGATGGGCTGGGCCGCAGTCTTCCGAGCCACGACGGAAGCAGAAGCAGCCGCTTCACGGAGGGCATTGATCTGTGAAATTGAATGTGCTTATTGCTACGGGATATGTGATATGATATAGGCAACGTGATACGGGACTTGGAGATCTGAGAGGTGGACCATGACCGATTCATCACGCTGATTTGCTTGCAGCGATTCGTCAGTTCTTTGTTCATTTTTCATTTGACCTCATTTTGTTCAATTGTTTTGCGATTCAAGGGATCTCAATGAGTCCCTGCCTGTCTTTGACATCTGTTTTTGTCTATTGTTTCCTTTAGATACCCCCTATTCCCTCCTCTTCTCCTCGTGAATAACTTTCTTTACTTTTCTACCTTCTTCTTGCTTTTTCGATCCGGCGGATTACCGTCTGTTGATGTGGTATGGTCATGAGCCAACTTTCCCATGGGTTGGCCTGGGTATCCCTTCATCTAAGATAATGAATAATAGTAGCCTGGAATCTTCTTATTCTGCACATGTCTGTAGCCTAGTGGGGCAGTGAGAGCACGTGGACTGTGTCTAGAGCTGAGTTGTATTATTTTACCGCAATTTCAACGCTAAGTTCTATTTTCAAGGCACGCAGATGAGCCCCAATGCTGCCTACGCTGTCTGAGAAGAGCACCATACGGACGTCACGTGGTACGTGATCTGTATCTGGCACCGCCACAGACGATCACTCGCCACATCACAGCCACATCAGATGGCAATTGCAATCCTGCCCATGAACAGGTGCAGTGATGATCGTAGATGCCACTGGCTGTTACAGCGGGTATGATGATCATATTTCCTGCAACATTTGCCAAAAGTGGTACTCCGCAGTACAGGATCGGTGTCATGACACAGACGGCTCTATTCGTACGCACGAAACGAAACACACCTCGTGCTTGCAACAGCCAGATCTCCACGTCATGCTATGCCATGACGTATCCGGGTGAATATTCACCTGCTTAACTGTCCGTTCAAAGGTGATGACACTCTTCAACCTGACACATAAAGTTAAGCGGGGGCATGCTGAAGCTCTATGGCGATTGGATAGCTATTGAGGCGCAGTCGGACCCATCTCCTCCACCCATGGACATGGCGGCAACTAAAACCACCCCATCACATCTAGACTGAGAACCATTGGGATCTCCGTCGGGCCCCGGCGCACCTGGCCGGGCGCCTCGCCAGTCTCAGACTGTTGCATGAGCCCGTCGGCGCCTAATTCCCATTTCACTGTCGTGTGCTATATCGTCGCCTCTCATCAAGGCTGTGTTGGATCTTGAAGACTCGAGCTGGGCATGGACTCCATATTCGCCTTTCTATACCTTGTCGAACGCTGTCTTCACCTTGGCGAAACCTACAGTTGTCGCCGTCGGGGCTGTGCTCTGCCAACGTAATATCTCGTCTAGGTCATCCTGGCGAGTTGCTTCGGCTCTATCTCTACTTCTTATCGAGCCCCTCACTTGTCCGTCTACTGCCTTGGGTGTGAAAATTTGCGCGAGCTTGGCATTCCCTTATCCCTTAGCTCGAGTTCAATACCGAGAGTTCTCCATTACTCGGCATTTTCTGGGCATTACACAGCCACGATAGAGGGTGATATCAAGCGTACACCCCATCATCCGCAGAATTTTCACAGGAACCCATTTCATAATTTACTTTTCATATACCTGGACGACACAAAATCGTCCATCCGGTGCAAAAATAAAAAAAGCACCATGGCCTCATCTAATAACCCATCCCAGGGCCCATTTCTTAGTCCCGTCGTCGTGACGAATCCAAGCGGAAGAGAGGTAAGTAAAACACCTAATTACCCGCAAGTATATTGGGCGTCAAATCTCAGATTAACTTCTCATCAGCGATCTCTATCTGTTTCATCAGCTGCCGCATCATCATCAGGGTCCAGCCCAACAGATAATGACCACAGTCCAACATCACCCACATCATCTTTATCGCCAGACATGGCCTGGAATCAAAATTCAACCCATCTGATGGTACATCATGGCTCGTATCGACCTGCATCGTCGATAGACGGCGAAACATTACGTCCGCGCTCAGACTCGTTTGCATCAACTGCGAACATGACAGTTCGCTCGCGGGCGAACTCGGAAGTTGATCCCTCTATCGTTTCCAAGTACGACGATGTCCCGCTGGCGGAGGCATTAAATCCAGACCCGCGCAACGAGGCGGACTTTCAAGTCGATGATAATCGCTTTGCCTTCTCGCCGGGCCAGTTGAACAAGATGCAAAACCCCAAGTCTTTGGCTGCATTCCATGCTCTGGGTGGGCTGCAGGGTCTTGAACGCGGCTTAAGAACTGATCTTCATGCTGGCTTGTCTGTCGACGAGGGCCGATTGGATGGGACTGTTGCTTTTCAGGAAGTGGCGCCACCCGTTTATAATAAGAGGCCGTCTATAAGCAAGCCGGCGCTGGATCACAATCCTGTAATGGCGTCGGCGACGGGTGGGGATTCCTTTGAAGATCGCATTCGCGTCTTCAGTGCGAATAAGCTGCCGGCGAGAAAATCGACTGGCTTTTTCAAGCTGTTCTGGATTGCTTATAATGACAAAATTATTATACTTTTGACTATTGCGGCTATAGTTTCGTTGTCGCTGGGTATTTATGAGACGGTTTCGGGAGGCACGGGTGTGGACTGGGTTGAAGGTGTGGCTATTTGTGTGGCAATCTTAATTGTTACCGTCGTGACTGCTGTCAATGATTGGCAGAAGGAACGACAATTTGCGAAATTGAACAAGCGGGTGAGTGATCTGACATCAGCGGTATTGATATATCACAACAGACTAACATCACTAGAATGATGACCGAGAGATAAAAGTCGTCCGCTCTGGCAAGTCTATGATGATATCCGTCTACGATATTCTAGTCGGCGACGTGCTTCACCTGGAGCCGGGTGATTCAATCCCTGCAGATGGCATCTTGATCTCAGGACACGGTGTCAAATGCGACGAATCATCCGCCACTGGCGAGTCTGATCAAATGAAAAAGATCGCTGGGCAGGAAGTATGGCTGCAGATTGTGGAGGGCCGGGCAACGAAGAAGCTCGATCCCTTTCTGATTTCCGGTAGCAAAGTTCTTGAAGGTGTCGGAACCTACCTTGTCACCAGTGTCGGGCCTTATTCGACATATGGTCGGATCATGATATCCTTGCAAACGACTAATGATCCCACGCCGCTCCAGGTGAAACTGGGAAAGTTGGCCGACTGGATTGGATATTTGGGTTCAGCGTAAGTCGAATTACATTACGCCTTGATTCCGTTCATACTAACGATGGTGTGCAGAGCTGCTATAATACTTTTCTTTGTCCTTTTGTTCCGCTTCATTGCCGATCTTCCGAATCATCCGAATGTTTCCCCTGCTGAGAAGGGTAAGGAATTTGTAGATATCTTGATTGTTGCGGTCACTGTCATCGTCGTGGCCATTCCAGAAGGTCTTCCATTGGCTGTTACACTTGCCTTGGCCTTTGCTACAACCCGCATGGTCAAGGAAAACAACCTTGTCCGTGTCCTTCGGGCTTGTGAGACAATGGGCAACGCAACTGTTATCTGCTCCGACAAAACAGGAACCCTGACACAAAACAAGATGACAGTGGTTGCCGGTACCTGGGGCTCGGATCAAAGCTTCAGCCAACCATCTGAGGGTGAGACTGGCACCGATGCCATGAGCATCTCAGAAGCCTTCCAGCGCTGCTCTGCTCCGGTATGCGACCTTATTACCAAAAGTGTTGCATTGAACTCTACTGCTTTTGAAGAAGATAAAGATGGTAGTAAGGAATACGTCGGAAGCAAGACTGAAGTTGCACTTCTTCAGCTAGCTAAGGATTACTTGGGAATGGATCTCGCTTTGGAGCGTGGCTCTGCCGAGATTGTCCAGCTTGTTCCCTTCGATTCTGCACGCAAATGTATGGGTGTTGTTTACCGTCACCCTGGTGTTGGATACCGCCTCTTGGTTAAGGGTGCAGCTGAAATGATGGTCGACGCCTGTTCTACTCTGATCACAGGGATCGACACGGCCAAGGAGTCCATCCACACTGAGGGCCTCTCCGACCAGGATAGACAGAAGATCCTGGGAACCATTGATCGATATGCTCAGGGGTCCCTCCGCACTATCGGAATGGTTTATGGCGACTTTGCATCATGGCCACCAAAGAATGCTAAGAAGCTGGAGGACGACCAATCTGCTGCCGACTTTGATGATGTCTTCCGCGACATGACTTGGCTGGGAGTCGTGGGCATTCAAGATCCTCTTCGCCCTGAGGTCCCCGCTGCCATTCGCAAGTGTCACTCGGCAGGAGTTCAGGTCAAGATGGTTACTGGGGATAACGTTGCCACCGCCACTGCCATCGCGACTTCTTGCGGCATCAAGACTGAAGATGGATTGGTCATGGAAGGTCCCAAGTTCCGACAACTGTCGAATGAGGATATGGATAAAGTCATTCCCCGTCTGCAAGTCCTGGCACGATCTTCGCCTGAGGATAAGCGCATTCTTGTGGAACGACTCAAGGCCCTTGGCGAGACTGTTGCTGTCACTGGTGATGGCACCAATGACGGCCCTGCCCTGCGGACCGCGGATGTTGGCTTCTCTATGGGTATTGCTGGTACCGAGGTTGCCAAGGAAGCAAGTTCAATCATCCTCCTGGATGATAACTTCCGTTCTATCGTCACTGCCATTTCTTGGGGACGTGCGGTCAATGATGCCGTGGCCAAGTTCCTACAGTTCCAGATCACCGTCAACATCACAGCTGTCACTTTGACTTTTGTGTCCTCTGTGTACAGCAGCTCAAATAGCAGTGTTTTGAATGCTGTGCAGCTGCTTTGGGTGAACCTGATCATGGACACATTCGCTGCTCTTGCACTGTACGTTACCCCCATGCTGCGATAGTATTCTCAACTGACAAGTTCACAGTGCTACCGATGCCCCGACAGAGAAGATCCTAGATAGAAAGCCCGTGCCAAAAAGCGCCTCACTTTTCACTATGACCATGTGGAAAATGATTCTCGGCCAGGCAGTCTATCAACTTGCTGTGACATTTATGCTTTATTTCGCAGGCGACCAATTGCTCGACGCACAACTCGACGCCAATGACGCAGCACTTCGATCAAAGCAGCTTTCAACCGTCGTCTTCAATACTTTCGTCTGGATGCAGATCTTCAACGAATTTAACAACCGCCGTCTGGACAACAAGTTCAATATTTTCGAAGGCATGCTCAAAAATTACTGGTTCATGGGCATCAACCTCATCATGATCGGCGGCCAAGTCATGATCGTGTATGTCGGCGGCCAGGCCTTTGGCGTGACTCGCATATCCGGTATCCTCTGGGCTGTTTGTTTAATCTGCGCACTAGGCTGTCTACCATGGGCTGTGGTCCTGCGCATGATCCCCGACCGCCACTTTGGCGTTGTGTTCAATGCGGTCGTTAACGGGATGAACTTCATATTGAATCCACTTTCTCGGGGCTTCAAGGCCCTTGTTCGTGGTATGAAGGCTCTCTTCCGAACCCATGTCTCGATTTACTCGCCGGGTCATTCTCCGGAAAAACTCAAAATCCCTCGACACCCCTCTTGAATCATCCGAGACCCCCAATTCTCCTGTCTCGGATGAGGAAGCTCTCCCTTCCACGAAATTGGCTCACCTCGAGAGATCTGAGCGCCCCCGGACACCACCCACTATTGTGGTGCCTCCTATTACTGTTACGACTTCTCCTTAGACTTTTTGTTTGTGTTATATAGCGATACCATTGGGTGGCTGGCGGTCAATTTTTTGTACCTAACAATACCTCGAAGGACAAGATCAAGAAGATCTTTGTACGACAAAACTTGTTCTCTAGTCGTTACGATGTTTGATAACTAGGGAAGGCCTTTCCAAAGTCTTTGAAATACTGGATCATGACTTATGTTAGTTCGATAGGACTAAGATGCCCCAACTAAATTTCATGCACCACTGCTAATTCCGCTGTAGTCCGGCCTCGGAGTATCTAATGCGGCCCCCACTAATGCACAGCCCCTGAAGAAAGTGTGATGTTTGAGCGCTCCTCTGCAAATCAGAAAATTTATCAGCAGAGACAGAAGGCTGTACAACTGCTTAATGGACTACCAGGCAATAACCCACCCAGCCAAAGGATCAGTCGAAAACAGTACCTGATAATGTGCATTGGAGAGCCGCCTACTTCAGCTCAGAAGGTCCTGGTAGGGCATTGCGATGGCATGATATCGGACAGAGATGTTCAGATAATTGCGACTAAATAGAATTGGCTCATTCTCCGTTCACGCATATGCGCCCGTGGTGGAAGCATTATACTCGTTAATGGCTTCATTGGAGGCATTTATAATTTGAAACCACCTTTCAGTCATGAGAATCCTAATATGATGCATTGACCAAGTTTGGGCTGTTTCGAGTACCCCCTTTTCCAGGTAGAAGAGTGTCAACCAAACGAACTCAACTGTTCAATGCTTGTTTGCACCTGTGGTAGATCTTCAAAGCTTGCAGGCAGTAGAAAGTAGGAATAAAACAAAGAAGTGATCCTTTGAATCTCCGGGTAGCATGGAATAAAGTCACAAGTTCGTGCTAATATAGCTGGCTTTAATTGGCTTTTTAAATTGTCTCTCAGACATGAGCTTTGATCTAGCCCTTGAAGAGATCGGAAAATTTTCAGATTGACTCGACGCAAAATCAAGGCTAGTGATGCAATGTGTCCGCAGATCCTGTTCCTCGGTCGAAAGCCACAGATCGTAGTTTGGAAGAATCACTTCAGCTCGATTTCATCATCCCCTTGCGTAGTGGAACCGGAGATCCGCGTGGTGACCAGTGATGGCTCCGGACGGGCGAGTGGGTTATACTTGAGGCCATCTTCATAAATACAATATATTGGACCTGGCAAGAGAGGCGGTTCACGTCGCCGATCCTTGCCTTGTGCCTTGCTGTCGTCAGAAAATATAGGTCTTCCTCCTTTCTCTCATCTGCTTTCTTCAATTCTACTGTCGTCCTATGTGCAATGGAGTCTTCTCAGGAGAGGGTAGTTTTGAAATCGCCTCCTTCGCATGAACCCAGCAAGATTCACTCGGTCATTGTTGACTCGGATCTGGAATACACTTCGGATGGGAAATTGATCCGCTGGTCGGCTTCAAACACAAAACATCCCAGGGATTGGTCAACATCACGGAAGAGTTTTGATAGTAGTGTGATTATCTTCCTTGAATTATTTACGTAGGTCTTTCCTTCACAGAACAGAACAAGAAATGGCTGACAACCGTGCGACAGAACCGCAATCAGTACAGCTGGTGTATGGAGTTGGACAGTCATTGTCTAAGTCGAAGCTAATGCGCGATCTATAGAACACCACGGCCGATCACGCTGCAGAAGAGTTTGGTATAGGGCGAACATTCTCCATCTTTCTCTTCGTCTCGCTGTCAGTACTACGCTCATGAAATCACACAGTACCGAGATGCTTCTACTTCCAACGCAGCTATCTGATCAGGCAATGTATTGGTGGTATTATCTTTCTATCCTACTCCGCTCCTCTGGCCGTAAAGGGCTCTACTTATCATCAGCACTTTGTTATACCGCGTCTGCTGCATCGTTACGGGTGTCGTTCCACACATTGCCGAGGTTGTAGTGGGCCGTTACTTCTCGGACTTGTTGTTGGCCATTCCGACCATTCTTAAGGCGGGAGCATTGAAGAGCGAATATGCGCAAAGTCACCGGTATCAGCACACTCAGAGCGTTGAATCTCGATCACAACCTGTTCGATGGACTCGGTGCGAACGTGGCAGCGTCGATACTGGCAGCAGTAGCAACAGTATGCTGCATCGTTCCCCCAAACGGCCAGATGATCCGCGCAAGGAGTCAGTTTGCAAGGTATGGCTTGGAGGTATATCGTGAGAATGGTTTGGACGTAGACGAATATTGAGCTCTTGAGGTTTACTGGCTACGACTCATGGAAGCCCTCAATAGGTTGAGAAGCGACTCAATATAACCTCCACATTTTGGAAGTTTCTTTGTAAGAATCTGAAAAGCTCGCAATCGGGCATTGACTACATAAACAAGCCAACAAGGGTGTTAATGGCTTGCTTGGACATGTCAACAATCAATGATTCTCATGATTTGAACCATTGAATTAAATTCAACTAACATTCAACAAGGAGACAATATTTATCTCAAGCCACCTGAGCTGCTTGCATAGGCTATTTGAGAATTCGAGTCATCGTAACTATAGAATGCATCAAACTATGGATCCATACTCCAGGCAGCGGAATGGGAGCATATGCCTTAGGCACCAAGACGCCGTTACCTCCCCGAGTGCGCAGCTCCGCCTCCATCTCTAGTCCCTATTGCAATCAACTGGTATCGCTTAGCTGGGCTGTGACCAAAGTGGAACAAGCTCCTCCCATCAATCCGCCTCTCTTGTATCTCTCGACCTCGGCCTCGCACCGCCCGCGATCCTCCCCCCATCCCCGATCTCCCCGCTTCCCTCCACCACACCGATACCCAACACGTCTCCTGGCAACCAACAAGCTTCGCCGACACGGTCATTGCTTTCAACTTTGAATTGAGCGTCCCTTCTTAAGCCAATTACCCTCTCATCGTTTCGTCCTGAACTATAACCCACACAAAACCGTCACCATGTCGCAAATCAACTATCGCACCATCAACGTCGACCAGCTCGACCCGGAGTCGTCGGTCAACTTCCCTATGGAAACCCTCCTTCCCGCTACGCTGCCCCAGCCCGAGACTTCGGCCGATGCCGCCAACATCGCGAACCAGGTGCGCCAGCTGCTGCGCGGCGGTGACGCCGAGGGCGCACTCCGAACCGCTCTTGACACAGCGCCGCTGGGCGGCGACGACCGCGCCAAGGAGGTCCACCTCGCTACTGTGATTGAGGTGCTCCAGGGAATTCGACAGGGCGACATGGCCCGTGTCCTGGAGGGAGTCTGTGGCGCAGATGGCGGGGCAGAGCGGGCAGACTGCTTGATGAAGTATATGTATGTGTGGCCATTGATACTGCGTTTTTCATGCTCGTAAGAGTATGCGCTAACTCCGTCCAGCTACAAGGGAATGTCGGTCTCTTCCGGCCCCAGTGGTGCTAAGTCTTCTGCCAAGTCGGTCTCCCCGCAGAGTACCGGTGGCTTCTCGCAAATCCAGGGCCGCAACTTGGGCGAGGGTGGTGGTGGCCAGCAGATGAGCGTCTTGCTCAACTGGCACGAGAAGCTAGTGGAGTTGGCAGGGACTGGATCGATTGTGCGTGTCATGACGGACCGCCGGACGGTTTGAGTGGAAGCATCAAAACGAGTCTGTATGTTTTCATTTGCCGGTTTGGTAGAGGCTTAATTGCATTTCATACATTTCAATTTTTTTGAACAATCTTCCTCGTGTGTTGCTTTCAGCGTAATGTTACAATTGTGATACTATGACATTATGGTGGGCACTGTCTATGGCCCCCTTTTGTTTTGCCGCAGCGTTTTATGGCTTCTCGAAGTCTCCACCACCCAAGATATCTTTCAAGTTGACATCGCCACTTCCACGCTGTAACGGCTGCGGCTGGTCCTTGCCTTCCTTCCATCCGATCATATAGATCATCCGGAATGTTGCAGGGATTCCGGGAGCATCCTCCTCCATATGCAAAGACCGGTAAATAGCCTCGTTGGCTAGCAGTACCTCTCGCGACAAGGGACCAGCTTCTCGGTGCAAAATAGCATTGCTCTCGCCCATGGCCTGCAGATCTTGCATCAGAGCAAAGGTATCCGGGAATTCCACAACAATGTCCTCGACGTCGACCGTAAGCATTTTGAACCCAGCACGGTTCAAGAGACTTCCCACGTCCTTCACATCAGCCAGCGGCGAGACATGCGGTGACACTCCGCCACGGCGCTCCATATCAGCCAGCTGCAACGATCCACGCAGCTCAAAGAGAGTATCACCACCAAACATTGCAGCAATGAACGGGCTGTCGGGCTTGAGAATAGTGTTTACCTGGTTGAGCAACGCGGGGAGATCGTTTACCCAGTGAATAGAAAGTGACGAGAGCACAGCATCAAAGCTGTTCGGCTCGTACGGCAGAGACTCCAGATCCGGAATTACGTCGCGAGTGATATCAATTTCCTTATTGAACGGCAATTCCTCATCTCGGTGCAACAATGCGCGCGATGTTTCCACGCATGTCAATTTCGTAATGCGCTCTGCCAGCGGCGGAGTTATCACGCCCTCTGGTGCCGCCATGTCGAGGTTCGGTGTCGTCAGCGCCCGTGCAATGTTGCAGCTGTTCGCGCCAAGGTCGAGCACATTGGGGAATTTGCGTTTAATGTCCTGGTCGCAAGCCAAGATCGAGTTAGCGTCTGGCTTCTTTGTCCGCTCAGAGCCGCAGCCCTTGTTTCGTCGCTTTCCTTACCAGCAAACGCTCACATAACCTCATTGCAACCTCGTCCTTCAAATAATCGACCTTTCGGCTCTGCTCGACGTTTTGAGCGGCCCGGTCTTTTTGCATGTGCTTCGTCTTGCGGTTGAAGACCTCCAGCATGGGGTTGCCGGGCGTCTGGCTGGCGTACGTCCGCGCGGAGGCTGCGGCCAAGGAGCGCCGGGGAAGGTTGGCGCGAATTGTGTGTAGAGAAAAACATGGTAGCCGACATGTAGATTACTGTTGATTGAGTATGAAGTTTAAAAGGGCCTAGGCCATGTTGCGGTGGTGGTCTGTGGAGTTGAAGATGAAGCTGAGGTCGAGTCCCAAATTTTGTTCTGACGTCGATTGTTGATGCGGCACCTCCGCAGCTCTCTCTCCGCGAATCGCGCACTTTTTTTTCGCTGCTCTGGAAGTTGGGGACTAACACGGTTCACTGCCTCTGGGCTGCTCGGTGTGAGCTTCTGTGCGCTTTTAACACATTCTTGGAATGCAATAGAGCCATTGACCCAGTGAGACCCTGGTACGTCGTCGTGCAGCAACGTGGACTCGATCCCCGCGATAGGCGGTTTGCCATACAAAAAGCTGGAAGTCGGCTGTTTCTCTACGTACTGATTCTCATATCAAGTCAAAGCGAGTTGCTTCCTCGTCCTTTGTTACGCGTCGCCGCCAGAGCTTGTCCGCCCCTATCTCTCATCGCTGAAGTACCCGCCGACGTGAAGCATGATTTGAAGGAATGAACAAATGTTGCAACCAAGCGCTATTTCGTCATAAATACCTTTGCTGAAACACAATGTCGCGCCCATTTCCCTACACATATATCTCATGCCCCTGCGCCGACACTCCTGTGGCCGATCCGGCCAGGAAGCGGAGGTCGAGGGGCACACCGCAGAAATCACCGAGCCCGGAGCAGCCAAATGTCGATCATGAAAACAAGATATCCGAGGAGGAAATAAATGAAGACGAAGACGAAGAGGAAGAAGAAGAGGAGCAGACCTTTGATCCTCGGGCGCCGCGTTCCAATTTCTCGCTCTATCCTCCCGAACAGCTCCTATACTGCGAGGACTGCCACCAGATCAAATGTCCTCGATGCATAACGGAAGAGATTGTAAGCTGGTACTGTCCAAACTGTCTATTCGAGACCCCAAGCAGTATGGTTAGGAGTGACGGTAACCGGTACGTGCTCAAAGTCTCGGTTCCTCTAGAGAAGATAAGACATGCTAACATGCCTAATGTCCAGCTGTGGCCGAAACTGCTTCAATTGCCCAAGTTGCACAGCTCCTCTGGCTGTGAGCACAATTGAAAATGTTGCAGGAGCTGGTAGCCAACAAGGCCCCTGGGTGCTCTCCTGCGGCTATTGCATGTGGACAACACTCGACATAGGAATTAAGTTCGACAAGCCGACCAACATTCGCACCCAGCTACAAAAGATGACCGACGCCACTGCTATCCCTTCGTATGACCGATCAAGGCAGGACTCGCGTACTTTTGGGGATTTGAAGTCCCCTTTGTCAAGCTATGCATCTATCGACGAGCAATCCGCTTCTCGCGAGGGCAGTAAAGAGCAGCCGGCAACAAATGAAGATTCGACATCCACGCCGAATCTCGGTGCAGATGCTCGGTTCGCAGCCTTGAAGGCATTCTACCGTACACAGATCTCCGAGACATCAACGTCGCCCGGTGATCCTCTCGGCTCAGACCTTGGATTCTCATCGCCCGGAGCCCTAAACCGACTTATGTCTCTGTATGCCTCTTCGTCTCGTTTGTCAGCGCTCTACGGTGGCAGCAAGAAACAAAAATCCAAGCCCCCAGTCATGCGCGAAGCTCTTACATCCAGCGAGGGTCTCCGCATTGCTCCAGAAAATGGCGACGCCGACGTGATTCAGCGCCTCGCATCCCGCGAATGCGGCTGGGACGGCGTCGCATCAATCGAACAGCGTAAGGACCAATCTCCCGACGTTCGATTCACTGATGACTTGATCCCACTGCCATGTCTGCTTCGTACCAAGCGTGCCAAACGTTGCAAGACTTGCAAGCACATCCTCGTGAAGCCAGAGACCAAGCCACAGTCTACTCGCTTCCGTATCCGTCTCATTGCTCTCAGCTACATTCCTCTCCCAACACTACGCCCTCTTGCACTTCCATCATCTTCTTCTATGATGTCTGCTCCGGTACCAGACCTCAATTCATTGCCTCCTCTTCGCCCGATTCATGTTCTGCTCACATTGAAGAACCACATGTTCGATCCTGTGCGCATCACGCTTGCTACGCCGTCAGTCACTCCGGGTCGTGTGGCCAGCAAAGTTACTGTTCTTTCGCCCCAATTCGACATTGGTGCTAACAGCGACGTATGGGATGAAGCATTGCAGGGTGCCTCGGCTCCTGTGACTGGTGATCCAAAACTCGCGACTCTCCGCGGAGTGCCAGAGGCCGGTAAGGTCTGGGACAAAGGCCGCAATTGGACGACAGTTGTATTAGAGGTCGTCCCGGAACACTTCCTGGCTCTGAAGCCGAGGCAGGTAACGAGACAACAGTCGAGGATGGCACATTGAATACCCAGCAGGATGAGGATGTTCTAGAAATCCCGGTATTTGTGCACATGGAATGGGATGCGGAAGCCCAACTCGAGCAACAAAATCTCGGAAAGGCATCGAAGCCAGATGACTTGGTGGCTCGGGAACTAGCCTACTGGATGGTGTTGGGCGTGGGGAGAATCCAGGCTTCTTTGTAGATGTGCGGACTTTTTTGTCTTGTTGATAATTCCTTTTCCATACCCCGGAGTGTAGCTAGTGTGTGACACATACATCAATGCAGTGAATTGCCTTGACATCTGATTCCAAGCTTTGGCATCGACAACACTTCGAGTCGATGACCTGGTAATTAGCTATACCCTACGAGGACAGGACATAGGTCAAATCTTAAGATCAAGCCGCAACCGTGTACGACTACCTCCAAGACTACGGTGGAGCAATTGAAAGTCGGAATTGTTCAATTGGAATATTTATCACATATCCCATCCCATCCTCATTAGAGAAACACGGCCCGGATGGAATTTTAGCTCCGTCACACCCCGGAAATTGAAAACCGGAGGGCAAACCATGCACAAGTCAATGGAAGAAAGGGCCACATAACTCAAAAAGAAACCCGTGAATGCATTTTTTTGGTCTTTCACCCGTCATGCTCCTCGAATCTAGTGGAGTTTCAGACCTAGAAACAAGTAACCCATCATACCAAGACATCCTTCCCACCGCAACTAGCAACAACACGAGCACATATTTAGAACTCGGCGCCGCTCTGGGGGAACTCGAAAGCGACGTTACGGCCGGTCAAACGACGGTAGACCTCGCCGTAGGCATCGAGGCGGTGGTCAACACCACCCTTCTCCTTCTCGTCAAGAATGACCTTGAGGGTCTTGGAGCCATCCTCCTTGGTGCGGACGCGCTTGCCAACAATCTCGACGGGGTAGACGAGGTCAGCGAGGATAGCGTCGTGGACAGCAGTCAGAGTGCGGGAACGGGGGCGCTTCTGAGTCTGGGAGGTGCGCGAGTTGACGGAGCGCTTGGGGCGGGGCAGGATGCGGCGCTGAGCAACGAAGAGAACGTGGCGGTCGGAGAACTTCTTCTCAAGCTCGCGGGTCAGGCTGTTGGGGAGGGTTCACGTTAGTTCCCACTGTGTCCATCTTCTTCACCATGGAGTACCACTCAGTGGTCGACATCATAATTTTTGTCACTTACCGCTGCTGGATCTTGTGGAAGCCCTGGAGGAGGGGAACGGGGACGAAGACAACGATGGCCTTCTTGCCGTGGCCGACCTCAACCTATTGTGCGATGTTAGAAGTCCAGTCTCGAAAATGTTGTGCGCGAACGATATGCACGAAAATCCAAACTCCTGGAACCGACGCCGAGAAATTTTGTGCTGGTGATCCTGTCATCTTTCCAATTGCCTTCGCGCCATAATTGCGTCCTAGAGCAAATGTAGCATGGAATTGACAGAATTCCACAATTCCCACAAATATTCAATTTTCGGCCCGACAGCACCATTGCACACACAAAATTCCTGCGACTCCGATCCTGGGACATCGATATGCGAAGCGATTGTAATTCTTACCTCGCGGGCAGAGACGAACTGCAGAGGACGAAGGGAAGCCTTCAGGTCCTGGGTGTTGCTCTCGAGATCGAAGAGAGCGCCAGCGATGGCGGTCTCGAGCTCGGAGGGGCTCTGCCGGGAGGGGGAGTTGAGGGCAATCTTGTTGATGGCGGCCATGATTGCGACGGGGCGGATGTGCTGGTTACAGGTGTCGACAGAGGGAGGTCTACTCTCATCGAGCGATGGGAATTTGCTGTGGGATCCACAACTTCGCTTAGGGTGACGCTTGTTCCCGATTAGGCCTAGGGTGGCTTGCTGCTGATTAAGTGAGGGTTGTTGGATCAGGTGATCTATGTCACGAGACCACGTTGTCCCCGCATCTGATTGGTTCGAACATTTACATTTCTGTCTAGATACTTGGAGAAGGCAAGAGGGATATAGCACAGGCTGTATGTCTCCCTAGGGAGCAGCACAGAACGAAAAGAAACATAGAAGCACAGACGCCTTCACCCGTGGAGAATTGCAAGGTAGGTGAATTTCAGAACAGCCCGATCAACAAGCGCAGCCCTCCTTGGCCGTCGCAGCATTTCGCTCACCCAGATTTACCCGAGAGTCTTCTCCAGAGCGTCCGCCGAGAGCAGTCTGTCCAGATCCGGCAGCACCCCGGCCAGTCTTGAGGCTGCTCTCGGGAATGGCGTTGGCAATTGCTGTGAACACATCCACCACGTTGGTACCGGTCTTGGCACTAGTTTCAAAAAACAACAAGCTCTCCTCTTCCGCATAGCTGTTGGCTTCACGAGTGAACACCTTTCGGGCATCACCAGGGGTGGCGTCCTCGGCCACCTCATTGGTGGTCTCATCTCCTTCGGCACCAACAGACTCGGTAACAGGCTCAGGGGCCGCGGAGGCATCGCCACCGTCATTGGTCAAGTCCAGCTTGTTACCAACAAGTGCAATGACAATCCCGGGGCTTGCCTGGCGCTGCAGTTCAGCGACCCAGTGTTTTGCTTTAGTCAGCGACGAAGGCTTTGTGACATCGTAGACGACAAGGGCGGCTTGGGCATTGCGGTAGTACATAGGGGCGAGCGACGCAAATCTTTCTTGGCCGGCGGTATCCCAGATCTCAAACTTGATCGTGCGTGTTGGGAGGGTACATTTCTGTGTCAGGAAGGCCGCTGGACGATAACGTTAGCCGGTCACTCCGAAGCAGCATGATAGCCATGGATTGTGCCTTCTCTGACTGATGCGCCAGCGCTATACCATCACAGAGAGAACGATAGGCTAACATCGGCGCAGCTAGTCTCGCGCTCGGGGTTAATGCGGTCATTAGGGGAGTCTTACCGCCGATGGTGGGCTCCTTGTTCTCCTGAAAATCGTTGTTGACGAATCGAAGCACAAGCGACGACTGTAAGCGAAGAACAAAGTGTCAGCTATTGGTTGCTGCTTGACGGATTGAGAAGAAGCATACCTTGCCCACTGCAGCTTCACCCAGCAACACGAGCTTGACGCTGCTGCTCGGCTTGGGTGCGTTGGCGCCTGCTGAGTCGGACATGATTTGAGACAGAACGTTGAATGTGGCGATTATAGAGATCTCAGGTCAGGCAGTCGTGCAGAATGCGACGCCTGTCAAACGATCGGGCGATCAGGCAGAAGGCTGAGCTGGCAAATTCAGCTGTGACTTAGCGTTGAGACAGGGCCCGGTAGGTATGATTTATTTTGAAACACAGTGAATGTGCCTCTAGAGTTTGTGGGGTGAGAGGAACCTGTCGATGCTCTAAAGCGTGTTTGGAGGGACTTGCGGTTCTCAAGCGGAGGTCGATGATGATGGCGGTGTTCCGTACGCGGTTTAGCGCGGATAGGAGGTTCCGGCAGTCACGGGATTCGGTCTATGCAAGTATGATGTACGATTCCATGATGGAATTGCAGTTGGCTTTTTTCTATTCCTCTTTCGATGCCTGAGTTGTTCTATATGAAGTGGCTCGGTCGAACAAAAATATCAAAATCGCCAACATTTGGATATTGGAAAGTTGTTGACAAGCTATGTTGCGCCGATGTATATAAAACAAATTGGTAGGGTTTAGCAGAATGTCTGAATCTCGTTCCACCACCTTGAACATTGTAATGATCATAGAGCCGATCATATGACAATCAGGCAATTACCAATGATGAAAATGGGAATATTCCGCGATGTTTTCGCTCGGCATCTATCTTTGCCAATCATAGCAGTGTGACCGATAGGCAGTGTACATTAGGATTCAGCCTCAAATTGGTTCCAAGAGTACCGAAACCTACTGCGAAAGCTCTCGGCCAAGTTGAGCTCAGATGCAGGTCACAGAATTTCCCTTCCTTTTGCTCCAGAACGTTGTCGAGTTTATGTCCAATGTAGGTATATTCAACATTCCGGGGCATCCAATACATACTCAATATCCCTTTCAACTTTCTAGAAACTGTCAATCGAGGAGGCTCCAAAAGGCTCGACCAATCGAGAACACCTGATACATCACGCAATGAAGGCAGGTAAAGAGGATATCGCGCCCGTATCTTGATTATTGTGTCTCGAGTATAGCCAACAAACTCCAAGCAGAGGAAAGTCTGACTATCTCCAGAACCACCTTTTATCACGAACTGCATGTAACTACTTCGTCCTTCAGAGTGTCTCGCTTATATACTCATCGGTGATATACTCATGTGATGGGTAGGGTCGCAGTATTATGTATCCCTGGCCAAGTTACCCGATTGAGTCACCTGCAACCCGACGCTGAGCTTCAGTGGCTTTCGCTCAGCGGCTACTATGCAACATCAGGACACCCCTGATAGAGTCTATATCTACCATAGATGAGTTGATGATCTATCTCAAGCAGAATTAAGCAGCAAAATGCAACAGCAGCTTCCTGAGTTCACATGCTGACTTGACTCCATTCCAAGGATGCCTCTAGATCGACCTACACGCTACTCAATAACGATACACCCCGTCGAGCGTCGATCATGCCGGGAACTTTTACCAGACGGCCAATCGATATGTAGCATTTGAACGACAAAACCCATTGACAAACCGGTGCAAATTGAATAGAACGTCACGCATAATGTGGCATCGCAGCTCGAAAATGTAGTATTGCTCTGTTTCTTTGTTGAAGCAGGAGATTGTCTCTGAAGGTACAGAACTGAATCCTTCCTGGCATGTTTGAGGTTGTAAAGTAGCACTTGAGACGACGAAATCAACACTGGAAGCTGCTTAAAGCAAAAGTACGTCGTAGCCTAGGAAAGAAATTGCAGACCACAATGGACCTCGGCAACACTCGGATCTGTAGCGATTTCTTTTCTTTATATGGACCCACCATACAAATACAAGTTCCTACACTAGCGGTCATGAAAGAGTCTAGACCTTCCTTGCATTCGAAACAAGGTGCGACCCACCATGACATACTGCTCTATGGACCGGCCCTAGGAACTGGTTGGGGGCCGAGCAGGAGACTACATTATCGCGAACACCACGAAATATCATCCCAGGCGGTCAAGACTAGTGCCCAAAATGTATGCGCGATGATTTCGGGCGCCAGCGAGGCCTCGTTCAGGCTCCCGAGCGCTTTACCGAAGTATTGTTCAGGATAACCAAAAAATCGGACTGACAGTTCCTGGCTTGACGGTCATCAAGCAAATCTGCCCGACGATCAACGCTTCCCGCCCAGGACAGCTGTCAAAGCCCGGGAAACGTGAGAGTCGATGTGCCGGGCATGTACGATGCGCAGGGAAAGGCGGGAGGAGTCTAGACCGAGGAACAAAAACAGGAAAAATTGATAGGCGCTTACGATCAAGTTGCGCGAGAATTAACTATACAGACATCAATTTCAAATACACATACAGAAATGCAGCAGCCCAAGAAGAGAAACAGAATCAGCAAAACGTGCTATTGACCGTGAGGTCGAAGGTCTAGGTTCATCTGGTATCAACCCATGCATTCCCATGCAAAAATATCCGTCCCATCTATGCCTTTTAACGCCGTGGGAGTAGTAACGAAATATCAATAAACAAAAAGGAAAAGTCAACAAAGAATAAAGGCACTTTTGAGATGTCGGACAGTTAAGATATCGGAAAGTTGTGTCGGAAGTGAGGTATTAGGTGTGGCGGAGTCAAAGGAGGTTGAGGTTTTCCGAGGAGGCAAAGCAAGGATGCGAAGACAACGAAACCAAGTCGAAGAAAAAATAAATCGACGCTGAAAATCCGAAAACCGATGCAAGCAGCATGAATTAAAAGGGTATAATAAGGTCGCACAAAGCCAGTGGCGAATGAACAGCAGATATGACCGAAAGAAATCGAGAGTGACAAAGTAAATAGTGATACAGGTGTCTGCATTGGATAGTCAGTTTTGCTGCCCAATATGATGCGTGGCATAGGGACTCACCGAAAGAGAGTGAACTCCAAAAAAAAAAAACGTAGAAGGCATCAAACGCCAGCATCCATGGGCGCCAGATTGAATTCAAAGCATTACCGCTGAGCGGAAAAAATGTGAAGATGGGTATCTCGAAGGTTGTTCATTTCGGAGGCGGCGGGGGAGCGCCAGGCTTCTTAACGCCAGTCGTGTCGTAGGCGCCGCGGCCCATGTTAAAAGCAGAAAGATCTCGCAGAATCATGTTGAGATCTGCGGAGAGAATCATTGTCAGGCAATGTTGGGGAACAGTAGAAGGCGTTGCGACGTAGAAATGGGAAGGGTGCGAAAGCTGCAAATGTGGCGTGCAGGATGAGGAATGGTGATGGGACGAAGAACTCACGGTAAACACCACGAACGATTCTTATATAGGATTTTGAACTCAGGGAATCGCTTGTCAAACGAGCTCCCAATCCACCCCCCGAATCGCAAAAATTGAAAGAAACTGGAAACGGTTCTAGACGAAGACGGGCGGCGCAGACAGACGCAGGTGCAGTCGAGATCGGAAAAGACGATCCTTTTTAAAAGATGACCGCTGGAACAATGCGGGCGCCAGCAGATAGTAGGGCAGGAATGTGATGACACAGTACCCGACAATTGAGAATGGCAGGCGTTGTTGAAGATTGATGCAGACAGGTCGCTTGTTGCTTTTTATTTGCTTGCCCCCAAGAGATCGCGAATCGGATTATCCCCCAATAAGAATAAATTCAAGAAGACAAGCAGAAGGGTGGCTGCAGGATCACGGCCATAAAATCGCGATCTGAACCAAGAAAACGGCTTAGAAGGGATATGGAGCTTGGACGGCAAGGGAGGCCCTGGAAAGGAGAAGTGCCGCGGAACTGTGGCCCGGTAGATCCGGTTGTAAATCAACGAACGTATCGCAAGGGAGAAAGGGAGAAGACAGGGCGGCAGGTAGGGAGGTTGAAAGTAGGGCGGGCGCTGTCAAGTATGTCCCGAAGAGAGTTAAATAAATAACGAAGAGAAGCACAAGGGGGGAGATGATTGCGTAGATATAGGATGCTCTAAACTGGCTTATGGCAAAATCGTCTAAGAATGATCTTCCTTCTTCCTTTTGGTTTTTTTCTTTTCTTTTCTTTTTTGGGAACAATACATCAATAAATCATAAATTACAAGAAAAAGACAACCCTTTTCTGAAAATTTTGATTTTTTGATTTTTTGATTTATTTTTTGATTTATTTTTTTAAAATTTAAATTAAATGCATTTTAGAAAAGAACCATAAGCTTGTGGAGGGTTCCATATTTCTTTGTTTAGCAGAGCGGCTCTCCCGTTCCTGGTCCCGGGGAACAGGAACGCGACTGCAGCGCCCCCTTTCTGCGTTTCTCCAACGTCTAGCTAAAGTAGTGTTGCAGTAGCGCCAGGTAGATCGGGGCTGATTTTTGCTATCAATCAAATCCAAACTATGATCGGTCACAAGTCGATCTTGGATGCATCGGACCCCTTGAAAAGAAATCCAAAAGTACCATGCAGTACCGAATCAATCAGATGAACGAGGAAGGAAAAAAGAACGCAAAGACATGAGCCGGACAGAGCTCTCCACTTGTGGAAGCTAGGAACCGAATCTCCGGCCATTGTGCATGGGTGGAGCAGGGGAAGACAGAAAAACAGCCGCAGGAACAGAAAACGGATCCATCCGAACTAGACTTTACGATAGACATACGACTCGCGTGGTCGGGCTCCATCGGACAAGATGGATCACTTCCTAACTGGAAGAGTACTAGCAACCCGAGGAGAGTTGGAAACTAGTCCTCTCAACCCTAATGCCAGGGGTCAATTATACCGAGAAACAGACTGGCAAGAAAAGAACCCCTGTAGCGCTGACATATGATGCCTAGGTACGAGGTATCACGTTCACCCCCTGGCCAACCTAACAGCTATGTATTTCCTATCGACAAGGTAATCAAGACCAAACATTCGGTCTCTCACGCGGCCCTCCGTGCAATGAACACATATCTGCCCCGTCAAGCCACGATTCGCTTCCCAACACTTTGACTGGGAAAGTCTCGGGAAGCGTGTCGTAGGCGCTCCTAACCAGGCACCTTGTTCCTCTTCCCGTCACCAGTCGAATCAAAAAGCCAATCGTTGGCTACCAAAGTATCACGCCCGAACCCCTACCTTTGTCTCAAGACTTGAGAGTCTCATTAGTCCTCCGGGGGAAGCGCCGTCCTCCAACCGATCGATTACCAGTTGGGGGTGAAAAAGGGAAGGATCCATCATAGGGGGTGGACCCCGGGGCGCGACACAGGCTCCATCGTTACGGAGCACAAGTCGATCGAATTATGAGGGCGCAAAGGAATCCACTTTGGGTCTCGGTTACGTATGAACATTCTTTCAGTCTTCTAGCCTTTCTAGTCCCCTTCGTCTCTACCGCGGCCCTGGGTCCTTGGGGTTTGGGTATTGAGTATGTAACGATACATTTTCCCTATGGAAACATTCTGGACGACTTCTTTCTCCGTCCAGGTACGGGAAATGTAGAAAACATGGTTTCCCCCCCCCGGCTCCACCCCCATATCCCCTATTAAGGGTACCACATTTGCGTCAGCGCGCAATATTCGCCACACTGGAGCCGCCAGATACCGTTTCTCAATCCCGGCCACTCAGTCAGGTGGTAGGGGACGTGTCGCTTCGTCCTGATACAATTCTTAACGGGGGGGTTCATAAGCCTGGTTTCAGTCATTCCTCCGAAAAGGTGGCGTTTTAAAAATGATGTAGAGTAGATGTGATAGAGGGTTCCAATGGCCAAGTTGTCTCATAGCAATCTGGACTGGTGATCTACCGCGGAATGCATTCCGGGCCGTTAGCGAGATCGAGACACGGCTGGTGATGCCACGGGGGGACCTAGGTCAAAGAGACTATGATGATTCCCGTGTGGTGTCATCCACACTCCAGTCCATGGAAGGTCGGATGGGAATTGATGATGATCCTTTGGTGGGCCGCACGCGGTTGGAAGGACCCATTCTCTGGATCCCTCTACGGTATTTTCGATGCGCTAGAACTGTCCCGATACTGTACGGTACGGCCTCGGGAACCTTTCAGGGAAAAGGAGGGAAGGTTTACTTTTAGAGTAGCGAGCTTCCTTTTCCTTCCCCTGGTGGACCCGGCAACACTTCCATGGAATTACTTCGGGAAGACCCCCGTTCTCCATAATTACAGCTAGAATAGTGCTAGAAACGGGAAAGAAGGTAGTTGGAAGGGCCCTTGGTCTGCTTGCTCCAGTCCGGTCTCCGGCCTCCTGCTCCGTTTCCCCGTTGAGCACCCTGTTCAGGAAGCTGGGAACCATTTCGGGAGAAAGCAGAATTTTCATAAGGTCCAAACGGTGATCCAGGGCGCTGGTACTGGCTGAACATCTCTATTCGCCACAACGGGTTCCTGAGACCTGTCTCCAGACTTCGGCTCGATGCATTAGTTCTCAAACAAGGTTTCGATTGCATGAACTGCTCTCCTAGCTCAATAGCCGAGCTGACGCTTCAAAGCTTGCCAGCCTTCCAATTTTCCACCTATTCCAGGTACCAGCTGATTGCCTAGGAATAGCAGTTCGTAGAGCTACGTTGAATGCCCGGTGGATGGATACATCGTCCACCGTGCTCATGCTGCAGTGCGCCTACAAAGTGGCGCTTGCAGGGACAGGGGCCCTACGGAGCGGAAAGGTGAAGCCGCATTGGCATCGCATCAATTGCAGCGCGATAACGCGGGACAGGGGGTGAATAGTGCTTTGTTTGACGACAGCCGATCGATGTGTCACTCCCTCAAACTTGTGGCGGCCGTTTTTCTCATTGTCTGAAGGGATCTGCCCGCGGGATCTGCCCGGTCCATTTCCCGTCTTTGCAAGTCATCTGAACATACCAATCCAATCGGTGGCGGACTAGGGCTGCGCGGAAGCGAAGCCGGGCGATCTTGGTGGAAATCTCCTAGAAATCAGGTTGCCGTAAAGAGTAGCATTCTGGAACAAGTGGGAGCGTCCACATAGGTCTGGAGCGTATTCCGCCTGTACTCCGTACTCCGCTGGATACTGGACTGCACTCACCCGGGACTCTGGATCCCATCAATGATCCACGATGCATACAGTCTAGAGCTCTTTCCGGCCGTTCTTTGCTAAGCTCCCATCCCTAGGCTCTGGGCTCTAGTTTCTAGTTTCAAGGCCAAGGTTCTCCTGCTGAGATCGTCGGAAAGCCGCACGGCGATACCCGTGAAGCAAAATCCTCGTGATGGACCAGCCGGATAGCATCCTTCAAGTGGATATGATCCATTTTTGCAAGTGACAGCCTCAATTCAATACGTACCAGGTGGGGGAGGGGGGATGAGCCGAATACAGTAAGAAAATAATAAGGACATAAGAATATTGAAAAACAAAAAAAAAAAAGGGAAAAAGGAGAAAATAAAAACACCATAGAGATGACGATCGCCGCTCCACGGCCCCAACGCCCATAATGTCGGGCTCGATCCTCCCTCTTTTCCCCCCTGCTGGGTCAACCGCCCCAGAGTTAGTGAGTGAATGAGATGCACATCGTGCAGCTCAGTGTGCGCCGAGGATGGACCCAAGTGACGCTCACATGGATGCACGGGGGAGGGAAGCTATGGACAGATCGAACCATACAGAGTACAATGAAAATACCACCACTGACCCACCACATCTCTTGGAACCCGACGGGTTCTCTCCTGGAATTCCGCAGCCAGTGGAGCACCTATGGCTAATGTTTCCAGCACCACTAGTGCCCGCAAAGTGGAGAGCTCCCAAGTGCCTCCCGACAAAGTGCGAGGTTGGGAAAAGTACTTCGCCCCTGGACCCCCGATCGAGATTTTTGACTGGCGCACTTGACTCGGTCTGGAACACTGCACCATGACACACTGACTGCTCCATGCAAAAGCACGACACTCTGCAGTGTCGATCCCTGCGACCTTGTTGACCCCTTGTTGACTGGTGACAGGCTGCGCTGCGTTGATCCTACTGCATCATGCACTGCCTTATTGTCCTCCGTGCAGACCAAGATGCACAGAGAAATATGTCGAGCGTTTCTCGGCGCACATTTTAGAGGTAGAGAGGCCTATCAATTCTGCAGATCCAACCCATGACCGATGGATCCTCAGTCATCTTCACAGAGCCCGGGCGATCGTCCCTCCCGATCGTGACCCGGCGATTTGCAACCCCTTCCCGCATCTTGCGTGATCCTAGGGAGTTATCCCACCCCTGGGGAATCGGGGAAGGGTATCAACTTCCCCCCCGAATGCAGGCTGGCGAGCCCGGGTACCTGGTCAAGGTGATGCATCACACCCATACCTGATCTTGTTCTACCCAGCCACCGAATGAGAGAACCCACGGACTTCTCTCCCGACAGCCTGGATCTTCACACGGGGCTGAAGTCGGATTGCATTGGTATGCAGGGACCTGTCTTTCTTCTTGGAATGACAAAGGTACACAGACCTCGCTCGATGGCAATCGGCGCGTTCCTGGCAACAAACTCAATCGAGAGATATCTTGACAGGTCCGAGCCCGAAGCTACAAGTCAAAACCACTCATTGTTGTCACGGGCCTAGATCAATCTGAACTTGTCACATCTGATTTAGGAATTCTGGCTGAAGCTATGTGATCCTATTGACCCTATTACTGTATGTATGTAGGCTGTCCAACCACTTGACTCCTCCCCGGGAAATCAAGACTGCTTGCGAATGCAGTGGTATGCCATCTCGAACTGCGAGACGAGTATTAGTGAATGTGTGTCTGCAGCACCTGTTAGTGACTCACCTGTTCATTCGTCTGGCAGATCAGCACCCGGGGCCCCTTGCCGGCGCCCTTGGAGATATCCTTCACGACCTCCTCATCTTCCGGCCCCTTGTCGTTGGCTTCCGAGTTGATTGCGACGCCCAGACTCTTGCATTTCTCGGAGAGTGTGCGGCGTAACAGTGCACTCTTTTCCCCGATACCACCGGCGAAAACGAGCGCGTCGACCTCCCCGCCAAGCTTGACGTAGTAATTTCCAATGTACCCCAGAATGCGATCGACGAAGATATCGAAAGCAAGCTTGTGCGCCTCGGAAGGAGGGCTCTCTACTGCGATTTCCGCAAAATCAGTAGTTCCGGTCAGTGCCTTCCAACCCGATTTCTTGTTCAGAATCTCTTCGGCCTAAATCATTGCAAACCCAATATTAGTACTGAGAACCCCGCAAGGGGCTAGATGTAATCACCGTGCTGATATGCATCTCCTTTGTAGAAGTGGGGCTTAACTTCCCCGCATCGCTGGTATAATGGAAGACCAAACTGTGGTTCACGGGCACAATTAGCTTCCCCAGCACGAGACTATGGAGCAATGCGACTCACGAGGGATCGATATCGCCGCTACGGGTCGCGCCCGGCAATCCTGCGAGGGGAGTAAGACCCATTCTGATAATCTTCCATTAGTGCCCGCTTTGATGCTACGAAGGGGGCCGGAGCTCACGAGGTGTCGATCGATTTCCCCTCTTTGATCGCACATATGGAGGCCCCGCTTCCGATGTGCATCACGATCAAATTGGTTTTCTCCTTGGGCTTCTGTAGGAAGTCTGCGACGGAGCGGAGTACAAACGAGTAGCTGATTCCGTGGAACCCATATTTACGTAGTCCGTTTGCTTTGGCGACTTTCTGGTCGATGGGGTATGTTCGCACATAATCTGGCAATGTGTGGTGGAAGGCGGAGTCGAAGAAGGTAACGCTGGGCACGCTGGGGAGCTCTTCGCGACAGAGGCGGATGATTTCCAGGGCTGAGAAGTTGTGACTAGACCGGTCAGAAAAATGATTAGCTTGGTGTCACACAATGCGAGGCGCGGAAAAAGAACATACAGCGGCGCCAGGTCTTCCAATGCCTCCAGATGGTGCATGGTATCGTCGTTGATCTCTACCGAATCTTGGTAATCGCCGCCGTGAACGACCCGGTGGCAGATGTACGCCAGATCGCTCTCACTAGCGACCTCGGATAGCTCGGGATCATGGAAGCAGCGCTTCAGTAGGTATTTGAAGGCATCTTGAGGCGTGCTCAGCTTCTCCTGCAGCTTCTCCTTGTGCGTGGTAGAGCCAGTGCGCTGGTATTTGAGAGCGGGCGGGGGCGCCGTGATACCAGAGATCTGCGCATCGGCGATAGCTTTGGGTGGGTTCTCGAAGGTATAAAAAGTGATCTTCACGGACGAAGATCCGGCGTTCACAGCGAGCACGGTTTTTGCCATGGCTGTGTAGAATGTTATTTGAGAAGATTTTGAAGGCGTTGCACTGAGTGCTGTCGCAAAAGATGCTGATTCTAGTGGGGAAGACTAGTTGATCTGGTTTCCGGTTGCTGATGAGTGATGTCAAGTGGGCAGGGTTGTGACGTCGCCGAAAGGAACAGGGCGGACCAAATAGCCCTGCTATGGTAAGATCTATGGCATGACCTTTATTTTCTCCGCCGCATCCGACCAAATATTTTCAATTATCCACATTCTGCTAAAAGTGATCGCCTCGTACGACTATTCCGTGCAAGACTTGCGCTTATCTCCCGCTCCATAGCTCCACCCGTTCATCGCAATCATGCCTGGAGAAGTCATCGACCGGCCTAATCCGCAGCCATTGCCGTCGCGTTTACCAGATTATGTGGAGAATTTGCAAATTAAACTCGAGCATGAGACGCTCGATCAAATCTCCTGCGATGCCTTGTTCAAGTTTCGCCGGGCGGCGTGCTATATCGCGGCAGGTAAGTAGACTTGACGATCAGAATACTTAGAGCATAAGTACTCATTTCTATATAGCAATGATTTTCCTCAACGATAACACACTCCTGAAAAGAGAACTTACATTCGATGATATTAAACCTCGGCTGCTCGGTGAGCTCGACCTTGTATAGTCTTCAACAAAATTTCGCTACGTGCTAATAAGGCCTCTCTCTGCAGGTCACTGGGGAACATGCCCTGGTCTCGTTATGGTGTACTCTCACCTGAACTATCTCATTCGGAAGAGAAATCTTGATATGCTCTTTGTTGTTGGTCCGGGACACGGAGCACCGGCAATTTTGGCAGCGTTGTGGCTGGAGGGGTCACTGGAGAAGTTCTACCCGCAGTATTCTCGTGATCGCGAAGGTCTTCACCGGCTTATTTCGACGTTCAGCACGACAGCTGGCCTTCCTAGGTTAGTTCCTAAGAATTTATTGATTGTTTATAGAAGCTGACAACTTCTCTCAGCCATATCAATGCTGAAACCCCCGGATCCATTCACGAGGGTGGAGAGCTAGGCTATGCATTGGCCGTGTCCTTCGGCGCGGTCATGGACAATCCCGATCTGATTGTTCCTTGTGTCATTGGAGATGGAGAAGCCGAATCTGGTCCCACTGCTGCGTAGGTCCCTTGGAAATTTTTCTTTCAAATGCCGTTCTGACTGTGAGCAGCTCATGGCATGCAATCAAGTACATCGATCCCAAAGAGTCCGGTGCGGTTCTTCCGATTCTTCACCTCAATGGTTTCAAGATCAGCGAGCGCACTATCTTCGGCTGCATGGACAACAAGGAGTTAGTAGCACTTTTCAGCGGATATGGCTACCAGGTCCGGTTCGTGGAGAATTTGGATGATATCGATACAGATCTTCATTTTTCCATGGTATGGGCTGTGGAGGAGATTCATAAGATTCAGCGGGCCGCTCGTCTTGGGAAACCAATTTTGAAACCTCGTTGGCCACTGCTGATATTGCGAACACCAAAGGTAGGTCTATCGACCAGAAGTCGGCATAGATGACACTCACAATATTCTTAGGGATGGTCCGGTCCGAAGGAGCTCAATGGCCAAATCATTGAAGGGTCCTTCCATTCCCATCAAGTACCTTGCCCAAGGCCAAGAAAGATAAGCAGCAGTTGAGCCTTCTGCAGCAATGGCTCGCGGGTTATAAGCCCGAGGAACTTTTTACGGAAGGCGGCGATATTATTGACGAGATTAAGTCGGTTATTCCAGTGGAGGACGCGAAGAAGTTGGGCCAGCGCATTGAAGCCTACAACAGCTATGTCGCACCTCAAATGCCGGACTGGAAGCAGTTCTGTGCGAAGAAAGGCACAGAACAAAGTGCAATGAAGGTAAATGGCCAGCTGATCAATGCTGTCTTCGTGGAAAACCCGCACACCGTGCGGTTGTTTTCTCCGGATGAACTGGAAAGTAACAAACTCGACGCCGTCTTCAAAGACACCAACCGCAACTTCCAGTGGGATGAATTCGCCAATGCGCGCGGTGGTCGTGTAATTGAGGTGTTGAGCGAACACATGTGTCAGGGTTTCATGCAGGGGTACACTCTGACTGGACGGACGGCCATTTTCCCATCCTATGAGAGCTTCCTGGGCATTATTCACACGATGATGGTGCAGTATTCTAAGTTCATCAAGATGGTAAGTCTAGCTCTCAGTTCACTCACTTTTGCTCATGCACTAATCTTGCTTTCAGGCACTCGAGACCAGTTGGCACGGCCCTGTTAGCAGCATCAACTACATCGAGACCAGCACCTGGACCCGCCAGGAGCACAATGGCTTCTCCCACCAGAACCCATCTTTCATTGGCTCCGTGCTCAAGCTCAAGCCCACCGCCGCTCGTGTCTACTTGCCACCTGATGCCAACACTTTCTTGACCACACTCCACCATTGTCTGAAGTCGAAGAACTATATCAATCTTATGGTCGGCTCCAAGCAGCCGACTCCCGTGTATCTGACACCAGAAGAAGCCGAGAATCACTGCAGGGCGGGTGCATCGGTCTGGAAATTTTGCAGCACGGACGATGGTTTGGACCCCGATGTGGTCCTGGTTGGTATTGGCGTCGAGGTCATGTTCGAAGTTGTCCAAGCTGCGGCGATCCTGAAAGAGCGAGCGCCATCTCTGCGCGTCCGCGTGGTGAACGTGACCGACTTGATGATCCTCGAGAACGAAGGCCGCCACCCGCACGCACTGTCCACTGAAGGTTTCAACGATCTCTTTACGGCAGATAGACCCATTCACTTCAATTATCATGGCTATCCAACTGAGCTGCAAGGCTTGCTGTTCGGTCGACCGCGTCTTGATCGTGTTTCGATCGCCGGGTACGTGGAAGAGGGCAGCACTACCACGCCCTTTAATATGATGCTTGTCAATCGGGTTTCACGCTATCATGTTGCCCAGGCGGCAGTTGGTGGGGGAGCCAAACGGAATGAAAAGGTCCGGGCTCACCACCAAGAACTGTTTGCCGAGTTCGAGCAAAAGATTGGTGAGACGAGAAAGTACATCATCGAGCATCTCGAAGGTGAGTGCAGCCGTATTTTCCCCGTCCTGACTTGTGTGCAGTGCTGACTGGCTTGTAGATCCTGCTGGCACATATGACACGCCCACTAATCTTGCAAATGCTGCCTAGAATGATGAACGCAAGAGTGAAGTGCTGGGTCAAGACTGATGAAATTTGGATAGATGGGTTGTCGCGCGCAATTGCCGTTATTCATATGAGCGGAGCCGCTATTGCGTTCACTAGATGCCAATAAAAAAGACTCTCTAGACTTTTCGACTTTGACGCCGTCAGCACATTGCAAAATCACATCAAGAAATGAGCGGATATTCAACGGGCCCACTGAACGCCGTCTGCCAATGTCAAACTCTGGCGCGCATAGTAAGTCTGCCGTAGAAAATCCACACTCTGATGGATAGCAGATCGCATTCAGTCCTAGAGAATTCTGCAACTTTGGTACCTGAGATTATTCATAGTCCTGGGGGACGTCTGCATGGACCGGATGGTGGCCTACCATCTCGGATACACATATCCACTATTGCAAGTGGACAGCAGAACTTGAAATTTTTCACACCACGTCCTCAGGTCACCAATGGACAGCATTTGAATGGACATGAAACCCCAAACCTTTCATCTTTGTCACCAGAGGTAGCTCACGAAATCTGCAAAAGTATAGAAAACCCGCGAACCTTCCTGTTACCCCAAGGTCTGCGTTCCAAGTTCAAGTCCGGAAGCCCCGCAAGTGAAAGCTTTGGGCCAAGGCTAGGAGCGCACCACGGTTCCAGATGTGCCTGACTCGTGCAATCGGCTACTTTCCAGCCCTGAGCCTCATGTACCAGCGGTTGGCTACAAGCCATGAGTTGTGTTTCGAAAGTGACTTCTTAGCGGTGTGCCCGTGAAACCTGCTCCACACGGGCATTTGAGTGCAGACGTATTCCAGATGCGAAGCCCAGGTGACTGGAAGACAACAACAACGATTCTAGAGGCCTACTGTCTTATAAGAAAACCATCTACCCAAACCCCAATTTTCCAGTAATGTGATCTATGCAAGGCTACGGGAAACAGCGCCGGATCGGACATGGCGAGAAGACATAAAAGTCCGCCAAGTGACAAGAGGCCAAGCACACGCCCAGAGTCTCGGAGGAGCTAAACCCGAACAGGAGGATCTTGCGAGGTTTCCTGCTTTGCGAACACCGCGGACGTCTCTGTCAGCCCGAATCCCTATTAAGATCGGACCAATGTCGGGGCCTGGCTTTGATGTCATCTTGTCTCTTGAGGTTTTCTTTACAATAGTCTGGTGCTCCACTGTCTCGCAACCCCCACTTTGTTCAAATTTTCCCGTTCCGTAATCCACTATCTTCTTTGCTAAACCCGTTGACGCCGAACGGGTCGATATGAACTCGCGGATGCGTCGGGATTGGTTGTCCCGAAGACACAAGTCCTCAAACCTTGCGAGTCAAATAGTCGTGGCCCCCAGAGCTCGCAAGCCCTTCTAGAACGGTGGGGAGCTTCGTGTTGCTCAGCCATGAATCCTTCAAACTTTTATATACATCGCCGTTAAAAGATCAGCCTCTTGTGCCTATTGCCCATTTACCATCCCGCAATTCGGAAGCCTGGCTGGTGCGGAATTCTTTTGTTTGTCAACTTCCTGAATCCCCGATCCCGTGCCTATCATCTTGTCCAAACAGCCCGTCATTCGTTCGCCGGATATAATCTTGCCATTCAGTTGCTTTTTTTAATCGCCTCCCTACACCTGGCTATACTACCTCTTCTTTTCTTTTTTTTTTTTCCTTTTTTACCCCAAATAATTATACACCCTGCAGGAGCGGAGCTTCGTCTGATTCCCCCCAAGCTCAGCATGGATAAGCAAGAGTTGCTGGTTGGCTGCCATGCCCTAATCCCTGGGGTCGGCACTTCATACGGATACGTTCCAACCCTTGGAGCCGGCATTGCTTACCTCGTCCTCTTCGGTCTCTCGATGATATTACACATCATCCAAATGTGCTGGAAGCGGACCTGGTGGACCAGTGTTTTCGCTGTTGGATGTCTCGTGGAAGTTATTGGATGGGCTGGCCGAACCTGGTCATCAGAATGCCCGTATAACTCAACGGCCTTCCTAATGCAGATTTCTACCCTGATCATTGGTAAGTTGCTTTAACTTGAGCTTGAGCTTGAGCTTTCAGAAGAACGATGACTGAGTAGAGTCATGCTAACATCTTCTTTAGCGCCCACCTTCTTCACAGCAGGAATCTATGTCCTCCTGGGTCAGTTCATCCAATTGTTGGGCCGTGAATCATCCATCCTGAAACCAAGTCTGTACCTCTGGATTTTCGTCACCTGCGATATCGTCTCGCTAGTCATTCAGGCAATCGGCGGTGGATTGGCATCCGGAGAAGCCACCAAAATCGGCGGCAACACCGCCCCCGGCACACACATCATGGTCGCGGGAATCGTTTTCCAACTCTTCTCCGTTACCATCTTTGTCCTCTGTGCCGCCGATTTCATTCGTCGGTCGTTGCGCCATAGGCTTCTTCAACAACTGACCGGATCAGTTGTGCCTTTGCTCGGCGCCATGATCCTCTCCGTGATATGCATCTATATTCGGAGTATCTACCGTACCATCGAGTTATCGCAGGGCTGGTCCGGATACTTGATCACTCACGAGAGCTACTTCATCGCTTTGGATGGAGCCATGATGACGGTTGCTGTGGCGGTCTTCAATGTTGTCCATCCTGGTTGGCTTCTGCCTGGCCACAACAAGGCTAATACGTTGAAGTCTGAGGTTTCTGGAGACAAGCTTGAGATGACCCGCGCTTCAGAGTCTTGAGTTAATCTCCATCTCTTCATTCGTGTACCTTTTTTGTTGTCTCCCATGCGGGTACCATTGTAGATAGTATCGCGTGGAGGAGGGGGGCAAGACTATCTTGAAACTTTAGCGATAATGATCATAGAAGGTGATTTCATGCATGCATATCAAGTGAGCGTATTATCCCGTAATGATCGTGGAGGATGATCCGATGAGCGAGTAATCCAAAATGGATGGCATGCTTAACGTCATTGCGGTCTACTTTATGGCTGAACACGGGAAAATGTCTAGGATCATCTTTACCAGATTCAACTCAGCACGTCAAATGACAAGCTTCACTATTGCTAAGCTATCAAGTAGACACCAACAAGAATCAAACTGTCTCAAATCACTGAAAAGAAGTAAGCCAGTACTCCCCTTTTCATAATGGAACCATCCAACTAAGCACGCTTTGCAAAGTACTATACACCATCCACTGCCTCAACCCAGCCAAAGACTCCGCCCACTACCAATGTCGCCGCGGCCCAAACAGAGCCCCACACAAATGCGCCAACCACGGAAACATTTTGAACCGTGCCTGCAACCTGGACAACGGTGTTGAGCAGTATCACAGATGCCAACAGGAGCGTGCGAGAAGCCAGAATTCTCGTCTTGACTGACAACTGACCCCAGGTCTTGCGATAGAGAGACATGAACAGGACCTCTCCCTGACGTTCTTCAAGGTTGGCATTATCTTCAGCTGAGCTCCTTGAGTTTCCAGCGGAGCTAACGAATAGGAAATCGCGCACAGCATAGCCGACAGGAATCAGCGTCAAGAAGAGAACGGGAAGACCCGCAGGGCCAGCATGCGCGGCGCTGATGTCCGGAATGCTCTCAAAGTGCATCACGAGCTGAACAGGAAGCCATGTTGCATAGCTTGCATACAGCATGACACTGAAGATAGATGTCGCGGTGAGAGTGGTGTAGATCGTCGTCAAATGGTCTTGCAGAATGGTTCGGTTGGCGACGGCGCCCGACGGAGCGTGCGACAAATCATGAACCGACGACGGCTGGCGCAAAAGCGCAAACGGAATCACTGTCGAGGCGATTGTGATCGCATACGATGTGAGGATCGAAGTAGGGCGAACGCCATAGAAAAAGGATAGTAGGGTGTAGGTGGGCATGTGCGTCAAGAACAGGAAGGATGCGGCATCCCAACCTGCATGTGAGGCTCTTGTTAGCATGATTCTCCGTGAAAGTGCGACACGCTTTCTTCAACTTACTGTCGAACCCAACAGCCCAGGCCAAGCCAACTTCAACAGCTCTCCAGGCCACCAGACCCCCCCACTTCCCACCACTCCTCTAGGTGTTTGCTGACCAGGCCGAGGTCGTTCAATGTCAAGCTCGAGGTGAGAGTGAAGAGAACGGAGCTGACCGTGAGACTGCTCAAAACGACTAGAAAGAAGCGCGCAAGAGAGGGGATGCGCGCGAGTGGTGTTGGCGGCGCAGGGGCCGTCAGAGGTGTCAGTGCCGCCTTGGGATCGTCTGTCTGACGCGAATGCACGCGCTCGGACGAGGACTTCTTCTTGGAGGACATATTCAAGCTGTATGACAGTGACAAGAACCGAGAAGAAATGAATAGCTAGTCAAGAGCTCACGCGACCAGGATAAAAAAAGGAAGGCAAGGAACGTGGAATGTTTTGTCGGCGGTGAGTGGACGATGATGTCACTATCAAGAGCTTCCAAGGTCCGGTGCATGATAGCTCGTCAGAAGTGGATTTCTATATAATTCTAATAAAAAATAAATGTAGTTCGAAAGGGTAACACAGAAACATAAAGTGTACATTAATCGTCCTCGCTCTCCTTCTCGTTCTCCGCAACGGCGAATTCCACCGTTCCGCTTTCGCGTCCCTTGGTATCTCGCACGACGATGCGGTACTTGCCCTGATTCCAGAGGTCCTTGATGGTCAGCTCGCGCGTGCGGCCGAGACTTTCAATATCTCCAATACGAGTCAAGGTACCCTCCAGGTGATCATCAAATCCTTCACGGGCACAAATTTCCCGGAAGGCGCGTTGCATGGGAACGGAATCGGCGCGTACCATAGCGCGTGAGTCGATGGTGAAAATGTTATCGTGATCGTAGGACTGTATAAAGTCGGAGCGGGTCATGATCTCGCGCGCCTCGTGGAGCGGGATCGATGGCAGGATATGACCTCTGTCTGGGTGATAGATCTCATCCATCTGGTTCTCACGGTCGACCAGGGCCTTGGCCAGGACCATGGCAGCGGACTATTGAGCTGTCTTAGTATACTATTGTCAAAACCAGAATAGAAACAAAAAAGCACTCACCGAATATTTTTGCTCGTCCATCACATCGTCATCCATCTCCATCCCGAGAATCCAGCACTTATTGAGGAACCATGTTTTCTCGGCTCTGCAGATCTCGTCACAGGTGAATGAGATGTTGTGAGACTTTGCGACTCGGTTCAGGAATGATAGTCGCCCGCCCACTTTGTCATAGACTTCCTCAAGAACCTTCGATGGCAGGTCCTCGTTGTAGAACTGCTTGCGGTATTTCTTCAATGCGGCCATCGCCTTGTCCTTAGGCAGATCGGTGACTGGAATGACTTCCATGCGTGTCGCGTAACGCTTCAGGCGCTCGTATACCCAGTAATCGTCGCTGTTGAGGACTACTTGTAGATCAGTACCCGCAAGCCTAGAGTGTAATGACGAGATGAAACTTACTAGTGGTAACAAGGCCGCTCGCAGCCCATTGTTCGGCACGCTGCTGAATCATCTCAAGCAAATCCTGGCCATCGTGGTCATCCCGAACCAGATGGGCACTGTTGACAATGAGGATGAGCGGTGGCGTGCCCTTCTTTCTTCTTGCCAGAGCAACTTTTTCAAGTTTGTTGAAGGCTCGCTCGATGTCTAGCAGGGCTGTTGTATCACGCGGGCCACGAATACTAAAAAGGCTGCCAATGTAGCTGTATAATCCGTTAGAGAACATGTTGACACACTAAAGAAAGGGAAAGCATACTCCTTCATGGAACTCGTAGTCCAGGGCCTTTCCTAGTCGAATACGGAAAATTTCAAGATCGGCATGAGCCTCAAACATGGCACAACCAAGGCCATTGATTTTGCGCATCGCTTCTAGGAGCATAGAGGTCTTTCCAGTGCCCTTCTCGCCGACAATGAGATAGTAGTGGCCACCACGTCGTCCGGAGACAATGTCATCGATTCGCGTTTGCTCGTCCCGAGGAATCCAGTGCTCCTCATAGGCATACTGATGCTTTCCAGACACCACACCCGCAACCTCGAGAGCCGGGTCACCTGGATTGAACGCATTGTCCATCTTATCTAGGATCAGGTACTTGTAGTACTGGTGGTAGCCGTAGCCGGCCGCTCTACGAAGAGGGATTAGCCTGATTTTACCCCATCATTGAAAATTGATCGTACCCTAGAATGAAGATAGATGCTGCCGTTGTGGCACCGGTTTCGAGCATCTTCAGAATGGTGGATTTCAGGTTGGGATCATCGCTCTTGCGACCCTGACCCTTGCCATCTTCCGCGTCATTCTGATCAGTGGGATCAGGAGTGAACTGGCCTGTGCTTTTCGGGTCAGAAGAATTGAAGCGTTTAAATATTCCCTGAACAAGACATCCATCAGACCTCAGAGGTCTGGACAAGGCCTGTCGGGCAGAGCTTGTCAGCGGCTGAGCAAGCCGCTTCCAAAGCATCATGATGGTTGCGCCTGGTCTTGGCAGATGAAAACAGATCTAAAGATGTCTGAAGATGGTCGGCAATGTAACAATATACACTGAGATCAGCAGATTAACGTGAATCTCATGGACAGCGCAATAGTCACAGCCAAGCTAAAATACACCGTGTGGGCTCACGATTGTCAGCGCCACACCACCCGGGAGTGACGCGTCTGATAAAAGAGAGTGGACAGGGTGACAACCCAACTTTAATGGAGATGAAAGACAGAAAGAAGAAGAAAACGAGAGACTTGAAATTTGATATGAAAATGGCAACTGGAGAGAGGAGGTAGGATCATTGTGGCTGAGGCGTGGGTGGAGTTCCCTTTCTCAATCTCATAGGGGGGCTTGGCACTTTCGATTGGGGCTTGTTCTGCTTCTACGTGTCCAAGAGTCCCGGTCACGTCGTGTGGCGTTCTAAAGAGCTTTCATCTAATAGAATCACCGGGGTGCGTAAGAGCTATATTTGTTGTCTTTCATTCTTCTTTTGTTTCTTTACGTACGCAATGCCAGTGTCAATCCCGCTGTGAGAATATAGGCACACATTTTCATCTTGGTTGGTTCCTGAGTCGCCTGGTAAGTTGCACTGCACAAAACTGTCTGACCAGCGCAACTTTGGACGATCAAGATACTATAGCCAAGGGAACGATGTATATGCGCATGGAAGTATCTTTCGTATTAGCCACTTCGCTTTGCTTGATCCCAAGGATGAGCGCCCTAGTTAACAATTCGTCAAGACTTGTTTGTCGCTGTCGGGAAGTTCGTCCGAAAATATGACGAAACACAGCATTGCGTGTCTGTTCAGGGGGTGGAAGTATCTTGGAATTGGCCGAGAAAAATGTTTCTGATACAGAGAATTACCTGTTACGTCTGTGTATCTCGAAAGGGGCCAAGGCAGTTTCTCGCTGCGTTGAGGCCTGAGGCCTGATATATACCTAAACACGTTGATTACAATAAATAAGTCATTGTAGAACTTCGTCTGGATGAAAAAATGTAAACTTCCCAAAGCATCACTAGTCAGCTCAGATTGAGCAATCATAAGAGTCATTCCCCGAAGCAATTGGAAATTCCTTGTGGAGAAAGACTCTCCGCGGCGCCTTCCCCGAACCCACCGCCCGAGCACTTCCGAGGGTATGCCGCAGTCCGCGAAATTTTCTCCTCCATTTCACCGTTCTTCAACCGGACTATTTCCTTTTTGCATCTCTCTCTATATCTGGGGTACGGGGTTTTTGGCTTTTTGCTTCAATTGCCCTTATCCTTTTTGTATCATAGCGACCCTTTCTTCTTCCCTGCCGAGTCCCCCGCAGGTCCTCTTTTTTCGACCATTCGTCTCTATTCCGAGATAGCTATCGCCAATTCATTTTGCCGAAGCTATCATACTCAATCGATTCGATATAATGGCGCAATCCAATGGGGAGTTGGAACACTCGAAAGGTTTGCCCGCCCTCGATACCTCGACAGCACGTTGTCACACGAGCCATCGGATCGACGAATAATTCGCAAACGATACTCGACTAGGAATGCATGCGCTGACGTCCCTACAGAGGTTGCCCAACAGACCAACGGTAATGCCCCCGAGGGCGTGGAGGATGAGAATGCTGGTGGTATGTACTATTCAATTTGGCCAGGTGGAAAGGTGGTTATCTGACTCGTGTCAAGGTCTCTTCCAGATCTCCGTGAAGCTCCCTCATGAGCCGTACATGATCCAGGTTATGGTGGGTATTCCGTTTCCATAGCCCTTTGCGAAAATGCTGACCTCTCTTTGTTTTTCCCAACAGGTGTCGAGCCAAGAGCAGGTGCAAGATGTCCGCCAATCGATCGTCGAGCTCCCCGGTACCTTCCAGTACACATGCTTCCACCTCGAGCACAATGGAACCCGCATCAATGATTTCGTCGAGCTGTCTGAGGTCCCGGATCTCAAGGCTGATTCCGAGATTGTTCTGGTGGAAGATCCATACACGGAGAAGGAGGCCCGCATGCATGTCGTGCGGATGAGGGAGCTGGTGGGTGCTGCTGGTGACCGCGTGGACAATCTTCACGGTATTGCCGCCGGCCTTTCACTGCACGATGCCATCGCCGCCGAGGCTGCTGCCGCTGCTCAGTCGGAGAAGGACCACTCGCTCGCCAAGTACAACTTGACCGGCAACTCTTCGCTGCAGACCATCTTGCCCAAGTCGGACGCTCCCCTGCCCAAGACCGTCAAGTCGATCTCGCTGTCGCCCTGGAACCCTGTTCCTTACAACCTCCGCCAGAAAGGTCACCTCCTATACCTCCAGGTCACCATCAACGAGGGTGAGCAATTCCAAATTACCTCCCACGTCTCGGGCTTCTACGTCAACAAGAACTCAAACACTCGCTTTGATCCTTTCCCGAAGGCGATGCCCAAGAACGTCAATGGAAGCGCCCACTCCCTCCTCACCCTGCTGTCTCAGCTGTCGCCCTCGTTCAACTCTGCCTTTGAGGCTCTGCAGGAGTCCAACAACCAGAAAGATCTCCTGACTACCTTCCCCTTCCAGAACGCCATTCCCAACAGCCCATGGCTCGTTGCTCCGGCCTCCTCCAGCTTGAACGCTCATTTGCCCGATATCACTCGTTCCCAGGAGAGCTATCTGATCTCTGGCGTGGACAATGCCGAGACTCTGCGTGACTGGAATGAGGAATTCCAGACCACTCGCGAGTTGCCCCGTGACACTGTTCAGGACCGTGTTTTCCGGGAACGCTTGACCTCCAAGCTGTTCGCTGACTATAATGAGGCTGCCGCCCGTGGTGCCGTCCTAGTTGCTCGGGGTGAGGTCGCTCCTTTGAACCCCACTGAGGCACAGGATGCTCAGATTTTCGTATACAACAACATCTTCTACTCCTTCGGTGCTGACGGAGTTGGCACTTTCACCTCCGAGGGTGGTGACGAGGCTGCCCGCGTTGCTGTCGGTAAGGACGTTTTGGGTATCAAGGCTGTCAACCAGCTTGATATCCAGGGCCTGTTCACTCCTGGTACTGTTGTTGTTGATTACCTTGGCAAGCGTATCGTTGGCCAGAGCATTGTGCCTGGTATCTTCAAGCAGCGTGAGCCTGGCGAGCACCAGATCGACTACGGTGGTGTTGAGGGCAAGGAGGTTGTTGCAACAAACGAGGAATTCGTTCCTGTTTTCGAGAAATTGTCCAAGGCTCTCCGCATCAAGTCGCACCCAGTTTGGGACAAGGATGGCAAGCGCCACAATCTTGAGGGCAGCGTTGAGACCAAGGGTCTTCTTGGCACCGATGGCCGCAAGTACGTTTTGGACCTGTACCGTATCGCTCCTCTGGATGCTTCATGGCAGGAAGAGGAGGGCAGCGAGGTGTACCCCCATCGTATGTCTGTCCTGAGACTGGAGCTCATTGAGGCATACTGGCGTAGCAAGATGAGCGCCTATGTCAAGGCTGAAGTTGAGAAGCGCCGTGCTGCTAAGGCCGAGGAAGCCCCCAAGGAGGCCAAGTCGGATGAAAGCCCCGAGGAGAAGGCTGAGGAGAAGGCTGAGGAGAAAACCGATGAGTCCGCGGACAATGAGCGTGTCGACATCTCTGGATTCAGCCTCGCGCTTAACCCCGACGTCTTCAGTGGCCAGGTCCCTCAGACCCAAGAGGACAAGGAGCAGTGGGCCCAGGATGAAAAGGAGGTGCGCGAGGCTTGCGACTACCTGCGCTCTAAGATAATTCCGGAGCTGGTCCAGGATCTGCACGATGGCGACGTTGGCTTCCCTATGGATGGTCAGTCCTTGACCCAGCTCCTGCACAAGCGCGGTATCAACATCCGCTACCTTGGTAAGCTGGCTCAGCAGTCCAACGAAAAGGGTGCTCGACTCCAGGCTCTGTCCACTCTCCTGGTCCAGGAGATGGTCGCTCGTGCCTTCAAGCACGTTACTTACAACTACCTCGCCAACGTTCCCGCTCCATTCGTCACCTCTTGCATCGCCCACCTGCTGAACTGCCTGTTGGGTACCGGTGTTAACGCTGCCCCCAAGGCTGAGATCGAAGAGTCTCTGCGTGAGATCTACCCCGATGGTGACTTCTCATACGAAAAGGTCACTCCCGAATCTCTCCGTACCGAGATTGAAAAGCAGGTTTCGGTCCGCTACCGCTACTCTCTGGAGACGAGCTGGGTTGAATCGCTGCGCCACCTGCAGCTTCTGCGTGATATTTCGATCAAGTTGGGTCTCCAGCTTGGTGCCCGCGAATTTGCTTTCTCTCAGGACCAGGTCAAGGAGCAGGCTCCTCCTACCAACAGTACCAACGGCAGTGGCAATGACGAAGGCAAGAAGAAGAATAACAAGAAGAAGGGTGGCGACGCCAAGGCTAAGTCCCCTGTCCGAGTCGCGGTGGAGACCAAGCCTACTCTTTCTATTTATGCTGATGACATTTTGAACATTGTTCCCCTGGTCAAGGATGCTGCTCCTCGTAGTGCTCTGGCTGAGGAGGCTCTGGAGGCTGGCCGTATCTCGCTCATGCAAAACCAGAAGCAGCTGGGCCAGGAGCTCATTCTGGAGTCTCTGTCCCTGCACGAGCAGATCTATGGCATCCTTCACCCCGAAGTTGCCAAGCTATACCACCAACTCTCCATGCTCTACTACCAGACCGAGGAGAAAGAGGCCGCCGTGGAATTGGCCCGTAAGGCAGTCATTGTCACTGAGCGCACCCTGGGTGTTGACTCCGCTGACACCATTTTGGCCTACCTTAACTTGAGTCTGTTTGAGCATGCCTCCGGAAACACCAAGACTGCCCTGGTGTACATCAAGCACGCCATGGATCTCTGGAAGATCATCTACGGAGCTAACCACCCTGACTCCATCACCACTATGAACAACGCCGCCGTCATGCTGCAGCACCTTAAGCAGTACGGCGACTCCCGCAAATGGTTCGAGGCTTCTCTCGCTGTCTGCGAGGACCTCTTTGGCAAGCAGTCCATCAACACCGCCACCATTCTCTTCCAGCTTGCCCAGGCTCTGGCTCTGGATCAGGACTCCAAGGCTGCCGTTGGCAAGATGCGCGAAGCCTACAACATCTTCCTTGCTCAGCTTGGTCCTGAGGATCGCAACACCAAGGAGGCTGAGACATGGCTCGAGCAGCTCACCCAGAACGCTGTCTCTATCGCGAAGCACGCCAAGGATATCCAGGCCCGTCGCATGCGCCGCATTGCCATCAACCCGCGCGGATCCACTATGGGTACCCGTGTCCAGCCCCAGGTTGGCCAAACTGTGCCCGAGAGTGCCGGTGCCGCTGCTTCCGGTATGGACTCCCGCAGCATTGATGAGCTGCTGAAGTTTATTGAGGGTGGTGATGCCAGCTCTTCTCGCTCCAAGAAGAAGCGTACTTCCGCCAACCCCAAGCTCCGTGGATCCAAGCAGTCTAAGGCTTAAACTCTTCTTACCATTTGAATAATTCCGGGTGTTTCTTTTTCTTCGCAATCTTGTGTCTTCACAAAAAAAATACTCCATGATGGTTTTTCGGAAGGGGCTCGGGGTGTCACGTTTGATGAGCGGAAAATGATGTATTTTAGATCTCTCCCCTCCCTTTTATATTGTTTCTTGATCATTTGGGCCTATCCCGGTCAATGGAAAGGTTCATAGACATGGTTGTACTATATTGCCCATTATCTTGAGGTGCACAATGTGACGTACTCTAGAAATTGCATACAACGGTCTCAGCTTGGGTCACTTCCGATCTCCTAGTTAACACTACATAGTAGGCTTTCTTGATTGCGTCCAGACCCGGACTGGGTGGTAGCCCTTGGAGCATCAAGCCAACATGTCCGCGAAACTATGCCGATGTAGTACACCGCCCGCGCGTGACCGCATTGGACCCACCTTTGTTTACTTTGTTTTGATCTCTGATCTTCCGGTGTTCGCATTCGCATCCGCATTCCGCTCGACACGCACCTCTTATTCAGGGTTGAAGCGTATTATGTCATTTTTATCCTATTGAGATTTAGTCCCGAGACTTGATCATGCTTGAAGGACAGGCGTGGTGATTGCCATGCATTATGGCAGAGTTGGCTCCGAGGCCTGCCACTTTAGTATGACACAAAACTGACACAAAACTCCCTAAAGTTTTGTGCTTATACCTGACGAGACTGACGACATTATCTAAAGCTCTATGGATTAAATCAACAGAAACACTCCCATTTATCCATAATGGACGACATTCAACCCACCGCGCGATGGGCTAACCGCATGTTACGCCCTTTAACCTCCATATACCGACGACTCGAGAAACACCAAGAAACACTAGCGATTATCGCAGCTGAGTCAAAGATCGAGGAGGATAAAGAAGATTACAATGAATATGGACCGCGAAGTACTGAGCCTGTGAGCACCCTAGACGCCATCTCTGGCTCAGACGCAGACGAGGATGATCCAATTTGGGTCCCGGGAAAGAAGCCTGAGCAGCGACGCAACAAGTATAACTATTCAGGCCGAGGACAAGGAACAGATGCAAGGAAACGCACGAGGCTATCAATCCACAGCCCGGAAGTCCCTCGCACGCTACCAGGTGCAATTGAGCTCGCAACACCTCTGATCACGGGCAAGCGATGGGAGATTCCGTCAAGCGCGCAATCCCAATTCTCGGTTGAACGGCAGAATAATATTCATCAGAAAGGCCAGCAGCAAGCATTTCGCGACCGATATTCGCTGCACAAGAGCCCGTGGCAGACGCTTCTCGACCAGTCGGGCGACTCGGGGTTTGCTGACATAGCTCATAATCTTGACCGAATCTTCCAAAATTTCCTTTGCAACACACGGATCATTACACGTGGGACGAACGGCACATTGGCTAAGCCCGAGCGCGGCGCGCGTTCCTTGCTCTCTATGGTAGCGCGCAGCTTGCCGTATTTTATTGCACGAGAGCAGGACGCACAGAACGATGGGGAGCAGGAAGGCGAAGAAGATATGTGTGATGCATACTTCACGGAACTGGAGTCATACTACGCACCCCATGGCAGAGGCTGGAAGCCTCTTCGCGAGGCGGTTCGTGCCCAGGGCATCCACATGGTGTCTACCATGATTCAGAACAAATGGGTGCCTGATTCGATCGCATGTGCACTGGTTGAAAAATGCGGCCCCCATGAGCTAGACGCGTGTGAATCACTCCTCTCGACGTTGCTCTCTACACGCACGGCGTATTACTACCCACAGACCCTCAAAGCCAACACAGAGTGGCGTACTGGAGATCCCATTCTACAACTACGAAAATACACCCGATATGGAACGACGAGTCGGTCTTATGTCTTTGACGAGCTTACCAAGCTGCTGATGCGTGGTGTGCTACCTCCAGAATGGATGGCGACCAAGCACTGGAACAGTTGGATGACACGAGCCACGATATCATTTTCCAAAGGCGATGGGGAATGTGCGGCGGCTTCGCGCTTGATTGAGGCTGTGCTTGTTTCTGCCAGTGATACCTGTCCGGCCCCCGAGGCTCTAGATCCCAAGAGGAGACTTCCGACCAAGCTCCGAGCCAGCTGCGGAAGGGCAACCAGGGGTTCTTTCGGTGGCAAGACCGATGTACTGGACACCACACGACCGTGTCCTGTGCTGATTGAAGACGCATTGAGCAATCATATCACGAGTCTTTTGGCAGCTTTATGTGGCATGCATATCTCACGATCCCGCGACATTGAGGATGTAGAATCCTTCGATGGAACAAAAGCGGGTCACATCATCAAGTATCTTTATTTTACCCTAGAAAAAGATATGGCGGCACGGTCGATGTCTCATATTATCAACCTCACATCGCATCAATTGTTTAGACGTGGTTGCATCTTATTGGCAAATTGCCTATTGCAATGTAACGACGCAGCTTTGACGGGTGACAGACCTTGTGTGATGGTTTCAAACCCCAGACTTGAGAAGCACTGTGACTTATTGGCATCGCGTGCCGGCTTGGTGAAGGAACTGGCACTTTTCGTGCGACAAGCCTTCCGATGCTTTGGAAGTGCTACGGACAATGAGCGCTTATACACTGCCCAAGAGATTCGCCGTATCATCTCACAGTTCCCTCGCTTGGCCCAAGCCTCGAGTCTGTCGGTCTTACTTAGTAAAGTCGCCGTTGAGTCTGCCATGGGATTTGCAGAGGGCACAGGGGAACCAGATGACCATGTATGGGCAGTCGAGATTCAAGAGACAGTCATTGCGCTGCAGAACGGAAGAGAGTCAAGTCCAGAGTTTACGAATGAAATGGACGAGCAGGGGCCGCGCAGAGGATACCGATGGGAAGAAAGCATTGGGGAATGGGTCGCTCGTACACCGGCAGCTAAATCGAACCCAGTGCCTAGCGTGATTGTCAGAAGACGTACCTCCGCTGCACTACCCATGCTGTGCATCCCTTGCTCAACGGACAGCAGCTCTCCCGAGTCAGATCAATTTGAAGGGAACGCCTCGAGTTTGACCTCATCGCCACCCTCCGTCGGAACGAAACGAAACTTCGCGGAAATTGACTCGTCGCCCCTTCGTCCGGTTAGAAGTCGGCAGACTGCGCGGAATTTTGTGATCGCCCATTCAGAAGAGAGAAGCTGTGGAGCCAGATCGTCTAACCCTGATATTGATGTCAGATCTCCTTCGTTAGAACTGGCGCCCCCTCGGCGTCGCATTCTACGCGATGTCTCAAATCAGAAGAACATCGCTCGAGCAATTCCCACGAGTTTGAAGCGTCCATCCGCTGTCGAAGTGGTCATTGTGAATAGACCACAGGGAAGCACGAGCGAACCCCCCTCGCAATCTTCACCAGAGCTTCACAAGAAACAGGTCCATCATCCAGTCGAGCGACGAAGGTCCGGGCGATCTCGTATTTCAAATATGCCAGCTGTCGCCGTGCAGCCTGTCACTCAACGAAGGTCCATTATTCCCTGCTCAGAAGATGACAGTGACGACGAGCTCAGCTTCATATAGCTGTCCTCTGGACCTTCTAGACTGGGAACGAAGATGCAGTCCACAACGCCGCCGGACTGGTAGACCATTTGATTACAGATATTCAAGATTGCCTATCTTCAAGTCTGTCTCAACTACAATTGCGAACGGCTCTTCAAGGAGATTGAAGAAGCTCTCGAAAGATGGAAGGTTAAAAATCGAGCGAGCGTGAAGCTGATGGGGAACCGATTTTCGCAAAGGGAAACAGTGGATAGTGGGCGAGCGACAAATCTTTATTGGCGGTGTTTGGAACTTGGTTATGACATGATACCCTCGGCTTGGATTGGTAGTTTTCTGTTTGTTCTATTTCTTGTTTATGATTGTGCGATGGTGGCCATGGCTCAGTCCAAATACTCCCACCTGAAAATTTGAGTCTGAAAGCTCTGGGACATCAAAAGTCTTACGTAGTCTGTGAGCTTCTATCGAATGAGTAACAATTGTAATCATTCCATGCCGCCTTATGATGTCAAATTCGGACTACCTCTTGTTAATTGAGCAGCCCCACTGGCTTTGTCGATGTGGACAGAGCCTGATGGGTCCTGTTCCACCGACACCACGAGAGCTACGCGAGCTACGCGAGCTAACTTGGACGCGAACACTACTGATGCGTCTTACCGGGGAAACTTGAAGGAGTTCTGTGAAGCGGCTGCAACGCTGGTTTCAATAAGAATGGAGGTTTAATAAGAATTGTCAAGACAGAACTCGACAACCGTCTTCGGCCAATATTTATGTGAACTATTGGAGATTGAGGTTGAGGGTAGGGGTTTGACCTCTGGAGTAGAACTCAGGGCTCTCGAGAGGACTGTATTAGTCCTTGACAAGTGTGTCTCACGGTAACTTGTTCTCCCGTCTATGCAGCTAAGTCTCCATACCGTTTCACCATCGGGCCATCCGCGATGGGGCAGTCTCGTCTCCAGTGCTCATCCTCGCTACGAGCTTAGCGAAATGAAGGAACAGTAGAACATAGGTCATATCCTCTATACTCCATCCTGGCAGTCTCCATGACCATGTCTCTCTCGTCTGTCCCATCATTGCATCGGGTCTCGCTTAAGTTCAGCAGTTCATCGATAGCGGGTCGACCAAGCGTGACCGAATCTCAGTGTTTTTAGTGTCGCTGCTACGCCTTATTTTAACTCATCTTTGATCACCCGTTCATGGCCAGCACCATGATTTAAGTTGGATCCCTCATCTACCTAGGAAACTCGGATCTGCGGACCCTTGTTTTTTTTTTCGATTTTTTGTGCCTGGAGCTAAAGTTCATGAGTGACATGTGTCAATCGAGAAGATGGAGTCTGAAACCAGACCAGTCTCTCTGCCCGGGTTGCGTCCAGGCCTCACTTTATCTGTCGCATGCAGGATCACTCTGAATCTGCAAGAGGGGGTAAAACTCGGGGCTGAGACTAGATTGAGCGGAAGTAATCTATGCTATAGTGTAAATTTTTATTATAGGCACAATCTGCTTTAAAAGCCAAGTTTCAGCCGCCGGTCCAAAGAGGAATAGGGGGAAATGTTCCGCGCCGGTAGCTATTCTCGGAGGGGATTTCTCTCGAGGGAGATTAGGGTCTGACATAGATGAAGCCAAGACACGCCGGAGCCACGCTGAGATCAGGAGCTAGAGTCCAGACGTGGTTCGTGGATGACAGCGTTGCCCCGAGCGTTTCAGTTCGAGGCACTTGTCCCCCCCGTAGGTTAGACTGTCGCGTGGGCGCTAAACCACACTCTGTGAACCTTTTCCACTCCGTTCACATCAGCCCGATCAGATTGGCCCATGAAGCAAGGGCGCAGCTTCTCCGACGGGGAGGTGACGAGGATCGGCGAGTGACTGGTAGAATGAGTCTTCAGAGACAGCGCCAGCGTTTCAGCATGGACCAGTCACCACCCCGCGCCTCTCGGCCTTTAGGCGCCAAGCCTCACAACTAACTTGAACGAGCAACATCCGGTGCCAGTGTGCTAGATTTCATCCCCAGATGCGCAAGTTCGATCGAACGGATCGGCTCCTCGTCAGAGCTGACCGAGCTCACAGGGCCGGTCTTACTTTAGTCACCCGTCCTCCTCTGGACCAGTGACAGGTGAATATTCGGATCAAACCCGTAGATCGAGGGGCTCGGCGCCAACAACAAAGTAGAGAATCGGTTACATGACGAAATGATGGCCGATGCCTGTGAATAGTATGATTGCATGGACCTTTGGGCCCAGCCTGGCTTGTACATTGCTCCCGCGATGGCGGTGGACTTGGCCTGTCTCATATTCTCCCCCACCCCGTCCGGCAGCGACAAAAGCTGCTCTCTTCTCCTTTCTCCCTTTGGCGGGTCCTTTTTGACAATTGTCATTGTCCTTCTTTTTTGTTTCACCTTCTTTTCCTTCTTTGACAATCTCATTAACGGTGGTACTAGATTCTACCGGGTTGCCCTGCAGTGACCGGTTCACCAGCATTCCTTTCGTTGCCCACCGACAAAATTCAGGTCTCTAGGACATACTTCAGCCGATCTGTCATTCCTGTGGCGTGAGACTGTGCGATCTTAGGAGACTTTTATCGATTGAATGTTTTCTTCGTTCTCCTTCCTACCGAGACCTTCAGCAAACTAGGCAGGCCCTTCGACACCACCTACCATATCTTAGGACCAACTAGGCTCTGGCCTTCACTGCATTTCATTCTTTTTTATTTCCATTTGAGCCAGCCCGGTGTTGCTCGCTGATAGTCGCCTATCTTTCGCTTCACCTGAAGAGTTTCAGCACTTTACAGGCCTTGATATCAAGCCTCCCCTTCTTTATTACTCAAAGCCACCAGGCAAGCTGGTCTTGCACAATATCAAAATTTGCACCCTCAAATTCTGGCTTTCTATATAGACTTCAAAGGTCATTCAACCTCTCGACACAATATGCAACATCTCATTCTCGCTCTATCCCTCGCGGGACTCGGCAGCGCCATTGAGATCGAAAAGCGACATGGCAGCAGCGCAAGTCAAATGTTCTATGAAGCAGTCAACGATGATCTGGCTCGTTATGCCATCCTCGCCCTCGGCTGTACTGCCGCCGCATACCTCGTATGGCATATCTGGTTCCGGTTCACGGCTCATCTTCGACGACTATCCACTTTCGGCGATGACAGACAGCGATACTTCGTGCCCGCGCACAGCACGTTCGCCTGGTTCAAGGAGCACTTGATTTATGCCCCCCTTTTCCGGACACGCCACAACCGTGAGATACAGTTGTCCTCGGCAATCAACATGGGTACCCTGCCGAGCCGTTTCCATGGGATCCTTGTATTCGGTGTTGTTGCGATGAATGTCATCCTCTGTGTAGTGACCACTCCTTTCGGTTCGTCCGAGGACACTGTCGCAGGCATTGTACGCAACCGAACGGGCACAATGGCCACCCTCAACCTGATTCCTTTGGTGATCATGGCTGGCCGGAACAATCCTCTCATCGCCATCCTCCATGTGCCCTATGACACCTGGAACCTACTCCACCGCTGGCTTGGCCGCATTGTAGTGGCACAAGGCCTTGCACACACTTTCGCTTGGGCCATTCCCAAGGGCCAGGAGAGCGGTTGGAATATTGTCGGCATGGCGGTCAGCGGTAGCAGCTTCCTGCTTGCGGGCTTGGTGGCCACCGCCGCCCTTGTTGGATTGTTACTGCACTCGCCTTCGCCCATCCGCCATGCTTTCTACGAGGTCTTCATTCACTTGCACTTTGCCTTGGCGGCTCTCATGATGGGCTTCCTATGGGTGCATCTGAATGGCATGGCCGCCCAGACTTATTTGCTCGCCTCTATCGTTCTTTGGGCCCTGGAGCGATCCACTCGTCTCTTCATCATCATCTACCGTAATCTGGGCAGCGGGTCTACTACCGCAACCGTCGAGGCCATGCCAGGCGATGCTATGCGTATCACCCTGCGCCTGGCTCGCCCATGGACTTTCCGTCCCGGTCAGCATATCTACCTTTACATCCCCTCCGTCGGATGGTGGACCTCGCACCCGTTCTCCGTCGGATGGAGCGAGGCCGACAATCTGATCACCGATGAGAAGTCCGCCCTGCCCATGTCGAATCAGGACTTGCGCGGCGTTCCTCAAAAGGAGACTATTTCTCTGCTCGTCCGTCGCCGCACTGGATTCACCGACAAGCTCTTCCAGCGCGCCTCCAGTGCCATCAGCTCTCGCGTCACTCTTCGCGCCTTTGCCGAAGGCCCCTACGGCAATATCCATTCCATGGATTCATATGGCACAGTGATGCTTTTCGCCGGTGGTGTTGGAATCACTCATCATGTCCCCTTCGTTCGCCATCTCGTGGCTGGCTTTGCCGACGGCACAGTCGCTACGCGCCGAGTCACTCTCGTTTGGATCATCCAATCTCCCGAACACCTGGAGTGGATCCGACCCTGGATGACCAGTATCTTGGCCATGGACCGTCGCCGCGAAGTTCTCCGCATCATGCTCTTCGTCACCCGTCCACGCAACACCAAAGAAATTCAAAGTCCATCTGCCACCGTTCAAATGTTCCCAGGTCGACCAAACATTGACACTCTCGTGGGTATGGAAGTCGAGAACCAGATCGGAACAATGGGTGTTCTGGTCTGCGGCAACGGAGGCCTCAGCGACGATGTGCGCAAGGTCTGTCGAAAGAGACAAGGCCGCACGAGTATTGACTACGTTGAGGAGAGTTTCTCTTGGTAGTCATGCCCCTGCGATGATATCTGTTGAGTTGATTGAGCGTATATACACCGTCCAATGTCTGGGTGACTTTCTTTCCTCGGGCTTCTGAAGCTTCTTTGTCTTTCCATCTTGTGTTCACTCTGTGGCTTTCGCTTTTGAGCTCGCTTCGCTTCTCCCTGCCTTGACGTGGTCTTCTTTTTGTATTATGCCTTTTGGACAGCGTCCTGTCACGTTCCTGGCGAGTGCCATGTCTTTTGATAGTTGTATATATATTTTGCCTCAATGCAAGATATGCGGTGCCTTTGATAATTCTCCTGAATAAGTAAATGATGTACGAGATTTCAAATGGCGGTCAATCTGAATGTGCCTGTCGCTTCAGATCATCCATCATGCACGAAAGTGGAGAACCGATCTAGCACCTATCGACCAAAGAAATCTCGATTGCAAGGTATACACAGGCTGTTTGGTCTGAACAGGATGATATCATGCACAGACTCGAACCTGATTAGTGCATATCGATGCAGATTACCAATATTCGCGACCGACATTGGTCATGAGCATGATCATCGCTAGCTGAGACTAGGTGCATCTGGTTGCGCCTCATCCATGGTCCAGGCTCCTTTTCGTTTGAGCCGTGCTGCTAATTCCATCTCCTTGGGTAGCTCAACTTCAGAATTGCCCCGCAAAGCCAACAGCGAGGCTTCAGTCATCCAAAGACCATCATGGCCCCCAACAACCCTAACGCACTCCTCATTATCCACGGAAGCTATTTCCTCCCCAGAGCCTGGGATACATTCAGTACCCAGCTGACGCAATCGGGCCTCACAGTCTGCTGTCCGCGCCTCCCAAGCTGCGGCGACAAACGTCCCCCAACAGCCACACTCAAAGATGATGTCACCGCCGTTCGCAAAGCAGCCAAAGATCTCGTCGACACAGGACACGTTGTAATAGTCCTTGCCCATGGCTATGGCGGAGTTGTCGCCTCAAATGCCCTTACCCCAGACCTCTACGCCAACGAAACCACCCACGGCATCGTCTACCTCCTCCTCCTAAGCGCCTGGCTCGTCCCATGCGGCTCCTCCATTGAACAAGTGGTTTCTCAGAACGGATTGGAAGTCCAAAAAACCCTTTTTGTGGAAGAAGACGGGGTAGTCTCCTGCAAGAATGCCGCTGAGACCTTCTACAATGATATCGACTCCGCAACCGCGGCGCAGCTAGCTCAGGACAACGTTACGCAAAATAGGGCTGCTGCTACAGGAAGAGTGAACGGGGCGCCGTGGAGGGATCTACCGACTACTTATGTTTATTGTACTAAGGATATGGCTGTTCCGTGGCCTGTTCAGAAGATGATGGTTGACGATGCCGTAGCTTCTGCTGACGGCGAGGTTGAGTTTGTGACGGAGGATCTTGACTCGGGACATTGTCCGTTCTTGAGTAGGCCCGATGAGCTGGTTCGGATCGTGAAGCGGGTGCTTGTTACGGTGGGGTAAATAGTCGCATTCATCGTTTTGCCAGCGAGGTGAAGTCGATGTTCCTTCTGGAGGGGCGCGGGTTTCGTGGCTAAGTCCGTTAGCTTCGGACGATCGGCCTAAGAGTTGCGGAGTCCGGCCCCTCTTCATCAACCATGTCTATGTCCAGGTCCACTTCAATGATTGTTTCAGGCTAGCAAGTATATCCAGACATGGAGTGACTGCACTTCTATGTATGATGTCGGATTATTGTGTTTAATCCGATTTCAGCCATTGCCGCTCACCTTCATCTTTATGTCCGACAGAGTCACCAAGTCTCCCTCGTATCATAAGTCTCTAAGAGTATTTAAAAGACATGTCTCCTCAGTGATAGCTCTGAAGCAACACTTCAGCGAACCGCAAAATACCCATTAAGCAGCACACCTACGCAACTCTCCATCACAATGTCGCTCTCGGGAAAGGTAGTCCTCATCACCGGGTCCTCTCGAGGAATCGGCAAAGCAACAGCACTTCGCCTTGCCAGCGAAGGAGCCAGTATTGTGATCAACTATATCTCGAACGAAGCCTCGGCCAATAGGCTTGTCGAACAAATCGGGTCAGATCGAGCCCTGGCTGTTCAAGCCGACGCTTCCAACTTGACCGATCTTGATCGCCTCGTTGATTCAGCGGTCGCGAAGTTTGGCAAGATCGATATCCTTATCCCAAATGCGGGGATCCTTCTAATGGCCGATTTGGAGCATACTTCCGAGGCGGATTTCGATCAGACTTATAATCTCATGGTGAAAGGGCCATACTTCCTGGCTCAGGTGAGTCCCGAACTCACGCCCTTTTGCATAAGATGACCGACATGGCTGACCCATCTTACAGAAAGCCGCAAAGCACATCCCAACTGGCGGGCGCATCATCTTCGTCTCCACTGGAGTCACTGCCGTCTCCAACATCGCCCCCACCTATCTTCTCTACGCGTCCGCCAAGGGTGCCGTTGAGCAGATGACCCGTGTGATGGCCAAGGATCTGGCGCGCAAGGGCATTTTGGTCAATGCCGTCGCTCCTGGACCAACAAGCACAGAACTCTTTTTACAAGGAAAGTCAGAACAGGTCCTCGCGGCAGTAGCGAATTTCAGTCCATTTGGTCGGGTCGGGGAACCAGAGGAGATCGCTAGTGTCATGGCATTCATGTGTGGGCAGGATAGCAGCTGGATGTCGGGTCAGATCGTGCGGGTGAATGGCGCAATGGCATGATGTATCTGGTGGGAGCTTCCTCAAGTTGTAAATAACATCCAGTCCCCAGTTCTTGTTCTCGGCGACCTCGGCGTGTAATCTTTCCAAAGTGGTCCTAGGGAAAAAAAAGAATCAAAATTGCAAGCTCGCGTTACCTAGTGCCATGGAGCTCTACTTGAAGAAAATAAGTCTGGAAATGTATTCCGATCCAGATGGAGATAAGGTGTGCACGATGCTTATTCAAGCCTCGGGGAGATTAGAAATCCAAACCCGAAGCGGGGAGCTTGCGATGACCTCAACCCCCCGACTTCTTTAAAAAGCCCCCGCATGCCCACTTACAGCTCTGTTCACGATTAATTTTCACACCACTAACAAGCCCGTCAATCACTCGAAATGACTTCTCCCGACATCACTCTCTACACGGCCCAGACGCCCAATGGAATCAAGATTTCAATGGCGCTCGAGGAGCTTGGGTACGCAAGCTACCCGGACTGTTTTGGCCCCACTAACAGCTCAACAGACTTCCTTACAAGGTCGAGAAAATCGATATCTCGAAGAACACCCAGAAAGAACCGTGAATGCCCATGTTGCCATCAGACACATCCCGATACTGACAGTCCCTTAGCTGGTTCTTGGAAATCAACCCCAACGGCCGCATCCCCGCCTTGACCGATACTTTCAGCGACGGCCAAAAGATCCGTCTCTTCGAGTCCGGCAGTATCCTGCAATATCTGGCCGAACAATATGACACCGAGCACAAGATCTCGTTCCCCAAGGGCAGCCGGGAATCCTACGAGATGAACAACTGGCTCTTCTTCCAAAATGCCGGCCTCGGTCCAATGCAAGGCCAAGCGAACCACTTCTCGCGTTACGCCCCCGAGCACATCGAGTACGGCGTGACCCGATACGTCAATGAGACGCGTCGCCTGTACGGTGTTTTGGACAAGCACCTCGCTCAGTCCAAGTCCGGTTACATTGTCGGCGACCATGTCTCCATTGCTGATATTTCTCACTGGGGCTGGGTGGCTGCTGCTGGATGGGCTGGTCTTGACATTGAGGAATTCCCGCACGTGAAGGCTTGGGAGGAGCGCATGGCTCAGCGCGAGGGTACTGAGAAGGGTCGTCATGTTCCTTCGAAGCACACAATTAAGGATCTGCTCAAGGATAAGGCTGCTATGGAGAAGCATGCTGCTGAGTCGCGGTCGTGGATTCAGCAGGGTATGAAGGAGGATGCAAAGAACAAAATCTGAAGGCGAGATGAGCATTTAAGCACCCTTAATTGAATACACCTTGACAAATTAGATGGGACATCAACCCATTGAACACTAGCTCTACGCTACAGCTCGCTTCGCCGAGTTCAAAAGCTCGCGCCGCCGTCAGCTTTAAATGTCGGACCATCTTTGTAGAAAAAGTGTGACCACCATAGACGTAGATTCAAGACCCTGTCGTTGTCAATTTCTGTTGGACAACTCGAAGGTGGTCAAGATGATCTTGTTTCAATCGACTTGTCGTGGGCTCCAGGAGGCTGGTGTTGCCTGGCTGTCTTCTTTATATTTGGATACGCATTAGCAGGCCAAATTAGTCTATCTTCATCAACCTCATCAATCGAAATATCAATTTGACCATAGATGAGGCCTCTGTTGAAGGAACATGATTGAAATTTGACTGGCCCTGGAAGCGGTTCGAGGTCAGAGTGAGGGAGGTTTTCCCTCTAGCATGGTCTTTCACTGTGCCTTACAATGAAATTCCAGAGGTTGAAGGATACTTGTAGCCAGACGTTGTGAACAGTCATTGTGGCAGAGAGTAGTAGGTAGGCAAAAAGAGTAAATAAAGAGAGAAATAAGCTTTTGATGGAAACACTAGCCAATGATCAGATAGCTTTTAGTGCACGTGATCATGCAGCTCACTGAGAGCCATTCATAACTGCGAATATGCCCACCGCCCGGCAGAGTGAGCATACCGCTTTGTCCCAGTCACGTGGTGCGTGGCCACTTTTCACTGAACGGGAGCTTCTTCCATGAAGACTCGTCACACCACCTACGACCTTTTTGGAATTTGAAGAGTCATGGCTTGGCGCAATCAAGGCATCACAGGCTCTAATAACATCCCTCTGGGCAGCCGACGCCGTGGGTTCGGGGAGGAGGAGGAAGATGATAGTCGCACCGCGACTCCTTCCTCTGTGCCTGATGGCCCTAAGCGTGGCCGCAGTCCCATTCGAGGTATGTTTCTCCATACAAGTACTTCGCAAGGGTGTTTTTTCTGACCGTTGTTTTTCCTGGAATAGCCGAGCCCGCGGCCGATGGCGTGAAGAGGCGCAAGAAGCGCAACCGCTGGGGAGACCAGCAAGAGAATAAGGCCGCCGGTCTGATGGGCCTGCCCACGATGATCATGGCGAACTTCACCAGCGAACAACTTGAGGCTTACACCCTGCATCTGCGCATCGAAGAGATCAGCCAGAAGCTTCGGATCAACGACGTGGTCCCAGCTGATGGTGACAGGTATGTACACTTCAGGAGACACGCGCCGACGCAACACACCAGATACTAACTTTCATGCAGATCTCCTTCGCCCCCGCCGCAGTACGACAACTTTGGTAGACGTGTGAACACCCGCGAGTACCGCTACCGCAAGCGCCTCGAGGATGAGCGTCACAAGCTGGTCGAAAAGGCCATGAAGACCATCCCTAACTACCACCCGCCCTCAGACTACAGACGTCCCACCAAGACCCAAGAGAAGGTCTACGTCCCAGTCAATGACTATCCAGAGATTAACTTCAGTATGATAACTAACCCTCTAACTCCTAACTATCCCTTCACCATGCTTTTGAAGGGCACCCTGCTCGACTCGAGTCGACGAGATTTCCTCGGATGTCCTCGGCCCGTTTCTTGCTAAATGTTGGGTGCTTGATGTTGCACACTGCTCTGCGCGCTTTACAATTACCGGATGAACTAACACTTAGCTCTTTGCTATCTTTTTTAAAGTTGGCTTACTTATAGGACCTCGTGGAAACACCCTGAAGAAAATGGAGACCGAGTCTGGTGCCAAGATCGCCATTCGCGGCAAAGGTTCCGTCAAGGAGGGCAAGGGTCGATCTGACGCCGCTCACGCTAGCAACCAGGAGGAAGACCTTCACTGTTTGATCATGGCCGATACCGAAGAGAAGGTGAACAAAGCTAAGAAGCTGGTTCACAATGTCATTGAGACGGTAAGCTAGACCTCCTAATATTTACATGGTTGACATACTAACTTAACATTCCAGGCCGCTTCTATTCCCGAAGGCCAGAACGAGCTCAAGCGCAACCAGCTTCGTGAGCTGGCTGCTCTCAACGGTACTCTCCGTGATGATGAGAACCAAGCTTGTCAGAACTGTAAGTCTAAATTACCATCTATTACCGTGTGCCACAAATTCTGATCGTTTAATAGGTGGTCAAATTGGACATCGCAAGTACGACTGTCCCGAGCAGCGCAACTTCACTGCCAACATTATCTGTCGCGTCTGTGGCAACGCCGGACACATGGCCCGCGATTGTCCCGACCGCCAGAGAGGCAGCGACTGGCGCAACAACGCCGGTGGTGGTGCTGCTGGTGGCCGTGGTGCTCCTCGTGCTATCGGCACTGGCGATGCTGTCGACCGTGAGATGGAGGTGAGTTTTCTTTTTCAATTGTGTCTCACTAATTGTCCTTTCATTTCTAACTCTCCATTCTAGCAACTCATGAACGAACTGTCCGGTGGTGCTCCTGTCGACTACCCGCCCCGTCGTATTGAGGCTGGCCCTGAGCAGGGTGGCCACCCTGACGAGGGTGACGCGAAGCCCTGGCAGCGCGGTCCTCCTGGTCCTCCTGCCAGTGACGTCGCTCCTTGGCAACAGCGAGGCCGTGACAACCGTCGCGACGACTACGGATCCCGCGGTGGAGGTGGCGGTGGTGACTACGGTGCTCCTCCCCTTGGGCTGCTGCTCAGCAAAGTCGAGGTGGCGATTACGGCGGCTATGGAGCTCAGGCCGGATATGCTGCACCTGGCACCGCTCCCGGTGCTCCGCCTGGTGCTGCTCCTTGGCAGCAACCGGCACCTCCTGGTGGCCAAGCTTCGTACGGATATGGCGGTTATGGAGGTTACGCTTACCCTCCTGGCATGGCTGCTCCTCCTCCGGGTATGCCTCAGATGGCTTATGGCGGTGCTGGTAGCCCTCCTCCCCCGCCTCCTCCTGGCGACCAGCCTCCTCCTCCTCCCCCTGGCAATCAACCTCCTCCACCTCCTCCTAGCGATCAGCCCCCCCCCTCCCCGCCTCCGGCGTGAGGAATTTCGATTCTACAAATGGTCTTCTAGTCGAGAAAAGTTGTGGAGAAAGGTTTCGTTTCGCTATGATGCCAAAGAACAGCTTTCTAGGTTTCTTTATATCTCTGTCACGTAATATTTTCAACCATTGATCACGTCATGAACTTTGAAATTCCATGCCCATGTATTCGTAGTCAAATTTAGCTTTGACACGCCAGAGTATGTGTAGTTTCGTAGCATTGACGTGAGATTTCCCCAGTGATGCCTGAGGCCCCACATGCCAGTCTTTGGCTCACAGCCCTCCAATTTTTGACTCCCCGCAAATCAATAATCTGCCAATACCTGTTATATCTCCGGCTGATTAGCATTTTGAGTTAAATTTTTGCTTGGGGATCATCCTATTTCCATCATCGGCCTAATTGATAAACCACACATGCAGGGATCATCTCACGGGGACTTTGCCCTCCCCTCGGGTCCCAATATGCACGCTTCCGCCTCATCTTTGCAGCGAAGACCTTCTTGGCAGTCCCAGCGCATATCGTCTATCCGCTCGGGCAAATCTCATGCTTCGCGGCTCTCGAATTCATCCGCAACGCAACAAGGACCTGTGCAAGAGGATATGCATCGCCCGGCGACGGCGACTTCTGCTCAGTCCTCGCAGCCAAAATGGTGGCGCGTTCGGTTGTTCCGTGGAATGATCAATGATGTCAAGCGAAGAGCTCCCTATTACTGGAGTGATTGGACTGATGCGTGGGATTATCGCATTGTGCCGGCGACTGTATACATGTATTTTGCTAAGTATGATTCTCCGTTGCCTTCCCTTTAAAGGTTCATTTCCTGTGCTCCTTCCAGTCTAATGTCTCGCCTGGTGTGATGTTGTTCCTGTTCATCTGAGACTTGAGCCACGCTCGTTCTCATCCAACAATACCGTTGTACAGCAGTGCGCTTACGGTTGTTGCAGTATCTTACCTGCCCTTGCCTTCTCTCTAGACATGTTTGAGAAGACAAACCAAAGTTTCGGTGTCAATGAGGTCCTGCTTGCCTCTGTTCTAGGAGCCGTTGTATTTGCTCTCCTCGCTGCTCAACCTTTGGTCATCGTGGGTGTTACCGGTGAGTCTTTCCTCTGTCATAAACAAGCACTTCGGCTGAGATCGACCGAGGCCCTATCACTGTGTTCAATTACACAGTCTATGATATTGTAACTCCTCGAGGTACTCCATACCTTCCATTCATGTGCTGGATTGGCATGTAAGTTGCGCCCTCTTGACTCGCCAGCGACATGTTTAACATGGAAACTAGTTGGTCATTGATTATGCATTGGATTCTGGCAATTACAAATGCTTGCAATGGACTTAAATACGTGACTCGCTTCTCGTGTGATATCTTCGGGTTTTACGTTGCCTGTATCTACATCCAGAAGGGTATACAGGTCTTGACCCGTCAGTGGGGCTCCGTTGGCGAAACCTCCGCCTACCTGGCAATCATGGTAGCGCTTCTTGTCTTGATGGCTGCATGGATTTGTGGCGAATTGGGTAACAGCAACCTTTTCAGTCGATACGTGCGGAAATTCCTTGAAGACTATGGCACGCCGCTGGTCATCATATTTTTCACTGGCTTCGTCCATATCGGTCACATGAAGGATGTCAATGTCGCCGTGCTTCCTACCAGCAAAGCATTCTTCCCCACACTAGATAGGTCGTGGCTGGTCCGTTTCTGGGACCTCGACGTTGGGGACATCTTTTTGGCTATTCCATTTGCCCTTCTCCTGACTATCCTGTTCTACTTTGATCATAATGGTTGGTGACCCCGAAATGATATCGTCAGTTCGATATATTAATACTAATCTTTCCCGATAGTCTCTTCTCTCATTGCACAAGGGACAGAGTTTCCTCTCCGCAAGCCAGCCGGTTTCCACTGGGACCTTTGGCTCCTTGGTCTTACCACCTTCGTTGCTGGTTTGCTTGGAATACCCTTCCCCAATGGTCTCATTCCGCAGGCGCCTTTCCACACTGCTGCCCTTTGCGTCACGCGCCAAGTAGCAGACGAAGACGAGTCCAACAAGGGCAAGGCCGTTCGCATCACAGATCACGTAGTGGAGCAGCGAGTCAGCAACTTTGCGCAGGGCCTCTTGACTCTCGGCACAATGACCGGCCCCCTTCTCATCGTCCTTCACCTGATTCCGCAAGGCGTCATGGCCGGCCTATTCTTTATCATGGGTGTTCAAGCCCTTCAGGGTAATGGTATCACTCAAAAGCTCATTTTCCTTGCTCAAGACAAGAACTTCACACCAGCCTCAAATCCTCTTAAGCGACTCAATCGCCGCGCTGCCATCTGGGTATTTGTCATCATCGAGCTCATTGGTTTCGGTGCAACTTTTGCTATAACCCAAACCATCGCTGCCATTGGTTTCCCTGTGATCATTCTTCTCTTGGTTCCCGTACGTTCTTTCCTCTTCCCTTTGTGGTTTACTCGCGAGGAATTGGCTGCTCTGGACGCTCCAACAGCTAGTTCGTTTACTATGGAGAGTGTTGGCGGCACGCATGGGCTAGATGAAGAGACAGAAGAGGCGACGACTAGCGCAACCGATGGCCTTCCCAATGGAGGCGATGGTGTTTTGAGGGGCCGCCCATCTTCTTCCTCGGAACCTGTGATTGAGAATAATGACCTTGAGAGCGGCGACGCATATGAAATGACGACTCGGTCGTCTATGACGAGGAGAAACACAACGAGCCGGATGGACTGAATTGCGGGCCACATTCAATGGGCTCAAAATGGACTGTAACTATACGATACTTAACATCAACTTGATCTTTTCAAAGAGTAATAAACTTTTAACTTCTTGACAAAGACTTCAATCTAAACTAATGCCCCTTTGACTCCTAGGCACACAGTCAGACTAGCGATATCATTTGGATGAGCCGAACAAGACGGCAATGACTTGTCTGATGGGTCGTATTGAAGTCATTAATTAGAAGACATCGGAAAAGGACCAAAACAGGTGTCTACAAGGACAGGGAGATTTCTAGCCCAAAAGGAATCAAGCGAGAACTAGTAGAGGGAAGTCTTTTTATTTTGTTGGCACTTTCTCACTAGCGCGGCTGTACCACGATCTCCCCCTTCGCTTTCCTTCCTTCCGTTCATACAGTTCATAGTCCAGACCTGATCACGTGAGAGACCGAGAGAATTCATGCCTAAAAGTCAGTGCATCAAGCTTTCACCGCCAGATTAAAGATAACTTTTTCTGCCGCAAAATTATTTCCCCAACCCAAAGCAGCGAGCAATAATGGCGTCCTCAAATGAGAATTTGCAGTCTGAGGACTCATATTCATCTGACCACTCCGAGGAGAGTCAACACAGCGTCCAAGACCGTGCACCCAAGCGCCGCCGTCTCTCCGAGTCGGAATCAGATGACGAGTATGTTGCGCCGGCTCCGCTCCCACCCTCTCCCGCATCAAGAAGAAGGATGACACCGTGAAGTCGAGGGTGACCGACGAGGAGGAGCCTGTCACTATTGCGGACGCTCTTGAAATTGGATTGCGCAGTGAAGAGTCCACTTTTGGTGCTCTGAAAGTTGCTCCATGGCTCGTTGGCTCATTGACGACTTTGGCCATTCGCCGGCCTACGGCGATTCAAAAGGCGTGTATTCCTGAGATCTTGAAGGGTCGGGATTGTATTGGTGGAAGTCGCACTGGTTCGGGAAAGACCATGGCTTTCGCAGTTCCTATCTTGCAAAAGTGGGCGGCAGATCCGTTTGGAATCTTCGCTGTTGTATTGACGCCAACAAGGTATGTGCAGTCAGAGATCAAACCCCACGCATCCCAATGAATCAGCATACTTATCTTATTCTTCTTTCCACAGAGAACTTGCGCTGCAGATCTACGAACAATTCAAGGCTGTCGGATCTGCTCAGAGCATGAAACCCATTCTCATCACTGGAGGCACCGACATGCGCCCCCAGGCAATCGCTCTCGCGCAACGTCCCCACGTCGTCATCGCAACCCCTGGACGACTCGCAGATCACATTAAGTCTTCTGGAGAGGATACGATTGCAGGTTTACGCCGTGTCAAGATGGTTGTACTCGATGAAGCAGACCGACTGCTAGCAAGTGGTCAAGGCAGCATGCTGCCAGACGTGGAAACCTGTCTCTCTTGTCTGCCTCCCTCCTCGGAGCGCCAAACACTTTTATTCACTGCCACTTTGACCGCGGAGGTTCGCGCATTGAAGTCGATGCCTCGCCCTGAGGGCAAACCCCCGATTTTCGTGACCGAGGTCTCAACCGAGAACCAAGGCAATATCCCGCCTACTCTCAAGCAGACTTACTTGAAGGTCCCCATGACACATCGTGAAGCCTTCCTGCATGTGCTTTTGTCTACCGAGGAAAACATCTCCAAATCCGCCATCGTCTTCTGCAACCACACCAAGACTGCCGATCTGCTCGAGCGTCTTTTGCGCCGTCTTGGTCACCGTGCAACCTCCCTCCACAGTATCCTCCCTCAGTCTGAGCGTACCTCCAACCTCGCTCGATTCCGCGCATCCGCTGCCCGGGTGTTGGTTGCGACCGATGTCGCATCGCGTGGTTTGGATATTCCGTCCGTCAGTCTTGTCATCAACTTCGATGTGCCACGTAATCCAGACGACTACGTGCACCGTGTTGGTCGTACGGCTCGTGCTGGTCGGTCCGGTGAGGCTGTCACGCTTGTCGGGCAGCGTGATGTTGAGCTCGTGCTCGCCATCGAGCAGCGTGTTGGACGCGCGATGGAAGAGTGGGCTGAGGAAGGTGTCAGCATTGAGGGCCGTGTCACTCGCACTGGAGTTCTCAAGGAGGTTGGCTCCGCGAAGCGTGAGGCTACTGGGGAGATCGAGGAGGGGCGTGACGTTCTGGGTCGTAAGCGAAACAAGCTCAAGAAGGTCAGGTAAATTGAACGACAATCTGTATATCTGCATATGTACTTGATACCATTTTTAGAATCAATAATTACTTTAGCGATGCTGATTCCTCTTATGGGCCATTCCAGTTATCACAGTCTTTAAATCAACACCAATTTCGTACAAAACCTACGTTTACTCTTGCCTAGAACTGGGATTCTTTCTAAAGACCTGGTGAATGAAGAGTATACAGGTGGTATCATTGATTGTAAGTGTTAAGAATCGGTTCCTGAGTGACGCCTCCTGTTCCAAGATTAGAGCGTCCATAATGTCTCCAAGGCCAATACTCAGGCGTATGGTATCCAAAACATTATGAATGTGTTCGTTACAGCACACTTCATCATTTGAGAATGCGAGATTTTCGGTCTAAACCCAGGTGTCGCGAGTGAGATAAGACGCGTCGTTAACATAGTTCTAAGGGGATCCTCTAGACTCATTAAGTCCATGAACCTGGGGTGCTGTTTCGCTCGGCAGTGCTCATGAGCTTGAGCAAACCATCGACCGCGTCTCCTCTTTGTGAGGGCGACAAATGGTCTTGCATAGCATCATTGTCGCGCCTTGAACCCCCAGTAGCATCGCGACTGTGAGCAACGCGAACAACTGTAGCTGGAGGGCTACTCAATTGCATTGGAGATCCAAGCGTACGGGGAGGAGTGCGATGAGAAGCCTTTGCACGGCCCGTTGATTGTTGCATAGGGAGATCAGGTGTCTGTTGAAAAGGAGTGGAGCTCAGGTCGGAAGTTGTGCCGATGCGAGGCGTGCGGAAGTGAGAAGGTGTGGCATATTTTCCGTATGGCAGAGGAGATGAGAGAGCGGAGAACGAGAGGCGAGGACATTTCCGGCTGTGTGCTTCGAGTTCAGACACTCGACGATCGATTTGGTGATCGGTGACATTGCGCATCGCAGATTGGAGCGTGTTGCGGAGAAGGGCTGCTTTCTAGAAGAACGCAGTTAGCACATGCCCTTGCGGAAAGACAAGAGTCCAAGAGCCCCGCTTACTTCTTGTATGAAGATCTTTCGCGCGTCCGGGTCTTCTGGAATAGGTTTTGTGTCTTGTTCTGAGCTTTGTGACGCGGTTGAGGGTCTGTATGTATCCATCTGCTCTTGGGTCTGGTCGCGTTCTAGCTCGGAGGACGGTGTTAAAACGCGGACTCCGACTGTGTCCGAGTCTTGATCGAGCTAAGGTGAAACATTCAAATTAGCTAATTGCTCACCCGTACTTCTTGTTCTACCTCTGTGGTCATATCTGTAAGCTTACCTGTTGGCTGGCATTCTTGACTGTTGATTGGGAGCTCTCTTCCTCAAGACCCCGCGGCTCCTGCGCGTGTTCGACCTTTACATCGGCCTCGTCCACCTGGTCCCTCGTCCGTTTTTGGCCAGCAAATATCGGTGAGGGTAGGAGCTTCTTGGGCGATATGTTCATGAACAGGGTCCGTTTGACTGGGGTTGTGGCGTCCGCGAGCGACTGTTTGCTCTGGTGGGCGGGCGACAGACACGCGTTGGTGTCTTTCTCACCGAGTACGCGACGTCCGTCCTTCACGGGACTGAAGTGCACTGAGGTTGACTGCATATTGGAGCGTACTCTGAGACCGGGCGGGTGTGGGAGAGGAGGGTGTAGAGCAGCAAGCAGGATACAAGTGGGGGAAGCGGAGGCGTGATCTCGTGTACCACGCGAACAATGTGGGCAACACCGGTAACACTGGCAGATCAAAGTGTGTTCAAGTGTTTTCACAAAATGTGAGAGAAATGGAGAATCGAAGAAATTCGAGAGCAAGGATGTTCAGACAGAACGGTCGCGTCAATCGCGTATAGTCCCCCAATACCTTACTAGCTTTGTATAGATGCACGGACGCGGCTCCACCCCGTCGTGTTGAGCACGCGTCCACGGGTTGCCCTGACTTAGGGGCTGGGCTAAGTAGGAAACGTCCGTTTCTTTGGAACAGTCCCATTGATCTGTGTCTGTGTGTGTGTTGTGTTGGTTTTGACTGTTACTCATTATCGGTGCGAGGTGGCTTGCGAAGATTTTCATTTATCGCATGGATAGTAAATAAAAAAGAAAGGAACGATATCAGTATGAACTCTGCCTTACAATGCTCTTTCTAGGGTAATATATTTGTGTTCTTTTTCAAACTAGACCCCAAACCAGGCCAATGGCGCGTTTTCTCTTGAATTCTTGCCTCGCGCTCTCTGTGCCGTGGACCGCGACGCTTATCGATAACCCTGGGCCCCGATGAGTTTAGCACTTTGAGATGCACATTCAACCCTCTAGCATAAAATAGTGTGCGCTGCTTCTTATGCAATGCCCTCGTTTTCCTGAGGGGGCAAACCCCACTCTCGTCAAGTAATGCAATTGGAACCTGCATGGACAGGAATATAGAAGAGTGGGTTACCGTCTTGGAAGCAACAAAAAATAATATATAAAACACACTCGCATGAAGATTTGGAATTGATGTAAATCTCCTAGCTCCCGAATCGTGATAGGAGTAATAAAGTCACCATAGTCTTCACGACATCTATTGCAATTGTAATATGCTGGCCCTTGAATACTCAAAATCCAGCCTCTCCCACTGCATCAGAGCCTGAAGCTGCGTCGCATGACATCATTGGAGTTATCTCGACCTCCGAGGCTCATTTGGTGCACAACCGTGGAATGAGGAACAGGGCCCAATTGGCAGTGCATCGGGCGTTTTATTTCAGGCGACGAGCCTCTTGTCAACGAATCAAGAGATGCCTCGGGGTTGACCAAGGTCAGTCGATCTCAGCTGCGCTGATCGTTCCCCGCATTTCCGCCTGCACATTCCTGCGCTCCTTCGTTTCACGCTTCCACACTCCTCGGTCCGAAGTGACTGTGGTACAAGCAATTCCTGTCACACCTGTCGTTCCTTGGAAGAAACAGCTGCCAGTATGCAGTTATCACTCGCTGTTCTGGCTGCGGTCACTCAGGCCGTAGTCAGTTCAGCTTCTAGCCTCACACCCCCGGTTCTGCCGTTAACCGTGCGGAACCCCTACCTGAGTACCTGGCTCGGCAATGCTCGCGATGCACCCTGGTCCAGCTGGCCCATGTTCTACACGGGAGACGAGATTGGGCTGTCGTTGATGGCCCAGATACCAAGCCAGGGATCCGTGTATCCTCTCCTCGGCAAGCCGCAGGATTCCTTGGGCTCAAATGAAGAGTACGAGCGAGCCCCAGTGGTTCCTTCACAGCATGATGGCTCATGATTTGACCGCAGGTATCAAGTTAAATATCCCAACTATCTCGGACACAACTACGACGCCTCGACGACAAACTTTACCTATCGCATTGACACTGATGGCTCTAAACCACTCCACATCACAGTCTCATTCCTTTCTCCTATCACACCGACATCTACTCTGCGGCAGTCGATTCCGGCCTCTTACATAACCATTGATGTAAAAGGCGAGACAGATGTCAACATCTACATGGACGTGGACGGCCGTTGGCTGAGCGGAGATACTGGAGCCCAGCTCAAGTGGGAGTGGGATACGATGAACATCGGAGACAAGAATAAGAAGCCAAGCCTTCAACGATGGCAGGTTCGCCGAACCACCGAGCTTCTATTCACTGAGATTCGCGATCGTGGTGAATGGGGTACTCTCCACTTCACCGGACCTGCCACTGCTCAATACGAGTCCGGCGAGGCAGACAAGGTGAGGCGAAACTTTGCCAGCTCTGGAGGGCTACGCAACAAGAATGATGAACAGTGGCGCGCCATCCGTGACCGAACGCCAGTCTTCGCCTTTTCGAAGTCTTTCAACCTTGGTCGACCAACTGAATCGGGCTCCCTTAGCGTCACATTCACCCTCGGACTCGTCCAAACACCTGTTGTGCAGTATGCTGCTGCGCGCGGACTCACCATGATGCGCCCTCTTTGGGAATCTTGGTTCCCGACCACTGAAGAGCTTTTCACCTTTCACTATAATGATTACGCCGCGGCCAGCGCTCTGGCATCTAACTACTCCCAACAAGTGGCCAAAGATGCCTATCTCTCGGGCGCCGATGATTACGTCGACATTGTTGCTCTTTCTGCGCGCCAGGTGATGGGCGCCACCACGTTCTCAGGTACCCCAGACAACCCCATCCTTTTCCTCAAGGAGATTTCCTCCAATGGTAACTTCCAAACCATTGATGTGATCTTCCCGGCTTTCCCCTTCTTCTTGTACACCAACCCGCGCTGGCTGGCGTATCTGCTAGAGCCACTCATTGAGCATATGCTGAGTGGACAGTATCCTAATACGTACGCGATGCACGATTTGGGCACCCACTTCCCTAATGCCACTGGTCACCCCGATGGTAATGATGAATACATGCCGGTGGAGGAGTGCGGTAACATCCTCATCATGGGCCTGGCTATTGCCAATTCACTTCAGTATGAGGAATTGTCTGAAGCGTCTTCCATCTGGTCTACCGAGGGATCGAGTCCCGCGAAACTCTTGACCGAGTCATCCGGACTCTTCCCTCTGAACAACCTGCAGGCTTTGTCCGGTGTCGTCTACCAAGATGGCAAATGGGGTGGTGGCATAGAGGGACATCGCTTGGCTGAGAAATGGGTGAAGCGTAGCTACCGTCTCTGGAAGCAATGGACTGGGTATCTAGTTGAATTCTCTCTGGAGCCCGCTAATCAACGTAAGTATGGAGCAGAAAACTGCTGAACGGATGCTCATCGAATTACAGTTTCTACTGACGATTTCGCCGGCTGGTTGGCCCTGCAAACCAACCTTGCCTTGAAAGGAATTGTCGGCATCAAGGCGATGAGCAAGCTGGCCGAGTTGACCAGTCATGACGATGACGCTTCATACTTCAAGGTGAGATCCACATGCCTGTGTAAACTCGTAGAGTACCCGACTAATACAAAGCAGGATATTGCCGACAAGTACATCGCCAAGTGGGAAGAACTCGGCATGTCCCGCGACGGCACACACGCCAAACTCGCCTACGACTGGTACGGCTCGTGGACCACCATCTACAACCTCTATGCCGACGCCCAGCTCTGTTTCCACCTCGAAGGCACAAGCTCATCCAGCAAGGCCGAGTCGCCCGGCTTTGTTCCTCGTCACATCTACCAGAAGCAGTCCGTGTGGTACCACTACGTGCGCCAGAAGTTCGGTCTGCCCCTCGACAGTCGACACCTTTACACCAAGACGGACTGGGAATTTTTCTCGATGGCCGTTGCATCCAAGCCCGTCCGTTCGGAGATCCTGGAGTCTGTTGCGCGTTGGGTCAATGAGACTGTTACAGATCGCCCGTTCACAGATCTGCACAACACTGAAGGTGATGGGAACTTCCCCGGTCCGAACTTCTTTGCACGCCCTGTTATCGGCGGTCATTTTGCGTTCTTGGCGCTTGAGCGGGCTTGCGGTGGTCGTGCGATGAAGGGGCTGTCCTTCTTGGACGATGTAGATGAGGAGACTATTCAGGTTTGGGCTCAGAATGCCCAGACTGCGGCTGAGCAGTTCACTCATCCGTCTCGGAACCACCATGGGGATGGAGAGCTTTGAGCTATTGTTCATGGTGGACTCATTGGGGATGGGATGCGAAGGATTGAACGCGGTAGCTGTTGACTGCTGTTTGCTCTTTTGATTTTCTTTGATGTCCCCGGTAGCATGACAATTCCTAAGTCTGTATCTGTGCATCTTCTCAGGCCCGGTAGATAGCCGGGGAGTTTGAAGTGGATATATCCAAATAAACTTTTTCATCTTGTTTTCGATACAGTATCGAGCGACAGATTTACATGGATTCAGAATCTCCACACAGCTTAAAGAAATATAACTATAAAACTGTGTTAACGAGGTTCACTCCATGAAGAGAGAAGAAGGAAAGTGGAGGGGACCCGGCGAGGTAACAACGGCTCCCAAAAAGCCTCAGCAGGTATGAGAACACCTATCTTACACCTTGGAATATAAAATATGGTTACTTCACACAAAGCGTTACAAAATCAAGCAGCCATGCCGCCATCGTCGTAATATCTATAATCACATCCGCCACAGCATACAGCTGGCTCAACATAGCACAAAGCCCAGCATCAATAAAAGGAGTCTTCACTACTTCTTCACGGAGAACAAGAAGTAATATGTACTGCATAATAACCAGACATCCCGTATCGCGAGAACAGGTCCTGTAGTTGGAAGTACAGCACGATATGCCTCCATGTCAATAGAGTGTATATGAGCTCCAGGTTGAAGTGCACCAGTTTAGCTAGGTACTTCTCGGTAGCATTATCGTCAAATCGATATTCCAGGGTTCTTCGGATAAAGTCTTGTTCCCCAACGAAGCTATCCATATTCATTTATTTTCTCACCGAACAACAAAAATACAGCAGACTTCAGCGCTCTCGTTAATAATGCCTTCCAATCTACCAGGAAATTACATCTCGCCAGTAGCCTCAGCAGGAAAAGTGAAGGCAATACGTAAGATCAGACTGACAAAACCACCCTGTTCATCCCTTGGGCGGCGAGGTTACATTTTAGCCCTGAGATGATGAGGTCACTTCAGAATACTTCCAGGTGAACTTTCGGTCACCCTAGAAAGTCATCGGGATCATGGGAACGGAAGGATAGATGTTAATTGTTGACACGATTTGCAAGACAAATTAATTACCTCGATATCGAGTCAATGCTGGACGCCTTTCAGTCTTGTACTTTGAGCAGACTGTTTGCTCCGGTGCCATACATGGGCCCAGGTTGTACATATCAGTCCCAGTAGTGTCACTAGAACATCTCCCGAGGTCGGGATATACAACCGCGACATCTTACGAGCCACAGCCCGATAACATCAGAATTCAGATGAAGGATTTCATTGCGTCACTAGATTTCTCAGGAATTGTGGGTTTAAAATCAAATTACATGAGCCTGTTGACTTTCAGTCATCCAATTCACGTTTGCACACATCCACATCCGAAGAAACATGTCAAGAGCACACAAAAAGAACCCGGCTCTCTGTTCGACAGCCGGGTGACTAGTTTTTTTTATTGAAGCCTTCCCTGATAAGTTCAACAACCAATTCCATCTTCCACTCTCCATCCACCCTGTCGCATCAAAAAGAAAAACAAACTCGCGAAATTTCCATGATGTATCGCACTAGCTGAATTTCCATGGACTCATGCAAGATCAGAAAGATCCCCCAAGTGCGATACCGCACCTAGAGAACGGGCATGACGGAGAGAGAGTCAAGGGAAGAGGCCCAGGAAAGGCAGTCCCGTCGAGGACACCGGGAGGGGCGTTGGAAGCATTTAGTTGCCGCCCAGGCTGGGGAAGTTCTTCTCGTCGACGGTAGGACCGGCGGGGCCACGGGGGGCACCACGGCCGCCGCGAGGAGCGCCAGCAGCAGGAGCACCACGGGGGGGCACCAGAGCCACGGGGAGCACCACCGCGAGGAGCACCGCGAGGAGGACGGTCACCACGGGGAGCGCGGTCACCGCCACGGCCACCACGGCCACCACGGGGGGCGGGGCTGGAGCGGGGCTGCTCAACGTAGCGCAGGTCAACGTCAAGGAAGTTCTTCTCCTTGCGCTGCTTCTGGCGCTGGGTCTTCTCGCCAGCACCCTGGAAGTAAGCCTCCTCTTCCTTGTGCTCAACCTCCTTGGCGTTGGCCCACTTCTTGTCCTCCTTCACACCCTCGTTGGCGGCACGGACGGGCTTGGCAGCCAGGCTCTCGCGGGCGGCCTTCTCAGCGAGGTAGTCGCTGAAGGACTTGGAGTTGTCGGGCTCCTCAATCTCCTCGGCGGGGGTCTCGGGAGCGTTCTCCTCAGCCTTGGCGAGCTTCTCACCCTGGCGCTCATCATCCCAGGCCTTCTCGCCGCTCTCGGCACCCCAGCCCTGCTGGACCTGCTTGCGAGTGTCGCTAAAATGGTTGTTAGTCCTCGTTCTCGAAAATATGCCCGGCAACTTGAAGCGATCTCGATGTTCGTGTCTTCTTCTGCCGGCACAGGGTGAGGGTCGCTTACGTCTGACCAGTGCGGGACTGACGGTCACCACGGCCACGGCCACCACGGCCGCCGCGGGGGGGGCTGCTCAGCCTCGTCAGTGGGCTTGGAGCGGTTGTTGTTGCGACCAGCGTTGCGGTCACGGAAAGCTATAGAATCTGTCAGTTCCTCCGATACTATCGACTAAGCACGATAACATACCGGCCTCGTTGCCGGCGGTCACGCGGCCACCACGGCGGTTGTTGCCCTCGCGGGGAGCGGCGGTGGGAGCCTCCTTGGGAGCATCGCGCTTGCCAGAGCGGGCAATGGGGCGGTCGACGGCCTTAGTGGGGGAGGCGCGGGTCTGTTAGGGTCGAGCTCAGGGTCATTGCCTGGAATTGAGAGAAAAAAAAAGGTTAGTGGGCGATGGTATACGGAGCTTGCGAGTGATGGTGCGAGTAGGTGGGAAGGAGGGGTTATCCGGGACTAGAGGGAGGGGGAGAAACTCACCAAGAAGCTCGTAGAGGTTCTATTGAGGGCAGAAAAAAGCAGACGAAGGTTAGCCATAGTTTCGATGCACCGCCCAAGCTCAATTGTGCTGTCGCGAAGCACATCTCGAAGCTCCGTCGAGTTCAGCGTACCTTGGACCGGATTTCGGTCATGACGCCTGTCTGTTGCGGAGACCTTCCGAACGGGAAGGTTCTCGACGATCACAAACAGATCAGTATAAGTAAAAACGGGCACAAGGCTGAACCTGCACAGGATCCGGCCTCGACGATGATGATGAAGGGGTGGCTTTAGGTGGTTTACAAGGTGAGAGGAAGGAGGTTTGTGGTGCACGACGAATCCGGTTAGGCCCGATTTACTAAGCGAATCAGGCTAGGGCTTAGGGTATCATGGCGTCACTGGCGGAGCATAGCATCATACATTCACTACGAAATCAACTCGAATTTGAGCTGATTTGTGTGGTCTCGGGGCTCTAGAGGGGTGAATTGACTTTTTACGAGGTTATATACTGTAGAGGGTGCTTCATAGTAGACTGTAGACACAACTATGTACTGTACTTTGGTATCAATCCCAACGCCGGGGCAATGCGAAATCACTTTTGTTCTCATGTCCGAGAATTGTTCTGCTCGTAATTAAACGGTGTCGGAAAATGCATGCTAGCACTGAGTCCGAATGGGTCCGCATCCAACATTGGCTCGTACTGGCCCATGAGATGGTTTGGATTCCCGAAATCTCCGGGGTTCGCGTCCCCACCGGGAGGAGCATTGAACCCCGTCATATGAGATCCGGACGCTACCGACTGTGGCGTAAATCCCGTAACACCGTATGGCGTATTTACTGAGCTCTCGTGGTCTTCGTCCACAAGATCAGCCTGCGCATCATATTCTTGTTCTGCAGGAGTCAGCGGCTGCACATCGACCAATGGGAAAAGATGCGGGTACGTACCAAGTTGGTCGTAATGCTTTTGGAAAGGAGAAGGGTAATAGGCGGCAACATTGCGTCCCCGTGGCCCCCGGGGCTTGGGATCAGTGGGATCGGTTTGCGGCATGCTCATGCCTGGCGGCGAGGTTTGATTATTGAAGGTCCGCGGCTGTGGCAACAGCTGGGGACGTCCGCTCTGCGAGTCCACTCCAACGGGTGACATGCCCCCCTGAAAGCCGAACCCAGGCGATTTGGCGTGGGACGGTGAAGACACGTGCGAGGTAGGCGTAGCCTGAAACTGCGGAGACGCCACACCATATGCACCCTCCCGCTGCGACATGCCGAAGGCATCCGGCTTGGAGGCGATACCGGCGGCATGCCTTTGTCCCGGTCGAAGACCAGGCGGTCCTGATGCCGACTTGGGAGGCATCGGGTTCGCCTTTGCAGAGGCGCCCGGCGCCCCCGTCTTCAATCGTAGCTCCGCTTGTACGTCAATGCCTAGATTAATGCGTCAATCAATGGTGGTCAATTGGAGGGTTGGAAGATGGACCCACCTTTCTCGAGCAGAATCCGCTCCAGCAAAGAATTTTTGTATCGCAGCATCAAACATTCATCTGCGGCACTGCGGTGACTCTGCTGCAGACTTTGCAAAGAATCCTCATTGCGTTTGATGGTGGTCTCGAGCTGACGGATATACTCAGTCCGTCGCTCGCGGAAGGCCGCCTGCGCTTGTCTGTTGCGCTGCTTACGCTCTTCCGAAGTGGCATAGATCTATTGCGAGGTAAGTAACAAGAATATCAAACCAGACAGGGCCACATGGGAAGGCAAAAGAATGCGGGGCCCCGGATTACTGTAAGGATGGAAATGGTTACGTACAGGTTTTCTGCCTCCCTTTCTCTTCTGAGTCTGCGCGGTGTCCTGAGTTAGAGGCTCGGCTTCAGCCTCGGGAGTTGACACGTTTGAACTGATCGAACCGTCTGGTAACGGTTCGGACTTGGGCACGACAGGATCCATGACCGTGTCATTATGCTCTGGATGAGAGGTCTCGACCATAGAGACCATTGGAAGGACGATCCTCGATCAACTCGCTCCCCTATCCAAATTTCCCCTGCAGGCCGGTCTTCGGACACGGACCAGCACCGCAAAGATTGAAAGCACCCCGCCGAACCACGGGCTTGATCAAGAAACAACGCGACTGGCAAATTTCACAGGGCAACAGACGCAGGAGACGCGCGGCTAGGCGGCAACGGGATGAGCGAGTGAGAGGCGAGAGAGTGACATAAAAAAAATTGGATTATGAGAAAGGAAGAGTCAGAGAATGGAGATAAACGGGGTGTTGGGGGAGGGAAGGGAGAAATGAGTAAAGCGATTGACTAAACGAATAATAATGTTGTTTCGTCCGACCCCAAGGCTCCTTGGGGCATTTGGGGCAAAAGAGAGGGGCGTCCTCGCCTATTGACTTTTCCCTTTTCTTTTTTTTTCCTCTCATCGCCTTCCTAGTCTGCGTTGCCAACCATTGACGGCACCGGGTCCACCAGTCCACTCGAGGCCCAGATGCTTCAATGCAAGTGGCCAATTCGCAAGGTCCTTTCCTCTAGTGTCGTACGTTGTGATCTGGCATGAACGAAAGTACTGGAGTACACTAAGGGAGGGGATACATAGAGGGTACATTGCAGGTCCTAGCATTACTTCTGCGGAGAAGGTCCATACGGCGTAGTCAAAAGAAACACGAGGGGAGGCGAGGGACGCAAACTCTGACGAGCATCAGCCAAGGTTCGCCGAATAGCCGATACCGGGGCCAACCGGGGCGCACGTTGTTCGACGGCGCTTTCCGCCTATGCTCCTTGAGTTCACCGCGGGGTTTCAGGGGAATGCACGTCAGGTGCTTTAGACCTAAAGTAAAAACTAGCAAAAAAAAAAGAAAAACATCGAGAAACTCCGGGGATCACGCGGTCAGAAGCCACGATTGAGCTCGGCCCCCAGATCCTTTTCAATGATGCAATTTTGGCTGCGTTGCAGATTTTGCCCCGAGTTCCCGTGCGGGGGGAGGGGGATGGGTGAACTAGGCTGTCAGTCGTGAACAATGTCGATAATCGCAAATTGAATACGAGATCGGGGAAGATTTTTGTCTACCTTAGCCTACCTCAATCTTAGTAGTGTCAGTGATACTATAGCACGTTGCGTCTCCCGTCTACCGTGGTCAACCCTCGGCGATCGGCGTTCGGTTCCCCGCCAACCTCAGGCGCGTCACATGCCGAGACCTGACCATCAACACTTGTCTACATTCACGCCGTCCACTCGTCCCTGAGAGCTGTCGGCTTGCTCGCATTCCTTGTCACCTTCGGTCTCACATAATATGGCAACCTCCGGTCAGCCTGGCCAACCTGGCCAACCTAGCCCGCATGATTCTACATCCGTCCCCTCAGCCGAACCGACTACTGCGCCCGCAGACCCCCCCGCAGAAACAGGCTGATCAACCAAACCCCAATAATGACAATGACGCGGACGAGGACTCAGACTTTGACGAACTGGATGGTATCGCCATACCCCTCACCTTCCTCTCACCAACTGCCATACTAACAAAATAATACCAGACGTCCTAGATGACTTCTCCAAACCCAAAGCCGCCCAACCCGCACCCGCACCTGTATCTGCGCCCGACACCTCAGCAGGCGTCGCCCCTCCTGACTTTGACGAAGATGCCTTCCTGAAACAGCTAGAGAAGGACATGGCTAACATGATGAGCAACACGCCCGGCATACCTTCTGCAGACCAACCCGACTTCCAAAAAGCTGTAGACCAAGGCGCAGATGTCTTTGCGAAACAGCTCGAGGAGAGTGGAATCCCACCAGGCGATTTCCTCAAACAGCTCCTAGCGGACGTGATGGCCGAAGAGGGCGGGTCTGGCGCGGGATCTGGAACGGGAAGCGCGAAGGCGTCACCTGCGCCTGCCCCTGCGCCTGCGCCGAGTGCGCCGGCTGGTGGTGAGCCTGAGTCGTTCAACGATGCCATTCAGCGGACGATGGAGCGCATGAGAGAGTCTGGGAATAAGGCGACCGAAGCGGCGACCGAGGATGATGGGTCGGATGATATGTTGGCGCAGTTGCTGAAGGCAGTTGAGGCTGGTGCGGCGGGCGCTGGCGAGGACGGGGATTTGACCAAGATGTTTATGGGAATGATGGAGCAGTTGTCCAATAAAGAGATGCTTTATGAGCCCATGAAGGAGTTGGATGGGAAGTTCGGGCCGTGGATCAAGGAGAATAAGGAGAATGGCAAGGTTGCGGTTGAGGATATGGAGCGCTATGAGACGCAGGCCAAGGTGGTGAAGCAGATTGTGCTCAAATTCGAGGAGCCTGGGTATACGGACGAGGATCCTAAATGTCGAGAGTATATTTGGGAACGGATGCAAGAGGTGAGGTCATTTTGGACTTGTGTGTCTGTTTCTGATGCTGATGAAATCTTTAGATGCAAGCCGCAGGCAGTCCGCCCGAGGAACTGATTTCCAACCCGCTCATGGAAGACCTGGGAGGGCTAGGTGCTCTGGGAGGCGCGGCAGGTGCTGCAGGACCGGCTGGAGTACCCGATTGCCCGCAACAATAAAGATTTCAAGAATCCGGATAATTTTTCTTTTTCCTGAGACACGAATATGTTCATCGGCTTGCTCTGTACTGTACATATACACAACCACGTCGATACCCTTAATTTACTCCGAAGCATTCGCTGATTTTCAGACCCGGAATGGAAAACGCCACTCGATGCAATAAACCCGTAACACGACCCAACAATCACGACATATCCATATCCTGATTCGATTGTGCCGGTTCCGAGATCGTCATAAAAATATCGTCGTATTCGTCATCGCTGAAAGACGTATTCGGCTGAGGCTGATATTGATGTTGCTGACCGTTCTGTGCAATCGTCTCCTGCATGGCCATTTGCATGGCTTCTTCTTCGGATATAAATTCATTCAGAGCAGACGTGTCGGCCTCATCTGTAGTGTAATCAGCCGGTGTCCGAAAGGTCGTCTGGTAATGCCAGGCGAAACTCACCAGGAAGCATATTATCCTCGTCAGCCTCGAACTCTGGCATAACACTGCCGGCATCTCGTGCCATCGATTCCTCCCACTTCCTCTTATCGGCCAAGTGTTCCATCATCATCATCTGCTCACCACGAGCCTCGAAGCGACCGCTGTCGCGCTCGTTCTTCACGCGATTGATAAACATTTTGCGCGTTTTTGAGCGCACAAGCGAGTTGGATGTCTTCACAGGATTCGCGATCTGCGACGCATATCGCTCCGAGTACTTAGAACGCGCCGAGGGCGATGGAGAGGTGGGAGACATCACGTTGGATTGCTGTGGGAAAAAGGACGTCGACGCGCCGAATAGATCAGGAGAGGTCTGTTGAGATTGATTCTCATTGTTGATGGAGAAAGTCGGAAAGGCAGGCGAGCTTTGCGCGTGGCGGTCAAAACTGGGTTTCTGAGAATGACCTCGGCGCGTCGGGGATCCCATCGTCCATGGGGGCGTCGCAATGTTTGAGCTGCGCGGGCCCAGCGGCGAGGGCCGAGCTGGTGAGAACTGGCTCGTTTGGCGGAAGGGAGTTGACGGGGAAGAGGGTAATTGTGTTGCGAACATGGTGACGGTGGGAGTGGTGAGATTTGGCTCAGTGGGTTCCCTGGTCCGGATGTAGCAATGCGTTGCGGTTTTGCTGAGTCCGGGGATCTTCAGATTGGATTATCAGGTCCACATGAATTGCGATATGAATTAAACCTTATCAGCTTAGATGGAAATCACGACTTTTTCAATGAGGTGAGAGGCTGGGTTGCACATCGCGACGCGTATTCCACGCCACGTGATGGGCGCGTAGGCACGTCACTCTTGGAATGCACGAGTCTGGCCCATTTGATCTGGGCAGATCATCTTGCTTCGCGGATGTGTTAGCCTGCCATTTCCTCCTCATTTCTGGCACTTTATTTGACTATGGCGTCTTCAGCAAAGTGGAACGGTATCTTAATACCTGGATGAAATTCTTGCTACTACATACGATCCAGTATTTGAGAACCACGATAGAAAAGTTGTAAAGTCGTAATGCGAATACGCTCCGAGGCCCATGTTTACGTGTCCATGAAGTAGGGATCCCAATATAACTGTTTTCCCAATTTTACCCCCACGAAGAACAGAAGTTTCAAAGAACTAATGTATTAAATAACAAGATATGACAAAATTCATGTAAAGGAAAGCCACGGGCTTTGGCTGGGGAATCACACGGGATAACAAGGCAGACCGAGAGGACGAAAAGTGCCAAAGAGAACATAGAATCAAGGTGCGATCATAAGGAATGTGGTGGTTGCGAAATAACGCTCAAACGAGTGAAGACGAGTCTATGATGCGGAAAGGAGTGGAGGGGCGAAATGTTCAGCCCGAAAAGAAGAAAATACATTCGCAACCGAAAAGATAAAAGAACGCAATCGTGACCTTCGCCTGTCGTTCCCATAGCGCCTGATAATTGCATGATGATCGTACAGAGATTTTTACACTTCGAACGCCGTCGAAATGGCACAAAGCTGCTTCGCACTGCTTTTAAGCAGTGCTACTACCAAGACGAATAACTTAGAAGTTGGACGCGGCGTTGACGGGACCAGGGTTGTGATACTGGTCCAGTGTGCTCCGGAATGGGGTGCCGCCGGATGGGCTGGGGGCCTTCTCGCGAGGGCCACTACCAACAGCGGTACCGCCCATTAGATCATCATCGTCGTCGTTGTACTGCTCGCGGCGCTTCTTCTGGATGCGCCAGATCACAACCGCCAGAACACCAAGCACGATGGCACCACCGACACCAACCACGACACCGATGATGATCTTCTTGTCAGATGAAGAGAGACCGCCACCGGAGGAGCCCTTGCTGTCGCTATTGAGCGAGGGAGAGGTTGCACTCGAGACGGGAGTGGAGGTAGTGGTCATAACATTGGCAATGGTGCTGCCGCTGACAGTCTCATAGGAGGTGATGGTCTTGACGACCGGGGTCTGTGTTGTCGAGGAGGTCTCAGAAGAACTCGAGGTGGTAGATTCCATGGAGCTGCTGGAGGTGGTGGCAGCTTGTTCCCTGGTAGAGGACGTAGTCGGCTGCACTTCGGTTTCCGAGGTAGTGGAGGGAGCAACAGACGAAGTGGTGGAAGTGGTAGAGGTGGTGGGAGAGGGCTCAGTTGAGGTAGTCGACTCGGATGTAGAAGTAGTTGAGGTCGAGGTCGATGAGGTCGATGAGGTCGATGAGGTCGATGAGGTCGATGAAGTCGATGAATCCGATGAGGAGGTAGCAGAAGTGGTAGGCTCCGCGGTGGTGCTTTCAGCGGGGGCCGAACTGGATGTAGCGTCGGTCAGATCACTGAGCAGGTTGGAGGCCGCTGCACTCTGGGCCGCCGCAGCGGTCAGAAGCAAAGCCTGGAGGATGAACGAGAGCTTGGCGAGACGCATTTTTAACGAAAGGCAAACCTCACGGAGGTTTCGAGGTTGGCAAAGGTTGGGGTAATAACGATCGTGGGATGAAAAGAGGGAAAAAGGAGGAGCAGAAGAAACGGCGAAACAAAGCAACGCGCTAACTCGATGGGGCCCACTTGCCCGGCCCTAGTCTCACTAATCGGTATTTCGAGGACGTTTAGGCCTTCATCCTCTCGAGATGGCACTGTACCATGCAGTTTAGTTGGTTTTACTTCGAAGAAGCCTCATCATTCCTCACATTTATTAGTGATTTTGTGCCCGATGACTGGGTTATATTCAGCGTTGTGTGCGAAGGTATTCGCGTGTCCCAGGAACACCGGGGGCTTCTAGGCACCCACTTAGGTCATTTTGGTCCATTTTGACCCATTTGGCTCCAGTCTGATCCACCAACTCCACCCTTCGCGCTCTCCATAATTAGCATCCCTCTGACATCCTGCATCACCAGGCCCTGCAGTCCAGGCCCAATCCGACCATACCAGCATGCGACTCTGTCCCGTCGATCGTGATGCCATGCGCTCACAGCACTCACTGCCGTGATTGCCGCTATTCCAACCACTTGTCAGTGCAGGTGGTCCAACCCGGCGGTGCCCACCACTAGCCCTAACTTGGCCCGGTGGCGCCGAGCTGGCGGACTGCGGTGAAATTGCATGCCTCGCGTGCACTGAGTGCATCGCGAACCAGAATTCGACTCCTCGGATCTTCGTTGCCGGGGAAAGAGTCTAGTCCAGGGGCAAGTCCAGGATCATTGGACCTCTCCTCCTGCGGCACTTCCGGAACCCAGTAGGGTGGAGTCTTTCCTCAGCCGTGACTCTAGTCCCGGAAGATTGTGGAAGATGGTGTGCTTTCCTCTAAATTTAAAGGCTGTTGACTGGTGATCCATTGAACGGGTAAACAGCCGAGGGATTTACTGATCTACGTGCTATGATGCGGCTTGTATCTCGGTTGCTTGCTGCCCTACGAGTCTTTATCTAGCCCAATCCTACACGTCAAAGACGCCTGGCCCTGTGGCAGTCTTACTAGATAATCCAGATTGCATTCTTTCATAAATATTCTTGCTGCAAATATTGGTCGTTTGGTGCAATACAAACGAGGACCAGCGAAAGGCGCAGCACCGTTATTCTCCGGACAAGGATACAAGAACATGTGCTATGGATGATGATACATCTCAGTATTTGGCGAGATTTGAGTCTCCTCCATCGAGAGGGCGAAAGAGAGTGAATAAGGAAGAGTGAAGAAGTAATTATATTCATGTGGGTATCATTCAACTTTTACCGCCAAACGCCAAAGCAATGCCGATGTCTTATTCTTACAACTTGTTTCGAGGGTTGCCCTTCGCCTGATCCTTGAGCTCCTCCTTAAAATATTCGATAAATTTGGTGAGATTGGATTCTGCATTTCAATCAGTTCGGAGCTCGGAGCCCTTCAGAGATGCATACCACTCTTCTCTAGGGTTGTGCGTGATGGTTCGGGAGGTATCCCGTGTCGAAAATGCTGTACGCGCTGATGGACTCGACCGACCATCTGATGGAAGATGGGACTCCGCAGGAGCTGGACGGGTTAGTTGAGATCATAGCCTCGTCGGGTATGCGCACATACTCTAGCAGTCAACCAGACCTGGATATGATTAGCCACTGCAAACCTCTATACAGAGAAGCACTTACCTCCAAGGTCCTCAGCCAGAACTGATTCCAAGCCATGTTGGTGACGCAAATCGTTGGATGGCGAAAAAGCGGAGGCCGAGGGTAAAAAAGGCCCCCGATACCCTTAGTAAGCCCCGCACCAAATTCCCATGACACATCGCGGCCGGCTTTCCTTGTCCTGGAGAAGTCTATCATGCTTCTACGGCACTCCGTCTGGCTTTGATCACGCGAAATTCCCAAGCCAGCGATGACCGAGTGGTTCCGCCAACCCTGCGCCCGTTTATGACCGCGATGGCGAGTTGCACAGCACTCGTAGCTAGCTTCTCTATACTCCACAACGTTCCGCTCCATCGATCACTCCATCGATCATGACCAAAGGTTGCTACACCTGTCGCCGCCGCCGCATCATCTGCGATAATGGCCAGCCCACCTGCAGAAAGTGTCGCGATGCGGGAAAAGAATGTCTTGGTTATCAGAAGCCTCTGATATGGGTCAAAGGTGGCGTGGCGAGTCGTGGCAAGATGATGGGTCGCAGCTTCGACGATGTAAAAAAACCAGCAGAGAGCTCGACATCTCGACCTCCTGCTCAATCGCAAACCTCCGAGTTGGGATCCTTCCCCGTGGCCGAGTCGTCGCCTGACACCGAATCGCCGAGTTCTGGGACATATACGAGCTCCAAAGACGATACTTGGGCTTTGGAACCGTCAGAGGATATGGAATTTGGGACCGGGAACGCAGAAATATGGTTGAACTTCGATCCACCCGAGGAACCCAATAACAGGGTAATTCATGTCCCTCGAGACACCGTTCAGTCCCTATACAACCCAGCTCCATGGGGACTCATAGATCCTCTACTCAAGGATCTCAGCCAAAACTCGCGCTTCTACCTCTACCACTGTAGGAATCCCCTCGGAGCCCTTTCATAGTCTATACATTGACTGATTCTCTGTCAGACAACCAAAATATGGCCGAAGACTTTGTGGTATATGACCAAAGCAAGAACCCATGGCGAGATATCATTGCGCTGGTCGGCACTTCACCCGTTCTCGCACATGGATTATCTGCGATGGGAGCACTTCACTACTCACTCACGACGAATGCGGACTCTTCAATGATGCCTTGGACATCCTACAACCCTGCGCCTGGTGCAATCCAGATGTCCGCGGAGGAAATTGAAAGCATGGTCATGCCCGCCAGCTCACGAAAGCCTACGTCTCAACCATATCAGCATTTCCTTGAGTTCAAGCAGCGAACTCTTGGTCAGCTGTCCAGGGATCTCAAAAACCTTGCGATGCAGAATGATGATCGCACATTGGCTGCGATTGTTGTCCTCGCTCTTTTAGATCTCTTCGAGTCAGGCAGTGGCGCTTGGAGCTATCATATTGAAGGCGCAAAGAAGCTTCTTCGAAGTCGGCCGGAAAATGAACTTGGCAAAGGAATTCTTCAAGGACTCGAGACCTTTGCAATCGACGGGTGTTTAATGTATGTGACTCGATGTCCCTTCACCGTACTCCGATTAATCTTTCCTCCAGAATGGAGATTATGGGATCTACCCTTGCGCGCCCAGGCGTTCTCTCTAAACCATTTTATTCCGATACCTTGAGACCAGCAATGCTCAAACGACTCGAAGTCACATCCTGGGTCGGCTGCCCAGCCTATCTTCTTGAAGTCATCTTCTTCCTTCACGACCTGTGGTATCCAGACCCCGACGCCACCACCCACCCACAACCAGCTGCTCTTCCTGAACTCATGCACTCAGGCCAGGGCATCACCTTAGAATCCCTCGCCGCGCTCCTCCAGGGCATCCGCAATTTCGACCCGGTAGCCTGGGCCCAAGAAATGCAAACCTACTTTTTCATCTCTGACCTCTCCCACCGCACCGCCCTCGCCGCATCCTACAAAGCCGCCGTCTATCTCTACACCAGCCGTGTGCTCTCACGCCCGCGACAAGGGTTCTCGCCCCCATGGACCGACCTCGGCACTCCCGCCGATCATCCACTCATGTGTGCCGAACTCATTACTCAAATATGCGCCATTCCTCCCTCCGATCCGCACTTCAAATGTCTCATCTGGCCCACCTTCATTGCCGGCGCCGAGTGTCCTCGCTCGCAGTGCGCTCTCATCCTTGAGAAACTAGGCGCTCTCTACAATGCAGTGACTAGTGTCAACGTTCGTAACGCTGCCTGGGTGCTCCGTCTCCTGTGGGAAAAACACGATACTAAACTGTCCAAGCGCTATGAAAATGTTACTTCTGGACTCGCAGGCGAGCAGATGGAGAACGGCAATTTTGAATATTTCAACGACAGCTACCATGATGAGCTTGACAGCACTTTCGACTGGATCGACGAGATGGATGAGTCGCGTCTAGACTGGTTGTTCATTTAATTGATCCACGAATGACTTGATGTATAAAAGCCGAAAAGCCAGGCAACCTCTTTCACGAATAATATCATAATACTCGTACATAATGAATCAAGACAACCTACTACTTTGGAAAACCTAGATTAATCCGAGACATCGGACATAAGTGTTGCAAGCTCGCATTGCACGTGTCCACTGATCCATTCCCGCAGAGGCTGGTCTTCGTTAAAGACTTGGAGTACTTCAGCGTATACGTAGTTCTGTCAAAAGATCCGGCAGCTGTATCCAACAAACCAAGGCCTGCTCAAATAAACGCTGATCGACTATTTACATCAGACACAATAAAACCTTGACATAAAGAAATCGGGAATATCAATTTTTGGGGTTTCCGGTTGGGAAAAATGAAGGATATGAATGAGAAAGGAGATGCTCAAGTTGTGTATGAGAGGCGAGAAATAAATGCGGCAGGAAAGTCAGAACGAAAAAGGCCTAGATCAAGTAGGAGAAACTATGACGAGAAGTCCAGTGAAAACCTTGGGAAAAGACAAGAGAAATCGGGAAAAAGATGGACAAGTACCGAAGCGCTTCTTTGGGGATTTTTTGTATGATGCGAAAAGAGAAGATGAATACTGTAAGAAAATAAGAATGAGTATTACCGCAGCTCAGTAGCTCAACAGTATCAACATCTTAGAGAATCCAAGGTCACCAGCAAGATCAAGGAGATAAGAGGTGTGGAGTAAAGGCCTGAGGTTGTCGAGAGTATGCTTCAGATCAAATCAGGGATATAAAACGGTTGACGAAGATAGGAGACAAGAAAAACCTGAAAGACCAGAGGACAAAGGCAAGGGGAAAAGAAAAAATAATGGTAAAGAAAACGCATGCTCCCTTCCAGATCTAAATGCAGAAACATGTCCTAACACGACAAAACACGCTCATCACTGTAAAATGCAAGGGTAATAGAACCAATATGCAGAACACCCGTTATGGTCAGGACGGGTGGGGATGAGAAAAGAATAGACAAAATGAGACGTGGCATCCTTCACATCTATAGCTGCAAGTGCCAACAAGCGCTTGGCGAAATCCGCAGGTGCTGATAGCGACAACCGGCGATGGTCAGAGGACAGCGAAGCAAAACTTCTTAGCATGAAGCGAGCAAATGTTTAGAAGACCGCAGCGAGACCGTTTTTGGAGTGACGTCTGCTGAATCTCTTCCTTCCCTTCGTCGACTCCGAGTCAGTGGCCTGGTGCTTGATCAGACGCCCTGGTTGATGAGAGCTGTGCTCACTCTGTAGCTCTGAGTTGCGTTCAAGAGTGTTGGCGTGACTAGAAAACCCGGAAGAAAGATCGCGAAATGCATCATCGGCAGAGTAAGACCCGCCTTGTTGATTTAACCCCATCTCCCGAGCCCGGTCCAGCGCGTCAAGCCATTCTTGAGCTGAAACTGCAGTGGCACCAATGTTGCTCGAAGACGGTTTAGGGTCCTCGAAGACGTAGTGTTTCTCCCTCTGCTTACCAGTTAGCGAACGATATTTCTTCCCACCGCGAAGTTGACTTACCGTATCCACAATCCAGGACGAATGACCTTTGGCATCGGTCGTACTCCGATAATGGGTGCCCGGAGCGAGGAGAGAGATTTCCAACTTTGCCTTCTTCTCGTCGCCACCAGCTGCAACCAGGATGATACGTGCAGACGATGTGACCATGACTAACCGCTGTCGCTTCTTGACCGCCGTACTTGAGAAGAAACGGGAGAGCTTCTTGGGAGCTTCAATCTCGCCACTGCCGTTCTTTGATGTTGGGCTGTGAGATGCCGGAGAAGATAGCACCACCAGATTTCCCAATTTCAAGATCCGCTCATTAGACTTGCTCAGCACGGGCGACCATTCGATGTCAAGCTGACTTGGTGGTGGTAGCTCAGTGACTACTCGAGGCAGGGCGCGAGTATTGGCATGTGGTGCGTTTGACGGGGCCGTTGAGATGGTCGGAGGCAAGCTCTCACCACCTTCACCGCCGTTCAATTTGATCGGTTCACGTGCAGGTGGCACATAGGCCTTCAAACGAGGAGCCTTCTGCTTCCACATATCCGGTCCCCAAGAAATACCAACAAAGAATTCGTGATTCTTGATGTGTTCGATTTGCAGGCGTCGAGCAGGATCCAGGACAAGGAGACGCTCGACCAGATCCCGAGCAACAGCAGGGAAGCCAATTGGGAATTCATAGTCCAGCGCAACGATTTTCTGGAACGTCTGGTACTCATTGCCTGCTTTGAAAGGCGGCCGGCCAGCTAGGAGTTGGTAGATAATACAACCAAAAGCCCACAGATCACTGGCTTTGCAGGCATTTTTATCTGTCAAAAGTTCCGGACTGACATATTCCGCGGTGCCCACGAAAGAGCTCGCTCGTTCTTCCTCGGGGATGTCTGTTGAGTCAAGTTGCGGTATGCTGCTCGTGCTCTCGTTTGCTTGTCGCGGCACCTTAAGGATCTTTGCGGTACCGAAGTCAGTGATCTTAACATGCATCTGATGATCAAGCAGCACGTTCTCTGGCTTCAAATCTCGATGAATAACTCCACGCTTGTGCATATAGTCAATGGTGTCGAGTATCTGAGCACCGTAAAACCTCGTGCATTCTTCATCGAAGGTGCTCATTCGTTTGAGAACCCCAAGAAGCTCGCCTCCTTTCGCCAGATCCAGCACGAAATAGAGCGATCGCTCATCCTGGAAGGTATAATAGAGTCGCACGATGCCGGGGTGGTCGGTCAAGCGATTTAAAGTGTCCTTCTCAATATTGACGTATTTGACCTTCTTCTCCTTGATTATGTGTCGCTTGTCGAGGATCTTGATTGCGTATTCCTTCAGTGTTTGTCGGTCCGTCGCAAATACCACGGTACTGTAAGAGCCCTCTCCGAGAGTGTTTCCGAAGTTGAAATCACGGACTCCCTTCTTGATATAGCGAGCAACCGTCTTTCCATTGGCATCAACCTCCTGTCTCACGGAAACTGCAGCGCCGCGATCCTGCCAATCCTCGCTGCTGGGCGCTGGTCCGTTCTCCATGCCGTAGGGTGTACGGGACATCTGAGGCGTTGTTGTACCTCGTGCGTGTGCTCGGGACGATTGACGCATCACAGCCGGTCCATTGGCCGGAATCTGTGCTGTCCTGTACGAACGGTCGCTGTGGGAATTATCGCGCGCGGGCACGCCTGCTTGCAAAGCGGAGTTGCCGTCACGGGAGATTAACCGGGAATGCGAGACCGAGGTCGAGGTCGATGAGGCCCCCGAATCAGTTCGCATACGATATGAGTTGTCTCGGGGAAGAGCGGACGGCGCAGAGCCGTTGGTGTAGACGGAGGACAAGGGGCGGCTTGGGTTCGGAGGGGTTGAGTGCGGTGAAGCAGAGTAGGCCTGATATTGACTCGCGGAGTACTGAGGAGCCTCGGGGAAGGGTTGGACGAGGAGCCGATTCTCGTTCGCTATAGGCGTCTCAACAGGTGCAGCGGGAAAAGGTGTAGAATGGTCGTCCGGCTCGGGTATCTGAGGAGGTATTGACGCCGCACCGCCCGTGGGACCGGATGGGCTCGCACCAGATTCGGTCGCGTCCTCCGGTTGGGGAGAATCGTCTGGATTTGCTATTCGGAGCCCTCCCAGGGATTGAGATAGGCTGAGATCACCACCCATGCCGGGCATGGTGAAGGTGTGCGGAGGGGGTCGAAAGCCGTGATGAAGGAGGGGGAGAAAACAGGATCGAAGGGAATGGAAATAGCCGACAAATTATGGCGGCGATCGTGATGACAGTGGAGACATGGTCTGAAGGTGGGAAGTTGATGGAGAGAAAGAAGGAGAGGGGCAAAATGGATCAACAGGAGGCTCCTTAGTAGCCGGCTTTAGTGTCGGGGCTGAGCATAGCTATTAATACGTATAGAAGAGGAGTAGAGATTAGAGTCGTAAAATAGAGAGAAGAGACACTCCAATCTTCTGCTTCCTTAGCTCCTGCTCCAGACGGTGTTATTGCCCTTTGTCCAACGCGCCAGGGTAGACCATGGACTCTGACATCCTCCCTTCCCTATCTTCGAGACTGTGCAACCATTTACGCTGCTTGGCGATACTAACATTGAACCTGCTACTGCTGCGACTACGCTACGGCTCTGGCTCTATACCGGCCATTCCCCCATGATTCGACGGCCTCCCACTGTCGTCTCACTGAACGACGAGGAGATCCAATGCCACCTCCAGCGTGCATTTTCATTAACGCTGCCTCTTGAGTTCAATCAACTGCATTTGAAAGACGGGGGTCAGAGTGACGATGGCCACACCTTTGCCGGTGGTTGCTCCGAGGGCGGCGTTGCCTCTTCAGACTCTGATGGCGGATTTGATTTCACCACCATGCCTGACTCAACCGGAGGTTCATCCTGTGTTGATAAAGACTTTTCTTCAGACGGGATGCCCTCTTTGACAGCTCCCCATGCCTTTTCGCGTGTCGCAATGAGCGCATCAATCCACCAACCTCCTGAACCAGACAGGCCTCCCGATACCGCGAACCAGATATCCACTCTTCTCCCGCGGTACCGAACATGGCGATCTTGCGAGTCGCTGGGTGTCAAATCAACCTTGAACGCCTCCCGGCGCGAGCTGAAACTGCACAGTATAGGGCCTCGGGAGATGAATAAACCAGGTTTGGCCCATCTTGCGTGAGCTCGGTGGAGTCTAAGTTTAGCGTCTACAGAGTCTTACGAGGCACTTTTGGCCAGCACGGCCTCGCCCAGCATTGCGCTCCACGCCACATGCGAATTTGGAGCTGCCCGACCTGATTTGATCTTTGATGAATCAAGCGCGGATCGAGAAGGTGCACAGGCATCCAGCGGTCAATTGCCAGCCCACATAGACTGGGATACGCGTGGTCCCACGCATGCTGAGCATACTAATCGTGACGACTAACTATCATTATTCAGGCGGTGTGGCGGAAGTTTATAATTCCTGTTTCTGAATTGCTCGCGCCTTGGGCGCGGACGTCAATATTCAATAGCACTTTTCCATCACATCCTTCGCATAACACTGCACCCCGGATAAACCCGCCTGACACCGGGCGATTTTCAAATACGGACCTCGTAGGCTGGAATCGAACTGAAACATCGATACGGGATTCCGAGCTATCTATAGTTTTCGGGAGGGGAGATGTGGCCTAAAGCTCGGCAAGGAACTGACGCGTCCCCAACGCGCCCTGTCATTCCACAAGCCTTAACAACTCCGCATCTGCATTTTCAAAATCATCATCATCGCTTCGTAATGCTACTGGTCTACCTGATGTCTAGTCTCTTGTCTCTCTAGAACTCTAGAATAGACTTGGGTATCTCTTGGCTCGGTTAGGGATATTTCTTACCCTGGAACCCCTCTAGGCTGCAGCCAAGCTTTGCACCTCAATCCAGTAAGGGGCGTCTATCTCGATAATTTTAGAAAAGCAAGGGGATGGACAACTGTACGATGACGCCAAAACACATGGGTCCTGCAACTTTGAACCTGGTCTTGACAGATTCGGAGCTTAGAGTGGACCCGAATTTGACGGAGCCTGATGGCCCACTCACAATCAGCCAAAATGTAGGCTACCGAGAGACGTTAGGGAGGTATTGTGATATCCTTTCGATGGAGCACATGATACACAGTGCGAGAGTATCTTGCAGTCAATAATCTGACCACTTTGACGACCGTCATTGTGTGGGACTGATTTTTGTCTCGTCACACAACATTGCCTGATCCTATGAATAGATATGCCGGCTTTCTGTGCACTATCGTGATCATGAAACCCTGCCGTAATATCAAGGCAAGTTCTGTCCTGGGTAGCAACGAAAGCTCCCAATAGTATTTCAGTTTTCCAAAAAGACACACAATGCATAGAGCTATTCATTCTAGGCAATATCAGCCACACTCCGAGCTATTGAACCATCGATCTTCTGGCACGACTAAAGTGGTCTGAATGAGGTCCAATATCATTGAATGCTGAAAAAATGCCTATCCTCACAGCTGATTCAAATATGAAGGAACATTAAGGTTCCCAAAGCAACGGTAGTAACTGCCACTGTTAAGCTGAGCAGCGGAATTGGTCTATCACTTATAGCTTGACATCGCCTTCCGTAATTCGTGTCATTTGTTCAAACTATTCGAGCTCCTTGTGGAGCTGCAATATCATATTGCGCGTGCATCAACACCTTTGCTCAATAGCTATCTCTTCCACTGTAGCACCATGCAAATGGTGACCATGTCATGACTGTGGTAGCAAAGCTCATCTCTCAAAGATGACGGGGAGAATAATGGGTAGGGACACCAAAAAAGAATGACCACCTTCCATTATTGTTCGCGATCTTCAATCTCCAGAATATGCCCGTTGCTCATGATTGCTGGAAAGATGTGTACGAGTTTCAAGAAAGGTGAACACCAGAGAAGAAGGTTGTCCAAGTAAGAGGGAGAGAAATTACCAAGCAGGGTATCTCAAATTTTTATTGACGAGGAACGAAACGGGGCGCTGTGAGACTATCGTTGAGCTATATAGACGGCAGTTTCCCAAAGAGGAATTAATGACGCTCTGTAAATGCCCCTGAATTATCCCGCCTTTCTACCAAATGCACCGAATATTGGAAACCTTCAACTTTCCGCCAGTCAATATTCGAACTTGTCTTGGGCACTTAGAGGCATCTACCATGTGGTACATTGGAGAGCCACTATCCCATTTAATGACGTAGCTTGTATTTTCAAGCATGATCCTCCGCGTGTGCTGCATGATACCTCGATATTTCCCCTTGTAGGTATCACAAATCCGAGGTCACCCAGTTCCTTCCTAATGTCAGCATAGGCAAACTGTCGGGCAATCACAAGCCATTCTCATTTAGTTCTGCGCCACAAAGACCCCCCGAAAAGGGTTCAAGTCCAATTTTAGCGTTCTGGAATAGAAGTCGACAATCATAAGGATAGTGGTAGCCTAGGAGCGTTCGGCCCCTACTGCACGGTGTTCCGCACGAGCAGATCGCGCTTTGGCAACGTGCCAACGCAAGGCAGTGCAATCAACGCCACTGAGGCGGAGAATCATACTCAAATACCCGAGAAACCGTGGGTGTCTTCCATTTGGTTTTCATCTGGAAGGTATTCTGTGTTTAGATCTGGGAATCTCATCTACAATCATCGGGCTCTTGACTTCTATACGCATCTATCCCGAACTCAAGACTCCGCAATCAACGATATGGAAGACCATACCCCGCAAAAGTCCGAGCTTCACCGCCGCAATAACTATTCTATCAGACGGAAGCCACTCCACGACGAAAGTGCGAGAAGCTCTGGTAATGAGGAAGAGGGCCGATTGCCTATCCCGGAGTCGTCAGCCCCGGGTTCGAACGAAGACAGCGAACCCCCCACACGGCAAGAAAGGGGAATCCAAGCTACTATCAAGTCAATATGGGCGTTCCTCAACGCACCTATCGTGGCGAACATTTTCTTCGCATTCGCATTCATACAGTGCACCATATCCATTATTGAGAAAAGACAGGCGGCAAGAAAGGCAGAAGAAGACAGAGATTACAGAGCTGTACTAGTGCTGGTGAACACCCTCTCAAACCAGGTGAATCACCTCGCTGAGAGAGTAGAGGCGATGGCACAGAACCTTGGATGATCATGAATCGGTTACCGGCCCAGAGTCCAGCCAAACTACGACTAGGTTCGAAACCTCTTTGCCTGGACTACACCACCATGGCATGAATGTGCAAGGAGATAAGGAGCACGCAGAAAATTGACAGAAGCGCTTGACGAATCCAAAGATCATTGAAACAGAGCTGAAGAATACTCAATCTCCGACCATATCCCTCCAGACCCGGACACCATCACTACAACCCTCTTATCACCCAAATGCGGAAATTCATTCGAAGCACATCCCGTCGCAGAACTCGGCAACCCGGTTTCCCGAATCCAACACCCAATGTGCATGATATCAACCAGAATGCGGTTCAACCGTTACACTTGAGTTTCAGAATAAGCTTGTCCCAATTTACGGTTGTCATTCCGAGCCCATCTCCAACCTCCCCAAGGGCCACCAACTGCCCAATGCGGACCCAATCCAGACAAAAGAACCGGGTTACGGGAGTGCGGACCCACTCGTAACCAAGAACAGAGGATGTAGGAACCCGAAAACTTGGCTGTAATCTATTTCTATCTATAGGAGCGGAGTGGAAATTAATTCCAATTTCAGAGACAGGGCGTGGTCCAGATACTTGGCTTTCGGACCCACAAGCGACGCCACTACAGTAACTCGCGAAAAGGAACCAAACTACGCGTCTTCTGGTGCCGTTAGAACGATTGGCTGTGGTCGTTTTGGCAATGTGTCAAAGGGGCTAATCTTTTAGGTACCTTTTCTTTTCCTTTTTTTTCCTTCTTGGGGGCTCGACCCTGGCTTTTGCGTTTTTTGAAGTTGAAATTTTGGCTTGAAAGATTGGGGTGGCAAGACAATAGTCTTGTGAGGCAATTTGGTGGAGTAATCGACCACGTAACCACGTAGCCATACAGAGGAATATGCCCGGTAGAGGTACATTTGGAACCGTGATAAGACTTCTCGAATCGAGGCTTTCATCGGCGCCATCTTGTAAGAAATGCTCAGCCTTGGTACCAACGTCAATCAAAGAGGAAGGATTCAGGACTTTAATAGCGCGTCTTGAGGTTCATCAACGGGAGTCAAAATTAGATTGGAAGCGATCAAGCAAATCTAGAAAAAAAAAGAAAAAAAGTGTGTATCGAGAAAAAGGTAGACCTCCGGCAAAAAACGGCTCTAGGTGAAAGGAAGAGAAGACAATGTGCGAAGAAAGGGTAGTAATATGGGGGTTTAGAATCACATGGAACGCCAACAAAGATGGTCTCCCAGATGCCGCTTCAAATGCTCCCTTCGTGAGTATATCTTTTTTTTCCCGTGACGGTGTGTTCTCGTGCAGATTGTATCAAAGAAAAAGGGACAAAATTATCTACTGCTTGTTCTTGGCAAAGATCTGGGCACCATCCACCAGACGACGCTCTTCGTTCTTGCGACCGTTGACGAAGTCGGGGTAGTTGAGGGTCAGCTCAACAGCGCCGTTGACAATGTTGTCGACAGCCTCCACACCCAGCATGAAGGAGTGGTCCTGGTTGCCGACCTCGTAGCGCCAAGAGCCGAAACGACCACGAGACCAGATACCCTTCTCCTGCAGCTTGGGCAGAATCTGGGTAAGGGCACCCTCACGCTCCAGGGAGGGAGTGGGGTAGCCGTGATCGAAGCGGCGGTGGTAGGTAGAGACGATCTCGTCATCGGGGTTGAGCATCTCGGTGTTGACGAGACCCTGGATGGAGTCGGCAAGGAGCTTGTCGTGGTCAACGGGCTTCATAGAAGACTCGGAAACCTCCAACATGATGGACCAGTAAGGACCCTCCTGAGCCTCGGTGCTCTTAGGCTTGGAGCCATCGGCGAGCTGCAGGGTGGGGAGCTTCTTGGAGGCCTCGGGCTGGTTGTGGGGGGAATAGTTGGAGAAGATGGTGGCACGATAGAAGGGGCAGTTGTCCTCGGGGAAGTACAACCAGCACTTGTCACCGATGCGGTCGGGGCGAGCACCACGGATACCAACACCGATAACGTGGGTCGAGGAGTAGAAGAGCTGCTTGGTGAGGGGCATGAGTTCCTTGTCATCCATGGCCTCAGCCAGGAAGTCGACGGCCATGGTGGAGACCAACTTCTGGTAGCCGATGATGGTACCGTCAGCCAGAGTGACGGTCTTGTTGTTGGCGTTAACCTTGGTGACCTTGCCCTGCTCACCGAAGCGGGTGTTCTTCTTGGGGAGGGTGTTGGCAACAGCGATCCAGATACCACCGGTACCGTCGCGGGCGGGGAAACGGAAAGTAGCGTTGGGGCCCCAGTTACCGGCAGTCTTGTTCAGGATGACATTGGTGGTAACGGCCTTGAGGTTGGGAGCGGCGACACGCTCACCGAGCCAAGCGCACTGCATCTTGGTGGTGGGGACGGCCCAGACCTTGTAGTTGTAGGGGCGCATGAAGAGGTCGGCAATACCGGTGCCCATCATGCGGACGATCCACTCGTCGAAGTCCTTAGGCTTGGTGTTGGCAACGCGAGCCTCGAGAGCGGCATCGATCATGCCGTCAATGCACTTGACCTGCTCGGCCTTGGGGAGCATGGAGATGTTGTTCTGGAAGGGGTAGGGGACCCATTGTTCCTGGCAGCGGACGTAGGAGATACGCTCGTGGGTGAACCAATCCTCATCCTTGGGGAGGGCCTCGTCGATGCAGTCGTCGAAGTACTTGTAATGGGAGAAGATAACGTGGCCACCGACATCGTAGAGCTGTTTCGAAGGTCAGTATATTTGGGGTTTCTCTTCTCTCGCGCGGTTGCGGTAGAATAAGCCAAAACAATCGTTCCAGGAGAGACTTACGAAGCCCTCAGGGGTCACATCAGTGGAAGCGAGACCACCAGGGATCTCGTTGGAGTCGATAATCAACCAGGAGGGGCCATTCTGCACAATTGGTTAGCTTGACTGTCTCCGTACCCCTCCATCGGCCCCCTATTTGTTTTTTTCCCTGGGGGAGCGTTTGTTTTCCCCCCTCCATAGGGTGCAGGGCAGGACTTACGATCTGGTTGAGACGCTTCGCGGCACCCAGTCCAGTAGGGCCAGCGCCAATGACGAGGACGTCAACGGAACTAGAACAATTGAATCAGCGAGGCGAAATCGGCTGGAGGGGTAGATTCCCTTACATGTCGGGGTGGGTCATCCTGCCTTGGAGAAGGTCCTGAAAGCTAGGCACGCGTTTGAATGTCCTGCGGGCGATGTTCAGCATAGAAGAAGAACGGGAGCAGCAAGTAGACTGCAGGTGAGGGCAGGGAGAGAGTTATAATAAAGGAGGAAGAGGGAAAGTGGTTCGACCGTGGGTAGGGGTGAACGGCACTTACATGAGAGCGGTGTCGAAGTGGGGATGAGTGTCTGTTTCAGGTTTACGCCGGGTGGACTAGTACTGATTCGATTACCTGAAATGAAAGCAGTCTGCTTCAGACCTCGATCGGGAGTCTGGACACATTGCCTGGGGCGCCATCCCCACTGGCTCGGGTCGTCTCTGGCGGTCCTGGTCCTGGCTCAGGGGCCGCGAACAGAAGTCCCCACTACTGTGTACAAAACAACTGAATACGTACGCTTTGGGGCAATCTCCTATTTCTTTTTTTCTTTTTTTTTTTAGAATTTGATCATGATTATTATGGATTTCTCTTTTCGAAATCTTTTGTGATTCCTAGGTTCGTCAAGTCCCTCATTCGCTGTCACGGCGCCACTTGCCAGACCCTGGCCTTTTAACTATGTATCGAATTCATCACTACTCCATATAGGCGTGTCGATTGGTCCGTTCTTATCGTTCCCAAAGAGGTAAAGCAGAGCGCAGTTCACAAGCGGATCCACGCAAACTTCCTAGACTTCTGAGTTTATAAATGACTCTTGGTTTCAGGGTCCTTGGACGAATCAAGAATGCTCTTATCATCTTGCCCATCTTGAAGCATTTTGATTTGCAAGTCCAATAATTGAAACGGCGGATCCCCGATCGGATTCGACGGGCCAAGGACGCCACCGATGTCGCCGGGCACGTTGCGGCTACCCGCAACGGTGATTGTGATTGTGATAATGGTTGTCAAAGGTCCCCAAATGCCACTGGGGCACTCAAGGAGGTGAAGGGTGTGTAGGGCTACGTAGAAGCCATCAACTGAGTATGGACTGCTATTGACTGCTACTGAGTGATTCCCCAATATCCGGGAAATCAAATCCGGACCTCCTCTCGGACTGCTCAGCCGGGGATCGTCCTTTGACCGAGCGGTGTCGAGGATTCAAGGGTACTTGGTACTGTACATGCGCACGGAGGCGAGGTTCCACTGATTGTCCCTCCTCAAATAGGGAAGCCTGATGTAAATCCCTTTAAAATAGCCGCAGGCACCGATCCCTCTTGAAATGATCGACAAATGGCCCGAAGAACTTCTCGAAGCAGCAAGTTGGCCGTCACCAAAGGGGGTCCCCACGACCCATGGGGTGGTCGAACAGACGACAGAAAAAGCTTCTCTAAACCGAAACCTCCCCACCATCCATCATCCATCAGCTTTGGCCACCCCCTGTTGGCCCCGACCCTATTGCCCATTTCCCAGGGCGCTAAAAGTCCCTGAATGGGGCGATGGCGTCAGACACAGCCTCCCAAGACGATCGCCGCATTCTCCACCCGTAAGGGACCAGATGTGCTTCCTCGGGACGCTGAACGCGGGTCACAGTGGGTCTTGGCCAACAGCTGCTTGCGTAATGCTGTGAGTGTCAACTGTCGATTAATTTGGATCGTCCTGGGACGGTGACAGCCTGGTGTTTCTATCCTAAACTCGAGTAAGGTAGATAGATAGGTTACATTGGTTCATGTTGTCTCCGGATTGGAAAAAACGTCAGTAAACAGTAGAAGCAGATACGCGGTCATGTCATGTCGACACGTCCGAATACAGTCAAAAATAAAGAAATTAAGAGTCGGAGAGCGACGGGTGGAGCGACGAGGAAGAACGGTCATTGGTGTTAAAGCTCAGGGAAAAATAGGAGTCGCCACGAGCGACCGTGGTTAGATTTGGGGGGTCAGCCGTATCGTCCATACCAGTATTTGTATTACCAGCTCAAGTCCCCTGGTGGACCCCCCCCTTTAGCGGTGGAAAGAGTACAGGTGGCCTGAGCGAAGTAGGTAACGGTCACAGCCTGACAGTTACCGTCGACAGCCCCGTTTTCCGTGTCAATTGTGTTCCTCTGTTTGCAGCTTCATTCCCAGATTGATGAGATCCCACGCCCTTCTTATTTTACAACTAACGGCCCGTTAATTTTCTGGATTTTGTTGTGGTCTCTCTCCGTACTCTCGTACTCAAGTGCGCCCCCCGAAGTACGTACTCCATTCCATCCCTTCACCCTCGAACCACTCCATCTCTTCATATTCACTCTTTCAACCTACGCGCATTCGCTCAACACCTGCCCTCGTCACTCGTTAACCGGACACATAGTGTTCTGCAGCCTGTAATTCTTTAACTAAAGAATTATCCCTCGTGGCTTCCTCCGCCTTCAGTCAAGGAAGCCTTTCTCGGTCCCGGCCTTTCGAATTGAAACAGTTCTTCTCCGATCAAACACGCTACATCATGTCTGAAGGCGAGAAAGTCCGCGCTTCCGGCGAGACCCCGCGCGAGACGCTGCCCACCGTCAACCCGGCCGCGGAGAAGGAGGCTCCCAAGGCCGCGTTTCACCCCGCCGTCTACGTGAGGTGAGATTGGAAACTGGCCAGACACGAGGCAGATTGGCTGATACCGATAACCCCCTCCGATAGTGTCTGGATCACCCTGAGCTCCAGTGTTATCCTCTTCAACAAGCATCTCCTCGACTACGCCAACTTCCGTTTCCCCATCATCCTCACAACATGGCATTTGACTTTCGCAACGATCATGACCCAGCTGCTGGCTCGCTGTACCACCGTCCTTGATGGCCGCAAGTCCGTCAAGATGACCGGTCGTGTCTACCTGCGCGCGATTGTCCCCATTGGTCTCATGTTCAGTCTGTCCTTGATCTGCGGCAACATGACCTACTTGTACTTGAGTGTGGCCTTTATCCAGATGCTTAAGGTACGTTTCTTGCGCGTTTCGCCAGGATTATGGAGCGTCGCTAATAATTTTTCTCGTTCTGTAGGCTACCACTCCTGTTGCTGTCCTTCTCGCTACCTGGGGTATGGGCATGGCCCCGGTCAACTACAAGACCCTCGCAAACGTTTCGATCATTGTCATTGGTGTCATTATCGCCTCGTTCGGTGAAATCAAGTTCGTCATGGTCGGTTTCTTGTTCCAGCTCGGTGGTATCATCTTCGAGGCCACCCGCCTGGTCATGGTTCAGCGCCTGCTCAGCTCCGCTGAATACAAGATGGACCCCATGGTTTCCCTGTACTACTTCGCTCCTGTCTGCGCTGTCATGAACGGCGCCGTTGCTCTGTTCCTTGAGGTTCCTCGCGTCACCATGGACCACATCTACGGTGTCGGTGTCTGGGTTCTCCTGGCTAACGCCATGGTTGCTTTCCTGCTGAACGTCTCCGTCGTGTTCCTGATTGGCAAGACCTCATCTCTGGTCATGACCCTCTGTGGTGTCCTGAAGGATATCCTCCTGGTTGCCGCCTCTATGATGCTCTGGAACACCCCGGTCTCCCCCTCCAGTTCTTCGGTTACTCCATCGCCCTCATCGGCCTTGTCTACTACAAGCTTGGTGGTGACAAGATGCGCGAGTACACCAGCCAGGCCGGCCGCGCCTGGGCCGAATACGGCAACACCAAGCCCGGCCAGCGCAAGTTCGTCATCTTCGGTGCTGCTGCTCTAGTCTTCTTCCTCTTCGTCGGTGCCATGGCTCCTAGCTACGCCCCGGAGCGCGTTAATCAGGTCAAGGGCATGCTGGGTGGTGCTGCCTCTGGCAACGCTTAAATTCGCTGATTTTTGAAAGCGCCATAATTATCCAGAATTAGATATTGGTGTTCACAAGTGGTCTTCCACAGCTTTGAACTCTAGTTGGGCGTTGAAGCACTTTGATTCTTCACACAATTCCTTCTTTTTTTTCCCCCTCCATGGGCTGGGACCGGCGAATGCAGGAAATCCAGCCGGTGGCCGGCCCTTGTTTCCGGAGTCCTCGCCGCTGCGTCAAAACCAGAAGACTCTGGCTTTTCCTTTCTCACCGCATTGCCGTGATGTATACAGTTGAACCCTAGGGTGGTCTTGCTATTGTACTTTCTCTTTTCCTTTGTTTTCTTTTCCACTTTTGCACGAACATTGATTGGATGTTAGACTTGCACGAGCTTTGGTGTCGGATTGCTTTGGACCTGTTTCTTTCCTTTGATGTTTTCGTCCCCTTCGTTGTCTGAATAGTATTCCAATAGACTTTTTGAAGGTTGTGTCCATTTTATTCCTGCTCACGTGTACTCCGCCATTCAAATTGCCGTATGGATCATGACAACATGATACACTCATCCCCTGAGTATATTGTCGTGACAATGAGGTCAACGTTGCAGCGCATCGTGAATTGTCATGTGACTGACCGTCTGGTACAGCTACCAGACCAACTGCGCATATTTGGACACAGTGCCATCTTGACATCCAGGACTACGAAGACTACTGGCAGCTTCAGAGCGGAAAAAAAAATCCTCGTTCATCATTGTGGGCTTGGCACAGTTGCTCTCGTATCGGAAAACTTCTAAGTTCAATTGCGACTCAAGGAACACTTAGGAGTCGATTCGATCTATCAAACCATCCACAGTATACAATCGAATTACCAAGCAATCCCCCTCAGAGCTGAATGATGCCTTGATGCCCGTGTAGCACCTGTGAAAGGCAACCTGGTGCTGAAGCCAGTGTATCCCTCTGGCAAGCAGACAACCAGACCAACTTGATGCAGAAGTCAGACTCATCAATGCTATTAATATCACGGGGCTGTTGAAACAGGATGAAGCCTCGAATTTGTAGAACAGGTCAAGCTAGTGGCGTCTATTCCCTTTGAGCGGATTGGAATAGATGCTCGGAATGGTTATCATACAAGGCTGGTCTAAAAACACATCCTGGGTCTCGGTTCTTTACTATGCGGGATTAGATTGAAGTCTAGCAAGAATACCTGCAAAAGCCGAGTGTTCTCCTCCGTTCCCCTTCTAGCTCAAGAGATGAGCTTGAGGTACTCCTGGCAGACTTGATATCTATCCAGCTTTGTCCCTCTGCGCTTACTACCGGGCATACTAATCTCTCAAGATGTGAGCTCTTGATTGAAGGCACTATTAGGTCATTCAGGTTTGCTGGTTTTCAGGTACCTTTGGGCCCACCTTTAGTGTCGTCAACCCCCTTTGAACTCTGGAGTCAATGGAGCACCTTTGCTGGGTCATCTTGTAGGGTTGCTTATCTTCCATAGACGACCAGTAAGCGTGCACGCTAGGGTCACTTTGCTCGGAGAATTCCCACGGATATTTTGTTACCACGGATGACAAGGAATGCTCGTATCATATTTTGAAGCGGTGTAGAGATCTTGCAGGCGAGCTGAGGTGCGGGGTCAGGGCTGGGAGTTTTCAGCTGACTTGGCGATGACACTTGAATGGTCCCAACAGATGTTGGAAAACCAGCGACTATGGACAGACTATGGACACTTGTCTTTCTCAAACGATTTAAAGGTAATCTTTAGATCCGGAGATCCGGCATTGAAAAGTGTATGGCATTTCTTTTCATTCGAGGTCATAAGTAAAGTAAGATGGACATGAAGCCCATGTGACGGGTGAACAGAACTCCATTTACGCCAGAGTCCATAACCCACGGTATATCAAATGAAAAAAAGACAACCCATTCGCCCTTCGAGGGCGAGAACTGGAGCGGGGTTGCCGAACTGGTCAAGTTAAGCGCGAGTGAGTGGCCGAGCTATATCCAGTAAACTATCAGAAACATAAAAATAATTTCAATTCGATCGAGGTGGCGCTCATTTTTTGTTGGCAAGGTCGGGTCGCTTGATCGATGGCATTTCTCAATTGATTTTTTAAGAGTGGATTCCCGGGTTTACGAGTCGATTTCCATTCCCATTTCGACGCCTTCGTTCAGTCCCATTCCCGTGCCCAAGCTGGATGGAGCATTGTTTGAGATGGCTCGGTGGAGCAGAGGAACACCACCATCTACAGCGCCAAAGGCGGTGACTGCTGGAGGACTGTTGGATCGGGATGAGGCGACGAGAGGACTGCTGCCCTCGAAGATGATTGGGGTGCTGCGCAGATTGTGCAAGCATGCTTCCCAAGACGAGGCCACGAGCTGGGCTTGTGTAAGGTCATCGCTGAAAAGATAGAAGGCGGGCGAGAATGCATTGGTGGGCACTGCCGCAACAAGGTAAGCGTTGAGGGCGCGGCTTTTAATGAGCATCTGCGAGTCGCGCAGATAGTCCGAGTATTGATTGTCGATATACTTGGTCCAACCACGAACAGCCGGTGCCATATCGCCATCGGTATCAAGACGCTGCCAGCTGATGCCGAGAAGGCGAGTGGCATCGTCAATGAGTGGCTCAGCTGGAGGTGCAGGTCCAGTGTTGAGGGTGCGGTGCTGGTCGGCCTCGGGACCATTCAGGCGCTGCTGAATTGAGCACAGCGCAATGTCGTCGAGGCCCGGAGCGGATCGATCCAACCGTTGTGACTTGCGGCTAATGTCGGCGGCATCAGACTGCAGCGCAAATGAGCGCGAGGAAACCGGGGGCGCCTTGGTCTGTTGCGCCTCGGCCTGTTCTTCGTACCATGTGCCAGTCTGACTATCTGCAGAGATTGCCATACCAGTGCTGGGGTTCAGCAACACCATTCCTTCGCCATAGATGGGCTCTTCTTTCGGAGCCGGAGGAGGGGCCGGCTCGGAGGAAATGTTTAGAGCGGAAGCCACTTCGTAGGCAGCTTCGTCACGCGACCTTTTACGAGAGGGCTTGGGCGCGAAAGGAGCAGGCACGACATTCGAGCTAGGAGCTGACTGGGCTGCGGCATTGCTTGCGAAAACGGAACTAGGGCTTGCAGGGTAGCTATGGAAGCTGCCAGGCCGATCCAGCGCAGACTGAGAAGGGAACTGAGCGAAGGCGTGTTCCTGGGAAGAAGAGAGGACCATAGCGGGGCCATCGGAGAGGCGATTGAGCATCATTGGGCACATTATGAGTGTCGGAGCGCGGGAGCGGAAGGGAACTGTTCTGTATGGTTAAGTGAGCTACACTCCATAAGCTTTAACCACCTTGTAGATCACGAGTATAGATGAAGTATGTGGGAGGGAAGGTGAAAAGGATGAAGAGAAGACCGGTTGTTGGAGAGAATAGAAGAGAAGAGGGGGGTGTGAAGGTAAAGGGAAAAGATAAGAGTTCAGGGAAGTGGGAGGAAGAAGAAGAAGAAGGAACGAAAGAAAAGAGGGCGAGCGCGAAAAGAGGGCTGCGAGTGATCTGAGGCGAGGTGATCGGAGGATCCATTCGCAATGCGGAGGTTACAGTACCGAACTGTGATACACCGGCTTAGAGGGCACTTCCGGATTGACCGTTACATTACGGAAACGTCTTCGGTGGGTCCTCCATTGCTGCAGGTGATTGGCCAATGGCAGGAGTCCGTCCGTGGATGGCGTTGCGTCTGTGGATTGGACTGGAAAGAGGTACGGTACTTGACTGCGGACTTTGTCTCACGTATGCCCGGCCTCACTCTTTCTTCTCAACGTGACTCTAGCTCTCATCCGGACGAACGCTTCTTCCATCCCCTCCATCTTCCCCCCACCCATCCCCAATCATGATCATTTCTCCTGCACGTGACATTAAAGAGGGATGTCGTGTACGCTCCGTGAAGAGGAAGTCGATCTCTACCAGGGTCAGGTTCGCGGTCTCGGGGTAGAAGAAGTATACAATCTACGTTGGCATTAGCGCCGTTCAACGTGGGGTCCAGACGCAGGGGGCAGGGGCTTCCATACCGGAACAAACACCATGTTGAGACACACGGAGATCAGATATCCCGTTCTAGGCGAGGTTCTCGATCAGAGTCGGGGTGATCATCGCCACAAAAATGTTCCAGAGCCAGTTTGTCGAGATGCCGATTGCTTGCCTTCAGACCAACATTAGTATCAAAGTGCCCAGAAGCATGTCGGCCCGGTTGGACTCACCCTTTAGCGCGAACATGCAGTGGGAGAATTTCCGGACCATACAGTTGACAGAAGCGCCCGAAGATGAGCATGAACAGGAAGAAAAAGGCGACCGACGCCGAGGCCGTGGACTTTTCCACAGATGTTCCTGCACAGAACCGCGCGTGAGTGATCACGGATGATGAAGAGCGAGCCCTGACCTGTACCTACCCTTGAACGAGAGCAGAATAGCGATCATCATCATCATGGAGCTGGATAGGTCGAACGAACACCCACATCATGGGGTTCGACGGCCGAACTGGTCCGAAAAGAAAGTCGGATAGAAGGACCCGAAGAGACATCAGTGGCGGCATTTGATGGAGGCTATCGAGGGTCTCACCGATCACAAACATGACTTGGATCACACCCCCAAGGAGAAGGCCGAGTTTGGGGTCGAGACCGACGTTATACTGCTGTACCGACGTGACATAGTGGATGGCATGAAAGGTTTCCCAACCCAGAAATCCGAATATAAGCTGGACTCACCGCGACCAAACTGATCCTACCCATCTGATTCATAAACTGGATGCCGTAGGCCAGCAATACTCGCTTGCCTGTCTGGACCTCATCTCGGTTGAGATTCTGGGATCATTTGTATTCATCATGCAGCGTCTCCAACTCGATCGCCTCCAGAATTCCTGATGATTCGGACACATCTTGGACATGGCAAAGAACTTGCAGCGCTTCCTTGGGACAGTCCATAAATATTGAGCTTCACCATCGTCGCTTAGATTAGATCTAAAAGATGGAAGGCATGCGATAAAAATCAAATTCTGCCCTTGCATTGGGTCCCCAATTCCCTTTCGTACACAACCGACGCATTGCGATACAGACTCATCTTCAACCGAGCCAGGTCCCGAATCGGCCACTTCTTACATTGTCTTGAGGCGAATGACTGATCCGGTGTGAATGAGCGCCGGTAAGACAAGGTATTGCAGGGAGAAAGCCGGGGGTACTACTGGTACTACTGTAATGAATTTGGATGAAATCCATGGTCCCAAGTAGATAATGGGTAGAAGAAATCCCGAAAAAGGCAATTACTAGAGCCCTTCACTTTGAGACAAGGTGATTGTGGTAAAGTAAGCTTGAGGCCCCGCCGGGGTAAATCTGGGAGAGAGTCCACACGTCGAAGGGGATCTAAGGAGGCCCTGCTGGGAAGCCAAGTTGAGTGCTCGGGGAGAAGCCGATCTAGTCCAAGTATTGCTCGGGATCGACGGATCAGGGTTGACTTGGGTAGAAGTCTGCTAGAAGGCGGGCGTTTCCAACTGCCGCTTTGCTTTAGAGAGGTTAGAGAGAAGGGATACGTCGAGGGAGAATGGAGGTGGCGCAGGTGGCGCTCAAAGCTCGCGACGCAGAATTATTATGAAGGATTCTGTAAAAGATCGTGTAAGAGCTATGACAATGGTTCATCTATGGTTGCTCTATTGGTACAGGATATCATGCGTTGACAGCCAAAGTAAAAGTAATCTATTAACACACAGAATGAAAGAACACCTCATGTGTCGTTGTTCAATAGCCATCATCGTCACTGTCTCCGCCATAGTAGTCGTCCTCATCATACCGGCTGTAATTGCCGGCAAATGCATCGTCGACATGGTCATCTTCCATCTCATCGTCCTCGTCATCTTCCAGATCATCCGGATCGGGCTGCTCTTCATCCGGAAGATCCTCTTTAGGAACAGGGCCAGCGATTTCCTCGACGGGCTGAGACTGCGTAGGTGGTGGAGTGGGTAGAGGTGCACCAGACTGAGTGCGGCCGGATCGTGCCTTGACTGGAGAGGGACGAACTGAGCGGCGAGTTTCGGGTTCGGGTGCCCGGCTGGTGCTACGGCGGGAGACAATACTGACGCTCCGACTCTGGCTTCGGCTCAGACTCTCGGCCTTGGGGTGATCCTCTGTCTTCTTTCCGTCGAAGAGATCATTAAGAGCATTGTAATTGATTTTCTTACTGAATCCACGTCGCTCAAGCATTCGTCGGGTCGCCTCAGCCGGGGTCGCTGCGCGAGAGCTGCGGCCATCTTCACCCTCGCCCTCACCATCGAGGTAGGAGACATCGCCCATCCGGCCCTTGCGAACGCTTCCGAGGCTTGTGTGAAGATGGACCGGAAGTTGCTTCAGCCAGCGCACGCTTGAGAGCTTTGGCTTGTTGTGTGCGCAGGTACTCTTTGTTCTCGGATACCCAGATGGTCTCCTTGAACTCAACCTCAGCCGGCGTCAAGAGGCAGTGCTTGACCTCGGGATCGTCCTCGAACTCGCTTTCGGCAATTTCGGCATCGTCGGGAATGGGCTTCTGCTGCTCGGGTTCGACCATGCTCTCAATCATATTGGAACCTTTGGCAAGCATGGTCCGCATCTCGTCCTCCAGGGCATCTTCTGCTGCGACCTGCTCCTCAGACGGCGGTGGAAGAGGCTCGCGCTTCCGCTTGCCCTTGCCCTTAGACCCGACCTGTTCGTTTTCTGTGTCCTCGATAACATCGTTCACTGCTTTAGCAATGGAAGAACGCCGGCGTGTCTTCTCGGTCAGGGCAGGATCGATGGGCAGATTCGGGATGGCGAAGCCGTCAGCATCGATTCGTGAAGGTTGAACGGATCCGTGTTCGCTTTCGGTGTCCCATTCCAATTCTGCTGCGGTCTCTGCGGCCTTGTGGTTGATATGGCTGGGTTTGCGGCCTTCCCTTGCGCGAGTGAAGGAAGGCGGATCGTGTGCATTCTCAAGTTGTACGGAGCGGAATTGATCAACGGTCAAGTCTCCACTCTCGGTTGAGCTAAACTCATTTAAACGCTGGCTAATGGTAATTTCGGTCACCTTCACCACGTAGACAACCTCACGAACGGTCCGGCGGAAATTATTCATTCGAGCAGCAAGAATCAGTGCCGCACCGCAGACACCGGCCGGTCTTCGACCAGTTGTCATCCAGTCACGGTTCATTCGCTGCACAATACGGACAGCCTCACCAGCGACTTGCATGGTGGCTGGTCCGAACTCCAATTGCTTTGAGAATCGATAGATGAGGCTCTCGGGGTCGATAGGATTCATCAGAAAGACGTTGCCTCCCAGGCGAAGCTCATCAAGAAGGGCTTTGTAGGTGCGACCAAGTTTGAAGACGTTGATCATCAAAACATCGGCGAAGTCGATCAACATCACTGTATTGCCATCCTGGCGACGGCAAGCAATGTAGAGACACACTGCAGCCACAGTTTTCGTTCGCCGACCCTGGATGAAGTTCAATCCGACTGCGAGCTTGAATACCTGACCAGCAGCCTTTGAAGCACTCTCTGGAATGGTCAAAGCTCGCGCCAGCTGGCTAATATAGCGGTTTCCATTTGCTTCAGTCATCTCTCGGCTCTCCATTGCGCCACCTCGCTGGAAGCCGGGACCAAAGCTGCGTACATGGGTCTGATCTTCGCCGACGAAAGTACCCTGAACGACAGCAGCTCCGGAAGAGCTCTCACCAAAGGTGACTTCAGACACGATATTGGATTCACTGATGACAGTACCACATCCAGAGCAAACCTTCTGGCCTTCATCTTCAACAATGTGGGGAGCAGGACAACCTGGGTTGGGACAGCTAGAAGTCTTGGGATGTGTAGTGGGCCGTGGAGGTTGAGGGCGGCTGATTGAGGGACGCTTGATAGGAGTCGGAGTCGGAGCTCTAGTGGTAGCCAAGCGCTTGACGGGTGCTCGAGGCCCACGGGGAGTCACGCTTATTCGCGTGGCGGGCTTCGACATGATGACGGATGATCGATGATGAAGTCAGGACAGTACAGATATCCGGATCTTAATTTGAATCAAAGGTTGAGGAGCTCCCGGAGCTCTAAATGATTCAAAAGAAATTCTAAGCAGAACTAGATTGGCAACCTCATAGCGCGTAGGCTAGCGATAGAGATGGGAAGAAGCAGGAGGAATGAGTCGACAAGTGGAGAAGAGGCGGAGTCGGTGATCAGACGGTGAGAGCCGGAAAGGCAAGAATCATTGAAGGTCAGTGATGCCACACTCGCGCGATACAAGCCGAGCCTTGAGAGTGTCTTCAGAGCTCTGAATAATTCTTGAAGCGCGTAGAGTGATAAGTGATAAGAAAAAAAGGACGCGTGAGTGGGGGAGCGGGGAATGCGAGTGAAGTTTTTTCGCTCGGTGCTGACGGGTGGCCCAGCGGTGAAAGAGCCGGGAGAAACGGGCAAGGCACGCGTTCAATTCGGGGGAGGTGGCCGCGACCCATATTCTATCCCACGCGTTAAAGGGACAAGGTGAATTGACGGAGTAAAGTTCTGAAGTCAGCGGATGATCACAATATTTTCTTTTCTGTCATTTGCACCTGTTTCATCAAGAGCCTCCGTGAATCAATTCCAAGAGCTAAAACACGTGATTCATTGAGGCATCAAGCACCAGTCCGGAAATGGACATGGATAGGATCTCCATTGATGCCTTACCACTCAGGCAACACATCCGCCCGGTTCGGGACGAGTACGTTCTACAACGGTCAATCGACCTGTGCTATAAGCAGATATAGGCGGTTGATTTTCTGCTATCGGATACAAGATGCGGCTATTCATTCTTGAAGGCGAACCAGACTCGAGCTAGCTAAACTCTGTTGAAAAGGCATGGCCCTCTATCAGTGGAATGCTGATGCGGCATTTGTGCGTATGTGCGTAGTTCGACCGCCAGGTTCGGATCGCGCACAAATGTCGCATCTTCGCCATTCGCGAGTCATCCACTGGTTTCCACTCTTCTTCTCTTCTTTTATTTATAAGACATGCAGAGTTCAGTGCCATTCGTCTTGGATTCTGATCTTTGTTCCTTGATGATGTAATCGACATCATTGCGGTTGCTGTTCTCTCGTGGCGATTTGCTATATCAACCTGCGAACTACCCGCACGGTAGCCCCTGGTCTTCTGGCTGTTTCAAGAATCGGACTTTTCACCACATACTTATTGATATAAGATCCCGGCCGTTGACGCCACGCCTTGGCAAGAAGCCTTCCGTTCTTAGATCATTTAACCGTTGTGATCCGAGAACACCAAAATTAAAGATCCTGCGGTGTCAATCATGTCCCAGCCCAAGACACCGCCAGCCACTCCCAAGATGCAACTAGCTACAGAGACTGGCTCCAGGAGAAGTGTATTTTGGGTCAGCAATGTTCACTGCTCTTCATGCGTCGCCTATGTCACCGAGATTTTGTCCGAAATTCCAACTGTCAGAGAAATTGACGTTTCGATCATTACGCATGAGGTGCGCGTCAACCATGGCATTGATGCACAGCCGGCAGATCTTGCCGCAGCTTTGATACAAGCTGCGTTCGAGGTTCATCATGTTACGACATATGATGAAGGGGCAACGATTATTTCCGAACTCGACACCACTTCATGGAATCATCGTGGATCCACCATCTTCTCCACGCCTCGAAATTCATATTCAAGCATTTCATCTAATATTAAAGACCGATTGCACACCAGCAGAGACACCCGACATCTTGCCAATTGCGATGCTTGTCAGGAGGAAGAAGCTAAAAGGCTTTCACGGTTGTCTAGCCAGAGCGAGGCGGAGCCACTCTACGACAAATCTGCCCAGAACTCTGTCAGGCCTGCCCATACGCCTTGTTCTGTGTCCATTTCTGAGACTCAAGTGGAGCAGGACGCCTTACTGACGCCAAATATTCCACCTAGTATACCCGAAACGACTGAGTTGTCATCTTCATCAAGTAATGAATTCTCAGCACGGGTCAGCATTGGGGGTATGAGCTGTGCCTCATGTGTAAACACCGTTACTGCTGCTCTACAAGAATTGGACTTTGTCAAGGAGGTTACTGTCAACCTTCTCACAAACAGCGCATCGCTAGTTTATCTTGGTCCGCGGGAGAATGTTGACCTTGTTTGCGAGAAGATTGAAGACATCGGATTTGAGGCTTTCTTGAATGAGGTCAACTTGATTCCTGAGGCGCTGGGACTCGAACAGCGCTCGACTGGCTATGTTACCGAGATTGCAATTACCGGCATGACCTGCGGTTCTTGTGTCGGATTCGTGACTCGAGGGATCGAAGAGTTACCTTTCATCACAAGTGTCTCCGTCAATTTGCTCTCGCACAGCGGCAAGATTGAGTTCGAGGGACGCGAAAACCTCGACCAGATTGTCGAGAAGATTGAAGACCTGGGATATGATGCTGCGGTCACTTCTGTTCATTCGCTGGCTAAAGGCAAGCAGCAGTCTGGCGTTGCGAACGCGAGAACAATCTCCATTCGCGTTGATGGAATGTTTTGCCGCCACTGCCCTGAGAAAGTTCTAGCTTCTTTGGAAGCCCTCCCAAATGTCACTGTGGAGGAAACTCTTTGCCAGAAAAGCCCCATAGTCAAGGTGACCTATACACCCAACCCGCCTTTGCTGACTGTTCGCTCCATCCTTGCAACAGTCAATGGGGCCAACGGCGCTTTCACCGCAAGCATCTACCATCCACCGAGCGTTGAAGATCGATCTCGTGCGATACAATTGCATGAACGTCGACGACTTCTAATTCGGTTGCTATTCGTCTTTGCTGTGGCCATCCCAACCTTCATCGTTGGCATTGTTTTCATGTCTCTCGTGTCATCCGATAACCCAATTCGCATGTATCTTGATCAGACAATCTGGTCTGGCAGTGTGACTCGCATGGAGTGGGCTCTTTTCATAATGGCGACCCCCGTCATGGTCTACGGCACGGATGTGTTCCATACTCGAGCCATGAAGGAAATTCATGCACTCTGGCGGCCCGGAAGCCGGGTACCCATTTTGCGACGCTTTTACCGATTCGGCAGCATGAATCTCCTGATTTCTGCAGGAACTGCAGTAGCTTACTTCTCCTCTCTGGCGGTTCTCATCGTTGACGCTGTTGTGGGTACGAAATCCAGTGCTCATAGCACGACCTACTTCGATTCAGTTGTCTTCTTGACCCTCTTTATCCTCGCTGGGCGATTTCTGGAGGCTTACAGCAAAGCCAAGACGGGCGATGCGGTTACATCACTGGGCAAGCTTCGACCCTCAGAGGCACTGCTCATTGAGGATCAGTCCACAACGCAGACCAGCGAGAATTCAAGATCCGACTCAATGCAACGCATCAACGTTGACCTACTGGAGGTCGGTGACATTGTACGTATACCTCATGGTGCCTCGCCTCCAGCGGATGGCGTTGTGGTCGGAGAAGGGTCTTACCAATTCGATGAGAGTTCTTTGACTGGAGAGTCCCGCCCGGTCAAGAAAGCTATTGACGATCAAGTCTTTACTGGCTCCGTCAATGTCGGCCAGCCAGTGCACATCCGAATCACTGAGCTCGGAGGAACCTCCATGCTTGATCGGATCATTGCTGTCGTTCGTGAGGGTCAAAGCAAGCGTGCACCTCTCGAAAGGATCGCTGAACTACTCACCTCACACTTTGTGCCAGTCATTACCTTGATTGCCATTCTTACCTTCATCATTTGGCTTTCTCTCGGACACTCGGGTGTTCTACCTGGGGACTACTTGGATGTTGCTCAGGGTGGTTGGACGTTTTGGAGCTTGGAATTTGCGATCGCAGTGTTCGTGGTGGCTTGCCCCTGTGGATTGGCATTGGCTGCCCCCACGGCCCTTTTTGTGGGAGGTGGACTCGCAGCGAAGCATGGTATCCTGGTCAAGGGTGGTGGTGAAGCCTTCCAAGAAGCCAGCCGTCTTGACGCCATTGTCTTTGACAAGACAGGCACATTGACTGAGGGAGGAAGCCTCAAGGTTTCTGACCACGAAACCCTCACAAAGAATGAAGAACTTTTGCAGGTTGCCTGGGCTCTTGCTCAAAAGCTTGAAGAAAGCAGTAATCATCCTATAGCTCAGGCCATCTCTGCCTTCTGCGCATCGCAGCCGGGAGCTACAGTCGCTTCCTCTGATATTCAAGAGATCTCGGGACTGGGCATGAAAGGCACCTTCACTGTTCTTAACAACAAAACCGAGCAGAAGGAACAATATGAGGCTGCGATTGGCAACGAGCGCCTTCTTCACGACATCATACCTTCTGAAACCGACACCTATTTCGTCTCGAACTTGCTATCGAAATTCCAGTCAGCGGGCAAATCTACAGCTATTTTTTCACTGCGACGTCTCGAAGTCTCATCCGAGCCTTCGCCATTCATTCCTGCTATTGTCTTCGCCACTTCGGATACACTTCGACCTGAAGCTATCGAGATCATTTCCAATCTCAACAAGCGTCAAGTCGAGGTATTTATGTGCACCGGTGACAACCAAACAACTGCCCATGCCGTGGCCGACATGCTAGGCATTCCACGTTCTAACGTAATGGCCAACGTCTTGCCCGCAGAGAAAGCCACTTTCGTGCGCCAGATCCAAGACGGCTCAGTGAAGGCATCATCCACAGGAATGGTTTCGCAAATTCGGAGCAAGACTCGGCCAATCGTCGCCTTCGTTGGCGACGGCGTCAACGATTCACCCGCTTTGGCCGCCGCAGATGTGAGCATCGCAATGGCATCTGGCTCCGACGTGGCCATCAACTCCGCCAGCTTTATTCTTCTCAACTCAGATCTAAGCACGATTCTCCAACTTGTTCTTCTCAGTCGTCGTGTATTTAACCGTGTGCGAATGAACTTCGTCTGGGCAGTCATCTACAATGTTTGTCTTGTTCCAGTCGCTGCTGGTGTTTTCTATCCCATTGTTAGTGGTCACCATGAGAAGACTGTCGGCCATGGAACTATTATTTACAATGAGCATTGGAGGCTCAGTCCCGTTTGGGCCGCTCTGGCCATGGCGTTGAGTAGTATCTCCGTCGTGTCCAGCAGTCTCGCGCTGAGGGTGGATATGGAGACTATCAAGAGGGTCTTCAAGAAGAAATGAGATGGAGAAGAACCAAAGAGCCAATTACGCATTGTTCTGAGGGGGGGTTTTTTTTCCCTGAGCGTGTATTTACTTTTCAAAGATATCCATGAATTGACCTTCATTTTTACGTTGACTCAGTTGAATGTAAAACTACTTGATCAACTTCCCTCACCCCAAATTTCTGCAACTCTTTTACTTAGAGCTTTTTGGACCTTCTTCCGTCCAACAAGGGACTGCAATTTGTCCGAGATCAGTGTTTCCCGATCTTTGGGCTCCAAGGCCATGTATGCCTCGACTAGTTCTCGAGGTGTTTTCCATCGGCGCTGAATCTCGAGTGCTTTCTCGCCAGTGATACCGCGCGTGCACATAAGCATTTTCAAATAGATATCACGAAGAGAGAGGACGTCAGATTTGGAAGTGAGGGCGGAGAACGTGGAGAATGTGACGCCGTAGGTGAGAGAGGAATCTTTTGCACGAAGTTCATCCAATAAAGTGAGGTAAGACTGTGTCGAGGAGAGGCACCGACTGGGAATGAAGGCAATCTTTGCTGGATTGGCCGGTTGGTCTGCAACGGAAGAGTCAAGCGCTCCGTACATCTTCCGGAGAAGGAGGGTCATGCGCGCCAGATACCGGATGGAGTCATCCAAGTTCTTCGTCTTCTTCATGAAATACCCATTGACCACCTGCGTCGAGGCTATAGCCGAGGAAACCATCTCTTGATACTTAAGCGCGCCTCCATTCCCAGCATCGGGATGTGTCACTGTGAATTCCTCGACGAGATAGATGACGTTTTTGATGCCCGAGCGGCGGAGACGAAACTTTTGTTCGTGGAATCGTCCATCTTTGATAGATCCGATGAGGTCGTCGAGACGCTTTCGTTCAATGATCCAGTCTAGCATCACCTCATCGCCCTCCTCGCCGTGGCGTGTCAGAAATGTGGGATCTCGGCACTTGGCTACCCACATTGCGTCACCCAATTCTAGAGCACGCACTTGAGGAGTAATATCCTGTTTCATGAGTTCATTGGCGATGTAGTCTCTGTCTGTCGAGGTGCGTACTTCTCGGGTATCCAGTACCAGCTCGACTGTGAAAGTATGCGGAGGAAGTGTGACGGGTTCTTTGGGGCCTTGAGTGTTTGCAAGTCGACTCAGCATATTGTCGTCCAAAGTGGAATTATCTGCATCTTCTTTATTGACCCGAGTTGAGGGACCGTTATTTGGAACCGACAGGGAATCGCCGCTAGCAAAGACCTTCAAGTTATCGGTCGACCCGGGAGAGTCTTCTGAATACGTTTGGCCACCTCCCAGCCATCCTCAGACAGAGCATATTTTCTGAGAGGTCGACCATGTTCATAAACCAAATCTTTTTGAATCAAGGTTTTCATTGAATTCCACGCCGTGTAGAATTTGGTGGGGTCCGTGGGAGCCGTGAACGAACTGTCGCAGTAAGGCTGCGCCACCTCAATCAAATGAGCTTTGGTCATGCTCTGGGATGAGTGTTCTCCCAGTGTAGCCAGGCCCAAAAGGAGCGCATACGGGCCGGACCGTAGAGCTGGTACATACGGTTTTGCTTTGCGAGGCTTCTTGGCAGGCTGGTCTGCAACACCTGTGTCGGATGTTCTTTTATTACCTGGGAGGCTTCATCAGTCGACGTGAACGCGTTCGATTGCTATCATAAATAACGTACCCTGCCCCGGGGGCTCAGGCATAGGAAGTCCATTCTCTTGGCAGTGGACCTTGAGTTTGTCCGTCAGGCGATCACACAGTTTAGGTCCCAAGCCATTCAGCTGCTGGGCCTGAGACGGATGTTCAAAAGTCAGTGGACACGCTTTCATCGACTCATAAGCCTTTTTGTAACTAAAAGAAAGATCAGAATCCACTCGATTCGGCGAGGTACGCGGTGGATACTCACACTGTGACGCCTTTGCTATTCCGCTCACGGGCCTGGTCGAGCCATTCCTTGATCCACCGCAGTAGCAGGGGATTTGCACAATCTTCGCTCATCATCCACTCGCCGCCATCGGGCAGTAGGCGAAAGCTGAAGTCTACTGGGGACAGTCAAGGAGGAACGCGACGTGGATGTCCTCATTGGGAACGCGACTGCCACGTGACTTGACGATGAATGTGCTATTTTGAAGGATCTCAAACGTAGTCGAGATAAGGTTCAAAATGAAGTATTCTCTGCGAACTCAATGGAAGGGGAAAAACATGGCCCGCATAATACAGGGAAATTGCCGAACGTTGTCGAGGCCTGTACTTCAATGTCCAATGCGGAGTCCAGGATGACGTCGACAATCCGGACCTGGAGTACAGGGCAGTTGAATACCATGGAAGATCGGTGACAACCGGTTTTTGGGGCTCGCATTACCCGTCACTGCGCCCAGGGCTTGGATTTCGTTTTCATCAACATCTCAACATGGACAGAAACGACGAAGCGGCCGTCCTGTCGACCCCCGCTCACAGTGTACCTGTAGGCGATCAGAGCCACACCATCAATAACGAGCCGCCAACACCAGAGGGCCCCACAGACAGTCATGTCTTGGCTCAGGTCGAGCAAGATGAAAAAGGACTATCGCAACTAGCTGGCGACACACCTGAAGTGACTGACATCGGATGGACCACGCCTGTCGACCATCTCGAAACACCTCTTGTAGCGGGAATTTCAAATGAAGACCTTTGGATGCTTATCAGACGATTCGATAAGGCAAGCCAGAGCAAAACACGTCAAATGACATCAAGGGACTCATGCTGACTGCGTCTAGCAAGTCTACAACGTCAAAGCAGTGCCAAATGCTCCATTGCAGAATCTCGATTTGACTCGATCCAATGACGATGAATTCTCACCAGACAAGCTCCGTGCGACAATGGAGAGATTCTACACGACGGTGGTTGTTACATTGACAAGCTTTATCAAACATGTCGCTCGTCTCCGATCCTGGAAGGAGCCTCGGCGGACAGCCATCTTTTGCGCGGTAAGTTGAGCTTCTCAGTTCGCGCAGGTTGATGAACTAAATGGACTTGTGGCATAGGTATACTCTCTGGCGTGGATTCTCGACTTCCTTGCTCCTGCTTTTTTCGCAGCTCTCATTGCACTGGTCATATACCCACCGTGTCGGCCCGTTATGTTCCCGCCAGCGCCAATTGCTCTCGTTGATAAAGATACGGGAGGTGTCCAGAAGCCCATGGCTGGAGTTCTGGGCTCACACGACAGTATCACCGGTGCTCCTGAAAAGTACAAGGGCGAAGCGGCCGAAAAGGAGGCTAGCAACTTGGTTGCAAGTGTCGCCAGCGTCGCTGTCGGTAGTGCGGTTGGAAAGCATGATCAAGGTGTCCCCGAGGATGCATCTCTAGAACAGGCTGTACCGGACGCCATGGAAATCGTATCTAACACTGCAGATGCGCAAAGTGCAGCCCATGGAGAGATACCGTCCGAGTCCCACGATAAGACTCGACAGCCTATGAAGCAAGCTGTCCTGGACGGAGCGAACACGGCCATGGAAGTCATAAGCGATATTACAGATACTTTTGAGAAGTTTGGAAAGTAAGTGCTTGACGTGAGCTTGACGGAAACGTGATCTGATATTGACTTTTTCAGCGCGTTATCCCCTACGTCGCCATTTCCTCAACTCCCCCCTCGTTTGCGCCTCGTGGCTGTTCTTGCTCCGGCATGTCTTCTCTCGACTTTGGTATCCAGCTATGTTTTGATGAAGACCATGGGACTACTCACTGGCTTCATTTTCTTCGGTGATCCTATCATCTGGCGCGGAATCGCCTATTTGAACAGCAATTATCCCCACTGGGAGCGGCTTCTAGAGCTTCAAAAGTAAGCTTTGAAAAAATTTCCCATATAGAGCTGAACTTGCTGACACGTCTTCAGCTCTCTTCTCAAAGGCGTTCCAACCAATGCCCAATTGGCGCTAACTCTCCTGCGTATCGGCGAAGCAAATATGTCACCACTGCCGCCCCCTCCCAGCTCGTTGGAGAAAGCCTCCTCACGGCCTGCCTCTCTTCATCACGAAGAGTTGACACTCGGTGCTTCTCGAGAGGAGATCGACCAGGCTGCCTCAAAAGAGCACCATCCTGGGTTGAAGCAAGAAGAGCCCCATCACGGAAAGACCTTGGCAACCAGAATTCTCGGCTTTTTCCGTGGCACTACTGCAACAGGGGTCGAGAGCAAGCGAGGCATTGATCGCATGCGTGCAGCGATTGGCTCTCGTCATGCCAGGAACCGTGTTGGTGTGCTGCGTCCCAAGGGCAAAACGAGTACACCCGTTGGACCTGCCGAGTTCAATGCTCGACACAAGGGAAAGCGAGGTGCTGTGATCATTGACTCGTCTAAAGATTCACCGATCCTGTACTTCACCACCGATATACCTCAAAATGGCGATTTGGAAGTGGAGAGCCGAAAATCGGGCTCCGTCTACTTCAAAATCCCAGTCAGTGATATTCTGGAAATGAAGAAACTGGGTGGGATGGGATGGAAAGGAAAGCTGGTCGTCGGCTGGGCTATGGGGAGTAAGGAAGTGGTGGATGGTTTGCTCATCCAGGGCAAGGAGCCACACCAAACCTACCAGTTGACAGCGATGGGAACGAGGAATCAACTATTCAATCGGTTGATTGCGATTGACGGACAGGTTTGGGAGACATTTTGAGACGATGATATCCGGATGTGTGCTAAGTAATTCCCAGGTATGGAAGTAGAATTCCCTTTTTTCGAATATTCATCTATTGTTCGCTCATAGCGAGATGTTATAAGTTAGAACTTCTTCAAATATTGTCAGATGTTCATGTGTACATTTCATCCTTTCTAATATCAACGCTGCTCGTTCTATAATCATCCTACTTCATCAATATGGTGATGAGATCTCCTGTCTTTCCTCGAGAGTAACGCATCGTGCAAATAAGCGCAACATTCCATTTACATTTCCAATTATGAGTTTGCCTTTCTTCCACTCCTCAATGAGAATTGCTCGCACTTTGAATAGTTGCTCGATCCATGTCAAAGTAAATGAACACCAGGATTTCCAAACGCACGCCGACACAATGCCTCCGGGGATGTCATTTACAGTCTTAATGTAGCAAACAGAAAGTACATCCAAAAAAAATGTTTCTTCGAGCCAGTAAAACAGACAATACTAAATGAAGTGATCTCTGGATAGGTAGCGATCATAACTTGCTGCAACGCGACTGATTTTGTTCAGCTTGGTCAGAATATAGTCCATATTCTCTCCACACACATTATCTCAAGCGTGGACATATTTAGTAGCCAGGTTTATCCTATAAGAATGGAAAATCATACCAAAGTATTGATGCTTGAAGCTTTCGATTCTTTTGGTGGGTTCGTCCTCGTATGAAGATGAAGCTTTCAGAATCGAGGAGGCAAGTTCGTACGGTTAGCAGTGTCCTCGACTCATATTATGACACCAAGACGCAGATGATTGTGTGGGTGACCAGCTTACTATCTCGATCGAGATGAACTATATGCCCGGACGACATCTCGACAAAGTGTGGCGGGAACGGTCAGAGGCGCAAAGGCTTTCACTCAGTGATGGACTATATGGATACGTCCTGCAGTGGGCTGAGAATAGGTTGTCAATAGGTTGACCATGATAATAGTAATATTTAGCAAGTGCGATGGTACATGCGATTTGGGGGAAATAAATATTTGGTATCAATGTGTACGAAAGCTCATGCATGCTCCATGAACGCCCCGGTCGCGGATTAAATAGCAAATGCCCTCCCTATGCAAATCGCTTCACCATGGAATCAATAGACTGATGGGAGTTTTCAAGAATAGCTTTCATCCCCATAGCACTCCGAAACATGTCAGCTTCGTTCATGCAGATGTGACATCCATGGCGTCCGGCTTCTCAACATACTCATCTTTCGGCGCAGCAGACTCATCGGCAGGAGCTCGGTCTTCTGTGTCATCATTATTTTCACCATCGTCATCTTGCATCTCATCGTCACCGCCATCTTCGTCTTCTTGTGGTTCTTCACCACCAATCTCTGCCTCCGTGGCGCCTTCGCCCTCGCCATTCTCGTTGCCGTCGTCGTCTTCGTCCCCCTCTTCGTCTCCTTCTTCTCCCTCAGCCTCGTCGCCCCCTTCGTCACCACTACCAGCACCGTCATCCTCGGTGTCGCCAGTGCCCGAGACGTCTTTGTTCAATGTTGGGAACATTAAGTTTCCTCCGGTATAATTCTTCGGCTTGGACTCATCGTCGCCTTCGTCGTCACTGTCCTGTGCGTCATTGCGTTCGCTTGGCCGTGCAGTATCGTTGTTTTCTGTGGCTGATGCTTGTGTTCCTGACTCCTGAAGAACAGAAGTGGGCCCTGATGTAGCTGTCACGCTAGGTCTTCGTGGTGTGGGCTGGTCGGGCTCTGTTGCAGTGGCAAATTTGGCTGTGGTACGAGGTCCCAGCTTCAGATTGACAATTGTATCAGCTCGTTTCTGGATGTCTCGGCGAGCAATACCCTTGGTACGCCCGCGCGGAGCTGGAGTGTCCGCAGCTGGGGCAGGGCTTGCTGGCGTTGATGCCTCAGTGGTGGCATCGCCTCCCATGAGGAGATGATCGACCTTCATCTTTTCCTCTATTTTCCTCGTTGACCTGCTCGATGAGTTGAGGCATGTTGAGCTCGTAAATTCGGGCATACAGATCCGCGACAAGATCTTCAAACATGGTGACCTTCATCAAGTTGTTGTTGAGCTTCTTTAGCTCCAGAGAATCGCGAATCAGCTCGAGGAGGGGTTGACTCTCTGTCACAAGTTGAGCCAGGCTCTCCAGTCGAGCAGTCTTGGTGGAAAATTCTTCCCAGCCAATCGGCCTGAAGACACCTTCCTCGTGTCCCTCTTTGATGTGCGCAGCTCTGCGAATCATTTTAGCGTAAGTCAAGCAAACATCCTCCCATAACTTGGTGTGATTGATGAAATCGCCTTGTTTCTTCCTCACGCGTCGAAGCAATTGATCTAGACTTGTACGATCGTCGAGTTCGTCGAGGAGACCGACGAAGAAGTACACGTAGCGAGTCGTGTAGACGAAGTGCCTCCCGGGACGTTCGTACTCAGGGCGCCACACTTGGATAGTGAGTGTTTTGGTGAAAATCTGAGACAGCTCTTGTTTCGCGGCGACAGCGGCTGGTGCATCTTTCTGATCATCATAAATGACATGGGCGGCCTGAGAAAGTTAGCAGGCAAGCAAGTTCGAGTCGGAGTTACTGGTGGCCATACCTTGGCGCTCATCCGATGATGCCAATTTGACTTGTCAGCGCTCTTGAACTTCTTGATGACCTCAAGGATATAGGGTTTCCATCCTTCGATGCTATCAGGAGCATCTACTTTGCGGGCCCATGGAGTCGCTAGAAGGACTTTGGCTCCCTCAACGGGCTGTTTTGGCGTTAGTTTGTCAAAGGATGGCACGTAAGCATTTCACTCACTGTCATCTTTCCGCTCACGACTAGCTTATGAACCACAGACAAAAGCTTGTAATGGGGCTCGAAAATTGGGTCAGAACGGGAATCTCTCCGTTGGGGAAGGGCTGCGATGGAATCAAGAAGAGCGTCTATCACATCTCGCATTTCGACCCGCTTTGAAGTCGTCCGTTTCGAGTCGTCGGAATTGAACATCTTCCAGAGGCATTTGCTCAGGAAGTACTGCGTTCTGTTTGATGTAAGTAAGTCAAAATTCGAAGACACCGAGATGGGAAAAACTGACATCCAGCGATTAGGTTTATCGGAGATTGCCCTGCGGAGAAGATTGCTGGCAAAGTTCCAGACCGAGTACAGAGACATCTCTTTGAATGGCTGGCTTTTGTACATCTGCTGGCTCTCGGCGTTGCTGAAGTGCCGCGAGAAATCGACAAGGCCAAATGCACCCATCGAAAGCGGTTCCCGAGAAGACGAGTACATGCGAATGCCGAAATCGGTGTACAGATCCGATAAAAGCGATCGAGTTTCTGTCGTTGGCTCAGCGGTTCTGATGGCTGTGGATACCGCCATTGCATAACAATGAATTGCATATCGTTGAATGGTTGCCAGGTCACTACGATTGTTGTTTATCTTGTCCGCAGCCCAGGTAATGTCCTCTTCCAACTTAGCATCATATGCCTGCGCGAGCCTGTACCAGGTTTCCCATCTTCCAGTTCCATGGTCTAGATCTTGTCTGAAGAAATTGACAGCATCATCAAGTTCCGAGGTTGATCCTGGACCAAGCCGTTTTTGAGATTTGAACTTGGTAAGCGCGGCATGACCGAGTAGGAAATACCAGCCCTTCGCCGCAATGTGTGCGTTTTCGCCAGGCACGGTCATCATTGAAAGGTCTGTTACTCCCTGAACGGCGCGAAGAAGATTTGAGGGATTAACCGGAGCCTTGATGTAGGCATTAAACACTCGGCGATTGAAGCTCATTTGCGGTGATTGTGATGGAAGCTTTGCGGGGCCAATCGCTTGCTGCATTTTCTCAATAGTCGTCTTCAAGTCGGACTTTGATAGGTCCTTCATGTTCATCTTCTGTGCCTGTCTCATAACGAAATCGATCATCATGATGGCTGTAGGGCGATCCAGTTTCTCAGGGGAGCAACCATGATCCGCAGTCCCGTCGAACGGCGAGAATTTGATACCATGGAGGTCGAAGAGAACTTGGCAGACGTCGAGTTCATAGTCTCCCTGCGTCTCCAGATCTAATAGCTCTGATTTGATGAGCTTCAAGAAACGCTTTTGTGAGTATCTGCACATGGAACGAATGCCAAGCGCATTATGCACACAGCGAAGTAGCTGAATGCGATCTTCCAAAGGTTCGTCAAAGAGATCTTTGTTTTGAGAAATCGCTTCGACAAACAGGGTATATTGGAGAATCCAGCAGCGAACATATAGTTCTCGCATTCTTTCCTTGAAATTCTCTAACGACTTGGCCAGAGTTCCACGAAACTCACGTCCAGAGATTTGACCTACTCGTACCGAGTCTTCATACAAGATGAAGCTATGAAGCAGCCTTACAAGCCTCGCCAATGCCGACATTGAGGCTTGCAAATGTTCCATGTCCACGCACTGATAGGCCTGTTCTGCCTGTTGAAGAACGAGGGAACAGCCTTGGCCAAGATTCCATCGAGTGACTTAAGCCAGCCTAGCAAGGAAAGCTGTCGCTGTCCGTCAGTTTCCTCAATGTGCTTTGCGTCTTCAAGTTCTGTCATGATGGTTTCCATACTTCGAAGGTAGCAGGACACGACCTTAGGAGGATAGTCGATGGCTTGGTATGCTTCTTGTAGTCTTCGCCAGAGGAACAAGCGTAGGGTAGCGTCTCCACGGTCAAGGAAGGAAGCCATCTCGCCAAGATGTGAGGATGGGCCATGTAGGTCATTCTTTTCCGATGAGCCTTCCGCATATTCAATGCAGGAGGGCTCAAGGATAGGCTCAATTGCTTCAATCAAGGATACTGGATCTTCAGATTCGGAGTTGAAAACCTTGGCAAAGAAATCCATGCACTTGAGCTTCAGCACTTCTTGATCGATAGTAGCTGCAGAAATCTCAAAAAGAGCAGAATTATTCACAAGGTTAATGATCGGGTCACCGATCGATTGCAGAATGAGTTTTAAATCTTGAAGACAAAGCAAAATGTGCTCGCGCTGAGACTCGCCAGCAAGGTTGAGATGGAATGTCGATGTCCATAGATGGCGAAGAGCAAGGTTTTGTCGGCATTCATCGGACGGGCAGTGAACAATGAAGTGATCCAGAGAAGACCTGGCGAGCATTCCCCATCTGGCCAAGCGATCACATTGTGCTAATCTTTTCTCTTGGCTAACATCACTGCTTAGGTTCTCAACGGAGGCAAAGATGTCCAAATGAAGCTCGTAGATGGACTGGATCATGTCCAGCTCAAAGAAATAGCTGATCTTGTAATGAAAAGGTGCTTCATCATTCGACTTCAGAACGCGACTTTCAAGATTTGCAACAAGCTCGTCCAGCCGGGAATAGAGAAATTCGTCCTCTCGAACCAAGAGATCCAGGACAGTCTCTTTCAGCCCACTGGGCCATAGGAAACACTCGTACGTCGACTTCATGACCGGCCACTGCGAGGCATTGTCTCCAAATTCTGGCATGAGTAAACGCTTGAGCCATTCAAATGACGTCTCATGCGGATGCAACCACTCGTTATTGACTGAATCTGAGAAGGCGTTCAATTGATCTCCAGAAGGCAATTCTTCATGAAATAGCTGCTTGCGAGTCGAAATCCTTGAATGCTCTAGGAAGACTGCCAGGCCAGACTTGCTGGTTCCTCGAATATCCTTCAAAGATGAAAGGTCGTCTTTTTGTTGCATCAAGCGTGACTTAGCGTCATTCCAACCCTTGAGGATGCCTCGTAGGTCATTGAGTAGTCTCGACTCCGGCTCCTGAGGGGTTACATCGGTATCGATCGCAGCTGCTGTCTTTTTTCTCAGATCTTGGATGCTTCCTAGTGCTTCGATGCCAACTTTGGAATATAGAGGGCTGACCGTGTTGAACATCCAGTCATCTGCATTGACGAATATCTCCAAGCGACTTTCGTAGTATTTTTCTTGATCGAAAGCAATCTCTTCCGGGACGACCAATGCATCCGCGTTTGACTCACGCGCTCGCGTTCGGCGACTTTTCATTCTACCTCCCTCTAGATGCTCGTCATTTGCAGCTGATGTTGATGATCGTTTACGAGTTCCAGATGGAGATTTGGGTTCGTTCTCGTCAGCATCGCCATCGTCTTCAGCAGCTTGACTTTCGGGAGGCTGCACAGCGGAAAGCCCCTCTAATGACTCCCTGAGCTGCTTTTCAGCACTCTGGTCAATGGAGGATTGTTCTCCGGGTGCCTCCAGAGGTTGTTCAGTAATGTCCTTGGCGGGCTTGTCGGGCTCCGTGGCCGGCTCATGTACTTGCACCATGTCCACATCTTCATCCTTGACTTCCGTTTCGCCGCTATCAAGTTCAGGTCCTTTTTCTGCGTCATCCATTTCTATAGATTCGGCCGCTTCCAATCCACTCCGCGGTAAGTTTATCCGAATGGACTGACTTAGAGCGGCAGCCGAGGATTTTTCATCCTCATCATCAAGTGCTTGACGGATAGCTTTCCCAACTGCCTCCCATGTCGAAATGGACGGAGTTATCTCCCGTCGTGAAGCGGATATCGCAAGGGGGCCTTTAGACGGATCAAGCGACTCCAGATCAGCTGGAAGATTGGGTAGGTAGGGATATAAGTCTTCATGTTGCTTGAGATATTTCACGAGGGCTTTCTTCGGTTTCTTCACGGGAATTAGGGATGCAGATAGTCCATCGAAAAGAGACGTGAGGGTGCTTCGTAGGCGTTCCTCAGAAAAGATCTCCTCGATACCGAGTTGTTCTGACCGTGTCTCTAGACGATTGTCGTCATCTGCCAGGACACTCTCCAAGCAGAATCGGTTAAGGCGGTAGCTTTCCAGGGCACTGCTGAGCCGTGCGCTTTGTCTCCAAAGATTGAGATCGGTATCATCCCGCTCAAGGGCATCCGCAAATGATCCTATAGCTTCCTTGGTGGCCCTTTTTATCTTTTGTGGTGCGTCCTGTGCATTTTCCTGGCCCGCATGCCGTAAAGTGTCTTCGAGGGAGTCGAGCAGGTATTTGCCGTAATTCTTATAGGAGAGATAGAGCGTCTGGAAAAGACTCGATGTGGAGTCGTTGACATTGAAGGCGACCGAGTCGCTAGGGGTTTCGTCGACAGGTCCAACGCTTTGCGCATCTAGCTGCGCTGCCTGCTTGAAGTCCGAAATGGATTCAGGGTATTTAAAGATCTCCGAGCCGAGAAGAGCTTCATAGGCTTCCGCAGCTTGTGGGTAGAAGTCAGGGCCTTGTGCATGAAGTTTCAAAGCATTCTGATATAGCTTCAGAGCCTCTTCGATCTGCAGTTCCTTGGTATCGTCGACCTCCTCTTCGACGGCATCGTCGGGCTCAACGTTCAGAGCGACCCAGCTCGCCATGATGCGACCTACGCGCAAGGCGTCTTCAAGGATTGATAAAGACAATAATTTAGGCCTCCGGCATTGCAGGAAGCCCTCGATGCCGGCAGATCGAAAAAGTAGTTCAAAGGAGACACGAAAGACGCAGCTCTAAATCGCGGTCGGCGCGTTGGCCCAAACGGGCAAAGACGCTCTCCGCCTTGTTGCCGTGTTGCCTGACGCTCTTTCAGGCAAACAGTCGTCGACAACAACTTCCCCTCGCCAACTTCAAAGCAATAAAAGCACCACGCCGATCTTTGACGGATACTCTTTCAAATATTCGGTCCTTTTCACTGTTGATACCACTTCGCGCTTGCAGGCGCCATGGTTGCGCCAGCTGTTCCCGAGTAGGTGTGCTCCTGAACCCCCGGTTTACGTGTTCCCCGGAAGTGCATGCGCATGTCAATTGCCCGTTTCTAGCGTGGTCTACGATTGCGCAACTAAAAAGAGACATGGACTGACATTTGAGGATGTTTGTAGGATTCATGAGGAGGAGGATATCTTCGTTGCGGTCGATGCGCGAACAGAGTCGCTGCAGAGCTTGCGGGAATTGGGCCCCCGACCTGGTATATTTGATAAAACAACCCAAGGCCAATTCAACTCGTCAGGTACGCAAAAATCTCGTCTCAATCAATGTGCGCGCTCTAGATTCATTACTGACGACTTTTCTCGCAGACCGGCGTGTACCACCATGTCACCGGAATCGATGCCTCCTCGTCCGCCAGCCTAGCAGCATACGTTAACACCCTCACTTTCTCCCCCCTCGATAAGACACACAAAGTAGTATCAGGAATTTACTGGTGAGGGTTTCTCGAATTAGGATCTCTTTCATGCTTTCACTGACAACCGTGCAGCTGCTACAATGCTTTCTCCCACCTGGACATGCGAGTCGAAGTCAAGATCCCCGGAAGTTTGGAAAGTTACTGCATTGACGAGCGCGGTGACAAACGCGTTGCAACCGAGGCGCTCTGGCTGGAAACTTTCTTGTGCGCCGTCTTGAGAGCCTACTTGTACGCCGATGATGGAAGCGGAGATTCAATCAAGAAAATCGTCGGAGTCCGACGCTTCAACCCAGTAACCAACACAGAAATGGAGCATAAGTTCCTCGATGCCGCGGAGAAGCTTTTCTTCCTCGGTATGCTTCATCTCGCACGACATGATTTTGTTTCATTGCTGATAATTTCCCAGGCCGCCAGCTCAGCTCAGACCCGGAAACACAAGTCCCCAACACCGTTAGCAACCACCTGACATCAGGTATCTTGAAATACATCTACACGACCGGCCGATATACTTCTGGTATCAACCTGTTTGAAAAGCTGCGCACGCGCGATGTGGAGGTTTCCTCCCTCCTGGCTCGGGTACAATTGATGGCCGATGAGGAGGTACAGGCGGTACGATTGCTGTATGATGCCCTACAGGATGTTCCAATGGATTATGCCTTGCTTGATTGCCAAGCAGCCTTCTGTAAGGATAAAGGCGAGGGCGAGATGGCCCTCGAGTGCGCGAAGCGGGCCGTGACCGCGGCTCCTAGCGAGTTCAGTACCTGGGCTCGATTGGCGGAGGTATATGTTGGCATGGAGCAATGGGATCTTGCGCTTCTGACCCTCAATTCATGCCCTATGTTCACATATCAGGACAAAGATACTCCACGCATGCCGCAGCCCACTCGCATCATGCTTCCTATCCTTTCAGAAAGCATACTCGATGAAATTGATGAGGGTCAGCCTAAGCAGGGAGACCCTCACGACTATGTTCACCCTTCTTTGCGAAAGTTACACGCCGCCGGCTACCAAGGAACATTCCTGAAGGCTTATAACTTGCTTACAAAAATCGCTGGAGCTATCGGCTGGGACCAGCTCCTGAAGGTCCGTAGCGAGGTCTTTGTCATGGAAGAGGAGTACCGTGTCGAGCGCCAGCATGTCTCAAAGCCTGCGCATTCGCTCGAGGCGGAGATCAATGGAGATGGAGTCGAGAGAGAGGAAGAAGACGAGGAAGACACCGGCTCTGTCACAGGTCCCGGGCCTGCAGCAGCCTCTGGGACTGCGGCCAATGGCGCCGGTGACGAAGCCGATGCGGAGAACTCCATTGAGCGTCCTGAGCAATCAATGGCCTCCGAGGTTGTGACATCGGCCAGCGATGATGTAATTTCCCCCCTACACATAGTCACGCCTTGATTGATTATTGACTTTTCGAACAGCCGGATCCGAATCATACTGCATACACTCAGTTCCGGAATAAGCGCCTGTGTGAGCGCTGGCTAGACAACCTTTTCATGGTACTTTACGAAGACCTTCGTATCTACACCATCTGGCGAACTGAGATGGCTCAGTTCCGCCAGCAAGCCATGGAGTACAAGAAGTCCGCCACGGAGTGGGAAATTCTCGGCGAGCTCGCAGAACGCCTGGGTCACTTCGACGAAGGTATCGAAGCCTATCAAAATTGCTTATCAATTCGCTTTTCGCCCAAGGCCATGCGTGGAGTTTTGAAGCTGTATGAGAAGAAGAACGACACAAGAGGTATGCTGGGCGCATTGATCCGTTTGATCGCGTGGCAGTATCGCTGGTACTCTGAGGTAAGAATCGAATTATCCAACAGGTGATACGCAATGCTAACTGTTTCAAGTTCTCTCCCGAACTTCTGTACCTGGTGCGCAAGCTGATCGAGGATGAGGGTGCCGTCAAGGTGCGGAGCATCGTCCAGGCAACCAACCTGCCTCAGCCCGTTCTGGATCTCACACATCAATACTGCCAACTCTGTGCTACCTTCCGCAGCAGCGGCAGCGATACTTGAATTTCGTTCTGGCAAGCTGGATATGGCAGACTGCTTTGATTGCGAGAAAGAGCGATGCCGACAGGACTAATGACCATGTTAGATTTTGTTATCTCTATAATTCTCCTGTTACTCGATTTGTTATCATACGTAACATAGGCTAGAAGGTATATACTAGGTGTTATTAGTTTCTTCCCATTCTTTATCGTCGTGAACAGAGAAGTGACAACAGTTGTAAGGGTTCGATGCCATCACATGACTACAATGGGCGAGGTCTCAAAGAGACTCCAAATAAGCCCTAAGTGCTCAAGTGGATATCGACCATAGACACTAGAGCCAAATGCCCTAAAAGCAAGCGCAAACCCCTCATGAACAAGCTTTTGAATAGCCCTGTTCTTAGAGAAAACATACTCACTACATTGGAGGCCCAGCCAGTTACAAGTCTACCAACTGGAAACGTGAAAGTGACAGAACTAGCCAGGTCCAGGTACCGACGGTACCTCGAACACTCCGGCCAAATCATGTATATAAGAGTCGAAGACTAGACGGAAGCTTACAGCCACCACATTCAAAGCTGGACTTCCACGCGAGCCAAATGGTCTCGACATTACTCCTCCTCCGCAGCATCAACCTCAGGGAGGTCCGATTCCTTAGGAACGTCGCCTCCCTTAGCCTTGGCTGCTGCCGCTGCAGGGCCACTAGTCTCAGCCGTATCCTCGACTTCCTCTTCTCCATCCTCATCGGCATCGTCGCCATTCGCGCCGTTCTCCTTCTCTTCGGCCTCCTCCTCGACCTCCTCTTCAACCTCCTCATCATCGGCAGCAGGGGCGGTCTTTCGCTTCTTGGCCTTGGGAGGGGCTGGTGTGGCAAACAGTCAGTCAACAAATCCGTTTCACATCGATGGAAGCAACACACACCTTCTTCGACCTCTTCCTCATCTTCCTCGTCCTCGTCATCCTCATCTCCCTCCTCTTCCTCGCCCTCGTCGCTCACATCTGAAGCTTCAGGCTCGGAGTCTTCATATCTATGACCATGCGCGGTCCAGTTAGCGGTCATTTCTCTACGGTATGGGATGGTCTTTGGGTAGGATTAACTGCGCATGGTGATGCGATCAATGCGCGACCATCCGGGAGTATGCAGTAAGAAGCCAATGAATTGGCGCAAAACCCGACAGGCGCGCGCCGGGCTAATTGAGTCGGGTCCTTGGGGGTAGAGATGAATGGCGCGAGCTTACTCTTCTTCTTCTTCACTCTCGTCGCTAGGGAGAGCCTGGAGCTTCTCCTCGGCATCTTGCTTTCTCTTGCGAGTGGACATGGTGGATAATGTATGAGGTATTTAGATCAATTCGAGTAGTAGAGGTGCGTAGAAGATGAGAGGGGGGGGGAAGGGTGGAAGTGTAAGTGTAAGAAAAGGAGATTGCAGCTCCCTTTCGACACCAGGATAGGGTTCCAGGGTTCCGGAGCTCCAAAGGGGGAACCAAGGGAGAGGGGAACGCGGAGGGTGACGACATGGGGGTCGATAGCTTACACTACCATTTTGTGGAGACGTGCGTGGCCATGGGTGCGGGAGTGCGTGCCTCTCTGCTTACTATCGGGATTCTATCAAACATTCCCTCCCGCTTAGACCTTCCGAGGTTCAGCTGTGCCCTGTGCGTCTTTTATCTCTTCACTCTGGCTTATTGCGCCAAGAATTCAAAGTTGGCCATGCTCGGGTCTAACAGGTGCTCGTCGAGTCCAAAACCATACGTCCCAACCATGTCGTAGATCAGGTCGGGAGGCGGGAATCCCTGCGCCATCGCATTCGCACCCCCTGGCACTTCCACGGCGCCCCCATTGCTAGTGCCTACCTGCCATGCAGCCTCCCAGGAGTCGAATCGCTCGAGCATCTTGCCCAGCCCACGTGCAATGTGCCGGGTCAAGTGCCGCTCTCCTGCAGAGACACAATTCATGAGCTCAATCACGCGCTCAACCAGTCGCCGCACTTGGCGCGCGTTGATACTCAAGTATGCCGAGTTCCAGTTGATTGCGACCTTGAGTAGGAACACGGCGGAAAAGGTCACCATGGTGTGGGTGAAAATGGGGACCCCGACGATCGCGTCGCGGATGTCGGGCTCCTCGAGCACCATGTTTAGACAGGCCATTGCAGATGAAATGGCGATATTGGCGGATTCTTTGCGATCCATTGAGAATACGGGAGTGTTCGACGGGGAAAGACCTCGGAGGGAGAGCGAATTCAGCTGAAATTTCGCAAAATGATAGTGCAGCACCACTCCCTTGGAAGGATACGTCCGCACATACGGGCTGTCGCCTGGAATAGGTTAGAGTCTTGATTCCTCATGCAGGCCAGGAGAGACATACCAGATCGGGGCTGCCAGAGCAACCGCCACTGATCTACAGCAACATTATATACTCTCAATTGACCAAAGTCCTCTTCAGTCATTGATTGTTCCGTATCACTTCCAAAAGTCCGATAGGCCTCGGTCAAAATCATGAAAAGTGCAACCTGGGCCAGCAAGCGTATGTCACCCGCTACCACCATCGGAAATTCAAGAAATGTCTCGTAATTTCGGATAGCTACGTCCTCGTGAATGACAGGTGGCCGCCCATATGCTATGCTGAAGTGATGATCACAGACATACAGCAAGTACCAAAGCTGTGCGCGCTCATATTGATCTGTGTTTCCGCGAGTCAGGCGCTGATAACTTTGGTGCAGGCCCATTTCTGTTGCAATGCGCACTGCGTGTCCGGAGAGTTTCCAGCTCAATTCTGACAGCCAGAACGCGCCAACACAGAGACCACGGATATCATCAAGGGTGTGGGCCCGCGTAAGTGCCATTCGAGACACCAACGACACATACTCGTTATAGCATCGATTCAGTGTGTCGGTGCGGTTAGGAATATGAAGCGCCGCAACAGTCAACACTGCGGCAGATAGAAGAGTTGATGCGCGACGAACCGAGGTCAGATCTCGGTGGACCAGAATGATCCCGCCCCAAAGCAGCTGGTTCATGGTGCGACTGAAGTATGCAAAGAGCTCTTCCGCCTCGTGGAGGGAAATCAATCCCCTCGTAATGAAGTCTTCTTCCAATAGGGTCTTCTTGGGTGCCTCAATGTGGTTATTACGTAGATTGCGCAACTTAGTAACCTCGTATAGACTGCGCATAGGTGCTGGGACCAATTCTGGATTTTGAAGATCGGGTTCCGGAGATGGTTCCCTGGTGACATCCATCACCACCCCCGGTTCGTCATGAGGGGTGACATGTGATTGCGATTGCGATTGCGACGCATCAATAGATGTTCGGTGGCCATGGTGTGAGGCAGCAGGGCTAGGTCCATTGCGACTTTCTCCGGTCGAGTAGGTTGAAAGATCAGGGAGTCCTGCTTGTCGCAGAAGTTGCGATACTGCCGACTGCAACTGCTGCATCGTGGCAGTCGCCTGAGACTTCCATCTATCGCGAATTGAATTAGCTCACGGTCCCTTGCGACAGCTCGGAGTATTCCCCGGAGCGCGGGGTTAGCAGGCGTACATTCCGTCGTCGTCGACAAATTTCTGCGAAAAGTCATTGACGACGCATTTGATACCGCTGCGAATACATTTTGTGCAATTTGTTTCCCCTGATCGGAATTCGCAGCGAATCTTGTGGCGTTTACACTCAGCGCCTTATCTGGGGTCAGCCAATGCGCCGATGCGGGGAAAGTGAACACTCACATGCGCGAGCCTTGGAGATCTTGGGTGCTGGTCTTGAATCCGCATTACCCTGGGCGAATCCAGACCAGCTTCCGTCGAGGAGCGTTTGAGTGGGGACGAAGCATCCATGAATGAATTCGGTGATGCTCCGGGGGAGGTTAGGGGCAAAGGTGTTGGCGGGGGAAAAGTCGGGGGAGGCCGAGGGTGGGTTTTCACAGTGTGCCCTCATTTCCCTGGGCTCAGCGCTGGAGACTCAGACTCTGCGCACTTGCCATGTGAAATTCGGGTCTCTTGTTGACTGCTCGTCTCTTGCTTCCCAGGTTGGCTACCCTTAGCCAGTCGACTAAAGTTTGTTCCCTGTTCCTGGCCCAGATTCCCGCATAGACTACCGAACATCTAAAATGTTTCCCCAGTGGCAGTCCGCCAACATTGAAGCGACAGGCATAATCTAAATAGCTTCCCTAAGTTGGGTTTGTTGAGCGTAGGTGTTGCAGAGAACCCAGGTCCAGATCCACCAGAGAAGAGCGACCGGCCCAAGTCCGGTGCGGAAGGTTGACAGTGGACCGTCTCGGACTTGCTGCGAACAATGCGGAGAGACTAGGGGAGCTTCCATGCGCTCATAAATTCCTGGAGGGGCCAACTTCTATTCAATCAACTCTCCGTTCTTTTCTAGCATCATGCACATTCTCATTACAGGTGCCGCCGGGTTCATCGGCCAACTACTTGCCAAAGAACTATTGAATGACTCAGAATACCGCATTACTTTGACCGATATCCACCAACCGCCGATTCCCCAGGGCGTCCGTTACCCCGAGAATGCGACTGCAATAAAAGCCGATCTTCTCGCGGGTGCAAAAGATGTCGTTGACTCTTCACTCGATGCCGTCTATGCCTTCCACGGTATCATGTCCTCCGGCTCCGAGGCCAATTTCGATCTAGGCATGAGCGTCAACGTGGACGCCACGCGCAACCTGCTCGAGGCATTACGACACACCTGCCCCGGAGTGCGGGTCATCTACGCATCTAGTCAAGCTGTCTATGGTCAACCATTGCCCGAGGTGGTGACCGACAGCGTCATTCCGACCCCGGAGTCCTCGTACGGCGCCGAAAAGATTATCTGTGAGACTCTGATCAACGAGTACACCCGTCGCAAGTTCATCACTGGCTTCACTCTTCGTTTCCCAACTGTCTCGGTTCGTCCGGGTGTACCTACTGCCGCTGCTTCATCCTTTCTCTCTGGCATGATCCGTGAGCCTCTGGATGGCAAGGAGTGTGTTATTCCCATTGAAGACCGTTCGTTCAAGTCGTGGCTCTGCTCGCCCAAGACTCTTGTCTACAATCTTCTTGTTACTTTCCGTCTTCCCGGAGACTCTGTTCCCCCGCATATCCGTCAGATCAATGTTCCTGGTATCTGTGTGACCGTCCAAGGAATGATGGATGCGCTCGAAAAGGTTGCTGGTAAGGATAAACTGGCTCTACTCCGGGAGAAGGAAGACCCTGCCTTGGTACCTATTCTCAAGTCGTGGCCCACGCAGTTTGATAATACCCAGGCCATTTCACTGGGCATGAAGCGGGATGAGTCTTTTGAACAGACAGTGCTGGACTACAAGGTGCATTTAGAGAGCTCCTGATCATGTGTATACCACGCAAAGATAGAAGTTAACTTCGTAAATACGCAATTACTATACTATTTCCCTCTGCTCAAACTTTATCGTTTCTCCTGACTGGAAGAAGCTCGTTTGTGCTGATCAGCAGACTTTTATCCCGTGGGCTCAAGGGCGAGGGCTCACTTGGATCTTAAGCTGGTAGAAAGGTATTTTACACATTTTCTGGTTTTATTCAAGCCGTGCCGAGGCAGTATTATTCCCAAAATGAACGAGTAAAAACAGAATCCATCAATCGAAATCATCACATATGAAAATCCAACGCCTCAGCCGGTATCTTTGTATCCTGCCCATGGTATATCGGATCCATCCCAGTTTGCAAGAAGAAAGGGGAGAAAAATTCATAAAAGTCATGACAAGAGAGACATTGGATGGTTTAAATCTCGCTCTCAGGAGCTAGATCAAATTTCCTCGTCGGAAGTTTCTTCGGCTTCTTGCTAGGCGAGGAAGATGGTGAAGCTGGTGTGAACATGCTGTCCGTGAGATTCAACTGGTTCATTCGTTGTAAGGCATTCTCGATGTCACTTTCTCGGCCCAGGAGGTTGGATGGTGCAGGATTCTGCGATCGAGGCTTGCGGGTGGGTGAGTGAGAGCGCAGCTCGCGTTCCAGGGTTGCAAGGCGACGACGTAGCTGCTCGTTCTCGATCTCGAGCTCTTCCACTCTTTGGTCAGACGTTGGTTCGGGGTCTTCGAAGACTATTAAGAGGGTTAGCTACACCTGAAGAAAGGGCTGGACATCTTTGAACTGACTATTGAATCCTCGAGACACCAGCTCAATCTTCTTATCAATATGCTCGTCATTACGACCAGCCTAGTAATCGTCAGTACATGCAGACGGAAACAGTAAGATGAGGCACTTACCTGCTCATCCCAGGCCTTTTGCCATCGTTTTCGCTCATCTTCCATCATCTCATCCATTTCGGCCCAGCACTCTTCGCGGACTTCTTGTTCAATCATCACGCATCGGTCCTCAGCGGCTGCAAGCCTGATCTCCACCTCGGACCGCAGAATTTCTTCCTCGGCAAGTCTCACAGCTAGACCGTGGCAATCCTTGGTCAGTCTTGTAATCTCCAAAGCAGCGCGCTCCAACTCTTCAGCCTGGGCAAAGTTGGGCGAAATACGTCCACTAGCGGACCTTTCCTTGCCGGAGACAGCCGACAGGATAGACTCGGTGACTGATGGGATACGAGGAACCGTCACTTCGCGGGCTAACGCGGAATAACGCAGGATTTGGGAGGTGGCATTGAAGTCACCCAGAGGATCGGCTGTCACGACCATGATAGCCTTCTGCGGATGAAGGCCCCGGGACATTTGATTGGATGAAGGGAAAGAGTTGGAAAACAGAAGCTCCGTCAATTTACACTGGCGGAAAGGGACAAGTGCAGTCTGTTGGTGATTAGGTTTTGCTGGTCAACCAGGACATGATTAGAGCTTACCTTGAATCCATCTTGCAAGTTGCTTTGCATTTGAAGACATTGCCCCAAGTACATCAGACTTTCGTTAATCTTACCAGCCTCCGCGAGGGTGGCGCCTGCAGTTTTCGCGGTCCTCGCTCGCTCAGAGCCTATTCATGTCAGCATAATTGGTCATTTCAGTCGTGCAGCTACACTTACCAGCTAAGTCAACAACTGTGAGTGTATTTCCAACCCAGCTGGCTTCCCCGTATCGTTTGCTATGTGTCAATTTCTTGACCTCGAGACAGAAGAAACCATGGCTGCGAGAGCTGACACTATTGGCGCCCGTACCGGTGACCTTTCGCTCGGTCAGGCCAACTTCAAGAATAGCCAAAGCTTCCTCGTATGAGCTGCAAGCAATCTTCCTGAGTCCCGCAACAACTTTGCGGTCGGGTGATCCCTCGGTAGGTTTAAACAATAAAGGACGACGTCGATCTTTTTGCTGGTTATTTCCGCGGGACATGGCACTTCCTTGGCCAGGAACAATTGAAGGGGTCAAAAGGTCAAAAATTCGATCGTTGTAGACCTCATACATGGATACCAAAACCACATAGTCGGATTTGTCATTCAAATCCACTGTCAGATGACTCACATCGGGCATTCGAGGAGCGGCAATAGGACGTTCACGCTGCTGGCGGCGGGGAAATATTAATGCAGGTGTCGGTTCCTGAAAGACATAAAGTCGTAATTTAGCTAAACGACTCTCAAGCGGATTGAAACGAATGAAGGGGATAGGATTAAAGGGTCCTGGCGACATCTCTCCAAGTTGCTCAGTCGATTGTTGGCCAGAGGCGGATCGAACCTTGCGATTGTGGCTGGATGTTTGAGCTGCCTTTTGAGAACTCCCAGTGTATCTTTGAAGTCCAGGGAGGCCGGTTCCAGAATCAGGTGATCGCTTACGCAGTGATTCTTGGGGGCTGTTCAGGGATTGGGGGCTTCGTACCGTGAGTGGGGTGTTTGCACGGCCAGGGCTCATGGGAGTTTGGGCCCTTGAGTTGCGGCCTCCGTTGGGATCGCCGTAGACAGCTTCCAGGAATGTCTGAGCAGAGAATAATTGAGCCTCGGAGGCATCTGACGCAGCCAGAGAGGCAAGCATCATGGGACTGATGCTACCGTCCTCGGTCTTCACAGTGGGCTCCAGCGATCGGAAGATGACATCCAGGGCCATTTGGGTAAGACCCCGCTGGGACTTGGATCCTAGGATGGTGTGGCTCTGCATTGTCTCAATACATTAGCTCCACTCTCCGATCGAGAGGACAGCATACCGACCTTTCCACTGCCTGTAACTCCCAGAGTAGCGACCAATCCATCCCGGTTTTCTTTCAAGACTCCCCTCACCAAAGACTCCATCCCAGTGTCGTGGAAGACATCTAACTGCGACGCGTTCTCCTCGAAGACCTTTGTGAAACCAAATCTCTCGATAGCGCGTTTCCGAGATTCGCTGGGAGGTTGAACTGTGATGTGTGTTGGGATCGGTGCGACAATCTCGCCGTCATCTTGAGATGACTCTGGCGGCTCGACCGTGAGGAATCGTTCGTTTTCATCGTGTTGCGCATAAGGAGGTCGCAGGCGAAGGTAGACCTGGAACAGCGCCGATTGGGGCTGTTTGGACGACATGACGAAATTGTCTGGAAGCATAGCTCCAGCGCACATTGGTGGTGGAGGTCAGAGATCAAAAGTCGAAACCCAAATGCAAGCATGTCCACAGATCTCCGCCGCGCCATCCTGATGTGGTAAGGTGCGGTGTTGTCAGGGCAACCTGTTCACCTCTACAAGACTATAGATCGATCGCACCCTCAAAGAAGATATTGTTATCTACAGGTCCTCCATAATGAAAATCATTCTGGGAGATAGTCTAACCAATCTGCTCATGGCAATGTCTGCTAAGCCTATGTTGCTCCTGGAAGCATGGAGATTACGGCCCTTGCGCTCAGCCGCGGGATAACCCGCTCTCGCCCATGGGTAGCAATACGAGACTTGCCGCTTTGGAAGTCTCGCAACTCAGCCATCGCCAGATCGACCCCACAATTACCATAGGCTTTAATTATGCCAAAGGATAAGTCGCATCTCCAGTTGCCTCAAGCTCAGAGCTTATTCGGCCCATCATGGTTCCACGAACCGACTCTTGGGCTGGTTATGATCTCGTATTTGGGCGAGCCCAGACGCTGCGCCCGTTGACTAGGCTGAACCGTCGTCGGTCATTTCGAGATACTGCTTTGTAATTCGCTCAACTTGGTCATTTAACTTGCCGCTACATTCGTGGTTTATGACCCAAACGGGTAACTCGTTTTCGCTTGTCATCGGAGTCGATCACTCCACATGATAGAGCTGAATAGCCACCTTCAAGCATCATATAAAAAGCCTTGCTTTCTGGAGATTGATATGTTTTTATGAAATAACGGTGTTTGCGAAATCATCATTCTCAAATACAACCCCAAGTCTCACGCTTAATTGATTATTGTGAGGAGAGTGAGCTCCACACCTTCGGAATGATAGGAGAACGCTCGTATCGTTAGTATTACGCGATTTCCCAATACACTACTGTCTGACACCTTGATAGAGCCAGGAAGCCTTTGGTTCTATGCACCGAATAAGGGTGCGCCGATAGCATTTGCCATCCTCTTCGCCCTGTCGGGTGTATTCCACTTCTATCAGACCTTGTATGTCTATTCTTGCCAGCGGAAAGTCACCCAAGATCTGACTCTAATGCCATGTAGCCGCTACAAGTCATGGAAAGTGACTGGCTTGTTGCCATGGTCGGCGCTTCTTTTTACGGCTGGATTTGTCATGCGCACCATTGGTGCCTTCGGTCAATGGCATAACATCGGTATTTATATAGCGAGCAATGTTCTCCTTCTGGTTGGACCGTAAGACGCATTCTACCCAGCTATTGAGTCACCTTGCTGACAGTTCTTACCCTCTAGTCCGGTCTACGAAACCTCGAATTACCTTATACTCGGTCGCATGCTCTACTATATCCCATATCACTCACCCATTCACCCTGGTCGTGTGTTTACCACATTCATTGCTTTAGCTGTGGTCATCGAAGCTATCACTGCCAATGGAGCTGTTCGAGTCGCAAGTGCTGACTCCACAGTGAGTGAGCAAGACACTGGCAAAGCACTACTCAAGGCGGCGCTCATCATGCAGATTGCCTTGATGGTGGGCTTCGTGGCACTCGCTGGAAGATTCCACTACAACTGCTCGAAGGGCAGTGTTTTGAATAAAAAGATTAAGCGCACTCTGATTGTTCTCTATGCCAGCTGCACTCTCATCATCATTCGAACCATTTACCGCACTGTCGAGTATTTCACCGCCGCGAGCCTGAACACCTACACTGACATTCAGCAGATCAGTCCCGTTCTTAAGCAAGAATGGTTCTTCTGGTTTTTCGAGGCGGTCTTCATGTACAGCAACACCACCCTGCTCAATGTGTGTCATCCGATGCAGGTACTTCCACGCTCAAACAAGGTATATTTGAGTGTGGATGGCGTGACTGAAATTGAGGGTCCAGGTTATGATGACCCCCGATCCAAGTTGGTTACTATAATTGATCCTTTTGATATTTACGGTTTGATTACAAAGCACGGCAAGAAGGAGAAGTATTGGGAGACCGTGACTACTCAGCAGATCACGCTGTCTTCCGCGACATTCGAAGGGTCATGTTTCTGATTTTCTGGTCATCAATCTTCCACTTTTCTGCACGTGGAAATGTCTGAAAATCGTATGGGGTATCAATGAAATTCCACATTAATTAATAGGTCTTTTATAATTGAATATACACAGTTAAAGTCACTACAAGTCATTGTCATCCTTTCCCATTTCACCTTGGATCTCCCAACTGTAAGATGCGAATCGACTGCGTCGCCTGATCCGTTCCCGTAGCATAGAACGAGGGGCGGTACGATGCAAAACATAGTTGCGACGCCTGCCAGAATTGACATTGCAAAGTTTGAGCCCAGTCCATGGAACATTTGTTTCGTGAAGAGCGGGAATAATCCGGAAAGCAACCCCCTGAAGAATCCTACCGCAGCAGTTGCACTAGCCGCATAGCTGAGATAGCTATCAGAGATGTAACCGTATAGGACGGTGTCAATTTCGGTCAGCGAGAAGCCAACGAAGATGAGTGATATCGTTGGGACAATCCATGGGATATTTGGGCTGTGAATCAGAGGCGGGATCGTCCAGCCAAACCACCAAAGTGAAATAGCTAGAACTGGGGCGCCAATCCCTAGACCCACGAGCTTGTCTTCGGGTCGAATAGGAAGACCCTTGCGTCGTCGCTTGTTGAGGATTTGAGAGTCAAGCATGCGAGTGAATGCACTGAGGCAAGTACCGAGGCCAATTGCCAGGAACATGAGAGATGCCTGCGGCGATGTGAACCCCATCGACTGGTAAATGATGGGCATGGCTTCGGTGAACATATAGATGAGAGACATGACGACAGAAATGATCATCGAAATGGTGAATACGATAGGCTCGCCACAAAAGAGCTGCGCAGGACGGAACAAGTGTTCCTTCATGAAAGCACGCATGGTCGGTATATGGTCGTGGTTAAGCGCAGGAGGAATGCCCTCGATCTGAAGCCGTAGCACTTCGACCTCGGCAGTCAATAGCAGGGACGATCGAGATTCGCGGATGAAAAAAAGCATCCCGGTAATAATTCCCATAACAATCGCATATATGTAGAATACCCATCGCCTAAGCATTTGTTAGCCATTATCACCGAGAGAGCCAATTGAACTGACCAGTCAAGGTATGCAACGATGTGGCTGCTCATGATCGGGCCCACAATCAACCCGATATTCGATGCCACAGTCCAGCAGTAGATTGCCCATACTCGCGCCCGGGAGTTGAACAGGTCCTCGATACTTCCGCCCACAATATTACCCGGTACCGCGGAAACAAGTCCTGCAATTACTCGCATAACAATCGCAGCAGGGAGTGAATTCACGGTACCGATGACAATACAGCAGCCACAACTCAGAGCACTGCTGATTATATATAACTTCTTGCGGCCAAAAGACTCGGTCCATGGGGGGAACACAATAGTGCCCAGACATTGCCCTAGAAGAAATCTGGTACATTATTAGAGAAAGGAGTTGGTAGCAAGAAAAGAGCTGTCTCACAGTGTCACAAAGCAAAACGTGGCAAAGGTATGCCCAACATTATATTCATGTCTGGCTTGCGATGCCGCGGCCGCACCTGCAGTGCTACTAGCCGTTCTGTAAAGCTCAATCAGCAATCATCTTCGCAACATCCATTTATTAGAGCCCGATCATACAGGATAAGATCCAATACGCAGATAAGTGTCGTATCATATATCTTTCGATTCGTAGGCCAATTTCTCGGGTGCTTGGGGTTGTCGCGCAGCCACCGAACAAACTTCCTGTCCGGCGTCAATTCAAGATGATGGTCGCGCAAATGTTCCTGCATCTGCTCCTGCAAGTAGAACCTGCGCTCGACCGTGATATCAAGGGGAGATTTCATCTTGCGCGTTTGTAAATCTTCTCATAATGCGAGTGAGGTGAGTATCAAGGAGAGCTTGCTCATCCAGGACAAGCAATCAGCGATTAGGCAAGGTCTTGACCTGTTTGACATGTGCGATGTGTATAAACTAATTTCTCGATTGAGATTGGGAAGGTGAGTATGTGATCCCGAAGAATGCCAGCCCCCTGCAAGCCTCGCTCTGGAATTTGTATCTACTTGAGCGTTGCTCAGACAACCTACCCTGAACTACAGACACTACCACCGGGAAAACTTTTGAGATGAACCGGATACAGTGGTTTTCGGCTTGATTATTCGCTAACTCACGTGCACTATGTCGATTTATCAATCTGCCTAGATGTCACATCTGTGGGCTTCGTTCAACACCAGTCTTGGGGTTTTCCATTCTAGGGATGTAGCATTCTTGGGGTAACCAGGGGATACACACCTCAAATGCTTGGCCGATCCAGAAGACGATTGATAATCTGCTTTCCTAGCCGACCAGTATATGTATACGAGCTGGAAACGATCGATTTGAAGGCTTTTATGCCGATGCTCGTCAATTTCTGCTTTTCAAATTAAGGTTGCAATCTCAATTCTACAATTTGTGGCTTGATAGCACTTGGACAGAGAGTCGGGACCTCACTACGAGTATAAGCTGTTTGTGGCAGTTTTGACCGATCATGTAGCACAATGTGAGGCCACGTTTGACCAGGATTCTGAAGAGAGTACACAAGATCCATGGCATCGGGTAGCTGTCATGGTCTGGCTGATGTGCATTTGTTTTTCAACCTCTCCTGAGCTCGGAGCTTGGGACATATTGCAAAAAGATCCACATTTCGGTCAAAGTATACGTAGTGTAGCCCCTGAGAGATTCCTTTTCCCCCTATTGCCAAGAGCTCGTGCTATGAATGTGCAAAGGTGGACGGCCGGCTACGAAGAAAGCTTAACCTTACGATCACTGGAATTCAGCACTCGAGCACTTTAGAAGATAAAAAATTGCATTGAGGGGGGCGACGCAGGATACCGATCAAAGTGGTCGGGAGTGCCGTACGGCCCGGACTTTTACAAGACCCTATCCTACCTTGACGTCTACACGAATTATTGTAGACTCTATGATAACAACGGGGTCATCGGAGATGAATTTGATGCTAGTTGGTGCTCGTTGAGGGGATGGGTCAGCCGATTGCGAGAACTGTCGTGATAGAAAACTTGAGATGAGTTCAAAGTCGTCAATTCACGATAAGTTTGCCTACACACGTATCTGAGAATTTTTTTTTCTTCAAGTTTCATCGTTGCAAATCTAAGTGCTAGTTGATCAGAGCTGTGTTGACATCCAAGGCGGTGAAGTATCCACCGGCGCAGATGCGGAATCGGCGAGGCCACCTCTCAGAAGTCTTCAGCTCGGCCAAAACAAATTTGACCAGCCGGCTGGTACTCGACTGTGAGCTATATCATCTAAATCCGCTCACACTTAATCCCAAAAGCTTTACGACCTTGACCCTCCCTCGAGATCGACCCTAGTCCGGCGCTTTGCTGTGTCGAGCCGCGCCCTACTATCCGCGCCTATAAACAGCCAATCATGCTCTCATCACTCTCTTCAAGCCTCGCAAATGCGCGGCAATCAATTGCGCAGGCGCTGAATTTTGCCCTTGTACTCTCTACAGCTTTCATGCTATGGAAGGGTCTTTCTGTTGCCTCGGCTTCCAGCTCGCCGATCGTGGTCGTGCTGTCCGGGTCGATGGAGCCAGCATTCCAGCGTGGTGACCTGCTCTTCCTCTGGAACCGAAGCCCGCGCACAGAAGTTGGCGAAATTGTGGTTTACAATGTCCGCGGCAAGGACATCCCCATCGTGCACCGAGTGGTGCGAACATACCCCGAAGTTGAGGGCAAGGCCAAGAAGGTGAAGGAAATCACAGTGTATGTTCTGGGCACAATTTGAATGCTCTCCTGAATACCATAGCCATGGGGGTAGGTCGATACTGACCGGGTTATCTAGAAATTCGACACCTAATTCGCACATGCTTCTGACCAAGGTACGTTGACAGCCATACAGTGTGCTTTGTCGAACGCATGGACTAACACAACGATTCCGTGTTTCAGGGCGACAACAATCTTGCCGATGATACGGAGCTATATGCTCGAGGCCAAGACCACCTCAGCCGTGAGGAGGACATTGTGGGCAGTGTGCGTGGATACATTCCGGTAGGCTCTATGGCTCCGTGCTCTCTTCTTGCAGTGGGCTGACATCCGCAGATGGTGGGTTACGTTACTATTATGCTCAGTGAGCACCCATGGCTCAAAACAGTTCTTCTCGGTATCATGGGATTGATGGTCATGCTCCAGAGGGAGTAGTTGGTATGGCGGAAGTTCGATAAACTAGCTCGCATTCGCATTCTCAAATAAATTACTTCCCAACACCTAAATGAGTCAATCAAAACAACCAACTTTGTATTAAACAGAAAGTTGGGTTTATTGGTCCGAATGAAAGCATCACAGGCGTAAAGACTCGAAGTAAATAGCAAGTCCATGAGGCGACCTTTTCGGCCAAGACTGATTTGCCCGACTGACGTCTTCTTCCCACCCCCACTTCAAGTCCTGGAATGCTTCTAGCTTCGATCTACCAGGCCACCTTCTTTTACCATCGCGCACCGAGCTCTCGTTTCTCGGTGACTTGCCTCAAACTCTCGCTCGACTTGCCTCGTCTATCTCTCTTCGCTTTTGTATCTTATCGCACCATCCTCTGGCGCCCCGCATCTCCGTCACGCGCCCACGAGGTCAATCAGACTCGACAAGATGGGCAGCCAAAAGCGCATAGCCAAGGTATGACACCTCTCAGGGCTTCTTCGCTGTTGGATCCAACTTTCTAAACCCAAGTTTCCTTGACAGGAGCTCGCTGAGCTTGTTGAATCGCCTCCTGCGGGTATCAGCGTCGAATTAGTTGATGAGTCAAACCTTTACGAGTGGAAGGTACGCATGGACGGCCCTGAAGGATCACCATATCAGGTACGCAAATACATCCATATGCTGTAGCGCTTTATTTGTGACGGCGCCCTTGATCACCTTCAAACGCAAGGCGCTGCGCCACCCTTTGCCCCCCCCTGTGTCCGTTCCCGCATGAACACATTGTCTAACCTCTATGTACAATCAAAAGGGCGGAAATTTCGCATTGAAACTGTCGCTACCTACTGAATACCCATTCAAGCCTCCCATCGTCTCCTTCTCGACCAAGATCTACCATCCAAATGTCACAAACGACGAGAAAGGCAGCATGTGCCTGGGAATGCTGCGCGCAGACGAATGGAAGCCCAGCTCAAAAATCAATGCTGTCCTTCAGTTCGCTCGCCAACTTTTGGCCGAGCCCATGCCCGACGATGCTATTGAAGGAAGGATCGCAGAGCAATACAGGAATGATCGGGCGCGCTATGACGAAGTTGCACGTGAATGGACCCGAAAATATGCAGTCTCCAAGTAGGTTTACCTGCTCTTGAGGGGCTCTGTCGTTATGTGTCTATGACTTTGATCTTGCGAATAGTCAGGGAGGGGTGTTTCTATGCATGGCTTGGGTCGGGAAATAGAAGTACATGAACTTGTTCCAGTCGTTGGCATCTGAACATACAAAGAAACATTGAAATTCATATTGCTGATAGTCAATATGTTGTCTTTTGCATATGGATATCAGTCTTATTTGCTGCTCTCTAGCGGGACGTTTCCGCGGCGTGGCGGAATTGCAACGGAGGCCGAGGGGTGGTATAAGCAGCGTCCAGTCGTCGGTAGATAATGAGCCACGATCGCGTACATGCCTTGTTGAGAATTCTAACCCCATCGTATGAACAGCCATGAGAGAATCGAAGATGGGGGAGGTGACAACTTTCTGATTGTGCAAGTCAAAGCGGCAGCTCCCGACTTCTCAACTCCTAGTTTCCAATCTGTAGAAGAATAAGGGCCGAGAGCACCTTGACTCAGCCTCGAGCATTCAGATCTGGAGTGCGTGCTCGGATAATGATACCGCTGGCGGAATGATACCTCGATTATGTCACTATTTCCCCGCATATGACCCCACGGGGAAGAACGTTCAGTGATTCGGTTGGTTGTAGCCATCTCGGACATGTACGCCTCGGGAATTGAAGCCATTGAGTAATTTTACATAAAGGGAACGAAAAAGCCTGAAAACATGGAGTAAGTGCCAATCTTAGCTATTGAAGAGGACTTTATCATGGCTATCCTTTCAGACTCGGTAGCTTTTCTTGCACGAAATGTACCAAGCATTCTTCTTCTCGTGGGTATAGCTCATCTCATCCGCAACTACTTTACACCAGGAGCATCATCAGTGCCTGGTCCTTTTCTTGCCAAGCTATCAAACCTCTGGAGGTTCATCGACGTGGCCAATGGCCATGCTGAGGTCACTCACCAAATGCTCCACCGGAAGTATGGTGACTATGTCCGACTGGGCCCAAATGTAGTGAGTGTACGTGATTTAGACGCTCTCAAGATAATATATGGTATCAACCAGGGCTACAACAAGGTCAGTCAGGAGGCTCACGCATGTCTTGCCCCGTATTGATTTCAAGACAGACCGATTTCTATAAAGTTCAACAGCAACTTGCCAAGGGCAAACCGACACCTACATTGTTCACGACAACAGACGAAGACTTCCATACCTCGATCAAGCGGCCGATTTCGGCTGCGTACTCTATGAGCACTTTGACAGAGTTCGAGCCATTCGTAGACACGATAATCCATACGTTGTTTCGAAGGCTGGATGAGTTTGTTGTCCACGGAAAAGTTTGTGATATCTCGGCCTGGTTACAGTACTGTAAGCTGAGCCTTATGCCCAAACGCGGCTCCCGTACTAAGTTTGAGTAGACGCCTTTGATGTAATCGGTGAAATGACCTTCAGCAAGCCTCTTGGATTCTTGGAGAAGGGTGGTGATATAGATGGAGTCATTTCTGCGCTCGAACATATGCTTGACTACTCAGGAAAGGTAGGTGACTTGCTTCAGTCATTGTCGGTCATACTGAACAATTGCAGATCGGTCAAATGCCATGGCTGGATTATTTGTTCATCAAAAATCCTCTGAGGCAACTTGTCCGTGGCGGGTCCACTGGTGCGGTGGCTCGTTTTGCGCGTGCCCGACTGGATGAAAGACTTCAACAGATGTCAACAGTATCGAAGGAGGGCGGTGCTCCGTCATCACAATTGCACAAGGACTTCCTTGCTCGCTTCCTAGATGCGAAGCGAGCCCATCCTAGTGTAGTGACCGATGATCAAGTATTCTCATACACCGTGAGCAACATGATTGCCGGCTCTGACACGACAGCCATCTCCTTACGCGCGATCTTATACTACACCCTCAGGAACCCAAAAGTCTTGTCAAAAATAAATCGAGAACTCAACACGGCATACAAGGAAAGAAAGATCACCCTCCCTGTCTCCTGGAAGCAGAGCCAAGAAGAACTGCCGTACCTTGACGCCGTGATCAAAGAAGCTCTGCGTTTGCATCCCGCCGTGGGACTCCTCTTGGAGCGCATTGTCCCCGCTGGTGGTCTGCAGCTGCCCAACGGTGGGCCCTTCTTACCAGCCGGGACAATCGTCGGTGCTAGTCCCTGGATTATTCACCGCCACCCGCTCTTCGGAAAAGACGTCGACTTGTTTATCCCTGAAAGATGGATGCAGGCGAATACGGAGTCGGATGCTGAATTCAAGGGGCGCAAGAAGCAGATGCTCAGAGCTACTTTTACGTTTGGGGCTGGACCGAGGACGTGTATAGGGAAGAACATTAGCCTTCTGGAGATTTATAAATTAATCCCATCCTTACTTTTGGTCTACAAAGTGAGTGGACTTCATTCTCGTGTTTTCGTCTTGAGAACCAGACGCTGATCCACCGAGTCTTAGATCGAGTTCGAGAACCCGGGACAGGAATGGGCAACAACTAATGCATGGTTCGTGCGACAGAAAAATATGGATGTGAAATTGACCCGCAGCGATATATAGTGGAGGCACCAAACTCGGAAGGATCGACATGGTGTGCCTGGAACCTCGAGAGCCCCAGCGCTTGGAGCCACAGTTACATCAATAACATCGCCCGCTCAAGCAATGCCAATATACTTAGATTAACTCAAATGAATTCCGTTCCAGGTTGATTGTTCCACCGAACAAGATCCCCATCACGATCGGGGCAAATAACAAGGCGGGAGCTAGAGCACGGACGCTCGAGAAATGAGATGCCCCTTCCAAGGCTCGGAAGAGGACGGAAGCTGGAATGAGGCAATGGAGCAGAGCCGGGCGAGGCACGGCTAGTGGGAACAATCATAGCATCGCAAGCCAGCCAGGGCCCTAGAAGAGTCACCGAAGTTTGAGAATCCGGGCATTGTCCCGTCAATTTCCCATGCCGCCTCTGCAATTCAAGTTTTGCTGCACCTTGATAGCCTAGAATTGCAAACAAGAGTTGATCCAAATTAACAAGCAGCTTGTTTGATTTTTTTTTTTTTGTTTTTTCGATTCTAATGCACCTGATTCTACTGATAATGGAGGGAAAAGGGAATCTGGAGGCGAAGGCTCATTGTTGGACGTTGCAATGCTCACAAGATCACATTCCCGAGATCAGAGGCTAGCTCGTTAAGCGAGAATCGAAGATCTCTCAATCTCATGGAGCTGTTAGGGGCGAATTAAAGAAAGAAAAGAAAAGAAAAGAAAAGAAAAAACTTGACCGTTGTCGGGGAAGTGTCGGCAGGTGAAGTCTGGTCCCTGATCGACGATGCATCCGTGGTCGACACTGGGTCGGTCACTGGGGCACGGGAAGAACCATGAACATGTCTAGTGAGGAACTATCGGCAATGTACAGGTGTGCAGCAAGCTGCATGGCTGCACAGACAGGTAACCCGAGGAACTGATAGGTAGTGAACCGTTAAAGGGAAATGACAGTTCACAGCATCTGAAACCCCAGAGCCCTTTCCTTACGTCATCTGGCACTAGTGCTAATCAAGTTCTGTTGATTTTTGTCTCAAATTCAGTCCGTTCGCCCTCATTCCAGTCCTCTGGCAGGCTGTGGCCCTTATTGTTCTTCTTGTTTTTGCTTCTTCTACACTCGTTCATTGTGCGTTGCTTGACTTCATTGATCCGACTTCCACTTCCCCTGACCCGTCCAAAGAGCTAGCCGCTCAACCCTTTTCTTTCGCGCCGTGCCCAACCCGTGTATACCCTCGTTTATCTCGCCTTGAAACACCGGAAGAACCTTCTTGGCGCTCAGCTACTCCTTCTCAACCTTTCAGTCGGAAACCAATGTCCAGCGGGAACTGGGTGCTGCTACTAGCTCGTGGCCATGGTCACAGAAATTGGAAACCCTCGATATCCACCTCCCTTGGGCGCATCCGATCTTCGCGGCCGTCGGAGGGCCCCTCACCAGAATCAACCGCGTTTAGATCCATTGAAGATTGAACCACGCGTAACGCGAACCAACCCGATCCCGCGATCGACACCAAACTCTCCCCGCTCGGCACACCCACCGCGTTCTCGCTCTCCTTTTCCAGTCAATCATCCTGTCGAAGATCGGCCATGGATTCCGGAGGCGCTCAGGGCTGGCTCGCCCCAAGGCCGTGAAGAATGGAGAGCGAAAACACCTACCGGTCGTAATTCCCCTTATACGCCCCCAGCAGACCGACAACCCCCGACATGGTATACAGGCGATAATGATTTCGACAAGCCCAATCCGCGCAAAGCCCCGCCTGCCAGGGGCGGTTTGCGTATTTCCATGTCGACGTCCAAGCTGCATAGCAACCGGCCCAGACTTCAAGAGGCCTCGGACGTTCGCCAGGACTTGAACCCACACGATCTGCCGTTGCCGCGCTTCCCTCCCAGCGGACCCGCGGATGAAACTACACTCAGAACCAGCGTCAATTCGACCCTGACTTCTTGGTCCAGTGTAGAACAAAACAGTGGTACTGAGCGCAGCAGTGTTCTTACTAAGAGCAGCTCCATCACCGACCTTTCACCCGATACCCCAGACGCTCCTCATATGGATGAAGGAATGAGTGTGGAAGATGCGATTTCCATGTACCTAGACGGCTTCAGCGACGTGACCGAGGAACCTCCATCTCCCAAATCCTACGCGGAGAGCAAGGCCCCATCAGTAACACCGCCCCCATCAAGAGATTCGGGCTTGGACGACATTTACCATCCCAATACGAGATCGCTGGACGACATCCCTCCCATTCCCTCACTGCCACAGCCGACCTTGCTGGAGCCTACAGCACCTGGGACGACATCACTGGAGCGTCCTGTCTCAGAGCCTGTTCCCACAAGTCCGCCGCTACCACCCCCGACTCTTCATTTCGAACCAACACCACTCACCTCCCCAACTTCCGACAAACCGTCCAAATTACAGGCGTTCCATGAGCGCCAGCGCTCGCGAATCATCATTCCAGGGCCGGTCCTCCTCCTCTCATGCCTGGAAGTGAGACTAGGGATGAATACGGGTTCCGCAAAGCCACGCAGTACGTCACGTCGGAAATGTACAAGGCCTGGAAAGGCCCGTATTCCAGTTATGCGGGCCATCGACAGACCAAGTGGCACGAGATGCTCAAGGAGCACGGTTTGAGCACAGACAATCCAACCGTATTCCCAGCGCAGTCCAATAAGGTCAAGCGTTTCGTGCGAAAGGGCATCCCGTCCGAGTTCCGGGGTGCAGCGTGGTTCTGGTATGCCGGCGGGTACGAGCTACTGAACCGACACGTTGGCCATTATGACGACCTAGTGCAAAAGGTCATGAACTCGCCGAGTAATGATGACAAAGAGCATATTGAACGAGACTTGCATCGCACGTTTCCAGACAACATGCACTTCAAGCCGGAAGGCACGGATGCTGCCCAGTCTGGCAGTAGTAATCCCAAACATGCCGATATCCCGACAGAGACGCAAATGATTCAATCCCTTCGCCGGGTGTTGTATGCTTTCGCACTCCACAACCCAAAAGTTGGCTACACACAGTCGCTAAACTTCATTACCGGCATGCTCCTTCTCTTCCTTCCTGAGGAAAAGGCATTCTGGATGCTGCACATCATCACCTCAGTCTATCTACCTGGAACCCATGAAATCAGTCTGGAGGGTGCAAACATTGATCTCTGGATCCTCATGGTTCTTCTTCGGGACTCCATGCCCGCCATTTACGCTAAGATCGCCAGCATGGGTGGGACACCCGCCGGCCGCAAGACGCCTCCTCTGACCGTCAACTCGCGACTGCCAGACATCACGCTGGGATTAACGAACTGGCTTATGTCGGTGTTCATTGGTACTCTACCTCTGGAGACCACGCTGCGAGTCTGGGACGTCTTCTTCTACGAAGGCTCAAAGACGTTCTTCCGCGTCTCGCTTGCCATCTTCAAGGCCTGTGAACGCGAGATCCTCGCAGTTTCCGACCCAATGGAAGTCTTCCAAGTGGTGCAGACCGTGCCTAAGAAGTTACTCGATGTCAACACCTTACTTGATGACTCCTTCATGCGACGCCATCGAGTCGGACAAGGTCGAATTGACGAGCTAAGAGCGGCACGACGGACGGCTGTCCGGCAGGAGAAATTGCGACGGTCAGCGGCCTTTGGCAAAGGTCAAATTCAAGCAGCCACCGACGATTTCGAAGCACCTCCACGAAATGGCCATCCTCGTGTCATGGATTCTCTGCGCCAACTCAAGCAACACACATTCCGATAGGCTATTGCCTCTTGCCCGGATACTTGAAGCGTGAATCTTTCATCATGTGGTCGGGACACTGGACAACCGCGGCCGCTTGGTTTATTTCTCTCGGCTCACTAATCTCTGTAATCATAATCGTCTTGTCAACCGAACAATGTCGAACACCCGACATATGGGACCCCTCGCGTTTTTTTTTTTGGCGTCTTCTCAGGATACCTAGGCCTATTTGTTATATTGGAGCAAGGCCTGCATTTGTACATAGCACAACATAGATCCGCATGCAAAGCAAAAACTCAATAAAGCTAGACGTGCCCAGAAAAGCCAAGCAGGCAAACAACACAATAACCTAAACATGGACTCAAAAATGAGACTAACAGGAATTAGCGGAGTTTGGATGGGGCTCATTGGACCCTTAGGGCTGATCCGAGCCAATCTGAGCTGATCATTGGATCGATCGTTGCTCTCTCCGCATCGGCCCTGCATTGCAGGGCATGTCGTCATGGATTCTGATGCGGAAATATCAGGTTCCTTGCTTCCCCCTTGAAAAAGGGGACTGGAGAACTTCAGATCTTCTTCTCTGCACGGCAAACAATGAGTGGGCAAGCAGCTAGCTATTACGACCCTAATCAGGGCTTCGCCCAGGAACAGGGGAAGGGGAAGCCTGACAACCATAACCGTGACTTGGAACAACGCGGCAATGGCTACCAGCCACAGCAAGTTGCGTCCGAGGCCAAATCGCCAGGGCCTCCAGAATACCCTGACCACCCTCCGCCGCCGTACAGTACTTTTGATGAGGCGTTCAAGATTGAAAAACCAAAGTGGAACGATATTTGGGCAGGTCTTTTGGTACGTAATACATTTAAGATTCCCGGGGAAAACTAAGCTCCCAAAGCTAATAGTTGCCCCTTTTCAGTTAATCGCCGTGTTTTTGGGCTATGTCGCAGTGTCCGGCTATACCATTCATTCGTATGCAGTCAATAAGGGCTTCAATGGGGGTGGTATCTATGACTCGTCTAACGACTTCTCGCTCGACACCAACACCCTGGTTCTCTTCATCTTTGTGCTCTGTGTTGCCCTTGTTTTCTCATGGCTGTACTTCCTCGGCGCACGATACTTCACCAAAACCTTCATCTGGGCCACGGGCATTCTGAACATTGTCTTCGCACTCGCAACGGGCATCTACTATATCGCAAAGAAGCAGTATGGAGGCGGAATAGTGTTTCTGGTCTTCGGAGTCTTCGCCATCATTTGCTTCATTAGCTGGATCCCACGCATCCCATTCACGGCTTTTATGTTGCAGACCACCATGGACGTGGCGCGCAACTATGGACACGTCTTCCTGGTCAGTGCTTTGGGTGGTATCGTCACCGTGGCTTTCTCGGCTTGGTTCTCGGTGACTCTAGTCGCGATTTATGTCAAGTTTGAGCCGGATTCCTCGGGGACGAATCCGTCATGCGCGAATGGCGGCTGTAGTCGCGCCAAGGTGATTGGGCTTGTCGTGTACGTGACTTTTGCCATGTACTGGTTCAGCGAGTGGATCAAGAACACTGTGCACACGACCATCGCTGGCGTGTATGGATCGTGGTACTTTTGGAGCAAGTCTGCGGGTGGAATGCCGAAAGGGTCGACTCGGGGAGCGTTCCGTCGCGCGACGACCTACTCGTTTGGCAGTATCAGTTTGGGAAGTCTGATTATTGCGATTATTCAAATGATGCGCCAAGCATGCTCTATTGCACAGCGACAAGAGGCAGCCCAAGGCAACCTGATTGGTAGTATCGCCATCTGGGTCTTGGGGTGCATCATTTCGCTCCTTGACTGGCTCGTCACACTTTTCAATCGCTACGCCTTCTGCCACATTGCGCTTTACGGCAAAGCCTACATCCCTGCGGCCAAGGATACATGGAAGATGATGCGCGACCGTGGCATTGATGCTCTCGTTCAAGACTGTCTGATTGGCCCAGTCTTGACCATGGGTTCGGTCTTCGTTTCATACGTGTGTGCCCTGTCGGCCTACCTCTACCTACAATACACCAAACCCGCCTATAATTTCGGACGGAGATTTCACAGCAGTGATTATGGCCTTTTCTTTTGTCATTGGATTGCAGGTCTGCCAGGTGTTCATGACGCCCATCGGCAGTGGTGTTGAGACCATCTTCGTGGCCATGGGCTGGGACCCGCAAGTCATGATCAACGACCACCCAGACATTTACTACAAGCTTGTGCAGCTGTACCCACGTGTGCAACAGGCCATCCACGCGTAGATTTATGGAACCCTTTTAAAGGGAATTGGACAATAGATTGATACCCAGGACATTGGGCCACTGTCAATGAAATCGAGTCTTCCGAAGGAGTGAGAGATCTTCACATTTTACCTAATAACAATATACGAAAGTAGAATGGCACGTGTTTCATTGATCATTACAATCTCGGTCTTTAAGAATACATGAATAGACAACTATATAGACTCCCCCAAAACAAAAAGAAAAAAACCCCCCCCATGGGAAAATACATCTCATCCCATTCCGACCCAGTTTTTCCCCCATTATAAAAGTAACCCTTACAGAGCAATCATCAGACCCATAACAGCGGCGATACCTACGGCAGCAACACCACCGTGGGCAGCGTTGACCTGGGGGGCAGCGCCCTGGAAAGTCTTGAAGTGGTTGGCACTAGCACCGCTAGGGGTAGGAGTAGCCATCCAGGAGTTGTAAATGGCAGAGGTAGACGAGGCGCCGACCACAACAACACCTTGAGACCAGGCAGGGGAAGAGGCCGCAGCCATACCTCCCATGCTACTGCTAACGGGCACATAGACGGGGATCTGAGAGACGTGCATAGAGCTGGTGGGGGTAGCCTTGCAAGCGCAGGACTCAGTAACAGTGACAGTCATCACTTGGGGCCGGGTGGCATCGACGTCCTCGCTCGGTGAGTAGGCGCGCATGTGCAGGTCCCCAGCGGGCTGCATGGGCTTGCTGGCATGGCGAGCGGGAGCAGCGACCTTGTCACTGCTAGCAGCGCACAGGGAGGCATCGAGGTCATCCACGCCTAGAACATGTTAGACTGAGAAGTATACTGGTGATTGTTGATGTGATGAACCTACTGATTCCGACCTTTGTGCAGGCGTCTTTGGCAGATTGTGTCAACTCCGAGATCGCATCTTTGTTGGCGCACAGGCATTCCGCGCTGGTCATGTTGGTGCAATCGTTGAATTTTGTGACGTCGATTCCGTCGAGGGCCGCAGTAGCGCAGTCGAGGTACTCACTGGTAATTTGGGCCGTGACGGCACCGGCCATGAAAAGAGCAGTGATGAAAGAGCGCATCTTGATGGATCGGGTAGAAGTTTGATAGAATATCGAAGTATAGTGTAGGAACAGCTGGAGGAGCAAAGAGAGTAGGCAACCGGGATGGGGAGTTGGTATCGACTTAAGTAAAATCCAGCCTTCATCATGAATCAGGTAAATAATTGGCCCTAAAACAGCATCCCTTGATCCCTGGAGGTTGGTGAATTGGTGGTGACGACGTCAGACATTCTGGTATCCCCAGCGGGGAGGGGGACACAACGCTTAATTGGATGTATAAGCTTTGACTGGCATCCGAATTGCCTTACCCTGCGAAATGCACTCTTGGAGCTACTGGAGCTTCCTGTAGATCGCTTTGGAATGACTTAAGAAATGTGCCAGTTGCCATGTCCCAGTGGCGGCGCTGGGTGGTATCCCTGGTTACCCGTTCCTCCGGAGAATGTCCACCGCAATCACCCTATTCAAGACCATCCAGGATGTTCCTCCTTTAGTGACGTTACTGATCCAGGGATAGATGGGTGCTTCGATACTCTGAAAAAGCCATGGTCCTTTTGGCTGATAAAAACAGGTATGCTGCGAATTGTATCAGTTTCGACTCTGTTCAAGTGTGCACTAGTTTCATTCTCGTGGAAGATTCTCGACTGGACTCGAATTATGAGCAGCCCGTAGTATGCCTTATAATGCAACGTACGCAAATAGAAGTTGCAAGCAATGTGGCCATGTCCCCTGACACGTTCAGTCAAGGGCATAATCCACAGGTACTCCAACTCAATCTCACTGGCTGGAATTCAATTTGATCGCTCCGGAAGTTTGAGTAGAGAGCGCGACAAGTCTGTTCTTTGGAAAATTTCCAATTTTAGCCATAGCTCATGATTGACGTGCTACGGAATAGAACCTTCGTGAGAACTGTTCATGTTGAGATTGCGGCGCAACAAGCAGAATGCAGCGATCGAGGTGCGTAGTCCTTCAACAGGACCGTGAAAGACTCTGCATGTTGGTTCTGAGCTCGCGTGTAGTAGTCTAGACTTCGCACGTCTTCTGTTTGCCACTTGGAGACAGTTGGCTGGATGGATTAAGTTGACGGTTATTTATACCAAACCCATATAGCGAAGCTCTTTTTCCACGTCCTGGCTTTCCCCTTTCGGCTTAGCTCCCGCTTCAGCGCCACTTTCTTTGACGAAATGTTTGACCGATCGGGCTAGAAACTTTGTTCCCATGAGCTGGCTAGTGGCATTAAAGCCCGAGTTAGGCAACTCTTTCGTAGCCCGGGACCCAATTCAGGAAATGGTTAAGACTTGCTCTGAACGGAACTCGCATAACACGCCTAGAATCTCGGGCAATTTTGGCAGCGTCAATGACTGCTTCAGTCTGTCCACGGTGAAGTCCGCCCTTTGGCGCACTCAGCCACCCACGGGTCATAATCATGGGAAAATGACGATCATGCGTGGCATCAGGCGCATCAAATAATGCTTCTTTGTATGAATTGCTTTCGTCAAATTATCATGCCATTTCCTTTATTATTCGTGCTGGGCTGGTCCCTAGAAGAGAAAAGAAATAAAGCACTGACAGGTGCATGCTCTATCGATTCCTGTGGTGATGTAAGTTTCGGAACACCGAAATTTGTATGCTTGGTTGGCGGTGATCACGGTAATAACATGGACAGCCTACGGAATTGACAACAGACTCATAATCAATTAAGCAGCGAACAAGCTATTAAGTTTTTCCAACAATGACGATATCTATGGATTTGCAGCAGGGATTGTGTTCCGCACGCGCGACTTTGGGGTTCAGTCGAAACACTTGCCTGATACGGAATCCAAAGAACATCCTGATGAATTTCATGTGGCGGAGTCGAGGAGGACCAGACCAGTCCAAGCTAGACTATCTGACCGCACCTGTATAATCCATTATTTAACAGACGACAAATCCCACTTTCAAATTCCCATTTTCAACGATCAATACTTCTCCATATCCTCAAATCAGTGATATCAGGACCCGCAATAATGGGCTTACTACGTGATGCTATTGGCTCCGCACTTGGTGACCATCAAGTCAATAATGGCTTGTCTGGACCAAAACTTCCGTTTGGGAGCAAGAACAACATTCGCGACAGCGCTCGGCTCTCATCTGCAGCGTACCGCCAATCGCCGTCCCCTAGCCAGGGATATCCTTCATATATGAAGTACGGAGATGGAAAAGATTCATCGTCAAATGATATTCAAGGAAGAACGAGAAGTCCTCCAGGGCCAATGAGGCCTACTGATCTTGATGGTCGATCTTTCAGACGGGACAATCCCGTGATGGGATACCAGGCATCAGTGGTCGATCCGCCTCTCGACCGAATGCAGCAGTGGTACAATGAAGATCGGACTCAATATTCCGACTTGCCTCCTTGTTATGAAAGTCCAGCATCTGATCGCCGAGATAGGTATCAAGGGCAATCCGATGGTATGAGTCGTGTCCAAGACGTGGGGTCAACCAGACATACCAGCTTTCGCCCACTAGCTCTACCCCAAATCGCCTACGGGGATGAACAGCCTTTCCTTCGAGGGTACACTAGAGAACTAGGTCAATATGGCATCTCCGAACAGGAATTCATAGGACTACTGGACGCCATCAATGTTGCCATCATTCCTAATCCAGAGAATCAAATCTTCCAAAAAGGAGCGAACATCGCGGGCTGGTTCCTGTGAGTCCCATTATCCTCACCTTCTCGACCTTTCATTGACTAATGCATCATTTTGCAGACCAGGCGCCGCTGGAATCGGTCTCGCGGTTGGACAGGTTGGCGTCGGACTTGGCACAGCGGTTGGCCATGCATCTGCAGTCAATCAAGTCCTGTCAAGCGCGAACCTACAGCTCTTTTTACCCAGAGGTCTCGAGATATGGTGAGCTTCAGGTCTAAAGCATTCTTTACTCTTCCCCAGCAGTAGCTGACCATCATCAGTATTGGCAAAACGGACGACGTGGGCGCCGAGGTTGGTCTGGTCTCAGGCTCAAGACGATCAAACTCCTATGGCTTCTCACCCGAGGAAAGACGAGCAAGTTTCGGCAACCGCATAGCTCCTCTCTCCCGGGTACTGCCACCGTTGCAGCAGACCGGTCGCAATGACCCGATCGCACAGCTTGGTCGAGGCCTTGCTAGTCGAACTAATCAGAAGAAAATGCAAAAGGCGGACAAGGAAATGACTGAAGGGAAGACCAAAAACATAAACACACTTGAAGGAGGATTGAAATGGGTAAGTCTTAGAAATTGCCTTTCATCGCGATTTACGAGGTCAGTCACTTACAACCACTGCAGCTTATTATCAGACAAGCCTCTGCCGATGCACTGGCGTATTGGAGGAACTCTGCCGCAGGCAGTGTTGCTCACGCTCACGCTTAGGCGCAGGCCAGACCAACCCTCCAAAGCGGATACAGCAGATGAAGAGCTATATCTTTACGCACGACAGTTGTTCGAGGCCGATCAGATTCATGTCAGACTAAAATATATGCAATGCAAAAGCTGCTAAGTATATGCGCTAATTTACTTGTCACTCAATGGCCTCAGGTTGATCTTATTCTTTTTACGTGGCCTGTTATGTCTCTCCTCCATACTTTTTGTACGAAATTTTTATCCCAGCTAGACCGAGCTGAAAGCCAACTTTAGTCCCTCACAATAAAACCTTAGGACCCTACATGATACAATACTTGTCCTGTTCCTCAGTAGCATCAGAAAGGAGACAATGAGCACCCTTGTGTAAGTGGGGACGCTAAAGAAAGGAGCGCCCCACCTACTCGAAGGAATATGGGGAACTGTGGTACGTGTACTGAACTGTGCGATACGCCAAGTTGATCACATTGTGTGCATTCTGCAGGTAAACAAAAGCCGAGGAAGAAAAGAAGGAAAGACGGAAAAGACAGAGATGGCTATCTACCCTGGCCAGTTGTGGCGTGCTTTCCAGCTTCCAATACTCTCGGGTGCCTATGCCATTTCCCGGCCACTAGTAAGAGAGAGGTAAGAAATGAATGATTGTCACTCTTCAGGTCTATAGCAAAGGAGGCTCACATTTGCCAACACACACATTTAATCCCAGTCGACCGGGCCGTATAGGGCAGCGTCGGTCGAGTCATCGCCTCGCTTCTTCTTATCCCAGTCGACTGGGCCATAGAGGGCGGCATCGGTCGAGTCATCGCCGCGCTTCTTCTTATCCCAGTCGACTGGGCCATAGAGAGCGGCGTCGGTCGATTCCTCAGACCGGGTAGACTTGGAGATTGTATCACCACGAGGCTTTGGAAGAGCGTTGATACCCACCACCATACAGGCGATCAGTGCCAGGGTTGTGAAAATCTTCATGTCTACTTCTGGCTGCCTGTGTTCTCCTTCTTAGCTAAGTCAGCTAAATTCTAAGACTGGGTCAAACACGAGACGGGAAATCCTTACAGTCTGGGATATCAATGCAGATAAGTGTATTCTCGGAAACTCGATAGAAAAGTATCTGTGGACATTCCACAGGATTCGACACCCATCTTATGTGGAAAATGTAATTCGCATGTAGGACTGGGAATGACAACCGTGTGAACAAGCCGCATTTGCTGAATTAGTGATGGAACATTGTTGTCCTACCTAAGACACGTTCATGATTGACGCGGACATCTTCAATACGAGCAAATCCCATATTTTTGTCAATCGACAACGACACCCCTGAGACCTTATGCAGTTTACGCTGCATGATACATGGGTTTGCCGTCAACTTGCCATTAGGACGTGATTTGGTCTGCATCTGCCTATATCCGGACCCAATCCTTTAGGTTCATTTCCAAATAGCTTGTTGTAAGCCATCTTATCTGCATATGGTGCCCTATCGCCAGGCGCGGGGAAGTTATCGCCTGGCGTTGGGAAGTTGCTTCCAGAGTAGGCCACAGATATCTGTGAAGGCGGTGTCGAGGCGGTGAGAAACAGCCACGGCATTCCTCATGCTGAGATGGATATAGCTATCAAAGCTAGGCTGAACCTATCTTTGGTGATTACAGCCGATAGGGCATCTGCTCTCCTTCACTACTGCACCGGTCACGTAGTTTATGTGGATCATTGCGCGCCATCTCCTATCTTCTGACACGCCTTTCCCTTGCATACTATTCATCTTCCTCTCAAGAAGTTGCAAGTCATAGTCGGTTTGGGTCGGTGGAGAAAGAATCCTCTGTCTTGACGTATCAGACAATTAAGCATCCAGAAAGAACGCAGATAAGACAGTAAATTTTCATTTCACTAGACTACTCATCATAATCAGCATCATACCTAGCCTAGTATGGGAAATGCATCAGGCAAAGAGCAAAGGTAAGCGACCAGCTGCCACCAATCGGCGTGCCAATGAAAATGAAATCTCTATCTCTCTTTCTCTTTACCTTCGGTGCTGTCATTGACAACTATTGTTTTCATCTTTGATGGGGTTTGAGCGTGATGTTCATTGCTAGTCTTCAATATGCTCGTCTACCCAAAGACGAGGATGTGGGCTCCGCAGATAACTACAATGCCGACCATCGGGGTTGGCGGAGGCGACTTGCAGGGTCTCTTCTGGAATTGCCCTCACAATGTCAATACTCATAAATGTATTGCTCCTGGCGCTTTTGTACTCTCGTCGCCATCCATCGAGAATAGCTCTTGTCCCGAGCTTCCCACAGACACTTTACTGTTCGTATCTCACAGTCGTGACCAAAAAGCTCCGTACCGTGAATTGCTAATCAGGAATCACATCTAGCTCCCGCACAAACTGCTATTTGAAAGCTCATTCGATGGAAACAGCATATATACGGGCTATCCCACTTCCGCGATTGACAAGCACTGGAAAGAGCTTTACCGAGTGGGCAACTCACGCATCAGCAAAAAAGAGGCAGCCCTTTTGCCTAACAAGACCATCGCTGCCAATCTAGGCGCTGACGATTATCTCGTTGTCATTTCAGTCTTCCACGATCTGCATTGCCTGGTATATCTGACAGTCTCCTACTATGCCCCAGAATTCGTTCAATTAACAAAGTGAGAGTAGGATCGACTCCGGAAAACCCTTTGGTATTTCTACGATGACGAATGGAACAGCACATACAACCCGTTCACCGTCAAACGGCCGGATACCTTCGATGCAAAGGGTCTGAATGGAATCATCCATCTTGACCATTGCATTAACATCATTCGCCAGTCACTCCAATGCTTTTCAGATGTCACACCCTACGTTTTTCAATGGAGTGAGGAAGCACAGGCGGTACACGCATATGCAAATGTGGTTCACACTTGCCGAAACTTTGATAAGGTATGAAGCTCTTTATATTCAGAATTGAAGTTCAACTGACTCAACATACAATTAGGTCCGCAACTGGGCACTGAAAAGAACTTATACCGACTCGTGGGACGGTGTTGATCATCGGGATGAGCAGGGAGCTTGTAGATCTGGTGATTCTGGGGACTGTCTTGGGCTTTGATCAGTACGTGTAGTACTCAACTACCGCGGTCGACTTAGTTCCAGTCAATCATCAAGGGTACATAACTGTACCATATTTGGAACTTTCTAAACCTGACTTCCTTGAGGGCTCAGCTACCTTCTATCGTTCTTATGTCATCAAATGACAATATTTTTTTAGAACGTCTTCATATTCTGATCAAGTGACTGCAGTGTGCCGCGAACAAAGCTGTCTTCAACAATTCTAAGACCATTCCATGGACCAAGTGGCAAATTCTATTAAAAAACACTATGCAAAGTATCGCCCTGTTTCCAATCCCAGAGACTCACTTCTTTCCCATTCATCTCAAACAAAAGACTTGTATCTCTGCATTGATGCGTGTATCCCATTCCATGAATTCTCCGTCCGTGCTTATTTTCCATCACAATATCTTCCGCCGGCTCAATTGTCCCATCTGCGGCGCACACAAGGGACTACACTTCAATGTCAATAAAATTCTACGAGGGATTGGTGTTGTACATACCTGAGTCAGATAACTAATGCAGTGCTCTGCGTGCTCAAAATATTCACTCTCACTGTGAACATGTGAGCTCATCATTGTAGCTGGATTGAGGGAGTCTCTCCACATCTTCACGCAGTGAAGGGCATGGAACATAGAGATACCCCACGCTTCAGGCTTTGAGGAGGAGCTCTGATTTACCCAGAGGACATTTGCTTGGGGAAGCTCATCAAGAATTTTGATGTCAGCATACACAGTTGGTACGAAGGCTTGATTCTCATGATGCGCGTGGTGCTCATGGTGCATAGGCGTTGTTGTCAGGGTTGATGGGCAATTAGTGGTGGGATGAATGAAGCTGACAGATCGGATGGCGGACAGCAGTTGATCGCGGAAGATAGCAAGAGTAATGAATGTGAGGGCTAGAAATCCAATAATAAGGGCAATGAAGCATTGGCGAGAGTACGTGCGCTGTCCTCTTGGTGCCATGATGAGGGTGTTATTGGAGTGAAAATTTGGTGCCCAATAAGTTTGCTCAGAAAACGTGAGAAAGAAGGGAGATCTTGCTGGAAAGACAAGCACAAGATCAGAAAGATCGATCTAGTACCATGGATTACATGGCATGTAAGGTAAGAGTCGTCAATAATATTATCTATTGTACATTGGACTAACATGGCGCTGAGACATAAGCCTTCTTGTGATTCACGGTGCCACTTCTTCATCGCCGCTACAAATACCCAATTTCAAGACAAGCTAGGATGAAAGTAGCAATTGCATGCGCCAACGAGGGCATCTTAGTGAAAACATCAACGGCGCAATAACAGCGGAAATTCCTTTTCCGTACATCTATATCAGAATGTGGAAAGTGGTCGTCATGGCCAGGAAGGGCGCTGCAATGTAGGCCAGCACCAGGCGAGTGAGATTACACCGCATTAGCGCGATTCTTCGTCCACATAGTGCGGGGGTTCCCCTCGTCTGACCCAGTAACGTCTCGTCTCTCTGCCGGCAAAATACGTGTAGTCGATCTTTCTCATAGCTCCGCAGGTATTCTATGCAATGCAAACTAGTTAGCGATAGCGGGGTTTTCGTTTATTACCTTATCGCAGCCGGGGAAACGGTGAGCGCTGCACCGTTCGTCCCTACTCGAGGCTTGATTGCCTTATCACAAGTTCAGGAAAAGGCGATCCAAGGCAATGGAACATTATATTGAGTTTACCCGGAGCCACAGCCATGATGTCGCTTCTCGGTCAGAGCTAGGCAGCCTTGTGACTGTAATGTGGTGTAGAGAGGAGACTGTGCAGTCATAAATGATTACGATATCGGTTTTGATCGACCTCTTCGGGTACGTGCAGGCTTGCCCTGAGGATTTCTGGCAGTCCCTAGACAAATTTCCAAGTCTCTGTCTCTTTGCACGTCTTCCCAAATCTACAAAATTCTTGATTGCCTATTTCTTCTAGGCCAACTCACAATATGGTCTCGTTCAACAAATATGTGTATAGCATATTGTCCGACCAGCGAAAGTCGGAAGAGTCATTCGACTGTGAGAACCGGCTTCTTGATGGCAAAAAAAATCCCGATGACGACAGCTTGTCTCAGTCAGGCATGAGGCGGAAGAACGGCATCATATCCAACTCGACCTGTGGAGCATATTCGGCGGACATTGTCAGATTTTCTCATTTCTTTCTTCCTGGCTTTCACCACAGTGATGCTGTACATCAACATGAAAGTGATGAGTAGCCTGAACCCACAAATCACTTACTGTATGTCTCAATTTCCAGAAAATAGATTGTTTTAGAAAGCTGACTAGACATTCGATAGCGCCCGCCAAAGACGCAGTCAAATACACGACTAGGTTATTTGACAGCGGCCTGAACTATGGCAAAACAATTTATCAAGGACCTCCCTCCCAGAAAAGCAATGATGCATGGACGGCGCTCTTTATTCATGGCTTGACACGAATCAGCGCAGCCGAAGCCGCGCCGATGCATAACAAAACACTCCCTATCCCCGATGATCCCGAGAACTATATCACATCGCTAGCTGTTTTTCATCAACTTCATTGTTTGGTGAGTCGAATTTGTCTCCTTGCATCTCAATCTGAGTACCGTACTGACTGCAGATACTCCCCGCTAGAATGCCATTCGCATGTCCCTCTGGAATACCTCTCTCATGCGTGGCGACGAAGACGAAACAAGTATGCGCCACCTCGATCACTGCGTTGATATTATTCGGCAAGCTATTATGTGTCACTCGGACATCTCTCTATTCGTTTGGGCGCGCGACCCCCGCGATGGAAAAGCCAAGGGCATCTCGAGCGTCACGCATACCTGCCGCGACTTCAATGCGCGGCAGATCGCCCGTTCAAAACAGGGTTCAACACTAGCAAGGTCATTACGGGCGATCCGCTAGGATGGGCTGATTACCATGTGGTTCTGGACTATGGAGAAGTCACAGACTGGGAAAAGCAAGAGCCAGATTACAAGGCTTGGACAGCGGGGAAGAAAGAGGAGATGCTGAAATCAGGTCAAATATTTTACGAGGATGATGACCTTTAGTTTACTGTAAAATCTTATCTATAGAGTTTGTTCCTACCTTTCTCGGTAACGACCAATCAGGCTTCTATGAAATTATTTACTCTACATTCTTAACATGTTGAAAGATCTTTCATGCGAAATTCTCACCCCTCAACCTGATATCGCGAACCTGGCCGCCATCAATAGGGTCATAGATGTACGTATTTCAGTGCCGCTCTACTCTGACTAGTACCCGAGGTAGATATGCCTTCCTCCATTTGAATGGTTGGACATGTTGAGTGGTGAATTTGCAATCGCTCAGCTACTATCCGGACCCTAGTCGGTCTATCCCATTCGTTTTGCTCTGTCTCCCCTCCCCCACTTTCTTTCTTATCACCACCAGAACAAGTCAAGTGAAATGCTTCAATCTCTCTTGATCACCTGAAAGAAAAGTCACTCGTCTCATTCATTTTACACCTGCGAGACAAAGAAGTAAAAAACAAAATGGAAATCTCACTTCGTCAATCGAAAATCCACGATATTCCAGATCTCGTCCGGGTACACACGGCAGCATTCAAAGCAGATCAATTCTCAAAGTTCATGCTCGATGGCCGAGAAGAGAACGCGCATCAGATCATGATGGAGAAGTCGCTCAAGATCTGGCTTGCGGATCCGACCACAAAGCTGGTGAAAGCTGTTGCAAGTGATGGAAGTGTGGTCGGGTGGGCGTGCTTTCTGGCCCAAGGCAGAGATGATTCAAGTGAGGCGTGCCCACAGCCACAAAGTCTCCAACCCCCCCAACGATAGCGAGACATCATCAGTCAACCACTCGTTGCAACAGAAATCAGAAAAACCAAAACCTCCAGCTCAACTCCTCGGTCGCCTGATGCGTCGTGATGCCATGAAATGGGAAATGGACTCGATGAAAGGTGGACGATACCTTACTATTCAAGCATTAGCAACATATCCCAGCTTCCAGGGTCAAGGCATAGGGTCCAGGCTTATTAAATGGGGTACCGACATCGCCGATGCAGAGGGCCTTCGATGCTGGGCGCACGCATCGCCAGCCGGTCATCGTCTCTATACTAGGGCCGGATTTTCAGAGCTGGGAAGGAGCGACTATGACCTTGAGAAGTTTTCTGACGGGAACAAAAGCTGGGGGCACTATACATTTCGGTACATGAAGCGTCCAGCTCAAAAGAAAAGGTGATGTTTGGTTGTTGGGGAGAGAATGGCCATACCATATCAAAACTAGCATAGTAAGGAATGAAGAGAAACTCGCCATAAATTCTGTGTATGTCGTTATTATCTAGCTCTATCAATTTTGAACAAGGGTGTATGGGACGGCGAGCACCCTGGTAAAGAACATCTCCGGCTCATGTGCGAAGAGCCTGCTCTGCCCCTGGGAACGGATTGTGATGGCCCCCACCAAGCCATGATCATCACTGATCGCCCCAAGCATGAGACTTCAAATCACAGATCATTCTGGCAACATGGCTTTGGCGCAATCAATCAGCAAGGATTATGCGCTCTCACAGGAAGTTATCAGCTCATCTGGCAGTGTTCAGACAGGGTCCAAGATATCGATTCACGTTCATTGATATCGACGCCCTGTAGGTAGCTCGGCAACAGACTTATGCGAATCCATCTCATGCGACTTCATGTATATGTCGTTCACTGGAAGTTCAGGAATATATGGTGGGGGGTCGTGTGGCCCACCAACCGCAGAATATCTTTGTACGGGCCTCCCCAGAGTTCCCTCAGCTTCAGCCAGGACAGGTGGTATAGGTTGCATTGATGGCTGGACTGGAAATGACGGGGATGTGCCTTGAAGATTGTGCTTCTTCTTTCTAGAATACCACAGGCATGCCCAAAATGCGCCAATAATGAAACCTAGGCCCACCACGCCACCCACCACACCACCAATTATGGCACCTGTATTAGAGGTGTTGGAACTCTCTCGGCTCCCGTTCTCGCTTGGATGATTCACAGTAGTTGTCGCTCGGCTTGTGCCTGAGAGTCCCGAAGTTGAAGATCTCGGGGCCCCTGTCTCAGTGATCGAACTTGCAGACCTGACGCCACTTCCGTAACTGCTAATGAACGCACCATTTACGGTTATAGGATCCACGGTTGCAATAGTGGTGTAATAAAAGTAGCCCGTCACACTTCTATATTCCAATTGCGATGTGGAAGCCGTCAAATAGATTTCCTGGAGAGTAGCAGTTGGCCCACATCCGTAATCAGTGATCTCGAGTTCTGGGTATGTCCAGGTAACACAGGCTGAGTTGGATCCGCGAGTGCAAAGAACGTCAAAATTGTTGTCCAAGAGGGCCAGAGAGGGGGTAGCCTTGACCTTGCTACCGTCATAACAGGTGGTTTCGAATCGGCAGTTGTTTGGATTGGAGTCGTAGCAGCATCCCACCATATTGGGGTATCTGGATCCGCTTGTATGAAACACACATTGCCCATCGCTTATGCATTCGATCGATGACACTATAGAGTCGTGTGAGTTCTCTAGAGGCCATGTAGTAGGATGGTACAGTCTTACTGGAACTGAAAACTCCATTGACGTAGCCGCATACGCTCGCTGGCATCGATGAGGTCAAGACAAGCCCACCAGCTGAACTAGTGATGTAGACTTCTGCGTTCGTTGCAGAGTCGGCTCGAGGTTCGAGTCCCAGGTATCGTGCTCCTGGGCCTGAAATCGCTTCGGGGATCGCCGCCTGCAATGAAGCACGAGAAGGAGGAGTTGGTAAAGTGATCTGAAATGCAGAAGCGCATGTTAAAATGATCAAAGAGAGACTGAAGAAACATGTTGATCTCGAATGAATCATTTTGACTGCAGGTGACTTTGAAGTCAAGTCGCGCCCAGGGAGTGACCCATGGACACTGACGATCCTAAATACATCGACTAGCAGCGTCGCCAATACTCCCTCACTGCCCAGGTAATTATCGCGTGGTCACAACGGACAGCTTGGCAGGTCTGGTGTTTGTTGATGCGCGAATCGCTGTCAGTCTTGGAGCCTTTAGCCTTGAACGGGATAGATCTATAGAGCATCCATTTCGTGAATCCCGAGGTCGTCCAACTGGTGCAAGAAGGATGCCAAGTGTGGGGGGGCCAAGGGCGGCTTGCTTACTCTGGGATTATTTTGGCGAACACGAGATTTAGTTGCAGTGAACAGGATCGATATCATGCCCACAGCAGGGAAGCTAAAAGGGCATCTGCTTGGACTATCTTTCAAGGGCTTGAAATTGTTGGCTTAGATTATCTGTTTTGGCTGATCTCTGGCTTGTTTCCAGGGCATCGATTTGGTGACGGATTGTTGCCCGAAACCCTGGCCCACTTGAGGCTCTCATCCACGACTAACACAGCCCTTGTAGGCTTTAAAGCCAAGGCTTGGCTTGGAGCTCCAGGCTGTGCGGGTTGCTCAGATGACTGGAAAGGGGGCCATTTGATGATCTTCTGCTCTTTCTGGGGTGGGAAATTCCGTGAAAGCTGTAACACCGTCTAGTTACAGCCATTCTCAAAATCGGCTTGACCAGTACACACTTACACTCTCTTGCTCGGCCCCACCGCTAAGGCTTTAGCGTAGATCATTTATTGAGCGGGCCGCCTTGAGAGGGGCGCAGCAAAAGGTGCTTTGTATATTACAGTACTCCGTACCTGAGCCTGTAATACACTATACAAACGAATTGTCCGTAGAATTTCATGGAGCCACACAGTCTTATCTCGTCAAATCCAACAACACGGGATCCCCCGTTGCCTTGTTTCGAGAAGATCTGCCTCATAGCATCAACTCTCCTGCCAGCCTGCACGATGTGGATCTGAAATAATTGTTACTACAGTAGTACACAACTGCGACCAGGAATGTCAGGTCGCCCCCAAAACTCCCGTCAGCCAATCATGTCTGGTAGTTAGAGATCGGACAGATTAGAATGTGAGTCTCTTTCGGATGCTGTCTACGTGGTCAATGGGGTTTCGCCTCAAACGAAGAGAAATCAAGTACAGAACCAACTACTACTGTAAGAATCCACCGGACCAAAGTAACTATGTCCTATGTATCGTATAGGCAGGGCACAGTAATAGACTATATTTAATTTGCCATCCTTATGGCATTTAATCTCTCCATAACCTGCTGCGTCGTACTGTGATCGTAACCTAGGGCCTTCTCGTAGCCTACCAGTGCTCGCTCGTACATCTCTTCTGCCTCTTTCAGCTTCCCCTGATTGAAGTAGAGAAGACTAAGGTTGTTGACTATAGTGAGAGTGGACATATGATCTGGACCGAGGGCCTTCTCGTAGCCTACCAGTGCTCGCTGGTACATCTCTTCTGCCTCTTTCAGCTTCCCCTGATTGAAGTAGAGAAGACTAAGGTTGTTGACTATAGTGAGAGTGGACATATGATCTGGACCAAGGGCCTTCTCGTAGCCTACCAGTGCTCGCTCGTATATCTCTTCTGCCTCCTTTGGCTTCCCCTGATTGAAGTAGAGAAAACCAAGGTTGTTGACTGTATCGAGAGTGGACGTATGATCTGGACCGAGGGCCTTCTCCTTGCCTGCGAGTGCTCGCTGGTACATCTCCTCTGCCTCCTTTGGCTTCCCCTGATTGAAGTAGAGAAAACCAAGGTTGTTGACTGTGTCCAGAGTGGACGTATGATCTGGACCGAGGGCCTTCTCGTAGCCTACCAGTGCTCGCTGGTACATCTCTTCTGCCTCTTTCAGCTTCCCCTGATTGAAGTAGAGAAGACCAAGGTTGTTGACTGTGTCGAGAGTGGACATATGATCTGGACCGAGGGCCTTCTCCTTGCCTGCGAATGCTCGCTGGTACATCTCCTCTGCCGTCTTCAGCTTCCCCTGATCAGAGTAGAGACACCCTAAACCATCAAAGGCTTTCCATACCGCAATATCAATATTGCCACTTGACCAATCCCTAAGACGTACATGATTCGCGTGTGGAATAAGCCGTTCCTGAAGCCTAGAAGAATTTCTTTCACCTGAACTTGGGACAGTGTATCCAACAGATATCAGTGCCAGTTCATTGAGCCGGGTCGAATCCACACTTTTGTCTATGCTAGAAAGTTGAATGCACCAGTCTTGTACGACTGGGTGCATCGTATAGCTTCCCCATTCTTTCTTAGTCTCAAGCAGGGAGAAGTCGACGAGTTTCTTGATACTGGTTGTAAACGTGAGCCAGCTTGATATAGTCCTTTCAAGCCAAACAGGAACATTTGAGCTATGGCGGCTACTTTGTATCAATCCATACCAGATATCCTGATGATCGAAACGAGCAAGGAAGAGGAGAAGCTCCGCTGCATTCGGATCTCGCTTCCGGATCTCACGATATGATATCATCCATGTTTGTAGCATGTTACCTTGTTGGTAATGACGCCCAGGATTTGACTGCAGCTGTAGGTCGGGCCAAGACTCTTGGTAATACTGTAAGTACTCAGCGATGCTGGTTCCAGTTTCACGCATAAAGGCCCCAGCGATAGTGATTGCCAATGGAAATCCATCCAGATGACTAGCAAGAGCAAGCGTATCTACTTACGTTAGTATTATTCATAGGATTTGGATTTTAGAGGTCTGAGTACCTGGATTGCTCTTAGACCCCCTAATAGTATTGTTCGGTGAGAAAGAGCTGCTTTGCGAGAGTAGTCTGATTGCATCATCATTGTCGAGTTTGTTGACCAGGAAAGATTTCCCTAGTTCAGTCAACCCTCGGAGCCGAGAGGTAATGAGAATAGAGCCATGATCGGCTGCCGGGAAGAATTCTCCGATATTATAGGCATTAGGAGCACCATTGACGGCAGAGTATTGATTAACGTCGTCAAAAATGATTAGCCAGCGTGAGTTTCCTGCCATTGCTAGCCACCATAACACATGTTTAGCCCGTTGCTCTACGTCCTCGTCATTTCTCGGCTCAGTAATCTGTGACTGTTCTAGTAATCGGAGAAAGATAGAGCTCAAAGATTGTAAGAGCGTGCCTCGGTCCTTGCCGCTCAGCCAAAAGATGGCGGTGAAATCGTGCTTGTGGTTTCGTGCGAAGCGAATAGCGATTTGTGTCTTTCCTATCCCCCCAAGCCCATGAACAATTGCAACTTTCCGTGACTGCACATTTGTCGGATGTAGATGCTGCCATAGCTTTTCTAGTTCGTCTTGCCGTCCTAGGAAACTTTCAATTACCGGCACCGTCGTAAGGTCTAGTGGTACATCGAACCGGTGATCTGTATATATAAAAGAGTGCTTAGCAATCGATTCGAATTAAGGAACACTATAGACATTATCTCACCAGAATTTGCTAGCGTGTCTCGCAAAGTTGGGGTACTATTGACCTGATCGATTGCGACCACTAAGAGAAGCTCTTTCGCATAGGCCGCCGCCACCGCGGCCGCATACCCTTGCCACTTCTTATTCTTGTGTGAGTCGGCATAGTCGCAGATGCCCCGAATGACCAGACACGGATAGTTATTCATCAGTCCCGCCACTTCCATATCGACACAATATATACCTAAGTCCCGAGCTAGCTGATCTCGCTGCCTGCCATCCTTCACAACCTGATTTATAGATCCGATGAGCCCGTAGTGAATTACTGGTTCTTGGTGCTCTCGTGGGGATCGTGGAACCAGTTTAGATCGATCGCAATCTTCACACATATCGGATGCGATATGATCATATTCTGCTTGGAATAGATAGTCCTCTTGTATAGGTCGCGTGAATTTGGCAGCTTTGTGGGGCGCTATTTTAGCTTGCAGGTTAGAAACAAATCCGACGAACCGGCTATCCGCTGTGAGGTGTTGCGCTCGGAGAGTGTTGAGAGCGGTCAGCAGAACCCTGGGAGGAGCATTAAGCATTCCGGTTGGCTTGAATTGGCCACCGCTAAGCGCTTTACCCAAATCACACTGGATCACGCCTCCAGAAGTGCCCGTTGGCTGGCTCACAACAATATCCCCAAGTCGAATGTCTGCATTGCTGCTCGGTACTCCGCCGCCGATACCAATACTAAAACCGAAGCGGATGGCGTGAAAACTAGACAGCAACTGCATCCCAGCCATTGCGGCTGATGTGTTACCATATGCGCCAGTCGGTAAGCTAGCAATAACGATATTGTGTTCCCCAATACTTCCAAAAATGTATGTGTTTTGGTCCATCGCCAGGCGAGGCAAAGACGGGTGTATTTCGTCCAACATCAGCTTCGCAGCCGCCGTCTCCACCGGCAAGGCACATATCCAGGCGATCGTGTAGTCCTCATGGGATAGGGAGGGACCTCCGCGAGCGGGCTCCTCATGTGCATCTCGCCAAGACTGGTAGGCTCCAGACTCGATGACCTTTTTTAAGAAATCGTCATTCTCGGCTGCGAGGCCATCGCATTGTCTTGGGACATCCTCGAGATCGAGGTCCGTGTCGGGGATCGGGATATCATCCTCATCGACGTAATCATCAAGATCCATAGCGTCCCCCCCCTTGTCTTGACCGTCCGTGTCTTTCATGCTGACATCTGCCTGGGAGTCGATGTCGGAAAGTCTTCCTAGGTCGTTAGCTTTCGAGGCGCTATTTCCGTCGTCGATATCGACAGAATCGCTCTTGATACCATCATCCAAGACCCCATCGTCTTTATGCAACGCTGCGAAGCGTAAGGTCAAAAGCATTAGCACTTGTAAATGTACCGCAATGTGCCGGGCTAGAGCCTCCGATCGGTCTTTGCTTTGTTGTGGTCTGTGCTGGTGAGAGCTCACGTTGTCTGAATCAGAAGAGAGATCCGAACAGTCATCGCTTGAGCTGTGGTGACCAGGGTTCATCATCGCATGTGTCTTCCTGGCACTTTTCGCAGACTCTTGCCTCGACGATTCTTTCCGTCGTTTAGGGAACACCGCCTCTCCGCTATTCCCATGCTCTTCCGCCGCGAAACAACACAAAAGACAATCGTTCCAAGCTCTTGGTTGCGCCGTCTTGCTCTGTCGTGAAATGACTTGAAGCTGTTTGTTTGTAAAATCACCATCATGTGATTGTTTCAGATGCGAGTAGAGGGCCTGTGGGTTGCTGTAGACCTCTGGGTTGAACTCGCAGACTGTACATACCCAACTGGATGATAAATAAACTTGCTGATGCCATCGCCGGTTGTGAAGTCCCATGTGGCTGAGACCATTCATCGAAGGTCGAATAGGTCGGATGCGCTTCTGGGCACTCCTCTGAAAGGCAAACGTAGGGCTTGAGGTCTCGATCTATGTGTCGACTGAGACCAGGTTAGCATAGTTCATCTCCAGTGCCGAGGGATACATCAGCATTCCGATAAGCCTATATATAAATGTATTGATGGCCTGTGTATAATAGACAACATGAAGTCCTCCATGGAAATTAACTGCTTTCATGTGAATATCATGAGGAATTTATAATCACATCCCCAACACTTGTGCGCTTAAAGGGTGAGTACTACCTACCACCATTCGCTTTCCGAGAGTGTTTTCTTGCTGAGCAGTTCAAAACACCACTCGCAAGCGAAGATATCGCTGTCCGCGTTTGCGACGGGTGGTCGTGGATATTTACCCTGGTTGACTTGGACCGACGTTGTCTTGTGAAGTGTCGACGCTTCATCGGGTGGTCTGAGACGTCTCCGGATCTGTTGAATGTTGACGCTGGATAGGTCGGACTGAGAGAGTGCAGCAAATGCTTTCGGAAGATTAGCTACAACGGGAATCGCCCTCGCCGGCTGGGTCATAGGGACGTTGGTTTGCGTCTCGTCATTGGGTACTTCCAGGATAGGTGACAGCCCTAAACGTGGTTCCCGGCGGGTCTCGAGCTTTTTGTGGCGAGAGTTGAGAAATAGCATCTTTGCATATCTATCTGTCATGGACTTGCTCAGATAATCTTTGAGAGACTGATGGGCACAAGGATACAAGGCGTGCACAGCTTTCGCACATAGATAGGCGAATGAGTCCAAATTGAGAGCTGCGGCGAATATCTTAGCCCTCGTATCAATATTGTCACGACTTGACCGGCGAATTGTGACACCTAGACGGTTTAGTCGAGAGAGGGTGTTATCGATTGCTGTCAGAGCCGCCGTTTGTATCGAAGCCTTGCGATGTGATTCATCGAATCCTATCGGAGCCTGATCTACCTCCTCTTGACTATTCGTTTCGTTCTTACATTGTTGCAGGCTGCGGCGCAGGATATCCAGCAATCGAGCGACAAGGTCTTGAAGGTCTGGGAGGTTTCGGAGTCTCGTATCTAAGCATTGGCTCTTCCTGGCAAACACCCCGAGATGCGCCGCCCATATAGAAAATCGTTGCTGAAACTCGGCGAACAGGTCCATAGTCGAAACCTCCAGCTTGGTTTTGAGTAAGGTCTCTTGTAGTTGGTCAAAGAGCCCTTCACATTCACAAGCGAGCGTGTAGAGAACATCTTCGCTATCGAGGTTAAGCGTCATGGTGGGAGCTATTTGGCAAAGGACTCGGGCATCGAAAAACAAAGCAAGACGCGAGACAGGGATTTACTGGGGATATGATCGAGCTTGCTGTCAGGCTATGGCAGGAGGGATATGCTCCCCCGCTCCATGGCCCCGCTCCAAGGCCCCGCGCCAAGGAGAGACAAGGGAGTTCACCTATCCATATGATTTTGTGGGTCCTTCAAGTAGACACCATCAGCCGCAGATTTCCCTGGCGGGCACGATTGTGAACATTCATCCCCACACAGTCCTCCTTCCCAGCTTCTTCTCAGCCGCCTTTGTGTCGCTCACGGCGTTGGATCAAACTCTGCAAGTTCACCTGAGTTACGTAAACGAGGCCTGACAAACTAAAATGCCGTACCTCGTTGAGTCAAATGAATGGCGCTTGCTCCACGGGCTTGGGCGCCTATTGGGCCCGAGGAAGGCGCGATACCAGCTGCAAGCAGGACCACTCAACGATCACAACGGAGTGCGATCCCACGCCGAGCTAATCGAAGTCGAGCTTCGCCGCGTATTCATGGTCAAGGAAATTCCTCGGAATCTAGATCCAGCAGAGTTCGAACCGTGCCAGGCAAAGCTGAACAGCCTCTGCTTGTTGTTGGATGGCCTTGCGCGGTCTTCGAACGCCCACAGTGGCCCAGAGGGTCCGAGCTATCCCCATTTACGAGCGTTGACCGGTTTTCTAGAGTCGACTTCTGGAGCGATTGACCTAGTGAGTGGTCCCAATGAAACACTTTTCAGGCTTCCTCGCGACGCTGGCAAGCTTTGCGATTGTCTGCGGGTTGTCACAGAGTGCAACGATGCCCTCAGTCGGCTACTCGCGCCCTCTACGCATGAACCGGTCATTCAAACACTCCAGAGGCGGCAGAAAAAGAGGGCATGGAAGAAATCCACGATACGGAATCGGGCCATGTTAGTGCTTGAAAATTTGTTTAAGCATTTTAGATGCGGAACGCCACATGAAGTGCTGTTGAAGCTCATTGAGGACCCCAATCAAGATTCAGTATTACCGAGTTTACAACTCGTACTCTCGGCATGTCCAGAGTTAGAACTGTGGCAAGAAGCCCGGTGTGACTCCATTAATTTGTATGTTTGCAAACCCCCGTGTTCGTGGGGGCTTGCTTCCTTTACTCACTGGACTGTTAGAGACGAAACTTCGATTTTACCTATACCCGATATCTGCATGGACCTCCGCCAGCATACTGGTCAAGGAAAGGCGTTGACATTGCTCATTGAGAAGTACGGGCTGTTCGGTGCCTGGTCGGGTCCTACTTCCTCTGCGACGGGCTCATCATCTAAGGAGTCTCTTGGCCAACTCATATTGAATGGGATTTTCAGGCCTCTTAGCCTCAACACGTTCCATGCGGCGTCACAAGCCAGAATCAGCACCAAAGATAAGCGAGCGCTCGCTGTCAAGCTTGGTTATTGTCTCATGGACTTTTTCGACGCCGACTTCACCTCGAAACGGATTTATTTCCTGGATTTCTCGAAACCGGACCCCGAGGAAAAACTCCCGTACCTAGCTTTTGGCTCGAAGCTTTCGGTGACTGACGACTCATACAATTTCTGGATAGGGCATCCTACACTACTATCTTTTGCAAAGCTATTGCTAGAAATGGACTGTGGCGAAAATATCGACCTAGATATCGATCCCGACAATCCCGACAATAGTAAAAATAAACTGGCGTGGGCTGAGCTAATGGATTTTCTAGATCGCCTTGAAGTGGAGAGAAGCGACTCATATGTCCAAGCCATAAGAGGCTGTCTTGTCGTTCATAGGAAGATAACGAAGGCTCTAAGGTCTCGCGACCTTGTGCGTGAAGATGCGGATTTAATGATACGAAAAAATCTTCACAAGGAAATTGTTCACAAACTCGAGCTTGGACTTGCTGAGTCTATCCCTAGGTCTGCTCGCAAACGGCAACGCTCAGAGTCACCACCTTCCTCTGACCGCTGGGACTGGGCTCAAGCTGTCAGCTCTACAAAAGTGGCCATGCGGTCTGTGAAGGTTGAACAAACAGCACCTGGACACAAGAAACGACTCGCCCCCGAACCACAGACGTGGCTTCCTGCTAACGGCTTGTGTGACGATAATACCCTGGCCGAGTACCCTGCAGACTCGTATGTTTCCACTTACCTTGTCTTTCAATACGGCCCCTTTTCTTAGTTTTAATTTTGAAACCTATGCGCTTTATGTTGAACATGATATGCCTTTTTTTTGAATTGCATAGGTATGGCTTTCTAAGGAGACGTGCTAATGGAAAACTCTGTGATGCAGATACCAACTGGCGCCGATCAACAACCTGGATAACAAGAAACATGAGCTAATTGCTGGCCTTGAGCCAACTGTTCCTGTTAGGGACTCAAGGATAATGTCCTCTCTGCGACCTTCTAGCCGCAACGACTTCGAGATCGCTATCATCTGCGCGTTACCGCTCGAGTATGACGCAGTTTCCTACATCTTTGACGAATTTTGGGACGAAACTGGTGATCAGTACGGACGAGCAGAGGGAGATCCCAACAACTATACGACTGGCCGGTTGGGCAAATACAACGTCGTTCTGGCCCTCTTGCCGCACATGGGCAAGACCAACGCGGCTAGCGCGGCAGCCAGTATGCGATCGAGCTATGGCGGCTTGCGGCTAGCCCTCCTTGTCGGAGTGTGTGGTGGTATGCCTCACGGCCAACATAGCGATATCTTGCTAGGTGACGTGATCATCAGTAAGACTGTTTTTCAGTACGATTTTGGCAGGCATTACTCGGACAAATTCGTATGCAAGAACACCGTCGAGGATAATCTTGGCCGGCTAAATAAAGACATCCGCAACCTAGTCGCCACTTTCGAGACCGATCGGGGCCTCGACCAACTCAAACAACGGACTGCCCATTTTCTTCAGCAGCTCCAGGCCAACGCCGCCCAGACTGGTCGTCAGAGCAAGTATAACTACCCTGGAATAGCGGAAGACAAGCTATTCGAGCCGACCTACCGCCACAAGCACCATGTATCGCCGACCTGTATTTGCCGCGATTGCTTCAATGACTCAGACCCCGTTTGCGATAGGGCGCTCAGTTCGTCATGCGCGGAACTCCGATGCGACGACGAACGTCTTGTCGAGAGGAAACGGCTCCAGGCAAACCGGCAGTTAGAAAATGACAGGAGCGATGCGACTCCGCAGCCTGCGGTGCATGTGGGAGCCGTCGCGTCTGGAGATAAGGTGATGAAGTCGGCAGCGGACCGGGACAGGCTCTCAAGAGAAGCAGATGTGATTGCGTTCGAGATGGAGGGCGCTGGGGTCTGGGATGAAGTGCCCTGTATCGTGGTCAAGGGAGTTTGCGACTATGCTGATAGTCACAAGCACAAAGGATGGCAGAATTTTGCAGCGGCGACAGCGGCATGTGCATCCAAGGCAATTCTAGAACGCTACACCCGAACTGACAAGGTTTGAAATAATCTGCTGGCAAATGGTGAGTGCAGCTTGCCTTCGATGTTTGCGAATGGAGGAAAAAAGATGGCTACTTGTCGCCATGTGGCCTTCCCCACATTATTTGCAGAGATCCACCACAGAATTCATGCGTAATGTAATCTTATATCACAAATTACTGTAACATACACAGCGCATTTTACTAGGCCCTCAGTTCACTGCGCCCAGCTCAATAAATGATCTGCGCTAAGTCCTTGGCGGTGGGGCTGGGGAAGACTTTCTCAGAGTATATTGGTCAAGGCGATTTCGAGAATGACTGAGATTTCTGGGAAATTGAAGCCGAGGTGATTATTCGTTGGGTATAACTGGCCAATAACAAGACCAACACAGACGCCTATCGCTCTAAAACATAATGTCAAGTCCATCATGGACAATTTAAACCCCAAGATTGCCCTCCGAGTCCAGCTCAGAACTTCTCGCTGGTCACACAACGCGTTGAATTAACCAATAACCAAGCCAATATCTTCACCAGAAGGGTCAACGCCTTGACAAGCAAATTCAATCCAAAGAACAAGACCTTCAACAAACTCCGAGTAATACCGGGCAATTTCTCTCCCTTCCGTGACGACGAGTGTCCGTAACGACCGTATTTTTCCAAATCAAATTCCTCGACCACAATCTCATTCTTCTTCTTTGTCTTTGACTTTGAATGAGATTGCGGCGCGGGGCCGCTCGTTCCCAGAACTTGAAGAAGCTTTTCCTCCTAGGTGCGGAATCGGCCTGGGCATTTGCAGATTCGATTTGGTCTGCCAGGTACATGCTCTGGGCGTAGTCTTCACGTTCGGCCAGAGTCGTGATCAACGGTCCATTAAAATTTGTCGAGTTGCTCGAATGGGAGATGACCGCTGGCTCCATCGGAGGTGACCCAAGGGACATGTCCGCGAGGATGGGGTTGGTGGCTTCATCTGATACCGCGACAGCAAGCATGGCTGCGACAAGAGAGTCGATCGCGTAGAGCGAGGGAATGGTGGCAATGACGGCAGCCGGAGATATTGATAGGGTCCGTGTTGCGAAATCTAGAGCCGCCAGCGGCTCATCGGCATCTGTCACAGGCATTGTCGATGTACGCGCGGTAGCGGCTTGCTGCGCTGCTGCCATAGCCGTGGAGGAGACAGGCCCTGTGACAATAATCGTGGGTGGCTGATGAGGCGATGCATCGCTAGATGGTTCGGAGACGGTAATGTGCAGAATGCCTGACGATTGAGTCCTCACAGGGGAGAGAGGAATACCAGCGGCTCCCACGAGGGCGGCGGGTTCGCGTTTCGATAGTGAAGGATGCCGAAGCTCGTAGAGCCGAAGGTTACGGTTCCATGATAAACGGCAGGATTCTTGGGCTGCAGCTCGTCTTAGCGCATTGCTTTCAACTTCGGCTGCCTCGGATCCAGCAAGGCGGTGCTCCTTGCTGACTTCGTCTGCCTGTTCGATGGCGAGCATGGCGGCCAGCCGGGAGAAGAGAAGTGCAACGAGTCCATCATTGGGGTGCTCCCGACGACGGCGCTCCTCAAGACTCAATGTCATTATAGGCACATTACTGTTAGGCTTGGATGGAACACCGCGGGAAATGGATAGATCATCGTTTGAGTACGTCTCTAGCGTATAAAACGGTTGTTGAGAGTTGCCGAAGGTAAATGTTGCCGGGCCAGTTCTTAGGAAGATCAGCATCAGTCAAGAAGCGTCTATGAACATTTACCTACCTTGTCATGCGCATGTTGAAAGTACCAAACAGATTCTGTGCTCGTTGGCCATTGGCAGCCTCCCATAACAACTCCAACTCTTGCGGCGTCGAGTAGCGTATCTCCTCCGGCTCTAACACCCCAGTGGGGAAGTTCAAAACGCTTGCAGGGACTGTCTTAGGCCCCAAGGCCTGATCAATATCTGAAGATGGCGGTGAAAGCGTGAGTTGAGGTCTGCGAGGCTTTGCAGTTGGGGCCTGTGCAGGTACTGGGAGAGTAAAGTTCTGCTTATCAAGTGGTAGATTGGGATTGAACTGAGGGAACATTGATCTCATTGGGACCGGCGATGCCGATGACTGTGAAGATTGTGGTGATACAGCCGAAGATGCGGTCCTGCTGCTACTGCTAGTATTGCTGGGGCTTTGTGAAGGCAAGGGCTGATTTGACTTGGAAGGCCGGCTCCAATTGCGCGGAGACCGAGGGGATGCGGGGTGAGGCGACGCTTCTTTTGCTGCTGGAGACTTGTTTCGCGCAAGAGGTGATCGTGATGGAGGTGGTGGAAAAGACTGAGTATCTTCAATGATTTGGAGGATTACAGCCTCGGTTTTGGTAGAGTCTTTCAACTCATCGAGAGCAATTGGAGACCCAGGTTCGACTTGCACTGTAAGCTTTTTGGCGCCCTTTCGAAATGGATTCTTGTTCCCCCTCACCGGCGAAGGTGGAGGGAATAATTGAAAATGGCTCATTATAGAAGTGGATGCAGTACACGTTCAAGATAGTCGAGACGAAGTCGAGACAGAAGAGCGCGAACAGGGGGGTGTTTCGATTGACATATACTCAATTGCGTCGAGAGAAAACCGCTGGTCCTTTCGACCAGACGCGCCCTGAGCTCGTAGCCGTGATCTGTAGATGTGATTACCCTATTTTTAGTGCCGGCGCTAGGATCTGACCGGCGTGATTGGCCTCGATCGTGGGACGGGGATAGGCGGCTGCAGAATCGGCGCTTCCATTCCATCATGTTATTGGGTTGGGAAGTCTGTACGCAGTCTAATGTGCGCGATCTGGAGCTTGGATTGGTGGTCGCTCCGTGCAGAAGTCGCACGAGTAAGTTCGGCTGGACGGAAGATTCGGCGCATATAGCAGTCCTCGGCCCTCGCCTTTCCAGTCTTGCTCAACTCATCACCGCTCTTTCATCACGTAGTCAGAAATTCCGAAAGTGCTAAAAAGGCCTCTAGGGCTATTGGTCAGTAATCTATCCCGCTGAAGCTGTGAAGATGTCACGAGAGGACTAATGGTAGAACATGTCACCATACATGAGACCCCTGTTGTTGAAGGATTGTATCGTCAAGATAGCCGCTCGTTCAGGTAAGGAAATGATAATCTGACATAACAAAGAAGGATATCTATACACTCTGAGGCTAATATTTACATTGTATGGTACATTTCATCCATCCTTCAACTTTGGCTATGGTCCATGGCTTCATCGTGAACAGAGTAGGTCAAGCCCTCGGCCATGGCGATTGCCCCCTCCATATTGCCCTTGTTGTACAAGAACAGGCCTTGCAGAGCCGCGGCACTGGTACTTCTAGGATTGTCGGGTTTGTTACCACTCTCATCTTCGATTAAGCCAAGATGATGAAGCTTGTCCAAGAAGATCTGGCGGTTTGCTCCGTCGGTGTCGATCTCTTCATAAAACCGATCCCAGAGACGAGCAACCTGATAGCGTGTTACTTCGCCAAGGCGCACGGTCATGTCCACGCGCCCGGGTCGTACCAAGGCCGAGTCGAGTCGCTCAACGTGGTTAGTGGTGAGGAAAATGATACGCTCCTCGGCACTAGCAACCCCATCCATGGCATTCAAAAGACCGGAGAAAGTCACATTAGCTCCACGATACCCGTCTGCGTCGGTCTGCGTGCGGTTTGAAAATGCTGCATCCACATCCTCGAGCAAAACCAAGGTCCGGTTTGGAACGATCGTCAGGAGATGGTTTAACCGATCATCGGTGAGACCGCGCTCACTCAGATTCAAAATTGCAATGTCGTAGTCCAATTCGCCCGCTAGAGCTTGGATAAAGGAACTCTTTCCAGTACCAGGCGGTCCATACAACAAATATCCACGTCGGTAAGGGATTCCGCGGTCATGATACCACGAAGCACTTTCAATGAAGTCCTGGACATCTTCCACGATACGTTCCTTGACGCCCTCGTCCAGGATGACGGACTCGATTGGGCGTTTACGCCGTGGATTTCCAAACGGCCGCCACTCGGTGCCCCAACTATTATAAATTGTGGTTTTCCCTTCGTGTGACTTTGCTGCATAGGCGTGGGCTTCAGTAAAGAGATCCTCAAAGATATGACGTTGGGAATAGAGAGTGGTCAAAGTAATGGTCTCCCAAGGCTTGCCGGTCTGGATATCGCGAGACTTGGATTCGCGCATGCGGTTGACGAAAACGAACGCATTCTTGTAGCGCAAGACATGCTTTCCGGGACCTGGCACGAGAGAGAACTGCGTATGAATGGCTCCGTTCGAGTGTTCGACCTTTTGCGTTTGGATGGAGAGGTGGCGCATGCCGGGTGTCATTTTTCGGAGGATACGGTCGATGAAGCCGGAGTTTTCAGCCGCCGCGCGGGTTGCAGTAAGCTGTGACTGCTGATATAGAGTCATCCAGTGGAGGAACCACGGGTAAGAATCGTCCTTGATACTGATCTCGACGTCCACCAGCATACGGCGACGGAGCAGAGCCGCGCCATGACGGATTCCCCGTTGTGCGAATGTCAAACCAGCGCCTAAACCCGCCAGGCCGAATCCCTGAGTAGAGTAAGTCAGAGAAACTCGAATTCAATTGTCAATCCGTGAATGGTATGCAGTAGAATCGCGTACCGCTGTGAAGAGTGGATTGCTTGTCAACTGAGAGAGGAGACTGCCATCGCCTTGTTGCGCCGCCTGCTGCGCCTGCTGGACTGCCTGAGTCTTCTGCAGGATCAAATCTCCCGCAGACGGCGCAGCATTGGAAGCACCATTTGGCTCCATGCCGGCCGAATTCACTAAAGGGTTGTGGATGGCACCTCAAGGTCAAAAGATCGATCCGAGCGGAATCACGATAAGAACTCCAGTTTATCGGAGATTCAACGGGCCGACTGGTACGGCCGTAGGCATGTACAAATGCACACATCATACATTGTAAAAGGGCTATTTTATGACAAAATGAAGTGAGTCTAGTCGATTCATTTAGTCTGTTGGACTCCAAATTCGAACTAGAGCAATGAAGTCGGGTTCGGAGTTCACAAGAGTCCGTCGGGTTAAGTCGTTGACTGGCCGATGCGGAGATACCGGTTTTAGACGCACTCATCCCAAGTTTCCTTCCTTTTTTTCCCCAATCATAGGAGCCTGCGCATGGTTCGCGCGGTCACTTGGATCCGAGGGTGTATATAGTCTCATTCCCTCCCATGCGCGGCTTTCTACAGCGCCCCCGGTTCTGTCGGCAGACAATCAACTGGCGCGCGTATTCTGTTCGAAACATGGGCTCAACGACCACCGGCGTGCTCTACGCCCTGACGGTGGCTAGCTCACCAGCCAGACCGGCCCCTGAGGATGCTCTACAGAAAAGTCATCATGCCAAATCCGGATTCAGGAACCCTTGGGAGTGAGTTCGCCCTGCACTCCGCTTTACCAGGTCGCACGACACTAACCCCAGAAATTTTCTCCGACAGTTCATGGCAGGACGTGAACCTCAAAAACGTCCAGCAGATGCTCATGTGAGGATATAACATCAGTATACACTCTAGATTTCTTTCACTAACCCTGGTTCCTTGTATTCAGGCGCCGAGTAACTGGCAAAGCAAATGTTCCTGACACCACTGGCCCAACAGTTCCGGTTCAAAAGCCTAAATTCCTCCCGAGTCGAGAAACCCCCAACCTGCGCGCAACATGGCTCGGACACGCTTGTTACTATGTCGAATTCCCGGGAGGGCTCCGTGCCATCTTTGATCCAGTCCTCGAAGAGCGATGCGGGCCGTATAACATGCTCGGACCTAAGCGCTATACGGACGCTCCGTGTCAAATCGCCGACATCCCTGTCATTGACGCTGTTTTCATCTCCCATAATCACTACGACCATTTGTCATATCCTGGAGTCATGGAGATTGCTAAGAAACATCCCAATTGCCATTTCTTCACCCCACTTGGCGTCAAGTCGTGGTTCACCAGCTGTGGAATCAACAACGTTACCGAGCTGGATTGGTGGGATGTGCGCGATATCACCTCTCCCCATCTACGGAGAAAGCCACTCATGTCGAGGCCGTAGGTGAGTCTGACTCCATCGCGGCCGAGATCAAGGGCCGGATCGGCTTCTTGCCCGCGCAGCATGTTAGCGCTCGCACTCCATTTGATCGATACCAAACGCTGTGGGGCTCATGGTCACTTGAGTCAGGGGGTAAAAAGGTCTACTTTACCGGGTAAGTCATTTCTTGTAGACGATACTCGTGGTACATAATGCTAACCCGCGGGACAGAGACACCGGATACAGAAAGGTCCCTGAGCTTCCCGAGGGAGAAGACGACCACGACCCGAAGCACAATTTTCCCGTCTGTCCTGCTTTCAAGCAGGTGGGTGAGTTCCGGGGTCCATTTGATCTTGGCTTGATTCCCATTGGTGCATACGCTCCTCGTCATGTGTGGAGTGCTGCTCACGCAGATCCCCATGATGCCGTAGAGATCTTCAAGGACACCAAGTGCAAGAAGGCTCTCGGTATGCATTGGGGAACTTGGGTTCTCACCGAGGAGGATGTCCTCGAGCCGCCCGAGAAGCTGAAGACGGCCCTCAAGGCATTCGACATGCCCGAGAAGGGTGTGTTTGATGTTTTGAACATAGGTGAAAGCCGAGAGTATTGATATTTTTGGTGGTTGCCCTGTTTTTAACTCTACTCCATTGTATAGAGGTGGGGGTTTGTCCATTTACTGAAGCGTGTGAAAGCTCAGCTGCATCAGGTGAGGCGGCGAAGCTGTTGTTGATACTGTACGATATTCGGAAGCATTGTTTGAAACCATAGAAATCCCACCACGTCCAGACCTACAACCCCTGGTTGCACCCTTTTGTTCGTAAACTCTTCCAAGAATTTCCTTCTCTCCTCCGTCGTCGATATACAGAGTGCTTGTATGTCATACGTAGACCAAGTCTCTGCTTCATGACTGCTCAGTTGACTTACGTTTGGCATTTGTAAAATCGTTTCTTGAAGTATTTCCAACAGGTCGTAAAGTCACTAAGCTCTTTTCCTATGTATTTGTATGTTCAATTTGCTCCTCTTTTGTCGATGATCAAAAGGCATGTGGATGGGCTATTCGAGGATGGAGCGGGGCAGGGATGTGTCTATGTAGCTAGTTTACACAGCGATCTGAGGCTTCCAAATATGCAATTTCAAGCAAGTTCATTCAGGCTAAAATATATATTACGGATCCTTCTTCGATATTGAAATACCTCTGATGTGTTTTCGACGAACTTATATCCGTATAGTTGGAGGCTTGGCGTGTTTCACGCGTTTGAATTACCCGATCGGGATTAGTGTCAGGGAGCTCCCACTTTGGAAATTTGGGATGCGGGCAACGCTCGACGTGGATCCGAGTTGGCTCCTTTTCTGTGACGAGACCTTTTGTGTTCATCCAACTTACGAGCTCACTCCCTTTCTTCCACTTAAACATTAGTCCACCGCCAAAATGCAGGCTCCGGTGGTGGTGATGAGTACGCTACCCCTCCTCCGCAATAGTTCTTGCTAACTCCCCGATAGACACCAATGCTGGTGACAGACAGGTCGGTCGCCGGGCACAGCTCTCCAACATTACTGCCGCGAAAACGTACGATAATTCATCTTTGATATCACTATACTGCCCGCATGCTAATTTCTCTCCAGCGTGTCCGATATCATCCGCTCATGTCTCGGCCCCAAGGCGATGTTGAAGATGCTGCTCGACCCAATGGGCGGCATCGTGTTGACGAACGACGGCCACGCGATTCTGCGAGAGATCGAGGTCTCGCACCCCGCTGCGAAGAGCATGATCGAGCTCTCCCGTACTCAGGACGAGGAAGTTGGTGACGGAACTACAACTGTTATTATCTTGGGTAATACTCCTATCTTTCCCACTTGTAGCCTGAATACGTTCTAACACGTTTCAAGCTGGTGAAATGCTGGCCATGGCCCTCCCCTCAGCTCGAGCGCAACATCCACCCCGTCGTTATCATCTCTGCCTTCAAGCGCGCCCTCGCCGATGCCCTCCAGATCGTGGAGGATGTCTCCCTACCCGTTGACATCCACGACGACAAGGCCATGTACACCCTCATCCAGTCTTCTATCGGAACTAAGTTCGTCTCCCGCTGGTCCGACTTGATGTGTGGCTTGGCTTTGAGTGCTGTGCGGACAGTCTCCTTCGACGTTGGCGGTGGAAAGCAGGAGGTCGACATTAAGCGTTATGCTCGTATTGAGAAAATCCCCGGTGGTCAGATTGAGGATTCTGAGGTTATCGACGGTGTTATGGTCAACAAGGATATCACCCACCCCAAGATGCGACGGAGAATTGAGAACCCCCGCATCATGTTGCTTGACTGCCCCTTGGAGTACAAGAAGGGCGAGTCCCAAACCAACATCGAGGTCTCCAAGGAGGATGACTGGAACCGCATTCTGCAGATTGAGGAAGAGCAAGTCAAGCACATGTGTGAGGCTATCGTGGCGTTCAAGCCCGATGTTGTGATCACCGAGAAGGGTGTTTCTGGTAAGCAGAAACCTGCTCATCAGCCCGCAGGACCATCGCTAATTATTCATTACTCCCAGATCTCGCACAGCACTTCCTGATGAAGGCTAACATTACCGCCCTCCGTCGTGTTCGCAAGACCGACAACAACCGTATCGCCCGTGCCACTGGTGCCACCATTGTTAACCGCGTCGACGACATCCAGGAGTCGGACATCGGTACCCGCTGTGGTCTGTTCGAGATTGAGAAGATCGGTGACGAGTACTTCACATTCATGCGCCAGTGCAAGAGCCCCAAGGCCTGCACCATTCTGCTGCGCGGCCCTTCCAAGGATATCCTGAACGAGATTGAGCGCAACCTGCAGGATGCCATGGCTGTTGCCCGCAATGTCATCTTCCACCCCCGCCTGTCTCCTGGTGGTGGTGCCGTCGAAATGGCTGTCTCCGTCAAGCTCAGCCAGCTGGCCCGCTCCGTCGAGGGCGTCCAGCAGTGGCCCTACAAGGCTGTCGCGGATGCCATGGAAGTTATTCCCCGTACATTGGCCCAGAACGCCGGTGTTAGCCCCATCCGTGTCCTGACCCGTCTTCGTGCCAAGCACGTCGAGGGCTACACCACCTGGGGTCTGGACGGCGAGTCCGGCAACCTGGTTGACATGAAGGAGTACGGTGTATGGGAGCCCGAAGCCGTCAAGCTGCAGAGCATCAAGACGGCCGTCGAGGTAAGCTATCCACGTCCATTTCTATCCAGAGTGAATCCGCTAACTTATTCTAGTCCGCATGCTTGCTCCTCCGTGTTGACGACATTTGCTCCGGCAAGTCAGCGCAGCAGGCCGGTGGTGTTGGTGGTGGCAGTGACGAGTAATAGACGAGCGCAAGAACCAAAAAAGAATGATTCAAGGGCCTCAGGTCCGTACATAATGCTACATGATTGCCTTTGGATTCTTGTCTGTATAAATATCCTTGACCAAAACGAACTGTCATATGGGTATCTTCGTATTGAGTAATATTATACATTGCGCCGAGGTAGTCCTCTAATCTTCATCATGGATAATCACACCTGGAACTACTCCATACGACACCTGGGCCTCGGTACTAGCTTCCTGATCATCCTGGCTGGGCACGGATGGCCCCTTCGTGATGGAGGGCTTATCAACCTCCATCGTTGTATTCTGACCACCACCCTTCTTCCCTCTAGCATTACGCTTCTTCTCGCGGCGCTTGCGGTTCTTCTCCGTCTTCTCGTCATCCTTTCGCTTCGCCTCTTCCCTCTGCTTCTCCCAATCCGCATTCTCTTTCTCCTTCTCCACCTCTGATTGCATGAGGCGCAGGCGCTCATACTCGCGGCGTCGGCTCGCCTTGTAGACGTGGAATTCGCCGGAGCCTGCACCAGCCGATGAACCTTGGACATTGGTTACTATCTCAGGCGGCGGCGCGAGCGAAGAGGACGTGCGCGGGTTTGAGGATTCTGGGAGTTTGATCTCTTTTGACGGGTCTTTGAAGAGCGTTTCGATTACGCCGGCCTGTTCGGAATGTGGTGTGATTGCTCTTCGCTTGGTGGGCCGTTTGCTGCGCGGGTCCGCGCTTGTTGGGACGGATTCTGGGACTGGCTCGGACATTGTGGCTGGGTTGGTGAAAATGTAGTCCTCGGAGAGAATGTGATTATGGGTAGGTGAGGGCCTTTTTGTTGATTGAATTTGTGGCCCAACGGGTAAAATTTTGGGCAAATTGAATGTATGTTGATTCTTCCAGGAAAAAGCGACGGGTGCAAAGCTTGTTATGCTTCGAGGCGCGCTTTAATTCAAGTAATGAGGAGAAGCGCGAAGCGATTGTGAAAATGATGATGAGATGAGCTGCGAAGTCCGCGGCGGAATTGCGACACGCTAACCCCTTTGGGACTACCTGTTGCAGTATAGTTGCACGCGCATTTCGGATAGCAGAAAAAAAAGCGGAGATGACGGTGGAAATTGTAGCTTGTGTGGCTTTGGAAGTGCTGGGAAGAATTTCTTCGTCAAGAAATGGAGCATGGTCGCGTTTTTCACCATTATAGGCCTCGAAACATATGTGTAGTGCTACCGGTCGGAGATCAGCACCGTGAGATCTGTTTATTAGACAGATGATAAGGATGCGAATGGAGTATGAAAAGATTGTCGAGATGATCCGGTTTAACGAGGATTATTGCCAACATGAAGTCTGATCTCTGTTGTAGGTAAGCTGGAGAAAAATTCCTAGCACCAGGTCGACCCAGTATACTTTACTTCAACCACGCCAGTATTGGGCACAGAGTACAAGCCTGCGCCTCAAATCCTGCAGAGTATGAATAAAGTTATATCCTAGCTGAAGAACATGGAACAAAGCAGGCTAGGATCACAAGAATCACAAAATAACCGTGGCTCAATCTGTAGAGAGCTTCATGCAATTTGCGTGAAACGGTGACGTATTGTAAGGGAGAGGGCCGACGAGACAATCAGTTCATGAAAAAGACTTGAGGAAATGAATAATTACATGTTCACCTTTCGATTAAGTTTTTGAGAATGTTAATGAAGGGCTATGCGAAAGGAAATAATTCCCCAAGTGTGGGCTGTTCGCATAGTGAACTGGCAGTCGCCAGATCTTGTCGCCTTTGCCCACTTCCCTCCACGCTCTCTTTCTCGCCATCCCTTCCCACTCCCCGTGCCTTTTCTCCGTTGAACGCGCTATTTCTTTGATTCTTCACATTGTTCACCCCGTTAGTTTCCTCTGCTCCTATTGCAAGCGCGTTTCGCGCTCCAAATACGAGCGATGGGAAGTTATCGCTTCGGTAAGTGGCTGCATTCCTTTATCGCCCCGCCATAGTCGCGTCACTATTGAGGTGTCTTTCAGACATCGCAATGTCAAACCTTTTCTGTCGATGCATTTTTCACTGCCCGTTGCGTCTACATGCGCGCCGGGGAAGCGCGATGCTTGGGCTCTGCCCTGTTGGCCCAAGCTTTGAGCTCCGGGCCTCGCATAAATGACACGATACCCTAGACGGCCAGCTTCATGTCCGATCGTAACATGTTTGATCATCTCGGCTGACGTGGCTCTCAGAGCTGTCTAATGGCCGTGCTGGCTGTCAGAACAAAGAGTGCAAGGATAATGCCGTCAAAATTCCTAAGGGTGAGCTTCGAGTTGGATCATGGGTCGAGAGTGAAAAGTTTCAGTCCTACCAGTGGCGCCACTGGTGAGTTCTCTGTTCTAAAGTCTTCAATCATGAAGATCTAACTCTGTTCAGGGGCTGTACCACGCCAAAGGTGATTGAGAATATCGCCAATGCCTGGGAGGAAATTCGCTCCAATGAAAATGACTACAGTGTGCTCGACGGCTACGAGGATCTGCCCGATGCCTTGCAGTTGAAGATTCGCACTGCCCTCACCCAGGGCCACGTCGCCGATGACGACTGGAAAGGCGTGAGTCAAATCAAACAAGTAATAGCCACAAACGCAAGCCCACTAAACAAACCTAGGATGTCGAGGTTAACCGCCCTGGCTGCACTGGATTCCGCCAGCGCGCCCCCCGCGGCAAGAATGTCAAGGCAGAGGTATCCTCTCCGTATGCTTTGCCATGAACTCAGATCTAATTCGTCCCAAAAGGCCACTCACGACCAGCAGAAGCCCACCGTCGAAGACTCTGACGCTAATGATGATACCGAACCCTCAGAGAAGCCAAAGACCAAGCCAAAGAAAGCTACCGTCAAAGCTGTCGCTGAGTCTAGCAATGACGCCGATGCCTCCGAGAAGGCCAAGCCCAAGGCGAAAAGGGCCCCTCGTGCCAAGAAAGCAGTCGTCAAAGAGGATTCTGAGGCTAGCGATCATGAAGCTCATGAAGCGGAAGACCAGAAGCCTGCTGCCAATATCAAGAAATCTCGTGCCAAAAACGCCGCTACCGGTGCGGAGCCTGGTGCGGAGCCCAAGAAACGCGGCCGTCCCCCCCAAGCAGCCCTCTACTGATGCGCCCGCTGAACCTGTCAAAAAAGGCACAAAGCGCAAGACTTCCGGCGAAGAGACCCAGGATGCCGAATCCGGGAAGCCTAAGCGTGGTCGTACCAAGCCTACCAAGACCGACTCTGCCCATGATGATACTGAGACTGCTGTCCCCGCCAAGCCCAAGCGTGGCAGGAAGAAGGTTTCCTCGGATTAAATGCCTCGGTTATTTTAGTTTCTTATCTTTCTTTCAATTTGTTTCTACACAGTGATATGTTCTGGCTGACTGGCGACTGGCGCGAAGTGACGGGAGCCTTTTTGTTATTCGGTTTCATATGGGTAGAACTCTTCATGCCTGTATAGGCTTTTCTACCCATATTCTTTTGTCACTCCGACAATATTCGCTGGCATGAGCCTAGAGATCAGTTGAGGAATACTCTTTCTTTAGTCTGTGGATAATGCTCTGACATTGACTTGATCAATCAACTCAATGACATTTCTGTCTCGTATGATCGCTTGCAGGATAGGATCAAGGTAGAGATTCACTAAGACGAAAAATGACCCTGTTTTCATCATCTAAAGTATCTGAAGTCCCCATCTCTTTCTTCAGGTTCTCTGCTAATAATTCAGCAGACCATCGTCGCTCCTTTCGTGCTGTGTTTTAGCACCAATTCATTGCCACTTCGGGACCCCCAGCCTCCTTTTCTGGACGTCTTTCAGCTTACCGTTTTGAATAACAATGAGTAATCATATCTCCTCAATTCCCGACTGCGTAGAAGGAAAAAAAGATCGGCATAATGCTCCGGGCGACTGCGGTGAATCTCCGTTTCAACCCGACTGACTTCGAATATAGATCGAAGAGTTCACCCACGAGAGCCCACCACCTGCTACTGCAATCATAAGTAAACAGCTCTTGTGTATCGACAAGGAATCTGATCGGCCATTTCTGCAAGCTATCATGCCTGCAAGACTCGGGCATAGCCTTGAAAACCATCTTGATGACATCTAGAATTGGCTCTTACTGACCTAGTACGGGATAATAATTCCAAGCCGCCTGCAGCTTGTGTCGGATGAGGCCAATTAACGTTGTCAGGTTCTAGATCCTTGACCGTCGGTTAAGGCGCCCCAGTGAACAGAATCTGTTTTTGAAGATCTTCAGAGTCCAGGGCGTTTGCAAGCTGGTGTTCCCGATGGGATTTCAGAATAACTCCGGTCTCCATAGACTCAACACCGAAAGAATCACCATGGCTTGTGGGGTTTGGCGTCGAATTCTTGACTTGGACGAGATGAGGGGCGAATTCTGATCTCAGCCATGATTGGATTTGGGAAAATTCGGGTTGGCCGTGGACTTCGAGTATTTCCCAGAAAATTCTCAGCATCTCGTCAGCAGCATCATCTCGACCTTCAAAGATGTGTGCAATAGACCAGCCCAAATTTGGATCAATAATGGAAGGTTTGGATGCTCCATCCCGGGGTCTTCAATCTTCACTTTGCCCATGCCGTTCTCTCAATAACGGAGGGAGACGATCGAAGTCACTCATTATGGGAGGGTTGTAGGATCTTCAGAGAGATGAATCTTGATCATCCAGTCATTGAAAAGGAGAGCAAGAAAATGTGATCACTAGAAGAGAATGAGTCTGCGGGTGCACGGCGTGACCAGATACGGATAAAGAGCTTCGTGGCGTATGGATTGTTGAAGGAATGTGATCGTGCGGTGCGAGGGAGATCTATGAAAAGTCATTGAAGTAGTGTGTGGCTCTTAACAATGGAGTAGGGTTTGAATAGCATGCTGGGGAAAAGAAATAATCGAGAGCACCTTGGGATTATAAGAGATGTCAAAAGGGAAAGGGCAGATCAGAATCAATGATAGACCGCCTACTGGACGACCAAGCCAGTGGAATTGCTCGAGATGATTATCTGAGTTTCAACGAAGGAAAAAAGGCTGGGTAGACAGAAGACTAATGATAAATGTCTAGTGCAGGATGATCTGCAAAAAGACGACAAATTGAAGTCAATGCCGATTTTATATTGTAAGTTGATACAGAGCATGCAAAGTCGAGTCCGAGACGGAGAACAGCAGTAGACTGTGTTCTGGGTAGGTTACGGGGGACAAATTTGAGGTGGCCGAATTTCTCATTTCATATTTCTCATCATCAACGGGCCAGAGGCCTAATAATATCACACACGACGAGCAGGCGCCGGTATACAAGGAATGGAGATAAAATTGTCATAAAGCAATGAGAACGCAGCATCAACGCAGACGATGGGCGCAAAAGTTAGTAATACGCTCGGCGTATCACCAAGGAGTGAAGATTTCGGTTATCGCAAGTCACATACTCCAATCAACTAAAAAAGAATAGGGCGGTTTGGTTAAACCATCAAATGGCGGCCAACCTCGATGGAAAAGAAGTTGTTCTGCTGTCAAAGCAGTATAACAGACCGATCAAAAGTCGCAGTCAGACAGCCATTCTGGTGGAAAATTAGTTTGTTCCCGTGTTCAATTTCAATATCGTGCAGCTCGATCCGAGTAACCAAGGGCAATGAAGACGACCGGCTAGAATAGCCTCGGAGTTCGCTTGACGCTGCTGAAACTTGTAAGCATTCAGTGTCCACAATTGCAAAGAAATTTCGATAACAGTCCGGTAACCCTTCATTAAGGGGTCCATGGACAAGGGGAAGAGACAGAAGGATCCTACCGGATCTCCGTGAGGTCATCCATGTGGTTGCACATTGCCACGAACAGATCAAAAAACAACTTGCCACCGACCTCCATTTCCATCTGCATGGTACCGCTGCTCTTGAAAGTCTTCCGACTTCGGATGATGAGAGCAAGGTAGTGAGCGCGCATTCGAGACTCCGAGTCAGGAGTGTTGTCATATGCGTACCGAGCAGATCGTAAGATCACATCGGCTGGAATACCAATTTGAAGGCCTTGCTTCCGAAGACAGATGCGTTTCAATTCTTCCAGGCCGTACTTCTCGGCAGAGCAGTACACCACCGTGTCTCGGAGTACAACGCCTTCCACAGCGGGGTGAAAGAATGTCGCTTCGCTCGAGCCGCGACCGCTGTGGTCAACATCCTGAGCATTCTCGAGGTACCAAGAGTCGCGACGCTTGCCGTGAAGCAAGCGTGGGTAATAATCGCCTTTGTATAAGAACTCGAGAATGCAGGACAGGATTTCAGGCTCCCTGTTACATGTGAGTATACTGCCGTAAGTGGATAGTAGACTGATGAGGGTACGGACTCGTCAGGTAGAGCCAGTTGCTTCAGGCCATCTTCCCCGAGTTCTCCTTCAGAGCATCGCGGAAGTAAGGCGAAATGGACAAGACATCCTCGTGGGCGGCGAACAGACGCTGCTCTCGGCCCACCACCATGGTAATGATAGGACTGGTGAGAGCACTATTAAGCTTGGGTTAGTCTGACTCAACAACATGCTGGATGACTTTACCACCTTCCCGCAGGCGGGGTGTCCACTCTGTCGTCCACCTTCTGCTGCATCTTTTCCTTAACCTGTTCGTCGTACTTCTTCTTGCTGGCCTTGACGGTCTTGCCCGCCCGGCTCTTCGAAGAAAATGAGCGTCTGAACATAGTAAGAGCCGCAGAAGACACAAGAATTCAAGATCCAAATTCTAGCGATGAGAGGTCCCTAAAATATCGAAAGGAGTGATATGAGTTGGTCAAAAAGAGAGAATAAGCGACGCTGCGGATCCAGTATGGGTGTGAGAGTTCTGAAAGCCGTCTTCCGAGATAATCTCGCCGTTTCGTCAAGAGACGGCAAGTAACTAGCCCGGGTGATAGCTTTGCATTCGAAAGTTACTTAAAACTCACGTATGCAGTTGTCAACTCTGGCAGACGTGAGGAAGGAAAATGGGGGAAGGGGAACAAGCGCTATTTAAGACAAGGGGTCAGGTGATGGAGGGCGATATCACCAGGGCGAAGTTCAAGCCTCATTTGAAAACTGCCGTTGCGTTCGGAGCGTGGCGCTAAACCGGAGTGTCACATTGGCCGGTGATTTGACGATCGGCATGACCATCTGCACGTTGCTGCTGCGGCCTGGGCTTATCTACGGTCACGAGATGTCACACTGGTTCAGATCAAGGCCGACATTCCATTGATGATACATATCTATAAGAAAAGAAGCAAAAAAGTTAAATAAATAATCGCACGTTGCCGGTCATGTTGAATGGTCCGACATCCTGACGTGTCAAAGATCACGACGATTCTGAACAAGACCTCCTTGCCTGCGAGGAAGTCCAGACCCTCTGACATGGTCTTGCTCCATATCATGGGTTCTGTAGGGACCACCGTCCGAGGCTCATGGGCTTAGAACAGGGAAGATGAACATCCGGCCGTGCCCAACCCGACGCCGAAGCTATAGAAGTGTCCGGCAGTCACGCCGTACATGCCATTTCCAGCAGAGCAAGAGGTGTCACGCTCCTCAGAGCACTTCACAAAGGTAGCGGCAGTACCTGAGCTGTAGTATTCCTGTTGATGGGTTAGAGACATAATTTCGGCGAAGGATCAAATGAATCGAGGACAACACTTACGGTTCCATAATGGACAAAGTTGTACGGGAATATCACGTACATATTCTAGAATTCCAGTCAGCAAGTGTGTTCTCAATGTTCGACTCAGACAGACTCACAGGGACACCGTCAGCAGCGTTATTACCCCTGTTCAAAGTTCCATTCAGCCCACCGGCAAAGCTGGCCCAAGCCGCGTTACCAATGGGAAAGGCAGCCAGAGCATTGCTGGTAATCTCCTTGTCGGGGAAATTCTGGGCGAGAGCGACATAGGAGATGTAGGTGAGCGAACCGCCGAGGGAGTGTCCAGTTGACTCCAAAGAATAAAGGGGATATTTCGCGATCAGCGACTTGACCTCGGAGATCACAGAGTCGTGCACCGCAGACCAGGGACTGTTAATGCCCTGCATGATCTGCACACCAGAGGGGAAAGTGACACCGGACAGTGATGGGGTAACAAGGGTGGTATCAATGTCATTCAAGATGTTGGTGTCTACGAGTGGTCAGGAGTGGCCTTCATCCGCTTCAGAAAGTAGAATGGCTCACAGCTGGTAGAGCCCTTCATAACAACGGTGATCTTTTTCTCCGAAGTAGAGTATCCAACATAGCCCTGTGACATTATTAGGTGTCGACTTCCAATTGCAAGCAACAAACATACGTGAGTGTCGGTCAAGAGATCAGTGATAGTCTTGGTGATAGTGACGTCAAAAGCTGTGCCAATACATCCAGTGTACGCGGCGGAAGAGAGATCAGCAGCACGCTGGAGGGCAGCAAACGCAGCGGAGTCTTGATACGAGAAGTCATGAGCACACATTGACAACAGTGAGGATGGAGGTAAATCTACCAGCAGTGGCCCGTGACTGCAGAGTTGGGATGGCAGCGACCTCGGAGATCAAGACAGCCGTTGCCAGCAGCGAGGCTTTGTTGAAATACATTTTGGCAGAGAAAGTAGTAAAGAATGGAATGATCGAACTGGGCGGACTTGTTTTGACCATTGCGCCCGGGGAAACCTCGTGCTTTTAAATGTGTTTCTCCCATGACTCGATTAATCATACATGCATCCAAATCGGTGTGACTTCCATACTCTGTCGCCATGGACCAAGTGGAGCAACCGTCCGAAACGGTAAGCTTCGTCTCAGAATCAGACGTTGTGATGCATGGATACTTCCGCATATACTTTTGGGAATAACCCCGTCCTCACGTTCCTCGGGATCTGCAGGGAGTGGGGAACGTAAGGCCATTGAGAACCTGTGGATGACCGGCGAAAAGGAATAAGATTGAACGCAGAGCGCTGTATTCCCAACGGCATTTATCTTACATTGACCCTTTGAACTCGTCCGAGGTGCCCTAACTTGCAAAGGGCCGTGGCCGTGGCGGCCAAAGATGCGGGGTAGTAGAATAAGAAAGCTGAAGGCGATCACAGGGATGTCCACAGGGCAGATCTTCATCGGTCAGCTCTTCCCAACAAGGCTCAGGGTGCGAGACTCAATTATCTCTCAAACGGTCCCCGAGAACGCGCCATGTGGGGAAAATACTGCCCGAAGGATCCGCCTCAAAAACGAGTCTTGAAGCCATAGATTGCTTCCTCTAGACCAACGGCTCAATCTCTACCACAATTTGGGTCCAGATGTCTTAGTGCCCTAGTGATCTGGTATCCTGTTCCTTGATGTCACAGCGCCTAAGATAGTTGTGTCCCATATCTGCCGCCCACGAGAGCCCTGGATCAGAAAGTATGGCCGAAACAAAGTTCCGAAGTTCAACCGGTCGAGAACACAGTGGACCAGAGCGGTGCACATTTCTGTGACTAGCTCGTGGAAAGTATTTGGCAATTCCTCAACTTCGATTGTCTCGATTTGGTAATTCGGAAAATGCATCTTGGAAGTGATTTATCATATTCGATTCATAGACCTAGCCCCCAAGATTACCAAGGTCGCTAGGAACTCACGATGAAACATGTTCGAGATCATTCATTAAGTCCCTGCAAGTCTTCGCTGCTGGACTAATTTACTATATGTCGCACAAGCCGAGGAACTCATCGGTACTTGAGCATTCGATACTTGAGGACCGAGGTCATTTCGCTTGTCGAATATATGAATCAATCATGGCACACCATCTCTGTCAAACATCCGTTCGGCAAGTACATTACGATACGAGCCCAGTCCATATTCCAATAGGTTTTTTCTTGTCTCTTTGATGACATGAGGGCTACTAATCGAATGGCTGCCTTTAAAAAGAGATTGGATCTGACGCCAATTTCTAGACCCTATTAGACGTGGTCATTTGCGTTCTCATTTTCAGGATTTCTAGTTCCACGCAGCTACACATCTCTAGCGCATACATTCCTCCGTGAGATGGCACCCCAAAACTGTAATCCCCATGTCCAGCATTTTGATATGCCCAGAATGACGAATTGCGCATGGGATGAGTTTGAGGGCTGCCACGGCCAGAAATTACTTCTCAGCATTGTCAATTGCTCTGGAGAATTCGAACAGTGTGAATAAGCCGGGTTTCCCTGCCAAGCCATCAAAGAGGCACGGGTAGTGCAATGACGATTGCAAATTCACCATTTATCATTTCCGGGCTTCAAAAAGTAGATAAATATAAAGAGGTCACCCAGGAGCAATGAAGTTGAAGAGCCTGGCGACTGGATGTTGCCTGGTGGAGTTTTAGCGGGTAGGTCAGACGGCTTTCAAGGCAGAGTTTTCCGCCGCGTTCTGAGCAATAGTCTTGACATCATCAGCTTCTCATCCAATACCAGTAACTCTAGTCTCTCTCTATCAATATTGCGTGTACCAGTTGCGATGGACTGTGTATCGAAACAGGATATTGCCGATACGAAGGTGGCGGTGCGTGTGGCGGTGGCACGGGGGCACGAAGGGAGGTGTGGGGTTGGTCCACTGGTTATATGATATCATCGCAGGCTGAGCTTGGCCTTTGAATCTTATTATATTTTGATGGACATCCCATGTAGATCTATTATTTCTGTGGCTTCACTAGTTGCCACAGCGATCAATCAATCACGGTTTGATCTCACTGTACCTCAGAAGTTTACAGGGTGATCTATCAACAGGGTCCACGCTCAGACCCCTTGCTGTCACCTACGCGCCCAAGCCATTTCGCATCCTTTGTTTCTCAACATTCAACTTCTCCGCTGCAATTCTTCACATTCATATTCACCCTTCTCTTTCGCGGCTATGGAGTACTTCAATCAAATTAAGAACCGTCGGCGATCCTCGCAAATCATGACACCCTCAAATCCTGTTCTAAATGCCGAAGAGGAAGCTTACCTGCGGCAACTTACTGCTGAGCCCGATAATGCGCCAGAGCCACCTGGGCAAAAGGAATTACTCACCGAAGCTACTGAGCCCACTGTGGAGGCATCTCAAGCATCTCTTCTGAATGAGACCTCACAGGAGGCTCAGAGCGTCCCACTTCCTACCTCGTCGCTAGAGGAGCTTGGCAGAGAGCTCGGAGAGGAGGAGAGGAAGGCACATGAGAAATCCGAGAACATTGAAAAGACCCAATTGGAAAATGCAAAACCCGATTCAGCGGCAGCCCCCGAAAAGAAGAAGAAACGATGGAGCGCCATGTTTTGGAAGAAGAACACAGACCCGGAAAAAGTATGCGCAACTCGCTCAATGACTATGATCTCGTTTTTTAAATACTGACGCATCTGCTTGCTTCCTAGAACAAGACTTCGAGCACCGGGAATGACTCGCAACCGCAAAACCCTGCTCCTATTCCTACCGCAACAACCACGACCGACAATGACGACCAAGCAAAAAAGGATCAGGAGGACATGACAGACATTCTAGAGCGGTTGAATCTGGCAGCGGACAACAATCGCGTCTTCTCCGTCAGCGAAGAAACACAGGAATTGCTGAGGAAGTTCAAGTTGATCTTCAAAGATCTGATCAACGGCGTTCCTACGGCCTACCACGACCTGGAGATGCTCCTGACAAACGGGAACCGGCAATTGCAAGATACCTACACCAAGTTGCCCGGATTCCTGCAGAAGCTTATTGAGAAGCTGCCCGAGAAGTGGACTGAGACTTTGGCCCCAGAAATGCTTGCTGTGGCTGGCGAACGCGCAGCCCAGAGTGGTATCAACATGGAGAACGTGGGCAAAGCAGCAGCTGCCGCTAACAAGGTCGGGCTGAACATTCCCAGCCTTAAGGAGCTAGTTTCGAAGCCAGCCGCCATTGTCGGGATGCTACGATCGATCATGGCATTCTTGCGCGCACGTTTCCCGGCTGTGTTGGGCATGAACGTGCTCTGGTCATTGGCCCTGTTCAGTAAGTGGCCACAGATCATACAAATTCTTGGTTCCATGCTAATGCAATCTAGTCCTTCTTTTCGTACTGTGGTACTGCCATAAGCGGGGCCGCGAGGTCCGGCTGGAAAATGAGCGCCTCGTGACCGAGGACGAAATCAACAAGCTCAACGAAGACACCGAAGAAGGCAAGATCCGGACAACGGAGACTTTGACCACGACAGCACCCAAAGGCGCTTCGGCCGACGAGGTCCGCGAAGGCGTCAAGAAAGTTGAAGCAGCCCGCGCTTCGGCCGTTCAGACTCCCCTTGCAGCTTCGGAGCCCCTGAGTCCCAGTGATGAGAATGCTCGTCCTGGTCCAGCGCCGCTCCCGACCCGATCCAAGTCCCGCCTGTCCATTTTTGGTCGGTTGAAACCTGAGCCTACGCCTTCAACTATCGCCCCTTACCCGGGCACCTAATTTACATAGCACGTTGTCCTTGATTCGGCAAAAATTGCTGTACATCTGGCCTGTTGATTTTTGCCTCCCAGGAAAAGCCCATTCCATGGTTTGCTCATGGGTGCAAGCGGGAACCGGCGGGTCCCTGGCCATGGGTGGCGACACTATCCGCGAGACCGTGAGAGAGGACATCGATGATAACGAATCACGGTTGTAATTATTTTAATTATGCGTTGTAGTATTGCACATAATATCATTTATTCATTTACATGATCCAAATTACCAGTGTAGATACCCTATCCCGATATCTCAACACCATGCCTCCACCTCATTCTCAAAGTCCAGTTTACCCAGCGCGATTCGATGCATATTGAATCTATGACATGGTCAATGCGGTTCGCGGACCCTGTTTATCGATAATCTTTGAATAGTTTCGGCGGGAGAAGCAAATCGAGACGTAGTCGTCCGACACGCGTAAAACCGTCTATCGGCATTCTCAGGCCATCGGGGTTGCGGCTTGCAAAGAATGTCCCCCTCACCTACATCGACATTCAACTATGCCAAATAAGTAAGCTCCCTGGATTCAACTCGCGCTTGATGTGAATGGAATTGTCGCTCACGTTTCTTTATTAACTTGGCGTATAGACCTCTACAAGTCTCTAGAAGTGACGAGCGGCCCGTTGGCTTCCCCAACGTGCATGCTTGTGAGATGCATGCCTGATAGTGACATGGGAATAGAGACGGTCAAAGACTTGGAATGGGGGAATTTGGCAACGGCAATGATCATTTGTTCGGGCTGGTAGAGAAGAATCAGTTGCTGCAGAACTATGCTGGTGAGTTCTTCGGAGCTCCCCCATTGTCCGTTCCACACCACAGTGACCTCGAAATTCTCAAGATCTTGTAGCAAAGGCGGGAGGCCGGGGATTGACTGTCCGAAGAGTAAAGAGAGAGTGTCATTTGAAATGGTAGCCAAAGGTACCCGTTGTCCGGTAATCATTCCGACCATCTACAACACGATGATGTTTATTGTGGTAGTCGCATATCTGAAATAGATGCTGCTTCGTGATGTTCGAAGTGATAAAGCTGGATAGCATTGTCAGGCTCGTCACAAAACTAAGAATCGAGTCTTTGACCGAGGTAAAATATTCCCTGGCGTGCCATGAATCCCAGAACAACCCGAAGAACTCCAGATGAGATATGCGGCCTGTAGCGACCTTGAGGAATAGTACGATTGCTCGTTACCAAGAGTTAAGCTTTGCAAGGAGTCCCATTGAATGGCGTCGGCCCAGTATGAAGACTTGGGCGGTTCGACTGCGAATTGTCCGCTCAGGTGGAAGTATTTGATATGGGCAAAGCGGTCTCCAAGTTGCGGACTGGGCCTTGGCTACCTCTCTGTGAATCGATCGGACGAGCAGTTCTCTAGACGCAAAATCTTCAAATTGACCGACGTGCAAATGATGTCTATCAACAAGGCGTATGCCTATATGAGGTTTTCACTCCCACGCTCCGTGAATGGAGGCCAATCTCTGTAGCTCGGGGATGTTGGTTGGCAGATATTCGCTTCCAATGACCAGACGTGCTTGTGGCCGGTTTTCCACCAGCGACTTGATCACCGTATTTTTGCAACCGACCAGTTTCCAGTTCTAGATGGTTATTCTCAATATGCCTTTGTCACAGAGTTAGGACATGAAGGATAAATTTAAGTACTCTTAGATTCTGGGCTCGCTATATGGCTTCTTGAAGGGTATCTTTTGCTTCCAACCGGTTGTCCGGTCGGAACCTTCGAATGAATAGAACTCGCGGATACTTGATATTTTCATTGCCGCTCTTCACCAGACCGCGTGTCTGTGGGTCGTATGCGTGTTGTAAAGACCTTTCATAGTGACTGCGTCTATGGCTCCAAAATAGTCCAGAATGACCAAGCGCATCTGTAATGGCAAGACCAGTCGGCGCAAACCTTTGCAGGAAGGCCGGGCGGCTCCCAGAGCTTGCGGGTCATCACGTTGAAGCTTGGGCGATTTTATGTTAGCTCAGATAACATCAGTCTCACGCAGCTTACGTTCTCCAGTACAATCGTCCATAGTTACGGGGGAAGCCGCAGCTCGATGGATTTGGCACTTCTAGGAACACTAGGCTTCGAGGTGATCGCGATCTCCCGAAGAATAACATGATAAAAGTCCTTGAAGTTGCCCATGATCTTTCCTCCTCAATGGTGTTCATAAAGTCTTTGTACGGTGTACCTACAATTTGTGGTACAAGGCTGCCTGGGGGAGGGGTACAAACGAGGCTGGACGACGCCAATGCGCCACACCGCCCTCGATGTCAACCATTTGGAAACGTACCATTGGTACCTTTGACTCTCATGGATCATATCATTGACTACGTTGATTACATCGATGCGACTCGACTCCTCTCACGTGGGTCTCAACAAGACCAGTCTTCAATATCGCAAAGATGGGTTAGCGCCGCAAACATTTCTTGATGAACATGATTGGTAGAAGAAAAAGAAGAAAAAAGGAATCCACATGCGGGGCGGAGATGATCTTGCAGGCACGAGAGAGGAGAGAGGGGCGGAGGGGGAAGGATGGTCTAATGGATACTCTCCCTTGCAGGCGTCAAAGTCCCCCAAGCTGCGGCCCAAGCCTGAGCCTAAGTCTAAGGAGATTAGATGGATGCGATCTATCTCATGCACCCTGCAGGACCAACGGAATCCATGTCCATGCTGCTCCTACTTACCGCCTTTTCTCCTTCTTTTCCCTTTATTCACGATTTGCACCCTCTCCTGGTGTGAGGGACTGCAGGCTCCCCCCCCCCCCCCAGCAGATCGGAGAAAAGCTACGCCAGAACGTAAAATGGGGCCCGGAATGGAGAGACCCGAATTGCCACCGCGGGAGAAACAGAGGACGGGATACCCGGACCCGACCAATCACACCAGCTTCAATTCACCAAACAACCTGATTCATCACTAGAGTTGTCATGACCAGACGATGAATCACCATGCATTTGAGCCCGCACGGGACAAGCGTTGCCCTGAGACGCCTTGACATCCAAAGGGCATGTCCTCGCATGCCGTTCAAACAGCGGGACCAGTATGGACCCGCCGGATTGCCGGACTAAGCACGCGCTTGTCTATTCCGGGCTATTAGTGTCCAATTTTCCCTTTCTCCTCTTTTTTTATGGATTCTTACGTAGCCTCAAGGGGGAGTCATGGGTTGGACCGAGGTAGAGGTAGGGAGTCATCGAAATCCCTAGCTAAGAGTGAGTCACCTCGACTCGAGAACCTGCTAGAGCCCCTAGGGAGCTGGCCAGTCCACTCCACCAGAACCAAGTAGAAACCAAAGTAGGAAGGAAAATAGCCCAAAAAGGGAATGGACAAGATGCGGTGAACAACGAATAATGTGAGGCGGCCCGGTGGCCAATCACCGGCTCCACTGGAAAAATCGAGTGACGCTCTACTTTTATCGGCTTATCCCTTCTCGACTCTCTTCTTTCTCTATACCTTTTTTTCCCGTGCCAACACCGGTCTTTCTTTTCTTCTACCCTAAACTGTCACCTTATCCAAATACCGTCGAGAATTCCTGCCAAATGGCTGCCGTTGAGCTGTAAATCCCCCCACTGGGGAGCCTCAATCTGCCGGTTCCCCAGTCCAGCAGCTCCGACTTCAATTCCACTCGACGATATTTTACTCTTTCGACGGCCCCTCCAGAGCGTCGGAATTGCACCCCTAGTACAGTCACTGCAAGAGCACTTTTACGTCCCTATAGGACTCGAGGTGCTACGCCCGGTTACCAAGAAAAATCTCCTTGGACTTTTCCCCCTACTCGATCACCACCCCCTCTCCCAACATCCTCGCTCGCGACACTTATTCGAATCATCACCCACCACTCACCTCGGCTACCCCTCCTTGAGACCTCGAAAAACATTACGGAGAGAGATTGACACCCCACCATCTATCTTATCCACCTCAATCGACATATCAGGAAACACCAGAACAAAGTTTTCCACCACTCAAAAAAAAAAGCATACACCACGAAAAGGTTACAATCTCTAAACAATGTCTCAAACGAGCCCACACTCCTCCAAGCGGGCCCCCAAGGCTTCTGCAAAGAGCAGTCACCGTGCAGTCACCCCAGAAAACCTGCGGCGACACCTCATGTCGCCTAAGGGTCAGCAAAAGAAGGCCCGATCCAGTGTCGAGCGAAAGCGTCGGGCCTCATCATCATCAGTCTCGAGCGTTTCATCAGTCTCCTCCCTGGAAGAACTGAGTGACGAGGCTGATGGATCAGACGACGACGCAGACGATGAGGAAGACAGGCCGTTGGCCAAAGCCCTGTCTTACAACCGTCGTCAGAAAACGGGTCGTAAGACGGGGCGTCAGTCTACGGTGAACAAAAAACAACGGATCTCCGACGACGAAGACTGGGATGGTGGTTTCAGCAGTAATAACAGTGATTCTGAAGAGAGCTCAGATGATGTCTATGCTGCTGTGGATTACATCACTGATGCCGAGGACGAGGAGCAGGACGTTGAAAAGATGGAAGAGATGATGATTCTGGAGTCGGAGAATCATCAGCGCGTCCTCCCCTCGTATGAAGCGAACGAACAGTGGAATTCTACCACTGGCTTTGGGGACTCCATGTTCCTCCCTGCTGCCTCCTTCTTCGACGAAGAGCATCTATACAGTGCCATGGACACTTTTGGCGAAACAGACCTAGCTTCTGAAACTGTTGAAACACCTGTAGCTCGTCGAGTCCACTTCGAAGAGCGCTCGGATTCTTCGTCCGACAGTGAGTCTCACACAGATGATGAGATATCCGGTGATTTCCTCCAGCAGGATTCGCTGGACCCTCAGCTGCGTCGCATGATCGAGAACGACAACCACGACCACCACCGCAGCCATCGCCGTCAGTCTGAAGAAATTTTCGCCGATACTGACTATGGTCACGGAAATATTTACCATGTTGAATCCGACGGGACCTCCGAAGGTAGCCTGAGTGGATATGAGAGTATGCTGGCTGCCTGGACATGTTTTTTGATTTGTTTGCTAATCCAACTCCAGCCGACGATGGTGATACCACTGATGAAGACCTTCCCCCTCCCGCTACCATCACCCACCCCCGCTCTCTTCTGCGTCGTGACTCCACCGACTCTCTAGCCGCTGTCGGTGATGACAAGTCCGACACTGTCCCACGCCGCCGGGGCCCAATCATGGGTACCTTCAAGGCCGATCCGTACAAGCCCGTAGCGATAGTTGACTGCTCCGGCAAGCATCTTGTCATCATTCCTGCGTATGCCTCCTCTCGTCATGATTGGCTCGATTCTACCGCCAACAGCATGGCAGGTACTGCCAACAACAGTCCTCGTCAGACTACCCTCCACCTGGTCGATGAGAGCGACACCGATGCTCTCGCATCCCCCAACCAAATGGACTTTAGCCCGATGCTGGCTTCCAGCGCCAACCTGATGCTGACTGCCCTCGGCAACGATTTGACACCGGGAGGCCAGGTTATGGGCCCCCCCTGAAGCTTTCTACCCCTCACAAGAATTCACCATCGACAGCTCCTACGAGGATGATGATGAAGATGACCCGGAGTCCGCGCTCAATGTCGACGACTTCATCGACTTCGGCAATGGCTCCTCAGACGAGGAAGAAGATGTGGATAAGGCCTTCGATGACGACGCCCTCATCTCCCCTATGGCCAATGGCAACTCCCTGCGCTCAGGCATGAGCTCACATACTCCGACCCGCAACGAGTCACAGCAGGCCAGCAACACCGCCGAAAGCTTCCTAAATCACCTGGACAAGGGCATTGTCACTGCATTCCGTCGTAACCATAACCGGTACCAGGCCCTCCTCCGCCTCCCGCAACACCGCGAATTCATGCCCGCCAACTCCCCCCTCGCGACCAGCCAGTGTCTTCCGACACGCTAAGCACACGGACCAGCGCACTCCTACCCGGAAGCGCAAGGCCAGCGGCTACGCGGGCGGCGAGGCAGTGCGACGCAAGCTCATGGATGCTCAGCGTCGCTCCCAGCTCCCCTTTTAAGGCAATTCGCATCCACTCGCTCTGACGAGCCCTTTTGGTCACCTTTAGTCATCACCCCGTTACGATTCTATGAAGTTTGGATTTACAAAGAGCATGATACACACGGACGCAGTTTCAAATATTTGAGAGTCGCTGGCAGACTTGGCCCTGGAAGTACGGGCTCTCCTTGCTATATCTGTCGATGTAGATGTGAGATCTTTCTGCTTTCTATGGCTCATTCCTTTCCCCCTTTCCCTTTCGCTTTCGATTTCGATCTCGATCTTGAATCTTGAAAAGTCATCCGAAGGATCATTTTTCATTTTTCGTTTTCCCATTGTACGATGTTTTCACAATTAGTCAATTTCAAAAATTATCAAGATATCCTGTTTTCTCCTAGTAGGCTAAACATCTTCAATAGGTGACTGTCTAGAGATCTGCTGGAATCGACATCTTCTTCGTAGACGCTTTGGCCTCTTTGACCGATTTGAGAATACCTAGAGGATGTTGTAACGTCCTAACGCCCATGTATGAGCTGTTCAAATGTTTACAAGTCGATTGAATCTACAATCGTCCGGGTTTGACATCCTCTAAGACCTTGATAATAGGACCAAATAATGTGTGAACGCAATGTCTATGTTATTCAATTAAGCGGAAGATAAAGTACAACCAGGAGACATCAGAACCAGTCCGTTCAGGCACAATCTTATCCAGCGCTCGAATGCACTCGTGGGGAGCAGCCACGAACCACAAAGATGAAGAAATGAAAAGAAAGAAAGACAGCCATAGACGAGCAACGAGGAATAGTACACATGAAATGAGAAGAAAAAAAGAGGCAACGCAACCTCGGTCTGTGCGGATCCTATCACCCTGTTCGCCGTTTTAGATGACAAGAGCAATCAGCGTTGCCAGGAAACCAAGCATCATGCCCCACGAGATTGACACGCTGGAGGCTGCGTTCCAGACAGGCGTGCCGCTGGCTTTCGCAGCCGCGTAAGGGATGCTGGACGTTGCTATTTTTGAAGAAGAGGAAGCGTGGGGCACTGGATTCGGCCTGTCCAGGATGGTCGAGCGCTGCTCGGACCGACAGGGACCAGGCCGACTGTTTGGGTGATGTAGGATGAACCTGTGACGGTTGCGGTCACGAAGCTGACCTGCGGCACGGTGATGGTGTAAGTCGAGTAAGTGATGGTAGTGCAGGGGACTTTAGGAGCAGAGGTCACACTCCCGGTTGGAAGACCTGCGCTGCCACTGATCGAGATCGTCGGGACCAAGGTGATGGTCGAAGGAATGCCAGTCACGATGCCGGGGTTCTGGGGGACCCAGGCTGCGCAGATTCCGGTGAAGTAGGATAGCGCGGACGTGATCTCGGACTTGGATGTTCCCCATGCATCGATGCAGGAGATGACTTTTTCGGTGAACTCTTTGTTGGGGCAATAGCACTTGGCATCGCTGTTGTCTTTGCACTTTGGTACCACGCTGAGCCACGTGTTGATGCACTGGGGGACTGTGCTGGGGCAAGGAGAGGATGGAGCTGGGCTCGAGGTTGCCAAGGTTCCTGTGCCACCGGTGACGATTATGGTCTCGGGAATGCCAGTTGCGCCGGCGGAACACTTGGTGCAAATGACGGAGGTGGAGGTGAGAACGACGGTTGAAACAGTGCTGGTGGGAACAAGGATAGTAGATCCACCAGAAGTAACGGTGTTGGTCACAGGGCAGGTGGTGACGGTGGTGTAAACCACAATGGTCGTGCTAGATTCCTCGGGAACGATACTAGATCCAGGGATGACACCAGAGGGACCCACCGTGGGTGTAAGGCCAGTCTCAGTAGCGGTTGTCTCGGTAATAGAAGTGGTCGCAACCACTGGGATAGTAGAAGCCGTAGTTACCACAATGGTAGAAACAGTCGTCGTGGGCACAAGTACGGTCGATCCACCAGAAGTGACTGTATTTGTAACAGGGCAGGTAGTCACGGTGGTGTAAGTCACAATGGTGGTAGTCAGATCACCGGGTACGGGTGTAGATACAGGGTTAACACCAGAAGGTCCGCTTATGGATGCAGTGCTTGTCTCAGCAACAGTTGTCTCGATGACGGAAGTAGTAGCAACAACCGGGATAGTTGAGGCCGAGGTCACGACGATCGTTGACAAGGTGGTAGATGTAGTGACATAGTATGACGATCCCGAGCTGACGGTGGCAGTGACTGGGCACACAGTCGTGGTGGTGTAGGTGACTTCGGTGACTGTAGATTCTTGCGGTACTGACGAACTACCACCAGATGGAACTAAGGAGCTCGCGGTGACCGGTGACGAGCCACTGGGAACAGCAGATGTTCCTTCGGGAAGAGTCACTGTAGCCGTGGAAGAGGAAGTTGCAGTGACCGAAGAGGTTTGGACAACTGGAGACGTCTGAGCAGCCGTAGAGGTTTCTTCGGCCGACGTAGTCTCCGTGACAGGACACACGGTGGTTCGAATGGCAACAGTGGAGGTGATCACTCTAGTAGAGTCAGCTGGGCAGTTGGTAACTGTTGGGGCACAGCTAGTGATAGTGATTTCGCTGGTTGAATAAATCGTGGATGTAGTCCACTGCGAAACACTCGCAGAAGATGTGATGGTACCAGTGACCGGTGAAGAGCCAGAGGGACCGACAGAAGTCGACTCGACAGGGCTTGATTCGGCAGGGCTAGACTCAGCCGAGGTCGATGTGGCAGATCCTGACTCAATAGGGGTGGTCTCACCAGCTGGGCTAGTCTGGGCCACAGTACTAGTCCTGCCAGCGGGAGAAGTCTCACCTACAGAGGTCTCAGTAACAGGACAGACAGTCGTCCGGACTGGAATTGTGGAAGTGTACACCGTTGTAGAGTCCGCGGGACAGTTCGTGACAGTGGCAGCGCAGCTAGTAACAGTCACCTCGCTGGTCGTGTAGATAGTAGATGTGGTCCATTTTGAAACACTAGCAGATGGCGTGGTGGAACCTGAGACCTGAGAAGATCCGGCGGGGCCAGTCGAGGTCGACATGGCTGGAGAAGTCTCACTAGCCGGCGAAGTCCCACCAGTGGATATACTGATAGAGCCACTGACAGGCGACGAGCCTGATGGAACGGCAGAAGAAGTCGCAGGCAAGCTTCCACTAGGACCGGCTCCAACTGACGGCGCCGAAGTCGACTCAAAAGATGTTGTCTCGGTGACAGGGCAAACAGTAGTCCGGATGGCAATAGTCGAAGTGACCACCTTGGTAGAGTCGGCCGGACAGTTCGTGACAGTGGCAGCACAGCTGGTAATCGTAACCTCGCTGGTCGTGTAGATCGTAGATGTCGTCCACTGAGAAACACTGCTAGATGTGATGAATCCAGTGACTGGGGATGAGCCAGAAGGAATCGGCGACCCAGCAGAACTCGAGACTGATCCAGCGGGAGAAGATGCCGAAGGTCGACCGACGGAAGGACTGGCAGTAGGAGTCTGACCAACAGGAGTAGTATCAGCAGTAGATGAGCTGGAGGAGCCAGTGACCGGAGAAGAGCCAGAAGGAATAGCGGAGGAAGAACCAGGCAAGCTACCGCTAGGGCTGGATTGAGTGGACGGCACTCCAGTCGACTCCGCAGAAGAAATCTGGCCTGTGGAGGTCTCCGTCGCAGTCACAGGGCACACTGTGGTGTACAGAGCGATGGTGGAGGTAACCACCTTGGTCGAATCCGCAGGACAATCAGTGATTGTTGCTGCACAACTCGTGACAGTGAACTCGCTAGTCGTGAACACAGTGGAGGTCGTGAACGACGAAGCACTGGCCGACGATGTCACAGAGCCAGTGACTGGTGAGGATCCAGAGGGGCCAGTGACTGGAGAGGATCCAGACGGACCGGCAGATGGGGTGGCACCAGGGGAGCTAGGTGTGCTCACAGGCGAACTGGCAGGAGAGCTGGCAGGCAAGCTACCGCTCACACCAACCGAGGAAGTCTGCAGAGGAGCGGACTGCGCAGCAGAACTCTGGGCAGCGGAACCGGTCTCAGTCACAGGGCAGACTGTGGTCGAGATGGCTCTAGTGGATGTGACCACTTTAGTGGAGTCCGCAGGGCAATTCGTAATAGTGGCGGCACAACTTGTGATGGTGAACTCTTCAGTCGTCCACACGGTCGAAGTAGTCCATTGAACACTGGCACTGACGGAAGGGGAGGCTGATCCAGTGACAGGAGATGAGCCAAGTGGAATCGACGAGCCAGCAGAAGTCGAGATTGATCCAGAGGAAGAGGAAGCCGAGGGACCAACAGACGGGCTTGTGGGAGACGATGCAGGGGAGGCACTGCTTGAGCCAGGAGCAGGAGTCGACTCAGCAGCCGGGGTAGACTCGCTCGCGGTCACGGGGCAGACTGTAGTTGAGATGGCTCTGGTGGATGTAACTACTTTGGTTGAGTCCGCAGGGCAGTCCGTGACAGTGGCAGCACAACTTGTGATGGTAATTTCCTCGGTCGTGTAAACCGTGGAAGTAGTCCAACTAGCTGAAGCACTAGCAGCAGGAGAGCTACTGCCAACACCCGGCGAGGCGGCAGAGACCATTGGAATGATGGGCGCGGAAGATGTTGAGGTGCTGGATGAAAAGGAGCTCTGCGATACGGGAACGACGAACGGCAAAGAAGAGCTTGGAGAGGTAGATGCCAGCGAGCTAGACTCCGAGACCACCGGGACGGCTGAACTGGAGGTCGAGGACCCTGAGTCCGAAGAAACGGGAATCACCACGAGGGAGCTGGTCGCAATAGACGCAGGCGACGATTCTGATGTGGCAGATGGGATATAAGGAATGGACGAGCTTTCGAAGTAACGAGGGGAAACGCCACGGGCCGCCAGGGAAGCAGTGGGCTTGACCGATGCAGAACTGGTATTCCCCGATGTGCAGTCGAAGTCAATGCTGTAGATTGCAAAATCGACACTGGAGTCCTTGCTATCATTAGGCAAAGCAAACTGGACAGACTTAGCACCACCGCACTGGTCATTTGTTATTGTAGTGACAGTGGTAGAGACAGAGGCAGTCTTGTGGCACTTTTGATCATTGGGCACGGTGTAGATGATCAGCAAGTCGGTATCTTTGGACGTCGAGATCTTGATACTGGCGACAGAGAAGTCGTTGATATCGCTGCCAGTAGAAATGGACGGTGCGGAGGCGCTGCTCCCGGAGCTAGCCTCCTGAGTAGCAGTAGCGGTGATACATTTGTCCTAAAGTAGGGTCAGTGTAGATCAATCAATGACGTCCACAATCCAAATTAGAAAGACCACCGATAGACATCAACAGTAGTCACCGAAGATTGATGTTGCATATCAACCATCTTGAAGATCAACAAGTAAACAGTAAGACTTACAGTGCTGCCACCAAAAGTGTTACTGCAGGCGAATTGGAAGAATGCCATGCCGCCATACTGGGCGAAAGAGCCAATCGCTAGATCAGACCAGGTGAACCCCTTTACCTGATAGCTGTTACACTTATTGATGGAAGTATCCGGGACTGAGTATGACTCGTTAGAGCCCCACGACTAGATGTAAATAAGAGATGTTAGAGTACATCCTGATGAGAATACCGACCATAGACCGATAGATCAACATACCGAAGCATGACTCCCGGCCAGCAGAGCAGCGAATGCAATAGAAATAAAACTCTTCATCATGGAAGTTGTCAACGAAGGACACAAGTGGGTTGAAGATCAGGATTGAAAAGAAAGGCGAATTTTTTTGTGATTGTTGAAGACCGGCAACGACAACAGGCCCAGTAGGGCAAGTTCAAACGAAGCGGAGAGCAAACTGAATAGGAATATCCTGGAACGAGTGTAATGATATGAGAAGAAGAGAGACTGGGAAGGAAAAAGGGGGTCGAGGAAGTAGAAAGAAAGGAAAACAAACAAAGGCCAAAATGTAGAGATTGAAGCTGCGGAGGCTACCATCAGGGAACCGGCTTCTTAAATTGAATCGAACCTCAACAAAGGGTTCGCACCTGAATAGCTACCTATTACCTATTATCCCGGTGCCTGCAGCTATTGACAATATCCACCTGCTCTGTGAATAGTAATTGGCAAGATATTCTGGGGATCAAGGCATCCAGTCGCCAATCAGGATGGCCCAGGCACCGAGCTTGTACCAAACTTGAAACATCAGACTACTCTCAGTGAGGATATCGACCACCTCATTCAGCGGTACCTTAGTCTATGCTGCAGGAACCATGCTGGATCCGGAACAGGGGTCTCTACAGCGGTTAACAACACTCCACTTTAACACCGGGCCCCGCTGCGGCGACTACACACTCTCCAATCAGCGTGGCCTGTGGGGTACAAAAATAGCCCCTGCACGGTCGTCAGGCTTGAAGCGCCAGATCGGCAGCACTGCATGGGATGAGGTCGATCGAGTCAAAATCTCTGAAGAAAGGCGAGTACGATGGTGCAAGGGCAGAGAACTGTTGTCTGACGTGATTGAAGATGCGATCGCGACTTGATTGTGCGAGGCATTGTCACCTATTTCCACTGTGACAGTTTTTCTCACCCTTTGACTACATGGATGAGATGGTCATCAACTTTGAACAGAGTTACGAAATTACCCCGACCTCTTACGCAGAGTGTGGTGACAAAACAGTGTCCTAGGATCGATGGGAGAAGCTTGGCTGGCGTCGCGCCCTGAGTCGTAGCTGTTTCGGTGACTGATCAGATCATCACCTCTCCACAGTTACAAGCGAATTAAGCTTGTGGCTCGTTATGCTGTTGCCCAAGCTCAATTATACATTCTATTCTTTCTCGGACAGAGATCCTCTAGCGCCAGACCCTCAACCAGCATCTGCCGCCAGCGGACGCCCAGTGGCTCTGCGTGTGATATGAACCGGAGATCTTCTACCGTTCGGAACACGAGCTAGATTGGTGTCACTCTCATTCAGACATGTGAGGGAGCTTCGTGAGTTGAACGCCCGTGGGTGGCGTCGGAACCTGATCGGCGTCTCGATTATGCCAAGTAATCTTTGACAGGCGGAAATGCTCAGCCCAGAGACCTTGAATAAAGCCATCGAGCCCCGTTGCTTGATGACTCTGTTTCATGCGCAGAGTGACTTGCCCCATGCTCTCGTGAATGGCCAAGTTCCTAGGTAGCCGCCCAGGTACTTTTCGGTTGTCGCACGATCGCTTTGTTTGTAGGCTCGGCGCTAAAAACATCCACGAATAAATCGAGCGTACAATCGGGTTCACGCGTTTTGGGTTCCTTTTAATGTCTCTCAGGATTCTAAGCCTGGCCATAAGTGGGGTGGCTAAGAGGGACCTTTTTTTGGTAGAAGGTTACATTGTTCTGGACCCTGTAACAAGGTCCCGCATTGGGAGCGGCGGTTTCCTTGATGATTTTAGAGAAAGAGTTTCATCAAGTTTTCTACCTCTTCTGTCCTACATTTAATGATTGATCACTGTAATATTTGCAAACACTATCACAGGATTCTTTTACTCGAGGGATTATCTTATTCGATCGATCGGATGGAAGATGCTGATTAAGATGTCTGGCCCCGCTTCAATCTTGGCTTCATGAGACTTGACATTTGTGATCGAATTGAATAGCTTGTAATTTCGAAGAAGGAACTGGGTGATCGCGGTCCTTGACCGTATCCATTTCATGTTTGGGTGGATTCGTAGTAGGCGGTGCACTTGATTTCCACGAGAATCTCCTCCCGTGGCAGAGCCCGCACTTCAACTGTTGTTCGTGCCGGTGCTGTCTGGCGATCGGGCCAGATCAGATTCCATTCCTCATTCATGTCCTTGTAATCCTTCCTCATATCCACCAAGAAGACAGTGGCGTCAATCACGTTGTGCATGCCTGCTTGTCCAGCTGAGGCCTCTTCGATGATCTTGCGGATATTATCTAGAACTGCGGCACTCTGCTCCCCGATGTTGAGGGTCAGGTCACCCTTTTCTGAGCGGGCGGCGCCGACAAAGCTGCCATCACCACGGCGGGACGATGTTCCAGAGACGTAGATGTAGTGGCCCTGGCCGTGGTTCACTATGCGCGCGTGAGGGTAGTTGGCAAGCCCTTGGGCGTCGGTTGCCGGTCGGAAGTATGGAACACTTGGTGCCATTTTACTGAGAGAGATCGTTTAATCGGGTTGCAGCTTTCAAAGTGACGGACTTCTCGCTCGAGAAATGAGATTTTGGTGGAGGGTGGGTTGAACGATGTGCGTTGTCCAGAACAGACGGGTTCAATAAATGGCTATCGAGCCATGAGGTGGAGGTTTCGTTACTCGATCAATATTGTTTCTGCAATTTCCGAAAGATGTGTTGGTTGATCAACTAGATGAATGCTATGATATTGGTCCGTAGCTTAATAACAGCCAAAAAGTCTCGGATATATCCGACCGGGCCGCGGTCCGACACCACAGTCCTCGACTGATGCAGCTCAGTCGAGTCAGACTACCGGACATGCAGCGTTCGCAAATTAGTAAACACATCACGACTATGAGCACCCTCCTCCCGACCAATGCCAGATGCCTTCATAACCCCGAAGGCTGTGCCAAGCTCGCGCACCAACCAGCAGTTCATCACTCAGCACGGTTGGCTTGATCCAGTAAGTAGCCTTGAAGGGGCTCCTCTTGTCGTAGCTTAAGTTCAGTTCTGTGTCTCGATAAAGTGAATTTGATTTCATTCCGTGAAGACTTATTATTTCGTCCAAGCGACTTCAAAACGACATCTATAATTCAGACACATTTACTTTACAGACAGCAGGGATTCATCACCCCCAGCTCAGCCATGATACTTCGGATGCATCCGGTCGAGCAATCGGATGGCGTCGCGGATCGGCCGCACATTAAGCCCATCTCTCACCACACGTAACAATATCAACACAAAGTCAATGCGGGTAATGCCGTGACTCCATTTCCCATATAAGATCACTTCCGTTGTAGAAATAATCGTTCCCGGATCAACACTTTGCCTCGGTTTTGTACCATGGAGACTCCTACGACTTCCTCTATCCCGGGACCCATCGTCCTATCCTCGTGGCTCGCTGCGAATTCCGAGTACTTGAAACCGCCCATAAAAAAACAAATGCCTTTACTCGGGCAAAGATTTCATTTTGATGGCCGTTGGTGGGCCGAACACGGGGAACGATTATCACAGAGAGTCATCACTCCTAAGTGAAGTGTCCGATAGGTTTGTCACAGCACTGAATCTCGAAACTCGCACTCAATGAAACAGAGGTATTGATGTACCTCAGGACCTCGGCCATCCATTTCCCTCAAGCTGACCCTGTGATATAGGAATGGTTCTACCAAATCAAAGGCGACATGCTCCTTAAAATCATCGAAAATGATACCTTTCGAGACGTCGTCATACGAGAGGGAGAAAGATTTCTTGTTCCTGGGAATATAACTCACTCTCCACGAAGATATAAAGACACCATTGGCTTGGTCATGGAATGTGCTCGACCCCCGCAGATGATCGACCGTGTCCGATGGTACTGTGAAAATCGAGAAGCTCATCCGGGTTCTCCGACAATCGTACGCGAGGAGTCCTCTATTGCGAGAATATCGAGGAACAGCTCAAGCAGGTAGTGGATGAGTGGATCGACAATGAAGATTGGCGGAGATGTACTGCGTGTGGAAAGATTGCATCCACCTACTGAGCCTTCACAATGTTTACGTCTTTGAGGATGAGGACAATTTCGAATTGAAATCTCAGTAGCATATGATTAGACCATGATAGACGAAGCCCTATTGCTCTTGATTCGGGAAGTTATGATCAATGAAAGACATCAACATCGTGTCTCCGAAAAAGGTCTCTGTAGGATCTTCCGATGTGGTGGACAGAGGGACCAAGTCAGATAGAAATGAATCATCAGGAACGGTCATCGGATCTACTGAGCAATCCAAGTCATCTTGGATCAAAGACGGCGTTCGAGGGAAAGGAAAATCAGAAGACTGCGAGGTAGGTTTCCCGGACTATCTTTCGCCGCTTTGAATGGCTCCCAACCTCCTGATGATCGTCATCCTGTCCGTAACGATCAAACGCTCTTTGAAACAGGTCATGCATTTGAAGGTCCCTCTGTGTCATTTGAATATCTTCTTCGGTCGAAGCTGGTATTTCTTGAGCTCAGGCCATTTGATCTTGATGTTTTGTAACAGGTTGAGGCCATTCTGTACATCTGGCAACGCCTTGCTGGTAAAAGTCGGGTTCCGAGCCAATCGCATACAATGTAGCAAAACTTTGGCGCCGGCATAGATTGCACGACCTTGTTGGATGACAAAATGGCTCGCGGGAATGGTCGCAAGTACTTGGGGGGTGGCTTTGATGCAGTTGGATGCTGCTTCGGCACATCGAAGAAATATCTCAGGCTCGGCTGCGCTGAATCGCTCGATAAAAGTGCGATATAGCAGGACAAGCCCAACGTAGTAAGAAGAGACTGCAATTGTTTGCAGCACAAGAGGGCCACTCGCCTGACTAGTTCCATCAATTTTGGGTAGTACCTGTTTGGTATAGTATTTTTCAAGTTCTGCGTCGTGCCTTTTTACATATGATCGTAAGGTAGCCTTTGGTTTGGCGTTTCTTGACGCTTGAGATCTGCGAATGCATCGCACAGACTTGTAGATGCGGCCGATGGTGACATGGAATTTTGCAATGATTGAAAACCAGGAGTCCGTCTTGGTCACCAGGGTGGATGTTGAGGAGCTTTCGTCATCATTTGAGTCGATATCGCTCTCGCCATCATCAATGGCCAATGATTTCGATAGTGCGGTTGAAAGAGAGCGGTCTTAGATGTATAAACACCACCAGACATTGCCGTGGGTGCTCGTCCAATCGTGCACAAGACCCTGGTACAGGCGAATTGCATGACCAGCGGTGACCCACGCCTCATTTACCGTGCCTTTTTTAGTTAGATACAAACTAAGCAGACCTTGAGCGATCACAACGTTGATCGCTGAAGTGAAGTTTTGCTGGTATTGCAGCCTGGGGGATAAAGAAGTTGCGTGGGAGAAAAGTAGATCTGGCAGATCTAGGTATTTGTATATTACAACTCTTGCTGATCAAAGATCATATGCTCTTCTGAGAGGACTGATGCGGCAACAGCGAGAAGCGCATAAAAGAGAAACGAAAATTCAGTCTCGTCTTTGCCGATGCCCCTGCAATTATGACGCGCAGCCATCCAGCGATCATATTGGGGCTGGAAGCTGCGACAATGTATAATTGGGAAAATTGGATATATGAGGTGTAAAAAGTCTCCATCAGAGCGAGCAATATCGGTTCTCCCAATCGAGTCACGTCGAGCCTAGTAGAATCTGCCACGGAGGGCGATTGGCTCATGGTCATCATCAAGGCCGTCTATAGTTTCCTCGAGTAATACTTTTGTAGTACCATGGCCTGTTCCTGGAGGATTATATATTGCTGTTGAATCTGCTGTCTGTGATAGAGCATCTGTGAAAAGCGTTTGGAAAGTTTCTGGCGGCTCGAGTAGTGCACCGTCGGGGGCAGGAGCCGATGACCAACTAAGTCGCTGCTTTCAGAATCATCCTCAGTTGGAGACGCTCCCATATGTTGCGATGAGACTAGATACTCTCCGTGTTCCCCGGCTGATGATTGCTGTCGCAATTGCTCCTCCATCACGGTGATACGCTTTTCGAGTTTGACAATATACCTGGAGGAATATTAGAGATCTCGTGACTAGACACGCAACACCCTCGAATCAGGACGGTAGTACTCTTGTGGAGTACTCACTGTGGATCTACTAATCTCGTGTTCCCATGAGGTTCAATGTAAACGCACTCGGCTTTGATGCGAGTGCAGCTGAGGCACGGATTTTCGCCGTTGCATTTAATCTTCTTGCGACGACATGCTTGACAAGCACGCCAAGCTCTCTTTCTCTCGTACATGAGGGGTCATGGAGGATCGAAGGCAGTTGGAGAAGACAAAGCGCCATCGGAAGCGACCTTGGCCCCGCACCGGAGACAACTTGAGCTGTGGGGTAGACCACTTGTCTGGACCGTCGCAAGACCCACTTTGCAACGAGAAAATATCAGTGCAAGTTCTTCCCACTGATTGGCTCTTCCTAAACACCATTGAACACTGCAGGGCGCATCCATTGTAAGGGCACCGAATCATCTGCTCCCTTTATTTGCTTCTTTTCTATCTTCACGGGCTTGTGATCCTGAGACATCATACGATCTGTCAATCCGGACTTTGGCTTGGTCCTCGGTTACATGGTAGATCAGTGATCTGCAATTTGAGCCCTAGCATCATATTCAGTGGCCCGAGTTAAGCGGGTGTTGACAGGTACATCCCTGACCATGACCGGAGCTCTCCGTCCGACAACCCTGAGCAACGATAACTCATGGCAAATAGTCATCCGATAACCAGAGTGATTGGAAAGGCTACGTATGCTTTTCAGCCATACTACGTCAATGTGTTTCCAAACCTCTTCTCCTGTCCTCAAATTCCACATAGGCTTCCTCGTCGCCGGTTTGCTAGTCTGACTCCATTTTTTGATCCTTTATGTTGAGGACCACTTGGAAACTTGATCCTTTCAAATGCAAGTCTCTCGGAGACTGTTGCCAGTTGTACGTCCGCTAGCGTATCAAGGTATGTAGACTTTCGGGCAACTCATCCGCCGCGGTCTCGGTATCAGACACCCATCCCTGGAACGCAAATATCGGGTAAACCAAGTCTCAAACCTTAGAAGGCATGATTACTTCAACGAGACTAGCGCTATTCATCCAGACCCATACCTATTGATGGTTCTAGAGCCACCGAGCTGACGTGTGTGTGTGTGTGTGTGTGTGTGTGTGTGTTCCAGCGCCCGGAAGAAGCAAAGTGATCAATCTATATGCGACGGGAAACACGAAACGGGATACTCCCCCTTTTAATTTGCATCCCACGTATCGCCATGCTGGATGGAGAGTGGTACGCCGGGAGACCCTCAGACTTATAGATGGTCGCGTGTAAATGTCAGGAACAGGGAGCGCCTGCCGGAGCGCGATGTGGAGACGCCGGAGTGCCTTCGGGGTACCGACAATGGGTCTGTTGGGACCAAATGTGTATCGGTGGCTTTTTCCATCTTTATTGTCTCCTCGGGCCAGAACTTGGTCTGACCAGGAACGGGACCCAGGTCAACTCCACTGATGATCTTCACTTGCTTGAACAGGTTGGAGTCAGCAGAAAAAAAAAAAGCTCTCAAGTATCGAGGATTACTCTTGCAAAAGGTGTTCAATAGCGTCTCAAAGAGCAGAGAGTCCAAAGTGTCACGTCACATTTGGTGTCTACAAAACAATGTGAAGATCACGGCTTATCTCGGCACATTGACGACGCCCTGATAAGGTCGGGGCTCGGGATTGGCTGCATCGCCCTGCATATCAATCTCCTTTTTGTTCGTTGCCCTTTTTGGGTGCCTTTGCATGAACTAGGAGGAAACTGAGATTGATTCATGATATTCAATTTAATATTTTTTTCTACAATGCTCCATGCGCTCGCGTGGCTAGGTTTGAGCCACCAGCGCTGACTTTCCCTGAACTCCCATGGTTCTCCGGACTATCGACTGGCTCTTGAGCCTCCCCTTGCGGAGATCAAGATAAGCATCGCCTCCACCACTCACAATCCAGCTATCTCCATGAACAAAAGTTAACCGTGATGACATGGGTTCGCACAAGTCTGGGAGCTTCCATATAACCGCCACTTCCCGGTTTCCCCTGGACGCCCTGTGACTGTTCCAGGTGCATGATGGCCCAACATCCTGAACACACCTCTCTCTGGTGGCCCGACGAGAGAATCAAGGCGACTCTAGACACAAAGTTTATTGTCAGCCGGCTCCGTCCCGAGAATGTTCCGCGATTGTTCGATCTCCCCGGATGGGGGGGGATTGAGCAGTGAGACATATATGGAATGGATTTTGCTCAAGGCTGGTCGTTTGTTTCTTATTCTCGATGCCATTGGTATCCCGGATCGTATATTCGCCCTGGTCGATGAATCTCGCGACGATGACGATCTCCCGTTCGCGGAGCCGAACATCGATATGCTGAACCTATCTCCGGATGGCAATGACCCAGCTCTCGATTCCCGGTTCTTCCAAACACAATGGCGCTTCTTAGTGCGAGGAATTACGGAGGGTGAACATGTTACATACACCGGGAACGAGGGTGTACCCGTGGAGATTGTGCGATCTATGACCAACAGCGGAATTCAGGGTCGCGATGACACGGTCGACAAGGTCATCCTCGCCGGATCGGTGTCTCGCATGTTCATGCGCACACAGGTCCAAGTCGGTGGAGCACCACACTTTTTCACCTCTGAAGAAGTCCTGGCCGAGGTCAAGAAACTACGGAAACTGGCACATCGCCATGTTATCTCGATTTATGCCTCGTACTTTGTGGACGATACGATATGTGCACTCTTTACCGGCGCCGAGACAGATCGTACCCTGCACAGCTTCTTGACAGATGAACCACCAAGCTTCAAACGCCTAGCCAAAGAAGAGCGTCGTCAAACACTGATCACCTGGCCACACTGCCTCGTATCAGCATTGTCCTGGTTACATTCTCGCGGCTACGCACACACCGCTATCCGACCATCCAACATCCTCATCGACCCGGAGTTCAACATCTTTCTCGGCCAATATCAAGCCCTGGATTCTCTCCTGGCACCACCAAAGCTCAACGATCTCGAATCATACAACTACTCCGCACCAGAGCGCTGGGTCCGTACCTCCGCCCCCGTCCAACCGGTCGTAGCACCCAGTCGTACAATGCTCCCCTCAGGAGGTCGTACAGCACGAAGAAGAAAGCCCGAGAAAGCCCTGCCCTCTCTCAGCGAAACCTCCCCGGTGTCCCCAGACTTTCCACGCCCAGAATCCTCAGCCTCATCCGCCTCAAAAGGCACGGTCATCCGCATCGGCCTCCCAGGCTCACCATCCCGCTTCTCCTTCGCCTTCTCATCATCTTCATCCTCGACTGCCTCTTCAGGCCAAAGCGAAATAAACTCTGTAAATCAACAACGACTCCCCATCTGGAAGAAACCCAGGAAAATGCTCTCAACCCCATCTCTTTCCTCCGCCCACTCTTCATCTTCCGGCTCGTCAGCATCCTCGATGACTCCCCCCGCTTCATCATCTTCAAATCCAACAATGCTCAATACTTGGGAATCTCACCAATCAGAAAACTCAACCCCATCAGACCTCTTCTCGTTGGCAGCCGTCATCCTCGACATCCTAACACACATCTGCAAACGATCCCAATCGTCCTTCGCCTCGCATCGATCCGCCAGGAACCGATCTGCAGGACGCGGCGGCGGAATGGCAGATGCCTCATTCCATCTCTCGCGGAACTCAGTACAAGTGCAATCGTGGATTGCCCTTCTGGAAGGCGACGCACTGAAACGATGCCGTCGAGACCGGGCCAGTGATAGATACTTCTACGCTGTTCCACGCATGCTTATAGTTCTATGGGCGATGTTAGCACCAGAACCGGAGAAACGACCCAGTGCGCGGCGGGTTGAGAAGTGTTTCGCGAATGCCATTCGGGAGATTCCAGCCTTACGCGGTGAGGCCGTTCCGTTGCATTGTGTCAATCCGGAGAAGGAAGAGGCGAGGAGGAAAAGGAGGAAGAGAGAGAGGCTGAGAGGGACAGGGCAAGGGAGGAGGAGAGGAAGAGGTTGGAGGAGTTGAGGAACAACAAGGCGGAGACCATTTTGTCGTCGAGTTCCGTTTCTGAATTCGATTTTGGGTTCTCTGCGGGTGGGAGTGATAGTGAGACGGAGGAAGAGGAGAGGAAGGGTCTTAGTTTTTGGGATGAGGGTGACGCGGAGTCGATGATTATCCCTGGAGATCAATTGTCTCCTCAATTGTCGTTGCCGAATCTGGATCTTCATCTGAGTGGGATTGAAGGATTGTCGGTTCGTGATTAGCTTGTCGGTTAATTTTTTTTTTTTCTCAAATGGTGTCTGTGGCCATGGGTCGTGTGTACAGTGTATGATACGGATTGGATGAATGTGTGAATGACTGGACGATTTATTACAATTCACATAGGACTAATAAACATTTCATTTGTGTATTACCGCGAGCACGGGGTCTCGTAATATCAGTCGCCCAGATGCGTGGCCCATGCTGCAAGTCTTCGTAGCTCAAACTCGTCTATAGGCTACAACGACAAACATGCATATCAATATCAATATTAATAAAATACCCCAGATGTATGCCAATGGCGACTTCCGAAGTCATTCTCACAGCCAAAAGGCGACGGCACCTAGGAGAGTGGTGAGAACCATGGAGCCGGCAAGGAGACGCTCGGTGGCCGATCCAGCAACCATGACTGCGTTTCCGGCGTTGCTCTTGCCGGTGGAAGTGCCGGTGGAAGTGGAAGTGCCAGTAGATTCAGCAGAGCCAGCAGCTCCCGTGGCGGAGGAGGAGTCATCGTTCTTCTTGTAGGTCTGTCCCAGAGTAGGGAGAGGGGAGCTAGGATCCACAGCCCAGCCGCCAGAGGTCGATTTAGGACACGAAGGCACGGTGATGGTGGAGGTACTCTTGGTGTAGTCGGAAAGAACGACACCGGTGGGGTTCAGAGTCGCCCAGTGAGTCTTGAGGTTGGTGAAGTCAGGTGAGATAGGCGTAGGGGTTCCCTGACGAGTGTAGCCGTCCTCAACCAGGGTGTTCGTGGCAGCGGCGTTGCTCACCGAAGGGCCGTAGCTGATCAGACCATAGTCGTTGGTCTCCTCAATCCACTCGTAGATGATGGCACCGGACCAAGTGCCTTCCATCTCACTGCCCAAAATAGCAGCCTGGTCGTCGAAAGTACGGGGAGCCGGAGTGTTGCAACCCGTCTCGGAGAAGAAGATCGGAATGGGGTAGCCAGTCGCATTCTTCTGGAGCTCATTGTAACCGGACACGGAGTAGCTGGACGCACCACACCACTCATACGCGTTTAGGGAGTAAAAGTCCAAGCGTTCAGAAGAGTTGCTGGAGCAGGCCAGGTAGTTTTGGAGCATCGGTCGGAGTTCCGAGATGTCAGCCGCGGAGTAACCCACGGGGATTTCGCGATAGCCCTTCGAGTCCCGGTACGCCTTGATGTCCCTAGCAGCGGCAAGAACGTATGGGGCAGCAATGGAGCCATTGGAGGTGGTGAGCACCTCGTTGCCGACGAAGACACCGGCGGTGTTGTCGAAATTCTGGAACTCATCGAGAACTTCCTTGAAACGATCGAATTGGGTCTCGTTCCAGTGCGGCGAGGTCTGTCGCCGACTATCAGTTCAGGTTTCCGACGATCGGGTCCACCTTCCTTACCTGCTCGATCTGGGTGGTGAACGTGTCGAGATCGACGAACACGTAGATGCCGGCATCAGCCAGCGCCGTCATGCAGCCCGTGTGGTCGGCATTGGCATCCACGTGGTAAACACGGACGGCGTTGGTACCCAGCTCAGACATGCGAACAATGTCGCGCTTGCATTGGGCGGTGTTGACCAAGGGGTCATCCGGGGTAAGCTGGTAGGCAATACCTGTGGCAGTGTTAGGCAAGTCGATACAAGATGCTGGGCCGGACCCCCGAAACATACCCTTGATGTAGTACTGTGTACCATTCTCGTAGAAGAACTTGGAACCGACCGCCGAGATGGTCGGGATAGCCCCCACCGTGACAGCCTGCAAGCCGGCCAGCAGCAGCGGCGCCGAAAGGACAAGCGAAGAAAACATGGTCCAAAAATTTGGAAGTTCAAAGATAGTATCTCTGTACAAAGTAAGACAATAGCCAATCACAAAGATTGGAATTCTAGGCAATTCTTGACGAAAAAGATACCCGAAACGACAGGAAGATCCAGTCCTGGACAAAACGAACGAGTCTCAGGTCTAGATAGCGCGAATGGTGAATTTAGAAAGAACGAGACACAAAACACCCAACTGAGAAAGAACACACAGGGAAGAAAAAAAAAAATATCTACGAAAACAGGGAATGGCATTTGAACCTTGGCCCGGTGTTTCGCAGATTGCAGGTTCTCGCGCCAGTGTCAATCTGGGCCTAGTGCCCGCGAGACATGCGTATGCGAAAGACGAAACATGCCAGGGGTTGGCGTGTTCTATAGCCGTAGCCGGAGCTGGAGCTGGAGCTGGCGATGGCGATGGCGATGGCGCGGATTCAATCTCGTGAGAAATCGTCGGAGTAGGTGGTCAGCGCCAAAGGGGGCATCAATCCTTCTGGAACTACAGTCATAATGAAAATAGAGTGCCTCAAAAGGCCGAAACGTGGAGACGGGACCGCGCAGGGCCCGAGACTGGGGGGTTTTCTCACAGAATTCGGTCCTGAACCGAACCCCACGATGACGCGAACCGTGGAAGTCCCATCACATTGGAACGTGGGTTCATCTCAAATACTGCAATCTCCAAATTTCTTATCGGAAATGTGGAAACTGGAATATGGAAATTGGAGCTTGGAGCTTGGAGCTTGGAGCTTGAAACTTGGAAAACTCGATATTCTTCCATGTTGATCACCACAGGGACGATCGCGCGAGATTTTTCCGCCTTCTCAACCGAGCCCGGAGTCTGCCGAAAGAGGTCCACCGCTACAGTAGCACTCACCAGGTCCTGGACCCATCGAGATGTCCTCTTTCCGCTCCTAGCTGGCCCCCTTCTCTCTCTCTCCTCTCTCTTGACCCTCGAGATTCGAAGAGACTCTAGAATGCATGACGAGTCCAGTGATCGGAATGGACACATGGCGGGTCACACGGCCGGACAACACATCGGAAGTAAACCCTGTCAATCACTTTCCTCTTCAATCTTCAGGAGACCCCCCTTTTAGATCCACCTCCACTCAGAGTTTATCGTCCCCCCTCTTTCACCGGGGCTCGAAAGCTTCTGGATTTCTCCCGATCAGCGGTCAGATAGGCCGAAGTTCTTGTGGTCTAGGTCTTGGGCACGGTGGACTTGGGCCGCTACGCTGATCCGAAATACCGTCTCACGGTGACCGTCGAGGGGATCCAATCCGACCAGTCGAGGTGACCTAAGAAAACGATTTGCGACAAAGTGACCCTTTTGCGGACACCCTGGTTCAATGAGGCGCCAACTTATCTAGAACCACCACACAGAACGACCGAGTCTATCTATAGCCATGAAAGAAATAAGACAGTGGGTGCCACCGAGCCCAAAAGCCAAGTTGGTGCGGTCCAGACTCTCATTGCCCTCCACCAGTCCCCATCCATTCCGAGCTAGTCCGCCAATAGTGGGTGGCTACGTTCGTCAGCAGTGGATCCGGGTCCATTGCGATCGACTGCTTCTACCTTGGCCGCCAGAGGCCCTGTGCGATCTGCCATCCCCCCGTCTCATGACGTTTCCGCAGGGGGTTTTTGGTTATAAGTCCGCATCCGGCCACCCCCACACGAGGGTTGATTTTCCACGTCCGCCTTTTGTACTCTCTTCAACGGCTTCAACGGCATGGTTTCACTAATAACAACTTAAGACTCTTTATATATCACAATGTCGACTGAGACCGCGTCCCCGTTTCGAATTTCGCTGCACGACCAGCTGGGCCTGGAACGCAATGAGGCTTTCCGTGCCATGCGCGAACAGCTGCGCCGTCAGGATTGCGGCATGGAAGGGCCTAGCTTCTGCTCCGGCCATCGACATGAGTGTACCTCCGCCGAGCAAGACACCTTCCGCCTGCATCGCGACATCATCCACACTCTTCTCGTCCCACTCTTCCTGATCAACCACCAAGCCGAACGAGTCGCTGCTCGTGCCCTGCTCAGCAAAAAGGGCGTCGAGCCCGAGCGGGCGTTCCGCGGCGAGGCTCGCAGTGCCTTTGCTTGGCTGAACTGCATCCTCATCGAAGAGCACGACTGGTATCTGACCGCGCGGTGCCCCGCCTGCATCGTGCTCCATGTTCTCAACTCCGAACCTACAATCCGCTTTGTGACAGTAGCTGCACAACTCGCCGGACCGCGTTCCGGATTTGGCTGCTGGCTCTCGGCCCTCGAGACCGCCGTGTGCGAGGACCCTTTCTGGGGCAATTCTTTCTGGCCCGAGATCGAGGAGCGCGCTTCGCGCTTAACGGAAGGTGTGCAGCAGCTGGTTCGCCAATGTCACGAGCTACATACTACTCTCGACAGCCCGCCCTGCACCCCTCCGTTGACCAAGTCCTCGGCCCCCGTCTACGAGCGTTCGACTACCCCCTGCACTATTGCTATTAAGCCCTCTAGTTTTGCCCGGAAACAACTCCGGCTCAGTCGCGAGGAGCAGCGCTATCGGTCGTCGATGGCCTGGAACGCATGGAATTGCTCACATGAGATGCGCCAGCCGCTGGGCGGCGGCGCCCCCACCCAAGTGCGCCGACGTTCCATGACGTCTTGAGAAACCACGAAGGATGTGGTCTGATATGATCTCATGTTGTTCGTACTTCTTTTCACGGTGAAATCATCTTGACACCATTCTGCCGTGCAGAAAAATTCCCCACAATAGGGGTCTCCCCAATCTCGAAAGGAAAAAGGGGACGCCGGATATCTTTTGAGCTGACCGGAAATGGAAAAGCCCTGGGAAACTGCCAGGTCTCACCGATACTGCAGACGCCTGGGTATCTGAAGCCGGGCTTTCCCCCCGCACTTCACTCCCGCTTCATCCGATCATGATGCGACCGAGTTTCATGACGATAAAAGCTACACGCATCTATCTCATCACTTCTGGCAAGTGACTTGCCAGTTGGATCCGGAGAAGCATTTCCGTCAGAGAATCCCGGATTCGGGGCGGACGGGTGGTCGCACGACACCGTCCAGACTCTTCCAGATTCGTCCAGATCCATCCAGAGCAAACCTAAAAAGGCCACGCTTCGTGCATCCAGTCTGCTGGATTGAAATACGATGATATTTTATAATTGTAATGATAATAAATTCGGGTTTCCTTCCTCCAATCGAGATCTTCGTATTTTCCAATCGACCTCAAATGAGATTTTCCGTGCGTCTAGAATTATAACAGGACAGATTTGAAGTGGGGTGGCAACAGGTACACTTTATCTGAGACTTGGGTGGAGTTGACGCAAGATAAAAACTGGGCTCCAAACCAGATTGAGCCCAACAGTGGAAATTAGGGTCCAACGGCCAGCGATCATCTCCTGTGTCATGTTGTTCACCCGCAATAATCGGAGTGATCCGAAGGAGGGGCGTACTAAAAAAGGGAGAGTCTTGGAGCAATGAGCCTTCAGAGCACGGTCTCCAAACGAATTGGGCCTTCATAGCCCAGTCCAGATGCCTGCAGCAGGGTCCAGGGAACGGCATACTTCCATGCGAACCAGACACACACAACCCCTCACAGTGGCGAGTACCCGAAAACGGATGGTCCTGGGACCAAAGCCGGGAAGGCCCTTGCCACGAGTCTTGGGGTAGGGGAAAGTTTCATCGAGATCGATTCGCGATCTTCGACCCTCCGAACGAGCCCTGGCGTCGCAAGAAGGTCTGGTTCAAACAATGGAAAAGGGCGGGCACTACACGAGCGTAATCAACTCGATGCAGAACCGAGAATGATCGCCCCAGCCGCGTGGGGCACCTCAGCCAGTCGCAGGGCCGCCGGGCGTCTAGACGCCTGCACATTTTTAGCAGGGCCCCTCGTAAACACCACTGTATAAACATATAGGCATTGATTTCTGCACAACTCCCACTAAGAGAACAAAAAAGACGCTGAAAGGGTAATATACTATAATTTAAATGGGATTACCCGAAGGATCCACCCACAGATGTCCCGATGTAATGAATGAACGGTCATACTTGGAACCGATGACTCGACGACCCTCGGTCTAGAACACTGGCCGGGTCTAGACTTACTCGGCCCTCGTACCAAGTACCTGGTCTCGCTGCATTTTGCCCTCTTCAAAGTTGTACCCAGTACCTCGAACGCCGCCGCCGTCTTTTCTCCTCCCCTTACGTCGCCCAAATCCTCTTCTTCTGCGGCTTTTCTTCTTTTCTCTCCAGATACTACATTCCTACACCTCGATAGACCATAAACTCATACACCTTCCTACTCACGGCTCATCCATGCCGGCCGCTGTCTCTTTTCGCCCTCCGGACCGGACAGCCTGGATGAACCCTCAACAGTGCAATGGTCGGTGTTGGCCTGGAAGTAGCCCGGACGACTTCGTTATGCACACGGCTGCCACCGTGAAACTCGACCCAGATCGCCGTCTTTCCAACTATTCTCTCCCCGACCCTTCTATCGGCCACAGTCCCGCTAAGCTTCGTCGACGAGCCTCGCAGGGCTCGCTCCGCACTAAACCTTCCCCAGTTTCTCGCTTCTTGTCCAAGGGTAGCGTCGCCGTGCACTTCCCTTCCTGGGAACACCGCAGTTCCTCGCCTGGCTCTCCCTTCCGTGTCGAATCTCGAACCCGATCGGCCGACTCTCGTCTTCGTCTGTCCAACACGGTGTCTCGCGGGCCGAGACCGTTGACAAGCCATTCCGGCCATTCACACTCTTCATCGCCTTGGGATTCGCCCTCCTCATACCAAGCGGAATATCCCTCCACACTGCCTCCCACACCACCAGAGGACGATTGCAGCGTTGCGTGGAATCCTCGGTCCGAGATGTTGTTGTACGATCAGCAACCGCACCGGGAACCCAGCTCTTCAACCATGATGGATGATGGTCCGGGCGTTGACACCTCCCCCACCACGGGCCCATCAGACACTCTTAGCAGCCCATCCGACGGTCTCTCTCATGGGTCGTCCAGCTCGGGAGGAAGTCCTGGTCTGCATGACGAGATGGATTGTCAGCAAGACGTGGGATCATGGTTGGATCAAGGAATCAACGTGACTGGTAAGCAACATCTCCACACAGTCGCTCTTTTTTCGGTCTACTCACCGTGCCACAGTATCATCATTAGCAATCTCCAATCCACGAGGAGACGCCGTCAAAATTGTCTCACAGACACTCCCTTACCCGCAGACAGCCGACCAGTCGATATCGCTGCCGAGAAACGGCAGCATCTTCTGCTCCATCGTCCAGGCCGTACACAATCACCTCCAGCCCGGCCAGTCGCCCTATATCAATGTTACACACGCTGTGCCCGAACAATTTAGCCTCTCAAACCTCCCTCACTCTCCTCCCAGCACTCCCCGTTCTCCGACCGCCGCAGATGAATATTTCAATGCGACCGTCTTTTCCAGCGCCGCGGTCGTTGGGGCATACCACGACTTCCGTGGCCCGCTTCAACGACAGCTCTCCCACGCTCCAATGCCCGTTGTCCCTCCCCACAGCGTTCACATTTCCGTCCTTGAGCGTTATCTTCCACCCCCATCCCCCCAAGAGTATAGAGATCTCTTCTGCCCTACCCGACCGTCCTTCCTCGTGGACCGGCTCTGCGAGCTGTCCCCCAACGGAGGCTCCCTTCTCTTCACTTACCCAACCAAAAAGGGTGCCTCAACATTCAAATCTCAATATTTGGGCCCCATCCTCGACCCACTACTCCGTCAACTCGTCGTGGTCAACGGACTGTCCGCTGACGTCGGTCGCTACCTGGGAAAACTGTCAACAGTCTCGCAGATGGACGACTTCGCGACGATGAAAGCCAACATCGCATCCCTTTGTGAATCTCTCAGCTCGCCCTCCTCCAAGTTCGAAGTTGCCGACGCCGGCAAGGCCAGCGCCCACCTAGACCGCAAACTTTGGGTCGAATGGTTCATCCACCAGGAGAAGGCTCGCATGAAAGAAGTTCTCAATCTGTACTGGCAAAACGGTCGTCGCGTCCTAGCCAACAAGGCTATGTCCTCTGGAGGGCCCGGCGCCATGATGGGAGACAAGGAAGTCTCCTCCGCCATGCTCCTCAGCGAGATCTTTGATGGCATCCGCAAGCGACCGTACGGCGAAGGCGAGCCTCGCGACGGCGTCGAATTAGGTGTCTTTGTCATCCGTCGAACACACTGATCATCCCCGCTGTTTCCACATCCCCCCCTCACTTCTCTTCCCTTCTATACACCCTCCTTTCCACACCATATTGCCTTTTAAATGCGGTTCTTGCAGCCGCTGCAACAATGTCATATGGGATCCCAGCGTGGGATCCCCGGAGTTGGCTCGATCTTTTTGGTTTCCTTATATCTCGGCCGTGATTGCGCGCTATGCATACTGCGTCGGCCGGATGGTAAATGAACGTGAATACCCTTGTCTTCGGTTCTTATTTCGCGAGATGATACTATTTCTCTTTGGTTTTCTCGATGGAGACGGATATAAATATATACAACTAGTAGGTTCAATGTATAAATCTTCTGAGAATTGAGACTCCAGGAATTTTTTTTTTCCTAATTCAAACCTCAAAAGTTGCGTGCGTATTAAGGTGATAATGCTGTCAGACCATCAGGCACCATTGGGCATCGTTCCCTGACCGACTCTTCGGTCGTGTTGGATTAGGGCCTGGATTCGGTGACAGGGGTTGGCTCTCTTTGCATCGATCATTCATGGTCCTGACAGCGGTTCGATTGTCCTGCATATTACCCTGGTATGGCTTACATATAGATACATGGTGGAAAGTTTGATTGTTGGTGAGACCTCACAGGTGCGAGTCCGACAGAGTGTGTAGAGACAATGATAAGCTCAGAAATATTCAAAAAGTTCTGTTTCGTGAGTATCAGATTCGATAAACCCGAGTTGTATTGTGACATCCTCTGATTAGGAATCCATTGATGTTAGGAGGCATTAACAGCAGCGTCGAGGCGTCGGGACAGCCGGACTGAGTGATTTTTTGCAGGTGGGCCACGATATTTCGGCTGTCTGCACCTCGCAGATTTCTTCAGGATTCTCTCTTTCTTCCTTCAATTTAAGTTAAGTGTAAATGACTCATGGCTTCGCACTTATCGATAAATTCGAACTGTCCGTTGAGAATGGTTTGCAGAATTCTCCCAGTGCCACCACAGATTAAGCCCGTTCGTTCGTGTGCGCGACGGGGCCAGGACGTATACTAGATTGGAAGATTCTATATACTGACAAATTATCTTGATCATAAATTACTACTAACTTCCTCCCCCCCCTTTCTGCTTCTGTTCCTGTCATTCACTTGGATGATCACCACTCTATGCTTCGGGCCGGTGAAAAGTGAAGCCGACCCTAAACCGCATCTGGAGACAATGCTCCAGCGCCGCTTTTCTAACGACGAGTTGTTTCCTCTCCTACTCTATTCGTTCTGGTGTTGGTCTTTTTACTTGTACACTGCAACTACATCCGTCGCTCTTCCATATAGTCCACTTTCTGGACGCATTCTCTTGATCCCATGGCATACTCCCCAGGGACCCAGTCGCCCGGCGCTGGGCCCGCCTACCATGGCGGATTACACTCCAGAGGCCGTTCTACTAGTCCCGCGGGTGGTACTGGAACGCTTTCGAAACGCGACAAACGTCGGTCTGCACTCCAGGAGCGTCTTCACGATTTGACTGCTACCTTTAGTCAGAATCGCGACGCCCAGTTTCGCCAGCAGCTTCACTCCCTGCAATGCGATATGACACTCATTAATAATGCGGACCCTTACCAAACCGGTCCACTGCCGGATTCTTCTGAGGATGTCGCGCGGCTAATTGAAGATACTGTTGGTGGTGGCAAGTTTGCCAAGGAGATGGCAAGCCTGTCTGGCACATGGTACGCCAAATTTGTACAGGAGGTGAACAATGTCAAAGAGCAGCGTGATGCAGATCTGGCTCAAATTATGGTACTTTAATTCTTTCGCCCATTGCTGTGCTAAGTATCGAATTACTGACCGCGTCTTTCTCCCCTCTACAGGGCCGACATCAAAATAGCCTCGAGCGACACCGCCGCGAGTACGATTTCCGCCAACATTTCGCCAAAGAGGAATTTAACCAATTGTCGACGACGCTACGCGAACGGTTGATGCAGAGCATCTCGAGCAAACGGTCCCGACTTATGCGTGAGAAGGAACAACTCGATATTGCGGATACCAATGCACTGCTTCTCCATCCAAATCAGTTCAGCATTACCAACCCAGCCAGTCCTGGTGGCCTTCACAGCAACCGAAAGACTCGTCATACTCGGCACAGGGTGGATCTGGACGAACTCGGGAATGGCATCGTTTCAGAATTGAACAAGCGCAAGCGCAAGGCGCCAGAGGAGGATACTGGCTCACCCGTGCGGGACACAGGTGGCACGACCCCAGCTGAGCGCCAAAAGCAATATCTTGCTCAGCAGACTGCGCCTACCTATTCGATGCACTCACTTTTCACGGATAAAGAGCTAAGTGCTCATGCCAACCACGCGCATGTTGCTACCGTACATTTTTTCTCTACTTCCAAGCGCGCCGACCAGGGTTCCGGGGCCGTGACTAACGGCAACAATACCGACGCGGATGATACCCCTGAAGTTACTGGGCATGAAGACAACGGTACTCCTACGGCCGACATGATCCGTACCGCAAGCCAGAATTTCCATGTCACACGCTCCACCCGGGGCACGGCAGCACACAGCGCTCTAAGCGCTCTAGCCGAATTGGCTGACAAGCCCGCATCGCGCCCTGCTCTGCCCTACCACGTCTTGTCCAACTATCATGCTCGACCTAACGGTAACGCACCTCCACTGACCTCGCTTCTTAATGACGAGGTTGATGACGATTGCGCCCGCTTCGAGCGTCTGCATGGCAAGCCTCCTGGCTGGATTGATTCGTCTCTCTGTGAACTGGTTGCTGCGCCGCTGCCCTCTGACCCGGTTGATGGTCATCCCCCAACCCCGACCACTTCAATGCCCTGCATCCTGACTTCCCGTCATCTGTCGGCATGCACCTGCAGCCTGTGCGACCTCATCCCGGCCCCGAAATGTTTCAGTCCACCGGAATGGAGCGTGAGCGCAGCAGTAAGCGTGTCCGGAACCATTAATGGAGGAAAGCTTACGGGGAGTTTCAATGTACTTTACGGGAGGAATTTGGTGTCTATTCTGGAATCAGGGCTTGGTTTTTCTTTTGTTATCTTACTTTCCTTTCTTTTGGTGGCAACGAAGGCTGGGAACAGGCGTTCGGTCCTTTCAGCTTCAGATTTTCATGTGTCTATTTTCTGCCTCAATTCTTGAGCATAATCTACTGCACTTGATCCATTGCGTTCGAAAGGCTTGTTATAGTAGAGTGAAGGTCTCCTTCATACTGAGCCTCGGCAATATCTTGGATGACGCCACCGATTGTTAAACACCGTCGCACGTCAAGATTGGATAACTATACGGGTATACTTTCAACCTGATGGGCAATAATTAGTTCCAAGACCAGAAGGAAAGGCTATAAATGAGGTGATCGCAGCACAAGTGGAGCCATCGCATCATTGGCAGCATCGCTGAGTGGCTGCATTTCCATTCCTCCGCCTTCGGCGAGATGACAAATGTCTCGAGTTCCCCCGACGGAGCTTTGATCACTAATTCAACCTTTGTTTTCTTATTCGTCTTATTCTTCTTGGATCTTGGGGCTTCTGAGTGTTGTCTATAAAAGGCTGATTTCGTCTCATCCCAGCACATCACCCTCCAGCGTCAACTAGACATCTTGCATACCCCGCACTTTTTATACTTCATACTCTGCACATAAGCGTCAAGCATAAATACATCCACCATGACGACCACAAGTACCACAGGTACCACCAGCACTTCCTCAGACTATATCCCTCGCGGTCCAACAACCGCCGAACTCATCTTCTACGCGCCTCCCCCGGACAACAGCGCGCCTTTTAACTACGTCGAATCGCCACCCCCAGGCCAACCTCAACGCAACTACCTCGAAGTTACCAAAAGAGTATCCCTGAACGACATTCGCGGCCATGAATCCCAATACAATCTAGACAAAGACTCCTTCCAAGCCCTCCAAGGGATCACCTCCTCCGCAACCTACTCAACCTTTGATTCAGACGACGCCGTCCGCTCAATCTACTACCCAGAAGTGGAACAACTCCTCCTCTCTGCAATCCCAGGCTCTCACAAAATCATCCTCTTCGACCATACAATCCGTCGTCAAAAAGACGGCGCGCCCCGTCAACCCGTGACCCGCGCCCACGTCGACCAGACACCGCGCGCCGCCGCCGAACGAGTCAAACTCCACGTCACGGATCCGGAAGAAGCCGAAAAACTACTTGCAGGTCGCTACCGTATCGTCAATGTCTGGCGCCCCTTGACCGTTGAACCGGTCCAATCCGCTCCTTTGGCGTTTGCCTCGGCCGCGTCTGTGGACGGGAAGGATCTGGTGCCTGTTGAGCATCGGTATCCGCATCGGACGGGGGAGACTATGGGCGTTCAGTATAATCCGGGACAGCAGTGGTTGTATTGGTCTGGTATGACGGGGGATGAGAGGTTGTTGTTGAAGTGTTCGGATTCGAAGGGGCTGAGGGATGGTGATGTAGCGCAGTGGGTGCCGCATACTGCGTTTTGGGATGAGAGGACGCCTGCTGGGGCGCGGGTCAGGGAGAGTATTGAGGTTAGGGCATTGGTATTTGGCTGAAGATGTTGATATGAGGCTGGAATTGATTTTTGGATGAATATGGGTTGGTGGAAACCTTATATTGTGCATATATTGCCTGTCTGTGATTTTGACCTGTTTAACATATGTCTATCACTGTGGTAATATGATTCTTCATGATCTTTATGAAATTGTCTTGTTGATTGCGGACACTTTGAGCTTCGTCCCATCTCAACACGTCACCTAAATCACGGATCCATTCCCTACATGACTGGGCAAAGTTAGACTAAAAGTTGTGAGTAGGTAGAAAATCAATTACCAAGGAGGGTACGAAATAGATATACGTCGTAGTCTCAACACATTGTGAAGAAGTGCCCTAAGCTGGCTTTTGTACAAATGAGTTTCTGATCAGCTACCCCATCAAGACAAATTTTACTAACTCTTCGTAATACTTGCTTCAGTCAGTTTTCTTTCAGTCAGTTAGGAAAGTACTGAGCCAATCTGGTAACAAGTAAAGCAGCTGCCTTGAAATGAGTCAAATTGGGAAACTGTTTATTCTTCAAGCCGATAGATAGAGATAAGAGGGGGTCTTGGATAAAGTCCTCTTTTCCGGCCGATAATGGTTGACCAGCCACTTAAAATATCCTGGTGGATGAGACTATCTGGTCCCATAGCTTGCATTCCCGTGCATACGTCTAGAAAGATTGAAGTCCAGGCTAAGGCCAATTGTGAGGCAGGGATAATGGCGGGACCGAAACCGGCCTTGAAAGCGCCTTTGCTGCTATAAGTTGCAGTCTACTTTGGTCTGAATGCGCAGTTGACCCGGCCCTGGTCATGAATGAAAACCCCTATTATCTGACTGCACGTTGGAAGCTAAGAATAGGAACTACTAAACATGTTACATACTATGTCACCTAGCCCTCAAATTCGAGATCTTGTTATTTGAATTACATAACGGACGCCTTTGGACAGGCCTTTAGTTAGGGCTGGATATCATCATGACGACAGACGGTAACAATATCCGAATTCTTTTTCATGAGCCATCAGGGCAACGCCCACCCTCTGTGAGAGGATAGGTATCTAGCCATACCAGTGCCCATGTTCAAAATTCTAATGGATGTCTGGCGGAATGCCCGCACCTATACACTCACGCCCCATGTATCGGCCAGGACAGCCGCATTCAGAGGCATAGTAACAACCTCTCCAATACGGCGCCTCTTATATTTCAGACGAGTTAGACGATCTCTTCGAAGATACAAGAATGGAATAGCGACACGACCACCACCTATCCGTATCCTTCACACCATCGAACACGAGCACCGCGCACTCGAAAATCACGCGCACAAAATCTTGAATTCAGCAGACCCTGATGAGCGAACCAGATATCAAAACCTTCTCACCTGGGAATTAGCGCGTCACATCGTCAGCGAAGAGTTAGTCGTCTACCCCGCCCTCGCCAAACATGTAGATGATGGCCAGGACAGAGCCGATAAGCGCCGCATCGAGCATCAAACTATAAAAGAGCAGCTCAATGCCTTTCAGGGCCTTCGAGCGACGGATCCGCGATCTGGACCAACTCTCGAAGCCTTGCTTGATGATTTGAAATATCATTTCGAGCAGGAAGAGAGTAGTGATCTCCCAGCGCTGGAGGATGTGTTGTCTCAGGCTGATAGCGAGGCGTTGACAAAGTCGTTGGATCGAACGAAGATGTTTGTACCTTCTCGATCGCATCCTTTGGCGCCCGATAAACCGCCATTTGAAACAGCCGTGGGGCTCTTGACTGCGCCGATCGATATGGTTGCTGATATCTTTCGGAAGTGGCCGCATCGTGAGAAGAGGTAGGGGAGGACAAACTTGGATTTGTATGTGAACTAAACAGTCAATCCCTTGATACTGTCAGATCCTTTATCCATGCCGTTCATGCCGACGCTTTGAAAGCTTTGTGATATGATACAATCCCAGTAGGCACTGGCTCACGCCAAGTGAACGTCATGAAATATTCCAATAACACCTCAAGTAGTTGCAGTAAATTCTAGTACAATAATTACATGGTCTGTCATTTGCCAATGTTCAAACGATAGAATCAGCCGTGTCGTATACTTTCATGAGAAGTCCAGCATAGACAAATTGTTATATTAGGTAAAGAAGTGCTATTGAAATGAAACAGGTCAAAGCAAGCAGAAAAATGTTCCACAATATTCCAACATATCCCCGTATTGAACCCGATCGTATACTTGTGTTTTCATGCCCGACATGCTACGGCAGTGGGCTCTGCTCTAGCCATATTAGGTACCACATTTCCATATAGTGGCAACGGACGGAACTTGTTCATTCCACCAGAGTTTCTGCTGATGGGGAAATTGAACTGCTTCTCCTCCAGTGCGGTCTCCACAGACCGGCGCTTCTTCCAAGACTTGCGAAACTGATTCCGCTCCTCTTCCTGCTGCTTCATGCGCATCAGCATAAAGTCTTGATGAGCTTGTTTTTCTTCACTCAATAGTTGGATCTGATCAAGAGTGAAAAAAAAAGAAAAGTGCGTTAGAGCCAGGATTGCTGTTACAGATGACCATCTAATCAACCACGGAACACGTACATATGCCAACCACACCTCTTGCTCCGAGCTCCACGCTTTCTGACACCTTCTCAACTCCTTCTCTGCGATCCAGAGCTGTCTCTCTTGCTTTGTGGTCCATCGAGAATGACTGCGGACGATACTAGCCCAGTTCACGGCTCGACCAAGTTGCTCGCGTGTGCCGACCTGGCTATGATCTGAGAGCCGGGTCTCGTACTCGGATTCCGAGTCAGTGTCTGATTCAGGACCAGACGCATCGGGGTTCGTCGTGTCATCCAGGGGCTGCTTCACCGCTACATGCACAGCGTCGGAGACGTCATAGTGCAGCGTTGTGCCGGGAGAATCGGTTAATTGATTGCCGAAGAGTTCGTCCTCGTGGAAGGCCAGGTCTGGGCTTTCGGGGTCGAGATCCTTCTCTTTGTTGGTTGTATGTCTTCGTTTCCAAGGGAGCGAGAAGGGGAGGGCGCGTTGAACAATGGTGATTACCGACATCGGAGCCCGACAGTAAATAATAGTTCCATAGAACAGAGCTTTAAAGGTTGATGAAGAAGAGCAAGATAGATTATTTCCTACGCCGTCTCCCTGGCACTCTTATAATGTCCTGGATATCTCTCCGGAGCGGTGTTGTACTTTGGTTTGTGCCCAGACCGACATCCCAGGAAACGAAAACGAAGGTGCAGGAAACTCGCACGAGAGTGGGGGATCAGCCCGATGGAAGTCAGATACGTCTTTCTGCTTGGCTGGCCACGCGAAAGACACAAACCCTAGGGTGGCCCCGGTTGGTCCAAGTGGTGGATTGCTGCAAGGTTGGTCGAGACTTCAACCGCTGTCCGTCACTGTTGCTCTCGTGTACCTTGACGACGTAAGTCGTGTCATTTCTTTGCTTTGAAGGACAGTTCTTGATGATAAGATTGCTACTTTGACAGCAAATAGACGCCTGTAAAAGACAGATCAGATGGTTCCTCCAGATACGCGTGACTTCCTCCTGGTGTATATATTCATATACTGCGCCTCCGGCGTCAACCATCGGGGAAACAAGGAGTGAGGCTGCATGATCTTGGTGTGAATGGCTAAAATCGTCTGGTATCGATGTGATTTCTTCAATGCATGATGTTTGCAGTCGTGCCCAAGGATCCACATTGACTAGGTCTTGGATCTGTTCATTTGTATAGCGTCAGTGACGAAGAGATATCATCCCGTGTACATTAACGCCAGCCTATTCAAGTCATACTCGCAGAATGAATCAGAAAGAAAAAAAAAACAAATCCGTACAAAAGCCCATGCTGATGGCCATGGGCCATGACCATGCGGGAATCTTTAGAACAAAATGAATCAAGAAAAAAAAACCACCGACTCCATCGCAAAGATTCATCCTCCCAACTATACGCCAAAGGGAAGGATCAAAAGTAATCGCGCTTTGTGTTCATCGCCATGTATTAACAGAGACCCCGCGGGTCGTCTTGGCCTTGCGCTCTTCTCGGATCTGCTCCCCAATAATGATGCTAATCAAACGCCGATGCAGATCAGCCTCTGTCCAATCGACCTGGCCCGACCCACCGTACTGTACATCAGCCCGAGAGAGGTCATGTACAAATCGATCGATGATGGCAAACTGTACTTCGGTGATTGGCACCCCGTGACGGCCGTCCGAGGTCCAGATCCAATCGCCGATAATTTGTGCACGCCCCGGTGCGTCATAGTATGGGAAGCGCTCTGGGTTTCGCTTCGCCATTCGGTAGACGCGCCGAAGGGCCCTGTAGTGGTCGTCGGAGAAGTAGCCGAAAACCGCCAGAGGTCGAGGCCCGGAAAGGCCGTGGGAATCGTCGGTAGTAAGGTTTGCAGCAGCGCGTTTCGCGCTCTTGTTGGGCACTCCTTGTTCGATAAAGAGATCTTCCTCCTCGCCTTCGTCATAATCTTTCGTGGACTGTACTTCGCCTTTCACGGTAGGGTTGGAGGCGACTTGCTCGATAAACAGATCTTCTTCATCGTCATCCTCCTCTTCTGCCGGGGGCACAGTATTCCGGGTGTCTGGTTGAGAAGAATGGACTGAATTGTCCAGAATTCGCGGTGATTCGCCCAAATGAGTTGAACGAGGTGTATGCTCGAAGTGCTCACGAATATTCTTCGCTGATTCGATGCTGTCCATTGCCTCCTGGTTTTCCTGGTCATCATCATCTGACTCGTGTTCGGAGACGGCACTCGAACCATCCTCGTGAGACTCAGCAGGGGCTTTCAGCCACCTGGGGGTGAGACTCGTGATTCGCTGGAACCAGGTGGACCCTGTAGCATCCCCATTAGGCTGAGGTGGATGTTCGGGGGTGGCGGCGGAGCCTGCCTGATTAGATTCAGTCTCGTGCAGGCCAGCATCGGAAACGCTGCCCGTCTCATGTACCCTCTCTGGCTGAGGCTGCCGAGGTGACAGCCCATGCCTCACAGCAGGTGAGCTAACTTCAGGCTCCGATTCCATTTCTGGTGACTGTGATATTGGCTGAAGGCGGGCATTTTGACCAGTCTTGCGCGAAGAAGCAGACTTGAGGGAAGACCCGTTGATCGACGGGGGCTGCGGGCCAGACCGGCGGCTTAAGATATTTCGGGGAGTACTTGTCCCATTATAGTAGCGCGCATGGTTTGGCGTATCTTCCCGCGCCAGCAATGCCGACAGATCCACATCCTCGTCCCGTAGCTTGCGAACATGTGTTGGTCCAAAATATTTTGTGCTGCCGTCATCCATGGTCACGTACGCTGGGGATGAACTCATGTTTTCTTCACTCTCGTAGGCTCCCTCCAATGGTCGCCAGGGGCTGGTACTGCTCTCTGTTGGAATCTGTTCCCGATCATCCGTGTGCTGCGAGTGATAATTGTTGTCACGGGCTTCTTGCTGCCAGATATCGTCAAAGCCCCTGTCATCGTCATCCACGGCTTCCTGCTCGTTAGAGGCTGCTCGGTCGATGGCATGCGATTGAGGGACATAATCAGGCTCCAATTGTTCAGTTCCTTGTTGCCAGATGTCGACGGACTCGTTGTCGTCATCATAGGTTTCTGGCTCAATCTCCGCTGCGTGGTTTGCAGAGTGTAAGCGCTGCAAGGTAGGCCTCTGTTCCCAATAGGGAGGACTCTCCGGCTGATATTCTTCAACAGGCTCTTCGTTCATGACTTCCTCTTCCTCCACAAGGCGCTCAGTCAAAGGTTTCCGTTCAAGGGGTACTTCTTCCTCATATTGTTCCATCGCATCACTTTCTTGCACGGGCTCTTCCAAATACTGTTCATCGAAAGGCTCTCCTTCCGCAAAGGATTCTACCTCAGATTGTGAATAGGCGTCATATTCGTCTTGTTCAAGGGCCACTTCCTCTTGAGAGACATCCTCATCACTTTCAATGTTGATTAATCGTTGAGTATTCGACGGGTCCTGAGCTTGCCGGCTCACGGCCTGTCGTTCGGCATCCCATTCGCGGTCCCGCTGGACTCTTCCCGGAACCCAGGAAGCTGGTCGAGGCGAATGGGTTCTCCTAAAGCGAGGAGAAGGATCGACAACTTGTACTTCATCAACGTCGTCCCATTTTTCGCCCCTCAGCTTCCTCGACATCTTCAGCTTCCTCGACATCTTCAGTTTCCTCAACGTCTCTTTCACCATACATCTCATCATTGATGTTTGCCGCCTCCGGTTCCGCAACCACGTCCCTCTCTTCTCGTCGCGGTTGGATCGGAGGGTCTTGCTCAAATTCGGGGACATCCTGTATCTTCTTAGAAGATGTTGCAGGTAGCTCGGGATAGGAAACATTGACAAGGGGGCTCTGTCTGTTCGGATTGTGCGATTCCAGATACGCACGCGAAAGACGTGAAGCGGATGAAGGGCCTAGAGTAGTTGGGCTCGGCCTTGCTGAGCTGTGACTATCACTTGGGAGGTCACTGATGCCTCCCGGCAACTGTCGCTTCAACTTGTCGCCAATACGCCCACTCGAAGATTCGCCTGTTGATTTGCCGCTCGAGAGACCATATTGCTTGGCTGAAGGGAGGGTATCCAGGGAGACCATCGTGAAGCCCTCACTTTCCATAATAGAATCGAACTCTTCATGCTCATCTGCATGCTCGTCTGTGGGGTCCAGCTCAGAATGTGGATCATCGGACACTGGGTTGTCTTGTACACGAGATTCTTCTGTTTGAATTTCTTCCTCGGCCAGCGAAGAAGTCGGCGTGGGTGAAGGGTATGTTTGGGGAGAAGCGCTGCCTATGTGACGCGCGGATCTTGCAGATGAAACGGATCTTTCTCGGGTCGGTGATGGCATTTTTGAGGGTGTAGAATGTATGTTCTCGTCATGATCGAGGTAGTGGTGCTCTGCGGATCCAATGACAGGAGTGTCGTAGCTGGCCCGACCAAATTCGCGTCCGGTATCTTCATGTGTATTGTCGTTGCCCGGGCTTTCCCTAATCACAGCCGGTGTTGGCGGACGAAGGAAGGCGACAGGTAGATCGTCGGCTCCAAGTGAGTCACTGTCCAAGCCATCAGTCGCAATTTTCATCGGAGTATATTGTAAAGGAGAGTCAGCTCTGCCGTCAAATGCAGTGTCCATCGGACTAAAGTGCGGTAAGTTCGGACCAGACGATAGCGCTGTTGCTGGCGTTGGTTCATCTTCAGCTAATGAAACATTTTGCTCCTTCGGCTTCGGCGTGCTCTTGCGTGGTCGCCCCCGTGGATTCTTCAAGGGAGTTGCACCTTTTGGTCCTGGGGTGTTTCCTGCGCTAGCAGGCCATGGCGACCCATTCTTAGCTTGCACATCTGATTTGCGTGGGCGCCCGCGTGGTCTTGCTGGTGTCTTCTCTCGTAGTGGGCTCCCTTCGTCCTTCAATGGAACCATAGTAGTAGTCGTCGAAGGGCGTATTCGTTTGCGCGCCGGGCTGCCTCGGTTCTCGTTTTCCTCATCCTGCGTCGCCTCGAGAGTGACTCGAATGCGCCAAGGGCTCACATTGCCATCCTCGCCCTTCTCTGGCGAAATTGACCTTTGACGACCGTTGAGCTTCATTATAGGCGAGCCGGGAAGCAGGACATCGTCAAATCGGATCGAATGCGCGCTCTTCGCGGGACTGAGGGTTGCGCGCGGTCGCTTTGCCGGTGTTTGTTGGCGACGACGTGGGGCGGGCGACAGCCAGCTTTGGCGACCGACGAAGGGTTTAATAGGGGAAGATATTAGGTACTCGGCATCGCCTGGAGGGCCCAGGACATCTGGCGAGGAGCTCTCGCTACGCGACGTGCTTGACATGGCGGGCTGGATGGAATATCGGCACGCGTGCCGCTAGGGGCGTGGAGAGAGCGCACCCTGCGGAATGCGCTGATGAAAAAGTCACAATGGCCAGAATATGGCCTTTAAAAGGCCAGCGAGAATGTACAACCGCTAGAAAGAAGCGCGGGGCAATGCGTAAACAAGAGGCTCAAGGCGGCACGAATCAGTGACGACGCAACGTGTGTTTAGGTAATCAAGTCTCAATTGGGAAGTGATGTAAATATTCAAACTTGTGATGCTCATGCTGGGCTTCTGCTTTTGCATCTCTTTGAATGGGTTTCAAACTTGATATCCTAGAAGGGGACGGATTGGTATTCCTAACAATCGAAGTGGTTGTTCATGGCTACCACTCAGCAGTGACTGTACCAACCTCATTTACTTTTTTCTGCTGAGAGCTACAGAACCGTGCCACCTCGGAAAAACAGTCGCAACCCATCTTCACTTTTTTCGACATTTTCAAGCCGCTTGCTTTCATATGCCTTGACGTCTCTTGTAGATCCTGGCCCATGACTGCCGGCAAGACAGCCACTTCCCGTATCCAGATCATTCAGGATGCTCCGAGCAGAGAGGCTCACCAATGGGCAACATCGCCGATCCGCAACCCAAAGTCACAATGATCCTAAACCTATCCAATGGGGCAACATTGTTGTACGCACAAATTATTCCCAGCCATGCCATGCCACGCGCATGGTTTGCCTCATCTGAGCGCCAGCCGTCGCGACTGAACGATGAATCCATGTTATCTCCTGCCTGTACTCTGCTGATAACGATGGAAGCCTCCCTCGGCTTTGTTTGTTCAAGAAGTGCGATCCTCGAGAGTAATCCCCCCGGCATACGCTAGATCAAGGCCTGGCGGGCTGGAGCTGTAGAATACTCTAGTTGGTTGAGATCAGATACAAGTATATCTGGTCCGCAAGATGTAGCTCTGGCCTTGTGGTCAACGATATGAGGAAAACCAGGTACCAACTCTCATTGAGCATATGAGACGAACGAAATTTAGCTTCAATGGTGTGGAAGAAGCTATGTGGTGTGACGCACGCTCGTTGGACATCTAATATTTCTCCCAATTATTCGAGAAAAATTTCGCTCAAAGCTCCTTCAAGTGTTTGAAAGTATCAATGAGATAACTAGCTGAGCTGTAGAGCTAAATTGCTGACCTCAACCTGCTCCAATGACGCAGGTTTGAAGCCACGAGCGGCCATCGGCGGGTCTCACCTCCTTAATTGTGACCGGATCGCTGGGTTCATGAGGAAGATGTACATGCCGATGTGAACTTTGATGACATCAAACTACGACTTGGAAATTTTGATCACACTTGAATGGACCCATCTTTGGGGGTCTGTAGGTATTATTCGGGTTGAAATCGGATTCTAATGGACTTTGAGTAATTTCGAATTGGAGACGCTTCAAAAGACCTGTGGGAAGGGTTACAAGAGCAGACGCAAGGCATCATCTTATCCTTACTAAATATATGGCCTCGGTCTTATGTAGCTCCCAAGATCGCTCAGTCCCGAGAGCCTCGCGCCCGCAAAATGAGAATAGAAGGGCTTCACATAGACTGCTGGCACATGGCGATACAACAAGAGTGCCTTGACCCTCTACGACAGCGACACTCGTCCGGGTAATATCTCGCTTGGCTATGAAAGGTTCGAACAACGGCTCCGGCACCCCGAATCTGGTTTGTGCAGCCTGAGGGGAACAGGCTACGCCCTCTGGGACCAACAAGTAGGGCACGGGCAAAATCTAGATGCAACATCGCAGAATGCATAGGAGCCCCAATAGCTGCAGCATTCTCCAGATATATTGACAGTCGTGAGACAATCACGGATGTTATGAGGCGTTGACTACTTGCATTTCTACCAACACGGGACAAAAATCACAATTTGACGGCAATCAAACATTGGGCAATGTTCAATCTCATCTGGAGAAAGGAAATCATTCCGAGCAGGGCAACCGTACTAGTGAGCGAGCAGCGGGCTGGGGTATTCACCTTGGAACGAGGCCGTGCCAGGGAAGGGGGGTCCTCCGCCGGAGTTTTGCCGTCCTCAGCCCAGGGTCCTCAAGGGTAAGAATTGGCATTTTGCGGTGGGCGCCCTCGGGAGCTTGTTCTAGCATTAAGCTAGCATCGAACGGGCCTGAACCACGGGTGAGGTTGCTCACTCAGGGACCCACCAACGTTTTTCCCCCGTGGGCTCGGATCTTCCTCCCTCATCCTTCCAGCCTTCGTTCGTTTGTCCGCCAATGATCGACCGAGATCCCCTCACGGAGCTGCTTCTGGATAATCCGTGATCTATCTCACGGTAATCTCACTCTACCCCGGCTTTCAGGCCCCGCCCCCCTAGCGTCAAGCCATGCGGAGTTAAGCTAGCAGTGAATGACGATGTTTACTGGAATTAGACAGGAGCTGTCACTACCATAAAATGCGCGTCCCCCTCGGATGCTTCCGCTCATTCCTTTGCCCTGCGCGTATCACTCCCCGAATCCTCGCTCTATACTGTCTCTTGTTCCTCTCTGTCACCGTGACTCTGGGTTTCAAGATGCATTTCAAGTCTTATGCGAAGGCTGCCCTGTATGGGCTGCCTGCCCTTGCCAACGCTATGCCTTCAGCCTCACCTTCCCCCGATGTGTCTTTGGCCTCGGGCAGCGCCTCGAGTGACAGTGGTCACTTCACCGAGTACACCATCAAGGCCGAGAACATCACTGCCACGCTCATCCCTTACGGAGCGCGCCTCACCCATCTCCTGGTCCCTGACAGCAATGGCAACAACCAGGACGTCGTGGTTGGCTACGACAACCCTAAAGAATACCTGCACGACAGCGAAACCAACCGTACCTTCTTCGGCGCGGTCGTTGGCCGCTATGCAAACCGCATCAAGAATGGCACCTTCTCCGTTGATGGCAACACCTACCACATCCCTGAGAACGAGCACGGCGGCTTGGACACCCTCCACGGTGGCCCTGTTGGCTACGATATGCGCAATTGGACCGTTACCGCCCATTCTGAGTCTTCTATCACCTTCACCCTGTTTGATGAAGGTTTCGAGAATTTCCCTGGCGACGTGATCAATCATGCCGTATTCAGTGTCTCGACCGAGAAGAGCTCTGAGAACCCCAAGGGTCTACCGCAACTCACCACCAAGCTGGTTTCCCTGGCTCTGACCGAGAAAACCCCCATCATGCTTGCCAACCACATCTATTGGAACCTCAATGCCTTCAAGAACCCCACTATTCTGAATGATACCAAGTTGCAGTTGCCCCTCTCTGAGCGCGTCATTGCTGGAGATCCCATTTTGATTCCCACTGGGGAAATTCTTGACGTAAACACTGCGTTTGGCGGCTCTTTGGATTTCACTGAGGGTAAGCTGGTCGGTCAGGACCTTTCAGAGATGACGGGCGTGTGTGGTGCGGGTTGCACTGGTGTTGACACTTGCTTCATCATTGACCGCCCGCCTGCCTATGCTGCCCCCGACTCGATCGTCCCCTCGGTCCACCTGTCCTCGGACAAGACCGGCATCACTCTTGATGTTGCCACCAACCAGGCTGCACTGCAGATCTACACGTGCAATGGCCAGAACGGGACCATTGCCACCAAGGAATCTCAGGCCAAGCGCAACAAGGAGCAAGATGGCGATGCCGGTGCTGCGTACGTCAACCAATACGGCTGCATCGTCATCGAAACGGAGGATTGGATCGATGGAATCAATCAGCCTCAGTGGGGTCGTCTGCCTTACCAGATTTTTGGGCCTAATGATGGCCCTGCTGTCAACTGGGCTACTTACCAGTTCGGCACGCTTTAAGTGCCACTTATTAATCTCAGGCACATGTTTATAAGCATCATAATTTCTTCTACTTAGGATGCAAATACCCATCAATCAATCTCAAGAATGCCCCACGCAACCGTAACATGATGTTGGCTAGAAATGAATGCAGCATGTGAGGATGACCTTTTGAACATGTTGCAGCGATTTCAAAATTAATTTGAAGACTTTGAAATATATTAGATAAGTGTGTTTCCTCTTTCATAGTCTGGTCTTTTTCGCCCTTACTTGGCTGGCGGAAGACCGAAGTGATCCCGTGATCTCACGATCGTGAACACAGAAGATAACATAGGGCGATGGCAAATGTTTGCTGACGCCCTTTGCTCGGACTTGGGTCTTGTTTTTGTCATGTGACGGGGTACTGTACGAGGGGATTCCTTCCAAATCTTCTTCTCCCCCACATACTCTCTCTCCTCCGATTCATTTCACAGATTCTTGGGTTCCACCTTTATTCCTCGCCAATCAACATGTCTTTCCATATTCAGGTGCCTTCCTCGACATCCTCGAACCCTGTTTCACCGAGGAGACCATTGGCTCAATTGATGTATTGGACGTTTATACATGGACTTCACCCTTTATCATCTATTATGATCCTTAAAGAATATGGTCTTCTCACTAGGATAAAGCTAATACATTGCGCCATTTACGAGCCTGAACTAAACTCCAAGCCTGTCAGTATTTACTTCAATTCACGTTGAAAGTCAAATTCCCTCTGCCCTTTCCTCTTTTACCCTTTGTAGCTTCAACCGCAGTATCTTGACTTCCAAGTATACCCTTCACTAGTTCTCGAAGAGTGGGACATCGGGTCATATCCGTAAAATCACTGCGTCTTTGTTCCCCATCGCTGTCCCCTTTCATAACTTTGACAATATACTCGACCCGTTATCACCACTCCCCTTCACAATCTCCTCCTCCCAGTAATTTGGATTGAATGTCATTCGATTGAGAGGGTTCAACCGGTGGGCTCTGTTGTAAAGATCCTCGTATACGCGGCCATCATATCGTCCAAGAGCGCTGTGTTCACAATTAGAAAGCAACCTGAAGAGATTCTTCCAGAGTGGATTATATCTCACCTGTCCAAGAGGTAGTCTGGAATCATCCATGAGTCAACCAAGTTTACGGCATGGGGTCGGATGCGCGCCATCAAATCTTGGACGCGGGCCGGGAGGTTGTCGAGGTCGGTTTGAGAGACGGCATTGCAGCGGAAGACTATTAGCCTGCTTTAGTCTCAAAGTTGGACAAGCGAGCCATCGCTCCGAGAACGAAGTTGCTCACATTCATAACATTCATTTTCCATGGTGTAGAACGCAAACAAGCGGAACAGGTCCCACAGTATGCCTTTGTTAGAGCTTGAAAGATTGTTATCGGCTGAAAGGGATTCATAGAAAGTGGCGACAAGGATCGATTGAGATTGGGCTGGTTTGCTGTGTTAGTCTATCGCGTACTGGTGTTGAGATCGATTGTACCTTTGCTGAGTTTGTGCAGCTGAATAAGAAGGCTGGTCCAGCTCTGCTTCTTCAACACTCGCTGCTCATACACATCGTAGGCCTGCCAAATTTCATGAATACTCCATCAGTCTTATGTTTGAATGAGTCTCTGACTTACAAGTGCAGTAGCTCGCAACTCAAAGCTTTTGACAATGTCTTCATCTTTGCCCAAAACATCATAGCCAGATCGGCGTGTGTTTGTATCACGCTTGTTCTGTATAAACTCCTTGAATCCAGCTTCAGTCTGATCCACACCTGGGGTACTGGGATATTTGGCTGCAGCTGTCATTTTCTTGATCAAATACGCTGCGACTTGCTGCGTGATCATCCAATTATCACCCTCGACAGTTGGTTTAGAAAGATAATCATTGTTCAGTTGAATCAAACCACTTCCCCGCCGAATCCATGTCCACCCATTGCACGACGGCATGTCTCGATTCCATCGGCGGCAAGCATGGTGCACAAGCTCTTGAGCCCTGAAGACATGCTATGCATGTGAGCCAAAGAGCGAAAGTCGCCTTGCTCAACTTCTTGTCGTGTGCTCTGATAAACCGAGCGCATAGCCAGTCCAGTGTAGTGAAGTGCAAAGGTAGTTGCAAGTAAGGGAAGAATCCTAATTTGCACCGTGGGGTAGTCAAGGACCGATATCTCCGGCCCACTTTTGTCGTCTCGATCTTGAAACTGCCGTCGAATGGCAGTGTATCGTACAGCAACAGTGACTGCGCGTGCTAGCACGAGTCGAGCATGATGAACGATATTTGCACGGACATATGTCAAAGACCCATACACAAGAGCGGGTTGCTCGGGTCTTGTATAGATACCAGTGTCTGGGTTGATGCTGGAGTACCGGGACAACATGGCAGAATGAGGAATGCTGGCATTGGGTTAGCGGTGTCATTTCAGATAATGGCACTTGAGCTCACCGAAAATTGTCAAAAAGCATATAAGCGTTGTCCATCGTAGCATAGCCATACTTTGGACCAATGTCTCCGATCACCACACCATCTAATGGCTGATGTGTCTTCAAATCACGCACTTGCACAATGAATTGATGAGGACCATGAGATAGATACTGATCCGACGAGCCCGGTTTGGGAAGAAGCAATTGAGCAACCACGATCGAATAATTGGCAATGCGACCCAGGCTGCCGTTCCACCATTTGCTCGCCGTAAGCGTGGGACTATGAAGGACAAACTCTTTGGTACGGCTATCCCAGCGTGCCTCGAGCTCCAAGCCACGGACATTGCTGCCATGACCAAGCTCAGTCTGAGCGTAAGCACCAATGATTTTCCAAGAATCAATCAAAGGCATCCAGTACGCGCGTTGTGCTTCGCTGGCTTGTTCACGGACAGTGGTGACAAACATCTCCATATGCAGGAAGTATGGAGACACATCGTCAACCAAATACTCGGCCATTTTGTAGTCATCATGAGTCCACTTATACTGATCGGTCAGTCGACGCAACAGCTTTGCTCTTGCGAGTGCTAGCTTGAAGCGGTCCGGGCGGGACAGGTTCTGTTGTTTCTCTTTTGAAAAGAGTGGCTGCCCCTGCAAAATGGGTAGAATTCGAGCTTGGCGCTCCAAGAATCCATCTGACGATAGTAAGTATTGGGCTAGCTCATTGACCGAGACATGAGACTGTTCTCGCTCGTGTGCAAGTGTTGTGGGCCCATCTGGTTGGCTAGGACGTAGCTTGTCTGTGAAGTCGGGCATAGTCATGGGTTTGAGCTAGCACATTGCAGTATCGAACGACTTTTTGATATTCTAGCAGCATATGCATACTTTCTGAAAGACGTCAAGCCCCGCATTAGGTGTGCCTAGGTACAAACCCAATAGGTTTACTATCGCCGAGTGCCGATTGCCGGGCTTGGGGTACCCGTGAACGCGGGGTGCAGATCCCGGGCAAGTAGCCGACTTGGATATTAACGAGAATCGACTCACAAGGTGGAGGCTTTTCGGTGTGTTAAATTCAGTACAAGTATCATCTATTTTAGGGAAAGTTTGATCAGTTTACGCTGGCAGAAGGACAGAACCAGGATCGATAGCAAATGACAATGGGAGACCGTACTCAATTCGTGCCTTCGCATGTCGGAAATAACGTTCTTCCAAACCTGCCTTTCTTTCATAAACTGTTGCGATACGCTCAGCGGAAGCCATCCCGCATTGCTGTCCGGGATGTGATTGCCGGCGTCGAAAAGACGTTCCATGATCTCCTGTCGGATGCTCTGGCTCTTAGAAGCGAGATTGAGAAGAGGCTCAGTCAAGAGACCCTTCATGAGCTGGCCGGAGATAAGGAGGTCTATGTTGGTCTGCTGGCTCCCGGTGGTTATGAATACACTGTCGGCTTCGTCGCTATCATTGCGCTCGGTGCCGCAGTCGTCCCGATGGGTGAGTAACACATCATAAAAACCAAAAAACAAGCTAACGAGACTTAGCTGCCGGGATCCCTGTCGAGGAAGCGGCATATTTGGTGCTCAAGGCTCGATGTGTCGCATTGATCGCCAGCACAGCATGCGGAACTCTCGCACACTCTGTTGCGGGCTTCATGAGAGAACAGAAGAAGTTCCAAATCCAGTGCATTTCTCCTATCGCGTCTTCCTTCCGTCCGACACTTCTTCCAGCGGATGATATAGTCATCTCATCGAACAAAGCTCTTGACATGAACGGCGCAAGCGGCGTGATCTTTACCTCGGGCACAACGGGCCCACCGAAAGGCGCTGTGCAGCGCCGCACCTGGCTCACCGGCAACGCTGAAACAGACGCGGACTTTTACCGCATCTCAGAAAGCGACGTCGTCCTTCACGTCTTGCCAGTCCATCATGCCTCGGGGGTCGGACTCACTTTCTTGCCCTTCCTCACAGCAGGAGCTTGTATTGAATTCCGCAGCGGGAGTTTCAATACGGCTTGGACATGGGAGCGTTGGCGGAGGGGTGGCCTCACCTTCTTTTCGGGTGTACCCACAATCTATATGCGAATGATGCGATATTATGAAGAGAACATAGCAAATCAGTCCCAGGAACTTCGCGACCAGTATATTGCCGGGGCTCGGAATATTCGCACCATGTTGTGTGGATCGTCGGCCCTGCCTGGCCCTGTGCAGGACTTTTGGGAGAATCTGCGACAAAAGCCAATTCTGACTCGGTATGGGGCGTCTGAGTTTGGTGCTGTGATCAAAACAGACCTCGATTCGACAGGAACACCTCGGAACAGTGTAGGCCGTGTGGTTGAGGCGGTGTCTCTGAAGCTGGAGGATGATGGCCATCTCCTTGTGAAGACGCCCTACATGTTCTCTAAGTAAGCTGGAACTCCAGGAAAATTTCAATTCGGTCATCTAATGATACGCGCCAGATATCTTCACGATGAAAAGGCGACGGCTGAAGCACACGACAAAGATGGCTACTTCAAATCGGGTGACATCGCTCGCCGAGAGGGACCATACTACTTCATACTCGGCCGTGCTTCCATAGATATAATCAAATCTGGAGGCTACAAGATCTCCGCGCTAGATATCGAGCGAGAGATTTTGGGTCTGGACTATGTGTCCGAAGCGATGGTCGTCGGCGTTGAGGATGAAGAATTCGGTCAGCGAGTTGCAGCCACCGTGAGCCTTAAGACGGACCAGAGCATGACTCGCAAGAGTCTCACTCTGGCAGATTTGAGGAATGATTTGCGAGAAAAACTGAGCGGCTACAAAATTCCTACTATTCTGCGGGTTATCAAAGGTGAGTTGCCAAAGTCAGGGACTGGGAAAGTGCAGAAGAAGATCCTTGGACCAAGATACTTCCCGCCTAACTATCGTGAACTTCCTGATGTCCAGGTGTGGAGCAAAGAGAACAAATCCAAGTTATAGAACAAGGTGCATTACAATAGGTCTTATATTGTGAATAGGTATGAGTCAGTACTCGAAGAGCCCGAAGATATCTCCATGTTTCCATCGTCTCAGATCGATTCGGTAAAACCAATATTGGAAGCTTACATCAAAACATGTGCGCAATATATTAAACAATCGCATCAATGGTTCAGATCTTGGCCTTAGCCGGAGCAGATGTTACCCGACTATGCACATAGCTTATTTTTTGGAACTTCTCGATTGCCTCTCCCCACAGCTCGTGACGTAGCAAAGCGTATACACTGCAAAAAATTCGTCTAATCAGTACTGGTTCAGGGATTTATCTGCGTCTTTGCGATCACACTTACCCCATCTTCGCCTTTGGTGCCCATTTCGCCGCCAAATCCAGAGCGACTTCCAGCATCTTCTCGGGCTCAGCAACAGCATCAACAATTCCGTCCTCCAATGCTTCTTGTCCCGTCCATTTGTGGGCTTCCAATAGCATCTTTCGTGCGATCTGAGGGCGAAGCTTAAGCCGTGGAAGAGATCCTATTCCATCGAAATGCAAGCCCAGATTGACAGGAGGCATAGAGATGAAGCCACGGCGCGAATTCATGATTCTGTAGTCGTGCGCCAGGGCTAGGGGACAAGCGCCGCCAAATGTATGTCCAGTGAGCAGCGCAATGGTAGGAAAGGGGAAATCGAGGATCGTGTGGACAAGCTGTTCGACATCTTTAGCTTCTTCTTTCCAAATATCTTGATTCGGGATGAGAGCTCATTGGAAACCTACTGGGTAAAACCCATCCGTATTCGCAAAAGGATTGCTGTCAGACTCATCTAGTTCCAAACCCTTGGAACCTTTTTATTAACAACCTTCTCTAGTATATGGAATACCTCTTCACATACTGTGCACCAAAACTTAGCATCATTACCTCGCGTAATAACAGCACCTTCGGAGTCTGGGCCAAGCAGCTTCTCGACTGTACGGTAAGCTCGAATCATTTCCTGGCAATAGCTCGAGTTCAGTCGATTCTCAGGAGGCTTCTGCATGGTCAACACGAAGACATTGCCGTGTCTCTCCAAGGTGAGATTGTGGAACATTGGAATGTCTGCCATAGCTAGTAGTGTGTATGAATTGTGACAGAGATCAGAAAAATACTGAAATAGGCTGATTCCAGAGGCTAGGAGCGCTTTGCTAGACAGCCTCGGAGCTTAGTTGGACTTCCCCGCATTCACGGCCTCCGCGAGACCCACAATCTACTTCATTACCGGAAGACACCGAATGCCGAATGCCGACCATAATGGACAGGACCATTAAAGTGAGCTGCAAGAGTGAGGTAGCCTTTCTCTGTGAGGATTACCGTGCTGGATGTGATGAAGTTGACAGACCTTGAGTGACAGGCATTGCTGGATCATCCCACGGAGGCTATTTTCCAAACACTTTGGAGGGCGACACTCTAGCACTAGCTAGTATTGACTTTTTTTGTGATAAGACGCCACTTTCAGACATTTTGGCATTTTAGAAGATGACACTGGGGATGAAGGGAAAAAAGACTCTGAGCTTTTGAATCACCGCGCTCAACACCGCTCTTTCAATTTCATCATTTGTTTTACTAGCAACTATTTTCATATCTGCTTGAAAATTTACGTGGATAACCATTGAATCTAGATTGGCAACCATGTGCGAATTCCTATTGAGTATGTGGATCAACCGCCATGGTTTTGATTATACTTGTTTCTCTTTCCTAATTCCGAACCAGCCTATGAACTTCAGGCTTAGTTTGTGGTTTGCGCATTTCATACAATTTTGTGTTCAGCCAATTGACAAGATCCCTTAGCATTCATTACATGCGCCTTCAGGCCGAGGATTCACGCTACAAAGTAGTTCAATGGCAGACTGTCTTAAGCTGCGGCAGATAGTCAACGCTGATCAAGGTGCTTTCGCGACTATGTGATAGTAGGATGGTCAACTGGGTAGATCGTTATCTTCAACGTTCCCGGATTTCAAAGTTTCGCCCATAATTCTTGACCAGCACGGACGCAGATTTTGGTCATCTATTTCTCCATCCATTCTTTCTCATTCTGGTCAGGGGAACTCTCCTTGTACGGATGTTTCTCGATCCATTCTTCTGTAGGAACGGATGTTGCGGACGCCTCATAGAACTCGCTGAGTACTTCGTTCAGTTCTTGTAACCATCAGTATTGTGCTCCATCTATTGCAAGGTCTTGTCTCGATACTTACTACCAACCTCCATAGGCTCTGAAGGTTGCAACGAAAAGCGAGAGACGCCTTCTCTCCAAAGAACAAGTCCCGCCGGGATGGTTGTGCCTTGATTTGTGAGTTTCTCTGCACATTGGAGTAAAGTTATTCGTGATCATACCTCGCGGGATACAGATAACAGTTGGATCCAAAGAGACCTTCCCATCAGAAACCTCTTCTTGGTAGCTTTTAAAGTCAAAGCGTAGCATTTGCTGTAGAAGACGAGAATTGGGCATAAATATCGGCCCGTTAGAGTCTATGACAAGTGTTAATATGTCGTCACCCAGATCGACTATCAAAGCGCGCAGGAGTTAACAGACAGGGGCTTGACTTTGAGATCATCGCATGAACCAATCCATCTTCTGATACTTTGACCGCATCCTTGGAGCTACGGTTTCCCTCTTCCCTCGAATCGTACATAGATGCTTTCCGCTGTAGTTGATAACGATACATCGTTGCTGGAAAGGAGGCATGAGTGGAAAGCAAAGAGAACTTTCGTGCATGGTTGAGGTTAAGACGGGCGGCAGGAAGCCATTGAGGGGTGAACAACATTGTGCAGAGTATCGAAGTCGAAGGTTTATAGATCAATAGCTAGAAAAAGCATGTGAAAGTCACAGAGAAGGTGTCACAAATTACGAACAAGGCGGAACCTGACTGCCGCAATCACGTGGTCGGGCTGGCAAGGAATGCTTTCCACAGTGAAGACTCAGGCATAGACTAGCTCTCGAACGTCATGGAAAGATCAAAAAAATGTGATAGAGGGGAGTTCTTTCGTGATATTTCTGCTGCTCTGTTTGGTATGTACTGATAATATGGGCACCTATGCGAAAGAAAAGGGGGTATCTATGATGTTTACTGCGTAGCGCGAAAATGTACAGGATCATGCCCAGCCAGCCAGGGTCCAGCTGGATCGGTCACCAGCTCTCAGACCCGATCGGCGATCAGTAACAGGTGGCTCTGACTCTCGAGTCGCCCCAGCCAGCCCGTGCTGCAGGAATTTCTCTCGCTCAATCTCAACCATTCCTCGAATTTTCAAGCTGGTCACTAAACTGGCACCAGCCCATGCACCGAGGGATTCGATCTCTCGAAGAACGCCCTGAACGGGGACAGGTGTTTCTTTGTTTTGGCGGCGAAGTTTCTGTTCAACAAAATCGAGTTCTGGTTCTTCTCGAGACGGATCCGGCTTCTCTTCTTCATCGGGGGAAGGCGTAAAGCTCTTGTTGGTCGGCTGCGCCTCTCCGTTGGCTTGAGATGAGATCTTTAATTGTTCCAGTCGCTCTCCTTGACGTTCCAGGACTTTGCCTCGGATTGGACTCCAGCCATGTTGGTCGATCAGCAATGACACTTCCTTGAGGATGCGTCGTCGTAATCCTGGAATTCGAGAGCCGCCGCCCACAAACACGATGCGTGACATGCATGTACCTCGGGCGTCGGGAGGCAGAGTGAGAAGGGTGTTGTAGATAAGCAAAGGTATCGACTTCTCCTCGTCGTCCAATTCACACTCAGCTACTCCTGGCGCAAACATGACCTTCTCAACAGGCTTTGAAAGTTGGGCAAATGAAATGTCACAAAACTCTTTGTCCGGACTGCTCGGGGAGGGAATTGAAATAATTCGGTTTAGGTCAGTCATTGCTTCGCCGGCCTCTACCTGTGGGTTGCACCAAGCGAACCGAGTAGTGACCTCCTCGCAATACGTGAATCCCACAGAAATCTCGTCTTTAACAGCTTCCTCTGGGGCGCTGTCATAGCCCAGGGCAGACAAGATCCGGCCCATTTCCTGCATGAGAAGCTTCATGGCCCTTGTACTTCGCTTTGTTCTGACCTCCCGATACTCGTAGATGGCTGTTGTGGTGGTCTCGGCCCAGCCAATGTCCACGACCAGGGCAGACCGCAGTCCTGCCGCGGTTGCAGACATGGTTGCGCTTGATAGTAGGGTAATGGTGGGAAATCGCCAGCGACTGAACAAGGTGGAAAGCAAAGAGGATAGTAACGGGTGCGGCAATAGCGATGGAAGGGCCAGGACGAGACGAGAGGTGCCTGCGTCGGTCAACAGGTGCTGGTTGTAGGTCTCGCGCAAAGCGCGCTCAATTTTGTCCTCGACCAGACCAAGGTCAATGTCGCGTAGATCGTGCCTCCATAGCTCGTAATCTCGTACCCAATCCTCCGCATCGACAGGTCGTGGTAGCGGTCCAACGCCCGAAGCTCCCTGAATCCAACCCCGGTAGTCTCCAACACGTCGCATTTCTTCGGGCCCAAAACCCACGATGCACGCTGGACTAGCATTTCCCTCAAATCCGGCCCGGATCCAACGGGTGCCTATTTCGAGAATTATCGCGTCATCTTCGTTTCGGAAAGACGAGCCTGGCGACGTGGAGCTGGCGAACGACGCATTACCCGATCGCGGTTGCTGCTGAGGAGTATGAGGCGACGGTGGCCGCGCTGTTTGGGAATGGCGTAGATTGGAGGCTGAAGGCATCGTGCGCTTGTTCTGACCGATAAACGATGTCGAAGCTGCCAAATTATCTTGGAGGAGGCTGTCTTGAGATGTTGCCCTTCGGAGCAACTGAAAGCCGCGGCAGGGGATAGGCTTCTACGACGCGCCGACCGGGGGAGGAGAGCCATATAATTTGACCTCAGGTCTGCTTCTTCCTCAAAAAAGCTGCTTTAATCGAATATCCGATCTGAACTCGAATCTCAAGTGAATTGAAGGCCAGCCGGTGCGGAGCTGCACCACTCACGGATCTACATCGGGCCGTGGTTTATTTACACTCCGTCAACACTCGCGTTCTCCTTCCTCAACGTTTGCTCTAGCACCACATGGCTGCATGCTGTTCTTCTCGAGCCGGCGTCCTGCATGAATCGAAGCCGGCCATATGGGTATCCCTGGGTATGTGTCATACATTAAACATTGGTTTGGGTGCAGAGATATATCCTTGCAGGCTTTGCCATGGAAGGGCTATTAAACAACGCCCCATCCATAGCAAACAGTCGGTTCTATCACCGGTATAGAGTCGTTTACTCACTTTCGAACAGATTAATCAATGCCATTGGCACAGGAGAGCGAATCTCTTTGTCCAAATTGGCTGTGACCCACTTAGAGAGGACAGCAAGCCCCATTCGAGTCGCTGTTGACATCTCGATTTGGCTGTTTCAAGTCCAAGCAGGTCGGGGCGGAAAGAACCCCGAGCTTCGGACTTTATTTTTTCGACTTTTGAAGCTCCTATCACTGCCTATTCATCCGCTATTCGTCTACGATGGCCAGCATAAGCCTCCCTTCAAGAGGGGTAAAGCAGTGTCAGCCCGCAGCTACGGCAGTGCACCGATCATCCGACGCTCCAAGGACCTGATTGAAAGGTTCCAATTTCCGTGGCACGAAGCTCCAGGCGAGGCTGAAGCGGAGTGTGCGCGTCTGCAACGAGCCGGTGTCGTAGATGCGGTCATGAGCAACGATGTCGATGCATTGATGTTTGGCTCCACGCTGACGATCATGAATTTCTCGAAAGAGAGCGGGACTGGTACATCTGCATCAACGCATGTGACATGTTATCGGATGGGTCATGAGGGACATGTTTCTAATATTCCTCTGGACCGTGCGGGCATGATTTTGTTTGCTATGCTTAGTGGAGGCGATTATCTGCCCTCAGGCGTCCCCAAGTGTGGGGAGCAAATTAGCGGCGCAGATTGCGAAAGCACAATTTGGTGATGATTTGCTACGGGAAATCTCGTCCAATTCGCCCGACCTGGACTCCCGGCTAAATGAATGGAGAGAACGGTTACAATTTGAGCTCGAAGAGAACGAGAGCGGCTGGTTTACAACAAAACACAAAGCTGTTCGGATCCCGGAGAATTTTCCTGATCGGACAATTCTCAAGTGCTACGCGGAGCCTGTAGTATCCACGGAAGATGAAATGACGGTTTTAAGGCGTCGTCTGAGACATGCCTGGGATCGCGATATTGACCCTTTGGCGATTCGAGCCTTTGCTGCAGAGCACTTTGAATGGAACTACCGCTCAGGCGCGAGGAAGGTTATCAAGCTCTTGGCGGAGCCTCTCATTTCCTACAGACTTCGCCTCCAGAAGCCTGTAAAGGGCCTACAGTCAGGCACTCTTGCTCCCGACTGTGATACACCCTGGATGCAAAGAATTCACAAAAGCCGTGCAAATTTTGGAACCGACGGCACTACCGAGTTTCAAATGGACATGCTTCCCATTGATGTTGTTGGTATTGACCTTCTAGCTGAGGAACCTAACCCACCTCTGCCATCCCAAGAGACTGTGCCATCGCAGAACACGCACCAATCAGGCGATGAGGATGACGACCTAGAAGTCGCTACCGAGGGGCCACCGCCCACACCCTCGAAATCGCGGGTAACCAAACGTTACGATCCGCTTGCGATTGAGAAGGTCTGGATCTTCGAGACCGTTGTAAGGCTCGGTCTTCCTGAGATTGCTAAGAGATGGGATAATGAGCAGGCTGTCAAAGCTGCCAAAGCAGCTGCTCCTCAGCCTAGGAAGCCGACCACTCGGCGTACAGGGTCCAAGAAGAAGGGACCAATTGACCCAGGCATGGCGCGGGGGAGTATCCTGAAATACGGAACTCTCACAAAGGAAGGATCAGAGCTATCGTCTTCCGCGAAGACCCAGTTGCTGGAAGCGGCTTCTTCCACTAAGCCTGTCAAAGACCAGCGCTCCCCATTCCAAAGTATGACGCCCATTAATCCCGAGACGGATTCCTCTTCTCCGAGTATGTATTTACAACATCAGGCTTCGGAACAGACACCTTTCACATCAGACGAATTGGATGAGTTTATTGGCACATTTTCATCAATATGCACAGTCTCAACACCGACGTCCAAGCGACACCCGATAAACACTCAATCATATATGCGAGCCCGAGCCGGCATTCGGGCAGGTACCGAAAGTGAAGCCGAGGAGGTCATCTCTCCTGGCACCGAGTATATTGTGTCGTCGCAAAGTTCCCGGAAAGTGCTTAAGTTCAGCTACTCCGTCTCGTGCGATGAAAGTCTAGCGACCAACTACGAAGTGGGGGAAAAAGATCTTTCAAAAGCATCGCTAGCATCCACAGGACATTACCAGAGCCCCGAGAAGTCAGTCAATTGTCCACGCCTCACAAAGAAACCACCTATAATTGAAGACTTGGAAGAAGCCATTGGCTCGTTATCACTGTCATTGAAGGACGAGAAGGAGGCACTTCAGGGCTCGACAATCCGTCCTTTGCGTCTACCAGCTTCATCGAAGACACAAGACCACAAAGTCCGCCGCAATCCTTCTATAACTCTCCAGCACAAAAGTTCTAATTCTATAAAGGCATCTGCGTCTTCCCAAGGCATTGCTGTGGAAGCGAAAGGGATCGATCCTTCGCATAGTCAACCATTCGAACACATCACTGTGCCACCGAGCCGGAGTTCCTCCCCACCAAAAGGCCAAGAGCCGAAGCAAACAGCAAGCATTGGTCACCTTGAAAACCTCACAACCTCAGATGGCTTCTGGACGGTCGACTCCCTCGGTCAGTCCGAAGATGACTCTACTACCACGAAAGTTGATAGCATACAGCGTGGCCGGAAAAAAGCGGGCAAAAAGAAACGCGTTCCTCGCGTCAGTATTCTTGATTTAAGTTGATATTATAATTTTGCGCTTCACCTTTGCTTGCATTCAAATTTTCAATCTCAAGATCGGGGATCGGCGTTCCATGGAAGGATGCACGGGTCAATTCAGGCGCACTTACAGCGGGCCATGGGTGGCATGTTGTAATAAAACACGGCATGCATTCGTCGCCATTTGCAACTTTCACATACACAATCCGATTCGGCATGACCAGTATCCCATGGTCTTGATATCTTTTTTGCCCTGTGTAGATTCTAAACATGAGTTCTCCGCAGGCTGTGATAGCAAGTTTAATCTGCTGCGAAAATCCCCTCGTCGTGTGACAGGATCTCACTCGAGCTAATCTTTTGAAGAAATCTACCCCGGACATCTTGGACTAATATGAAATATTCCGAATCTCATGTGGTCATTGAACTTTGACCAGGCGTAAACCGAAAAATCCTCATTAGAGTCGGGGAAGAATTGAGAGAGTATCTTTCGTACATTTAGACGGCGCTTTCCTGATGAACAAGCCAAGGCACGTGTCTTCTATAAGAACCATACGCTTGACTTTTCAAATGTGGAAGTGGTCTGAAAGAAGTATATTATGGACTCATTGCACCCAGCCCAGCTATAGAATATTCGTACAGAAAGATCAAGAGACAAAAAATATACTGAAATAATAGATCGGCAAATTTAGCGCCCTGTCTAAGCCCTGAATCAGATTTGATGCAATGCCATGCCCGAAAAGGTGAACCATCCGATCATCTAGACATTAAAACACCCAACATAGGAAAGATAATGGTTCGTGGTGTACCTATTTATGAACTTATATTAACCGAAGACCTTCAGGAATCCCCAAAGTCCAAGGCCACTGAGGACGGGGATCGTGAGGTTGTCATCCCAATTCCATAGATCAATGAATTCGCTGCCCGCGGCAACAACGCCAGACACGACACTCATGACGCCGAGAGCCAATGGTCCAGTAATTGTGGTGGAAGACGAGTCACCGGTCCAGCCTAGAAGACCCCGGACAGAATCCGGAAGCAGGTTCAAGCGACCCTTGAACATGAAAGCATCTTCTGGGTCATCGGGGAAGGTGCCGATGTAGGGCACGAACCAACCCCAGAAGGCCGCAGCCGTAATAACGCCGACAGCCCAGGCAGCCAGGGTTCCAGCCAGACTCTTGCCTGGTCGGAGACGAGGCGTGTAGCGACCCCAGAGACGGCCGAAGGTGGATGCGGCTGTGTCACACCAACTAAGAAGTAATACACCCATAACGCCAACGTCCTTGGGGAAGAATCTCAGGACAACATATGCGCCAAGGAGGGTACCAGATCACACCATTGTAGCCGGAGACCTCGGTCTCGCGCATAAGAGCGCCCAAGCAACGTGTGTAAAACTTGTTGACTTTCTCCGAGCGGTGACGGATTAGATCTGTGAGTGCGATGGGCACCAATAATGTGAATAGTACTGGAGTTATCTGCAGCGTCTGGATACCCCGGCTGTAAAGGTGGAGCGTGAGAAATCCGATTGACACGTGCAACACTTTGCGAGGAATCTCGTGGCGGTGAATGAAACTGCGGTAACGGGTGTGCAGAGGAATGAGTCCGAGTGGTGATGGCGATCGCGAAAGGTCTCGCAAGGCCTCTGGAATTCGTGATGTCGGTGAGAGGAAGCCGTTCGAGGCACTGCCATTGGTGGATGGGGGCGAGGCCGGAATTTTCGGATTCGATCGCCGTTCAGGCCGCCGTTGTCGCACCGCGCCTGAGGGGGTAGACTCTGGCTCAGCAGCATCCTCTGCGGCTTCGGAACGACGTTGTCGGCGCGCCGCTGACCGTGTTGTCGGTGCAAAATACCCATCACGTGCGTCGGATCTATCGGAGAGAGATGGCGATGGGGAGATGATTCGCGGCGTCGCCGGGATCGAGTTCGGCGATGAAGGCATACTGGAGGCTCTGAGAGAGAACGGACGGAAGATTGGACTCCGAATGAGGCCGAGGAGAGGCCTTGTGTAGAGATCGGCGCCGTCGCAGGTAATGCTGCCGAAAACCAATGATCTTGCAAACGACTCAATGATGGGCGGTTGTTATACGGGCGCCGGCGCGTTATCAACAATAGGAATGAAAAATTATTGAACAGGTGCGCATAATATATGCTGAAAGATCAAAGACAAGTAGATCGAAACAGAAATGCTGGCGCGAAAGGTGAATGTAGATCGCGGATTCCCCATTTCCGCCCAATGCCGCTGGCACGTGACCCTATCTAATCGATAACGCATGGGATTTTTTTTCGCAATCTGCGATTATCAGATCTCTAGTCGAAGCTGTGAGCTGCTCGAATTTGCTGCACAATGGCACCGAAGCCATCGTCGTCCTCACGCTCATGGGACGCCCTCACGCCGCCGCTATCACAATGGACCCTGGACGCTGTAGCCTCTATGGGCTTCACGCGCATGACCCCAGTTCAGGCCTCGGCTATCCCTCTGTTTATGGCGCATAAAGATGTAGTCGTCGAGGCTGTGACGGGAGTGGAAAGACTCTATCATTCTTGATTCCCGTCGTGGAAAAGCTTTTGCGCCTTGATGACCCCATCAAGAAGCATCATATCGGCGCTATCATTATTTCACCAACGAGGTGAGTCTGGTCGCTGATCTCTACACTACGTCGGTTGCTAATATGCTATCTAGAGAGCTTGCAACCCAGATCTATCAGGTCCTCTTGTCCTTACTGGAATTTCATCCTGCGTCAGCCGCCGCAATCCACCCTCCTGAAGGCGACGCGCCTCGTCCCAAGTCTTCCGCCTCGGTTTTGAAAGTCGTCCCACAACTCCTCTTGGGCGGCACGACGTCCCCGGCTGAAGACCTGAGCTCTTTCCTCAAGCGCTCGCCTAATGTGCTGGTTGCGACGCCCGGGAGATTATTGGAGCTTCTTCCTCGCCTCATGTTCACTGCCCGCAGTCAACTTTCGAAATGCTTGTTCTGGATGAGGCCGACAGACTTCTCGACCTTGGATTCAAGGAGGACCTTCAAAGGATTCTGCGCCATCTTCCTAAACAGAGAAGAACTGGTTTGTTCAGTGCCAGTATCAGCGAGGCTGTTGATCAAATTGTCCGCGTAGGACTGCGCAACCCAGTCAAGATTGCCGTCAAGGTAAAGGGTGGCTCGGGGGCTGAAGACAAGCGCACGCCAGCAAGGTATGTTCTGAGATACCTAGGCCATCTTGATCATTCTTACTAATGGTATGAGTAGCTTGCAAATGACCTATCTCACAACACCGCCGGCCCATAAGTTCTCCATTCTTAAGAACATCCTCTCATCCGTCCAGCCTACTCCCCAAAAAACAATTTTCTTCGTGTCAACATGCTCCAGTGTCGACTATCTCGCCATGATTCTCCCTATCATCTTAGGCGACGAGTTCCTTCTCGTTCCTCTCCATGGAAAACATGCGTCCAACGTCCGCCAGAAAAATTTCAACCGCTTCACAACTTCCACGACTCCCGCTATTCTTTTGACCACCGATGTTGCTTCTCGTGGACTTGATATCCCGTCTGTCGATTTGGTCGTGCAAATTGATCCCCCATCAGACCCCAAGACCTTTATTCACCGCTGTGGCCGAGCAGGCCGTGCTGGTCGCCGCGGTCTGAGTATCGTTCTTCTCCACCCCGGACGGGAAGAAGACTATGTCCAATTCCTCGAAGTGCGCAAGACTCCCGTTGCACCTTTCACTCTGCCAACACCTCTCTCGGATGCGGATGCCGCGACCATGACTCAACGCGTGCGGTCGAATAATCTCCAGGACCGCTCTCACCATGACAAGGCTCAAAAGGCCTTTGTAAGCTGGCTTCGCAGTTACAGCAAGCACCAAGCGAGCAGTATATTCCGGGTAGAGGACCTAGACTGGGAGGCTTTGGGCAAAGCCTGGGGTCTTCTCAGGTTACCCCTAATGCCTGAGCTGCGCAATTTCACAGGAGACAAGCTTCTGGGTGTCAGTGTCGACTGGGACAATTTCGCGTATAAGGATAAGCAGCGTGAGAAGCGTCGTAAAGAGGAAATGGAAGAGAAGGCGCAAGGTGGAAGCGCCCATAAGCAAGATTCACGCAAACGCCAAGCAGGCGAGAGTGCTGCTTGGAGTCAGAACCAAGAATCTCGCGAGAAGAGACTCAGGCGCAAGGAGACTATAAAGTCACGGAAACAACAGGAGAAATGGGAGAAGCTGCCCGAGGAGGAAAAAGAAAAGATTCGTGAGACGGAGCGAATGGTGGAGCAGATTCGTATCAAGAATGAGCAAGAACGGCTATCTAGAAAACAGCAGGGAGCTGAGGGTGGTGATGACGAGTTCCACGGCTTCGATTGAAAGGGGTTTGAGCATCATAGAATATCAATATTCATATAATTCGAATGAATTTTACGTACATCCCAAACTCCATGCTGCATGTATGGCCGAACGAAAAAATTCACAATCACGGCTATTGGAAATTGCAACCAGGCTTGCAATTCAAAGTGAAAAACGCCCATCAATCCCAAACACATTGTCTTCTGTATGGGGTTTGAAAAAAAAGAAAAAACAAAGTCCAGGCAGGATGGAATCAATGCTAAGAGTAACTGTCATTCCAAGAATGAAAATGTCGTAAAGCGAAATAGTGGGCTGAAATCAGTATTTGAGCAATATGGTCGTTAAATGCAAACTTCAAATTTCCAGCTCCCCTCGCTGGAATTCTTCCCACATGGTCTGCCAAGCGGCAGCAGCCTCGGCAGACTTCCCTGGGTTCGAATTCCTGTTGACAAACTCGGCAATAGCAGGGTCGATGTTCAAAGTCTCGGCAAGACTGGCAGGCTCCGGCCAGCACAAAAGGGCAATGTCTCCAGTTGGACAAGTTTCACGCAACCAGTTCGCATCGTCAGCCGGGGTCAGAGGCTCAATGGTCTCATTGGACATGGGGTCACTGTAAAAGACGGTGGGCGAATTCAACGCGCGTAGATTTGTCGGCGTTTGCAAGGTCGCGCCGAAATTGAGGGGCGTATCTATGGTGGCACCCAGAGAGGACGGTGAGGCAGTAGTAGCCGAGGCGATACTGCTCGCAAAGGGATGAGCTTCCCGAAGACGACTTGGCGTCTTGGGTTTGAACTGCTCAGCCTTGTTGCGGGCTCGGGTCAGTGGGGAGGGGCCCTCAATGTTGGCGTCAACGTGGATGTCGTTGTCGGCGTCAGCGTCAATCTCAGTACCGATGTGGGCGGTTTGACGTTCCGGTGTGGTGGCACTGGAGGTTTCAAAGGTTGGAGTAGCGGTAGGGGCGGTATCACGGGTCTCGGGGTCTTCGCTAGGGCTAGCGGGGACTGGAAAATCAAGATTATTAGATAGGGGGAGCAAAGAGTCTCGAAGCTAATGCGGGTATGGGGAGGAGAGGCCTTGGGAAGGGGTCATTCATCCGACGAGTCCTCCTCGTCAGAAAGAGAGGAAGAAAGAGTTGTGGGCTCGAGAAGTGTCTGGTCCACGGGGATAATCCTCCGACAGCGGATTTGATGGGGTGACACATGGCAGGGGAAGAATGGGGAGGGAGTTTGATACATACCGGAGGGTCTGAATTTGGGTTCCAGGGTTTGCTTGGCCTTCTTTTCACGTTTCTCCTCCAAAGTCTCATAGTCGATTGACTTGCAAGCATGTTTAGCGCTGTCGGTTTCATCCTTGGAGCCTTGCGTTATCGGAGTCGATTCCACGCCTGACAACAGACCATTTGAGTCAATTGGAGACAGATCAGGTGCAGCGTATGTGCCTCGGCGGTTAGGAATGAATCCAGGGCGACGCGCAGGAGACAGAGCGCTGAGGGAGGCTTTGGGCGTATTAGACCGAGTGGTCGCACGTCGGCGCGACTGCGATGCATCAACGCGTTGCTTCTTGGCGGCGGGTTGCGCTGGTTCATTGGCCTTCAGTGCAGCCATACGCCTTTCTTCTTCGGCCCATTCAGCGTCAGTGAACTCGAAGAACTCCTCACTCATACCATAACTGCATCCTTTCGGGTTTGGGATTTTCTCAGGCTCCTCACGCTTGCGCTTGAGCGATTGGTCTTCAGCGGAGGTAGACACCATCTCCTTGGAAGTAGAAGCCTCAGTGGCAGCAGAGATAGCAGCTCCATTGGTGGAGTCCGTGACATCTGTCGTCTGGGAAGGCTGAACAAGACGAGGGTTCGTGCCTCGCGCGAACCACTTCTTGAGTAGCTCTGCATCATATGCGCGAGGGAAGAGATCGTATCCGAGCTCAGCCGCTGGAGGGGTAGGCTTTTGGCGAGGCTTAGGCGCAGCCACTGGGCGATCAGTGGTCGAAATGCGCCGAGGACGACGAGGCCGGTCAGAGCCTACGTCATGAGGAAGAAAAGTGGAAACCCGACGACGATAGGAGCTACGCGTTGGTAGAGGCACCAAAGCCTCCGTCGGCACCTTAGGTGCAGTTACAGGAGCGCTGATGATCTCGGTCGACTTAATGGGCGTAGCAACTTGGTCGATACGTTTCTCAGTCTCCACAATGTCATCGACTTCGGCAGCTACAACTTTGGGGTCAGCTACGGATCAAACAAATCATATATGTAAGTAGGGCGTACCTGGCAGGGTCTCAGTAGTCGGACGAGGGACGAGCTTCTCGCGGATGTTCGTCCATCTTCTGGAAACATTGTTGAAAATCCATCGGGACCAGCTGGGGGATGAGTTGGGGCTTTCTGCGGAGTTGCTGACATTGGCAGCCGGGGGAGCAGTCATAGGAGTCACGGGAGTCCTGAGACGGGCGGACTCAGGAGTCGCGGGATTAGCAATGACAGACACATTTTCTTGGGTCTCAAAAGCCTGCTGGCGGTCCTGAGCAGGAGCTTCTCCATCTGAATCACTCTGGGTCAAGAGATCGGGCAGGCGATACAACGTGCGATTGATGCGGCCGCTGGCCTCGGTACGACGAGTCTGGGAGATGTTGGAGTAGGAGCGACGAATTGGAGTGGCTTTCTGGGGGCCCAGAACCTGAGAGCCTCTGGAAGCACGATGAGCGTTGGGAGAAGCGCGAGGCGGCGAATTTCGGGGGTTTCGGCGGTCAAAGTTGCGGACTGAACGAGTTGAGATCAGCACAATTTGCTCAAGACTGTTTACATAGTCGTTGCTGAAATCATGAACAAAATTGTTTGGGAAAGGAAGGTAATGAAACTCATCACGTTGGTTCCAGTAGAGGCACCGTAGAGCCCCGTCGCGGAAACGCAATAGCTTGTCGCTTGTCACAGACTCTGACGCTTTGAAGCTTTCCGCAGGGGGTGTTCACAGTACAAAGCTTGGGAAGGCACTCACATTGTGCAGCCGTATCAGCAGCGGTAACATCCTCGACATCGCCGGTCTCGACGGAGGCGAAGACGGAGTGATGGAGGCTCTCAATGGATGGGATCACGGAAGTAGGTCCGTCCTGGTTTTCACGGTCCTCATGGCTCTGCTTAGCGACAAATTGATCAGCAATGCTTGAATAAAGTATGATGAGACGTTGAGATTCAAGGGAAGAGACATCATTAAGGTCCTGCATGACAAGGTCGTCGGGGTGGTCAACCTCTACAGCAGCCTCTCGAATGCTGACAATGGGAGTTCCAGCCGGGGATGCCGTCTCCATATTGAGGATATGAAGGTCCATCTCATGTATCAGCTGAGCTGATGGGGGTGAAAAAGGGGGCTCGTCAACAATTGTAACTTGGGGAGAGCCAACCATTTCGATGTCGTCTAGGCCGACCTGTTCAGCGGCGATGCTGGCTGAGTCCTTCTGCTCTGGCTCGGCAGATTTATTGGGACGGCGAGTGGGCTTTTAAGCACATCGTCAGTCGCGGCATTATTGACCGAAGATCATCTTCGCATACCTTCTTCCCACGGGTACTCTTCGAACGGGTTTTCCGTGTCTTCGGGGTTGGCTTCGGCTTTGTAGCCTCGGCCGCACCCAAGCCCGGCTCCGGCACGTCCTGGGGCTGGGCAGATACGCTACGCGTGTTGCGGCGGCGGGGAAGTGCGGGGACGTCGTCAAGCGAGACGAGCCCGCCAGGTGAAACGGGGTGGGAACGAGTACGCATTGTTGCGCAATCACCAATACCACAGTCTTAGAGAGCAAGGATTGGGTTGCCTTTGAGGGCGGGAGGTGGGTGCGCTGGGGAGCGACGGAGCACAATCAAGTAATACCAAAACAAAGGCTGTTTGGAAAGTGGGATTGCGAAAGTTGGGGAAAGGAAGAAAGAAGTAAGTAGGTAGAGAAGGAGGTTAAGTAGTCGAGCCCGGGTCTGTTTGCGGACGTTCGCGGGTTTGTCCTTTCCAGCGTGGTAGAAAGAGTTAAGAAGGTGCGCGAGAGCAAACGCTCTCACTTCAGGAAGGTACGGTGGGCGCGTTCACCTGCTGATCGGCCTCACTTCGATATGGTCCAAAATTGTCGTCTCGAGATGGGCAGAATAGCGCGATTTGACGAGGCGGTGAGGGCTCAGTTGTGATGCCTCAGGCATCCAATTTGTCATCTTGAATTTTGTTGAACGCAACTGATTCATGACGCCTTGAGAGCAATATGAGGACCCGGTCTTTACAACGATGGTAAATAATCAGGCTAAGCCTTCTTGTACTTTGGCTCGGGAGTAGTCGGAGAGTTCATCCCAAGCATGCATGACACCGAAGAATTATAGCAATCTGCAGCTCGTTTATCCAATACGTGTAAACGTAAAAGTCGCTAGGTCCCTATTGGTGTTAGAATTCAGATGCATCGTTACACGAGATCAGAAATATGAAGAAATAAAAATGGGATTCTATTCGTACACATAATTCTGATCTGCCCAGGCAAAATAGCCGCGAATACTCAGATCAGAATGGTTGAACCGGTAAGTTCCTATGCCAGGACTGGCCAAAGTTTTAAAAAAAAAAAATACACACGCTGATGCTCACTTCAAGACACTAGGCAAGGATGAGAATCCGGCGAATATTGCGTATCGTCGGAAGCCAAAATACAAATCCTAGATGGCAATCTCGCCCTTCCATGCGGCCTCAGACAAGCCGAGAGTCTCCATGAGGTTCTGCCATCTGGGGCCTCCTCGTTCTTTCCTGCGAAGATACTGAAGCAGCTTCTGTCTCTTGTGAACAAGAAGCTGGAGGTTGCGCTTATTGTGCTTGTCTTTGTTGGTAGTCTTCAGGTGCCGAGACAGATTCACGATCTTGGCTGTCAGAATAGCAGCCTGAACCTCCGGAGAGCCAGTATCTGGGCCAATACGAGGAGCCTTCTCTGGGTGAACCGGTGCAGACTCATGACGCACGCCAGCGGGTTTAGGTGGTAGGGATGAGTCGGTATTGTGTCGGCCGAATTGGTCGATGCACTTCTGTACATTCAATCGAAGGCGGTCTTTGGTGTTGCCATTGCTCAAGTTCACAATGCGCTGAATAGCCTCCTCTGCGTTTCGGTGTTGCTGCTGATGTAACTCCGCCGCCTCCGCCTCTTGCTGAGGGTCCGCTGTATCACGATTCGGATTCTTCAGCGGCTCGGTAAGATCCTTAGAGAATTGAAGCGCACTGCTGAGCTCATCCGGCTTCAAATAATAGTTGATATCAATGCCAGATGCTGGGGCCTGGGTGCCAGTCTGAATCGCTTGAATCTCCTGGATGAAAGGTGTCGGCTTGCTTTCCACAGGGTGGCCGAGCGAGGCTTCGCGTTCAGCCTCGAGAACTTTTCGCCGAGAAAGATTGGCTGCCTTTCGTTGCCGGGCATGTGCGATCATGAAAAAGTCATGTTTCTTCGGCGACTTAGCCTTGGTGGATGCCGCACGCGCAGTGATGGTGGTTCCGCTCGAGAGAGTCTGCCCAGAGAGCGTGCCTAGACCAGATTGTACCGTCAGCATTTGTACGCGAAGAATATAGCTGATCATCAGCTACAGAGCCGATTCATACCTTTCAAGGCGCTCCAAGGAGACTGAACTGAGAATCGCGGAGGCATGGTGAGTGTATGTTCAATGGCCTCCTATGGCATCTGCGAAGTTCTTCGCGATCAACCCTTCTGTCGGGAAATCATGTTGCCGGCCGAAAAAACGCTAGACCTAGTCGGTCCATTCTTCATGCCTAAGGCTTTGGCATATTGACACCTGAGCAAAAGACCTCATTCGTATTATATAAGCATGCCCTAGCCCTAACGCTCACAACCAGCAAGCGAAATTTTCCCGAGGCGCGGCGTGGGTTTCGCGATTTGGCTTCGAACTTCTCCCTCCATCACCACGACAAGAGCCAGACGATTGATCTTTCCAGCACATCAATCTATCAATCGCCCACCATGGCCCCCTCCCAGCTTCCCCCGGTTTTCAACCCTGCCCCCCCAGGACATTGAGATGCTCCTGGCTGCTCAGTGCCACCTTGGTTCCAAGAACTTGCAGGTGCACATGGAGCCCTACCTCTGGAAGACCCGTCCCGATGGTGTCAATGTCATCAACATTGGCAAGACCTGGTATGTTGTGGGAAGCGAATAAGCAATCTGTGTGAAAGCTTCAACTGGGCTAATGCGAAATGCGATGGAACAGGGAGAAGATCGTCCTGGCTGCCCGCATCATCGCCGCCATCGACAACCCCGCTGACATCTGTGTCATCTCTGCTCGTCCCTATGGTCAGCGCTCCGTTCTGAAGTTCGCCTCCCACACCGGTGCTACCGCCATTGCCGGTCGTTTCACTCCCGGTAACTTCACCAACTACATCACCCGCTCTTTCAAGGAGCCCCGTCTCATCATCGTGACCGACCCCCGCACCGATGCCCAGGCCATCAAGGAGGCTTCCTACGTCAACATCCCCGTCATTGCCCTTTGCGACACTGACTCCCCCACCGACTTTGTCGATGTTGCCATTCCCACCAACAACAAGGGTCGTCACTCCATCGGTCTCGTCTGGTGGATGCTCGCCCGTGAGGTTCTCCGCCTCCGTGGTACCCTTGCTACCCGTGAGACCGAGTGGGACACCGTTGTTGACCTCTACTTCTACCGCGACCCCGAGGCCGAGGAGAACAAGGAGATCGCCGATGAGGCTAAGGTACCCGGTGCTGATGAGATCGGCGCTGGTGCCGTCGAGTCCGGCTTCGCTGGTGACAACTGGGATGTGAACGCCCCTGGCGCCGGTGTCCCCGGCACTGCCTTCGCCGCTGCCAGCGCTGCTGTCGGTGCCACCAGCTGGGAGGCTGACGGTGCTGACTGGGCTGCCAGCTCCGCCCCCCAGGGTGGTGACTGGGCTGCTGAGACCCCCGCTGCTGCCCCCGCTGCTGCCACTGAGGCTAAGTGGTAAATCCACTCGGCCTGGAACAAGGATAGTCGTTGAAAGGGGGGAAGTATGACCTCAATCCAAAAAGCCATGGCGATCCGGGATGATTGTGGCGATTTCCCGTGTACTCGAGACACAGGAAATGACAAAATGCTCTTGTTTATTCATTCACCTTCCGAAACCATTGACAACAATGGAATACACCATCTCCCGCAAAAACCCTTGACATGTCTATCCTAGTTTCTGTCCAATGTCCAAAAGAAACTGAAAACAGCAGAAGAAAAAAAAGAGCTTTCACCGGGAACCTTCCACGTCCTTTTGCATCAGTGATCTCCTGCCAGCACTCTTACTTTTTGATTTCCATGTTTTTCGCATCGGAGAGGGATAGCTACGTCAATCATTGACTGGCGCTTATGAGGGAAAGATATCCAGTTGTGTTCTGCAACTGGGGGAAAGCCCTGTGCTGTCAATCTACAAGGTGGACTTGATCGTTACCTTGGTTTCTCCCTGTATGTATCTTCTAGTAATCGGAAAAGGTCGTGCTCGGTATCTGCAGTTGATCACGTAGAAATAATCCCCGTAACAACTGTAAGATAACAACCATGTGTTCCGGGCCGTGATAACGCTACGCGCTAGATCATGTCTCACCTCTTAGCGACAGTGTCGTGGTGCATATGTCATCTCGTCATTCCACTCGTTTATTTGAGGGTATCTTCAGTGCTCAAAGGATTCTACAGGTCCCAGCGGTTTGACCACCTCTCTCTGTGCTGGTCATCCCCGCGAGCCTCGCCAGGTCTTCGAATGTCTCTTTGACGAGCTCGCCCGTCAAGGCCGAACACTCGGCATACCTGTCACACCGAAGTTCTTGAGCGATACGGTAGGTCTCGAGAGGCTGTTAGTCAACACACCTAGCTTCTCTCAGGATCATTGTCACCTACCTCTTGGGGATAAATGACATTTTCGTCTTCTTGTCGCAGATCCCGTTTGAGTCCAAGCATCATAACAGGTATACGCTCTCCCTGTCCATGTTGGAAGAACCGAATAATATCATTTCGCCACTGGGTTTAATTTGCTGTCAGCTGAAGATCCTCGTTCCGATAGTCAGTGAGCCTACCCCTTTGAGCCCTTCCAAGGTTTGCCGATTGGAAATATCGAAGGCTAGCACAACCACGTCCGGCTGCAGGCTTGTCCAGTGCTGGTTCGGATTCGACGTATCATAGAGCTCCAATGTGAAACTTTTCTTCGAAAAACGAATATCATAAATGAAAGGCTGGTCAGTGTCTCTTAAGATAATTGGTGGGCTGTCTGGTGCGGCGCCAGGTTGTGGTGTTGGTCTGCTCCCACTCTTCAGACGTCTGTGTCATTGTTAGTATTGTCCTTTCTTGATGCAGTATTCAAGCTTGTTAATTCAATGAGATATGCATCAAAACACTGTACAAACTCACGATAAAAAGGTGGACTTGCCACATCCCGGATCCCCAAGAAGCAGTAACTTGACCGTGCTCTGGGTCTCTCGGCCTCCTATTTCAGTCATGCTATAGCTCTGGTTCAGTATGCACTTGTCATGGAGATCTGAGAAAGGCAATAATATAGGGGCATGGAGAAATGTTATGATGTGAAGTTCCGGCTCAGCCAGCGGGAGCCCCTACGAGATATAACTCACCCCTCCAGCATCCATGTCCTGGGAGATGGCCACCAAAGATGGCCATACTTAGCATTCAAGTTTAAATTGATTTCAACCACTCTTCTCTCAATGCAAAAGCATCATTCATACAATCTCATACGCGCTAGTCTCTCAAAATAGAGCGGACATAGGCCTCATCTTACAATACATGACGACAAAAATTACGATACATACCAAAAGCTCCGCGGACATAAAATTCCTACCACTAAGGCATATCCCGTCTCGACGTTGCTGGGCCCTTTGGATACTCAAACTCCCCAGTGGTATGTGGAGGCTATCAGCAAGGCTCAAGATACCGAAGTATATTCCACAAAGCGCTATCAAATCGCGAGTGTGTTTTACGAGCGAGCACAGCCCACAATCCCAAACCATGGCTGGCATCGGCGACGATGCACGCCCCGATTATACAACCTGGAGCAGTTCCAGCCTGATCGATCGAATCTCCGAGCTCGAGCGGCAACTGCATGCCCAGGCTGCGCAGTACAATGCGCCGACCACGGCAGCATCCGAAGCGACACCCACCGCACCCATCTCGATCGACGTCCACGAACCTGCAATTCCTCTCGCCGAGCCTTCGGTTCAGCCCTCAAAGAAGCGTGCCTTCTCGCCGGGAGGCGATATCACTCATACCCCTGCTCCTTCGCGAGGCGCGAAGCAGGACCGTGGTTTCGATCCATCCAAATACTCGACTCGATTCATTGCTCTCAAGTTTGCGTATCTGGGTCAGAAGTACAATGGCCTCGAGCACACGAATGGGAACGCTACGCCTCTTCCTACGATTGAGGAGGTGTTGTGGAAGGCAATGCGCCGGACACGGCTGATCACCCCCGAGACATCTTCGGAGGACGAGCCAAACGATGTTGAACCGAGAGTAATGCGGCCCTATTCGATCTACTGGGATGGATGTGATTACTCAAAGGCAGGAAGAACGGATCGCGGTGTGAGCGCATTTGGCCAGGTCATTGGAGTTCGAGTCCGCAGTGCACGGCCAAAGCCCAAGCCCAAGGCCGCTTCGGAACAAGATGGCGATGCGATGCAGATCGAGGAAGCGTCCTTGAACAAGGACTGGGATGATGTGGCTGATGAATTGAATTACATACAACTCCTGAACAGGGTCCTGCCCGAGGATATCCGTGTCCTGGCCTGGTGCCCCAACCCACCGCCTGGTTTCGATGCTCGCTTTTCCTGCCGTGAGCGCCGATACCGATACTTCTTCACTCAGCCTGCATTCTCTCCTACTCCCGGTGCCTTCGGCTTCGCGGACCGCACGGGCAAAGCCAATGGCCCGCGTAGCAAATTCCGCGAGGGCTGGCTGGATATTGATGCTATGCGGGAAGCTGCCAAGCACTTCGAGGGAGTTCACGATTTCCGAAACTTTTGTAAACTGGATACCAGCAAGCAAATTGAGAACTTTGAGCGGATCATCTATCATTCCGATATTGAATTCGTGAACCCGAGGTCGAACCCATTGGGTTATATCGGTCGACCTGGATTTCAGGCGACAGAGGACCACATTCCCGATGGGGATATGGTGACTTCTGAAAACCCCTCTTACTCCACACCCCAAGTCTATTCATTCACCCTGCATGGCTCTGCCTTCCTGTGGCACCAGGTCCGCCATATGGTCGCAATTCTGTTCCTGGTCGGACAAGGGCTTGAATCTCCGTCAATAGTCGCCGAGTTACTGGATATTGCCAAGAATCCGCGGAAGCCAACATACGAGATGGCATCCGACGCCCCTCTGGTTCTGTGGGACTGCATTTTCCCCGATGAGAGCTCTGGCAGCCGGGAAGATTCTCTGAATTGGGTCTTTGCCGGAGATCCCCGCCTGAACAAGAACCAAAGTGCTAAAGGTGACAGCAAATTTGGGATGAAAGGCGTGGTGGATGGGCTATGGTCTGTTTGGAGACAGCGCAAGATTGATGAAATTCTGGCCGGCGCATTGCTGGATTTGACGGTCAGTCAAGGTGATCAGACCCACGTCCAGAACCTGGAGGGAAAGCAGGGCGCGGGTAAGAAGCAGAGCAGGGGTGTCAAAGTCTGGCTTGGAGCAGATGAGGCTCGCCTCGGCGGAAAATATGTCTCCGTTTCGGACAAGACCAGAACTGACCCAGTGGAGGTCCAGAACGCCAGGTGGCTGGTGTCAAAAGAGCGCAAAGTGGCCGCAAAGGAGCAGGAGGCTGCGTCCAAAAACCGGGCTGCTTGATCAATGTATATACTCTTCATCTTGAACATGAGCGAGGGCTATCCCCCAGCGTATCATGACTTTGCATCATAAAGACAACGCCGGGAACCTCTCCATACTTCTTCTAAAATCTCACGGTTTGGTAGCATTTTCTAGTTGGTAATGAGTTAGCCTAAACCCCACGCAAGTTGGCAGGAGACCCACTGGGAAGACCACCAAGACATCGGGCTCGCCTTCGACAATGACAGCCAGATAAAATCTAACTTCAAAGCCTTTGAAGGCTTCATGGATAACGATATCTTGAATCTGCGTGGTAGGAATGAACCTCGTTGCGGCAGTCGACAGATAGGTAGAGGATGAGGTGGACGTTTGGATGCCGAAGCCACGGATAACCAAGAGCGATTCCTCTGCATGGACGTAATTAGACTGTGCACATTAAAAGCAAATAGGTTCAAACACCATACCCGTATAGCCCCTGCGGAAGACTCCCCAAACCAACAGCGTGCTGATCACTGCGATTACCCATGGGTTGTTGTATGTGTCCACCAGATCGCAAACCCTGGACCCGAGAGAAGACGACCACACATCCTGCCAAGGTATGAACCGACCATACCGGTGAAAGAAAATATGCCTCGAGCGCGTCGTTCCAACTATGATGACACAGCAGAAGACAATTGCGCGTATGAGAACCCGAACACCAAAGAGGATCTTCGCGGGGGAACTCGAGCGTCGAGGCGCGTTCGAGACAGTGAAGCTGACGGTAGTGGGTGACGGCCGCTGGACCTGAAGCCGACCGGGCATGGCGAATTAAAGAGCGAATAACACCACGCAGGAGCTCGAGACGATTGAAGCTATCTGTTCGAGCTTCAGGGACAACGGAAAGAAGCTCATCTGGGACCGACTTACGCGCTAGTCCCACTCAGGTTAGATGAGAGCTGCAGTTCCCCGGTCACGTGCCTCCATTGGCACATCCTCCATTGACATCAAGGCTGGTTGGTCGGGCACCAACAAATCTCCCTCGTTTTCCTATCTTTCACCATGGATGACCGGACACGAAGCCGGTCACCCCGCCGGCGGGATAATGGCGACCGAGATCGACCTAAGAAGTCGGGAGGCTTTCGATGGAAAGAAAAGCGGCGCGATGATGAGGCCCTCGGGGACGATCGCAAGTTAGATCGAGGATATCGGGACCGAGGTGACCGACCACGATCGCCACGAAGAGATCGTGATGGCGACAGATTTAGAGACGGCGACCGTGAACGTGACCGTGACCATGACCGCCGACGCGACGACCGAGAGGCACCCCGGGATGACCGCGAGAAAAAGAAGGAGAAGAAAGAGAAGAAAGACAAGAAGCCCGTCGTGCCTCAGTCATCAGAGCCCATGATTGTCGTTCATGTCAATGATCGTCTGGGAACTAAGGCGGCGATTCCCTGTCTGGCTTCGGATCCTATCAGTTCGTATCCTTCTCTCTTGGGCCTTACTGGTACAGTACACTGACTACTTCCAGAGCTATTCAAGGCACAAGTTGCCGCCCGCATCGGCCGCGAACCCCACGAGATTCTCCTCAAACGCCAAGGCGAACGACCCTTCAAGGACCAGTTGACGCTGGAAGACTATGGCGTGAGCAACGGAGTCCAACTTGACCTGTGAGCCTCAATATCTCCCCTCTTCAAACAATGTCTTCATGAGTATGGATACTAACAAATGTCTAGGGAGGTCGGGACTGGTGATTAAAGGAATCAACCAGATCGAGAACCCAAGAGTGTTTTCGGGGTGTATTTCTACGGAACCGGGGCGTGGGGAGCGTTTCGAATTCATTTCAATGTGTTATTTCTTGTTATTTTTTTTCCTTTCCTCCGACGCCGCCTGTATTTATGGGACAATGGAATGCTGCATTGAGCATGCACTTTTTACCTCGAGGTCTTGCTAGTACCTATAGGGAAAAGTACGCGCTGACCATTGGCATGACCTGCACCGCCGTTTTCTGCCGGTCCATTCCCGTTGCTGCGGGGCTTCAGGCGCTTTCCCTGATCCGGAATCATTGCGAGCCTAAGGCAGCCAACGGCAGCCAACCCGAGGCCAAGACTTGTTCCACTCTCCAAAAAGAGGCTTTTTTTCTAACGCGGGACTCACACGAGCTGTTCGGTTTTTTCTAGATCTTACTTCAGTGCTGTTTGTCTTCACCTCGTGTCTGCGTCATGAGGTAATCGCTTTTACTCTCCACTCTTGACTCTATTGCCTCCTTCATCCGCCATTATCTTACCTCAGTCCGATATCGCCCCAGATTTTCTCTGTCTCCGGCAGATCCCTCGACCTCTTCCATTCGATCCAGCGCCTTCCTGTCTCCCCCTCTAACAATCTCCTGCGAAGCCATTGAATCAACACATTCGGAAATCATGGTCCGCAATCTGGTCGTCATCGGTGGCACGTCCCACCCGCAGTTGACTCAGAGCATCTGCAGTGTGTTGGGCATCCCACCTGCGGATGTTCTGCTGTCCAAATTTGCCGTGGGTGAGACCCGAGTCGAAATCCAAGAGTCGGTTCGTGGTAAGGACGTCTACATCATTCAATCTGGAGGTGGCAAGGTCAACGATCACTTGCTGGAACTCCTCATCACCATTTCCGCCTGCAAGACTGCTTCGGCCCGACGAGTGACCGCTGTTCTTCCTCTATTCCCCTATTCTCGCCAGAGTGACATTCCTTATGACAAGGCCGGAGCTCCACTTGTCAAATCATCTGTGCCGAACCGACCCAACAGTGGCTACACCTTTGAGAGCACCCCGCCTACCCCGGGCTTAGGTGCCAAAGCTGACGGACTCGGTTTGAACGGAATTGACAATCTTCAGAAGAGCCTCGCCAGGGCTCAAATTGAGGAAAGCAACGGTAGTCCCGTGAAGCGGCGTCCGGGGAATGGACTTCCGCGGAGTGACACTAATGACTCCCTCAAGTCCATGGCAACAAACGGAGCTGCCGAAGACTCTGCAAGCTCTGTTTCCTCTAAAATCAATACCTTCCAGCCGCGGCCTGGCTACAAGCAATGGGTCGCGCAAGCAGGCACCCTGGTGGCCGACCTGCTCACCTGCGCCGGTGCCGATCACATCATTACGATGGACCTTCACGACCCCCAGTACCAAGGCTACTTCGATATTCCGGTTGATAACCTCTACGGCCGTCCCCTCCTAAAGAGCTATATTCAGCGCAACATACCCAACTACAAGCAGGCCGTCATTGTCAGCCCTGATGCTGGCGGTGCCAAGCGCGCCACTGCTATCGCCGATCAGATGGGGATGGAGTTTGCCCTTATTCACAAGGTTCGTTTAGGCACTCCTCTAAGATCGCGCGACAACCCAAATGGATCTTCTGACTCGTTCGCACAGGAGCGACGCCCCACAAAAATCACTGACCGCCAGAATGCGACCATGATGTTGGTCGGCGACGTCCGTGATCGGATCGCTATCTTGATTGATGATTTGGCTGACACCTCGAACACAATTACCCGGGCTGCTAAGTTGGTGAAAAACGAGGGCGCCTCCAAGGTCTACGCTCTGCTCACCCACGGCATCTTGAGTGGTGACGCCATCGACCGCATCAACGCCAGCGCCCTTGACAAGGTTGTTGTGACCAACAGCGTCGACCAGGGCGACCATCTGCGCCGTTGCCCGAAATTGGAGGTGTTGGAAGTCGGCCACGTTTTCGCCGAGGTGAGTAACATTCGTCCGATTCTCCGCGCCACATGCTGACCGCTTTCTCTAGGCAATCCGCCGCGTTCACCACGGTGAAAGCATCAGCGTTCTGTTCCAGTATGACTGAGCTTCAATGATTTTGACAACCCCCCTAAAAAAACGAGCTGGATTCCATATCCCACTCTGGCATATGCAATGAATTTCTTTGTGGATTAATACGGCGTTGTTGATGCGAACCTTTTCTTCGCAATGTTTTACCTACCTGAAATTTCACAATATAGAACCACGGTCACAGTAGACTTGGTACACCGAGAGCATTTTGTATATTTGTGATTCTCTGTCGTTCTCTCGGTCTGGCTGGCTCCCAAGTCACCTGTTTTATCTGGCTATCCCTCTGCTGCCATCTGCACATATACATGCCTAAATTGAAGTCAATAATTCATGCACAGTCACTTTGTCTCCCATCTAGTGCGTTATTTGTCTACTCAAGTCGCCTGTACAGCTTTTAATACCCCGGGCGGCTTACGCTTTACCACGAGGAGCTTAACACTTGAGCGGCGAGCAGGCAAGGCTCTTGGAGCTGCATACCGAGGTAATAGACGTTCATCTAGTTGATGAAATTTGTTCTTTCTATATCACAATGGAAGATCAAGGAAGATAGCCGAACGCCTCAAATCGAAAAGACAATAAAGCCGAATCCAGGTATGGCCATGGCCCCGGCCAGAGGAGGTGATGCGCTCACTTTCAATACTCAAAAAGAACAAAGGGTACTCGATACAACAAAATGGGCAGAAGCAATGTTGCTCGGCCAGAGGTTAGGTACAAAAAAGCAGAGGGAATGAGATCATGACGTGTCTGCGTCTAGAAGACGGAGATGAAGTTTCCAATTCTCTCCTTCTGGTTCTGAGCAATGCACTCCGAGATCCAGGTCACGTTACGAATTTCCTGTCGAAGTGTCGGCAATTAGTTTCAAAGTACAGACACTCTCTGCGGTGCTCTTACCTGCTCTTTCAGTTTCAACCACCCGTACACCACCGCCGGGGTGAATTGACGGGTGAAGACCAATTTCGACATCTCCATCTCCTTCTGGTAGAAAAGATCTTCCAAGCTCTTGCCATCAGCTGGGCCTCCACCCATACCACCCATACCGCCGCCTTGGCTCAGTCCCACGGCGTCAAAGAATGACTTGTAGTCAGCATTAGCACTAACAGCCAATGCCACACCCTCTACATCCTCAGCCCGGGAAAGCATCAAGACTCCCTCGGGATACAGCTTTCCAAATTCGGGGTACAACTTCCTCCGCTCCGGCCTAAGCAGGTCGGTACCGAAAGAATTGAGGGTAATGTTAATGGAGCGGCGGTCGGCCTCGAACTGCAGGATCTCGGACATGACATCCCGCGTGGGGCCAGCAAAGTCGGGATGGGTGTTTACAAAGTTGTAGAAGTCCTCCAGATAATTTTTAAACAGGGTGTTCCGAACGATCTCAATGTTCAGCTCGTCAAGGTCCTGGTGGCTCAAACTGCTTTTGAAGTATGCGGCGAGAGGAGTCTCAATGAGCACCGAGTTGTACAACTCTTCAATATTAGTAGCCACACACAGAACGGGCAGAGTCTCGAACCAGCCCAGCGGGTGGCATCGCTCCAGGAGTTCCCGAGTATCGCGCTCGTGCAGGGTGCCAGTAATCAGAAGGGCAATGTTGTCAATCATGTATCCGTAGGTCAGGTACTCGAGGAACTTGGCAGTTGAGCCGGTGGACTGTGCGATCAGATATCGGAACTCGGCGACCAGCTTGTCGGTCATCTTGCCTGCGAGGGCGGAGGTAGAGGGGTTGGGGGGAAGAGCAGCGAGGAAGTCGCCGTAGGCGGGGCCCAGCTGAAGCTTCACATCTATGAGGTACTTTGTTAGACACCTGCTTCCACTGTGTAGATATTGAGCAGTATGTACCATCAATGGTCTCGCATTGTGTCAAGTTGGAGTAGTTCTGGCCGGTCAGAAGGCTGTTCCGATACCCTCGAACAATACCCTCAACGTATCTGGACAACCGTCAGTGCTGGAATGACCTCAGAAAAGCCATAAGCTACTTACCCGGCATTAACATTGAAGAAAAGGCCCTCCATGGTGCGTGGAGTGGAAACAGATGAAACGGGGAGTCGCCAGCTACACTTGAAGCTCGATATACGGCGGGTGGTTACATAAGCCACCGCCACAGCGTGGCTTCGACTTTTGCACTTTTTCTTCCGTGTGAAATTTCTAGTTCTTCTCCAACGGTGATTGCGTCCACGGTCCACCCCTGCCTCTCCATTCTTTTGCATTTAGACCGGGGTCTTGTTTCGAAGTTTTGCAATATATTACACGCCGTGGTTTGCCCACCATGTCGCTTTTCCTCCTCACTGAGACCAGTGCGGGCTATGCCCTGCTGAAGGCCAAGGACAAGAAGCTCCTGAAGCGCAAGGACATCGCTGAGGATGCTTCCTCTGCTGAGGGTGTCTCCGAAATGTACGTGCAGCATTCCAGCGTACTGGAGAAAGATCTTCGTGCGCGCAGATTCTTTGCTGCACCGGCGCAAATTTTTTTTGTTGCGGGCAGACGATGCTAACCGACCATGTAGGTTCAAGTTGAAGGGTTTCCAGAAGTTTGATAGCGCTGCTACTGCCGTTGAGGAGGCCGCTGCCATCATTGAGGGCAAGGTCACTCCCCGTCTTGCCTCCCTTCTCGATGGAATCAAGGATGAGAAGAAGGGCACTCTCGCCGTTGCGGACGCCAAGCTCGGTATGTACAATTGAGTTGGAACCCACTTCACGGCGAATTGATCCTAATTGACATGCAGGAAACGCCATTGGGAAACTTCCCGGTTTCTCCATTGACCTGGTTGCCGACTCAACCACCTCCGATGCTTTCCGTGCCATTCGTGAGCACCTCGCCGCCCTTATCCCCGGTCTGGCTCCTAGTGACATGTCCGCCATGTCCCTCGGTCTCTCCCACTCTCTTGCCCGTCACAAGCTTAAGTTCTCCCCCGACAAGATCGATACCATGATCGTTCAGGCCATTGGTCTGCTCGATGACCTCGACAAGGAGCTCAACACCTACGCTATGCGCGTTAAGGAATGGTACGGCTGGCACTTCCCCGAGCTGGCCAAGATCCTCAACGACAACATTGCCTACTCTAAGCTTGTCTTGAAGATGGGTATGCGCACTAACTGGGAGACTGTTGATCTCTCAGAGATCCTTCCAGAGGAGATTGAAGCTGCCGTAAAGCTTGCTGCCGATCGCTCCATGGGTACCGAGATCAGCGAGGAGGATCTGGAGAACATTCAGGCCCTGGCCACCCAGGTTGTTGAGTTTGCCGATTACCGCCAGCGTCTGTCCGGCTACCTCACCTCCCGTATGAACGCCATTGCTCCCAACCTGACTGCTCTTGTTGGCGAGCTCGTTGGTGCTCGCCTCATCGCTCATGCTGGTAGCTTGACCAGCCTTTCCAAGAGCCCTGCCTCTACCATCCAGATTCTGGGAGCCGAGAAGGCCCTCTTCCGTGCCTTGAAGACCAAGCACGACACTCCCAAGTACGGTCTGATCTACCACGCTTCTTTGATCGGCCAAGCCACCGGCCGCAACAAGGGAAAGATGGCCCGTATCCTTGCCGCCAAGGCTTCTCTGGGTATCCGTGTGGATTCACTTGCTGATTGGGCTGACGATGTCACCGAGGAGGATAAGGCTGCTCTCGGCACCGAAGCCCGCTTCAACCTCGAGCGCAAGCTCGCTGCCATGGAGGGCAAGCCTCTCAAGCCCCGCGGCGTTGCCATTGCTCCCAACGGCACGGCCCAGCCCCAGAAGTTCGACCTGAACGAGGCCCGCAAGTACAACCCCGATGCCGATGCCGTGGCTGACGAGGAGCCCTCCCCCGCCAAGAAGGACAAGAAGGAAAAGAAGGAAAAGAAGCTGGTCGAGGAGGTCTCCGACGAGGAGATGGCCGACGCTGACTCTGACGAGTCCGATTCCGACAGCCCTGCCGAGACAGAGCTCGAGAAGATGGCCGCCAAGGCCGGTCTCAGTGTCAAGCGTTACCAGCGCAAGCTTGAGCGTGGAGAGATCGTTTTCGATAAGAAGGGTAACCCGTCAGCCATCAGCAAGAAGGACGTGAAGAAGGCCAAGAAGGAGGCCAAGAAGGCCGACAAGGAGGACGGCAAGAAGCGCAAGCGGGACGACGACGGTGACGAGAAGAAGAAGAAGAAGAAGAGCAAGGGCGAGTAAATGTTTTCTTTCAAAAAGTTTCGCTATGTGACGGATGGCTTTTGCGGATCTGTATGATATCACTTTCTTTTTGTTTCGCGACCTGCTCGCACATGTTTGAGGGCATTTTCAAGGTTGATCTACGTGGTCTTTTCCTGGCGCAGAGGTGCTTGATGGTACAAGGCAGTACAGTCTGGCTGAATAATTTTGTTCATACCTTATATTTTTGTAAATGTCGTAAATGTCTCTGTAGGTCATGTCTTGTTCCCCCGTTTCGCTGCATTGGGACTTTCCGACTTAAGCCTTTCCTGGGCTATCTATGATGAGAGTGGCCGCTAGTCATACCGCCTCGTTCTGCCGGCAGAACGAGTAATTTTCCGTTCGTTCGACGCAACTTTTACCATCCATACATCCCCAAATCAACACAATGAGGGTAAGCCGTCTACTTGAGAAAGATTGGAACTCTTCTGACCTCAGGACCACAGATCCTGGACCCCCAATCCGCCGTTCTCACCAACGTCGAGGTGCTAGCATACCTAAACGCCAATCCACCCCACCGGGTTCCCCCTCGGCCACAGCATTTCCGAGGACCATGGGTCCCAAGCCCCGATCTGAGAGATCATAATACAGTTGTGAAAGAAGTAAGCCATCTACAGATTCCATTTCGCCGTTTCCCAGGGGCCATCATAGCCCGACTCGAATCATCCAGTCCTGCATATGAATCATCCATTGACGACGAGCTTCACAAGCTCCGAGATTGCAATTCAAAAGCTCATAATTCACAGATTCACAACTATGTCAGCCGCATTTCCCCTCATCTTCTCAAATATCCCCGTCATGCACCCCGCCCGTCCTCCTCCCAGTCCCAATCCCAAGCCGCCATGACCGGCACCATGAGACCCGGCGCCGGCGACGGTGAACCAGATCCCTCCTTACTTCCCGAAGTCCCGTCCAACGAGCTCACACCCATGGACTACGCCCTCCGCGACATCATTACAAAACTCCAGCCCTACGGGCTCACAAAAGCCGAGGTCGTTATGATCCTGAACCTCGGATTAGGCCTCACGAGTACGACAGATACGGAGGGGCATCCCAATGGAGATGGAGAGATGGAAGTCGATGAGGGTCATACGAATGGCGTGGAAGGCGAGGAAGGGGGAGGGTGAAGATGACTACAGTGCCATGGCGCTATTTGACACTGTCGTTGAGGAGCGGGAGGATCGTATTGCTGATGAGGATGTGCCGGTCATCTTGTCTATCATTAAGGAGACATTGGCTGAGAATTATGGAGAGGATATTTGAGGTGGATATGAAATTGGGGCTTTGGTGTTTTTACAGGCTTTTGATATCCCGAAGCGTAGCTTCAATTTTACACACTTGAATTTTATGCGGATGTCCATACTTTCCAGGGCTGGCTCTTAAGAAATGAGTCTTCGATGCGGTTTATTATAGAATCGATGCATTGTTCCTTGCGTCTGTCGCGGCAATGCAGGAACGGATGTTAGATGATCCAATGAGAGCTCAGATCTGTTGTGTATCTCTCTCCAGCATACGGACATAGTAGATTTAGGAAGAAAAAAAATAAGCTCTAGCTGCCTAGGGCCTGAGTTCTATGTAAACCAGCTCAATGAAATTCCTGGCATCGATTGTGCACCGATCTATAATACAATCCCACACGCGAAAACTCCCGGTCACGACCACGTACACCAGACATGGCTCCCAAACAATCAGTGGTATCAAACAGAAAGAAGATTCTCGAGCATCAAATGCCACGAAAAAAGATAAATGCAGGCCCCTCAAACCAGACTCGACAAGATCGATCATGTACAGCGAGAGACAAGTGCATCAGGTTACCGAGGAATGAAGTGCGATAGAAGCAAGATGGCTAGCACCTAGTCCTTTTCATTGACCCTCCTTGGGCTCAATCCCGTAGATCAAGTTCCCAAATTGATTGTAGACTGGTTCTTCCGGATCACCGTTCTCCTTCGCCCAGAGACCTAAGTCATCATCGAAAAGATCACGCTCCTGGCCTTCACAGATCTCAGAAAAGGAGATCCATGTCTCGTCGTCAGTCCAGATACCGCCTCGTCCGCCGCGCATATCCCACCAGTCCTGGCCACCCAAAAGCGCGGATTGTGCAGCGTCGAAGCCGTGCGCGGAGCGGACGTATCTCCGGAGTAAGGCGCGTGCCCATGGGAAGAACCACATGTTCCCCCACCATGTATCACGGACTTTGGGGTCGCCGTTGAGGTGTGCGAGGACTGGGATGGTAGCAGAGTGGCCGTTCGTCATCAGAGGCACCGTGTGCCAGGAGTGGGTGTCCGAATTAGGTAATTTGTCGAGGGTAGCGTTCCATTCAGGACGCGTTGTGAGCTCTTTGGCGAAACGAGTCTGATTGAATGGGCCCGGGAGGGCTGCGATATCATCTGGAAGGAGAAGACGAGACTCGCGGGGAACCGCCATCTCCATCTGTAGGCGTTCGGATTTAGTGACGTTGCTATACTTGAGCCACTGAACATCGCCTTTGGCCATGATCTGGTTGAAGAATAGCTCGGACTTGTAGTCCACGCCAATACCATACTCATAACGATGTCCTGTCTCCAACCGCACACTGATTCCCGAGATGTTGGTTGCATAACCGATACCCAGGAGGTTAAAGAACATTTCCACGGGCCAGCTGGCGGTTCGGCGACGTTCCAGCTCTCTCACCACTTCTTGGCGTCCAAACATTTGCGTGAGAGCCTGGTAGTCACTATTCTTTTCTTGTTGCTGATGTATCAACCGCAGGACTTCATCGTAGATAATTATCAGATCAGCAGCCTGGCCAATCACGGTGCCTGGGTTCAACCATCGAGGCCGGTTCAAATGTCCATCATGATAATGGTCTGTCTTCCATCCATATACGTCCGGGGCAGAGAGGACTCCGGGACGGACACGCAGCCGGGATCATTTTCCAAGTCGGCGTAGCAGAGTTTACTGGCACCAAATAGAACACGCTGGGAGTATTTCTGCACTGTCTCCGCTGGTGCCCCCGGTGCGTTCTGCACGGCCGCGAACCCATACTTCGTCTGTAACTTCTTGTTGCTCGTGCGCAAGATGTCCTGGAATCGTTCAACCAGAATCTGAGGCGGCAGCTGGAAGAATACGTCCAGAGCATCTACAACCAACACAAAATCGTGATCGTTGATGGTCTTACTGTTCTTGAGGTAATTGCGTAATCGAGTAACCTGGTCAATTGTGCGCTCATACTCGGTCTTGTGAGCATTTTCGTATCCGTATCCAAGTAATGTCGGAGGCGGATACCCCAAGATCATGGCGGATGTCAATGTGCGACAGACACCGCGGGTTTGCGATGGGACGAAGGGGGTCTTCGGGACGGAGAGGAGGACATGGAGGTACGGATTGGGCTTCTCAAGGTCGTGCGGAAGGGCTTTATTGATTGAAATGTCTGACTTTGGCGGAAGAACGACCTGCGCATCTTCAGGGCGCTCAGGGAAAGGGTGGCGCGATGGGAACTTAGTCCAGTAATCGGGCTCTGGTTGCTATTGACGTGGTCATTAGCCACGTCCTCGCAAGGATTGTTTCGTCCAGATCGGAAAAAAAAAAAATCATCATCACTCACCCTTGATGAAGAGGAGACTATGTATAGGAAGAATAGGATTGAAAGGGCGAGAAAGGCGATCGACTTGGCTCGTGGGGATCGCGGGCGACGGTGATAGACCTGCCGTAGCAGCGTTGAGGCCGCATTTTTGGCCTCGTCGACAGACGGGCTGAGGGGAGCCATATGGGGACTATTATACGACGGAGGTCAGAGAGGGGCTGGACATGGTGCTGAAGTCCTGGACGTTACAAGATATTTAAAGGCCACGCGGGAAGTACGCAATCGAATGTGGATATGGAACCGTCGCCGATCGTCCGTTTGCGGTACAACACACGAGAATGATCCTGCGTTCAGCAATTGAGGTGCATGGGTTTATTGACGTTCATGTTTGATTCATTAGTGGTATATATACTCGCTACTCTGGATAGATCTCTTCGCGCAGTCGTTGAAGGTTGCGGAATAGTCCGCCGGCGGGGGCGCCACTATCGCTGTCGCGACGTTGTTCGCGCGATCTAGGCCCGCGTTGACTTTGGTCAGCCACAGCCTGCTGATGCTCCAGAACTCGCCGTCGCTCATCCACAATTCTATCCAGAGCATCCACAAATCGAGATCGCGCTTTTTCTTCTGCAGAACCCTTCCACACTGTTGCTAATGTCCGCAATGTCTCTAGGCGCTGGGTAGCGGCTTCCAATCCCTTGTACCCTCCGCCCTCACTATCAAGTAGCTCTAATATCTCGTTGCGCAGCTTCTTCATGCTCTCTTGTCCTTTTTGTTCCTGGTCTTGTCCTTCTGGGCCCATCTCAGGGCCGGAAACGGAGATGAAGGAAGAAGAAAATGAGACCTCGGATGGCGGCAGAGGCCATTCCATTGCATCACCAAAGGTCTGGACAACATCTTCTAGTCGTGATCGCACTTGATTGAGTGTGCGCAGGTTCGAGATGTATTCAGGCTCGGCTGGGTCCTCGTCCCGTTGTTCCTCTGCAGTCACACCCTCCTCCTTTGTAGATGTTGAATCCTCGGATCCTTCTTGGGTCATCTCTTTCTTGCGGCTTGCAGCAGTGTTGTTCGACTGCGATGATTCTGGAACGAATTTGGCGATATCGTCGCGCAGCACCTCCGTCAAGGTTTCTGATAATCCGATTGTCTCCCCTCGTAATACCTCCACTTCATATGCCAGTCGTCCACCACTTCGGAGTATCTCATCGCTGAGCTGGGATAATGTGCTCGAGAGGCGCACGTTCTGCGCACTGATTTGCGAGAGCAAGGACTGGACCTGGGCGGACAGCTCGGTCAAAGGTACGGAGCCGGGTGCTCGAGAAGCATTCAACTGCAACGAGGCAACGGTCAATGGCGACAAGGATTCATTCAGGAATTCGGCGGGATCGAAATTTGGGTCTGCGAAGTTGGGTGTTGTGTCGGCCTGCGGATTGGCGATCTTCGGTGCCGCTCGTGCCGTGGTATTGTGGCCGTTCAAAGAAGCCATGAAGCAAACTTTGGTTCCTTTCGACCTGCAAATTATGGTGATTTCTTTGGAAGGGCAATTCACGACAACAACCGAATGAGTCTGCGGTTTGGAGGTGGTTATTACTCCACGCTAGGTGCATCGCCTTGTCCCACTTGGCTTCACCGCCTTGGGATATACAAGAGGCGCGAGATTCTCTACATCAGCAACTAGACACTTGATGAGATTGCTCGCGATTGTGATCAGGAGAAATGTGATGAGAGGACTTCTCTTTCGCAGCATGTCTTCGTCCAACGCGACATCTATTACGACTTTGGTAGGTCATTCATAGTAGAGAATCGATCAAAATTATATTGAGGGAAGAGCTAGTGAACTCAGAACTAAGCGCATATCGCACACGTTTCTTGGGGTAATAGTATCGTCAAAGAAGGTGGGTATCGTTCCAAAACACGTCAAGCCAGAGTACAACACGTTAAATCCCAGAGAAACAACAGCAAGCGAGTGTCCTTCGCCGACTGCTTATGTCTCGGGGGCATTATAAATCACAAGCGAAGTAAAAAAAGTCGTAACGTCAAAGCAAGGGCGAGAACACAGTGAAGCCCGCTAGTTTTGACAAGCAAGTCATCTAGATATCCTCGACGACGCGGGCGTTGATCGCACTTTGGAATCCGGCATCGACATTGGGACTCGGGATGCCGTAGTTGCTCAGGCCCTCACCAGCATTCTCGGCGGCAGCGAGCTGCTGCGATACATTGGGGGCGGAGGGCATGAAGATCACCTTAGATCCGGATGTTTTAGCCATAGCTTGCATAGCCTCGAGGTAGCGGATTTGCATAGCAGGTGCAGAGGACAGGATATCGGCAGCCTGGCGCATCAACTTGGCAGACTCAACCTCGGCGCGAGCAGCGATGACCTTGCTCTCACCGATACGCTTCGATTGGGCAGCCATGGAGAGCGATTCCTGCAGTTCGTTGCTGAAAACGATATCCTTGATGAGCATCGACTCGACCTGGACACCCCAGCCAACGGCGACCTCCTCGATAATTTCTGATGTAGACTGCGCGATCTCCTCGCGACGCTCAATCACGTCCTGCAGAACGCGAGCACCAATCACATGGCGCAGAGTGGTCTGGGTACGCTCAACGAGCGCCTGCTTCATGTTGGAGATACCGAAGGCGGCCTTGTGTGGTGAGGTGACTTGGTAGTAAATGACGGAAGTCAGGTTCAGAGTGACATTGTCCTTGGTCATGCAGACCTGGCGAGGGACTTCGGCAATCTGAATCTTAACGTCGACAGTGTACAGGTGCTCGCTGAGCGGGTTCACTTTGACCAGACCGGGATCCACGGAACGTTCGAAGCTGCAGGTGGTTTGTCAGATTTGATCACAATGGTGAGAGGTGTAGTACATACCGTCCATAACGCGAGACAAGACCAACATGACCCTGGTCCACCGGCTTGAATGGATTTGGACAGCAGATGCAGCAGGGATGGCACCACAGAAACCGATGCATTCTCCCAGGCTGTGAACTACCAGGATATCGAGATTAGAGTGGATGCGATAGGTGTCGCAAGGAATACTGACTCATTCGGGCATACCAGCCGTGCGCCTCAGGATTGTCTTGATCATGCTGAATCGTAGAAGCGTATCGGGGCTGCAAATCATCCAGTCGAGCTGGCTGAACCTTGACCAGACCTCGTTCGTGCTGAGGGTGTCGCTCCGGCTGCCCGACGGGAGCCTTGCTAGTACCAGCACCGTTTGTACCGTTCACAGACATAGTTTGATGGCCTAAGGATCTTCAAGTGATGAAGTGACGATCGCGTTGAATAGAGGTGGAAGGGATGGATAGACCAAAGTGAGAGGGGAAGGGGGTTACAAGGTTTAAATACAAGTAAACAGTGACCGTGACAATGAGATCAGCCTTGCCAGCTTTCTCCGCAGTGGGTCGTGGATCCAATCCTGAGGCCAATTGTGATTTTCCCTGCAAGTCCCAAGACCCTCCCACCCTAAGCCTCTCCATGGCTGAGCCCCCAAATCGAGTCGATCTGATTGAGGGGCGTATCCACTGGTTCCCCCAGAGAGAGTGGTTGCCCGGGGTGCCGAGTACCCGAACTACTGAGTCACTGCGATCGTCCATTGTCTACTTTGGGTATGAGGACCAGACTATAGTCGACTATATTGCTTTCCACGGCGGGCATACCGAAGTACGTCCAGTGGAGAGTGTAAAGGGAAACCTCGAATTAAGGTAGTAATGCCGGGATGTAATGCTTCGACCTTCATTCCTGGACTCTTCCCTGCGCTGTTGTATCGATGTAGCATGCCAACCCCCTTCCCATCGGGCCCAGACGTGAACGAGAACGAGCGACCAGGGGCACGGCATGTCTGGGCTACCGTCATACCACACGTGAGGCTCCACGGGCTTCGAGATGTTTTCTAGCGGCCCCCATCCGTGAACAAGGGGGCTGTGAAGGGATGTTTGGGCGCGGCTGGGCGCTTCTTCGTTCTTTCGACCGGTCAGAGTCCATGTAGCAGATACTGTGGCCATGCTGAGTCGCGCTTGGACCTCGGAGACAGCTTTCGCCTCAAGCGATCCGTTGACTGCGCCCTGACGTATAGACTTTTTGCGAGCGGCTGTCCGATTCCGGCCCCCAATCTTGGGCCCGATCGTCTTGGAATCACGGGCTCTCTCGGGGCAGTGCTACGGGGCGCACAGCTTGCAACTGAAGCTATGTCTGCGGAGTCAATCAGGTTACCTGGAAACCATGCGGCTTGGTCGTATTTCTCATGCTCGGGTCGATGAACATGGGCCAACAAGCGACAAGCAACGAGCAGTGAGCATACAAACGTAGTCTGCGATAAAGAGGAGTTTAGTCAGTCGTGGTCATGTACTATTAAGACGGATCCACATACATGAACCAGCATCATTGGTCTAGTGGTAGAATTCGTCGTTGCCATCGACGAGGCCCGTGTTCGATTCACGGATGATGCAATGTAATTTATTTTTGCTTGCACACTTTTACTTAATTGCCAGACCATCCAACCTCTTTCTTTTGACATTTTAGGCACCGAACACAGACTTTATCTCTTTTTAAAACCTCGTGGACACGCTCTTTTTGATTGTGGCATGACATGGCTGGATACAGATGTTGGTCAGCAGGTGCTGATATATATTGGCTGACTCACTTAGCCGATGTCCATCTAGACCACCTTGACATTATGAAATTGTTTGTCTATCCTGCAAGAATACCGACAAGTCTATTGTGGTATCCGCAACTGAGCCTACCCCAAAACTGCCACATGAAGGCGAGCTAACACGCAAAACATACCTAGAAAGGTGTCTTGGATCTATGCACAACAGGTCTATCGGCCGAGCCATGTCCCAGAGCTCCAAGGACAAAGACAACACGGAGTGTCCACTATTCCTTGATGTGACCAAATCTAAGGCCCGAACACGACTAGTAACCACATGAGTAGATAAGAATTGTCGCTTTGCAACCCACACATACGCTGATGCTGACGCCATCGGACTCCAACTGCACGTCTTCTTAACCCTGCACGCAATACCATGCGACAATGACATGCGGGGTTGGCTAGAGGGGAAGCAACGCAGGACAATAAATGTGAACAAGCCGGGAGAAGAGTACTGAAGAATCCGTTGAGCTGATTGCCAATTCTTTTACTCCTACTTCTGCACAACCGGGCACCCATAAATCACCATGTCAACGGAAAAAAAGCAGCTCATCCTCAATGCGTTTTCAATGCACTCGCCCAGCCATCTGAATCCAGGCCTCTTCCGATACCCAGCCGACAAGGGCGCTGACTACAAAAACATCAAGCACTGGATGGCTCTCGCCCAGAAACTTGAAGACGCTAAATTCCACGCAATCTTCTTCGCCGACGTTCTCGGAGGCTACGATGTCTACAAAGGTCCGGCCAATCTAGACCCGACGATCCCTGCTGGAGCCCAGTTCCCGATCAACGACCCCCTGTACAGCATTCCTGCCATGGCAGCTGCAACAGAAAGTATCGGCTTCGGAGTCACCGCTTCGACGACATATGACGCGCCCTACGCTCTGGCCAGACGCTTTTCGACCGTCGATCACCTTAGCAACGGGCGCGTGGGGTGGAACATTGTCACGTCTTATCTTGATTCTGCGGCACGCAATTTCGGCCTTGATACGCAGGTCGAGCATGATGAGCGGTACCGCATTGCCGACGAGTACCTTGATGTTACGTATAAGCTTTGGGAAGCTTCCTGGAGGGATGATGCCGTGGAATGGAATCTAGACTCAGCCAAGACAAATGGCTCGGTCGAGGGCTCCAGGTACGCGGATCCTCGTGGTGTGCGAGAGATCAATCACAAGGGGAAATACTTCCAGGTCCCCGGGCCTCATCTCTGCGAGCCGAGTCCCCAGCGTACACCGTTCCTGCTGCAGGCTGGAACCTCGACTGCCGGGAAGGCGTTCGCTGCCAAGCACGCCGAGGCAGTCTTCCTCCATGCCCAAAAAGCCAGAGCTCGTGCGCCCGTCCGTCGACAGCATCCGCCAGCAAGCTGCCGACCTTGGCCGTGACCCTCGCGATATCAAGATCGTGGCAGGGGCTCTGGTCATCGTCGCCGAAACGGACGAGGAAGCCAATGTGAAGTTTGACGAGTTGAAGAAATATGGTGATCGAGAGGGTGCCCTGGCTCTCTTTGGCGGCTGGACTGGCTACGATCTTTCCACCCATACAGACGATCAAGACTTCCGGTTTGTGGAGCAGCCTGCCGTCCGAAGTATGGTAAATCACTGGGCGAGCACCGTGCCCGGAACCGAGGGCAAAAAATGGGACAAGAAGACGATTGCAGAGTACTTGACCCTGGGAGGCAATGGTGTCAAGATCGTTGGCAGCGTCCAGACGGTAGCTGACGAGTTGGAGCGCTGGGTAGATGTTGGTGATGTCGATGGATTCAACCTGAGTTATGCTAGTCTCCCCGATACATTCGACGATGTCATTCGTCTACTGCTCCCGGAGCTGCAGCGACGGGGTCTATTCTGGTCGGACTATGCCGTGAAGGGAGGCACCATGCGTGAGAACATGTATGGAAAGCAGGGTCAGTCAAGACTTCCGGATACTCATCATGGTGCAAAATACTTCTGGCGGAAGGGCGAAGAAGTGCCGCCTTACTCTCTGATTGAGGCTCAATAAACATAGATGACAAGATAGAATTGGTATCAATCTATAAGATCCAAAGCAGCTTTAAAGTAGCGGCGAACTATGCAATTGAGCTCAGTGACCCCTTTTTCTAGTGTGGCGTGTGGTAGCGGTGGGTTTTCTTCTCGAAAGGTACTTCAAGATTCCGGGTACATTGTTTCAATTTTCGGTGCTGGATATAAGAGACAATTGAGATACACGCGAAGGGCACCTCATAAGCTCTACACCACACCGAGGGTGTCACAAAGTTGAGCCATCAGAAGGCACAATCAGAGATAGGAAATGACAGAGAAAAGAAAACAGGAAAAGGAAAAGAAAAAACGCGCCTTAGGTTACGAACTGTCCTCGGTTGCCATTCCAGGATGGCGGTCTTCTAAGTATTAGGCACTGGGGCCACTATACAGGGAGCTGAATATTATTTAAATGATTGAGAGGAATTCCTGTATCGAAATGACTATATGCTTCTTCGTGTGCTCAGACATCCCACCAACCCTCCATCCAAGACTTCAAGTCGACCTCCTCAGGAAGTCTCAGATGCGGCGTCAACTCTGCTTCCGGCTCCAACTCCTTCGAAGTCCAACCATTACCGAAATAAGCGAGGCGGTTCCCGCCGGGGTTGACATAGTTATACTCCCAATCCTCCCAGCGCGGATCTCTGCGAATATAGTTTGCATGAGAAGCACTACCCGGGAACAGACCATGAATCCGAGAACCGGGGGTTCCACCATTGTACCATGAGCTGCAGTTAGCCGTCCAGACCGTGCGGGGATAAAAATTGTCACAGTATTCCACGAAATCGTCTGTTGCTTGCTTCGACGGTGCCATGGACTTGATACCCTGACTGCGAATTTTGCGTAGAACCTTCGCAATGTACGTTAATTGGTTCTCAAGGCTGTTGGGAACTGTACCGCTGTGCCCGGATGCGTACGGGCCGCCAAGCCAAAGTAGATTGGGGAATCCTGGTGTCGCAAATCCTAGATAGGAGTAGGGAAATCCGAAAAGCCCGTCTTTTTTCCAGGCAGATTGAAGATCGATCCCGTTGGCAATGATGGAGAATGGAGGTGCGTGATCGACGTTAGCGCCGGTTGCGCAGATCGTGATGTCTGCTGCTCTCTCAACACCGTCTTCAGTGACAATTCCTGTTTCTGTGAATCGCTTGATACGTGTTTGAATATAGTCGACGTGATCCTTAGTCAAGGCTTCAAGGTAGCCTAGCCCTGGAGTAGGCCGACGGCAATTCGGTGGGAAGTCAGGAAGAATCTTGTCTTTTAGATCTGGTTTGGCGCTGAAACGATGCAGCATGATGCTAGTCCATTTCTCGCGCAGCTCCTGGTTCTCTGGAGTGTCCTTGAAAATTGCTCCGAAGCGCTGAAAGTATCCCTTCTCTACCTCAGTGCGATACTTCAAGTATTCATTGGGATCTTTGAAAGACTCCAGCTGGGCCTCGGAGAACGTGTTTGGCTCCAGTCGACGTACGCCTGTACTCCCACTACTAAAGGAATCGGCAATCCAAGTTGGGTTCCGCGCATAGTGATCGATGTGGCTTGCTATGGGCTCAATAGAGGGAAGTACTTGAAGACCAGATGCTCCGTTACCAATGAGGGCAATGCGTTTACCCTTAAGGTCAATTGTGTGGTTCCAATTGGAAGAATGGAAGAGAGCGCCTCTGTAATGCTCGATGCCCTCGTAGTCGGGCAGCTGCCATGCATTGAAATGGCCGATGGCGTTAATAATGACATCCAGCTTTTCTTCATAGATCTGGACACTGAGTCAGTGAGGAATCACGGTTTGCTAACGATCGGGCTCACTTTGTTCGACCCATCTAAATATGCGATGGTGACTTTCCATTTCCCCTCATCAGCCAACCATTCGGTCTTGTTTACCCGTTGCTGGGTCGAACGTATTGATAGACGTTATGCTTTCGCGCAACGCTTTGCCAGTAGTCTCGAATTTCGGCCCCTTGAGCAAACTCCTCTCGACCACTGAGTATTGGGGGAGAAGCCAGATTGATACGCATGTGCAGGTATGTCACACCGAACGCCTGGATATGTGTTTTCAAACCTATGAAAAGAGTTAGTATGGTTGCGAAGGAAGTTAATGAGGTCAAGTCTACCAGGTGCCTCCCTGAAGCAAAATGTTAACATGATAGCAGTGAATGGCAGGATGAATTGACATACCACATCGGCGTTCTTGTCATAGATTCTCAAATCGAGACCCGGCAGCTTCGCGGGTAGCAACACGCCAGCAGTGATACCTGCAATACCAGCACCAATGATGCCCACTGTAATGGGCCTTACTACATCGATGGGATGCTCCTCTATCGCGAAATGAGATCTCGTTGATAGCCCTGAATTCAAGTCATTGATTGCACTTTTCACGGTGATGGAAGGCGCCTCTAGGTCTGAAGGACCTTTGATCGGCTCGGATGCCTCTTTGATATTGGAAAACGAAGGCAAAGTCGAGATCCCGGGATTTTCAAGTAGAGTCATGATGAACCAAGAATTGTGTCTGGTATATCAGGTAGGAAAAGATGAAGGACTTGTACGACCTTCGAGTGTATGTGAAACCCCATCGTAATCTGCTGCACGCCATGCGGTACAATTTACACGTCATTCGACCCCAAGCTCGAGAGGTCGAGAAAATAGTGCATTAAAAGTTTTATTGTTCCAAATCATTATGTTTGGCGGTCATTGTACAACTGATCGTCACCACTTGGCGTAGCTAGCACCATCGGAGACTGTGATGGCGTGAGGGGTCCTTGGATGTCTATTCAAAAACACCATCAGCCCCGCTTCAGCCGCAATTGCGGAGTTGACCAAACCGTATGGATGGATATTAGCCCCCCCAGGACACTCGATAAGAGAATGTGTGCCACGTAATTTGTCGTGCGTGTCATCCCACGCAGGTGAAGTTGACATTAGATTCTCGGCCGATTCATGAGCAGCTGGCCAGGCGCTCGCCGAAGACATTTCCAGTCGTGGATATTCACTCATCAAAGAATATCGGTGAGATGCGACGACGCAGTCTTTGACAGAAGCCACATCCTTTCGTTTGAGATGATCATTCGACCTAGCATGAAAATTTTGTCACAGTCCTCATCGTCCATGATGAGATATAGTATTTGACCAATTTGTTGTTTAAGCGGACTACAGTCCAGCTGAAGAATTGCCGAGTCGATGTGGAACGGAGCTAAGTAAGCCTTAGAAGGCAGCTAATCAGCTAATCTTCGGCAACATCAATTTTATGACTCACGCAACCAAGCCATCATCAAGAGTCGACAAGAACGGTGATAGAGCAACTACCAGTTCTTGATCTCTAGACTCCATACAAGTGATAATATCTCTTTCGGCTTCATTCTGAGATCTGAATTGAGCTTCGTCTATTTGCTGCCACAATGGCCTCTTCCCCGCCCACCGCCCCATTGACCCCACGAACATGGACGAGAGACAAAAGCCCATACTTCATCTCAAACGACCCGAGGTTGATCTCAGTCAAAGCAGTCAATGAGGCGTTTGGCAAAGATTTCCTTTATTGGACCAAGCCATTTCCTGAAGATGTTCTACACCAAATGCTTCATGGCTCTATGAGCTTTGGAGTGTATAAGCGGCTTCATCCAGAGCAATCCGAGACAGAACCTCAGACTCTGACCACGGAAAATACAGAGCAGATCGGTCTTGCGCGGATGATTACAGATGGGATCTCCTTTGGTTATCTCTCGGACACTTATGTTCTCCCCCAGTATCAGGGAGACGGACTGGGAAGGTGGCTTATCGAGTGTGTTGCAGAAGTCTTTTCACTGGAAAGCATGCCTTATCTACGCCGAATCATGCTACTCACAAGTGGGCAGCGACTCGAAGAGTTCTACGGTCAGACATTGGGAGTAAAGGTGATCGGGCACGAGCCACGACCAGATATTGGGAAAGATCTGGTTTTTATGAATGCGAAACCCATTGCGGAAAACACTGCTCAGCCAGCATCTGATTGAAGCGAGTTTATCATCAATTGCTACACGTAGACTAGCTGTTGGAATAATATGAATATCCCCTTTCTCCAGATTCACCAAGGCAGCTGCAAGGGCGTTGGCAGGCCCTTTCCAAGTACGTCTTCGGCCGTCCCAATATCTCTGTCCAACTGTTAGATAAGTTGATTTTGTGTAATGGCATTAATCACATACCCTGGTCCTCGTGGCGCCCAGAATTCGCCCGTCTTGCCAATGTCGAATGTATCAACAAAGGATGCGAGTGACTGAGCTGCTTCATCAGGTGTCACGGCTGCATATAGACATCAGTACAGCTCTCGTAAGTATCCATGACTGGGATGAAGAAAATACCTCCGCCAGCATCCCAGTATTTATCGAATCCAACGCTCTTTGTCATTTCCGTTCGCATGAAGCCGGGGTGTACCAATCCCACTGCGATTCCTTTAGGCTTCAGGTCCAGGCTGAGTAGCTTTCCAACCATATTCAATGCAGACTTGCTGGCATGGTGGCCGAAGTTGCCCCCGCCTTCCTTCTCATGGCGGAGAGTGATGCTGCCACTCTCACTGCTGACCAGGATTACCTTACTACCCTCACTCAGAAGGTCTGCCTTCACAAGCTTCTGTACCACAAAGACAGGCCCGATCGCTGATGTTGTGTACATGCGAACCTGCTTTTCCCAGTCTGGATCATCGAATGTCTCAAAGCCAAAGTATCCCGCGGTGATAATCACCGTTGAAAGCTTGGCAGCCTGCGGTAGCTGTGAGACAATCTTCTGGCCCACATCAGGCTGGGCAACGTCAACTTCGGTCAGCCAAGTGATTGAAGATGTCGATTCCGGAGAAGAGGAACGTGTCGTTCCAAATACATGGTTGGAGGGGTCTTTCGAGTATAGAGCTCCAAGGGACGCTCCCAGGCCGCGGCTCGCCCCCACGACCAGGATATTGTTAGGCATTCTGTCAGACTTTACGTGGAGTGATGAGTCGCGTTGAATAGAAAGGGAAGGGAGTTTCTAGTCAAGACGTCTATCGAGATCGTGTCGGCGAAGCTGACGCAAGAGCAGAATGACGTAATTGCACTTAGCTAGCGCATATCGAGGCGCGATGTGATGCAGACTCAATGGAAGGTTGTTCTTGGACTAAAATCCAGATCTACGTTCATGATAGTATGAGCAGACTACAAACGCCCGCCAGTGCTTCCAGACGCTAGGAGATGGGAGATTGTATACTTGATGGGGCCAATTTCAACCATGCAAAACCATTAGTCGACGATCGTCAACTTAGAAGTCAAATTCAGACGCCAATTCGTACCATAGCTTCTATATTGTTTCTCCACCACTTTTCTCACTGTTCCCGCTGTTCCGGGCACTGACGATCGTCCATCATGTTCCAAGGCCAACGCAATCGGATAGCTCTACTAGCTTGATGAACCCCGGATCAATGTAAACTTGGAAATTTCATAATGTCGTCCTGACATTGCGGGACTCGGCCCTTCACCGACCCAAGTGCTTTGATGATCCTATACGAAACCAAACAGACGATCACTCGGCTATCAATTAACGTCTCGTCAATCAACAGACTCCTCCAGCGTGAGAATCAGCTGGGACTGTGCCTGGCTGCGCTTAGTCAGGTGTGCGAAAGTCGAGCACCGCCCAAGTTCACCAGAGATCCATTTTTAAGCTCCCCCACGGGGGTGTCTCATCGGAGCTGGTCGATGTGTTCTCAGGCCTCAGCATGACTGGTTTCTCCAAAATCTTACCATCCGTGCAAAAGTTCCGAGCTGCAATCCAACGGAAAAAGCACGGCAGGGATAGGTCCCGGCGCGAGGTCCCCGGATCCTCGTCTACGTTGGGTATGCTTTGTGTCTCCTACTATCTAATGCAGACGCTAATTGTCGCTTGTGACTGTATAGCCTCGAAAATGCCCTCCCCGCGCATTCCTCCCCGTGGGGTTTCCCGGTCGAGATCCAAATCACGATCTTTGCCCACTGCGGAACCGCCGACTATCTTTCGCTAAAGCTTGTTTGCAAAGCCTTCAACCATATCATCAGCTCAAACGAACATGAAATTGTCCGCCAATACCTTCGCCACCGTCGCCACGGTACCCTTCCATCCCCAATCGATCATGAACGAATATACACTGGCAACCCAGAAGATGACGCGGTCCTTCTGTCGGACCTCTTCCCACCCTCTAAAAGCGCCAAAGGCGGGCACCTTTACACTTTCAGATATCTCTATGGGTTGCACCAAAGGCAGAAGTTATGCTCGAGACTTTGTTATTATCTCGCAGATAGGGTGATGGACCGATTCGTGCAAACAGAGCCCATCCTTCTGAGTTCCTCCTTCCCGTCAAGAAAAGCCGAACGGACAGCGCTGGTCAAGCGCGGAAAAGTCAGCATATGGCACCATCTGGCTCCATCAATGTGAGTAGACCCAGAGGACAGGCTGTTGGCAATTTGTATGATCTGATCGGCGCTAGGTACTATACATTGTACTTCCTCGAATCGTATGCATCCGCCCGGCGCGAACAAACAAACATACTCCTCCAAGAATACGAAGCCGGCCGCCTTACAGTCCCAATTCCACTAGAGACGCGCCAGCGAATGTACAGAGAATTACAGACTCGCATTATTCAAAACCCTCCTTTCACCAACACCCCTGCATTGCTTGCCACACACCACTGTATGCATTTGCTGGTGACATATATACGTTACACAATGGCGCCCGAGGCAGAGATAGACGATTCCTGGATCAGTTCTCTCCTCACCGTATCGCCGTTTCTGCGGATTGTCGAGTTCTTCTCCGCCGAAATCGGACACGGAGGCAATCAGCGCATGCAGCGCAAGGACTTCATGTACAATTTCCACGCGGACATGAGGACACACGGGCGCGATCACATGAACTCTACAATCTTTGGACGGGCTTCCAACCAAAGTATACATAGTTCGATGCGCGACCTCTGGTTTGATGCGGCAAAAACCGAATTGGGGCTTAGACAGGCGCTTCCTCATGATCAAGAAATTGCCTGGCGCTGGAACGGGATCCCGATCTTATTTGGATGTGGGAACTGTCGGCGTATAGACGGCTGGCAAGCATGACGCCATTAATTTATATACAAGGGCGTTCAATAGAGACTGGAGCATTGTCCATAGGAGTTTATTGGAATTTTAAAACAAGACCAGTTGAAATAATCAATTCGCCTTTCTTGTAGATTCCGACCCCGACTTGGAAGTTTGTTGTGTTTGCACCGGGCGCAATATCAACGATGCGACACTCGTGAACATTGACCTCTAGGAAACCCTGGTTTATGACCGAAAGAATAAATCGGAAATAGACTCAGCTATGGAGCAAGTATCGCAGTGGCAGCTATTCAATACATCTTGGACACTCCACCGTCTGTCGCCTCTTCACCATGGTAAAGACTTTGAGACCCTTCTCGACAACCCGGCCGCCTTGCAAACATATGCAACGCGATTGCGCGATCAACTTACTGGCGATATTCTCGCTGGACTCCATGCCAGCGCAACCATAGCAGAAGACGACGCGTTATCCAAGACAGGTGCACTGAAGCAATGTCTTTGGCAGTCCATCTCCACTGGTGGGCAGGCAAGACGCGCCGGTCCTTCATTTCCAGGAATTCTGGTGACTCTGGAATATGAGAATATCACCTATAAAGCCGCCCTTCTGGCCGAGGCAGGGTTAGAGAATCAGCGCGAGGGTTCCACTTTCCTCCCTCTACTATTGACCAAGTTCCCAAATGCACTGCGACAAACCTTCATATCGTTTCTCTCTGCCAATTTCGACACCTACTGCTCGAATCTTCGTCTTCCATCAGCCTTCATCTGCAAGGGTCTTGAAAAGTTTGTCAATGAGCTACGCAATAGTCGAGGACCTTCCGGGCGCTCGGCTGCGAATGAGACAATCGAAGAAGGGATCAAAGAATTGCAACTGACACTCGCATTCTCACCCTCCATCGCACCGGCTTTGCGAACACTCAATATTAGCATATCTAGAGCATCTCTGATAGAATTTCTCCGTGATGAAGCTCCACAGTCGAAGCGCACGCTCAAACAGGAGTTGCGCAGTCCCCTAGTCGGAAATCTTGCTGCTTATCTCGAAACGCACCTGGCAATGCAGCTGGATCTTGATGGTTCATCGCCAAAGCAGGCTTCCAGGAAGCACGTCCGTTTATCGAAAATCGCATGTGCTGCATTTGTCTTGGGAGGTGAAGGGCGCATGAAATTAGTTGTTGCTGTACCAGCGGCAGATGACCAGCCGGATGATGCGCGCGGGCAAAACTCGCCGGCTCTACACGCCAGTGAAATGCTGCTTGAGATGGTCGTGCGCAGGGCTATCATTGGCAATGAGACAACTACATGAGTTATTCCGCGGTCAATATGCGAAATCCAAGATTGAAAGACCCAATGTTAGCAAACGACAACCCCCAACGGGTTCCAATGTTCGGGCGCAAGACCCCCAAACAGTCGTCATTGCGGAACCGACCATCATTTGTCCGGCTCTAGCAAAGCTGCAAAGTTCTTGACTGTCGTATTTATACCACGGGATAGGCATTATGCTGGCTTGCGCTGAATGTGTGGACTGTGCTGCGGCAAGCAAGAGAGACATGGCCCAAACAAGCCTCAGGCCCTACCAACATGCCAAAACCCCCAAAAAGCACCTTGGTTGAGATTTTACAACGGACTACTCCATACAAACAGAATCGAGTTATGATTGTCAGATTCATTTCATTCAACCCAGATTTGATTCGCTTAGTTACACGCTCAGCAGCAATCAAAAATCTACCATGCTGTTTCCCACGCTATGTGAAGAAGGTCATGTCGTTTCGGTCATGCAAGACAGTAAATATTGCACATATAGCTAAATAGACAATAAAGACTTGTTAGAGGCCAGTCTACAAATCAGGTGTCTGGTCTTCTGTCTCAGCCAGTCGGATAGCCTCATCAACACTAGGCACGAAGTGGGTCAAACCTCCACACTCTTCGACGATGCCGCTTCGCTCAAACATTCTGAAGACTTGAGTGTTGGGCAGCCGACAGAAGAAAACCCGGGTTCCCTTTTCTCTATACGCGGATACTATTTCACATAAGACCTGGGTACCAGACCCATCGATACTCGTCACGCCATGCACATCGAAAATGATATTCTTGTTGTGCTCCGGCGGACGCATTCGAGGTAAAGAAGGGTGAGCCCGACTGGAGCCGTAGAGTTCTAAACGGCGGAGACGATTTTTGAGATCGCCTGTGTTGGCGAAGGTGAGAGGTTCAGGAATCTTAATGATCAACGCGCCCTCGATGAGCTCAACGTTCTCGGGCTGAAGCTCAGCGTTCTCAAAGCGGGCGTCGGTACCCGCGACTTTGCCTAGAATCTGGATGCGTGGTTGAGTGGAGTGGCGGATGAGAATTATGACAGAGAGGCCAATTCCGAGAGCCATGCCAAGCTCGAGAGAGTAGAATATGGTGGCGGTGAAGATAAGGAACATGAGGACGAGCTCAGTCCATCCACGGAGACGGAGGAAGAAGATCAGATCGTGTGGGCACTCTTCAACAAGCGAGTATGCTACGACAGAGATCATGGAGCAGAGAACTGCTTTCTGTTTATTGTAAGTTAGTATTTAATCAGACGACAAAAACGGAAAGGACGGACGAACCGGGAGATAGTATAGATATGGCAGGAGCAACAAGATACTAACGAGGGTGATCATGCTGAGGAAGATGCTGCTCATTGGGGATCGTGCTCCCGTCTGTACATTGACCTTGCTTCGACCGTATCCACCAAAGGCCGGTAGAGACATGAAACAGCCACCGACGAAGTTGGCAACGCCCAGCGCAACCATTTCCCGATTTGCACTCATGTGCATATCTTGAATGCCATCGGGCTTCCCGTCACCTAGGGCCTTTGCTGCAACTGAAGACTCGAAGAAGCCAAGCAGGGTAATGATGAATGCTTTGCTCATGGCTGCCCGGATGTGCTTCATGTGTCCGAACTGGAAGGGCCACTGGAATGCAAATAACCTACTAGAACTGATTTCGGTATGCCCAAGCAGTTCAAGTCCCTTATCTTCCCAGTTGAGATGCCATGCCAAGATTGCGGACAGGACGACAACTATGAAACGGTCCGGAAAGTAGACCACTTGAGGATAGCGTGGCATCATCCACTTCTTGACCGTCCTGAACAGCATGATAATCCCGAAGCTGACCAGCGAGACAACCGAAGTAAGTAGATGGCTGTCTCCCACATTGCGAGCAATGAAGGAAAGCTTGCTGACCGTGGTACCATGGCTAACACCGGTCTCCTTCGCCTTAGTCGCAAGTCCCAGCTCTGGGATCAATTGGTCCACAAAGATCACAAAGCCGATAGCAGTGATGAAACCTCTGAGGAAAGGCCGACTAAGCACATTATCCAAAAAGCCTAGTCGAGTCAATCCAGCAATCAGGATCATGGCACCAGTCATTGCAGTGACTATTCCTATGATGATGGCACTTTCCATGCCGTTGTCATCTCCCGCCTCGCTACCACCAATGCTGGCCTTGACGATAGCACCTGTAAGAAGCGAGCCAGCCGCCTCTGGACCAACCACCAGAAGAGGACAGCTACCTAAGATAGCATAAATAAAAGGATGTATGACGAAAGAGTAAAGGCCGTTGATGGGCGGTGCATGGGCAAGGTTAGAGGCCAACGATAACGCCATTGGGATGTAGATGGAGGAAACCGTGAGCGCAGCTATCAGATCCCCCCCGGACATAAGACCATTGATACTGTCCAATCCAGTTGAAGAACGGAATGTAGTAGGAGAGATACCTGCAGCTAGCCGTTAGTATTCGACTGGAGGCGAGCTATGACGGTGCTTGTGAGACTTTGGCATACTGTTTTCTGGAGTCATTCATGGACAGAGCCGAGAGAGACGACTTCATTTGCGACATATATTCCGATTCAGCGCGAGATCCTGGTGGGTCATCGCTAAAATGGCCGGATGCTGCACCCGCACCTTCAACACCATGGTGATCACCACCACTCGGATTTCCAAGGTATATGCGTCTTCCTGTGTCCTCCGGCCGTGGGGAAAATGTACCATGACTGCAGCGTCGTTCACCACACACCGGACCCGAACGATCGTAAGACTCCAGTAGGCGAGTTCTCAGATCTGCTTCATTTGAGATGCCAAGTCCCTCGGTGCCATTGGTTTTGAAATCGAGGCCTGGAGGCGACCGCGAATTGCTGTTCGAGCGAAACATTTCGACGAATCGGTTCCGTAGCGAGGAGGCTCCCAGGACTAATGGAGCCGCGCACTGGAAGAATAATGATTTGCTCCAACGAGATCAGAGGACACCCAACTTTACAAGAAGAGGGGTTTCAAACCCTCCATCAGCGACATCAGTGGCAGAAATGAAACAGGGTCGGAGGAAACCTCGAGGCCGGGGAAACTACTGGCTTTTACCGACAAGGGCGGTGGCCGCTAGGGAGCGATAAGCGGAGCCAGTTATAGCCTGGAGTTAGCGGGTTGTAGTGAGCCCCGGTGGGTTGTCGATACTGTGATTCTGTGCAAGGTTAATCAATACTCGTCAGGCTTAAGCCGCATGAGCATGAGCATAGGCCTCAAGCTTCAAGCTTGATTCGCTCATGTAACTCTGCTCGTGCTAAGTTTATGTGTTTTATTATGTCATCAGCTGTGGATGGCGGTGAGTCACATGACAGCGTGCTTTCTAGGTCACGTGAATGCGGTCAATGTGGGTTTTGAGTCCGCCACAAAGCGATTTGAATCGATTGTGCTTCCGATCAAAGAACCTCTCTCCCGGCCCTCTAACCCCCTCACTTTGCTAGGAACCGACTTGGAAGGCTCTAGCATACCGTTTTCCTCGGACTGCCGATTCATCAGTCCACTTTTCACCGGAAAGTTTGTCGCTGGAATTTACAGCGCAACCCCGCCAATATGTCTTTAACAAATTGCCGTTTCTACGAGGAGAAGTTTCCTGAGGTGGACAGCTATGTCATGGTCAATGTCAAGCAGGTACGAGTTTTCAGATTGGGTATGGAGGTTCTTAGGCTTGTCTGACAGGTTATTCGGGCAGATCGCCGAGATGGGCGCCTACGTGAAGCTGCTTGAATACGACAACATTGACGGCATGATTCTGCTCTCCGAACTTTCGCGCAGACGTATCCGTTCCATTCAGAAGCTCATCCGTATCGGACGCAACGAGGTCGTCATTGTGCTCCGTGTCGACAAGGAGAAGGGCAAGCAGCTCCCGTTCTAAACCATGGAGATCCGATGGCTGACTCATGGTCCTACAGGTTATATTGATCTGTCAAAGCGTCGTGTCTCCCCCGAAGATGTCCTCAAGTGCGAGGAGCGTTACAACAAGAGCAAGGCCGTGCACTCGATCATGCGCCACGTCGCTGAAGCGACTCAGACCCCCCCTCGAGACCCTCTACCAACAGATCGCCTGGCCCTTGGACCGGAAGTTCGGCCACTCCCACGACGCATTCAAGCTCGCCATCACGTATGTTGCATGATAAGGTTACAAATTGAAGGATACCTCTAACTAGGGTTCTACAGCAACCCCGATGTCTGGAACGATGTCGAGTTCCCCTCTGAACCCGTGAAGAAGGAGCTTCTGGACTATATCGGCAAGAAGCTTACCCCCCATCCCACTAAGGTCCGTGCCGACGTCGAGGTCACCTGCTTCGGCTATGACGGAATCGACGCCGTCAAGGAAGCTCTCCGTACCGCCGAGGCCGACAACACCCCGAAAACCAGATCAAGGTCAAGCTCGTCGCCCCTCCTCTGTACGTCCTGACCAGCCAGTGCCTTGACAAGAACCATGGTATCAAGATGCTTGAAGCCGCGATTGAGAAGATCTCTGCCAAGATCAAGGAAGCCAATGGCAACTGCACCGTGAAGATGGCACCCAAGGCCGTCACCGAGCACGATGACGCCGTCCTCGCTGAGCTCATGGAGAAGCGCGAGCGTGAGAACCAGCAGGTCAGCGGAGACGAGGACGATTCGGAGAGTGACGCCGATGTTCCTGAGTAAATGGTGCATCAACGTTTGCGAAGCACCGGGTGCCCAACGCTTCATCGGCGTTGGCAATACGCGCAACCCTGCGAAGAGAAGGAAAAATGGGGCAAAAAATGGATAGAGAAAAAATGATGCATATTACGCGATCAATGAGAGAGGACGGATTGATGGCTCTATGTGCTCTTGGGCACGAATCCAGTCAGAAATTGCCTTGGTACCAAGGGCAGTCGCCTGCAACTCGGGCCTGGAGATGAAATATCCACGCCTGACGCAGGCGCTGTGTGCCAATTGGTGAAGTTCTTGTGCTCCGGCCCATCTATTGTGTCGGAGAAGGGGGCAAGCTCTGATGTAAATACGTTGTGATGCAACCGAGACGTTCAATGCCAGTGATGCCGTTAGAGCAATTTAGTCCCAAGTTCCCTAATCGCTCAAAATATAATTTCTAAAAGTCAATCTAAATATGAAACGCGGGAAAGATAAGCGTAAAGCGAAAACCGGGAATCGCTTTACAGCGGGTAAACCTCGCGCGCTTGGACTTGTTTACCGATCTTTGACTGCGATCTCTTCCTCCACGGTTTTCCAGGGCCTTTCTTCCTCTTGACTCAAACCGAATTTCTACCAATTTTTATCAACATGGGACATTGGGGTGAGCTTCTCGGCTTTGATCGCCGAAGAGCAAATCACCGCGTTCAAGTTGAGCGTCGTCGACGTACGTCATGTTCAACACAAGCTGTGCAACGTCACTAATCACTTTGCAGTTCTTCCTGCGTATGCTGCCGAAGAGCCTCAATCCTCAGAGTCCTCAAAGGAGATCGCAAAGGTTGCGCTGCGCTTGAAATACCAGATTGAGCAACTGCTCGTCTGTGAGGTCGAGGAGAGCGCCCTGACCGACCCCAACAGTCGCATCATCACAGACAATGTGATCAAGACCGCCAAAAATGCCGGCGGTGAAGATTATAAGGCCTGTATTGTCTACTGTCTACTCACGTGTCTGCGATGGTTCCAGATCCAGGCCTCTGTGGAGCTCTGGGACGCGGATCTCCACGAAGGTCGAGCTGTAGCTTGTGAAGTCATCGCAAAGCGCATGTATGACCACCCACCCTTTGGCCATACACCCCCAAGAGTATCATCACTAACCTCACGTGCAGAATTGAGGGCGAGCAAGATCAGAGCTATTTGCTCAAAAATATTCTTCTTAAGCGCTACTCTATCTTCATTGAAGGTGAAGAGACGGATCCTGCCAATGTGATCGAGCGTTCGGTTGATCTCCATGCGCTGAGAGTCATCAGCTCTGCTGGATACCAGAAATGTATCGCGTACCTGTGGCAAGGCTGGATTTGCCAGGAAGAAGGCAATCCGACAAATTTCATCGAGTACGCTGATAAGTCAAACTCTGACTACTGGACTCATTTCCACCCAGACCGGATGCGCACTCCTCATTATCAGAATGTCTGCCAGATCGTATTTTCTCTGATATATCTTGCGCTGTATACAGCTGTGATAAATACTGTCAACCCTACCGGTGATCTTGACTTTGTCGAGTGTATCCTTTACACGATGACCCTTGCGTTCATCTGTGACGAAGTAGCCAAGTTTTGGAAGGTGGGCTGGAATTACGTCGAGTTCTGGAATGCCTTCAACTCTACTCTTTACGCCCTGCTGACGATATCATTCGTCATGCGCGTGGTTGCATTGGCCCATTCACCCGGAAATCATAATGAAAAGCGGCAATTCTTTAACGAGCTAAGCTACAACTTCTTAGCTTTTGCCGGTCCGATGTTCTGGATGCGCATGATGCTCTACTTAGACTCGTTCCGCTTTTTTGGTGCTATGTTCGTCGTGCTGCGTGTGATGATGAAAGAAAGCTTGATTTTCTTTGCTCTTCTATTCGTGGTTCTGGCTGGGTTTTTCCAGGCTTTTATCGGAATGGCGCAGGTTGACGACGATGTCGATATCGTCAGACCTATCATTCAGGGCATGGCGAACACTGTAATGCAGAGCCCCGATTTCGATACTTTCCAGGATTTTGCATACCCCTTCGGAATCATTCTTTACTACATTTTCAACTTCGTCGTCATGATTGGTGTGTGCAATCCATTATATTGAAGCCAGGGAGAAATTGCTAATGTCTCGCAGTCTTATTAAACATCCTCATCGCGCTGTACAACAGTGCGTATGAGGACATCTCCGGCAACGCCACTGACGAGTACATGGCCATCTTCGCACAGAAGACCATGCAATTCGTCCGCGCTCCCGATGAAAATGTCTTCATTCCACGTAAGTTCTTACGTCCATTGAGTAACTGACGCCAGCTAATCTCCACCTTAGCCTTCAATCTGATTGAGATTCTGGGCCTTGTTGTTCCATTCGAATGGTGGCTCTCGCGAAAGCACTATGCCAAGCTCAACGATATCGTGATGTGTATCATTTACTCGCCTCTTCTCGTCATCACTGCTTGGATTGAGGCCCGCGAGGCAGAGGCCATCAAATGGAATCGTCGCCACGGAGAGGAGGACGAGAATGACACCCAGGAATGGGAACATGTAGCTGAGGAGGTTGACTTTGACCTCGATGATAACTGGAAGGAAGAAGTGAAGCAGAACACGCCTAATATCAAGGCTGACCCCTGCACCGCAGAGATTCGGGAGTTGAGGGATCAAGTGGCTGTGTTAACGGAGTTGGTGAAGAAATTGAGTGAGAAGACAATGGTGGATGGATTATCTTGATAGACCGATGCTCAGGTGTGGTATCTGAACTGGAAAGTGCTCGATGATTGACACAAGGGTATGCCAAGATACATGTGTATGCAGATTATCCGGGTGCATGTATATAGGTCTATATATCGTGGCCGAAGTCTCATTCTATTTCTGTTCTAGATGGGCATTTGCCTGAGGTTTATATATTAATCACGAAGTCCTGAGCTTCAGCAGTCACCTCGCACACATGGGCAGTCGAAGACTGCCATCTTCAAAAGGTGTATGTCTTCACTCAACAGAAGATCATGAAAGTAAGAGCATCTACGCGCGCCTAAAAAAAAAAAAACAACGCCATCCAGGTACTTGGTACGATTAACGATGTGTAAAAAAGAAATATCTCAGGTTTTTTTTAGGAATAGCCGAACGCGGGGGTCGAACCCGCAACCTTGAGATTAAGAGTCTCACGCTCTACCGATTGAGCTAGCCCGGCAGGGCTTGGTGGTGTGTGAGTGAAAATATGCGTTCATGAGCCAGACAAATGTGTATTCTGGCTCGGTGGGCTCAGATCCACCTTAGTAAGCCACTAGCGCGTCCCGGGGGCGAAGCCCCCTCCTGGAACCGAAAATATATCGAACTGGCCTCTTCGAGCATTCCATTCATTGCGTCTTTATGCGTGTTTAGTGTGCCGTTCACTGGACCCCTTTCGCGGTCCTTGGCTGCCATCATGTATGTTTCGATGTTTCCTCAAGCTGCTTCGATGCCTCGACCTCTCGCTAATCAATACATTAGGGCGAAACTCGCAGACGACCCCCAGATTCAACATGCGTCCCTGCACAATCCCCTCCCGATTCAATTGCATACATACGTATGGCCATTTTTGATTATCTGGCCGGCGTTTTTTGCCTTCTACCTGTCCCCTGAGCGCTATAACACGTACATTCAGGGTCAGGAGTGGACCTTCGTCTTTGCGGGGTCCATCATCACAGCGCAGTCGCTTCTGTGGTTGATGACCAAATGGAACATCAATATTAACACTCTGTTCACCACTACCTCCGCCAAGTCTGTCGATACTGCCCGCCTTATCAAGGTCATTCCCATCACCAACGCCGGTTCCGCCGAGATCTGCCCTTTAGTCCGTGAGAACGCGGGTGGAAAGAAGACTCTCTCGTTCCTGTTTCAGAAGCGCCGTTTCCTCTTCTACCCCGAGACTCGTACCTTCGCTCCCCTTTCCTACGTCCTCGATGCGGAGCCCAAGCCCCCCCTCAAGTTCTTCCAGCAGAGCAAGGGTCTTACCACCAAGGCCGAGATCGACCGCATCCAGCACCATTATGGTGACAACACTTTCGACATCCCCGTTCCTACCTTCGTCGAGCTCTTCCAGGAGCATGCGGTGGCACCGTTCTTCGTTTTCCAGGTGTTCTGCGTTGGACTATGGATGCTGGACGAATACTGGTACTACTCGCTGTTTACCCTTTTCATGCTTGTGGCTTTTGAAAGCACTGTTGTGTGGCAGCGCCAAAGAACCCTCAGCGAGTTCCGTGGAATGAACATCAAGCCCTACGATGTGTGGGTCTACCGGGAGAACAAGTGGTCGGAAATTACCAGTGATAAGCTCCTTCCCGGCGATCTCATGTCTGTCAGCCGCACCAAGGAGGATGGCGGAGTTGCCTGTGACATTCTCCTAATTGAGGGCAGTGTCATCGTGAACGAGGCTATGCTCTCTGGTGAGAGTACCCCGCTTCTGAAGGAATCTGTTCAGCTTCGCCCAGGTGATGATCTGATTGAGCCGGAAGCTTTGGACAAAAACTCATTTGTGCACGGTGGTACCAAGGTTCTCCAGATCACTCACCCTAGCGCCGCCAATGGAGATGATGCCCTGAAAAACCTGGCCGACGGTCTTACCAGTCCTCCCGATAACGGTGCCATTGGTGTGGTTGTCAAGACTGGGTTCGAAACCAGTCAAGGTAGCCTCGTGCGCACTATGATCTACTCTACCGAGCGTGTCTCTGCCAACAACGTCGAAGCTCTGCTGTTCATTCTTTTCCTCCTGATTTTCGCAATTGCCGCTTCTTGGTACGTGTGGCAGGAGGGTGTTTCCCAGGACCGCAAGCGCTCCAAACTTCTTCTGGATTGTGTCCTCATTGTCACGAGTGTCGTACCCCCCGAGCTTCCCATGGAGCTGAGCTTGGCTGTGAACACCAGTCTTGCTGCCTTGAGCAAGTTTGCTATCTTCTGTACCGAACCCTTCCGTATTCCCTTTGCTGGACGCGTGGATATTGCTTGCTTCGATAAAACTGGTACCTTGACTGGCGAAGACCTTCTCGTGGACGGTATTGCTGGTCTCACTTCGGGACAGGCCGGTGCGACGGTTGAAGCTGATGGTGCTCACTCTGATCTGGCAAAGACTGCGACCGTTGGACCCGAAACTACTCTCGTCCTTGCCAGTGCTCATGCCCTGGTGAAATTGGATGAGGGTGACGTGGTGGGTGACCCCATGGAGAAGGCTACTTTGGAGTGGCTTGGTTGGACTCTTGGCAAGAAGGACGTTTTGACCAGCAAGGGTAATGCCCCTGTTGTTTTCGATAGGCCTGTCGATTCTGTTCAGGTCAAGAGAAGATTCCAGTTCTCGTCTGCCTTGAAGCGCCAGAGTACCATCGCGACTATTACTACCAAGGAGCCTAAGACCTCGAAGAAGAGCAAAGCTACCTTTGTCGGTGTCAAGGGTGCTCCTGAGACGATCAGCACCATGCTTACCAATTTGCCTGATAACTATGAAGAGACATACAAGCACTTCACTCGCAATGGTGCCCGTGTTCTCGCTCTCGCTTACAAGTACCTCTCCACCGAATCGGAAATTTCACAGAACCGCATCAACAACTACGTTCGCGAGGATATTGAGTCCGATCTGATCTTCGCTGGTTTCCTTGTTCTCCAGTGTCCCCTGAAGGAAGACGCTATCAAGTCCGTCCGCATGCTTAATGAAAGCAGCCACCGTGTTGTCATGATTACCGGCGACAACCCGCTAACTGCTTGCCATGTTGCCCGTCAGGTTGAGATTGTCGATCGTGAGGTAGTGATTCTTGATGCCCCCGAGCACGATACCTCCGGTACGCGGCTTGTCTGGCGCACCATTGACGACAAGCTTAACATTGATGTTGACCCCACCAAGCCTCTGGACCCCGAGATTCTGAAAACCAAGGATATTTGTATCACTGGTTACGCTCTGGCCAAGTTCAAGGATCAAAAGGCTTTGCCCGACCTCCTTCGCCACACCTGGGTTTACGCTCGTGTGTCTCCCAAGCAGAAAGAGGATATTTTGCTTGGCCTCAAGGATGCTGGCTACACCACCCTGATGTGCGGTGATGGTACCAACGACGTTGGTGCTCTCAAGCAGGCTCACGTTGGTGTTGCTCTTCTGAATGGAACTCCCGAGGACTTGACCAAGATTGCCGAGCACTATCGAACCACCAAGATGAAGGAGCTGTATGAGAAGCAGTGCGGCATGATGCAGAGATTCAACCAGCCCGCCCCCCCCTGTTCCTGTGCAGATTGCCCACCTTTACCCCCCTGGTCCCTCCAACCCCAACTACCTGAAGGCCATGGAGCGTGAGGCTCAAAAGAAGGGTTCTACTGTCAAGCCCGGCGAAGAGATCCCTACTATCACCTCGCCCGGTGCCCAGGCTTTGCAGACGTCCCAGAACCTGACTCCCCAACAGCAGAAACAGAAGCAGGCCCAAGATGCCGCCGCTGGATTTGCCGACAAGCTCACGTCTTCTTTGTTGGAGCAGGAGCTCGATGACAGCGAGCCACCTACAATCAAGTTGGGTGATGCTTCTTGTGCTGCGCCGTTCACCAGCAAGCTGGCCAACGTCATCGCCATCCCCAACATTATCCGCCAGGGCCGTTGCACTTTGGTCGCCACTATCCAAATGTACAAGATTCTTGCCTTGAACTGTCTGATTAGTGCCTACAGTCTGAGTGTCATCTACTTGGATGGTATCAAATTTGGTGACGGTCAGGTCACCATCAGCGGTATGCTGATGAGTGTTTGCTTCCTGTCTATCTCTCGCGCGCCAAGGTATGTTGCCCCGCTCTATGTCTCTTGATAGTCAATTGTGCTAACAATTTCCAGTCGGTCGAGGGTCTGTCCAAGGAACGCCCGCAGCCAAATATCTTCAATGTTTATATCATTGGCTCCGTGCTTGGACAATTCGCCATCCACATTGTCACTTTGATCTACCTTTCCAGATATGTCTATTCCATTGAGCCGTACGTCACCTTGTCAATCCCCCTTCCAGCGATCATTGCTAATAATCGCAACAGGAGATCCGATAACGTCGATCTCGAGGGCGAGTTTGAGCCATCCCTTCTGAACAGTGCCATCTACCTCCTCCAGCTGATTCAGCAAATCTCCACCTTCTCAATCAACTATCAGGGCCGTCCGTTCCGGGAGTCCATTCGTGAGAACAAGGCCATGTACTGGGGTCTGGTCGCCGCCTCTGGCGTTGCCTTCTCTTGCGCCACTGAGTTCGTGCCCGAGATCAACGAGAAGCTGCGTCTGGTGCCATTCAGCAACGAGTTCAAGGTCACGCTGACTGTGCTGATGATCTTTGATTATGGTGGTTGCTGGCTCATTGAGAATGTCTTGAAGAACTTTTTCAGTGACTTCCGTCCTAAGGACATCGCTGTCCGTCGCCCTGACCAGCTCCTCCGTGAGAGTGAGCGTAAGGCGAAGGAGCTGCAGGAGGCCGAGGCTGAGAAAGAGCAGCAAAGAAAGATTTAAGTAGCTGAGATTTTAGAGAGTTCGTGGACTTTTGTATGTATACATAGAGATGGAGATTGGTCCATAGATCATGCATGAAATTTAATTCGTGTTTTTGCTGACGTGGAAACCATTCACCTCGTCAATTGGACTTCCAAAGCTGTGGTTTCAGCTCATTAAGTAACATTTCCTGTGTCAGTCATCTTTGGGTTGGCCCCGGAGCAAGGGCAATGTCATCACAATGATCCACCCACGGGTATGATCTCATACCTCTGTTGGTCTCTCCGTCTCCACCGACCTGCTTGTTTCCCTCTCTACCCAACGTATAGCTTTTGTGACAACTGGCAAAATAGAAAAAGAAAAATGGCGGCCAAATACACTCTTCAGGCTAGACACCGGATGCTATCGGGCCATGAGATCCCAGTCATCGGATACGGGGTAAGTGCTTCTGCGCACCTGAATACAGACAAGGGAACTGTCTAGTGCGGCTTCCTAGCTTCTGGTTCGGGTATATGGGGGGGACAAGGACTAACAATCTTGACTTGGACAGTCTTACATGATGTGAGTATCAGATAGTGACCCCGCATGGAAGCCCGACTTATAACGACAGCGCTCCAGGCACGACCGAAAAGGTCGCCGCCGAGGCACTCAAGGCCGGTTTCCGCCATGTAAGTGCCTTGTCACTCGTTTTTTTGCTATGGATCTAATTTTGCGCATCAGATTGACTCGGCCATTATGTACGGAAACGAGAAGGCCTGCGGCCGAGCCCTGAACAATTCGGGAATCGACCGCTCTCAGCTATTCTTCACCACTAAGATCCCGCCCGGGTCAATGGGATATTCGCGGACAAGACGGGCCGTGGACTCGAGTCTGCGAGAGGCAGGACAGAACTATTTCGATCTGTGTGTCCATACATCTATGCAATTTGCCCGAGAAAGACTAACGCGACGCAGAATTCTCATTCACGCCCCCTTTGGTGGCAAAGAGGCCCGACTCGGATCGTGGCGCGCACTGGTCGAAGCTCAGAAAGCAGGTAAGACCAAGTCCATCGGTGTGTCCAACTATGGTGTCCACCATCTCGAAGAGCTAGAAGATTACATCAAAAACGGAGGCGGCGGTGAGATTTCCGTCGGTCAGTGGGAGTTGCACCCTTGGCTGGATCATTCTGATATCACAGAGTGGTGCCATAAGCGTAAGATTATCGTCGAGGCGTACTCACCTCTGGCGCATGGTGAGCGGCTTCGGGAGCCGGTGTTGAAGAGTCTCGGGCAGAAGTATGGCAAGAGCCCGGCTCAGGTTTTGATTCGATGGAGTTTGCAGATGGTTAGTACCGTACACAACGAACATATCGCACAAGCGACTTTTTGGCGTATGCTAATCGAAGTAGGGATTCCTGCCTCTGCCAAAGTCGGAAACTCCGCAGCGGATCAAAGAGAACACGGAGGTGTTTGACTTCGAGCTATCTGCAGAGGATATGAAAATGTTGGAAACTGGGGAGTATTCTCCGACTGATTGGGATCCGACTGTGGATGTGGATTAAATGGCTTCTAAAATTTAGAAAATTATCGAGTAGACAAAAACATAGATCGAAGGCCGAGGAGCCGTGGATTTGTCAGGGAATCTCGGAGGGGTTGTCGCGGGGTCCAATTTCCAGCGCGCCCTCTCCGACCATTTTCTTTCCTCTTTCCGTATGAATCCTGTCTCTATCCTGCTCCCTCGATCAACACCATCATGAAGTTGATCCTCTCTACCTCGTAAGTGGTTCTCCTGAGAAATCAACCAACTCGGCTGACTTGGCGCAGCAATATCATGAAGGGCGGCCGACCCGTCATTCGCCAGCCGCTCACACAAAAGTCCAACGTCGAGTTGATCAACTCTCTTCGCTCGAACTTTGTCGCTTCCCAGCAGATCGATTCCAACGGCTCCACAAATGGCGATGCGAATGGACCTCGTTCCAACCGACAGGACTATAAGTCATGGACCACGGTCCAGGACGGAGCGCTCTACATCCCCGCGATTGATTTTTCGCAGCCCGGTCTGGCCGAGGAGCGCGATCAGTACGATATCACTGTAAAATTGTTCTACTTGCCGGGAATCCCGGTGTCGAGACGATGCGCACACACCCGCGAGGCGATTGACTTGGTATTGAAGGAACTACATGTGAAATCTATTGATTTGCTCATCGTGTCGTTTCCCGGAATCTTGTTCGATGCCGATGACGACAGCGAAGACGAGGAGGCCTCGCTCACCGGAGAGCCGGATGACTTCGATAGTATGGTACAGACATGGCGGGTGTTAGAATCTCTTCACAAGCAGGGCATGATCGCACAGTTGGGCGTGGCGGAGTTCGGCAGTGAGCGCCTGGCGCGGTTCCTCCCGCACACTCAAGTCAAGCCCTCGGTGGACCAGATTAATCTAAAAGACTGCTGTGTCGTGCCCAAGTCTTTGATTCTCTATGCTAAGCAGGAGAAGATTCAGCTTCTGACCCATAACGACTGCAACGATATCCTTCCCGTCGGCACAACGAGAGAGCTCCTTGGACCCACGGAGCATGGTTCCGGTATCCTGGCTTCTGCCCCGCAGGCCGATGATGGAATTCAAGGAGATGTGGAGCCACAGTGGGTGGTGAAGTACACAGCAGTGGTCAAGGATCGCGGTGTAGTCGAGAACAAAGGATACTTTGCGCTAGCGGATGTTGGCACATGCGTCAAGGACCGGGCGTGAAAGATAAGGAAATGGTCGTCAAGCATTCATTCATGTTTTCAGCGTGGCGTTTTTGAGGGTCCAGACGAACTCCAGTCTAAAGGAATGAATTCTCCCAGGACAATTGTATGCAAAATGAAAACAGGCCCTTTATCCAAGCATGCTTCGCTTGCGGCCTCGCAACCGCACATCCGCAAGCCTCTTGAGCGTAGAAGTCGCGCCCTTGTGGCTCTCCCGGTATCCCTGCAGCAAGGACTCGAAAAGTGGTTCTGACCGTGGATGCGTGCTCCCAATTGCTCGCTCCAGCACGTACAAGTCCACGGCGCGGTCTTCGTCCTGTGCGCTCTGCGATGCAAGGCCAAAGTCAATGAGGACAACCTCCCCCCTCCATAGACACCCCTGTGGGACCAGGATCTGTGGATGTCGCGGGTAACCGTAGCATCAAGTTACTCGTCGTCAGATCGCCATGAACCACGCCAGCCTTGTGCAGTCCACCCAGCGCATGTCCCATGCGTCGTAGCAGACCCCGCACGCGCTCCTCCTCCCACTCGAGCTGTGCCTGGTCCAGCGATGAAGTGTTCTTTTTCATCCATGCTTCCCATTGTTCAAGCACGATGCGCACCACGGGGCCGTCAATCCATTCCATGAGCAGCCAAGCTCCGCCCCAGCCGCCATCCTCGCCGCCCTGACCCTCCCAGTCCATTGCTAGTACGGCGGGGACACTGACACCTTCCCGAACTAATTTCACTAAGCATCGCGCTTCTTGAACGATTCGTTGCCGAGTCAAGCGACGATCGAGGATGGGGTGTCGGTATGGTTTGGAGGGGCGGATCTTGAGGGCGGCCGGAGTGGAGGGGTCAAGTGAGATGGTTTTGTAGAGGTGGGCTTCGGCGCCCTGGGTGAGAAGGACAGGTGCCGGGCTGGTATTTGTGAAAGGCGAGGGGAGTGCTGGAGGCTTATATTCGTCAGTCATGGCGGTCGACGGGGTTGTGCGTAGCTGTTTGGAGCTGGGAAAAAAGTTCCGCACGGAGATCAAACACCGTAGTGGGGCTGGCGACTCTCGACTCACGGATCAACTTCTCTTCCCTCCTTGACTTTGTTCTTTACTTGTTCATGCGACCAGGTCTCAAGGCATCGAGGCTTTTCCAAGCTTGACTCAATACCTTGCAGATTATACTCAGGCTCTACTAGGCATGAGACAGGGAGAATTTGCAATCGCGAATTGAAACGCTGGAGCAACTATAGGTATCTCTCAATTGGACCTCTCACTGTGATATGGCACGAATTGCATTCCGTCCGACCTTGGCTGCAGAAACAATTGCCATCCATTGGGCTGTGTCGTCAAACCAGAGGGGCCCGCGTGGGCATTACGCTGCAGATTAGCAGGTTAAGCTCGTGAGATTGAGGTTGGTGTTCTCAAACATGAGGCTGAGCTAGGCGCTAGGGGCGTCAAATATACAATTACTTGGACATTGATACAAGGTCATTTCTCGAAGGAAACTTGGTCCAATTTCCCCCATGATGTCGGTTATACTACATGCCCACCGTATCCTCCAGGCTACCATGGAAAAGGGCTAGGCGAGATGGTCATGACCACAGGTAAGAGACAAACCAGGGAACAACAGACCCTCGGCACAAAAACTACGACGGCCCCGCTGTGATCAGCTCTAAGCCCCCCAAATGAGCCCCCATAGCCCCAATCAGAGCGATGAGTCACTGCGCAAAGTCCACCAGGAGCGACTGTGTCGGGGTCCCAGACGGGTTTAGCGTCAGTCGGGGACCCGAAAGGGGTAAGGCGTGTTTCGATGGTGCGGGCGCATATACAATGGTGTTCACCCTGCCTCAGGTTCTTTTTTGGTTCTTCTTGTGACGGTCTTCGGATCTTATTGTTGATTCTACCCCGGGACGATTTTGGCCCTGTGCACCCCCCGCGCGTCTCTCTTTTGATACCCGATTATATAGATTTTGTGATTCAGTGATACCCCCGGAAGCAATGGCGTCCATTCAATCTCATTACTTCTATACGGAGGTTCCTGGCCAGTCCGACGAGTACGTCGACTTTGACCAGTTCCTCGACTTCACATCGGTCGATGGTGATATCTCTTCTGCCTCCGCCAACTCTGTCTCGCCCGAAATGGCGCTTCCCTACGATGCTGACATGTTCGGCGATGACCTCCTGGACTTCACCCAGCCCACCTTCCCAGACATGTTCAATTACGAGTTGTCCCAAGATGCATTCCTGGATCAGTCCACCGAAATGGGTTTGATGCAAGGTCCGGCGCCGGTGTTTGACGATGTTGCGTTCCACGGCTACCAACCCTACGACTTCAGGCAAATGGTCGAGGCCCAAGCCGCTGCTGACCCCCGGATTGTCTCCACCAAGGAAAAGCGTCGCGAAGCTTCAATCGCTCTGCACCTCCAACGTTTGTGTGATGCCACCGCCCTCGATCTGGAGATGTCATCTGACTCCAGCGCCAGCTTCTCCTCCCAAAGCTGGTCCGACTGCATGCGCGAGAGCATCTCGCCCAAGCCGATTAGCACCAGCACCAGCACCAGAAGTACTCCCGTCTCTTCTCAAGAAGCTGGGGGCATGGAAATGGTCCTAGATCTGAACATGAATGCCGCTTCCAACCTGCCCAAAAAGCAGAAGCCTCGTTCCCAAGCCCAGAAGGAGAACTACATCAAGGCTCGCAAGTACGGCGCTTGCGAGAAGCACAAGAAGCAGCATAAGAGGGTAAGTCATCAAGTCGTCCCTTTCATCAGACATCTAACGTGCTTCCAGTGCAACTGCCTAGAGAAGGCCGCCGCCCGTGCGGGCGTCAATGAGGTCCCGATGGACGTTTCTTACAGGGAACAACCACGACCTCAACAAACTGTACTCCCGGGCACGCACCCATACAGTCTACCGGGCCACGAGCCAACAGTAATTTCACCTTCACTGCGGCCCACGGCCAAGATGATCAAGAAACTCAAGAGCACCCATTCGCCGCGTTACGATTCGTCGCTTTGTACATCGGCACTACAACAATCCGTCAAGACGAAAACCAATGTCGACAGTGTGGCGGGTCACAGTCTGCGGAACATTACGAATGTTTCGCAGTCTTCCGTTAAGGATAGACAGCACGTTCCAAGCTCACCAAGCCACGTTTCACGCAAGACCGCCATCCTGGATCTGTCGCCAATTCGGGATAGAAAGCATGCTCACAATTCATCGGGGCTTGTCCTGACGTCCCAGTCTCCAACTATGCCTCCGTCTCTCAGGACATTGCGGAGCTCTGTTGGCCAGCAAGTATCCTGGTTCTCCGCTCTTGGGTCCACCCCAGCAAGCAACTCTGTGCGTTCTTCGGAAAGCAAATCCACCAAGCAGGTTATGCTGCGAACAAACCGTTCCGATACGGGCACAGTACGTGCGCCAAATCTGGAAGTTCGGCGCCCGAGACAGACTACGGTATCGCGACAAGTCAAGGACGAGTCGACATCCCCGACGGCCAGTCTAATGCACACTCAGTCTCTCAGGAGATTCCAAAATCGTGGAGCTCTGGCTGTGTCAAATCTCACTCAACGCCCGGTCGTTCTCGAAGGTTCGAGACTACCGTCCGCGATTCTTACGACTGGACTGCAATCTCCGGGTTCCACGGGTTCCTCGGGTCTGTTTGGTCAAAGTGCCGCAATGGTTCGTTGTTTTGTCGCACAAATGGGAGAAGTGTTCGCAACGAATGTTCTCGCATTTGCCGGCGCTTGGCGATCATCCCTGCCCTTCACCACCTGGTTGGAGGATGTGACTTATAAGGGTCTCTCCCTTGGTGGTTGGAGTCTAATGTCTGCCAAGAAAGGTCTTCAGCTGCACAGTATGCGTACCTTTTGGTCTGCATAGACTGTTTACCATTCGTTTGCTAGGCCAAGATCAGGCCAATGGACTGAAGCTGTTTTGGTGAGCCTTTTTAGTGAGTCGCTCTGGATGATTTTTTTTTTGAGCAGCCGTTTTTGCTTGTTTTATGCCTTTGGCGACGATATTGCGTTGGAGTTGATGGGAAAGCTTCGCCTGTCTAGACGTCAAGGTCTATACCGTGACTGGATGAAGAAAAGAATCCTGCTATAAGACAAAATACAAAAGTCATTGTGCGCATTGTTTATTCTTTTCTGTCAATCTTGAACTGCAGCGCAGTCCTGTAAACCCAGTACTGTATAACGTTGAAGGTGTTCAATGGACTCCACTGCCCCACCACGCTCCTCGCAGCCGCCCCGTGTCCAAGAAAACACACACTTCACAGTTTGCAAGACCCTTCAATTATGGCACGAGGTACATTCAAGTTCAGCACAGAGCCCGGCTACTTCCTTCAGGATGAGCCTTCTACCGATCCAGCCACTTTTGACTATGTAAGCCCAACTCCGAGAGTATCAAAGACGCCCACTGAGACACTTAGGTTGCATCAAACTTCGGTCTCATAGACCGTGATTACAATTGTCAATCAAGTTCCCACGAGAATGCTACCCAATGGGAGAAGCTCCAGCAGCAAGTCGAACAAATGAACAATTCCCCTGACTCAGACAAGTCTGATGTCCAATATAAAGTTCTCTTCCTCGGACGACACGGTGAAGGTGTCCATAACGTCGCCGAGAGACGCTATGGTACTAAAGCATGGGATGTACGTATACTCGTTCTTCGCCTGGCACGTGAGATCTCCTTTCTCATCAAGATCAACAGGACTACTGGTCCCTTTTGGACGGAGACGAGTACGGCTCTTGGGTAGACGCCCGCCTAACAGAAGTGGGCATCTCTCAAGCCAAAACCGCGCGCAACGCATGGGCAAAGCAGATCAGGCAGAAGATACCCTCGCCCCAATCATACTACGTCAGCCCGTTGACCCGATGTTGCCAGACGGCACAAGTCACATTCGAGGGACTTGACATGCCTCTCACAAGTCCCTTCAGACCAGTCATCAAGGAAGTAAGACGCATCTCTCTCTTGCAAGAACGGGGGTGGATGGTTGGCATTATATCTGGATCAAGAATTGAACTAACATTGACTCAGCTATTACGTGAAACAATGGGCGTACACACCTGTGACCGTCGATCCAAGGCATCTACTATTGCAGCCGAGTTCCCCAAATATCAATTCGAGTCGGGCTTCTCCGAGGATGACTTGTTGTATGACCCGAACATACGAGAGTCTGACGAAGACCGGAATAAGCGACTACAGTCTTTGCTGAATGACATCTTTAGCAATGACAAGAATTTCTTCCTATCGCTGACGGCGCATTCGGGCGCTATCACTAGTATCTTGGAGGTTGTTGGGCATCGGGAGTTCCCTCTACAGACTGGCGCGGTGATTCCAGTTCTCGTCAGGGCGGAAAAAAATCAATCGTCCTCTGCATCGAGAAGTGACGCAGGACCTCAGATCAAGGCGTTTGCGGAGAAAGCTCGTAGAGACGAGGAGTTCAAAAGGCTGAAGGAGGCTGTGTGATCAGGCCGGACGTCTACGGAGACGGCTGCTTTCCAGAAGCACGTTGATGGCGCTACAGATAGATATACTTAGAGTTCTTGTGATGTATTTCAATCTTGTATATTGTACATAGGCTACTCGCCCGGCTTTCTACTGCTAGATGCAAAACTTCTGCACACTCCCGACCAGGGAAACAAAAAAAAACAATAATAAACGAAACCGGTACATCCACTAGTGGAATGCAAGAGTAAATAATACAACGCAACGCCAAAAGGGAATCTCTTTCGCATTTACCAGCTGTAGTACTGGTTCTGAGCTGAGATTTTCCGGTCTGGCAACTGGGTCCAGAGCTGTGATCTCCGCTTCCGCAGCGCATCGGCTTCACGGTCCTGCCACTGACGGATACGAGTCTTCTCTTCCTTCAAGACCACTGATAGACCGGTGGCCGGGGACGGAGAGTGTTGATTGTGCCACGGGCACGGTGGTCCATGCCGAATCCGTAGGGCCCACGGTTGACCCACGCTTGCTCGATGTAGATTGATGTCGGGTCGGTGATCCTCTTACGCTCCCCATCCTTGAGGGTAATAGTGACGGGCTTGGGAGTCTCACCCTCGGCCGGGAGGCCCATGCCGGCACGGACCATGGCGACGTTCTTCGCGTGCTCTAGGTGCTCCAACACGTCCTTAGCAGCCTTCTTCTTGCTGAAACGCATCTGCAGAATAGCCTCGTCGATGTTCTTGCCTGCGATTTGGCGAGCCAGAGGACCCAGCTTTTTGACGGAGGTCTTGAACCAGTGTGACTTCTCCAGGGTTTCGCGCTCAGTGCGCTTGATCTGGACAGATTTCGGGATGCGGCCGCGTTTCCGGATCTCGCGGATGACCATTTTCTGTTCCCAACGGAACTGGGCCTTGGGGTTGGGGTTCAAGGCCATTTGCATACGGTCCTTGTTGCGCTCCTCCACAGGTAAATTCTCCAGTTGTCCGGCTTGTTGCTCTTGGAGCTGCTGCTTCTTGCGTTTGATGTTGGCACCAGAAGCGATGTCGTCGGCGAAAATGGAGCTAGCACCCAGATCACCCTCGTCTTGCTGGGGAGCGGATGGTGTGTGAGTAGCCTTTCCGAGACTTTGAGACCCATTGCCCCCCGCGGACGAGCCTGTCCCCTTAAGCAGCGACTTTTCCTTCTTCGTATACCATTGCTTGATGCCAGACAACCATCCAGGCTTCTGGTCATCCTGAGCGCGATAAATCGGCGTCGTGGTCAGTGTCCGCCGGGGGACGAACGAGACGGGAGTCCGGGCCGCTAAAAAAAGAAAGATCAGTATTGGTTAGTCCTTTAGAAACAATAGAGAATGGACGCACCGGCCCGAACAAGCTGCCCGTATGGATAGCTGACACCCATTGTGATCGTTGAAATGGAGTGTTGTTGGTATGGACGACGGTGCAAAAAAAGGTGATACAAGCGGACTGCGCAAATGGCAGTTAAAGCCAACCGTAGACCTCTCATGCCTCAGGCATGATATCGCGAGGTGATTGATCAGATTGGGATATCGCATCGCAACATTTCATGAATTATTAACTCTAGGAGCTTGGAACAGATCTTGAGCGTCGCCCGGACCTCAAGGGGGACCTGCTCTGCATAATCTGCCCATAGTCACGGCTTGCATTCCCTTACACCGTCATCTCCACACGGAAGATCCACTAGCCCTCATCTTCCCTCTTTCAGGGCCTTCAGTGCTTCTCCCTCCATCGGCACCTTTTCCCTTTCCATCCTTCTTCTCCCTCTACCCCTCTATCACTCCACCAGTTCACCAGGCTCCTGCCTGCCCTTTACCTGTATGCTTCGCTCTCGACGTACTTGACACCTGTGATCGAACTCAACTGGGACCTCTCCCGCTCTTTCTTTCACACGTTCCTTTTCGCCGACTCTCCTCGGTCCCCTTCGGTCTTCTCGAAGAACGGCTGTTGCAGAAAGATTCAAGCTTCGCGCACTCATCATAGCGCGATATCCCCAGCGACTGTGGAGTTCGGCACGAGGAGACGGGATCTGAATACCGAGCTGCGTTGGCGGATGCAGGAATGGATGTGTCGTTGAGACATTTCGTGGCTGTTGTCTGATCTGGATCTCTGCTATCCTAGCACTATCCGTGACCTCTGGTCTTTGACATATCTTTGGGTTCGCCGTCCCTTCTTATCTTATTCAAGGGTGTGTAGTAGACCGTGAAAACCCGGCAGCATGGACATCAATTCACTGCTTTCCCCGGACTCAAACCCGCAATCTGGAAATTCAACGCCCGTACCCGGCCCCCCGTCGAATAACGCGCCAACTCCAATTACGGCCCCATCGTCTTCCCCCCACAAAGCTATCCAGCGCGCACGGTCGGGTCCTGGTCGCAAAGGAAAGGTTTCCTCGCCTCTTGCGCAACAAGTGTATGCGCCACCTTCCATGGTCGAGTCTTCCTCGCCGGCTGCAAGCCCTTCTATTGCCTCCAACCCTGGCGGTGGAAATGGCGCAGCCAATGTGACCGAACAACCACCCTCGAGACCACCACCGACCGGGATGGATACCTTGGCAGACTTGGCTTCAATGCAGCACCATCAGCCGCCACCTGGCAGGAATGCCCCCTCCATGCTGCGGAATACCGAGTCGTATCAAAGTCAACTCTCTCCCTCCACTATTCACCCTCATGTGAATACTATCAATCATAACACGCCAGCCGCCCGTACATCCTTCGATATCGCAATGTCAGAGGGCCCGCGGGCAAGCGCGCGGAAGAATTACATACAAACATCGCTGGAGCCGGACGCGCAGCACTCGGCGACCACTTTGTTCAATCAAATACAGGAAAATCCCCACACCTACGAAGCGCACGTCCAGTTCATCGGGTTGTTGCATGCGGGCTTTGTAAACCACGTGTACCCACCCAATAACCCGGATATCCATGGCGACCCGCGGCGATACGATCTCCTGAAAGACTTGCGAACTGCTCGGGAGGAAATGGATAAGCTCTTCGCGATGGGTGAGGATCTTTGGGCCGAATGGATCCAGGACGAAAGCATGCTTGCTCATTCAGTAACGGAGCGTATTGCCGTGATGGAGCTTTGCCAACGATCGGTCGAAGAAGAATTTGGCAGCACACAGCTCTGGCATATCTATGGTGAATGGGTACTCTATCTTTACAACTCTGCGGCTGGTGAAGGTGGAGCTGGCCAGTGGACTGAAGAAGACCGATTGGTTGGGCGTGAAGTTTTCAGCTGGCAGTCGGTCTTGGATGTGTGGCAACGGGCTGCGGAAGCCACTCGGTGGAGGATCAACAACAGTCACCTCGTCTGGGACCGATTGCTGGAGCTTTATACTCAGGACCTCTCGCGAGCTCCCCTCGCAAGAAAAGATCAATCATCTTCGGGGCCTGTACGATGTTCGACTGCAGACGCCTCACGCGACCTGGGATCAGACATTCCAGGCCTTCTCGAGTTTCATTTCTTCCTACTTTGAATCCAACTACGAAGAAATCATGTCCAAAACAGTTGCTCAGGGATCAAAAGCGAAGAACCTTTATAACTCTCGTGAAGAACATGAGCTTCGATTGAGCAAGGCGCAGGAATCTGGAGATAAGACTCTTGAGTGGACAGCTTATACCGAGTACATCGACTGGGAATTGAGTCGCAACCGTCGACGTGATTACAACTTCGAACTCGCAAACGCTATCTACCAGCGCGCTGTTTTACATTTCCCAACCGATGTTTCTCTGTGGGAAGATTATGTCATGTTCCTCATCGGCGAATCCATGCATAATCACGTCTCCACGACGACGATTGCCACTCTGGAGAGGGCAACTCGGCATTGCCCTTGGTCTGGTAATCTCTGGTCTCAGTACCTTTTGAGCTCAGAACGTGAGGGCCAGTCATTCTCCAAGATCTCGAATATTAAACACAAGGCTACTAGCACTGGGCTTCTTGATGCCGGAGGCATGGAAGAGGTTCTCAAAGTTCATGTCACTTGGTGCAGCTACCTTCGTCGACGTGCTTTCCTCTCCGAGGCTACCGACGAGGATCTCGATGTGGCAGAGGTCGGCATTCGCTCGGCGATTGAGAGTGTACAAGAGCTAGGTGAGAAGAAGTACGGTCGCTCATACCAGGGCGATCCTCTCTTCCGCTTGGAGCGCATTTACATTCGATACCTCAGCGAAAGTGGCAGCTGGGATAGCGCACGTGAGACCTTCAAAGGTCTTGTTCCTCGCCGCGGCAACAGTTACGAATTCTGGCTCACATACTATGGCTGGGAACTCATCTCATGGAGCAAATTTGTTCAAGGCGAGGCGACAGTGGACGCCGCAAGGCGGACACCCAACCCAAGCTATGCTACTGCAGTTTTGAAGCAAGCCATCAAGCGCCAAGATCTTGACTGGCCGGAGAAGATTGTGCAGACTTACATCGCCCACTGTGAGGACTATGAGGACTCGGACGAGCTGCAACTTGCGGTCATTGAGACCCGAAAGGCCATGAGAGCTGTTACCGCCCGAAGGGAACTAGAAGCACGTGAAGCTGCTGCGGCTCAACAACAGCAGCAGCAGCAGCAGCAACAGCAACAGTGGGAGGCCGCTGCTGCCGAGGCGTCCACGTCGGAGAAGAGAAAACGTGAGGATGATGCGAATGGCGAGCCCACTAGCAAGAAAGCTCGCGGGGAAGAGACGGCCAACAATGAAGAGGAGGAGCCGGCGGGGCCTAGTCGTGATCGCGAGAATGCAACGGTGGTGGTCAAGAATTTGCCGCACGAGACGTCCGAGCACCAGGTCCGACAATTCTTCCGACACGTAAGTCTATCATTGCCCTGTCACTTGCACCCATACTCACCCGAATCACAGATCGGCACAATCAATGGCGTTAAAATGATACGCGGTGAAGATGAGAAATCAGAGGTCGCAGTCATTGAGTTCGAAACACAAGAAGAAGCTCTTAGTGCCCAGACTCGGGATCAAAAAGACTTCCATGGAAATACCATTGAAGTACAGATTGCTACCGACACCACCTTGTATGTCACGAATTTCCCCCCGACTGCTGATGAGGAGTACATTCGTAATCTCTTCAGTAAGTACGGCGAAGTTCTTGAAGTACGCTTCCCATCGCTCAAGTATCAAACCAAACGACGGTTCTGTTACGTGCAATTTGCCACTTCCAGTGCCGCACACCAGGCTACCGAACTTGACGGCACAACTACTGAGAAAGGCTTCAAACTCGTTGCTAAGATCTCGGACCCTTCTCAAAAGCAGGATCGCTCTGGAGCCATGCAGGAAGGACGTGAGATTTTCTGCAAGAACATTGACTTTAAGCTAAGCGAGAAGGAGGTGCGGGAGGCATTTACAAAATTCGGCACGATCGAGAAGCTCCATATGCCAATCAATGTCGATGGCGGTCGTAGAGGGTTTTGCTTCATAACCTTCTCCACAAAAGAAGAAGCTGAGGCTGCTCTCGTGATGAATGAAGAGATGCTCGGATCGCGTCGTTTACAAGTCAACCCCAGCGGGCAGACCGGTGCCAAGCGCATTGCGAGCACCATCATATCGCGAGTTCGCACATCGGCCTCGCCATCTGCAGAGGGTAATGGCGATGGCTCGGATGCTGTGGAAACGACTGGCGACCGTGGTAATCGTACGCTCGGCTTGATGAACATTCCGGACACGGTCAACGACGCTCGAATCCGCGCCCTGGTGGAGCCATTTGGACAATTAATCAAGATCGTTCTGCGACCGGACCATCAAGGCGCCATCGTGGAGTTTGCCGACGTCCTTGATGCTGGAAAAGCATCGCTGGCTCTCGAAGGCAGAGAAATTGTCCCAGGCCGTCCCCTTCGCGTCGGAAGTGTTGCTGAGTTGAAAACGCTCCATGCTGAGCGCAAGACGGACCGGATCACGTCGATCAAGCATGAGAAGCCGAAGGCTAATCTCCAACCTGCGGGTCCGATCAGGCGCCCTCAGCAGCCCGGTGCCCGTGGAGGCCGCCGAGGTGGACTTGGTCTAAAACGAACTAGTGCTCCCGGCGGACCGGCGGACAAAGCGACTCCTGACAGCGACAAGATGGATACCACCGTCGACGGCAAGGACGGCGATGCTGGCAAGTCCAAAAAGAGCAATGATGATTTCCGTGCGATGCTGCAGCAGAACCGCACGGCGTGAAGTGCGATGGCAATGAAAGTAACCGACGTCACATCCCTTACGGCATGAATCTGGCTGGCGTTTTTTGTCTTTTTATTCTCGGTGGCCCCTATTCTACCTCGCGATCCGTATGTATCAACCCGGGTGGCTCTTTGTGCCATAGCTTTTTGCTTTGCGTTTCTATCTCTTTTTGCTGGGCCGCGTGCCTTCCTGTACATTATGTCTCTGTACTGCTGGCTTTTTATCTTTTTAGTATTAACGATGACGGCTGTTCTAAGGGATCCTTCGTTTCACGACGGGGTTCCCACTCATGTGTGACGCGTTTGTGCATGGCCTGTGCGACTCTTATAGCGCTCGAAGTTGTATAGATCTAAAAGGGGACAACTTTGGATCAAGTCACAGACTCGCAGAAAAAGTAGACCAGCGAAGACCTCGGGCTAACATGCCTACATGCCCGATGATGGATCAAGAACTTTGTGCCATAGTTAAGAGCCGTGTTCCTGGCCAGCACTTTGTCCAGATGGAGGCATTTCAGAATATGAGCAGGCCTCTCAACTGACCCTTTCTTAGAATCCTGCAAATTGCAAATATGTCGAGAATAAGAATCATCAAATTCCAAGAAAATCGCATCATACAAGCGACTACCAAGATCCGGTGCTCAGACGCTCTGTGCCCGGTTTTGGACTGCGGGAGCGGTGATAAGAGGGTGGGTCACACCCTCAAGATCTCCCTGCTTTATACATCTCCCTCCCTTCCAATGCGCGGCCTGGAAACATCGCTTTGATGCTCCCATATAGTCCAGGCTATTATTCGGCTCGTCTCCAGTTTTTCCAACCTGATCATCCATCCCGGTCTTCCATTGCAGGGCCTTCCATGCACCCGCACGGGCCAAACCTTCCAAATCACCTACGCAATCTGCCAACTCCTCTCCTGAAACGTCCACCATGGACTTCCACCTCGTGCCTCGAGGCACAGACCGGAACTACACAGGATTCCTGACCAAGACAATAGTCTACTCAGGGACGCTTGTTTTCTTCCTGGCATGTGAGTAGCCATGAAATCCGCGGCAACACACTAGGCTGCCGTCGGAGCTTTCGCTGACCAGGGAAACCACTTATCAGCCTTTGCCTTGACCTTAAGCTCCATAATTATCCCTAGATGGGTCAGCTATCACAGCGAGAAGGTGAGAACACGCGCGCAAGATTGTGCCTTCACTCTCTGCTAACTCTTGACGCAGCCTGCGCACCACTATTCCTACGGCCTCCATAAACGCTGCTCCTCCCTCAATAATACCTGCGAGAGCTTCCCTCAACGCGAAGACTGCCATGGCGACGATCGATACTTTTGCTCCATGTGGCGCTCCGTGGGGTTCCTGATGTCCTTTGCTGTCGTGCTACAAGGCATGAGCATAGTGACGTACATTGTGATTCTCATGGGCGGAAAACGGCTGCGTGAGAATGGATGGAGGCTGCTCAGTCTTCTGATCGTGATGTCGGCGCTTCTGCAGGCTGCGAGCATGTCTATCGTGGTAGGTTCTATAATATGCTGGGGTTAGGTTTTCGGACTAATTGTCTGCGGGCAGGCTTACCTCTACGACAACGAAGATCGATTCTTCGTGGGCTGGAACCTCGACGAGTCGTGGGTGTTTTGTGTCGTCAGCTGGTGCCTCGGTATTTTCTGCGCTGGCGCGATCGTTGTCGCGGCTCAGATTCTACCCTCGGAGGGTGGTTATGAGCTGATCCCAGATCATGACGCACTCAGAGTGACCTCTTAGTTTGCTCCCGGTGCGGGCTCAGCGTGGCTGTCTGAAAATATTCTGCCTTGACAAAACTATACGCGATATGGGAATACGCTGAGATGGAACTGTCCATTTACTTGAATTCGGTTTACAGTACCCGAGTCCTATTTTCTCTTCTCGGCATGGTCTGCTTGTCTGGTGGTCGATTTGAACTGATATTCTTACCATATGTGTCCCCCAGAGATTCGGACTGTATATAAACTTGCGTATCTTTCTTTCTAGTGCCTTGATGGTAATTTACAACTAATACGGACTTTGATGCATTCAATATACTTCTTGACAGATACTACACCCTTACCAGATGATGAATTCTCTTATTGGATGATTCATATTTTCGTCATTCGCATTGGGGACCTTTCAAGGCATCCAGGCCAGAGCATCAGCCATCGCGGTCTAAGTAAGAACAAGAACACTGCACTAAACCTACAACCTCAATGCCGAAGTGATCAAAGGTAGACACAAGAGAATTGTTTCATCAAGATTCATCGCATACAGTATACATGGGAGTGATTCATGCCACGACTGGCGCGACCTACCAAACAATGTGTTTCCCATTGATCCCCTCAATAGCAGGGATCTGAGCGCGCAGCGCCTGTCCATAATCACCAGCGTTCGGGGTGCGAAGGAGGGTGTGAATGTGGAATTTCTTGGGCTCCTCGTTGTTCAGGAAGACACCCGAGTGATGGTCGAACTCGATGAGGATCACAGGGCTCTGTAAGCGGTAGTAGAACGGGTCTTCGTCACCGTAACCTCCAATCCAGCAGAAGTAGGTCTCAGCCTCCCAGCGGCGCACCTCCTCGATCTTCTTAGCGCGTGCCTTGGCGGGCAGGTACAAAAGGTATTGTTCCAGAATGCCATACATCAACTTCTTTTGGTCGTCATTGAATGTCGATGCCAGGATGCCCTCGTACGGCACCTCACGGTTGTCGCGGTAGGCACCGCACACGTGACGCTGGTCGTCCTTATTCCAGCGACCAGGAGGCATGGCAGGGTCCTTCATCAGGGCAAAGACCCGGGCCTTGGCCTGCAGCTCAGCAGAGAGGGACTGCATCAGCTCCAGACCAAGCTTCTCCTCGACCTGCATAATCCGAGTCCCGGCATAGGGACCGGCGTCGATCTCATTGGGTTCAGCACCGGTGAACCACGGCGAGGCAACAATCTGGCCCTTGTACAAAAAGATATTCAAGCACAGATGGTGGCCGTAGAAGGACCAACCCCACGGGCGGTCGGTGGAGGGCTTTCCGAAGAGCGCGAAGTTGTACGAGAATTCATTCATGACGCGGGGAGACTTGACGAGCTCGCCGAGGAAGTGATTGATGCGCATGGCGCTGACGGCCTTTTCGTAGCCCTCGGGCGAGAGAGTGACCTTCAAAATGTTCATGACTGCATCGCGGATTTGCTCATTCACCTCGTCGAGGCGGACACCTTTGTGCGAGAGCAGGAACTCGGGGTTCGACCAGGTACGCCACTGGGGCGAATCAATGTGGTAACTCACGGCCTCCTTCTGCTTGTCATCCAGCAGAGAGATCATGGATTGTGTAGCGGCCACAATCTCCTGGATTGGGACATCTTCATCTTGCAATGTGAATAGGTCAGAACGGACCTTGCCTAGTGAGTTGTCAGCGATTGCCTTGCAGCTCAATCTTCAGGATCGAATCTTACCATCGGTAGTGACGCCCTTGAAAGGCTCCTGCAACAGATCCAGCCAGTGCATATACAGCGCGTGCAACCACGGCGGCTGCTTGCCAGTCTTGAAGGCGTGTGCATACTCATGCGCATCCTGGGTGCACATCACCTGGAACCGCGGGGTATTCAGGTCTGGCAAGTATTGGCGGTACTCGCCGGTTGGCTTCTCTAGTGAACTTGACATGGTGGCTATAGGGTTATTGACGAAATGCAAGAGGGAGGTGGGAGCTCATGAAGTATTATACTCACCCCACGCGGTTCCGCGCAGGGCGTCCCCACGCGCGTGGAGAAGGTGGGTGATGTTTTATCCGCGCATTTGGTGCATTGGTGGCAATGTTCCAGTTCAACCAATCTAAGTGTCCCGGAAAGGAATTTATGAGTTCGATGAGTGTCTCTCCTCTTTGGCCGACAATGATCTAAGCAACAGATGGTCGGTCCAACGGGTCTTCATGACGCGTGAGATCTTGCCACATCTGACGGATCGATCGGAGACCGGGTTCTGCGGGATAACGATACAATCGAACTGGATGACCGACATCATGGAGTACTAGCCCTTACACTTCAAAGCTCCCTTCGATGGAATGTATTCTAGCCATTCAAGGACATGGGCGAAGCTGGATGGACAATGTCTACACAATGTATAACTTCCCCCCCAAAAATTTGACAACCATACCTGGGCGTGCACAACCCAATGTTACTACTGCAGGCCATGGGTTCTATACGGATCGACTGCCCGTTCGTCGACTCAGAGCCTGTTGAAAAGCATCGAGTCCAAACGTGATGGTGGGGCTAGTGCAACGCGTACTGTATATGACGCGGAGCAGTTTGACCGCAGCCACGCACCATTTACCCCTCCATATCTCACCAGGACGGACGTTGAAATTCTTTTCCCGATTCAGCCTAGGCATGTTCATGTTCGTAATGCGAGTCTAGATACACTTCGGCTCGCGCGTGTAAGAAGATTCGGCAGCTGTCAAGGCATTTGACCCGCTCGTGCATTGCCTAAGCGGCTCAGGTCGGACTCTCCCAACTCCGAATCCATTTGTTATGACTCCGGGGCAAATCACGGGGCCAGAAATCAAGCTCAACCCCACAAAAGGTATGAGAGGCAGCTCGGATCTTCCGGGCACGGCTTCTCCGCCTTCGGCTTTAGTCCCCCGCATACCGACTATGCAAGTTTAAAACCTGGGGGATTATCCGGAATCTTGACTTTCACATGGACTTTTCTTTCTCATATATATGATGTCTTTGCCATTTTCTAATCAGCCTCCCGCGGACCGGGTACCATATGCCATCCCCCAGCTTGAGGGAGAGCGCATCACCATCCCCGGCAGCAAAGGAGTCTTCCGTATCCTCACCTCTTCCAAGCAGACCAATGGCTTGATGGCCGTCTTCCAGAGCGGTGCGACTCTTTCGGATGCCCCTGGTTTCCACTACCACAACAAGGCGCACGATGTCTTCCTGGTCACGAAGGGCTATTTGAAGCTGTGGAATGGAGACAAGTGCCGGATCATGGGTCCAGGCGATTTTGCCTATGTGCCTCCGGGTAGGGATTCGGAGCCCAGTGCGATATCTATTTCGATCTAATATTGTCTACAGACCGTCGTACACAACCCTGAAATGATCGGCCCTCACACAGAAATCCAGGGCTTGATTACTCCGGGTGACTGGGTCGATTTCTTCCGCTATGTCTCCGAGCCCTATGAAGGCATTCTGGTGCCCGAGACCGACAATCGCGATCTGAAGTCGATTTTGATTCCCAAGGTCATGGCTGCCAAGGGCAAGTTTGACGTCGTCTTTCAGCCTCACTATGTGCCTCCGGAGGTCAGCGAATGGACGAAGGAGGATGAGAAGCTGCCCGAAGGCAACGAGGGGTATTTCTTGCGCTCGAACACTGGACCCCGATGGATGCTGGGAGGAGTCATGTCCCGGCCGTTCGTTACTACCAAGCAAAGCGATAATGTCTGTGCTATCTCTAGCATTGAGTCATCGAAAGAATATGGTGAGACAGTTTTCTCGAGATATATGACTTTCGAGAAGGTGGATCACTGCTTCTGCATCATGGAGGGTACCCTCAAGGTTAGCTTGCAAGGATCTGGGGAAACCCTCTTCCGCGAAGGCGAGACTGTCGTGATCCCTGCTGGACAGGCTTTCTCTCTTGGATTCGAGAGCAGATATGTCAAGGTCCACTCCTTCAGTGATGGTGATGGTATCGAGGCCTTGATTCATCAGCTCGGCAAGCCTATCGAGGAGGTTGTACTGCCGGATAAGGCTCCTGAATGGGACGCCTCCCAATTGGCTTCCGTAGCGAAGCAGCTCAATGTGAGCCTCTAGAGGTTTTTGAATATAGTCCAAAGGTCCGGTGTATATACTTGCACATAAAGTGCCGAATAATGATTCCATGTTCCAGGCCCAAAAAATGACTTCCACCGATTTCCTTCGGCAAATGACTTCGTCAGCGGGTTTTTTCCTCGTAGAAATTGCCGAGTAGATCCCCACCTCGCATCAGACTGAGCCACCAAGCGAATTGATTGGTACTGTTAGCCCCGGATTGAATTGAGGCGCAACGCCCCCGCGGGGTGTCACGTGGAGCCCCGGGGTCAAAGATCCCGGAATTTCCGGACGCAGGTTCGTTGTCATCTGCATCCGACTAGCGTCGCGACCGCGAAAAATTTACCCCAGATTTTACATTATCATGCTGGGATGATGGTTTCAAGCCAGAGTCCGAGTCTGCAGCCCGCTGCGGACGAGCCGGCTCCCAAGCGTACTAAGCGACCGCGTGCTGCCCAAGCTTGCGACCGCTGCAGGACCAAGAAGTACAAGTGCGACGAGCAGTATCCATGTGCCCATTGTAGAAGTGAGTGACCTCCCCGTATATTCATCGCAACATTGTGCTGAGAGACATGCAGAAAGTGGATTGGATTGCGTATACCAAGGCAACTATCGTGAGCGTGAAAGCAGTCGGTCTGCTAGGTATGGCATCCCTTTGATCGCCTCGGCCTGTCAAACAAGCCTTGGTCCCCGCGCAACCCACTGACACAAATTGCAGCTATGTCGTTGATCTGGAGAAGAAAGTGGAAGAGCTGGCGTCGAAATTGCGCAATGCCGAGGCCCAAATTGCAGCATCGCCACAGCGCCCCAAGGGGCCAATGAGCCAACCACAACTGTCCACAGGAATTGAGACACCGCCAGCCTCTATGGTCCAAACTGGGTCAACGCCTGGCGACGCGACAAAGATGCCCGGTGAGGCACGGGAGGGGTCAACAGAGAGTGCCGACGACGAAATCAATGAGTTGAATCATCATACGAATGGAATCGAATTCCACGGAAGCACCTCATCTGCGGCACTTATCGGTCACCTTAAAAAGGCACGAGAGACAAAAAACCCCGAGGAGCGTCTTCCTCGCCCTCCAGATTTCTCATTGATCTCTACATTGCATAATCCGAGCTTCTCGCCATCCTGTACCACTGGCCCAGCTCATCCGACATTGCTCGCATCTATCGAACACCAGAATTATTATTTCGACCAAGCGCATGTCTTCATGAATGGATATTTCGAGAACATTCATTTCATTCACCCATTCATCGACAAGGAAGACTTTCTGGTGCGCGCCAACGACCTCTGGTTTAACCGAGCGCATACCCCCGAGCCTAGCTTCGTTGCTTTATACCTGAGTGTGCTCTCAATTGGGTCCCTAGTGCGCGTATGGGACGAGAGCTCCCTTGCTGGAATGGGGCGATTCGAATGGAGTCGCAAGTTATTTGGCGAGGCTCAAGCCTATCTGAATTATTTACGGTTCTCGAATGATCTTGAGACAGTACAGTGTCTTTATTTGATGGTTCGTTATTGTTACCTTCTTCCAGGAACTTATCTGACTAAAAGGCAAAGGCGAAAGTTTGCCAAAATGAACTCAACCCCAACTGTGAGTTGACCAACCAGTTGACACTTTAACTGATACTAATTTTTACAGTGGCATATATGTATCTTGGCTTGGCCGTGCGCACTTGCCTTTCGGCAGGATTCAATAGAGAGGTTCGGTGTCCCAAAGACCAACGTACGAGCTGGATCTCGAGGACGTGGTGGTGAGTCAAGATTGACATAGCCTTGAAACACAAGCGCTAACAAGTTTTGGTGGTTTAGGGGTTTGTTCTCGCTGGAAATGTAAGTTTCAATCACAAAGGGAGCTTCAATTACGCGTATCTCTAATTCTCTATTAGTGAAATGAGTTTCTCTGTTGGGCGCCCTGATACTCTAGGAATGGACGAATATCATAACCGAGCCATCCCAGAGCGGGATGACACAGAATATGCCATCATTCCCTGGATGATTGATTTTGCTCAAATCATCCGACGCGTGTCCGTTCATATTTACCATTCACGGATCACACTGCAAGAAAAACTGCAGCTGGCTCTTCAGATCGAAATGGAAATGGACCGATGGCTCGCAAGGCTCCCAGAGAAGATCAAGCCAGACATTGGCGCATACCGGCTTTCTCGAAGCGCGCTTCGGGATCCCAAATGGGCCCGAAGGCAACGGCTTGTGCTGGGTATTCGTGAGTTCCGTCTTTCACTATTTAAAAATGAAGCTAGCTAACCCTTACATTCACATTAGGATATTATAATGTGAAGATGCTGTTGTTCAGACCTTTCTTGAGCCATTTTACCCGCAAACTTCGACATCCTCCCAATGAACTGGAGGAAACCATCGCGAAATGTCTTGATGCTGCTATGAAAACAATCGAGGTCGTGCATGATATCTACCGAGTCCACACCTTCTTCCGATGCTGGTATGTTTATTCACCACGCACGATCCTTCTCCTTCTTACCAAAATTGCAGGTGGTACAACACGACTTATGTGATGTTTGCCACATCAACCCTCCTCCTCCCTATGTCCAAGCTCGGCATGTGCGCCGAGACCATGCCTCTTCTACGATCCGTCGAAATGGGCGTCGAGATTCTGGAAGCTATGGACGAATCCGTCGTGGCACGCAAATCCGTGGAAATAATCCGGCAGTACCTTCGAGATTTCAGAGCCTCTGGAGCCCAGCCGCCAGCTGCTGGCGCTGATGTTTCCGAAGACATGGCTGGAAATGAGTCAGGCATCGGCAATGGACTTGAAATTCCTGAGTGGGCTTATGGATTCGGGTTCCCCGATTACTCATTTGACGGAATCGCCCGGCTATTTGATGATCTCGAGGGGCTGCCTATGTTGGATGGTTAGCCGTATTGTTTCGTCTATTAGCAAGGAGTTCCACAGGCCCACGAGTCCTTCCCATTATGTTCTAGCGCTTACCATGGACTTTGTGGGATTCACATCCTGACCCACTTTATCAGGTGCAATTATCAATCTCACCATGTTCGCACTTTTTATGCACGATATTTGACTCATTCCAGCTGTTTTTCAGTGGTGGTGTGGAACCGCCAAAGGACTTTCCTGATGTCATGATCCTCGCAGATCGGATATCAGGAGCTGAAGCGGGTCCGCATAACATTTAAAACCCGAGATACTCGCCAATTTGGTTCCGACGTTTATCAATCGAAAGTTCCTTTTCTGCCCCGCATAATCCGAACTATCCTAGCGAATATGGTCTTGACTCTCCTCCACCTCGGCCTATCCCAGTCCGAGCGCATAATTTGGCTCGCCGAAGAACTCGGCATTGACTACAAATATGTACACCACAATCGCGACCCTATCTTCTCCCCACAATCAATCAAAGACCTTCACCCCGCTGGCACGGCACCCGTGATGGAAGATGATCCATCTCCCGTCACTGGATCAAAAGTCGTGATCGCCGAATCGGGAGCCATTGTGGACTACCTGATCGCGGTCCACGGCAACGGTCGCCTAGGACGCACGCCCAAGGACGGCGCCGACTACGCGTCTTATCTTGAATGGTTCCACTTTGCTAATGGCAGTCTCCAGCCATCGCTATTTCGAGTGATGATGGCCCGAGGCCCGGCGTCTGATCGTGACTCCCCGATTGTCGCGCACACAGTAACTAAATGGAATCATTTGCTCGACATGATGGATGCACGCTTGGGTGAGACGGGCGCTTATCTTGCGGGAAGGAGTTGAGCGCCGCAGATATCATTACTGTGTTCACTCTGACCACTATGCGAGGCTTCTGTCCGATTGAGTTGGATACAGCTAAGAACGCGAATATCCTGGCCTATTTGAAGCGTGTTGGCGAGCGACTGGCTTACCAGAGGGCTATGTTGAAGTGTGAGGGAGAAGGCTTCAAGCCCATTCTTGGATCGAAGGCTGAGATTTTTGATATTCTGAAGCCCAAGATCTAGAGGCTTATCCTTGGACATATCATGCTTGGGAGCGATTGATTCACTTCAATGACAATCTCTACTTTTTCATTGGTGTTTGGAGCTTGTATGAATATTTGAACATGTTATAGAAATGAAATAGCTATGCAATGGATCTAATCCGTGTGAACGCCCATACTACTGAATTTGGCAAAACGAGCTCGAAGGCTTCGGTTATGAGAATAGATCGGGGTTCTCTGTCACAGCTTTCTCGACTTCCTTGATGGCGTCGTATCCATACAGCCAGGGTTGGACCTCAGGGCATGTCCTACACAGGAAGTCATTAGCTACGTTATCAACATACAAAAGAAAATATGCTCACCATCGGCTGGGGAAGTGGCCCTTGATCTCCTTTCCAAGTTGTGAGAGGAAGAGCTCATCACGTTTCTTCTGCTCTTCGCCATCTTCCATATGGAAGTCATGTCTCTGTGACGACTATGAGCCTACCTTGAATATTTGGACACAAGGATTGAAGATACTCACCTGTTTGAATGTTTCGCGTACAATTGCCTCACCTCGAGACTTGCGTAGACTCTCGTAAAGGCGCAATATACGAGGCAGTTGCTTCTTGTCCGTCATGTGTCCCAGCAAAAGGCCAAGAACAGCGCCATCTTCAAGGGAAGAGTTGGCACCTTGTGCCAAGTATGGGAGCATGGGGTGACAAGAGTCACCACTGGGTTTCAAGTCAGTCCTCGTTGCAATTCTCCTCAAGATACTATAGTAAAACTCACATAAAGACCAGATTTGAAGTATCGTTCACCCATTTTTCCAATTCGCCATCTGTATAAGTGTGAGAAACACTCCGGATGCAAAGTAGCGTTCGAAACTTACGGTGCATCAACTTCCACTTGTCCACATTGGTCACATATGTGAGGAACTTGTTCAGACTGGGTATAGAGTCAGTGTAGTGACGACAAGACAGAGCAGAGTCACTCACATGGGATCCCAACCAACAAACAGCTTCTGCATCTCCTCCACAGATCCAGCCTGCTTTGAAACACCCGGAGGCAGGTTATCCGGCACCAGCAGTACGATATTGTACATTTGGCCGCCGCGCAGCGAATAACCGACCGCATGAGCTCCAGGTCCAATCCAGAAATGCACTTCAGGATTCTCCACCAGTGCCTTGAGATCCGGATCAGAGATCTGATCGGCTGTCAAAACAATACGATAGGCAAGATCTCCAGTGGGAATGGGTTCGTCTTTTTTCCCCACAAACGCCTCACGACACTGGGACCACAGCCCATCCGCAGCGACTATCAAATCGCCAGAGAAGGTCTTTCCCGCCACGGAGTGCACGACCGTCGTGTCGAAATCAATCCGCTCGATTCTCTCGCCAAAATGGAAAGTCACACCCAGATCCTTTGCCCGCGCAAACAGAGCCAGTTGCAAGTCCCCACGATGCAAATCCACAAAGGGCGCATCGTATTTGGCGCGAATGTTCTTATCAAAGTTGCTATCGTGGGCCAGGACCTGGCCTGAATAACGATGAACAGTCAACTTAGTAGGCTCGGCAGCTGCTTCCCATAGTGAAGCGGAGAGCTCCCAGTACTTCAAAAGACGAGCTGCGTTGGGAGTGATTTGCAATCCTGCCCCGACCTCTGCCAGTTGCTTTGCCTGTTCGATAACTGTGACCGAGTGACCAGAAAGAGCTGAAGAAATTGCTGTGGCAATGCCGCTGAGACCAGCTCCGACGATGACCACGCGTAGACGCGCTTCTTCTGGAACCTGTTTTGTGATCAGTGAACCAAGTCCGGGACACACTGATTATTCCAGGCTATGCTCACCATTTTGAATGTGTGTTGAAAGAATATTAAATACCTTACGATAATGGTCTGAAGAGAACTTCAAAATCTATAAAGAAGAAGAGATGAAATAAGCTGGGAGCTTGGATCTGGTGCAACCGTTTACAAGATTCGGAATGGCCGAGTCCTCGGACCCGCCATGACTCGGGATTGCCGACATGCCCCATATGCGCCCCCCCCCCCCGGGATTTCCCATGTCTGGCACCTATCTGTGATGAATAATGCACATCAATCGATCCCAGGATGGACCTAGGGTGGAGACCTCGCTTCCACGGTCATGCTGTGTGTCTGGGGTGCATAGTATGGGGAAAATCGACAGATCCCCAGTGGATCAGTCTGGGGTACCAAGACGGATGCCATAAGCGAGGAACTTGATCTTTTCCAGTCTCGACTGCCAAAGACCGCAGAGACTCAGCCAATCCATGGTTTAGTCCTTAGCCACATAATTGGCCTCGTGACGGTTAATATTGACTTGCGCCTGTGTTGAGTACGCGGCCACTCTGCAAAATCACGGCAATTACTGCGATGCATAAAGACCATAGAAATGCGATTAAACGCCCTAGCATACGAAATAGCCTCTTTTGCATCCTTATCAAGCGATCTTATTAGTGAAAGAAAAGTAAAGGATTCTGAATGAAATTCGCCCCTATTTAGTAGTGCACGCCCTTAGGGGGAATAGACAAGGATGTGGTCCCGAATTGCATCCGAGATTCCCCAAAATCGCCCCACGGACTTCCCGACAGCGCCATCCTGTCAATGATGGCTCCTCCTCGTGCTCAAAGATGGCTAATCTGCGGGGAACGGTCTAATCCTATCTCCATCCCCGGTGTGGCTTTCTTCAATTCCCGACTAGAAGAGCCGGAAACGCGACTTAAAGGCAGCGTGCGTCCCCCTCCAGATTGTTACCCTCATAACCCTACGACTCTTTGTCTCCACATTCCAGTCTACCGGGGGCGTTTTGTCTCAAGATGACGGCTATAGATCCAAGAGTAAGTCCTGCATATCTACAGGTCCAGAGCGACTGCTAATATCTCTCTATAGCTCTTCCCACAGCGGGTGCGCTATGCGGCTCTTCTGACCGTCAATGTCTACGTCTTCATGGGGAACATGTACTCGGTAAAGTGATCCGCCATTACGACCTGGTCCCCTTGTCTCTGACTTGCTACTCTAAATCTAGTCCGGCATAGCGACGGGATTTGAGTCGCTAGCCGTGGCCCTTCATGCAGACAACTCCAAGTTGTCAGCCCTTATCACTTATTCGGTTCTGGCCATGGGATTGGCCAACTTGTTCTGGATGCCTCTGGCCCTGTGCTTCGGAAAGCGTTCCATTGTGATCATCTCCATGATGATGTTCCTAGGTGGCTGCATTTGGTCTGCAGTCGCCAAGGATTACAATAGTTTACTTGGCTCACGAGTCTTTGCCAGTTTCGGTGAGTTGGGCTTTCTTTTTTTTGCAGCGGTTAAGTTGGCTAACATATGGTGACAGGATATGGTGCGATTGAGTCACTGGGACCCAGTATCCTCGCAGGTTTGTCTTGACCCATTTGATCACCCTCGATCATTCTCCTAACAGCCCCTAGATCTCTTCTTCGAGCGAAACTACTCGAGCGCCATGGCCGCGTATGCCGCTTTCTTGTCTGGTGGCTCCCAAATTGGGCCTGTTATCGCGGGATATCTTATTCAAGCCCGTGGATGGCGGTGGTTCTTCATTCTCTGCTCTATCATCGCCGCTGTCAACTTGGTGACCACAATCTTCATGCTTCCCGAGACTATCTACGAACGTGAAGAGGAGCCCGAAATCAATGATGATTTCGAAAAGGGCGCGACCGGCCACCTTGAGGCCGTCCAGACTCTTCAATCTCAAGTCGGTGATCGTGTCAAAATGGACTACGGCGAATACGCGAAGAGTCTCTTCAATTTCCACGTCACCAAGGAAGCCAAAGACAAGGGCGTCCTCAAGCACTTGGCCTGTGTATTCGTGCTTCCATTGCCCATGCTGTTGATTCCGGGCGTGCTGATTGCCTCGATCATGTACGGTGTTGTTCTTGGAGGGTAAGTGTCTTTTGATCCGTCGCTATCGAGTTCATTCCCACCTGTGAACCACCTGCTAATGAACTCTCTATAGAATCGTCGCAATCTCCACCCTCGCTCCCGCCCTCTTCGCACCACCACCTTATCTCTTCACCTCCGCCGATCTAGGCCTCTTTACGCTCAGCAGCTTCATCGGTATCGTAATTGCGTGGCCTATTGCCGGTCCCCTGACCGATATACTTTCCCGCTGGATGCGCAAACGTAACAACAACGTCCACAAGCCCGAGCACCGTCTTCCCGCGCTCATTGTTCCATTCCTCATCTGTCCCGTCGGCCTGGTGGTGTTTGGATACACAGTCGCCCGATCTGCACACTACATTCAACCTGCCGTTGGTGCGGCCATCAACTCTGCCGCCCTGACCCTCGTTCCCTCTGTCATGCTCTCCTATGTCGTGGACTCTTATCCACATACTAGTGGCGAGGCACTGGTGCTGGTCAACGCGTCTAAGAATGTTGTTGCCTTTGGCATTGCGCGCAGCGCTTATTCTTGGATGGCTTCGTCGGGCGTGGACAATATGTTCTACGAGCTTGCGGGCATTGAGTGGGCGGCTATTGGATTGGCGTTGCCGCTATACTTTGCTGGACCTTGGTTGCGGTCACGAACCACCAAGCTGTTTTAAAATGTTGATTGAAAAGGGGTTACGATTATACAATGACGCTGGCTGTCAGTTTAGTAATGATACTTCTGCTATTGATCACGATTCAAATAAACAGAATGTACTACCATTTTCACCACAAGTCCAAAATTTTCGCATCGGTATCGAGTCTAAAACTTCCCTCATTAAAACTTCCCTCATACACGACCAGAGATCCTTGAGAGATCCCCACATTGACATCTCTTCCAACCCGTGAGTTTTTTGAATATTGAGGTCATCCGCTAGTCGCGCTGGGTTACCTCGGACAGGACAGGGCCACATACTAGTGGATCAAATCTTTATAAAATTATTTAGTGTGCATAGAAGGCAAAAATAGGCGGCTCTCCAAGCAATGTCGGGATTGAGGAGGTTTATCAAATTATGACGCCAAACATTCTGTGGCTAAAGCATTACAGAATCAGTGGTTGTAGATCCTTGGTTCTGCAGGGTAAACAATGTAGCAGGCAATTCAATCATGGCTACAATTCCTCGTTTCCCATTCCATAATCTATAAACCAAGCTTGCATGACGCCCTGCTTTGATGTACTATTTTACAGTCAATTACTTGCTAGTGAACAAGAGTTTGCGAAGAGTGATGAAGACGATGTAGTGGAGTCTAGTCTAATCTATTTTGAACCTCTCTATGCACAAAAATAAAACATGTAACGCATGAGCAGAAGAACTATTCAACGTTCTAGTTCTGCTTCTTTTTTCTGGCCTCGGGACGAACCCAGTGCAGCTCACCCTTGGAGTCCGCATCGCTCTTGACCTTGCAGGAACCGAAGGTATCGTTAAGAGACTTGAGGTACATACCCTCGTCGAGGCGGTACTGCTTTCCGAGGAAAGGAGTCACGGCATTGGTAGCCTCCTCGGCGTGGTAGAAAGGAATCTTGGGGAAAAGGTGGTGGATGACATGGTAATCAATGATCTCGTGGAACAAGTGGCGTCCAATCCAGCCGAAGCGGCGATCCACAGTGCAAAGAGCACCCTTGACGAAAGTCCATGTATTCTCATCATAGTGAGGTACATCAGGGTGGGTGTGGTGCAGGTATGTGATGGCAACTTAGGTCAATGTTAGAATTTCTTGTTCACATATCAAGTTTTTTTTTTTTGAAAAATGAGATTTCTTACCCAGCCAGTGGTGAACCCACATATAAGGGACCACGTAAAGAAGAACGACCTTCCAGCTACCGATTTGTTGAGCCAGGTAGTAAAGAGTGGTTCCAACAATCAGGAGGCCAATGTCAGAGATGGCGATCAACGGAGCTTGCGAGCTGGTGAACAGAGAGCCAATGGGGTCAAGATGGCTGTTTCGGAACATCTTGGGGCCTTTCTCCTTGGGAGGCAGACTCTTGTTTCCCGCGCTGACGTTGAACAGCATGTAAAGCTGCCAACCGAAAAGTTGGTGGCCGAGCAGAGTGATGGCGTGGTAGAGAGGGGTTTCCTCAACCAGCTCGATGAACTTGCTGAACATAGACGGTTCCTGAGCCTTCAGCTCAGACTCGGTGGCGGGCACAAAGACAACATCCTTGTCGATGTGAGCATGGTAACGGTGATGTCTGCCGTGAGTGATCTTCCACGAGAAGAACGGCACCATGAGAAGAGAGTGCACAGCCCAGCCCACAACATTGTTGAGCTTGTTGTAAGCCGAGAATGCACCGTGGCCGCATTCATGGCCAATGATCCAGATGCCAACGCCAACGCAGCCCTGGGCAAATCCATAAAGAATCCACGCGGCCGCTCGGAGAGTCGGCGAGGGCAGATAGTCAATGTTCAAAGCCAGATAGACGAGCACTGATGCATAGATAAAGTCACGAAGCAGATACAAAGATCCACGCAGAGCAGAGCGCTCAAAGCAGTGAGCAGGGACCTTGCTTCGGATGAAGCCATAAGTAAGATCCTTGGCCTAAAGCCATGGTTAGCATGGACATAGAAACCGTGTGCAATGCATACGGTTGACATACCTCAACGTCGCCCTTCAATTGGATAACGGGCTCTATCGTCTGAATCGTCGACATCGTTGCAATTGCTCCAGAAAACAAGAAACAAGAACGTAAATCAAGGATGGAAAGCAGAAATAAAGACCTAGCCCCTTGGTTGAAATTTTATCGCATGGTCGAGTGATTGGCTCGTAGTACCCTAACGATGGAGCCCTATGCGGATCCCTTTCTAGGCCCCTTTCCATGGGATGGGGGCATCAACGGGCCAATGTCGCGATCCGGATCATTCCATACTGCTGTCCGAGTTCCAGCACTCGCTTAGTTGCCCAACAGAACTGTAGGGGGAAGACGTTGATTTTCGGGGGATTCACGTGGAGCAAATTCTGATCCCATGCCTAGCGCTTAATCTCAGACCCTTGGCTGCACCCTTATAGGCCTAGAAGGAGCTACTGAGTTTGAATCTAATTACTAGCTTGTGTGGAAACCCCCCCTGACAGTCTTTTTCAATTGTTCATTCTTTTTCTGTTTTATTTTTTCTCTCTTCTTTTTCGCTGCTGAATCCAGGAACACTTAGCCGTCTTGGGGATAGTTGTTATCTCGTTGATCCATTCTGCCGGTTGATCAACAAACGAAATCTTTGGGGTTGTCAAATTAGTCTTCAGCTGTTTCTAGAGGCCTTGGGTGTCTGGTGTCCACTGTCAACGGTGTTGCATATGCAGCTAGATAACATAAATCCATAATAAATGATAGTAGACGAAGCCCGGTCCCGAGCCCGGGACGCGTCTTTGAGGCAAGACCAAGAAAAAAAAAGAAAAGGAAGGTAGGAGGAAAAAAAAAAAGGATTGCAAATCAGGGGAAGTTGTTGAGCCAGACCCGTTGGAAGAGGCAAAAGACGATATGGGGCAACTAACCCGAACCAGATTGTGGGCCAAGCTTAAGACCTCAACAAATAGACTTTTACAAGGGAAATGCCTCACATTGCAAATAGCTACTCATTGAATGGGAGGCTGACTACTGTACTGTAGCCCACCGGAAAAAAAGAAAAATTCGTCATGCCATTGAGTGAATGAAAAAGAAATCAGGATTCTTCCCCCCTAACCTGGAAGGCAAGGGCCGCATAGAACGGATCAAGTCTCGCATTCACCGGGCCATTTAGCGGAATGCCGAGGTCGATGTGATTTTCCGTCTCGTATCCCTTAGAGACAACGGCCCCATTTTCCCCGTAATCGGAGCAGATCGCGATGCGGAAGGGGTGTGGCGGTATATCGCGCCAAGGCTTATCATTTTGGCTATATCGGGAAGCAACGCGTGTCGAAGCACAGCCTCCAACACAGCCCGAGATCGGAATGTACCATCTTCTATTGCGGGTAAGGTGTGTCGGTGGCCTGGAATCACTTGAGAAAGACTGGCTACCTTGGGATGCGCAGAGTGATACTCATGTGAGTCCGACTCGCATGTGAATGTATCATCGTCGCGTGCATCTGAAAGACTTCAATCTCGTGTCATTCGGTGGAGTCGCCCACTCGTGCTTCGTGCTCATACCAACTAGTGTATCATAAGGAGAGACAGGAAGCCAAATAGATGATACAAAGCCAGCAGCGCCGGGGTGACGACCCAGTTCTGCCAGGAGTTGGAAACATGTACAAATTGTGTGATAGCGTTCAGTGCGATAACGAAAATCAAGAAGGAGAACAAGTTGTTCGAAAAAGATTCCAATGAAGGGAAGAGAGGAATCGAGGAAGAGAATGGAATCATGTATGAGATCATGGGCCAGAATCACGAGACAGGCATATGATCATGACTATATGTTGCGAGGCGTGTCGGCCTCGACTCGTCCACAGCCTGTGCCATTTCTGGCGTCTCCGTACCGTTTCCAAGACCGTGTCGTCTGCGGGTCATGCCGTGATGGGTAAGACGTTGATGGACTGCGACTCAAGGAGCCTGGAGAGGACGGCGCTGATGATCCTGGTGTGGTGTTCGCTGTGGCTAAGGCAACTATACCACTTGTGGTCGATCGAACGGTAGCAGCCGCAGCAGCGGGATTGCAATGGACACAGACGTACATGTTAAATCCCCGGCCATCGCAGCTGGTGCAGATTGCTCCCCTATTGAAAGCATCAATATGGATTCATCATGAATACGAAGGATGAAATACTTGCCTAGGAGCGTTTCCAGCGCAACTTCGGCATGTCGAGACAGTTCTTCCGCCGATACATGATGTGTGATCAGGGTCGAGATTGAAGAGGGAGGGGTTGGAGGTGGCCATTGCGCGATTGCAGGGCAACTAAGGCGAGACCGACACGTACGAAAAGGGCTGGATCTGGGTGTGCGTACAAGGATGGGATCGAAGGTATGATATACTTCGAAACTGACGTGTCTTGATGAACTCCAGTTTAGTTCCGCTCGGTGGTTGTCAAGGTTCCTTCGATTGATCCAAGAGAAGCCTGGCCTTTATGGACGTGTCCAGGCGAAGGTACCAACGTTGGAAATAAGAGGAAAGAAAGCAACGTGTTGGATCCCGAGATCAAGCAAGGATAGAATCTTTACTCAGGCAAAAGTATAATGGGTCCGGAATTGGTCAAAATGGGGGTAATGCCTCTTATATGCGTGAAGATCTGGTGGCACACGACACCTCAAGGGTAGATGTTACATAGCCCAAGAAATCAAGAGATCAAGAAATCGATAACGCCGAGGCGATGAACATGATATGTCACCTCATTAGTAGGACCTTTTTCTGCCATCAGATTAATTGCAGGTGAAGATGGGTATTGTTAAGTTCGGTGACTCGGCCGTTCTCCGGCGCAGGCGACATATTTGAAGATCCTCATCCTCCAATGAAGAGTCACAGAAGTTGATCTGGCATCAGAGGAAGATTACGCATGCTCCCAATTGGATATAGGTGAGCGCACTCGCAGCGGACGCTAGCAGCATGCAGCGGAGGGCTGATGCAGAAGATCATGTCTTGATGCCCGGGATAACGTACCCAGCGGCGCACGTTCAGGGTTGCTGAAACGGGCCGAGCTAGTGGGGGCTGCTTCAACCAGACGATGGATTGAGTGAGAGAGCTTGTGCGCGACTTGGGACCAGCACTTGCTACCGCCTGACTGTAACGGTGTTCCCGGACTGTGCAGCGGTTCGACAGAATGCTCGTCCGTGGATGAGAAGAAGAACACCCTGCAGGGATCAACCAACGGGCATCATCGGCCAACACAAATTAGAGGCGCACCTGGCGTCGGGCAAGCCGTCACTCAGACTGGATTCGGTGTAGCCTAAGGCGGAAATTGGTGCCAGCCGCATGGAAGCCACCACAGCTTTGTGCTACGTGTTCCAGAGTGAATCCATATCCCGAGGAAGTAGACCGCTTCAAGCTTCAATCTTCCGGGCGACGGGAATATGGAGCTCACAAAGTAAAGAGGAGGAAAGGGGCCGAGAGTTGGACCGCCGAGGTGTAGATGGACATTTCATCCACGGCAGGCTGCATTTACCATGCGAGAACAACCTGTTTCCGAGATTTATGGATCAGATTCCCCTCACGCCAGTATGGTCTTTTGTCAACCGAGAGTACTGCGCTCCCGGAGTTTCATACAATGACTTTAGGCTTGTCTTTCGTGACGGGGTAAAAAGGGGTTAGAATGCATTAGGTGTTTCAACAAGGTGGGAGTCATACGGCCTTGTGCATATTGGTAAAGTAGAGCCAACAGCCCAGAGCAAGCGATTATTAGGTATCCAAGACAACTAGTTGAAAGGGCAAGCGATTAGTAGCGACACACCTTCTTTCTTTATCAAAACTATTGCAGATCCCCTGTTAAACAGCTCGTGGGATCCAGTATGACAATGCACTTTTGTAATCCGCACTCGAACTGCCAGACCGTAACGAGCGGTCATAATAGGAGTTGATTTCGGTTCATGTGGGCTTAGTTCGAGTGTCCGAAAAGAAGATACCCCTGGCTCGAATGACGATGTGCGATAAGATGACTTCCGCAGGCCTTAACAATAATTAAAAAAAAGTAAAGAAAACCTAGTCTGATAAGCGAATGAGACGGCTAAGAACGCGTCGAAAAATCGGCATTCGTAGCTAATCCCCGCGTGAAGCAAGCGAACACGAGCTTCTTGGAAGCGCTCAGTATGCGACTTGGCAGCTACTAGGGTGTTCCCCGCGCAGGTATCCGTCGAGTAGAGCAGTGGACAGACCGGACATATTTCCACACTGGGACAAGGCTCTGAGATCTGGCTAAACTCGCCTATGGCAAGACTCGATACATGATCCTGGTAGATAGAACCAGATACAAGGGCCTCCTAGGAAATCGTTGAGAACCAAAGCCGCTGATTCACCAGATGCTCCTGAGCTGAGGTGTACTACGGAGGCATCACAGGAGTGAACCCTCCGCCCGCAATTGCGTGCAGTCAGCCAGCAATAAGGAACGTACCTGGCAACTGGTGGCATGATACGTAGCCCTAGTCAATTGGCATGTATCTCGTGGATGCATCGAGCACCCTCGCTATCATCACAGTGGAGAGCAAATATGGGCCTGTTCGACCCGTTCGAGACGACGTGGGAGTGGGCTGCAGCCAGCCACTCTCCATCACGCGCTAGACCCGGAATTCCAACGCGGACTGAAATTAATGGCCTCACACGGCAGCGTGCGTTCTTGAGGACCAAAGACTCGACAGTCTGAGACTCCCAGGGATTTCGGTGATCGTGATAGTCTTATTGTTCGAGGGGATGCGGTGACACCACGCGCCGAAAAAGATGTAACGACAGAAAGTCGCCAGTCAGCTGACAGGATCAGGAGCTGCAGTCCGATTGATGAATGGATCTCTCCATCTGATACCGTGACATCTGGAAGGAGCGCCCCGGGCTCTTTCGGTCCGTCGTTATTCTAATGGACTGCCATCTTGGTCTTTGCCTGCCAACGGGGCTTCGGACTTTCTAATTTTTTTTTTTCCGAATCTGCGAGCTTATTCCCGAGTCTTGGAGGATGATCACAGGTTTCCATCTTCAGTCATCCGCTCTGACAGCTACAAGACGAATAGCAATGATGCCATTATTACTTGAGTTCTTAGATAATCATGGTTTCCTGGTGAGCAAAGAAGCGGTCACGTTGATGATTTAGTGCTCTTCAATTTTGCTCAGGCCGTGAGACAAGACTGAAGCTAGTACCTGGTCGCAAGCGGGGGGTATCGGCGCCTTCAATTCTCCGGGATGCGAGTCCTACCGAATCTCAAATGTGACCACTTCCATGTGTCGAAGGTTAGGCAGTCACCTACAGCCGAAATCATAAAGGTACCCAGGCCTCTGGGATTTTGGATGTAGTACCTGAGATATGCATATATCCTATCAACCATAATGTATCAATTTGAAATACAATAAAAGAAAGATAGCACCGAAGTCGCTATCGATGATACCGGAAAGAATCAAAATAAATCACTAAAGACTGGTATACTGCAACTCTTCGTCGGCTTTGATTACACTAGCGATAGCTATCATTTAGTTCTCGACCACTAATCGCTACGAGAATTTTGTACATCCTCAGATAGAAGGTAGAAAGATGACTGTTCCAAGTACATACGACCATAGGGTGTGGAGAACAGGGCTTCCCGTCCGCTCAGCCGTACTTAAGCCACACGCCGGCAGGTTAGTAGTTGGGTGGGTGACCACCAGCGAATCCCTGCTGTTGTATGTTTTTGTTTTGTTTTTGTCTTTACATACCAAGTTACCATAGTTCTGCAATATGATCGCGCTCACATAATTTCCACATTACACACGCACATACCCCTGATGGGGTTGGGAGCATGACATCACAGCGCGTTTTCAAACAAGCCCGACAGTGGCCGGTACCTGGCGGCGTTGGGACAGAAGCTCGATTGTCGCTACATTGGGAGAGCTACAGACTTGTGAGAGTATATTAGAGAGAGAGAACTAATCAGACGGGAGGTTGGCAATTCATTCTTGTTAATCGTTATGACCAGCTGGGGGATCGCCATTACAACAGGGGGAGATATCATAAGCGAGGAGAGATATGGTTCACAACGAGATTGTGGTGGATGGGACACAACTTCTTGAAGTGATGCGAAAGCGAGACAAAGACATGGGGAAATCAAAAAGGGTAGGTGAAAAGCAAAAATCAAATAGCCACCGCATCAACAAATCCAAACTCCAGTCCTGGTAACGCCGAGTAAGGTCTGGTCTGCAATTGAAGTCACTGAATCAACCGAGGGTCATCAACCAAGAGACCCAAAATGACGCCTATGATTCATATGAACTACTGGAAGTACTCCGCAGGTAGGGCTGCCAGCAGAACGATGGTACCGAGACCACCAAGGAGGGCGCTGATGACTGCTGTGGCAGTGTAGGTAGCCACCACATTGGACGAAGAGTGCGAGGTCTTGGCTCGCTTAGGTGAAGGCTCGCTCTCTGCCAGGGCGGATGTGATGGCATCAACTACTTCGGCCCTAGGAATGCTATCGAGATCCGGCTGCGATGCAGAGACAATGACCTCAGCTTCCTGTGCATCTTGTTGCTCGGCATCTTGGGTGACCATCTCAGAGGCCTTCCGCTTTAAGGATACTGAATCAGGATCGGAGCTGAGCTCCTTGGGCAGCGAGGGAAGCGGAGTAGGCTCTCTGTGAGGGGGAGTCGGACGGGAATCGAAGTCTCGCTGATACGTGGATCCAAATTTGCACGAGAAGGGTCCATCTGCGTACTCAAAGCGTGGATAAGGCGTGTGGGGTGGAGGAGGAAAGCATTGAGGCATTCGCCATGGATTGGTCTCGTAACACGACGGAGCAGGCAAATACGAAGGGCCTGACTGGAAAGACGGGCCTGGGAAGTGGTACGCGGGTGGGCTACCCAGCGGGTCGCTAGGCTTGGGCTCCAAAGTCTCTGGCTTGACGTGAGGAGCAGTGTTCACAGAGTGCAGCTCATCTAGCGAAAGCACGTCCGGATCGACGAATGGAGTAGGGTTGATGTTGGTATTGATGTATACTTCATCTTCATCATCATCGTCATCGTCATCACTATCGCCATTGTAGGAACCGTTCCCAGCAGAAGACTCCTTGTCGGACAGGGCATCCGAGTTCGAGGCAGATTCAGATTCAGATTCAACATCAGAATCAGAATCGGAATCGGGATCGGAATCGATATCATGGGTTGGTTGGAAGCTATCATGCGCCCCATCAAAACAAGGAAAGGCGCTGTCGTAGTGAGTTGCGTCAAGCTCGGCGACATCAGCATCGGCACTCGTATCGGCACTCATATTAGCACAGTCGTTGCTCTTGATGAGCAAAGACGACACCGATTCCCCCAGGTCTGATTCCTCCTCGGAGTTTGTAGAATCATTGGATCCGTCTTCAAGAACCTCTTCGTAGTCAGAGTCTTCAAGTTCCGAGTATTTAAGGAGGTCTTCCTCCATGTGCTGCTCCTTCTGTATGGTCTGTGAAAGGGGTTGTTCGTCCTCATCGACACAGATGGGCTCCAGCGGATGAGCGGATATTCTCGGCCATTGGGTGAATGGAAATCGTACCTTTGGGACTAGGATTTCTCCAATATCACTGTCATCATCGGGGACACAGAAGGTGTTGGTGGAGGTAGAGGGCCTGAGCTTTGAGACGGGAGGGGTAATGCATTCAATGACGTTGGATTTCACTGGAATCTCATCGCTGACAGGCCGTCTGCATCCGGAGTCAGTCTGAAGTCTATAAAGATGGGCAACCGGGGGTGTCATACTTGTCGACCCAGTGGAATTTACACTTCACAGCCAGAGCGGGATAAGTTTCTATTGATAGAGTTAGTACATCAGTTGTGATGCCAACAAGGCACGTGGGCGTAGATACGTACCATCTTCCCGATCCACAGGTACACCAAATGTCAGAACATCCCCATGAATGAGCGGAGTCTTCTCGCCGGTGATCAATTTGGTGTTGTTGATCCATGTTCCATGAGTCGAACCGTAGTCGCAGATGTAGATGTTCTACAGCCAATTCCCATCAGCAAGCTATTTCGAATGAGCAGAAACAGTACTTTGTCAACATACGCGGACTTCCGGAGCGATGCTCAGCTCAGCATGGTCCCGAGACATCACTCGAGAGTCAAACCACGTATTGTCTTGGGCGGGGAGCGGTTCTTGACTCCGCGCTTTGAGCAGCGTCCGATTTGGATAGTTGGGTTGGAAGCAGAGAGGGTGAATGAACGGACAAGGGCGAGCTCGGCGTTGAGGTTGACGGGGACAGCACCACTGACACTGGAAGAGTCAGTAAGTGTTGGGCAGACTTACGGTCAAGGACGAAGGGCTTACCTTGCACGTCCGACATGTTGACGGAGTCCGGTGGTGACGGCAGCATGTACAGTGCGGTGAGTGAATGTTGGAAGAACAGGGGGGGATGTGGTCTAGATGACGCAGGTTAGATGAAGATAAGAAACGGTCATATGGGCCAACGAAGAAGCCCAGGCGGCAGCGGAGGCGAGTAAGCACGGGACCTGGGGTGGGTGAGAGCGTACCGGATTTGTCCGGCTCCTGCGGAAACGCCCCAAGCGAAGTGATTGAAGAGAGACGGTTCGCAAAAGGCGAGGAAGTCAGGGTAGAAAAGGCAGAAAGAGAAGGTGAGGGAGCAAGAGGGGAGAGGGGTAGATGATGAATCAGGTTGGTCACGCCTTCTTTGGGGGGGTCCGGTCGCCTGAGGACCCTTGGATGGAACCAAACCGACCCAGAAAATGGAGAAAGATGTCGTGCGGTAATCACTCCGGTATTTTGGAAGATTCCGTCATGATAAACAAGAATATCAGTTGGCACAGAAAGTTAAGTAGAGCAGTGGAGTATGGCAGTTATCACGGGGGTGGGGCATCTTCTTATCGCATCCCACTTGTGGATCTCCCGGGGAAGATTAGATGGAGTTCACTTGACTATTGCTACCCACAGTTTGCCGGCTCTATCTATAGTCGCATGGTCTGATTGTTGCTACTACTACTACTACTACTACTACTACCACCACTTCATATACTGATACTGAATACGTCAGTCACATTCGCCTCTATGGTACACAAATTACTCTCCAATGTCCACAACCCAATGCAAGTGTCCTGCCCTGAACATCCCGGTATCTCTGGATATCACCACCCCAAGATCAAAGCAACACAAAGAGGGAATATGTCAGGAGATACTAAATACAAGCAGAGAAAAAATGGCCCGGGGCCCCAAGAGCCAGAGAGTCCGGGAGTCGAAAAGGGGATTAATTAGACATGCATCCGAGTCCACGCCGAGGAGACGGACAAGAAAAACGCAAGAGGGAAGAGTGTATGAATCACATTCGCGGCAAGCACTTTTACATGCCAGGGCCGGCACCCATGGCGCCCATGGAGTTCAGGCGAGCAGCCAATTGGGGGTACTTCTCCTGGACCTCAAGCTGGGTACGGGTGGCTTCGGCGTAGGAGATGGCGTTGATGATCTCGGCCTCGGTGCGGGCAAGCTCAGCAGCACGCTCGAAGTACTTGAGAGCCTGTGAGACCTTACCCTGCTGGAGAAGCAACTGTGCCATGGTGCCGACAGCGATGTCGCACTCGGGGTCAACTAGACAACGCGTTAGGTGGGTCAGGCCCGAAAGTTCAAACAGGTTCACTTACTGATGAGAGCCTTCTGGCACAGATTCTCGGCCTCGGTGAAGTCATGCTTCCACTGGAAGAGAGCCAGGGCCTTGTTGATCAGGGGAAGGACATTGATGCCCATGGGCTTGCTGGCCTTCTCCATCTCGACGGCCTTGTCGAACTTCTCGATGGCCTCGGCGTAGTTCTGCTGGTCGAGCAGAAGCTCACCGTAGTAGTTGTACACGTCGGGAACCTCCTCGAAGTTCTTGACTGACCGGCGGAAGGTAGCCATTGCGGAGGCGACAGAGCCCATCTTGTACTGAGTCACACCGAGCTGGATGTGGGAGAAAATAAAGGAGCGGTCGATGTCGATCGACTTTTGGTAGTCCTTGGCGGCCTCGGCGAACTCGCCCAGAATGAAGTGGAGCTGGGCGCGGTGGTAGTAAATATCAGGGTCGTCCTTGTTGTGGGTGATGGCAAGCTCGAAGTCGTCAGCGGCAGCATCCTTGTTTCCTGTCTAATTGTCAGAAAGTCGTTCTGTGATAGGGCTTTTGTCAGGTCGCGGTAAGCTTACCGAGCTCAAGGTGCAAGCTAGCGCGCTTAATGTAGCTCTGGACGAGGGAGGGCTGCAGCTCCACACTCTTGTTCAGGTCCTCGAGGGCAAGGGCAGCGTTGCCACCGAGGTATGTAAAGGTAGCGCGCATGTTGAGAGCCAGGGCCTCAAATTCCTCAAGGCCGCCAGCCTCGATGGCCTTCTCGAATGAGGCAGCAGCATCCTCGTAGCCCTCACCGGTCTTCTTGCCCATGGCAACCAGACCGTGACGGAGCAGACCCTTGCCCGAGTCTTCGCTCAACTCAACAGACTCCTCCAGACCCTCAGGAAGAGTAATGGGACGGAAGCTCTGCAGGTAGTTGGAAACGAAAGTAGCACTGGGCAGCTTCTTGCTGCGCGCATCCAGAATAGCCTTGCTCTTCTGCTCGGCCACCTTCTTCAGCAGACGCTCGAGTGAGTTGCGGCTGACATCATTAGAGAAGCCATCGATAATACAGCTGGCAGTGAAGTCAAGGAGGGCTTCGCTGAACTTGCTCAGGTGCTCGTAGGCAATGGCTCTCCGGTTTAGAGCCTTGACGTACTCGCTGTCCATAGCGAGCGCGGCGCTGGTGTCTTCCACAACCTTCTCCCAATCCGACAACACGTTGTAACAGGCAGCGCGGTTCGAGTAGAAAACGGGGTCGGGCTTGCAGATAATAGCCTTTCCGTACAAAACGATGGCGTTGTTGTAGTCCTTGGAGCCGTAGGCCTTGTTACCGGCGGCCTTTAGCTTGGCGGCATACTCCTTCCGGGTCTTCCATTGATTGTCAGCGGCTGGAATCGAGTAAAACGGACTCAATGGACGGGAAAACAAACCTCCTCAGAGAGCTGGTCGACAGTCGCCTCATCCACATCGGGGGAGATCCTCGGCAGGCTCCTCGGCCTTCTTGACAGGCTCTGCAATGATGTCAGTCGCAATTCGGCGATCGCGTTCGGGAGAAAAGTCCATCACGCACCATCCTGAACAGAGGCGGTCTTGGTCTTCTCCTTCTCCTCGGCCTTTTTCTTCTCTTTCCGTCGCTGGTTCTTGCTTTTCTTCGGTGAAGAAGAAGCGGCGGTAGCGGGCTTCTTTGAATCGGACAGGTAGTAGACAACACCGGCGCCAGTCACGACGACGGCCACACCGGCAATGGTATAGACGACGGCCTTGTTCTCCGAGACCCAGTTGGAGATGCGGTTCCAAACCGACTGTGTTGATGAAGCAGGAAGCTTCGAGGTATCCAACACCACCTGGGTGGGAGTAGCAGGTAATGGCGACTCGCTGGGCATGATGTATGAAGGATCGGACACGGGGCTGTGAGAGTCCTGAATCTACGCGATCGAGCGGGATTAGAGGCGCGTCAATTCCTAGGATAGGGGGTGAGACAAACCAGTGACGCCAGTAGCGGGAAGTGTGAGATAGGGAGAGAGTGACGAAGCTACGAGGAAAAGTCCTGAGTTGGATGATTCGGCACGGGCCAATCACGGCCACCGCGACGGCAACCGCTCCAAGTTCTCCACAATCCGCAACCCGGTTTCGCCGGCAAAGGGATATCTGATCTCGAGTCTACTCTCGAGTGATGAGGAAGAGTTCCCCTCTTCTAGTGGGAGATATCAAGCAAAGCACGCGCTCAATTGCCGACCGATCGCGGGTGGTGCGCGACTAACTTTAGGGCGGAATTGATGACCTCACGGCCCTTGACACTCCAACGATGTCCGTGCCTTCCCCCGAGTCCTTTCAGATCATCTCATCTCTTCGATACGATCCAGCCCTTCCCGATCTGGCCTTGACACATCCGGATGGCTATCCCGAACCTCTGCGCTCCCCATATTACCTCCTGGCCTACCACCGAGATCGCCTTATAGCCGCGGCACGCTTTTTCCAATGGAGTAAAGCTCTGGCCTGGCTACAGCAAGACTTGAGCAGTCTTGAAAACTTTCTTGATGCCTCCGTTCCCAACAGGCAACAACCGTGGCGGCTCAGGATTGTAGTGGATTGTAATGGCACTGGTTTGGTAGACGTTCACTCAACACCAGCTATTGAACCACTCAATCTACTGGTACCTTCGGTGCGTTCCCCGACATCGTCGACCATCTGGCGCGTGTATGTCGATGCGCAATCGACCAACCCATCCGGATTCACTACCCATAAGACTACGGCTCGGGAGGACTATACAGCTGCGCGGTTACGAGCGGGAATAAATTCCCCGGCGGAGACAGCGGAGGTCTTGGTGGTCAATCAGGCTGGCGAAATCATGGAGGGAAGCATCACAACGCCGTACTTCCGGATCCGGGGAACGTCCGCTCAAGCTTGGTTCACACCGCCGTTGAGCAGCGGTGGTAATGACGGCACCACCCGGAGATATGCATTGACTCAAGGGTTCTGCACGGAACGGAAACTTACGAGGGCAGAGCTGGTAGATGGTGAAGAATGCTGGTTGAGTAATGGGGTTCGAGGATTTCTTCCTGGCGTAATTGTGTTAACCCACGCGCTTAATGAGAACTAGAAGCATCCTACACGACCCATCGTCTTTGGAGTCCGCGAGGAAATTCTTTTCAAATATCATGGATGAATAATGAGAATTCAATGTGTATATTTTATTCAAATGATACCAACTATGGACATCTGAAAGTCTTAATTCTGCAACATGAAATCGTGAACATCTCGACGACCTCTATTTCTTCTCAGCCACGACAGGGTTAGGATTACCCTTCCACTCCAAAGCACGCGGGCGCATGTACTCGGCTACAATCTCATCGGTGACCTTGGCTCGGCGCTCCTGGAAGCCATGGACGTACTTCTGCAGCTCGGCGATACAGATCTGCTTCAGCTCACCAGTCATCATCTCACCCTTCTCGTACGTGGAGCGGATGCGCTCCAGCTCCTCATCGTCCTCCAGGAAAAATGTCAAGTACTGGAAGGGCACATCCACCTTAGAGTTACCACCCAGCTCTCGGTGCAACTCGGCGGTCTCCTGGCCACCAGAGAAGGCAAACTTGTTGATCTTGTTCTTGATCTTGTTCGGTGTGTCGTTCATGAAGATGGCAGAGCTGTCGATACTGGCGGACATCTTGGAACCGGGGCCCTGAAGCGCGGGCAAGAAGATGGAGTGGATGAGAGAGGGCTTCTTGAATTTCATCTTCTCGGCGTGCTCACGGCACTGGCGGAAGTAGGGGTCCTGATCAATGGCACAGGGGATCAGACAGGGAATGGAAGCAACCTTCTTCTTGTCGGTACCGAAGATCTGAGGGAAGCTGGTAGCGAAAGCAGTGGCGGACTGAACGGCACAGAAATGGAACTCGCCGATGTTGTTGCTGTCATTGAAGCCAAAGGTGCCGCGGATCTGGTTGATTGTGATGCGCTTGGCCATGCGGCAGATATTTTCGTAGAAAGCACCACCAACGAAGTCGAAATCGCTGAAAATGAAAGTCTTCTTCATGTCGAATCCGACGGCAATAATATCCCGAGCGTTCAACTTCGTGAACCGCTTGGCGTCCTCGATTTCGATCTTCTGGGAGTGCATGTACTTTTCGTCGTCGGTCATCATGATCACGAGGGGAACATCGAACACATCTTGCAACCATCTTTTCAAGAGAGCATATCAGCATTGTAATTGACAATCATTTTGGAGCAAAGGCGGTCATACTTGGTGAATTCGAATGGCACAGTGTGTCCCACGTGCATGCTGTCACTGCTAGGGCCACGGCCCGTGTAAAGATAGAAGGGTTGACCCTTCTCATGGCGGTCCAGAATCTTGTTGAGCTCGCGGTGGCTGAACACAATGCCTCGGCGCATGAAGCGATGAGGGCGGTGGCCAGTGACCTTCTCGAAACGCTCAAGGATCTCCGGGGTGAGGGGAGTGGCACCGAACTCGCGGGTGAGCTTTTCATAATCGACGGGCAGGAGCTTTCCAGTCTCGTCAACACCGCCAGAGACATCGAACGGAGTCACGACCTGGCCGGTAGCCTTGGGTGCTGGGGCAGTTTCGGCGAGGCTCAAGCTGGTGAGCGCCGGGGGCTGGCCTGGTTCGTCCGCCATGATGTATAGATTGCGACTAGAATCAGACGGTTAATCTCTATAGCACAATTATCGGTCAGGTCTTTCTTACTCTTTTTGCAGATTTGGAGACGGGGAATTTCTTGTGCCCCTCGCAAGATTGCCCGATGAGTCAGCCCCACCCGCTATCAGTGCGCGCTCTCATTGGTGGTGAAGAGTGGAATGTCACGTGCGAGTATATCCCCGCGCTGTCAACACTTGTTTTGTTCTGGCCTCTTTGTATACTGGTTATTGGTGATAAAGTGCATGAGTTGTGTCCCGCAAGTGACTTTTTGGAGCCAGACGTTGCGACACCGGACCCACAAAGCCGTGAGCATCCAGTAGTCATTATCTGGAAGAGTATACACCACGATGTCCATTAACGCCTGCTGTTTCTTACGATCGAAAGAGTTCATCACAGCTAATCCAACTTACAATGCATACTGTTAGTATGAACTTCATCTCTTGGTGGGCTAAGAGTCCTATCCCCAATTATGCAAGACGGTTCATTTGAGCTTGGCATCGATGAGATCTATAGCGCTTCGCTGGTTGGGACCAACCTGTCTATAGTCGGGCCGTAGGCTGTCAGCAAACATCTAACCACTCTGTGCAGTAACTGTATGGCAACCGTCCAGGAATTTCTTTTCGGGGAACATAGCTCTCTCTTCTCCCAGTCAGGATCGTCAGAATGAACAGGGGAGCATGAGAGCGGTCGTCTTTCGAGCCATATCTGATAAACATTACCAAGCTCATCACGAAGCGAATAATTTCGTTGATCTTAATCACCATAAGCAGTACTTCAGCACGTGGGTGGCAATCATGAATAGTCGGTTCACCAAAACATAGTCGGGCACAGCATTCCGGGAAAAGTAGTTGACCCTTATATGGAGAGACAGGCGGAATAACCCATCCGGATGGGAGGACGAGTTGGAAACACCATCCCGTGCGGACGATCCAAGTTCCAATAGTGAGCTTGCCAAGTACTGGCGAAAATTGCTAAATGAGAATGTGCGCGCCAGGAAAGTGTCAAGTGAGATATATCCCAGATGGCTCACTTCTCTCTCGCGTCCAAAACATCCTCTCTAGGTATCAAACCCTTTATAAATAAGCACCCACCTTGCTTGAAGCGCTTTCTCATCTACTCCATAGGGAGTGAAGCAGGAGTCTTTCTGAGCCGGCCGATGTGGTCTGTGGAAATTCTGCCGCCATTCTGTCCGATCCCTTCCCACAAATGATCTCTAAGAGAGCCATTGAGAATTGGAGAAAAAGGCGGTTCGAATGCTGATGCTACTGCCATTATCGGCTACAATTGTTTTAGCGGAAGAACAATATTTGAAGGATGAGAACGCCGATTTATCGAACAGCGACGTGCGTGTGTTATGCAGGTCAACTCTTTTGCTGGCACCAATGAACCCACATTTATTCTCAAGCAATTTACATATGGCGAAATAATCACGAATCAGATCTACTTGAGCGGTAGAAAGACGAATAAAAAATTGGCAACGCTAATTAAAAAGGGTCATTTCCCCCGAATGGGAACGACAATCTCCACATTCTTGGCATGAGCCATGGTGCACTAGCCATATAGGGCTCAAATTTGGGGGCGCCTAACCTTATCCGGTGATTGTAACGCGATCTATACGTATCAGTGCTGAGTACAACATCTCATGCCACTGCGAGGGTGTTGTTTAGATGGCATTGTACGTATGTCGCTGAGCTTGAATTGACACGATGGAGCGTTCGTCTTAAGCTCTGGAATCAACAATTAATTCAGTCCATAACTGCGTGGGTTAAAACCCTGCAATTTCTCCGAGTTCTTAACATAGGGTTTGGCAACTATCAAGTCGTCACTCATACTCCCGACATTAGCGTTGCTAGCGGTCTTTTGCTCACGTGTTTAATGAGTAGACGTCAAGAGATGCTCCTAAGCTCTAGACATTCGTTCAGGTGAGTCATAATTGTAAAATTTGAAGATTTACCGACAAGAACGGTTCCATAACTCAGTTGGTTAGAGTGTGGTGCTAATAACGCCAAAGTCGAGGGTTCGACCCCCTCTGGAACCATTTCTTTTTGCCTCGCTTGTTTTTCTTTTTCTTTCCGTTCGCATTCTCTTGGACTCTGACGGCTCCTTTTGCAATCTGCTTGTCGCTTTCTCATACACGAAAATGTATAACCCCAAGCTTTAATTCTCTGGGTGAAGTGGAGGATGAGCTCCGGCCGTACACTATCATATCCAGCTCCCACGCAGAAGATTTTTTTGGTCGCGTTTCGAGTCAACCGGAGCAAATATATATATCCCGACAAATCGAATCGAGGTTTGCTTAGCCAAGTGGGCGCCATGTTGGGGCCATGATTGGAAGACCACGGGATTAGGCACAGAACTGTGCCTTCAGTGGTTTGATGCCGAAACCTTTGCTGTACACCTGGGTATTATATTGTGTTGCGTTCAGTTGAAGTCTGGTGGTAAGGATGTGATACTGTATACTTGGCGACGCGTCAAGCAACCGGTCGAAGATCGGCCATAGAAGAGCCCAGCATCAATCTTGAATGTAATAGGGCAGACCGGAGGAACAAAAGGGACTAGTATGTGCATTCCATCAATTGCCAGCTGATCATCTGGAAAATAAATCGAGGGACTAACTTGAGCGTTCACACAAGATTGACGTATGCAGCATCAAGCTCAGCCAAAGCAAGCCTGGACAACGTCAAGTCTTTCTACGATACTATTAAAAACCCACAGATGGAGGGCACTAGGTGATGTCAAATAAACAGAAAATTTGATAACGTATCATTGTCAAGAGGAATCCTCAATCTCTAAACATACAAAGAACAATCCCAGTCCTCGACACACGGGTATCGCTATGCATACAGGAATAAAACCAAGAAAAAACAAGAATCCAAAACCCAAAGATGCTTTTGCGTTCAAGACCAAAGGTAGAAAGATCCTACTTGCGGAAAGTAAGAGACTTGCCAGGAGTTTCCTTCCTCTCCTTGCGCGCACCCGAAGGCGCATCCATAGCCTTGGCATAGGGGTTGAAATGCTTCCGACGCGGGGCAACCTTGCCTTTCGCTTTGGGAGCGTTGAGTACGGAGTCTGCAGCGCTGTAGTCGAATGGCGTGGTTTCGGCCTCCGAAGTAGAGCCAGACTGGCCTGCCTTCTTGGCCTTCTTCTCCTTGCGAGACTTCTTGTGCTCCTTCTCCGTTGGGTCGAGTTCAGTCAGAGGGATCAATGGCTCCTCATTTGGTTGTTCGACAGGAGTAACCTTGCGCTTGCGAGGGCCACCAAGCTCCTTGACGGTGAAGATTTTCGGAGTTGTATCCTCGGCCGCAGATGCAGGGGCGGGAGCAGTTTGGGGTGCTGGAGCAGGTTGGCTCGGGGAAGCGCCAAGCTTCTCTCGAACCTCCGAGACAGTCGATGGCATGGGTGGAAGAGGGAGAGAAAGACGAAGGGCTTCATTTGATGCAGCGAGCGAGTATTCAAGCGGAGCAGGAGGCTCATTGGCCTCCAAGACATTGCCCCAGAACTGAGACGACTCGTAGCGCTCAGCGACGGGGAAGTCCACATCCTCCATATCAACAGCGACCATTTCAGCAGCAGCCTTACGGGGCGCGGCAATGTCACGCCATTCTGGACCCGTGGCTCCCGCAATCTTTGCTTCCTTGATAGTTTCAAGAAGACTACCTGCCCGGTCCTTTGTAATTGGGGTCACAGGTGAGAGTGTTCGCAGAAGAGTTCCCATATCCAACGGCATGGTCAAAGCAAGCTTGAAAAGCATATGCTTCGGGAACACACACTGCCAGCCTTCATCTTCGGCCCGAGCAACCTCGTCACGCCATTGATGAACAGCTTTGAAAACGGCAAACTGCTCCTTGGAGATCACACCGGCGTTCCTTTCCAGCAAGTCAAACCAGCCCCCGGGGCCTGTTCCGGTTTCTGCATCATAGACTGGACGATCGTATCTTTGCAGTGCCTCATTCTTTGAGCGCTCCTGCACGTAATCGATAAGGTTTTCTTCCTCAGTCGAATTTTCAATGAGCTCATTGCGTATACAGTCGTAAATGTAAAGAAGGTAGTGGGTATCGGATCGGGCATAATCAAACATGCCCTCGGGAAGAGGACGGATACGCCAATCGGCCATCTGGTACCGCTTATCGGCTTCAAAGTTCACAAACTTGTTGAGAAGGAACTTCAAACTCCGCTTCTGGTAGTTCAGTGCGGAAGCTGCGTGAAAGGTATCGAACATACCAACCACATATAAGCCCAGGTCGCGTTGGAGCCAGATGATATCCATAGTTGCACCGTGCAAGACCTTCAGAATCTTCGGGTCTGTGAACACCTCATTGAGGATCTGAAGTTCCTGTCGCCACGGCTGAAGAGTATCTACAATCCAGTCCTTATCGCGAGTGCTGATCTGCATCAAGGACACAAGACCATGGTATGAGTGAACATCGTGGTGCTCCAGATCAATGGCGATTTCCTTTGCAGCCTTCAGCTCGCCCAGCATTTCCTTGACTCCATCCAAAGTGTCCACAAATGTAGCGGTTGTTCCCTCGAACGGAAGATAGTCAATCGGAGTAGCGGTCTTGTAGACAGACTTGGGATACTGCGCTTCACGGATCTCGGTCTCGTAAGGATGCGGGTAACGAACGTCACCATCAATTTCCCGTGTCTTCAGTGACTGGTTGAGGGGTAGAGTAGCATGCGGCTTGGAGGTGAGAAGAGGGCGGAAGAGGCTCGAGCCAGAGTTATCGGGCTTGTGCTCAAACCGCAGTTGCGGTTTCGGTATCTTGGAAGGGCCATAGTCGTAGACCGTAGGAAATTTGGGCGCCTTTTTGATGACCGGTGCAGCTTCCTCCTGCGACGGGCTCAATTTCTTAATAACGCCAGTAAACTCATCCAGACAGGCGTCGGCCTTTTCCAAAAGCGAGTCTATCACATCCACCACACCTCGCCAGTTGTCGTCGATTGAATCCTCATTATACAGCGTCGGGGCCTTGATATCTGTTCCGGTGGTGGCAGCCTTGAGGACAGCCGATGTCAGAGTAAGAATTCTCAGACTCTGTTCATCGAGCGACTCAGTAACTTCCGCGCTGGAGGTACGGTGGAAGTTGAGATCCTCCGAGGAGAGTTGGCCCACGGTACGGGTCACCTGCACCAAAGAGGACTTCAATTTGTCTTGAAAAGGAATAAACTCTGCAGAATCCATGACGGGCAGAGCTCCAACCGCGTAAAGATGAAAGTGAGTCGCGACAGAGTTGTGCTTGATCAGCTCCGAAAAAAAGTGAAGCAGAAAAGATGCGCCCGCAGTGACCGCCTTCCCAAAGAAGCTGGATGGCCCTCAGTGCTTTATTGGCCGATCCCCAACTGCTTTCTCTCTGTCAACTTCGATATCGCCAGAAACTCAGCTATCCAGGAAGTTTTAAAGTGGGAAGATTGCTCCTTTCTAGAATAAACGTTATATCTCTCACCGAGCAAGATGGCGGCTTCTATTGCACCCGAATGCAACGAGATTAAGGAGTGAGTCTCCAACCTTGTGCCTCTACATTCCGTGTGCAATGAGAGCTATAGAATCTAACCTAGAGCTCTGCAGAAAATATGACACTTGTTTTCTCAAGTGGTACAGTGAGAGTATGTGATTCCGTCAAGATGGGTGCTGCGACGTGGCTGATAGAAAGACAGAGTACCTGCGTGGCAACACCACATCGAATGACTGCGAGGAGTTGTTCGAAAAGTACAGATCTTGCCTGGGCGTAAGTTGTGCATCTTGAGTGCTTTGACAATTCAAGTCGGCCATCTTGTGACGTGGCTAACAGATATGTTGGCGTACAGAAGGTGCTCAAGGAGAGAGGCATTGACGCCATGTTGGAAGATGCACGCAAAACCAACGGCAGCGAGACCGATGCAGAGTTCCTCAAAAAATCATGAGTCACACTACACATCACAGGCATCTCTACTTTTGCATTTACTTCGTTTAATATGAGCGACGGGGGCTTTCTTTATTATCGGCGCAAATGGACGGTTGCATGTATCACTGTCAATAAGATCATCTCAATCAGCACCTACAAGCATGTGAGATCTTCACGAAATCTCAACTTTTACCCACGCGATTAGAAACTACATCTGAGTAGGACGGATATATAATCATAGGAGGAAGAAAACATGCATTAAAGGTCTATATACTAGGGTATAATGGATAAGACTCAAACCAAATCATCGGTGACCTCGTCTTCGAAAATCTCCCTGCCCAAAATTCGAAGGAATCTTGGGCAATGGATTTCCCAGACCACCGCTCCCGGATCTCGAGCTACTGCTCCCCACCGTTTTCCTTCTTCGGCTGGGTGAGCATAGCCCACACCTCAGCCATTCCAACGCGGTGCGCAGGAAGCATACTGTATTGCATGCTATACAAGTTACGGCGGTGAATAGGTGGCACGAAGCGGCCAGTGGCGAGGCAGAAGATAACTCGTGGTGCGAGATAGTGTTTTCTTAGTCGGTGGCCGAGTTGGAAGTACTGGTCGAACATTGCACGGAGCGGAAGCGGAATAGACTAAGGATGTTAGCCTTTTACTCAAGAAGTAAGGAAAGTATGACAAACCTCGAGATGGATGTAAGAAAAGGTAGATTCAGAATCTTCACTTTTTTTGTCCAATTCGTCCCGTAGCTCGAAGCGGATACCACCTGGTAGTCGCCTCGAGTCTTTCACGCGTAGCATCAGCGCAAATAGAGGGAAGTGGTTCAGGAACGCCAAACAGGTATCGAAGCCGGCTTTCATAGTAATGATCAACATTCGGGCCGAGGCGAAAGTCAAGTAGAAAACCACCACAGTCGGCAAAAGGAAGAAAAGCACTGTAAAGAGAATGGTTCCGAGCAAAAGCTGATCGAGGTCGTAGTCGCATGAATCTATTCGATTGCGAAGCACATTTCGCTTCTTCCCGCGGAATAGATGGAAGAGTGAGATGATGATGGTGAGCTGCCAGTTGAATATGCGGGCAGAAGCGATGTAAAAAGAGTAGATGTGGACAGTCAGGATAGAGAGAAGGTCAGAGAAAAGGGCGATGGGCATACTGGCACCTGCGAAACTGGAACAACCGACAACGTATATGACGGCAGGCAGGTAGGGTTGGAGGTTGGCGATACAGGCTGCCCAATTTTCAATGACCCAGAGGAAGAGATCACCGAGGAAGGCTGCAAGCTCGTTGTTCAACTTCAAACCGGCAGGCCAGTCCATCAGCCACGAAATTGTGCGTTGGAGGCCTTCAACAGTCCAGCCAGTGAGAACAAGGTTGATCTGAGAGGCCACCCAGTTTGCGTTGTCGATGATATATGATCCGAGAGCAATTCCAATGATCACATCATTTGCCACAAGCCACAGGCTGTTGTAGAACCGGATATAGTCCGGATGGCTAGTCGTCACACTCTCCCAATTGTCCTTTCTTTGACGCAATTTGACATATTGAATCGGCCAGTAACAGAACTGCTGTAGCCGTATATCAACCTGCTGCGCAGTTGCCGATATATCCTTAATAGCAGCAGCATCCGGTCTGACACGCCACTCCAGAACTTGTAAGACAACTTCCGCAATTGACCGATGACCCACGAGTCCGATAACAAAAACCCTAGTGAGGACGGGCCAGAAGCACTGCCAGAATACATGAGCCACGCAGAGAACAAGAAGTCCCCACAAGGTCGTAGCAGATTCCACAACACGCTCACCAACGCTCATGCTCCGTTTAGCTCGAATTCCAATCAGATGACTGTTTCTATGCATCAACTGACTCATTTCGTAGGCGCAATTGACCTGGTTGACAATCAGAGGAAGAGCCTGCTCCTTCTGCGACGGAACATGTTTGACCACCGTATGGAACTTCAACTTGTCAACCAGGATTTGAGCCCTAGCTTTCTCCTTCTCCTCCTCAGACTCGACCTTGCTCGCAACTGCACCCACTCTCTCAATCGCCTTCACTTTATCTCCTAGCGCAAGAGAGATCGGATCCAAGGACATATACTCCATGCGCGTCGGATGCGGTCGATGAAACATGATCACCTGAACCGATAAATGGGCTTCCGGGGGACAATATATCTGCGGTGCTTTCGACGGCGGATGCGTAGTCACATATAGATGTGCGGGGTTGAAAGACGTCGGAGCATCGCTTGAGTTTGTTGAACCGAGGACGTGCATTTGAGATCTGCCACAAAGGCTGAAGATGCGAACAATTGGATGCGGGGCATTTCGAAAGAGGATCCCAGCGCGGAGCGCATTGTCAACATTCCGTGGCTGCCATAAAATCAGTGGCTGCCGCGCAGAATCGCGATTCGAGTAAATACCTCAACATCTTCCAGCACGGTCAGGACAAATAGATCTGGCTCCGAGTTCCGCCATCCAACTATCACTCCGGGCGACGAGGATCGCGGGAGGTCATATGGCCAAAATACCCGCAATAGCCCATCACCCATGATCATGTTGTCATCCTCCGGTGTCTAGAATGAGCCTCGCCGGCGTAATTGTTCGCGCGCGGAAACGCCGAGGTTGACGTGGCGCGGGTGCTATGGCGCAAGTTGTTAGTCCCAATTCAAGTGCGATGTATCCCCACCGTCGGGAACTCACCAAAGTGCCCTCCCTTGAAGCCAAGATATGAATGGGAAGTACCAGGAGGAAGAAAAAGACCGACAGAAACAAGAAACCCTTCAACGTGCGTGTCTAATCACGAATGTTATTGTAAGTAAATTGCACAGCGCCAAGCTGGGGCGGAGGGGCCCCATATACCAACTCACCACGACGCCGTGATCCCACGCGAAAATGGCCAATTCGTAAAGACGGGTGACAAGGTCCCACCTGGCGGTGATGTAGCCCGCGACGAAGATCCCAAGGGTGAGGATGGAAAAGGGGTGCATGAATCAGGGTAAACCAAGCGAGTCGCCGTTCAGTCTGCGCGCATAGCTGGAGTAGTCTCGAAGGATTGGGAGGGGTTTTTAGGGAGAGGATCGAGATCTGGGTGGACTGAGAAGGAGCTTAAACGAGTGGCTGACGAGGACAATCCCGCGCCTGCTCCGCGTGTTGTCTGGACCGATCAACGTGGCGCCACGTGACTTGGATCTACATGCACACAGCACTACAAGGATTGGACAATGGCATAGATGAAAGTGATAAGAATAATAATGTATGAAATGGCCCCGAAAGAATCAAACAGACAGAATTTTAGTGAAATGCATTGCCCTACATCTTCCCGTGAACGCCAGACTCCTGTATAGCTTCAACCATGTCCGTTATAGAGCCTTGATACCCTGAAACACTTTGTTCTCCTGTAATTTCGCATCTGCTTGAACCAAATCACGCATGATCTGACGCTTTTGTTCTGAAGTGAGGTCCTTGCCTTCGATCTCTGCCTTCCACTTCACCAGCATTTCCTTCAGCAGTGCGCTGCCTTCTTCAACCTCCTCCTGGGAGTACTTGTCCAGCGAGGGCGCAGCCTGTTTCTCAGCATTATCGCCAGTCGCAGAAGTGAAATCTTCCAGCTCCTCAGCCTTTTGACGGGCCATGTTCACAACCTTGGTTGGGAAACGAACCAATTCAGCGACGTGGATACCGAACGATTGATCACAAATACCAGGCTCAACACGGTAGAGCAGTGTGACTTGGCGCTTCTTCTTCTCCTCTGCTTCAGCATTGTTGTCTGTGCCATCGCCAATGAAAGCGACGACGTGAAGGTTCTGCACGGCTTTGGGGTAGCGCTCTGCCAGCGCAGTAAGCTCATGGAAGTGGGTTGCGAATAAGCCGAAGCAGCGAATCTGCGTCACAATGTGCTCGGAGATAGCCCATGCCAGGCCAAAGCCGTCGTATGTACTCGTACCACGACCCAATTCGTCCACAATAATCAAGGACTCGGAGGTGGCTGACTTCAGGATGTTGGCGGTTTCGAGCATCTCTGCCATAAAAGTTGACACGCCTTTGAGCTGCGAGTCACTGGCACCCACACGGGCCAGTATGCAGTCGAAAATTGTAAGTTCAGCCTCAGTACAGGGAACGAAGCAGCCAGTTTGGGCCATTAGTGCAATTACACCAATTTGGCGGATGTAGGTGGATTTACCACCCATGTTGGGACCGGTGATAATGAGGAAAGAAGATTCGTCACGGATCAGAGAAACGTCATTGGTGATGAAGGAGATATCGTCCTGCATCTCCATGCATGGATGACGGGCTTCCTTGAGAATAGTGTTGCCCGTTCCTCGCGGGTGCATCTTCGGACGGACATATCCAGATGGTGCATGGACTGATGCATGGGAAAAGCTGACAATGACATCAAGATGAGCGAGGACGCCAGCGAGTTGTTCCAATACCGGGCAATAGGAGGCGGCGACATTGACTACTTCGTTGACAAGGCCAGTCTGAGTTCGGTTGTAATTTGAAGACAACTGGTCGTGCTCTCGGCGGAGAGATTGCATAGCCGAAGTGGTGAAATAAACACCGTTCTTCTGCGTGGAGCACTCTTGGTACTCACGCTTGTTGCGGATGCAACCTGCTTCGGTACGAGTGAGACGGAAGCACCAGCCGTGGACTCGGTGATTCTCCATGAAAAGCTTCTTTTCCATCTCCTGGTTCAGGTCCTTGGCAACGCGACGGTGCTCCATGTCCATATCGTAGCGAAGCTTGTCTAGCTTTTTGCGAATGACCCGCAAGCTCTCGTCGAATTCGGGCTTGATGATGAATTCGTGGTTCTCCAGGGCATCAAGGTCGACTGTAGTTTCCACCATCTCCTCAAGCTTAGCCAAGCTGTCCGAGTGAGCCCGGATCTTGGATGTGTACTCCTTCTCAAGTGGTGACTGGTACTGTTCATCCATGACATCCTGTAAAGCATTGACGAAGCCAGGCAGGCGGATAGCCACCTGATACACACGAACGACATCTTCCAAGTTCGCCTGCTTCCTCTGGAAACGCTTCGTAAGTCGATAAAGATCAGGAATCGCACGCAGGTGCTCCTCTTGCATAGTTTGACGCAACTCGGTATTCACAACGAAAGCCTCGACAAGCTGTTGCCGTTGCTCAATCGCATCGAGATCCATGAGCGGCTGCTTCAACCATTGTGAAAGCAATCGACTTCCCACGGGCGTTTTGCAATGATTCAACAGGCCGAACAAACTCATACTCTTGGCACCGTCTCGCGGACCGGGCATGAGGTTCAATGCACGTAGAGCGGACGCATCAAGCTTCATATATTGAGATAGATCATGCTGATACAGCTGATACTGACCGAAGTTGGTCGGATCAGACATGACTCCGAGATACTTAATCAAAGCCGAGGCAGAGCCCATAGCAAGCTTAAGCTCCGTCTGTGGCAGTGTACCCGCAGCGCGCTCATCGCGAAGCAATCGGGTAAGATCCTGTTCGATATCACGCACACCGAAATCCGCCGCAGGCCGCTCAGAGATGGCAATCCCACAGCTATCCGCGATCGCGCGAATCTTGCCCAACTCGACGTCCTTCCGTGTCGAATCCATCACAACTAGACATTCCTTCACACCGAGTTGAATAACCAAAGACTCAAAGTTGGAATAGACGTCGTTATCGAGGAACTCGCTAACACCGAGCTCACGTACACTGGCATCAGCAAAGCACACGCCAACGTTCCGGGCCTCGGCAGCCTTCGCCGAAATTTTGACAGCTAGGATTATAGGCGCAGAGTCCATAGACAGTGCACCAACACTACCCAACTCCTCCTCCACATCCTGCAAGTTACCAGGACTGGCCTGCTTCCCCAGCTTCCAGTTGCCCTTGCCAGTGCCACCAGAGACCCAGATTTCAATACGCTTATTGAGACGGAACAACGCCTCTCGCAGGAAGTTGCGGAACACAGTCACGCTCATCGTGACGGAGGGCAGACCGCCCGTCTCGCTGCGGCCGAGGTTTCGGAGGACAGAAGTGGTCTTGTACACGGTACGAGCGATGAACTCGGCATCTGCGCCGTGAGAGGAGTACCAATCACCTCGATCGAATACACGGATGGTCTCATTGTTGTCGGAGGTAGGGAGGTCTTTGTAGAAACGAATGAAGCCGACTTCATCGTCGACCTATGAAGAGCTAGTTAGTTGAATGTTCTCTGGTGAGCAGAATTTTACATGATAAAGCACATACCTTGAGATCTGGCCGCGAAGACATTTTGTCGGGGATTATGCAGGTAATAGGAGCCAGGCCCCGGATTGAACTTTGAGGATGAGCTCCAGACGCGCTCTGCGCGCGATCACGTGAGACGCGTCGCGCGTTAAGTGGTCGCTCGGGTTGATACATCAAATAATTACACACGAGAGAGATATCCATGGTATGCTAATTATAATTGAGATCTAATGCTAATAGTAGCCTGGGTAGAGGCCAAGATAAATGCTACAGTACAGGGTATCTTCAGACGCTGATGCAAAACCGTGAGCAGCCCGGCTTCACGTATGCGAATACAAATCATGAAACAAAAAAATCCACCACTTAAACGATAAGGACGGGAGTCTGCACACAAGAGCCAGTCTTGTCCCAGTCAGCCTTCATCTGGGAGACTTTGGACCCAATTTCCTTAGATGCAGTGTCCTTGCAGGACTTCAACACCACCGAACGCATTTCGTTGATGGTAACAATACCGACCCAGTGGCCAGCCATGTGAGGCTCCGCAAGAATTTCGATACAGGTTTCAACCTCTTCACGCGATATTGGGTTGCGGACCGAATGTCGCACGTGCTGCACGATAGTCTCGAGCTGGAAGGGCTTGCGCTGGTTGGCCAGCATAGCCTTGATGCCGGTGCCTACATATCCAGAGGGGCGGAGAAGAGCCAGGATGTTGGCAACTTCCTCCACTCGGTCCGCAGCAGAACGACGGAGAACCTCTTTTTTGGACGGTGGAGGAGGCAGCTTAGACTGAATCAGCTCCTTGTTCTTGATGCGATCCAGGAGCCCTTGACGACGGCTGCTGGTGGCAGCCAATGGTTTCGAGCCGGTCTTCTCCATCTCCGAGCGCAGCTTCTCGGCCTTCATGCGAAGAACACCTCCTCGCAAGTCCTGCAGTCGCTGCTGACCCTTTTGGAACGCGGTGAAGGGAGTGAGAGACTCGTGGATGACAGCGAGATCGAGAGTCTCCAGGAACAGAGACGGACGGTCTTCTTCGGTAACTTGCTGCAAAGACTCTTCAGTCTGCGCCCAGAGGAGATCAAGTGCCTGCTCGAACGCGTCCTGCAGAGCCGGAGGCTGTACCTCCAACTGCACTGTTCGCTCGATGCAAATTTTGCCCAGTCCGTAGTTTGCAAGACGGTAAGAGACATCCTTGGCGTTCACACTCTGATCCCACACCCAAAGCAGACGCTGCACGTCCTTAGTCTGCACCTTGCGCTTCCTCCAAATACGGGTGACGCTGGGAAGGAATTCTCTGAGGTCTGCAGGGGTTTTCGGACCGTTGTGTGCTGCGTGGATAGAAAGAGCCTTCACGAAGGCGGAGTGAAGGTCCAAGAACTCATTGACACATTTTGCGCGCGGTGCAAGCTTTGGCTCCTCACGAACGGGTGTAAAGTTGAGTTTTGATTGTTTCGAGGGGGTGCCAGGGGTCGCGGGTGACTCGTTGATCTTGGTTGGGGAACTGGTTCGACGACTGGGGGTTCGCTTGGGCGTAGCATAGTGACCACTACGTGGTGAGTTGACAGTCAATTGGCTGAGCTTGAGAGTCTTCGAGGGGCTCTCGGCTTCCTCCTCGGTGGGCTGTCGGGGAGCGACGACATTCTCGACCTCCTGCAGCTTTCGCTTCTTCGAGGGGGAAGCAGGTAATGAGACGGTCTTGCCGGGGAGGGTGACAGTTGGCTTTCCGGGCAACTGTGGTACGATACCGGCCTTGGTCGCCCTGGCGAAGACTTGGATGGCAGGTTGGGCCTGCAGGCTCTGCCTTGTGGTGCGCGGCATCGCGGCTGCAATTTTTCTTAGGGCGGAGAAAGGAAGCTGCGACGGATAAATGAAGATGTAGTATACTCGGGGGTAAGAGATACCGGGGGTATTAGAAAGAATTAGGGTAAATTGAAGAAGTGAGGAAGTAAGAAGAGGAAGCCGTGAAGCGTGAAAAAGAAAGGGCGCGTAACCCTGCGCGTCGCGACACGGACTTGGCCCAATCCGGTTATACCGTCAAAATCTTCGCGTTTTGAAATGAAATTGGATTTCCAGCAGATGATACAGCAGAAAGGATCTGAAAATGAATAACTGCTAGAAATTGACTGACAGTTTGTATAAAACAGAGATTCTCGAGGAGAAGTGAGATCGCCATTCTGGTCACTGTGGTAATGCGCCTGGCATTGGAATGTCGCGACCAGGACTACGAATCGGCCACAACGAGTCGGGCCGGGTAGCACTAGACCAGGAATAGCACCAGCTCACAATTGACACCCGGCGACATGCAGAGACCGTCTAGCCCCATGTACTCCCAAGGTGACATGCATGAGATGAAGCGACTCCCCCCCACTACTCAAGTCCTCTCGTCATCAAGTACACCAAGACCCAAGTCCCAGAGTCCCAGACTAGCACACAGGCAGATTCACTCATTGATCATAAACATAAAATTGGGAATTAATTAGCCACACGATGTAAGTAACCATCCAGCATTATTTCTTGCCCGAGAACCAGCCAGACGCGGTTCCCTTGGCCTCAGCGGCCTTTTGCTCAACCGTGCGATCCATCTTATCGATGCCCTCGTTGATCCTCTTCCGCGCATCCTCGCTGAGCTCGCTGAACTTCTTCTTGCCATCCTCCGCCATCTCGGGAATACTCTCGTCAGGCTTGAACTTGGAGCGGGCGTTGTTGATCTGCACTGGTCAGCTCTGTTCATGTCATGCCCTAGTACGAGGAACACTTCAAGGGGAGAGGGGAAGAAGAAGGGAGAAGGCGGGGTGGGGATCATACAGCTTCATCGACAGCCGCACCGGCTTCCTTTCCGTAGTTGGCGCCGGCCTTCTCGGCATCACCACTAGTGGGCAACTTCTCACGGGCCTTCTCGGCGTCAACTGGAACGTGTCAACGAGATTCTCGAACATTGTGAGGGCACGAAACGAACTCTTCATTGCCTTCTTGGCACCGTCGACGTCGCCGCCTGCGCGGTACAGGTAGTAACCACCTGCGCCCGCACCAGCGAGGGCGAGGTAAAGGGGCATTCGGTTCTTCGACATGGTGAAAGGTGTGATGTAAAGTAGAGGGTGATCAAACGGTCACTTATCGTCGAAGTTGGGGAATCCTTGCTTATATAGTGTCAGTCGCCGTCACCGGACGATGACGTCTATGCCGGGATTGTTCGACTCGGGCCCTGCATGTGCTGCGGCAAGAACCTCGTTTGGCCTGTCGGTGGCTGGAAGGCTTGGAATGGAGTTCGCGAAACAAGGAAGAAAAAAAGAAGGGGGTAACTATGTGCAATATTATTCTCGATCTATTTCTAGCCTTGTTGACTGCTATTCATTGCTCTTTATGGGTTGCTTGGAGCGAATTGATGCCAAAGTCGCGGGTGCTTGGAGCTCGGCACTAGACTGGTCTAATGCTCCCCTATCGACGTCACCGGCTGGTCATCGAACCCGTTTCCGTTTACTACCATGTTACCCACGGTTTAAAGGCTTGGGGGGCCCTACAACTCGTAGGCTTCGTCCATGGGATCAGACACTTTCAGCTAAAAGTGTTCTGGGCGAGCTCGTGCGGATATTCGGGAATGGGAGGCTCCTCGTCCATGCGGGGTAAAACGCTGGGGTTGGAGATTGTCTCAGCAACACTAGGACGACAACAAAGACACACAACGTTAATTCATCAGTCATATTGAGTATAACGATCGTCAAGAGTCCGTAGCCACATGACCGATCATCATCAAATGTATAATAAGACACAACGGAACTGTAGAGACATGTCCTCCTAAAGACTGAAACACACGGCCAAGCAAAGAGTGATCGAAGCCACACCACGATCGGAGACAGCCCGGACCAAATCCAGGCTGGGGTATCGTATCGTCATGCATACAACGCCATCCATAGCTCCCGCACGAACGCCAGGACATGCAAAGAACCGGAAATTCATGGACCCAATAAACAAAACTCCCGTGCATCTGAAAGGCGAAAGGGGATTTCCATCATGTATAAGTCATCAAGTCGTCAATTCATCAATGGAGAGAGGTAGAAAGATGAGAATGTCCACGAGTGTGTGTGTGTGTGTGTGTGTGTGTGTGTGTGAAAAAAAGAGAATGTCGAGAAATAGAAAGAATATAGAATTATCCAATTTACAGGAACAGCTTCGCTGCTCCTTTATTCTCGCTCGTCGCGACGGCCACCAGGGCCTCCAACCGGCCCATACCGGAGTCCCGTGCAGACGAGTCGGAGAATACACCAGTTCGAGGCTCTCGCTCAGCGTGACTCGGGTAGCCGTCGGTGTGAGGTGATGGTCGATCACAGATCTATGACGGCGATTAGTATCCGAGGCGAGCGCCGTCCGTTCGAAGAGGGGTTCCTACCGGCTGAGGATGGTCGGAGGGCAGCGAGGAATCATTCGATTCAATATACCCGCTGCTGTGCACGATCGCTGGGTGGTACTCAACGGATGCCGTGGATGGAGTGTGAACGCCCTCGCTGCTGCTCGAGTCTTCTGGGGATGTGTGGTTTGGCCGACTGCTCGTCGACAAACTGGGTGCGTGACCACGATTTTCCTCAGGACTTCTCTCCGCCGTGGGGCCAAACGCTGGCTGATACGAGGAAGAGGGTCGAGATGAGACATTTTGAAGCTCTGCGATGGTCTGCTGGCTCCAGTGGGATGCATCACGGGACGGTCGTCGATCTCGGATGTCAAGACCTGTGAGATTGTGGTGCAGAGACATGTCCCAAGATAAATGACCTCGACGGTGACCAGGTCCGGTAATTGGAGGTGCTGGGCGCACCGACGGCTGGTTATAGTTGTAGCCAGGACCAAAGCCGTGGCTCGGAGGATGCCGATGGTGACTATCGATTTGCATGGGGCTCGCCTTGCGGGTAGGTGGGGTCAAAGGTCGCTGTTGAGAGACAACTTTATCGAAACTTTCGATGCCAGGAAGTCGGGTCTGATTTTCAGAGTTGTGACTGTTTCCCCGACCGGTGCCTGGACGGTGTCGGGCGTGTGGAACTGGCTCAGGCCACTGGTTCCTGGCCGACCAAATGCAGGATATGTGGAAGGATGCCATGTTCGTCTTCGCATCTCCGCCTCGGCTGCGCTAATGACATTCTCTTCACGTGATGCAGGATAATTACTGCTAGTAGGGCTCGCAAAGACACCTGCCCCGCTCGGCGGATATGGGGGTCCAGCGGGCGAGTTGACATACGCTGGAGGATAAGCGCTGCCGGGCTGCGGGACGAATGGGTTGCTGCTGGTGGGGACGGAGAGGCGACGAGCAGCAGTCCTACCCTCCCAGAAACCATGGGACGCAGAGGACATAGGAGAGGCATATTGCGGACTGACACCCGGACCGGCGGAGAAGACGTTGGACGGAGTATATGGCGTCCCAGCCGCACCGGGAATGCCCCGAATCTGGCCGGGCGGCGTGCTAGGAGGCTCACCCATCGGATCCAGTCCTAGGCGAGCACGGGCGGTTGGGTCGTTGGCCATCATGAGGGGTGGGGGTCGCCGCCGAAGTTCCGGGGGTTGGCTATAGGTCGATGCTGTAGATGTGATGCTTGAGCTCGACAAATTCCTACTGTGGCCACGGCTGTGTCCGCCCGCACTGCCTCCTGTACCTGCTCGAGCACGACCGGGTGGACGTACACGATCCGTACGCACTTGGCGCTGAAACCGAGTGCCTGTAGCCGCCAACGAATCACCGGGGATCTCTTCATTCACATGCACGGTTTGTGCATGCTGCCGCAAATTATCAAGTCGGGAGAAGCGGCGCGAGCAATGACATTGGAAAGGGCGCTCGCCAGTATGTTTGCGGATGTGTCGGGCGAGGTGTTCACTGCGAGTGAAACTCAGGTTGCAGGGAGGAAAATCAGTGCAGAAGAAGCGTTGGCCTTTCTTCTTCTTCGTTGGCGGCGCACTGCCGGGTTCGCCATCGTCGGTATCGTGATCTCCTTCGGATTCGTCATGCATGTGGTCGTCAGACGAAGAGGTATTCCTGGCGTGACCAGACGACGGAGCTTGCGACAGACCATCGCTCGAGGCATCCGGGCGTGAGACCGCAATGGAAGCACGTTCCGGGGTGACCGGCACCCCATTCGGATTGGCACGAGGAGTCGTCGCACCGTCCATGGCGTGGTCCTCGGGGGAAGATGTGTTGACAGGCAGGAAGGAGGCCATGCTGGGGCGTGAGCGGTGGAGGCGGGTGTGATGTCAAAGCGACTCCCTCGAAATTTCCGGAGGGGCAGAAATCACTCTCCTCCGGTCGCAAAGCCGGCAACCCGATCCACGTCACTATATTCGGGGGTTCTAATGTGCTCGAAGGCGCGTGAGAGCCGCAGCGCTACGCCGGAGAACTCGGGAAGGGGGGGCAACACGGAGTCGGATCGCACTGACTGAACATTTGCGCCAAAAGCTTAGTATAAGACTACATGAACAGAGAGTGTTTCGAGACGTACTAGACAGACAGAGAGAGAGAGAGGGAGAGAGAGAAAGAAAGAGAGAGAGAGGGAGGGGAGGTTGGAGAGGGGTTGGATATGGAATGCCTTCCAAATCCAAGGTGACGCAAGGGTGAGGAAGAAAAGAGAATATATGGGAGAAAAGGGGAAAAGAGGAAGTGAGTTAGGCAATGGCGAGCATCTCAAATGGCCATAGATCGCGATGGTGGGACCCGATCGTTCCAAATGTTTCAGGTGGTGCCTGGCTGTAGTTGAATCGAGAGAAGAAAAGGTGATATATCCGACCGGGCGTAGGTTGGAAAGGTTTCAAGGGAACAAAAGTGAAAAAAAAAAAGGAATAAAAAAAGAAAAAGAACCACCCTAGGGACAAGAAGTAAGAAAGGTTAAGAGCACCAGAAAATGGTGACGACGAGAAAGCAAAGGCTTATCGGAAGCGAGGGGCAATGTTGAAGATCCCAGGAACTTCTCCCAGTGCTTTCCGGGGCTACCGACGCGAATCATCGAGTGTTTCACCAGATCGCAATGCGACTATAACCGCGTGTCGGGCGCGAGTTCCAGACCATCTACTACCAATCCCAGGAACTTTGGGAAACTCCACGAACGCTAGACCAGGAGCGGGAGGATATGGTCTCCGTTTTGCATCTTATCCTCCAACCACCACTCACACCGTGAAGGTACCAGGCACCTCCCCGATGATTCATAGCGTCTCCGCCACCCTGTGCACCAGGGTCCTGGACCTCGTACCTCCAGGCCTTAGGGAGTCCTTGACGTTCACCACCTGCCAGACCCAAAGGACTGATGGCCCATATCCACACTCTGCTGGTCCTGGCCCCGCCAACTTGCTCTCAAGGTATGGTTCTTCTGGAGAAGCAGAACGGTCGAGACCTTTGCTCCTCGCCTGTTTTCTCCATGCGACCCCCTTGCATCCGCGTGGATGTATCATCGCAGGGTTTGCTCAGTACTGGAGGAGTCTCCGTCATACTCTCTCTCTACAGAATAGATCTTGGTGTGGTTACGCAGTAAGGGTCTGACGATTCCGAACGGTCCGTTTTTTCAGAAAAATCTCCGTGCTCCGTATTCTACTTTTCTTTTCTTTCTTTTCTCTTCTCTTGGGTTGCCCCTGGTCTTTGGAAGCTTGAGCTCGAGCTCGGGCTCGAGCCTCTTTGAGGTACGATCAGGGCACTGACCCTACCCTATGTACCGTCTACATGCTAAGTATAGAGAGGTGCGGGGGGTCTTATCGCTGTGACTGGAGACTTTTCGTCCGGTCAACTGGAATTCTTGAACGATGGGACAAACTGGACACTCGACCGTGAGTCCTGAAACCTTCAGGGCCCGGCTGGGACCGACTGGCCGGTCACTGTGCCTGCGTCGAGCTTGGTGCAAACCTTCAATCTCCAACTTTCACCGTTCAATCTTTTCGACTAGCTGCTGACTTTCCCCAACCCCTCCTTATCTGCAAACGGAAATGCGGGACATTGATGATCGGCGGGTCCTAGCCCCGTTGATCATAAAACCTTAGGCTTTTCACATGACGATGATACATATATCCCACGGTACAAGAGTACTTTAATGTCCTCTAATTTCCTGTCTGGAGAAAAGGGTGCCTTCTTCTGCGCGAGCCAGTTCAAAGTTCATATCAAAGAAATATGACGCCACCTGATCTTCAGATGATGTGCTGCACTTGCTCCATATTCCCTCTCACCCCTCCGGAGTTCTATACCTCAGCAACACGATTGGTGAACAGGTCGGGACACACGCATGCTGAGACCCAGTGCCCAGCCGTGACTCTGGTTAGGACTCGGCAGGATTGGGATAATCATCAAACGCTTTGCCCCTCTCGCAGGGGCTAGGCCGAGTAACTTGATTGGTTCCACACGCATACATCAGCTCAGACTACTGTAGACAACCCCTCAGCTGTAAGGGCCGGGTACCTGTAGGTACAAGATGCAGGGCGCCACCGCCAGCCCAAGTGGGCGCCGACCAGGTAGCGCCAGGTACCGTCTGCAGGGCTTATCGATAACCATGACTCACGTTTCCTTGGTGACGTCGACGACTTGGGAATTCTCCGACCCTGACTGGTGACGGGGATGGTTGATCCACCTCTACCTATGGGCTTTTGGGAGGGTCAAGAAAAAGAAGCTCCAGTCGACCCCGTTGCCTGTGCCTTTGCCTTTGAAGCGGTCAGGGCGGCAGATGACAGGTCTGTTGCCCTGTCTGATCTCGAAACACCAATCATCCGCGGTCGCTCTGCATCTCCCAGGAGCATCCATGTACCTGATTGCATGCAACTTGCACGTACCTGGACCCCCGGCCACGTACGTAGATGAATGAGGCTATTCGGGGCATTTCCGACCGAATCAGCAACGGCCACTGCCCACGGCACATGTGATATCGCGGAGACCTCGCCAGGCTCGCGGGTTTAATTGGCCACCTGCCCGCGACACTGGCATGCTGGTCCAAGGCAACCCGAAGTCTGCAGTGCGCGCGGTCCCCAGCCCTCTTCGCAACCCAAGCCCTGGAAAGATGTGCATCGTGCAGCAGTCATCTGACCGCCCTTAAGTCTCCGAGTCCGGAGATTTGAATAATAGTTTTACTTTTGAAGCGTTCGACAGCCCTGGTGTCACCGTAAGCGTCGATCCAAGGTACCCCCCCCCCCTCCTCCTCGTTCCTCCTGCCCGGTACCTGGAAAACGTGGGTGCCTACATTCCTGGGGTAGTTGGTCCGTGGTGCGTTCACCTGTAGATCGTAGATCGAGGATCGGAGATCGGTCCAAAAGTGTGTTTGAATTAGTTTCTTTGTGCTAGAGACAGATTCCCCTCGGAGATAGACCGACTTCCCGCGCCGCGGGTCGCCTGAAGGACAATTGACATGCTACGCTATGCTATCACCGGCCCAGCGGCCCAACAATGGAGCTGATCATGACTGCTGCTTCTCGTTCCCAGTTGCCCACGTTGACTGTGTCGGTCCCTCCGCGTCCCTTCTCGGCGAGTAAGCTGCTGGTAGAAACCTTGGATGCACGCATCACGCATTCCTTGATCTCAGCCTTGAGTCTATCGCGATTGGATCGGAGCGTACGCGCCGACACACCCCCGCGGCTCATGATCTCCTGCACACGTGGAGAGAGGGAAGAGGCGATCGAGCGCCAATAGTATGACGGCAGCGAAGACGTGTCCAGGGCTTGTTGAAGTGGTTGTAAGAGGTTCATTGTATTTGGTGTCTCAGAATCGGTAGGCTGTCCCGCAGACAAGAGAGGGTGGGATGGGGAGCGAAGGTTTCTTAAGATGGACTCGAGAGCAACAATATCCTGGCATCGGGCAGAGACATCGGCAAGTGTGCGGTCCATGGTCGGGAGCTGGGAAAGCGCGCGAGCAAGGGAGTTGACGGAGGTCATGATGGCTGTGTGCATGTAGCCCTGCAGTGTAGAGAGAAGAAGCTCGGGTTTGAAGTCGGACACGGTGATTTCGCCACGAGGGATAGGCGAGAGAAGATATAATGTAGCTGCTGCGGACGCCAGTCGCGATCGAGCGTCACGAGCTTGTTTGTAGCTCAATGGCCCGGATTGGCCATTGGCCTGGCCGGATAATGAAAATCGGTTGATGGTCTGCTGCGCCCTAGATTTGATCGTGTTCTCGGCGGGAAGCACAAATTCATTGCGCAAAGTTCGGGTGACTTTTACCCGATCAAGTCCATAGCCTTCATCCTCGTCTGATGTGGCCGAAAACATCTGCCGCAAACTTAAGACTGTGTAGGCTGCGCGCTCCAGTGCTCGGAACCCTTCCGTCGCTGTCGTATTGTCGTCAGATCCTGCTGTCGCATTCTGCCCTGTCATTCCCCGCCCCGTAATTCCTGCCATTTGGCTTTCAAGCTGTCGGCCTAGGGACAAGCAGCGCGCAACGGCTCGTGCCAATCGCACTGTAGCCAATGACTTTTCAGCGGCAATTCGAGCCTCTTCAGCGGCTTTCCATTTTTCAATTACTTCTTTTTCCAGTCGCTCATATCCATGGGTCACGGAGGCAATCTGGGTCCCCGTCTCTTGCAAGATACGTTCTGCCGCGGCCGTTTGACCCTGTGTATGGGAAAGCAGCGGAAGTGCCGATTTTGTTGTCAGCGCGTGAATATGGGTGTCAATCTCTTGGAGATCGAAGAGTACTCGTGATAGTGGTGTCGAGAGGTCCAGAGGAGTATCGGTGGCATTGTTGGTGCTTAGCACGAGTGTATTGGCGAACCTGGCTGGCGAGAAGTCGGGGTCGAGGAAAGCCTCATAATCAATGTAGGAAGGCTCTCCTTCCGCCATTGTCGCAGACCTCCGTATTCACAATAATTGAAATAGACTACCGTTTCATCAATCCTTGGTAGTATGGGTTCGCAATCGCATCGAATGGAAGTCGGGAACGGGTGGGGATCAATCGAGGCGGGAATGCTTGCGCAGATGTTTCCGCAGTTCCCAGGTTGCGTGAGACACAATCGGCTATGTATGAGACCGGAATCGATTCCAAATATATTTTTCAAGATCTATGTTCGATCGCGTCGTGAGCTGTTTTTGAACGAGGAGATTCGTGGATAAGGACAGTAGGCGCGATCTCCGCAATAATCTCGCATGGCGCAGATGATAGGTCACATGATTGGGGCCTAAGGCTAAAGGCCTGCAGCATTAATTGACAACTACAATCTGATCAATTCTCACTGATCCACTCAATTCGTCGTATATCTCATGTAATTCCTAAATTTTGACCACCGTATGTGCTTGAAAAGCAAAATTGTCAAAAAAAAAGGGTCAAGGCTCAGCAAAAGACATACATCTAGACAGCATCCGGTGGGATAGTCACATACTTTGCTTCAACCCGCCGGGAAGTCTTACCCAATTGAGCGCAAATCTCCAATCAGCCAGCCAAGGGATTGATTTCAGGCCGGACAGAGGCCGCGACACCCAAACAACTCGGCGCCGCCTTCCAATGACATGGGCGGGGTTTAGAGGGGGTGCCATAGATAAGCGTCGGAAGACTATCAGCCCTCTTCTAGTCACCCATCGAGAGAAATTATATACATCTGTACCACTAAACCAGGCATTCTCCGCATCTGCCATAAGCGCGGTCATCCATCTCGGGTACTGGGACTGAAGTGAACGCTGTCTATTTCCTACATTCCCACCATCATGTCCACAACAGCTACTACTGTTCAGCAGGCTGAACAATCTGTTCTCTTGGCCGCCGAGCAGCAGATTCCCTCTGCTGCCGACGATGCGAACTTCCAGTCTCTCGCCCGTGGTAATAGAAATGGTACACTGAAGCTGCGTGGCATTCCCACCTTTTCTGATCCTGTTGAGAAACGAAAGTGGATGAAGGAGCACATGGCCGCTGCCTTCCGCTACTTTGGCAAGCTCGGGTATGGGGAGGGAGTATCTGGTCATATTTCTATGCGAGGTATGTCAACGACACTCCACTCTTCCGCGGATGATACTGATGATTAAAGATCCTATCCTGAAGGACCATTTCTGGATGAACCCCTTTGCTAAGCACTTTTCTACTATCAAAGCCTCAGATCTTGTCCTTGTGGATGACGAGGGATATGTCACTGAAGGTGGTGCCCAATTGCCTATCAATGAGGCAGGATTCATGATCCATTCTGAAATCCACAAGGCCCGTCCAGATGTGATCGCCGCGGCGCACACTCACGGTATCCATGGCAAGACGTGGAGTGCATTTGGGAAGCCGATTGAGATGCTTACTCAAGGTTTGACGCTCATCACTGTCAAAAACGGGAACATCAGATTAATGAGCGCGGGGTACAGATGCATGCAACCTTTATGGTCGGATCGGCATCTATGATGACCATGCCGGCATCGCCCTTTCCCAAGACGAGGGTAAAGCGATTGCAAAGGCTCTTGGAAAGAATAATATTGCTTGCATCCTCCAGAACCACGGGTCAGTCTCTTATAGTACGCTTATCCACTTTCCACTAATACTGATGGTTCTTAGTCTCCTGACTGTTGGAACAACGGTTGACGAGGCCGCTATTCTCTATTCCATGCTAGAGAATGCCTGCCACTCTCAGCTCCTGGCTGAAGCGGCTGCGGCCAATGGCATTCCCAAGAAAATCATTAGCCACGAGGTCGCCCAGTACACCGCTGATTTTGCTCAGAACCCGGTAGGTGTAGTACAACCTAAGCTGACACTGTGCTTGTGGCGCTGACGGATCCTAGCACAACTTCTATACTGAGTTCCAGCCGGAGTATGAATTGCTTCTTGAGGAGACCAACGGAAGATTCCTCCAGTAAGCGCGCTTCAGCCTCTTTGATGCGACTTATTCGTTCAACCTGGGCAATGCGTCCTCAAAATTATGTTTTAGTAAAAATCGTGGGATTCTGGTTTGAAATAAATAATTCTAGGCATGGTAATTGACAATTCTTTCGCCCGAGACATTCTTCCCCGCCGCATCAAGTCCCACATTACATCGCCCTCGGCATTCGATTTCAAATCCCGATCAGAATACTAGCGCAACTTTTCGCTTTACTCTGTGAAGATCTTTAGAGGGGAAAGGGAGATAAAGAGGTCTCCTCGTCGTTCCCATGTAATTTCTTTCGATGGGATGCGTCGAATCAATTGCCCAAGGTCCACCGTGGTTTCCAGGTGGGAAAGTGCAAAAATGTCACGGCAGGCTTCTTTCTCGATCTCCATTTGCAGGATTCAGGGAGCGAAGACCGACTACTCTCCCCAGTTGAAATTGGGCGTAAAGGACATGCACGAAGTATTAAAGGGGGTCTTGCTAGATAGGTTTAATGGCTTGTCTAAATAAACTCTATCAGGCGTACCAACTCAGTAGTATTCTGCTGTGCGACTCAAACCAGTTCGCACATACATAAAGGCTTACTGAACTGGATGGAGCTTGTGAAAAACCGGGATAGGGAGACGAACAAAGGTGGAGGGGCGCATTGGATCCGAAAGTTCAAAGAAGCCGATACGCCGGCGAATTGGAGGCAATACCAATGTTCATGGTGAGCCTAGAAAGCTCGAATGACACTGGAATGGCTGGTCACCAGCTGACTTTGAAATTATCCTTGTTGAAGTAGATCTTGATTGAGAATGTATACCTCCATGGTTCCCTCTGAAATACGAGAGTCCCATCAATTGGATGTTCAGTATGTCGGCGATACAGGGTCTACTCCAACGACCCCAACTCCCCGCTCAGTCTGATATGCCCCGGGCCCTACCACCGGTGTCGGATGAAAGGAGCGATAAGAAATTGTGAGGTAATGATCACAGAATATCACAAGCTTAATAAGATCTTTCCAAATAGGATTTGACACTATCTATCCATAACTTAAAAGTCAGGGCCCGGGGTCGCACTAGATAGTTCCTCTCCCCCACTTCTCTTCGCCTTTGCTTGTCCTGACCCTACCATATTTTCTCACCCTTCTTTGAAGAATTGTTTCTCTGCAATAGAAGAGGTGATACACGAAATATTCAACCCTAGAAGCAATGACAACTACGTGGGAAGAACGTGCTGCGGACAAGCGAAACCGTATCAACGACTCTATACCTCAGGTATGGAAGATCCAAAACCTACCCACGGACGACTCCGTCCTTGAGTTCCCCAAGAAATCAGGCATTCTATCGGACCAAGAACTTGCTATCACGCAATCTAGCGCCTCGGATCTGGTCAAAAAGTTGGCACAGGGCGAACTCAAAGCTGTAGACGTGACAGTTGCCTTTTGCAAAAGGGCCGCTTTGGCGCATCAGTTGGTAAGAACCCTTAATACCTTAGTTCATACTTGATATTCTAAATCGTCTTTCTAGGTAAACTGCTGTCTCGAGTTTTTCCCCGAGACCGCAATTGCGCAGGCGAAGGAACTTGATGCCTACTATGAGAAACACAAGAAGCCTGTTGGTCCCCTTCACGGGCTTCCAATCTCTCTGAAAGACCAGCTCCGAGTGAAGGTGAGCATCCAATGACTGAGCACTTCCAACATAAGACTTCGTTGTGCTCATTTCTTCTCCTTTTGCCTTTACATAGGGTCTCGAAACTTCAATGGGATATGTATCTTGGCTAGGCAAACACGATACCGCCGAATCCGTCCTTGTAACTCTTCTTCGGAAAGCCGGTGCCGTCTTCTACACCAAGACCAGCGTCCCCCAAACACTCATGGTGTGTGAGACTGTCAATAATATCATTGGAAGAACTGTCAATCCCCGCAATAAAAACTGGTCGTGCGGTGGAAGCTCTGGAGGCGAGGGGGCAATGGTCGGGATCCGGGGCGGTGTCATTGGAGTTGGAACTGACATTGGTGAGTTCTAAATTTCAGGTAAATTTATTTCCGACTAATCATGATTCTAGGTGGCTCGATTCGAGTGCCTTCTGCATTCAACTTCCTCTATGGTATCAGACCGAGCCATGGACGCATGCCGTATGCCAAGATGGCCAATAGTATGGAGGGCCAGGAGACTGTGCATAGTGTCGTTGGTCCTATTGCGCATTCCGCGGAAGGTTGGTTGATCCTGAACTGCGAAGTGCGACATGCTGACGGTTCTAGACTTGAGACTATTCCTTACTTCAGTTCTGACCGAGGAGCCGTGGAAGTATGATTCCAAAGTGGTCCCTATGCCCTGGAGATATGCCGAAGAAGACGCTGTCAAATCGAAGCTGCAGTCGGGTGGACTCACACTGGGATATTATTCATGCGATGGTGTCGTATGTGCAAGAGCAATCGTCTCAGTTAGAATTTTCTGACCTCTCCATCGCAGGTTCTTCCGCACCCACCGATCCTTCGCGGTATTGAAACGGTCGTCTCAACATTGAAAGAGAACGGCCATTCGGTTCACCCATGGACACCACATAAGCATGACTATGGACACGATCTTATCAATAAGATCTACGCCGCAGATGGATGCACCGTACGTATCACCAACATTTGAGATTCACATCAGTACTAACTCTTCAAGCAGGACGTCCTCAGCAGCATCAATGCCTCAGGCGAACCCTCTATCCCCAACATCAAAGACCTTCTAAACCCAGACGCGGGCCAAATCAACATGAACGAACTCTGGGAAGTCCACCTCCAGAAATGGAACTACCAAAGCGAATACCTCGACAAGTGGCGCGAGCTAGAAGACAACTTGGGCAAGGAAGTCGATGCAATTATCGCCCCTATTACCGCGACAGCTGCTATCCGCCACAACCAGTTCCGGTATTATGGTTACGCATCAGTGATCAATTTGCTCGATTTCACGAGTGTTGTTGTTCCGGTTACCTTTGCGGATCAGAGAGTTGACCTGAAAAAGGTCGATTATCAGTCGCTTGGACAATTGGATGCTACCGTTCAGGCCGAATATGATCCCGAGGCCTACCATGGTGCTCCGGTGGCGGTACAAGTTATTGGGCGCAGGTTGAGTGAGGAGAAGACTTTGGCCATTGCGCAGGAGATTGGACGGTTGCTTGGGAATGCCGTGACGCCGTAATGCGGTACATGCGCCTCGTTATACACAGCTAGCTACTTTTAAGGTATACCCGGACTGGAGAATGGGAGAATGAAAGTCACATTGATGGGAACCCACTCCCAAATTATAAGAATGATATATTCGACAAAAGTAAAACACAATGATCCATTCTTCATCCTCAGAACAAACGCCATCTATACAAATGCAACCGCGACAGGGTATACAATAACGGGATGCAGAAAGAGACCTAGTCATACAGACCAAGACATCAAAGAAGAAAAGAACATTACCCAACAAAATCATAGCCCGAAGGCATCCAAGGTCTTATCTGCATTTCATACAGCGTGCTCGCCAGTTGCCTTCATCTCATCCATTTCGTACTCCTGAAGACTGCGCTCTCGGCCGCGACCACGTCCGAAGCTGGACTCGGCTTGGCCATCCGAAGCCTGTTGTGAAGATGAACCTGTTTGGCTGCTTCCGCCAAGACCGCCAAAGGCAATCGGTTTCAATTCGCGGTGCTGGCAAGCCCACATACCTCCAAAGGTCATCAACGAGGCGCTGGCGCACTGGAGGCCCCACCAGAGTAGGTTTGCGGGGAGAGAGTGCGTGTAGAGGATGGTGGCAACGAGGTGAATGAAGTGAAGCGTAAGGGCGAAGTCGGGAACAAGCTTTGATCGGGAAACGAAAAGCAGTAGGAAAATCACGCTAGGAAATTCATTAGTTGCATGCTCATTCGAGTTATTTGCGTTGTCCCAGTGCTGGAGAGACCACTCACCTAATGAAGCAGTTCAACATCCAAACCAGTCCTAACATCCATCCAACCGTCGTATCTCCTCTCAAATAATCCCATCCGAAGATCAGGTCTAGCGAGAACGGCGCACCGTATACGACCGTTGTGAACAGGATGAGTACCGTGGCGCAGGCATAATAGGCAACCTGCAGCAATAGAATCTTGCGGATGATCTTCAATGGCGGGAGGTCGGTCCGCGACCCCGCTGGAAGGCGCCGGCGCCCGGGCATCAACTAGGGAGCCAGGAAATTCCCTTGGCGACCTGATGAGTCCGAGGGTTTTGGTGATGAGCGGTGCGCTCAAGTCGAGGCGAAGGGCGGCCTTGGGTACATGCGCTTGCCACTTAGGTTCGCAGGTTGAGGACTCTAGCTGTAATCAGAAACGTCCGATTACGGGAAGAGTGTATAAGTCGAGGGGAACTTCAGGAGAGTTGAAGTGAGTGAGAAGAAGCGGACAGCGTTGAGACCGAGACCGTGATCAACAGTCTTGGCGTTCGCCGAGCCCGCGGGAGCAACGAAGCAACTTCATTCTCAGTGCCACAACCCTCGAGCTCCACGAATTCGCCACCCTTGGACATTGGTCTTGTCCACGAACCCTCCAGGACCTCTACACACATCACCAAACATATCCACTACCTTCAACATGGGCTGGCTCCCTTGGTCTTCCGGCGATTCGAACAAATCCTCCGACGGTGGCCGTATCGCTCCGGACCGAACAAGTCGTGCGCGCTGCTGGGAAGGACGTGATCACTTCTTCGCTTGCCTGGACCGGAATGACATTCTTGATGGAATCAAAAACGACAAGGAGGCGAGGCAAAAATGCGCGAAGGAGGTTGCGGAGTTTGAGGAAGCGTGCTCGAAGACCTGGGTACGTAACAGTCGTCACTGTTCTCTGCGTGCTTGATCTAGATTTCCAGGGCACTGCTATGCGGTTCTTTTGGTTCACTGATTTACTAACGGGGCTTGCTGCTTAGGTAAAATACTTCAAGGAGAAGCGTGTGATGGAATATAACCGGGATAAGACGATCGAGCGCATCAAGAACGAGGATGCGCAAAAGGTGAAGGAATTGAAGTCTTCAGGCTGGAAGCCTACTTGAAACATGGCTGGATGATATCTAGCGATTGTACATTATGTTACCATATCCACTCTTATCACGCATTCAGATGACCTTTCCATTCAATCCTCAGAATCAACCAAGGATGTGTCTCCGAGTAGCTGTCCCAATATTTCTGTGCATGTGAAAGATGCCCACCCAGAACTGTTCCAGCTTGAAAACTGTATTGATACGATCCAAACTGACGAGTGATCTACCGTGATGGAAAGAATTTGATGAGAAGCATCATACCCCGTCAATGGGTGTCAAATTATATCTATCTTGCCTCAAGCAGGTGGAGATAGGCTCAAACATACACTGGGTGAAATGGAATACACGGCAATTCCGACCAAGACACCACCGTTCGCCCTATCATCTAAAATATTCTCCTCATGAAGACACAAACGCCTGTTGTTGCAGATCGCTAGCAAATGCTAGCATGAAACATCAAAGCCATCCCTGTAATAATAAAGAACGAGAACGCCAAGCACCAAGAAAGTAGCCGGACTTTCCAGAAAAGTCACGGAAAAAGAGGTTCGTTAAATCATTGCTTCCATTTTGCCAGGTGGTTCATCAAATTCTGCACATTTGAGCCAACTGGCTGCCCTTGTGGCTGCTGGCCGCTCAGACCCTTCGCAAGCAGTGAAAGCAAGTGTGGATCTGAGACAACGGGTGCATTTGGGGGGTGGAGATTGTAATGTGGGTGAGGGAGAGGTTGAGGGTTTGATAGCACGGGAGGCCGAGTTGCATTGGTCAAGAGACTAGCGAGATCAGCGGGCGGAGGAGGATTGGGTGACGAGAAGGGTGATTGCGTCGCCGAGACTGGCTGCGATTGGGGGTTTGGGCGCTGAAGTGCTGATAAGAGAGTATGGAGGCTAGGGCCGTCCAAGGAGCTGATCATATTTGCAATACTGGGAGCGTTCGAAAGAGTAGGTAAGCCCGGTTGAGGCAGACCTGGCTGCGGCAAAGGCATAGCTTGCATCGGGGGAACCCCAAAGGCCGGATTGAGCCCATACGAAGTAGGGATGGAACCGCGCTGCATTGCCTGAGCTTGGTGGAACATAACTTCGGCGGCGATGTTAGGGTCGACCTCGGGGTAATCTAGATAAGAATTAGCGGTGTGGGGAACTTGGAGAGATCAAGGCTACGAACCACTGAAGCGGACGCTATCAGGCCCCGCACTTCGATCGAAAATCTGCAGGGGAATTTTGCGAGAGAACTGATTGGGTCGGGACAGTCGGACAACAGCGAGTACACCTTCGACATATTGGCGATGCACCGCCGCTCCCAATGGGATTCGAGGGCCTAACACAAGCACGTCTACGCGCAAGCCACGGTTGCGAAAGGCATTTTCCACGTGAAGTATAAAGTTCCTAAACCTGTCAGAAATGGCTTGTGGTATATGGGGCGAGATTGATACATACCGGTCCACTTCTTCCAAGACAAGTACCTGCACCTCCGGCACATCTCGAGGGGCCCGCCGAGGGACCGGTAAGCCAGCTTCCCCTTCATAGATCCCGCGAGGTCGCGGGCTCGGGCTGCGATACCGACGATCTCTAGAGTAAGGAGAACGAGGGGAGCGTGGCGAGCGGGGGAACGGGATCGTCTACGGCGGTCGAATCGTTCCGGGGTCCTGTCCCGTGATCGGTATCCATCCCGACCAGAACGAAAAGGTCGAGGGGAAGGTGAACGAGGTGAGCGTGGAGGCCGATAGTCGTCACGCCTTCGATGAGTGGGTTCATCCCGAAAATCGCTGAAAGGAGGTCGACTGGATTCGGAAGGCCGGTCAAAGCGATCATTAGGAGGACGTGCAGTAGCCCGGGCAGGCCCAGTACGACTGAATTCTGGTGACCTCGATCGTCGGGAAGGAGGGGCACGAGGCGCCTCCGTCGGACCAGGTCTGGTCGACCTTTGCGGCTTTGAGATTTCAAGATCTAAAAAAGTCAGCACCCTGCCATTCTGGGTTCCTTGTTCAGTGAAATGTCAACGCACGTATCTTTCGGCCTCGCACCAGCGCTCCCTGCTCGACTTGCAAGGCCGCATGGCAAGCCCCAGCCTCGAGAAATTGTATAAAACCGTAGGCCTGTTTGATAGATATTTGTGCCAATTTACCGTATTTGTGAAATAGATGGAACATGTCTCGCTTGGTGACTCTTTCGGTGGGGAGATTGCCTGGGCACGAAATATGTCAGCTGACGAGTCCTGGATCAATGGTTCAAGGAGATAAAACTGACCAACGAACAGTCTAGATCCCACCGGGAATCGATCCCAAAGGCCTTCCGTCACGTAGACTCTCTCATCGTGTAGAAACTCATCATATTTCTTTTGAACCTCTGGGCCCCAAGGCGCGTCGTCATCAGAGGCCTTGCCGGTGCGGACAGGTTGCTTATCGATGCGAGATTTTTTGAGAGCCTCCTGGGGTCCCTGGCGGTCTGCACCCGAAGCGAGGGTATGCTGGAAGCTGGCAACAGGGGGAGGGGGAGTGAGCCGGCGCCCGCGTCGGTTCCCGGGGCGAATCCTGGGGCAATAGATGAAGTGAAGTGTTGGGCATGGTTACTAGGGTGGGTTGCGTAGGCGGAGGTGGCATGAGCTGGAGGGGTTTGCTCATAGGGATGGGAAGCATAATTGGGGTTAAGGGAGGGGTCAAGAGGGCGGGCAGGGAGGTCCTGAGACACTTCCTTAGGAGCGTGGTGAAGCGACTGGCCTTCTAGATGGGAAGCGGCGACAGTCGCTCCACCTGCAGACACGGAAGACAGATTGTCCAGCAGCGTTTGGAAATTGACACCTGTATGGGAACTTGCATCATCCTTTGTAGCAACCCAGGGCGGCTCAACCTTGCCGGCATTTTCTATCTCGCTCGCAGCGGCGATGCCTTGAGAGACCGGGACCACCGGAGTCGCGTGGGAGTGAGTGGGATCGGGGGAGCGAAGCTAGAGTGTGCATTTGCGCCCTGGCCATGCCCAGTGCCCGTGGAGTGGGAAGGATAAATATCCGCAGAGTTATCATTCATCACAGTGTTCTCCGGCTGCTGCAGACCACCATCCAATCCTCCCTGGCCATCCTTCTTCCATCCACCGTGAGCCGGCTGTTCCGGCCACACCGAGCGTTCATAAGTCGAGGTGTCGTTAAAGACAGGGTCCATCTGATTCTCCAAGACCGGGATATTTGCTGGCTCCGGGATATGTAGCGGGCGAGGGCTTTCCGGAGTCAAAGTCTTGCCGCGGAAGTGAAGAGCTTCATCGGGGGGGACTGGGCGTCATGTAGCCTGGAGGGAGGTGGACGTTTCATCTACACAAGAAAAAAAAAAGATAGATAGTCGGAGTTAGGGGGAGCGTCAGGCGCCAGAGTGAATTTTGCAATCGCGCAAGCTAAGGTGGGGCGATCACTGAAAAAGATTGGGACCAGGCGGTCAGGATCCCAAAATAGGGTAACTGGGACGAGAGGTGGAGTGGGAGGAAGTAAAAGTGGTGGAAAGGGCGGAACGAGGAAAGAAGAAACGGAAAGGGAGGGAGAACACAAGGATTTCGGGCATATGTAGGTCATCCATACGCTGTACGAGGGGAAATCGAAGACCTGCTCGACTCTGGACTATGACAAAGGAACCTTAGGGACACCAACTAGGGGAACAAGGTATGCTGCAACGCCCACGAGAACCCGCCAATAGCACCCACGCCTCCTGACTAGGACGTCGTACACAGCATCCACCAGGGCGATTAATCCACCGCAGAGAAAACTGCCAAAAAAAAAGAGAAGGCTGGCCTGTCTGGTCAACTTGCCTTCGGAAGCGCTGGGAGGCGCTTCAGCTAGGATCTCATTAGTCAGATCATAGTCCACTCGCGTTGCTTCACATCTTCAATCTTAACTGCCAGGTTTATACTCCGGAAAAACAGACACCGCGTCATGTCACGACTACTCCAACCATTTCAGCACGTCCGGCGGTTTGCATCCAGTGCGTCCAGTGTGCCCAGCGTGGCCCCTGGTTCGAATGCCTCCACTAGGTCTGCTGACCGGGACTTCGAACTAGCGAGGCAGTGGCTGAAGTCTTTGAATTCCCGCACCATTCCCCGCCATCTCGGCCAGATCTCGTTCAGCCGGTCTAGCGGACCAGGCGGTCAGAACGTAAATAAGTCGGTCCATGTCCGATCCCCGTCACTCGACACTGGGCTAACCAAGTGGGGGCAGAGTCAACTCCAAGGCAACCCTGAAGCTGTCCCTGAACGCTTTGCTTCCTCAGGTTCCATTCGTACTGCACGCTCCTCTAAGGGCTTCCCGCTATGCCGTCAGCCAGGGCCAGGCCTTACTGATCCAGTCCGACGAATCCCGGAAACAAGCGAGCAACGTGGACTCCTGCTTCGACAAGCTCCACCAGTTGCTCCGATCTACGGCCGAGGCGGTTATTCCGGGCGAAACTTCCCCGGAACAGCAAAAACGGGTGCGCGACTTGTAAGCCTGCACTCCTTCGATGCCTCCCCGCCATGACACCTAAATCGAACTACAGGCAGCGCGCTCAGAATGAGGCTAGACTACAAGGAAAGAAATTTCAGAGTAAGAAAAAGAGTGATCGGCGGTCAAGCAGGTCCGATTATGATTGATACACTGAATATACTCCGACCAACGCCATTGAAAATGCTCGTCCTTTGAATTACTCCTTTGATGATGCTCGCTCCGCATTGCGCACAGTCGCCAGGATGACCTTCTTCAAGGAAGGATCCAACTCCTCCTTCTCTGCAATGGGCTGCAGCCAATTGACCACCGCGCGCGCGAGATCGATAGTCAAGGGTGACTCCTTGAGGCGTGCAAGTGCGCTACCCAGTGCCCGCGGGAATTCGGGTGATGTGACCCGAATGCCCGTAGTCGGCCGTCTGATGTAACAGATCTGCGTCCGGGGGCTGGTAGGCTGGTGTGTCTGAAGTGTCTCCACCACGTGGTCCAGAATCTTGCCCAGACACGGCGCCTCCTCAAATTCGGAGACCATTTCGTAGAAATCGAATCCGAACTGGTCATCGTTGTGGAAGTTTTTCATGGCGGCATCGAAGATGGCGAGTGGAATGGCACCGCTCAAGGCAGGTGTGGAATTCAGAGTCTGCAGGGCCTCCTCGTCTTCGCCCTGAGTAGGGTTGATGTCTTCCTCGGTGATCTTGGGAAGCGTGATCATATCGGAGCCCAGGTCATCCTGCGCGGTCTCCTGGACTGCCTCAGTCCGAACTTCATCCAATCCTAGAATGCGTTGACGGGCAGCCAGCTTGGCGATATAGATCAATTCCAACTTGGCGTATTGAAGCCAAAGCATTCTGGCACTCTTGCAGAATCGCAAGCCTCGTTGCATATAACTCCTCGCCTGCGACATATCCGCATGATCATCAAGAACCGATTTGGCGGCGTAGATCCACAACTCTGCACTGGTGGGGTGCAACCGTAAAGCGTCGGTAAATATCATGGCGAGCTTCTTGTGTGCCTTTTGCTTCCGCGCATAATCAATGTATTGTATCCAAAGACCAAGATCGCCGTGGAATTTTCGAGTCGCTCGCTCGAGGATGAAGAAAATTCGTCGCTGACCACTGTGACCGGCCTGTCGAACCCCGAGGCGCTTGACGCGCTTCTTGCGCAGGGTTTCGAGATTCATTTCGTACTCGACGTATCGCACAAAGTCGGCGGGCTGTGCGCCACGCGCGTTGAGCTTGTGCTCAAAGTCGGACCGTTTTTTGATGATGGCGGTAATTTCATCCTGATCACGATTAGCAGAGAATTCAATACTCACACAGCGTGACATACTTTGGTAAAAATCTTTTTCCGCTCGTACTCCTTGAGCTCCGGGACGGACTTCTCAAGAAAGAATCGAGCCTTATCTGTGGCGGCGGACATGGCTGGTGATCACTGACGAGAGAAGAACCAGAAAAAAAAGTTGTCGGCATCCCGCATGGACAAAGCACCGACCCCCGGATAGGCGCTAAACTTGGTCGGGAATAGCGTACGACCAAGGACACCTGGGAAAGCACCGGAGGCTCCGATGTTTTTCCTCCTCAGGGGCCCTTTCTATCTTCTTGCTTCCATTGAATTGTTTCAATTCCTCACGTTCTTTTTATTCTTCCCTTTCTTACCGGCCCCTATAAATCGGTGCGGAGTCTACCCTCTCCCGCTGCACCGCCATGGCACCTCGAATCAAGGATGGAGATGCCGTGGTGACCGTAAGCCATCACGCGAAGCGAACCTCGGTTGCAAGCTGACTCAATTCTATCATAGATTAACGGCAAATGGGTGTCATGGACTCACACGGTCTTTGCATATGCCGCCTTTTTCAGCGCCCTGATTGTCGGCGTCGCGCTGCATTATCATAAGATCGTTCAGAATGAACACTACGGCTACCCCGACGAATGGTTCCCCTCCGTGTCCGCCACCATTGGCGATCGCTACCCCGAGCGCTCCTTTTTCATGGTCTTCATCGCTATCACATCCGGTCCGCGCTTCCTTCTCGTTTTCCTGTGGTACATCCTCAGTGCGCGTCCGAACTACACTCTGCCTAAGATCGTTGCCGGTGTTGGTATCTTCCGCACTCTGACCTGTGGAGGTTGGACCTATGTCACCTCCACAGACGACCACGATTGGCACGATATCTTCATGATCTCTTATTTGGTGGCCACCCTGCCGTGGACTCTGGGTTGCCTGGCTTTGAGCCCCAACAACCGCCGTGCCGTCAAGTATCGCAAGATCATGGCCAGCCTTTTCTTTGGAACCTTGGTGCCATTGATCTACTATTTCATCCAGCACAAGGTGCACAAGGTGCCCGGTGGTAGGTCGATCGCTACGATGTGGGATTTCGTCAGCTAACATGTTCCAGCCTACACCCGTTACGCCTTCTTTGAGTGGTCCCTGGTCTTGTTCGATGTGGGCTTCGACGCCATCACTGCTCTCGACTTTGAGGGCTTTGAATTTGTGGTGCGAGATGTTAAGGGTATCAGCAGAGGGTATGTACCGTGGCTTCCAAAATGACATCCACGCCAAATGTATAGTGTTACGATTTACGTTGGTTGTTGCGAAAAAGAGCATTCTCTAAGTTACCTGTTATTTCCAGGCAGTTGAAGACGACTGCGGACTCAGTCCTTGAAAAAGAGTGTGTACAATCCCATAATCTACCCGTGACCCTCCAGAGGTTAACCACGTAATTATTAGGAAGGGCAAGGCCGTGGGCAACACCTTCGGCGAGGGCTTCTTCTGGACTGAGATCATCGACGCCGCTGCCGATGTGTACAATGGATTCGTCTTCTGGACCATTGTCACCGGTCTTCCCGTTCTCGTGTGGTATTTCCCTCTGTGGCACATGGGTATCTCCGGCTACGAGGTTGCCATTGTCTGCTGCTGCTCGCCTCTGTTCTTCGCCATCCCGTCCCTGCGATACGCCGCCACTAGGAATCTGCGCATTCTGCACTTGATCTCGCTGGTTGGTCTTCTTGCCTACAAATTCCAGGATCCCGCCAATCGACTCTTTGTGACTGGATTTGCTCTTGCGACATCTTGCGCCGCCTGGACCGCCAGCTTCTTCGCCGAGCGCGCCAACTCGCCCCGCCTTGAGACTCGCATCATGGCCTGGGGTATCGGTTTGATCATGTCCGTGGTCGCGAAGTTTGCTTGCTCCACGAACAACCCGCTCTGGCCGGTCATGCATGCCGAGAACGGTGGTTGGAATAAAACTGGCCTGTTCATTGCCATCTTCGCTGTCCTGCGGTCACAGCGTACCTCCAACACCAGCGGAGGAGATTTCTTGCCGTCTGGTGGCAAGAAGGGTTCATCCGTTCTGGCGGGTATTGGATTTGGTGGTCTTATGTTCGCCATCGTGTCTCTTTTGACCGACTCTAGCACCATGATCTCCTGGGTTTGGGATGGATATCCGATCCGTGGCCCCATTGCTGTGCCTCACGGTGCTGTGACCATCCTCGCTATGGGTGCGGGTCTGGTTTACGGTGTGTTCTACCCCGCTGTGGCCGGAAGCTGGACTGCCTACGGCATCGGCTCCATTGGTGCGGCTCTCCTTACCTGCTTCCACCACTGGACAGGTTATTACGGTGCTCTCGCTCTGGCCTTCTACGTGATGGCCATTTCACCTGTCTTGATCTCATCTAGCGTTCGTCACTCTCCTGCCACTACATTTGGCATTGGCTTCATCTTCTATGTTTTCATGCTGCTCTTCCACGTCTGGGTCGTCGCCTATGCGTTCGTTCCTGGCGGTCCCTTGTCCGTGAGCACACTGATTGGGTTATGATTACTACCATGCTCTCTATTGGAGCTGGTGTGTTCTCGGCCGCCACCTCCAACTCATCCACTCGCTCCCGCAAGAAGCCCCTCAGCCCTAACAGCAAGAGACAGCGTTCATATTACATTTACGTTCTTGCTGCATTGCAATTGCTATCCATCTCGGTGGCCTATCTGCGCTTCCCTACCAACGATTACCAGCCCCACCATAAGGAGGACAAGGTTCTCACCGCTGGTATCTGGACAGTGCACTTCGGTCTCGACAACGATATGTGGGCTGCTGAGCGACGTATGCGCGATGTTCTTGGTGAGCTGGAGCTCGATGTCATTGGTTTCCTTGAGTCAGATAATCAGCGCATCATCATGGGCAACAAGGATGTCACCCAATACATTGCCGAGGACCTTGGCTACTACGTCGACTTCGGCCCGGTCCTAACAAGCACACCTGGGGCTCAGCCTTGCTGTCCAAGTTCCCCATCGTGAACTCCACCCACCACCTCCTTCCCTCGCCCGTTGGCGAGTTGGCCCCGGCCATTCATGCGACTCTTGATATGTATGGCGAGATGGTCGACATTTTCGTCTTCCACTCCGGTCAGGAAGAGGACCCCGAGGACCGCCGTCTTCAGTCCCAGTACCTGTCCAAGTTGATGGGGTCTTCGCCTCGTCCGTCCATTCTGTTGAGTTACTTGGTCACGAAGCCGCTCGAGGGCAACTACAACACCTATGTCAGCGAGGTGAGTGGTATGAAGGATATCGATTCCAGCGATTGGGACAGATGGTGCGAGTACATTCTCTACAAAAATGTTCACCGCACTGGGTACGCCAGAATCAGCCGTGACACCATCACCGACACTGAGATTCAGGTATGTGAAAACATCAACTATAACACAGGACCACTCTAACAATCCCAATAGGTTGGCAAGTTCGTCATCGGCGAACCAGAACCCGAGCAGCAGGTTCGCATCCCCGAGGAACTTGTCCCCGAAGGCCGTCGCTTCCCCGCCCTGTTCCGTGGCGAGGGTGTCCGAGGCCACCGCTACCATGTCTTCGACGAGCCCCGATACTGGCAATAAGCCGTATTAAGGCACAAGTAAATGAGCAGAATGCTGTATTGTTGCAAAAAGATTCTTGCCATCGAGGCGCAAGACCTCATGATTCAGTTACATGAGAAATAGCTTGGAAATCTGAGGGCGGACATTCCAATCGCCATCTTTCTATGCAAATTTAATTCTTTTTATTTCGTCTCCAAACGGCTGCTTTCTCCGGTGATCTATAGCCTATTTCTGTTGGGTGGAATTCCGCGACTCATTTACGGACGCGCGTCTTCCCTCCCGGTTAGGAGCTTGGCTTCGAATAACCTAACATACTCTAATCATGCCACATGGGGAAGTGAATGACTGAAATGGAGATCAGCGGCTAGAGTGCTTGAATTGCCGCGTCTCCTACGGCTGCTAGCATTCCTAGATTTACGAGTCAAGATGGCTTCGGAACAATCGCGCTTGAACTTAGAGCGGCGTCTGCTTATATCATCCAGTATCTTTGTGTCATTCCTCGGTCCTGCTCAACATATCAAGCACTTCATCTGCTGAAGTTCAATTGGACGGTAGGAATCGCATCAATCCCTGAATACCTCTAGTAAAGATTTGAGCATTGAGTTTTACAAAGTCCCACGAATTTCTGTCTAGGCTTTGAATGCCCATCTTCTAAGCAAGGAGTCAGTTCAGGCCTGGGTATTGCTTTCTTTACACCTCGCAATCCTACAATTAGTATCCCCTCCACGAATCCACATGTGGAAAAGTAAGGTCTTATCCTAACTGAGGCCACGAAAATATCCAATAATCCATGATTATCACTACTCATCAAAGATCGATTAAGTCAGTCGTGATAACATTCGAGGTACATTCACATACCATGTAGCCCACGCGCCATGGAGACAGAGGATGCACCCACACTCGGCAAAATGATTACTAACATCAGAAGATCCTTTATCTTGTGATTATGTAATGTTACGAACGACTCTCATGTATGAAGTGAGAGAACTGATGAGACTTGCTATGTCTCATCATTGTTTACTGGTCTCGAAACAATTCTGCGCCAAGATGGTGGAAGTTCTGTGCCAAGTATACAATTACCCTATGTGGGGTACGGACACAGATCGATCTTCTGACATGGGGCTTTGACATCATAAGAGGTGATATCATGATATTGTAACGATTATGTTCAAACATGATGACGGGATCAAAACTGTACTTGTCTTACAAATGCCGGTTCCGAACCTGCTGTCACTAAATCCCGTTTCAAACCTGCAAAATGGCTTTTCAAGACCCTAGAAGTATCGCGTACATCTACTTCGAAATGATCCATCCCGCTGCGCCTTGAGATACACTGACATTTCTTTTCTCGTTCGATTAAGAGATTTAAAGCCTTACCACATACGGAACCGCTCCCACGCTCGCAATGAAGGCCGTCGTTGTTGAACAATACGGACCAGTCGAAAGTCTGGAAGCTCAAAATGTTCCCGATACAGGGGACCCTAAGGGCCGCGATCTGTTAATAAGGTACGCATAGCGGCTCATGCTGCATCTTAACTTGGGCAATTTTTTTTTAATACAAATCGGATGTCAGGGTGGAAGCGTGCTCGGTGAATCCTATTGATATGAAAGTCCGCGCTGGTAAATACGACGATTATCCTGGTATGTGTTTCCCTTTTCGCACAGTCATCGTATTTCCAATTGACGATGTTCAGACTACTACTCTCATGTTCCCCGCCCATATCAAATCTGTGGCTATGATGGCGCGGGAACAGTGATGAAAAAGGGCCCCGGGTGTTCGCTCTTTAATGAAGGAGATGAAGTCTTTTACTCCGGTAGTCCAATTCGACATGGATCCAATGCGGAATTTCAATTAGTGGATGAGCGCTCTGTGGGACACAAGCCCAAAAGTCTCGATATGGTCGAGGCTGCTGCCATGCCTCTTACGTATCTCACCGCTTATCAGGCACTCGTTGAACAAATGAAGATTGAGAAGAAGGAAAAAGCGGCAGTGCTTATCATCAACGGGGCAGGTGGTGTTGGGGCCGTGGCTAGTCAAATTGCCCGCCAGCTCCTTGAATTGCCCGCTGTGATTACGACCGCTTCTCGCCCGGAGAGTGTTGACTTCACGAAAAAGATGGGAGCAACGCATGTCATCAACCACAGGGAAGATCTGCTGAAGCAGATCCAAAAGCTCGAACTTGACGTTCCTGTGAAGTAGGTGTTGCTTCTCCCAATCAATGAATGGTGTGACTTACCCCCAACCCCAACTCAGATATATATTTATCACGCATTCGACCGACCAATACATGGACGTGTGTGCCAAAATTTGTGCGCCATTCGGCAAGGTCTGCTCGATTGTACAAGGCCAAGCCAAGATGTACGGCACAGAGTTTATGGCAAAGTCTTTGTCTTTCATCTGGTGCCTGGTTGGTACTAAACCTGTCTATGGCATGGATGTGGAGTCTCACCACCGAATTTTGGAAGAGTTGAGCCGGCTGTTGGATGCTGGAAAGATTCGTTGTCATCTGACGCAGCGACTAGGGTTGACACTCGATGGTCTTCGTGAAGCCCACCGGGCTATAGAGAGTGGGGCCAATATCGGAAAGACTGGGTTGGCAATTGGTGATATTCACGGCGCTGAAGCCTTCATGTAACTCAAGACAGCTAGGTGAGGTTCTTGTGGTCAATAAAATTTGGTCTAGCATGTATCGTGCTGAAAGATGATCAGAGTGATGACCATAATGAGTCCATTTACGGTTGAAATATATGTTTCATATCTTTGGGTCGTCTTCGTAGTTTCATACATGTAGAAGTCTTGTTTCGAAGATGGCGATGCTACAATATACATAGGGCTCTTTTTAGAAATTCTCATCAGAGGCATCGCTTGCGCCACATCTTGAACCACTTCCTCCGGGCCGTCTTTTAGGGAGCACTCAACGACCCCTGGGTTCAAATATTTCTCAATGAAGAGAAATGTCCTCGTCCTGGTGACTTGGTCGAGATCACACCTGTTCTCAAGCACGATGTCAACCTCATAGGCGGTAGATTACGGGGCGCGGACATCGACCTCGATTGAATATAATTTGACCTCCTTCGCCGGTCTTCCCTTTTTTCTCTTGTTTTTTTTCTCGTAAAAATTTCATAATGTCCTGCTCTGGCGCGTTCCTGTAGTTCTTCAATCTGCATAGCTATTACTAGGAGGGATTTGGGAAGGCTTCCTCAGGTACATCTCGGCAGATGGAATAGCAAAGTCGATGAGACATGCCTTCTTCATTCTAAACCTACGCAGACAGGGGTTCGGCCTGGGTCAAGATTTCCCTGGTACACACGGAGAGCCTGATTCTGAGACCAGGCTGCGAGATATACGCACTTGATGATTTAATCCCCAGGCCTCGCCGTCGTTGGCATTGGAATGTGGGAAACCACACGGTAACCCAGGTGCCCGGGCAGAACGGCCTGTGCACTTTGTTGTTTCTCCCCGAGTCGAGCTTGCTGCTTTAATTTCTTTGCTCATTTCTATTCACAGCCCGCGTAGACTTTGAGAAGTCTTTCTTTCAGTACGTAGCAGCGAGGCTATCTTCAAAGGTTGTTTTATGTGAACACTCTTTATCCAGCGGTAGGCTAAATCACAGGTTAAGAATGAGCAATCGATCTCAGCTGAACCTAATCGATCAGATCGTCAATCGAGGACCACTACACGCTCATCGTGAGGTCCACACGGCCAGGTCGGATCACTTTTGCCCCCGGCGGCTATTCAGCACAGAGCAATGACACCAACGAAGTAGCATGGTCACATTCCAGAGACGGACAAGACAAGCCAGATTGGGCGGATGGTACTTCCACCAACGCGCACAGACGCAACGGCTCCCACGGCTCTTTTCCTGGCCTCATAATCGAGTACGTAGACAAAGAATCTCCCGAGGAATGCGCCTTGCCTTGCTTGTAGCGTTAGCGTGGCCTCTGGTGTGGTCATGAACTCTAACTAGGGCAGTCTTTTGTCTGGCTGCCTTTCATGTGGAGTGGAAGAAGGAACGAGGTCTCCTTTGATTCTGGTGCACTCGCTGGCTCCACTGGAGACAGCCCTAAGGGGAAAGCAGCTCCCCCTTTTGCAATCCGCAGGTCTGGGGCAATGTGTCGATCGCCGAAGCGATGTATCATCGGGGGGAGCCCCGGTGGAGTAGGGACGTAATCGTATATTGAGCACTGTTCTTTAAGGGATATCTTTCGTGTCTTTTCTTTTCTGTTATAATACCCGTCAGAACCGTTGTCCTGGTCAGATGAGCCGAAGTACAAGCTGCTTTGGATGGGAACAATATGACTCGGCTCGCTAAATCTGCTACTCTCCAGCTGACCATCTTGGTTTCTTCGTATCTACACCCGGGGCCTTTTATTTCTGATACCGCTGTCTTGCGATCCATGCTCTAGTCGCATCCTGCCAAGCGCTGCTTGAACTACCCCCGTCGCGTTTTGTGAGTGTCACATCCGGGATATTATGGTCCTGACTACGAGGACGTCTGACTGACTAGAATTGCTCTGTCAAAGAACACCGAGTCCAATCTTCACTCCATATTCCTCTTTCCTTGTCACGCCCAGGAACAAGTTGCATTGTGCATTTTGACGACACGGTCTCTTTGTAACCCTGATCGGGGAATTTCGACACTGAACGACCGTTCTGGTAACAAAAAATCTATTTTTGTGACCACAATCTTTTTCCCTGTTAGTGACAAAGCAAGTCGTCGAAAGATCTCGAACTCATATCTCGAAAACTCTTCTAGCCTGTTTATTAAAAACAACGCCCCTTTGCCTTGTTTTCAAGGTACCAGCTCTCTTTTTCCGACTGTATCACCCTGCTGGTACACTTCTTCCTCACTGTGAGTCTAACGGCAATTCCTCCCTTGAACTTTACACCGAACTAATCGAGCTTCCCTTACATGCAGTGAGAGAAGCTTTTCAGTGTTGAGTCATGGCAGCGCCTCCAGAGAAGTGGTATCAGCATGCCCAAGCCCCAAAACAACGGAAATCATCGCCACTGAAGACTATTGCTCTGGGCGATGGGTCATATTTTCCAGACGAACCGGAAATTGAACATGTCGAGAGAGCTAGCTCTCCAGGCACTGATTCCGCGCCAACACGGCCAGCGAAGGCTTTGGTTCGTGAAATGAGCCAAATTTTCGGAAGAAAACGCGATTTTCGATTTGCTGCACATCCATACATGCGCTTGCGTGGGGGGAACTGGGAGAATTGGGCCATCGACTCTTCCGGCAGCTCCGCCAGTGACACCAGCAATTCGTGGACTACCCAAGATCGCACATCCGACGAAGGCCGGCGAGGAGATCTTGATGATCCCGCCAACTACGAGTATTTCAAACGACAGCAACTCTGGTGCTTGGCCGGCGATCTATGTTGGAGACGATTCGCCGTGTCCTCAGAGTACGGTTCTCACTTGATCCAAAAGACCCGAGTGAGGGAAAAGATCTTTCGAACGACTTGATCAAAAGAGCCACCGGAAAGTGGGCGATCCCTGGCGCAGTCACCACAGGAGACGTTCGTTTGAGCCCAACTCATGCTAAATATAAGGCAGAGTATAAGGCACCTAGAGCCTATGATTCAACGATAGGGCTTGGCGGCTTACAATGGGTCTTTGACGCCGGCAACGAAGAAGCGTCCTGGAATGGATTCACGCAAGAACAAGTCATCGAGTTCATGTATCGATCTGTCGAGGAGATTATGGGCGATTGGATCTCGCGAGATCAACTTCGTCGGTTTATCAGGAGCGGACCTCTTGCGAAGTACGTGCAATACGTGGAAGATCCCCTACCACCACTTCCTCCGCCACCCAAAAGAAGCTTCACCAAAGACCGATATGTTTCATGGCATTTTGACGGTACAACGAAGAAACATGGGAACACCACAGAATTCTGGGACACCTACATTCGCGACGATCTGGCTACGCGACCCGGTGAAGCTAGAGACCCAAAGAGATTGGGCATGTTGTCTCAAAGATTGTTTGCCCATATGAGAGAAGCGTATGATCAACCAAATAACGTTGATAATCTGTTAGAGACTTCTTCCGATGAGGATACTCCCCTTCCACCACGGAGCAAAGAAGCCGGCCTTGGGACTCCCCCTCCACGGCGTCCATTCGGAACATCCCCCGTGAGAGCCTCCGCGGAGGCCCTCAAACAAAACCCCGGCAGCCTTATAGAAACCGATCCACTGCATGACCCTGAACTAGGCTTGAACCTGATGGATACGGTTGAAGATGGCGGCGGTCGGACCGCACGACTTGGTGAGTACAAATGTGTTTGGCTCTGTGTTATCGTCTTGGTTCTTAGCATGTTCCTTTGTCTATTCCTGTATTCGTTCAAGATCATCGGGTGATGTAATTAGAAACGTGTCAAAAGAGCCTAGTATCTATTCAGCTCATTATACACACTTGGATAAGCAGAGCTGATTATCTGTGTCACCTGAGTCTCATGATGGATGATCATTGGGAGCGATGACCTCAAGTGGGAATTCCTGGCATTCTTGACATCCCTTACGTACTACATTCGCATGGCTGGTTCCTAAAATAAATGATCTGCTGTGATTCGATGCTGACGCTAACATGTTGGTGCCTTAGATGACGTGGCAGGCTTGCCGGAGGAAAAGGCTCCCGAAATCGATCAAGAGGAGGTCTCGACGGAGCCTGTGTTATCTTCTCGCCTGTCTCCGGCTAAGACTGGTATATCTGAGCCCTTGAGGTCGAAAGAGAAGCAATCCAAGAGTGATGTTTCTCCTCCTTTGTCTTCTGCTCGAATTGATCTATCCGAACCCTCGTCCAGCAACGAAGAGGAACGTATAACAGCTGGCCCAGTGAGCAGAAAGCGGGAAAGAAACAAGACCAAGGAGCCTGCAAGAAAGAGGCAAAAGCCTGGGGCCGTACCCACCCGCAAGGCTCCCAAGCGTAACCGTAAGAAGCCAGATAGGCTGGGATTTTCTACTTGAAAGCGCAACAATAAGGAAAGTGAGTCGTCTTATGGGTATATGATAGGTGAAGACCGGATTAACACTCTCTATGAGTGCTAACACTTCATCGTAGCTTTGAAATTAATCACGATTCTGGAAAGACTAAATAGGCCCCTCGGCCCATTGCTGCTTAAGACAAACGGCTCTGAAACGCTACCAAAGACAAGAGTAACATTTACAAAATATACAAGTGAATTATGCGAGTAAGATGGCGAGGAGGAGGATGACGTCTCGGCTACAGGGTTCGCTTCAGCACGTGCGAGCCACAACTGCGACGTCGGAACACGATATTACAACAGAGGTGAGCAGATCTATAACCGTCAAACGACATCTTTCGTCGTGTCGGACCACGGGCCAGCACTGAGCTGACACTTCAACGTCTCCACAGAGCCCCTCTCTACCGGCTGACTGGCCCGGGATTTTCATGAGCTGTGAGTTGTTCCATTGAGAATGACGTGGGACATAATTCACAAGAGTAAAGATCATGATTGTGTAGACTCCCGGGGTGTTTACTAAGAGTTGGGTGAAAATTGTGCATCGTATTTGAATATTCAAAGCGTGTTGAGCCGGGGTTGTCTTGTGTTATGGCCCGTAGAGAAGATGGTTGAAAAGGAATCCAAGTCGTCTCACTATAGTTCTGCAAGTAACTCAGAAAACCCACGATATTGGCCAGTGGCTCAAGGTCACATGACATGTGATATACAAACCGTGCAAACATGGCCGACAGAAGACAGCTCCGCGACAGTGGATTCCTCCCGATCTCGACCGGCGCCTTCTATCCCTTATAGCCGCTAGCAAGCAGCTGTCGAATCCAGGGAAATCTCCAAGATAATGCACCATTCTTTTTGTTAGAAGCATAACCCGACCTTTGACTCGATTGGACGTGTTCCATTTTCGAACGCGCTCGGCCAGACGCAGTCGCAACGGCTCAAGTCGCTGAACACCTGCAAGCAAGATGTTCACTTTCACCCCACTGCTGGGCGGACAGTCGTCGTCATCGAGGGCATCGCAATCCATTCTAGAGCTTGATGGGGGTATTAAGATCTTAGTGGACGTCGGGTGGGACGATACGTTTGACACTCGTGACTTGGCGGAGCTGGAGAAGTTAGTCTGATCGGCCGAAGTCTTCGATTTAGTGCTAATATCGACTTTTTGCAGGCATATTCCGACTCTCTCACTCATTCTTCTCACCCACGCGACCTCGGCGCATATCGGTGCCTTCGTCCACTGCTGTCGGACCTTCCCTCTATTTTCTCAAATCCCTATCTATGCGACAAGCCCAGTGATCGCCCTCGGTCGCACAAGCTTACAAGACCTCTATGCTTCGGCACCTCTTGCCGCGACTTTTCTACCCAATGCATCGGTATCAGAACCAGGCGCCGCAGCTGCAGCACCTACAATATCAGCGGATGGAGATGGAAAACCCAAAGCTGCTGGCAGCACAGGGAGGATTCTCCTCCAGGCACCAACCGCGGAAGAGATCGCTCGATATTTCTCATTAATTCAGCCTCTCAAGTATTCGCAACCCCACCAACCGTCCCCGTCTCCATTCTCGCCACCCCTAGATGGGCTTACACTTACCGCTTACAATGCCGGACACACCGTGGGTGGAACTATCTGGCACATCCAACACGGAATGGAATCCATTGTCTACGCCATGGATTGGAATCAGGCACGCGAGGGCGTTGTAGCAGGCGCTGCATGGTTCGGTGGCTCTGGAGCCAGTGGAACAGAAGTCATTGAGTCATTGCGGGAAGCCAACAGCTTTGATCTGCAGCTCCCAGGGTGGTGATAAATTCGCCCCATCTGGGGGTCGCAAGAAGCGAGATGATTTGTTGCTTGATATGATTCGAAGCAGTCTTGCTAAAGGCGGGACTGTTCTCATTCCAACGGACACGAGTGCTCGAGTGCTTGAGTTGGCTTATTCGCTTGAACATGCCTGGCGTGATGCGGCGACTGGTGAGAAAGACGATGTTTTGAAGGGTACTGGACTCTATTTGGCCGGCAAAAAGGTCAACACCACTTTGCGCCTGGCCCGTAGTATGCTCGAATGGATGGACGAGAATATCATTCGTGAATTTGAAGCTGCTGAAAGTGCAGACGCGGCTGGCCAAAAAGCAGGTGGACAGGGACAAGACAAAAGTTCCGGTAAAGGTGGAGGACCTTTCCATTTCAAACATCTGAAGACCGTCGAACGTAAGAAGCGGCTCGAGAAGCTTCTTGCAGACCAAGGCCCCAAAGTCATTCTTGCTTCAGACACATCATTGGCTTGGGGATTCTCTAAGGAATCTTTCCGACGGGTTGCCGAGGGTCCCAATAACCTTTTGCTGCTGACAGAATCTTTCCGCACCAAGGCGCCTGAGGTCCCAGATGCTCACAATACGATGTCAATTGGACGTATGATCTGGCAATGGTATGAAGAGCGGAGAGATGGCGTGGCGCTAGAGAGAACGGCCGATGGAGAATTGCTTGAACAGGTCCATAGTGGCGGACGGGTATTGACATGGACCGATGTTCAAAGAGCCCCTCTAGATGGTGGCGACCACCTACTATATCAGCAATATCTCGCCACGAAACGACAAATCCAGGATACCACCCAAGCGCGTGGCCAGGAGACACTCGAAACCGTAGCCGATGCACTGGACGACCGATCAAGTTCAACCTCTTCAGAAGATTCGGATTCCGAACAGCAAGGTCGTGTGCTCAACTTCTCGGCGTCACTTGCGCACTCGAATCGAAGCAAGCTTGCCCTTACCGACGAAGATTTGGGCATTAATGTTCTCCTTCGACGCAAGAATGTCTACGATTATGACGTGCGTGGCAAGAAGGGGCGTGAACGCATGTTTCCCTATGTTGCACCAAGAAAGAAGGGTGATGAGTACGGAGAGTTCATTCGACCAGAGGAATACCTACGAGCAGAGGAACGTGAAGAAATAGACATGCAGCAGCGACGGTCTGACGCGCAGACCAAGCTTGGTCAAAAAAGACGATGGGACGACGCCGCCGTTACTGGTGGACGCAGACTCTCTGGAGGCGCAGCTGGACGTAAGCGCCAGCAAGTGTCCAAAGATGGTCAAAGGGTCGAGTCAGGTCCAGGTGATGATGTCAGTCTTGCTTCTGGTGAAGATGCCGACGCAGTTATATCTTCCGAGGACGAGGATGATGGCCAAACATTCGAAGGACCTGCCAAGGCCGTTTATAACAAGGAGTCAATTACAATCAACGCTCGGATCGCATTTATTGACTGTATGGGCCTGCACGATAAGCGCAGTTTGGAGATGTTGATTCCTCTCATCCAACCTCAGAAGCTGATTCTGATTGGTGGAATGAAAGAAGAAACCTCTGCTCTGGCAGCTGAGTGCAAGAAGCTCCTGGCTGCCAAGGCTGGAGTGGACGTCTCTGCTGCTGCTGCCGAAGCCGCCGCTATCATCTTCACCCCTCTGAATGGTGAAGTTGTTGATGCCAGTGTCGACACCAACGCTTGGATGGTCAAGCTGAGCAACAACCTCGTCCGCCGCTTGAACTGGCAGCATGTTCGCAGCCTGGGCGTCGTCGCTCTGACCGCACAATTGCGAGGACCCGAGTCCACCGATGATGATGAAACCACAGGTGCCGACGCATCTGGCAAGAAGATGAAACTGACCAAAGATGAGGCCGCCTCTTCCGCAGTCACACCTACATCGAACAGCGCCAAGTCTGCAGACAAATCAACCCTCGTCCCTCTTCTTGATACCTTACCTGCCAGCATGGCCGCAGGAACCAGATCGGTGGCCCGACCGCTGCATGTTGGCGATCTCCGTCTGGCCGATCTGCGCAAGCTGATGCAGGCGGCCGGTCACACCGCCGAGTTCCGGGGTGAAGGTACACTTCTCATTGACAAGTCAGTGGCAGTGCGGAAGTCAGGCACTGGCAAGATCGAGGTTGAAGCTTCGGCGCAGTCATCGGCCAATCAGGCCTCCCAGGGTCGCGGTGCCGGTAGCTTCCTGGCTGTGAAGAGAAAGATTTATGAAGGCCTGGCTGTCGTGGCAGGGAACTAAGGCAGGACATGTGTGTAATTTTACCATCCACTGATGTATAACTTGATCTGTAATGAAGTAATTATCAATGATCATCTATACTAGCTCGTACGGTCCTTCTGAGACTTTTTACTAGACCGGTCAATGCACATATGAAAGAGTTTAACTGTTCTAATTCTAATCTTTTGCTTTTTTCCCGTCTATGAATTCTATGAAAGTTCTCCACACTTTGTTCTGAGATAATGGGATCACGCTTGTCGAGCCGGGACATGCAGTATTGTCAGACGTTGATATCCTCAGGCTCTTCGTAGTCATTTGTATCCTCTGAAGGAATTTGCTGGATGATGTCGCTGGTTTGGGGACCAGTGTATTTTCTGCGGAGAATCGTCAACATGTTTCTTCCCACGAGATGAATCATATGATTACCCTTTTGCAGCGACCCACCACCAAAACAGGGCGAATATTCCAATAAAGGCAGCAACGCATATGGCGTAATTCCTATGACCAAAGATTAATACAGTACCATATTTAGCAGGAAGGAATTCTCACATGTTTGCCGGTGTTACTGGTAGTTGAGAGGGGAAGAAAAGGATAGTGCTGATAAATAACACCCAAATGACCGCAACGTAATTGGTCAGGGTGCCCCATCTGCCAAGTGTAAAGGGGCCCTCAATGAAGTTGACCTTCCTCTTGTATATCTGGTGAGCGAGAATGACAGACACGTAAGATAGGTCGAGTGCCGGTGCCGTGACGCTGAAAATGGCAGTAGCAGTTTCTGTAGATCCGATAGCAATGCAATTGAGACCAGCGCTAAAGAAGACCACGAACCACACAGCGTTGACGGGAGTTTGGGTATAAGGATTGACCTTTGACAGAAACTCGGAAAAGGGCAGCGCATTGTCTCTAGCAAAGGCGTATGCCATTCTCGTATCTGCTAGCATGGCTGAACAGCCCGTGAAGAATTGTACTAAGATGGCAAAAGCCCACATGGTGGTGCCGCCTACCTTCCCACCGGCGTTCAGGAAGATCTGTGCGGCGGGGAGGCCAGTCGGAGTATTCAGAATCTCATCAAACTCAGTGAGACAAAAGCACATGCAGACTGTCAACATCCAGCCGAATGCTCCAGAGACCAATACCGCGGTCTTGATAGCAACTGGGCCTCTGACGGCAGCATCGTGGGTTTCCTCGGACATGCTAAGATAGATGTGAGCTATTACCAGACTCAGAAAGATATCAGGACTCACTGAGTCGTCCCATCATAGTCTGTCATAGTCCATGCAACAGACAAGAAGCCTAAAAAGAATGAGAATACCTTGGAGCCCCACCCGGACCCGTCAGTAAAGTGGGTAAAGACCCACGAGGCTGGTTGCTTATCCGGAGTGAGATACAGCAGTGCAATACAGATGCAGATGGTCGCAGATACTGTGGTGCTATCAGCAGTGTCCGTTTCAGATGACGAGTTATCATACTGTTTATCGGCGCGAACCAAAGAATGATTCGATGCAGGGTTTTTGTTGTCAGGGAACACACTACGCCGATGATGCATAGCAGCCCAATGGATACCAACACGGTCTGTAGAGCGTTCCTAGCGACGCGTCAGAGAACCAAAGGGGTCACAGATGAGAAAATGAATATCTGATCAACTCACGGTGAATAAGAATATTGGCCATCGACCAGATCCGAGTTCATGCTCACGCCGGCCAACAGCATCTGGCTTACGGTATAAGCCACACTGGAGACACCAGCGGTCTGACCCAGCAGATTGCACCAACCCTGGACCCACGAGAAGATCGGGACCTGTTCGGCAGGAACAACATGTTTGGTGACAAAGTACATACCGCCAGCGGTTGGATAGGCGGAGACTAATTCCGCAACGGAACTACCGATGCACATCGCCATGCAGGAGCCGATCAACCAGCACCATACAGCCGTGGCCGGGCCACCGGCCGATAACGGCGAGCCAAATGTTGCCGGCACCGACCCAAGGACTCCTAGAATGGAGATGGCATATGAGACGGTGGACCATTTCGAAAACTCCCGTCGCAATTCCTAGTCGGTTTGTGGTTAGAGGTGCCGATGAAGGGCGTGCAGGGTAAAACGGGCGCAGGCACCTGTTTGTATCCAATTCGAGCCAACAGCAATTCATCGTCATCCTGGATAGTCGCCATTAGGGATGGGATAGGGGATACCGAAACAGAGACTTGAATTTGATCCCCCTTAGGTCTGCGATCCGAGTCTGGGGCCTTCACCGTCAGGTCCATAAGTATAGATAAGGCTGGTATAGAGGTAAGGGAGGGGGCGATAGAAAAAGCAAAGAATGCAAGAATGAAAACGAAGATATGCACTTACGAGGACCTATCCTACAGATATTATATTGACTTGGATGATGACGCCAGATGGAGGGGCAAAGGTCCGGTCCAGGGGAGTCGAAGCGACGGTGAGGTGCAGAACCCTAAGCCAAAAATCGGAGAAAGGTCGATACGCACTTTATCACGGTCAGCACGAATCAATCGATTCGAACCGATGCACGTTCACATAGGGTTGGTCTTACTTTGATAGTACTGCGGACAGGGGGTTATAGGATAAAGATACTTAGTGAGAATAAATCGAGGTCGGACCTACTGGTGGGTCAAAGAGAGGCCCGTTACTCGCGTTTCCGTCTTTGGAGACGAGCTGCAGTCTGGGATCAAGAACACTGCCTTAAGCAACACGCCAAAAGAGATAAGTCAACCTTTTGGAATTTGTATAAGCCACGTAGAAGAACAGAGAATGACTGCAATTTTCAGGTTCCTTTAGTATTTCGTTATGAGACGTGTTTCGAAAGAATGAAGAGTCGGCTGGGCATTCCGGTGTTTAGTTTAAGCGCCACCCTTATACAAACGCAGGGCGAATGTAAAGAAAAAAACGAGCGGTAAAAATTCAATGATTCAAAGATGTCTGTTAACCTTCTAGAACCAAGAATGAATTGAAAACACGAAATACAGTTCTGACTGTTTATGGTTCCACACGTGAAGAACCTCGGAAGCACGTAAATCCGCAGAGAACTAAGGCTAGGTGGTCAATCCGGTATATCATCAACATTCGCGGGGTGCTGCAATCGTCCTTGGTCATGCTCTGAGCTTCTTTTCTCTCTATCTCCTTGGATCCTAGCCGTATTCTCCTTATGGCTGATCCATCCATGTATCACACAATAGGGGGTCAAGACCCCTCGAATTCGCACTCGCAATTCTCCCCTCAACAGCCCTACCCCCCGGGCGCTGCACCCCAGCAACCAATTTCTCCTGGTGCCGCTCCTCAGCAATCAGGAGCTCCCTACGGTAATCCGGCACCCGGTCAGTGGTCTGCGTACGGCTCCCCTCAGCAACAGCCCGGACCCACGGAAGCATACAATGCACAGCAAGCTCCCATGGGGGCAGGAGACCCGAACATGGCGGGGTTGGCTTCACAAATGAGTGGCCTGGGAATTGCGCCAGACGCTGGAGCTAGGACACATCGGAAGAAGCATCGCCATGCCTATCATGATATCGGAACCGGGAGTGCTGCTCCTGCTAGTGGGATGCCTGTGGCAGGCGCGCCGCAGCAGGAAACTCGATTCCTTAGCACCGGCTTCAATCAGGATGCAAGACCGGTGTCGCCCTTGGCTGCACTCCAGACAGGGCGGTCCGCGCAACCGGGAATGGGTTCGCAACCTGGCATGGCCGGTGGTGCGGATTCCGTCGCTACACAAGGTCGAATTGACCCCGAACAGATCCCAAGCATCCCCCGATCACGCGACGTGCCCGCTCAGTACTATTTCAACCATGTTTACCCTACTATGGATCGACATTTGCCTCCGCCATCGTCGATTCCGTTTGTCGCCCACGACCAGGGCAACTCCTCGCCGAAATACGCTCGTCTGACACTCAACAATATCCCCTCGACCTCCGACTTCCTCTCCTCTACGGGATTACCTCTGGGCATGATCTTGCAACCACTCGCGCCTCTGGATGCTGGCGAACAACCCATTCCTGTGCTGGATTTCGGAGATGTGGGCCCCCCCGAGATGTCGACGATGCCGAACATACATCAATCCCTTCATGTCGTTCCGCGCCGGTGGTAGCAAGTTTGTCTGTAATATGTGCACGTTCCCCAACGACACGACACCCGAATATTTTGCGCCTCTCGATCCATCCGGCGCGCGCGTTGACCGTATGCAGCGGCCGGAATTGATGATGGGTACAGTGGAATTCTTGGTGCCGAAGGAATATTGGAACAAGGAGCCCGTTGGTCTACAGACCCTCTTTTTGATCGATGTTAGCCGGGAATCGGTTCACCGAGGCTTCTTGAAGGGGGTTTGCGAGGGTATCGCGGAGGCCCTGTATGGCGAGGACGGGGCAGCAGATGGAACCGAGGGCGATGAAAACAAAGCACGCAAAATCCCTGCGGGTTCAAAGATCGGTATTGTCACATTTGATAAAGAAGTGCAGTTCTACAATCTTACTGTAGGTCGAATAATTCGCCACAAGCAATCTGCTTCTCACTGACAGCAACATAGGCGACACTGGATCAGGCTCAGATGATGGTCATGACGGATCTAGAAGAGCCCTTTGTACCGTTGAGCGAGGGTTTGTTTGTTGATCCCTACGAATCCAAGTATGTACAGGCCAAGCATTGATCGGATATAAGCTTGCTAACAAACTGAACTAGGTCTGTTATCACTTCACTGTTGCGTCGGATACCCACTATTTTCCAACATATCAAAAACCCCGACCCGGCTTTGCTGCCCGCACTTAACGCTGCTCTTGCGTCGCTGCAGCCGACTGGCGGTAAAGTTGTCTGCTCAGTGGCAAGCTTGCCTACCTGGGGGCCTGGACAGCTTTCGGTGCGGGAGGATCCCAAGGTCCACGGCACCGATGCGGAACGCAAGTTGTTCACCCCAGACAATCCGGCCTGGAAAAAGACCGCGACCAAGTTCGCCGAGTCGGGAGTGGGTGTGGATCTCTTCATTGCCGCTCCCGGTGGCACATACATGGATGTGGCGACCATCGGTAGGTCAAAACACTACCATATCAGTTATGCAAACAACTGACTCAGGATACAGGACATGTCTCTGGCCTTACCGGCGGCGAGACCTTTTTCTATCCCAACTTCCACGCTCCACGCGATCTTCTGAAGGTTCAGCGGGAGATAGCACATGCTGTGCAACGAGACACTGGTTACCAGGCATTGATGAAAGTGCGATGCTCAAATGGTCTCCAGGTGTCTTCATACCACGGCAACTTCGTGCAGCATACTCTTGGCGCAGACCTCGAGATCGCGAGTGTCGACGCGGACAAGGCTATCGGAGTCATCTTTAGCTACGACGGAAAGCTCGACCCCAAGCTTGATGCACACTTCCAGGCTGCATTGCTCTATACTTCGGCTGATGGTCAGCGCCGGGTGCGCTGTATCAATGTAGTGGCCGCTGTTAATGACGGCGCCATGGAGACAATGAAATTCGTGGATCAGGATGCCGTCGTATCGGTCATCGCCAAGGAAGGTAAGCTCAGAGTCTCAAGACCCCCTCCGGATCGATGGGCGATGAAATGCTGACCACCTGTTACAGCTGCTTCCAAGACTCTCGATAAGAACCTCAAGGATATCCGCGCCAACATCTCTGAGAAGACAGTTGATATCTTCAGCGGATACCGCAAGATCTTTTCTGGCTCACACCCACCTGGCCAGCTGGTCTTGCCGGAGAACTTGAAAGAATTCTCCATGTACATGCTCAGCTTGGTCAAGTCAAGGGCATTCAAGGGTGAGAGATACTACAATCGTATGAACACGGCTTGTGCTAATTAGTGTCTTAGGTGGCAACGAGGCGTCAGATCGCCGGACTCATGACATGCGCATGATACGAGCCTTCGGCTGCACTGAGCTATCCCTCTATCTCTACCCTCGTATTATTCCCATCCACAACATGAACCCAGAGGATGGATTCCCCAACGAGCACGGACAACTCCAAGTCCCACCAGCACTGCGGGCCAGTTTCTCCAAAATTGAGGAAGGCGGTGTCTATCTTGTGGACAATGGCCAGGCCGTTTTACTGTGGCTGCATGCGCAAGTCTCACCAAACCTTCTGGAGGACTTGTTTGGCCCCGGTCAAAACTCGCTGCAGGAACTGAGTCCCAACCTCTCGGCTCTGCCGGTGCTGGAGACACATCTCAACGCCCAAGTGCGGAACTTGCTGCAATGCTTCTCAACCGTGCGCGGATCTAAAGCGGTCACGATCCAGCTGGCACGACAGGGACTGGATGGGGCGGAGTATGAATTTGCACGATTGTTAATGGAAGACCGGAACAACGAAGCCCAAAGCTACGTGGACTGGTTGGTACACATCCACCGGCAGATCAACCTCGAGCTTGCCGGTCACCGCAAGAAGGAGGAAACCACGGGTGAGAGTACATTGGCTACTTTGTCGGCTATGCGGGCGCCGTATTGGTAAAGACCGGAGCAGCCCGACCAGAGGGTCAACAGGCGTAGGTCCCGGCACCGATTCCCACCAGCTCCAGGGCCCCCGTCAGGCTGCAGGCACCCTTGTCCTTAGCACGAAAAAGGGACGGAGACAGCCCGTCCCAACCGGGAAGGTGACTCGATGTGGCTGTGAGAACTCCACCAGGCGGGGGAGCCCTGGAGAGGGGAGTCCAGGGCGTGAGACATTGGAGAAGTGTTTGTACACAGTAGTATACCTAGTATTGTTCATTGACCATTTTCATCTGGACCATCTCGCCCGCCTTGTTTTGCATATATCGCGGACTAAAGACGGAAATGGGGTCTAGCGGGACACCGCACACCGGGCACTAGGCCGCAGGTACCAGACGGATCAGCGGAAGGGCTAAATGTTCCCCTCTTTGAGAGGACCCCCTTGTCCCTTTTGGGCCCAAGTGTAGCGGTCTAGAATTATCACAAGCATTCTGGAAGATGGCCGAGTAAAGCCCTGGGACCGTTCCGGTGAATTTTCCAGTGTTTGCCCCCCTCGTCTCTAGTCAACTCCTAGTCTAGTCAGGTTCCGGTCCCACTCGTTAAGGTAGCGTCCGGTGCTGGCCGGACGCACTGTTGGGCCGGGACTAGAACGGTCAGAGTATGCATCGAATATTCAATATAAATGCGCACATGATATGTTGAAGAGTAGAGACCAACCGTTCCCGGGTCGGGGTTCAAGGGTTCAGGGTGTCCGGGGACGCATGGGCCAACAATTCCAAGATATTCCAATTACGAAATACAAAGACATGATAGATTCAGGGAAAAAAAAAAGAAACAATGATGAAAACCACGCATTGCCACAGACATCTCGTTAACACATCCAGACTGGATCGCCAGGTACCTGAGAGGCCCGGCGACGTCAGAGGCGTGTATAGAACGGAGAATCCGAAAAATTCTGACGGGGTGTATTGGCCACAGATGCGAGATTTTCAGGAACAAAAACTGTGTGCGCTGGCGACATGTCTAGGGGATGTGATAGGCAGGTAGAGTGGAGGAGGATACGTCGCAATGGCCAACATTCGGGTCACCAGTCAGATTGGTAATCTCTATCGATACTCAAGTCTCTTGTTTATGGCCAAAAATTGACCTGGCGGGGCAACAGTGTCACCATGGTCCTGGGGTGGCCATTTGATACTATTTAGGATATATGAAATACCTATGCCAACTGCCATGAAGACTCTGTCCCAGGGTTCTCTTTTTTTTTTTGCCGTTTGGAGGGACAACGTAAAGTGGAGTAGCGTTTATTGCCACAGCCCCACAGTATGGAGTGAGATTAAAGGCACGCTCTTTATTACCATGCACGCACCATGAGATCGCCATTTCCCATCACTGCTCGAGTCTGTCAGGTACCAACGACACGTCACTTTTTCGAACAGCTGATTCTATATCACATCGCATCCTCTAATGTATTGTCAAAGTTCAAAACAACTGAAGCCGAGACAAAAGTACTGGGCTTCGTATAGTGAAAGGATGAACTTTGATGTATCGAGTGTAGAATCTATACCTGCCCTATCCTTGCAGGGCCACACTATACTTAACTAGGCGCTCTGAAAAGAAGAAACCCCTCTTTGGTCCAGACCATGAAACCGATGCGACGTCAGGCGAATCGCCTTCTATGGGCCCACTCCTCTTTTTTGCCTTTAGGCGGCTCCGCTGTTCCTAGATTCGATCCATGGATCAGGTCTGCGTGGCTACACTCGACACGTTTTTTGCTGGACCGGTACCTATCCGGGGTCCCTGGCAGGGACCCTTTTGAAAAGTTATAAAGAGGGCCTCATCCACCCAGACCTGTCTCGATCAAACTACGTCTCTCTCTCTTTGAAGACCTACCCTCATTCTTTCTTTTCCGAGATCGATTCTCGAGACATTCCTTAGTCTGTCGACCAGACCACAATCCTTGATCAAAACCCCACGATCTATATACATCTCACCCACAGTCTTTTTTTTTTTGACCAACTCAAAAATCTCCATCACCATGATGTTCACCAAGACTTTCGGCCTTGCCGCTGCCTTTGCCACTCTGGCTACTGCTCTGCCCTCGGGCATGATGGTCCGTCGTAACGACGCCGGCCCCGCCAGTGGCTCCGTCCTGATCACCAACAACCTGAACATAGACGTCTACGCCTGGTCTGTAACCGACGTGGTTGGCCCCATGCAGACCCTGACTGCCAACGGTGGTTCCTACTCCGAGGCCTGGCAGACCAACCCCAACGGTGGCGGTGTTTCCATCAAGCTGGCCACCGACCCCAGCCAGTCCGATGTGCTCCAGTTCGAGTACACCCAGGCCGCCGACACCATCTTCTGGGATCTGTCCTGCATCAACATGGAGACCAGCTCCGAGTTCACCACTTACGGTTTCTCCGTCCTGCCTTCCGAGGGCCAGTCCTCTTCGTGCCCCTCTGCTGTCTGCGCTGCTGGTGACAGTGCTTGCGCTGCCGCCTACCTGTACCCGAGTGACGACCAGGCCACTCACGGCTGCCCCATCGACACCGGTCTGGCTCTTAACCTTGGCCAGGCCTAAACTGTCATTTCTTTTCCAATGACATGAACCTGCCGGTTGACCCGCGCACTCTTTTTTTTCTTAAGGGTCTTTCTACTTTCCACCTTTCGTCCCACCAGCCAGCTTGGTGGTCCTTTTTGGTTTTCTTCGTTTCACCCCCCCCTAGTGAGGTGACCCCATTTTTCTTTTTGGATTGGACCTTGTCCCACATGTTCGGTTGACTCGACATGTCTCCTCACCGAGAGCGGTTGATCCCGCCCGGCCAAGACGTCGTCTACGAGCTATGAATATTTTGACGTCTTTGAATACCCCCGCTTGGGACAGGATATGGAGATTGGATCTCCAGGAGTTAAAGAAGAGGGGACGCCCATGATAGACTATAGAGATTTGACTTTTCATCACGTTTAACAAAAAAAAAAAAATCTTTCTTTGATGCATTCATTTTTCCTAGCTTCTCATACTTCCACAGCCGGAGACCCGCGCAAAGCCTGCAAAGCCTGCAAAGTCTAATCAGAACCACCAAAAAAAAAACGCATTTCACCGGCTTTCTTGGACTAAGAAAAATAATGGAACAAGGAAAATAATGGCTGGAACGAAGTATGATTTGTTGACCACTTTGCGTGGAACCGCGAAGACCAATACTCGCTTCGAAGGGCTCTAGATCAAATAATAGACAGGGACACTCTAAGATTTTTTCTTCCTAGTAAAGTGTCCGATTCGACCAGATGCGCCCGGTGGGCCTTCAGAGACAACGCTTACTCGCGGATCGCAGCCCAACGACGTGTCGCTCCACAATGAATCATCAAGAGATCCGAGCGTGCCCTGATGTTTTCCAGTAGGGCTTGTCCTCTGGCTAAACCGGTTCTCGAGTCTAGAGTAAGATGTAGGATGACTGATCCTATTGCCTCATCCCGAGTTCGGGTAAGTGCCTGATCCATTGTCCTTCCCGAAAGGCGCGACCCAACCGCGTAGAACAGGTACTGAACTCTTTCTTCCGACTTGACCATTTGGGACACTTGTGGGAACAGTTTTGGGATGCCTTTGTGTGGTTGAACCGCTATCCGCTAGAGTCTGGAACTGGTTCAACCATACTCTGAAGCCGGCCTCCATCCAATCGCAATACAGTTGGTCAATATTCGGGCTGGGCCCGAATGAATCGACCCAAATTTTTACATTCAGAAAATCCAGTCCTATAGCCGAATTATTACGCGATCTCCTTGATTTTTGGGAACTTTACTCGGACTTTCATGGAGCAAGTGGGACTAGGCCCATCTCCTGTCTTGACGGACTTCTTTCCCCACCATGCACTGCATCGTAACAGATGCGTGAAAATATGAGGAGTGAGCGACGGTGAAACTTTAGCATATTGAAAAGATAAGGATAAGTAGAACAGAAGAACAATGGCATACATGTACATGGTGAAACAGTCTTCAAGGCGCGGTCCCCGGCTGAGCTATGGGTATCGGGAAACGCCACAGCGGGTAATGCAGAGGGGTTTTTGGAGGACCATGGGCATGGTTTTCTACGGAATATCTGGCATTTCACATAATTTTATGCCCGGGCATTCCAGGTGGGTACACCCTGCTGAAGAGGTTTCTACCAAATTCTCTGTTGTCAGTGTCAAGGATGCGCATGTCAACCGAACCACGCCGCGATGAAGGAAATCCTCCCATTCCTGTGGATCTTGACACCTGGGGAATCACGAATGATAGCCTATAACACCGAGTCTCGATACAATCAGTTATTAATAATACAAGTGATTTTAAGGATTGTCATACTCAAGATACTCAGTCAGAACTCGAGGACCTCTTTTCCGGCTATCCCTAAATTGAGACATTCGGCTCATGTTCACAAGCTAGGGTAGCTGACTATCATCATGTCCGATTGACAAGCCATGCTCGGAAGCCTGTAAGAGATAACGCGCCGGTCGACCAAAAGTAGGAGATATCGGATTCGTGTGATTATATGACGAAACTAACGTGCGAGAATATCTTGGTAGCACGATTATTCAATCAGTCTGTGTTGGATGAAATGCATAGATGCTATCAGCGGTCTCATTACATTTCCGAAAAGCCTCACGTATGTTCTCTATCAGAGCTTCGCCAGATTTGGAAGAGACGAATTATGATAAACCTTCAACTCCATGGTCTGAACAGGACATTTCTCTACTTCAAAGTCATTATCTTGGGAAATTTGTTGAAACGTCGAAATGGGTATTAAAACTATGTACATGGTACGGAAAAAAACACCAGCAAATCCATTAATTTGCCTGACGAGATCGCCGCCATTCACGCCACCGCTCTATCAGGTGATGAGAGCGCATCGCCTTGAGCAATGCGTATGCCACGAATCGATAAATGATTGTGGCCACTCCCAGTGCCATGATGTTCATTGCTCCGTCTTTATTGAGGTTGTACAGTGCAAGCACCTCTTCTCCAGTATTGATCGGGCATTGACCATTAGCAAGTCGCTCGGCGGAGGTACAGCTGAATTTTTGACCTTGCATCGAGTAGTGTGCCAAGTTGGCGATCGCGTACTTGATTGGCGATAGGTGGTTGATGCCTTGCAGAACGTTGTTAACGTTCAGGCTCATCACGCCACCGAGGATCGTGGAGATAGATAACAAGACAGAGGTGATGTTGACAGCAAAGCCGACGTGTGAGAACAAAGTGCAGAACATGATGCCTACGGACTCGCCGCAATTGATGATGCAGAAACAATTGAAAGCACTGATGAGGAACATTTGCACTGTTCGCTTCATATTATCGGCAAAAGCGGCCAGCACACCGAACACGAGGGACGAAACGATCTCGAACGGAATCTCGATTGCCGTGTAAGAGAGAAGGAATGTCTCGGCGGAGTAGCAATTGTCGGCTTCTTCACGGTAGAAGACATCACGTTCATTTGGGTAGATGGCGATGTTTTGAAGCATTCCTACAAAGTACAGCGCTGCGAACTCCTGCACAAATCCCATGCGCGACTGCACAGCGGCATAATCGTTCTTGAGTGGTGCAAAGAACAGCGCCATGATGATGCCGATACCCAAGACTTGCATCGACCGCGCCATTACCAACGGCGGCTGACGCCAAAAGTTGATAAATGACCGACGGAGCACGATCGGGAACGTGATCACAAATGGCAGCATCTTGCGACGAAGACTACCAAGTTCGGCGGGCGTTGCAATCCGAGACGAGGCGCGTCCCAGAACAGGAGTTGACTCTGACCAATTGTTTATGAGATGCTGAACACGCTGGCGAGTGAGGGCTTCGCGGTCTTCCTGTTGCAGATCAACTGTGATCAAGTCCAAGACAAAATCTGCCGGGTTGGTCGTCTTTGGACACTCGTGGCCCAAGGCCGCAAAGTGGGGAAGCATTTGTTGCCCATGGCCCGCGTAAACAGGATATCCGCCTCGAGCTAAGAGCAAGACTTGTGAGAAATGGTGGAACAAATCCGACCGGGACTGATGAATAGTCATGATCAGGGTGCGGCCTTCGGCTGCCAGGCCCTTGAGGACCTCGATAATTGACATCGCGGTGAAAGCATCAAGACCCGAGGTTGGCTCATCAAGCAATAATACCTTGGGGTCAGTAAGGATTTGAATGGCGATGGTGACTCTGCGCTTCTCGCCTCCACTGATACCCTTGATTAGTTCGCTGCCGATGAGGTTGTCCGCACATTCTTTGAGACCCATCTTGTATAGAATTTCCTCTGCCCGGCGGTTTTTCTCCTCTGATGACATCCATGTGGGTAATCGTAACCCTGCAGCGAATCTTAAACTCTCCCTCACCGTTAGTGATGGCATGAGGGCATCGTCGTCCTGCGTGACGAACGAGGTCACTGATCGAATCACATTTTCCGATGGCACCGCTCCGTTGTACAGCATCCGACCGTCTAGACGATAATGGGTTCCCACTGAGCCATGCAAGCGGCGGGCAATTGAATTTAGAAGTGACGTCTTGCCACTGCCTGATGGTCCCATGATGATGTTAAGCTGCCCAGGCATGAATTCTGCCGTGATGGGATGTAATATCTGAAGTGAGAGAGGGCGTTGCCATGGAAGCTGTTTCTTTCGAATCTCCAAGGCGTATTTCTCCAGCGAAATGGCAACTCGTCGCACATCTTCGGCGGGACGAACCGCTACCTTGGCTTTTCCCGCAGCAGGGTCGCCTTCTGTCTTTCGAGCTTGGGCAATGTCGATGGCATAACGATTGTACTGGAGCAGTAAACCAGCCACGAAATAATGAGCGAGCATGAATGCTATCAGCACAACGATAGGTCGCCAAATCCAATTGGACGGCAGGCCCAAGCTTTGCATAATATATCGTCCAGTGTATTCTTTGCAAGCCGGATCGAGTGGATTGTCAGAATATGGACATGCGTAAAATTGACCAAGTTCAGAGCCTCCTGGTCCAATGAATTCGTTCGCACACAGTGCGCCGAATATGTAGAACGTATAGGCGCACCATTTGAGCCATCGCACGTAGACGGGAATTTGGTTACCTTGAACGAAATAGCCGCATGCAAACGACTGCAAGGTGAAGGACAGATTGCCAACCAGACTGGCACCGGGGAAATTTCTTGAGACACCGATTGATACCGCAGCAAAGGTAACAGCGATATAGTGCGTAAGCACAGTCAAAGCAAAGAAAATAAAGAATTGTGCTGCATCGAGGCGATAGCCAACCATGAAGTAGAAGATGACCGAGAAAAGTAGCGGCACCGGGAGATCTTCCAGTGGGAATCGTGCGATTCGACGGCTAATGAGAAAGGCGGGAACGCCGACCACGCCTTCATTCCGCTCGCGGTCAAAGAGGCGGATGTCGATGGTCAATCGGTAAGTCTCATACAACAGAATGAGATAACCGTTGAGACTGCTGGCAGTGTACAGACTGCCTTCTCGAGAGCGAATCCCTGCCAAGCTTTCATCAAGTTGTAGGAATATCCAGCCATTGATCACCGCCATGCCAACAGCTTCGAGCAAACTGCCAGCGACACCCATTGGGTCTCGAAGAGTTGTCTTGAATGTTCGCGATGTTAGGACACACACTTGTCTACGAAAAGAGACTTTCTTCATTGCTCCTGTTCCGACGCCGCGCAGTACGGGCGCCAGAGGGGGCTGCTTCTCCTCAGTCTCTGTGAAAGGCCGTGATCGCCACACCTGCCGAAGATTGTTCACCCTGTCATAAGACGCTGCTTCCAGAGCTTCAGTGCGATTATCAATTGCCGCCAAATCTATTAGAAACTCCGCAGGGTTGACAAATGGAGGTAGCATATGGCCGCATTGTTCGAAGTGCGCCACTGAGTCGCTCACTGATCCGCTATATAATGGTGAGCCCCGAGCCAAAAGGATAACATTGTCGAAAAGTCTCCAAATTTCGGAACGAGGTGCATGAATGGAAACGATCACGGTGCGACCATCTCGAGCCAGCCGATTTAGTGTGCGAATAATTTGAAAAGCACTGGTAGCGTCCAAGCCGGTCGTGGGCTCATCGCAGAACAAAACCGAGGGATTGGCCAACAACTGCACACCAATACTCGTGCGTCTCTTCTCACCACCACTGCAACCCTTGTGGGCTGTCGTCCCAATGCGCGTATCAGCACAATCCTTTAGGCCAAGCTCAAGGATAACCTGCTCCACGATGGCATACCGCTCTTCCTGGGTGGTCGGTGGAGGCAGTCGCAGATCAGCCGAATACCGCAGAGTCTCACGGACAGTCAAAGTGGGAACGAGAACATCCTCTTGCATCACGTAGGCACTGCGGATGCTTTGGATCTCGGTGTTGTTATTGAAGGTAGTGTCTCCCTCAACGGAGGCGCGAGAGAGTGACATGCGACCGGCCATAAGGTTGAGCAATGATGTTTTCCCCGATCCACTACTTCCGATGATAGCTGTCAAGCTACCACTTGGCATGCTCGCGTTAACTCCATCGAGCACCGTCTTCGAGGTACCTTCGATTTTCTGACCCCGTAGACGACGCCAGAAGTGTGATGGCGATGATTCCCATATTGGAGGGGAAGTATCGAGATGAAGAGACAAATTTCTTACCTGAACATTGACTGGATTGACATCACGCAGTGTGAGATTGTAGACTGCGTCCTGAAGGGCCGCGTGGAAGCCTGTGTCCTTCTGGACCTCGATATCCTTGACGATCTCGTCCTTGTCCATCGCGAAGGGTGAGACACCGACGAGATGCACCCCTCAATAGCGTACGCCCCTAGATCCCCGCACTCATCTTTTTAGACGATGATAAAGGCGATGTCTGAGGTAAAAAAAAATGACCCGAGGTGCGATGATGTCAAAAGGATCACAACGATGAAGCTGTCCGAGTGTCTTCAAAGCTTGTAGTTCAATGCACTCTCGCCAGTGTCGAGATCTTCTCGCGCACATCAAGGGGAATAAAGTACATGTCAGAGCGGTATACCCCTGTCGAAGACTGGTATCTCGACGATAGAATCACGTTTTCACTGAACTTGGCCTCGTTCGGTTTAGTTCTTCTGCTGCTTATCCACTCGTCTTGTCCTCGCTTACGTTACATTACCGTAACTTTCCCATTTGAGAGTGTGACCTCAAATGTAAATTGCTTACATGTATCAAACCCCACGACAGGTAGGAAAGAGTGTATGAGAGCGCTCCATCAGCTTTGATCTCATTGAACTTTCTCCAAATGGACACAAAGATCTAGTCTACCAAACAAAGTACACTTAAAATGTATCGAATAGTGCTTTGATAGTATTGAGACTCTTGAAAAAGCTATATCACCGCTTTGAGAACAAAATCACACTGGTGAGTTTTCTTGTAACAGAACGGTATTAACGTTGGCAGATGTAAAGGAAATTCGAGCTCATAATACACACTCCGACAACGAAAACGAAAACGAGGCGATGGCCTAAAGCAGGATCCACTTACCCCGGGTCACGACACGCATCATAAATCATCACTTTTCATCTTGAGTGGTCAGCCTGATGTCTGAGTCAGCCTGATGTCTGAGTCAGCCTTGCCTCTAAGCGAAGCCATCTGTCTCCATAGGGTAGTTGTACTTCTTGTCAATCTGCTTGACAGTGGCCTCCTTTTATGCGATGCAATGTATGATACAAGGAGGCGCTGTGACCCCTTCTTCTTTATACATGTCCCCAGAGGTAGAACTTTGCCCCTCAACCCATGTAGCTTTCCTGCCGCAGCAGCCAAGAGGGGTTTCAAGGCTGTCAGCAACGAACATTAGAAGCCCATGGTTTATATTTATTCCACAAGTCTCTTCGGGGAGTGGAACAGCCCCAATGTCTATGCGATGCTAGAAGTGGTAATATTTGATATCAATGTCAGGATCTATACATTTCGCATTTCAAGTCAATGCAAAGAATCTAATAGCCTTCACGGGCGCCACCTTGAACAGTCTCGCCATTGGCGGTCTTCAACTCGTTCAGCATACCCGTCCGAATAACACCAACATCAGTGTTGACAGAGATCATATCGAATCCTTGCTCGGCACGCTTGCGAGCGTCATTACCATCGGTACCTTTCAAGCACAGTCAGAAAATTTCAATTCAGGATGCAAGGTTTCGGTTCTAGGCAAACTTACAGAAGATAGCAGCCTTCTTGCCATTAGCATGGGCAGCAGCCAAGATACGCTGAATAGAAGCCTCGTGCTCTTCTCCGCCGCGAGTAACACCTGTCTGCTTGGCAAGATCGAAGGGTCCAATGAAGAGGACATCAATGCCAGGGGTAGCTGCAATCTTCTCAACATTCTCAACACCGGGTCGCGACTCAATCTGCACGCACACGGTCACAAACTGCTGGGAACCCTCATCGTATTCGGGGCCCGGGTTGCATCCGGGGAATGAGTGGGGGGGCGAACATGGGACCGTAGCCACGGGTTCCGATGGGAGGGTACTTGCACCAGCTGACGATCTTAGCAGCATCAACCTATACAGTATGGCGGTGTCAGAGGAGTTCTATGAGTTATGCCGAAGCTGTATTGAAGCCGGACATACCTCCGAGTGGCACATAGGAGTCATAATGCCGTGAGCACCAGCATCGAGAGCACGCTTGATCATCCACTCCTCTGCCCAGGGGACCCGAATAACGGGGCTAGCGTCTTCAGAACCAATAGCATTGTTGAGCTGGATTACTGTCAGCTCTACCAGCGATTTCTCTGGGAACCATCTGGACAGACCTCATAATAGTTGGAATCGGAAATCAAACCGTGCTCGGCATCAACCAAAACCCAGCTGAACTTTGTTGACGATCCAGAGGCACCGTGAATGATGGTCTTCGCAACAGCAGCACTGGGGAGACTGCAAACGCGAATTAGCAAGCTGGAAAGCTTGGGCTTCTGCTGTTGACCGAGACAGGCCCCGCAATGCGCCAAATGAAGTCATCGTGGCACGTACGTGAGCCAGAAGCCGAATGCTGGCGAAGGGCCTCTGAGGCTCCTTTGAATAGCAGTGGTGTAAGACATTTTGATCTGAGTTTTTGTGACAATTGAAGTTGTGCTCTGCGCAAGCAAAAAGGATTATTGGAAGGTTGAGAATTGTCAAGAGGGGATCTTCTTGCGGTGTGGGGGAATGCTCGGGATAAATGAACCCGACCTTTTCGCGGGGGTCCCGCGGGATATGAGAGGCGTCGGGGTTACTCCGCGCTGCGACCGACCCGACCGTTGTCCATTGTCCATTGTCCACAAACCGAAGTAATTCGCGCGAATAGACCGCGAAAACTGTCAATATAGATATACAGTAAGGTCTCTAGCTTCGCTTGTATTTCTAAGGTTTCTAAGGGAGACTGCGCTGGAACTATGGTGTTTTAAATAACTGGTCAAGGTGGAGATCGGGGCTTTGCCCGAACATACTGTATCGGCTAAGTGTGCGTTGAAGAATCCCTATGGATCGACTCTATCGTTTGTTGCGATTGGAATTGGCCTTTCAGTAGACTGATTATATCGGAGAGACTTGGGTGGCAAGGTTTCAGAGAGTGGCACGATGCAGTCGAGTTCAACGGGCTTAATCGACTGATGGACCGCCTCATACTCTGCACATTAGACGGATGCTGACTGATCAACTGGAAGCATATCAAATAATGTTGCGGGCATTTTTTTTTTTTAAATAACAGAGTAAAAAAAAAAGGAGGATTCTCTCCAGTCACTGTACCAACGGAAAAGTGAAAAAAGAAGTAAATGATGAAAGAAAAATAAACGAAGAAGGAACGAACAAAGAGTGAGAGCATAATGAGAAAAAGAGAGAAAAAAATCTATTCAAGAAAAGAAAAATCCACCGCGTAAAAGCTGCCCTATCTTGTGTCAACGACTTGATAGCCAACTACCATACCCCCAATCCGAGAAGGCGTGCCAAAACCCCACGCTTCCAACATATCCTCTCTACTACAAAACCGAACAATGACACACTCGCACTTATCAACGGAAACACCAACAGACTTAGGGAAGACACCCTGAATCATGGCCCTGGCTTCTGCCGACAATGGAACATCCACGTTGATCTCCCGGTCTAAAGGATCCGGGAGCGTTGATGGTTCTTTCGGGGTCTCAAAAGAAGGATGAACAATGATATCCATCCCACCTGCTATATCGTCACTCGTACTGTTGATTCCGGTGACCACCCAAACCCTTTTGCCAGAGCCCTTTTGAGTTAGGATGAAAACTTCCTTAGAGTCTCGGAGGAAAGGATGATAGCTGCGAAGAAACCCTTCATTCTGAGAGTCTACACGCTTCTGTACAAGGCTTTGGCGAAGAGCCCAACTTCTGCTTTGGCCCAGGACATTTGGTCCCATGAGCTCAATGAGAACGATTTGTCCTAATTTGTAACCTGTATTTCTATTCAGTGTTTAATCGATCAAAGGAACTGATAGTCACCTACGCGGAATGAGCCGCATGTCTCGATCTCCGACTTCGATTTCTTCCTTCTTGGGAGTGGGAATATCCAAGGGGTTTATATCGTGCCCTAAAACCGAGTCTGGACATGAGTCGGGCGACCCTTTGACAACGCGTTGGTGGTACATTTTTCAAGAGATGCAAGAGAGTTATTTGCTAGGAAGGTTTCAAGAAGTTTTGTGAAGATGGTTGAGGAGAGTTGGGATTTGCTTGAGAAGTGGCACTTACATTCCCACCTATGGGTCCGCTGCCTAAATGGGTGCGGAGTATAAAAACCCCCCAAGAGTTTCAAAAGAGAATAGTCATCTCTGTTTTTCGAGTAATCTGCAATCGCTCGGGTCAAAAATGCACGAAGTAGGATTCGGAGAAGGGAAAGCAAGCCCAACCGGTGCACAACACCAACTGGTGAGAGACAGTCCGGGTGACGTCTGCATTTGCGCATAATTTGGTTCTCTTTTCTCCCTCTGCTATGAAAATAGGTAGGCCGTAAATGACCTATACTACACTCAAAATGTTCGAGAGGGTCATTGTATTGAATTCTCAGGGCGAGGTCCGCACACCGTTCCCCAATACTCTCCAATGGATGATCTCAGTCGCTACTAAACCCAGGAGGATAGGACGTCACAACCAGCAAAATCACCGCCTAAATTCAGGTTCAGACTGATCAAGGCTTTGCCGATATTGAAATCACCCTAAAATAGCGGGTGTGAAAGGACGGAATCAATCAATTGACACAAGCTTTCGAGGGAGGATGGATGCTAACTTGAGTTTTTCCAACAGTGCAGAAGCCCTAATGGAGACATAATTGACTCTCATAGGTTGCGCAAGCAAGAGTTTCGGACAATTTCCCTGACAATCCTGTGTAATGCGGAAAGTGAAATTCCCCTCATCAAGATACGATCCAGATTCCTGTATGAGGATCTATGTAGCCTCGAACCTTGGACTTCCAATCTATTCTCGTATAGAGATCGCTGAAAAGGAAAAGAAGCAGAGACATGCAGGTCCTATCTTCCGATGTACAGTGGAATTCAACTCTCAAGCATGATAGGCTGGCCACTTTCTCTTATCTTTTTTCCCGATCAAGTCATAGCTCAAGTGGAATCCCTGCATGGATCAGCGATAGACTACAAGATAGACTACATGCATGCTTGAAGCTGAGCTGGAAACGGGATCCACCCACCTTGGTAGAAAGTTGACTTTGACGCGACCAAGAAACGATCGATCAGGGATCTGACAGTCCTATTGAGGCTAAATGCGTGCTAAATCAATGTTACTAGCACTCTCGGACCTTTTTTTCTCCTCACAAATGAATTCCACAAATATACTATACACGGATATCCGCGAGGGTTCCAATTGAGGCAAATACATACAGAACAAAAGAATATTTACAGCAGGAAATAATGTGAACCCGGCCAGATCGTCAAAAGCGAAGACACCATCAACCAGAGCAAACAACACCAGCCATCAAAGCACGGTCCAGATCCAGTATGGAGCCGAACACCAATCCGTTAGAACACCACTTTTTTTTGAGGCTTGACTTTGTGCATTCTCGCGCGGTGCGAGACGGGGGTGGATGTACGGTATGTTTCAGACATACCTTTCACCTAGAGCTTCTAGGTAAGTTCCAAATCGTACGCATAGCAAAAAAAAAAAAATCGCAGGCCTCCCCCTGCATCTTAAGATGCAGATGCAAGTCGGAACACATCAAATATCAACATCAACATCAACATCAGCAAAAGAACAAATAACGCCGCATAATACAGCCCCCTTCCATAAAGGCTCATTAAGCTTCATGCTAGGCAGTTTGCCTTTAGAACTCAAGGAAATCGATCCTTGGAAAAGAGGGAACACGTCTCGCTTGGGCAAGTGGTTCCTCCAGACAAGGACGGACGAAATAAACACAATAAGCGTTGGTGAGAGCATCGTATTCGATGATAGTAGAGAGAAAAAGTGAGCTCTCAAGTGATAAGGAAGTCCATGTTCATGTCACGGATGATTTTCTCCCAGTCCCAGCTTTCCTCGATATTCGTGTCCATGATCTCCCAGACCCGCGTTACGACCTTGAAGGCAGGCTCGATGTTGCGCAGGTTTGAGTAGGCTTTGAGGGAATCAAAGCCCTTTTGAATACGCTCACGTTGCTGTGGCTCAAAGGCAGAGCAGCCGAGTAGGAAGAGGGGCATCAATACGATACTGTAAGCGCCTGCATCCTCGGGTAGCCGGTCAAGATATGAGAGGCCGTCGTCGACGACTTGAGCGATCTTTTCACTCGGACGCGAAGCCCGGATCGTGCGGTATAGATATACCCAGGTGGACTGACGGTAAATTTGGGCCAGGATCCAGTTTGGTGTTTCCTCCTCGTGAGAGGTCTTCCAGTTACGGATGGCTGTGTCGATCTGGACAGCTTCACTCAGCGTTTGGTAATCCACGGCCGGCTCGTAACCTTCACTGAAACGCTGGCGGATTCGGTCGCGGAGCTGGGTGATCTCGGAGATGTAGTTGAACAGACCATCAAAGACACCCAGGAACGAGCCCGCTTGCGCCCCCGGTACGAATTCGGGTAGGCGCATACCGGCCTGGAGAAGAGTTGGGCGCCGGTCCAAAGAGGTCAGGGCGTTGGATATGTCGTGATACTGGAAGAACTCGACGATGAACTGCCGGAACTTTTCGTTCCGTGGCTGCTGTGATACGAGAAGGTAGCGAGCGGCGTCCATGTGTGGGCGGTATTCGCCGTTGGTTTCGCCCTCACAGATCGTATTTAAGCTGAGGGCGATCGTTGATGCGATGATGGGATCCTCGACCAGTAACTGTTGCTCGTGCTCCTGGTCCTGGTCCCCACCTTGGGATGATGCGGCGGTGATGTTGTCCTTCAAGTCTTGGATGGCACGATGAAAGTGGAAGTACTTGCGCTCCTTGAGTTTCGGCTCTGGATCTAGACCGGAAAGATGTGATCCAGCCAGACACATCAGTGAATGCATCAAACCCCGATGTTGCGTAGCCATCGGCAAGAGAATCTCCTTGAACGGGTTCGAGTCATCGTTGACGAGGGTCAGCACGCGGCTAAATCCATATACGAAATGATCGAGGAAGCGGCGATCGATTTCCGTTTCGATTCCGTCGATGAGGAGAGGGAGGCTGCGAGGCACGGTTACCAGGGTCTGGGTACGGTTCGCTGGGGGAGGGATGGTCAGTGTGTCTGTCCTACAAGTCCATTTTGAACTTACATACCATCGGCGATTCTTTGTCTCCCGCTTTTCCAAATCTCCTTTGGGGGGTATCCTTCACACACGACCGCATTCTTCTGGCAGTTGAGACAGCTACAAGATCGGACATCAATCTTCCGGTCACACGGGGAATGTCACGCGACTTACGCAGGCTTGGTCTCATCGCACTTCTTTTTCCGGCGACGACAGGTTATACAGCCGGTCTTGGACCGACCCTTGGTGACCTTGCCCTGGCCTCCGGGTGATGGCAACGGGTGTTTGCGTGGGCGCCCACGTTTCCGTGGAACGGTGACGGGAACCCCCGCGATATCCCCCCCATGGCCCACATCGGACTGCTTGATGCTTTGGATATCCTCCTCCAACTCCTCGACTTTGGGTGCCGCGTCCATTTTGGAATTCAGCATGAAGTCGTGCGATCGGGCAAAGGCCATCGGATCAACATTTATCGATGACCGATCGGGGTCGCCGCTCCAGTCGGGCGAACCGGACGAGGTATCATCGGGGCTGGTGCCGGTGCTGGTGCTGGATGTGCTGGCTCGGAGGGATGCGCCGATACCTGCGTGGGGGGGAGGTCCGAACCCGCGCAGTCCTGCAGACCCGCGCTGTGTAGATGGGCGAGAAACGGTGAGTTCTGCATCGACAACATTGGAGGGCCCGAAATAGGGCGCCGACGGGAGAATCCCAAGCTAAAGAGTGTTGACGTGGGAAGGGAATGTAGCGGATATAAATGGGGGCGGGGGAGGGAGGGGTGTCAAAATGGCAAGTGTACTGATTTAGTAGTACTTTTGGCGGATGAGTGGATCAGGCGGAAAATATTCAGAAGGACCGAACTGGACACACTCGATTCAACAGTTGGGTAATAGCCTGAGGTCATACGAATGGGCTTGGGATTGTTTAAACTTTTCATGCGGGGGAGGCTGCCAAGCATGCTGGATCTGACGCCCTGATTTGCAGTGACGAAGCGAGGGAATGGGGGTGGAATTGGATTTAAAAAGCAAAAAAGAAAAAGAAAAAAGAAAAAACGCTGGTGAGTGATTTGGGGTCGAGTCTTCTAGTTCTGGGGTACATTTGACCATGTCTGCTTATCCCTGTTCAAGTTGCCTGGGATCGACCGTAAGCTTCCGGAGGGGGGTCCAACATCGGCACAAGGAGCCCCATCACGGCCCATAGGGAGTGTAGAACCTAGACGAAAGCAGAAATGGTCATGGTCATGGTCACGATCATGTCAGAGTTCTAGATCGGCTACTGAGGGGGGGGGGGCTGCCTGGAACAGCTCGGGTGCCTCAGCTCCTATAATAATCCGGTTTTAATACTTTCGTACTTATGACCTCCAGAAGGGCTCGAGCCCGCGTCTCACTTTGCACCTACAGCACCATCGTATACGCAGACAATTAAACAGCTCCCCCATTACGACCCTTTACGACCCTTTACGACCCTTTACGACCCTTTACGACTCTTTACGACTCTTTACGACTCTTTAGGACTTAGTAACGACACCAGCAATGATCCAGCAATGAAATCAGTTGGGGCCATCCCATTAGGGGGGGACAGTGCCTGAGATCTAGTCGGAGCACGTTGGCGTTCACTCGATCGAGAAAACAAGGACTCCACGGGCCTGTCGGGCGCAGCGACACCTAGTCCGCCGACATTGAAATCGCACTACGCCATGAGTCCCTTTTGTACGAGGATAAATCCGGGGTAAGTGGGCCAGATCATCTCCAAGCACGGACATCCGCCTGCAGGGAAATGACAAGGTTCGGGGGGGGTACGTCTTCCTTTTTCCTGCTTCCACCACCTGAGCCAATCGATCGGATCTTCCAAGGGCGTCCTCATGCCAGGAGCTGTGATATTTTTTTTTGCCAGCTGAGGTTGTGGTGTTTTTTTTTCCGAGTGTTCGGGCCATTAATTCAGCCCACGAACTTAGACAAAAGAGGCGTGCTTGTGAGCGCCCCTAAGGAGAAGAGACCGAGTTAAAGGGAAAAGAAGGGGAAAATAACACGCCAGAAAAAGGGTGAAATGGGATTGTGGCGAACCTCGCTGCGAGTGTATTGCTGTGCAGGGCTCCCCCCCGGATCTGCCGGGCGACCAGAAGGGTAATCCTCTCGTTGCAGTCGGGATTGACTGCTCTCTCTCTTTCTCTTCGGAGCCCACTTGGCCCTATTCGCCCATCAGCTGAGGGACGGCTGGCCCAGATAGGGAATCCGCAGTGAGTTTCAGCCAAACCTCTCATCCCTGCTAGTGCAGTTGACCCCAGGTACCGATTTTCCCTCTCCTGATGGGCAACTAATAATGTAATCCGATACAAAATCCCGGTCATTTTTCATTTGGTCACATACGAGAGGGATCGACCGTGGTACATTCGGGGTATACTCATAACCGGTCACACAGCTGTCTGTCGTACTGTCCTCAGTTCGGCAAGTGTTGCCCCCCTCGCTTCGCCGCACACAAGACACACACACACACACACACACACACACACACACTGGGTCTCCCCAAAGGATTGAAGGTTAATCCCGCCCCGTGGTCCTAAGTGGAGATTGAACCATCGGGTGGTGCCGAACTATACCCAAGTCCACGTAGCCCCCAACTGGTGAGGACGCTTCTGGATGCGCCGAGATGTTGACTCAACTGGAGACCAGGCTCAGACAATGTACCGGCTGTGACTGTCGCGCAGAGGGTGCCTGGCGTCTTTTTTTGCGGATTCTTCGAGCCCAAGGGGGTCATGATCGACCTGCCCGAAGAAAGCAGGTTTGCCGAGTTCCCGATCAGCTTTGGATCTTTGACCTCTTCAGTCCAGAACGGTCCAATCACCCGCGTGTCAGACACATTTCTTCCACGGCCAGAACGACCGCGTGACTTGTTGGATTAGCATTTAATTCTGACTTTCGCGGGACCAAGGCGCCGGTCTAGAGCAGAAGCGCCACCCTATAATCTTGCGAGAATACCAAGGCGTGAATGCATAAGCATGATCAAGCCAGTAGTTCACGGTTCGGAGCTCGCAAGTTCACACATGAGTCAAGTGGACTTGTCTAGTACTATTACGGGCGTAAGATGCGGAATGGCCGCCCTAACACACGAAGCGGCCGCGTAGGGGGCCAAAAGAAAAGATGAGAAACAACTAGAGACAATGACGATAATTTGGAACCTCCCTCGTTAATTTTGTATGGCATGATGTACCCCAACGATGTCTCCTCTTGTGAATCACTTGTTGTGGGTCAATATGGGTCAATACACATGAGAGGGGGAAAGTGGCCGCTTCTACCCACCCAATGATTCAAGCAGGCGCTAAAGAACGGGGGCGATCATCGCGATCTAAAGTAGCGTTAGTCAATCTCCCTCGTTTATCCTTGCTCTTCTCGTATTAAGGCACTCTTCCCCCTTTTGGATGCATTCGATCATCCCGCAGGCCCATCGGCCTACCTGAGGAAGAGGCACCTAGTGCATCGCACGACTCGGATGCACCCCGCTTCCTCGATCCTCGATCGACGGAGGTTTCATATTCGGCGCTGACTATTCCAGGTTCATCTATTGGGTGGCTCGATAGTCGTGTGTGTGTGTGTGTGTGTGTGTGTGTGTGTGCAATGGCTTCATCAAGCTTCTCATCGGGATCTGGGCAGTTCCCAGATTTGGGAGACTTGAGGTAGACAATTCGCGTTAATTATATTAAATCCTGCTGGGACAATGCGTAACCCCGGTTATTCTGAAATTCAAAGATTGCACATTGAGATGCATCTCGCGTCGAGTTCTTGATTCGATGTAGCTCTGTCAAGCGACCGTCAGTTCCCTTCGTCCTGTTATCTGCTGGATGAAGATGAATACTTCATTCTCGATCTTCTCAGGTAGCAATCCCGTCGCTGGTGTTGTTGTCGAGGAAGTGAACCATGAATACAAAGCTGACAAGAGCAAAAAGAGGTCCCATTCCTTGTGAACTCCTAAGTCCGCGAAACTGGGTCCATCTACCATCTTCGACAATACCTACAGACCTTGCAGGTAAGTGGCAGCAGTATCCGATGGCTCGGGGTGACATGTCCATACAATACGATAGTAACTTCAGCACAACGGTTGATCGCGACAGTTGATCTTGCCAATTAGTAATCTCCAAGAGCTGCAAGCCATAAGCTCCTACACAGTAGCGCAAGGCATGTCCGTCAGCTTAACTCGCAGTTTGAAATTTCCCCCTTTGGTAGACACCAGTGGCGCGAGTGATAAGATCTAGCGGCATATGCACGACTATCGAATGCATCCCCATCCCCCAGCGCACGTCGTGGCTGTTAAGATAAAGAGCTGACAGGTGCGATAGGTAAACCCAGATATCGGTACACCGCGCATCGACTATCGAAATTTTCGAGCGTCTGATCCGAGCACCGTCTGATCGACACGTTGCAAAACTATTGACTGTCATACATCTTGACAAGCAGAATTTTTCGTTCATGGGCTTCTCGATTGGTTGACCCCTGAAGGCGTTCCTGTAAGGTTCTCAACCCCAGGATTTGACCCGTCTCGGATTGGGTTCCGAGTTTCTTGATCCGAAGCTTGGGCCTGCTTCGTGACGAGGTCAACTAATGACTATTGTGCGGGGAATGCAAGTGACAAGTCGTGCGTATACCATAGTCCGCGCAGAAGCAATACGGCGGAATGTCATCTCATTGCATTGCAGGGTGGTGACTGTTGTCGAGTCAAAATGCCAGATCGGAGCTGGGTGCTAATCCTACGGATGTGATAGGTCAGTTCATCTTGTCTGTACATGATATTTGAACCCCTGCAGGGCAAATGAGCACAAGTCATCACAGTACGTACGGAAGGATGGGGTATCTAGAGACCCAGAGAAGTGAAGAAGCATTCCGCATTGGTGATGCCCAGGCAAAGCGATGCATAATCTGCAGAAACAGACGCAAACCAACAGATATCAATCTTAGTATCCGCAATTTGCCAAGTGGACCTTCTTAATGCGTCCAGAAATGGGTTTCAAGTCGTTGAAGTTTCACGCATCCGATTGTCACTTCATCTTCAGGCCATGACAATTCTTTTAGTTGCATCATGCCTCCGTGTGATTACTCTAAGCCTGAGGAAGCTCAAATCTATCTGCCAGAGTTCTTCCTGCTCTTGGCACCCTTATTAGCAGAAGTGTAAGCGTTAACTCTGCCATGTTTGGCGCGGTACTTCCTGTCATGACTCGAAAGAAGCTATCAAAGTCAAGAAACGAGTTAGAAGAGTACTTAGATGCTATAGACGACCTCCATGGAGCTTCCTGTGTTTTCGGTGGGCCTCAACGGCTTCCAGAAGACGTGAAGCTCCATCGAAAGGGTAGTAGTGTCCCGAGGCGAATATTTCTTTTCCTCTTCCCATCTTCTTCTTTCATTTCCGAACGAAGTCGCCGCCAATCATCGTACAGGAATGTTAGCAGTATGAAAGCTACTTGTCGAGCTTCGTGATGGTTATCAGGTTAATGGGAAGCCACGGCTGGATCGGGCGTGTTGAAGCAGCTGAGCCGTATCCTGACAGGCTTCAAAAGACAAAAGATACACTTGGGCATTCCCAACCTTGCGCACGAGGTCCATAGCAGACGGTATCGGAGTAGAACAAAATTAAGCCACGGGCTATCTGTCGAGCATATGGAAGAGATAGAGACATCAAGATTCCTGGCCTGATTACTCGTCCTGTCTTATTTCGATTGTGGACATGATATTGTATGTTTTGACGTTATGTGGATGCTTCTTGAACGTTTCCTTCAGCGGCAACTTGAGCTATGTTGGGCTGAGTTGACGAAGATACGTGGGTTGAGCCGGACGTGTGATGATGTCGTGAGAGAACAAGGTACTGGGAAAGGGGACACCAGCAAGAGGATGAATGTTATGTGGTGGGGACAAAGGAGACTACCTCGGGTTATCAATAGGAATGCGAGTCCAAATCAAAGAGACGGCGGAGATGCAATAAGGGAAGATTAAAGATGTAAATTATGGCGGACAAAAGAAGTGAAAGTGAGACAAGGATGGGGGAGAGCGGGTGACCTTCGGACAGCAGGCCTATATCACGCAGGACTTGAATTCAGGGTATCTTGTGAACGAGCTTCAAATGACTCTGGAAAGACGCAGAGAGTAAGCTCCTCTAACAGCTACTTCCGTGCATGCCCAGATGGCCTCTTCAGGGGTATAGCACAAGCCAGCCACTTTGTCGTCCCTTGGACTCTAGGGCATCCGATGAACTTTGGACATATTCTTAATCAAATGTATGGGTACACTCTGACAAATATTCCGGGAGATCTAGATACAATGACCAAGTCTTATGATATGTCCGACGTTTTCCAATACTTCCCACATTGGAATACAGAATCGATGAACGTATATGGATAAATGTGATCAAGTCAATTTTGACTATCCTAAGTAAATACCGGAACCGTATCCCAACCGTGTAGACCGATCCCAATGCAGAAATGTAGGATAGGCCCGTGAAGTGTGACCCGCGGCCCAACACGCATGAACAATGCAGATTGTCCCAACCCATGCAATGCTAAAAATGACCCAGTATAATAACAAGAAAAAAAAGCAAAAGTGGATATCACATAAACAGGTCTTTCCAGCTGAGAGGAAAAACAAGCTGGGTCGAATCGATACAAGTAGAAACGACATTCAAGAAACCGAAATGGACTGAACAAGTCATCAAGTCATGGGAAGACTCCTGCCTGATCCGAAAAAAGATGAACAGAGGTAGGTTGGGAGAGGCTTTACGCCGTAAATACCCGGTCCAGTTGGCGCAGTGCGCGCATGTCCTCACCTGCGAAACTCATTTTCTCGTCGGGAATATCCCCGTGGTCCGTCGACTCGGCTGATAGAGGGCTGACGGCTGTTGGGACTTCCAGGGCCAGTTGCTGGTCCGTCCGGTCCTGAGATCGGAGCCAAGGATGTGCCGCTCATTAACGAGCCGATGCCAGGGACGCCCGATTCCGCTGGCTTGGGCGGGGTGCCCGCGGGAACGAGCTGCTGCAGGGAAGCGAGCGATTGAGGCTCTCGCTTCAGCATGTGCGGGCTATGAGCGACTCCGTTGACTTGCGGCATGGCTGAATTTGGTACTCGGGGCGAGGCAAGGCGGGGATCTGTTGCGGGCGGTCCGAACGAGCGAGGGCTGCGCTGCTCATGGATAGACTCGTGCATAGTGCGCGGCGATCGCCCTGGATATCCAGCTGGTACAGCTGCCGGCGGACCGCCTGGTGGGAGGGCTGGGTCTGGGTGGTGAGCTCGATCGTAGGGACCGGGCAAACCTTGGGGTGGAGGTGGCAGAGCGTGAATACTAGGTGGTTGACGTGAAGGCGTTTGATGTTGTGGTTGGCCATAGGGATGAGGACCATTAGTTGCAGACACCGGAGGAAGATAAGCAGCGCCATACGGCACGGCGACAGTGGGAGGGGTAGCCAACGGCGTGGGGGGCCAAGCATATTGGGGCTGATATGAGGGCGCATGTGAGGTGCGCGGCGCATAAGCGCCCATGGGGTGAGGCGTGATAGGATAAGCGGCGCCAGCCATCGGACCCCGAGTAACAACTGGGAGATTCTGCTGGTCATTGACGGTGGACTCGGGATACAGTCCCTTCTGCGGTCGTACTTGCTGCAAAGCGGGGTCGGTAGTGGGTTGTTGCAAGTTTGCCGCCGAGGGATGTGATCGCGAGTAGTAGCTAATCAAGTGAAGGTGTTGGCCGGTTGAGGTGGTGATACTGAAGGACTGCTTCATTAATCCGTCCGGCTTATATCGATAGCCATCGGGGCCTTCATCGGTTCCATCTCCCCGATCCTCATCACTACCTCGGCTTTCCGGTGTCTTGCCAACTCTGGGCACAGAGCCTTGGGACACACTACCACCTCCCCGCTTGCCCTCCATCTCGCGATAAGTCAAGAAGCTGCCGGATACCCGACTAGCGCTCCATGATTTGCCGTCGGTCCATCGTCGCATACCCGCTTCCCGCTCGTCCCAAACAAATACGGAGCCGGATCGTATCGACTGTCGCTCCTTTTCTGAAAGTCGTCGCTGTACTCGCGGAAGAATCCCAACGCGACAAGCTTCGAAGAGGATAATTGCGTCCGCTGGCGTGCGGACGTGCCCGTAGTATGTCTCCATCCAACCTCGTAAGCCAACCGACGACCCCGACGGGTGAGTGACTTTGACGGCCAGGATGGCTCTGGCTTGGCGATCTTATGGAGTAATTTGGAGCTGGGTCGAAATCCCACGGTCCAGGCGAGTATATTGGTGCTTTGTTGATCGAAATCACTAAAGGAACAGATAGAAATGACTGTCCAGATGTTAATGACTACTTTTCCCGAAAGAGGTCAAAGAGAGGGGAAGAAGATGCAACAGGTGTGGAGAGAGCGTAGGGATGCAGCCATATAAGAGGAACTGATTATCCGGGTATGGGGTAGGCTGAGTAGAGTGTATTGAGACCAGTGTTCTGATCCTAGTGTTCTGGGTGGGTAAAACCGAGCTTTTTTTACGTCACCCAACAGGGTTAGGCAGGCGTAATTTTGCTTTGATCTTTTTTTTTTTTTTTTTTTGTTTTTTGCCTTTTTAGGTTTATTGGATTTTTGATTTTCGTTTTCAATTCCCTGAACAGGCAAAAGACTGAAAGCCAGCCTGCAGAGATTTGTTGTGGGGCAGTGGATAGGGTTGGCCGTAAAGAATGCCGACAATTAAAGGTAAAAGGGAAATGGCTCAAGACTTTGGAGGGCGAGTGGGGGTTCAACTTACTTGTCTTGGACCCCACAGGCTTGGAAAGGAGGTGGGTTCACGCCCTGTAGCAGGTGTCTCAGAGCATGGAGAGATTCGAGGAAAAATGAAAAAAGAGGGAAGAGGTCAATGGTCAGAAGAAAGGTAAGCAAAGGAGATTATCTGAAACATATTTAGCAGACCTGGTATTGCCGGAATCTTATCAACGAATACATCGAAAGAAGGTTAAATATGGGAAGCAGTCAAAGGGACCGCAGCCAAGATCGGACGGAAGTTGCTAAACGCCGATATTCCAAGAATGGGCGACCGAATGAGAAAAGGTTACAAAAAATAACATAATTAGATTCCGCATTGTAATACAATAGCCTCTTTGGAAAACAGAGTTGGGTGGAGAGAGGCAAGTAAGCTTGAAAGATGGAGCGAATGACGATCCAGATGTGGTAGGGTAAAAGCAAAACCAAGAAATGAAAAGGAAACTAAAAAGGAAAAATTGAGACAAAAAGGAAAAAAAGGGAAAAAAAAAGAGATTGAAATGCATGGAGGAAACATGATTTCAAATCCGCAGCCGATTATCGCACGACTCCCTTTTATGCATGGGAACCTTGGTCGATGCCTCAAGTCGGACTGGTTGTGGCGAGGCTGAGGTCTCCGGTGGCAGCCGATTTTCCTGAAATAAGCTAGGAGGTGACTCGGGTAGCTCCTACAGATATACGATGGACGAATGTAATACACGATATCTCAGCGGTACAGATCATGTCAAGGTTTCTGATCGAGCCCCTTTGGAGAGAGGGGGGCGTGGAGCCGACAGCCTAACCTATGCTAAAAACAGACTCATGGCGCGATCGTGGCCGGTTAACTCGGATAAGACACCCTTTGGAGAGGCTGTGGTTCGTCATTCCTGAGTCGGCTGTGTCGGTCTTGTAAGCTCTTGGAAGGGCCTTGGCTGAGCTTACGGTGGCTTGACCTAGGAGGGAGAAAGAAGCGCAGTAAGGTTATTCGTAAGTCTTGGCTATGCCCCTTCGCAAGGCATCCCCATTCCAGACGCGATGTGCAGGAATAGGGCCCATGTCAGCGCGTAAATCCGATAAAGATTTTCCTCAGATTTCAAAGGGCAATGGGCACCGGGAGAATGTGACTGGTCAGTCATAGGTACGTGTCCGGTCGTAAAATTGATCTGTGTCAGACCCCATTTCGAAAGTGGCGCTCTGATCGCAGGAGAAAAGGTGGTTAGTGCGCACTCCTTGAAGCTTAAGCTTAATCCAACACGAGGGCGGCGCTGGAACTCTATGCTCGCTTAGAGAGTCCGCCTCCACTGCGGTCCAATTCCAGTCGGATTGGGTTCTTGATGCTTGGCTTCTGGACTAGACCTGGAGAGGCAACACTTGAATTTCCCTTACCTTGCATTCAAATAATCATTTTGATTGAATGGGGGGGGTCTTAATCCCACCATCAGTTTGACTTAGACACGGACCTCTCGTCGAACTTTATTAGCATGACCTCAGCCTTGGTTTTAGACTCAGACATGAAAGCGACTCTACTCTCCGACGATAGAGCCGCTTCTCCGGAGTCACAGGGAAGGCACAGGTGGCAGGGGGAAATTGGGACTCTCGGGTCTCGGGACCAACGCGACCACGGATTCCGATCCAATCTCCACGGAGAATCCGGAATCCGATTTACCAAAAGCCAATAGAATGATCAACTCGGTTTTGTCCACCAAGCGCCCAGGAATTCTAACGGCAGTTCTAGCCCGGAGCCACTCTGAGAATAGAAGCACAGAAAAGGCATATTTCGGGGAGAAGCCATAGTGGCCCCGCCTCGTGACTCGTTTTCGTATCCAGTGACGCGGCCATGGTTCCAAATTTGACTGCACTGACTACAGAGCTTAGATCCTAGCAACTGGATAAACCCAAAACTAATGTCAAAATATGGACAGTTGTTTTGTATCGAGGACACACCCTGATTCAAATCAGGCCCCCTTCATCCCCACCCCCTCCCCCCCTTTCCGCCTATTCTGCCCATGCTGCCCAAGGGTTCCAGGTCGCATCAAGATTTACCAAGTTAACGTGGGATGCGCGGCCAAAGTCCAATGCCGCGTAATCTTGGACGGATCGTCGTCTTCAAAGTGCATGCTACTTGAAGTTCGGTATCTGAAAGCGAACGAGGATCGTCATAAATAACCCGGGCCGGGCCCAGGTCTTAAAAGAAGCCACCAGGTTAAGCCCCCGGTTCGCAGTGCTGCGGGCTGACTTGATAAAGTTGGTCTAAGGTAATAATTCCCGCGAATGCAACGAGCCCTATTGACGTGCGAAAGTGTGTTATCGATTCGACTCTCCAAGGTTTACTGTAACAGAATCATTGAAAACAATGAATCACATTAATCAAAATTGAGATTAAAAAAAAAAATAAGGTAATGAAATCCACGCGAGGGACCAATAACGGCGGCAGATAGCCGAATCACCCGGACACAGCTGTCAGCGGACCGGGGGTATAAGGCCCAACGGATGAGTCTGAATCGCGCAAAAGCTCGTAACGTGAATCAGGATGGCGCACGGACTCGACATGCTTCGCGTATCGCCAACAAAGTCCCAAGGTCGTACAGAGTACGACACACTATAATAGGGTTCAAAGGCTGATCCTGGCCACTGTGCACTTATTTTTGGCTTTTCCCACGTATCGAAGTCGAGATGGCTGGGGATCCCATGTGTCGGATTCCTCCGAATTAAAGAGCGCTGGGTACATGGACCAGGTGCGTCTGTCTTTTCGGCCCATGGCTGCATCGGATGTCTCATATCTCATATGCCGATACGGCCTGACCTGACGGGCCTGACGGGCCTGACCAGCGCCGGTGAGGACATTTGACGAAAGCCTCGTATGAAAGCGAGATGAAAGAGAGATAAGGGCGAAGTAGCTAAGTATTGAGGGGGCGGACCATCACTAGGGGAGCATCAACGCAGTATTAAACTAGTACGCTGCACCAGCAAGGGTAGCCGTTTCAAAGTGATTTGCTCTATCGGATAAGGCCGCCCAGGGTCCAGCCGATCGAACTGCACGGCAGATCGCGAACATACCCAATACCGTCTCGGTTTTGTATTCACGTTGGGGTTTATTGTTCTTTTTCTTTTTTTTTTAATTCTTTTCACAAAGCAATAAGCTAACGCCTCATCTTGCCACATGTCACTCCTTACCTGATGTACCATGTGCGAGATCTGTCAAGTTTGCTCTCTTGGACAACCATTGTCTCATTTCACCCACTTCGTTACAAGAGACACCCCGTCCTTGCCGCGCATTTTACTGCAATCTGGGATAGGAGCTACTCTAGTGCCAACAGTGATTCATTCTTGGTAAGGATAATATCTGGAATGGCCGTGGTCCTCCGGGGCCGGGATCGGTAGGGTGCCCCAAGATAGCATAACGTCGTGCATATCACTCCATTGCCCTCTCATAGTTCCCACCACAAATGCATAGACCCGGATAGCTATGGAAAAAGAGCATAATCAGCACACACGTATCCGATCATCCGAGGTACTTGAGTAGTGGGCCGCGGTCTCCACTGCTTCGCTTAAAGCATATCAAGTGCCCGCCAGTGAAGAGGCCCTTGCGGGCCAAGCCGACTCAGGATTAGCCGACCGTGGGTTATGATTATCTGCAACAGCGGGTTTGAATTTCTCCATGAATCTAGCTCCACTGGGTACTCGGCATTCCCACTACAGTACCTTATGTCCGAGTGGCCGTGCGTTTTTCCCTTTCGAACACGGTGTCTACTTCTATACGGCACGGGTCCGGATCCTGCCCAGGTGAGCATTTATGCACTGGCATTGGTACTGGTACTAGTACTGGCACGGGCTACACAGGAAGTCGATCGTTCGCGCTGCATTCCCGATCATTTTGATTTTGATCTTGATCAGAGCACCTCCGATCTGGGTGGATGGCCCTCTTGGGGTCTCTGCTGCATTGATCAGATGTGATCGTTGCAGAATACCGTTTCGTCCAGTGGCAGTGACCTGGGTTCAAGCCTCTCTCTCTCCCTTCTTTACATTCTCCAAGGTCTTACCGCTGGGCGATGACGTGCCCCTGCATAAAAGGCCCCAACACACGATTGGCATTCCGATCAACTTTACTGGCGATATGGTTGCGCGTCATGTATTGTCACGCATGGTTGCAACCCTGGAAATAAAGATTTGCCAAGGCGTAATTTCGTGAAACGTCGCACGAGCTTATCTCCACCGACCAAATCGAAGGTCTCGGTTGAATTTATTTACACGAGGGAATGTGATGGGGCTGAAACCGTGTCCATAGTGACCAATTTTCGAGTCGAACTTTTCCTTCGAAATTGAACTGTCCACAGCGCGTCAAATGCTCGAGACAATGAATTTCCTCCCGAACGTTGGTGCCTTGGAAGACTAACTCTCACTAGTGTTCCTCCTCCATCAGCCAAGAGCGCTTGCTGCGGTGTGTATGGTGCCTGGGGTCGCCAAGGGGGGGCAAGTGGTCCCCCTCTCTTGGCTGTGGACTTTTTTGGGCAGGCGGGGGGGGGGCTGGGCCGTCCTGGGTTGTGGCAACTGTCATCGGCAAGCCTAAATTTCCGGAATCCAGTTATAGAGGAGCGAACCGTGGCCTTCCGATACCTAAAAATGCTAAATGCCCAAAGTGGCGCAACGAGCCGACGGAGTCTTACATGAATCAGCCCGGTTATGGCACAAACCATGTGGCGCTGCACTTTAAGTTTATGCGTCGGGGAGTTTTTTTTTCAGCCGAATACGACGGAGGTTGATACATCTTCCATACATAAAATACCTAATACGAATGACCAGTCACGAGGATTCCAGTTGGGGCTGGTCTACATACACCGTTGCCTTTTGGATTTTGCTATTTAATGCTTATTTTGCTCCAATGCTCAATTCTCATTCCTTGTTGCAATCCAGTCCACATCACATATGATACGTCAGAACAGGGATAACGCATGACTCGGACAATGCCCGACCCTCCAGCTATCCAGCTTATGCTTAACCCCGGTAAGGTTGGGTCCCCTTTGGGCCCGCCGATCCTGGACTCCTGATTGGCAAAGGCCAATGCACACCTCCTCGCGAAGTCTATTAGATGAAGCTGTTCCAAGGCAGACTATGGCGATGTCTTTTGACCTTCTCCATCATTCGAATAATTTCAGCCCCAAAAAGAAAAGAGAGAGAGGAAAAAAAAAAAAAAAAAAATAGAAAACCACGTCTCCACGCGGAGCTCGGCAGGAAGGCACATTAGGCGAGCTTGCCCATAAAATAAAGTATTGACCGACGAAACCGACCCACGAACCACGTTTTGGCTGACGGAACCTCCGGTGGGAAATCAAGGAATTCATTGATTGCTGATTACTGATTACTGATGACCTGGCCTGATTTGAGTTGACTCGAAGGGCGCATTGCGAGCCCCCGTCTCCCTTTGGTGGACGACTCCATGCACACTAGAGGGCTTGGCCTTGCTTGGACCGGTCCGAGGCCCGGAGCTATACTTTGTGCTCGATCCATCCCGTGAGAGCCTCCCTGACTCGGGTCGCATGGATTCCTAGTTGTCATAGTCCTTCGTATATGTGGCCACTTGTTAATTTCTATTTTTTATCCAATGTTCCGCTAGTCAATATTAATTAATTAACAAAATTAAACAAATTAGTTAAATTTTACTACCCCCTTTGGATTCGTCCGCCCCCTCCTCTCCCTACCCCATGCGCGCTCCGCCCCTCCTGCAGCCGTAGTGCTAGGATCCCGGTCTTTGATCGCGCGAGGTTCTAAGCGTTCGTGATCCGCCGTTTTGGAGGCCTCCTTGGGAGACTCGGATCGGAGACGGGATGATCCCGCCCTGTCGGCCCGGTCTTGGAACTTGTTTTGCCGCGGGGGATCATACGAAACGCTACTTGCGTGGTCTAGGCACCCTGAGGTCAAGTGAGGTATCGTGTACCCGGCTTTGCTTCTCGAGTTGTTGATCCTGGTACATGAGGTGAAACGAGACGTCGTGTTAGGGTGAGATGAGGGCGGATCACTGGTGTCGAATCATGCTTCCTGTAGTGACACGGAATTCCAAGAATGATGATGGCTTGCTGTGTGAGCTTCACTGGGCGATGGTGTGCTAGGGCTGGGCTATAGGTCTAATGGTGGGGGTTCTTGCCATCTCTTTGGATGCACACTATATCTATAGACCTGATTGGTACATATCACGACACTAGGAGAGCAACTCGTTTGCCGATGTGGGGTGTTATATGTGACGTCTATAGTACAGTTTGATGATACACTCGCCAGTCATGCTTCAACAGTCGGCTCGGCCAAAATATCGGGGGAATGGCACAACATCCCGGACGCTAGAAACTCCAGACAGGTAGCCCAGGAACCGATCAAATCCAAGTCCAAAGCCTCCGTGCGGCGCAGAACCCCACCGGCGAAGGTCAGCATACCATTGGAGATGGCCCAGATCCTCACCCGGGGACAGATGAGGGTACAACGGCTCGGTCGGGGCTGGAGCGTCGGGTTCCATGGAGGCACGGTTTTTTATTAGACCGTACTCGCGCATGTTCTGGATGATATTGGGCAGACGATGCTCGCGCAAGGAGCCACCGGCGACTTCGCTGACCTCGGGGAGAAGCAGGTCAAAGCAGGCGACCGTCTCTCCTGATGTGATCTCGTTCTCGCCGACCTGCGATGGTGCCATGTAGAATGGCTTGATGGCTTTGGGGTAATTGGTGACGAAGACTGGAGTGCCGTGGTGCAGCACCTCGACAAGGTACTTCTCGTGTTCGGTCTGTAGACCTCCATCCCATGTCGGAGAATGCTCAAATAAGGCACCGTCTTCTACAACCGCCTGCTGCAATTTTTTCATCGCCTCTGTGTATGTAATGCGATGCCATGGAGGACCGTCCATCAGGGCCGTCCATCTTTGACGTAGATCCTTCACCGACTGCCCCGGACTGCTTTCCTGTCCAGATTCGCCGGTCCGCTTTGCTAACAAAATCTCCTGTCCGACGGGACGCTCGTACAATCGACGGGTCAAGTCACGAAGCGTATTCTCCACTAAACCCGTGAGCGAATCCAAGTCATACATGAAGTTGACCTCGGCTTCGAGCATGTAGAACTCGCTGAGATGACGCGGAGTGTCACTTTTCTCCGCTCGGAACACAGGCGTCAATGTCCAGACATTGCCCAATTCGGCAGCATATGCCTCGAGGTGTAATTGCGACGATACGGTCAAGTATTTCGGTGTCCGGAAGAAATGCTCGGCCTCCGTGTCTGAAGGCGCGGCAGCGCCCCGCGGGAGGAGCGTGAATGTTTCGCCTGCGCCCTCACAATCGGAAGATGTGATTATTGGAGGCTGAACTTGTGTGAACCCGCCGTGAGGCATTGAATGGAAGACATTGCCTAGCTGGAATAAACATTCGGAGCGAAATCGGGCAAGTAGAGACTGGAATGGCGTTCGAATGCGAAGATGGGGGATTTGTCGGAGGTAATCGACAGTTTGATACTTCTTTTGAATCGGAAACGTCTGTGATTGAGATGCGAAAGTCAGGTTGCGCATTCTTCTCCGCGGGTATTGCACAGAAAGCTTACCTCAGGATCCGATGCTCCGACAACAGTCACATCAGTTGTCTGAAGCTCATGTGTCTGCTCCTTGCCAGGTGGACATGCTTTCCATATTCCTGTGATTTCGACTGCGGCACCAGTGGAAAGCCTTAAAGCAAGGGTCGCGTTAGATCTCGTTCAGGACAAGCAAGCTGCACGCCGCAATTTCTGGGGTAAACGTACTCAGCAGCTTGTGCCGACTTCAAGATGGCCTGCAATGGTTCCACAGTAGAGCCATCTGAGATTTCCGCAAAAGCATACTTTTTTTGCTTTCGAACGGATCTAATGAATCCATTCACTGTGACTTCCTGGTCTTCCAAGCTGCAGCTTCCCTCCTCCTTGCTAGCCTGGAGGATCTGCGCACATCGCAGAAGTGCGGGACGTACATTGGTCTTTGAGCTAGACCCAAGTCTTGCGACAGACGTGGCGAAAGTCCGCCGCCATACCTGCATGGCTGAGTCAAGGGTGTTGTGTAGGTTGGGTGATGGGCGGAGGTTGCGGGCGGGAAGTTCCTCGGTGGAATTAGGCCGACCGCCGATCTCGACTGACGCCTTTACTCTCGCCCGGAGCTCGTGTATGGAATAACAGAGGTTCAGTGAAGCAACGGTTCATCTCAAAACGTGTACACCACCCCCAAGCGCTTGACATATATTGCTGAATAAAGTCTTTCAGGGTTGCTAATTCTCGCCTTGAGAGTTTCCAGCGAGATGTTGGGGCCTGAGATGCTCTAGATATACAATGGAGAAGACATTGAAAGAATTGAGTTTAAATTTAACTAATAGCCAGACTGTTATCCAGATTGGAACGACGCGAGGTCACTAAACATGAAAATTTCGTAAAATCTGAGAGCTAAAAGCCAAACAGAGAACGATCCAGCTGAGTGGGACTTGAAGCCCACTTGTGCAAAGATATCACATATTCATCCTACCATTGAAGTTGTCCAGCATATGCCTTCCGTTCCTCCTCAATCATCTCGATAGCATCCAGGAGGCTGCCGTTTGATGCAGCTGCATAGACAGCCATACGGGATCGTCCACCTTCCTCAGGAGTACCATAACCCATGTCGACAAGCGAAGAGATGCAATTATCAATACTCTCGGCATGGGGGTCCCGAGAACCATCGGAATGTCTTGGACTAGATTGTGTGGCTGCAGACTGAGAGGCTTCCTCCATGGGGAAACTTCCAGGGATGCTCTGGGTGGACGATGGTCGGGAACGCAGGCGCTCTCGTCTGTCTAAGCGCGCCCAAGTATCAATCTCAGCCCTCTGTCGGGAACTGGGACGGAGCGAGTCACGCTCAGTTGCTCGACGTCTGAGAGGAACTTCGGCAGTGAGATCATTTGGAGAAGCATGTTCGGAAAGCTTCTGCATTGTTTCCGAGCGCTTGACTTTCGGCAAAGACTTACTGCCGCTGTGAGAGTCTTCGTTGTTATCTTCGGCACGGGGTTGTCTAGTCGGCCGGGCCTGCATGTTGACGCCAAAAGCAGTGGCTCTATCAACAGAAACATCAGAGGCCTGGCGCGACCGCGAATTTTTGCGGAAAGAGGCATAGTCCCCAGGGGATACACCGTGAGGAGGTACAGATGCACGATCTTGCCAATGATTCGCCCGAAGGTGCGCATCCAATTGGGAAACAGGCGGGAAACGATTCATCCCTAAATCGATCATCTCGCTCGCTGTAGGGTGCCCTTCACTCAGAGGAGGAGAATGGCTGCGCGCCCAAACAGGAGCGGGATCCGAAGCAGAGTCATCTGCCAAGTCAATCAATGCGGGAGGGGCAGCCCGAGGAGCGTTGGCACTCGGGAAGACAACATCTGGCACAGGCAAGACAGGCTCCTGGAAGGTGACCGACTTCCTGCGCTTGATTGAGCCCTTTCTCTGCGGCACAGATGTATCGCTGACAGGAGGTCTCGGAGAATTGCCCTTTTGAGTGTCGACTGAGCTCGACATCACCGCTTTGGACGAGGGAGGCGATGCAGGAATACGTTCAATGGGCACCTGATCACTGAACTCAAGGTTGATAGCGTGGCCATCAATGTGGAAGCCCTGCAAGGCGTTCATTGCAGCCATTGCCGGGTGAATCGACGGGAACTGCAGGTAGCCGAAGCCTGCGTGTTTGCCCGACATGGAATCCAGAGGAAGATCCACTTCAACAATGAATCCCTTTGAAGCGAACACATCCTGAATCATTTTCTCGGTGACATTGAAGCCGACGTTTCCGATGAATAAGGTCTTATTCTCGGATGTCTCTGCCATGATTCCTCCATTCTTGGACAGAGCCTCTACTGTGTATGGGGGAGGAGCCGACGTGCGGCTGTGAGGGAAGGAGTTGAGAGGCTGTTGCATATCCTGCGGGACGAATGGGGGCGTCGGGGCTGGCGCAGAGGACCACGGATGGAATGAATACGGGGGGTAGTGACGTGGCGGAGGAGGACGATGAGCATGGCGATGTGATGGGTGAGCGTGTGGGTGCCATGGTTGGCTAGCATCGAGAGATGCCCAGCTTGGTGGCTGAGGGAGAGGGTTATAATGGTCTAGTGGCTGGAAATGCTGAGCATAGGGCTTTCCGTCGCTAGGCCAATTAGGAGGAGGATGAGAATGGTTGTTCCAACGCTGCGTCTCTGCCTCGATGTGTGGATTGGAAGCAGGCTGTGGTTCAGTTGCATTGGATGGTCCAGAGTCTTTGAGCGAGATTGGACCTGATGCCGTATTATTTTTCTGTTGCGTTAGTGTGTCTGCCGGGTGAACTTGTCTTTCCTGACTGGAGACAGGTGGAGCAGGCACACTGATCAGAGGAGTGAATACGACGCCGGGTGCCGCGTTCGAGCTGCCAGTCGTGGTGCTTAAGTTCTGGAACCCGGCTCGGCCAAACTCGTTCTCGAATGCCGCGAACAAAGTTCGTGTACTCTGATCCAGATCAGTAGCAAAAGACCGCAAAGTTTCCACGGCGGTCTCAGCGACAGGCTTGCCGGCTTGAATTGCTTCTTCTGCCATATGTCTTCCATTCTGCGGCAAGTTATTGAAGGCAGTTCTCATCTGAGCCTCAAGATGCGTGAAAAGAGCTTGCAGTGAAGTAGCGAGATTCTCTGGAAGCTCCCTCTGAGCCTCACTTAGTTGACGTCGCAGCTCAGGAATCCTTGTTCGTAATTCACTTTGCATGATACCAACTCCACTGCAGAGTTGTTGCAGCATCTGAGCCATAAATTGTTCTACAGCGGGAGGGATTCCATGTGATGTATTGTTGGCCGATGGTTCGAGGGCGGGCTCAGCCCTCGTTTCTTGCGCCTTTGTTTTAGAAGTTTCACTGGACTTGAGAATATTGGACAGTTCGGCTTCGAATGCGACCATCAGAGGCTGCGTATCTTCTTCCACGGCGGGTGCCGGGGAAATGGTATGTTCCGAGGCTGACGTTTCCTCGATTTGGCCGTTGTTAATGTGCTCTGCTGTAGCGGAGATATTACTCGGCATTTCCGCGGCCTTGGGCGCTTCGTTGGCAGTGTTCTCAAATCGCTTCCACAACTCGATCACAGAATTTGATCGGCGAATATCAAAGAGATGCATCGGTTCGGCTCCTTCACGAGACAGTTTAGTGGAATCAAGGCGTTCGTTGATGTCGACTGGCTCGTCTCAGGCGCTCAGATAGCTCGAGAGAAGACCCAACCTATAGATACACGTTGATCAGTTCGTAGGTGGGCAAAAAGGTACTTGCGATATGATCTTACAGTGATTTGTTCATCATCTTCGTAGTCAATGTATGCCAGTCGCGCTCGAGGGTGGCTTGTAGCGATGTCATCGTAGTCGGCCGCTGAGATCTGTACCACGCCGTGAGAGACCGAAGTGTCTGCGTTGATCCCGTGGTCTGGAGATGGAGACACGTGAAGGTCCTTGATCTGGAAGGGCTTCAACATCTTGGGAGCAACCTTGTGAACCCTTGGGTCCAGTTCGACACGCGAGTGAGAATGTTACACGGATGGAATAGAAGCAGCGAGAGATGATAACTTGTGGATTTCAGGAAAAGAGGTTTACGGGGAAAGAGGGCTCAGAGCAACCTCATGAGATAAAAGACTGTTACCTGGCACATAGATTCTTGGGAAGCAGGGATGTGAAGGCGAAAGCAAGAAGTCGTTGATGATCTCACTTGGACAATCACGTCCCCAGGCAACAGCGGATAAGATATGGGAAATTCAGAGAGCTCTCCCCGCCCGCCTGACTAAGGAGATCATCTTGGACCGAGTGTATTTGTTCCCCAATGTCTTCTCAACCTGTTCGGGAATGTTCTACTCAAGAGTCCTCTAGACGTCTACTTACTCAAGCTCAATATGTTATTCAAGGAACTATGTGATTTCACCCAAAAAGACGAAGTATGTCATACTGAGACTATCTTGTTCGGTCGGACTGTATCTGCTGACTCAGCGATATTTCTGTGGCCCCTTGTAAACCTCAGGTGTCCAGCACAAAGAGAGAGAGAGAGAGAGGCAGCTCTGAAGGCGCGCCTGATTCGACGCCTTTTTGCATCTCACAGCTCATACAGAGCTTCATCAGTAGGGGAATACCAATGGCTGGTCCACTGGAAACGATCCCCCATACGAAACCCCTCACATCCTGAATCCTATACGACCCCCATACCACATTCGAACGAGTCACCCCGAACGAGCGCCCCAATGACCACCGGAAAAGCCTCGTCACGACTGCAGAGTCCGGGTGACCGAAATGTTCAGAGTGTAGTGCTAGGAGACCTTCTCTTCAAGCCATGGTACCAGTCCATCTACCCGGAGGACCTGGTTGCTAAAGACTCCGAGTGTCTTCACGTTTGTCGGTGGTGCTTCCGGTACTCCTGTGATCGAGTCGCCTTTGCAGAACACACCCGAAGATGTGTGTATCGAAATACACCGCCTGGTATCAAGGTATACGATCATGGTGGATATGCAGTATGGGAGGTTGATGGGGAGGAACACAAGCTTTTTGGCCAGAACTTATCCCTTTTCGCCAAGCTCTTTCTTGACCACAAGACCGTTTTCTTCGACGTCGCGACCTTTCTTTACTATATTCTCACCTTTACCGACCCAAAGAACCCAGAGAATTACCATGTTCTTGGCTTCTACTCAAAGGAAAAGCTTTCCTGGGATTCGAACAATCTTGCTTGCATCTGTGTTTTCCCACCATACCAGCATAGACAGCTCGGGAAATTGTTAATGGGGGTTAGTTATAAGCTCAGTGGCTGGGATTCCCCCGGTGGTTACATTGGTGGACCGGAGAAGCCTCTCAGTGATCTCGGCCAAAAAAGTTACAATCGCTTCTGGGCCGAGCGAATTGCAAGGTATCTGCTATGCGGCAAACGCGGCGAAGGCGAGAACTCAAAACCTAGCAATTTCTCCAAAGCCTCCAAAAAGAGACCCCCGCGTGAGACTATAACTGTTGAAGAGGTCGGCCAGGCTACTGGCATGTTGACAGAAGACGTGATCACCGCTATCAAGTTCATGGGTGTTGTTCAGCCAGAGACACCGAGGAAACGCAAAATGCCTCGTCTAAGCGGAGACGATGGCCCGCCTCAGGTTCCAACAATGCTCATACGAAAAGAAGACGTCTGGAAATGGGCTCAAGCCCATCACCTGTCCTTAGAGGACCCTGTGAGGGAGGATGGATTCATCCTCCCAGCTCCAAGTGTTTCCGATGCCAGCCAGAGGGTTTCGGACGAGGAATAGCTCCTGCACTGCAAAGCAATTGCATGTACAATAATGTCTGATGTAACCTAGTAATGATAATGATCCCCCCCCGATCTCACTCGCCTATCGAACATGATTCACAAAGAGCATCAGTATAAACTTGTAGATCGGAAATGCTATGCATAGCCCGAGTGATGTCTACGCCTACAACCTGCTAGAAGTAGGTAACTGCAATTAATGTGTGCATTTTTTGACTGGACTTTCAAACGCCGAAGCCACAAGTCCTTAGTTCATCTAAATCTTTACATGAATCACCGAAACTCATCAACCGGGAGCACATTACTCTTCCATACCGCCAGGTCCACTCGCCTTGCTCATCTGGCGAGCCTTCAGCAGCTCGTCACAGAGAAGCAGGTTCGATGCGATACCAGTGCTGGAGGCAATGCAGTTCCGGAGAACACGGAAAGAGTCGAAGACACCCTCCTGGACGGGATCCATGGGCTCGCCCGTGGTCAGATCCAGGCCGACAACGTCATTGCCTTGGGCACGCTCGTCCTGAATCGTGGCCAGAGAGTCCTGGATATCATGACCGGCGTTGGCAGCCAGAGTCTTGGGAATGATGAGAAGCGCGTCGGCGAAAGCATCAACACCAAACTTGGCCTTACCCTTGACGCTGTCACGGAACTTCTCCGACTTCAAGTGGGAAGCACAGGCGATCTGGAACGCACCAGCACCAGGAATGACACATCCATCAACAATGGTATTGTAGACGGAGCGAAGCCCATCGCGGACGGCATCCTTAACCTGAGCGATGTTGTGTGCGTTAGGACCCTTGATGAGAATAGTCACGGACTTGGGGTCCTTGACTTCCTCAACGAAAGTGAATTTCTCCTCACCAAGCTGGTGCTCGTAAACAAGACCAGCCCAACCGAGAACCTCCGGGGTCATGTCCTCGACACTGTTCTGAGCAACACCACCGCACACCAGCTGCAGACGCTCCATGTTTCTTCGCTTGGCGCGGCGGAGGGCCATGATGCCATTCTTAACAAGGATATCCAAGCTGAGAGGGTCGATACCCTTCTGGTTGATCACAACGAAGCCCTTCTTGGGGTCGTTTCCACAAACCAGCTTCTTGAGCTCCACAATCTTCGCCAGCTTCGAATCGACAAACTTGCGCTCGCTCTCCACCAACTTGTCTCTCTGTTCAGCAGTGCTGTAGTAGAAGCCGGAGTTAATTTCGGACTTCTCGTACTCCAGGCTGACATTCAATGTCAAGATGAAAGCATTCTCCACGCGCTTGGGCATGTCAGGGTGTCTAGCACCGTGATCCAGAGCCAGACCACGGATGAGCTGGGTGTCGGATGAGGTCCGGTGCTGCATTGTCATAATTTCAATCATATGCAAATCGGGCTTCTCGGGGGCACGGTGGATGGCGAGCACGGCATCGACAATGTCAGGGGTGAGCTTCTCGGCGAGAGCGAGGTTCAACTTGGTCGAGAGGGAAGTGCGAGCAACAGAGAGGAGGAGCTCACGGTCAACAGTGCGCTCGAGCTTGTACTTGTCGAGGAACTGCAGGCACCGTGTTAGATTGAGACGGCCTCATCAATTCAACCAATTCCTCTACATACCTTCAAAGCCTCGTTCTTCGCAATCTCGTATCCATCGGTGACAACACGAGGATGCAGTCCTTCGGTAATGAACCGATCCGCCTGCTTCAGGAGCTCTCCCACCAAGAGGACAACGGACGTTGTGCCATCACCTGTGATATCGTCTTGCGCAGTCGCAGCACGGGCAATCATAACCTTGAAACACTATCAGAAAAGATCGAGGGAGCTTCGTGGCAGCGGTGTCTTACAGCCGTGGGGTTTTGAATTTGCTGTCAGGAGTTAGCATTCATGCTCCGTTAAGAAACAACTGGGTCTTTAACAAACCATTTCACGCAGCAGGACATTTCCATCCTTGGTCAACTTGATCTGTTAAAGCAACTTCGCATTAGATAAACCAATCTGAGGCATTCCAGATGATAAGGGACGTGATGCATACTCCGCCAGAACCGTCCACCAGCCTATTGATTTTGTTAGCTACTGCATTTGTCCATGGAACTCATCAGAACTCACATCTTCAAGGTACCAGAGGGACCCAAGTTCGACTTGAGGACATCCTGGAGACCCTCACCAGCGGCGATATTCACCTTCAGGGCCTCTCCTCTCCGCTACATGAAATGTTAGTGCGGGCCACGGAGGGGTCAAGCATAGGGGATTATAGATGCATACCCGGGACTCGGCCTTGGGGTTCAGTAGCTGAGTTGCCGACATGTCTGTAGAAAAGAAAGAATGACAGCGAGCTCGGCCCAAGAAAACAAAAGTAATGGGGCACTGAGTGGAAGCTCATTAGCACACAGGAGTTTGGATGCCCGCGCTGGACCAAGGCGGTGAGCGTGAATTTTGGCAAAAAGCCCACATTACAGATTTGCACTAGCGTTGAAAAAAAAGAGCTTCCGAATTCTTCGCTTTTGCCCGTCCGCCTTCTTGAACGTCCGTCCCAAACCCACTACGTCGACAGTCGTCTGTGGGCCTTTGCCGCTACAATTAATCCTCTGGTCATTATCGCGATCCATTTGACCTAAGGATCCAGTAAAATGGCCGATTACCTCCTGTTCGAGAGCCCTGTGGGCTACTCGCTTTTCAAGGTCGCCCTCCAGGGCGACGCTGTGGGCAACCGTCTGAAGGAAGTCCAGGAAGGTGTTAACGACCTCGCCAAGTTTGGCAAGATGGTTGATCTGACCAGTTTCCTGCCCTTTGAGTACGTTTTTTTTGGCGATGGAAATCCCACCGGGAGAATTTTGCCTCGAGCCGTTCGCTAACGTAACCCAGAAACAACAAGCAGGCCCTTGGTGAAATTAACGATGTCTCTGAGGGTGTTGCCTCCGAGACTCTAGTTTCTTTCCTTGAACTGAATCTCCCCAAGCCGAGCAAGAAGAAGAAGGTCGTTCTGGGTCTGTTGGACAAGGGTCTTGCTGGAAGCATCAAGTCCGCCTTCCCCTTCGTGGACTGCGAGACCGGTGACACCAGCGAGGTTGTCCAGGATCTTCTCCGTGGTCTTCGTCTGCATTTCACCAAGCTGCTGAGCCAGCTCCGCGAGGGTGACTTGGACACTGCCCAGCTCGGTCTCGGTCACGCCTACTCCCGTGCTAAGGTCAAGTTCTCCGTCACTCGTGACGACAACCATATCATCCAGGCAATTGCCATCCTTGATCAGCTTGACAAGGCTATTAACACTTTCTCCATGCGTGTTCGCGAATGGTACTCGTGGCACTTCCCCGAGCTGTACAAGGTTGTCTCCGAGAACCAGCGCTACGCTGAGGTGGCCCTCTTTGTCCAGGATAAGAAGACCCTGAATGATGACAAGCTCCACGACTTGGCAGCCCTCGTTGAGGATGACAAGGGTGTTGCTCAGAACATCATTGATGCTGCTAAGCACTCCATGGGTCAGGAGATCTCTGAGACCGACATGGAGAACGTCATTGCTTTCGCCGAGCGCGTCGTCAGCTTGTCTAAGTACCGCAAGTCGCTTTACCAATACCTCGTCTCCAAGATGAGTGTTGTCGCTCCTAACCTTGCCGCTTTGATCGGTGAAGTCGTCGGTGCCCGTCTGATCTCCCACGCCGGTAGCTTGACCAACCTGTCCAAGTACCCCGCCTCCACCGTCCAGATCCTCGGTGCCGAGAAGGCTCTTTTCCGTGCTTTGAAGACCAAGGGTAACACCCCCAAGTATGGCCTCCTATATCACTCTTCTTTCATTGGCCGGGCCGGTCCCAAGAACAAGGGTCGCATTTCGCGTTTCCTTGCGAACAAGTGTTCCATTGCTTCCCGTATCGACAACTTCTCTGAGACTCCCACCACCAAGTTCGGAGAAGTCCTGAAGCAGCAGGTCGAGGAGCGTCTGGAGTTCTACTCTACTGGTGCTGCCCCCACCAAGAACGAGGTCGCCATGGTATGTTCATTTCATCTCCAACCTTAATTATATCTCATAACTAACCCTCCGTTTTTTCCTCTACAGAAATCCGCCATGGATGCAGTGCTCGCTGGCATTGACGTTGATGTCGATGAAAGCGATGCGGAGATGAAGGACGCCGACGCCGCCTCCGCCAAGAAGGAGAAGAAGGAGAAGAAGGAAAAGAAGGAGAAGAAGGAGAAGTCTGACAAGAGTGACAAGAAGAAAAAGCGCAAGTCCGATGTCGGCGAGGGCGAGACCGAAAAGAAGAAGAAGCGCAAGCACGACACCGATGCTGAGCCTTCGAAGAAGAAGCAGAAGGCATAAAAGCGCTTTTTCGTTGGGACTGGGAGTCTTCGTCATGGCGTTGGGTTTTATTCTTTCTTTCTATCTTGTTCACGACTCGATGGGCTCGGGGATCTGTAAATTATTGATTTAGGCCTTAGGCCTTTGTTGGCAATAAGTGTTGCTACATCTCGTGCTATATGAAATTCGATCCTCTTTCTCTTTCACTTCACCTTGATCATTAGATTCTCTGACCAGTTGTGCGTGGGCCTGTCCGTTTCTCAAGGGTTGTACGACAACTATTGGCTCCCGCTTCAACTCACTTCCGAGCGTGATCTGCCCCTCCCCAGACCTCCGCACTCAAGTATATGGATGAGCTGCTATATTATGAACTCACCCAAATCTCGATGAGACGAGTGAATGGAGTTGATTCTCCAACCTTTGCGATCTTTACGTATAGGTGAGGTCGGCAGTGACGCCACCACCTGGTCCGCTTTCAGCCCCGCGATGATGTCGGCAGACCTCTCTCGATACTTCTCGCCCAAGCGAAAGCGAGAGCCTTCTGATTCTGATTTCTACAGCCCATCAGCATCCCCCACATCTACAGTTTCCGCCGTGAGTCTACAAGAGGCTTGGTTTTGCGAGGAGCCGGAGCTTGGATGCCACAGCCCTCGAGCGGCAGTGGCAGGGCGGTTTGGTGAACTGGCTATTCGAGGAGACCGTGTCCCGGAGCCGCTACTACAGCGCGACGTCTATCAAGACTCTGGTCCACAGTCCTCGCAGGAACAATGTCCATCCGAGATCCAAGTGTATACGAAGACTATGCCGGAGCCCTTGTCGACCCATAGCGCCGAGCTGCACGAAGTTCGAGGCCACCAGACGACCGAACAACCGACCGAACAACCGACCGAACAACCGACCGAACAACCGACGGAGTCTTCAACAGAGAGCGCCTTGGCTCACACAACCCTATCGCCTTCTCGAAACAATTCTGCAACGTCACCTCGAAAACAGAAACTCCCTATATCCCCCTCGAAGAACCAAAAACAGCGACGATCACCCCCTCTCGCAGATGTCTCATCAAAATCTTCCATGACGTGGCATGATAATGAGATAACGGGTCATAATCCTACAGACCCGACCGATGACGGCTATGGGATCAATGGCGTGGGATTTAAACCTACCGCGGCCATGGCGGCGGCTCGGTCCCAGAAAAGACAGAAACAAGTCGCCGAATGGAAGGCACGCGAGGCACGAGACGCTCGTGAGAAGCGACGAGCAAGGAGGAACGAAGACATCGCCTTGGAGAAGATACACGGTGTACACCGCGGCGCCATTCAGAAGCGTGTCAAATTTGACATTTGAGCGGGGTCTCAATCCCATATCTATCTACTTTGCTTGATGTTTAATCGCATTCTGGGGGTTTAGACAACCCGGGCGTCTTTGGAATTTTGGAACAGACTCTGCGAATATTGAATCAGCAATATGGATATGGGGAACTATGATACACAGAGATGAGATGACTTAATGACATGCTGCCACATCTGCAGCCATCCTAGCGCAGGGTTGGAATATACAATCTTGAAATCAATCTTGAATATATCCCACCAACACCGTAACTCCAAATCTTAATTAAGCAACGCTACCAGAACTTGTAGTTGGAGAGGTTGGTCCAACTCTTCCTCCGCCGTTCCTCTTCCGCACGTTTGGCGGCCTCCTCGGCGGCCTTTTCCTTGTCTCTTTGCTTTTTATCCTTCAATTCCTTCATCAAATCGACCGCTTGCTTCATCCCGTGCATTTCCTCGATGCGTTGTCTTCGACAGAGCTCATAGGCTGCTAGCGAGGTAACAGCGAATACTCCGACTGCCCAGTTTCCGGCGGACCATAATGAGCGCATACCTGTGCCAATGGATTAGTTTTCAATCCCATGTCCAAGGGCGAGAAATCAAGAATGTACCTCCAAAGACACCACGCATACCACCGGCGCCGAATCCAAGACCAATGCCAGTCAATAACGATTCTCGTGCGCAGGGTGCTTTGTGGAATGAAGTCATCTCAGACATAGATACAGTACCGACAACATCCGAGTATGAAATATCTTTGGGATCCTTGCCGCGGGGCTTGTAGGTCGCATTCGAGAGAGCATTCACGCGGTCTTCGGGTTCACCGAATGCATCCCATAACTTTCCGACTTGCGATTTGGGAAACTCGTGCTTAGGTTTCTTCGGATCGGTATTCGGGATACTGGCGGGAAGGTGGCTGCCAGGCTCCGCGGAGGAGCCGGGCTCTTGTGGATTGTCCGCCATCGTTATTATCTTGCCGTCTTCACTGAGATACAATTTAGCGGACCACCGTCCATATCCAGTGGCGTATTGATGATCCGACCTAGACCGATTTGGATAGTTATTCCGGGAACTCGCTGACTCAGCTACGCGTAGACGCGGACGCGTCGAAAGAAGCGATTGAGATCGCCTTGATCGGTGCAAGTCGCAGGACCACTGCTGATCACTCTTTCAGACATAGGTCGCAATAATTGCTTGCAATACTCCTCTTTGACACTGTCACTTTAATTTGACCCATTTACTTGATTCTTCGTTCTCGCCATCTGCCCGAACTGCCTTTCGATTTGGTGTGAGTAGCCCGGCCGGGCGACAGTGTCGCAATGCCTTCGCGAAAACCCAGCAAGTTCGGGAACAAATTCCGAGGTGCTGCTGCATCCTCTGGTCCTCAACGAACAAAAACGGTCGAATTCGGTTCCCTGCGCATTAGCGAAGCAACATCCCAAGATGAGAAATTCGAGGCCATCCGACTGGCTAGCAGTATCGATGAACAACTTGGTTTCCCGCGCTTCGAGTCTGGCGAGACAAGGGCAGGCTGGCTTGTCAATATGCACAGTACGACCATAGAGGATTCAAACGTGCAAGGAGGTCGTGCCGGTGTCGACTTTTATTTTCTTCAAGACGACGGAAACAATTTCAAGGCGACGGTCGAATACGAGCCTTACTTCCTGATTTCCGTGAAAAAGGGCCATGAGATGGAAGTTGAGGAATGGTCCAAGAGATCATTCGAGGGCTTGATCAAGAGCTTCAAGCGGCTTGACAAAGAAGATCTGAATCTGCCGAACCATCTCCTTGGACACCGGAGAACCTTCATCAGGTTGAATTTTGCCAATGTGAGCAACCTGCTTGAAGTCCGGCGCACTCTTCTTCCTCTGGCAGAGAAGAACAAGAAGAACGCGGGTGTAATGGACGCATACGTCGAAATGTCCAGGTTTGTCTTCCACCTTGTCTTGACACCGTCATATATTAATTGGTATTTTCGTTAATAGTGCAACCACCGGCTTCGATCTTTTTGATGACGAAATAATTAATGAGCAACGACCTAATGCAAACACGCAAGCGAGTGATTTTATTGTTGATATCCGAGAATATGATGTTCCGTATCATGTTCGGGTGTGCATTGACAAGGGTACGTGATTTTGAATTCCAGGCGCAGAACAACAAGCTCACAATCCTCAGATATTCGAATCGGAAAGTGGTATAATGTGCAGGCAAAGCACGGCGAGATCTCTTTATCATGCATAGAAGAACGACTTCAGCGTGCCGATCCTGTGGTACTTGCCTTTGATATCGAGACCACAAAACTGCCCCTCAAGTTCCCCGATGCCGTGATCGACCAGGTCATGATGATTTCCTACATGATCGACGGCCAAGGATTCTTGATCACTAATCGAGAAATTGTTTCCGAGGACATCAACGACTTCGAATACACACCAAAGCCTGAATACAATGGACCTTTCATCATTTTCAACGAGCCCAACGAGCGGGGCGTATTGGAGCGTTTTTTCGAGCACATCAAGATCGCAAAACCCACTGTCATTGCTACATATAACGGTGACTTTTTCGATTGGCCGTTCGTGGAAGCCAGAGCGAGCGTCAATGGAATTGACATGTACTCAGAGATCGGCTTCAGAAAGAACAGCGAAGACATCTATCAGGCCGATTACTGTGTACACATGGATTGTTTTGCCTGGGTCAACCGTGATAGTTATCTGCCCCAAGGAAGTCGTGGTTTGAAAGCAGTGACTGTCGCCAAGCTCGGCTACGACCCCGATGAACTTGACCCGGAACTGATGACTCCATATGCGAGTGAACGACCCCAAACTCTCGCCGAGTACTCAGTCTCCGATGCTGTCGCAACCTACTACCTATACATGAAATATGTACACCCTTTCATCTTCTCCCTGTGTACCATCATTCCTTTGAATGCCGATGAAACACTGCGAAAAGGCACTGGAACCCTCTGCGAGATGCTACTCATGGTCCAAGCCTACCAACACGAAATTGTTCTTCCCAACAAGCACAAGGATCCACCGGAAGCCTTCTATGACGGCCATTTGCTTGAGTCTGAAACCTATGTTGGTGGTCACGTCGAGAGTATTGAGGCTGGTGTTTTCCGAAGTGACATCCCGGTCACCTTCAATGTCGACCCCAAGGCCATGGAAGAGCTTATCCGAGACCTAGACCATGCCCTCAGGTTCAGTATTGAGGTTGAAGAGAAGAAGTCCATGGACGACGTGACAAACTTTGAAGAAGTCAAGGCTCAAATCACAGAACGTTTACTTGACCTGCAGAACAGTCCTGTTCGAAATGAGGTGCCTTTCATCTACCACTTGGACGTCGCCTCTATGTACCCCAACATCATGATCACCAATCGATTGCAGCCTGATTCATTGATCAAAGAGTCAGACTGTGCCGCCTGCGATTTTAACCGTCCCGGAAAGACCTGTGACAGACGAATGCCGTGGGCATGGCGTGGTGAATTCTTGCCTGCGAAGCGCGACGAATACAACATGATTAGACGTGCTACTGCGAATGAACGATTCCCTGGTAAATACAAGAATTCCCCAATGAGGTCATTCAGCGATCTCAGCATCGAGGAACAAGCCGGTGTGATCAAGAAGCGACTCCAGGATTACAGCAAAAAGATCTATCACAAAATCCACGACAGCAAGACCATGGAACGAGAGGCCATCATCTGCCAGAGAGAAAATCCCTTCTACGTCGATACAGTGCGCGACTTCCGTGATCGGCGATATGATTTCAAAGGCAAGCAGAAGGTCTGGAAGAACAAGACTGACGCTTTGCAATCGTCCGGCGCTTCTGCAGCTGAAATTGACGAGGCCAAGAAAATGATTGTTTTGTACGATTCTCTCCAACTTGCACACAAGGTTATTTTGAACAGTTTCTACGGCTATGTCATGCGAAAGGGTTCGCGATGGTATTCCATGGAAATGGCTGGAGTCACCTGTTTGACGGGTGCCCATATCATTCAAATGGCACGCGAGCTTGTTGAGCGCATCGGCCGACCTCTAGAGCTTGATACCGATGGTATTTGGTGTATGCTCCCAGGTACCTTCCCCGAAAACTTCACCTTCACATTGAAAAATGGGAAGAAATTGGGCATTTCGTACCCTTGTGTCATGCTTAATCACCTTGTTCATGCTCGTTATACAAATCACCAGTACCAGGCTCTCACCGACCCATCGACCTTTAAATATGAGACTCACAGTGAGAATTCCATTTTCTTCGAAGTCGACGGACCCTACCGAGCTATGATCCTGCCAACCTCAAAAGAAGAAGACAAGAATTTGAAGAAGAGATACGCCGTGTTCAATCACGATGGATCCCTAGCGGAACTCAAGGGATTCGAAGTCAAGCGAAGGGGAGAGTTGAAGCTCATCAAAATTTTCCAAACCCAGATTTTCAAATTCTTCTTGGATGGGACGAATCTTGCCGAAACGTATGCCGCCGTGGCTCGAGTTGCTGATCGATGGTTGGATGTCCTCTACGAACATGGAGCAACATTAGCCGACGAGGAGCTAATTGATCTCATCTCGGAGAACCGTAGTATGTCCAAGACTTTGGAGGAATATGGAAATCAAAAGTCGACATCCATCACCACCGCAAAACGCCTCGCAGAGTTTTTGGGTGAGCAGATGGTTAAAGATAAGGGACTCAACTGCAAGTACATTATCTCATCAAGGCCCAGGAACACCCCTGTCACTGAACGAGCCATTCCTGTGACAATTTTCTCCGCCGAGGAGAGTGTCAAACGCTTCTTCCTGCGAAAATGGCTAAAGGAAGATCCAGGTGATATGGATCCTCGGACCGTTATTGACTGGGATTACTACCTTGAGCGTTTGGGCTCCGTGGTCCAGAAGCTCATTACCATCCCTGCTGCACTTCAGAAGATTCGGAATCCTGTCCCACGCGTTGCTCACCCCGACTGGCTGCAGCGACGGATCAATCAAAAGGACGACAAATTCAAGCAGAAGAAGATGACTGACATGTTTGGCAAGTCCGAGAAAGCTCCGCTTTCTTCCATCTCCGCCAACATTCTGGAACACCGCGTTCAACATGCTGGTGATATGGAGGAAGTCATTGCAAGCGCTACACAGAAGAACAAGTCTCCTCAAAGCAAGATTGCTCAGAAGAGGAGGCACCCAGAGAGCGCTCCCAAAACATCTCTGGATCCTTTTGCTACTCTGCCGACAGTCATGCCATCCATGTCAGATGATTATGAAGGGTTCCTCAAGTACCAGAAGCAAAAATGGAAGATCCAGAAGCAAGCACGAATTCGTCGTCGCCAATTGTTTGGTGAGCGGACCAACGTTGCCACTGATTCCCTGAGCAACTTCTTCCGCAATCAGGCCCAAATGCTATATATCAGTACATGGCAGGTGCTGCAGCTCTGTGAAACCGGCCGGCCAGGTATTGTGCGGGCCTTTGTGTTGATCGATCAAAAGATCCACGCACTCAATGTCAAAGTTCCGCGGCAATTCTTCGTTAATTTGAAGCGAGACACTCTGCCTGACATTGATGTGCCAGAGTGTGAGGTTGAAAAGGTCAATCATACCCTTCCTAATGGCCATCCTTCGGTCCACCTCTTCCGTGTGTCGTTGAGCGAAGACAAGTTCCTCGAAGAGGCTGACAAGATGGATGCTTTGTTCCAACATCCCAGTATCGAGGGCGTCTATGAGCGAAATATTACACCGAGCATCCGCGCAGTACTGAAGCTTGGAAGCCACTGTACTTTTGATGAAGAGCAGCGTGGCGTGCTTGGTGATGGTCTGGATAAAGGCTTCGATCTCTCTACTTTGCTTCATGCCACATCCGACGAGCCTTATTTGATGAATTCGTCCTTGGCATACCATTACCTGTACCATGTTGCCTCCGGAGATCGACAAGTCTTTGCCTTGTTCTCAACGACCAAAAAGGAAGCCAATATTGTTATTTTGAACAGAACCAGGGATGCCCAAGGCCTGCCGAATGTCGACAAAATTTACACTGAGCTGCTTTCTCGCAAGCTGCAAGACACTGCTGATGATGCAGCACCGAACGCGTTTGAGTACCAAGAAAAGATTCGTTTTAAGACAACCCAAGTGATGACTCGACGCAAGGCTCACCTCGAGATTGGTGATTTGGTGAGAAAACTTCGCAGTGAGGAGACCCAGCCAGCTGTTTTGGTTATTCAATCCCAGCAAAAGGACCGGATATGCCACGAGATTCCAATCTTGAAGGAATATCCCACCCTGTCTGTGAAGCCCGAAGTCTCGGACATGGATCTTCCACCGCTTGGCTGGCAAAGTTTCATCGCGAGACGCCTGGTCACCCACTATCTGTATCTTGCAGCCTGGATCCAGCACCTGACCCTGCTTGCTCGTTATGGAGATGTGCCGCTTTGCAACTTGGAGACAGACGATCCTCGCTATCTGATTGATATTTCGTATGCTAGACGACTTCAGAAGAGCAATGTAGTTCTCTGGTGGTCTACGGCGCCACGACCAGATCATGCTGGTTATGAAAGAGATGATATCGTGGATTCCTTGGACAAGGTCAATATGCCCGCAGTGAATTCGCCAAGCTCCTATTCAACAGTATGCATCGAGCTGGATGTCCGCAACCTTGCCATCAATACTATTCTCACATCCTCCATTGTCAACGACATGGATGGAAATGACGCTCTTTTGGCGCCTTCCGGTGGCACAGAAGATACAGGGGTTCTGTACTCCGAGAAAGCATTCGCATCTGCTGGGGCGGTCGTTCTGCGAGAGATGGTCAAAAACTGGTGGACAGAGGCATGCGCTGGAAATAGTATGGCTGATATCATGGTCCAGCATTTGATCCGATGGGTGGAAAGCCCCGTTTCGTGTCTCTATGATCGATCCTTGCATAACTACGTGCGACTGCTCTCCCGCAAATCTTTCCAAAGGTTGATGGCTGAGTTCCGACGAGTTGGCTCAAATGTAATCTTTGCCAGCCCAACTCGTCTACTGCTTCAAACTACCAAGACCGAGGTCGGCAATGCCTACGCTTACAGCCAGTATGTGCTGAAGTCAATCCGAGCCAACCCCCAATTTCACTTTGTCGATCTTGAGATCAAGGAATACTGGGACTATCTCGTCTGGTACGATGAGTACAATTACGGCGGCAAGGGCTGCCGGGAAGTAGTTGAAGCCGACAAGCAGGACCTCGAGACCGTCATGCACTGGCAACTCAGCCGATTCTTGCCGACGCCCATGCAGACCATCTTCCACGATTGGGTTGTCGAGTACATCGAATTAATGCACAGTGCGAAGCGACCAGATCAGCAAGATGCCGAAATCTCTTCTACACCCCGTTTGACCCAAATTCCTATTGGGCAGTCCAGTCAAGGGGATAACCAAGAGCTCACAGCCGTACTCGCGGATCGATTCTCGAAGCCTCTGAAAAAGCAGATCTCAGGTCTCATTCGCCGGCAGCGCGATGAGATGCTCCATCCCGAGCTCGCATCCGACTATGCCTTCCCAGTTCTTCCTGGTGTCCTAGTGGATCCCCACGGAGACAAGCGCAACCCGGCACTGGAGCTGGTGAAATTGCTGATGCAGGTTTTGAGTCTGTCCAAAACAACCACCCTAGAATCAAGACTTCTACGCCGGGAACTACTGGCCCTGTTTGAAGTGCGCGAATTCAGCAAGGAAGGCCGCTTCGAGAACCCTAGCGCTAGTCTGAAACTGCCCGAGCTTACCTGCAACGCCTGCTGTCTCATCCGCGACCTGGACCTATGCCGTGATGAAGATGTACTCCCAGACCCGGGCGATACCAGTAAGACGCCTAAGCCATGGCGCTGCCCCTTCTGTCAGACCGAGTATGACCGGTTGGCGCAAGAGGAAATCCTCATTGGCCAGGTGCACGGTCTTGTTGTTGAGTGGCAGACGCAAGACCTCAAGTGTTCCAAATGCAGCGGTCTTAAAATCAGCGAGTTCATGGAACACTGCTCTTGCAGTGGCGCCTGGGCTCCCACTGTGGACTTGAAGGAAACGGAGAAGAAATTGCGCGTGTTACAGAGCGCTGCCAAGTTCCATAGCCTGCAACTGCTGGAGGGCGTGGTGGAAAATGTGCTCGCACAGATGTAGGATGTTTTTCTTTGCCATTCCGTGTTATTGTTTTTTTCTTCTTCTGGTCACACCAGGCGTTTTCACGGTTGGGAGTTGAGCATGGCATAGTCGGCATAATCGGTGTTGGGTCAAAGTGTAAATAGCCTCTGTTTGGCGATCCTCGACGATCCCGTAATGGGAATCACTTGTATCTTTCCCTCTTTTCTCGTTCCTCTTCCCATTTCGCGCCTCTCCTTTGTATCTCTGAGATATTTATCTGATTAGGACCCCTGGATACCTCAGCTCCTGCTGCCGCAGACTGAACACAATTCCCTGTGAGTAGGCGCTGAGCATGCACCTTGGCGGGGTTCCGCACATATGAACCTCACCGCAGTGCTACAGCAGTCGGGCTAACTCGTCTACACAGGTACATAGGAACCACTTGCGTATATCTACTGCGCCGGAAACTCTCGACTCTATCTCAACCTGCCCGGACCTCCCTCCTTCGCCCGCCCTCCAATGGCCCAACCCCCGAGCGGTCAGAGACCGATGGTCCAGCCGTGTCGATACAAGACGGGCAAGACCCTCGGCGCAGGCTCGTACTCCGTTGTTAAGGAGTGTGTACACATCGATACCGGTCGCTACTATGCCGCGAAGGTCATCAACAAGCGCCTGATGGCGGGGCGCGAGCACATGGTACGAGCGGTTGTTTCCTACGGCAAAGCACACGATGCTAACCACCGTCCCTGCGGGGAAATGCTCAGGTCCGAAACGAAATCGCAGTGCTGAAGAAAGTATCCATGGGCCATCAGAACATCTTGACACTGGTGGACTATTTTGAGACCATGAACAACTGTGCGTCCAGCCCGCGCAGCTAGCTATGTCCACAATCTAGTGCTGATGTTTCATGCGCTGCAGTATATCTTGTCACCGACCTCGCTCTGGGTGGTGAGCTTTTCGATCGCATCTGCCGCAAAGGCAGCTACTACGAGTCTGACGCCGCCGATCTCATTCGCGCTGTCCTGTCTGCTGTGGCATATCTCCATGACCACGGCATCGTGCACCGAGACTTGAAGCCCGAGAACTTGCTCTTCCGTACCCCGGAGGATAACGCAGACCTTCTGATTGCAGACTTTGGCTTATCCAGGATCATGGATGAGGAGCAATTCCACGTGCTTACTACAACATGTGGCACACCGGGATACATGGCACCGGAAATCTTCAAGAAGAGCGGACACGGAAAGCCAGTGTAAGTCTTCACAGAAATTGAATTTCCAGTACGCGACTAATACCTCATGCCATACACAGTGATATCTGGGCCATTGGTGTGATCACCTACTTCCTTCTTTGCGGATACACCCCATTCGACCGAGACTCCAACCTGGAAGAGATGCAGGCCATCCTCGCCGCAGACTACTCCTTCACACCACTGGAGTACTGGCGCGGCGTCTCCCAAGAAGCTCGCCAGTTCATTAAGGGATGTCTGACAACCGACCCGACCAAGCGCATGACCGCCCACGAAGCCCTGCAGCACACCTGGATCAATCCTCCCTATGACCAGTCGAAGATTGGATCTGGCGAGGACCTTCTCCCCACTGTGAAGAAGAACTTCAACGCACGCCGTACCCTTCACCGCGCCATCGATACCGTACGCGCTATTAACAAGCTGCGTGAGGGCGGCGGCTTCATGATGGATGGCGTCATGAGCATTGATCCGAAGCCTGAGCGTGTGAATGGAAATGAGGTTGTTGAGGAGCAGCGTCAGGCGAATGAGGGTGCGAGTGAGGGCGCTAGTCCGATGCAAATTGATAGTCGGGGTAATGCGCGTGGGCAGACGGAGGCGCAGATCCAGGAGCAGGAACGGAGGGTTAAGGCCATGGTTGCTGGATTATGGAGTGGTCGTGGAGCTCATGGAAAGTAAGATCATATACAGTTTTTGGGTGCTATCTTCTCTCAGAACTGGGCACTGGTGTCCCTATCCATATTCCGAGTCTACATATCATGACCAAATGCAATGACTGATGATATCATTGGCCCTCTCCAACCTTGAGAGGTCCGCCATTCAGAGTGGATGAGGAAATCGTTCTCCTCTTGTCATTGTATCATGCCATTATGGAATTATGCCAAATAATCATTATCATCACCATGAACCCGTCTGAAACCAAAACGGGATCGTCCAGTATCATCAGCGATTAGGCCAAACCCAAAATCTCCCTTCCATCGTCTAGAGAAAGCACCCAGTTCCGCCACTCCTGCCAGTCCTCATAACTAGCCTTGGCCTTGAGACCCTGATACCGAACCGTCTTGAAATCTGAGACCTGTTCCCACGGCTTCATTCCAAAGGGAGTACTCGATGCTCCTCGAAGGAGTTTTCGAGCAGCACTTCCAGCACCGCCATCCCAGCCGGCTTTCCGCATTAAACTCTCAATCGTCTCTTCTTTCGTCCACCCTTGTTCCGTGGCCACATCCGGAAGGTATGTGGCGCCGTAGCGCCGGCCGCGGTGTACGAAGGAGATGCGAACGCCATGTGTGCCAAGAGTCCAGTCCATGGCATCGGTGCAGGGTTCGAAGGAGCCCAGAAGGGTTAGAGCACATTGAAGTGAAGGAATAAGAGATTTGGGGATGGGCGAGAAGCGGGAATCATCAAATGCCCTGTATTTGCAAGGTGTTAGCAAGATGATCTTGGCCTCGAAGTTGTTTTGGTCATGACATAGGCCCTTGGAAGGTAAAAGGTTCACGTACGAGGTAAGAGCATATGACTTGAGCCCTGTTGCGAGGTCCTTCGCTTCGAACGTGCCTATGCACCCGCGAAGAGACTTGGACCCGCTTCGAGATAGCGTATTCCACGTCACGAACAACGGGTATCGTTGCTCTGAAGACTTGGAAAGCTCGGAGAGTACACTAGGGGTCGTCATAGCTGTAGAGTTTGACAAATTCGAGTCAAATGAGGTGTTAGAGGTGCTTGATGGCGTTGTGGCCGTGCTGGACGAGTCGGACGCCTGGCACTGCAACCGGTTGATGCGAGGTATTTGCAGGCCCTTGGGCCGACTACTCTGTTTGGCGTCCTCGTCGTCATTTACAGACTGCTCGTCGTCCTCGTCCGCGAGCTTGGATAGTTTCTTAGACTGCTCATGCTGTTCCCAGAGCGCTTCTATAGCTGCCAAACTGGCGGGCTCGCGATCCTCAAACGAGGCATAAAGGCTTTCAAAGCAATAAAAGCACTGCGCTTGGTTTGCCATTGCTGCAAGGGCTTGTGTTCTTGACTTGAGTTTTGAGCTGACGGAAATGGGTTCTGCACTGCCGCACCACTTCAGATCCTTGGAGCAACCACGAGCCTGGCGATTATGACGACTGCGGGGTCGTAGATAAGATAGAAGGCTGCTTCTCAGTGATAGACCAAGAAAAGTCGCCCGTAACAGACTCGGAGTAGTGCCAAAGCTGATCCGAGGAAGTTGAAAGAGGAACGGCAGTGCGAGGGAACACGAGCGGTGCCTCAAAACACGAAGACAAGTGACGAGAAGATCGAGTGAAGGCGGGGAGATATGGGCCGACACGTGATGGGTTCTTACATAACCTCTACAGCCAGAGAATCTGGCGAGTATGAAAGTACACAAGTCAGTAGTCAGTGTGTTTACCATTTAATGGTGTTCCATTTCAGTAGATGGTGATGTACAGCAAAATCAAAGGCCCGCACGCCAGATCATGTTGAACTTTTTTTGGTCTCCTGGAAATCGCACCCTCCCGCAGTTGAATAAGCGGCGAGGTGATGTTGCTCGATTCATATGCTCAAAAAACAAAAGAAAAAAAAATGATTACCGAACCCAGACCTCAGGTTGAAAGAGCAGACCTGTATATAAACCCCAAATAACGCACCGTGTGGTATTTGCATCTTACCGACGCTTTCGTGATGTTGAACTCGCGAGATCCCAAGGATCTCTCTTCGTAACTTTCATATCATGACAGTCACCTCTCCTCTTAGTCCTATGGAACTAATTTAAACCGGGAGGGGGAAAGAGCTGGCCCAGCCGGAAACCTCCTCACGGAGAGCCAGGATCTCAGGGACGGTGCCGGAAGCAACCTTGGCCTTGAAGTCCTTCTGCTTGTTGGCCTCCTTGGGGAGCTCAGCCTGGACAGTCTTGCAGATGTTGACGGCCTGGTCGACGTAGCGGGCAATGCGCTTGAAGTCCTCCTCGCCCATACCACGGGAGGTCATGGCGGGAGCACCAATACGGATACCACCGGGGGTCAGGGCAGACTTGTCACCGGGGACAGAGTTCTTGTTGCAAGCAATGTTGATCTGCTCGAGGACAGCCTCAACACGAGCGCCATCAACCTTGCCGCGGAGGTCAACGAGGACCATGTGGCTGTCAGTGCCGTCAGACACAAGCTTGTGACCCAGGGCCTTGAACTCGTTCTCAAGAGCCTTGGCGTTCTTGATGACCTGCTCCTGGTACTGCTTGAACTCAGGGGTGTCGGCCTGCTTGAGGGCAACAGCCAGAGCGGTGATGGTGTGGTTGTGGGGACCTCCCTGGTGACCGGGGAAGACGGAAAAGTTGATGGGACCCTCCAGATCGTACATGATGTCCTTGCCAGCCTTGTCCTGGCCACGGACACCCTTGCGGAAGAAGATCATGGCTCCACGGGGACCACGAAGGGACTTGTGGGTGGTGGTGGTAACAACATCGGCGTACTCGAAGGGAGAGGGGATGACGCCAGCGGCGATCAGACCAGAAATGTGAGCCATGTCGACAACAAGGTAAGCACCGACCTTGTCAGCAATCTGACGCATGCGCTTGTAGTCAATGAGACGGCAGTAGGCGGAAGTACCGGCGACCAGGATCTTGGGGCGGTACATCTCGGCATTGGTCTCGAGCTGGTCGTAGTCGATGATACCAGTCTCAAGGTTGACGCGGTAGGGGAAACTCTCGAAGTAGGTAGAGACAGCGGAGATCCTGGTACGCTCGTTAGAATCAATTGGGATGCAAGATGATGACAAAAACCCATATCTTACTTCTTGGCGGGGGTAGCGTAGCCGTGGGACAAGTGACCACCGTGGGGGAGATCAAGACCCATCAGGCGGTCGTGGGGACGCATCAAGGCCTGGTAGACCTGCAGGTTGGCAGGAGAGCCAGAAAGGCACTGAACGTTGACACCCCACTTGGCGGGGTCAAGGTTGAAGGCCTTCAGGGCACGCTGCTGACAGGTGATCTCAATGGCATCAATGTGCTGGTTGCCACCGTAGTAGCGAGCACCGGGGTAGCCCTCCGAGTACTTGTTACACATGGGGGAACCCAGAGCATCGAAGACAGCGCGGGAGGTGAAGTTCTCCGAGGCAATCAAGACGACAGACTCGCGCTGACGCTGGATCTCGAGCTCCTACAGAATGACGACAATTAGCCACCAGCTTCCAAAAGATAATGCAGCAGATAGCTTCATTGAGCTAACAAATCGATTGGAGGTCACATACCATGATCTTGGCGATCTCAGGATCACTTTCCTTGAGACTAACGTGCATTTGCTGTATGGCATGATGAGTCAACTGTTTGCTCTAGCTCGAAGGAAATAGAATACTCACGGCCTTGTGGGCCTCAGAGAGAGCGTAGGAGGACATGGTGATGAGTGGTATCTCCTTAGAGTTTTAGGAGAATAGAGACAAGGAAGAGGGATGGGTTGAAGATCTAGGAAGGGAAGAAGGAAAAAAAAGTAAGAAGGTTTGTTGGTGGGGAAGGGATCTCAGGATGCCTCAGGCATCACTCCGGATGTCGCGATATCGGAGACTTTCACCAGATCGGGCCTGGGGACTCTGGTGAAGAAATTGTATAGATCCATTATTTTGCTGGTTCATGACTTTGTTTCTTCCTCTTTTGGATCATACCTGGAGAATATCTAAGTGAAATACGCAAGCACTAGTATAGTTCCACTCAATCATGCTCTGGCCCATCAGTAAGGCCGATTACTTTTTCTGTACTTCCGAAGCACCGAATGTGCTTGATGCAAATTGGGGCTTGGTTCCCAAATGAGATGATCGCTAAAGACATATTGGGTATTCCTTTCCACAAAATCAATGAAAACGCCTAGGAGATCCGGGGTCTGCAGTTCCAGTACCATTTGACCCTATTTATTGCCTTTCGTGATGCAGTGTATTTATTGCTCATGTTGCCGCCGCGCGGCTCCCAAAGTCTGAGATAATAGACCGCAGACGGGTGACGCGGTCCTCAAGTTCCTCGATTTCATTTTCTTGTTCTTCCACGGATCGATGCACATCTGGAAGCTCCTCGACTACGCCGCGCGCCTTCTGAATCCGAATCTTCACCGAACTGGTTGCCGTGGGAAGGTCTTTGGTATCTAGATGCCCTGAGGCCTTGGGGTTGAGGATAGGAACATCGGCAGCGGCTTGTGAAACTCCAGTCTCGTTGATTCCACATCCGGGCATGCTCGTGGGAGCTTGTTGACCTTGTGACGGCGCATCACCTGAAGCTCCTAGAGCTCCATTGGCCTCGCCGGTAGCGTCGCCGGGCTGGGTGGACAGCGGCTTTTGAATAAGCAGACGAGAGAGAATGCCGTGAAGTGGTGGGATAATCTCAAAGGTCGTCGGTGAAGGGAAAGGCTTTGGTTGTGAAGCGGTCGCGTCTCTTGGACTCTCGGGCGCGACCGAGGATTTGGGGAGCGGCGTGGCTACAGGCGGAGATCTTGAAGCCATTGTAGCTCGAGGTAGAATCGGAGCCCGAGGGAAGAAGTGTGAATAACGACCGAAAGCCGGAGACTGGGGTAAGTGTTTAGGAAAGAGTCGGAACGTGCTGTGACGTCGGGGCTCGAGAACCAAAAGCGTCACCGGGAATGCCCCTCCTTCACCGGTAACATTTTCGTTCTCTAGACTGACGCCCACGATTTCCTCCTCTCTCTCCTCACTATCTACCTTGGTAAGCAGTCTCCCAATTGCGTCCTCGTTATTTTGACCTGGATTGTCCATTGACCTGTCACAGTGGTGTGATATCGATTACATACAACCCCACCATGGCTGTCGACCAGAAAGTCGCTTTGAGTATGATCTACTTGCCCCCCCAGGTCCCCAAATTCCAGAGCTAAGGTGTCCCTACAGTCGTCATTGACGGTTGGGGTATTGCGGGCCCCAACTCGCCCCCAGAGGGTGATGCCATCGCAGCTGCCGAGACCCCGTTCATGTCCGGCTTCGCCGAGGCCAACTCAAAGACTGCCCAGGGCTTCACTGAGCTCGAGGCGTCCTCACTCGCCGTTGGTCTTCCCGAGGGACTAATGGGTAACAGTGAGGTCGGCCACTTGAACATTGGTGCCGGTCGTGTTGTCTGGCAGGACAGTGTTCGCATTGACCAGACCCTCAAGAAGGGTGAGATGAACAAGGTCGAGAACGTTGCCAAGTGCTTCACTCGCGCCAAGGAGGGCAATGGCCGTCTGCACCTATGTGGTCTGGTCTCAGACGGTGGTGTTCACTCCAACATCACTCACCTGTTCGCTCTGCTCGAGGTCGCCAAGGAGATGCAGATCCCCCAGGTCTTCATCCACTTCTTTGGCGATGGCCGTGATACCGATCCCAAGAGCGCTGTTATCTACATGGAGCAGTTGCTTAAGAAGACAAAGGAACTTGGTGTTGGTGAGATTGCCACCGTCGTTGGCCGTTACTACATCATGGATCGTGACAAGCGCTGGGAGCGTGTCGAGATTGGTATGAAGGGTTTGGTCACTGGCGAGGGCGAGGAAAGCTCCGACCCTCTCCAGACCATCAAGGAGCGCTACGAGAAGAATGAAAACGATGAGTTCCTGAAGCCCATCATTGTTGGCGGCAAGGAGCGCCGTATCCAGGGTTTGTCTCTCGTGCCAAATGTGTCCAGTACGCCCATAAACTGACCTATTCCAGACGATGACACCGTCTTCTTCTTCAACTACCGCTCGGATCGTGTCCGTGAGATCACCCAGCTCCTGGGCGACTATGACCGCTCTCCTCGCCCCGATTTCCCCTACCCTAAGAACATCTCCATCACCACCATGACCCAGTACAAGACCGACTACACCTTCCCCGTTGCTTTCCCCCCCTCAACACATGGGTAACGTTCTTGCTGAGTGGTTGGGCAAGAAGAACCACTCCCAGTGCCACGTTGCCGAGACTGAGAAGTATGCCCACGTCACTTTCTTCTTCAACGGTGGTGTTGAGAAGCAGTTCCCTGGCGAGGTCCGTGACATGATCCCCTCTCCCCGAGTGGCCACCTACGATCTTGACCCCAAGATGAGCGCTGGTGCTGTTGGTGCCAAGATGGCCGAGCGCATTGGTGAGAACAAGTTCGACTTCATCATGAACAACTTTGCTCCTCCCGACATGGTTGGACACACTGGTGTGTACGAGGCTGCCATTCAGGGTGTTGCTGCCACCGATAAGGCTATTGGTGAGATCTACGAGGCCTGCAAGAAGCACAACTACATCCTCATGATCACTGCCGATCACGGGTAAGTTACCTCTAACATTCATACTCTCTGAAAAGGCTAACCCAATCTCTCAGTAATGCTGAGGAGATGCTCAACGAGAAGGGTACTCCCAAGACCTCCCACACTCTCAACAAGGTTCCTTTCGTTATGGCCAACGCCCCTGCTGGCTGGAGCCTCGCTAAGGAGGGTGGTGTCCTGGGTGATGTCGCCCCTACAGTCCTCGCTGCCATGGGCATTGAGCAGCCTGCTGAGATGACCGGCAAGAGCCTGCTTGTCAAGTCATAGATAGAAGTTTTCCGCAAATGATTCTCTGGTTATGAAAATGAACAAACAAACGATTTGAAGATGTTGATATCTATGCGGTTTTGCAATTGGCCCAGGTCCTGTTTGGGTTTATTAGAGATGTGATAGATGGATCAACACATATTAAGATTGGTCATAGACGTCATATTTCTCCTCAATTGAGTGACTGTGTAGTCACATTCTTTTCCAAGCTATACAAAATTTGACTGGGTATATCTTCGCGGCAAGCATCGCCCACCATTTCCATTTCCGTGCATCATTGATTCCCGTGCCTTTGAAAGCCATCCCAAGTGCAGGAACTCTCTGGTCGCCTGCCAGACTGCACCGCAGCATCACCGGTACCATTCAAGATGCGCCACACACAGCAGATCAGGGTTTAAACACGGGCATCAACACGCTTCATCATCGCCCCCGGGATCAGGGATCATCTTCGGTGCATTGAGACTCATCAGGCTCACGCGGAGGCAGGGGCAGCTTGCTGCTGAGCTTGGGCTTGAATTGCCATGACCTAGAGGATAATATGTTAGTAAAGGTGCGCAATCCGGTGCGGGTTATCATTACCTCGGCGCGCTTCTTCTCACCTAATTCCTGCTTGTCTTCGATCTCCTTTTCAATTCGTTTGCTGTTGGGAAAGGATCAGTGATATATTCCTACGGGCCAAGATCAAACCACCCACATTTCCTTCTCAATGAACTCCAGGCGGCCGTTGACTGCCATGGTAGCTTCGGTCTTATCTTGCTTCAAGAGTACGGGTCCGACGAGCTTGTAAATGTTGGAGTCCTCGTCCAACTGATTGAACTCAGCCTGAACACCCTGATTCTCTTGCTGCTGCGACTCAAGCTTCTGACGGGCATCGACAAGACCCTCGAGTTCTGAATTTCCGGAACACAATTAGATATGGAGAGTAGCGAAAGTAATTAGCAGGACGTAGCTTACCGGTCTGCAGCTGGTCAAACTCGTCCGAAAGGGACTGAAGCTGTTTCTGGGGGTCCATGGCTTGTGTTGGCGGGGAGGTGGGAGAAGGGAAAACCGATCCAACTTCTGCCCGCGCCCGTCAACACCTCTCCCTTCCCACTACAATTCCATCCTGACTACCCAACGTGGCTACCACGACTTCTTTTACGTTTTTGCTCCTCTCCAAATCCCTCGTCCGAGTTGGAGTTGCTCTCGCTTAAGCCGTTGCCTAGCACACGACCCTTAGGTCCCCTCACGCCCTCCCCGCTTTATCACTCCGCGCTTGACTCGCCACTACGAGACGTGACCAGACAGGGCCACGTTTGCCAGCATGAGTAATACGGATTTCCTGGGCCGAGCGATTGACACGGTGAAGAAGGCGATCGAGAATGATAATGAGGGCGAGTACGAGAAGGCTTATCAGCTGTATTACTCCGCATTGGAGTTGTTCATGCTGGCCCTTAAGTGGGAGAAGAACCCTCGTCTAAGGAGATGATTCGCGCTAAGACTGGCGAATATATGGACCGCGCAGAGAAGCTCAAGAATCATTTGGCTTCGGGGGATCGAAAGAAACCTAGCGCCGTGGGCGCGAATGGCAAGGTCGCGCAGGGAAGTGGGAAAGGGTATGACGCTGGCCCATTACAACTTATCTCCAATCTCTTGATATTGATACTCTCTTGGAAACCGGTCCGCCGGAGTCACCAAGAGGATTCATCTCCATCATCTGATCATCTGGTACTGACGGAATTTTACAAACAGGAAGGAAGATGACGACAACGGCAACGGCGAGGATGCCGAGGCGAAGAAGCTCCGGTCCGCCCTACAAGGAGCCATTCTGTCAGACAAGCCGAACGTCAAGTGGGAAGATGTTGCCGGTTTGGAGAGCGCCAAGGAAGCCTTGAAGGAGGCAGTCATTCTTCCGATCAAGTTTCCACACCTGTTTACGGGCAAGCGGCAACCTTGGAAGGGTATCCTTCTCTACGGCCCTCCTGGTACCGGAAAATCATATCTCGCCAAGGCTGTTGCGACTGAAGCCAACAGCACGTTCTTTAGTGTCAGCAGTTCTGACCTGGTATCCAAGTGGATGGGTGAAAGTGAACGGTAGGAAACTAGGCCTTAATTACAATGCATATTACCTCGAGAACGCTAGGCTGACCCTCACAGACTTGTGAAGCAGCTCTTCAATATGGCCCGTGAAAACAAGCCGGCGATTATCTTCATTGACGAGGTCGATGCTCTGTGTGGGCCGCGAGGTGAAGGCGAATCCGAGGCGTCACGCCGTATCAAGACCGAGTTGCTTGTTCAAATGGACGGTGTTGGAAAAGACTCTAAGGGTGTCTTGATTCTGGGGGCGACCAACATCCCTTGGCAACTCGACGCTGCCATTCGTCGACGATTCCAACGACGAGTTCACATCAGTTTGCCCGACTTCAATGCACGAATGAAGATGTTCATGCTTGCCGTGGGTGCCACACCGTGCCAAATGACCCAGGCGGACTATCGATCTCTGGCCGAGATGAGCGAGGGTTATTCCGGTAGTGATATCAGTATCGCTGTGCAGGATGCTCTTATGCAGCCCATCCGCAAGATTCAAACCGCGACACATTATAAGAAGGTAAAACGGATAAATTCCGCTCGTTTTACTGAATAGAACACATATCTGACTACAACAATAACAGGTGACCCACGAAGGAGTTGAGAAGCTCACCCCGTGTTCTCCCGGCGACGCCGGTGCGATGGAAATGAATTGGCTCAACGTGGAAGCCGAGCAACTACTAGAGCCACCGCTCGTTCTGAAGGACTTCATCAAAGCCGTCCGTAATTCCCGGCCTACTGTCAGCCACGAGGATCTGACGAGGAATTCGGAATGGACGAAAGAGTTTGGCAGTGAGGGAGCGTAAGCGGTTCATTTCTCGAATTTCATCACTGGTATTCGGCCAGCATAAATCTCATCTTGGCCAAGCTCGTGCAATAAATAGACAATGTCTCACCCAGGTTGTTCTTGGGATTTGGTCCGGCTGCGTACTTGAGTGGCTACTTGAAGGATCTGGTGTTCAGAAGCGTTGACAATTTTTATGTTTCCAGTAATTTGGCAATGGCGAGGCGTTGATTGAGCAAATATCCATGTTTTTACCTAGTCCGGCGGATCGTTTCGCTAAAAGAACAATGGTGCATACATTCTGCCTCGATTCTATGGAGTTCTGTACTCGACTTCGAGAGTAAATTTGCTCTACTGATTTCAAATTTGAAGACAGAGAGAGGCATTTTCTACCTTGCAGGTCGTCTATCAAGTAGCCGGTGCCTACCGCGGTCAATGGATGCAAGACAATATCCCCGAAGGTCAATTTCTAACTCACGCTACTTGGAATCACAATCGGATCAGACCCATACCTGGGTGACTATGCTCCAACAATGCCACGTCTCTGCGGAAGACACACCTTTCACAATACAACCCAATCAAACGCCCTGGAAAGAAAACACAAGCTCAAAGGAGAAAAAGAAAGCAGAAGCTGTATACTAAGCATGACGGGGAATCTCTCGTGACAAAAGGGGTGACGCTTGGAAACGAAGAAGCTCAAAAAAATCACGAAACAATACGGGAAAACAAGGGCCATGTAGCCTGGTATGATCTACCGGGCAAGGGGGCTTTTGGTTGAGCTTTCGCGACGCTTAAGCATCTCGCTCTTGGCTCGTTTTAAGCCCTCGCCAAGCTTCTTAGCCCGCGACCATTCCTGGCCCATCTTTTGCATGCGAACAGTGGCCACGACCAGCGAAATAGCAGAGCGGAGCTTGCGGCGTGGAGTGCGGACTGAATTGCGGTCGCGAGATTGAACGCCCATATCGGAAATCATGCGAAGGTCGGCTTCGTTACTATGGGTAGCGAGGTCATGTCAGTTGGATTGTCATCGAGTAAAAAAGACGGGGAAAAGGGGTCACTAACCATGCAACACGAACGCGTTCACCCAATTCCATTAGGCCCTTGCTCCATGCCAGGTCGCGACGGAACTTCTCCTCGCGGTGCAAGCGGGCTCGCAGCCAGATGATTTCCTTGCCTAGCCCGCGGATTTCTTTTTCGTGGCGGGTCTTGCTGGATGATTTCCCAATTGAGACCTTCTCTAGAGCTTCATTGTAGCGTTGTTGTAAGGCTTCCAAATCCTTTGTGACTGCTTCGACCTTGCGCACGCAGAATGCTCGCTCTTCACGGACTCGACGAAGTTGGTTCTTGAGCTCGTTTAACCGTGAATCTCGCTCAGATACCTTGAGTGCCAGAGACTCAGCTTCAAGGGTTGATGACTTGAGTAACTCATGCAGGTCCTTCTGATCCTCTTCTCCCATAGCTGCTCGCTCAAGGTCACGGTTCTTGATCTTGACTTCTTTTAGAGCCTTATGCGCATCCGTTAATTGCTTTCGTAGAGACTTGAGCTCTTCGTGAAGCTTGTTAGATGGGGAGTTTTGCAAAGAGTGCGAGTCAAACTTGTTGATGAGAGCGTCGTGAAGGTCTCGCTCCAAATCAGAAACTCGGGACTTCAAGGTACGAGCATAAGCTTTTTGTTCAGCTTCGCGCTGCAGAAGAGTTTTCTCACGTCTGCGGGCCTCTTCCAGGCTCTGGCGAAGGACCGACAGGTCTCCATGGGCGGTTGACTGTTCATTCTCCAAGGGAGCCTGATGCTCAAGAAGCATCTCCAATTCTTGAACGCGTCGCTCAAGCCGTTGAACCTTAGTCCTGGCCGTAGTCAACTCGCGGTCCCGATGACCGGAGCCCGCTAGCACCTTGTCCTGGAGACGATCAATCTCAGCTGAAAGACGACCCTCTTCTAAACTGGCACGTTCAATCTCGGAACCGAGCTGCTTTTCTAGAATTTCTTTGGCCTCCATGAGGGCTTCTTTATCATCTCGCAGTCGCTTGAGTTCGGTCTCAAGACGAGTCGCAATCCTCCTGAGTTCGACCTTCTCGCTGTCAAATCGTGTAGTGTCATCGGCAGTTTTGCCTCGGTTCAGCTGAGCGTGGAGCTCATCTCGTTCGGCTTCGACCTCGGCGATGGAAGTTCGCAAGTCGTGCAGTTCAACGTGAGCATTAGCAAGTTGGTCGCGCAGGGTTTGTCTGTCGGCGATTGCTTTTTGCAATTGATTTTCCACGTCAGAAGAGCCCTTCTGCTGTCGACCCTTTGCGTACTCTTGCTCATCTGCCAAGCTTGATTGCAACACAACAACCTCATCTTCTAGGGCCTGCACCCTCTCCCGAAGGGATTGCTCCTCACGCCGAGAAACACGGAGTTCCTCTCGCACGGTAAGAAGATCAGAGCGCTGCTCATCTATGATACGTCTCTTCTGGGTTAGCTCGTCACCTAGATCTTTGATTTGGCGATTCAGCACCGCTTCCTCCTGCTCGTGCCGCTGCTTCTCGCTATCGATAGCATCTTGAAGCTTGTACTCCTTGCCGGAAAGAGTGTGTTCTGCTTGCTGCAGCATTTCGATCGTTCGCTTGAGTCCTGCAGCTTGTTCTTCGGTGCGCTCCTTCTGAGACTGGAAGGACCGTTTGGTGCTCTCCCACCTCTCCTGCTCAAGGGCGAAGTGTCCCTCTTTATCCTCGATCTCGTGTTGGAGAGCTTCGATCTCGTCTTGCAAACGTTCAATCTCTACTTTGTGTTGCCAACGAAGGTTTTGATTGTCCTGGGCGCGATTGGTGGCCTCTTCGACAGCTTGTTGGAGCTCACGAATTCGAGATTGCGATCGAGATAACTCGCTTTGCAGGCCGCCGGATTCTTCGGTCAATGCCTGGTGCCGAGTCTGCAGAAGCTCTTTCTCATCCGTTCGGCGTTGGATATCGTCAAGGGCTTCCTTAAGTCGAGCAGATGTCCTTTCTTGCTCTCTCTGGGCCAAGTCGCGTTCGTGACGAGCTGCTTCAAGATCTTGATTTAACTTGCCAGCATCGCTCTTCAGACCCAATTGAACATTTTGATAGCGCTCCTCCAGGCGAGCCGCATGTTCCGACTTGTTTTCGACTTCCGTTTTGAGAGCATCGTTCTCTCGTCGCAAAGCACGAATCTCTTCCTCGAGCCTCTCTGCTCGGTCCTCCATTTGTCGACTTAGACCTTTGGTCATGACAGACTTATTTGACATCTCATCCTGCAATTCGCGAAGGTCGTCTTCGGCTCGGTCTTTCTCATCCCTGGCCTGCCGCGCGAGCTCGTTCGCTTCCTGGATTTCTGATTTGGATCGTTCGAGACTCTCCTGCAGTTCTTTGACCTGTTCTTTTGCTCGATCGAGCTCGGCTTGAAGCTCAGCAGCTGCATCGCTTTCCTTGCCTTTCTGCCGGAGCTCCTCCAATTCCTCCTCACGCTCATCGAGAGCTCGGTCTTTTTCACGCACTGTGGCCTCGAGATCTTCCACATCATCGCGAAGTTTCTCAACTTCTTGGGATTGACTGTCCTTGAGCAACCTCACTTCTTCACGAAGCTCTCTGATTTCATTGTCCCGGGACTCCACCTCTTCACGCATAGTATCCATCTCACGTTGTACTTCTTCATCGGGTTGTCGTCGTCGGGACTTGTCTCTCATTTCCATGAGTTGCACTCGATAATCTTCCAAGTCGCGTTCGGCCTGCAGGAGACTCTTTTTGTATCGAGAAATGTCACGCTGCATAGTCAATCGCAAGACTTTCAGCTCGGTGTTCTCCCTAAGAGCCGCGCTGTTATATTCGGGTCCAGCCTTCTCGATTTGCTCCTCTAGGTAGTGGATTTTGAGCTTCAGGTTCCAGTTGTCTTTGTCGAGCCGGTCGATGATCTGTCGGTCAGATTAGAGCCATCATACTTGGGGAGAAACACATACTCGTTCTTGCTCTTTCAATGTCATGTTTTGCCCCTCGCCCAAAACTCCGGAACCGTGGCGTCCCAATAGGCCGGGCAGTGGCGTACTCTGGGCGCTGCTGCTGGCAACATGAGGAATTGGCGTCGCTTGGTCGCTTGTTGCATCATCTTCGTACATATCAGACATATCGATTGTGGGTAAACCAGGGGTGTAGGCGGCTCCCCGGCCCTCTCGCAGGTAGGCCGGAGTCTTCGGGTCGTCTATGCCTCGAATTGCAGATCCGTTCCTCAAAAAATTGTTCTTGGTCGCGCTCCTCATAAGTGGTGTAAATTCTCCCTTGGCCGCTCCTGCTGCGGGCAGGTTTCTCAACGCGCTTCTTGCTGGCCTTGAGGAAGTACCGGCACGCGGGGTGCTGGACTTGTAGTTGGCTGAATCACGTTTTCTTCCATCTCCAAATCCTTTAATAACATCATTATCTTTCGATGGCGTGTGGAAAGAGTTTTCCACGGAGTCGAGAGCGGAAAGGTGAGTTCGTCCAACGCTGCGAAAACCGTTGGTCAAGTAAGTCGCGTTCCCATCGACTTCGGTGCGCGGCGTGTCGATATAGGGGAACGCCATGCTAATAGGACCGCGGAAGATTCCAATTATCACGCGATCATCACTCTGCAAATCGATGGGATTGAGTTGAAACGAGCTCGAGCGGCGTGTTGTGACGAAGCGCGGGCGAAGCGTCGGCGAGACTGTTGATGTCTAACCTGATTAGGTTTAGTGCGCGAGTCACGAGTGGGGCGCGAGCTTCGCCGCCTTTTTTTTTCTTTTTGCGGAATGCCATGAGGTCATGTTGAGCTACAACTAGCAACTCAATTGACTTTAGGCATGGCAACCGAGGAGGATATCGCGTGGTTCAAGTCCACTTTCCATCCTATTCCCAAACCGCAGCTCCCCGACGATTCTGTTGAGTACTACGTTTATCACCTGCCCTCCCCCGCTCCCGCCGTTATCGATCAGGCCGTCGAGACTCGCGCGCGATTGCTCGAGGTTCAGCGCACAGCTGCAGAATTGACCAAGGAGCTGCTAAAAGACTATATATGGCAGCGCGAAAGCTTCCGACTGGAAATTAGCAAGGATGGTGGTAAGGAAATTCCTTTTCAGGATTGATTTAATACGTCTGCTCCGCATCAGGCACTGATCGCGATGTGTAGGAATCACTTCGCTCCATGGCCGCACCAACTTCGGTGATTCCATCGAAGATGAGTGGGTAGTCGTGTATATCCTCCGCGAGCTGACGAGGCGGCACAAAGATATTTGGGTCAAGGTCGGAGACAGTGATGGCGAGTTCCTGCTCATCGAGGCGGCCGGCACGCTCCCTGCATGGCTGGAACCTGAGGTGGCGGATAACCGAGTGAGCATGATTGCGCTTCTCTTCTCAAGTGATAAGACTTCCACTAATTTGATTTCATTCGACTAGGTCTGGATTAACCAAGGAGACCTCAAAATCATCAAGCCAAAGAAAGACACACAAAAAAAGGTCTCGGAAACATTGACCCTGCTAGAAGCACACAGAATTATCCAAGAAGAGCCGAGCCGCTTCTTACGGTCCAGAATAATTCAAGAAGAGGCTTTTTATCGACTGCGCAACTATCCCAAGCAAATCTCCGAGAATATCCACCACGCGATCGTGACACTTCCACGTAAGGTTGCGCACCTGTTACACCGAAAGCCTGCATATATATCGCCTGTCGTGGAAGCCTTCTACATTCGTGATCCCATAGCCATGCGTCCTCTCAAGTCGAAAGATACATCTGATCTCGTTTTCAAACCCGAAGACTTCGTTACTGTGAGCTTGAAGTTCACACGTGTCGGATACGCTCAACTGAAGAGTCAAGAATTTCCTCCACCAAGCACCTGGGAGGGAAAATTACCTTCGCCTGAAGATCCCAAAGCGTATGCGCGCGCTGAGACTGGCATGAAGGTCTCTTGCGGACTTGAAATGCTACTCTATGATCCTCACCACCAAGACAAGACTGCTGTCCGAGAAATAAAAATTTGGCTTGAGGATATTGACGATGGCGAGGAGCAACTTATTGAGGACTCGGAGATTGAAAAAACTTGGGACAAGCGGGAGGATGACGAAAAATGGTTAGACATCAATTTTGAAGATCTGGACAGGGAGCTCAAAGGAACCAAGGGCAAAGAAAAGTCTGGAGGTGACTTTGGCGATGTAGGTGCTCAAGAGAATTTGCAACGCATTGTCGCTCGTTTCGAGGAATTCTTGAACGATAATTCTGCGGGCTTCGATGGCGCAGACTTCATCGATGATTTTGGATCCGATTCTGACATTGCTGGTGACGATGACGATGACGAAATCAGCAGCGATGGAGAGGATAAAGACGCGTCATTCGATGAAGAGGAGTTCTCACGAATGATGAAAGAAATGATGGGTATGCCTTCTGGGCCCGGGAAGCCGTCGTTTAAAGCGTTGGGGAAACGTGTCCAAGAGCTCGACGCAGACGAAGAAGATGACACGGAACAAATCAAAGAACTCTCTCGGCAGATGGAAGCTGAATTACGAGGAACCGGAGTTCTTGACCTGAACCGAAAGCAACAGAAGCTGGCATCTGGGGAAAATGCCTCCAAAGGCAAGGCTACCGAGTCTAGCAACGCAGATGATCAGGAAGATTATGATGAAGATGAAAATATCAACATCAATCTTGCCAAGAACCTGTTGGAGAGTCTGCATAGTCAGGCAGGTACCGCAGGACCAGCGGGTAACATGCTCTCCATGATGGGCCTGCGGATGCCGAAAGACGACCGCCATGAATAACACGATGCCCATGATTCTCTCATATACTCGGATATCTTTTGCTAGAAACAGTCGTTATTTGCACCTCCACTGCAAGAACTGCAGAACACAGAGTGCGGCAGATGTTTCCCATTTTGAGATAATGCCGCCCTACTCATTCATGACTCCCAGAAATCTCGAAAAGATGAGAAGCCCTGCTCATTTGGAAAGAAATTGGCCAGAAGTTTCTGCCTGTTCGAAATTCTCCAGTAATTTCATCTCCCCGCCTTTGGGATTACTTATTCTGGAGTGAACATAACGCAGTATGAGCCAGCCATTGACATGCAACCAAGGCATGGCTGATGTTCTCCCAGGGAAAGAATGGCCTCCGCATGAATGATACGGGCAAGAGAGGTCAAGGCACAGCCGACCGCTACTTCATACACCTTTTTGTGTTTAATGAAGAGAGGAAACTACAGATGTCATTTATTTCAGATATGGTGAAATGCAATCGAGTGACTTCTTTAAATGAAAGTCTGTATTGCCTCAGTTCGACTCCGCCATGGCTTGCATATTATGTCAAGGGCCATAAGTACACAGTGCAGGGAGAGTTGCCGTCGGAGTTGGGCGCATACGCACTTCTAATATTGCCAACGCCATATTCTCCTCTTCCTGGAGCCATAACTCGAAACCCGATCACCAATGTTTTTATTTCACTAATTCTCCCACCAAAATCAACCGTAAAGCCATTCTTAAGAATGCAAGATTCAGCCTACGATCTCATTACTATATTCCATACCAGCCATACCGCAAGACGGACTACACTGGGCTCCGATGTATGTCGATCTCGAACTCCAGCTCATACGCAACGCCTTCGCCACCACGGTGGACATTGCCGTGCCATAGACTATGCACTCCAAAAACAATGGGACTCATCGCTCGAAGATATTAGCACCGGTAATCCCTACATTTGCCATGTGACAGTGAAGACTGTTTTGGCCTTGCCGTGAGGACCCTAGTCCATTTGCTTCAGCGATTGCCTCACAACATCTGAGCGCATTTTTGTGGTAGGCCCAATTTGTGGTAGGTCTGAATGTGAACTATGCCTTGCAGCCGCCACAAGGGCTTCAAAGACGATCAGCTGCAATAGTGATGCTGCTGGAGGAAGGGACATCTGTGCTCTGTTCTCTCACGCTGTCACAGCTTTCCCAGCTTCCACAATTACTGTGAAGGACGTCAACCTCGTTCTTTCAGAGGCATCACCTCTATATCTTGTGTTGACGCCACTGATTATGGGCTCAATGCAAGATAAATTTGGCAGGATTACCGAAAAAGGCATCAATATTATGCACCGGCCGCAGCTCGCATCACAACCCGAAGAGGCAAATGACCGATCTCCATGAATCTCCACGGCAAATCACGGCGCAGGTAGCGTCTGGCTTGGAGATGATCTCCGACACGTACTCGTGGGCCATCTCAGCCGGCGATCGCCTCTTTTCGACTCCGCCGGTCTCGGTGGGCTGTTTCGACTTCTCGACATCGAGTTGCTGGATTATTTTTCCCATCTCTGGACTGGGGCGGCGGACCAGTCAGGGAGAAGGTTACCCGATATGAATGGGTATGGGGCTGGGTCCACTGATAGGCATGATTAATATCTTCATTACAGTACACGACTCTAGCATTGGAGCCAATGGGATTCTGAAGGATGTCACGGAGTTCCGGAGGAGCATGTGATCTGTCACGGGGACTTTTGTTTAGCAGCACTATTACTAGAATGAGGACATGGCTGGGTTGTCTCAGTGCCACTGTGACAGTGGTTTCACGATGGTGGAGACTCGGTGTTGCCTACAAACAGCAGGTCACGGAGAAGGGAGTCGCGCCTGTCTCCACCGAGGGGCACCGTACTCACGCCCCCAAACCGATCGGGAAATTGAAAGAGATGTGTAGGATGTGCAACCCGGGAATCATTCGCGATAGAGCAGATAGTGCCATGTGTGTATTTCTCTCAATCTTATACCTTTCATCTGTTATCTTGATCTCTGCAGAGAAGCGCCACGTGAGAGTTAATCTTGGCGATCGCACAGTCTAAGGCAGTTTAAGGTAGCGTAAGGCAGCATAATCTGGAAAAGGATCTCTACTTGATCTACCTGCAGACCAGCAACCGAGGCACAAGCCCTGCGAGACTAAAAAAAGGCACTTCTTCACCCACTTAGGCAGGCACCAACATGGTCGCCAGGGAGTTGCCTCGAACGCGTCCCTCGAACGTGTTTCTATGCGCAAATGGGCGTCTATTAATAATATGGACATGATCCGGGCCCATGGACAGACCCCGAACCGTTAAGCTGTCGTGTGCCAGTGTCTAGTGGCGGGAAAATTTCCACACGAGTTCCATAAGAATAGTAGCGCGGGCGGGGCTCTCAAGAATTTTGGGCCGGGACTCATCGTGGTGGATTCCACATGAGGCCTACTCGTCTTCGATTGGGCCCCCATTGGCCCTACCCTTATTTTGTTTTGTTATGGCTCTTTTAAATGCCTCACTGGTAAACGGAGGGGCCGGTGAAAGCGAAATCGGGGAGTGGACGGAAGAGCGATATTCCCCTACTTTGGAAAAAGATATGCACGTCGTTTATTAGTCCCGTGAGGGGAAGACGGGAGGCAGGGACTAGCATCACTCTAGACCGTTCATCGGGTGCTCTAGATCAGGGTAATGAATCATGCCGGGTGCTTCGTTCGGGTTGGCTTCCGTGTGAAAGCACGTTGCCGAACAATAATGATTTAGCGGAGACTAACTCCGACCCGGTTGAGTTTCTCGAGGAACGGGCAACGACTAGCAAAGATCAAAGTCATGACGAGGCGCGGGGAGTAAGAATACGAGGGGTAAGCAATGCAATCCTCAAGTTCCAAGTTCCCATCCCTGTCGTCCACCCTTCCGAAACGCCCTAACGATGCGAGCGACTCAGAAACTTCCGCGACTTCCGCACCGCTGGGACTTCTGGAAGAAGATCGGCCAGATCGCCCTGGGACCGAGGGATTCACCAAAAAAAAAAGCAAAAAGAACTTCCCCCCAAATAGACCGTCTCCCGGTGGATCTGCGGTGGTTTGCAACGTATAGAGTTCGGGACCAATTTGATTCTTAATCAAAATACCCGCGCATCGGCGGCAAATCGGAGGCCTAGGAATCAGCCTTCTGCTGCCGGAGGTTGTCCCCAGATTATGCCCCGACGCATCCCGTCTTGCAACGCTAGCCGGATTACGGATGATGTATTACGGATGACGGAGTACAGTCTGGCGGTGTAATGGACCTGGTAGACAAGAAGCAAGTCTCTCTCCACGGGAGATGAGAGAAAAAAGGAAAAAAAAGACCACCAAATAAATCACAGGCAGTCATCGATGGGAGCCCCCTTGGGGACATGTCCAGCTGATAGATCAATAATGTAAAATGAGGCTAGCAACTTCTAGGATGTCCGGAGTGAAGGAATCGCGACCCTAGTCGAACATGACTACCGGTACCAATCCCGACACCCGCATTCCCATCCCCTGTTTGCAGCCACCCCACTTGCAGTCGGCTTCCACAGATGCGGACTAGCCCTTGAGCTAGGGCATTCACTGTCGAGCCTACTATAGATTCGCACATGCGGATCAGGGGGGGCCGAGTTCAAAGGGGAGTAAGGAGAGATTAAAAGAATGTGAGATATCGAGATAAGAGGAACGAGGCCCAAAAGGGAGGTATAGATCAGAGAGATACGGTAATCCGGTATCTGGCCGAGAAAGTCCTGGGCGCCGCAGTGGACAAGGTGGAGTCATTCGATTCTTCCATCGGGCTTCCATCGCCTCAGAGGTTGGACCCAGATCCACTCGGTTGTCGACCGAAGCCGGGAGAGATGTAACTTTGGGCCGTGGCAAAAGCCCCTTCCTATCCCTTCTGTCTCTGCTTTATAGTCTCTTCCCCTTCCTCCTCCGGCAGCCTGGTTTGTGGAGCCCAGGCGCATACCAGTCCATGCCAATCATGGTGCTTCGTCATGGACTAAACTGACTGCGCCATGGATTTCATTGTAGGTTCTGCCTCATTGACAGCGCACGCCTCCGACTAACGTCTGTAGCTCTCTCTTACGCACTTCTGCGAGGTGCATGGCCCCACGTCCATCCTTTGCTCGCAGGTCCTCCCATTCGCCTGTACGCAATGCCATCCCGAACACGACGCCGCTTCCTCGCCCTCGCCCCGCGATCCCACCAAGTCACCCTCGCCCTCTGAGGCCGGGAGCTCGAAGTCTCCCAAGATCGAAGATCACCCGTATTTTCTGCGCCCGCAAGTAGCTTCCCCGGAAGACCGTTCCAACCGCGCCGGCGGAACGGATGGCGACTCCTGCGCCAGCTGTAGCCTGTCGCTCCCCGAAGATGTGAGCAAGCAGCTCCCCGCCGGGGCGCCTGGGAGCCGTGACGCAAAGGGCAACAATGGAAGCCCCGTGTTACGCTCACGCGAGGTCGTCTACTCCTGTGGGAACAGTCACTCCGACGATGATTACACCCCAGACCCTCATGCCCATGCCTCTCCTCCCGATTCACTTCACTCATCATCGGTCGCATCTGACGCATCCTGTCACACACACATCCTGACCTACCTTTCACTCCGGGGTCCGCCGAACCCCGCGGACTACGCCCTTCTCCGCCGCTCCTCTATCCGCACACTGAGCTGCGAGCTGCTACCCCGCGGACTGTCTTCCGGGCCATTGTGCTTTGGTGATTCCGTTGCAGGCTACACCATTGCATACATCTTCCGTCTCCCTGACCCGATGGCGCGCGGCAAGCGACGCAGTTACGCCCTAGTGGCCCTAGCCGGAAAAGACGCCGGAAGAGCGTTTCGGGCGTGTCCTGTAATCTGGCGCGCATTTGGCCGCATCGCATCCAGTATTGTGAACGCGGCCGAGCGTTTCCAAGAGGAAGAGAAGCGTCGCGAGGAACAGACCAATCCCGGAAACAACATGCACCATCGACAATACACACCGGTTTCTTCCTTCCTTACAGGTCGTGCCATGGACCCGACCGGACAGCCGCGACGCCTTGGTCAAATTCGGGCCCGCAACTTGGCTGAGATTCTCGGCAATGAGTACATCTTTGCTGAACTTCACGCGCATTTTGTCGCCTTGCTGCAGCAGCTCGGTAACATGTTCGGAGGGGTACCTATCTCCGACGAACGCTTCGTTTGCAGTACAGTAGGCGACGACGAGAGCACGTCTCCCCAACCGATGTTTGTCTCCAAAAAGCGCCAGTCTGTTTCGAAGCACGACGGTAACGAGCTCGACATGGCCAATCTCGACATTTCTACCGGCCCGAAACCCATTCCTATCAACCCTCGGCGGTCTGTCGTGGCCTAGACATTCACGACCTCTTTTTACGCTTTTGATATTTCCTCTTTCTGAGATACCCGCGCGATTTGTCTTTTCGATCAGTTTTCATTCTTCCATCCCCTTTTGTTCTGCGGGCTCCGCGCGAAGCTTCGACTTCGACATCTGATAACAAGCCGCTATTTCTTTATTTGCTTTCTAGCGATCTTGCCCTCTATGGCCTCCGGCTTCTGCATATCAAGCTGGGTCTGCCATTCTGGCAAGCTGGATTATCGGCATAGACTTGGCGTCTTACATACACGGACTCGGAGTTCTATTTTCGGGTCTCTTTTATTCTTCGGCTCTCTTTCTCTCGGGCATCGTGCTTTCGTTCCTTCTTAGGACAACGGTGGTGATTTGCTGGTTTGGTGGCGGTTTGGCCGCCGCCTCGAGGCGGGCACTAGCTTATGACGGGGATATGATGGCGGCGAGATTCCCAGAGACATGTATTCTATGTACTATTTCAATACGACCTAATGATAGTCACATCGAGTGATTTTTCTTTTGATTATTACTTCCTGAATATAAGTGAATTTTTTTATACGGTAACTCATCTCAGATGGCGTTTACTTTGCGCTGGTATGCCGGTGGCTACAACATGATGCTATATATTAGAGCTCTTCAGATTCACAATGCTCTGCCCTGGACCCATAAGGTCCCCTTTACAGGCCGCCATGAGTCAACCACCGCAGTGAATTGCGAGTGTACATCCTTCAGGAAGTATAAAGCTGCATGGTGCTACTCCGGAAAAACTCTCCCCGTCAGGTTCTTCCGTACCCGGGCCACAATCAAAAATCCCACCAAAAAGACGTCCAACAAAGACCCGCCCTCATCACCCCTCAAACAACAGCCAAGATGGTCGCCTTCGACAAGTGTGAAACCCGGCCGGCTCATATCGATGCCATTCTAAATGGCCTCGATCGCTACAACCCCGAGACTACCACCGTCTTCCAGGACTACGTGGCACAGCAGTGCGAGGACCGGTCATTCGACTGCTACGCCAACCTGGCCTTGCTGAAGCTGTGAGTGCACTCCTGCCTATTCCACTGGCGTATACCTCTGTTTCTATGATGAAAGATCTTTTTCATACACGTTTCCTATTACCTGACAGCCCGTCACGAATGGGGTTGTTGAGAATTTCGAATACCTGAAAAACGATTGCAATGCCATTGCATTCAATTGTCCGGAGGCTTTCGAGCTTTCTTCACAGAGCAGACATTTTCAAGCTGTATGCTAACATTTCAATCCCCTCTCAAATAGCTACCAGTTCAACCCTCACCTCCTCCAAGCCGACACCGTCACCAATGTCCTGGCCAAGGCCCTGACCGTGTTCCCCTCTCCTGCCTTCTCTCTCTGCCTTGCTCTGCTCCCCGCCCACACCCAGCCCTTTCTCAAGGCCACCGACGCCCAGGCCGCTTCTCAGAATAACGACTTCGTTGAGTCCGTGCAGAAGCTCTCCCAACTCTCCACCCTCCTCGAGTCCGCTCAGTACACCCAGTTCTGGGCTACCCTCAACTCGGATGACCTGTACGCCGACTTGACCGCTGATGTCGCCGGCTTCGAGGAGCTCGTCCGCATCCGCATCGCCGTCGAGGTCGGAAAGGCCTTCCGTTCCCGTCTCCGCTGAGACTCTCGAGGCCTGGTTGGATATGCGCAGTCGTGACGCTCTCGAGAAGTTCGTCGCCGATGTCTGTGGCTGGAAGGTCGAGAACGGTGTCGTCAGCGTGCCTACCAACAAAGAGAACGAGGCCCGCAGCGAAGTTAAGAGCGAGCGCGTCGGCGTCGATATGTTCGGTCGTGTCATCCGTCGTGGCTTCGAGTTGCCTGCCTGAACGTCTTTGACTTTGACTTCAACTACTGGCTAAATTTTCTTTATTTCTTGTTTTTTTTTCTTCTTCTCCGTCCCTTTTTCTCGAAAGAGCGGGTAAAAAAGACATGAGTTCATGAATCCCCGATCCGTGACGACGGTGATAGATTTCGCATGGAGAGGCTCGGAGATGAGTCGGGATCTGGCGCATCCGGCGTTTCTTTTTCCGATTTATGCCTTTTGTATTGGAATCTTGTGTTTTGATTCTACTGAAATGAGCGGATGATAACATCTGGAGAGAGAGACGCCTTGTTCATACCACCATATCTATGCAGAGCCCATTGGCTCGCAATAAAACATACAGCTATTCCAAACCTATTCGTAAGATTTGTAGATATAGGTGCTTGTCTGAGGTTGCATATGTGTGTTCATCAATTGGGATCTAATTTTTTATGCTCCAACATCTCCCTCCCACTGGGTATAATCAAGTCCTTGTATCTTCTATTTCGTCTCTTCCCACTGCACTCCCGCCCACTCCTCACGCCAGCCGACTTGACCAATCGTCTCGGGTCCACAGTCCTTGCTGCAAACACCAAGAATGATAGTACCCCATTCCATACCGGCGTCGCCCTCACCCAGGCCAACGCCCGGGCGTCCGTCCTCCAACACACTAATCGCATGCGGCGTGAGCTGCATTTCAAACACGCGCGCACTGCCACAATACTCACAAGCCGGGAAATGCCCACCACCAGTGGTAGTCACATGGCCAGCCGAGTGCTCAGTGTGCAAGCGCTTACCGACCTCGTCTGCGTAGTTGTACAGCAGGGGCGTACCGCGGTATTCATAGCGCAGCACTTGTTCGGGGTTATGCTCTAGACGCATAGAGAACTTCATGAAAGCCCTGTCGAGCTCCGACTCAAAGGTGTCCTTCAGCTCAGCGGTGCCGCTGCTCTGACCTTCCTCGTCCATAGGCTCCATAGTCACGTTATCGGGGATTTTGGGCGTAGATGGGCGAGACATAGTCTCGTACTCGGCGTCCAGGAAGAAATTGGTATAAGGAGCGGGGAAATCAGACTGTGCGGGCCAGGGTGGCTGAGCCTGGGATTCGGGCTTGAGTTTGGTGGCAGCAGAGGGATTCGCAGGGCCTGGAGACGAAAGCCGGACTTTGTCAGCGAATGATTCGGCCAGGACATTGATTGAGGGCGTCGACGAGACGGGGACGGGGGCAGGGGCCGGGGTCGTCGTTGCGGGCTTGGGCGTCGCGAACGGATTGGCATTAGACGCCGCTGAGCCCTCATTCGACGAGAAAGGATTGGAGAATGGGTTCGCGTTCGCAGACACACTACTCGTCAACGACGTAGCGCCGAATAAACTCGCGCCCAGGTCTGTCTTGGGCTTGGGGGGTGCGCTTGGTTTCGGCTCCGGCTTCTTCTCTTCCTTCACTGGCTTACATTGTTCCTGTATGCTTTCCCAAGTGACCTTGCGGATTGAGCGGTAGGCGCGGATGCTGCCTGGTTTGCGGTTGCAGGGTTTTCTAGGGCATCCGAAGATGTACAGACGGCGCTCGTCGGTGGGGAAGTGGTCGGGCAAGTCGCCGTGCAATTCGAGAAGCAGAATCATCGGGCTGTTGCAGACTTTGCAGTTTGCATAGTCGCCCGGAGGCGGGGTCTTGTCATCGAGCCATTTCTGTCGGGGAGTTGTCAGTGCGATGGCTTCACTTTGCATGTGGGATAGTGCATACCGGCCAGCCGCCCAGGTGGCTGATGGTGTCTTCGACGACTTCCTCGGCTGCGTAGCCGAGAAGCACACCGGTCTCGGTAAAGTCTTCGTCGAGACTGGAGTCGCTGTCGTAGGGGTCCATGGCGTGTTCAAGAATGAGAAGAGTGTAAAGAGACCCCTCTCAGAAAATTGTTGCGATAAGCGATATGCGCGCCCCACTCCTGTTCTGGTATTCTGGTCCTGTCCGTTCATCCTTCCCCAGCCTTACATCTTTGTCTTACATCTTTGTACTTCTACTTCTGGAGCTTGTCTACTTGGTTAGGTTATGATTAGTACTTGATTGAACCACATGGTCCCTGCTGGATCACTACCATACCCGCAGATTCTGGATTCTGGATCAAATATAGACCAGAACTGAGGGATGCGGAGATTAAACATGCGAATATTCCCGGTTCCATCTCCTTGCCGTCCAGGAGGTCTTTGCAACGATTAAAGCTCTCGTCTAGCTTATTAACTATGCGTGTTTCCAGCTCCTCAGAAGCCCCATACTCGTCGAGGCTCGCGTCCCACTAAGTAGCTCATCTGTGTCTCCGCAATTGGATGGAAGGGAAGACTGGGAATTCAAAAGAAGCCGCTTGAAAGAAGCATATGGAGGTACACAGAACCAGAACCTCTGTGCCACTCCATAAGCTCAGAGAGATGTGTCTTAAAGCCCCGCCATTTTTGACTTCTCCTCCAGCATACGCTTTAACATTTCCTGTAACCTACAGTATCGATCGGAGGGTTGCGAAGTCGACTTTAATCTGCCGAACGGGCAAAGAGGAGGTTTGCATCGACTTATGGCCAGTAGCGCAGTCTTAAGTCCAGCATCATCTCCGGAGCCTACATGCTTTGTCGCTACTTGTGCAACGAAGATCATTCGCTACAAGTAGTTGCACAACCTCTGATAAAGTGAGCATCAGATCTTGTTCATTGCTGTCATCGTGTAACCTTCAGATTCTATTGTTCTAGTTTTAAGCAGCTGAGAGAAAATATAGGGCGCCATATTATTCATCAATTGGCCGAATGAGTGTCTATATTGTATCAACCAGCGCTATGAGGCCCAATGTCGCTGTCTATTCGACAATTTACAAGGGCACGAGAGTAAGAGATTAATGAGTGATTATGGATGGCTTCTGAAGTCTCACTCTTTTCCTCCCCAACTTGCGCTCTACCTTCGCCCCAACCCTCTGCCATCCTCTCCGTCCATTGTTTCTCTCTGTCCTCTATTTACCGTCTTCCTGTCTGGTCTTCACGCTGTCTCGAGTCGCTTCTCTCAATGGCCGCATCTATCATGGACACTGGATTCAAGATCGGCATTGAACTGGAGCTTCTTTTTGTGACAAAAGAAACTAATTCGACTGAGAGATAAAAATCCCACAGTTCCAAGATTCCGCCACCTCTTTTCCCTATCTTTCGTTCGAAGTCTGCTCCTGCAACCAGTTTTCTAGGTTGAAGCTTCCATCTCGCAAATCTTCAAGTTCTCCCTTCCACCCAAAAGCAACACCTTCAACGCCCTTTTCCCCGTTATCAAGAAAATCAATTAGGATAGGTTGAAGGTCATACTGATCAGTCTCATAGGCGGCGAGCCGATCCCAGTGTGCCCGGGATATAATTTCGTAAGCCAAGCCGTCAACCGGATGATGGGCTTCTCCATCGACAAGAGCAGGATATTGTCCCCAAAGCTTGATTTCGTAGCCTATCACTCTAGCTGGCCGCATCTGTGGAGGCTCGGGCAATTGTAGAATTTTGGCAAGTGTGGACAGATGCATTAGTGTTCCATAAAAGAAGAAGTAACCTTCCCTGAAAGGCGTACGTGGCGAGCCTGCTTCCGGGGATTTGGAAAAAGTCTTTGGATCTAGCCTTGGATCCTCTGAGACCTTGTATTCGAGAAACTTGCGCACCATAAGGGGCGGTGGGGGAAGCGGGTTTCGGTGTTCGCTCATCCTTGCGCGGTGATAAGTAGTGAGCGTCTAGTTCCCTGTAGTTTCCTCAAAGAACAAGAAAATTGTAATCAGGATAGACTAGACAGTGTATGAGTAACTTGGAGCACCGGGACTGGACCTGGGTTTTTACCAAGAACGCTGAGATCTTGGCTTTGAACGCCCCGAAGAACATTTGTGCTAGACAAGGAAGTCTCTCGGACTGATTTGAGATTGCGGAGATGAAGCTAAGTTCATGGTTGAAAGTTTACGCACTCTTTTGCCTTGTGAGGGTCAAATGATCATACCAACCGTGGTTTATACGTATCCTCAAGAGGACTAATGGAGGAAGGTTGTCCTAATCGTACTAGTGCACATAGTGCTCGGCTATGTACTATGCCAAAATGGTCATGCTTATGGTAGCTTGAGCTGCCAAATATAGATTAAAAATTGTATGGAGGGGTGCTTGCCCGGGAATCTGTTTAGCAAGTCTCGATCGATTTGACACCTCGAATTCATACAAACATTTGCGATAAGCGGTAAGCGATACGCGCGCCCCACCCGTGCGCTGGTATTTCCCGTCGTCATCCCAGTCTCACTACATCTCAGCACAATTTTGTGGCATAGTTGCAACTATGTCAGTGTCTGCAGGCAGGCCGATGAAGATATTGTTTCTCTACATTCTTGCCTTCATTCTACCCTTCAGCAATGCGGCTCAGCAGCAGCCTCTGCGAACCAGTACAACGCCCAAGCGGGTGGCTGTCATCGGTAAGCCGGTCCGCTGTCCATGGGCCGATATTGCCCACCGAACTAAGTATACAATAGCTATTACAGAGCTAATCTAGCCCCCCAGGAGCCGGAGCCGGTGGGTCGTTTGCAGCATATGAGCTACGCAAATTAGCAGACAACGCAGACATCCCTGTCAACATCACCGTATTCGAGCGTACCTCCTATGTCGGCGGACGTTCGACAACAGTCAACGTTTTCGATCACCCAGCATACCCAATTGAACTGGGAGCCTCGATCTTCGTCGAGGTCAATCACAACCTGGTGAATGCGTCGCGAGATCTTGGTCTGAACGTCCGCAGTGCAGATCACGGGCGACCCCAGGAAACCGAAGAATCAATTGGTATCTGGGACGGGAAGAAGTTTGTCTTTACTTTGAAGAATAATTCCAGCTGGCGGAATATTGGCCGTCTTTTCTGGAGATATGGTCTGGCTCCACTGCGTGCTCAGAACCTGATGAAGAGCATCGTGGGCAAGTTCCTGCGTTTGTATGAGGAGCCACTATTCCCGTTCCGCTCACTCTCCGAGGCTGCATTGACACTGGGTTTGATCGATGCTACTTCTTCCTCTGGGGATGCATTCCTCGGTGCGAATCAAGTTTCGGAACTCTTCGCCCGAGAAATTATTCAAGCAAGCACGCGAGTGAACTATGGTCAAAATCTGGGATTGATTCATGGCTTGGAATCGATGGTTTGCTTGGCTACGGATGGCGCAGTCTCAATCGATGGCGGTAACTGGTTGATATTTGATGGTGTTCTCAAAGCCTCTGGGGCCGATGTGAGGTTGAATACCACTGTGACCGCGGTCACCAGGGACGGCGATGGCGCTGTGCGCATTGAATCCCACCAGAGGGGCGATACTGACTCAAAGCTTTACTCATCAGAGGATGAGTTCGATGAAGTCATTATCGCTGGTCCTTTACAGTACTCTGGAATAGCCGTCTCTCCGCCATTGGAGCACATTCCGGATGAGATTCCATACGTGAAACTACATGTCACACTACTCTCTTCTCCCCACCGCATTTCGCCTCATTATTTCGGCCTCGACAGCCAGGGTGTCCGAGCTCCAGAGACCATTCTGACCACCCTTCCCGAGGGGCTCGATCTCGGGTCGAATCCAAAGGGTGTTGGACCCGCTGAGTTTTGGAGTATCAGTACCCTTCGCACAGTGGACCGAATCGTCATGAAGGAAGGTAAAGAGAAGGTTGAACAACACTATGTGTACAAAATCTTCTCACCAGAACGACCCACAGCCGCGTTTGTGGCCCAAATCTTTGATATTGACTATACCGATGGCGATGGGTCTGTGACAGTCGCCGCGGGCAATACCACCATCGGAGACTTGTCCAAAACCGATATTAGCTGGTTTCATGAGCGGCTGTGGCATCCATACCCTCTCCTCTATCCGCGGGTGACTTTTGAGGAGATACTCCTGGCACCGGGTATCTGGTACACTAGCGGGATTGAAAGCTTCATCTCGACCATGGAGACTAGTGCCTTGATGGGCCGAAATGTGGCAGCGCTTATGGTTCAGTCGTGGAAGCAGGATGCGTCAAAAGAACATGTATTTCGGGAAGCGAAGACTGAGCTTTGAAGTTCCTTTGTATAGGGCGGACCTGTAAAATGACTTTTCGACTTAGTTCTACTTTAGTTTTAGCGCTCCAATTTGTGACCTCCCCTCACACAAAAATTTAGCCTCGCCCCTTTCTTTATGTCTCTTCATCCGCTCTATCGTATACCCATCAATCCATCTGAATCCGCCTGAACCCTCCTGAAGGGCGACTGCTTAGATAGACGCTAGGTGAGTATGACCATGGAGTGGCTGTTGTATGTTTTAGTTTTTGATTTTGTTTCACATTATGAACGAAGAGACTGCTCCGTAGACGCTTCCTAGATTTCCTTTTTGTTCTCACTGCAAATTATTCATGATCAATACACTAGGGAGTCGAACGTAATAATTGATCTAAGCTTGCATGTCTTGGCAACTTAAGTTGACCCTCCATTTGAACCTGTCGGCCCTCCCTGCGGTTGCTCCTTCGCTACATCTTCCACAGCCCTTGTTACTGCCCATTTGTCCTCCTCCTTCTTCTCCTTCCGGACAGACTTCCATTCAATGAAAACCGCACCGACAATGGTTAAGCAGGTCAAAGCCAACGCCAGATAGTGAACATCAATGATGGCCTCGTTGTACGCACTCTTCACACCTGCCGTCTGCCCCTCGGTAACGATGATTTTGATCCCCAGCGCACCATTGTTCAAGACAATTTGGGGGTCTAGCCCCGGTACCTCTCTCGTGAGATTTCGAGTAAGTCGATTCGTGAACATGTTTTGCGCAATCGAGAGAGCCACGATGCCACCGATTTCTTGAGTAAAGCTAAGAACCACCAGCGCAGTAGCAACTGCAGTATCTGGAAGGACGGTTTGCACGGCGGTGTATGGCTGCTGAAATGCCAGTCCAACACCAATTCCATATAGGATTTGATATGAAATCCATTCTGAAGGTGGGGTTGTTAGAGAAAAGGTAGTGTACAGCCTGTGGCTACGGCCATGAGAACACTGCCAACTACCATAACGGGGGTAGTAACCGATAAAGCTTGTGATAGGTCCGGCGGCGAGAATTGCGAGGGCAAAGGGAACAGCAGTAGGGAGATACATGAGTCCAGACTCAAAGGTGCTCGCGTCACGGATTGCCTGGAAATAAATTGGCAACTTCGAAAAGTTCGTGATACGTTAGTATTGAGTCTTTTGGATTGATGTTCGACGATTGCTCGGAAGCTTGCGACTAATGAATTTTTGGTAGAGGGAGGACGCTCACATAGTAGGCAGTGACGAAAAGGGCTGCAGAGTTGCAAAAGGTGAACATGGAGCTGAGAGCGACGGACCGCTCGCACATAAGCTTCAGGGGAAACATGCTGTCATCTCCGGTCCGGTATTCCACCTGAAGGAACACCAGAAGGAGGACCCCGCTACAATCCACAGCAAAATGATCCTCCAGTCGTTCCATGGGTATTCTGTTCCTGCCCAACCCAGAACGAGGATCACGGATATTGCCCATGGAACAAAAATAGCGAAACCGGGAACGTCCAAGCGCTTGAGCTTCTCCTTATTGGAGAGACTAGCATTTTCAGGGCGTTTGATATCATGGACGAAGAAAAACCCAGAGAGAATGACCGCAACACCCACAGGGATGATGATATAAAAGCTGATTCTCCATTTGGAGTAGCGAGCCACAGCACCGCTAATTACTGGACCGAATGCCAAAGCCATGCACTCCATACCACCAGACATGGCTGTATAAATGGGCCGATGCTTGAGGGAGGTTGTGTTTGCGACAATTCTTCCCATAAGTCTTAGCTTCAATGCTCTGAGCCCCTTTGCATCTTTCTAGTCAGGGGACCCGGTGGAGTACTCACATACTGCTACCAGCAAACACACCAGCGGATCCCAGCCCACTCAAGGCGCGGCCGACGACAAATGCCGTTGAATTTGGTGCCGAGGCAGCTACCACAGAGCCAATTACGAAGACAAAGAACGATGCCATGTAAGCTGCCTTCATCGAGTAGAAGGAGTATATTTGGCCGTAAATGAGAACGGTCGAGCACAATGCCAGCAAGCTGAGAGTTCAACGTGTGAGATATGTCTGGATTCGAGGTCGATGGGGAAGGAATGCGGGGTGGAAATTGACTTACTATGAGGTTCCATACCATCCTATTTCATTGAGACCACCAAATTCGTCAGAAATCACCGAAATAAGTGTAGCGACACAGCTCGAGTCCTACGACTCTTCCGGTGTGCAAAGTCAGATAAATGGATGTACGCGGCAGCAGCTAGGGAACTTTCTATCACGTACATATCCAACAAAGAAGTCCCCCGCCAGAATTGAGAGAAAAAGAATGACGAATCTGGCTCCCTTAGGACGCGCAGGGTTCTCTATTTTCCTCGTCGCCATTGTCCACTGGTGACGTGGTCGGCGCTTTTTCCTCTGGCGCCGTTGTCATCTCTGTTGGAGCCAACTCGGTATTGATCGAAGAGATTGCGAGATCATCATACTCATTCGCAACAGTTATCCCCATGCTGAGTGGTGAAAGAGAACGCAGGAGCAGTGTACAGGACAAACAGGAAAATCACCCATTCAAGGCACAACTTGCTCACTGCTGCAAATCTATCCGGGAGGTGTCCGTTCGCTTGTACAGTAAGTCGGGTTAACTTTATCCAGGTTATTTACAAACGTTTTGATGATTGGAACCATGGAGAGAGCGATCACCGAGTTCACAGAAGTTATTCCAAAGGAGGGGTGGGGTATCGCATCAGGCTATGTATTAGCTTCATACAAAAACCGAATGGAGCCTCGTCCTGCAGGGGTCGTAAGTTGGGAGTTTTCAAAGTCCGCCGTGGTTAAATACACCCATTCGGAGGCTCAGCAACGCTTAGCCTCTTGGGCCCCTTTCCGGGTGGATCAGCAAAATTATACACCACATGTAGGACGATGAACTGATTCATTATCAGGTACTGTAATAATCCCCCAGCCCGCGACTACATGAACCTAGGGAGCACTTCGGTCCCTCAGAAGTAAGCCTAGAAGCTGAGCACCATGCACAATAACCGCTCCTATAATAGCGCACTCATTACAGGCGCGCTCGAAATCAGTTTCACCAACTTTCTTCCTTCGACTCTTTCCGGAAATCTACTTTGAAACAAGCTAGTCTACCTTGGTTTAGCGAATTTCAGGGTCTGGAAACGTATTGTAAGTCGGAGTCACATGAATCCGCTACTTGGCAATTTTTCGAAAATACGCGTACGAAAAATACTAACGTAACACGGGGCCGTGTCACTATGACTAAGCAAGGACCTGATGCGGGGTGGTGAGCTGGCCCGACAATGAAGCCCCTCCTAAGCAAAAACGGCCCAAACTACCTAGGTAGCTTAGTTATTATAACCGAAAGTCTCATTGGTCAACTACGCTATTATAACTAACTCGATTAACGCCTTCGATCTCTTCATCAAGTTTCAATTGAGCTTGGCGTAGTCCTATCATCATATATCGAGGATCTCCCGTTTCTTGCAATTAAAACCTGACCCCTTATGGACTTATTGAGCATTGCAATCTTTGAACTGATAGGCTAGAACAGCTGCGCGTTCACAAGCCATCTTACTATGCCAAATACCACCGCACCTAGCGCAAGCCAGGAGATTGCACCCCGAGCACACAGAATCCTCACGATCATTCGAACTTCGGAAGCATCGTTAAGGTGAGGAAAAGGCTCATCTCTTGGTACCTGCTTGCCGAGAAATACGCACAAAGGCTCCCATCCATCCTGAGGCTCGAATTCCAAGACCTCCCGCCCGCGCTTAGCTGCCTCGGCGTGAATCCAAGCATTATGCGCATCATAATGCTTTACCGTCAAAAGCTCGTCCGCAGTTAGACTCAGTTTGCTCTGACAGACCTCCATAATCTCGTGCCATATGGCAGCCACATTGCGGTCGGTCTTCCATAAGAAGCACAGAGCGTGGTACACCGGTGAGGCTGCGAAGGTAAGCAGCTTGATCGACTGCACCCACTGGCGGCCGCCACCAGGCCGCTTGTTTAGCACGATCTTAGCGTCCGGATACATATCCATAAGATCATCCATAAACATCGACGAAGGGAAATCGGTGGTTGCTTGGAAACCATTAAATAATTTATAAAGTAGCTTGTGACGCCGTGCAGAGTCCTTCTCCCGGAGTGCAGCTGAGAACGATATCCCCGCGTTTGGCGTTCGGCGCAATATGCACGAAGTGCATACAGGGAGTCAGACCGATGTGTTGCGATTCAAGGGCGGCTTGCAGAGAGCTTGTTGCACAACGAGGGAGACCGGCACCAAGCACTTGTAGAGAGGTCCGGTCCGTCTGGTCAACGGCGAGATTATTTTCAAAGAAGCGCATTATGTGTGAATGGTTTTGGGAGACAAAACAAAGATAATTTTACTCCTGAGACTGCGATTGCAGAAACACTGAGGATGCGAAGTTGTAATGACAATGGGGATTCCCGAAGGTAACGCTTCTCTCTCCTCTTGCTGTCAGCGTCAGCACTAACTAAAATGGAACTAGAAGGCTGAGATTATCACTTTAGGCGCTAGCTATATATGGACTGTCCTTGGGCTGATTAGCGCAGGATTCATACAGCAGTGATACAATAGCTATTTTTATGCTGTAAATTACTACCGTACAAGATTACTGCCAAGAATACATTTCAGGGGCCCGAGTAGCTGTAATAGGTATAGCATGATAAAAGATAGAGTTTGAGAATAAATTGAAGAGAATAAAGTGGTGAAACTGATTTCGAGCGGTCCTGTACCCAAATTGTACATGTCGGAGTTTCGGGCTTTCCGAGGGATTCGTTGCCCCTGCATCCTTGTTAAAGGGTCAACTATGATGAGCGGAATCGCCGGTGGCCTGGGGCCCCACATCTACGCCAATGCAGATGACGGTGTTCATAAAGCTTTGTCGCCGATCCTCGGTCCGCAGAGCCCGCAATTAATCTTGGATAACGTGTGGATACGCAGAAACCGTGTTCTAATCAGTTTCAGGTTGATAGACAGAAGTAGCAATTACTTGGAGAATCACGGTAGACACCCCGTTCCTGCGAAACCGACATCCAGTGAAGTAGGGAAGGGAAGATTGATGGTGGGCCTGCTGGGTTACTGAGGGTACGAAGCACTGCCAAATTACGTAGACTTTGCACCCCAGGGCGAGATTGAGCCATTGGCAGGTGATGTCTTGCGCGTTGAGGTTTATTGAATGGAACAGCACTTGCCAGCTGAAGAGCTGAGACTGGTCCTTTGACAGCTGGTTGAAAGGAGAAGCAGGATGAACACTGGTCTTGATATCCAATTGCGAAAAAGTGGATATTCGAATCTTCTATACGGAAAGGCGGATACTATTTTCTTTAACAAGAAACCATGGTCTTGTGTTGGTTCACGTTATTAAGGTCGGGCTTCGAAGTCTAAGCCATAGCAGACGATTACCCTAAGGTTGACTTACGGGGCAAGAGGATGACAATTAGAAAGCAAAGCATGGTAGGAAGATGATAAGAGGGGAGAGAACGTGAAGTATCTTATCTAACCAAGCCTGACGAAGGGGAGTCCAGTTACCACGAAGGGGAGCTAGTTTCAACACAGTTTTAGTCGGAAAAGGCCCGATACTAGCTCAGGAGGATCATGAAGGGCGCTGAGTGGGTGCGAAAATGGTTATCTAAGCTGAAAGAGCAGTCGAGCGGCGGCTTGCCGCTAGAAATTTATGGTGGAGAGGCCGCCATTTCTGGTGCCAGAAATTATCAATTTCGGCGTCATTTTCGATGGTCCCTCTATTTCAGGTATGATGGCTGTTCTGTGACGCCCGGCTGCACTTATCAGGTTCACAACCGCACTTCTTTCAAAAAGCGCAAATGTCTCTGCACCCTATGGCTCCCCGCAGCTCGTTGCAGCTCGTCGCAGCTCACCGGCGCCGGAAAACCTCCGATCCTATTAAGATCGCCTGCCGTAAGGACGGCTGCACTTCCACCTTTACCTCTGAGATCCTGTTTGACAGCCACATAAGAGACAGACATGAGTGGAAGCCAAAGGCCTGCGAGCATAGCTGCCGCATCGGCCGAGCCTCTGGGTCTCGGTATAGCAGATATCATCGTCATATGCAAGAGAATCACGGTGGTTGCTGGCTAGCTATATGCACCTACGCGTGTTGCGGCAGCCACGAACTTTTCTTTCGGCGAGAGCATCCTTTCGCGCCATTTAGCATAGGTCCACGGTGCTCATGACCGGCGAAGCAGCCCACTTCCCTTCATTCCAGCGATAAGGCTAGCGACGCGCGACTGTCGCTTGATCCTTTCTGATGCAACTCTCCAGACTATAGTGTCCTTTATCCCCCTACCAACGCCGTCGATTCATCATCAGGATGTCCTTACTCCTTTAGCACTAGCGATGCAGTCTACTATATTCGAGTGCAAGGGAACTTAACGGTTGATGGTAAAAATGAAAGTACTTGCAGGTCTTTTAGCTACATATCCACTTCTATACACATTTAAAGACACCAAAGTGGAGTCATTTTCCGGAACCTCCCGAGGCAGCGGTGGCAAATGGGCGGGTTCTAGAATATCGGGCGATCGGTGTTCCACTATAGTGGAGATCGAGGCCCTTGCCAGTGTACAAGCAGAACCAGACCCTTCCCATGGATACATTCTTCAATTCGATCGAATCTTCACCAATCGATATCCAGAGATATCAGGTAGAGTTGACCTGTTTGAAACCATGAGGCCGACGTCGGCGGGTGGCAAATCCTACGATTACTCAAGCGACACCTCGAGCCCGCGACGTTCATCAATTGACACCGGTTCTGAGACAGCCAGAACATGTTCTTAAAGTGCCAGTCCCAGGATCTAGTGACGAGATAGTGTCAATCACAATCACCTCCTTTGTACTCTCAGTTCATTCACTGAGAAAAGTTTTGAAAACATAACTCTGGGATCATCATTCTACAATATCGTCCATTTCAACACCTCTAACATGCCTCATATGATCCACAGCGTCTCGCGCCGTATCCGCGCCACTTGGCATTCATACCAGGAGCGCATGGCAGCCCAGGCCGAGTCCTAGGACGAATCCAGCCTCAACCGAACCATCACCGAGCAGACCATCTAAACCGAGTGATCGCCGAAAGGGTCAGAACCGAATAAACACCGAGTCCGGATCACCAATCCCTTCCCTGTCGGCCCCCCCCCCTAACCGCATCGAAAATACAAAGCGGATCCCACCAGTCATGAAACTAGTTGAATAGTTCGGATCAGGGCCGTTTCCCTCCGACCATCTGCAGAGCTTGCGTTGAATCGGGTTGATCAGGAGTCCACCGAGCTGCATTCCATGGCCCAGCTAGGTACACCTACCCTACTTGGGCAGTCGCCATCAGAATCCCGTCATGGGTTAAAACTTTGCAGGCAACTTGGCCCCGTCACTAAAATTATGACTCGTCTGGACCTCGTCTGTTGGATATTTAAATGTTCTAGGTTTCCCACATAGCTAGCATATAATTGAACCATCCTTCCAAGCTTCATCTTCCCACCGATACTTATTAGTCCTCATCTTTCCTTCCTCTACATAATGTGGACCTGGTGGCACAACATCACAAAGCGTGTTCAGGCATCCTGCCGCACGTGGGACCGCGACCTTTTGGCGGCCAAGACACATCTCGATGACGAATACACTTTCACGCCCGGCAGATATGCCGGTCAGGGCTGCAACTAGGACGAGATCCTCAAACCTATCCACAACTTAGTTGGGTTGCCTCACCCTTTGAGACCCACTAGGCCTGTGCGCGACAACTGGACTCTTTAAGGTCCTGACCTTGTATGTGTCTTCTGCCCGAACACAAACCCAATGATATCTTCGCAATGGAATACTAACCTTCGCTATAGCAATCAACGCTACGACTTTTATGACTCGGCCGGTCCGAACCCTACCTTCCTTTCAATTTTCGCATATAATAGACCTATAGGGAGGGGAAAAGATAGACCTTGATAATCAAGAGCCGTAACGCTCGAATAATTGTGGAAATTCTGAATTCTCAAACTTGAACTCTCTATGCACATGAATCATAAGCGGCATTCAACTATCTAAACACCTGGTTTTGTTTTTTTTTTTTCGACTATTAGACCTTTTTAACCGACCTTGTCACAGATCCCCGGGGGTTCGGTTCTATATTTACTCCATCTCAATGGTACCTGGGGGCTTGCTGGTGAAGTCGTAGCAGACACGGCAAACGCCGTCCACCTCGTTGACGATGCGGGTCGAGACCTTGGTCAGGAATTCGTAGCTGAAGGGGTAGGGGGTGGCGGTCATGAAGTCACGGGTGGAGATGGCGCGAAGGAGGATGATGTTAGCGTAGACGCGCTTGTCGCCCATCACACCGACGGCGCGGGAGGGATCGAGGGCGGCGTAGGCCTGGCCAATGTCATCGTAGAGGCCAGCTTCGCGGATCATGGAGATGAAGATGTTATCGGCCTTGCGAGCCATCTCGACCTTCTCCTTGGTGACCTCACCGAGAACACGAATGGCGAGACCGGGGCCTGTTTGTGGGTTAGATGAAAGCTTGGCTACGATCGTAGAGTTCATTGCGACTTACCAGGGAAGGGGTGGCGTCCGACCAATTCGGCGGAGATGTTCATCTGGCGACCAAGCTCACGGACCTCGTCCTTGAAGAGCTCACGCAGAGGCTCGATCAGCTTCAGGCCGTGGCCGGCCATTAGGCGCTCGGCAATACCGCCGACGTTGTGGTGGGTCTTGATGGTCTGAGAAGGACCCTTGAATGAGATACTTTCAATGACGTCTTATCGACATGTTAGTTTTCAAAAGCATCGGATGCCTAGGTCATTCAAACTCACCAGGGTAGAGGGTTCCCTGCAGGAAGAACTCGACCTTGCCGTTGTTCTGGGCCTCGATCTTCTTAGCCTCCGCCTCGAAGACATCGATGAACTTGCCACCAATGAACTTGCGCTTCTTCTCAGGGTCTGACTCGCCCTTGAGACCAGCCAGGAACTCCTCGCTAGCATCAACAACGGTCAGGTTGATGCCGAGCTGGTCCTGGAGGACCTTCTTGACAATGTCGCACTCATTGAGACGCATGCAGCCGTTGTCAACAAGCACGGCGTGGAAGCGGTCGCCAATGGCTTCGGTCATCAGCTTAGCGGCAACAGTGGAGTCGACACCACCGCTGACGGCACCGAGCACCTGGCCCTCGGGGCCGACGAGATCACGGATACGCTTGATCTCCTGTCCAATGAACTCAGACATGGTCCAGTTCTGGGCAGCACCACAGATACCGACGGCGAAGTTCTTCAGGAGCTGGCCACCCTGGGGAGTGTCTGGGATGCGTTAGTATTCTGGGACTGTATTGATATTGGCCGATATGGAAGACTAACGGGTAACCTCGGGGTGGAACTGGATGCCGTAGACGGGCTCGGTCTGGTGGGCAATGGCGGCGTACTCGGAGTTCTTGGTGGTACCGATGGTGTGGAAGCCCTCAGGCAGATTGCAGAGCTTGTCGCCGTGAGACATCCACACGGTCATAGCATCCTCAAGGCCCTCAAAGAGCTTGTCGACGTGGCCACCGAAGCGAGTGGCCTGCAGATCAGCGTGACCGTACTCACGAGCGGTTCCCGCGACGACGTTATCGGCGTGCAAACGGTGAGCGATCTCCTGCAGACCGTAGCAGATTCCCAGAATAGGGACACCGAGCTCGAAGAAGGCGGGATCGATGTGAGGAGCATCCTTCTCGTAGACGGAGTAGGGCCCACCGGACAGGATGACACCCTTGGGCTTCCAAGTCAAGTCGGCCAGCTTCTGGGTGCAAGGCAGCATCTCAGAGTAGACATTGATCTCACGCAGACGACGGGTGATGAGGTGGGTACTGTAGAGAGTTTCGCGTCAGATTGCGATGCATGTCAACGCAATTGAGCTTGCGCCGCTCGATCATCGGGAAGAACATACTATTGAGATCCATTGTCGAGCACCAGGATGGTGTCGAAGGTGTTGTGGGGGATCACCTCGGTGGACATTGTGACGAATGAAGGGGCAGATGATTGGTATAGAAAGGCGACACTGCTCCTGAGCAGAGGGAAGTTGAAGAGTCCAAATATTCAATGACTCAAGACCCCCGCAAAGCAATGGGAAAGGAAGATTTTCCAGATTTTCTAGAGGGGCTGCGATAAGAAAAAAAAGTCATCGCGGGACCGATTGCTGACTCACCGCCCACATGACGAGGGGCTCCTTATCGATAAGGCCATCTATGCAGGCTAAGAGAAGAGTGCTATGGGGAAGACGACAATTGAATAGCACGAGATCTAGAGGAAAAGACAAAAGACGCCCAGTCTTACAAGTCTATGATTTAGCTTGAAACGGGGAGTGAAATATATTCTCCCAATTCTGGACTCAAGCTGGGCCTGTTCTTTTTTCTCACCAGGGAACGCCCTCTCGCTGCCAAAGAAATCACACTGAGACCATCCTAAATTTTCAGAGTAAGCTCTACCGAGAAATGCAGCGAGACACAATCATTTCATGAAGCCATAGATATGGTTTCCAAACTTGAAATCATAGGGTTTGAGGTCAACTAGGTACCTGCAAACAAAGCAGTCTGGAGGGGCAGGCAATTGTAGGAGCCTCCATTGGTGACAACGATATTTCGTAGTTCTGTTATCTGCCAGTCAAGCATCGCGTCTAGTCATTAGGAGTTTTGATGATCTAATCGATCCCGTGGTCTTCAGGAATATGTCAAGGCCTTCCAAACATTTGGATTCGTGACCAGAGCCTAGATGATCTCAGCATGTATCGCAAACCGATAAGAGACCATTGAAAACCAATCTTCCAAGTCCTTCCACTCATTATTTTCTCGTAGAAAAGAAAGAGAAGAGAAAAAAGGGCAGAACCAAGTATAAATCTACCCAGGCTAAAACAACCTCTATCTCTGAAGGAAGGACTTTCGATGACGGAAAGGGGGAGCCAAAAAAGCGTTTTCATTATGAAGCAGCATCATTGAATCAGTAACCGCTCTTTCTTTCACTACATGCAGTACTATTTAGGGAGTTGTCAGAGGGACAGTTAACAGGATAGTTCTGGAATGTTTAACAATTTTTGGGGGACCACCCTTAGGCTAGTGTTGTTGTGACAAACCCGTAGCAAGGCCAGATCGGGACCAGGTATCCTGGACTTTCTCAGGGGCTAATTCACGATATCACATGCTGATGATTCAAAATTAAAGTTCAAATATTGCGCATAGCTGAAGACGGCCATTCTTCATTCGAAGGACGTGTATGAGAAGCTGACTCATGGGGAAAGAGTAATATGTCGAGTCTCAAGATTTAACATTGGAGCCGGATTCAAGACCTGTCAAGGTCAAGAAAATGTCCACCTGCAGTGCAGCCACGCATCACTACTGACGTGCCATGCACGCCAAAAATTAGTCCAAAGTCAATCTTCAGGGACGCGTTCCCCACATAGTGGATAATGTATCCGCAATGGTGCTTATTCGATCCGACAAAATGAGGCTCGAGAGAGTGCCAACCCCCAGTCTAGCAAGAAAGCTTATGGTTATTCTTGGATACTCAAGGCACCAAGGGACCTTTTGGCACTAAAGCTTGCCATGGATTCCTATGTGAATCTTAGCCTGGCATTTTTTTAGCCTCTTAGCGCGGAATGCTATCAACTTCACCAATTCTTTTTTATCTTACGATCCTGCTCATTGGAGGTTTCTCACGCTGCAGATTGCATGGCCGTCTCAAAGAATAATCCTTAAGCATGGTCTGGATCTTTGACTATTTTGCCATCTCCTTCAATGATTGTCTTCATCGATGAATGTCACAGAGTCAACAAGGTCATCGAGTTGAATAGAATCCCACAGATGTTCTCCACGGCCACTCTCTAAGAAGAGTAGAGGCACATCGTCGTCAACCTGAAAATGCCGATCATCGACAGGTGTATGGATAAATCGATTGATGATACCCCATTGAGCATGATGTCAGGTCTATTGGAGCTTTGTGAGTTCGAATCGCAGTTCCAGTGTCGCTAGGACAAATGAACCACGTTTGTCAAGGTCTGAATCAAGATCCGAACGATCACTTTGGGCCTACGGGAATCACGGAGCTTTCAGCATTGCTAATTATCGATTTCATTGTCTTTAACTAGAGGACCGTGCTTCGTTAAAAACAAGGGAGGTCGGAAGCTTAGAAACGCGACAGGTCGGAACAGACTGGTGGAGTAGTCCGGGTATGCTGCACATTGAACATCAGATAGGACTTGGTAAGATCCAAAAGGTCCGGACCATAGCTAGACTGGGCGATGATTTCATCAACACGCCGGGCAGGACAGTGGCGTAGAACGGTTTTGCAGATGATCAAGCGCACTCGCTGTCGTTCTCGCTCGGTTTCGCTCGTTAATGACGGTCGCCGATTGGCGCCCGCGTCCTCCACGAACCAACCGACTCCCGGGATCTATTCATTCCGATGAACCATTGTATTTCTGCGAATAGTATTCCGTGGGGATCTGCAGGTCCTCCTCGTTAGCTCCTCACATATATCGGCTCTTATTGTTTCTAGGAATCTCCGGAGAATTGACGTGATCCGAGCCCTGGGAATTTGACGACCATTCTCCCAATGCAGCACTTCTTGACGTAGATCTCATAACATAGCCCAATATTTAGCTGGATTGGGTCAAAATTGGGAACGAAAAGCTACACCAAGCTTACTCCAAGGGTTTCGCGGGAAAATGCAGGGACTACATCCGTGCTCTAGAGCTGGGGATGATGTAGATTACAGCCTCGGTGGCTGCAAGCATCCTACCTCTATATAAGGGATCGCTTTACTCTTCTATCTTCTTTCTTCCGACGTCCGCAAGAAACTCACTACCTTTGAAGCTCGGTTAATAAATATCTATCCGTGGCAAAATGAAGTTCTCCTCTATTGCTATTACCGGTGCTGCGTTGGGCCTCGCCCACGCGTCTCCGGTCAAGCGTCAGGCAATCAGCGATGGTATGTTATCAGAGCCATTACGCGAGAATTCATACTGACAATGATTGCTATCTAGCCGATATTTTGAACTATGCTCTGACTCTTGAGCATCTCGAGGCCACCTTTTATGAGGAGGGTCTTAAGAACTATACCCAGCAGGACTTCATCGATGCTGGATACATGGACCCGTTCTATGCCAATCTGCAAGTCATTGCTTCAGACGAGCAGACCCACGAGCAGTTCCTGACCCAGGCCTTGTCCGGTATGTTCAAATGCAGTATGATGCTAGAAGAAGCTTACTAAATTATCTATCTTTCTTAGCTGCCGGAGCCTCACCCGTCGCGCGATGCACCTATTCCTTCCCCGCTACCGACGTGGAAAGTTTCCTTGCCCTTGCCAGCATCCTGGAAGGTGTCGGTGTGAGCGCCTACCTCGGCGCCGCCGCCTCCATCATGAACGGCAAGTACCTCACCGCGGCCGGCAGCATCCTGACTGTTGAGGCCCGTCACAGCGCGTACCTGCGCTCCTACCTGGGCGAGAAACCCGCTGGGCAGCCATTTGATAACCCTCTCGATTTTGATGAGGTGTATACTTTGGCTGCGCCGTTCATTACCTCTTGTCCATCGAGCAACGGCATGCTCCCCGTGAAGGCCTTCCCCACTTTGACGGCAATCTCGTCCGGGTCCATCATGAGCGGCTCACAGGTCGTCGTCATGGCTGGCACAGGCTTTAATACATCCATGGATACTTCGGATATTTCCGCGGCCTTTGTCACTGTCACTGGCCCTGTCTTTACTTCGGTCACCTCGAACGGCAGTGGAAACTACACCGTGACTGTCCCCGCCGGTGTTTCTGGACAGAGCTATGTCGTTCTTACCAAGGGCAACTCCACCGTGACTGACGATACCATCCTTGCTGGCCCTGCTATCCTTGAGGTACTTTGATTTTTGTATTTTTTTTTTTTCTAAAAAAAAAAAAGTTTGGCGATGTCATGGAAAACTGACAAGGTTTGATTTGATAGGTAGGTGCCATAATGGAAGGTATTGTGGGTGAATGCAGCTAGACCATGTCAGGGTGGTCAAGCATGACTAGCGATGTCGATGATGATGCCTACCGCGTCGCCCTCCAGGTCCGTGTCTGGTTCAATGACTCCTTCGTCTACGATGGCTAGCAAGTCTCCCGTTTTCAACTAGGCGAGTGGTGTGTCCCCAAGTGGCGTCCTGAGTGTCCTTCTCGCTGCTGCTGCCGCGTTTTTAATGTAATAAACTGCATGCGATCGCGATTTAGTTCCGCGGACGCTTCAACCTTCGAAATAATATGTATTAGTGGAGGACACAATGAACATTCTTTCCGGGAAGAAGTTCGGTTGGTCTGTAAGCTCACTCTTCCGAATAAGAAATTAATAACTACCTCCAAGCCATGACCATAGACATACTTCACAGTAACGAGTAAGCATACCACGGCCGTCAGATGTGACCTGTATAGCCCCCATGTCTGTTATGACGTAAAACCCGTCGACCAGTACATTCCGCTAAATCCGGGATCATGTGGAGATAAAGCAACGGCCTCGACAGTTAATCGTCGACTAGCTTTTCCTTCCCCCTGCATATCTACCCACAATAAGAAATGTCATGATAAACGGCCCCGATGCCACGTCGCGCCCACACCAAGTCCCGCTATGGCTGTGACAACTGCCGCCGGCGCCGTGTGAAATGCGATGAACAGGGCCCACCCTGCACAAACTGCATTCTACGTCGTCTGAATAATTGCATATATTCGCGAGTGCTCCCCGCTTCGTTGCTGGCCAATTCCCGCCGTATCAGCCAACCCAGTATCTCGCCCCGCGAAGACGTCGCGCACCTGAATGGCTTCAGTCCCGATTCTTTAACCCCCCCACTGAAGAATCCCAAGGTCGATGAGCTAGAGCTCATGCACCAGTTTGCCACAGACACCTATCGGAGTCTCTGCGTAAGTGATGATGAGATTCGCACGTGGCAGGTTCTGGTGCCGCGGCTGGCACTGAAACACCGCTACTTGATGAATGGGATTCTGGCACTAGCCTCACTACACATCGCCTCCACACTCGAACCCGCCAATGCGCTCCTCTATATCGACACGGGGCTGGAATACCACAGCCTGAGTCTGGAGCCCTTTCGCCGAGCCATCCAGAACTTGGCGCCGGAAAATTGCGATGCGGCTTTTGCTCACTCCGTCATCACGACTGCAATCAGTCTCGCCTTGCCGCAACTGACTATGACGCGCGAGAACGCGGCCCGAATGACAGATAATATGACCACCGTCTTCGAGTTGCTTCAGGGTGTCAAAAAGATCTTGACCATCGGACAGTCGTGGATCAATCTGAAGCTGTTTTCGCAGGGCGCTTTCTGGAAAAACACAACAGCGACTCTAGATGCGGATACAGACACCGCGCTGAATCAGCTTGCTACTTTGAATGAACAGACTAGGGCGAATGGCGACGAAATTCAATTCTCGATTAATAGCAATGCTATTGCCCATCTCCGACATTGTTTTACGAAATTCGCGGCGTCGTCTGACCCTGCCCCGGTGCTGGCTTGGTTGGCGGCTGTGGATAAGGGCTTTGTAGATAGTCTACGGCGACGACAGCCTTTTTCGCTACTTGTTCTGGCGTATTGGGGTCTGCTTCTTGCGGAGCTAAATGGGCAGCGTTGGTGGGCCCTGAATTCTGGGCGCGCGTTGGTTTCCGAGTTGCTCGATGCATTGAGCGCGGAGGATCTGCTGTGGGAGAGCTGTCTGGGCTGGGTGCAGCAAAGCATTGCATCGAAAAGTGTTTGACCCCTTCCACGGACGTTGAACGATGGGTTCAGTTGCATACCTAGGTACCTCATCAGAACGACCCCAGGGTCATTGACGGTATCCTTTCTTCTAACACAGCATTAATCTTTAATGACTACCATCCACCGTCTCAAACACGTCGGACGCGAGACTTTTCATCATGAGGACCTCTAATTCTTTATTCAATGGTGTACAATGATTATATACACAGTAGGGCGGTGTAAAAATACAAGTCTAAACTCGCTCAGTGGGATGTCTCATGCAGCGCTAGCATCAGGGAATAACAGTATGGACGGACGATGGGAAAAGTGCACAGAGGAGACAGACTTCGACGAAAAAGATGCCGAGCAAAAGACGGCAGTGGTATCTCAAACAAATGCAAGCAACTTCGTGGGCACCTCGATGGCATTTTGCTTCAACCACGTCAAGGGCCAAGGTTTGCCAGCCCATTCACGATCCAGAGTAGCCGCAGCTTCTAGCATAATGCCCAAAGAAAGATCAATTCTGAACCTAGGGCCAAGTTCAATATCTTGATTGATAACAAGATTGGCTAGTTGTAGCTGAAGATCACGCTGCGGGCCCTTTGGCTGGAACCCGCGGGCCAGGTAAAGGAGTGGCTCCTCTCTGAACTCATCTGGGAGATTCTTCATGATATACGCTGGGAACTTGCGAAGGCCATTGAGGTCCATACCACTGATCACGTTGCCAGCGCTGGTGAGCCAGATTTTCGAGATATCGTTGCTTCCCGGAACTATTGAGACGTTGCGGGCGAGAGAGGTCAAGACGGTTTTGCGCATCTTGTAGGTCACTTTGTCTTCAGTGCAGGCAAAGCACCACAGAACACGGCAGATGTTATAGCGGCGAGCTTTATAGGCCAGCAGGAACAAGATTTCGTAAGTTTCGACATCTAATTTGAACAAAGGGCGATTGAGGAATTGGATGGCGTAGTGAATGGCGTTGAAGATGCTTCCGCGAAACATGGTCACGATAGGAGTAAGGGAGTTGCTTTCAATCGGGAGATTATGATCATTGCAGAGCTTCAAGAACTGGTCCAGGGCATCATAATCTTTCATCCGAGCAATCACACCGACCATCTGGGCAAGTAGGGTTGAATTGATCCAGTTGGCCCCATGAGTCTGAGCCATCATGTTAACAAAAGATGCAACACCTTGGCCACTTTTCAGATGCAGGCGTAAGGAATCGTCAATCGTCAACCGAATCACACTTTGAACCGAGCCGGGGACGTCCAAAATGCCTTTCCGCGCCATGTACTGAATAAGACTGGCCTTGCTGGAAGCTGTAGCCATACTCTTTAGCAAGGCAATCCATGTTGATGAGTTTGGATGAATACGTTTTCGTCGCATAGAGTTCAAGAAAACGTAAAAAGCGCTTCTGTCCATGCGCCGCGCTGCCGAGTCCAGAAGGATGTTGTAGCTGTCCACAGTAGCGATTTGCTCTGCCGAATTGAACACCTCTCGGACAGCGTTGAACATCTCGCACTTGCATAGATATTCCAACGTGCAATTCAAAGCCGCAGTTGAGAAGAACTTGCGGTTTTGATCTCCTTGATACAATGCCAATAATTCTTGCGCAACCAGCTGCTGGTAAGGAATGCTAGGCGGGCCTGAAGTCTTCCGGAATGACTTTCTCTGCACTCGAGTCAAGTCCTCGATATGCTCCAAGAAAGCTTTGACGGAAGTAATAGGCCGGCGGAACTTAAGAACCTGATCCAGACTCTGGGGTCTATATTTCGCACGAGACCAAACACCACGGACCAAAGGTATAGGTCCCTTCTTCTCGTGCACTGAAAGCGTCGTAGAGAAAACAGGAACGGGCGGCTTAGCCATCTCGACGAGTGGGTCACCGCTTGTTTGCAGCATATGGGCGCGAGTGATGGACTCTTTCACCAACTCCTTAGCATCTTCCGAACCCGACAGAATCGCTTTGCGGGAGAGCCCGTCGCCCTCCGACGCTGGAAGGATTCGGACCAGCACCATCGTTGCGGATTGACGAGAAATAGATGTTCTCTTTGAAAGAGTGGTCCGAGACACCTACCAGCAGTCCCACGGTCTCTTCAGGAATGAGAATCTCCGTGTGCTTGGAACTCTTCCTCGGTAGCAATCTCTTCCTTTCCTGCAGTTGCTTGAGCAAGTCCTTTACTTGGCGCCATGATGGCACAGGTCTGCCCGGCCTGGTGGCAGATTGCCTTGCAGCTAATCTTTTGCCGATAAAATTGCCAGAGCGTAGCAGCCTTCGATCCCGAACAGATAGTGCTTTCGACTGAGGCCTTAATCTTGAAAGACCTCGTGAGCCTAGCACCCTCCTCCGGCCCCGTCCCTTTTTCTGTGTAAGCCCAGTCGATGGGACATCGGGAAGGCCGACTGAATGATCGACTGGCTGCTTTGGCCCTGTTGTAACATCCTGGTTCGAGTCTATATCTCCTGCAAGCTTTTTGCCTCCCCCAGAGTTCGTATCTGCAACCTCCGCCACTAGGTCCACGTAGTTACTCGCACCACCGCGAGCTTTTCTAAGAGAAACCGCACTCGAAGAGACCCATTGACACTTTTGACTCCGTAACGTCGGCGAAGGAACACGAAGGCAAACAGTGGATCGAAAAAGAGCACGGCAGCCTTTCACCGGAGCTGCAGCGGGCGTCAAGGACGTGATCGGTCGGTGATGGCGGAGGGCAGACGCGGCCCATCGGGGGTAGAGGAACAGTAGTGGTTCATCGGGGCCGGCCGCGACGGTGTCCAAGACGACAGGAAGGCGCCTTCTTAGACACGGGTGGCCACGCGAGAACATGGGGACGATATGCTGGCATGGGCGAGGGGAATTGGTTGATGCAGAGGTTGACGGAGCGGTTTCTTTGCTCCGAAAATGTCGCGCGGGCACTTTGAGGCAGGCGGTGGCCACGAGCTCCGGCCTAGCTCCGATCTGATGACTGTCCCCAAACAACCAAAGTATTTCATATCTTTCGGTGTCAAACCAGAAAATTAAATAGAAGGAAATATAAAGACCGTTACTCGAAGGTATCACGCTAATAACATATTATAAAAAAAGGATAACGCCCTTCACCTGGGCACGTCATGGTTCTAGCTCAGTAAATGTGCCATTCACGGCCAACCTGAGCTGCCTTAGGTATCCCCTTGATTTCCTTGCCCTTGAGAACACGCGATGAATCGTCGGTAGTCTCCGCTTTTTTAGCAAGCAGAGTGTCATGGCGAGACACAGGTGTCAGGTCAAGCAGGTCTACAGCCGACTCGCCCTGATCATCAGTGAATACTTCTGGACCGGTGATATGACTTCGGGCGCTTTCTATTACTCGGACAAGATTTTCTTTCTTGCGTTGAGCTTGACCGTTATCATCGTCAGACTCGGTGATCTCCTTGGACAATTGTTGAGCGATGCCGACGAGATAGGTCACGAATTGCCAGCGTGATGTCTGGAAGAGGAACAATGACATTATTTCGGGAATCTGTCCCCCATCATTAGAAAAACATCTACTCATGAATAGCGTGAGAGTTTCGCAACTTACCCTGTCGTTCAAATAGTACAATTCCTCAGCCCCATTCTGCACAAACTTCTTCAACACCTCGATTTTCTCTCGGTCAATCGAAGCAAGCTTCAATTCATGCATCAAAGACGGAATATCATCAATCTCCTCCAGATGTACCTGCTCATCCATCTTGGTGCTCACGCGACTCAAGAATCCAGACTCAACACGACTCAGTCCAGCCACACTCTGCGACCGGCTCGTCACCCTCGAAGAATGGATAGTGAAATAATCGTCATTAAGCATATGCGACCGCTCATAATCTGATCGACCCCGACGTGTTTCAGTAATCTTGTGTCGCAATCGAACCCAACGTCTCCGCCGGACAAAAGAATGAAACCACGGATGCGTGCCGTGCCACTGCGATGAGCCAAATGAAAAGGCATACTGCCATCCCTGATCGTCTACATCACCAGACATGTCTACATACCATGTCTTCCAAGCCCATTGCCAACTCGGATCCGGTACTTGAGCATTGGTGATATTGACTGCGCTCTCACGCCTATCCTGCGTCATCCAGGCGCCGGGGTCGAAGTTCAGCAGTGAACTATGCGAGTAAAGAGGGATACCGAAGAAGAAAGTCCCCCGCTGGTTTTCATAAAGAACGTCCAGTTTCGAGCGCGCCTTCGGGCCTTCAGAGTTGGTAGTTTGCTGTTTCAATGTAGCTGACTGAGAAGTATCTGTCTGGCTCAGGACTTGCGAAGACGCAAAGTCGGCAGTTGAGGCGTCTTCTGGTGCTTCACCGGATCTTGCTCCATCTTCATTCAAGAAGAAGAGGGCACTTGGTCCGGCAGCTGAACTTGCGCCTGATATCGATCCACGCACTCGGGACGACTCCCTACTCGGGGAGATTTCTGTGTCTGTTGATGAGAGGCCGAGTTTATCTGGTTGCCATTTTGCAAATTTCCGTTTTGCGAGTTGGCTTTGTACAGATGTTCGGCTCAGGTGCTTCGTCAGGGTTCCTTGGCGACCGACCGTGGAAGCTCGATGAGCGGACTCCTGGCCCGACGATTGTTGCGGAGCGGTGTTGTCCACGAGGGAGATACTATCATTGCTCGCCATAGCCCCGTCGTAAATCAGATGTCGATTCTGCGGCCAACTTGTTCTTAATGCCCTGGTCGTACAAAAGGCCGACAAGCCACATTCATGGATTCGAACGCCTGGTCACATTAAACCACCTGCCGTGGTTCCAAAGAGGGGAGTCCGACTTTTGTGACCAAGTGTCACAACAATATAGGGTATTCAAAAGAAGTTAAAAAAAAAGGAAAGAAAGGGACGGAAAGGAAGGACGTAGTGGTGAGAATCAAGAACGGGGGGGGAATTCCCAAAAGTCACCGATGACATCGTTTGCGGGGAGGCACTCTGCCAAGCCCAACGCGTGCAAAAGTGAACCTCAAATCAACACAACCTGCCCAAACCAACCATGACAACGCCGCAACAGCGCAAGATCGAGCTTCAGTCTCCTGCAGACTTCACTTACCTGTACGCCAACACAGTCGCTCTCTCGCGCCAGAAGCTAGACCAGGCTTTACCCCCTTCAGCGAACAACGATGAACCCGACCCGATGCGCGAACGCGTGAAAGAGTTGGTCGACGAGGTAAGTGTACAAGCCCGGCAATACCTGAATTACGATCTGACTCGGTGGATAGTACATCAATCGCACCTTCACAACAGCCTCCGCCTCAATCAGTATCAACGGAATCGACTCCTCATCCCCCCAATTCCCGTTCCCGGCCGCATTCACCGCGCCAGAAACAGTCGAGTATGAAGCCTACGATGCAGAACTCGCCTCGCGTGTAACTTCTCTATACGCCCAGCTCGAATCACTCACTACAACCGTCGCCCAATTACGACGCAGCGGGCCGCAGGCAGCTGCAAGGGATTATGCGGCGCAGTTAACACAACTGTTGCAAGAGGAGGACGAGGAATTTGAAAACTCGCTTAGGAATAGCGAAAGCACAGAGCAGCTCGCGGAAGACGGCATGGACGTGGATATAAAGGCGGAGTTCCAACCGATGGATCCTTCGTGGAAATTGGATGTACAGCTTGGGACGGAGGAGGAGACGGAGCGGTGGCGGAGTGGGGATATGGCTGGTGTGTATGAGGATGCGTTGCGGACACTACAGCGATTACAAGGCGAAGGCGAGGACGTTGCGGTGGGAGAGGGCAATGCTCTGGCGACGACGGTTGGGAAAGCGGAGCGAGCTGCACGGGCAGCCGAAGTGGTTGAGGGTATGTGATTTGGGGTTTGCTTTCGGGGTTATTGACGGCGTTTAGGTGCCCAGATTTGCGCCGGGGATCATGATACCATGTCTTATTTATGTCTGGACCTGTTGGTCGTTCTTCTTTCTTTTGACTCTTCCTTGCTTACTTTACCATCAATGCTTAGCATGGAACTGTACTAAGATATTCTCGATGGGCCAACGGCCGCAATTTCACTATGTGCTCTTCCGTGTATACACTCCGTAAGACAAGGAAAGAAAAAACCCCAATCATCTTCACTCCCCAACTCGCTTTTAAAAATGACATCCCGCTCAGTCTCTTCTAGATCAGCGGGCGAGCCGCGTATTTGAAACAGGCAGAAAAATGTATGAGTAAGAAATGGCTCTTCGTGATATCTATATCAGAAGTGAACAGGGAAAGCCAGGCAATGAGTCCACACAAATGTGGATGGACGGTCGGCGAGGGTGTTGAACCAGACACGATGGTCTGCAATGAGGGGGTCAAGTTCTTCCACTATAGACCGGCAAGATTAAAAGACAGATAGATCAAACATCGGTGAGAAAAACCCCAGCTCAATAAACCGATGGTTCTGTTTTTGTATTTTCTTTGTGTACGTAAGACGGGCGTGGAGCGAAGTGCGCCCCCCGGTGGGAGCGAACAGCGAGTGGAATGATTCGTTCTATAAAGGCTCTATGCGGTAGCCTCGGCGCCCTCGTGGGCTTCGTCACCCTTCTTCTCGACACCGACATCCTCATTGACGACGACATCCTTCTCGGCCTTGGGGGTAGCCCAGGCAGGGGTGCGAGCCCACTCGGACTCCTGCCACGGGCCCTGGTCAGAGAGCTCGCAGCCACCCTCGCACTTGCAGGAACCGCCAAATTCGACAGGCAGGTTCTCGGGGGCGACCTGGGCGAGCAACTCAGACTTGTATCCGCTACCGAGAACGTGAATCTTGTTGACAGTGACGGGGTCGAGGAAACCCTTGACGACGCTGAAAGCGCCGCTGAAGCCCCAGGGGGCGTTGATGATGTAAAGCTTGCCCAGACGCTCGGGGTAGTAGTTCTGGGAGATCTCGGAGGCTTGACGAACGTAGCCGTAGACGGAAGGGATGCTGGTGATACCAACACCCTTCAGATCCATAATAGTACAGCAGGTCTCGAGCAGCTTGCCGGCCTTGCGAGAGCAGGCGGGCAGACGAGGGTCGGCCAGCTTCTCGTACTCGCAAACGAGATTCTGCAACATGCGTTCACCGGTGGTGATCTTGTACATAGCGTTGAGGTCGATCTTGCCAAGCTTCTCGATGTAGACGGGGCGGCCATCCTGGATAGGAGAAATGTTAAGTTGTCTTCCTGATGAAAAGACGATGATGGATCATGGGGTGCCTACCTTGTCGGTCTTGTGGTAGTATTGAGGGTAGTACTTGAAAACCTCGGGCTTCTCCTTGTAGTCGAAGGTGCGAGGAAGGTCATCGGTGCCAAACTCCTTGCGCCAAGCCTCACACTTGATGAACCTAGACAGCCACGTTAGATAAAACGTTCTCCACATGGATCGCGGGGACGAAGCTTGCAGGAGCAAGGCCCCAACAGTTATGAGAATTAAGCAACATACATGGCCTTGGCAAGCTCGACATCGAACTTGCGGGCGCGCAGGAAGCGCAGCATGGTCAGGGTATCCAATCGCTCGGTGTACCCCTCCTGCTCCAGCTTCGTGCGCAGCTGGTGAACCTTCGCATCCTGCTCTGCGGTGGTGTGGCCGGGATGGCCACTCTGGGGCTCCGGTGCGGTGGTAGGGAAGTCGTACGAATCGTACTTGGGGTCGAGAGGCAACGCCTTCTCAGCAGTGGCCATTGTGAAAGTTGAATGGGACGATGGGGGTAACGGAGGAAAGGAAAGTTGGAGTGGGAGAGGGAGGAGAAGGGAAGGCGGGAACGTTGGCGTAAGTGGCCACTTCGTACCCGGCGCTCTGGAGGATCCGCCTAAGGAGTAAACACCACCCGTGGACACAAGTCGATCATTTTTTTTTTTGCCAATTCACAGCGGGGGCGTGGGAAAATAAATCAAAGTACGGTAAAAGGGGCTTCTCGTCGAGCTAATAAGAATATTGTCATTTGTTCAACTCTATAATGTATTGCGCTGCCGCAAACGGGACCTTTCTCAGAGTTTGCCCCTCTGCCTGTATCGCGGTACAAGATACTTCATTGAAGGATCAGCGCCGTCAAAATACCCTAGAAATCTCTCATTCACGCGAAAGAGAAGATGAGGGGCACGAGGCGGTGTCGGTGGAACGAATCCACTCTGCAATTATCAGGGTGGGCCAAAGCAGGGATACAAAGTACGAGTACGTGCCAACGCTGATGGAGCCCAAAGTAAATTCTACCTAGAACATGATATCAAGGCAGCATCTGTACAGACTGGAAAACAGATGGGTCTTCAATCAGAGACAACCGCACGTCACAAAATCAGGTTATTATACAGCGCATGGAGAGCCATGGCCCGAGCGGTGATGGGACAAACAAATAGGATTACAGGACGGAGCCCCAGATCAGGTCAAAAACAAAAACCAGAAAAAACTATGCGCGGGGTATAAATTGCAAGCATCCACAAAGGAAAAAATAAAAGCAGACAGCGTCCAAGGTCGGGACCCCGAGCCAGCGGGGATCCCTCGATCATCCTCCATCAAATATGTTCGTGTGTATCGGCAACATTCACTGCCATCCACCCGAGTGGCGTGGAAGAGTCACAGTCATTGCAGAGCATTCATCCAGTCCATCGAGGATGGAGCGGGTATATGTATCACGGATTATCTCCCGTGTCCATCAGATCATCAAATTAGGCCGCATGGGCCAACCACCGAGACAATTGGGTCGCAGAGACGTAGGCTGCTCGCCCAGTAATCGGTCTCGTTTCAATCATTAGTGGAGACCAAAAGTCTCAAGAGCGCGTGGCCCTTACCATCCCTTCTTTCGTGCAAATCGTTTGTTCAGAAGGGTCAATACTTTGGTGACATTGAATTGGACGTATTCCAGGTCAAGGTCTTCAAGGTTGTCCTTCTGCATCTCCAGAAGATCGTCGAGTTTAAGATCAAGCTCCAACAGTCCACGGGCTCGGCCTGCATTCATTGTCAGTATCAAGACTTGGGGAATCAGTTTGTCAGAGAAGATCAGTACTCACCCTTGTAGTGCAGGCTGATGACAAATGTACCAGGGAGAGGGCTCTTGAACATGAAGTAGATGTTCGCCCTCCGATTTTCCGGCACGTTGCTGCGTCGGATTACACCCTCTTTTCTCCAGTTGCTGATGGGTGAACTTGTACGGACCAAGTTCTTGGTGCTTCTGGGTCTTCCGCTGCTTGCCCTCGGACTGACTGCGGACGTTGTGGAGATAGGACTTGTAGGTCTCTAGCTGGCCCACCAGGTAGGCATTGTGGTCGCGAATAGTGCCAAACACCTCCTCCAGCTTACGTGTTTCCTCCAAAACATTCTCTTTCAGAGAACCCAGGTGGACCAACTCCTGCTCTACTTCGTCACGCAGCATGCTGAACTCGTCCGAGCGATCAATAACGCCCATGTCTTGCAACTGGCTGAGCAGCTCCATGGTGCGGATACCCTTGCGAACCATCACCGCATCGTTCTTGAGCGTAGCAGCCGCTTCGGCGATGCGGTCCAGTCGAAGGGGGCGACGAGCGACCGAGGAGTTCTGAGGCAAGGATCGAAGGATCTGGACGAACGTCGATTTGGCCTCCATGAAGAAGACCTCTTCCTGAGTAATGTCCAGGGCAGCGGTCAAATCATCCAGCGCGGTCTCCCATCGACTGAACAGAGGCACATTGATGGTTCGGTTCTCCTTGCGAGGGACCTGGGGCGGCGCCGCGCCCAGCTCTCCAAGGAGCAATGAGAGGTGAGAGTGCTGGTCCTGGGCAAGAGCTGCGCTGTGTTTCTCGAGGAGTGCGTGCGTGGCATACATCTCGTTGAGCGTGATTTGTAGTTCGAGGTCGCGCTTGGACAGAGCGACGTAGTTATCCATCTCGAGACTCTCGTAGAAGTCCTGAACTTCGCACAAGTCAAGGAGAAACTTGTTCACGCGCTCCTTGTTGGCCTCAATGAAAGGCTGCAGTCGGGCCATGTAGGGCTCCTTGGCGTACGAAGGCTTGTTGGCCAGGTTCTGTATCATCTTTGCGATCAATGTCAAGGTACGGCGGGGCTTGTCGGTTGGGGTGGCATCGATCAGCATGTAGGAGCGCGGAGTGACAATGGCGGGATTGATGAAGCGCAGGAAGAAGAAACCGCCGATCAGAGTACAGATGGTCTGGTCTTGGGCATCGGGATACTTGCGACGAGACAAGCTGCGAATCTGTTTGCAAATCCATCGGATACCGTACGGGGTCTCGTCCACGGATTCAATGATAGTGGTCAAGAACCCGTTGGCAATGTCGGTCAACATCTTCAAGCGCGGGGCAATGATTGCCTGGACCTGCTCGTTGGCCTCGGCATCCTCTGCGGTCACTGAGCGAGCCAAGTAGTCCGGAAGAGAGCCAGTCTCTTCCTCGATCTGCTTCACCATACTCTCATACACCTTCAATGGGTTAATTTCCAAATCGACGTCGCGCAATTCAATCAACGAGTTGATGCGATCTGCGAGAACCTGCTTCAGATAGCTCTGACCGGGACCGCGGCGCGTGTAGGTGGTCATCATGCGAGACACTGGTGTATTCTGGCGCAGGAGAGAGGAGTACTCAGGCGTGTTGTCGAATTGGTAGGTAAGCACGGACTGAAACATGGTGAGTAGCAAGTGCTCTTCACGGCTCTCGTACTGGTTTCCGTAAATGGTGAACATGACGGTCTGCAGCAAAGAGTCGATCTCGGCCATGGAGACCAATCGACAGAGATGAGCAATATGACGAGGCTCCGACTGCAACAAAAACAAGAGATTGCCGTATTTCTGGGTTTTCTCGTCGTTCGGGAAAAAACCTTCCTGCGGGTCGGCGGTATCGTCGAGATGGCTGGCGACCTCGTTTTGCTGCGGGGCGTGTGAGTGACCAGTTCTCGATGGTACGAATTTCCCAAAATTCAGATCTTACCTCTTCTAGTGCCATGCGGTTTTGAATCAAGAGGGCAATTCGCGAGTCCAGATATCGCACGTCCTTCTCCAGCACGAAATTCTTCTTGGACTGGGATGAAATCTTCGACTTGAGTTCGCGTAGGATTTTCTGCGCTATGCGGAAGTCAGTACACTAGCCTGAAACACGGTAGACTTTGAAACGGACCTCGCGCCAAGTCATCCGAGGTTTCCAGGTCCCTGTCCTTCGCGGACATGGACAGGTACAGAGCAAGTGACCGACATCCGCTTGGATTGGCGGATGGAGCGAGTGTCGTGCGACGACATGGTATTCTGTCGTGCGACTGGCTGAAACGAGGATGAAGACGAGGACGACGCTCGAGAGATTCTCGATGCGGGCTGAAGCATGGTCGCGACGGACATGATGAGGATGGGGGCGGATGAGTTTCGTGCGAGGGTTCAGGGTAATTGCACTGCCAGACGAGCAGTGTCAATGGGAGACCGTCGCGCCAAACTGGGAGAAGTCATTAGATGCAGTGTACTGGAGGATTCGAGGCTGGTTCATACCAGTCCCGTTCGTATCCCCAGCGGTGGGTATTATGAGGCGCAAGATGGGACAGGGGAGACTTTCTGGACGGGTCAAGGGCGAGGATCAACACCCGTATATCGGCAAGATTAGGCGACGCGGATGCCCTGACTCCAGAGGAAATTGAAGTATGAAGGAAGGGAGGAAAGTAGGGAGGGGAACCTTGGAGGGGAGGATTATTTCGTTAGTTCGGATGTTAGGGCGGTTCTGGGGAAAAGGGAAAAGGGCAAAGGGCGTGTGGATGCGGTGGAGAAGGCAGACAATCATGATTTCCTCTAAATTAGATGGGGAAAAAAAGGAGAAGATAAACCAATTCCTGGATCACTCACTTTGCCTTTTGACACCCTTTTCCCAACTGGTTCTGTTTATGCAAGGAGTCGCGTCCACCGTTTTTTACCCCTGGCCCAACCCAAAACTCACTTGGTCAGTCAGTCTTCGCCACCCCTGATCCGATCTCGAGTCTTACAGTACCTGTACCCAGGTACACCCCAGGACGTACCCAGGTACGGGAATAGGGGGGAGGGTCCCACTCTTCAGAACCTTGATGTCACCAGTGCGATCCTACCATCCCACGATCCTATCCAAGATTTTAGATAGCATTGTGCAGTATCTCCCGACTCTGATCTTTCATAGCGTGCGTACCTGCATCCGAGCATGGGCCGCACTGACCCGGTGGGGATCACCTTGGCTCACTCCAAGTCCACGAGACCTCCATGTGGACGCATTTTGTAACAGGGTTTCGGCCTGATGTCCTATTTCTAGAGAAGAAATGTGCCTCCAACCTCGATGGCGTAGGACTCCACTCGATCGCTCCCGTATACGGGACTACTGCAGGTGCAATCGGTCGACACTATCCAACCGCATGTCTCACACGCGAGGCACACGGATCTGAGCCGAAATGGCATACGGCTGCTACATCCGATATCGTGTGGTCCGCGTGGAGGGAGATTGGACCTTCAATGGGAAATTCCATTTCTCATTCCATGGTCACAGCGTGACCTCTTATCGTGACCCGACTGGGCAATAGCTAATCTTCGACATTCAGGTTGAAGGGGGGGGGGGCCGGGGGTTCCGCACTCTGGGACCTTTCGGTGTTCCAAGCTTGACTCGGCCAAATCAAGACTATGCATTGTCTGCGGGGGTGTGTTGAATGCGCACTTGACCGTTACTTTTTTCGCTCCTGGTCTCTGCCCTGGCCCTGCACTTACTTGCATTCCTGGTCAGTGCTTCAGGGGTAGGTGGATCCCCTGTGGGACTCGAGATGGAGACCTCAGATAGTTCCTGATCGCAAGACTGTGTACAGAGACACTCTGTCCTACTCACCTTTGCACACCTCTGATCCAGGGTCTCCATACTCGGCGCCTGAGACACTCTACCCGAGAAATTAAGCAGAGCCAAATGCAACGCCGTAGTTCGAAGTGTGATGATCTCCCACTTGGCACTAGCACACTAGCACGCTAACAATTCCACCCCATGCCAAATGTATCATGGTCCATCGACTACACGGGCCACATGCATCCCTCCCGTCCATGATGAAACGCGCCAACCGCCGACGCAGATCCGTTGTAGCTACTCCCTTCTCTACTGTACTTGTTTTAGGCTGTGTCTAGATCGTCGGAAGATCTCAAATACATTTGGGACACCTGGTCCCAGGTAAGCGAGCGGAAGCACTGGAGCACCGCAAAATATCTCCCGCGGCCTGACCTCGAGCTTTGGCTCTGGGACCACTGAAGGTGATCGGAAGTGTATTCGCCCACCGTCGAACCTTACATTCTTTTTGGCGGGGATCGGGCCATGCGGTATGATGTAGCTCGGCTGATCCGGGTCTGTGCAGTGATAGCATTCAAGCTTGGCTGAAAGCTACCATGTGACTCGCATTAAGATATGAAATATGCTGAAGGTGCAGTGGAGATCAGGAAGAATGCATGCAATTGGATCCATCGCCGTTGACAAATCATGGTCAGCACGAGGGGATTATGCTAGTAAAAAACCCCCCCCAATCAACTCTGAAACCAGCTATCTGCACATTGCTCTTTATATCGACTCGAGTCATACTAAAAGACAAACACGTAGAAAGATAACCCTGGCCCATGAACTCCGCAAATCGGGACTTCCCCTCAATTGTCTTTTTTCTCAGCCTCCGGGGCCGCTTCGCTCTCTGCCTCCGCCTGGGCGTCTGCCTCTGCCTCCACCTGCTCCGGTGATTTCCCAAGCCAGAAGCGAGTAATCATTCCTCCGAGGAACATCTGGTCAACCCATTTGATCAACCCGTACAAGATCCAACCCCAGCCCCACAACGAAATGCCCATCATGCTGGCCACGAGGAGGATCGGCCCGAGAATAAGCAATGACAAGAGCGCCCACAGAATCACCGAAACTACCGCGAACAAGAACACGCCCACCAAGAACACCAACAGCGGAACTCCACAGCAGATCGCCTGACAGATCAGGAATGTCGAAGCAATCGGCCGCTTGAGCATAGCCTCATACATCGCCGCCTGCTTCGGCGGCGGGAAATACCGATTCACCACCCATTGAACAACGTACTCGAAAAGGTCCACGGCCTGTGGGAACAGTTCGGCCACCCATTGGCTGAACGAGGTCCATAGCGCCGTGAAATTAACTTCGGGCTGTTCGCCTTGGTACTTCTTCTCGGCCGCATCGTCGGCTGGGAATTCTCCGGGGACGAGTGGTTCCGTGACTTTCTTAGACGTATCGCCGACTGTCTTGGTTGTATCGCTGACTCCTTTGACCGGATCGCTCGCTAGCGTTTGCGCGCTCCCGGTCGCCTTATCGGTGACTTGGTTCACAGGCAGGCCCTTGCCGAGACCGCTGGTAACGGAGTCGAGAGACATGAGTATCCGAAGAATGGGAGTCGGGTGAGAAATGAACCCAAAAAAAAGTTTTCTTTCGTATCGAATAGAGAAATCAGCTTGGGACGTTGTCTGTGAAGGGAGGTTTTCGTGAGGACGTAGATCTATATCAAGCGATGAGGGCAGTTAGGCCATGACGTAAGGGGCGTCTGATAAACTTGATGAAATATATTAAATTTCCATAAATGCTCCAATGGCCCAAGAGTTGATGTAACTGCACTGGCTGCAGTATAACGATCAGTGTGGCTGATGCACTACCATGGCTGTGAGTATGATTCGACGAAAGCCACAGCTGATGGTCATTTTCGTGGCAAAAGTGGCTCTAAGTTTGGTTATCTCGAGACGTGTCACACACGGCAGCTGATGCTTGACACAGGCAAACAAAAAATTCCAACCTTCTTTTGTTGAATGGCCATTCATTTTTCTCGCTGAACTAATACCCGAAGAACCGGATTGAGTCATTGGGGTTGCGGTCCCCGACCAAAAATTGTATAATAAGACTAGTAGGTCGGTCAATAATACGCTGGTGCGCCAATGCTGATGATCAGATTTCTAATATCTTCCGCCTTATGATATTTCAAACTCAGGTCGATAAGTTGGCATGAATATCTTGTCAATGCCTGGTGAGTGCCTGGTGAGTGCCTCAAGATATCTTGACAGATCGTTAAAGCTCCTTTCCAAGTCTGTCCCCTATCCATATACCCATCGATCTAGATTCGTACAAAGAAGAAATAGTTGACCTCACCTATACTGGTGGGAGTGGTAACTTTATTTAAACCTTCCCATAGATAGATATGGTATTATGATCATAGGGCCTTATTGAGAACGTGTATGGTCACATCATCCTAATTTCCTGCTGTTTGGCACTCCCCTTATGCCATGCTTCTACACACTCATCTAGCAGTATGTACTCTCTTGCCTCTAGATTTGATTTAGTAGTACATTTCCAATGGCCATCGTTATAACCACCCCCATGGGCTAGAGTAATGATATACGAGAATGGACAATCGGGGATGAAAAGGGGGGAATGAAGATTCGGGTCCAGTCATGATGATTATCGGGGATGATAGGAAATCGAGGATGATGACGCAGTGGTTAACGGAAAGGATCAAACAATCAATAGCCCTGAATATCAAACGAGGCTGATTACATCAAGTACAATGCTAGTCACTGGAGTTCTAATTTCTACGAGAAGTTCAAGGGTGGAATGAAGTTTAGTCCTTCCCACTGCCTGGCCAGACGCACTAGTTGTGATCTTCATTCAACGGAGCTGGGACAAAAAGCACAGATGTCAAATGCATCAATAGAGTCTTACTTGTCACTGCCAAATTTATCTGTGTACCTCTGTACAGGCGTTCGATGACCTGTTCATGCTTATTTATCTCGCCGGTTTTTTGCATTCGAAGAACGGAATGAATGTCGCCATCGCGCTCTGGACCATGTTCAACAACTTTCTTCAACATCCTTCATCCCCTTTCGAGTCTATTTTGATTTTTTTTGAGAATCGGAAAGTTCAAAATTGTCCTTGCTGATAGGCGTGGATTATGGTCGTTTGACCACGGGTGGGTTGTGCCCATATGAACGCTAATTGCGGGCATCATTTATGGGGCCAACTGCGATTTGTTCCCTACGAGATGACTTCAGACAAGTGGTACTTAGCTCCTCTCCAATTAACCTGACAGCGGCGATGGTTTTAGGTTTATTCCAAGTTTGACTAATTGATCTCTTTTTCCAGACCGCAAAGCGTGGGTCTTTCGCAGTACCTCGGCAATGAAACGTATGTACCCGATCAATTAGATAACCTCATTAGCAGAGGAGGCAACAGTCAACAAATTCAAAAGCTGCAAACTTCCAAAAGATCACCAGATAGATCATCAATTCACTGAGTACCAAGAAGCCGTCTTCTAAACTATGAAAGCCACCTAAGCCTGGTTCGTTCTATTCGGCATGAGCTCAGTAATCAGTTATTCGTCACCGTGACAAATTTTGTCGAGTTTTGATGTTCTTTGAGTATTATTCGTCCCGTCGGGATGTTTATTCATATTCCTCGTGAAGCCAGGATTAAAGATGAGTCAACGAAATGTATCCTCTACTGGTCCAAACTCTGCATTTTAGGTCTCTATCCTGCGCCGTACATCAGCAGTATAAAGGGCACATTCTGTGGTAAAGTTCGTTCATTATGCCTTTACAAGATTATCAGATCGCTCACTGATTCATTCTATTGTTATAATTGCCTCTGGAACACCATGGCAGCTCAACAGGTTTCCAAGATTTTCGTCGTTGGTGGGACAGGCGCCCAGGGCATTCCAGTTATCTCGAGTCTAGTGCGCGACAAGAAGTACCAGATCAAAGTACTTACCCGCTCCCGAGACTCCGCTCGTGCTACATATCTGGCATCCCTTGGAAACGTTGAATTTATCGAAGGTACTTTTGCTAGCGAATCCGACCTCCGTCAAGGCTATGAAGGCTGTGACGGCGCATTCATCAACATCGATGGGTTCAATTCCGGAGAGAAGACCGAGATGTATTGGGCAATCCGCGCTTATGAGCTTGCCCTTGAAGCGGGCTTGAAGTTCTTTGTGTACGGAAACCTGGATTACGGATATAAGAAGAGTGGATACGATCCCAAATTCCGCTGCGGCCATTACGACGGAAAAGGACGAATCGCCGAATGGATACTTCAACAGAACCAATTCAACCAGGGCCGGATGAAGGCCTCTATTTTCACAACCGGTCCCTATATCGATATGACCATTGCAAATGTGACACCAATGACTCCGACAGTGGAAGATGGGATTGTTACTTGGCGCGTGCCACTTGGTTCAGGCGCTGTACCTCATGTCTCGCTCGAGGATTGTGGGTACTACGTCCGATGGCTTTTCGAAAATATCGACAAAGCAAATGGACTTGATCTTGAGGTTGCAATTGAACATGTTCATTATGAGGATCTTGCTCGCGCCTTTGAAGCCGTCACAGGCCATCCGGCGCGCTTCATCGATATGGATCTGGACACATACTGGGCTACAGGACCGCTGAGCAAGGCCGCCGACTTGGGGTGTGGTTACAACTCTGATCCCAGTGATCCCGCTTTCATGACGATGCGACAGAACTTCAGTGGCTTTTGGAATCTGTGGAAACATTCTGGCCGCAACCAGGGGATAGTCAAGAGAGATTACAAACTGCTTGACGAAATTCATCCTAACAGGATCAGAACTGCTGAGCAGTGGTTTCGCGAGATGAATACCCGGGGAATCGAGGATGGTAGTGGTTCTATTTGGGGAGAAGATACAGCCGGAAAACCTGAAGCCTGTGTTGAAGTTAGCGGAGGATGGCAGGCAAGGGCGACTTTGAGTCATTTCCGCACGCTGGGCTCTACTACTTCAGCATGCCCGCTTTTGCATGAAATGTAGACCCAAGGTGAGACAACTGGGAAGTGAAGGGATTTAGCAAAAGCAATAGGATATTACCTCTCATACTGGTATTGCATGTCTTTAAATTCGTATCCTTGACAAAATTGTGAGGAGAAAGGTGAGGGAGCTTCCTTGATACAATCGGACTCGACCTGGGCTATTCAGTCATGGAAGGACTCTTGAGGAGTACAAGCTCTTTACAAGCTCTTGGCAGTCAACTGTGCGACATTTCCCCTACATTTTGCCTTCAAGGAGCCCATTGATAGCTCTGGATGACCTAGACAGCGAGTCGGGTTTGTGTACGGGCTTGTGTGTGGTAGGAAATGCCGCTCATTTCACGACTCCGTTTGCGGGCGATGGTGTTGATTGCACTTTGCGTAATGCGTTAGTTCTGGCGCGTCTGATTGAAGATCTTGGTGTTACTGATCTTGCCGTTGCTGAGTACGAGAAGAAGATGTTCTCATGTGCTTCTGATACGATTACCAGAAGTATGGCTACCCAAGAATTACTCTTCGAATTTACCACTCGGAGGTCTTTCATGGAGAATATGAAATCTGAGAATCCGCCTGCAAAGTTTCATCTCGACTATTGAGAATATTCAGATGTGGGGGGTTCTTATGACCTTGCGGAGCCTCTGCCCTCAAATCCGAAGTTATGATCCAGTGGCAGGATGCCCCACAGAGATTATTTTGAACAAATTGATTCTGTGGAAGAGCAGAATAGCAAATAGCAAAAAGCTTGGTCGCCTAGACATGTAACAAATAGTTCAATTCCCTGGATCGTTCTTTCAAGGCGCAAGTTTTCGCATAGGAAATTTTGTGCTACATGCCCTTGGTAATTGACTCAGTTTGGTATCAATTGATAGCTTTTGTGGAGGAGAACAGTGAGCTTTGGAATGAATAGTCGTATCCACCGATATATAGATCGTGATCAGCACGTCCACTTTACTCGAGGGTATAGGCTCGATTGAGGAGCGCCATGATCAGTCCATGCGCGCCCATCCCGTTCCATCAGAGCTGTACCAACGGGTTTGGGCGATGGTCTTACCCCCCCGATCTCAATTTGAACTTGAAATTTCGCCAGACTGCGACCAAAAACTCTTATCGCCCGTTTGATCTTCGTTACCTGTTGACTCTCTGGAAATCGGCGACCGAATTAAAGCTTCTTTGAAAATAGAGGCCATGAGACCTGTAATGTTATCGTAGTCGATATAACGTGGCCCAACTCTGGCTTTTAGCACCTTGGAAGTGATCTAGATCAAATAAGCACATCGACCCAATCAAAACTCACAATACATACCTTGCCATTATTAGCGATGCGATAGAACCAGAAGCCAATGGCATCGGTCCGTAAGCCATATACAACACAGTCCTTTTTCCCGCGGGCCTTTCGATAGGAGTGGATCATACCTACTACTAAGTTAGTCGTCTGTATCACAGACAGTGACTGTTGCTTCACTCACTCATATAAGCAGCTAGTTGGTTCCAACCGCAGCATGTATAACGTGTGTTCCGTGAGCAACAAGCAAAATCAGCCCGCTTCGCGGCGACGACGACGAGCTTAATAGCCTTCCTCTCCTCGGCACTGTAGTTGAGCATGTAGTCCGGGATACCTGACAGAGCATACAATCTGCCCTCGTATTCAACGGGGTATCTGCACTCTGTCCTTGTTTGTAACCGTAGATTGTTCTGGTCCTTGGGTTGTATTCGACTGACGATATGGTCAAACAGTGTCTCCAAACAGACCCGTATCATGAAATCATCGTACAATGGGTCGAAGTGAGTGTAGTAAAATCCTGTTTGAGTGAAGTTTAGTACCTGTAACATCTGCCCGACATGATAACACACACTGAATCTCACGTCTTGACGTTTGTACATCCAAGGCTTTTTCTTCCTCGATATTTTAGACTTTGTGAACATGGACTCAAGGTCGTCAGTGTTGATGGCATTCACGGAGAGTCGGGGAAGCGACCCCAGTCCGACCTGTTGATGCATTTTGTCCGCGTGGACATTGTTACATTGGTGTTCTACATCGGATGTACTGAGACGTTCCATCCCATTCCGGAGGGCCTCGCCATCACCCTCTATGTTTGGAAGACTTCGCATTTTAATTTGAGAGCTGTAGGAGTGGAAGAAAGTTCAGAGTTACGTCTCATGCATTTTAACTCAAAGCTTTCTCCGTTCCCGGATAGGCATAACTAGTTACAACCGGAGACGCATTATCTCTGGTTGAGCTTCACTTTGACTCGTTTGAATGACCCTAAAAGGTACGGAGGACGTCTTGGGATCCGAAGATATGGGCCTATTCCGTTTTAAGAATCGGTATCCTCTCCTTGCAATCAAAAAATGACGAACTGAGCTAATATGCTGTCATACCCAAACGCCGGTGTCATGTAACAGTGCAAATCTATTTGTTTTGGTCGTTTCCCATAAAGTCTTCATGAAGTATCACGCTAGCACATCCGTCACACAAGGCAGTGGACTGCATGGTCCCACGGCATGAACCCCTTCAGCTGCTTCCATTTCCTTGTATAACACTGGCCACCACAGGAGGCAGAGGGGCCGGAATGGGTGGTCCGTAGGGGTCAACAGCCGTTCGAATAGAGCCAGTGCCTTCTTTCAGGTAGAGAACAAGACGGTAGGCCGAGTTGCCATTCAAATAGTATCGGTGGAGTTGCTTGCTGCGGAGGAAGCCAAGGCGCTCGTAGAGTTTCATCGCGGCAGTATTGGTGATTTCGGTTTCGAGGGCGATCTATGATGCTTGTTAGCACAGAATTAGAAACCAAAAAAAAAACAATAATGAACATACCTCATCGGCGTCACGCTCAATCATGGCGTCAATGGCCATGCGCACTAGCTTCGTCGCAATTCCGCGGCCCCGATACTCCTTGTTCACAGCCAGCATGGCAATATACCCTCTCAGAGGGCCACCGCGATGCGGCTCGAGTTTGGAAATAACTACACCGATCATTTCGTCTTTCTCGTCCATCGCCAGGAAGCAAAGGTCGCCCCATTGGTACAGGAAGTAGCGGTAGACGTAGATGCTGTAGGGCTCGGAGAGGTCCTTGGCGATCAGCTGGCGCATGCCGGCAACGTATTCATGTTCACGGGCACCATCATAGCGCACGTAGTGAATCTGATCGGGGGCATCTTGGCTCATCGCCGCGGCGTCATGAGGAGAGAGGGAGGGTTGGTGGTTGGTGGGATGAGAAGGCGGAGCTGCCAAAGGTCCCGATTGCCATGTGACGCCGATCCGTCCGCAACAGGCACTTTATTGGAATTCCCATTCGGCTTCTCCCATTCTTGCTCCTCCCCCGAACCTCTTTTCGAATTGAGGTTGGGTCTCATTGTTACTTTACCTTCGGTCGGAGCGGTCGCTATGCTGCGTCGCCGCACGGGAAAGGACGAGGTCCCGGGCTCGGACTCGTCCCGCATTAGCAGACCCCGGTTCAACCGGATCAAAACTGAAGAAGACAAGCTCCGTGAGGAGTTTGGCGGCGCGAAAGTCAAGCAGCTGGTGATCCGACCTCGCAGTAAGCGTCGCAATGGATTCATTTTCGTGCTGGGCGGCTTGTTCGGTATCTTCATCGCCCTGTTCTTCGCGAATCAGCAGGAAGTCATTAGCTTCGAATCGCTGATGGACTTGAATCTCGACTCATTAATTGATGCCATTCCACAAGGAATCATAAGCGATGCTAAGCAGTTCATGGTATGACATCTTGTCCTTTCGTATTCATCTAGCTCTGCCTTACTAACGGATCGCCATCTAACAGCAGCATGACCCCGACACTGTTACTTACGATTCCTTCTCTGTCGGACTACACCTACAGTCGCAGGGCGTCAAGGCCAAGCATCCCGTCGTTATGATCCCTGGGGTCATCTCTACTGGCCTCGAGAGCTGGGGAACGGGTATCAATTCGCGGCAGTACTTCCGGAAACGACTCTGGGGCAGCTGGAGCATGATGCGGGCCCTGGTGATGGATAAGGCCGAGTGGAAGAATCACGTTATCCTCGACCGCGAGACAGGCTTGGACCCGCCGGGCATCAAGCTTCGCGCGGCGCAAGGATTCGATGCAACAGACTTCTTCATCACGGGCTACTGGATTTGGAACAAGATTCTTGAGAACCTCGCGACGATCGGCTATGATCCTACAAATGCGTTCTCCGCTGCCTATGATTGGCGACTGTCGTACCCTAATCTTGAAGTCCGCGACCATTATTTCAGTCGACTAAAGTCTTATATCGAGACTGCTGTCGAGGGGCAGGGCGAGAAGATCACTTTAGCGTCCCACAGTATGGGATCGCAGGTCGTTCTCTACTTCTTCAAGTGGGTTGAGAGCGATGATCATGGCAAAGGAGGTAAAGACTGGGTCAACAAGCATATTGACTCATGGATCAATATCAGCGGATGCATGCTTGGTGCCGTCAAGGGACTGACAGCTGTGCTGTCTGGGGAGATGCGCGACACAGCCCAATTGAACGCCTTTGCCGTGTACGGCTTGGAGAAGTTCTTGTCCAGGGAGGAGCGAGCAGAGATCTTTCGTGCGATGCCGGGTATCTCCAGCATGCTACCCAAGGGCGGCGAAGCCGTCTGGGGCAATGGAACCTGGGCACCGGACGATCAGCCCGGCCAGGCTGTGAGCTTCGGCAATCTGATCAACTTCCGGGAGACCAATTCCTCCTGGACACAGCGCAACCTCACTACAGCCGATAGTCTATGGTATCTCCTGGACCAGAGTGAGGACTGGTACCGCAACCAGGTATTGGGCAGCTACTCGCATGGAGTTGCACACACTAGGAAGGAAGTCGAAGCCAACGAAAAAGACCCGCGAACCTGGCTCAATCCCCTCGAGACTCGTTTACCTCACGCCCCCGATATGAAGATATACTGCTTCTACGGCGTGGGCAAGCCCACGGAGCGCAGCTACTTCTACCAGGAAGAGCTCGACCCATTGACTAACCTGAACGTCACCATCGACACCACAGTCACCACCGACGAGAATATTGATCGTGGCGTACTCATGGGCGAAGGCGACGGCACAGTCAACCTGCTGAGCACGGGCTACATGTGCGCCAAGGGCTGGCGCATGAAACGATACAACCCAGCAGGGACGAAAATCAAAGTCTTCGAGATGCCCCATGAGCCCGACCGCTTCTCGCCTCGGGGTGGGCCCAACACTGGTATGTTCTACATTCCCGAGTGCTATTGTAAACCCTTTAACCCAGACCAGGCGATCACGTCGATATCCTCGGCCGTGCCTCACTCAATGACCTGATCCTGCGCGTAGCAGCCGGTCTAGGCGACGAAATCGAAGAGACCTTCGTTTCAAACATCCGCGAATACGCGGATCGAGTCCAGATATTTGACGACGAATAGACATGATCGAAATGCGAAGGGCGCCTGTCAATTTCTTATTTTTTGTTTTCCATTTCTATGACCTTCTGATATCCACATACACCCGTCAAGTTCTTGCGTATTGCAAATGTCTAGATGGAAGGGGCATGGTTTGTGCCTGGGCTGGCGGTTCCTGTATATTCATCTCTAGACGAACATCCAATTAATGAAAGAAAGCATGATTTTTTTAACCCATATGTTTATTTACGTACGAGACGAGGCGGGGTCTCGAAATCTTGGGAGTTCCGATGCAAGGCTTCTTGACGTAAGAAACCTGGGTCCCTTCGGGGTATCATCTCGTATTGATTGCCAGATGCGTCTCAGCCTGGAGAGAGAGTCATCTGACCGAATCTAGAACTAAGCGAAATTCTAAATTTCCAATCAGAATCCAATGACTCTCATTCAGGTCTCGGGTAACTTTTGATTTTCTCGTCTCATGGCTTTAAAGACTGCGTCTGAACCTTGGGACGGGTGCACCCTCACGACGGCTACTGATAATGAACGAACAATATTGAGGGATGACCCCCTCTCCGGCAGGCCTCGGAAAGGCACATGCAGAGTTAGCCTGTAGGATCGACGTGCAGTCGAGCGAGTCGGTGATAAGCAAGGCGGGGGCGCTTAACGTGTCCAACTGGCATTCCAAGTATCGCGAGGGGGATCTGCATGGGCTGAGACTGAGTTGTTCGGTCTGAGATTTGATGTTCAATGAGGCGAGGCTGGTAATTATACGGAATGGTATAGAAACAGTTGTGAACTGTATAGTAATGTACAATTCTTCATAACTTCATCTAGGGATTATGAATAATGCTAACGATATCCCCAACGGGGTGGCCCCGCTGTACTCCCGACTCACACACACTTACCCTCTTCTTCCTCCCCGAAAGAGGCTAGACATGAGGGTTCACACATTATTGTGCTCGTCATTGTGGATTCGCGCTTCATTCCAGCCAGAAGCGAAGATATCGACGTAGGGTCGGAGAAGCGACCTCCGTCAGCCGTTTCCCCTCCCTCGCCCCCCATCGCTGAGCTCATAGAGTCCCAACTATTCACCTGCTTTGGAGGTCTCCGTTTGGATACTCCATGCCGACGCCGGTAATCACCTGCCAGCGGCGAAGGCACCAAAACGAAGGGCAGACCGAAATAGACGATCAAAGGCATCCCTTTCTCTATGTGCCGATGCAAAAAAAAACAACAATGTCCTCAAAAAGCAAAGATTCAGATTTTCTGTTGCACAGCGAGTGGAATGCAAGCAATGGCGCCGAAGCTTTTTGTTCAACCGAACCCGAAGTCCCCAGTTCCCAGGCGCCAGTCATGAGCGATCGACACGAATGATAAAAACGTTTGTGCATCTAGACGAGCCCGAAGCGAATGATAAAAAAGGTGGCTCGTCCAGTCGGAAAGTCATAACGAAAGACATGGGTCAGAATAGAATGGTAAAAGTGTAGATCGTTTGCCGGAGGGAACGTCTGTATCTGTACAAGCGAAGGTTTCCCGACGGTGGCAGTGCGAGGCGCAAAAACCCCGAGCAGGCGAATGGGGGCCCGCCACCGGAATTAATATTATAGACGGAGAAAGTCACTTCACAGGCGAAGTGAGAGAGGCATGTGCAGCCAAAAGGTGGAAAAAGAGAACCTTCGGCTCGGCTCAAGGCGGATCGAGAACCGCGCGAACCGGAGGTTTTCACGTGGATTAAAAACCTGTAAGTGTCGAAGATGGCTCGATGCAGATAATGGTCACAACATTGTCGTCAAGTAAAACGCCGTTTCAAAAGATCAGATGCAAGAATGAACAATGGTCGATAATGGATATATGCAGGTCGAGGATTCTTTTAGCGGCCGGCCTCGAGGTCGTGATTGGAGGTCAGAGTCTCACTCTCCCAAGTGTAGTGGTCGTCAACGGGGGAGAGGGAGCCTGAAGAGATCGAGGACGAAGAACCCACAGTCCACTCGTCGCTGTCTAGGTTGAGGTCACCGTCCAGGCTGGCGAGGTCGTAGCCAAATTCCCGCGAGGCGTCACCAACTTCAACATAATCGTAATGCCAGCGGAACATCTTGTCGCTCTGGGCACGAGGCAGGAAGCGAGTCTTGGCAAAGTAGAATGCTACGGTGGCCAGCAGACCACCACAAACCAGATCAACAGCGTAGTGGTGGGAGAGGTACATGGTAGCCCACCACATCCAAAGAGTGTAGGTGACCCAGAGGGGCTTCAACCGCGGGAAGACGTGGCTCATGAACAGAGCCGCGAGAGTAGAGTCGGCCGCGTGAAGCGAGGGGAAGGCACCGAAGACCACGGGTGACTGCTTGAAGCCCGAGGTATAGAGGTCGATTCCGAGAAGCTTGTCGATACGGGCAAGACCAGCGGGGTTGCCTTGCATCGAGTAGTCTGCCGGGGCAAGACCGTACAAGTTCTCGTACCACGGGGTGAGCAGGGGAACACCAACTGGATTGTGACGGCCAACATGCTAATATAACCGAGAGTCCGGGCAAAGAGGGGGGTCGTGCCCGGAGGACCAAAGATGAAGAGGAGTAGAGAGACGACAAAGGGCGCTCCATAGTGGCAAAGGCCATAGGGGATCCACGCCAGAATGTCAAGGACAACGTTCTGGTGAGCGGACAGGATGTTGCTGATGTTAGCACCGTACAGAATGTTCTCCATCGCCGGCAACACCCGGACCCAAATGGCAGGCCGCCAGTCGCTAGGAACGAACCTATTCACGCATTCAATTAGCCATGTTCAGACCGCCTTGCGCTCGACATAATTTGCCTCGCGGAGGCGCATTCCCCAGGAGTGGCAAGACAGGTATGAAACTTACTGGCATCCGTAAAAAAAAATTAGCCATCCGGCAATGGGCAAAAATGGCAGGAAGAATTGTCGGGTGATGGGTAGAAGCAGGGAGAATAGGAGTAGGGTCGAGATCGCAGTCTTGCCGAGCGGGCCAGCGGATTGAATGATCGTTAAGGAGAAGATGCCGATAATGAGAAGCAGGAGGTACTGGAAGTCGTACATCGTCCACCTATGTGCTTGGAGGGAGCGCAGAGTATCGACGGGCGAGAAGGAGGTCTGCAACGTCGAGATGGACGAAGTTGGCGATAAGCGACTCCGGAGCTTGGAGCGGATCTTGCGGCGCATTCGATGCGGCACAAGCATCTGAAATGAACGCCATGGCATCTGAATTTGGAGTTTGCCGAATTGGTTCTGTGTGCGATCCTTCCATGACGGATAGGTATTCATCTTTTCGCGGCGAGTCTCCCTCCAGGAGACTCTGGATCACTCGAGGAGAAAGGGTGAAAGGTCGAGAGATACCGCGAGATAAGACGGAAGGAAGTCGCGGAGCGTTCAAAGAGGACGAATTCAACGTGGACCGGCCGGCATGCGAAGGGTTAAAGAAGAAGGTAAGCAAGGCGCAGAGCCTAAAAGGTGTGAGAGTCGGAGGAGGGGGGCGAGGTAAGGATTAAGAAGGGGAAGATTGCATGTTGAGAGGATTCCGTATCGTGTATTCGTATTACGGCGTTCCCGGTTTTGACTCTGGCGAGTCCATGGCGTCACTAGTCATCTTCAGGGGCCCGTCTCTTTTGATGCAACGTGCATGTGGTCATATGCGGTAATTTCGGTATTAGGTGCACTACATAGGTTACTACTTGCTCAACGGCGACGAAGCTGTCGATACTGTGTGTATAATCAAGTGCTTCAGTGAGAAAGAAAAACAAAAGTTTTCTAAATCGTATTCTATACAGCGTCCGGAGAAGTGCCGGGCGGATGCGGCGGAACGGAGTGAACGGAGGCCGATCGGGCAGATGCACGAGAGATCACAATGCCTTCCGGAGATTACTGGATTGAAAGACCGAATATACCAAGACCGAGGCTGATTCTTCTTGGTCATACTATTCTCTGTTCTTCCACTAGATCCTTATGGTTCAGACCCTAGTGGTCTTGGGAGGATAGCAGTCCACACAGGCCTGATATCTGATCTATAGACTAAGCCATGTCCTGAAAGAAATTAATAAAATACCGTGCCCGAGGATCTTATTCCTTGCAAATAAAGAAAATAAAAAATAAAATGCAGTACGTTGTGCAGGGAGGGTGTATTAGTCGGGACGCAAATTTTCGTAAATTTTCAATATAAGATCCATTGCAAGGCGCCAATTGGTCATCACTGGCCTTTTGTGACCCCATCGTTCCGAATGGTATCCAACAGTATCCTCAGCTGGTCCGCCCAATTTCGCTTAATCCACCCCAGTTGTACAGACCGTATTCTCTGTAATGTAAGGTGTGTCGCCGTGGTGATTATTCACCTGGAATCAAGCTGCAACGACCGTTCCAGGGTACTGTCTCCCTAATTTTCACGGCCGACCCAAGGGAATCCTAGATGATCCTAGGGGATCCCAGGGGATCCCATAGGGGCAGGTACTGAATATGGACTACTGAGGCATCTCCACAGCGAATGACCCGGCTACTCGGCGAAACAGCTAATGATATCGCGCGTGGTCGCATGTACAGTCGCGTGTCTATGAGACAAATCAACCATGAAGCTGTGTTTGACAGCTCTTGCCCTGATAGGAGTACTGTATAGCTCGTAGCTCGGCACAGTGGAAAGGTAAAAGGTAAAAAGCACCGAAGATTTGGACTAGCTCTGCACTATCGGACGCTATTGTTATGAATGGCCCATTTTGGTTGGGGATCCAGCGCGTAGATGAGGATGTGCAGGGCTTCGTACAAGTGTCTCAGTAGGGGATGACCAGCCACCCAATTTTGTCCCTTGTGGCGCGATTCCAAATCCTACTGCTTAAAATCGGTCTAGCGCACGTACTCGTAAAAGCATCGTGAAGGAGGACCGTCTTGTCGTCTTGCCGTCTTCGAGTTTCAGCTTCTTGTGACGCGCGACCGCGGCCAATCGTGAACAATGTTGGGGGTCAAAGCTCCCTTGTGCCTGACGAGGCGTTATTCATCTATCGAGCTCTAAGTTGTGTAAGCGTAGCTTCGCCTAGTCATGATACAGAGTCCAGAGCAGGGAGTAAACACCGTACAGTTATAGGGTTAACTTGACCACAGCTGAAATTGGCCACGGAAATCAAACTTGCATACCAGTAGAGATGGCCTTAAATCCTGGCGAGGTCGGCCCAGTTGGCTCCAACTTGATGTACTCGCTCTCGAGATTGTCGTCGCGCTGCTGTGGGTCACTGCTGTCCACTGTGTCGAGTCAATCATGGAGCATCGCGATACTCTCTGATGGGTCTTACCAGCCACACTGCTTGTCTCTAGCCACCATACCACAAAGTATACTGCGGAAATGCGCTACCACAATCAGGGACAGCAAGATTTCGGTAAACGTGATCGTCGTGCCCATTGCTCATCGGGCAGCGAATTCGTTTTCCTCAGAGGTAGGTACCCCTGAAGTCAGGACAAGGTACGGTCTAGAATGATGTTGTCTTGAAAGGATATCACAGAGTCTGAGTCGGAATGAAAGTGATGATATGCGTTGTGTCACTGCCATTGCTTTGAGAGCTTGAGTTAATATCTAGAAGCTTCCTAACTTTGCCTGGCTCGACGTCGCCATTGCCAGGTTAAGAATCGGAAGTGACTTGAAGGTATGGTACATCATAGTCACTATTCCGCGACAACAATCAAGACGACATCAAATTTCTATCCTCATTCACTTGATCATCACATGCTTCTAAAAGCTACTGATCCAAAATAATAACATCATTGACCTTCAGATTCTCTTCTACGCCCGATACCCCTATTCAACTTCAGGAATTGTGCAAAGCGCGACCGATGAGAAGCAAATGAGTTCAGTCTTCAGGGGTTCTTCCATATTTGTACACAGATAGCAAGCGCCCCCGCACCAAATCTCCCACAAAGGAATCTAGCGACACCACCACCAAAGACAATGTCACGAAGCGTCTAGCTCCCATAGACAGGGGGTCCTCAGCCTCCCACGTCGCGGAGCTCGAGCCCAATCACAGACCAAAGACCTGTACCAAGAGCCGGGGAGCGTACAAGACACGCCGACCGTCTCAACGCAAAAACCAAAGACGGTAACGAGAGTACCCAGCAGTTTTCCGTAACAGCGTAATACTCGCACTCAATTTTTTAGCACGTCGAATACTCGTACTCGTATACTGACGTTGACCAATCTTTCGGGACTGGCGGTTGCCTGGCACGAAGTGGGACCCCCCCCTGGGAGAACAGATGAAGCAAGACTTACTGATTCCTTGACCCTTAATCTCGCGCGTCGTGTTCAAGACGTGTCCGAATATCCTCGCTGCGCCACCATACGGAAATATGCATGCTGACCTCATAATTGTTTCTTGGTCTTTATGGGGATTTGGTTGGAATCCACTCACGGCTGCTTACTCCGCTTTCTGTAAGGACTGGGAATGTGCGTGGTGGAGGCTGATGGGCCCTGGATTCGGGGAGGACTATTTCTGGTTATTTTCAGTGCTTCAGGATCTTACTGTAGGTGGGAGCTGGGAGCCTTGTTCGGGCGTAGAATTGGGCTGAGATTTCTTGCTGACGAGAACTCTACTGATCTCTTCTTTGTCATTATTCTCTGTCAGAGTTTTGTTTTCTGAGCTAGTACAGTCTGTTCTCTACTTCTTTACATTTTGACGTTTTTATCAAAAGCAAGGTTATGGGCAGTGGGGTTGCGCTATAGAGACGTCAGTATCGATCGAGATTGAGTCTCCCGATCTAGTAAGCCAAACTTGGAAAATCTGGAGATCTGGCGGTCAACAGTGGCATGTGGCATGTGGCATGAGTCTAACATTCCAATCATCTAGATCATGACAAACGCCACGACAGGCGTGGAGACAATAAGGGTACCTATTCTCCTCCCATCTTGCCAGCTTGATCGCGGCCTCGTTTCTTACGACCCCTGACACCCGTCTGCCGTCCTTGGCATTTGCACAGCCAGGATAGTCGGCCATCGTGATAGTCTCTAGGCATCAATATGGAATGTGCAGCCTCACTAAGCCACAGCCACATCCACCTCCAGTATGGTCCCTAGTAGGATACTGTCCTAGCGCTTCGTAGATCAAGACGTGTCCTGCACAAGCGTGGCCCCAAACAGAAATGGAGAATGCGCAGCACCTCCCCAGAATGGCAATTTCCTGTAAGTAATTTTCATGGAAATTGCAATGCTACTAGAATGTAATTCAGTATGTAATGGAGCAGCGCCTGAAATTTTACTCTAGTAGTGGTAATCTAGAAGGATACCGGATCCGGATGGCAACCGGATGATGAGCCCATGAGAGCAGGATGACGCAATGGTCATAGTCTGTCAAATCCCGGGCCGATACTACGCCACGTCGATACATGACTGTCGGGATTCGTCGCGGATGATCGGGACTCGCGATTGAGTTGACGCTTACCCTTGATGTGGATTTGCGGCGTCGGTGGTGGTGCCGAGTTCCACGGTTCTGGCGCCGGGAGTGAGGCCGAACTACAGACCCGCTCTCTTCGACCTGCTGAAACATGCCAAGGGCTATAAGAACTATGGGGGAAAGTATTGAAGCGCATACATGAGGCGTAAGTTGCAGTCAATGGAGATGAAGAAGTCCATTGGGGAAATGAATGAGTCAAACCACTTAAAGTCTATGTACTGTGGATGCTTTTGCAAGGCGCCTGGCCCAAGGAAATATTAACCCGCTAACGCCAAACCAGAGTCGTAAGGGAGATGCCCTGTCGCCAACGCCGAAAGAGGAAAGAACAAACCATGTGAGCCAGATTTGAGGGTATTATGGGGTATCGGGGTGGGTTCAATCTTGCTTGGGGTGGTCGGGGTGATCGCCTTGAGCCATCATCTGGAAGGCCTTGACCAATCCCATCGCCGAGCCAGCAGCAATACCTCCGACAAGAACCATTTGCACGCCTCCGATGAATCCCTTGCGGACGTTCTTTCGACCTTTCCAGCCACTGACGAAGCACGTCTTACCGTACCCGAAGAGGAATAGAGCAACGACCATTGTTGCAATGGACCAGCGCAAAGCGACGAATGCATCGTGGGGACCGACGAAGAAGTAAGGTACCAGAGGTACAAATCCACCGATGAAGTAGCCCAGGGCGATGGTGAGGGCGCAAATGACAGCTCGAGATTCTGAGGGTTCGGAGAGGGTGTGGTGGAAGTTCATGAGGAATGAAGGGAGCATTGGCGAGACAGCCAGGTGGTTGGTGAGTTGGGCCACCAGCTCCGATGGCAACTCATAAGGCTCGAAAATGTCGGAGATCGTGGCAGAGACGGAACCAGGATCGGTCACGGTTTGCGATTGAGTCTCCTTCAGTGTAGCCTTGTATGATTCTCTGTCTCTCTGTCAGTGGGGCCGTTGCTAAAAGACGTTGTCTCCATCTGTGAAACCCACTCTTCACTCTTGGCTCCAAGGTATCCACCGAGGCCCATGGAGATGGCACCTGCAATGAGCTCGGCCATACCACCGAAGACAACGACCTTGGTATCTCCAAGAGCAGACAGGCCTGCGGTGAGGGCAAAGGGCACTGTCATGCCATCGGAGAGACCGATGATGGCGTCGGATACGGTGCGACCGTCAATGAAACGACCAGACTTCTTCTCCTCCCGTCGGACCTGTTTCTCACCGGTCTCGACATCCCGCAGACGCATATGCTCTTCCTTCTCGTCGTCGGTACCCGAGCTACGATCGGACAACCGCGAGTAGCTCGACATGAGACCGTTCAATGAATTAATCGACATTTCGACTATTGACCAGCAACGAGTACCACTGCAAAGACCAGTTGAAGAAGTAAGCACACGACAGAAATAGAAGAAAAAAGTCGAGCGACAGATGGGACTTAAGTCAGATCGAGTCAAGCCATGTGCCTCGCTTGGAAGTCGCACTTAAGTGTGGAGACGATAGACATTACCCCCCCTTGGTACAAGAGTAGCAGAGCCTATAGAGATGCACGTGCTTGGCATCCATTGCCACAACACAACGAACGCACGGCCCATACTCTTCGCCGTGGTCCGCTAGGGGAAAACGTGCCTCAACTTTTGATCTCATTGGGCCAGTGTGGGGTTGACAGAGGATGGCTTTTCAGGGGTGAGCCAATCAAGTCATCCTGATTTGCTAGCAGATCAGACGGCTCCATTTTCATTCTATGTCTCCTCCATCTCTCCTCTACTTCGGCATGAAAATGCTTGATTTGCGAGCAACAGGATTAGGGCGTGTTGCCGAGTCCCGACGTGGTCTAGGCCGACATTCCTGTCAGGATTCTCCTTATCGCCTCCGCCCCCACCTATCTACAGGGATAGGATTCTATCGCAGAGTCTAGCGCGTCCATCCGCCGGTCCCCGTCGAGTCAGCAGTCCTGACTCCAAACGCTGTGGGCGTGCTGATTCTTAGTGTCAGCCATCTTCCTCGTGGCCTCGATAACTTCGGTCACAGGCCCGGATGAGTTGTGGGCTAGATTGCCCCGTAGATAGTGAGCACGCAACGAATGGCGGGTGAGTGGGTACAGACAATAAAAAAAATGTGGGGAAGAGTGTGTCAATGCGAAGTCTCTAGGAGGAAGAAAATTATCCACTTAAGATGGGCACCTTTTGCCTGCTGGCTAAACTGTGCAGAACTTCCTTTTCATCGATTCCTTTGTATCTTGTGAATCGCCGTTTTAAGACAGAGACGAGATCGCTGGTTGAGGGTATAGCATGCTGAGCACTGGCCCGATTAACTCTAACGGCCAATTCAAGACTGCCGGATCTACCTGTGGCTTCGTGTGCGTCGCACACGTACACACCGGGCTGCTGGTCATATAACAAAGTCACGGGGATCATCTGTGCCACCCCACTCTTAGACTCACTGAGCAACGAGGATTCAGCCGGGAGAGAAAAAAAACGCCGAGCTCACTTGAGTTTCTAGTCACCCCAGCGGATAAATCATAGTACAACGAGACTGATGTCGTAGCCTTCTAGATCAAGACAGTAAGGTGCATAGTCTGCTAATCATCAACTTCGATGAGTAGCGTAGACTCGCAAATGAACATCCCTCAACACGAGAATAAAATCCCCTCAAATAGAACCTTGGGGGAATACGACGTGAGATATGATTCTACTTGTCTTGGCGTACGGAATTCTAGACGGAATATCCTTTTAGCGTTAGAGACCTACAGTTCATAGCGTCTCCGGCTTCTTGTTATCTCGTCCTATTTTCCAGAAATTGTCTCATTCATGACGAAGGTACCGTGGACGCTGAGAACTCGGCCTGTCCTCATTCCTCAATTCTGCGAATCCTGCACCTTCTGCAGGAGCTGTGATGACTAGAAGGTCTCAACACTCGAGTCTAGTGGATGCCGTCCTTTGAGTCGGTCTTCACCGTTGCGCAACGTGATGATACGCCCAACACCCTGGAGGAAGATTGCCATAGTATGGTGGAAGAGGACAGACCAAACCAGACGCCTTCTACTGCCTGAGCCAGAGATATTCTTATTGCGCTTTCCCATAATTGAGGTCGACAAACTCTCTGGTCCAGATGGTGCGCAATTGAAGATGGCCTCCCGTAGGCTCTACCAGCATGAGAAACGAAATAAGTCGCATACGATTCGTGAATCCAGTTGGACCGATTACGACCGTCAACAGATATAGATTTGCAATCAGAGGTTCATTAGAAGAACAGATCTTTGGCATACAAAAATTGATATAGACAAGGCCATAAGGCGGAACCCCATAGTTCAGAGTCGTGATGGCAATGCCATCAAAGGGAAGATCCGTGGGTATAAGGCATGATCGTACATCGTGACACATGGAGCGGTCTCAAGAAGCCGCAAGGATGAAATGCGGAATGGACGTAGAAGTGATCCAGATCGATCGAATCAAGAGACCAAAAATATGCGCAGAAAAGAGAACAATACCCGCGTCGAGTCACCAAGTCCGATTCTCGGCATTCAACTCTCAGAGTACGTGGGCCGAGTGAATCGCCGCGAGCGCTCCACAAAGGATGAAATGAATGTATGTCGAAGGGGAAATGGGCGATTAGTTCGAGTGCCTAGTTAAAGAAAATCAGCCGATATCCCATATTCAATCCAAGCCCCCAAAAAGAAAAATAAAATAAAAAAAAAAAAAAAATAACGTACGGCTTGCGCTTATCACCATTCTTCTGTTCGGAACCAGTCATATCCCAAAGCCGACTCTTGTACGCGGGGAACGAGGTGTGGTTCCACATATTGACGAGGACACTGAAATAGATTAGATCGGCGACAGACCCCCACGCATTCGAGAATAGAGCACGAACCTCTGAGTACGGTCTTTATACGCCTCATCTTTGACCTCCTTCACCTGCACCTTCATACCATCCTTGCTGAAGACCATACTCTTCTTCTCCATCTTCGCGCGCGTGTTCTTGCTGACGTCCTGCACGATTGTGTAAACTACGTAGCCGACGCCCGCGAGTATCGCGACGAAGACGAGAAGAAGAACGAGAGGAAGGATGTTGTGCTTGGACTTTGCCATTGTGAATCGTGAAGTGTGAAGCTGGGAAGGGTGTGGCTGGAGGAAGGCAAGTGGAGGGTGGAGATTCTTTTTAACCTCGGCGCCAAGGGTTTTGTCGCGTGTAGGGCTGGGGCTTTTGCTGGGCGCTGCTGCCTAGAGGGTATTGGTATGCAGAAAGTATTAGTATGAAGGGGTCCAAAGCCCGAGGGAAGCGACAAAAGAATAGAAAAGTGAAATAGTATGACTTGCGCTAGAAGTATCAGGGGTGGTTCAAATCTCACGGATCACGGTACAGGCTCAGGGCCGTGCCGTGGGTGTTGATTCGACGAGAATGATGGCTGTGCCGCGTGGCTTGCTGTTCTATTCTTATATTCTGAGTTCCCCTCTGCCTGATTCCATTTTCTAGTCCCTAGTTGCTATGGTCTACTATACAAATTACTGAGATCGAGATATTTCCTGTGTGTATCTACGATAGATCAAGATAAGTCGACATGCCCTAATGCAGCGCACTGCCAACCCGGCAACCCTCGGCTCGATCGGTGGTATCGCGATTTCATCTGCGTCATCATGATAGAATCTCAAACTCTGGCAACTGGCTTGATTTGGGGAACTTAACTCTAGCTCTCCTTCTTTAGAACTCCGCGAGCCCGACTGCGTACATTGATCAATTCCGTGTCTTGTCCGCAGCCCACAATGTGCGACGTACCATTTATCCCCATCTTCCCGATCTGTTTCCAGTGCGGCACTGATCAGAACCCGTGTCACTGCAAAGTCGTTGGGCCGACTCTAGGTAAGTCTCTCTATCTGGACCTATCTAGAGAGAAAGCGCACTCTTAACGAGATTCATGAATAGGTTTCTGTTGTACTATCGTCGCGGCCGTACGTGAACGATAAGCGATCAACTGTGGCTGAGCTGATGGCTGACTGACGCAGGTGGTTTGTTGGCCAGCATCGATCTTCTGTGGCTGTGGCTGTACTCAGACTGGACGAGAGTATGAACTTGTTCCTTGTTCCTTGTTGGTGACATGGGGCTAATGGGAGACAGTGTGCTCGGATACCCGGTCAAACTAAATGGCCAGGTCAGTAATGCTATACCATTTTGATCGTGGAATGGGGTGCTGCGAGTAGTACTGTAATTTGCGACGGAGTTTGGATTTGTATTTTCGCGTTGAGCCATGGCACCAAGAGATGAATATACGGTGCTCAACACGGTATCGCCTACCAGGGCTGGGGTTCACGTGGAACTACATTACATTTTTTCATGCGCGTATCCAACTTTGTAAAGACTGCAGTGTCAGTAGATAGATGTAAAGTCAATTTCCAGGTTGGTTTCAATTCGGTTGAGGAAATTATCAAGGGGTCATTAATCCAGAAGTGGAGACACTATTAGAGCAGACGAACACAAGCCTTGCTGGAATACAATGCGGTGCAAAAGGAGGTATCCAGGTCAAAATGAAAACAAAGTCAACGAAAGCAGGTACTTCAAAAAACAGACAATTTCCCTCGACTGCTTTAGCCGTCTAGGAGCCGGATCAAAAAATAAAGCTTCTACTTGAGCTTTTCCTTCAACCTTGAGAACCAGCTGCGGCGCTTCTTCTTGTCGTCCTTGCTGCTTCCCGCCGAGGTAGTGGTGGTGCCGGCAGTCTCGGTGGTGCTGGACTTCTGGGCAGGCTTCGGGGTGCTTACTGCCTCGGTAGAGACGGTCACAGGTCCATCAGTAACCAATGGGGCAGTCTGGGTGGCGGTGGCAGGTGTCGAGGTTGGCGCCGGTGCATCAGAGCGGCCCGGAGGAGGAGTAGACATGGGCGAGACATCGGCAGAGTCGAAGCCAGGAGCGGCGAGACCGGCGCCGTGGCCAGGGGCAGTGGGTTGAGTAGCCGCAGAAACCGTAGGAGCCGGAGCGCCGGCCGACTCATTCATGGCAACCTTCTTCTGAAGTTCTTGCTCAACCTCCTTCTTCTCTTCAACCGCCTCCTTGTTGGCTGCTGCCTCGGGGCCATGATTGGATTCGGCGATCGACTCTTTCACAATCTCTGGGACATCCTCGACAGGCGTGGTACCATTAGTCTGCTTGCTGCTCTCGAGAGGAACAGCACCGGCCATGGCAGCTGTGGTTGCGGTAGGACCTGCCGATTGAGTAGTGTAGTCACGGTCGTCGGCCGGCTCCTTGTTCTTCTCGAGGGGTACCTCAGCAGCCAGAGCAGCGGTGGTCGAGTGGGGAGCGGCCGACTGAATGGTGTAGCCAGGATCGGCGGCGGCCTGCTGGTCGCTCATAGCAGCCCGCTGAGCGGGTCCACCCATGGGCAGACTGGACTCGGGAATAACGTTCCTGGAAATGGGGGGCACGGCGAAAGCACTGGAGCTGGCGGTGTCGTTCTGAGTGCCAGCGCTGCCCAGGGGAACACTGTCTCCCTTTTCATACGACTCCTTGTCCAGTTTCACGGTCGAGTCAACGGTGTTGCCATGGATCGAGCTTAGGTCAGGGACCTTCTCGCCCGGGTTCAGCTTGACCGGATTGCCGTAGCCACCCGAGGCGGGAATGGGATTGACGGTTAGGATTTGCTCGGACTCCTGTGCCGGGGTCTCAGGGAAGGAACCGGGAATGTCGCCGTTGGTCTTGGGGACATCCGCAGCGAGGGCCGCGGTGGTGGACTCGGGGGTGACACCAGACATGATCGCGGATGCGGGGTGGGGGGAATCGTGGATCTCTTCAGGCAAGAGCACGTTATTGACGTTGTTATGTCCGTCAGTCTCTTCGCGAGCACGACTATCAGTGGTCCAGATACCGTCCACAACAAACTTCAAAAAAACAAGTCAGCACTAGGATGATCCAAGGTTCGCGAAACAAGCGGTTTTATAGTTATGGAGAGGGTCCGGCCGAGTGACGTCAGTGGACGGGTGAAGCGTCATGGAAAACCGGGGTTGCCTAAAAGGGCTGCCTGAGGCTGGGTATTCTGCTCACCGCAACGTTTTTTTTATCTAGTGCGGCGCAGCAGAAATATCCAGGGCAGGGATATAGATCTCAGTGAGGGGGCACCCACCTTGTAGTGCACCTTCTCAATGGGCAGAGACACCTCCTTGGCGAAGCCATCGCTCACCCGGTCAAGTTTCACCGTCTTACCCCAATCGTCGAACGTGCCCGTAACGAACACCTCGTTCGCGTCGTAGGGCCTGCGAATGCGAGAAACCGTCCCAGTCAGCGCTCCAATTCCTTCCGTCTCTCGGTGCGACTCGATCGGGTCTGGCGCGAATCGAGACGAGTTGAGGGGGGGGTTGATGCGACCATCAGACTTACCATTGGAATGTAAAGAATCCCATCGTGAGAGACTCAGCCAAAATGGAAGATGTGACAGAAGGGAAAGAAAGTGGAAAAGTTGGGAGGAGAAGCAAAGCTATCGGGGTGGGGGGTGACACAGACCATGTTCTCGCCCTTTAGTCTTTAGTCTACGGCCTACGGGCCCTGAATCAAGGTGAACCTTAGCCTAGAGCTTGGAGACTTGGGACTATTCATGTGGCAGGTACTGCGTCGGGCACATGGGGTCCGAGAGTCTTAAAGTGGAATGTTTTAGGTGTGAAGAAAAAAAAAAAGATTAAATTCTCCCATGTAGGTTGCGGTCGCATGAATTTCGAAATGGCTAGGGGGGGGGTGGGGGCGGAAAAGTGGTAGTGACAGACGGGTTGACTCCTGTTCTCTCTGCATGGACATGCGCCCAAGGGGGCCCGATCGACACTACATACTACCCGCACGCAATACTGACTGTGAACTGGATATGCCTAATACTTTAGTGAAATTCCAAGGGAGAAGTCAATTGTGTCTCCCTTCTCTCACGAGACAGCCTGAAAACGGTAGGGCACTGGTGATAATGACCTCAAGAGTCTCCCTCAGCCCATGTTTGCCACCGAGTCCCACTCCTGTGGCGACCAATGTGCAATGATCATCTTCCCTCAGAAGCCGCTGCGTGTTCTAGAAGACACCTGGAAGACGCTGTGACGAAGTTTTTCGCTCTTTTTTCCTCTATGACTTTCATTGTTGGGCAGGTCGTGTGCTTTCCCCTCTGTGTAGAATTGAAAAGGTTAAGCTCGGAACTCTGGATCGGTCGGCTAGCAACCCGTGGGTGAAAGTAACGTCGATCACCATGGTCAGCCAGTAGTGGACTATAGTGGACTGTACTGCAGTAAATTTGGTAGTGTAGAAGCTGTCCTGTATGGTCTATGATCGACGAAGAAGCTCAGACCAACCGCCCCGACTTTACTCCTCCTCTACCCCTCCCCTCTCTCGCTTTCTCTCTCTTGTTTCCATTTTCACAGCTCAATCCCTGAAACCCGGGGAACTTCTCCTTTCTTCTGGAGTCTCGCTGCCTTCTCTTAATGTAAGTGTCTTTCATCCTCCCGAGACCTTCTCTCTCTCCCACGGTCCTATCCCACTTCCCCACCGAGAGGTTTGTCTGAGTCGGCCTCCAATTAGACTCAACCGTGCTCCATCCCCACTCTCTGCTGGCCGACACTGCCCCTCCATTCTGAACGTCTCTCTTCCTGCACCTTTCCTCTTGTCTCAAACTTCTTCTTCATAAAACACTATCCTAACAACCCACCTCAGAGCAGTTGAGTCTCTCACCTCGCCGCCTTGACACCTTTGCAACCACACATTCATATCTCCTTCTAAGTCTGGCCGGAGCCGTGGCCTCTCCGGCCTTTATAACCGCAGCCATGGCGGAAAGCTCTAACTCCTTTCCCGGGACCAACCCCTTCATCAACACCAAACTTGACAAATCCCCCAGCATTCAAAAAATCTCAGAGGATGAGGAATTCGAGGTGACGTCACCAACAGACATGACATTTCGACAGGCCAACGCTGGCTCGGGAAATCCCATCTTCGGAGGCAGTACTTTCGGTGAACGGTCACAAGGCGGAGGCCCTGGAGCCTCATTGTTCGGTGGAAGTCCTTTTGGCACGGGAGCTGCATCGGGTGAGGGCGAGGGCGAGGGCGAGTCTGAGGAAGGCGGCCTGGGCGCTCTGCCTACTGGATCCGCACGGCAAGGCTTCCCTAACAATTATGCGTTAGGTCGTCGTACCTCCGTCTCAGCGGAGTCGTTGAACCCCACGTCTGCGGGCGACGAGAGCTGGGCGCCCCCGCACCACCCCAAGACTGACGAACAGTTGGCTCGCCTCAAGACAGCGGTCAGCAGGAATTTCCTCTTCTCTCATCTTGATGATGATCAGTTCAAAACTGTACTCGATGCTCTGGTCGAGAAGCCTATTCCCGCCAAGGACATCAAGGTGATTTCGCAGGGCGATGCTGGCGACTACTTCTATATTGTGGAAAACGGTTCTTTCGACATTTACATTCACCCCTCTGGCTCCGTGCAGCCAGGTCCTGACGGCCTAGGCAATAAGGTTAGCTCCACTGGGCCTGGAGGTTCGTTTGGCGAGTTGGCCCTGATGTACAATGCCCCGCGTGCCGCCACCGTTGTTTCCACCGAGAAGAGCACTCTGTGGGGTTTGGATCGCATCACCTTCCGGCGAATTTTGATGGACTCGGCGTTCCAGCGACGCCGCATGTATGAAGCTTTCCTGGAAGAAGTCCCGCTGCTCTCCTCCCTCAAGCCTTATGAGCGCGCCAAGATCGCTGATGCACTGGATACCATCAAGTTCCCGGCGGGAGCTACCATTATTGCAGAGGGTGATCCTGGCGACGCGTTCTATTTGCTGGAGTCTGGAGAGGCGGAGGCGCTCAAGAACGGAGCGTCTGTCAAGGAATATCACCGGGGCGACTACTTTGGTGAATTGGCTCTGTTGGAGGACAAGCCACGCGCTGCGAGCATTGTCACCAAAACTGAAGTTAAAGTGGCACGCCTGGGACGAGATGGATTTAAGAGACTCCTCGGACCCGTGGAGGAGATTATGAGACGGGCCGAGTATCAGTTGGATGCGTCCAAGTCCCCCGTTTCTGCTTCATGAATGTGACACGATACGATGAACTCGATTTGGGACATGACATGCAAAAACCCGGACTGCCTGAACCCCGAATTTATACCCTAGGTTATCTTTGGAATGCTATCCGTTGTGACACGTGTGCACGTCTCCTGTTGTTACTTTATTACTCCAATGACTCCCTTCTCTATCTTGATGCCCCACTGATCCGACGTTCATTTTGACCTGTATCTACAACCTCTTTTCTCTTCATGTGCGACGCGGTCCCTGGCACAGTAACCTTTCATCGTCCTTGTCATACTATCTTGCTGTTGGATTACTCTGTCCCGAGAGTAATTTACCTAGAATTGATCAATTGATATTTTATATCCCACCGTGCACCTTACCATGCAATGTAATCTCAGGCCTATCAAACTATGTTATTCGTTACGCATTAACCTCGACACCACCAAATCACTCCGCAACACCCACTTTTCCCCATTCGTCACTTCTTTCCCTTCATGCAGCATGCAGTGATCCCCATGCCGATGGAACAAGGCCATCCCCACCTCCGGCGCCACAGCAATCGGCTTGGGATTCCGATCAGCTCGTGTAGGTTCCGGATAAAATACCGTCTCACCGCCAGAGCAAGTAGTCAGATAAATAAGAAGTGTCCAAGTTGTGCGTGCAGGCAGGGACTTCGCCGCCCCCGAAGGAAGGAAAGTCAGCGAATTAGACTCGTCATCTACAAATGATTAGCCTACACTCCTCTTCAATCTCCGTGTAAATAAATACGCACAATGTTGTGCAAAGAATTGCCCCGCAGAGTATCGATAGATGCGAATATTAGGATTCAAGCCCAACGGCTCTCCACCCCAGACTTCTCGGGCTCTCCGCGCAAGTTCTTCCGGTGATGGAGGAGTCGCATCCTCGTCCCCTTCATCGTATTCAGCCTCGCCGAACCGAGTGGTGACGAGTTCTTTCATCGCCGTCCCGCTCCATAATATCTCCGCGAATCGCCCATCCTCCACCTGGAACCGATCATTCACGCGCACCGCCTCGTCCTTCTTCGGTTTACCGGGCGTCGTAGTCATAGGTAGAGACGCCAGAAACGAGGCGTATGTCTTGCATAATGAGGCAGGTAGGAAGTTGCGGATCAAATAGATTTGTTCGGGAACGAGGGTTTCGAGGCTCAAGTCGGCGGCGGGGAGGAGCGGGCGGAGAGGAGGCCAGTTGGGGGTGGAGCTACTAGGCTTGGCTTGAGTATCGGACTTCTTCGGTTTGGGCATTTCCAATCTAGAAAGTGTCTAGAGGTGTCAATGCTGGGGAGATTTAAGTGCTATGTAGGGTATTTTCGGTGGGGAAGTGGAGGGTTGTGCGATAAGATGAGCCCGAGGTTTCTGCATCTTCTCCAATTTGCCTCCGCTTCTCACCCCCACAGCTTCGGTGACTTGCATATTACAGATGTGACACCGGCGAGGGGAAAGGGAAGTTTCCACTTAGGGTCGGATGGCTGGAGGAGGGGTAATACTCGCGGTGAGCTTCTATTACCCCTCCGCGCCGGGTGCTGATCCATAGGAGTATAAACTTGGACAAGCCGAGTGGCAGCGGAGTCAAGCCGACTATCTTGAGAGGGGTTGACTCCACTTACAAAAAGTTATCAATTCTGCTCGTTCGCAGATACATTGGGGGTCTTTTTTCTTTTGAAATGAACAAAGGGGGATGGGAAGCTAGATAGACCCCTCGGTCTAGAGCAGTTCGATTCCGTAGATCTAGACGGTGAGGAACCAGGCACCCAACGCGGTGGATCTGGTCGGAGGTTGGAGCGGGGCGGCAGAGAAAATTTGTCCCGGTAGATCGTTGAGGCCCAGGGGAGATCCGTCCATGTCAAGATTCTTGAGAAACTCTATGGTTTTTTTTGACCCTGTCTTCTCACTTTTACCCTGCACATTCTCTGCGAATCTGCACTCCAAATCATGCAGTAAACAAGAAGAATCTTCAGAAATACGGGCGTCTGCAGCCACCATCTCGGCAGGCCCTCACCGCCCGGTCCAAAGTGAGAACTTCAGCTTTTGTTCCTCTTCTCCTCTTTTCTCTCCGCTAGAGCCATGTCGTCGCAGACCATGACGGCGCCAGCAGTGGGCCATCGGCCGCCTGATCCAGGCCACGATACGCCCATGTACGACTATGGTCTCCCACAGAATGACGGCTCTCCCCCGTACGAATCGAGGAGTGACTCCGCAATTCGCGACATGCATAATTCTGCCCCAACTTCCAAGGGCTTGCCCGCCACCCCGATCGGTATCAAGTCGGAACCATCTGAAGATCAGGACTTTCCCATGACCGAGAATCAGAAGGAAATCAATACCCAGTCCGCCGCCGGTGCTTTACTCGCCCAACTCCTTGGAAATCAATCCGCGCCGAACTCTGCTGCGCTAGATCAATTGACCGGACAACAACAGGATCAGAAGGATGGGAGTTTCGAAGAGTTAAATAGTCATCTGATGGGTCAATCCGGCGACTTTACCGCGACCATGGACTCGCGTCAGCAGCAGGATCAAAAGTCAATATCAAGGGGCATGTCCAACGGCGGAAAACCTTCCGTTGATGTGCTCGCGGCCGCCGAAATGGATCCCCAGGAAGAAAACGGCACGGCCCACAGAGTGTCCGACGCAATGGATTTCCTCTCCGATCCCAAGTCGGGCATGGATGAGCCATCTCTTCTGCCCCCTTTCGACTTCGCTTCCGCCCCGAATAACCCGTTCGATGCCCTACAACAGAACGAGCTTATCACTGCTGCGTACCTCTCACAGGGCGCAGACTTGTCGGCTCTGGGATATCAAGGTGGAGCGGCATCAATTGCCGGGTCTGAGCCTCAGATTCAAGCGTTTGCCAAGTTAGAGTTTGACGATGGACATTTCTATGTCAATACCTACTCGTTTATTCTGGGCCGAGATGTCCGCGCTGCGCGCGCTGCCCATCATCGAGAGATCCAGTTTCGGCAGGCCGTGCGAAGCTCTCGAGCGAAGAGCTCAAGTGAAGGCAATGCCTCGCACACGCCCAACCGTTTGAAGCGCGAGGAGAGTGGCCCAATGATGGGCAGTGTGGTGAGCGATCGAGGCGGCATCATGGGTTTCGACCCAGATGTTCCTCCGAATCTTCCCGCAAATGTCGAGCTCAGCCGACGGTCATCAAAATCCTCGTTCGATGGTTCTGGAGCGCCGCTGCACGCGAACCCGGCGCAATTAGAGTCGACTACTGACTACAATGCGCTCGCAATGCAATCATTACAGGATGGTGCTGGAGAGGTCAAGCCTGTTGATACGATAGCTTTGCTCCCATCACCTGACTCCTGTCCTACCATTCCCATTCATCCTCCCTCGACGATCGACGGCAGTGCCGCGGGCCACCGAGGGATCTCTCGCAGACATGTTCGCATTTCTTACAACTTCGATCGCAATCTCTTCGAGATGGAGGTGATGGGTCGCAATGGCGCATTCATTGGAGCTGATTGGCTTTCCCCTGGGCAAATTCGCCCGTTGCATAGCGGTGACTATATCCAGATTGGTGGAGTGCGCATCCGCTTTTTGTTACCAGATGTTCCTATCGGTGAAACTGGAGCGGATCGGATGGAAGAGAAGGTGACAGAAGAAAAGGAGGCACAAGAGTCGATTGATGTCGACGCTGATGTCGATGCTGATGGCGACGCCGACAATGACGCCGATGCCGATGCTGACGCCGATGCTGATGCCGATGCAGATGCTGAGCACGAAATAGACGATATGGACAGGCAAATCAGCGAGAGTCTTGATGGCAAGGAATTCAAAAAGAATTCCAAGAATAGGGACGATTCAAAATCGTTGCCTTCTATTGAAGCGGGTGGGGAGCAGCCGGCTCGCCGCCGTGGACCTGGGCGTCCTCCTAAGGATGGAATCATGTCCAAACGTGAACGGGCCGAACTTGCTCGGGAACAGAAGCTGGCCGCCAAGCGCGAAGCTAACGGAGGTGTCACGCCGCCTCCGCTTGTCAACACCAAGCCTAAGGCTGGAAAGACTGTTTCCAAGGAGCCTTCCCATGCCGAGTCACCTACATCCTCCAAGCCTGCTGAGAAGCGCAAGTACACCAAGAGGAAGAAGGGCGACGGTACCTCAATGGATTATCCTCTACCATCAACCGAAGGTGGCCAATATGCTACAGAACCACGGTCCGAGGAATATGTCAAGCCTCCCCCTGTCAAGAAGCGCAAGCCGTCCCGGTCGCCGTCTCCCAATTATCCTCCCGAGTCTGCTTATACCCCGGAAGATCTGGCGAAGCCTCCTTACAACTATGCTGTGCTCATCTTCGACGCTCTCACTGAGGCTACCATACCGATGACGCTGAAGCAGATCTACCGCGCCTTGAAACTGAAGTATCCCTACTTCCGTTTCAAGTGCGAGACAGAAGGCTGGACATCCAGTGTGCGGCACAATCTCAATGGTAACGGGCATTTGTTTATGCACGCAGAGCGAGATGGGAAGGGATGGTCATGGCAGCTTCGCCCCGGTGCATCTGTTGAGAAGGAGAAAAGAGACGTCCTTCGCCTCCTCCACCTCCGCCTCAACAGCAACAGCAACCTGCACCTCCTCCTCAGACGTACATGTCTCCCTTGACGCATTCTTATCCACCTCCATCGGGGGCTCCTGCTCCTATTCCAAATCACCATCAGCAATTCCAATTCCCGACTATGCCGACCACCAAATTCCATGCGCCATCAGCGACTCCGCAACAGCATACAAGTCCTTATTCTCCAGTCACAGTCGAAGGAAAGGTATATCAACCGGCCCCATCTGCCCCCACTGTGGCCCCTCCTGCGGCTCCTGCTCCGGCCCCTACGCCAGCTCCACCTCCAGCTCCTATTCCCGCTCCTATTTCTGCGCCCACTCCATCTCCCGCACCTACACCTGCACCGGTCCCGGCCGCTGCGTCTTTCCCCATTCCGAGTGCCATTCGCAGCAGCCTCCCGGCCGCCTTCGCTCAAACGATACCTTCGACTTACACCTCCCCCTACGCCAATAATCCTGCTCCACAGGCTCCTCAGCCGCAGTCCCAGACTCCGCAGCCTGGACCAGGCGCACCGGCACAGCATCAATCCCCTTATGCGCCTCAAAAGCCACCTCCTTCTCAACCCCCTCACATGAATGCGCAGCCCCAAACTTTCTCTTCATCCGCTGGGCCATCATATCAACCCCAGCAGCACCAGCAGCACCCGCAGCCAGTCCAGTCGCAACAGCATCAACATCAGCATCCGCCGCAGCATGTGCCCCAGCCGCACCAGCAACCACAGCAGCACCAGCATCAGCAGCACCAGCACCAGCACCAGCATCAGCAGCACCAGCACCAGCACCAGCACCAACGTCCGCCGCCTCAGGCACCACAGGCGCATTCTCAACCGCCGCCTCCGATTCAGCAAAATTCCGCACCTCCCTGTCCGCCAGAGTCATCTTCCTTCACTGAACGCGCGAACAAGGCCATCGACGACTTTGAAGCCGTTCTCATGGAAGATTACGAAGACAAGAACTACATCCGCGAGGTGCTCCGGAGTGCGCGCGCTCGGGTTTTGGGCAATGCCACCGAAAGTTCATTCCCCGGTGGCGAGCCTAAAGACGAAGCAGTTATCATGGACGTGCTGCGCAATTTGGTTGGAAGCTTGAAAGACGAGTAGAAAGTCCTTTCTCTCGTCATGAATCACGACTTATTTTTAACCCGCTCTGGGGCACGGGTCTCGGCGTTTGAGCTTGGTGCAACCCGGCTCTGCTGCCGTGTTCGGGGTTGACGATGGTAACATCTCGAAAAGCGCTCGACCGGGAGGGAAATGGTCCTCCCTGACGATCTTATCGAGTATACGAGTCTTATGTCTTTGTTTGCGTCTGGATTCTCTTTGAATCCTAATGATATCCCTCTGTTCCGGCAGGCTTCTTAGCCCGAGCCAAATTTTTTTTTTGGATTTTCTTTCCCCTTGTGTTTTTGGGCCGCTGGCTTACCTATAGTACTTGAATTGCAAGTACTACCGTGCCAGATGGGGCTTTGTTCATACTCTCTACACTACGTAGGTGTATGATGATGACCACCCTAGTCTTACTTCCCAAAATAGCCCGATCGCGGGCGCATGTCTGGAAAAAATACAAAAGCTGAGCATTATAGAATTACTCAATCCACATTCCATGGATATTACTCTTCCACCCTAGTCTTAGCTTATGCTGTATTCAGGAGCGAGTGCCTCCATCCGTCCCGGTCCGCGGCATAATTGCCACCCCCGCGCCTGAGCGGAGGGGTCTGCCCGGAATATTCCTGAGCGGGGTTCAGAAGACTTCTGCCCCGATTCCCGCACACGTAGGGTCCGTCAGTAGCCGGTGAGACATTCAGGATTTGCCCCGTCACATCACGTAGCTAAAGGCGTGTAATAATGGATGCTAATCTTCCCGATGGCGGTGCTGTTAGCTGCATTTCAATGTCAGGTAGGCAGACGTCCGCGTAATGTGTCTCAAGTATAGGTAGTAGAAGGGGGGGCCTATGGACACAGTTATGTTCGCACTGGTGGCTTAGTGTTTCAGGTGGCCTGTACAACTGGGAACTCTGATTCAGAAACAGCTAGTTCCGTTCTAGAACAGAGTGACGTTCAGGTACTGCCTAGAGAGTAGCTGGCCATCTATGCGGGGTGGCCTTTTTTATGTTTCTCGTTGCCGCCGCGTTGTGACGAGAGGCTTGAATGGGGAATAGCCCAAGCTCGGCTTGGTGCTCGTGAAGAGCGCTCATTCAAGTAAGACGCACGACTGCCTCATATCAGAAGACAATCTTGGGAAGAAGTGGATTGATCTATTACTGATAGATACTTTGTTTTGGGTGTTGTGAGGACGCAGCTTCTCATCGCTCTTTCTCGGGTAGTTCTGGCAGGTCTTGTGTCATACATATAATTGAGGCCCCCTGTCATCTCATGCCGAAACTTTTTATGGCACTAGGGCGGCTGTGCAAAGACATTTTTTTATCCAGTCCAATCCAGATAAATGTTTGCGCAGAGCCCACTCCTTCAAAAACAAGATTGGTAAAGAGGCGGGATGAAGAAGAGAGCCAGTCAAACAAAAGCTCTAGTACGGCCTCAAATTATGCGTGGGGCATTGATTTACAATAATCCAGCCCCGTAATTATATTGCGTCGAAAAGGTCGGAAATCGCTTGAAAATCATTACCTTTGGCCTTTAGTTGGAACGTGCCGGTCTAACGGAGCCTCTTGATGCAGAGACCCCGATCGAGTCCAGAGAGCGAAATCCCTCAAGTTCGCCTTCGAGGACGTCTCCAGCCCTGCCGGGACTATTAGGACTAAAACAGACGTGGTAAAAGCCAGAGTTCCCACGTAGGTCACTGGGTACCGGGACAGCGCCAATGGGATGGGTCACAGCGGGCCGGTGTGCGTTCGACACGGTGTTCGCCCCTCTCTGCGGTCACTGCCCATGCGACATGACGCTATGCAAGTCGCAGGGATCGGTGACTCAGAGGGGCCGTGGCAAAGTCATCGGCCCTTACTTGGTCGCACGGGGTGAGCGTGGGATAATAGATGTTCTATAGTCTCTATAGCGAGGAATGGGGGGCCCTCTTGGTTTCAGAGAATACACCGCCCAACTCCTACAGCAAACCCGTAACTTAGCAACGACGGGAATGTCTAGTGCAACGCTTGGGCCGATGCTGGGTCTGCGGGTCAGTCGTGATCTCATTGGGTTCCTGTCCCAGGAGTATTTTACCGCTGACTCAGGTGGATCTTCCGCCTTTTTTTGCTGCCTTTTTTTATTTTTTTCCCTTGTCCAGTGACACGGGCGTTGCATCACCGGTGGCCATAATGTAGTCCCAGAACATATGGGGGGGTTTGTGTGTGTGTAGATGGCCCCGGGGCATTCTAGGTTGAGAATCAAAGACAATGTAATTAGAGGCAGATGAATAGTCTCATCTTGTCGATGGGGGCAATTAGAACACTTTCGGGTCGACGTCCCCTGGTTTTCCCTTCTGTTTTGGGTGGTTTCTTACCTGCGGCGAAAGAAGAAAATGTGAGTCGAGGCCCGCGTCACGTATTGTCACGGGCCACCTGCTGCCCACACAAGTCCACACTCCCTTTTCACCTCTTCTCTTCTCTCACCTCCCCTTATTCAAACTATCTTCCTCCCCCCCTCCCTTTTTTCTTTCCAACGAGCTTTTCACTAAGTGTCGTTGCTGATCTCACGAGAGTGAGATCTGCCTCTACGCGAGGGAATTTAACCCCCACCCGGTTCTGTACTTTTTTTGTCGCCCGGTCTCTTTCGACGCGTGTGTCCGATCGAAAATTTGCCGAACAACGCTCTCGCCTGGAAACTCTCTCGACTGTCATTGAGGAAAGGAACCGATTTTCTCCGCGAAAAACGACCATCTGTTTGGACATTCCTTCACTCTCATTTTCACACGGACTATTCGGTACAAATCTCCCCTCGATGTCATTCAACTAGAGACGTTCAATACGACCAATTCCGAGCGACGCGCTTTCTGAGCAGCGCTCTCCTATCCCCAGGATCAGGACGTGGTGGAGTAGTAGACGGTTCGTCTCATACTGTCGGGCTCAAGTTAACTTGGCAGCTGACTTACGTCTGTAGCACTTGATCGTCTACCTCCCCCTCCTGAACTGGTACTCCCCTCCCCTTACTGAGATGCCGTCTTTCTTCGCTCCAGGCCACGGCCTGCCCCCCTACTCCCCCTCACGTCAACAGCGGTGGTCGGCTGGATGAACCTACCTTCTATCCTATCAACCACGCAGCGTTCCCGCCTCGCTACCACCAAAACGGCTGCGAGTTCATTGAACAGTTTTCGCAGTCCATGTGTTACGCGAAGCCAAACTCGATGAACCTGCACCCGGTGTCGGCGCACGCAATGCACTCCGCTCGGGAAATGCACCACATGGGCCAGCCAATGTATGGTCCGATGACAACTACCTTGCCCCCCATTCGGAGCAACATTCAACTACCGCCTATGGATAGCGCCATCCCCCAGCAATACCGTCGCCAGGAAATCCCCCCCGATGCAGCAAGAACAGCCTCGCAAGGAGGAGAAAGCTACTGGAGGCGTCGCCGCCCATCTGGATTACGAGATGGACCGCATGTCCGACTTCGTGGCGGAAATGACCCAGGGAATGTATGAGCTATACAACACCAAGATCACCCTAGCAGATATTGACATCGCGCGAAGCATCTCCCCAGGATCTTCGGTCCCCCCCACAGTTCCGGAAATACGTCTACCAGATTTTGTCTTCGACTCGACTGCCTAGTTCGACCATTCTTCTGGGCCTATTTTACCTGTCCTGCCGCATGCGCATGCTGTCTGCCCAGCGGGTCTTCCAGACCGGCAGTGGCCAGATTTACCGTATGCTGACAGTTGCTCTTTTGCTAGGAAGCAAGTTTCTGGATGACAATACCTTCCAGAACAAGTCTTGGGCAGAAGTGAGCAACATCCCTGTGTCCGAGCTAAACAAGATGGAGTTGGAGTGGCTCTTCGCCTTCGACTGGAAGATTCACGACCGCATCTACGACCAGCAGGATGGTTTTGCCTCGTGGCGCCGACACTGGGAGACTTGGCGGACCAAGGCCAATGTCCGGGCTCAGCAAGAGTCTCGCCAGACTCTGAAGCCCCTCGACACTAACCTCGTTCGACACCAGGCCGTCTCTAAGCCTCTCATGTCCCCCGAAGGCCCTATTCCACCCCAATACCAGCGCAGTTCTCAAGTCGAGAGCTCCTGGCTCAACCCCACTGCCTCTGAGTACTCTCCTCCGTCCGCTCCCAACAGCGGTCCTAACACGCCGGACTATTACCCGGTTGGTTCTTGGGCATACTCGAATCCTCCGCCGCCCTACTCCCGAGCCTGGATTCCACCTCCTCAATACTTGGCTCCCTCCGTGTCCCGCTCGCAGCCTCCGTCTTACCACCACACTCCGGCGTACAGTCTCCCATTCGCTCAGAGTGCTTGGACTGGTCACGGCTCATCGTGTGGCTGCATGTACTGTGCCAAGCATATGGAGCATTACATGTGCAACAGCGCCTTCCCGGCACTGCAGCCTATCGTTGCAGGCTGAATATTGCATTGATTCCACAGCCTTGATTCCATTTTCTGCTGATTTGATGACTTACGGATGGATTCGACCACTCTTTCATTGGCCACGCGCGCGGCACTACGGCTGTTCGTTCCACCTTATTTTTGCGACTTTTAGAATTCTTTTCCTTTGACGGTTGGGTGACATTGCATGGGTTCTTTACTTCACTTCGACGATACTGTCCTTCTTGTCTTTCTGATCTGCTTCGACGTTCACGCCCTGAGATTTCTTCTTTCTTGACTCGCTGGCCTTTCTTAACAAGTTTTGCAATCGGCACTCCGCGTCACCCCTGAAAAAAAAGTACAATTTTTCCTGCGATCTGCTGGTTCGTGTCGGCTAAGCGAAAATCTCCCAAAAACACCAAAAAAAGAGGAAAAAACGCTCCCGCGGCCACATTGGCACGTCCCGGCTACCTTTGCAATCATCCGCACTGCGACTGATTGGAATATTTCGAATTTTCGAAGGCCGGGACCGCAGTCACGACGATCACGAATACCTTAAAATCTGACCTTGTTTATTACCCATGATCATTCGGTTCATATCGGCTCATCTCTTTCTACCATGCCTGGCATTACAGTCCGGCATGATTACCTATAGATTGCTCCTGTTCCTTTTTTTTTTTCCCTCCTTTTTCCCTCTCTGCCTTTCTGCTTGTCCCTTCCATCTCGGTACATTATTCCCATTCCTCGCGCTACAATCAGTTGCTTGGCGTTAATACTTTTCTCCAACTCTCAACTTCAACTTCAAATTCGCTTTTCAGTCCTTCTTTCTGAGCTTTCGATTCGTCAACAACTTGACTCTGATTCTCAAATTCTGAATTTACAACCCCGGTCTCCTTTCGGCTTGGATCTCTGAATATTTGGGTTACTGAACCACTACGGAGTACCCCCGAAGGAACCACACGATATTCCTTTCCCGGGCTGGACGGTGTTCGGATATTAGGACGGATGTTTCTCTTGGATTCTTGTGGAGCTGCATCATCCTCATTCCTCATCGATCCTACTCTGGGAAACACGCCAGCTTCATTGACTGGTCTTTATGTAGTCTATAAGTTTCTCTTTCCACTTTTCACTTCTATTGTGCCTGCCCCGTCGCATTTACCTGTTGCGTCTTTGGGTTGCTGCTTTCATGCCTGAAATGGTTGTTGGTGGCTATGGCTTTTGTTTTGAACTGCGAAGACGATACATTCTAGCACCAATTGACAAACTATTGTCTTTGTCATTAATGTCTCGTAGTACCTAGTATTTCAATTCTTGAAACAGATAGATCGGTGCTTTGCCAAGAAGCCGAGGTACATCTATTGTTCCCTGAATGTACGAGGCTTGGTAGAGAAATAACGCGTTGATACTATGAACCTTCTTCCCGGTCCATGGCAGATCTTATATAGGTACTTCAATTTCTTCCGTGTGAATGTAAACGCAGTCGTTCATGGTCGTCACAGTCGTAACCGTTCGCTTATAGTTTATCCTGTATCCATATTCCACGGAGACCCAGTATAACCATAGCAGTCTATCGTGGAGATGTTGCATCAATGCATCAATGGTAGATCTTTGAAAATGATGACACCATGCATCGGCTCCCCTCAATACACACTACCGCGAACACTCTGGTCCTCCTCCTGTTGCGCCTCCAAAGATCCATTCTCTTCTTGCCGGAAGCCGTGCGTCTCTGGCAGCTCGGGTGTCGTTGCACCGGATCGAGTAGATATGTCATCACCATCACCGAGGATGTTGGCCATCCTGTGCGGAGGCTGCGAGGTCGATGAGGCATTCCGGTGGTGGGTATGCGTGTGGCCCGGGTGGTGGTGGTGATGGTGGTGATGGTGGTGCGCGCGTGAACGCTTCGTATCTTTAGCGCTTAACTCGTCGTCACCATCATCCTCAAGGTCCTGAGACGGCGGGAAAGAGTGCGAGACTGACGAGACTGACGAGACTGGCGAATGTTTAACGATGGCTGACCGGGCAGCATGGTGGTCGTGGCCGTCGCCTTCGTCGTCGGATGGCGCGAGGCTGTTGGCGCCGCTCATGGAGCCGCCTCCATCGCGCCCGCCTGAGATGCAGGAGAGCTAGCTTAAAGATATTATTGGATGATGTTGATGGGAAATGCAACAGGTGGTCTTCGCTATCTCGGTGCATGCCTAGGGGAGGCCGTCTTGGGTGGTTGTCAGATTGGTTCTCGGGGCTAGACTCGCGAATGGCCCGTTCTCTAGCAGCTTCCTCGTCGTCTACCGGGAGTAGATTGTTGGACGTGGGTGACTCCTTCTGGGGCGCACAGTCATTTGAGAATGTAAAAGATCCGTCGAATGTGTCAGACTGAGTCGAGGCGTGCTTGAGAGGTGACGGATGGTCCGGTGCGTTCTCATCCACTGACTTTTGACGCATCGAGTCCACTACTCTCGCTCGCAGAGATCGCTTGCCGTCTCCAGCCAAGCCGTGAGTACATCCATCAGGGCAGCCACCCCATTTCCGACGGACAGGGATATGGTCTGTAGACAATGGTTGAGCAGACTCCAAGCCCTTTATAGCGCGTTCACGTTCTTTTTCAGCGTCCCTCTCCTTTTTCAGATCGGACCACGTACGTAGCTTATTCTGAAGCGTGTATTTGCCGTTGTCTTGGTTATGGGTCATAATCACAAACTCGCAGTGGTTGATGTTGCGCAGGTCTTCAAAGTATTCCACGCTCCAGTGATACCACTTCATTAAGAACACCCGAGTCATTAAACCGTGAGTTACCAGGACGCAAACACTGGCCATGTCTTCTTCACCAAATAATCGCCACAGAGACTCGTTGAAGCCGCTTACTCTGTCATATGCATCTGCTGCGGACTCACCGTTGGGAATGCGGTAGAAGAAGTGACCATAGTCTGCTCGTTCCATCCACATCCTTTCCATCTCAGAGGAACATGGCTGGAAGTTGCCAAAGTCTTGCTCTCGAAGTCGTGGCTCCTCGTACACCTTGATAGCATGCCTCTGGAACGGGGAGGGAGCGGGCGAATCGGAGGTCAAGGAGCTGAGCATGCCCTCAGCGGTCTCTCTCGCCCGGCGATAAGGAGACGTGAAGAAGTGCAAAGTATCATCGGGACGTAGGAGATCACGCAGCCGGCGTCCAGCCTCCTGAGCTTGGCGATGTCCCTCGGGTGTGAGTTTCACTCGGTGATCGGGGGTGGTTTGGTGGATATCGCGGTTCTTGTTGCCTTCGGACTGGGCGTGACGGACCAGAATAATCATCTAGAGCCATGAATCGATCAGTCTACATGCCCGCATGTTCTCAAATAGCACGACTTACCCGTGGTTTCCCCATGGCTGCAGAGGTATGCGGAACTGCACTAGAGATGCGGGGGAGGGGTCAAGACGAAGTAGCGGCACGGTCCAACTTGACAGATCCAAAATTCAAGTCAGCAAAGAATGCGACAAAGCCCATCTATGACAGATCGGACGTTGTTTCAAGGTGGAAAAAAGGAACGAAGGGAAACCGGAGGATGCGCAAACCTGCCGCACGGACCACGGGGACTTGCTCCATTCAGCGCCTGCGCTTTACGCAACTCCAACTTCATCCATCATGGCCGACTCGCTGTTGGAGCTGCTGGCTCCGCACTTGGATACACCACTGACTCCGGATGCGACAACTACACAATATTTCAATCGCTTGTCGACCCTGTCTCTGCAAACGCTCCAGGACACCGAACCCCAGTCCCTAGCACAATCCTCCAACTCGACTCTTCTTTCCCTCCAGGCCCTGTCCAACCGCTCACACCGCACCTTTATTTCCTCCGCCTATCATTTGTCCTCACTGCGCACCTCTATCCCGCAATTAAGTCGCGAGGCCCAACAGTTGCGTGATGCCCTTCCGAAACTCGACGAGGAGGCTGTTGGCTTCTCCACCAAATACAGCAAGATCACTGATAACCCTGCCATGGAACGGCGAAAGAAGGCCATGCAGTTAGCGCGAAATGTCGACAGACTATCTGATATCCTAGAATTGCCGACTTTGCTGTCCACTGCCGTCTCGGCCGCGTCCGCCAACTCCGGCGCCGGCGCAGCCTCTACCACGTATGCTTCCGCCCTCGACCTCCACGCGCACATTAAACGACTTCAGACATTATATCCCGAATCGCCATTAATTCAAGATGTGGTCGCCCAGGCAGAGGATGCAATGAAAGACATGACAACCAACTTGATTGCGGGGCTTCGGGCGCAGAATCTCCGATTAGCAGCTGGTATGCGCACTGTGGGCTGGCTGCGACGAGTGGCTCCGGACCTGGAGACTCTTCAGAGCGAGGGGGCTGTTGGTACAGGAGAAGGAGCGCTGGGCGCCATCTTTCTGATCTGTCGCCTGGCCCACCTGGTCTCGACCCTGGAGGCTCTGGACCCGCTTCGGGAACTTGCAGACCAAGAATCCGAAAGAAGAATGAATAGCAAGGATAAATCCGAGAACTGGTCAGATGGTCAGCAAACTGATCGTTATTTGAAACGATACATCGAGATCTTCCGAGAGCAGAGCTTCGCTATCGTCTCGCTTTACAAGAACATCTTCAGCTCCGAACAGTCTGACTCGGAGCCAGCAGTATCAGGCCTCCGGGCTGCGGACCAAGCACGATCACAGTCAAGTCGGCCAGACGACCCCTTACAACATCTCCCCTCAGCTCTCGCCACATTCCCACTGCATCTGGTGCAACTACTTACCGATACAATGCGGATGTATCTTCCTAATGTCCGGGATCGCAGCTCACGAGAGTCTCTGCTTACGCAGCTTCTGTACTGTGCGGCTAGCCTAGGGCGCCTTGGGGGCGACTTTGGAATGATTCTGACCGAGCTAAGCGGGGAGGAGATCACCTACGAGTGGGAGGAAGTGATGCGCAAGCACCGGGCGCTGGCAGGGCGGCTGGAGCAACTGACCAGCCGAGTCTCCGTGCATTAGGCTTGGAGCCTTGAAGACTTCGTATAAAAATCCAAATTCTACACAGACATCAATACCATCTACCCAGATACCCAGATACCCAGAAATTATTTAGAAAGATCAATAATAGACTTTGAACGAAACCGCCGAACTCGATCGCCAGGAAGCGTTTAGCAAAAAGGTCCGGGCGGGTCTCCGCCTTCCCCGGGGTTGCGCGTGTCACCTCTTTCATCTTGACTTCACTTCGTTCACTCGTTTCATTCCTCCCGTTTTTGAATTGAGACCGACTCCTTAATCTCATTTCGGTTCTCACCAGTTCATCGCGGAACCATGGCCGCTCCCACCATGTCCACCATGATCGACCCGACCAAACCGGCCGAGTACCCCATCGTGTTGGGTGAAAGGCTAGCCAATACGGACCAGAGTCGTCTGATCAATGTCAACTACAATTATAAGACAAAAGCCGCGACACCACAGCAACGCTCGACCATCTCCCGTTCCTCCCAGTCCAGCGATCTCTACGACCTCTCGGTCACCGATAAGCCTCCCAGCGCCGATCATACGTTGACCTATTTATACAAGGGCAGCGAGGACCCGGCGGCCGAGCGCAATCTGGTGCTGGTTTTTGATCCAGACCGAAAAGTCTTCGTTCTTGAGCCCGTGTCGACCAAGCTTAACTTCAATCTACGGTCGGCCCCGGGCAAGTCGGAAAAGCAGGTCCTGGAACAATACGAACAGCTACGGATAGTAGAGGGGGAGGAACACACAACATCTGGGGATGACCGTAACACTGTCACCACCAGCGAGGATGAGGGTCCGGCCGATGAGAGTAACCCTTATGACTTCCGACACTTCCTCCCTAAGCAGGGTGCAGAGAACATCAATCCGGCCTCGGGCCACTCGACGCCGGAGCCTGTCAGCACAAGCCGGGCCAACACGCCTCTTATGACGGCAATCAAACCGGTTGCCAAACCCATGCCTAGGCCTAAGAAACAGGCGAATCCGCTTCGAGAGACGAAACGTCCAGCGAAGCCACCGGCGAGTCCCAACCCACCCACACAGGCGGAGCCGCCCGCCCAGCAATCCACTCGCGCAGACCCACCTGAGCCTGCATATCATCGTGATTCCATTTCAGATGCTGGCACAGCTTCACAGCAGAGTGTACACTCTCCTGACTCAAATATCATTGTTGATGGAGATCTGATCATCGACATGGGCTCGCCGCCACCAGCACGCGCATTCAAAGTCGATGCGTCATTTTTCTCCTCCAACAATACACCGAGCGATGACCCAGAGGATGACGGCGACGGCCACGAGGAAATGGGAGACTTCCGACTCCCATCTCCAGCGGGACAAACCAAACCTACGTCGGCACCCGCCACTGCCCCGGATGGAGATGATATGGACGACGAAGATCTACTTGCAGCAGAAATGGAAGCCGCCTTCGAAGAAAGTGCCCGAGAAGAAGAGGCGCGCAGCCAGCAATACAGTCACGCCGCCTCGCGGTATAATGTGGCCAGTGACGACGAGAGCGAGGTCAGTGAGGAGGAGTAAGATAATCATTTCTATGTTTTCCATTTTGCATACCATCAGCGTGGCGCCAGGGGGCAGGATCAAGATACCAAGCTCAGCACTGTCAGTTCGCCGTGTGCGTTCTTTATTTACGTCGTTTCATATACCCATGTCCAAGGATTTACTTCATCCGCGGAGCCCGATCTTGCATCCTACCGGACAGCATCTTTGGACAAGACTCAATACCACATAATGCCAGGCTCGATACTCGCTACCATTGATTTCCCTTTGATGTCCCTCTTAAAGCTCGAACTTCGTTTCAGCTTCACCATAGAGCGCCACCTTAGCAGATTTAGCAATCTGCAGCTTGGCTATATCTGTACCCTTCAAGAACCTCGAAGCTTTTCTCCTCAAACCCATCATTATTCCCTGCTTCTCCGTCATCTTCTGCTGAGGCTCGGCGATCAGCCTCGTCTTAATCTCAGGTACCTTCGTCCGGAGGAATCCTCATCAACTCTAGCTTGTTAGCCACATGAGAATCCCAATTCAACGTACATCCACACGCACACAAGAACACAGACAGCACAGCCCGGCTCTCCTTAGTATACAAGCCCACCACTTACACCAATTTTGTTCCTCGAGTACCTCCAGGGCATCCGATAGAACATACTGCTCAATCGCCATGTTCATGATTTCTGCCGCAATCTCGTCAGAGAAGTACTACCGACCTAGGAAAAAAGGGCCGATTGACCGATACGAGTCGTTTTCTCGTAAACAGTTTTTTACCCGTTGATGTCCATGGGACTATGAAGTAGCAGATCTTGCACAAAGACAAGTGTATTATTGGCGAAGGAAGGATGGGTTTTGGCTATCCAGTCCAGATAGCCAGACGAGTTCCAGACATGACCCCAATTTCTGAGCCTTTCGATAAATATGCACAATGCGCCAGGATCATCACTTGAAGTCAATGAGGCATCGCTCTTTGATCGCGCCATAATCGTAGTCTCACGGTCGTTCTGATCGTGTAGTAGGTATAATCTCTTGTACTTTTGAACCCTTTCGACATGGTGGACAGACTCGCTGAGCAGCCAAAACTTAATGTTTGCGGGATTACCGCGGTTGAAGAGTAAGTTTCTGAAATGTTTGAATGAGATGATTGATCCCATCTCGGCCAGATTTTGCTTCTTGAAGTAGGGCTTGGTGTCGATTGTCTCGTTGAACGAGAATTTTGCGTCGTTTTTGATCGTCATTGGTAACCGTCTCGGGTGATCTTTGGGAAGGTGGTGCTGGGGGCTAGCGATAATCTGCCCCCTGCGATCTGAGATCTAGAGAGTGTCCGTGTTGAAAATTGGATTGCTTGAAGAGTAGTCAACACTCCTTCAAATCTAGGTTGATCCAACAGTTCCATGGTTCACAATCTTGACTGAAGTGGTGAAGACTCAACATGAATCATTGCCCAAGTTGGATGCACTATTTTTTCAAAGGTAGCAACCATTAAGAAATGATCATCCAGTCACTGACCCTTCGCTTTCTTCACCTTTGACCAGTTCGTCAGCGTATACTTCGGGGGTTCATTGTTCCGCTGAGAGAGTTTTTCCGGCAGCAGCTCACTTCGCGTTCGACCTCACGTTCGCCAGAAACATATTGACGTCAAACCTGGACTCGGCTCTGGTCGGTAGTTTGCACGCATCCGCTTACTCCAACTTCCTTGGTCCAGCTCCACGTCATATTCCCGGAGATCTTGGATATGCGATGAGAAGCTCGGTGAATTGGCCAGGAAGTGTACACCTGCGAAACGAATCATAGATCCGATCACTACGCGCGCAGGTGCGCTCTCACTCTGTCCTGCCCATACAAACCAGACCTTTGCCGGCCTTGCGCGACCTGTACTCGAAGCTTTCCTCCTACGTCTCACCCCCACGCACATCCGCCATTCGCATTTCCATTTCGCCCTTCCAATGGAGTTCTCGGCGTCTCCCGCGCCAAGAAAGCGTCGAATCCCCGGCCTCCCTAACCCGGTGGTTGCAACCGCGCAGCAGAAATGGCTTTTCACAGCGGAAGAACTCGAGCGCACGCCATCGCGTATTGATGGCATCACCCGCGAGAAGGAAGATTACATCAGGCACCGCGCAGTGGAATTTATTTGGCAGGTCAGCATGATGCTGAAGATGCCACCACAGACCTCCATGACCGCTACTGTCTTCATGCACCGCTTTCTGATGCGATACTCGTTGATCGGAAGTGACCCAGATCCGGAGAAAGCTCGCGATTTGATGCATCCTAAGGTGATTGCGGCCGTGGCTCTGTTCGTCGCGTTCAAGGTGGACGAGACCATGCGCCGTATGAAAGACTTTGTCGTGGCATGCTGCAGAGTCGCGATGAAGAAGCCTGATATGGTGGTTGATGAACAATCCAAGGAATATTGGAGGTGGCGCGACCTCATCCTCCAAAACGAGAGCATCATGCTAGAGTACATGTGCTTCGATCTGCAGCTTGAGTCACCATATAGAATTCTGTGGGATTACTCTCAGTTCTTAAATGTCGGAGATAATCGACCGCTTCGCCATGCAGCCTACGCCTTCCTCAACGACTCTACGTATACTGTGCTCTGCTTGGAGTTCCAGCCTCGTGTTATCTCTGCAGCGGCTCTTTATGCTGCAGCTCGCTACTGCAAGGTCGCGTTCCCGGATGATTCTCAGGGGAGGCCATGGTGGGAGCAAATCGACGTCAAAGTCGAAGACCTAATTCGCGCCTGCAAAATGATCGTCAAGATCTATGAGCGTGTCCAGATGAACCTGAGCAAGAACTTCCCAGCTTTCTCGCTTTCTGACACAGAACCCAATGATCCAACACGCATCTTCCACACAGATCCTACTACCTGGAAGCCTGCAGAAACAGTAACGACCCCATCTCTCAACACGCCAGGCTCTGATTACGGCATCTCCAACGGGCGAAAACGCTCTCGCGAGCCAGAATCTCAAGCCTGTGAAAACAACCACCCCACTCCCTCATCGCATCCTCCCTCGACTCTAAACGGAGGTCGTTCTCCAAAGCGGCAACGAACCGTCTCACCCTCGACCGCGGGACCTTCGACACAGTCTCCCGCGCCTCGCCCTCGCATCCCACTTCGTGCAATGGAGTTGAAGCCCGAAGATAGCGCCAGCCAGAGTCGCCGCGCACCAGCATCACTTCCTCGGGAAGAAACCAGCGCCGAAGAAGGCGAAGTCTCTGATAGCAAATCACCCGAGGCGAATGCTACTGATGCTGCCAACCTACCCCAAGCAAGTGATGACGGGGGAGGCAGCGAAGAGGGCGAGATCTGAGCTAGAGTAAAAGTATGAAGTCCATGTAGCGGGTGGACTGAAAGTGTACATCAATGACTATCTATGACAGAATCAATGACAAAGAATCAGAACTATATGCTTCCATGTATTTGGGTCGTATGCGCTAACGAAAATATAATGTAAACTGTGTCTAGAAATAAGCGAGTAAACCTTGTGAACTCCCAAAATCACCAACAAAATATGATAGATGACTGATGACATGAGCGAGTAAAGCGACAGCAAAAAACCCAAAAGCCCGCCTTCCATAAGCTAGTATGCTCCCATGGTAGCGCCAAGTCCATGATCCAGCAAGCTGCTCGACGCCACGAAGCTGAATCCACCAAATGGATTCGAGCCAGCATCCGCGGACAGGCCACGCGCATGTCGAGATGAAGGCGAAGGGCCCGTGTAGAGATCATCAAGACCAGCCAGAGTAGGGCTAAGGGGCAGATGGGTGAAATCATCGGAGAAGTTCTCGGCGAGCGCCGGGTCAGTGACGATAGGTTTGATCGGGGGATCAATCTCGCGGCGCTCGAGGGCAGCCCAGTCAATCTTACGGAAGAAACGATGCTTCTTGATGGTCTGTAGATCCTTGGCCATGTGGTAGCCAAGACGTTTGGTGGGGTCCTTCCGCAGCAGGCGGATGAGCAGGTCTTTGGCGTCGGGGCCAAGGAAGTAGGGCAGGACGAGTTTTTGCTTGACAATTTTCTCTTGGAGTTTGGTGTGGTTGTTTGCGCGGAAAGGCGGCGAGCCTGTGAGGAGGTCGTAACCCAGAGCGCCGAGGGACCACCAGTCACAGGCTTTGCCATAAGGCTTGCCTTGAACGACTTCGGGTGCCATGTATTCGATTGTGCCAAGGGAAGAGTTACAGCGGTCGTCGTCGTTGACTGCGATCTTGCTGAGACCGAAGTCGGTGAGCAACAAGTGGCCCTGTGTGTCCAGAAGACAGTTCTCGGGCTTGAGGTCGCGGTACAGAACGCCGACATTTTGGTGCAGATGTTCCAGCGCAAGAACCATTTCGGCCATGTAGAAGGCTGCGGTATCTTCTTCGAACATGCGTTCCATCGCAAGATGGGTGAATAGTTCGCCACCCTGAGCATACTCTAGAATGAGGTACAGCTTTTCATGGTCTTGAAAGGCATAGAAAAGCTTCACAACGAATGGGTGGCGATTGACACTCTCCAAAACCATGCGCTCTGTCTTGGTCTGTTCCACGAGCTTCTTGTGAACGGTAAGAGACGCTTTGCGGAACTGCTTTTGCGCGTACAGTTTGCCCGTCATCACATGGCGGACCAATAGTACGGTGCCAAAAGAGCCCTTGCCCAGACAGAGAAGAGGCTCAAAGTCGTCTGCAGTCATCTTGCGGCAGAGCTGGCTTCGTATATCCATGTCATTGGTAAAGGCTACCGGGCTTGTACCATCGGATCCTTCTGTCGCGACATCCGCGCTAACGAAATCTTGATCCAATGTAACTTCATAGCTCGTCAGAACTTCTGTTTGGTCGCTATCGGATTGAACACTCGCATTGCTGGGAGTCTCCGAGCATAGTCCGCTGCTACCCGCGGAGGGTCTACCCGCAAGACTGAGCGAATCAAGCTGGAGCTTCAATGCGCTCACCCCATGACCCGTGACGGGCAGCGCCAGTGGGCTTCCTCCAAGAGAGGTGGTAGGTCGCGAATCCGGCGCACGGGAGCTAGTAATGGAAAAGTCCGAGTCCTCATCAGCCGAGGCTAAGGGTGTAAAGCCGCGCACGGTGGAAAGAGCCGGGTCTGCCTGATGAGCCTTCTTCTTTTTCTTCCGACGCTGCTTGCCCGCCAGCAGGTCCGGGTGGAATGCTGGAAGTTGCATCGCGTTCTCTTCACTGGGCGCGTAATTGGCCATCTGATTGCGCGGCGAAAGTCGCTCACCCATGTGGACGTCCAGGGCACGTTGATTGGTCGGGATTTCGACAGAGGCCTGCGCGCTGTCGGCTTGCAGGGTGAAGACGTCTCCTACGGAGAGATCATCATGCGGTACCTGGGAAGACATGATGCGCTAATTGCACGCTTGTAGTCCTGGGTTTTTCAAGAGCCGAAGTCGAAAAGTCACCCTCAAAGTGATGGTTTTAGAATCGACCTGGCGAGTCGGGTACCGGTGGACAATTGGTCGCAGACGGTGGGTTTAAATGGCAAGTATGTACTCAAGAAACCTGTATGGCAGCCGCTATACTCATGAACAATCCGTCAGCATCACTATTTTTTTTTCCTTCAATATTCCGGCTTAGGGAGGGGTAACTTGGGAGCTTTCAGCTCGACCATTTGCCCCACCAATAGGAGAATAGGCAAAACAAACATAATCGCATGAAACACTAACCTCAACTTGGGAGGAGAGTAGCTCGGTCTCGTCGTCTAGGTCGCAATGGACCAGATTGGAACTCTCGAGTAGTTTTTACCGTCCGCCCTTCTTCAGGACGGACCCGAAACCCCTCAGCCAAATCACTTCGCCGATCGCGAAGTCGAAGGCCAAAGCGGAGGAGGACACGATAGGGAAGTCGGTCACTTCGCAGAGATCGGGAGATGCGCGAGACAGGGAAGTCTGAGGAATTGGGTTGAGGTTGGCCAGATCACTGGTAAGAAGGGTGGAGGACGAAAGTGATAGCGCAGACAAGCACATAGAGAATTGGCAAATGTGTTGCTCAGGTATATGAATAGTCAAGAATTGACAGATCCCACAGTGAATACGTGGGGGGGGGTGTTGACAAGAGGCAAAGAAAGCACTGCGGAAGAAAATCAGCAAATCCGGAATCAGCAAATCCGGGGTCTTCCCACTAAGCCCCTTCCGGAACTTCATGTGAAGGTCTTTCACTTCACTTGGAATCACTCCGGACATTGACTTGCGTTACGTGATATCATTACATGCTTTAGCTCATCTTCTGATCTCTCGAACTTTGAATCAACCTATATTCTGCAGGTTTCTGCATTCCACCGGCCCGTGCGGCATCACCGCGCCACTTCATTCTTCTGGAAGAATGCCTGGGATCGAGTGATCTCCACGCCAGATCGCTGCACGAATGCCAAGGCGCTGGGCTTCTCGACTCGGACTGTAACTCGCTCATTACCGAAGTCCATCGTCACAATGCGAGCCACAAATGTTGCCAGTGCCTCAACACTCAAGAACGTAGTCTCGTCCACTTTCTATACATCATGTTAGCATCGAAATCAAATAACAGCCACAGGAAACCAACCTCTGCCACAGCTCTTGTCATAGCTTGATAAGTATCAAGGAAAGTCGATCCCCAAGCATGTTGTCCAGGACCCTCAAACGTCAGAGAAATAATCACAGCTTGCTTCTCGACACGCTCGTGTGGGTTCACACCCAAAATGCAATAAGAACGGATTCCCTCAATGCGAAATTCCTCCTCCAAAACAACCGGAGCCCGCGAAGAGACATCAAGCGCCTCTCCATCTCCAGGCGTCTTCTTGTAGCCCCAAGCCGTAACACTACGGTATTTGAGTCCGTCCTCGGCACGCAACAAAGCCTTGGGCAGGTGTAGCCACACCTCACACGTGCCATATTCACTATCAAGTGCATAAATCGCCTTCGAAGGTAGTTCCCCCACACCCGAGTAGCTATTCCACTGGCTCTGCTGAACATGTTCCATCCGTCGCACACCAGCCGCTGTATCTTCTAGCAACCCCAGCCCACAGTTCGCGACGATACCTGCCGTAACACGGGGGTCTTGACCCACAGCACTAACTTTCATATCCTCGCGCTGCATTCCTTCCATGCTGATCATCTGGTGATGGGAAGTGCTCAGACGAACTAGAGATTTGCGCCATGTTGCGAATATCAGCCTCAAGTCGCCGGAATAGCTTGCCGTAGTCCAGGGAAAGCGAGACTTCGTCTTGAGCCGCCGAGGCAATAGCGGATGAGTAGGATAATTTCAGACTGGCAATGCATGGTTGCGCTTTGTCGGGGCGGTGCCAGGCGTCTGGGGCTGCGGGGAGAGGAAGCTCGATGTCGCGGAGACGGACGCTGTCGAGAACATCGGGCACAGCGGGGATGTGAATGCTGGATTGTGAGCTGGACATTTTGTCTGTGCCGCTAAACCTGGTGTCAAGTCTCCAATTCGAGGACAGGGCAATGCAGATGAAGAGCGGGGAGGGGGAGCTCGGGAATTTTTTTGGCGGGGCAACGCAGATCCGGGCGGCAACGTCCGCGGGCAGCTTATTTGATAACGCCAACGTACCATAGTTGTTAGCATGTGTCTACGAGGTGTTACACGGTATTCTCTAATCAGAACGGAGGCTTAGTTGATCATTTTTGAAACATTTCTCGAACCTGTCGTTGAAGAAACAGATAGATCGCAATCAAGAGATCGCCACTCCATGTTTGATCCGGTTACCTGTGCAGAGTTGAAACCAGTCGAGAAAAAATAGAGAAAAGTACCCATCGACAGGAAGACTCATGTTAGGAAAGATCATTGCAGTTACATTAGTACATGCCCAAGGGGACTCGAGAGCCAGATTCTAGACCAGAGGAATTGCAGGCCAGTCCGAGGGAAAAGTCCCGGGCAGGAGAGAAACGTTGAGAACCACGGCAGATGGGGAAAAAAAAATTGATACCATAAAGCTCAATACGATACGTAGCGGGTATTAGAGAGGTGAGAAAGCATCTGCAGTAAAAGACCACGGCATGGAAAACGAAACGAAGGCTGCCATCTACCAGTAGCGGGGGCGATCATACGCGGCGTAGTCGGCTCGCGGCGGCGAGCGAGGACGTCCATAAGGCCGTGCCGCCAGATAAGGGTCATCGTAGTGGCGAGGGGAGGCGGAGCCCGGGGATCATAAGGGTCCTCGTAGGGACGACGCGGGGGTGGGTAGTCTTCCATCCGAGGACGAGGGGAGTACGGCGGCCATATCCATCGCGGTCATAGTAGTCACGGCGAATGGGAAGTGGCGACCGCTCACGATAGTGATCCCGGGGACTGTATCCACGGGGCGCAGGGAATCTTCCCCGTTCGTATTCATCCATGGGAGGGTAGGGCCGGCGAGGGGAGCGAGACCGATATGGGTCACGATAGGGACGCTCTTCGAAGGGTTGGATCTGGGGTTGATCAGACGGGGATCCATTTGCGATTTCCTGGTCGGGTGGTTCCCTTACATCGGCAACGCATGTCACGCGCGAGCCTTTGAATTCGCGCTGGTCCAACTTCTCCACGGCGGTCTTCAGGTCGTTGGCGGTTTCAAATTCAACAAAACTTATTATTTGTCATTGTCAATTTGGGGGGACGAGAAAATGCCTTGGGGGCAAGGCTCAGGATGCAATGGTAACCCACCCTCTTCCTTGTTCACGGCCAGTTTCCGAGTAGACGACATCCAGTCCTGACTGACGGGCGAAGTCTTTGAGGTCCTATATGAAGAACGAGTGATGAGTCCAGGTCCAGAATGAGGGAAGTCCGGTAGGTCCAAGTGGAAAAGTGGGCAGGATCAGATCTACGTCCGGACAAAGGGTAATATGGTGTTTGATATCCGGGGTGTTCAGGATGCACTATTCTTCCAGTCCGGGTAAAAACCAAGTTCCGACCTGCTAGGCCCTTGGGAGCATGATAAAATGCTTCAAAGCCTGGAATGGTATGAATGGCCCTTGGTTCCAGGAATCAAGATCCACAACCTAGCAGAGGAGCACAGACTGGAAGACACGAAAAATGGGGGCAAAGTGGCCAGGGGCAATGAGGTCCGGATATCCAAAAGGGAATGGGCTTGGGCTGGAACTGCTAACCTGCCAACTTGTCTCAGGAAGACCGGAAATCTGCATCCGGAACATAGTGCGGCGTGGGCGAGGAGCAGCGGGGCGGTCCGTAGGACCAGGGAAGTTCTCCTTGCGCCGAGGACCACGCGCAAACTGCACGGTCAGTCGTTCACCCTTGAAATCGCTGCCGTCTGTCGATATTGAGTCAGTGGGTCTTTTTCATTGGTCCAACTAGCATGATGGACATACGGAAGGCTGCAAGGGTGGTTAGCATGTTGATAGATAGCGATGGTCAACAAAGACTTACCAGGCACGACGTCACGAGCATCCATAGCATCCTCATATTCAATGAAACCGAAGCCATTCATTAGTTTGATCTCCGTGATCTTACCAGAGCCATGGGTGCTGAAATGCTCCTCGATGTCCGGCTTGGTCACTGTCAATCATATGATCAGATCAGCGGGGCTTTCAAGGGTCAAATCTGGGGGCCTGCTCCATGTGCTGCATGTGGGACATCGCCAAAGTGGGCCGGAAGCGCCTGTGAGCGGGGACTGAAAAGTCCATAGGCAAGATCCAGGTGATGTTTGTTTAGGGATAAGGGGTGTGGGTTGCCAGCCTACCATTGCGGGGAAGGTTCCCGAGATGAGAGACGGGTCGATGACACTTCGGTCATGGTGAAGGGCCACTAGGAGATGGATCCGGTAGGAGGCTAAGCGGCCAAAGAGAGTTCCAGAGGCGACCGGAACAGCCGTGGGCCAGGAGATGGCGGTGACTTCCGGAGACTAAACTCCCCCCCCTAGAAAAAGGTGTTGGGCTGGATAAGATATTGGGCACACACGCCGGAAAACAAGATGGAAAAGGGCAGGATGCAGGAAGAAGAGAGAAGAGGAGGCGGGGGAAAGAAAAAAGGACAAGCGGTGGGAGGGCGCGATTGGAAACATTGGCCGCCTCACTTTTTCTACCTGTGTGATCCACGTGCTCCCCACTGATGCGCTGTTGTGCTCTTCATCTGTTTCAAATATTTATTTTTCATGTAGTCGGGTGGAAGCCACGAGAGCCATGCGAGCCACATGAAACCAGGCGTACATCTATAGCAGGGTGATAGACTGGTTCAGATCGCCTCGTGGACCTCCACCTTACATTCCACGGTTCTGCCCGTGAACCACCAAAAAGACCCCCCCATGGGGTCGGCCCGGTTTGCCTCGTACTTTTGCCCAGACTCTAGCTTCAATCACCACCCTAGAAGGATAACATAAAAACAAGAACCCCTCTTTTTGGTATTCGATATATACAATACAACACAATATGTAGTTCCCAATACTCCAAACTTTTCCCAGGTACGCTTCATGTCATGATGTACTTAGGACCCTCTCCACCCTGAGGGGTTTGCCAGTTAATATCCTGAGTCGGCACTTTGATATCACACGTTTTGCAGTGGATGCAGCTACATGGCTTGTTAGCACCGTTCACAGCGGACAGTGTTCAGAGAAGTTGGCTTACTTTTGCGCGTTGATCTGGAAGCGGACCCCGTGCTTCTTGCTAGGGTCTTCCACGTACTCGTACACTCCAGCCGGGCAAAACCGGTTCTCCACACCCTTGTATACCGGCCAGGACAGATCCTTGTGCTTGTCCCAGTCCTCCACCTGCAGGTGCACAGGCTGGTCCTCTTCGTGGTTGGTGCCGGTGCGGCTGACGCTGGTCAGGATGTCGAAGCTGATCTCGCCGTCGGGCTTGGGGTATTCAATCTTGTTGCATGCGGACGCGGGCTTGGTGGCCGCGGCATCCGTGCCGTGGTGGCCAAGGGTCCACGGTACACGGCCCTTGAGAATGTAGGCCTCTAATCCGGAGTACATCAGGCCACCGAAGAAACCGAGGGGGGTGTTGAAGGAAGGTCGGATGTTGCGCACCTCGCGCAACTCCTTCCAGATGTACGAGTCCCGGAGGGACTGTTCATAGTCGAAGAGGAAGACGGTGCCTTCACTCGAGCTTAACAATGCAGAGTAGGTAGCCTCGGCTGCTAGCATTCCGGACTTCATCGCAGTGTGAGTTCCCTTGATCTTGGGCACGTTCAAAAATCCAGCGGTGTCACCTATCAGGGCGCCGCCTGGGAACGCGCACTTGGGGATAGACTGGAAGCCGCCCTCGTTGAGTGCACGGGCACCGTACGAAATGCATTTGCCGCCCTCCAGAACATCCTTGAACATGGGATGGTGCTTCATTTTCTGGAACTCGCCATAGGGAGAGAGCCAAGGATTCGGATAATCCAGTCCGACCACGAGACCGATGCTTACCATGTTGTCACCGAAATGATACATCCAAGCACCACCGTAGGTATCCCTGGGAAGCGGGTATCCCATCGAGTGAGTGACCTCACCCGAGCGGAACTTCTCTGGTTGAATCTCCCAAATTTCCTTGATTCCCAGACCGTAGGTTTGCGGCTGGCTATCCCGTCGCAAGTCGAACTTTTTAATCACCTGCTTCGTCAAGCTGCCGTGGCAGCCCTCGCCGAGAAGCGTCACGCGAGCGTGGAACTCCATTCCGCGCTCAAAGTTATCCTTGGCCTTGCCATCCCGGCCCAGTCCCAGGTCATTGGTCGCAACACCCTTTACTGATCCATCGTGGTTGTAAACAACCTCACTGGCAGCGAATCCAGGGTACACCTCAACGCCCAATTCTTCCGCGCGCTCACCGAGCCACTTGGTCAACTCGTTCAAACTAAGGATGTAATTGCCGTGATTGTTCATCTGCGGTGGAGCAGGGAGAGGGTATGATGAAGTCTTGGTGAGGAATCGCATCTTATCGCTCTTCACGGGGGTGGCACCCTCAAAGCGGGAGGGGTTATCTTCGGCGAGCCAGTCGGGGAACAGCTCATTCATGGCGGTAGGTTGAAGAACATTGCCTGAAACAATATGCGCGCCCAATTCTCCAGCCTTTTCCAACAGAACGACTCGAAATTCCTCATTGCCGGCTTCGTTCGCAAGCTGCTTCAATCGAATTGCGGCGGCGAGACCAGCAGGGCCTATAATGATCGGAGATTAGTTAGACGGACGTCGCCTAGTCAGTACAGCGGCACCACACATACCACCACCCACAATACAGACATCCACCTTATCCGATTCACGGTCGATTGACCGCGGGTCAAAATTGCCATTCTCATCGGTAAAGCGCGGTGATACCGACTGGGAAAACGCCCGGGTCTGCACCGTCGTGAAGGCTGTCGATCGGCGGGTGAAACGTCTCCTCGACGACAACAGGGGACTGGCAGGGCTGCGAGCAGAGACGAGAGAGGAGATGGAGGGCGTAGTTCGTGAGAAACGGGAGGCCGAGCGCATTTCGCGCCTCAGCAGAGGCAGGACGGCACCTTTTGACGCCATCGCGGATATGAAAAGTATTTGGACGGAGACGGCTTACTGCGTACTTATTCCAGCATTGGCATAACCGCTTAGAATCGCGGTGAGGCAATATACGTGAGTCCGGGGAGACCTTGAATAACCGAGTCAAGGTCGGAGACTGAGCCCGAAGTTGTTGAGCCAAAAATCGCCGAAAAGCGCCTACCCGAGGCCCAGTGTCCGGTCGCGGACCAATGAAATCGGTTATGTTGTCAATCGGTTCGGCGTAGCTTGTTTTTTCTTCCCCTTCACCGAGGTCTTATCATGAAGATCTAGTATAAAGGGTGGAATCTCTTCGGCGATATCCCCCGTTTATATGATCGCGACCTAGGTCATATACTCATAGGGTCATCCCACACACTCCACAATGTAGGAAGCTTTCAGTTTGTCGAAAACGTGACCTTCGGGTCACGTGAGACTTAAAAAAGTCACATGTTGCGAAATTATTCTTGACATCATCGATGCCAGGTCGGATGTGACGAGATTTGTTGTCTCGATGCCTGTTCTCGACGTTTAGCATCAAGCTTAATTCCCTGTCGCAATGCCTGGTCCTGATAGAAGACTATTACCAATACCCGCGCCTTGTAATTACAGTGGGTACTCGGTCTGCTCTCATTACAGTCGGTTTACAAGAATGTGACGAGTGAGGTGCTGGGTATGATATCCAGCATACCGGACGGGAAAATGTTCAAATGTAATGACTAACAGAGCCGCGGCTGAGGGAGTGACAGATCAGCGAAGGAACGGCTTGGCGAGCGGTGGATCACGCATCCGCGAATTCGACCAGTCCAACCCAGAGTTGAACCAAAGTTGAAGCCACCTGTCCTCTACGCCAGAAATAACGGTGCTGAGAGCCTGGAATTGGGTGGAAATGGCCGAATATGTCTTTGGAGAACCGAGACAACGATGTTTGGTGGGTAGGCAGCGCTGAAACAGTTGGTAATCACGCCCGGCGCTTCCCTTTGGTGCGGCAAGGAAGTAGGCAATCTCTGTTCAGTCGCCACTTTCACGAAAGGTTTGGCGCACGGACTCTAAAGCAAGGGTATTGGGCCATTTAGGATACTGTATTGAATCGTAAATAAAAACTTGCAATACAGGGGCTTAATTGGTCAAGTGAGGGTTTTTAAAGTGGGGACTGTATTTGAGTCGGCAATATATAAAGGCCGTGCCTTCCGCTTCCGCGAGTTTTTGGCCCTTCGACTCGATCTTGGCATCTGCTAGCTATCTGGAGTTTCTGCACTTCCCGCCCTCCCTCCTCTTCTACTAATCAGATCTTATCTGGATCTCACTCGGGAAGCGTTTTCTCCTTTTAGAAAAAAAGGATTAAGGAAAACAAAATTTGACTCGGATCTCCTACCGGCCTACCCTACGAAGCTTGTCCTGTGACTCCCAGGTACTCGCCTCATCACTCTCATTCAGATCGCTTTGCAGATAGAAGTCAAAAAATCCAATTGAAAAAGGCAGCGAAAAGAGCGAAAAAAAAAGTTCTTCGCGTCTGATAATCCTATCTCGGCGATCTCTCCCCTGAAAACACTTCAGTGTGCTTTTCTGACATCCTCTCGAACTTCAAGAGGTGACTGGCGATCTGAGATTTGTGTCACCTTCACATCATCTTCGTCGAGCAACAGTTGCCTTGTAGGGGGATACATTGACTTGTCCATCTCCCACTACCAGCCTAGGTAAGTTTCTTGTTGCAAACTTTCTCCTTGATCAATTTTGGTGTTCTGCCATTCTTGACCGCTTACCCTGGTCGGTCATGTTCGAGGCCTTGCCTTGATCAACTCTCATCGACTTCTCACTGACTTTTCACTCCGCGCGCACAGTTGTCATCCCCTCTTTTCATCTATCACCATCAACACGATCGCATCTGTGAATCCTGCCTACGTAGTCATGGATCAGCAGCTTGAAACCCTCACCACCCACCCGAACACGGCGCAACAGGCGCGTGCATTCACCTCACCCTCCTCGCTCTCCTTCCCTGGTGGAGCTGGGCACCTTACCCCACCCTCCTCTGTGAAAGAGGCTCAGGGCATGAACGGTCAGCAGGTTGGAGGAAATGCCGCCAACGGCAACGGGGTGACCCCCGCCACTCCAGCTGCGACTCCCGGCGCCACTTCGGGAAGCAGCGGTATTGTGCCTACTTTGCAGTGAGTATATCTCCTTGTTCTGGGTTTCTCGTAACACAGAAATACTGAACTTGTTCGTCATCAAGAAACATCGTGGCCACTGTCAACCTTGACTGCCGCCTGGATCTGAAGACCATTGCGCTGCACGCACGCAATGCGGAGTACAACCCAAAGGTATATTCCACACCTCCCTGAGCTTTCCAAGCATATCAGGGGACAGTGTGGCTGAACTTTTTTCACTTAGCGTTTCGCCGCCGTCATCATGCGTATTCGTGAGCCCAAGACCACCGCCCTGATCTTCGCCTCTGGCAAGATGGTTGTGACGGGTGCCAAGTCAGAGGATGACTCGAAGCTTGCATCCCGCAAGTACGCCCGTATTATCCAGAAGCTCGGTTTCAACGCGAAGTTCACCGACTTCAAGATCCAGAATATCGTTGGGTCCTGCGACATCAAGTTCCCCATCCGCCTGGAGGGTTTGGCATCTCGCCACCACAACTTCAGCTCCTACGAGCCCGAACTCTTCCCTGGTCTGATCTACCGCATGATGAAGCCCAAGATTGTCCTCTTGATTTTCGTCAGCGGTAAGATTGTTTTGACCGGTGCCAAAGTGCGCGAGGAGATTTACCAGGCTTTCGAGCTGATCTACCCTGTGCTCTCTGGTATGTGATAATCTTCCATGCTCCGTACATGACTCGGGCTAATCGATCCCAGATTTCCGCAAGGTTTAAAGTTTCACATGAAGATTGCCACTTGCTTTCGCATTCAATCCTGTATCAACACACGCTGCTCTTCCTTCCCCCTTCTGATTGGGATGACATTCAGCACTGCGTCATTATCACCCATGAGTGGCTTGCCCTTTCCACTACTACGATTGGAGTGGCAACCCGCATTGCCTCGTGTCGCCTCATGATTCCGTTTCTTTTCCCCTTCTTTACGATTCTTTATGCACAGCATCGTTCGGCGTTTTTAGCGATTTGGGGATCCCTGGTTTGTTTCTCATCTGTCGACTGTTTACGATTTAGAAGATTGCTGCGCACCGCAGTGAGGCGGTCCCGTGCGCTGGTCGAAATACTGCCTCTTAATCCCTTTTGCTTTTTTCCATACCCGTGGATGGGGCAACTTGTCGCGGGCCAAAAAAATTTCTGCTTGCCTTTCTAGAGTCCGTCATTGCTCATTGCTGATGATGCTGATTATGGGAAGGATTTATCGGCCTTCTGCCGTGGTGTTTCAAACCGTTACCAAACAAGAATTAAAGGAAATTCTAAAGACACCACGTTGTAAATTCCAATGTCCCAATTCTTCTGAATACCTAGCCTTGCGCAAGTTTTTTCAGTCGCTTTCGCTTGTCAGCATTACCGTAACAGTAGATGCTCATTCAATCTGCACTGTTCGATGTCTATGCCAGTGTGTATGTGAGATGTCCTTCCAGTCTTCCTAGACGCGTCCCTTAAAGTACACTACTCCTGCCAGCCCTTTTTGTCTTGGCCAGCTCTTCTTTCAAAATGGGGTTCCTGTCCCCAGACCGGCTTCCATCTCCATCGAAGAGATCATCAGCGTTCGCAGCAGGGGTGGTAACCTCAGTCCAAGTCCACAGCTTCTGCAGGTCCAGGTCAAGCGAGCCCTCCATAGCATCCACAATCTTGTCTCCGAGCACAGGGAAAAACTTATAGGCGTGTCCACTGCCACCCGTGGCAAGGAAGAGCCCGTCGTAGGCCGGATGGTACGAAACAATGAAGTCTCCAGTAGGCCTGTGCATTCACCAAGTCAGTCTTTTGGGTACGCTTCCCTCTGAAAATGCAAACTCACGTATCAGTGTACCAACAAATTCTGGTATCAGCAAACGGCCGGTCCGCAAAACGCGGTAGCAGCTGCTTCAAAGCTGTCCGAAATGCCTCTATTCCCTCCAGCGGCACTGGCGACCCCGTGTCAGGAAGACTGACTCTCATCATATCTCCTGTCGCGCCAGGCACAGGAACAGCAGTCGGGTTGCGGTACCCGTATGCATGGCGCGCGATCTTAAGCAGGTTATTCCGCGGTGGGATGATGAAGATGCCCGTTCCAAAGTTCAAGATTGTGGGCAGATTCTCAAGCTCGCGCTGCTCGGCATCTGAGATGCGCATGTAGGCGATTGCCTGGCCAGTGGCAATCGCCTTGCCGCGCAGATCAACCAGTCTCGATGACCATGCGCCTGTCGCAAGGACGACCAAATCGGCCGTAATAGAAGTGCCATCGGCCAAAGCAACCCCAGTAGCCCGCGGCCGCGCACCAGAAGTGTCATATAGAATACGCTCAACATTCCCTGTCCGGAAAGTGACCTTCCCCTCACGATCAAGCTGCTCCTTCACAAAGCGCACAGTAGCCCCCGCATCAGACCATCCAGAGCCCCAATTGACATACCCACCCGCGACATCCAGAGTCTCTTCATATGGAGGGACAACACCAAGGACATGCTCTTTAGTCGGGAGAAAGACTACATTATCGCCTTCAATGCGGCGCACATTGGCATAACTCTTCCGCGCATACTCCTTCGCACTGACGCTGTTTTCAGGATACACGAGCAGTAGACCATTCTGCGTGTAGCGACCCTCTCGACCCCAGTCTGTACTACGCCAGCGCTGAATCGCCTTACCGGCAAGCTTGGCATATGCAGTATTGGCATAATCCGCACGCACAATGCGCGACGTGTCCGCGGACGAACCGTGAGGGTTCGGGATGACAGGCGACGCCTCGACTAATGTAATCTGCGAGTCTGAGTACCGCTTGCTCAGAGATTGCGCCGTGGATACTGGGACAAGTCAATGGCAATCGATCTGGGGATCCGGGGGCAGGGGGAACTGTGCTCCCGCTCGCAGGACTTACAGCCAAAGACCCCCCCTCCAACGATCAGAACCCGAGTAGGAAAAGCCATTATAAACGCGGAATCTTTCTATATTTTGGAGAGTGTTGGCGTGACTCGGATAGAGTTGGTCGTCGAGGTGTGATTTACTGGCCCGATAACGGGATGTATCGTCGGCTCCGGTTCCGACGATTCTCCATTTCATCCTAAACGAACTAATCGACTCTGGGCTTCATTTGGCTTGGCTGAATTGGAGTTCACCTTCTTCCTTTTGCCTCAAAGGGAGTCAGTACGTAACTTGGAACCCTGAGGCTGGACTCTCACGCTTCTTCTACCCACCAACGCGCTCCGGAAATTTTTCAGCCGCCAAGCTCCCTTGCGCATTCGAGACGGGACATCGGGATCTCTCTCCTAACTGAATATACTGCCCCGTTGTTGTCGTACTGCTGTGATTTCTTTCCCCTCCAGGGATCCTGGAAGCAATTCGCCAGCGCAGCGCCACGATGAATGCACCCCGTTCAGGAAGAGCCTCCTTACGGGTAAGGGTCATTAAGCCCACGATTCCCCTCAGAGGCGTACAAAGCAGAGCCCCTCCACCAAAAAAGCCAACGTATGTCCAGAATACTCTAAATATCTACCAACTCAAGATCTAAACCAATTGTCCAGCCCCAAGCCACCAACACGCAAGCACTTCAACCCAGAGCTCAAACGCTTCGAAGAACGCTTCGCGAAAGAAGCCATGCCTCAGCCAAGGCCCAACGGGGGCATCTCTCCACGCGTACTAACCTTCCTGGGCATCTCAGCCCTGACAATAAGCACATACTGCGGCTACCTGTACGCGTCGTACCAGCGTCAGGTATCCAAAGGACGAACGCTGGAGGTGCCCACAGATGTCTCAGACCGGTACAACACCACAGCGCCAACCTTTGACGCCGATGTGGAGCTCTCTGAAAAGGCAATGGGCTTGGGCACCAAGCGTGCAAATCTCGTCCGTATGGCGCGCGGCGATGTTCTCGAGGTCAGCTGCGGCACGGGACGGAATTTGGAGTACTACGATCTCAGGCGAGCGACGCGGTCTCGACCACCAAGATCGACCGGGGTTAATTGGATGTCACAGTTTGACATTCGTGGATCTCAGTCCGCAGATGGTGGCTATCACGAAGGAGAAGTTCGAGAAGCTACGGCCGGGATTTAAGCGCGTGGCATTCCGGGCGCAGGATGCTGGTAGTGTTTCTGTTGAACTGGATGGCCTGGGACGCTCTGGATCAAAGGGCGAGTATTACGATACTATCGTGCAAACGATGGGTCTATGCTCCATGCCGGATCCTGTGGGCACTTTAAGGCATTTGGGTGAGATTACGGAGCCAAAGCGTGGGCGTATCTTGTTGTTGGAGCACGGTCGGTCGTATTACGACTGGCTAAATCGCATTTTGGACAATTTGGCTCCGACGCATGCAGATAGGCATGGATGTTGGTGGAATCGGGATATTGGAGCTATTGTCCGAGAAAGTGGGCTGGAGGTTGTCGAGGAGAAGAGGTGGCATCTTGGGACGACTTGGAGGTATGTCTTGAGGCCCAAGCAGGAATAATTCTGATTCTGTCAGGGCTTTGGTCGAGGGTCGAGGGGGTGAGCCTTAAAACCTCCAGGCTCAGCCTTTGAAGCTTGTGGTGCATCTATCTTGGAAGCACTTGGCTTTGTGTGCATGTGCGGCGATTGTATATTTATTGTAGTATCGATCCACATTGAAAGTAAATAACATTTGGCACTAGTCTTTATCATCCTATGACTCTGGTTTCCTCGATTGAATTAGTGGACAGTACTCCGAGGTCTTTGTTGTGATTCCTTTGTTGTGGCATGCCAATGTTATTGCCGGATATATAGTTCTAAACCCCGACTCCCATGTTTTTGTCGTCGAGCCCGGTCACCAATATTGGAAATTTGCCTGAGATTTACGATGCCCATTTCAAATTGGCTAAAAGAACTTTCCAGATGTGAACATACCATAATGCATACTTCTTCATCTTCTCCTCGACACGTGAATTTGCGCACTTTTCGAAATCCTCGACGAGCACTCCCGCCTATTCCTGCACTTGCTGCTGCAGTGGCTCGCGGGCATGGATATATCCCGCTCAAAGTCAGATAGATATCCCTAGTATACATACAAAACGTCATCCCTACTAACTGACTGCACGATTGCTGTTGAGGCCTATGTTAGAGGATTGGCTTCTTTCAGTTCACAAGCGTTAGATGTCTTTGACTGTTGAGACCGAGGACCAACTGTCGTAACATTCTACCCAGCACTCAATTCCAGAAAAAGGTCTGAGTGAAGTTGTGGACTGGCTGTCAGAGCTGAGGCTTGGGTATTCGTCCATCATGTTGAGCATTGGTAGTTATGGAGAGGTGAATGACCAGAGGCGAAGATGCGCGATCCTATGCAATGGTCTTGCAATCGCAATCATTGCTGAGTTCACACTTTTTAGAATGAGGCTCCGGGGGCTCATGATGGTGATATTGTTGTTTAGCCGGTCAAATCAGTGAGAGTGACCCGACACAAGATCTCCGGGGCACAACGGACGTCAGCACATACGATATGCCAAGCCCGAGGATTGGCCGTCTCTACCGCGAGTGGATGTTCCCTTGCAATCTGGAACTGTACGTTTCTGATATGGGGTTATACACGAAGACCAGAAACGCCCTGTAACCGCCCAATAATTTGAAGACTAAAATGGCCTTGACGCTAGGTAATTATCTACTCCTATTTCCTGTGGTTTATTTTTCACTTCAATTTCCAAGCAATATCAAAACAACCAACCTAAAGCTATACTTCACTCTTCCAAGGTCCTATATCCATGAAGGGCCCTCGGTGCACGACCATGACTACGGACGGGCCACACACCTTGAAAGACCAGCAATTCCAGCCAAACATACGCGTGGTCGATTAATTATTTGGCGGGAACAAAAGAGAAGGAGGCGGGTTAACATTTCCACCGAATGGCTGACCACTGTCCGCAAACAACGGCGAGCGCGGATGCGAAGCCCTTCCAATCTGCGACGATAAGCTAATGCACGTCGCAGATCCCCTGCAGGGTAGTTGCTAGATGTCTGGGATGCAACTGGCTTTTTGTTGGCATGACAATACCAGGAGGAGCCTTTCGTCATGTTACGTGGAGTCGCAGCCAGACGATGTAAGGTCTGCGTCAAAGAATAGCTGCGACCGTTGATTTCATGTTTGTTGTTTGTTGTTTGATGTACGAGAGTGCATCGTGCATGGCTAGTGGATGTCTGTCCGAGACAAGCATATTGATTTGGAGATAAATTGGGAGGGGTAAAAAGGCACGATAACTCTTCTAAGTTCTGGATTCTGGCGGTCGCAATATCAAGTCGGAAGGACTTCCCAGAAAATGAAAGGATAATGCAAAGGGAGTTTACGCCACCGCAACTAGGACCGAGTGGTCGGGACACACAGCCTACCCGTGTGGAGATGCGGAGTGAGATTAGCGTGCGTTCAGTACTGCATGCTGTAAGTGCTGAACGTAGTTCGCGTCTAGACATTTTGATGATGTCGTTATCTGATTTCTCCATTCGGCCGACGGAATTCGAACAATGGGCGGGTGGTAAAGTAAGAAATCCGTGGGTCCATGGTTGTGCGTTCGCCCGGGGAAGTAACCCTCGCCTTCGCGAAAGTGAAAGATGTCATGAAAGCGGAGATGGATATCAACACGAAGATCCGGTCGGAGAGCAAGGAATCATTGGACAATAGATTTGAAAGGAATGATGTTCCATGGCGGACGAGACCTGCATGGGCTGCAATGCTAGTACCCGCGCCCTTACTGAGTGCCAAGCCTATTGCCGATCAAACAAAGCTATGATGTATGGGATATGACATCCCTCGAGATAGGGGGGGAGATGATGCCAGCGCCGCGATCTCGGGTGCTACAGGGGGTGGTGGTTGCCATCATCTCGACGTCGGTGCTTTCTGATGGCATCATCACTTTTCTGGAAGACATATCCAAGAATGAGATCTACAAAGTAGCGTACGTAGATAGTTAGATTGGTATCCATCTGGTCAAAAATCAAGAAGTAGGTTTCAGACCATGAACCTAGTATAGTGCAGCACAGCTGATAGCTGAGCTAATGCATCATCGGTGGCGAGTCTGTCTTCCCCCCGAGGACGCTACTGCGAGCATCCCTTACTAGCGCCTAATACATTACGGTACCTCGTCCCGTCGACTCGGCCGCGGATCCACACCCCTGTGGGCTGGCTCTGGCCGGAGTGGACTGGATGGGGACTATTGTGGACTTGTCTTGAGTAAACGGCGACGCTAGGGATCTTTTTTGGGGAGCCGGTGTTTTCGTCCGGGAGTCTCGGGTTCCATGAGACTCGAGATGGTCGCTCAGGGATCATCGGCGCTGCATCAATTCTCTCTTTCTTTTTCATATGGTATCTGCCGAGCGATGGTGAATGTCGGTGTCGGAAGCGGTCAACCTTTTGCAGGCGACTGGTCAACCCGGCAACCGTACAGATCTAGTCGAGTATGTGACTTCCTGCGGACAATATGCACCGTTCGCTGTCGGAGCTGTTCCCCTAGCACTAGTCCAATGAGAAGATTACATTATTCACCTCCCTGGACGGTGATTAGTCCAGGGACTTGCCAGATGGGTCCACGATGGAACTAAACGGAGCCGAGCTGGACAGACGATGGAGCCATGCACTGTAGCCATGACCCAACATGGTGATGGGACACATGGTTGATCTCCACTCATCTTTTGTTTTTTTCTTTTTTTTTTGCCTCCCAGTGTCCTGGTATGCACTATGGCCGAGGTTGGAATGGAGCGCAGCACCTAATGGAGTTTTGGGATGGCGCGTTCGGGGCTCCACTGACCGCCTGGAATGGAAAATTTTTGATTTTGCCCCTGCATCCGTGGTGTGTCCTCATACATAGGTATAGCAAAAAGATCAATCAACTATAGAAGCTCGTGTAGCTTGAGAGGTGTGCCTGGCCTGGTGGTGGTGTAAGGCTCACTAAATCGGAAAATCCAGACGATGAATACCATGGATGAACAGTTGACGGAAGCCGTAGGAGAGAAAAATCGACAGCCCAGAAACTCACGATGAGCCAATCAACGCCACAATAATTCCGATGGCGCGTCATGTAATTACAATCAATACGGCCAAATGCCCCAAAAAATAATAAAAATTCATCCAAGTCGAAATTCCGCCCAGGCAGTTGTCATTCGCCCCGAAGATACAGAGCTCGTCGTAGCCATATGCGCCCTTCCTCCCTCTACTCTTCTCATCCTCCATCCCCCCTTTCAAAGAAAAAAATAAATTTATATCCAAGCTTTTGTATTGTTTTATTATTTTCTGATTTGGTTACTATTATTATTACTATCCTTTTCCATCGACTTCCCTCCTTTGACCTTGACCTCTTTGCTCTCCATCATCATGCCTTACAATACTCGTCGCAAATCACTTTCCCTCCCCTCTCTAGGCATCCATCTCCCCAACTCCTCGCGCCGCTCCCCCTCTATTTCCAAAGGCTCTGATGAGTTGCCGCCTTCGAAGAAAGTAAAGCGGTCGCATCAGTCATTATCACCTGAGCCTAGGGAACCCGCTGTGCGCGCTGGTCGGCACGGGGCTCTTGAACACACCCCGCCACCCTCGCCTTTGGATGCCTGTGTCGCACCCTCGATCGACACCGAGGGCATTAATGATGATATTGTGGTCGCTGTGATTGATCAGCTGGAGAAGACGGGGAATCGCCCCCATTTGGTGAAGGAATTGGCCGCTGTTCTCGTGTCTCTGAATGCGAATGTCGCCAAGTACGTTGAACTCTCCAATTATCGCGTCGCAAACGTGCTAACCTGATGAATCAGTTCTGCAAATCCCGCGGCTCTTCTTTCCTCTCGACTGGCAGCCTATATGAAGCGTCCTTGGACGGCTCTTGCGCGGTGTCCTATCGCCAAGGAGCTTGTCTTGATTCATCCTCGCAAAGTGTACTATTATCTGACCACCTTTGCTCGTCAGCCCATTCCGGAATCATCCGACGACTTGATGTTGGGCGTCGACGGCAAGCACATTACCCCGAGCGTTTCAAGCCTCGACGAGGAAGACATGATTCGGGAGCGGAGCCCTAGTCCCGAAGTCGACCTGTCGTCCCCTGACTTTGAAGGACACGAGGATGACTTGGACAATCCTGCCGGTCGGGGAAACTCTATCGACCAGTTTCCCGACCCTGCTAGCCACACCCGCCTAATGCACTCAAACCGCGCGGCATCTCCGCCCCTGGAGGGCGACGAGAAGGAGTTTACCCAGACCGCTAGTGCGGTGCGTGAGCGCGCATCAGAGGAAAAGGCCCAGTCGGAACGTGCTATCTCTGTTCTCTCCGAAGGCCTTGCCAGCATGGATGAACATATGAGCAATGTCGACTCTCCCGTGAACGACAGCACTGTATCGCCTGCTGCTCCTATGACTGAGGAGGAGTACAGTGATTACTTCTCTCATATGAATCCTGCGGACCAAGAGTCGCAGGAGCTTGATGATGTTGCTGCTGCTACCCTCTTTGGAACCTCACCCTCGCCCTCTCTCACCTCGGTTGCATCGTCTGTCTCGTCTGGCACGAGCGTTATTGATGTTGGTGAGGAGCGGACCATCGCTCTCCCGGCAGCTCCACAGATTAGTCTTCCGGATGCCGCTCCTGTGTCAACTCTGAAGAGATCTCTTGACATGTTGAATAGCGGTCTGCCGGACGTTGACCTGAAGATGTCTGACCTGACCGAGTCCCACGGAAAACTTACTCTGGGTCCCCGTGCTTTTGGCACGATGAACCACGAGCCTATCTTCGATTCCTGGAGGGAGTTGCAGAACCCGGAGTCTGTGGAGGTTGACGAGCTCGATGAGATGTTTGGCGAAATCTAAACTACCGTATCTCTCATTTCTGTGGCCTCCGTTCTGCTCTCCATCTTTGCTTCCATATTCCCACCTCTGTCACTGTCTCTCCACTCGCGGTTTGGCTTGAAAGCCATACCATCGTCGTTATACCCTTTTGCCTCACCCCGATTCCCCTCTATCCCTCGACCTCTGTATATGTCGGCCCTCACTTTGCCGTGTCTTACTCCTTTGATAATTCCTTCTTACTGTATATATACATCTTCTGTCGTTTTTCTTATATTTGGTCTCGCCCTGGATGGGTAGAAGAGAAATATGGGAAATTTTTGGGTTGCTTCAATGGCAAAGAAAAGCGACTTGATGAGTTCACATGCGAACGGCGTTACTGATTTTTGATTTGGGTAACCGTGGAAATCATGAAGTCTGACTTCTTACTAAGCTTTCCAGCTTCCCCGTAGCGGGCTCTAGCCCCAGCCTGTAATCTTGGTCTGTAATCTCCCTCCGCCACTTTTGAACCTCTAGTCTTAACGATTGAGAATTTCATCTCGGTTTTTCCGCTATCGAATCTCTAATGGTCTGAGCCCCCATGGCTCACTGAGTGAAGCCGACGTCCTGGTTGCGCTACCAACCCGACCGTCGAAACCCTACCGAGCCTGAATCGCATTTCATTGCGTCGGAATCCCTGCGATACTGAGAATCATCTACTATTGAAGCCCCTTCCTTATGAACTCTACGAAATACCGCGACCATGACGATGGAAGATCCGCCTCAGAAGCCCCCCGGGGAGGGACTTTTCCACCAACGAGACCTGCCGACCGTCCAGGCTTCAAGCATGGCTGCATCAGTCGCAGATTCAGCGACAACAATCAGGAACGACTCCGGTGCTGTTCGTTCAGAAACCAAGAATCCTGCTAAGATTGCCATTCCCCGCCAACGCTCGGGGATCGCCCCGCGCTATAATCGGCGGGTCCCTCGGGCTTGCGAATCGTGTAGGTCGCGCAAAACAAAATGCAGTGGCGACACCCCTGTCTGTCGACAATGTCGAGAATTGAGGGTAACGTGCCATTACCCTGTTGGATGGAAGGAGAGAACGAAGAAGTGAGTGCTGCTGCTTTATTCTCCTTGTTTCTACAGGTTGGTGGAGACCAGGCAGACTAACCTATGATGGCAATTTCTCAGACAAGTCGATAAACTATCCGAAAAAGTACAAGATTATGAAAATATGTTGAAGGACTTGGGAGCTTTCGTTGAGAGTCGAACTGCAGACCGGATCAAGAGCTTGTTGGACAAGGTTGGTTTTTCCCCGTCCGTTGATCACAGGGCGTTCTTCATGGCTAACATTTTTGGTCTGCAGCATGGCTTGGACGTGGATTACTCGTCGAACAACTCCCATTCAGTCACCCCACAAGACCAAGACGAAATGCAAGATGAGCCGCAAGATGATGAAATAAGTACGCCCTCGTCGATCGGGTCTTTGGAAGCGGTCGACCGCGTCGAAGAGGATTTGAACCGGACCGAAAACTCAAGAGCCACGGGATTTATGGGCAAAAATTCGGAAATCACCTGGATGCAACGTCTCCAGAGAGAAGCAGTGCATCGTTCGCAAGGATTGCCTGGGTCATTAGAGCCGGGCCAAAGCAAACGACAAGACGATGACTTGGCCCTTCATGCCGTGAATTACCACTTGGACGACCTCGATATCTCTGTGCCTGGCCCGATTGAAATCTATGCCATGCCTTCCCGCGAGCAAGCCGATCAACTCTTCGATGACTACTTGCGAACCGTGCACCCGTTCTTCCCTATCATCAACAGACCTCTCTTCCGCGCGCAATATACGACCTACTTCGAAAGCAATGCACAACCAGGGGACAAGTGGCTTGCCATATTGAATATGATATTCGCCATCGGTGCAAAGCATGCTCACCTAATCGAGGCACCGTGGGCTGGCGATGAGAGGGACCATCTGACATATTTGACTCGGGCCAGAATCCTAAGTATGAATGGCGACGTACTATTCAGTCATCCAGATCTGCAGCAGGTCCAAGTTGAGGGCCTCATCGCATTCTACCTGCTCTCATCCGATCAAATCAACCGGTAAGCACACTGTTGAGCTTGTGACTGGACTCAGGATTAACTGATTGTCTAGGGCGTGGAGGATGTCGGCTCTTGCGGTGCGGTCCGCTATCAGCCTCGGTATAAATATGAAAAGTAGCAGTCCAATGACTCCTAATATCTCCAAAGAGGCTCGCTATCGAGTCTGGTGGTGTCTCTATACCTTCGAGCATCTGCTTGGTATCATGACTGGCCGGGCCACATGTATACTAGACGGAGTTTGCACAACACCACTACCTCTGCCCTTTGAGGAGGAAGAACTGGCAGAGCCCGCAGCTGCCGAAGTTCTCAACAATTCGCACCTTCGGGATGAACGCATCAACAAGGTCATGGCGAGCGCGTGGGTCCGGCAAATGCCACTTAACCCGACGGGAGGCAAGGAAGCCACCCATTCCTCTCGTGTACGAGAAAACTCTTGGGTGAAGAATCTGCCGCCTACCTTCGGACTTACTCATCTGTATTACTGCGACCTAGCAGTCATCACCCAGGAGATTGTCAATAAAGTGTATTCTGTCGACTGCGTGATGGTGCCGTGGACGCACATCGAGAACCGCATCGGTGAATTGAGATCTCGGTGTGATCTCTGGTACCGAAGCCTTCCCGCAGCTCTCGATTTCACCCAGAAGAATGACGACACCCCGGAGATCCTCCGCAGCAAGCTTGCCTTGGCATTTCAATATTGGAGTGCGCGTATCACCCTCGGTCGCCCATGCCTGTGCCGGCGCGATGCACAGCAGAAGAACCCGGCCGATAGATCAAGTTTCAGTCATGATGTGGCTGTGCTGACCCTGGAGTCCGCCACGAGCATGCTGGACCTCATCCCAGATGAACCAAATGCCGTTCAGCTTTATTCGATTGCCCCATGGTGGTGCATTCTTCACTACCTCATGCAAGCCGCGACAGTCCTCTTGCTCGAGCTGTCTTTTGGGAGTGTACACATGCCCGATGACGAGAAGAACTTCGTCGCATATTCAAAGAAAGCAATTCGGTGGCTTTATGCCATGTCTGAACATAGTGTTGCATCACGCCGCGCCTGGCAGCTGTGCGATATTTCACTGCGCAGACTGGCCACTGGCATGAAATTCAATGTGACCGACATGCCCACAACCACCTACCAAAACGCACCCACCTCTACCCTGGATCTTACCGACCCAGGTCATCATCCTGGCCAAAGCCTGAACACCGAGCGACCTGGATCTCTTCGAATGGACTCGGCGGGCTTTTGGGGTCCTCACTTTGAAGATCTGAGCTTGACCGGCCAACCCCAGATTTTCCCGACCGACCACTTGCACAATGGCTATCCCGAAATACTTTCATCTGACCCTATGTCCCAATTTACTATTGAAGGCTCGGTGGCGGACGACCTGTACTTCCCGTATGATCCTATCAGCGGCGAATTCATCCGCAGCTTCTTCCCCAATGGCAACGAAGAAGAGTCGACATGGGGATGAAATTAAATGCCCAAGACAAAACAAGAAAAAAAGACAAAAAGGCCAAATAATGAGGGAACTGCCCGTGATGAGTTGGGAACACCAAGCATGAACCTTACTCATCGCTGTCCTAAGTTCTCTCACCTCTTTTTCCATACTATCCATTTCCCTATGCTATTAACACATATTTGCGTTCCTCATGTGACGCTTTTCAATTTCTTAATCGAATGTTCCCTTTCAACTTGGTATTTTGTTCGATTTACCAAAAATTATTGCATAATCACACATCGTGATTGCCTTACGTCGGCAGGACCGGCGGCGCTGTGATACAAAGGATAAGGGCGGTGCATGCTGACGGATTGAAAGTGAAAAATTACTTCGAACGGCGTTTTTTGCTTGATTAATTCTGGGGTTCGGTAGGCCCAGACGTTGGGATTTCAATATCACGATATGATTAATGTGTCTCTATCGGAATCAGCCATCTAGGGTTCCGAACTATCAACGATTATCACTCATTTCAGTCCATCTGAATATTTCATATTCCACATTTCATTCCACCAGTTTTAGAGTCTATGTAAACAAGTCGATTTTGATGATACAGGTGACAAGAGAACGGGGGTATAGTTACACACTTTCGTGCCAAAAACAAAAACAAAGTATTGTACATGCCTCAGGAAAGTCACGCCTGGATAGACTCGACCCGCTCAGCCTTCAAGAAAGGATCGTTTTGGAGTTCCCTCGCCTTATCTCTGACTCGTTTCGACGCTGCTTGCGCAGTGACCAGGTCACGAGCGCGGGCACGGGTGCTTAAGACACCGCGAGCGCGTAGACGGTCCATATGGCCTGGAAGGTCGCCGTCGATTTGGTCTTCAGGGGCGCGGGCGCGTAGGTACATGGTAACGCAGAAGTCGAGCGCGGCTTCGGCTTCGGAGGATGGTGGTTTGCCGCCATTTCGGCTGACGTATTGGTAGATAGATTTCGGGACGTCGAGGCGGTAGCCAGTCTCGAATAGTGATGGGTTTGGGGATGGGGATTGGAGGTCGTCGTCGAAGGCAGGCTGGGGGGGTGGTTGCCTGTTCTAGCTCGAACTCTTGGAGCGCGGCTTGTGCGATGATGCGGATGGTATTCAAGTTAGGAATCACTGCTTTGCGTTGGACTTCGTTGTGCCAGTCTATGTCAAAGCTTGGATTGCCACTTCTGGGGTCGATTTCGGTGCGCCTTAGGAGACGTGCCACGCCGCCTTCTTGCTGACGATGCGATGTTGGCGTGAGAAGATCCTGACACCATCGTGAAAAGATTTCTATTCCGACTTTGCTGCCATTATTTTCCACCACACTGGCGAACACTTGATTGAAGGCAACGCTGGGGATGTAATGCAATCGCTGGTGGCTTCTGCTTGCTCGCTTGAATTCCACCTGCTCCATCAGGCCCGCCAGAGGTTCGGGGAAGGTCGACCATACTTGATGCAGACGCCTTAAAACCCTTCCTTGGTAGTCAGTGACTCGACGGTTCTTACTGGTAGGCGTGTTGAATTCACCGGAGAAGAAACGCAGAAGAATGTCTTTGGCAGCATCAAGGTTTTCTTCCTCTTTCTTTCCGACCAATTCCCCGCGGGCATGCTTTTTTTTAATATCAGCATCTATTGTGACGACTTTAGCCGCCAGTGAAGTAAGATTTTGGAACCCCCAAGACTTCAATCTGAAATCCCGCATATAGTTCAATGTGATGCGTACGCGGGTCCAGTCTCCCATCGCAATGTGAAAATTGACAAGAGACTTCATCGTGTTGACAGAAAGCGGCAGGCTCAGGGAAGCAATGATCTTCTCGCAGAGTTCCGCATTTTTGATGGCGGTCGCAAATCGTAATAGCGATGGCGCCAGAATTTGATTGCCATAGGAGCTTTCAGGGATCAAAGGTCCATCGGCATCGTTGCTGAAGAGCAACCAATTTCCGAATCCATGCGCACGGCTCGAGGTTGCCATGTCCATTAACCCGGCCATTGTCCCCTCGGAAAGCCCCGGGAGAGAAGATTGTGGTACCTTCAAATTGGGCGAGTGCCCGTCTTCCAGAAACTTGATATCTGCAGATTCGGATCGTCCCATATATTCAAAAAAGTCTTGAATGTGTCGAGCTTTGCTGGCGTCGACGATGTTCTGAAGCAAGGCGAGTTGGCGAAAAGAGCGAGAAGCTTGGCTTTGATAGATGTATCCCTTGATATTGTACTCCACGAGGCCAGAGATGGCAGCGGACTCGTTGTACAGCTGAGACCTTGTCACTTGATCAAGATTCTCCTCAGAGGTAGAGCCTGGTTGCCAGGGAGGTACCACGCTTTGAGTCGAGCGCAGTATTCGCTGAAAGGCGTCAGGATCCGTGTTGGGTTCTACACAGCCAGACTCGATTATTCGTGTGATATGCCAATTAGTGGACATGTTTGTCGGCCGGAGATCGTCACTGGACCCGGCAGGATCCAGGATTTTGGTCAGGGGGGCCTCGAGGCTGAGAAGCTCCGAAAGAGACAATCCGTGGAAGCCGACTCCGGTATAGACTTTGTCGTACAGAGTGTCTCGCAAGCATGTAACCACCTCCCTGCTTATGGTCCTTGTACCCAGACCATTGAAGGGAGGTTTATTGCGTCCCGTGAACGCATTGGGTGGGGTGTGATTATCCGGACGACGCCAAGATTGCTCCGAAGGTATTTTCGTTTCTTGCACCACATCAAGCGCTTGGACCAGAGGTGCCCAGCTCTCGACTTTCCATTCCTTCTCACCCTGCAGACTTTGCATCTTTTTGACCAACAAGGCGCCTTGTTTACCAGATCCATGCTCAACACAACACCAAAGAATGAGCTCGAACCATATTTCCGGGCCCAGCTCTCGGAATTCAACGGGGAAGGGCAGGAATGGCGGATCCTCTCCTGCTTCGGTGGCCGCTTTTGCCAGTTCAGATTCATGTTCCAACCATGCTGCATCAGACAGGACCGTCATGATATGATTTGAAAGCAGATGTAGACCAGGGGGCCGAAAAGTTTGATCGTGGATATTGCTAGGTTGGTATTTGTAGATTTCGTCAGATATCAAGCCCAGATTGTGCATGCGTGCAAGAAGGCGGAACACGCAGGACATGGCAGCCTTGGATTCCTGCGGGGAACTATCCGCTGCAGCCAGAGCTAATGACCCAAGATTGTATAAAAGTTCGCTTGAGAATCGATGGGAGAGGTCATTCGCTACAGGCTTCCTTGTAATAGCATCGAGAGAAAAGCGGTCTGATGTTGGAAGCGACTCGATATACTTTTTCGAGGGAGGCCGGTCCCCGCAGGTGATTTCATCCAGCGAATGATTACTCATAGACCCGTCGAAGGTTGGCGTGACTTGTTGCTGAATCTCGTAACGCCCGATGATCTGGCATACATCGATGAATTGGTTCAGAAGCGTGTGGACGTCAGACCATCGCTTCAGTTCAAATCCCAAATGCGCCAGAGGATCCAGGTTTGCATATGTTCTTGACGCCCATAAGACTCCCATCAATTTATGCGCCCGATCTATGTCCTGCTTGTGATACACGATCGAGACGTGTTCATTTTGCTGAAGATCCGCAGGTTTCCTCGAATGATGCGGAGGCAGACATTCCATTAGGAAAGGTATCCATGATTGTATGTTGAATCGAGCCTCATACGCGAGAGGAGCCGAGGGAAAATCATTGTATGAGAGAATAAATTGGTGCTCTTCGTAGGTAAGAGTTCCGCGTGTCGAAGAACTGCGAGTCTGGCTGCGTGGCGCGAACGGAGAGCATAGAATTCGTGAAGGGATTAGCAGCCGGCGGCCAAATTGCGAGGGCCGGCCGGAGCACAATAACCTCCTCATGACAAGGCAAAGAGCCTCGTGAGAGGCGCCGGAGGGATCTCGGTCTCGGTGGGCACGAAAATAGGTATGGCGTGACGCATATCGGATCGATCATGAATCGGACATGTCGTGGGGTGCCCGGGAACTATCCCGCACGATATCGCACTAGAACTTAGCTCACTGCCGAATAAGTCGTCGATGAACAAATTGTCAAACCCGAGAAAACCGAAGCTCCAACGCAAGACTAGAAATTTGGATGATGAGTCAGCGGGTGTCCGGTTCAGCCAATCAACGCACCTGGATTTAGTCCGATCTGGCGAACTCCATCAACTTGTGCCGATTAAGGGAAAAAGAAGAGAGCAAGCTCTGGAAGCAACATATGAAATCACAAAGGTGCTTACGATTTTTTATGTGATACATCATGGGCTCTTTCGTCGAGCATGTAACCACACTCAAAGATGATACTGACGAGCGGACCTGGGTGTCTCAGGTAAAGCTGCACCAACAAGGAAATTGAGCTACAGTATGGGCTCTATTACAAGGCAAGATTAATGGCATAGTGGAAGCAGAGGAACACGAGCTTTTTGTGCTTCATTCACGAAATGGAGAGCGGAACTTGACTGGATTTCAGATGCCTATCAAAGGTTTACCCGAAGAGGAGAAAATTCGGCTTAGATGAATCTACACTGGAAGTCATATAAAAGTCACGTAATAGAATAGGTGTACTCATGTGCGTGAGATTCAGGCTATGATAAACAAAAATTTCTCTGTGACAGCACCAGCAGGCCCAGAAACGTGCGTATCCTTCGAGAAATTTCATGCCCGGATAGGGCGGATCTGGCGAGCGTGGAAGCGGTTGAATTGCTGGCCACCTTGCTGAGATTGACCACTCCTTTGGGATTCACCACCCTGCTGGAACTCGCCACCGCGGCTGAAACTGCCAGAAACACCGCTGGTCTGAGCACCAAAACTGCTAAAAATACCGCTGGGCATGGGGCCCTTTCCGCCAGAAACACCACTAGGCATGGCACCGACGGAGCCACCTTCAGAGCGGGCGACAACACTGTCAGACTTAGAAAAGCCAGAAGGAGCACCGGACGGGGTTGCGCCCTCGCCAAAGTTGCCGCTAGGGGAGCCAGATGGCATGCCACTGGGAGCAGAATCGCCGTCGAAGTTACCACCTTGAACTTGGCTGGTGCCAGTGCCCGACGGAGGGAAACCAGAGGGAACCCCGGTGGGAACGTTGCCGAAGCCGTCGTCAAATCCACTGGGCTTAGCGCCACCGGCAGGTATGCCGCTGGGAATAACACCGGAGGGGCGAGGGCCAGGACGGCCACCTTGGTGACCGCCGTGACCATGAGGACGTCCAGATGCCCGAGGGAAGCCGCTAGCAACACCAGTGGGTACAAAACCGGAAGGGAGGCCGGTGGGCATAGCAGTGGGAGTGGCATGGGAATGACCTCCGCCCAACTATAGAAGTGTCAGCTTTACTTCACGAATCATGGGTCCATAAACGCACATGAGGCAGATTCCAGGCGGCGGCGTTAGGAGCCATAGAGAGAGCGGCGGCCAGGCCGATGACAACGTTGAACTTCATGGTGAATAGTGAATGTTGCTGGATAAGTAGAAAATATTTCTAAAGAATGGATGACCGAGTCACTCAATGAGTGATGATTTCAGGTCGGTAGAAAGGAATGGAGCGCGCAGCACTGTGATCGAAAGAAATTCTCTATGGACACTACAAGTTCTTAAATAGCTTCGAGTTCAGCTCACACGCGGGTCCCTGGCGACCGAGGGCCTCGACTGCCATGAATGCCGAGACATCGAGACCTGTAGCCCAACGTTAGGAACTGTGGAGATCGGCACTGGGTCTGCCAGGGGGCCTTTCCTTGGTTCTATCATCAAGTGCAGATGTGTTGAGAAAGTGGCGATCATCAGTGAGAGTTGGCACTCAGCCACTTGGAAGCATATTGGTGCATAGTCGTAGAGCCGAAGCAGGAGTCGAGTTGTGGAGGTGGGACGAAAGGCCACCAGGGGTTTTGAAGATTCTGAAGCAGATGGCGCCACGGGTCACTCTACTTTGTTTCGCCTGAGGGAAGTGGGAGTGCACAAGCCGTGTTCGTTGGAGGCGAGGTTAAACGTGAAACCGAGTGGCAGCGGTGAGCTCCACATCAGCTTACACGTCCTCTGCCGATCGGTCCACCCACTGCTTCAGGTTGACGTTTGAAGTGACCAGCCGCTAGGAGCCCGAAAGATCTCGTCTTGCCAGAGCCGAATGGCCCATGTGCCCACGCCATTGGATTCGAATTTGGAAATTGTTACAGATTTGTCCCGCGGCTGCGTGGCTCTCCCCATGATAGTCAACTAGCAAGTAACGTCTTCAATTGCTCGGGGTATTGTACACCAGGTCATGGAGCGGCTCAATCAAAGTGATACCGACAAGATAGAAACCAACACGCCGAAGTCATCACTCATGAGGGGAAAGACACAGGGAAAACGGGGATATGCGGGAATAGAGTCAACACATCATAGCTCCTCCTCGTCAAGCTGCATGTCGCCTCCCAGCTCTTGCTCCACTTCGTCGACCACGAAGCTCTCGTAGTCCTCGAGACCCTTCTGAATGTGTACCTTGAAACGAATCACATCATTGAGCATAGTCTCAACATTGGTGTGAAGCTCCTCGCGGAGCGCATTCGCTCGCAGCGTAAGCTGCTCGTACTCGATGTTGGTGTTCATCTCACGTTGCTCCATTAATTGTACACTGTCGCTAAGGGTCGCCCGCATCTTGGCAAGCTCCTTCTCCATCTTCTCAATCTGTGCGTCAGATGCCGTCTTCTGAGTGGTGGTTATTTCTTTGGTGCGGTCGAATTCCTCCTCAGCGGCCCGACGCCGGTGCTCCAGTGCTTCGACCTCACTGCGTTTCTCATCCATGGCCTCCTTAATATTGTCGAGTAGATTCCGACGGTCGAGATCGTCATCGATGGCCTGTTTTCGCCGCTCGTTGATCTCCTTGCGGAGCGACTGCAAGCTGTTGCGGACCGCGCCCCGAAGGTCTAGATTCAGCAGATGCGCCGGGTGATAGCCCGTGAATGGCTCAGCCAACAGACGGTCACCCTCCGGAGAAATTCGGCTCGGCGCACCGCCAATCTGGCTAGTGGAGAAGTTGTTCTCGTTGACATTCAGACTAAGCTCAAAGTCCTGGCCTATGGCGTTCTCAGCGGACGCTGGAATCAGGCTATTTTGATAGCCCAGGGAGTTGTAAGCCTTCACCAATTGTTCCAAATCCTCTAGTTTCTGGCTAGCCTCCGCCTCCTTTTCCATCACGCGGGCGTGAGTTTCTTCCAGGCGAGCCACGGTATCTTCTAGACTCTTCTGGAGTCGTTCCCGTTCCGTGTTCATGCGATCAATGTCCTGTATAGTGATCCCTTGTTGGTCAACACTGGCCTGAAGATCGAGGCGTTCTGCTTCGCTCTCCTGCAGCTCGGCATCGGTTTTCTGCATCTCGGTATCAAGAAACTTGATGCGGACTTCGTATTTCTCAATCTTGCCCTTGACATTGTTGTTGTAGTCCTCGAATTTGCGCTTGTCATCCTCCAAAATTCGAAAATGCTTGTCTAATTTAGCCATGTCAGGCGCATTCTTCTCCAGTTCTTCGATTTGTTCACGGAGAGCCCTGTTCTCAGCTTCCAAAGACTCCAGCTCCTGTACATAGCGCTCATTTCCCCGAGCGAACTCCTGCGACATATTTTCGATATGTGGGACCAAGCGCTGCTCGGCCATGTCGTCATCCTCATCTTCACCACCCTGTAGCCAATCGTGGTAGGCTCCTGTGAGGAAGCGATAGATGATGCGATCGCCGGTCACATCCACACCCGCCTCGAGACAAGCCTCGTCATAGTCACCCTCCACATACCGGTCCATCATCTGCGCTAATTGCATCAACCAATGCAGCATACCGAGGAAGGTTGACCAGTTCTGACCACCGACGGCCGCAATTTGGGATTTCGTAATGCCCTTCTCGTATGGATAGCGCAGCTGCTTGAGAATCGGGGGAACTTCGGAATCCATCGCTTTTTGAAACTTGTGGCCCGGATCGATGCGATGATAGAGCCACTGAAAGATGTAGTTGAAATCTTTCTGAGTGGGCGAACGAAGAGTATTTTGGCCCAAGGTGTGCTTCATTTCCAATTCAAACTTGTTATGGGTCAAGTACTCCAGCAACTCTTGACCAATGCGCGCCTGATAGGCTCGGTCTCGTAGCGGTCGTGGGTCTCTTGGGACTCCAGCCACGGCAGGAACTTGGGTGAAGAAAGACTGGTGGCTCATTGGTCCAGCCATGGATGGTCGCGAAAAAACACTGCTTCTGCGCTGTACATTTTGTGGAGCGGTATTAGACGAGAGTGAACCGGGCGCAAAGCTCTGTCGACCAGCGCTGGCGCCATGGAACATATTACTCGAGACAGATCGACGAACAGACGAGAGACCGGCTTCAGCACCGAAGGGTCCACCGATGGATGCGCGGGAGAAATTGGGTTGTTGAGGCCTGCTTGCCGAGTTCAACAGGGAATGGCGCGCGTTTTGCGACGTAAACGGAGGGTTGTTGAAGCCGATCGTGCTCGTGCGTTTCATTGCCGACGCAGGTTGCGGAATAGACGAGTAGTTCTGGACACTCGCTAGAGTCTGTATTCGAATGTCAGTAGCTGCGTGTGTTTGCGATAATCCAAGAAGTAATCATACCTCGCGGGGGCGCTTGATACTGAACAATCCAGTATCTTGCGACATGGTGATGGCAAGGCCGCGATTGCGGCGGTAAGGATAGTAAGTCGTCAAACAATAAGTAGAAAGTGCAGATTTTCAGATGTGGAAGGTCCAAGTGGGATGCGCCGCGCATGTCCCTCGAAGAGGAGGGGATCGGTTTCACTTGCACGCAAGGTTTGGGTGGGAACTTGGGAAAGCACTCGATGTAAACAAGACCGTGCCACTTCCCAATATAGAAGGCGGTAGGGAACAGGGAAAAACAATGCGGCCGGCTATCACGAGATGCCAATCACGGGACTTCGGTCTGGGGAAAGACTTGGCGGTCCTGAGTTCCGAGGTCCACGGCAGCTGCCGATGACGGTCGCTCCCCTGCCCTTGGACTTTCCCTCCTGTTCGTGGGCTTTCACTTTTGCATCCTCCTATCGCGGCTGACACTCTCTTCACCATGGCCCCCCGCGAGGAGCTGATAGCTTCAGCTGTACGTGCATGCCACTCTACTTCACTTCCGCTTTCGGTCGCTAACTGATGCTCTAGGTGACCTGTATGATATATCCAACTATCGCGTGACCACAGCGTCGCTAATTTGAAATAGTCCTCCAAGATCCTTCAGTGGCATCGTCGCCTATTGAAAAAAGGGTCGCATTCCTGCAATCGAAGAATTTGACTCAAGAAGAAGTAGATCTCGCCTTATCGCGAGTGGGCGAAGACCCAGCCACCGCGGCTGCAGCAGCTAGTGCGGCGTCATCACAAAGTTATCCCTCACAACAGATCGCCTATCGTCCACCACAACAGCCTCCCCAAGGATATGGCTATCCCCCATACAATCAATGGCAGCCGCCGCCGGAGTATGTTTATTGGTCCTCAATCCTTTAGCTTGAGCACTAATCAGATGAGCAGGCCCCCGAAGCGCGACTGGCGAGATTGGTTCATCATGGCGACTGTCGTGGGTGGTGTGGGATATGGGATGTACTTTGTCGCAAAGGTGAGAATTCCAGAAAATTGCCCCCCATGTGTTAGCATACTAACGTACGATTTAGCGCTATATCACTCCGTTGATCGCCCCGCCCACTCCCCCGCAACTGGAGCAAGACAAAGCAAACATCGATGAGCAATTCTCCCGTGCTTTCACACTAATTGACCAGCTATCAACCGATACATCTGCCTTAAAGGCCGCCGAGGGAGGCTCGTACGGAGCGCCTGGATGCCGCTCTGAAGGACGTGGAGAACCTTGTTTCAGATCTTAAGACCTCGTCGCGCCGACGAGATGACGAGACACGTCGCATTAGCGATGAAGTCAAAACTTTGAAGGATGTTATCCCCAAGGCCCTTGAAGGAGCGCGGGAGGGCAACGAGAACCGATTGAAGGAGCTGGGAGGCGAATTGAAGAGCTTGAAGGTCTTGTTGGGCAACCGACTGGGTGGCAGTGGCTCTGCTTCTCCTTCAGCTGGCCGAACTGTCGGTAGCTCCACTCCCATTCCCGCTGCTACACCTCGCCCTGCGGAGGAAACCCCAACTCCCTCCACATCCATCGCTACCAATGGTATGCAGCCGACCGTGACACCAGTCGAGCAGGAACCCCAACCTGCTACCGCGTCGTCTGCTCCTCAGAATAACGACAGCCCTCTCTCGAAGCTTGGTCGGTCTGCTTCTATTCCTGCCTGGCAGATGGCTGCCGCCAATCGGTCCAAGAGCGGTTCGCAGTCGAGCCCGTCCCCCGCCGCCGACAAGCCTGCGGGCAGTGAGCAGAGCGCTCCTCCCAGTTAGGCCTGGGTTGATCCGGCTTGAATAACTTGTATACCTCTTCGCTTAGATGTATTTACCATAATGGACACTTTCTTGATGCATGTAATGTGACCCATGATTCCAAAACGTAGCATATGGAAATGCTGGGGCCGATAAGATAAGGGGCGCAAACAGTCTCAAATCTGGCTCGAGCTCTTTTTTCTCTTCTTACTTTCTTCAACGACCTCCGAAAATGCCGTCGCCTACTCGATTCTCTGATAGACCTCAATCTCTCTCAACGCGCAGCCCGAACCGGCCCCATCACCGGAGTCGTCGTGACGATTCCCATTCCCATTCTCATCGCCACCGACACCGTGATGTCTCGCGCGAGCGTTCGCGCTCTCCCCACCGATCGGACAGACACAGATCAGATCGACGCCATCGTCATGAAGACCGGGAAAAGCGGCGAGAAAGTGGTCGGGATGATCGAGAACGACGAGAAAAAGAGAAGCCCGTCCAGCCAGTGATTCTGCCCTTCCAAGCACGGGAGCTCTCAAGACGCGATCTCGACACCTACAAGCCAATGTTCGCCATGTATCTTGATATTCAAAAGGGGCATTATATAGATGACATGGAGGAAGATGAGGTGAAGGGGCGGTGGAAGAGCTTCATTCGAAAATGGTATGCATCAACGAATTTCGGAGTCACTTTATTCTAACCATGCGCAGGAATCGCGGAGAGCTTGCAGAGGGCTGGTATGAGCCAGCTACCCTTCAGAAGGCACGTCAGAACGCAGCTGAGCAGCCACGTTTGGATCGAGGACGTGCATCACCGGATTATGCACATGGTGAACAATCGCAAGGTGGGGATATCGAGGATCTTCCGAGAGATGACAATGAGGATGATGAAGATGAGGAGGACTATGGCCCAAAGCTGCCTCACCCTGGCTCGATAAGAGCTGCGGCCCGCTCCGGTCCTGCGATGCCGAATATGCAGGATCTTGAATTTCGAAGAGGTAAGCACCTATTGACTGGCCTATGAAATATGAACAACCAGCTAAGAAGCCTCATAGAATCTGCGATGGAAGACGCCATGGCTGCGCGTGACGATTCGCGAGAGCAGTATCGCTCCGAAATTCGCTCTCATAAGGCGGAACAGCGCCACCTGTTAGATGAGGTTGCGCCTCGGGCAGAGGCCGGTACGAGAGAAAGACAGCTCGAGAAGCGCCGAGAGGCAGCCGCGGCCAACCGCTCATTCGCGGAAGCGCGGGGGGCGTCTCCCGAAGCTGCCCCTGAAGCAGAGCTCATGGGGTCAGGGGAGAATGATTTGGCTGCTTTTAAGCGGGAGAAGGAGCAGAACCAGCGCAAGAAGAATGAGCGGGAAATTCGCCGCGAAGAGATCCTGCGTGCTCGTGCTGCTGAGCGAGAGGAACGTATCCAGAAGTACCGAGAGAAGGAGCAGGAGACTATTGGCTGGTTGCAGACTCTGGCAAAGCAGCGATTTGGCTGATCAGTGGATACTCTTAGCTGAGATGTGATTTTTTTTTTAATCCCATTTAGCGAGCGACAGTTTCATAGCTTTTGGAACTTGATTTACTACATTACCACAGAGCTTGTGAGAAATGAGAACCTTGATCATCGGGTCTATATCTAGAGTTGCTATCTTTTTTCTTTACCAGTCCCTCTGTTTACAATACACACCACTTCAAGCGTTCCGAAAGGATATCAACGAGCAAAGCTGGTTACCATCAATGTCGAAGTTCGCTGGATCAAGCCACTTCTCAAAAGAGCTTGTCAACCTCGGCCACTCGGTATCAACAATAGAGAACCAAGCCGTATCACGATTGCGGCCCTTGACAATCAAATGCTGGCGGAAAACACCTTCCTGGGTAAAGCCAAATCGCGCGGCGGCTTTCTTAGACGGTGCATTTAGATCATCGCATTTCCACTCGAGACGGCGATACCCAAGCTCCCTGAAGACAGCGGCAGCAATTAGATAAAATGCTTCTGTGGCAGCCGTGGTACGCTGTAGACGAGGAGAGAAGATGACATAGCCCAGTTCGACAACACGGTTCTTGAGGTCTATGCGCATCAGGCTGAAGAAGCCGAGCGGTTTACCGGATGGATCGACCAGAGCGTAGAACACTGGATCTTGTGATTTGCAAAACCCCGTCAGAAGCTCAGTGAATGCTTCTTTGCCGGGCAAGGGCTCAGTTGGAATGTATGTCCAGACGCCGAGCTGGTCCGGTTGGCCGATTACCTCCCATAGCCCGTCAATATGTATTGGAGAAAGTGGCTCGAGAGAAACGGAGCGTCCCTTGAAAGATTTGCGAGGCGGGGGAAGCGCAGTGCTTGCTTCAACGGGGATTCCGACAGGTCTGATCATGCTGAAAATAATAAATTGATGAACTGGAGAATGACAGACGTTGGATATACGGGGGGAATGTGGTAAGAAAATGTAAAGATCCCCAGACTTCTCGATTATTTCTGAGAACACAATGGCTTGATCCTTGACAGATGAGTCAGGGCGTGGTGTTAACTGTGGCTTAGTTTTAGTCTACCGCATGTCGGCCATGTGGGGATCGGAGTTGACCCGTTTAGCTCAAAGCTCGAAGCTCGAGGCTTCTTTCTTCATTCTTCATTCTTCATTCTTCTACCCCCTCATCATGACCATCTCCAAAGCCCTACAGGGCCTGAAACGGTTCACCACCTGCGATGTAGGTTACGTGCCCCTGTAATGCCGAATCACTACTGAACGCTGCGCACCAGATTGGTGATGCGCTCGTCAAGCTCAAGCACCCATACGGCGGGTTCCTGGACGGCCTCCAGATGTTCTCGCCGGGCAGTGGAACCAGCATATACGGACCAGCCATCACAGTGAAGATGGTCGAGACTAACAGTCCCGGTCCGACACCTCCACTTCACTTTGCAGACGCAAACAAACCAGGCCACATCATGTACATCCAACAGCCCAAAAAGCTCCCTTCCGCGTGCTGGGGCGGCCTGATGTCGACCAGGGCGCAGAAACTTGGAAGTCTAGGTACCATTATTGATGGTCGCATGAGGGACACCCAGGAGCATATCGATATGAAGTACCCCGTATGTGACAGGTTTCCTACCCAACCGGGCACCCGCGTTGAAGATCAATCATTCTAAGCGATGTAACAGGTCTTCGCCCGCAGCACGGCCGTTCTTGGATCGAATGGATTTACTCGTGCGTCTGAGATCAATGTCCCGCTGCAGTTCAAGGGTGATCTTTGGGTTTACCCGGAGGATATCCTCGTGGGCGACGAGAATGGTGTTGTGGTTGTACCACCGACACTGATGGAGCAGGTTGTTGAGCTTTGTCAGGAGCGCTTTGATATTGACGAGAAGACTATGGAGGCTCTTCGAGCTGGTGAAGCTATGGGCCCGACGATCAAGCGACTGCGCAAATAGGTGTTGAGACAGCTGCCCCCGATGGTACAAGCTTCATATTGTAGACCAAATAAAATTACTCATCCCATGAGTTCAAGATTAAAAACTTGTTTGAGAACAGAAAAAAAAACGGCTCTGACTGCTTGAGTCCATTCAAGATCGAGAGCATATGTATAATACATCAGGTTTGTCTACAACTGAAGGGGCTACTGACGCTCCCGGTCCGGTATTGAAGTCTCTGTGAGGTAGTCAGCATCTTACTTTATTCGATCGGTCTTCAAGTCAGAACTTACTATGTCATCAATACTGGAGTATAAGCCGCAGACCAGCACAGCCAATCCAAAGAGAAATACCAGGAAGTTAACAACACCAATCAGCAAATTCTTGCCCGAGAACAAGGATCCTTTCCGGAGAAGTACCAGCCACATGATGGGAGGCAAGTAGAAGGAGAAGCCAGAGGTGAAGAGAGCGGCAACGATCGATAGCAAGTCCGAGAAGAACGGAATAGCTTCGGCAATTACCCATGCGAGAATAGTGATGGCTGCAATAAAAGCGATCCAGGTTATCCGGCCCTTGGGCGTATTGACATAGCGAATCACACTGTCTTTGAAGACTCGACTGTGCAGTAACCGGCCAGTTACAATAGCGTTAATGGAGCCAGAGATAAAGATCACAGGCAGGGCCACACCAAAGGCGATTCGACTGATAGTGTCTCCGGCAGACAACAGGGCAGGGGACTGGACCCCTGGGCCAACAAAAGCATAGATGGTGGCCCCAGTGATGGTGTAAATCAAGATCTCAATCAGACCCAGTGCCCAGATCGACTTGGTAAAGTCCTTGGGTGTGTGCATTTCCTCCATAAATGAGAATTGGCACGTAGCAAAGGAATAAGCAAACACGAGGTCTCCGATGGCGACGTAGGCCTCGGAGAAGGTCACGTTCTCTTTGGGCAGAGCAGTCCAAGCTACGGAGCTCAGGCCACCAGGTGAGTTGGTGCCCTGGATACCCGTGGCAATGATTGTGATGCCGATAGCAGCGATGATAGAGGCGAAGTCAATGTAACCAAGGATCGTGATGTCGGCAAATGATGAGGGCAGCGCAAGCAAGAAGAGAACAATAGCTGTCACAACACCGAATACTAAAGAGCAGATATCACTCTTGGTGATATCGGCGAGTGCAATAGTTCCAGTCAAGCAATGAGAGCCGATCACAAACAGTAATTGGATCACAAAGACGGACGAAAAAAGCTCGTACCCGAATCGGCCCATCAACAAGGTACCGACATCTCCATAGTGCTGCACTGCAGGATAGGCGAGTTTGACCTGGCCGATGATCCAGGAGGTGTAGATCGCAATGAGGCCAATGCCCACGCAACAGATGACACCAGCGACCATTCCCAAAGTTGCAAATGCTTGAGGAATAGATAGTGCTCCGAGTGCAATGGCCTCGACAATGAGCATGAGAGTCAACTGCTTCCATCCGAGGCGCTTATATTTCGCCTCGCCGGCAGTGGCGATCTGATGTTCGACATCACTCAACTCTTTCATTTTCTTGTCCTTAAAAGTCGAAGACCCAGATAAAGAATGTGACCTTTCCATCCCAGCGTCACAATTGGTATTGGCAACATTGTTGATGGCAGCATGGGCCATGTCTTCGGAGGTCATGACTCAGACGTGAAAAATCGAACAGCAACAAACAGAAACGCTTTCAGAATAGGGTCCACAGGGAGTCAATATCTAGATCCCCGACTAGCAGACCATATGCGGAGAATGTGGAGAGAAGGACATGCGACGTTGAAAGCCAGGTGGACACATTGATATGTACTTCTGCACTAGGTAGCCGACCTGTACATTCTACTCGGCTAACTCCAAGAGATCTTCAGGGCTCTTCAAATGTTAGGTAACTTTTTTAAAGCCTCGGCGGTTGAACACATTGTGGGCCTAGCCTAGGGCACTGAGGAAAAGTGGGACTGACTCCAATTGTTTGGGATCCTGCTCACCGGTGGACTTTGAAAAGGGAAAGATTCGATAGACTACGTATGAAGTCTTTATTACTTCCGGGAGATACGTCAACGCTTCCGCTCTTGGATCAAATTCCAGGCTGCTGAGTCGACATGACTCCACCATCAATGGATCGGCACGCTATATCAACACCACCGAGCCCGGGATGGAGAAGCCCCCCCGTGTCAGTGAAGTTCGACCATTTCGTCTGGTACGGGGAGCCCGACCACAGCAGATATCATGATGGACAACATATCTTCTTATGCCTCTTCTCATTGATGTGGCGATCCGAAGGCTCAAATCGCATCAGAGGGGAATTTTGATAGACCCATACCCTCGTGCGGAATGGGCCATGATTGGTCAAGCTTGTCGGGAAACATCACCATTGGCTGAGTCTACTTCGTACAAGGAATATTCCCGACCATCGTCAATTCCCTTCAATATTTCATACGTGGAAAGTTTTCATGCGGTAGGTAAAAGAGTGGGACAGAATTCATGGGTAAAATATCACAGTAGATGAATTATTACACCAAAATTGTCCACTCATTCCATGACAGCTCTGCGACGCTTTAAAAAGTTCACAGAAATGAGCACGCGATGGATACACATGTTTCAATATTGTACTCCAACTCTTTTTGGAATGAGACTTGCTTTGTATGTAAATAAATAGAGCGTTCCGCTTAAAAGTGCAGCTTGCCGAGTCTCTACGGATCTATGAAAACAAGAACCCAGGGAAGAGAAGGAATATAAAATCAATTGAAAGAGTAGGCAGGGCAATGAAGAACGAAATTCTCCTGGAAACAGCTATATCGCGAGGCTATTTCCATGGCGATGAGTGGAAACCCGTCTGAAGTATAGGCAAGGACACTGGTATCCATAGTTGCCCAGAGGATCTTTGGTTCGACACTATCATACACAGCCCGGTGTTTTATTCATGAGTCGATGAAAAGACTATATTGCTAAATTGTCGAGGCGCAAATATTTGAGTTTGTGTGTTACAGACTAAATGAAAGTGTGCAGAAGAATGAAGCGAGATAGAAGAATGCCCAAGCAGGCACGTTGGATGCTTCGAGTCACGTAATAGTCATAACTTACAAGTTGTATCAGATGACAGGAATCCAGGCATATGTCAAACGCGAACTTTGAGACGAGTAGGCTTGATCTAAAGTGGCAGAAAGGGTTACGTCATGGCCTCTTTCAGATACAGACATCCTAAAATTGCTAAACAGATTCTGGAATACTCCCCAAGAGCCGATTAAAATGACGCCTACAGTTCTACCCCAGAGTAACTATACATCATTGTTGATCTTGCGATATGCAGGTAAAGCCCATATTACCATCCATTCTGACTCGAGGATCTGCTGGGTAGTTGGACGATTCTCGGGTCTGAATGAGAGCATCGGCCGTAGCATGTCGAAGATAGCGTCCCTCTTCCTTGCGTCAAACAACGGCATCCCACTATCTCGCCTGGGCTGTTGCACACTATCCTCAAATCGATCGTCCCAAGATCGGAAAGGGTTACGGTTCCTTGGCTTGCCATCCTTGGAAAATTTCTGTCGTCGAGCCTCCCACTTCATCCACCACTCAGGTGGCAGAACGCCAAGAGTATCGACATGCTCACAGGTTATGTCGTCCTCCGTCGCGAGAAATCCTTCGAACAATGGCCGCTGAGCGATGATAGACCATATGGTACAGGCGAGAGTCCAGATGTCCGATGAAAAAGACAAAGGCTTATTTGGTTCAAACCGAGCCTCGGGTGGACGGATAACCAGGGGGGTGCGAGATTCGTATCTCAGTTCTTTTGAATACGAAAAGGCTTCACCAAAGTCTGAAAGCAAGATCCTGGCTTCTGCAAGTGTGATTTTCTCACTTGCTTCCCCCAGCCATATGGATGCACTACCGTGGGATGGGACACCAGGAGGAAGCGGATTGCCATCTAGATGAACCACTGGGTCAAGCTCCGGGGCTCCATAATTTCCATACAATTGCTCGGGTGTTATCTGATCAAAAGTGGGCGGAACTTGGAGAAGAATATTGCCTAGGTGCAGGTCTCCATGGACAATCCCTTGGGCATGTACATAATCCATAACAAGGACGAGTTGCGCAGCCAATGACCGGGCCACATCAAGCTGGAATAAGCGGATCCACCGTCCTTCACCTGGGAGAGGCTAGCCCTCGCTGGTGCGGTAACGTAGCAAGCATGACTGCCATTTGGGCCATGAATGGTAAACCTGTCTAGGATCGAAGGGACCATCGTCTTTGCGAGATTGTGGACTGGAGAACAACGAGGACGTTCGAGGGTGGAGATAATGTCCATCTTTGGGTTTGAGTTTGCTGTGCAGACTTTCACTGCAACAAAGTTATTGGATTGTTCATCACGGGCCAGCCACGTAGTTGAATAGGAGCCATATCCCAGCTTATGGATAACTCGATATCGACTGTGAAAGTGATCTCCAATTTGTACGGGGTGATAGCCCCCTTGTCGATAGTTCTCGAGTCTTTCGACTCCCTCAAGAGGTTCGTATAGGAGACGGGTGTTAAGATTGTCACGTTTCTCCATCAAGTTGAAAGCGGTCATAGTGCACGCGCAACAGGGTCGGTTGCGATGAAGCAGTGGTATGCGCCCCTTGCGGACGGGAAAATCAACATGGGGACCATATATAATTTGGGCGTAACGACCGAATGACCAATGACAAGAGTTTACTCATTGCTGTATCATGTGGAGAGTTCACCCAAAAGAGGTCTCGACAAAGGAGACGAAAACATCTATATTCGGTCCTATCGCCAGCACGAGGTGAGTGGTTATGACGAATCGCGGCGCGACACACGCTAACAGCTTTGACAAAGGTACAGACAATGATTGGGTAGAGCGATGTAAGAGAAAGTCCGGGCCCGAGACACAGAGTAGCCGGAGGATCCTGTCGTATCAGAGAAGATAGCGGGAAGGAACTACTAGTCCCCAGGTTGGAGTCGGAGACTAGTGTATGACGCGAATGCTTCTCATCAACCTCCTAAGCGAACATTGAAACTACCTTTACTCTCACTTTTCTGCAGACTTCGAAGCTAGAAGGTATTTCCATCAACCGAATAGTTGTCAAAGTAAAACATTCCTTCAACATGGGTCAATACACTTTCCAAAAGTTACGTACCATTATCCGAAAAAGGCTTTTTCTCAATGAGAACGAGTCCGGGGTCGCGATTGACGCCCGTCAAAAAGCTGAGAGTAATGTCTTTCAGAGGCTTTCCCCGGAATTAATTCAGATCATTTTCAAACTCCTTTCTGGTGCCGACGAGATTTGCTTTGCCCTAAGTGATAATGCAATATATACTTGCTTTCAGGAATATGCCAGATACCCTCGTCCAATCGGTGATGATCCCTGGCATCCTGCTTATATTATCCCCTCTTTGACATCAGAAGGGCGGCTCTCAAAACGGCATGAAGCTCCTTTGGAATCAAAGTACAGAGCAGAACTTCTTCGACTTGGAGATAAGCGTTCGTTCTATTGTACACAATGTCAAAATCTTCATAAACGCTCTATAAGGCGAACTCTACAATCATATTTCAACTTGAAGCCCCAATGCTCTTCTCTTCACACAACAGTGGTCGATATCTGTCCTTGTTCAGCGATGACATTTCACAATACGCGAAATTGTATAATTGTTGCTCGGACGTCAGAGCAACAATGTTTCTATCGAAACTACTGGAAATGTAGTGAGCCATCCCCTGGTTGTGAGACCGGAAATATGGAATTTACGCACCAGTGCACTTTCAATGACCATTCTCTTGCAATTGTTCATATAAAGACTAGGGTTTGGTTTGATGAAGGTTCAAAGTCTCTTCAAGTACAAAATCTTTTCAAGTTTGATGTATCTGGGTTAACACCTGCCCAACTCAAACACCTGGGCAAATCAAATATCAACAAGTGCATACATCAAGCTGCTAAAGGATGGCTTCAGAAATTCTTTCAGGAATCAAAAGCAAGTGTTGATATGAATGTCCTTGGATCCGATTACTGTCAATGGCTTGGATGGGAAGAAAGCAAAACTGATGAATCCCCACGAGCTTTTGAAATCATCTTACATAGAGATTTAGGTGGCGTACATTGGCCTGACAAGCGCTGGATGAATTATAGTCATAACCGACTGAGGCCTCCTCGTAAAAGGAGTCGTTATTTTTGAAGGTATCACACTTGCAATAGGTGCCCTGGTCTATATTGACCAAGAAAAAAATTGGTTGAGCTCCGTCTTGCTTTTGGATTTAATGAAGTTGAATCTATTACTTGTCACTTGCTTGAAACATTTTGCCAAAACTATAAAATGGGTTGTAGAGTAGAGTAGTTTATTTTTCAGAATGGAAGACACCTGGACCGAGCATGGGAATATGCCTAGAGGTAGTCTTTCTGGACATCCGACGTCGGTCCGCTCCCCAGAGGCAAGCAGGCAGTGACAAGGCCCCACCAACCCCTCGGGAATCCAGCTTATTGGATAGAAGTGTTTTCTGCAGAGGACCCCAACTGAGCTGCATTCTGACCAATTGATGGCCCAAACTTCAGAGTGCCCGTTGAATAGGTATATGTAAGGTAAACGAAGCATGAAATAAGAACAAAAAAAAACATACAGCAGTCAATTAGTTGCTCTTCACCACATAAGACATATTTTGTTGGTCGGAACTTCTTTCATATGGCAATCAAAACAGATCATTAGAGATTGCAGCCTAAGATTTTCAAGTAGGTTTAGATACAGTAAAGCGGCACAGCTAGCAACTCCCAATCACATCGTGAAGCAAGCCGCTCTAGGGGGGTCGACATACGTGGCTTCCACTGATCATGCCCGACTCCGACTCTCATCCCGAATACAGCGTACTCACCTTTATCACCCCTAGTCGCGCGACCCTAAAGCGGCGCTCACCCATTTCTCACCCAGGTGACACCCACCCGACTACTGGCTGCACATAAACCACACGGCGGCAGGTTAGTAGTTGGGTGGGTGACGACCAGTGAATCCCTGCTGTTGTATGTCAGCGTTCACCCATTCTTTTTGATTTGACCGGGAAATAGTCCTTGCCGCCCTACTCTTCAGTCCGCTTTTACCGCCCTAGCTTCCTTCCAACCATCTATAAAACACCGTCCTCCCTTCCCTCGAGGCATCGACACACTCTCTTCTCTTTTCATTCTCTGTCGCCTTTAAATGTGGAAAGGAAAGAAACCACCGGCCCCTGCAAGTGGACCTCTGCCCCGATGCATTCCCCCTCTCAATCCACCGCAGATGCCGCTCGATCCGACGCTGAGGCCGTTCTGACCAGCGTTGGCGGCGACGCTATCCAGTATCCAGAGGGTAGAAACGCCAGGAACGTCGAGCCGTCGACCGTATGGTGTAGCTCCTTTATTGATTTCTAGGAAAGACATGGCTACTGATCATAGCCTAGCTCGCCGAGCATCTGTCTTATTCCCTAACATTCTTTGCACAGTCACAGGGTAACGTCTCAGGCTTCTTCGACTTCTCATGTCTCGCTTCACCCCGCTCTATCAAGGGTTACTCTGCGCAGCCCCAGCGTTGCGGATCGGGCTCCAGCTGCTTGTTCCCGAGAGCTTTTGGCCCATCGTTGTCGCCATCGTCGGTCGTTCCGTTCCCACTTTCCTCGGGGATACGTCTTCGAAACCACTGCGCGTTGGTACGGGCCAATGGCAAAAAATACCGCGCTTGCGCGTGTATCGACTGATGCGTTGTGAGGGGCCAATGACGGGCTGACTTCGCAAAGTCGCCCTTGGTCATGCAGCCACGATACTTTTAGCGGGTGCAGACTGAGCCAAGGCCTATCGTGGATTGGTGTCACATGGCCCGCCGGTGAATGCGACGTGAAACTGTGCTTACCGGAGCTTTGGAGCTGCGTCGTGTCTTAGGTAGCATGGCCAATTTGACTCTCAGTGTGACTGTTGCCAAGTCTGCTGATGATGATCGATCAGGAACAGAGTGCATAGATCGAAATAACTAAAGATGCAGAAGGAAGAGAACTAGTAAGTATGACGATGGAGGTTAATATACCTTCCATGTCATCGGCCGTGGAATCCTTGAGCGAGTCGAAGCGAGCCACCCTGTGCAAAACGCTGATTGACCGAACCATTGCTTCTCCATACTTATGTCTCCACTTCCTCGCGGGCTTCCCTCGGTACATAGAGAGGTCGACTAGGCATGAAATGCCCCCGACGTCGAGATCGGGCCCCCATGTACAGCTTAAGAGGCTGGGTCTGTCCTTCCTCACTCAAGAAGTTCTTTGGACTCCAGCTGAGTAGAAGAATTCTCAGCACGGTTGCTGAACCACTGTCAGACAGCTTCCTGATTAACCTGTGGAGGCAGGAAAGGAAGTCCTCCGCGTAGTGTGGATCGATAGCTTCCAGCTGCACGATCATGAATACAACCCGCAATGAACGGAGGAGTCCGGCCAGCACATCTAGGAAGTGTTCGTCGAGGCTTGCATGATTGAATCGGTCCAGATATTGTAGGATATTGCTCTTAGCTCCCATTTCATCGATAAAAGTCACAGTCTGATATATGAGACTCTTTAGTGTGGCGATGACAGGGTGACAGTCTCTTTGTGGAGTCAGGACCCAGAGGTTAGCTATTTTGTTACTGAGAAGTTGCTCGACGATATTGGTACAAAAATCTTGAGCAAGCTTTCTGTCTGCGATTCGCACTTTGATGGGAAGAAGCGAGGAAGTCGCTGATTGATTCCACGATTGTAGGCGAGGAGCCTTCCAGAAGGGCGTTGTTTTTGTTCTCTGTCTGAAGCGACGATGATTGCGGAGACCAATGGACATTTGTAGGCAGCTCTGATGGTCGATTGAGCACTGGGAGTATATCACATGAAGCGCTTGAATCGATTGGATACTGAATACAGAGCGGGATATCTCTGCTTGTTCTGCACGCGTAGCGGTGACAAGATCGTGCAAGTCTTCGAGCTGCTGTAGTATTCTTGCTTGGCCGGCTGTACTCGATGACGCATTTTCTTCGATCATTCGTTGGGCTGCAAGAAACTTTAGATGTATATCACGCTGCTCCGCTTGACTGCCTGCGCTTGAATAGGCGGTAATTTTGTCTGTGGTTCGGTGGATATCGTTTATGATGTCGTCGTATCGCAGGGCGGCAGGCTTGGTAACAGCATGGATAGCTCGTTTCCAAGATCCTTCTTCGTACCATTCTAGCCCCCGTAGCAGAAATCGAATGATATGCGCATATAGGATGGCAAACATTCGTTTGATTGATGAAGTTGGGAACAGAGAGGTGGCTAGCTTAGCACGAGATAGAGCGTCCGCGATATCCAAGAGGCCGTTTGCAATAGTTAGTCCGGTGCTTTTGTGCTCGACAATGGCCTATAATATCCATATTAGATGGCATCCAAAAAGACACAGGAAGATCTCTATCAGTTTGAAAAGTTTAAAGAGAAATCACGTACTCCAACCAATAGTTTCATGGCACCCCACGCCAAGGACGTGAACTCGGGATGATGTTGCACAAGAACATCCATGATATTTCCGTAATAGTGAATTCTCTCCGCTAGTCGATCCATACAGCGTCCCAAAGCAGACTCAGTTCGTCTTTGGTGATAACCTTCCTGTGCGTCTTTCACCGCATTCAGGAGGTCGTCCATGGTCGTTGTTTTCAAGGTTTGGAGTCGGTCCTTTTTCCGGGGATCTCTAGTGCCTTGCAATTCAAACAGCATTCGCGCATTCTCAAAGGCAACCTCTGCGTTTTCGAAGTCCTTTGGGCTTAGAGAGTGTAAGCTCGCATGATAGTACGTCGCTGTGGAATCAGCTTGGCACTCACCGTTCCCCATAATACCAGTGTGAGATAGCTGTTGTTGGCAGGTCACCTTCCATGATAATCAACAAGGGAACCAACAGGCGATATTGTAAGACTGTTCGGGCTATATCATCCCTAATAAGTAAACCTGCCAGTCCCTACGGCGTGATCTTGTCGAAACAAGCTGAACGCTCAGCCTCCACGTGATATGCACGAAGTCGCCCGAGCGCAGTTAGGCGGCAAAAGCACCGCCTCATTACGAGGTCCCTAGATATCGCTAACTCATTCCCTCCTGGAGCCACGTTGTTTCCTCTTTTATCGCGCAAATCTGTCTTTTCCTCCCCATATACGGGCCCGGTCATGCCTCTCCGCCGGAATCAAAAACACACTTTCTCCTCAAGCAAGGCAAATGTTAAGCACTCTGGCTCAGGGATGAATAACAAAGGTGGTCCTACACCCAAGCCCATGCTGGTCAACAATGCCCACCTGATGGGCGAACTGATGCCTCCGCCTGAATGGCCGCATCCCGCGCCTCCCCTTTCTATGTCGGCATTTCCAAAATCCGAAACAGAGCCGACGTCATACCATAGTATGACCATAACAGATGACCATAGTAAAGGAAGCGACATCAAGAGGCGCAAGCTTATGGCTGTTTCCGTTGAAGAGAACCCAATCAACCCGCCTGGCTTCCCGTCACGTTTAACCTCGGGCTACGACCACTCAGAGCAACCCAATCCAACTAGCTCATCGCAGCCTGCGGAGGGTCAAAGTGTTCCGACTGGCCTTGATCTCGACTTTTCGGCCCTCGATAACCCAGATATTCTCGAGAGCTTCGATTTTGATACATTTTTGAATACCGATGAGTACGGCACGGGCTTTGGTTTAGAACCCAATATGCCCCATACCGATGAGGCCCGATCTGACTTGACCTATCCGCCTCCCTGGGCCTCTAAAAAGTCCGAGGTGAAACGTCGTCCTACGTCGAAAGTTCGGATGGAACCTGAATCTGGCTCTAATTCCAAGGCATCTTACGGTCATGCTACTGGGATGTCATCGATTTCATCAGAAGCTGTTGACGATAATGGCCGAGCAGAACATCATAGCAACGGAACTGAGGCCGTTGAAGAAGTACAAAGATTACGCGATCGGATCGTCGAATTGGAATCACAGCTCCAAAATTCTGCCGGCAACAAACAAAGACGGAAGCCTCCACGACTTCAAGTGCTTTATCGCCTCCAGGACGGTGACCCTGGCGGGTTCTCGAATGACGACACCCCATTCGAGGATGAACCAGAGATAACTCAAGACAAAGAAGATATTGCTTGTTTGCGATGCCGGAATCGAGTCAGTAATCTCGAGCTCTATCTTATGAGACACCCAGATATATCATTTGTGGTCTTTCGCACCTATCCAAAGACCATTCATCTTGAGGGTATAAAAGGGCACCATTGCTCCAATCCTATTGACCAGCTCCGTCTTCCATCTCCAGTGGCTGAAAGCATTCTTCCGGTCGAAAGAAATCTGAAGCAGGCCTTGAACATGGTACTCGAGCGAAAGCCCGAATTCAGACAGATTCTCGATAAGTATTTAGAAACCGACGGTCTTGATGCGCCATACCTTTTCATTTACCATAGCCGCAGCGACCTAGAGGATATCCGATCACATCTCTCCCCCGAGGCTTCAAAGCAGCTTGGGCTTCTCGTGGGGTATGTGAAGTCTACGCTGGGGCGTGAATATCATGCGGCGGATGAGATTTTTAAGAAAGGTAAAATGGCGCCAGGATATATCCAATACCTGGTTAAACCAGGAGATGTACTGGTCGAGAAGTTGGGGAAGGGTTACACAGGATTTATCGCAGAATCCTGGTTATCCTCAATGCAAAAATCACCCTCCACCTCCTCCACCTCCCCGGGCGAGCAGGGTTCTATCGTTCTTCCTCACTTTCCAGAGGGATCTCAATCTGAATTCGGCATCGCAGAAGAAATGAAAGATGAATCATTCATCTTAGAGCACCCGATTGATCTCCGGCCGCTGCAATCTCGTATGAAATATACATGGACATTCATGGGAAAGACCTTGGGTTTTAACGGCTCCTTTTTCTGGAAGACAAGCCAGTTGAAGATTGAGATGTCAGCCGACTCTCTTCAAGAACCCAGCGCCATCGCCAACATGAACGTCTTTCCTCTTCGGTATGCACCTGGGGAAATATCCGAAATGCTTCAACGGCGAGGGTCGATGTTCTGGAAATGTCGCACGAAGAACCTCATTTCTTACCAGCCTGGCGATGATGACGAATTCAGCAAAATGGTAAGCTCGCCTCCACATTTTATGAATTTGATTGGAAACGTCTGATACTAGAAATACTAAAACCCACAGACGGATGACCGATACATGATTGATATGCGCACGTTCCGCACTCTTCATCCTCATAATACCATTTCGCTCGGAAAAACGGGCGGTAACCTCAGCTTGGACGTGATCAGGGAAGACGAACGCTTTCAATATCTCCTTCCGCCCCTCATTAAGGGGTACAATCTCCGTCGAAAAGCCTGGAATGATCTTGCCGTCGACCGTATCTCTGACGTGAAATGGAACCGGGAAGCATTCCATTCCCTCGTCATCGAGCACAAAGCCAAAAACCTCATCGAAGCTCTCGTCGTCAGTCAGTTAGAAGAAGAAAAATCAACTGATCTAATCAGCGGCAAGGGTAACGGCTTGATATTATTATTCCATGGCGGTCCAGGGACCGGAAAGACTCTTACCGCCGAGGGAGTCGCAGAGATCGCCAAAAAACCCCTCTACCGTGTAACCTGTGGAGACGTGGGCACCAAGGCGGAGGAAGTTGAAAAATATCTAGATTCTGTCCTGCATCTCGGACGCATCTGGGACTGCGTGGTTCTCCTCGATGAAGCCGACGTTTTCCTCGAGCAGCGAAGCCTCGAAGATCTCCAGCGCAATGCGCTTGTCTCTGTTTTCCTGCGCGTGCTGGAGTACTACGAGGGAATTCTTATATTGACGAGTAATCGGGTTGGGACATTTGACGAAGCCTTTATCTCTCGCATTCAGCTGGCCCTACATTACCCCGACCTGGGCCCACGTCAAAGACGTCAGATCTGGCAAACCTTCGTTGATCGACTCGAGAACCTCGATGAAGATATCGACTTCGCCAATCTGCGCGATAATCTGGATGCCTTGAAACTGGAAAACCTGAATGGACGCCAAATCAGGAACGTTATCACCACTGCTCGACAATGTGCCAAATGGAAGAACACGACTCTCACTTATGAGCACCTGAAGGATGTAATTGAAATCTCGGGACGCTTCGGGACCTATCTTCATGATCTCAGGGGCTTTTCAGAAAATGAACTCGCGAAGGATGGTGGAATACGGTGAATCTCATTTCATCTGGTCGTGACGTTGGACTAGGTGTCCTGGCCATGTATGAGATCTATGACTATTATTCTTTCCTGCATCTGGCATAGCGGATTGGACTTGAGCGTTCTTGATTCTTTGCTCAGAGCCGTTGCCGTGAATGGCGGAGTGATTGCATAGTCGTCCAAGTTTCTTTATTCTTGCAATATGGCCCAAGATATACACCTTCCACCAACAGCTAGTTTCGCACATACAATTGCCAGACCCCGCTCATGGTCTCTAGCAATTCGACTATTCTCTTCGCACGTAGAACCGCTTTAGCTGAGTTGCATCGAACCCTTTTCGAGAATGATTCGCCCCTGCGTGGACCATTCACATGGCTGCCTCGACAAGGAGGCCAAAGACTCGAATAGCCAGACGCCGCTGCACCTGGCCGCTTCTAGTGAACACTGGGTCAATAGCCTGTCTCTATTGAGCGAAGTTAACTGCTTAGTCTGTTCTGGCCTTGGCGAAGCGATTATCGGAAAGCGTGCCCCTTCACCGACAGTCTCCTTGCAACCGCTTTGCCAAAAGATTCTGATCTGATGGCAGCATCCATACATAGTATAGAGAGGTTGTTTATGAAACACGGGGTTAGCACTGAAGGAGTGCCGCGCATGTTGACAAACAGACATTACTTGCTCTTGACTGGGGAGCCGTTCCAGCAGTGCCAACATGAAGACGACCGCGCTTGTTGGAACAATCCTCAGTTCCTACAAGAAATCCAGACACGTCATCCCTCCAACAAGCCGGTTCAAAGTCTTGCGTGTCTTACGCGAATGGCGCCTTAGTGTTTGGTGGAGGAGGGTGCCCTGCATATTTAGTCGTGTTCGGGTGAAGAATATTCAGGTGGGTGAATTGCCCCCTGAAGCCGCCTGAAGCCAGATTGAATAGATGCGGCGGCGGGTCGCCCACGCCCGAAACGTGAGCGCTAGGTGACCACCACCATTCATATTGCTGTTGTATGTTTTTGCTTTTGCTTCCTTTGCCCTTTAAGCCCCTAACCCTTCAGGCTCTTTAGGGCCTTCAAGCCTTCCATTTTTCACCTAATAATGCCCTGCACACATGGCATCCAGATCCCGCCCCCGGGCCTGTGATATCTGGAGCCCTCTTAGGGACTGTCGGTATTTAGTAGTAGGGGCTTGTATAGTCTTGGTACCGAACCGATGACAACCCTTCAGTCTTTTGCTGGAGCTAAATAAACAATCTTTTAGAGCTGCATGTTTTTCCAGTAGTACAGCAACTTCTAATGTCTCTCTGGAACGTCCTGAAAAATCATCTCATGGCCGATCTTTTCGAAGAGTTCAAGAAAGGCCTCCATGAACTCCTTATTGTCACTTTGAAGCTTTCGTAGTGATGATCTTGTCAGAGCTTCCTGGTAACCAACTTCCTGGATGAAGCGGAGATCAACCCCGCAACTCTTCAGAAGCTCATAGCCTTGTTCTTCGCTCATTTGGTCGAAGGGTATCCCTAGGTCATCTTGATAAAAGGATGCCCACGTTCGTATGTAGAGTTTGTGGAGCTCTATCTTGAGCGATTTGGAAAACTCTCGCACTTTTAGTAGAGAACATCAGAATGAGAACGTTGAAGAAACGCTCGCCGTAAGGATAATGGAGAGAACTGAACTTTCTCGATGAGGGTCCTGATCCTACGATTCGGATCGAAGATTCCAAAAGGTGTGGCAATAACACCTGCAATAGCAACACCACCCGCACAGTATGAGGTCGCAGTCCAAGCGACCCACCAAGCTCCAAAGCTAACGACAGCACCGACAACGACACAGGCAGCTCCCTCCATGAAAAGGACGTTGTACAAGGTACTGCGAGCCTTTTCGGGCTCTACACTTGCAGTCAAGAAGCTCAGTGTGGCGTGCTCGAATTCACCAGATGCGGTCAACATTTTGAGACAGGCTTCCACCTTTCTGATGCCAATATCTGGGCATAGGGCTAATGCATATCCCAAGTCAGTCACAACGACAGAAAAAGAAAAGGGCAATAATGGAACCCCTCAATTTTTGGCGAGAGTTCCTTTTTGTTTACCTACTTTGTTGAGTCTCAGACATGTAGTCATTCCATGTGGCGTACTGGTTGCGATAATTCCCCAATGTCTGTGCAATTCTCTGAACAGTGTGACGCATGACTGTCTTGCTGCCTTAGGCGCCAGGCAGCAACATCAGGCATCAATAGCAAACATCCATGTGAATCGTAACAAATACACCCTATTTTAGTCGAAACTCGGCAAATCTAGCGACCTCAGACATAAGTTGCTCAGAGGACGGGCATCTTTTGAAAAGGGACTGCTCAACCTTCGACAAGGAGCCCAGGAAATTATCGCAGGCTTGGAGAAAGAGGTTGTCGGTACCCGGTCGTGCCATAACCCTGGAGTCTAGTTGATCTCCAATTAGCGAAGTAGCGGTGCTGGATCACACTGCAAGGGAATCAAATACTGTCTTTTACTATTATCCGATGATTAGTGACTGGAACCACAGACAAAAGCGACTTGGTGAATGCTGCTGCAGTCAAGGATGAATATCCTTGCCATAGTTTGTGTTTGTGAGAGTCGCAGTAGTCGCAGATTCCCCAGATCACAAGGCACGGGAGCTAATCCATTAGTCCTGCCGCCTACATGTCAAAGCGGATGATATCCAGCTCTTAGGCGATCCCGTCTCGTGTCTGCGCATATTTCATAACTTCATTTCCGGATGCGATCAGGCCGTAATAAATGCAAGGCTCGTCGGTTGCTCGTAGTGTTCGACTAACTAACTGATTAAGATCACAAGTGGAGCAGTCACTAGCACTGCCCGAGTAGTCGTATATCGCGCGGAAAAGCCAGTCATTGTCAGGCCGAGAGAATTTCTCTTTCATTTGCTCAATTTTCTCAAGAATATCAAGTAAAATTTGCTTGATTAGTCGTTTTCCTGACAGGTAGTCGCTTTTTATCTGGCTCAGCGCGGTTAACAGAACTCGAGGAGGTTTGTTAAGAGAGCCTATCTGTTGAAAGCGTCCAGCGTGTATCGTTTTGCCATAGTCATATTGTATCACGCCACTCTCTTTAGCAGTTGGTATGCTAATTACTACATCACCGAGTCGAATATTACCCTTACCGGGCACTCCGCCTCCAACACCGACCATCAGACAAAACTGCAGCGATAGAAACGTTGGCAACATCTATGTTAGCACAGTGCTTGCCGATGTTATCCCATAAACACCAGACGGCAAGCATGCAATCACCACATTGTGGCCGTTCAGTCTGCTCAGTGTATAGACATTTTGATCAGTAGGCAGCTGAGGCAGGCGATCGTGTATTTCATCCAGCATTGCTTTTGCCGCGGCCATTTCTAATGACAACGCGCAGATCCATACCACAGTGTAGTCATTGTATGATAGTGCTGGGGGGTGCCATTGAATTGCAGTTTCTAAGAGCGGTATGCCAATTCTAGACTCAGGAAAGAATTCTGGGAAGCTGCATTTATGCAAGAAGACTCCAAAGAAAGTTTGTTACTTAAGCGGGAAGGGGTAATCAGCTAGGCTAAGTGCAAGGCTGTCAACCACTGCATGAGTACGGAAGTGTTTTTGGCTCTCAATACGAATATCCACACCAAGTTTTCATTCTGCTCACAGTATTAGTAATCGAAATACTGAGCTTTGGATAATGATAGGTCGAGTGCTTGCAGCTGGCGTGGTTGAAACAAGGATGTATGGGAACATCCGAGATTGACTGTGACCGTAGCAGTGTTCAAGCTCCCTTGGCTATGTCCAAGACAACTTCACGAAAGAAGAAAATCGCACTGTCATTAGATGTTCTGCGACGCTTGTCTACCGCGATATTCTGGGCGCTTCGGTCCCTCCCGGGGCATTGGACCAACATCTTCCTAGGGCTAGCTTGAACCAAGATGGGAATTCGCATACCATATTGTGGAGAAACACATTGCTCCTTCAATATGACGAACAATTCTCAATACCAGCAGCAGTATCATGTCGAGTAGTGAAGGTTGATATCGCGGTGTTTTGTAATTTGTCGGTAAAATGGTCCTTGCTGTTGGTTCGCGTGGTCGGCTTTACTAGGAGCTCCGCAGCCTTCTGGTTGCGCCACTCCGATCGTCGGAAATGCGGGTGACAACCGCAACAATGTCGGAATAGACTTACTTCTCTCAACAAAACAAAGGCAAGTACGCCAGAATGCAATTGCTGGGGTCGATGAAACGCCTGCATATGCCCGCTGCACTAACCTTCAGGCGCGCCCTGCATACCAAGCAGTGCAGTCTACCAGCCGCCTACTACCGTGGGGGAACTTCGCGCGCGGTATTTTTCAAGCAGGAAGATCTTCCACGCCATCGGAAAGACTGGGACTCAGTCTTCCGGGGCGTTATCGGCAGTCCAGATCCATACGGCCGGCAGCTGGACGGGCTGGGAGGCGGAATCTCCAGCCTCTCAAAGGTGTGCGTGGTGGGCAAGTCCACACATCGCGACGCAGATGTCGACTATACTTTTGTGTCGTTAGGCATCAAGAATGCAGATGTGGACTACTCCAGCAACTGCGGGAACATGAGCAGTGCTGTTGGACCATTCGCGGTTGATTCGAGGCTGTTCCCCGTGGAGAGTAGTCACGGCAACGTCTCGATTCGTATTCACAACACCAATACCGGGAAACTCATTCGTTCATCCTTCCCGGTCGTCGATGGCGAAGCTGCCGCAGATGGCGACTTTTCTATTGATGGAGTCGCTGGCACCGCGGCGCGCGTACAACTGGACTTTATCAACCCCGCCGGCTCGGTGACGGGGAAATTGCTTCCCACAGGAAATGTGATAGACACCATCGATGGTATTTCCGCAACGTGCATAGACGCTGCAAACCCCTGCGTATTTGTTCGTGCTGAAGATCTTGGTCTTGAGGGCAATTTGACTCCAGACGAGATTACCGCCTATCCTGATCTTCTTACACGCTTGGATTCAATCCGTCGCCAGGCTGGCGTCAAGATGGGCCTTGCGCATACACTTGCGGCCGTCACGGGGAGCATACCCAAGATCGCTGTAGTTGCGAGACCATCTGCATCTGGCCGTCGAGATATAGAACAGAAGCAGACTTCTACCGACGTGGACCTCCTCACTCGTGCTCTTTCTGTTGGACAGCCACATAAGGCTGTTCCCATCACCGTTGCCTTAGCATTAGCTGCTGCAGCTCGAACCCCTGGAAGTACTGTTGCAGAGACTATCGCTGGCAAAGAGCCTATTGATCATGCTGGAACCACAATTGGACATGCCAGTGGGAACCTGCTGGTGGGCGCCGATTTCGAAGAAAACGGCACCCTCGCCACTGCGACAGTGTTCCGTACAGCTCGCCGACTTTTCGAAGGTAGGATCTTCTGGAAGGGCGAGAAATTGTCAAATCGAGCAGATCATTGAAACCTTTCGTCAAATATTTAACCCTGTACACCCCACCCCGAAACTGAAATACCTCACAAACCATCTCCATTGTACGCCTACCCACCCAAGAACCCAGATCCTACCTCAATGCACTTTAATTATTGAATGCACCAACAAGGAATCATCTCCAAGTCACTATCTATGCCTTCCTTCCCAAATCCAGATCCCTCACCAACTTCATGTCTCCGTTCCCAATAGTCCCAATAGACTCTCCAAGCCCGAAGAATGGCTTGACAGCAACATCAACCATCTCTTCAAATAGCCTTCCAACAACAACCTCCCTTAGCTCTTCACCAGTCTGACCGAAATCAGGGAACGCATTCAATTCCAACAACCACGCGTTTCCATCCGCATCAACCAAGAAATCAACACCGAATAACTCGAACGCATTAGGCAAGGTCTGGAAATGAACCATCATGCCCCGCGCAGCAGCTTCGAATACTTCGCCGGTAACATTGCAGATCTGGTCAAAGATCTTCTCCTTCCAGTCTGCGGTGAGGCCAGGAACATGGTGATCGAGGTTCCAGAATCGGCGCACACTGCCCTCATTTGAGCTTCCGCCTTCTTGGAAACATGTATTTGTGAGATGGCGCGCAAGATCCATGACCTCGTCCTCTTCCTCGTGGGGTGGGCAGTAAGGCTTCGCAGCAAAAAGAGCCAGCATCTCCTTGAAGACATAGACCTTCAACGCACCCGTTGCAAGAACATATGTGCGGATATGGAATTTACGATTCGAAGACGAGGGCAGAAGCAGCGGGGGGTCGATGTAGCGCTGGGCCATGAAATGGCGCAGTTGAGAGGTGACGATGCCTGCGTCGTGAGCCGCGTCTTCATCTTCCTCGTCCTCTTTGGTCTCCGACCCACTTTGTTCGTCGTCGGAATCTTCCTCCCATTCTTCGAAGATCTCGCGGAGTTGGTCTTCGCTGTTGAAAAGTCGAATGCCTTGGCCTCTGTCACTCATGCCGGGCTTGAGGATCCACCATTCTTTCTCCGAGTTGGGTCGTTCTTCATTCTTGTCCAGACTCTCTCGCAGCTCGTATGCTTCCAGCAGGGCATCGTCGAGGAATTCGGCGTAGTCAAGCTCAAAGTCAAATGCGGGCTTGAAGTGTTTCTGCAGAGTACTGTCTGGGTTTTTGGAGATCCAGTTGGCTACCGTGTTGGAGAGGTAATGTTTGCGGATGAGAGCCTTGCGAATGATGTATGCGTTTGCGAGAGAGGTCGTGGGCCGGACAAGGACGTGTTCGAATTCGATGCGCTCGTATTCGCGATATTGAAAGACGGGCGCTGCGCGATCTAGCAGATCATCCAAGGATGTAACGGCTCTAAGATCAACCGAATCACCAAGACGGCGGGTTAATGCTTTCTGCACGAGATCTTGGACATAAGGATCGTCGCAGTCAACGATGGAGTACACCGTGGGCCTTTGCGAAGGCTTTTTATCTGACCTACATGGCCACTATCAGAATCCCATTGATTGCAAGAACAGATAGGGGGCATGATGTCTATCAGCTAGTCCAGATATCTAAAAAGTGCATGTACCATGTATCACGTGTATCTGAAAACGCAACCGTCGTAGCCATCATGCCATCATCTCCACTCACAGCTTGATTTCCCCAGTGGAACCGGGCGCATGCATAAAGCAAGCTTTCAGAGGCGTGACACTGCGCAGAAAAGGGTTAGAATGGCCTGTAAATCTCTGAAAACAAAGTGTCAACGACAAACCTGGTCATCTGTTCCTTAACAGCCCAGCCATCATTTCCAGGAGCATTCTCCTCAACACTACGGTAGACATCCTGAAGACTCGGCGCCCATCTAAAGTGCTTGTGTTGGAATCTTGTCTTCGTGGGCTCGCTAGCAGGAGCAGGCTCCTCGCCTGTAGTCTCACTGGCAATGCGGAACCGCTGCTCATCCAGCTCCGGATCATCCGCAGCAGCTGGGTCAGCAACCTGGAAACAACTTCCAGAAGACCATTTGTTGATCAACATGTCAGTATAGAGGACCTTATTCTGGCTCACGCCAGGCTCCAAGGGCACATTGACGCTGTAGAGATCAACGCCATCGGCCCAGTTAGCACACAAATACTCGATCAACTTGACTGAGTGAGTCGAAGCCTCGGCGATCACCACGGGATCATGATTGCGCGAGCTAAAAGCATATGACAAGGCAATTGCTCGTTTGCCGCAGACAGCACCCTCCATGGCACCACCAATAGTCCCACTCGACAATGCGAACAGCGCCGTAGTATTGCGCCCATAGTTCGGGCCCGAGACGACAACGTCAATCGGTCCTCGTTCCTGGAAATAGTGATAAAGCCCGATCTGGACGCAGCTTGCCGGGGTGGAGTCGATCAAAATCCATTCGTCCCCGCCATCGTCGGGCTCGCCGTCGCTACCCCGCGGTAGGTGGTGTGTTGTCCCATCCTCCTGATGAAGTGTGCCCGGCCTGAAGTAAGTTGGCTTTATAGATGCGCCTATGATGTGCGCCTTACCGATCCATGATCGTTGTTGGTGGGGAGAATGACCGAGACAGTATGGCCGGCGGCTTGCAGCGAGTGAACGAGGGAATGAACGTAGGGTGAGGACTGATTCGACGGGGGACCGTCGTCGTTTGTGACCTGGAAAGAGATCAGAGAGGCTCAGGAGTCTCTCAAAAGGCCTGTACTTACCAGAATGTGCATGGTGAGTCGGACAATTGCAAGATTGGAGGGGAAAGCGGAATCGGAGATTTGCTCATGCAGCGGGGGCCTTTTAATCGGGACTTGGCATTTACTTCGTCATTTACGCGTTGGGTATATTTTGGGCGCATAACAGCGTGACATATCCCTACATTAATAATCTTCCTCAAGTAAACGACTCCGTCGTTTCTGCACGCCACGCGCCTCTGCGCTTTCGAGGCCTGAACCTTGTGCTGCATCATCGCCAGCGCGTGGGTAGTTCTGCAGCATACCCTCGGGTTCTTCCTCCTTGACCTTGACTGGCTCACTAGAGGAGTGTTCATCTTCGAGCTCATCTTTCACTCGCTCGATCTCTTCCTCCTTAATCTCCTCCTTGATGGGCGCGGGTTGCAGTACCAAACTCAAGACGAACCATGTCAAACCAGCGGAGCCCATCGAGATAGTCCAGAATAGAAAACTAAAGACTACAAAGGAAGTAAACTTCCAGCGATACATGCACCATCTATCTTTCATATCAGCATGTTTTCGTATACAACGAGAAGCGAAGAAAACTTACCGGAGCCCTGTAAACCTAGCCCGGAATTCCACCCGCGCAGAGTATATTTGCATTTCATTCCAGCTCTGAATCTCCAGGCGCAAGCTCTGCGGTAAGTTCTTCGAGCCGCGCGCAAACTCGACCCTCTCCATCATTGGGATCTCCAGTATCTCCGCCTCCCTGCGCCATCCCACCAAGTAAAGCGGGAGACGCAACACTCTCCGGGCGAGATCCACAATCGGCGAGGAATAAGTCAGGATTGCCGGTCGGCGGGACTTAGAGATCGGGTTCGAGGTCTCAACCGGGATCACAGATCCTCCTGTCTGGCGTGCGTAGAGAGTGAGATCGATCATAAAGTTCCCGACGTCGAGGTTCTTTGGCGTGCGCGGCATGTCGAGAACCACGGCGACATCGTAGGGCTGAGAAGACACGAATTCTGATTCGAGGGAAGCAGTGCCCCATGGGTGTTGTTCGGGGCTTGAGCAATGTTAGTACGTCATTGGATCTGTGGAAGCTGGACGCGCAATCTTACTCATGTTGCAAGTGGACGACGCGGTTAACGCCAACGGTTGGGATGTAATTTAAGTAAAATATGGTGTAGGCGATCCCGGAGATGCTCAGGAGAAGCAGCGTGGCGCCGCTGAACAAGATGATGTTAAGGTATATGCGGAGGGCGGTCTTAGAGAACAACACGCGGAACGGGATCAGGAGCGCGTCCTGTTGATTGTCAGTCCAAGTGCACCATGAGGATAGAGATTAACCAACCTTGATGACCGCTTGGGAGTTTGACGGGCTATTGTACTCAGTTTCATCGTCTGAGTACTCCGAATCAGCCATGTTGGAGGTTAGAGGAAGAATGATAGGGAAAGCAAGGTCCTCGGCAGCAACGCTGGTCTCCTTATCGCAGCTCTATCTTGGCAGCCCACATTGACCTTTCTAGCTTCAGTCTCAGCTACAATATGCAACCATTGAAGGCAGAATTCAAAGACAATCGCTTATTGTTTTTGAGCAGAACTTGTGCTGCAGAATTAGAGCTCTGGGATATTCAAACCCTTGGAAGGCATACAGCAGGACCCTCATCTCACGTTCAACGTCCCCCTCACAGCCCGACAGCCAACAATCTCTGCGAGACCACATGAGACTTCTTGAGCCATTGAGAGGCCTGTTAAATTTCTAGGCTCCACACGGTTCTGCCACAGGGTCTGGCCATGTTCATTTCCCAATGTACCTTGATCAGTCCTGTAGTAATAGCTTCACAGTCCAACATATCCTGACTTCTCCCACCGGGCTTTGCTTCCCTCCGGTGTCGGGTAAGCCTCGCTGTCCCACCTTTCCTAAGGCTATACCAGAGACACCGACAGCCACCTCCGGAAGGGCAAGGGAATAAACCAAAGCAAAAAGGTCGAAAGGCAGACGGCCAAAGCGAGCTTCTTCTTTCAGTGTGGCCATAAGTCAACTTCGAAGCAGGACAGAGCTTAGCAAGAATACGGAACAGAAAGCGCAAGTGCTCCCGGTAAACTCGCCGTTCTTTCCCCATATATCCTGGATTAGAGTCTGCCATCACAATATCTAAGAAGAATCACATGTACAACGCGAATCCGAATGATAGATTGAATTAAGAATTCCCACCGTATGCAGAACCTTTCAACTCCAGCTTTTACAATCTTATCATTACAGGTCGCGGCTTTGAAACGCGAGAAACTTCATAGTTTCTCAAGTCATGCGAAAATCGTGACATAGGAAAGATGCATGCCATCCCCACGGCCACCCCGGCCGTAACGTGAGACGTAATAATAGAAACGTGGAAACAAAAATAACTCCGTGAAGAAATACATCGAGAAGTAGGATACGGCATCAAGCTGCCGGTCGGAGAAGTTGAGGAGGAGAGGAGGGTAGATGCACGTCTTTAGCCTCAGGCGATAGGGCGAGGGCTTTGTTGCTGAATGTGCTGGAGGAGAGCATCGAAAAGTCGACCGATCTAAAGAACAACTGTTAGCATAAGTCATAGCAGGTATGAGTTGATTCATGGCTCCAGGTAAATAGCAGAGAAGGGGGATTATCATACCTCGGGGGCCGCCTGGATGAAGGGGAGACGGAAGAAGGAGTAGCTCCGATTCTGGAGGAGCTCTTGGAGGGTGATGATCAGGCCCCAAGGGTGAGGACGGTGGACAATGAGGCGCTCAAGCAGCACACGGATGATCTGCTGGCGGATATCGGAATCATCTTGCTCAGAATAATCAACGCCGAACAAGCGCAGAATGGTGAAACTAAAGAAGTAGGTGTGGCTGTTAGGGTATCGCAGCTGGTTCGCCATCGCGCTGAGCAAGTAATAGCGGGCCTCAGGTTGCATGTTCTGGGCCATGGCCTCCAAGAGGGCAGCGTGAGTCGAGTTCTCGAATGCAGAGCGAGTGTTACTCTTTGAAGCATGTTCCACTGCAGCTTGCTGGCCAATGTACAGGACCAGAGCGTTTACGAGCACGACATCCACGTTGATGGGAGCGTAGAACAAAGCGGTGTCATTAGCATCGTGGCTAAGGATAGCTTCGCAGATTTGCTGAACCGCGGTCTCAGAGACGCTTTCGTTCTCGAGAGCGGCATCAACGATGTCCTTGATGTCAGCTTGCTGCAAGGGTGCAGCAATATCGCCAGCGATCTTGGGAATCTCGCGCATTTCTTCGATTCGTTCGACCTTGAGACCTTCCCTGAAAGGATCCGGCAATTTCTGGAACGAAGAGGGATACGCACTGAGCACCAGGTTGCGAAGTTGAGCACAATGAGCGGGGATCACATTGCAGAACTGGAAGTGGTTTTCGGCAACAAACTCAGGGAAGTCGTGGTGCAGGATCAGCAAGATGCGAAGCACGCCCTTGTACAAGTCCTTGGCGACATATGTGATGTTAGCAGCCTTGAGCTGTTCGCCGATGTAAGAAAGCAGAGCCTGCATGATAGCGCAGTAAGAAGCCCAGCCGGCGCGCTCCGGCATGTTGAGCATGTCAGACATGAACACACGGTGGGAGACAAGAGACAACCATCCGTAAACAAAACCAGGAACATAGCGAGGCTGGATGGACAGGAACTTGTTGGCCAGGGCAAAGATCATGCCCTGGTGCTCTTCGTTGTGCTGGAGGCCAGCCATGGAGTATTCGCACAGGATGCTGGAGAACAGACGGAAAAAGACACGCTGATTGAAGCCTTCACCACGCATGACCTGGTGGTTGTTCAGAACCAGAACCAGAGTAGCAAGGATTGAATTGAAGTAAGCAGGTTTGCTGGCCTTGACAGCGCCAACGTTCTCACCCTGGAACTTGACCAGGAAGATAATGAGCTTCGCAAGGGCGTCAATGTAGAGGAATGCCTCGTCAAGGCTGCCTCCAGCAGGATTCTGGTATTCGTGCTCGAACATGGCAACGGAAATGTCAATGGCGAGACGGAAGAACAAAGCAGAATCCTCCTGGGTGTTCATCACCTGGCGGTTGTGCATGTCTTGAAGGAAAGACAAGTAGGTGCGGTCATTGGCACCAGAGGCCTTGTAGATGCCAATCCACTCACTGAAGATGTACTCCATTTGGTCACGCTTGGAGCGCGCTTGGTCAGTCAGAAGCGGGTTGACAACTTCAGGGATGCCAACATCGCGCAGCTTGCGGATGATCTCAAGTGCCGGAGTCAGACTGGCATCCTCAGCGAGCCACTGGCTCATCGCCTCTAAGCTGCCCGAAAAGTCCGATCGGAGCGCAGAAGGCTCGTCACTGAAGAGAACACGGTCCATCAGGTTTTCAAGCAGCTCCAGAGAGCTGGCATTCTTTTGCATGATGAGACGGGTGAGGACCATGTCCACCCGGCGAATGTCCAAAAGGCCTGCATTGATGAGAGCTACAGTGACGGGCACGTTGAACATGTGCTCGTCGTCAAGCTCGGCCAGTAAAGCCCAGGTGTAACGTGCGATCAAGGTAGACATATCGCAAAGCTTGGCAAGAAGGTGAACAAGGACTTCGATCTCCAGCGAGTCCGTAGACTGAGAATAGAGAATGGTGCAAACCTTCAAAGACGTCAGTCGCGCCAACTCTTCTCCATTGGGCGAAGCGAGAATAGCGCGCAATGCCTGATTGTATTCTTGAAGGACGGTGCTTTCTCTGCCAAGGTCTTTGACGTGATCTTCGGGAGCGCTGCGAGCAGACTCCTGAAGCTCGGAGATGAGCGTCTCGAGTCGATCGCGGGGGGCCTGGGCGTCAAGAAATCCATTGGCGTGAACGGGCATTTGCGAAACTGCATGCTGTGCCTGGGGGGTTCGGTGAGGAACAGCAGGTTGTTCTGCGGGAGTAGAAAGGTTGGGGATGGCAGGGTAGGATTCTTGGAGTACGTCAGGCAATTGGCGACCGGCATCATTTGAAGCATTTTGCGGGTGAGCCGCACTGGCCCCTCGGGATTGACGGGCGAATTCTTCGTAGATGGCCAGTTGCTCTTTGTTGAGGCCTCCAGGGTTCTGGCGGTAAGGCTCAGGGATGAAAAGACCCCATCGGTTCATTGAGGAGTCAATGAATGGCTCATTGGGTCGGCTGGCAAGGTGACGACGACGAGCCTCCAGCTGGGGCTCAATCACCTTCTCGATCTCAGGAAGAGACTTCTCCTCAGCTGCCTTCTCAACAATGCCACATGCGGCATCCAAATTGTCGTTGACACACATTAGAATCAAACCTTCAGGCATAGGCTGCTCTGAGAATTCTTGCTGGATGACCCGGATATAGTTGGTCATACTGACCTTCAGCGGTTCCTTGCAAGTAACGAGGGCCAGGCTACCGGCAAGTTGACGGACCATGGTACCAGCGGCATGCCGGACCTTCTCTTCATCGGGCTCCATGGCAAAGTCTTTGGATACCAGCTGGACAGTCGAAATGGAAGCAATAGTAACAGAGCGCTCCACAACTGGGGTAATGATTTCACCAATAGCACGCTCCACGGCTGTTTGGACAATCTGTCGCAACATGGTAGGATCAACCATGCTACTGGCCGACGGGGGCAGAACAAGGATCTTGTCAAGGCTTGGCAGAGTGGACATTATTGATGCTGGCGACAGCCTCTCATTACGAATGCCCTGGTTGATACTGCCGATAGCCATATCCTCGAAGGGCTCGAGGCCTTGCGGGATGCTCGCAGCAGGCAATACTTCTTCGGCATGCGCAGTACGGTCGCGAATGAAGACTGCTGGTTCGATAGTCTTGTGGTCGAGATCCAGATCCTTGCATAGCACCTCGATCTCAAACTTCAAGTTGAGTTTCAGCTCCGCAAAATGGTAAAGTTCGAGCAGGAGATGGAGGATGTCCATCAGCCACGGGTTCGGAGGTTTGAAGACTCTGGATTTGGTAGCTTGCACGAGAGTCTTGCAGGTGAAGGGGATCGTGACCATGAGACGTTGAGTCTCGTATCCTTCCAAGAGCAGCCCTTTGAAATAGATGTTCTTGTGAAGGATAGGCTTGTCCTTTGCGATCGTCAACGAACCCAGCCAAGCACCGAGGTTCTTCAGATGACCGCGATCTTGGGATGAAGTGAGAGTTGCTTCGGAGTTCAGAAGCTTCGCAAGGCTCACATAAGTCTCGCGGAGGACCTCCTTCCATAGGGTCTTATCATCAATGCGGCTAAGAAGGTCGAGATAAAGCTGCTGGAAGTTGGGTTGAAGTTTGGCACGTTCCTCCACCAGGTACGCGGCGAACCACTGGTGATGGTGGTCACGTAAAACTTCGTTCAGGTCGACCATCTTCTCGTCAATGTTTTGCTCGGACACGTTGTTCAGGACGAACAAAATCTTGTCTTGCACATCTTCGTCGGGGTCCTGGAAGAGGTCGGAGCGAGCAGGGTCCACAGAAACGGAGCGGAACTTGCGCGATGTGCCATCAGCAGTGGGAGAGTCATCCATCCCGTTGGGGAGAGAGGGGACAGCGAGATCAGCGAATCCAGAGGTGGTACCAGCGTCGCCGGCCTCGCGAAGAACTTCTTCCGCTTTCTGGAAGATCGGTGTTCCTTGCAAAGTAGGGATTTGAAGCAGAAGGTGACAAAAGCCAGCCCACTCCGAGAGACGGTTGATCAACTGCTCAATGGCCTCCACGCCAAATTTGTACATGGGATCGTGCACTTCGTGCTCGCGCACAGCTTCCAGGATCATTCCGAGCCCAACCTTCAGGGTAATGCCGTCGACCAAACGGAAATTAATTATGCCACCAAACATAACCGCAGTCTTTGTCAGTGCTTCAAGCGGGTACTCATGGTAGCAGTGATACTCATCAATCAAGCCGTGGACCATGCATGCGAAGAGGTCCTGCTCCTCAGGTTCTTTTGATGATTTGTATCGCCGCATCAGCTCTAACATTTCACGGAGAGACAGCTCTTCGTGATACATCTTGCCAAATAGCTCTTGCATCTGCTTGTCAATGTTCTCAGGCAAAGTGTTACCATTTTCACCGTTGGCATCGATGATATCGTCGAACCCTTCACCGTAGTTGATAAGCCTGGGGTACGTCTGGATACAGATGCGTTGAACAGGCGTAAGGTTTTCACGGTCGCCGACATACTCCTCCAAGACAGACAGAAGGGTGTATACAGTCTTCACGGCAAGGGTCACCATCTGAGGACCAGGCTGTTCCTTCCTTTGCACGTGAAGTTCATCCTCTGCCTTAATTCGCAGGAACTTGGACAAAAGACTGCCCATGGTCATGTTCGCGGAGCTAGAAGAATGCAGAGCAGCCGTCTTCTCAGCAGCACCCCGAACCCACTGCTCAAGGTCAAATGAACCCTTTCGGTGGCAGTAGCAAGCAAGGTCAAGTGCGAGGCCATTAGTGAATTGAAGAAGGAACTCAAGCCATCCAAATGCGACAGCATGTTCGTAAGTCAATTCTGTCACCGTAGGATCAGAAGAGAAGAGGGTGAACAATTGCTCAGCAACCCATTGTCGGTCCTGATGCCAGGCTCCATGAAGTGCCAGTTGGTAACCATCCTCCTGTTTGGAAACAAATACCACGAAAGTCCGTACAACAAAGCTCTTTTGAAGTTGAGTCCATGGCTGCGGGAGAGCAAGGAGGGCAAGTGCAGAAACAAGGAAAACCGGGAGGTCATATTGAACCATGGCCTTGATTAGGAGTTGGCTTTCAGAGGCAGCCCAATTAGCCTCAGAGAACAGGGTGAGGTCGAAGATGGCCCTCATGGCATCCATAGACCTGAGGGGTGACTTGGCAGCACGTTCACCCTGCAATTTGACGATCTCTGGGGCGTCTTCAAAGAAATCAGCAGGGAAAGTTGCCCGCAGATTAGGAATCTGAGTAGCATCTGCACGTGAGGCCACAAAGGCAGTCAAGAAAGACAATTGTGTGTCACGGTGTTCCCAGTCACCGCCCCACAACTTCTGGAGATCCAAGGAGGGCTCATCTGCTGCGATGGCGCGGAGGACATTATAAAGCTTAGCGAACTGTTGAGGGTCCACCCTCAATCCCTCACGATCGAAGCTCCGTATCACAAGGGGCCAGTTCACTTGCTTCTCTTTATAAGCGCTCAGAAGAGTCTCCAATGAGAAACGCTGCCAGTATTGCGACAGTATCATAAATAGGAGTGCACTAGCAAGATGCTCTTCACTCCAGCTGTCGGGTCCAGCCGCATTGATGGTGTCTGTTATAGCCTCTATGCTTGCAGTCGCGCGAGGTCCCTTGGTGTGAAGTTGCCTGACAAGGACGTATCTAGGGTTCACAAAATTAAACATTTGTAGAGCCGAAGAAACTTCGAAGGGCATATCCAAGCCAAGCTTCTGGTATCGCAGGTTAGACGCAAAGACCAATTTGCCCTTGACCTCGTCGCTGAAGTTGCGTGGGGGGTAGAGAATGAAACGTTCGATCGTCATTCCAAGGAAAGAGGTGTTGAAATCCTTGGTCGCTTCAGACGGAGTTGCTAGGCTTTGCAAGAAAGGAGAGACAGAATTCGAAAGGATGGCATCGGCTAGTAGGGCAGAATGTTAGCATACAAACGACTACAACAAAATAGAAGCAGGAAAGATTCACCCTTAGCTCGCAGGTCAGACTTGTTCGTCATCTTGAAGGCCAAAGCAAGTGCTACCTTGACAATGGGGTCAAGACGGAAGTGGTCCAGGAACGTTGATAGATCGAAGTCGCGGAATATGTCTCCTTCAGATGTATCCACCGTCTCGGCGATCTTCTGGGCTTGTTCGATGTCCGAGGAAACTTTTTGCATCTCTTGGACCAAGAGAAGGTAGTTGCCCGCATTTTCGACGGACTTGTTCACACCGGGGAAAATCTGAGGCGCATTGCCTGTGAGGAGGCGGCGAAAATACTTGGAAAAGACCTCCATTCCGTTGGATGTCACAAGCTATTAGTTGTTAGCACGAACATAGTAAAGAGCGTTTGGCTTGAGGATGCTTACTTTGTGTATTTGGGCAGCCTTAGTCTCCCACTTTTCTTTGCCCTCTTTCTCCGTGATTGAGTCCAATAGAAGGTATACCTGTGCGATCGAGATCTTCGCAAGAGACGATTGGCTAGAGTGGGCTGCGGAGCCTGACTTATCAGATGCGAATCCTGTAGGCGAATTCACGGTCGTGCCAGATGACAGTGGTGAGAAGGCGGCCCCTCTGGAAGAACCCGGCCCACCACCTCCCCCAGTGCCTCCAACGCCCGGGATGGATCCTGTTGCAGCGGAGAAATGGGACCCTGAAGATGGGGTATGTGCGCGGAACTTCGGAGACGAGAGCGATTGAGCCGACTGCTGGGAGCCAGATTGCAAAGAGGAGAAGGGTGAGGGTGCGGGCTTCGGGCTGCCGCCTGAGAGACCCCTAGTGGAGCTCAGAACGGCAGAGAAGGACGACGGTGTTGAAGCCCCAGGCCCTGCGTCCAAGCCCCGGGAGGAAGCAGAGGTAGAGGAGGAAAGATTGGTCGCAAGAGGTGTCAACCCACGACGAATGCCGGACTGTGATGTGGACCGTCCCCAGGCACCAATCTCAGGCCTGGTCGAGGAGTTTTTATCGGTGCCAGAAGCAATCGACGATTGGGCGGAAGGGTGAGGGGGAGGGAAGGTCATCTAGGAGACGCGATCATTTGATCTTGGGGGTCCAAAGACAGATTCTGAGTAGGGATGGCGCAAGTGGACAAAGTCGATATTGCCGATCGAATGAAGAGATATTATGCAATACCGAGAGCTCGTGGGTATGGGAGAAAAGGATGAAGGGTGGAAGGGAAATGGGATGGCGGAGATGGAGAGGTTGGATAGAATCGTGTGCAAGGTGCGAGGTGTCGGTACTATTGTCGCCTCAGGTGTCGAGAGGGAGCTTCAGGCTGTTACGCGCCTGCCGTAGCATTGGGGTCTCTATGAGGCACCTGGCCCCCTTTCAACGTAAAGATACTCATTGGACCATATAAAATTGCATTCTAGCGGCTATCTGCTCACCCGCTCCTCTACAGCCGCACGATGTCCCTTTTCTTCGGCGCATCAGGTCGCAGTAGGTCACGTGGTACCGTTAGTCATACGCGGGCCGTCACTTGGGCGGGCATCAGGGCTTCCCCGGTTTTAAAGCGAATTGAAGATCGGAGGAAAAATTTCAAGAGAAGCAAAGCGTGATCCGGAAGATTGTTGGTCTCGATCCAGGCTGATGTGCTTGAATGTAATCATTGCAAGCGTATGTATACTTTTGAGACTGCTGGATTCTTTCAGCTTGGGTGGGGTTGCTCCATGTTTTCTGTCCACAGAGGAGACACCTACCTATACGAGCCGGACCCGTCGGTGAAAAGGTACATAAGTTTGCTGGACAGGTTAGGCACTCTTTGCATGCCCAGCTGAGCCAACGGAGAAATCATCATCATGTCAACCTCGACTAGGATCACTACAATAGATCTACGTCCGAACAACGGAATCCCCACCAAACGCCTATCTTGTATTTCGCGTCGGATGCCAATATCGATCACAGTCGATGATCAGCCTCTGCAGAATGGAAGACAACACGGCAACAGGAATTTGACAAAACATGTCACGGTACCAGCAGGGCGTCCCAAAAACGCCGGAATCCCTCAACAACAGACAGCGTAGGACAGACGATATGTAGCCCAGTAAAGGGGAAGACCAAGAGAAATGTCATGTCGCAAATAGAGGTAGGACAATGAAAGGTCTGGCAGAGGAGATGAGGTGCGTGGGCTGAAAAAAAATCCCTTAGGCCAATAGCTTCGGAGAACAACAATCAAATAAAATCACACAAAGTAGAAGAAAGACAATCGTGTGCACGTTAAAAACGATGCAAGTAAAGGGCCGTTTCAAACGCCAACGCCGGGGTCCCCGAACCGAAAGACCATGATGAAGAACAGGATACTCGCTCGAACGTCAAAAAATTGCATTAATCGGTCAAAGACAAACAGTAGCATGGAGTCACGTATGACGCCTGGGCCGTATATGTCTGCTGAGAGCCAGCGTTGCCGTTGGTATAGGTGGTGGTTGGAGTCGGCTCCCTCTCTTTAACGTCAATGATCTGATTTGCGAGAGGGACCACTTGGCCGTTATCCATAACTTGCATCTGCTGGCAGTAGGGAGCTGTAGCTCCGGAGTGGTCGCGTCGTTCTTCGATCTTGATTTTTCGAGGATAATCGGCGGCATCAGCGGAACGCTTTGAATTTGAACTGGAAGGACCAGTGGCGGTGCTGGCCGCCATGTCTCTATCGGTAGTCGCTGTGCTGCCAGACGAAGTATCTGTCGAGGATTGGTTGACATAGAGGAAGAATTCCAACATGGTGCCGTTCCACCAGCAGAACCACGGCTTATCACCAGGCTGCGCTGTATCCTTGCGATCTAAGAAGGACGAAATCATGCTGGCATCTCCGTTCACATACGACCGCTTCGAGACGGAACTAGATGTGAATGTGGTGTCCGGAAGAATGACCAGCTTGTTGAAAAAGGAGTAGAAAAAGAGCGCGGGGCCCATGCTGGGATCGCTATTGTCAATCGCCATGGTCAAACTTTGTGTCGGAGTAGGAAGGTACGGCGGTTGGGGTCCATAGGTGAAAGTCGAAGTAGGACCATCCTCCACAAATACAATCGAGTGCTCGTGATCATCCCCTTCAACATAAACTTCAAAATTGTTCGGTTTGTTCATGCAGGACCAAGCTTTGGTCATCTCGCTAGTTCCATCAATACACATACGTGAGCAGTTCCGCATGATCGAAGGAATTAGATAATGGCCGGTCGGAACCGTCATCAGGTTTGTCGGAGTACTTATCATCGTCGAATAGTCCAATGAGGGCGTTTGCGTGACCGTAACAATATGAGGGCCCTGTGACTGATTTTGTTGCGCTTCTCGCTCAGCTTCTGCAGCTCGCTTCGTGCCGAGGACACCTCCAATGACACCTCCAATAGATCCTCCAATGAGTAAGACGGTTATGATCAGGACGAATGTCCAGACAGGAAGTCCACAGCATGCGGTTCTCTTTCCTTTCTGCTTCAGCTTCTCTTCGAACGCCATGATACCAGTAAGAGGGAGCCTTGTGCCATCGCCGCGCTCATCGCCCTCACTCTCATTCCCATGCCCCGTCCCGTTTCCAGACTCGTTCCCATTGCCATGCCCGTTTACGCTCTCGGATGGGCCGGACATCAGCGCTCTCGTAGAAGTCTCAGAGATCGGTGCTTCCCTTGAAATGGAGTGGAGATGCTGATCCTCTGGAGGTGAGTTTATATCGGTCATATTCTCGGCACCAGGAGGCTTTGGAACAACACCTGTCGGGTACCGTGAATACGGCGGCAGGGGCTCAGCGTGCCCATCTGGCCCGATGATATCACCCAGCTCGTCATCTCGACGACCGGCTGGCGGCTGGTATGGTGGGTTGTGACCGGGGAAGCCGACCGGGACCATATCGTCATCTATCCCTTCTTCAACGACATTCTGGGAGTACATTGCGTAAGGGTGTTGAGGCCCGTTCATTTCGGCCAGCGGTCGCTCCTGTGGGCGGATTGTCGAAGTACTTCCTGCACTTGGAGAGCGACTGACGCCGACCTGAGGATACATGCCGTACGGATGGCTGGGTCCTGTGGCTCCAGTGTAAGGGCTCATGGCACGAGGCATAGACAGACGGGACGAAATGCTTTGATTCCTTTGGACGAAGGGAGCATTGTGTGCGGATGTGAAGGAATTTCGGTTGTTGGAGAAGCCTCCCATCCCCTTCTGGGGCAGACTGGAGCGATGGGGTTCATCGATGGAGACCCGCGCTTCGTCGGCGAATGGGTTCTCGTTGTCGGCGACCGCACCGGTGGCCTTCTGATGGTGATTAGTCGAGTGAGGGGTGGTGGAGGAGGTGATGGAGGCAGGGCTAGGAGCGCGTTCGATTCGGTCGGTATCGATCGGTTCTAATGAGTATTCGTCGGAAAAGACGTTGGGGTTGGAAAGACGCGAGTTGCGACCGAAGGAGTGGCGAGACATCGCGTCCATCGACTGTCCTTGGGAGAGCCGAGGAGTTTGGGACGAGCGAGACGCCGACCGAGAGTGGTCGGAGGGGAAGCGTCCAGTCATGTCCCCTTGATACGGCAGCCCTGTCGGGCCACCTCTGTAGTCCGTTCAATACCGATTGAAAGAGTCGCCGTCGAATGGGTGGCGATCACGGTAAAATTGGCTCTTCACACGGGTCGTGAAAGGCGAAGAGTGGTGAACGGGCAAGTTCGTGGTGAGATTCAATTTGGGGGGGGGGGAGAGAAGAAGAGGTTGAGTCCGGGAAGGGGACGACTGGGTTTGAGACTTGGTGTGACGGTATTACTGTACTTTGGGAGAGGGGGCGCAGTACCAAATTCACTCGCATCGACCGATTCAGAAAAGTTCGGCTCTATTATTACAATTCGATTCTACAATTCGATTCTTCATCGTTAAGGCCCCTGCCCAATGATCTCGATGACCCCTTCCCAGATCCTGTGATGGGACTCCGTGTGCGCTATCACTAGACTGGCGACTAGAGTCTCCGTCTTGCAGTGGGTCTGCTTGTGTATCGCTACTCCCCCAATCCGCAAATCATGTTCTGATGTCGTTTTCAAGTGATCTAGAATGCCTGGGAAGTCTCACCTGCATCACTTCTTCTCAAGCCTAGAACCTGCGATTTCGGACTTCGCCCGGGCTTCGAATCCACAGGAATTTGACGAACGCAACCACCGTATGACTGTGGGCCCGGCATATGGGAAACACGAAATTGGGAAACCTGGAAAGACGCGAAAACTCAATCGGGGACCAGAATTTCCAGGCGTTCTGAGCAGGGCCGAACGATCGAAGAAAGATTGGCGCGTCTTCTCGGACCGTGAATATGTCTCATCAGCCGGAGTAGTGGTTACCCGAAACATCTACCTAGGTTACCTGATGTCTTTTTCTTTATATTTTTCAAAACGGAGGGCTCTTGAGACTCCTCTCTCGTATTTAGGACAACTGGAGGAGAAATCGCAAGCCCTCAGTCCAGGGCATATTACATCAGAGACGGTACCCGTGGAACCGCGGAACCTTCCTTCTGGGAACGGGGCTAATGCCAAGGCTAGAGACCTTTTTGAGTCTCACGGTCGAATGACGCTTTACCATCAACGCGGGGTACGAAGACAAGCTGCGTAACCGCTCAATAGACCCAGTTCTTGAATCTAGCCCTTTATCGCTTTTCATGGAGTCCCATCAGGCCTGGACCACGAGGTTTCTGGTCATCAACATGGTACCTGGAGTGGTCGTGCAGAGCCGCTTATCCGGGGCTTGGGAAGTAGCCGATCGTCAGTGATACACACAAAGTATTAGGCCTGCCACTTGCATCCACTGAATCACAGCAAATTTGACGAAGAGTGGTCCAGATCTAGGCCTGATTCCAATGGAAATTTGAACCGTTCTGGCGATTTGTGGAAGGCGACCTAGGAAACTGTGCCTGACGCACTGAACCTTGGGATATCTGACGCCACTACATACCATATAAGCGGCCATGGCATTGATCTCGGGTCCAGTGACGTCTGTCACTCGAATATTCTCGGCAAGATCGAGATTGCGGCCCTATGTATTTCAATCTCGCTCAATCCTCAGATTCTTGACCGTCCACTCCCAACATGCTCTACACCTCGCTTTGTCCCGACTACCTGCCTTAAAGTCAAAAAGCTCATGACTAATATTCAGGTTACCCGGTGAACTTGATGTCAGTCTCAGTCCGAGACCATAGTGCGCACTATGCAAGGGTGGGCCTGGCAAGGGCGTCATCGGACATTATTCAGTCTGGGGTACGCGAGTGACATACGCAAAGTGCCCGACTGCACCCAGGACTGTGACGCAGGCAAATTCTAGGCTCTATGAGCAACCATTATTTAGCTTCGACCTTTCACTCAAGAGTGAGATGTCGCGTTTCACGTTTCGGGCATCGGTGTATGAGTCTCCAAAACGCGCGACGGTCTACGACCCAGGTGCCATGAGTGGTGGGACTTTTATGTGCAAACATGGGTTCTTGTATTGCGATTGGACTGGAGATGCTTTCTAAGACCAATCGCACGACTACCTCCCCAGTCCTAATACCTGAGCCAGTGCAGACCGTCTGCTAAGGGTTCTGAGAGCTTGCAGAAGTCGACAAACGCGACATTTCTATGGATCTCTTCACAGAATGCTTTATAGAAATAGATACAAGCTTGGGAAGTTCAAACTCCATATTATCCCAGCCGACGAAGTGAAAGACCGTGATGCTTAAATTCAGCGGCGATTGAGCTCGGCCCCATCCGCCCTTCATTCCCCCTAGCTTCCCCGCAAACACTTGAAGGTAATAGTCCAAGCGCAGCCACTCAACATCCCGTTCTCGTAATTTCCTTACACCGATCCTTTCCAAATAGTGCCCTTGCCCGTCCCTGATTGGTTCCTACGGTACAGTATCATACATAAGTCCGATAGGGGCCTAGGGCAGTATGAAATCGGGGGCCAACAGGGCAACGGGTGACCACAAGCCAGTCGTGCTTCGCTATATTTTAGCCCGGCACCGAAGACCTCGTGGCTCCCCATGGGGATCTTTCTGGGAGTCTGGGGATGGACTATAAGATCGTGAAGATCATGTCCACCTGTGTGTTCCTTACTGCATTTGTTGTTCGATCCTGCGAGGTTTGCTCCACTGAATTTACACCCTCCCCCCATCTAAGGTCGATCTATCATGGCCATTTATAAGAAGAAAATTACTGTCGAGGACAGTGCCATTACTTCGGGTGTTCATTTAACCTTGCAACAGTCCTTGCTTCCCAATGCATTAGGTATGTTCGAGCGTCGCTGCTGCTTGGCGTGGAGCTGATTTTCCTTCGCTAGTCACTATTCTGTTCTTCCTTTGGGGCTTTGCTTATGGCCTGCTCGATACTTTGAACTCCCACTTCCAAACCACACTCAACATCACAGCTACTGAGTCTAGTGGCCTGCAAGCTTCGTACTTTGCAGCATATTTCATTTGCCCGTTGACCATTTCGGGATGGATTGTCCGTCGATATGGTTTCCGAGTCACATTCATGACTGGTATTTGCTTTGGCTTTCCGATCAAAATAGTATCGCAAAATGATAACGTGGATTAGGTCTTGCCGTTCTTGCCGTTGGATGTCTTCTGTTCTGGCCCAGTGGTGTGAAGAGATCATTTGGAGGCTTCTGCGGTAGCATGTTTGTAAGTACATCTCGAACAAAACATTTGCTGGAACTATCTTCTTATCATGTTGACAGGTTGTCGGGGCCGGCTTGTCCACTCTTGAGACTGCAGCAGATCCGTATGTCTCATCACACTCCACACCGTGTTCTTAAGAGCTTTGCTCCTAACTAAGCACCATTGACAGATTCCTTGCCATTTGTGGGCCTCCCAAGTATAGCGAGATACGATTGAACCTAGGACAGGCAGTCCAGGGTGTCGGTACTTTCGTTGCTCCCCTTCTGGCCTCTCGAGTCTTCTTCGCCAACACCGTGGACACCAATGCCGGGCTGAAGAATGTTCAATGGACCTATCTCGGAGTGGCCTGCTTTGTCGTCTTGCTGATTATCCTGTTCTGGCTTGCGCCTTTCCCCGAGATCACAGACGCGGATCAAGAGGCACTTGAAGGGCAGATTGATCAGAATGAGGATGTGGGTCCTTTCAAGAAGCAGACTAATCTGTTCTTTGGTGTCTGGAGTCAGTTCTGCTACGTTGGAGCGCAAGTTGCTGTGGCTGGATACTTCATCAACTTTTGCGAGGAGTCTGGCCGCGACTCTGCTACAAGTTGTGAGTGGATAATCTCCAGAGATTGACATTCTTGTTGGCTAATCATTTATTTTACTTAGCGGACTTGCTGGCGGTGGCACAAGGCCTCTACGCCGCCATGCGTTTCATTGCTAGTGGTTTGATGATGATGAAGGCATTCAAGCCTCGATATATGCTGACCGTGTATCTGGTTCTTTGCGTGATTTTCTCGATCGCAGCTATGACAACACACGGCACTACTTCCGTGGCCATGATAATTCTTGTCCTGAGTTTCGAGTCTGTGAGTGTCACTATACCCCGGAGAAGAGTCAAGACACATGAACGCTAATACAAAATCTCATAAGTGCTGCTTCGCCACCATCTTCAGTCTTGCACTGCGTGGCCTTGGTCGTCATACCAAACTCGGTGGATCCATGCTTGTGGCCGCCATCTCCGGCGGCATGGTCTTTCCACCGATGATGGGCGCCGTCGTGGTATGCCACATTCCATTCCTTGTTTGAGGCTGTTTACCCCAGACGCCTAATTACGCACCCACTCAACAGACCCGGGTCAACGCCCACACAGCCATGGCCATCCCCATGATGGGATACATTCTCGCGCTAGTGTTCCCGATTTACGTGAATATTTATAAAAAAGACAGCATGGATCTGCATCGCAACACGGAGATCAACGTCACTGTCCAGGTGGACAAGGAGTATGCCCTAGAGGAAGGCCCATGCAAGCCTGCTGCCGTGAACGTGGAGACGGTCGAAGATAGGCCCGCCTCGAAGTGATGCAACAGGATCGAAGATCAAGAAAAGTAGGACATGATGATCATATGTGTGACAGTTGGGAAATGATGACATACCTTGGAATAAGGTCATTTAGAATAGCCGTGCCCTAATTCGCTTTATCTAGAATCAGTTGTAGAGTTGTAGAGAGTGAATCATAGAGAGTTTCACCCCGGGACGTCGCCTCAAAGAGGGAAGCGGCTGTCGGATTACGTTATTAGCCGACTTCAAAACGCCCATTGGAAACCTTCTTTGCTACAACACCAACTTCCGCTAACAAAATCAATCGAACTTGATGTGGCCATTTGTCTGCTGTTTTCATCTGACGAGATTGAGTTATGGTTAATGTCCCAGGGCGAAGCAAGGGCTGCTCCACTTGTCGACGACGCAAGATCAAGGTGCGACCAGTAGCTCGACCATCTGCAGTGCTTCCACTTATCTTATTCACATAGTGCGACGAGACTATCCCGGAATGTCTGCAATGCATTAAAAATGGTTTGCAGTGTCCTGGCCCTCGAAAAGGGGCGTTTTTCGTTCACACTGTGCCGAACCAACCAAGTAGGTCTATTGTGAAGTATACACCAACACAATCGCAGTCACAAAGTATTTCCAGAGACCATAGGGAAAATCATGGTTTGGTGCTGGAGAACCCTTCTATGGTTTCGATTCTCCAGCCCAATAGAGCCGACATTTTCGACCGGCTATTCGTGTCTCATTTCATTGAGTCTTTTGGCTTCAAAGCACCAGCCAAGAACACCCCTTCTCCAACTTGGCTAGATGAATTAGCTGTCTTTCTCACACTGCCAGCTCCAAGTCTCGTCAAGCATTCAATTCGCGCTGGATCGATGTTTTTCTACGGTTCGCTCGCCGATGATGTCTCTATAATGACGGAAGCATGCAAGTGGTACTCAAGAAGTCTAAAAGGTCTTCAAGGCTTGCTGTCACAGACGACAACATCTTTTAGCGACGATGTTATCTGTGCAGTCGTTATGCTTACCCATTTCGAAACCTTGGCTGGTACATCTACGGAAGCGTGGTTCCAGCATGTACGGGGTGCAGCAATGATGCTGGAATCAAACGGGACAGAAAGTTGTCGGGAGGGATTTTCGCACCAAGTCTTTCGTCATTTACGACTTCTAGTCGTGAGTTCGCCGGGTTGGGCTCAGAGGAATTTTTTGATCGATCTGTTGTGCTAATGTGCTATCCAGTTTGTTGCCTCCATATTAAGGAATGAGGAACATGTCTTCTCATCACCTCAATGGACGGAAAGCCCCTTCGAGATTTATCCTAAAGGTCCGTTCGACCGACTTGTGGACATTCTATTTTCTCTGCTACCGTGTCTAAAAGCTGCGGATAAATTGATAAAACACCCAGGTGGAGCTCCAAGGCCTTTCAAGACAAGTCTGAGGGCGCACGTTTCGAGTCTATTACTGCAATTGTACCACTGGTGGACGCAATGCACCACCATGATGAATTTCGGCGAACTGAACTCAGAGGCACGGGCAACTTCTGCCAACCATGATTCAGAGTTTCATGCCCTTGACCCAAATCATTTCCCAATTCTCCATCACTCAGACATGCCTACCGCTGCTCTTGCCGCGCTATATGATGCAGCCAATATTATCGCTCTGCGGTTGCTTTCGCTTGGCTGGTCGGACGCGAAAGAGCAAAAGCCTCGAAGCTGCGTGTCTTTGTACGAAGAACGCATCCAGCGGCATGCGAGATCGATTATATCGGCAAAGGACTTCATTGCGGCTATTCCAGGACCAACTTCTAATCGTGGGTCTATTATGATGGGCCTCCCATACCAAATTCTCCGCATCTGGGCCCCGACTGCTATCGATGGAACTTCTCTAGGTTGTTTCACTAAGCCCAACGAGCTCTTCTCAGATGTAGCAGTCTACATACTCAGTAACCAGACGCCCAAATACTTTAGCCAGGGTGATGATGACCCGAGTATGGAAGACTCTGGAGCCCAGGATTCCCACATAGATCCCAGGAGCCCGGAAATTGACGGGGCATCTTTGACACGTACATAATAGATGACAGGAGTGTAACCAAATGAACCACTGCATACTAGTGGCAGAGATACTTTAATGCTGCTGCCTCGTAAGAGTTGAAGCATTGTAATTGGAGATATTCAAAACCAGCAATACGAGGAAACCAAACTTAACAATAGCACCGCAAAGCTAACCATAACAGGTTAGTTTTGCGGTCCAGCGCCCGTAGTGGGGCAACTGATGGATATACCCGTTCCAATAAATATTCCTGGTACATATTGTAGCCCAGTTGCATTTGCAACTTCACGTCTTTCATTACCGATATCTGGAATATTGACTTGCTGCCATGAAAATTGTCATTCTCGGCGCCGGTATTGCCGGATGCACGGGATACTTGGAGCTGCAAAAACATCTCCCCAAACCCACTGGCTCCCAGGCAAACCATGAGATCACTATCTACGAAGCGTACAGCACCGACTTGAATGTTACACCCGAGCAACGCCAAAGTAATGAAGACACTCATTCCTCAACACTCGTCGTCGGTGGTGGTCTCGGCATCGGCGCAAACGGGTTGAACGTCTTAAGGCGTCTGGATGAAGATCTGCTCAGAGAGGTTGTCCGCAACGGATACGTCACGGCCGTTTCTAACCTGAAAAGCAAAAACGGATGGCTTCTCATGTCTATGAAGACTACAGGGCCCCATAGCTTCGAGGGTAAAGATTCCATAGAGAATATGCACATGGTCGCGAGCAGCCGTCATTCGCTATGGAAAGCATTGCGTTCTCGGGTTCCGGAGGCACATATCGTGAACAAGCGTGTTTTGGAGGTCATTGCTCGCCCAGATGGTAAGAATATTGTTCGGTTCGATGATGGAAGTCCCGAAATCGAGGCAGACTTGGTCATTGGTGCCGATGGGGTACGAAGTACTGCGAAACGAGCGCTTTTCCCTGATTCGATAGACGATCCTTACCCACCTCACTATGAGTAAGTCTTCACCATTCCACTTAATTGGCCTAGGACATTGTTTCTGATCGTCAATCAGGGGCCTCGTCGGGGTCGGTGGATTCATCCCCGCAGCCGATGTCAAAGGCCTTGTCGAAAAAGGATCCATGAACTTCATTTTCGGGGGAAATGGCTTCTTCGGCTATTTCTTCTCGGAAAGCGCATCAAGCGCCGAACATCGCGATTCTCCATACCATGTGTCTGAGCCGGGTGACTCCCTTGCCTGGTGGTCTACATACCAGATCTCAGAATGCCCCGACCGAAAGACCCTCGACATGGCAGATGTTTCCCGTCAACTGCGAGAGAGAGACATGCAGACTGGAAGGACCCAGTCGTTCAAAAGATTGTACAGTCTATTTCCGTTCAGAGCATGTATGCTACATGGACATCACCTCCTCTTCCGACCTGGGAACGAGATGGCGTGGTTCTTGTAGGAGATGCTGCACATGCTCTTCCTCCAACATCAGGTCAGGGATCATCTCAGGCACTAGAAGACGTTGAGGCTTTTGCTCTTTTCTTGGCTCATCATCTCCACGAGGACTCTGCGCAAGAGAGCATGACAGAATTGGAGCTCAAGGGTGTCGTCACAGCGGCAGCGAGACAATATACAGCTCTGCGCCAGCCACGGGTAACGGCAATTCTCAAGAATGCCCAGCAAATGCAGGCAAGAAAGCGAGATATGGGCCTTTTACAGGAGTATGCTATGTACGGGTTCATGAAACTAATGGGCAAGTCTACCTTCCATACTAGACAAAGCTTTTTTCCGGGGTACTAACGCCCGAGCGTGTCTCCTCCAGGCTTCTTTCCTAGTCTGGTGACCGGTCAGCTGCGCAAGGTCATTGACTATAACATCGCTGATGAAGTATCCAAAGCTCTAGCTTTAGAGCAATGAGCGTGCTGTGTTTGGGTAGTGTAGTCGATGTCTGAGTTTTTGTTAGATCATGTTATGTGCACTGATTCTGTTCTTCTCACCCATACATAAGCAATACTTAGCTCTAGTCAGCATGGTCAATGCAAACTACTCTGGCCTTTATGCTCTGTATGAATTCATATCAGTTATTTGCTGACTTTCAGTGGTGCTCAACTGAAGAGTGTCGCTTCGCTGAGCTTAATCGTCTTCCTTCAGATGATTTCTCGAGTGTTATATTATCAAAAGTTAATAAAGCTCCCCTTAAATCAGAGCAAGGAAACGCCGAGCAAAACATCGTCAGGTCAAGAAGAAGTGCGTTTAAGATCCAAGAAAGTCCAAGTCTGGAACCGGAAGAATTGACACCTTCACTTTAAGCACACATCCGCTCGAAGGCGACACAGCTCGCCTTTTGTCAACATCATTTTTCTGAGATTCGCCAATATTCAAGATTCAAATGAAAATTCAGCTTCTTCTTGATCCTACGTCTCTTCATTCATCCGTAGCTCCAATGGCTGCACAATAACTTCCAAAACCAAGTTCAACTAAAATCTCCACACTTGTGGAATCGCTGCATCTACCCTTTTAGGGCCTTGACGGCATACTCTGCCTTTGTTCTCGTTTCCAAGACGCATTTTCTTCTCGCGGTGGCTTATATCGAACAAAAATTGATTCAGAGAATCCTCTTGGCGTGGTGCTTGTAGAGGTCCTCCCTACACTCGGCTGCCATTATGGCTACACCGATACATGAAGTCAATCGGCATTGGAGTTTCTTTTATCATCGTGAAGATAGATTTTGTTTCATAGTGAAATTCCATGCCATCCACTCATAATGGTTAATTTGAGATACTGTTGTGACTTGATGCAAGGATCGAGTGCTTTTTGGCCTTCAAGGACGTTTTCGAAGAGCAAGAATATCAGCTAGCTGCACTTGCCCTTTCTCACCCCATCCTTGGGCACCACCTTGAACATCTGGTCGAACACGAAGATACCAAGCCCAAGCGCGCCTGTCCAATTCACTGCTATCTAGTGTGGTGCTCCACGAGCTGCAAACCGAGTCAATAGCTCGCACGAGATGACCAACACAGTCTTCTTTTTCTTGTAATGTTGCAGCAGCAGACTTTGACTTTGAAGGCTTCCCTTCCTGTAATTTGCCAATTGACCGAAGGAGGTAGGACCGCGCAGATGGTGCTGTATAGATGGGCAAGGAACTAGCGGGCTTTGGTTCCGAGCCAACGGCGGTAGCTTGAGATTTTCGAGTGGCCTCCAAGTCAATACTCCATAGAGGTGGCATCTTGTCCGCGTCATCAACATCACCATTTCCTAAAAACTCTTCGACCGGTTCCGCATTGGCATTGGATTCTTCTGATGCAGATGCGTTATCTGGTCTTCCTTCACGTGGATTATAGTCCCATCGTTTCAAAACTCGAATTTCTCTTCCGAGAACTTTGACTGTTGAGTGGCCCTCTCCCCATCCCTCTTGTTCTGCTGACTTGCCACTTTCAATACCCAGGCTGACAGCTTTGGTTCGACTGTTGGCACTGACTAATGCCTGAGCAAGACTCCATCTACTCGATATTGGCTGCTCAGGCATGGTGTACTTCAAGACACATACTGCAAAAGCGAGGACCAGGGGAGCACGATTCGTCACAACAGTCATGTTGCAGAGCTCGCTATCGCTCGCAGCTGATGTGGGCAGACTCAGGGAAGATTCAATCTCAAAAGGGGTTGAGTCTTTTGTTATGTTCATTTCCTTTTTCTTTTTTTGAGGTGATGCCGTTGCAACGTCGCTTGGGGCTCCGCGCTTCTTTGAGACCCGTTTAGCAGCATTCAGCACTTGTTTGGCAAGCTTTTCATCCTTGAAAACCCCTTGAACAACTTGAATATCTGCTTTGGCGATTTGATCTGCACTTATAAGTGTTAGTTGGCTGAGCTCTACTCTAGAAGAACGGACCATACCTTGTCATGTTAGCCTTCTGCAAATCCACGACCTTCCCTAGCGCAATTGCCAGAGGAACTTTTGCATCCTGCGACAGAAAACGCAGTGTATCCGCGACACTTGCCCCAGACATATGACACTCTAGACTCAAAGTCAACACAAAAAAGCTTTCAACCAGGTTGTCGTGAAACTCGAGGTGGGAAGTGCTGATAAGTTGACGCATGACGATATATTGGCAGAATGGCCGATAAGAGACCGCCCACCCTACCGCCTAGATACAAGCAGGAAGGACCTCAGCTCAATTGTTCGAGCTTCCCCAAGACTCACCTCCACTGCAGGCTGACAACCGCTGCAGTGGCAGCCTCTTGACCATGCCAGACGACTCGAAGGCGAAGGGATTCCCCGATGTCTCCGCCAAACTTTCCGCTCTACCCAAGAAATCGTTATTTGAGCGCCAAAGAGCCGAAGCCGAAGCCAAACGCGCCCGCGAGAAAGCCGAAACTGCTGCAGTTTACGAGGACTTTGTCAAATCATTTGATGATGATGCCTCTCCTAGGAACACAGATACGCGTCCGAATTCGCTTGGCTCTAGGGGTGGTGGGATAATTGGAGGGCCGCAACGCCGGCATTTCACAAGCTCGGGTCCTCGCAGCAGTGGCCCCGGGACACTAGGACTGCCGCCACCATCTATATCTCGCAAACGCAATCAAGAAGGGTTCACACCGACATCGCGCAATCGCGATCCAGCACATGGCGCTTTTGGGTACGACAATGCAATCTCAGGACCACCATCAGCATTCCGCGGCGCGTCAGACGAGGATGAGCGAACGGCCGACACCAAAGAAGCAGAGAAAGCGGCTGCAAAGCCAACTCTCTACCTGGCATCGCTTCCGCCAGGGACCTCACCGTCAGTTCTGAAGTCGTTGATACCATCCTCTTTAGTCGTGGACAACGTGAATATACTCAGACCACCTAATCAATCGGCTACTGAACGAAAATCTTCGGCTGCGATTGTCACATTGTCCAGTGAATCAGCTGCTTCGGATATTGACAGCGCTGTGAGCGCGCTACAGAACAAGTATTTGGGCCGAGGGTACAATTTATCTATCTCTCGACATCTATCATCGGCTGCTATTGGCTCGATCATGCCATCTACTGTTGGCATGTCTTCGTCTAGCTCTCTGCCTTTCGCTGCCAAGACCGTGCAGCCTACTTTAGGCGGAAATATGAGTCGTGCGCCTCCGCCTGGATCTCATCGAGGAGGGATCGCACCCCCAGCTTCTTATGGTTTAAATCCAGGAAGAGTTGGACCTTCGACACTGGTGGAGGTCAAGACTCCCTCTGATATCAGAGAGCTGAGGTTGATTCACAAGACAATTGAAAACCTGCTTAACTTTGGACCTGAATTCGAGGCCTTACTCATGAGCAGGCCAGAGGTTCAAAGGGAAGAGAAATGGGCCTGGATCTGGGACGCACGTAGTTCTGGCGGCGTTTACTATCGTTGGAAGCTATGGCAGACGATCACCAATCCGCGATCTCATAATAACCGGCGTGTAAGCACCCAAGGCCCAATTTCAATCTTTGAAGGGGGCGCGAATTGGATGCCTCCGGAGAACAAGATCAAATTCGAATACACTACCCGCCTCGATGAATTCGTATCAGACGATGATTACAATTCTTCCGACGAGGAGCAGGATGAAGAAGACGAAAGGCGGCATCTGGGAGGCGGGCCTCCACCTGAGGGAGGAAGCGTAAAAAGCGACAGTCTCGGCTACATGAACCCTCTACGCAAGGCCAAGCTCACACATCTCCTTGCTCGACTACCTACCACTCATGCAAAGCTCAGGCGAGGTGATGTCGCGAGACTCACCGCGTTTGCGATCGAGAATGCGGGTGCAGGTGCAGACGAAGTTGTCGACATGATCGTACTCAACATTCTCAGCCCTCTGGCCTACACTGGCGCGAACCCGGAGCGTGAGATGGAGAAGGCGGCAGCAAGGCCGGACGATGCTGAGAGAGACAACGAGAATGCTTCCAAAGCACCTATGGACGTGTCTCCTGCAAAATTAGTTGGGCTCTATATCATTTCCGATATTCTCTCATCATCAGCAACCAGCGGCGTCCGCCACGCATGGCGATACCGACAGCTGTTCGAATCTGCCCTACGTGCGCATAAGGTTTTTGAACATCTCGGCCGACTCGAAAAAGATCTTAAATGGGGCCGACTCAAGGCAGAAAAATGGAAGCGTAGCGTTGGCACTCTCCTTCACCTATGGGAAGGGTGGTGCGTCTTTCCACAATCTAGTCAGGAACACTTCGTCCAGATGTTCGAGCAGCCACCGCTTGCAGATGAAGAACTTCAAACGGAAAAGGAAAAGGCCGAAGCAGAACGAGCTGCCATCGCATTCTCCAAAAGCAAAAACCGATGGAAGACCGTCGACGATGACTCTGCAACTGGGGAACTTGATCCCAGTAGGCCCACTGGAGCTGAAGCTCAAATACAAGGGCCGTCTCAACAGATTGATTTGGCAGAAGACGAATCTATGAGCGACATTGACGGTATCCCAATGGAGGACAGCGACTTGGAGATGGCTGATGACGATGTGGAACCAGTGGCTGAAGACCAACCACCACCGCCCGACGAAAGCGATATCAAGGCAAAGCCGCATTTGCAGCCTAAACAGATACCCGAGCCGCAAGAGCCAACATCTCAACGCCCTCGCCGGGCACGGCCCAAGGCCGAAGACATGTTTGCCTCGGACTCGGAGTAAGCTATGCGACTGATTTAGGCGTAGTCATGAACGAATGTGATGATACCAGGCATCCCTGCCATTCAATTGCTCTCCGATGTAAGCTTGGTCAAGTAATTCGGCCCATACGGAGGCCATGTGGGCGTTGGCAGATATTTTATACTCGACTTGGGCGAAAATCAGGCAGTCAGGCATCAGCGGCAGAATTCGTGCCCCACTCGAGCGACTCCCCTCCCGCGTCAACAAATACCTTCCTCCTCCGCTCTCTGCTCTCTATACAGTCGCATCTTGCTTCTTCGATCAATCTCCCTCCTCAAAATGGCTGGTAAGTCTGAGAATTCGATCTCTTACGCTGTATTCCTACGATCAACCCCAACCCTCCCAAGGCGGGGTAGTTCTGGACTAGCCCATGACTGTGTGATCCAGTTGCGCCAGGATACCTGACGATGACCGGATGGAAACATGGCCATGCCCATGCCAGATTTGGACGGCGCTAACAATACCATCTATCCAGACTTCTCTACCATCGCTCGTACGTGCTTCCTCTTCCTCGATACCCGATGCGCCTACGCACAAGATTAGCCCCGCGAGGGCGAGTGAACTCAATCTCTCGCCGGCAACACCCCTCAACCAAGAACAAAGCCTCTGACTAGTGATCTCAATATCTAGAACAGTTCGTTGAGTTCTACTACCAGACCTTCGACACCAACCGCGCTGGTCTCGCCCCTCTCTACGTAAGACTTTCCTCAACTCCCGAATTGGCCCCTCCACAATGATCTCTGAAAGCTGGATACTGACGACAAGTTTGCATATAAACAGCGTGACCAGTCTATGCTCACCTTCGAGACCAGCTCTGTCCAGGGTACCGCCGCCATCGTTGAGAAGCTGAGCGTACGCGCCCTCCTATCGCAGTACCGCCATATTGAAATACTAATGCATTAGGCAACAGAGCTTGCCCTTCCAGCAGGTCCGTCACCAGCTTGCTACCTTCGATGCCCAGCCCTCCAGCGACAACGGCATCATTGTTCTGGCTACCGGAGCCCTTCTGGTAAGTTCTCGAGGCCTGCCATATCACAGAAGATGGAAATCTAAAGTTTTCACAGGTCGATGAGGAGCAGAAGCCCATGAGCTACACTCAGCTCTTCAAGCTGCAGCCCGACGGTAACGGCAGCTACTTCGTTCTTAACGATGTCTTCCGCCTGATCTATGCCGCATAAGTGCTCCAGGGATGAATAGCTACGACGCGATGACGGGGGGATATCTCTTTGCGAGGTGGACCGCAGGATGTCATTATCTATGAAGATCTCAGTGGTCATCACTTATACCGGGTACCGCCCACTTTGGACCTGAGACGAATTGAAATCTGTTCTCATTGGATGTCTTTCTCTTTGCTTGTCCTTTCTATATACGCCGTACCTCGTTGTAATCATTACTGGCTCTGCAGGAGCGGAGTCTCCTCGGAGGGCTCAGCATGATTGGCCTGCGCCGCAGACTCGGCCCTTTCTGATGCCCCGTTCTGTGCTTCGTCAGAGTCGGCATGGTGCACTGCTTTCTGCTTGCTCTCCGGGCCAAAGTATTCAAAATATATGCCCATTCCCAATAACGTTCCCTGTAGACATGCTGTGACGACCAATACGCCCCAAATACTCCAGCCCTTTGCGCCCTCGCGCGCTGCCAAACTTGCGGCCCAAATGAGACTTCCGGGTGTCTGGATACACATCATTGGGATACTCAAGCTTCCGACACAACGGAGTCGGAAAGTAGTATAGATCTGTGGGAAGTACTGGATTGATGCAAGGATGGCAGACAGAACGCCTAGGAAGTTCGCCCAGGCCGGCAGCGCCGATGGTTGACGCAGGGAGAAAGCAACGGAGATTACGAGAGTCACGAGCGCATGCAGAAGACAAATTGCGGTGATAGTGAGCGCGGTGCGGTATGTGGGACCAGTCGGGGTGGAAGAAACCGACGCCACTGGGTCGATGGGCGATGTCGCGCGCGGGAAATATATAACGAAGAGAAGTAGGCTTTCTGGCGTTAGCAAAGCCTCATCGACGAAGGAGGCGAGGGCGGTACTCACATGGAGAAGAAGCACAGCCACTGCATGCCCATCTGGAACACGCCCAGCAGACCAGCGAAGCACGCTAGTCCGTTGATCTGCGAGCAGCAGGCGACGTCATGGGCAGTCTTGGGAAAGACCAGAATATTGGCAAATGCCGACGTGCCCGAGGTCGTACCCAACAGAACAAAGTAGGGCGATATGCCAAAGGAGCTGCGACGCGAGATAATGCGAATGTGCTGAGGGAGGTAGGATACCAGGATTCCGATGATAATCAAGCTGCCAGAGTCAAGTTAGTTCGCTGAGAGTACCCATTGCAGCTGGGAGTATCTTACACTGATAGCACGGGCTGGAAGATCCCTGGCGAGGCCAGCTCGCGACAGTATGGTGTGTCTGGGTCCATGGTGTTGGTCTTGAGGGTGACCAGGAAGGGAGATGACGTTGGAGCTCTGTAAAGCGGAGTCGGAGAGGTTCGGGCTCTCGTGCCGCGCGTGACTACCTAGGCCTTGATGGTGCCTCGCAAGAGCAGTCACATTGAAGGACTATCTCAGGGTATTCGATCTGCTTTATAGTGGTCAGAGATTGAGATGTTGAAATGATTGCAGAGGTCAAGAGCAGGACCGGGATTGTCCCCGCATTAGAGGCCCAGGCACGTCGGGTACCTTGGGTTTGGGCGCTACTTCCCGTCTCCACCACGGGCGATCATCCAGCCTGCAGTAATATTTAAAGGACGACAAGCATCTCCCTTCATGCTATAATTTGAAAAGCTTCTTCAGCTGCGAAACATTGCATACACTCACCTTGGTAGCATCTCCAATCACCGAAATCATCTGCTTCTTCTTCTTCTTACCGGGACACATCTTGCACGCCCCCGTAGGACCCCTGACTTATCAGTGCACCCCCTAGGAGTCATGAAACCCGCAAGTGGAGACGATGATTTTTTTTTCTTTCGCATGTGCGGTTCAGTAGCTAAGCCGCTCCTTAGCGTATCCCTTACGCAATGCTTGACCCGTTGACTTGGACCAGTTGCCGCTCCAAAAAGCCCCGCTTGATAGATGTGTTCTGAAGGACATCGTGACCAAATGGATCCCGGTCGGACCGAAGCAGCAGCTTAATGACATCTTGCCGATCATCTACAATTGCATGATCTAGGGGAAGGGGGCTGATTGAGGTGTGTGTCTTAGTTCAGGGATGGCGCCACAACCGAGGAGAAGCTTGACAATCCAGTCGACCTCAGTCGACCTCTGCCAGCGGGCTTCATACATTGCGGCGTACCTTGAACCTTTCCTTGGCCCGACTTAGTACCAGAGTCAAGGAAAGCCGGGCCATTTCCACGTTTACAGTTCGCAGCGCGCATAGCAGGGGATCTTAAGGTATGATACTTAATGGTTCAGAATTGACTGCGGATGAACTGGCGTCATCCACGCTGAGAACGATGAGCGGCGTTTCAAGCAGAGCATTTCCTGATGACAATACTGAGCGAGTTTTGGTTTGTAGATCACGAGGTATGGGGATCGAATTTGGATAATTACTACCAGTTTCTTAGCACCACGGAGTAAATTGGGGTGAAGGCGAAAAGACTATAGAAGGTACTAATAGGTAAGCGTGTTTATAACCTTCAATCCTTTGTATCTATTTAGGGATTATATAGTCAAAGACCTAGTAACTTAGGCTAGATAGATGATTAAGCTGTTCACTTACTTGGTAGCTATGTATCCTGTTGGAATGGTAAGTAGTGATGCCTATTCCTCGGTCGTACGTTTGGTAGGTAAAATGGGACCCAAAAGGATAATATAATATTGAATTCCCTAAGTAAGCAAACACTACAAAGGAGTAAGCTAGGAAACTAGAAATTCTCTGTATAAGTTGCTATAGTATAATGCTACATTCCGACTCGTAGTCCGTCTGATGGCCAATAGCGTAGCACCGCAGAAAAATTAACCCCCGCTCATTAAGATAGTCTAGCTAGCTAGCGAAATAATCTAAGACTTTTAGAATATAATTAAAGCGTACCTTCCCGCCATACAGAAATTTGGTCGGCACCTATCCACTCGCAGTTTCTGTTCGCCCAAGTGTCTTGCATATGTATGGACAACTCTGTATACCTTCATCTCTTCTCCTTTCCTCCTGGTCCTGCTCAATGTGCCTGAGCGCTAAAGAGAACCACGCACAGATGTGATGTGAACATCGTCGCTGACTCAACACGAAAATTTCACGCGGTTACCTGATACGTGATTCGTGATTCGACTACGGCAACAACAGATCCAGTTGACAAGAACAGAATGTCGAATAGGCAATGAGATTTATATCAATTGATGGTGGCTCATAGTCACATTAAATGCAAGGGGGAAGAACACAAGAGCTCAACGATAGTTTCCTCAGATCAGGACCAAGATTTGGACTTGTCATCCCTGCCCACCCAATAACCCTCCATCTCCCATCGCCGTGCCAGAGCAAATCTCTCCACTGCATCACTGGAAGATGACTCATGCACCCACCACTTCGAGTGCAGCAGTGCCATATTCCCAGCAAAATCATTGTCATTGGACCAGTTAATGTACCATGATGAATGTAAGCGCTTCCAAGGCATTGGTCCTCCCCACCGGTGAGCATAATTGATAAGGTCCTGATCCGGTGATCCGGTATAGTAAAGCTCTGGGTGGTCCAGAAGGCTCTTGTAGTACTCGAACACTTCGGTTGAAGGCGAATACATGAACAACCCACCGTTGAAGTGTTTGACTGTATTGTCGCCATCTAGGAATGGGTAATCGTGGTCTCTCTGGAGCGACTCCGGAGATGCAGCCATGAGGTATCGCTCCGGGATGGTGCCCAGTTCCGCACTGACTCTGGTCGCATCGTTGATCAGAATAGGGTCGGTGCTTGGGTCCTGGAAAATATCGAGGATGGGCCGAGTGAGTACCATGTCAGGTTCCATCAACAGGACTTTCTCGTAAGGTATGATATTGGGATCAAAGAGGCGCAGTCTGGTCGCCATTTCGGTCAAGCGTTCATCAACCACCTCGGTATCGTGTGCAATGTACTCAACCTCCACAACGATCGCTCCATCGGCTCGCAGTCTGCGGCGCTTGCTCTCTCGAACATCAGGTGTCACAGCAACAATGACGGGAATCTGATGTTGCAACTTGGTGTTGGGCGAGTGAAGCAGTTGATACACGAGAGTTCTAGCGCTCAGGAAGTATGGATCTTGATCATCTCGGTTCTGGTATGCTTCATCGTCGTGCGAGGCCAAAAATGTGGTGATGGCGTAGCGGCCGCGGTACGATGTCTTGCCGGTTGCTGGACCATCGGGCACAGCATCTGGAGGAGGCGGGGTTCCAAACAAAAGCAAAATAGTACACGCGACTGAAAGCAGGCAGAAGAACAGCAGCTTCTTGCTCATGATCTCTTCAGGGCGTGCTATTTTTGAAAACATCTTCGGTCACCAGTGCGTGCTGTGCAGCTGAGGGAGACTGGGAGGCCATCACCTTGGGCCTTGCTTGACTAAAAGCTTTTTTGTATATGTAACCCCATCCCGCCGACGCTTCATCTTGCCTGCCTATCAAATAATGATCAACTGACAGCAGTCATTCCAGACGTTCTAGATGGAAGAGAAAGCTGCATCCGGATTGCATAGATCCGCGTGCAGAACCCTGGGGTGATGAGTCATCAAAACACGGGTGAGCCGACGAATCTGATTCGTGGAAAAGGTGAATACAGTATGCACTCCATGTTCTGCCTCAGGCCGCCCTTCGGGATCTTCCAGGGGTCACCACGGTATCGAATGTGCAAAGGTGTGTGGGGTCGACCGGTAATCACCCGAAGGCATGCGCTTCTTCCAAGCCCACTTTACACTGTGAGCCTTGAAGACCTTTGGAGACCTCGTAGCGGCCTGGGAACAAAGTTATTATATTAGGGTTGTGGGGCTGGTCCATCAGGAGCTAGAACACATTCCAGTCGCGTTGGCAGCAGTTAGATGCAGGCACCAAAACAAGTGACAGGTCTATCATTCTCTGATATTGATATAAAAAAAAATAAAGTGGCATAACCGCCAAGTCTCTTCGGGCCAGGTGCATAAATGCTAGAGCAGTCACTATGATACGCATGTTCGATTCCTAGTGACACGAGGACACCACCAGAGGATCGGGTAACGGAGATTCACTTCACCCACGAAATGCATCAAAGCAAAACAGAGGCTCAATCGCAGAGGACCCTCAAAATGACGCCCGTCTGTTTGGTGAAGAATGGGGCCAGCGACAGCCACTTGATGAATCATGCACTCATGGATCCCTTGGAAACAGGCAGATTCCCCAACTACGTCACTTCTTGATCATCCCTGCTTGACGCCTTTTCCCTGCTGCGATCGCGCTCTGCTCGTATTTAAGGCGATCACAGCACCTTTCCTTTTTTCCACCTGCACCGACGGTGAGTTTTGTCCCCCCTCGGTTATCCAGTGGCCCCATACTGATCTGTCGCGATAGCTTCATACAGGCTCAATCCCCACACGGAAAACAGAAACCATGAAGTTCAATTTGGCCACTGGCCTGGTGTGTTTACTTGCAACCACCGAAGCTGTTGGAGCTTCGAGCTGGTGGAGCAAAGCTGGTAAGCTGAGGATCTCGCAGCAATGGAGCGGCAAGAAAGCTAGGGAGCTAACGTCATCGCAGTCTACAACAAATGGCATGAAACGGAGCTGGAGCGATGGCTCTCCGACCACGGTACGCTCTTTGTCCTGTCGGTCGCATCCTTAGCAGAACCTGACATTGCATAATAGACATTCCTCACCCTTCTCCCGCCGACCGCAGGGATCTAGAGAATCTGGTCAAGACCAACTGGGAGAGCCGGGTCCAGAAGCCACTGGGCCAGGCTTCTGAATCCATTTCGGATGAGCTTCACCAAGCCAGAGAATGGGTCTTTGACACGTGAGCTACCCTCTCTCATCACCGCTGAATAATTATTGACGCATATATAGTTGGTCGGACTCCCAGCTGAAGGCATTCCTTGATCGTCACGGCATTCCCGCTCCTCAACCCCGCAAACGCGACTCTCTGATCAAGGCCGCCCGCGAGAACTACGAGTCCATTGCGAATAAGGCTGGCGAGACCGCTGCTTATCCTGGTAACTGGCTGTATGAGCAGTGGACCGAGTCCGATCTCAAGGAATGGCTCGATGAGCGCGGATGGCCTGTTCCCCAACCCACCAACCGTGACCGACTGATCGCCTCTGTCCGCCGCAACTCCCGTTTGGCTAGCTTGCAGGCCCGCAACCTCGCTTCGTCTGCAATCTCGTCTGCTCAAGCTGCCCAGTCCTCTTTGAGCGAAGAGCTGTTCAATGCCTGGTCTGATTCCAGGTTGAAGGAGTTCCTTGACGAACACAATGTCAAGGTCCCCCAGGGCTCGAAGCGCAATGAGCTCATTGCCCTGGCTCGCAAGAACCGCGCCTATCTCGTTGATCAGGCAGCTAGTGTCTCTTCTAGTGTCTCTTCTGCCGCCTCTGATGCCTTTGGCGCCGCTACCACCCGGGCGGGCAACGAATTCGCCAAGGCTACTGATGACGTCAAGCTGAAGGTCGAGGATCAGTTCGACGCCGCGATCAAGACTTGGTCCGACTCTCGCCTCAAGGCCTTCCTCGATGCCCGTGGTGTCCCCGTTCCCCAAAACGGCAAGCGCGATGAGCTGCTGGCCAAGGTTCGCTCCAGCGCGCACAAGGCTGCTGGTGGATGGAATGAATACAACTTCGATACCTGGGACAAGGAGCACTTGATGTAAGTTCTGCCCTTTCTTTCCATATGAGCCTGAGCTAACACGGCATGATAGCAAATACCTGTCTGCTATGAACGCGAAGGCCGCAAAGAAGGCCGATGCCTCTCGTGAAGAGCTGGCCAAGCAGGCCAAGGACGCTTACATCAAGGCTTCCAAGGCTGGTGGCGAGCAGTACGCATCGGCTACCTCCAACCTCGCTGTGGCTACCGGCTCCGCTAAGGATACAACTTTCGACAACTGGACTCACTCCGAGATCAAGAAGTATCTTGATTCTTACGGCATTCCGGTGTACCAGGGCTCGAGCATCAATGAGCTCCGAGCAGCTGCCCGTCGTCACGCTACCTACTTCAAGTACGGTACCACTACCCCTCAGGAGACCATCTATGCCAAGATCATGGAGACAGTCAACTGGGTTATCGATCAAATCAAGGTCGGGGCTTCCAGCGGTCGTGCTCAGGGTCACGAGGCAGCCGAGAAGGTCCGCGAGAAGGCGTCTGAGCAGTCCGAGAAGATTCGCTCGGAGCTGTAAAGTACGTACTTAGCTGGAAAGTGGAGGAATGTCTCGCTCTGCGATGACGGTCTTTTGCTTAACGATGATTATGACTTTGAATTTGGGAATTGCTGGCACTGTTTCTCGGGAGCTTAGTTATGTCAATAATAGTTTAGTCCCTAAAATGAATTTCGAATCGCCCTTAGCCGGGCTCGTTTATTTACAATATGAACCTCGAACAAAATCTGTAAATGTCGCAACGCCAGGAACCGAAATCGTACATATCTTCCACGACCTGGAGATGCTCAACATCTACGCGCAGCATCCCATGTCCTGGTATCACCCGTTCCATTGGAGCTTGTCATTCATGATCTAGGCTGCCAGGTTATGATGCGGGCGCCTCGGGATCTCCCTCGGCAACCAGCTTGCCGACAACAAGGTACTTCTCCGAGAAGCGCTCCTCCCACGACTGCAAATTCTCCAACTGATCAGCGGTGAGATCCTTGAGATCATCAAGAGGTGCGGACAGGTCTTTGGTCAACATCTCCTCGTCGAAGCTCTGGTGTGCCAGGCCACGCGACGCATCGCGGCCCGCGAAGTTCTCGTAGGGACCGCCCTGTCAATGATCAGTGATGTCCTCAGTATCAATGCCCAGACTCCACTTACTGGACCGTAAAAGTCCTTGCCGGGGGTCACATCGAAGACTCGACCACGGACGGCTAGGTAGACAGGCCGGTCGCCCTGGCCGTTGAACTCGATCAGGGTCTTGGGGGTGTAAGTGCGGAATACTACTGGCTCCGGGCCCCGGGGGAGCACGACGGGCGGCTTGGGGCGGAAGTGCCAGTACAACAGCACGACGAAGAGGGAGGCGAGGATCAGATTGATGGGCGAGGCGATTGACATCCTGCTCGGATTAGTGGTTGCTCATGGAGGGTAGCAGCTCGGGGGTACGTACACTTCGGCCTGCGGCATGGTGCCTTCTGCGATGAATTAGCGAGGGTTCACCCACGGAGATGAGGAAGAGGAGAGGGGTTTCCTACCACTAGCCATTTTGAGATAGAGGGAATTTGCAACCTTGGAATGGTCGACGTTCAGACTTTATACAAGTTCAACGGAGGCTGCGGAGAAAGATGTCATGCCCCACGTGATGAGTTTTCCCTGTACACATTTCACTTCCAACGACTTCTGCGTACTTCTCTAGATCAGGGATGGTACATTTACATGAAATGACTGGAGATTGATACTCCTCGGACTTTATTAATAGACGCCCAAGAGAGCCCAAGCCCGGAAGATGAAACGACGTCAACCTAATTCGGTCTCTGAATCGACTGTTTCAACTCCACTCGTTAATCGCCCCCAATTTAGTCTGTTGCCCACTTAGTTCAGGTGAATGCCATGCTGTTCTTGCAGGACCTTGGACACTGTTCTCGCTTTGAGATTCCAAGGTTCTGACTCGGACTTCAATCCCTGGCTCCTCTTCCCTCTCTTTGTATCTGTGGTAAACAATCCGTCAGACCTCCTTTCAGTCTCAAAAATAGCTCTCTTTTCTGCCAAGTGCTCGGAGAGCTCAGAGAGCAGCTCCCCAGCACGTCAATCTACGAGCGCATCGCGAACTGCCCATCGGAGATCAGGATGTGGTCTAAACGACCATTCAATCGAACACGACGTCCGATTAGCAACCCCACAGCGGCCGAGCCGGCTCCTGCGGATCATGCGCCGAAAAAGCCTGCAAAAGATTTGCCAGCGCTGCCATGGTAAGTGTATCAAAAGACTACCCGAAGTTTCCCGTTGCTCATTTGTAAACAGTGATTTGGACTCGACCTTGCACAGCCAGCCTAGCATCTCACCAGGTTTGCGCGATGATGCGGACCAGAAATACTCGGCTGTATCGCCTTTGGCATCACCAGTAGGATCTGAGAAACGCGGCAGCGGAAGTAGCAGCTTTCTCCGTCTCGCCGATCGACGATAATGATATACTACCCCGCCATGAGCGCAACGACTCTCGGGCCTCTGCGTCTGCATCCTATCGTTCGCTGGAATTCTTACACCCCATACCGAAGACCGTTTCATTCGCGCCTGATCACGACGACCCGCCGGGCGAGGCCAGTCCATGTGGGAAGACAAATCTGGTGAAACCGCAGAATACGAGTTCCCACAAGGCTTCCGCATCTCACAGCTCCAATCTTCTCCACTGGGGACGGGAACAACTCCACCCCAAGAAGAAGCTCACCCAGGCCCGCAACCGAATCGGCAGTTTCTCGAGGAACGAATCGCCACAGCCAGAGTCTAGAAGTCGATCATCATCACGTGGATTTCCACTTGGAGAGCATTCTAATTATTCTGGCACGAACTACGGAGACAGTCACTTGTCCACACTGGGCTTTGTTCCATCCGTCGTGACGACGATCACCGCCGGGGATCCAACATCCTTGTCAGAGAGACCGGCCCAAGGAATACCTTTAGTACCACCCAAGAACATCCGCCGTTATCTACCAGAACCCAAATTTGACCCAGGACTTGACAAAGAACTTGAAGACATGATGCAGCCCTCACAACCAGTGGATCAGACCGACGGCGTCAATACCGTTGCCGGGGCTAGCAGCACGCTTGAAGCCCCGCTTCCGAATGATAGCCCCCGGGGCAGCCTCAACTTCGAGAATGGGTCGACAGATGATCTCTCTATCATGTCGCGACGACGCCCAGTTCCCAACGCGATGCTGGCCTCAAAGCCGATATCCAAAAAGCCTGTACGAAAGCCTACTCCGTCGGAGGCGGGCCGAGCAACGCTCTCAGCTCAGCCTCCAGTGAATGACCAACCTAAAGATTCCCAAAGTCGCATCGAATCTCTCGAGGCTAGACGCGATGAGCTTGCAAAACGCAGGTTCGCCCTGGAGACAGTGATCAAAGAGTTGACTCGCGTCATTCAGCCCGCCTCTTATGCGTATGATCAGGCTGCCAAGGCGGAGGTGAAGAGAAGTGTACAGAGCATCGAAAATGAGATCGCCGAGATAAAGAGGGAGGAGCACGAGCTGGGAATGAAGATCACTCGGGCCTGGAGGCGCTTGGACGAGAAGGAGAACAATGGCGATGGCAGTAACCTTTGGGTCAAGCGTGTCACTAGTTAGGTGATATCGCTTTCCCTATGGTTACTGGTGATATTTGACTCACATCGAGTGAGTTTTGTTTCTTTTTTTGTCTGATTTGGATACCCGGTCGTCTTGTTTGCAAGCGTTTTGTCTCTTTATTTTCCCAAGGGATTCAAATTTTCCAGGCGTTCTGCTTCTGTGCACAGGCTAGTCGCCACTGATACCCTCGTTTATGTGGATGACAGTTATTGACCTTTTCAAAACGTGTCTACTGTTTTTGAACTATGTGAGTACATCATGAGTACATCATAGATTCGTAATGTGTCAAATGGCACGTTGGTACTGCAGTCTAGGAATGTGGGAAGGTGAAATGTGGCGTGATGTAAATGCGGGAATGGTATTTGCTGTAGTTCAAAAGAATATATGCCACCCGCTTCGCTCTTATCGGACATGGCTCGTTTGGATCGTAAAACGGATTGGAGATATTCGTGCGATCCGCTTATTTCTTGCCAGACTTCTTAATGCCCTGCTGGCCGGTGTTGAGAGGACCCTTCTTGCCCTTGGCGGCTTCCATCATGTCCTTCTTGGCCTTGGCGTCTACATTAAGAGTCAGAAAAATAGCGAATTTGTGTAGAGTGCGACTGAAACGTACCGGCTCTCAGCTTCTCCTTGTAAGCAATCTCATCCTCATCCAGCTCCTTCTTCTCCTTCTTAGCAGCCTTCAAAGGCTTGGCCTTGCCACCTGTGTTGTTGTTAACAAAGTTCGATCGTAATGCGCTTGACTGCGAGGTGCCACAAACCTTCTCTGCTAGCACCACCCATTTCGGCGATATAAATTATTGAAAGGACTGGTCTTGAGAGCGAGAGAGAGTTGGAGATTGTCGCAACGGCGAAAAAGAAAAAAACTAGACCCCGACACTTATCAAATTGAGGGGTGGTCCACCGCCTACTCAAAACAGGCTAACGCAGAAAGTGGCTCGATTCAGCACGAGATGCCAACTTTTGATCTTACTTCGACATACCTCACCATCATTTGGCCGAGTGCAATTCACGCAATTTGCACTTGCCAATCACTCCTTCAAATATCTGCCCTCTCGACTATGCGCTTGGGATAATCGAAGCTTCTAGGCTTTGGTGTGAAGGCAGGCCCTCAAGCCGGTTGGACTTTCAAACATCCCTGAAGATTCAGTTCGTCTCTTAAGCTTGCGCTAACTGAGCCTTTCTCATTGAAGCCTCCTCCAAAGGCCGAAGAATAGCCGTTGCAAGTAGAGGAGGAAATACCGAACCGTGACCAGCTCGCGATAAGTCGGCAGGATGACATCGCATCGCAAGTCGAGGTCTCCGTCGACCCCTTCTGAGGGTGAGATCATCGAATCGGGTTCAGAGATGAAGGCAACTGCGTCAAAACCTCCTCTTAATGGCACCAGCGTTGACCGTCCCCCCCAGAGCTAGTTCACCCTCTGCGCCACTGAAAGGCAGTGGGTCGCCCCGTCGACAGAGGTCATGGACCAGGTCGCGCTCGAGATCCGGATCTCGTTCGCCGTACCGGGATAGTAGAAGCAGCAAGCGCAGGCGCTACGATAATTATGATCAGTACGAGAGCCGACCCTCCCGACAGGAACCTTCGCGACGTTACGGGTCGAGATACGATGATCGACCGGAAGACCGGGCTGCTGGCTCCCACCGACCACGATCTTACTACGACTACGATCGCGAGGAAAGCTACGGAGGAGGCCTAAGTTATACCGATGACTATGACCAGCGCAAAGAAAAGCGACAGCGAACCCGAAGCCGGTCCCCGTATCGCCATGGGAGAAAGCCTAAGCGGTACGACGATTTGGACCCCAGCGAGAGCTCCATGTCTCAGGCGGATAGTAAGGCGCATGGGTCATCGGGAATAGTAGTGAGCGAACAAGGAAAGACTCAGGCTGGTGCGCAGGACTCCAAACTGGGTGCTGAAACACAAAAGAATCAGGTGCAGCGAACTCTTCCGAGACGCGCTCATTTTGCAGACGAGTACGTTCACCTTCGCATTTTGAATTCCGATGAGTACGTGACTAACGGTTCATATAGCGTCAACGAAACTTCTGCATCAGAAGCAGTTGAAGAAACGCAACCAGAACCCGTCGATGAAGCTGCTGCTCTCGAAGCTCGCCGTAAACGTCGCGAGGCAATCCGGGCGAAATACCGAAGCCAGGCGTCCTCCTCTGCATCTCCAAGCCTTGCAAGTTGATACAGACTCATCTACCCCGGGTTCGACGCCGATTGCTGAACCCGCGAGTGCGCAAGACACGACTGGTAAGAAAGCACAGCAATCTCATACAGAAACCTTTTGTCGGACTGACGCTCTTTTGTCCACGAATATAGATTCCTCTAGGTTGTCTCCATCTCAGCCCCCTAACGAGCAGCCAGATGAGACATTCTCAGATTTCAAGATTGGCAAAGACACTGATCTCATCAACCACGATGCACCTGCGGATGGGTCTGAGAAAGACGAACACTCTGCGGCAGACTATGATCCGACATTTGATATGAAAGAGGAGAGACAAAAGCATGGTGTTCAAAATTCCAAAGACGATGTCTCATCCGCGGCATATGATGAAACGCAGGCCACCAAACAAGACATTCTGATACCGGACACTCCACAACAGCCTCCGCAGCCCAAGGCGAAAGACCCTTATGATATGTTCGCGGAGGACGTTGATGATGATATGTTTGCTGAAGAAAAAGAGGATCATCCAGCACACGCATCAGCAACAGCTGTTCCACAGGCTCAAGAACTTGATATTAGCATGATGGACAATTGGGACGACCCTGAAGGTTATTACAACACCCGACTTGGCGAACTGATCAATGGTCGCTATCATGTGAAGCAAGTGCTGGGTAAGGGTATGTTCTCATCTGTTGTGCGAGCTTTGGACGAGAAGACCGGAAAACTGGTTGCTGTCAAGATCATCCGTCAGAACGACACCATGCGCAAGGCGGGTATGAAGGAAATTGGAATCCTAGAACAGCTTCTCGAAGCTGACCCGGAGGGCAAGAAGCATATCATCAAATTCGAGCGCTACTTCGACCACAAGGGCCACTTGTGCATGGTATTCGAGAATCTCAGCATGAATCTTCGCGAACTGCTCAAGAAATACGGTCGTGACGTCGGATTGAATCTGCGCGCTATTCGCGCCTACGCCCAGCAGATTTTCCTTGGCTTGAGCCTTCTACGCAAGTGTAACATCTTGCACGCCGATCTCAAGCCTGACAACCTCCTCGTAAACGAAAATCGCAATGTGCTCAAGGTCTGCGACTTAGGTTCCGCGTCTTCGGCCTCTGAAAACGAAATCACACCTTATCTCGTCAGTCGGTTCTACCGTGCCCCCGAAGTCATGCTAGGAATTCCGTTTGACTACGCAATTGATGTTTGGTCTATCGGCTGCACACTCTTCGAACTGTACACCGGCAAGATCCTCTTCACGGGTCGAAACAACAACCAAATGCTACGCGCAATCATGGAATGCCGAGGCAAATATCCGCCCAAGCTCCTGCGCCGCGGATCTCTGCCCATCTGCATTTTGATGACATGCTCAACTTCCACAGTATCGAGGAAGACCGAATCACCGGTCGTCCCGTGACCCGTATAATGGATTTCAAGAAGCCCGAGCGTGATCTGAAGACCCGGTTGATGGGTAAGGGGACACGTGGGATGGCGGATAGTGATGCGAAGGATCTGACGCTGTTTGTCGACTTCCTTGACCGATGTCTGACTCTGAATCCTGAGAAGCGGTGCACCCCTGCTGAGGCGTTGAAACATCCTTTCTTGACGCGGACTTAGAGCGGTTATGGAACACATGTATCTAACATTCCCAAAGAATCAAGTCGTGGGATTTATATTATAACATAGGATCCGGGTCTTGTCACTACCTCTTCAAATTTTCTACGTATTGCTGGTGATTAGAAAAAGCGCAAAATGTCTCTAGATAGGATAGACTGGAATTCCTACTTGAGCAACCTGAAACTGAGCAATTTATGGTAATTCATTGTTCCATATATGTCTCATGTGGTACGGGTTCCTCACCCGTCGAAAGCAGGGCTTTCGCTTGCGCCTCGCCCACAAAGAACAATTCGTTGCCCGGGGTTCCTTGTGCAAGGTGTTTTTCGCCGTATCCGCAATGTGACAGTAGTCTTATAACATTATGGGAAGAGCACTTCAACCGATCAATGGTAACCGAAAAGAAAAAAAAAAATTCTTGGCCAGTTGATGCCATCAACACCATACCTCTTGGCATCCAGGGGCCCGGAATCGGTCCTATAGGACAGTTCCCAGGGCTATCTTGAAGACGAGTTGGGCTTTTCTAGCCGACTTCTCAACCCTTCTAGCTGCATGGAAGGTGAGACGAGGCGTCATTCTAGCGCGAAGTGGCAGAGTTTGAGCTTCGTCGCAATACGTGATGTTCCAACCGATTCATGGCTCCTTTGAACTGTATAGGTTCTCTGTGTCTGGCGAGAATTATCCTGATATCCAAGGTGTCAAATGTTGCCATGATGTCGTGCACTGCGCGTGTTTTTTCGCAAGATCAGAATTGATAAAGTAATTTGTATTACCCGATTTTCATTCGAAAACATCGATTGATTGAGTAAACAACATATTGACTCTGGGGTATAACGTGGTCGGTAAGCGAGTGAGCCATGTAAGCGAGTGAGCCACCCAACCACTTTTTCGCGTCCCACCGCAACAATCTATCTTCTATCAACCACCATGCCTCCAAAACGTGTCAGATCAAGCCAAGATTGCATCGAACAAGAAGGCCGCCTCTTGCTTGCTATACAGGCTATTAAAAATAAAGAAATCAGCACTATTCGGAAGGCTGCAGATCGATTTGAAGTTAATCGTTGTACGCTCACGCGTCGGCTTCGCGGTACCACAAATCGCGCTGAATCTCGCGCAAATGGTCATAAATTGACCTAAATCGAAGAGGATATACTCCAGTAACGGATATTATCGCTAGATCTACGCGGTGCAGCCCCTACGCAAGCTCACGTACGAGAAATGGCGAATATTCTTCTTGCGAAGCGCGGTTCTACCCCTATCCAGACCGTCGGCGAAAAATGGGTATATAACTTTACCTAGCGCCGTCCAGAGCTTAAAGCTCGCTTTTCTCGACGATATAATTACTAGCGGGCCGAATAAGAGGATCTAAAGATTATTTAAGCGTGGTTTGACCTTATATAAGCTATAATTTAGCAGTATAGTATCCTACCGGACGATATCTATAACTTTAATGAGACTAGCTTCGTAATAGGCCTCTGTACGGCCCAAAAGGTAATTACCCGATCAGAATACTACAGTCAGAGATCAGTTTTATAGCCAGGAAACCGCGAGTAGGTAACTATAATTAAGTTAATTAACGCTTTAGGGTGGGTGCTTCCGCCGACGCTTATTTTTAAAGGCAAACTATATAATTAAGTATAGTTTAAAGACCTTCTACCCGACTAGCGCTTCGAAGTTAGTATAAATAGATAAATAACCGACGAGATAGGCCTTCGCTGGCTTTAAAAGTAATTTATTCCGTTAATAAATTATCGTTGTCACGGGCCCATGCCCGGTATGGGTCACATAAACCACGTGACCCTAGCATGTTGACAGAACGAACGCACGGAGGGAACATCCCTTCTTTAAGCTTTTTGTACATAGTTCGTGGCCTAGTCAGATTGAATCTAAGTCTCGCTTCAGCCCTTCACATACAAAAAGCTTCCGATTCACTATCGTTAAACCGACGAAGCACCGACGAAACACGACCGTTTCCCCCACGAAGCCGTACCCCTAGCGAGGATATAGCACCAGGAAGCGACAAGCCCACTATTATGGGCACAGACGCTGCTATAGCAAATAGCACAGACCCAAGCTATGCAGAACGAAGAACGAGAGCGACGCAACTAATAAGACGCCATTCAAGAAGAACGAATCCGGCGCCTCGAAGTAATGCTAGACTAACAGGTCCTACTTACCACGACGACGACCACGGAAGAATAAGCGACACCGTCACAAATCGCTACTAAAGTAATAGCGGAACACCTACGAAACGAAAGGCCTTATCGTCCAAAGGCAAGACTACCGGACCCTATCCTATTCGGTGGTAACACGAACGACTGGCTAACCTAGCGTGTGACGATCGAGAACAAACTAAGCGTTGATAGATAAGCTATTGGTTCGCCCCAGGACTAATTTATATATATATTCTCTAGGCTAGAGAAACTCGCCTAGAAGAATAGCGGAATATTCGTGAAACTACGCCGAGACACTGGCGACCCTTAGGCACTGTTAAACTACCTCGAGAATATCTATAGAGACCTAAATATTAAGGCACGCGCAGCGAGACGGTTATATTAGATCCGATAACCCGATAGAATAACCTTTTTGAAGTTCCTACCACGACTAAAGAAAGAGTTTGCGGACGCAGACGCCCTAGACTAGCACGACGAAGCTAAGAGGCAGATCCTCCTTAGGGCACTCAATAAAACAATAACTAATTCACTTATGAATCGTGGTATTCCCGCTACCTTTTCTAAACTGATCTCCAGACTCCACGAAATCAGCACAGATATGGATACCCTTAACATTAATAAAGCCGAGCGAACGGGTCGTCCACGCTTACCGAGAGCGAGCGATGATATAGATTGGACACCGACACTTATAGTAAACCGCGCTGAACCACGCACGAAAACCTAACGACTAGGTAGCGATACCCCTAGACGAGCCTAGTGGGTAAGTCCCGACGAGTTAGACAGACAGTAAGCTAAAGGGAAGTGCCTACGATATAGTAGAGCGGGCTATTATATTACCGAGTGTACACTCCTACCCGCCTAGCGACCGAATTATCTACGAATTATGACCGGTTTAGGATAGAAGGGGAAGAAGCATAGCACCCGCGTAAATAAGGCGAGACCGGTAAGCGATAGCGAAGTAACGCCCACAGATAACGACGATATAGCCACAGAGGAAGATTCGGGAAAAAGAGTAGCTCCTATCCTTAGCCGCAAATAGGAGCAAAAGGGGGTCGAAAAGCTACTAAAATAAGAGACACTACTATTCTTAGTCGACGCTAGAGTAAACGGAATTCAATTTATATAAGCTTTAGTTAATAATAGTTGCCATTACTATGCCACGGTAAACGAGCCTCTTGTCCAGTTACTTCACCTCCCGCGTATTAAGATACGACCACGAATCCTCGATAGAGTAGTGCTAAATTAGTACCGAATCACCCACGCTACGTATTTCGACCTCGACGTCTATAGCCACCAGCAAGGCTAGGTATTTACATATATTATCGGACCATAGGATAATAGTATAATACTCGGGGACCTATAACTACACGACGTGAACGGACGCTATTCGGCCAGAAAGGGATACCTAGATATCTTTATAAGATCCGGGGAACGAATAAGATATTAGAACCGCGCAGACCGCACGATCAGACCCACCGGAGCGAAGGCGCTACATATCGTATAGGCTATAGTACTAACGATTAAAGAGCTCTTACGGAACGTATCAAGCACAGAACGCGTACGAATCGGCAGGGTTTCGCTAGATAACATTGAGAAAGCGCTACGACCTAAGGAGTATATTAACCTAAAGGATAAGCTACCAAAATATTACTGGCGATAGTTAGAGGTCTTTAGCTAATAGCTAGCTAATAAATTACTACCCTATTAGCCTAGAGTCGATCACAAAATTCCTCTAAAACGCGACTGAAACGGCGTCGAAGAGTTACCGCTATACGGACCCCTTTATAGCATAAATAAGGAAGAACTGCTCTATCTACGGAAGACACTAACGGGCCTACTCGGGAAGAACTTTATATAAGTGAGCCAATCCCCGGTAGCCGCACCTATTTTACTAGTTCGGAAGCCCGGGGAGGCGTACGATTCTATATCGATTATAGGGGGTTAAACGAGTGAACGGTGAAAGACCGATACCCCCTCCCACTAATCCGCGAGACGCTACGGAATATTAGCCAAGCCCGATAATTTACGAAGCTCAATATTATCGTAGCTTTCTATAAAATCCGCGTACAATTAGGAGAGAAATGGAAAATAGCCTTCCAGACGCGATATAGACTCTACGAATAGAACGTCACACCATTTGGGCTAACAGGCGCACTAGCGATATTCTAAAGGTATATTAACCAGACCTTATAAGAGTACCTAGACGACTTTATGTTAGCGTATATCGACGATATAATTATCTACTCTAGCGGAACGCTATCGGATCACCGACGGAAAGTTGGTGAGGTGCTACAGAAGCTAATAGACGCGGGTCTTTAATACGATATTACGAAGTCAGAATTCGAGTAAGACTTAGTGAAGTACCTCGGTTTTATTGTCCAAGCCGGAAAGGGTATCTATATAGATCCAAAGAAGGTAGAGGCAATCAGAGTATAGGAGAGGCCAGAGTCTATTCGAGACGTACAGAGCTTTATCGGATTCGCGAACTTTTACCGGCCGTTTATATCACGTTTCGCCGACCTTTCGGCACCGTTAATATAACTGATAAGGAAGAACGCTATGTTCTAATAGGACGATAACTGTTAATAGGCCTTCACGGAGCTAAAGGATCTTTTCGTTAACGCACCGATCCTAGCGCACTTCGAAGAAGGTCGCAAAACAATAGTCGAAGCCGACGCCTCTGGCTAGGCCATTAGGGCAGTCTTATCGCAGTATAGACCCGATAGCTACCTACGACTATATACCTATCTATCGCAGAAGCTATCCCCGGCAGAGTCAAACTACGAGATCCACGATAAGGAGCTCCTAGCTATCGTACGAGCCCTACGT